TAAATAATAATATAATATAAATATATATTAATATATTATATAAAAGTATATATATTTTATTATAAAGGCTTTTAATTTAAATTATTAAAAATACTTTTAAAAAAGATTTATATTTTTATTTATCTTTAATATTTATTTAATAAATTATTATAATAGATTTATAAAATCTTTTATTTTAAAACCTTTTATTTTAATATATATATATATTTCTTTTAATAAAGGAATTTATTTTAAATTTTATAATTAAAGTTATTTAAAATAATATTATTTAAAATTATATTTTAATTATAATTTAAATTATAAAATTTTTTTAAGTTTTATAAATTAAGTTTATAAATAAAAATAGAACCTTAAATATATTATATTAATATTAAATATATATATTTAGGTTTAAACTTTTATTATAAACTATTTTTATAAAAAGTTATAAATTTAAGTTAATATTTTATTAAAAGAAGTTATTTTTAAAATTTTATATATTATAATAATTTTAATTATAGTCTAAATTTTAATTTATTATTAATTTTTAAATAAAATTATAAATTCTTTTAATAATTATAACTATCTTTAATTTTAAAATTAAAATTTAATTTATATTTAAAGGCTTTTTTAATATATAATTAAATTTTTTAAAGGTTTATTAATTAAATTAGTTTTATTAAAGTAATATTTAATAGTAAAATTAAAATTTAATTAAATATATTAATTATTAAATTTATTTTTAAATTAGTTTTTTATTTTATAAAACTATAAAAATTATTATAATTTAAAAATAATAATAAATTTTAAACTTTTAAAATATTATTATTAATATTTAAAACTATTAATAATAATATTTAATTCTTTATTATAAATTATTTAATTAAGTTTTATATTAATAAACTTTTTAATTAAAAAGTTATAAAATACTATTAAAATATATTTTTAATAATATATTTCTAAAAATTATTAAAATAACTATTTTATTAAAGATATTATACTTAATTTAAATATAAAGTATTAAATTATAATATTAAAATAAAAATATTTATTAAAATTTAACTTTAAGTTTTTAAAGGCTTTTAAGCCTTTAAATTTTTAAGTATAAATAAATTAATTTTATTAAACTTTTAACCCTATTTTATACTAAATAATTACTTATTAAAGGGTTAAATAATTCTAAAATATTCCTTAATAAACCTTTAATAGAAATTATAAAACCTAAAAACTTAAATATTATAATAAATAGTAGAAATAAACTATTTTTAAATAGTTTTAATTTAATTAAGATTTATTTAAATTCCTTCTTTTAATTAAAAATCCTAAGAATTTAATCTTCTTTTAAAAGTTATATTTCTTAAAATTTTTATAAAGTTTAGTTAATAATAATTAATTTATAATTATTTAAATATATTTTATATTCTTTTTATTTTCTAAAAATTAAAATATTATTTAAATAAATAATTATATAAATATTAATATAATTATTTAAAACCTTTATAATAAATAATTAAAATATAATAAAAGTATTAATTAATTTAAATAGTACTACTTTAAATTTATAATAATTATAATATATATAAAATATAATTTTTATTTATCCTTTTTAAATATAAATTTAATAATAAATATTAATTAAATTAATTCTTAAAAATACTTTATATTTAATAGTTAGTTTAAAATCTTAAAATTAATAATAATAAATAATAATTTTTAATTATTATTTTATTAAAAACCTAATAGTTAATATAAAGTTAAAAAGTATTATTCTTTTAAAAATAAATAAAATTAAAACCCTTATTAAACTCTTATTAAAAGTAATTTATTTAATTTTTAAACTCTTTTAATTACTTTTTAAAATCTTTAACTTTTTAATAATAATAAATAAAAAATAAAAAATAATAATATTTCTTTTAATTTAATTATATAATTTACCTTTTTTAAAAGGAAGTTCTTTTACTCTAACTTTTATAAAAACTCCTTTAAACCTTTAATTATAAATATAATTAAAAAGATTAAAAATAATTTTTCTTTTTTATTTATTCCTTTTAACTTTTATTACTTTTCTTTATTATTTAAATTAAAAGGTTATTAATTAGAAAAATAATATAATAATAAATATTTTATCTTTAATTTTTATAAAGAATTTTATAATTTATTAAATAATATATAAGTTATCCTTTTAAAATTATTAATTCTTTAAATAACTTTTTAACCTTATTTAAAAATATTATAAACTTAAAATTTTTAATAATAAAATAAACTTAAAATACTTTTAATTAATAATAAAAATATTTTAAATTCTTTTTTAATTTTAAAATAGTTTTTAATTAAAAAAGATTTAAAAACTTTATAAATAAATATTAAAATATAATTAATTCCTTTAATAAATATTAAGGATTTCCTTAATTTCTTTAAATTAAATTTTCTTATAAAAAATACTAATTAAGTTTATTTAAATTTAAATATTAAGGTTAATTTTAATATACTTCTAACTTTATATTATAATTACTTCCTTTAAAATTATAAAAGTATTATAAATTTCTATTATTTTTTCTTTTTTAATTTTAATTATTAATTTAACTTCTTTATTTTAAATATTATTTTAATAAATAATTAAAATAATCCTTAACTTTTATTTTAACTTTACCTTTAATAACTCTTTAATTAATAATTATTATAACTTTAAACTTAATTTATAAATATTATAACTTTTATTAATATTAAATAGTTTAAAATATAATAATAAATATTATTATAATAATAATAAATAATTAATTTTTATTATTATTAAAAGAATTAAATTTTAAAATAGTTTTAAAGTTATTTTTTAAATATTTTAATTAAATTAAATATATAAACTTTTACCTTAAAATTTTTAACTTTAACCTTTATATATAATAAACTTTAAGTTCCTTTAAAAGTTATAATATTATTTTAAAGAATTTTCCTTTATTCTTTTTTATTAAAGGTTTTATTACCTTTTATACTTTATTTTTAATTTCTTATATTTTTTTAATTTATTTAAATATATTAATTTAAATTATTTAAATAACTTTAATTATTTTATTTTTAATATTTAATAAATTTAAAGTATATTTAATTTAAATTTTAAGGAAATTTAGCTTTATAATTTAAAAAAAAACTTAACTTTAAAATTATTATTTTTAACTTTTATTTTAATTTTAAAATTTTAAGATATTAATAAAAATTAAAGGTTTTAATTTTCTTATTAATAAGTAAAATTAATTAAATTTTAAATAACCTTAAAAATACTTTAAAAATCTTTTAAAGTTATTATTAAAAATCTTAAATTTATTTTACTTATAATAATTAAATATAAATTTATTTCCTTTCTTTTAAATTTTATATAAATATTTTAATAGTTTTAATACTTTTATTAATATAGTTAAATATATAAATTATTTTATTTTATTATTATAAAAAATTATAATTAAAAATATAAACCCTTTTAAAGTTTATTATTTAACTATTATATTACTATAAAGTATAAACTATAAATAATAAAATAATATTAATTAACTTTAAATTCTTTAATTTAATTTTTAAAATAATCCTAACTACTTTAAGGGTATTTATCTTCTATTAAAGAATTTAATTTTATTTTTATTTTTAAGTAAAAGTATTACTTATTAAAAAGGTATTTAAACTCCTTTTATTATTATTTAAACTTATTTAAAACCTCCTCCTTTAATTATCTATTTTTAATAGTATTATAAATAGTATAAAAAAAAATTAAAATTATAATAAACTATAATATTAAATATAATAATATAAATAAAAAAAGGTTTAAAGGTTTATTAAGTTTAAGTTTAATATAAAACTAATTCTTACTTTTTTTAAAAAAAAAATAAGTAAATATTACCTACCTTTTAAAGGGTTTAAGAAAGGGGTATAACTAGGCGCTAGGGCGCCTCTAGGGCGCTTCCCTATAGCTTCTACTTAACTATTATAAAATTTATATTTATAATTATATAAAATATAAAAAAGTAATAAAATCTAGTTAAACCTTAACCCTAGAATTTTATACTTATTTTATTTAAATTCCCTAAAAAATAAGGTTTATAAAACTACTTTTTTTTCCTTTATACTATTTCTTTTAAGTAAATTAGACTAAGTTAAGTATAGTGTTTTATTTTTCTTAAGTGTGTGGGGGTTTTGGCCGTGCGGGGGTTTTGGCGCCCCCTACGCCGGGAGGCGTAGGGGGCAACCGAAGGTCTGACCCCCGGGTACGTGCATGCAGTGCAGGAAACTCCCGAGGTCGTGAGGGGAATGTGGTAGCACCGACAGCCTCTAGCAACAATAGACTAAAACATCTTGTACCACGTTCTTGGCGCCGGCATTACAGGTCACACAAAGATCCTACCAGAGATCAACATTTCTGTTGGCGCAAAGTTGGCTGTTGCCCGTGTATTTGTGCCTTTGGTAGGGATTTCGGACTTGACCAGCATTAGAACTGACCAACACGTGCGTGACGATTGTCAACACTAGACTAAGAACGGGAGTACCCGGCTGATAAGAGGCTCCGAACAAAGAGAATACCTCGGTATAGTATTTGACTAAGAGTAGCCTCCATGCCGTTGGCTAGGACATCCGTCCGAGCATTCAATGTTATTGACCGGTGCCGTCTCCCTGGATCTCGAGGACTTCAAGTTCAGACCGACTCTTTCCCGCTCATGTCCCAGCAGCGAATAGCCCGCTCATAACCCGCCAAAGCTTGATGGATTGGAGGAAAATCCCAGTCAAAATGGACTCATGCTGACTGAACCCCACAATACTCGCAGTCCAGCAATCGCGAGCGTCAAACTTCAGCCGCTTATTCTGATCCCTGGCCCATGACGTCTTGCATATAGCTGCATTTTCGTTGCATATGGCTGCATTATCGTTGCATTTAGCTGTTATTTCAGTGCAAGTTCTCAACTTCCCCTCCTGACTCTTTGTTCATGGTCTTCTCGTTCAAGTTATGCTGAGATTAAAGAAAAACGGACCTATTCGCAATGATGCTGACACTACTGGCTTACACCGTGCTATTCGCCCTCGAGGCTTGTGCATTCCGGGGGCCACCGTATGCTCATTTTGCTTCAAAAGCGCGGGTCAATGAATCTTCACGTACAGTAGACTTGGGCTATGGACGATACCAGGGCTGGTACAATGAATCTGCCGGTCTGAACATCTTTCAAGGGTAAGTAAACTACTTCTAAAGCTCACCTGGCAAGCATTGTATGGCAAACTGTTCTAATGTGGTTCACAGTATACGGTTTGCGCAGAGCACTGCGGGAAACCTTAGATGGCAAACTCCTCGCGCACCTGACAAGGAGCAAGATTCGCTTATACAAGCCGATACCTGGCCAGCGCAGTGTCCGCAGAGCCCTGGTGCCTCGAGCGAATACACCCCTGCGGATAATTCACAAAGCAGCGAGGATTGCCTCTTCTTGAATGTGGGGATGATGATTACCTGTATTAAATTTGCCCACTGCTAAATCCAACCAGGTTTTCGCACCGGCTGCTGCCGACACGAAACCGATCTTGCCCGTTCTTGTCTACATTCATGGCGGTGCTTACGCGCAGGGAAGCGGAAGACTCGATCTGACGCCCCTGATAACAAACAACAATAACAGCTTTCTCGGTGTCAACATCCAGTATCGGGTGAGTCATGCCTGCGCTCCAGATGATTCAGCCAGGCACTAAGACGAATTTGTAGCTTGGGGCATTTGGCTTTCTATCCTCGGACGAAGTTTATAGAAAGGGCGTGGCCAACGCCGGCCTGTTGGACCAACAACTGGCTCTTCATTGGGTGCAGCAATATATTCACCTCTTTGGAGGGGATAAAACGAGGGTCACGATTCTAGGTGAAAGCGCTGGGGGAGGAAGCGTCATGCTGCACGAGTGTGTTCCCCCATTCTCTTGCCTTGTGCAAATCCACTATCGATGCCACCAAGTCGGCAAGGAATTGCGGTGCTCTAAGTGGCTGCTAATGTGCTCCCAAAATATAGTCTTGCATACGGTGGCACATTGGGCACGTCCTTGTTCAGGAACTCGGTCTCCGGGAGCCCTTTTCTCCCTTTTCAATATGGCTATAGTACGATGCACCCGACAGCACTTCCGTTCTTCTCAAAGTTGCTAAGCTAATTTCTCCGATTAGAGGACTGGCAGCCGTCTCAAGCATATTATGCATTCGCTACTGCCGCAGGTTGCGATACCAAGAATGCATATCTCCGCAACGGGTCCAAGGCCATATTCGACTGCCTCGTCGAAGCAGATTCAGCGACACTCATGAACGCAAGTGCGGACGTATCGCAGAGCGGAAGTCTTTCGACATGGGCCTTCCTGCCCGTAACGGATGGCAAGATAATCCAGGATGTCCCCAGCAAACAACTTGCGCATGGCAACGTCAACGGCCTGAATATGTTGACTGGGCATAATGCACTCGAAGCCGCACAATTCGTTCTACGGAATATCACCACCATTGGTGAAATGGTAGAATACTTGCGGGTCACGTTTCCGATGCTCTCCAACAACGATATCGCCAAGATTCTTCTCTACTACCCGACGAACAACGAAACCGTCAACCAAGCTGACCCAAAATGGGCTACCACGGGAGACTCTGCCCCTACAAACCTCAACCAGAGCACGGCTGCGACTGGCCAGATGCAGCGTGCTATCGCTATCTATGGCGAAACTACATTCATCTGTCCCTCTTACTGGTTGGCCGAGGCCTATAGCGACAACATGAATGGTGGGAAGAGCTGGAAGTACCAATTCTCTATCCCCAACGCGTATCATGGGGCAGACGGCGCCGGTTTCACTAGCTGGCCGTATTCTGGAGATTACTACAGCCCTGATTACGTATGGACCATAACCTCCTCAGCAGTCAGCGAAAGCAAGAATGAACGCATGCTGACGTTGAATACAGGTTCTTGCTTTCATGCATATGCTGGGAAACTTCATCGTCCATGACAACCCGTCCATCTCCAACGCCCTTGCAAATGGCCTGTCCACGGGGAATACGAGCTTCAACCCTGTCAGCGAGTGGCCGACCTACAGCATCTACGACCCTTACCTCATAGACTTCAACGCCACTTGTCCATCAATAAAGGTCATAAACGGCTTACCATATTGCACTGGACCGGGACAGGTGAACAAATTTAGACTGGCGAATGCTTACACGTGGGAGGGGGGGCGAGGATTCCGATGTGACTTGTGGAAGTCTCTAGGAGAGCTGGTGCCGGAGTGATGTATGCTGACTCCGCTGTAGAGAGAACTCTCGCTGTGCACTCTACCATGTTCATCTGGAAAGACAAGTCAAAGGATCACCCTTCAACCATATACCTTCATTGAATGTTCACCACCGTATGGATGGACTATATACACTCCGTATGGAATCAGATGCAGACCGCAATGGCACCCGCCTAACCCACTTCTGCAAGTTGACGTTATGTCACATGTTGTGACTTTGCACTAAAGCTTGCATATTATGCTGTGCTTAACCTCCACTATCAAGGTCGAGTCCATCTGGAGCTAACAGTACCCCACCTTAAAGTGGTTTCACTAAGCCATCACATGGTTTAGACTACGCTGACAGGGCCATTTGCTTAAGCAAGAGAGAACGTCATCCTGGGTGGCTTGCTCATTATCCCATAGTGGGCTTTTCTACCGAATTCTAATCGATCGAGGCTCAACTGCTTCTAGAGGATGCTGGACAACGAGCACTGCCTAGCTGCTACTTAGGTGACCACATTTGATTTGCGGTGGCCGCGTAGCAGGCACCCGAACCAAGCTCCGCGTACTTATTAGCCCTAAACTAGAACCAGCGAGGAAGCTTTGGTTTCTTCTTCCTGGCGCGTGCGCCAGTCTAGTAGTTCACACTGCCTCAATCGTTAAAATTAGGTGCAAGCGATTCCGCATGATCAAAACTCGGAACTATTGGAAGGCCCTGTATAAAAGCCGGGCTTGATCCGTTTACAAATTTCTGGCCACGGGCTTTCAATTGAATTTTCCATACTATTTTACATTCCGTGGATGTTTGTCCTGCGCTGCTATCCTAAAACTTCCACATCAGCATTCCAGCCCAGCGTTAGCGGACAACCTTCTAGGTGCGGCCGAAACATTTCGACACAAGATGCACAAGCCAGACCTCGAGGCTCGCATAGCCCTCCTCTCTCGTGATGATTTGGTCAAAGTCGTCAACGATCTTGCAGCTGATCCCACGATGAAAGGAAAGGTCTCAATCGCCGTGGACCTGGCCCAGGTAACATAAAAGATGACTGCTGAGATATAAATTCAAGGGCTAACAAATGTCATTCGTCTCCTCAGTCTCTTGTATCAGACAGACAAACACCCACGGGGCCTTCGTTCTTCAATCGTATTTCGAAAGCTTTCGGACGGAAGCCCGAGCCGGAGGCATTCACCAAGATGAGCACAACAAGCTGGGAAACAGTCACCACGATGAACACAACAAACTGGGATGCGCCCACTCCAGTCCCGAGGTCACCCGGTAAGACTAGCATAGGAAGCGGTGAGACTACCAGACCGATCTCGCAGACATCCAGCAAGGAGAGCACGACAACCTTGGAGACACCCTTGGAAAACTCGAAGCCTGTGATAAGTGATATCCAAGTATGCGATAACTGCCACCAAATATTTCGAATCTCGAAGCCAATAAGGGAGTACGCAAGGTGCTACGGCCATCCAGGTATGTAGAACTACCGAGATTGAGTTGACAATCACTGCAAGAAAACATACCCTGATCATATGCTCCATATCTAAACAGGAAAACTGGAAAAGCCTGAGAATCTGGTTCCAGATAAACAGAGACTCAAAGAAGCGCACCTGAACCTTATACCACGCTGGACTTGCTGTCTCGGCTACAGGTGGGATCTGGGCTGCAATGTTCTCCGCAACCACGTCTCCTCCAATCCAATGACCGAAACGGTATCGAGATTTGGAAATAGGTGAACTAAATAGTCAGTTTACAAGAGCTAATGTCTGAACTTTACGTCCAAAGAGGAGCAAATACGACGAAATGAGGGATTAAAAAAACACTCACAGAATCAAAGCGGAGCACACTTATGCTTGCTCACCTTCTGCCAAATTAACCAAGTGCAGACTTCCCCACAGGGACATATCGAATTTATTCTTTTAAAAGATATTTTCCTAGGTAGCTTCAATTCTAGTGTCTATAAAAAACGTATGTAGTACCTATATATAGTAATAAATATTTTGAATCGAGTGTATAAGGTTATAATATTAGTAGTAATATAAATAGAATGTGATATGTAAGTACATAGTATTAACTTTGTATCATTAATGTAATGTGGCTGAAGCTAAGACGTGTTCTATGACAGACTTTCAATGGAAGAGTCTCCTATGGAAGTTCTTCTATGAAAGGTGCCTAGATAGTCATGTGGGAGGCATGAGGTCGTCTTATGGGGGTCACTGCAAGGTTGCCCAGATCGTCGCTACGCAGATGCTGTCGCGGCGAAGCGAATACCGGATCCAAGCTCATCACGAAGTCTCTTAATTCCGAAAGGCCTGCACGTTCAGCTAGCTATATTCTGGACTTGTCCTCGGATGTATACGGAATAGAAGCGAAACCATATATTCTGGACTGAAAGAATCAACCACTATTCACCAAATCTGAGGATAAGCTTTCCCTGCATCCCTATGGCTGGCTTACGAGGTAACATGCTCGGCGACCCTGCTCGTATATACCCAGGTTTCCCAATGGGGTTCATAGCCCGGAAGTCGATTTCACCAAAGCCTCCCCACAAGAGATCGACCAGCAGAATGCTATTCCATAGGAGGCTGTCCAATACGTAGGTAGGAGGCCGATCCACGGGAGGCTGTCGAGTAACAAGTAAAAAATAAGTCGTGCATGCTGAGAGGCCTCGAGCGTGCCATTTTCATGATCCGAGACGGCCACAATCTCACTACCTAGGTACAGACATGGGCGGTTCATTGCCATTAGATCTCAACAGCAGTCAGAGACGAGAAGGGTCTGTGTGGCGACGAACATGCTCAGCCTTTGATGCCTAAATTGATACCTGCTTGTTGATACTAGTCACTTATTGGCAATGCGGTGCCATTATTAGCATCGAGGAGGAAAATTACTTTCTTAGCATCTCTGTGTATGGCTCAGGACGTATACGGAACAGAAACGAAAGCTGATAAATCACATAATGCGGTATTTCGATATTAGTGGCTGTAAATCTGTCACCTTGTTGAACTTCAGCGCCTAGTGCAAGTCTCCCAGAACTTTTGACAAGGTGTCTTACGTAGATTTCTTCTAAGGACTGGAATCACTCCAGGTTAATGACGCACGGTTACTTCAAGTATTATGCTTTTAATTTAATTTGGCGCCGTCTCTGGCTTTCGGCTCTAGTTCCCTCTACAAGCCGTCTGGCTTCGGCCTAGACAGCGTGGTGTGGGACTGTTGAGGAAAGGTGCAGAGTTAGTTCTGTGTTAGTCATATGGCCAAAAAATGAACAGAAACCATGATGAATGAACATATATAAATGACCACCCCTCTCGGCTGCACGTTTCACGGGTTTTCATTCTACACCACCACCAAACATCTCCCGATACGCTATGCCGTCAAGGCTTTCCCAGCCACAGCATATCTACTAACTTCCAGATCCAAAGCATCGCAATAACGGACTAACTGCTACTAACCACAAAAGCTCAACTTCCTGATCATCATTCTAGAACCCCTCTCAGGACGACCACATCAAGATCCTCCCAAAGATGTATCCGCCCAAATCACCTGGATCTATCCCCAGGCCAGCGAAAGGTCAACGAAGAACACGATGGGGCCCAGAAAGCCAGGTCGCCGCGCTGAACGGCCTCAAGACCGCCATCACAACAGCCATGACGCCCGAACAGCTCGAAGCGTACGCCACGCACTTCCGGATCGAGGAGATCGGCCAGAAGATGCAGGGCGGCGGCGGCGGCCCGGCCCCACCGCCCAGCTCAGACTCGAAAAGACCACCCTCGCCAGCCCCCAAGTACGACGCCTCAGGCCGCCGCACCAACACCCGCCAGCACCGCTACCGCCAGGGCCTGGAGGCCGAACGCCGCGCGCTCGTCGGCGCCGCCCTGGACACCATCCCAGGCTACCAGCGGCCCCGTGACTTGTTGCACTGTAGCCTCAAGCGGGATCCTGTCGTCACCACCAAAGTCTACATCCCGGTCCGCGACTTCCCAGGCATCAACTTCATAGGCCAGATCCTCGGGCCCCGCGGCCAGAGCCTAGCGGCCATGAGCGAGGAGTCGGGCGCGCACGTCGCCATCCGGGGCAAGGGCTCCGTCAAGGAGGGCCGGGCCGGCGGTCACCACCACCACCACCCCCGGGGCCACGGGACTAACAACAACAACGACCAGCAGGAGCCGCTCCACTGCCTCATCAGGGCCGACACGCAGGCAGAGGCCGACCACGCCAGGAGGCTCATCGACGAGGTCATCGAGGCCGCCGCCTGCAGCCCCGAGGACCAGAACCGGCGCAAGCGCGCCCAGCTGCGCCAGCTGGCCGTCATGAACGGGACGTTCCGGGACGACGAGGGCCGGGCGTGCGACAACTGCGGCCGGCCCGGCCACCGCCGGTCCTTGTGCACGGCGCCCGCCCGGTTCGTGGCTGGTGTCACCTGCCGCGCCTGCAACGGTGCCGGCCACGTCGCCCGCGACTGCCCACGGCGGGGGGGTGCCGGTGCGAAGCTGCCGCCGTGGAGGGTGGGCCGGCTGGCTCGTGATCAGCAGGCAGAGGCGGGGGGTGCTGGCCCCGACGCGGAGTTTGAACAGCTCATGTTGGAGCTTGGGGGGTAGGCTGCGTGATGTGCTGATGTTGAAGGGATACTAAGGATACTAACCGAGTCAAACAGCGCGGCGGGTTGTGTTACGCTTTGATATTTGGCTGCGAGTGGTTTTGATTCTTGATGCTGACTGTTGCAGGTTTTCGAAACATTTGAAGTAATAAGGCGGTTTGCGCAGATCCCCGTAGTTCAACTTCCTCGCGAAGAAGTGACGTCGTAATATATTTCTGAATGTCTAACACGAACCACGTTGGACCGAGGCAGCGGATATTTGAGACTCGGTCTGTCTAGTCTGGACACCACAGACCGTGGGATGGATGTGTTCAGCTGCCAGAGCATAGAAGACCCAACTAATACGTGCGGACTCAGTCGCAGAAATATAGACCATGACCACCATGGGGTGAGGCCAACCTTGAATGCAGGGACAAATAGAAACCAGCGACGTGCAGTCGGGCGCATATTTACCAGGGCAGGTAGGCAGGACCTAGAATACCACTCTGTGACGGGCGGCATGTTCACTGTGGCACCTGTCGAAACCGATCAGAGTGAACGCCGTCAGCGAGATCCAAAGAAACCATGTGAAACCAAAAAGAGACAGATTCGGAACCACACAACGTGCCTCGGAACGACAGCTATCACCGATGTACACCGCAGCAAGCCAAACACCACACAAGTACAAACAAAACAAGGCTAAGTACTTTTCAGTTGGATTCAGAATACACCCGCACCAGAGCAAGTCAACCGACCAACCCTCTCGCACCTCTCCCCCCCTCCCTATGAAGAATGGTAGCATAGCAAAATCACATACTTCCCTACCCCCGCCCCCTTTCGTAACAAGAAAACCTTGGGCATTATCCATTAATTCATCTCCAAGAACAAGCTAAAAAAAGAAGAAGAAGAAGAAGACGACACGGAAAACCATCTCTCGGGTGCAATCAATCAATCCAGTTATGTTTTTTCATCTCGGCACAAGGCGCTCTCCCCAAACACAGCGACAAACATCACATCACGCACTACTACTGATAACTACTCCGAGTCGAACACATCCTTGGCCCTCCTCGACCGGCCGCTGGTCCTCGTAGGCACAGCAGCAGCAGCCGCCGCCGCCCTGCCCCGGGTCGGCAGTGCGGCCGCGGCGGCCTTGCCCTTCGGCGGCGGCGCCCTCCTCGGCGGCTCCGCCTTCGCCCTGGCCGCCGAGCTCCTGCCGCTCCGCCGCCCGTTGGTCGCGGGCGGCTCCTCGTCCTCCGCCTCCTCCGCCTGTTGTTCCTCGGGGGGCTCGGACAGCTCGCTGCCGTCCTGCTCCTCGGCGGCGGGCTCCCCCTCCTGCTCGTCGTCCTCATCCATGGGCTCGGCTTCGACCTCGACCTCGACCTCGTCGCCTTCCTCGACCTCCTCCCCCTCCTCCTCGTCACCGTCGTCATCGCTGCCCTCCTCGCCCTCTTCCTCGTCATCCTCTTCGCCTTCGTACTCCCACTCGGCGACCCCCTCGAGCATCTCCTCGTCGTCCTCGTCGTCATCCCGCTCTACGTAGTTGGAGCTCTTCCGTGGGACGGCGCGGCCGCTGCGGCGGCGTTCTGACTCGGGGATGTTTGGCGACGACGCGCGGGGCTTCTTGGGTTTGGCCGTCTTTGCCTTGGCCGCCTTCTTCAGGGTCGTCTGTTTCTTCGACTTGACCGAGCTTGGTTGGGCGATCTTGCTTTGCGATCTTGCCTTCTTGGCAGGGGGCTGCCCGCTTTCGTCCATGGACTTCCGCTTCTGTTTGACGTCAGTAAAATGTCCCAGGTTTTGTCCAGAGCTCGGGTACCGGTTCATCACTCGGAACATACCTTCTTGCGGTCCATCGACTGCAGGACTTTATCCAGCCTCTGTTCGATGCCTTCTGGGATGAACTGCTGCTCAGAAAGCTTCTGCGCAGCTTCATGGTTCGGGAGAGCAGAGAATAAGCCGTTGGGCAGCCCGGTCTTCTTGCTGTAGGCCTCGAAGGTCCACCCGCGCTTCTCCTGCCATTTCCTGATCACAGCCAGCGCCAGGTCACAGACCATGTAAAGGTTCTCGCTTTTCTCCGGCTCAATGGCGTCCTTTGTCTGCTTGACACGCTCTGCATACCGAGCTAATAGCCCCAGGTTGGACTCGTTGGCCACGGTGCTGACGTAGTAGACAATATAGCGGGAGTGGTCAACCAGATCATCTTCAGACTTGCCGAGATCTGGGTGGTGAGCTAACAAAGACAGCAGTCGGGGCATGACGGCTTCCATGACGGGTGTGCCTGTTGCCTCGTAATGATGGACTCTTGAACGGATCCAAGTCTCCACCCTGGTCTTGAACTCGGTGACAGGCTCGTACGCTGTGATAAAAATGATGGTATAGAACCTTGTGCGAAGCTTGTTCTGTACCAGATATTTCTGGAGCTTCTCGACGAACGCTCTCCTGGTCTGAGGGTGGGCATCCTGTGCGACCAAGGCAAGCGCATTAAAGTCCTCGGGTGGAAGGTGGTCGTCAAGCTGCTTCTCTTTACAGAGCTTGAGGACCAACTGGCCCGCGAGGAGTCGTAATCGCGCCTTGTGATGGCTTGGTGTTTCCTTGTTCTTGGACATCTCGCCGTCCTTTGTGATCAGGGTCTTGAGCATCTTGAAGACAGGCTTCGCCCTGTCTTTCAAGTCTGCCTCGCCGTCCCCACGGTCCTGCTCCTCTGCCCGCAGCCGATTGACCAGGATCTTCAATGCCAAGCATTTCGCTATGCATTCTTCATCCATGTCCGCATCACTGACCCATTCCGGGTCGCTGTCCTTAGCATCGGTGCGAACCTGCTTCAGAATGTCTTGGATCATCTCGAGAATGGCTTGGTCCTTGTCCAACGTAACCTTGGGTGCCAAGATCTCAAGCTGAGAGACTATCGCCAGCTTGTTGAGGAAGTGGGGAGCTCCGTATTTCCACTGCTTCATGACCTCTTTGAACAGCCTGGTGGCGTTCAAAAGACTGGTCTCGTCCTTCTTGGCCAGGAGGATATTTACGGCGTACTTGGCCGCCTTCCAAGGTGTACCGTAGAGCGCAAAGTTGATCATCATCTGCACAAAGTTCTTGTCCTTTGGGATTTCGGCAGGATATTTCCGCGCGTACGAAGCGCAAGCCTTGAGCGTCTCAACGACCGATGGCTCATTTGCGCGTGTTGCGGTGGGAGCCTTCTCCGCAAGATCCTTGCAGAGATCTCCGATGTGTGACTTGAACAGGTCCGGCGTGCGCTGTGATATCTCGTTCAGAATCTCGTGCGCTGTGGCGCCGAAGCCATCTTGGTCGGTTCTGGAATAATCCAAGATGGTAGACAAATGGCTGCGGTTAAACATGAAATAACCTGACCTGTAAAGCAGGGGTATCAGGACATCAGCAACACCAGAGAGCTGCGCACTTTGCAGGCGCTTGATCAGCTCCTTCAAGGCATTCCTGGCCGTCTTGAAATCGTGCTCCGGACCAGTAATAAACTTAACCAGCTGGTAATTCCGTGAATTGTTCGCCTTTGCAAATTTCTGCAGCTCCGCCCTGACCTTTGCGTCATCAGGCAGGAAACGTGTGATGTAATCAATCGTGTTCTTCAGGTTTTTTGTCTTGCGCTCCTCGTCCTGCTCCATGACGCCGCCATTGTAGGCGTCGCATGCCCTCAGGAAAGTCTGGAGTATAGTGGCAAATTGTGGCTGACGGGCTTGAATGGCGAAGAAGGCCTTCTTGGCATTTTGGTCAAGTGAGCGGACCAGGAGGAGTATCCTCTCGGCCCTGACGGCGTCCTGGTCGTAGCCAGCTGCCGCCGCTTGGGATTGCGACTGTGAGCTTCCGTTTGCACTCTTCGAGCTCTTCTTAGGAGGAGGAAAAGACAATGGTACCAGACACTCGAAGACCACCCTGTCAAGAAGGACGTTCACCTCCAGATCATTTGCGTAGAAGGAGCTGTAGATCTTTGATGGGGCAGCCGACAGGGCGCCCACGACAACCTGGTTGCCAGCGAGGATTTCGCCCGTCGATATAGCCCAGAGCTTTCCCAGCAGAGCCATGGCATCAACGCGGACCTGGGGTCTCCTGTCGCGGCACCGGTCGGCAAGGCTAGACAAGATCGAGCTCTCCTTCTCCAACCCACCATCCGACGCTAGCTTGAGGATAAGATCGCGGAAGTTGAAGGACTCGATAGCCTTCACGCCAGCCAAACGGACCTTTTCATCGCTATCATTGAGCTTTTCTCCCAGCCCACGAACGAGAGCTCGCTCATCCTCCCGATTGAAGCCGATTCCTCCAGCATTCGTGGAAAGAATGTATCCTACAGCTGTGGTCCAGGAGGCTCGGATGATTGGAGACTTGTCGTTCTTGCGACTCAGGAAGTTGAGGTAGGCTTGATGGTATGTCTGTGCGAATGACATCGGAGAGAAGGGAGTCGTGAGAGGATTCGAAGGGGTATCGTCGGTATCGAAATCGGACATGCGGTAAAGCGGGTATGCAGCAGGGTCCAACGCTGGGGGAGGCGGCGGGCCAGCCGCCCCAATGCCAGCGATGACATCCCCAAGCGCTTCTGTGGCCAGCTGCCGCAAGCTGATATTGTCGGCTGACAGCTCGGCGTCAAGCTGAGGGATGACATTTTGCAAAGATGCCGGGGCAGCCTTCCAGAGCTCCCTGATCAGCAGGTGCGCCTTCCGGAGCTCCTTGAGATCGTCCTCGGATGGTCCAGCTGGGCCATCCTCGTCGTCGGAATCGGCAGCGCGGTGGCCATTGCTACCAGCCAAGCCGGAAGCTTCCATAATGACGTCGCTAAAGTATTGTCCGACGAATCGTGCCATCTTCTCCGGGTTCTCAACACAGACAGACCTTGCCATCTTGTAGGCAGCGGGTTCTTCCTTGAGGAGGAGTGTTGTTTGGTTCTCATCCCGGCTGGCTTGCTCCGACTTGTCCTTGCCGGCGCCAGGGGCTGCGGCGCGGAGGAACTGGGCCATGATGATGTCGATGACCTTGGACGGGATGGTGGTGGCCTCGTCGATCAACATTTCCAATATCTGTGTCATGTAATGCTCGATATCCTTCCCGACCAGCTCGCCCGACGGTGCCTTGGTCCCGGAGACGGTGTCGAAGCAGCAGGTGAACAAACGCACGAAAAGCTCGTCATTGTTGGGTATCTCGTCGAGGAGGAGGATGCTCTGGACGTCGGACAGAGATATGAGGACGTATCGATGTTGGTTATTCCATGTGGACGACGGATCCTGCAGGGCAGGGAGGATCTGGTTGATGAAGAGGGCGAAGATGTCCTTTTACTCATGGTCAGCATGCCGTCGCGAAGGTGGCCGCGCCGACCTCAAGTGCTTACCTTGAGCTGCGATGGAGTAAAGGGCGCGTCGGGCGCACAGATCTTGAGGATGTCAACCATGCAGCATGCAGCGTATGCCTTGACGCCTTTGTCCTTGTGGCCCAGGATGTTGGCAGAGCAGAGCTCCTTGGCGACCTTTGTCAACGAGTCCTTGTGTTCCCAGTCCTGATCCAGCTCCGCCAATTCCTTTGCCAGGGTGTCGAGTCTCTTGTGCAGCTCCGCCGTGGGTATGGGCCTGCCAGCGCGCCATGACAATGCCTGGTTGAACTGCAGACCCTCGTTGTCGCGCTCCTCCTCCTGCTGCTGGTCCTCCTCGGGCGCGGGCTCGGCCGCTCTTCTCCTGCGGGACGACATGATGCGCTGCTAACGGACCCTCTCAATTGCGGCGGCGACGCGGGGAGGGCAGATTCCAATTGCACGCGATCCTCTGAAGCTCAATGGCCAGGAGCCAGGCAGGTTTCTTCTAGAGGAGGTGGTAGGGCTGGTTGGGGCCAGCTCGCGGGATCAAAACATGCAGGCCAATCGTCGAGGCGGCTGATGGAGGCAGCGAAGGCGAAGGCCTGTCGCGATGCGAAACGGCGGGTCTGGAGGTGAGATGAACAGAAGATGCGGGCAGGGGCGGTCCGCAGCTGTGGGTAGGCAGCTGGTGCAGAGCTTCGCGGGATGTGGATCGAGGTGTGGGAAACGGTGAACGGGTAGTCGGTGGTGGTGGTCGTGGTGGTGGTCGTGGTCGCAGCGCCAAAACCCAAGAGACCCGCGCTGGTGCCCAGCTTGAGCCTGTCCTGGCCTGTTCTGTCCTGGCCCGTCCCGTTACGCGACCGACAACCTCTCAAGCAACGGCAGGCGCGTGCCCGTTTCCCCACAGGCAATTAAAAGTGGGTCCACTCGATAGCGCGGAACGAGGGGAACGACATCTCTTGGTTTATGCCCGCCTCGGCTCTCCTAACAACAACAGCCACAGCTCCTCGACTGCTGATGCCTCATGACCGTGATCCATGGGCATGGGCATGGGCACTGCATGTTGGATGCTGGCCATCGGCGAAAGCGGAAGCCGCGTTCTCAGAAGGAACTTGTCAAGTTGTCAGCTTCTGAGCCTTGCCCAGATGCACGTCGACATCTTCAGGGTGGTTAGAGCCAATGCTTTCTATCCCCCATTCCTTGGAATATTTCCCAGTGTCTCTTGCCTAGACACGCTTTTATTTTTATGACAACACCTGTGTATGGGACAAGTGATCCCATGACAACACCATGCCTCGAGCCATGGGGGGGCGAGCTCAGCCCGAGGGAGTCTCTGGAAGCCCGGGCTCGCGGGGTCCCCTATGAGAACTTCTGCGCGTCGACGGACATTGACGTAGCGGGCAGTCTCGGTCCCGTAGGGGCTGCTGTCTTGACCGTGTTACAGATAAAGAGTCTTCGGCCGAGTGCTCTGCGTTGATCTTGTCAAGGCGTCGTGACTTGCCAAACCCGCCACTCTGGTCAGTGAGCATCTGACCATGACAGATTTCAGGGTATTGGGCTCTTTTCGTCCCTACTCTATCTTTTTTTTTCTTCTTTCACCGTCCCGTCCCGCCGGACAGACCAGGCCACAGCAACCAAACTTGGTCGGCTTCCTTCAGCCGGAGGACATGGGCGACTTGACAACCCCTTGTGGAACCAGACCGTTTCCTGTAACTCCTGGCCCTGCTCACTTTCATCCTCACATTCTCTTATACTGCCCTCGAGTACTTTGCCGAAAATAAAGAGGGCGTTAAGTCGACCCGCGGCCTTGTGCAAGTCCATGGCAGATGATTGAATACCTCCCTTCTTTCCTCAGTGTTGCCAGGTGATGGATCAGTCCTTGCACGGCCGAAGTAAATGGGAGGGCGCAATTGATATCTCGGTTCGGGTATGGATGTACATGTCAGTGTACTTGAAACGTGTGCGCCGATTACAGAGACAAGGCCTGCCATATATTGCTTTTTATTTCCATTCCAGTCACTTTCTTTCCTCTCTTCTCTTATTTCAAAGGCACTCGCTTGTATACCACCAACTCTCAATGGGATGCAGTCGGCTTCTCAGGCGCTGTCATTTTGACAGGTGTTTCATACACTGTCATACAGCTCACCAAGGTGTTTTCACCTTGTGGTATGATATCGGGTGTACCTTGCAACATGTCTGCTGCCGTGTGTATTTCCACAGTCTTCAGGGGCAGACCCGATTTTGCCCAGCAGAGGGGGTTTCTGCGGGCGATTGTGGTACACAAGAATACACCTTGGGATGAGTGCAGAAAGGCAAGTCCCTGCGCGGGCTTTGCTGATATCACAAGGCTAGCACCTAGGAAGGGACTTACTCATGATGTATCTTGGAGGCACCAAGGGTGATTGAATGGTCAGCATTCAAATCCGGGCTCTTGATCAAGTAGAAGGAGTATGAGCAGACCAGGCGGTAGGGTCAGAGGATGGGGCTGGCCAGCTGGAAGGGTGGAAGGGCTGCCTGCAGGTGAAGCAGCCGTGAGAGTGATTCACACTCCCACTGCAATGGTAGTTGTGTGTAGGATTAAAAACCAAACGTTAGTTGGTGGGAGCATCAGACCAGACAACAAACACGTTAAGAAAATCTCAACGGGGTCTGGGCCCCCAGGTACATTGCACAAAACGTCAAAGTCCCCCTGTCACAGGAACTGAACCTTCCCTTCCCAACTTGAGAGAGAGCCCACCCCATCGTAGTACGGTCGTCTGTCACACTCCTGCCTCCTGCCCACTTCCCACTGACGTTCCAGGTCATTGGCCCGTCGTACCTGCGAGGTACCCAAGTACCTGCCTCCTCTCTCCTGCCAAAGCCTTCCGTCTGCCACCTCGCGTCCGACCTGTGCACCGTCACAGCAATCTCAACAACCACCACCCACTTGATGAGGCTCAGCCCAAATCTCTCGGTACGTGCCACCGTCCCCTTCTGTTGCCCCCAGAGGAGTCTCTCTGCTGTCCTGCTGTCCTGCTGTCCTGGTGCTCCGAGTATGAGTAACGGTGCTGCAAACACTCTCCCTTCAAACGGTTGTCGCACGACGTCTCCTGTCTGTCCAACGTCCCCTCACTCAGATTGTCCACTCGCCTGCGCACACCACCACTACCATTGTACTCTTCTCCTGCAAAGGCACAGTCTTTCTTCCTCATCCCTCCATTCCCTCGTTTGCCTGACGCCCTCCTCAGAAAGCTTTCCCCCTTCACTTTTTGGTGTATTGTTCCTGGCCCATCGAAAGCTCTTGTTTTCCCCCCAGCCACCCCACGCTCTTTTCCCCTCATCCCACTACAAAACTGGCACGCTCCTTTGGTTCGTACGCACCATCAAAACATCACTGACCTTCCTTCAACCTCCACCTTCGTTTCCGTCCTTCCTGAGACAGCCCTCCATCAGATAGCACCTTTCTTACCAGTCTCTCTTGACGCAGTCTCTCGTTCGAGTCAACATCAATCATTTATCATCAATCATGCCTTCCTCCGTTGGCAACCGCGGCGACGCCCACGTCAGGTCTGACGCCACCTCTCCCCCAGTCGTCATCGCGATGCCTGACGACGGCGGTCACCTCGGCGCCGATGAGAAGGTCACCAAGACCACCTTTCTCGCCAAGTACACCAAGGGCCTGAACTACAGCCGCTACGTCAATTTCCTCCTGTCTTGCATGCTCGTCATGGTTGGCGTCACTTGCATTGTCCTGGCTGTTCGGGTCTGCAAGGGTGAGTCACTTTCCCAACATGGCAGACTGAACACCGTTAAATCTAATGCAAACCCCTTTGGCAGACCAGGACACCATCCAGAAGCTCAACCACGAGATGGGCAGTGCGTCTCGTGCCCATAGTGAGGCTCTTGAGGAGCAGCTTGGCGGTCGCATGTCGTATCTGGATGGCTTCAGTGGCATGACTGCTGACGATGACGACACTGTCGCCATCGCCGCTCGCGATGTCATGGCTTCCAATGACCCAGCCGTCTCCGCTGTCCTCTCGACTTTCGTTTCAATGGATGCCCCGACTCTCCCGTCCAGCATGGCCGAGATCGCGTCCACCGAAACCACTTGCACCAGCAGCAGCACCGAGGCCGACGTCACTGTCAGCGTGCTCAAAACCACGACGATCCTCCCTGCTGCGACCAGCATTAATGTCACTCAGGAGTCTACCGCAGCTTCGTAAGTTCAAACTCTTGACACCATGATGCTCGCACAAAACTGACCGGCATACTCGTAGCGACACGATCCAGACTACCCTGCATACCCAGATGACCACTACCGTCCTTAGTAACACTAATGGCACCAGTGTCCTCTCGGCTGCGGCGGTTGGTATCACTGTCTCTTCTGCCGATGCACTCAGTGGTGGCATTTCGTCGTCCATAATCACTCTCCCTGCAGTTTCAATCACCACGACAACATCAGCCACCTGGTCCACACCCTCTGGTATGGTTCCAGCCAACCCTCACCACTGCCTCGAGTTCGGCGATGGTGCCGGTCCATGTGACCGCCCGTATGGTGCCCCCAACACCCCACCAAGCTCCCTAGGCACCATCGTTGTCAGCATCAACACCTTTACACTGCCACCGACGACTTTCGGGCCGCCCAGCGTCGAGACCGTCCCTGAGACAGCCTCCTCTTCTCCAGCCAGTGTGACCCCATCCGCGAGCTCGGACACCGGCGCCTTGTCAGGCAGCACCACAACCACCGACAGCACCCTCAGCGCTATGGATGCCGGCACCGCATCCGCCACGGCAAGCATCACGAGCGTCTGCGGTCCTCCCACCACCATCTATGTCACGCTCGGCTCGTCAACGGACACGTCGACCTCGGAACCTGGCCTGACCGTCGCATCCCTCAGCATCGGCAACGGTACCGACGGTGGCAGCACCACGCCTTCAACTGTGACTAGCACAAGCACCAGCCTGGCAACAACCTACACGGTGAGCTTGGCGTCGGTGACGGAGACCATCAGCAACTCGTCAGCCACGACTGGCCCGGTCCATATTACCACCACCGCCACAGGCATCACTCTGACCATGCAGGGCAACGGCACGTACAGCCCCACATACACCAGCCCTACGACCATCGCCACCTTGTCGACCAGCGGCGGAGGAAAGGTCGCTGGAAAGCCCATGGGCGCCAGCGGTAACGGAGGTACTGGCAATGGCCTCTACTGCGCCGTCATGCTGGTTACCATACTTGCGCTCTCGATCTAGACGTGAAGGGGCTTCGTGTCACTTTGCGCACCTCTGCGCATCCAACCCTCTTGGTTTCCAAAAACGGCTCTAGACAGGGCCAGTCTTTTTCATCAGCATTGTTCTTGACCCAACCCCCTCCTCAGAGACATTCGCCTTTCGTCTTGGGTCCATTGACTAGCATCTTTTAATACTGCACACAGTCACGCCACAACTGATCCTTCGCCATCCGTCTTTTCCGAGACTTCTCTTTCAGATTTACATCTTGAATCTGGATGGTTTTGATGGTGTGGTATGGAAACAAGAGATTCATTCCTGTTCTTCGTTTTTGAAGGTCATAATGGATGGAAAGGTTTTGGAATCTCCCTGGTCCCACGGCGTTTAAGGTTCTTTCTGATCGCGGTGATCTCATGGTTTCTCTCCACCTACTCTCAATTTCCCACATCTCATCACCTAATCTGCCTTGACAGGGCATTTTCACTCTCGATACCGTGGGGGAGGAGAGGAGGAAGGCTGATGATCTCCACGCCTGTTGTACATTAGCATGAAATTACGTTTTCTTTGCGTTTCACTCGTTCTGTGCCATTGTGAGGGCCATGAAACATTCAAAATTACGGGATCCGCGGCTTCGATGCCTTTTGTATGATAGAAAAGCACTGGATCAGCTCGTGTTTTGTCGCCGGGGTCCGTCTCAACTCGAAGACGGTTAAGGGCAGGGTTTCTCATCCCCTTGTCCGATGATAATTTGGTTACACGCACGACCTTCTAAGCACTCCTAACGTTAGTCGATTTCTTGCAGCAGTCCAGGGTTTGCCAATAAACCTCTGTGTGACGGGGAATTGACAAGTGGGGGTTTTGTCGCATTGCGGAGCCCTAGTGACGCCTCGTCCCGTAGTCATGGTTTTCAGGCATCCTCACCTTTAACTTTACGGTCTTCTCTTGAAACATGTACTGACATGCGACATACAACCCCCCGCGGGCCTGCCTGCACAAGAGTTCTCTAATGGTTTCTAAGTAATGAAGGCTTTGCGGGTAGATTAAGGTGGCCTAGGTTTTCTTGCTGCTTTGACTCTCGAGCCCTTCAACGTGGACTGGTAGTATTTTGGACAGTCGTCTAGTAGGAGATTCCCTACCTAGGTAAGATAAAGCCACTGCGAACTTGCCACAGCTAGCGGCACCAAGCTCGTCCGCGGAGGATCAGATGATGACATTTGCAGGCATTCTCTCTGTACTGTCATTGTATTATTCATTGTATTATTGTTTTTGTAAACATTGTCTTGAGCATTACTGTATGAAGGCGCCACATACGTCTTATATGTATGGGGGTTAGAAACGAAACCACTCCCTCGCAGGCAGACAGCGCAGCACCCATCCCAGCTTAGATAGCAAGCTACCACAAGAGCGGACACCTGGCACCCGACCCCGTCCATCCATCTATCTTAGCCTTGTCCGTAGCCCAACGTGCTTGCCCGCCCAAGCCCCCCCCCCCATACCCCCACCACCACCACCACCAACCAGACAAAACCAACTCCTCGCGCCCGGGCCCTCAGCACCGCTCAAAGTTAGGGTCGATATCGTACTCGAAGCCCCGGTGCTCGCCGTGGCCGCCCCACCAGCAGTGGTCGCGCAGCCACCGGAGCGCGTGCTCGCAGTCCCCCACGTCCACCTCGGCCCTGGCCTTGCCGGTGTTCTTGATCTCGATCTCGAGCTTGTTGCCCGTGTTGTCCTGCGGGAACGGGAAGCAGTGGCGGATCCTCTGGCCGGGCCCGAGCCCCCACTGCTCGGGCAGCCTCCTGTGGCAAAAGTCCGCGATGGCCTCGTCGATGTTGCCGTTGCCCCCGCCCTGCGCCTTCATGTCTGAGAAGATCGGGCCGCGGACGTAGCACTCGAACCTGTCATTGCCGCCGACGTGGGTGGTGGCGCCGGCGGTGCCGAGGAGGCAGAGGAAGATCTTGAGGATGTTCATTTTTTGGGGGGTGGGCGGGTTTGTTGTTGTTGTCGAAAAACGGATAATGTTGGTTCTGGTGATGAGATGGGGTTGAAAGTCGAGCGTGGCTGCTCGGTGGGACACAGGATGAGGGCAAGACTGAGGAGGCTGCCAGTGAGTCCTCGGATGGCCAAGCTTGGAGACGTGGACTGGAGGGACAAAGCTGGGTCTTTGGGTTTCAACAGATGGTGGTGTATTGGCGCAGAGGGAAAAGGGAGCTGTGCGTGTTGCTCGAGATAATCAGGGACATACCTGGGTTTATCGTTTCCTAGGTCTTGAGCGTGTACCACCGTATGAAGGCGCCATGTGTGTCCTCGGACGGATAGGGTGGGGATTAGAAACGGAACCACCCCCTTAGGGCAAGTTGTACAGGTATAAGTCATATGGTGGGTGGCAATTTCTACAGTGCTAAAGGTGTGAGACCACCCTTATCTTGTGAAAGCTTTAACCATCATGTTTGCTAATAGTATGGGTCTGAGTAGATATAGCCCAGCACTTGGACGTCTAGTGCAATGTAGGAGCCTCCAAGAGAAGACCGGGTTGTAAAGGTTTTATTATTAGACCAAATATTCACATATTACTTCTTAGCTATCACGTACTCTGTTGCTTAAGTATATAGCCTAAGTCAAAGATGACTTCTCTAATAGGGCCGCTAAGGTGAAGGTGGCAAGCCCTACAGTATAGCGGAGGGCTATAACTAGGACCGGTAGGTACCGGCACAGTGTTGGTCGGATGGTTGTGAATTCATTGTTGCACGAGTAGGAAAGGAACTAGGACTTACGAACCGCTGGCGAAGCAGCGGCGTTTATATAGGGCGGGCCAGTGGGTACTATAACAGGTACGACACGGGCCTACCTTAGGTATTTGTTTTTTTTTTAAAAAAAGCTCGGTCTTGAGAGTTTACTACTACATAAAGGCACCGTATAGGTTTTATATGTATGTGGATTAGAGACGAAATGACGAAACCAATCCTCTCCTCTCTCTTTACTATAAAGCACTGGCAAAATGCACATGGGAATTGAGCTACCCAAGCTGGTGGAAGCCAGAAAATACCAAATCGCTGAACATTGGCCGCACAAACTGAAGCACGTTCGTTCACCCTTTGTAGTTCACACTCGTACATTTCCTCCCCCTCTCAGCCTCAGGCTTCAACACCCAAGATCCACGCCTCTCCTATCTCAAAATCTGCCATTAACCCATAGTGATCCGTGACGAAATCCAGCCATCCCTCCTCGGCAAGCTTCGCACTGATGGACTCGTCCCCGATCTTGACCCCGACGCCAATCTTCTCCAGGCTCTTGAGATTCAGAAGCTGCTGGCCGTCGCCACCACCCCGGCCCGGCTGACAGAAACACACCTTGTCCATCCTCTTGTGCGGGAACCTGGAGCTCTTGCTCTGCGGGCCCCAGGTGTGGCCCCTCGGGTCGCCCTCCTCGCCCCCCGTCTCGAGGTAGGCGTCCGTGAACCCATTCTCCTCGGCCTGGGTCAGGTCGTAGCCCTGGTTCGCGTTGCAGTCCCCCGCGAGGATGCCGCCGGCCACGCCGTCCGACGCGCGCTGTAGGTATTTCGCACAGGCCTTCCACTGGATCGGCCGCATGGGCGGCTTCCCCGCCATCGAGTCCAGGTGGACGTTGCATATCCGCAGGACGGACCCCACCGTCTGCTGCTGCTGCTTCTCCCCGGGGGAGGACGAGGACGAGGGCGAGGAGGGCGAGGGTGATGCCGCCCGCGGCGCCACGGGGATGTCAACCAGCAGGGCCTCGCGCCTGTACTCGCTCACAAACGGCAGCCTCGAGGCGCCCGCGCACCCGAGGCGCCGGTCCACGAGCGTGACGCAGTTGTACCCGCACCGCCAGTGGTCCGTCGCCAGGTCCGAGACGAGGAACCGCCCCTGGACCCAGGCGGCGGCCGCCACCTGCCGCAGGTCGTCGGCGATCTGCGGGTCGAAGCGGCCCGCGCTTACCGGGCGGTCCAGGTCGATGGGCATGTCCTGGCGCAGCTCCTGCAGGCAGATGACCACCGCCGTCGTGGACGGCTCGGGGACGCCCTCGACCACCGTCTGCAGGTACGCGAGCGCCGCTGCCATGCGGGCCTGCGGGAACGGCGCCATGAAGTCGATGTTCCACGTCAGGAGGCGCAGGTTCGTGATCCCGGCCTTGTCATCCGCGCCCGGCCCCGGTACCGGCCCCGTGGCTGGCGGGTTGACGCGTTGCCATCTCGAGCCCGAGAAGATGTAGTATGGCTGGGGCTTTGGCACGTACTCGTCGAGCTGCTTGCGGGTCAGCTTGGCGCCCAGCGACGGCGACACCATCGGGTTTGATATGTCCAGGGGCTTCGACTTCGGCGGCAGGAGACCCTTGAGAAACCCGCGGCCCATTTTCTTTCGACTGATTGATGCGATGTCTGAGGAGGATATGTATGGATATGTATGGATCGGCACCCTGTTCGTGGCAGCCGAGGTGCCCAGGCGGGGGCGCCTCACCCCCGTCGGTTGTCAGTTTCCAGCCGCGGCACGGCGTGGTCAACCGATGGCTGCCTGCGGCTCGACTGCTGCCTGAGACAGCCTGGGATTATCGGTTAAAATCGTCCACACGATCTGCGAGAACGTAGTGTGTTTATGTACAGCGCTGGCAAAAGAGCTCAGTGGTAGGGGGCAGGGTGTGTGTACGGGCAACACTGACTAGTTGGGCCCACAAGTGTGACATCCGGAGCATGCCAGTGGTAGGAAATGCATGTGGTGATAATGTATAACGTGACTGGCCGCACCCGGAAACCCCGGTCAGGCCGGGGTACACAGTCGACCTAGTTAGGGCTGACAGTCTAATACTCTCTCGCCTTTGTGTTCTTCAAATGAATCCCTACCTAGCGCGCAAAAACCAAGACTGACCAACGACTCGTGGTTAGAACACAATGCTAATTCTCTTTCAGAATATGTTCCTGGTGGAGGAGCTTCCTTGCTCAAGTGTTTGGGGAGATAATGCCGCATGGTGGTAGATTTCATATCATTGGCGTATAATTTTTCATTTCCCCAGGTTAAAATTCTTGCTCATGTTATTAGAAGAGCCTTCCTCTAGTCTAGCTTCTAGATTCTAATTTACCTACGTAGGTACTTTGCACTTTTCCCCAGATATCTCTACCAACAATCAGAGGGCATGACTACCTACTGAACCAGTATCGTTGCTATTCCGTATACCGTCCGAATGACTAACTGAACAGAGTGATTTTGAGTCGGTGGTTAGCACGCAGCAAATTCCCCCAGCGCTGTCATTGAGGGCGCGGCTGAACTGTGTGAGAAATTCCAACTCTTTATAATTTAACTTGGACTGCCATATTGGAAGTCAAAATACAGTGCTAATAACAGTACAGAGAGAATACAGCACGCCTATAGGCACATGGTCCTGGCCTCGTACCGCACAGACAAGGCTAGGAGGCATCGCTCCTGACGGCGCCGCTGACTAGATTCGTCGACACAAATAGCCAAAGGGGAGATACTGTAAATCACATAGGTAACTGAGTATCGAGACGCCATTATTACATTTGGGATGGTCCCCATTCGAGGGACTATATCTTCCGGTAAATACTTTGGTCGTGATCGAGCCTTGAACCTGGAAACAGAATAACCCTGTCTGGGATTTAACGTATATGGAATAGAAGCGAAACCACAACCACATATGAGTACCCTTGGGTAGGACAATTTACATAATAGACTACCGAGGGCTCACTACGTAAACACCCTAGTCGTGCAAGAACATGGAACATTCGTGGCTCGGGAACTGAAACGAGGACAACTCATGCTTTCCCGTGATTTTCGTTTCTGGCGAGGATATATTAGGCAAGATGAGCAACACCTCAGTCAGCATCACAGTAATCCGTGTTGCCCAGGCCACGCTCTTGTCTGCAGCTAGCCCTATGCCGTAGAGAACCGCCTCCTTCGCCGGTTGGTACCCCAGGTAAGCAAGCCTGGAGGCGATAACCTCAGCTCAACCTCGAAATGCAGGGATGTTAGTTACCATAAGGGTCAATACTGGCCCACCTAGCCGAACCAACAAGCAGGATTTGGCAATCCTGCCAAGTTTCATAATTCCGGTCCAAGACCTCGGGAGTTCCCCTTCCTTCCCGTAAGTATTCCCGCCTGGACAGCCTGCCACAACGGTACAGACACTACAAGCCACCACCGCCGTGACAATCGAGACGGCCAGCCAGGATGACGTGCCGGCCCTGGCAGAAATCAACAGGCTGGCATACTGCCGCGAGACAGTAGCACAGTTTGCCTTCAGGGACTGGCCCGACGACAGGAACACGCTCGAGTCCTTCGGGGCGCGAGTTTCTGAGCGCCTTGAGCACCAAGCCACTCAGGTTTTCCAAGGCTGTTGACAGAGCCACAGATGGAATGCTGGGCCTCGCCTGCTTGACTCTTGAGAAAGGCAACGAGGCGGGGGTGCTAGTAGGCGGCGGGGCTCAGAGGCCAACGGCGGCGGCGGATAACATGTTATAGTCCACTGCAAAGATCATGCAGCAGTTACCGCCATACATGGACCACGAGTTCGTCCTGAAGAGTGGTGCCGGGATCGAAGAAATGAAAGGCCACATGAAAGGCGGGGGGGCATTATTGTACGTGTATAGCAGGTGCTTTGTTTACTTTTGGATCACGATCACAGGCATGATGCCACCCCCCCCCCCAGTTTCCCGTAGCATGTTCATGGCCATACGGGCTTATACTTATCTGTGAATCTGCAACAACTTTCACACGGGGCTCAGCCGTTACTGACCTCATTGTGGTTCGGTCTCAATGGTATGGGGGCCCGCGGCACCGAGCTGTATTACTAGAATCTGGATTCCGCGCCTGGCGGCTCGAGCTGCGGCGGGCCCTGTGGGCGCCACCAGCCAGCCCCAGGGTATCACGGCGACTCTGTGCCCCGGGGGGGGGGGTACGTGGATAATCCCTTCTGTACTCACCTGAGTGGCATTTAGGACCTGGGGGGCGTGCTGTCGATCTCACAAACGCCCTTGGGCTACCCATCTAGGTCGACCAAATAGTGGCCGAGAGGTCGAGCAGGTATCAATGGTGCTTCTGCTCAACCTGTAAAGGGTCTCTATACTAACTGAACCCTGAGCAAGCTCTTCCACCATTTGTGAGCCACTGGTGAGCAGCGCAGTTCCGTTTTTATTGCAGAGAAGGTTCCGGAGGGGGGGGGGTTGTCATTTATGGACCGGGGCTCCGGGGCGGGTGTTCGGTGATGGAGGAATTACATTGGGCGTCAAGCATTGCATATTCTCCAAGAAGCAGAATGTCTTGTGCGTTGAAATTGACGTCGACAAAGCCATCCAAGCAACTCATGGTATGGTAGCTAACGGTCACACGCATGGCAATTTATTCGAAAAAAAACCCAAACATCTTACAAGAAGCACTTCAAGTTTTGACACAGACATCTTTCAAGTCAATACGCTCCGTCGCGGGGTCTTTCATCATCGTGACTGACGCGCCCCGAGCACGGCCGAAAGCATTCTACACTACTAGTATTTCTGATTTCTCCCTGCGTTCCTGAATGTGTCATCACTAGCAATCAGTCAGTCAGTCCCTCTTCCAAGCCTGCCCCTGCAATCCTCCCACGAACCGGCAGCAGAAGAGCCAGTCCGGCCCTTGCCTCGGCCCTGATGCAGGTGCTTGTGTATCTAGGGTAGCATGCTGGTGTTAGTTAGTGGTGTGGGCGGATAGACAAGCAAGCCTCCCATCTCTCACGAGATCCACACGTGTCACTCGTCCCCAGGCCTTCCAGTAGACCGGACTGATTGTGTTGAGCAGCGCTCCCCGGACTTTTGCCAAGTCTGTTCTCAGCAGACGTGTGCTTGGAGGCTGGCTGGTTCGAGGGGAGGGGGGGGGGAGGCAAAACCCCACTCACAACCTGGAGGCTCATATCCAGTTGTCCAGCAAGAACAGTCGACTCCCCTAGGGTACTTCACTTTTTTTTCTTCTTGTTTTTCATCGAAGGCGACAGACATCCAGAGAGAGACAACCCAGCCAAGAACAAAACACAACACAGCACAGGTACGGCCGGCCAGCATGGAACACCTCCGACTCATGAACGGCGCACAGAGAAGACAAGACAAACTCTTGGAAACAACATGGCTTAGATTGTGTGAGAAACCCAAACTGTTTCCAACAGATTACAAAAGAGCTATATCCCCCCGCCCGCCCGCCAGTCCAGAGACCTTCTTTCTTTCCTGGGTAATACCGTGTCCTGAACGCCATAGATCCCTAGCTAGTTGATTAGTGAATCCATCAAGCAACACATCCCCCCGGCCACAGAGTGTCGGATGACGAAAAGAAGAAAAAAGACAAATACCCTAAAGAAAAAGAGACTCCGAAAACCAAACGCCTGGCACCCCCCCTCCGCTCCTTCTCGCCCATTTCTTGGCTTCTTGTCTTATCGCCAGTGCCTTTTGCAAGGCCAACCTCGAGGTCCCCATCCCGAGGTCTTCTCATCAAGGGAACCACACCTATTCATTCCTTGCTTGCTTTCAAACGGTAGCGTGTTTGTTCTTCTTCTTCTTCTTCTTCTTCATCTTCTTGTCGCCGCCCAATTAACACCCGACTCGTGGGAATCGGCACAAGACGGACGGGGTCGATAGTAGTGGTAAGTAGACCCACCCCAGCAAGCCGGCGCCGTTGATTGGGATGTTGGCCGGCTTGCTGGCTGGTTGATGCAAGCATGTCCATCCATTCATTCATTCATCCATGCACGCACGCATGCCAACCCAAACCCAGAACCGCGCACACACCCCGCCCGCCTCAGTGCCTCCGCCCAGCCTCCCTCGCCTTCCACCTGTCCCGGATGGCCGGCCCGGCCTCCTCGAGCATCTGCTGCGTGACGGGGTCCTGTATGCTCTCGATGACCTTATCAACGACAGTAATATGGTTGGCGTGGTGCTTGTCGTCGCGGAAGCGGTACATGCGCCACCGCCCGCGCTCGTCGACGTAGCACTCGACGATCCGGCCCGAGAGCGGGTCCCCCAGGCCCTTGAGGGTCTCCCACTCGTCCTCGGTGAGGAACAGCTCCCCGTAGTCGACGTACGGGTCCGCGCCGCGCTCGACCTGGCCCTGCGCGAAGATGAGCAGCCGCGCGGGCGGGACGCCCTCGTAGTCGACGTACGGCTCCGCCACGCCCTCGGCGCGGTCCTGCTCGTCGGGCTCCACCAGCGGGAAGTTGAGCTGCAGCTTGAAGTCGACCGTGTTCTCGTCCGCCGGCTTCCACTTGAGGATGTGCTCGTCCGTGCCGCACCGGTACGCCGTCTCGCGGCACGTGAAGATGAGCCCGTCGTTGCCGTGCGCCAGGTTCGGCAGCACCTCGCGGAACATCTTGACCATGCCGTACGCGAGCTGCATCTCCTTCATCACCAGCTGGAACGCCTGGAAGCGCGCCTCCTCGGGGTACTTCTTGAACACCTGCCGGTAGGGCGCGTAGATCTTCTGGTTGAAGTAGGCCAGGCGCTTGTCGAGGGGCCGCTCCAGCAGCGACATGCCGTCCAGCGTGAGGCAGTCGAACACCAAAAACTGGGGCTTCTCGCCCCCGCCCGGCTGCCGGCTCATGATCAGCTCGCCGTCGATGATGGACTTGTCGTGCTGCCCGCCCTCGTTCTCGGGTGTCGGGAAGTGCAGGTTGCGGTACTGCATGAACCAAAAGTCGTTCTTGCGGTCGATCAGGTAGGCGATCTCGTCGCCGTTCTCGTCCGAGGTAAGGTAGAGCAGGTAGCGGATGCCGTCGGTCTTTTCGCAGACGAAGTAGCTGTGCGCGCGCGGGGCCAGCATGTCAGCCACGTTGCTTGCGTTTTTTATCGGAGGGGGGAGAGACACCCGTCTCCTGCGCCAACTTACTCCTTGGTCATCAGCTCCTGCAGGTGCCGCCTCGAGAAGCTCACGGGCTGTGCGCCGGGGAAGCCGATCTGGGACCGCCCCAGCAGGCCGGCGACCTCCTGGCGCAGCTGCTGGAGCAGCTGTCCCTCGGCCCGGACGCCGGGCTCGTCGATGCGAGTGATGGGCTGTGCGCTCGCGTCCATGGCGTTGCGTGGCAGGATGTGGGGGGGGGGTGTGTGTTGCGCGTGCAGACTGAGACTCGCTCCAGGCTGGAGTCTGGTTCAGTGGGCTACTTCAGACACAAGACTTCGATTGGGGGTTTGGATCTCGTTCGAAATAACATATCCTGAAGTTGATATGGTGGTGTGAAGAGCGACGGGGTTGGAAAGCAAAGTGAACGGAGCAAGGTGAAGATGTGTTGGTTTAATGGGACGGCAGGCCCAGTCGCGACAATGGACCCTCAATTAGACAGAGCCAGAGAGAGAGAGAGAGAGCTATAGCCAGTGCCTGCCGACTGCGTGCTTATCCGTTATCATATGTAGCTATAGGTAAGGTTAGCTACTGCACAACCACGGTCATCCTAACTGCTTGGCTTCATTCAGCCTTGGGCTTGGCCTCTCCACTCAGATATGGCCTCTACTAATTGGGGCAGCTCTCCTGCTAACCGGTGGCCGAACCAACTCAAACAAGGCCTTTACACAAAACCCACTCCTACAAAGCTAGCATCAATCCACACCAGCATAGCCAAGTCCTCTAAATCTGGATAATCCATTGTCTTGCTGCCTGTCAGGAATGCATGCTCGGCTCGGCTCGACTAAGCCAACCAATAATCAAGGCTGGCTGGCCGCAGAAAAGAAAAAAAAAGACAGAGCAGCCCCAGAACGGCCCCTCCCGTTGGTGGTGTCTGCCTTCCTCCCCCCCCCCCCATGACCAATATCAGCAAGAAGCCCACGATGCATGCGCTCGCTGCTTTTCTCCATTATACAATTAGACCCCATTTTTTGCAACCTTCGGGCCTCATTAAAAAAGGGGAAGTCGGGGCTTCCTTCCTTCTCTCTAGGCCTGGCTCGGCGGAAAGTCATCCACCCACCCGTCCATCATGCTCATCGTCTCATCATCGTCAGGCGCCACCTGCGCCTTGGGGCGACGGGCCCCCTAAGACTCGTCGATCTTGTCAACCTCGGCCCTCGCCTCCTCCCACGTCTCCTTGTTCTTTTTGGCCCACTCGATCTGGCTCTTGGCGTAGGCAAGCTGCGGGTGTGTTCGTTAGCTCGGGCACGAGGGACAGGAGCGGGGGGCTCGCAGGCGGGAAGAACGTGAACTCACCATATAGCGCCTCAGGTCATCCTCCTTCTCCTTTTGAAACCGCTTCATGTCTTTCAGGACACTGGCGCTGGCATCCTTGACATCCTTGGCGACGGCAACCTGGGCCTGCTCGAGCTGGGCGATAGACTCTCGAGTCCTTCCTATGGTATCTCGTCGTGTCTTCTCCGGATCGACGTCCACAACTCCCTGAACTGCGTGACGTATCGGGCCAAAGATTTTGTTCGTGATCGAGTTGCCGCTCGCCGCCTTCTTATGGCCCGGGCTGCTGGTCGATCGCTCCGGAGATCCGATCTTGGCCGATGGTGCTGACGACACGTCGCCGTGAGTAGGTGGGAAGTCGGAATCGATCGAAGCTGTATCCTCGCCGCTTCCCTCCCTGCGATGACGGTTCGGCGACTCCTGCACACTCGCAGACCTCTTGGGCGGCTGGATCTGTTGGCTTCCACTCAGGTACTGGTCAATCCTGCGCGCTTCAGCCTCGCTCCTCTCAAGCTGGTCCAGCAGCAGCCTCTTCTTGTTCAGCTCATCATTGGTGACCTCCTGTTGTATCCGCTTCATGATCCGGTATCGCAGCACACTTCGGACCACCCCGGCGAACTGCGCATTTTCCCTCATGGGCTCCGCGAAGCTGGCACCCAGGGAAGTCGAAAGTTCTTCTGTTGCAACGTATGACATGTCTGCCGCTTGTCCGATCCGCTCTATGACCGGGCCGAGCGTGGGGTCCTGTTCCGACAGCGCGAAGGCGTTGTACTTCGCACCGAGCTCAGACAGGTCTGTCGCTAACAGGGAGTAGTGGCTGAGCGTCCGCCGGTTCACCTTCTCCATCGGCCCCGTAAGCAGCTGCTCGAGCTCCTTGATGGAGGACTCGAAAGACGTAAAGTAGGGGTCTAGCTCCTGCTCGCTCAGGTTTGCGTTTTCGGGCGGGAATCGGGACAGTCCCGCGTTGTTGCCCGTTCCAAAGGCCCCGTCCACCCCGGGTCCGATGGTTTGTTGCGATTTCAACTTGTTCGAGGACGTCGGGATTGGGAGGTAGCCGTGAGCAGGTGTTGGGTTCGCAGGATCCAACGGGGGAGCCTTGAAGATGGACTTTGGTATGGAAGCTATTGGGTGAGAATGTAAAACCTCGTTCTGCGTGTTTGTCAGGTCAGTATTCTACCTTTCACAATGCCTGCTTCGGGCAGAGGAGTCCGTACCCAGCTTGCGTTAGGGTCAAGGAAACGCCACCAGACCCCGTCCGTTCGGATCTGCTGGTTCCTCCGACATCGATTCAGGAACACCGCCAGCATGCGCTTCCGCAAGTCAATAATCTGCTGGTCCTGCTTCGCGTTCGTCGGGTTGGCCGCATAGTCTGCCATTGTGTGTTTCTCGGGGATCGGGGGGATGATCAACGTGGGGTGGAGTCGAATGAGGGCGTCCCGAAGAGAGGCAAACTCCGAGTACCGTCTGCGAACCTCGAGATCCTGGAGGGTGCTGTCAGCCAAGGCGGAACGGGGCGGAGGAAACCCTCGCGGGTGCTTACACCTGTCCTGATGGTGTAGACAATGTATCTTCCCCCGCTCTCCAGGCTCTTGCCCGCATCTGTGATCAGGATGGGCAGCTCGGGGTTCTCGTAGAGAATCTGCTCAATGCGGCTGTCGTAGCCACCAGGCTTCCGGCGCGGGGCCAACTGCTCTTGGTCGTCCTCGTCGCTCTCTGGGGATGAAGTCGCAGGGGCATTGTAGCTGGACTGGTGGGTCTCCTCTGGAGGCTGTGGGATGTCATACTGAGGATCTATGATGTCCCAGTCGCTGTCAGCATCGTCCTCTGACGAGTCAAGGGGGATATCGTAGAACATGTTCAAGGACTCGAGAACTGCAAATAGCAAACAAGGTGCACAAAATCGCACGCACACTCATGGGATGTTGGAGAGGTGGGATTAGCAATGGACGAGGAAAACGAGTCCCTCCTGTCAAAGCTGTCCCCGTAGGGGTTGTTGTCTTCGTCGTTCCACATGCTTCCGGACTCTTCAACTGGCAGCTAGTTTTGTGCCTGCGCAGGGAGTGGCCTGAGCTTGCCTCAGACTGATTGCCTCTGAGATCGGCTCGGAGAGGAGGGGAGGGGAGGCTGTCGCGGGAGGTTGCTGGCGCAGGCGGCCGGAGGTGCACAGGCGCACTGCTGCTGCTGCTGCGCAGAAGGAGGCGGGGGTGGGGTTCGACGGCGAGAGCTCCAAGGGCCTGTCTCTCTCACATCTGTGGTTCTTTTGGCCGATGCTGTACTGATGACCTAGTGACCAGATCTAAGTTGTTAAATGTTTGGGGAGTCCTGCCGGCCCAAAGAATGGCTGGCTCCGAGGTGAGGGAGTTGTTGTGTGAAAGTCCGAGAGGATGATGTTGAGGGAAGCTCGGCCGCTAACCTTGGCCCAGAGCTAGCATTAGTCTTACTTTGGTGAGCCGATAGCAGTGCAAGCAATGACGAAGCTGAGGGTGCACGGGCCATATTCCCAGCCCAGTTCACAAACATGCCTTCCCCACAGCCTGCCTGTCAGCCTGCAAGGTCTCCTCCCTCGTTCCTTGGCTGGGTGAATTTGAGTCAGGCCCCGACCACTATCATGCCGGCCTGCTTGGGTCAAACACCAGGATTGGGGAGGGTCTTTTTGGTCACCTTTTGTGACCTTATTCCATCACCAACCCAGTGGTCATATCTTAATTTCTCCATACATGGACTGAGAGATGGATACGAGTCTTGTAGTAGTGACAGGTCAAAAATTATTTTCCCATTCGCTGGCCACATCACAGGAGAAGCCTTCTTCTTCCCCCCTGGTACGTCTGCAGTGCCGCCGTACCTTGAGCCTGCATAATTCTATTGTCCTCAATTCCGAGTGTCTGTACAGCCAAATCCACTGGCCCCCAGACTTACAGTACCTTGGAACCTGGTACTCTGCTCTCCCCTCCCCTCCCCTCCCTCCTCTTTTCTGATCATTCACAGCAGCTGAGAATTGGGCAAATGCATCCTCATCGTGGGTACCCTCTTCTCACGCCGATCTTCCATCCCCTCCTGGCCGCAAGCCAGACAATGCTGCCAAATCTTTCCCTCGGGGCCCTTTCATAGCCGAGGGTGGCAATGGGTGGCCAACCGATGCGAGGAACCGAAAGGCAAGAAAACAACAAAAACAACAGTAGAAAAATCAAGCTGCCCCGGTGATGCAATGCTGCATGCGAATTCGTGCAAATCTGAAACCCTACAGAGAAACAACAGTTCGAATGGATGGGGCTGCCCAGCCGCCGTTTCGGTCGGTCGGTCGGTCGGGGCATCGATGGTACATGCTGGTTGGTACGCCCTTGCGGTTTCCACACGTCAATCAGGAAGACCCTGCTATTCCTACAAGATGACATCGGGCGTGTTCGGGTTGATGTCGCGGGGATATGCTCAGTAACGTGTTCATGTCGACGCTACTAGAGCTTGACCAGGAAGTCTATCGTAGAATGCGAGAGTATCTGGAGAGCTACCACCAGACAGAGTCGATCGTAGAGTACGAGAGAACTCGGGGAGCTAGTGGCGTACAAGGAGGTCGTTGATCAGAGGTGGATGTGGGTTTCGGGGCAGTCATTCCATACCCTGGAAGATGTGTCGTGTGATCTTAGTCCAGCTCCATCGCGTTCGCTGGGGAGGTGGCTTGGTCTGGGACGTTGGGCTCCGTCTCGGGAGTCTCCACGCCGCTCGTGGCAGGCTTGACAATGGTCACGGCCGGGGTCTGGTCGTCGCCGTCCTTGTTGGCTTCAGAGACCGGGGTGAGGGCCGAGTCGATGGCGGCCTGTGCTGCAGGGTCTTGATCGATCTTCTGCTCGACGTTTGCAGCCTTGCCGGCTATGGTGTCAGCGGCAGATGTGCAGTCTTCCCCTGTGACGGATGCTACCGCGGCGTCGACAATGTTGGATACGACCTGAGTGACACTGCAGTCATCATCATCTTTGGCCGTCTTCTGCTTTGTGAGGGGGGTGGACACGCTGTCATTCGCAGCAGTAGTAGCAGGCTCAACCTTCGATTTCGCGGGGCTTTTCTTCGGTGTCTCGGTATCATTTACACCGGAGTTACTTCGATCCGCTGCTCCTCCGCTCTGTTGGCCCTCGGCTGTGGAAGAGGCAGTAGAAGAGGCAGTGAGGCGGCCGCTTCTGCGAGGCGTCTTGGTGCTCGCAGGACCCGAGTCTTGTGCCACGTTAGAAGCAGAGTCGCCGGCACCGCTGGGTGGCTGCTCCTGTTCCTTGCGTTTCTTCAGCTCGGATAAGATTCTATCGTACTGTCTGCGAGTCGCCTCCTCCAGCGCCGTGAGCTCTTCGACGCTGGCGGAGTCCAAGGATTCACTGGTTGCATCCATCTTAGTGGCAGTGGTTCTGGCGTCGTTGCTTAGAGGGGGGGCGTGGGCAGCCTCGGCAGCCTCGGCTTGGAGTCCTGCAGCTTCCGCGAGGCGCATGAGACCTATGGCAGCCTCCATTCGCTGCCGGTCGGAGCCTGCACGGAGACCATCGCGAATCCTCCGCGGTAGTGTGACTGGCTTGCTTGGGCGGTAAATCGTGGCCTTGCCTTTGCGAGACACCCTGGAGGTTACAGTCAGCGTCTGAAGCAACGACACAGCACGTATGGTCAACTTACTTGTGCATAAAGTCTGCTCGCACTCCAGATGAAGAGAGGCGGTACACATGTCCGAATGTCTGATCGCGGAAGCCACTGTGGTCTGCAGGCTCCGAATCATCCTCGATCTCAATGTATCCATTGTTGATGTTGCCACGGCGGAAGCCGTAGACGATCTCGGACTGGCCCTTGATCTTGCGGAACTTGTGGGCAGGACCCAAGGGGCCCACGGCCTTCTGGAGGTTTTCAACGTGGCATGGGCAGGTGAACAGGTTTGGATTAGGGGTGATAGCCCGAGGGGGGTCAAGGCAGTCAATGTGCCACCACAGGCCACATGCGGAGCAGGGAAGGATGGGTCGATCCTGTCTGGTGCCTGTCCTACAGGCATGACACAGGACGGGATTGCCGTCCTTGTCAATGACCTGATGAAAATCAAAGTCTTTGGTCTCGACTGTCTTCTGCTTCCTAGAAACACTTGTCAGCTGACGTGGCACAGGGAGACCAGGGGCACGTAGATGGGAAAAGGTGGGCGAAGGGTGAGGGCGAGGCCGCAGGCGGTCGGCGGCCGGCGGCACACAGCAGACCCAAACAAACCCAAACCCGGCTGGGGCGATGTGCTGATGTGCAGAGGAAGGCTGGGCTCACTTTGTTCCCTTGGGCTGAGGAATGAAGTCCTCATATTCGCCGTCGGGGCCTGTCTTGACGCCCTCGAAATATTCGCGTGTTTTCTTGGGCAGGCGGTAGCTGACTGCGTGCTTCTTATCGAGCGCAGTCAATAGCTGCCCCCAGGGGCCCTTGTGCTGCCTGACGAGGCCTGGGTCGCGCTTGATGCTGCAGTCCCAGCAGTACCACTCCTCGTCCTCGTCGCTCAGGACGCTGTGGGGGATGAAAGGATCGTGACAGAGCTGGTGGAAGGCGCGCGTGCATCCGTCACAGCAGACGATCTCGCCGTTGCCGCCGCAAGACGAGCAGAAATCATCATTGTCCACCTGTATCAACATGTTAGTTGGCGTTGATAGAGGTGGTGGTCATCAGGGGCGGTCCGGCCAGAGGCAGTTGTGAGACATTAAGGCAGGGAAGGCGTGGCGTTGCGTCTGTCCAGTGATGAGATGAGCAGGGATGACTGGCCTACGCCTCACTAGAGGCGGGCGGCAGTGTCGGATCAGCCACTGGGGGGGCCTGCCACAGCAGTTGCACTCGGGGCAGGGCCAGGCCCCGGGCCTGAGTGCCCAAAACCCAAAACCTGGGCTGAAGAACCCCGGCCATGGGCAGAACCAACCACCACCAGGTAAAACTGAGCAAAGTGCAGAAAACCACGCAGCCCGTGCGACGAGCAAAAAAACAAACAAAACAGAAGCAACAAAAGCACCCATGCCATTTGGCCAGGAGTCAAGCTGAACGGCATGATGGGAGGGAGGGCAGAGGATGAAAAGAAGACACGACTGTGTGCACGCCCATGATGACCATGTGAAGACCAGAATTTGATGGACTTGCCTGAGCATTCGGGTTGCCGTTCATGGTAGGGCTGGCACGATCAATGCGTGCACGCGGATTTCCAGCTGCAGTTCCTGCCTTGTTCTTCACCGGCCTGTGGTTAAAAGTCCATTAGCATCCATTCCGCGTGTCCCACGGGCTTGCTGGTGGACAACAGTCTCTGTTGGGAGATGCAAGTTGGACCAGTCGGTTGTTGGGGATGGATCCCATCCACCAGAAAGGGTGCAGACCAATGAGGATCAGGCGAAAGCTCAATGTGAGCTCATGAGCTCGGGTGGGTGTCGGAGACATGGACATGCGATGGATGCAGACAGCGATGTGAAGGCCAGGGCCAGGTAGGAGGGAAAGAAGGAAAGAAAGGACAAGGACATTACTTACGACACCTTAAGTCGCGGGCCAGTACGGGCACGTTTGGCAGGGCGGATAGGCGTTGCAGCCCGGGACGTCACGGCAGTGCTGGGCTCTCCGTGTGGGACAAAGTCGGGGGATGTCGATGCAGCATCGTCGCCGTCGCCGTCCTCGTGCTGCCGCTTTGCAGCACGGGTGGCTCTGGCACCACGACCAGTCGTAGCCGTGGTGGTAGGTTGCGGTGCTTGCGGCCTGGGCTCTGGCTCTGGCTCTGGCTCTGGCTCCTCCACATCCGGCACCGAGGACAGGTCCGACTGGACGGACGGCTGACGGATGAGTGATCCTGTCCGGGGCTCTGCCCTGATGTTGCTGTCGGCCTCTGCACGGGCGCTGGTGGTCAGGCGATGGGTGAAGTCCCTCGCGGCGCGTCTGCGCGTGGCTGCCAGGTCGTCCTCGCTCAGCTTCTGGGTTGGCGTGAAGTCGGGAGCGCCGCGACGTGGGTTCCTGGAGCGCTGTGGTCCGGGGGCTGGTGCATCGCCGACGGGGTTGGTCGATGCAGCGTCCTGCTGGCCGGCGGTGGTGTTGTTGGCGTTTGGCTCCGAGGACGCATTTGCGTTTCGTCGCCCTCTAGCGGGAGCCCGCCTTGGGCGCGCCGCTATTGGCTGGGGCTCAGGACCAGGTCCTGGCCCTGGCCCTGCCCCGGCAGGATTGGGGGCGCCAGTCTCACCGGCGGCGGTGGACGCGGCAGAAGCAGCAGCAACGGGAACATGGCCGGCGTCTTGCATCGGCCTGTCCTCGTCGGCCTCCTGTGGTGGTGAGAGGGGGGGCGAGAGGGATTTTGCCGTCGACAGTGAGGAGTCGCTAGCCACTGAGCCCGAGCGAGTCTTGCGCCGCAGAGGCGACGCGTTCGCGCGGCCGTTCATCCCGCGGGTTGCAGATGCAGATGCAGGTGCAGTCTTCCTGCGGCCGGCGGAGCGGCCGGTGGAGGGCTCGCGGTTCTGCAATTTCTGCCTCTTGGAAGGGTGGGGCGGTGTGGCGACCGCCTCGGGCTCAACCTCAGCTGTGTCTGGCTCGGCCTCTGCCTTGCCCGGCCTCTGCAGCTCCTCGTCGGGCTGGAGGTCGTTGTCGTCGCTTGTTTCGTCGGCGCTGGTGTCCTCATCCCGCTTGCGTTTCTTGCTGCCGGCAAGTTCTTGCAGCCTGGAGAGGTCCAGGCTGATGTGATCCCTGTAGGGGGCAGCCTGCGGCGGGTGGGGCACGTATTCTTTGTTTTCGCGCGCCTCTGGCTCAAAGTATTTGAGCGCCGTCCTGTCTTTGTTTCCCTCGGCGATTCTGGGGTTAAGGTAGACGCCGAAATTGAACACCGACTCTGCGCTCGCCGTCTGCCGGAAGATGGACTCTGCCAGCAGCAGGAAGCGCGCATTATCCTCGTACTCTTCGAATAGGGTGCGGAACGCGTATGCCACCGCGTAATTGTGGTGGCTGAGAGCCTCCTCCGCGGCCGCGTCGAATGATTTCTCGACGATTTCCTTCTGTGCGATTATGCGCTGGAGCTCGGCGGGCGTGTAGTGAGGCCCGTCTCTGACCTGCGGCTGGGCTGGAGGCGCAGGGGCAGATGAGGCCCGGACAGTAGATGCCTCGACAGCAGGACTAGTCGTCTGTTGCGGCATGGCCGACTGGGCGCGGGTTCTGGGCGCCATCTCGAAGGCCGACGCGCTTCGCGCAACTGATGATTCGCGCTTGAAGAAGGAGTCGTCAATGTCGTTGAAGGACGCGACAGACCGCGGTGATGTCGCTTGGTGAGAGGACGAGAATGAGAATGAGGGCAGGTCTTCGATTGATTGCTTGACTGGATCAGGCAGGAGGGGTCTTGAAGAGGGCTTTGGTGGGAACAACAGAGAGCGTGTCGCAAGCGCAGGCTGTTTGAGTGGGGGGAGTGAGTGTGAATGTGGGATTGAGTGCGAGTGATGACAGGGAGACGGCGAGCTTTGGGATGCGCGTCTTTGCCGGGGTGTGGGTGAGCTGCGCAAGACAGATTCACTATGCAGTAGAGGGGTTGGTGTCAATTCTGACGTTGGCTGGTCTTCAGACTCGGGTTGGATGATGTCTGAAGTTGGTGGGATCGATGCTGAGGGCCGTTGTTTGGCGGCGGCTGCAGCAGTGTTGTCGTCGTCCAGCAGGGGGGGAAGTGCAGGTTCAGGCTGGTCGTCTTGCTCTGGCTCAGTCTCAGGCTCAGTCTCCGAGTCTGCAACCTCTCTCGCCCCAAGGTGTGCTGATGCAGCTCCAGCACCAGCGTCAGGTACAGCTTCGGGCGCAGGCGTTGACGAGGGGTGCGGCGTGGCCACAGCTGTCGAGGGCGTCGGCGACTGCGTGCCCGACATGTCGAACCGGCCATTCGAGCTGTTGTCCCCAGCAGCACCCCCACCCCCACCCCCATTCCCATTCCCATTGCCATTCTTCCGCTTCAGCACAATACGCTTGCCCCCGGTCTTGCGTGGCCCTGCCGTCGTCGACGTCGACGCCGACGCGCCCCCTTCCTGGCCCGACGCCTCATCACGTCCCCCCGACGCGCCTCCGCCGCCGCCATGAAAGGGACTGCTCGCACCGATCAGCTTCCTGACCATGGCCGGCTTGGGCCTTGTCCCCAGCGGCTCCATCGTCTCCAGCACGCCCTGCCGCACGAGGCCGTCCTCCTGGAAGCTCGCCAGCTTGGCACGCTCCGGCTCTATCCATGCCTCCATGAACTGCCTCGACCGGTCCAGCGACGCCGCATCTCTGCTCTCCTTGTCTCGAGCCCTGCTGCTGTCGTTTGAACCCCGCGACCCTCCTCCTGCTCCTGCTCCTCCTCCTCCACCCACAGCCGGACTCGAGTATCGCGAGCGCGTGGCTCTCGTCGTCGGTGGTGCACTCATCGCTGACAGCCTCGGGAGTGCCGGGCCTGGGTTCGCATCCCCTCGCCCCCCCTTCTTCTGTCAAGGAGCTGCCGTGTGGCCCGGCCCGCGCTCCTTGCTCGCGACTTGGTGGTTTGTGCCTGGGAAAAACACCACCCTATATGCACTGTTAGTAATAATTTTGGTGCGGGTTGGGAAGAGGTTCTGCCTTACTCCTGTGGGTGCACTTCGGTCCGGGCACAAAGCCGCGCTGTTTGGGTGGGGACCTGGTTGCTGCGAACGCGTTCCCGGAGGCGGAGGTGCAGCTCTGGGAACGGAATGTTTGGAAAGGAGGTTCGAAATTTGAGAACGGACTGCCCTTCTCCAAAAAAAAAAAAAAGAGAGAGCCCTGGGCTGGGCCGGGGCTGCTGACAGACTGCCAACAGGCTCCCTGCTAGGGGGTCTCTAAAGGTTTCGGAGGGGGCGGGTTGGCGAGCCGATCCCCCTCTGTCAGGGGCTGCACAGGCGGCTGAGATCCTCTTCAGTGCTACCAAGCCCGTCCAGGGCAGCATCTGCTTCTTCCCGCGACCCGCCTGCAGCTGGGAGCGAGTGCCAGTCCCTTCTGACAGCCTCAAATTTCCCGGCGATTGTGAGAGTATCCCGGTGAAACTGATGATAGATCGGTTCAAGTCAGATCTATATTTCCCTACGCAGGTGTTTTGTGCCCGGAAATATTGTAATGCCGCGCGCGCGTGGGTGTGCTCTCGCCAGGGGTCGACGGAGCATCAGTGAGACTGCCCGAAAAGGTCAAAGCCGTCGACTTTGAGAGCACACTCACTGGCTGGTCACTGCTGCGCTCGACTGGTTGGTTTCAGCGCGGGAGGCTGGCCAGTACATACCATAACAGCCTGAAAGGGCATGGGAGGGAAGAGAGAGAGAGAGAGAGAGAAAAGGAGCAACAGAAATAGCGATAGCTATATGCAGCGGCAGGTGTCTTGGTGGCGTGGATCTTGATAGGTAGAACCCAATCGCCCCGGGTATAATAGTTCGTTCGTTCACTCGCTCACTCACCGGCCAACTGGTGCTCACAGGGCCGGCGAAAGACGGCCCATCCGTGTATGCTCGGCACCTTGGTTTGCTGCGACTGGGCTCACGCATTTAATCGCATCATTAAGCCTGTTCCGGGTCGTCGCATTCAATGCTGGTCTATTTTTTCTCTTTTCTTGGGCTGTTCCTACTTGCATTGCGTTTTGGGCGGTGCCGTCCCTCCTCCCTGCTGACTCCTCGGGTCTCAGAAAGAGGTTCCCACAGTCTGCCCGTCCGTCCGCGTCGCGAGCCTGATGACTCGCTCGTCGACTGCGAGGCCATTCCCTGGAGGGTGGGAAATTTCCGGAGTCCGCAGTGTTCCATGAACTGTGCTGCGCGTACCTCAACTGACCTTTCAGCACACGCGGGTGCTAGACTCGCCCAAAAGCCCGCGTTGCAGCCTCTTATCCAACCAGCGACTTTGCCACCTTGAAACGCGCCCCCTCTGTGGCGGTAGACAAACGCTTCGGGACAATCTACGCCTCGGTGGTGGTCTTCTTCTTCTTCTTGCCCTTGTTCTTGGCAATGGGAAGCTCGAGGATCTTGAGGATCTCCTCATCCGTGATCTTGTTGTCGGTCTTGAACTTGGTCAGGTCCCAAGCGGAGGGTCCTCCGAGCTTGGTGATACCATTCTTGGTGATGGCTGCGTGTGATTGTCAGCAAGTCCCTGGGGAGATACGGGGCTTTTTGCGTAGATGTTCTTACCGACGGTCGTCCATGTCCTGACGACTGGGGCGTTATCCTTGTCGCCAACAAGCTCGTACTGGCGGAAGACACCGCTGCGGACGCACTCGACAACACCGGTCTTGGCGTCCTTCTCGTCCTCAAACTGCCTCAGGCTGAAGGGGAACAAGCCGAACTTCTTCTGGGCCTCGGAGTAGATCTTGCGAGAGGTGGGCCGCTTCAGGCCATACTGCTGGGCAGTGCGGCGGTGCAGGGTGGAGCGCTGGTCGAGCTGCTTAACCTTGCCCGAGCCGGAGCTCATGCCAATCTCGACACCCCAGACCTCGCCAATCTCAGGCGTGCCGTCGCCCTTGGAACCCTCGCCCGGCGCAAGCACGATCTTCTTCTTGTCCTCGATCTCGTTGCGGGCAAACAGCCAGGAGGTGGTGCTCTCGACGATGCTGACATCGTAGCTCTTGGCAATCTTCTGGACGAGGTCGTTGATCTGAGCCTGCGTCTTGGGCTTCGCGGCGGCGGCCTTGGCCTTCTCCTCCTCGGAGCCAGATGCGAGCGTTCCGGGGGGGAGCATGAGCCTGAGGAGGAGCTCGTTGGCGTAGTGGGTGGCCAGCATCAGGTCGGCAGTCTTGCCCTCGATGACGTCGGTCTTCTTGTCCTTGGCCGGGACAATGATGGTGTCGCAGACAATCGAGGGGAAGCCATCGATCTGAGCACCAAGCTGGATCTTGACAGGCTCGCCCTCCTGAAGCTCAATGGCAGCCTCCTTCTCGTCCGTCTTCAGCGGGGTGTACGGCGTGACATAGGAGCTGGGAGAGACGGTGGTAGGGTGAGCAAAACCTGCACATTGCCCGTGTTAGCGGGTCCTGCCGCTGTGCAGAATCAAAGCCTCGAGAGATTCACGGGTGGTTGTTTACCCTTGGAGACCTTCTTCCCGCGCCAGACCTTGGAGATCTCCTCCTCGAGCAGCTGGTCGCCCTTGCCGCAGATGTCGGAGATCTTCTCGCCAGCGACACAGAGCTCCTTGACGGCAGCAAGGACCTTCTCAGAGATCTCGGCCGCGGTCTTGTACTTGGTCAAGGTGTCGGGGTTGTTGAGAGTGTAGTCTACAAGGGAGGATCAGCATGCGGACCGCAGAGAGTTGGTGAGGCAGACTGGGAGCCATTGAGCATCGGCACGACAACAATAGAGCCTGGCAGGCGGTGCGCAGTGGCAGTAGCCAAGTTCGAGTCTCGATCGAGTCTCGGGGCACAGTGAAGGTGCTGCCATGACCGAGCTGCGGTGCAGCCAAGTTCTTCGGAGTCGTAAGGTGCCCGAAAAGCTGCAGCCAGAGGGGAGGAGGGGAGGCATGGGCCAGGGGAGGGAGGAGTTAACTGACCGATCTCCTTCTCTTCGGTGGCCATGATTGCAGGATTGTGTTCCGAACTGGAACGGAGTTGGGTTGGTTGGTGGTGTGGTAAGGAGAGAGGGTTGAAAGAGCGAGAGGAAGGAGGAGGGCCTAGATGAGTCTCCCGAGTATCTTGGTACCTCTGGTGCAAGGAAGAAGAGAGGGGTAGGGAACAAAGCTTTGGGGGGAGGGGACTCGAGGAGAGGTATGTAATGTAGGAAGGTGGGCTCGTGATGTCTTGGGTAGCAGCTGCGAACGTAAGGTTCCCTCCCGTTGTGGCCAGGCGCAGTGATTTTTTACCCCTCCACAGCATTTCAAGGTGGGGGAGGGGGCATTCTGTGGGAATTGGGTGCACATGTGCGTTCCAAGCTATGGAACCATACGTAAGGTTCGTCGGGGTTCATCCACGTATGACAGCATTCAATGCAAGAGTACCTGTGTACCTGGATAGGTACAGTACCTGAGTAGCTGCCAAGCCCCAGCATTGTTGAGCTCTGGGCCTGTGGCTCACTGTGCAGCTCAGGGCCGTCTACAATGGGCCTCTCTGCTTTGCTCTCGTCTGCCCTGTCTTGTCTGCCTGTGCTGCCTGTGCTGCCCTGTGCTGTGCTGGATGGAGCTGGCCCGCATTTTATTAGCAAGGTCCCAGCAGCGGCACTGCAGGAAGCTCGTCCAAGCAGCTGCATGGGTACACAGTAGAAGCGGGTGTGTGCAACACCAGCCTCCCTCAGTGCAGACAACAATTTACACGGCCCCCCCTGAGACTTGCCCAATGGTAGCATTCCTCACGGTGTGACAAGTACATACCCAGTGAACTTATCCACCCCCGTCCAGCTCATCACTCCGAGACCTCTTGAAGGGACTGGGACATATCTGGAGCAAATGCTTCTGTTCATGATTATTCTTTATCGTTCTGCACATCATTGCAGCCCTGTCTGGGACTCATATTGTTGACGCTGGTGCTCCCAGAGGATAATACGCTTTGGTAACAACAGCTGCAGTGTGGAATTAATAAGTCTATACCACCTTGGAACCTTATAGTGCAGTGCACTAGAAGTGATGAGAGGCTGGTCCTGAATACCGCAGTCTGTCTGCACTGCACTGCCTGCACACTCGCAGGCTCGGGTGGCCCGTGCACCGTACAAGGTTCGCCAGGACCCAAGCCGTCCGTCCACCCATCCAGGGCCTTCTCCAGTCGCGACCGATCCCAGAAAGCGCGACAACGCGATCCAGACACATCAACCCTGAGCTCCATTGTTGCTCCTCCTTGCCTTCAACCGTTGCTCTAAGCGGTCCGGCCGGTCCAGTTAAATTGCTTTCATTGCCGTGTCGCCGGTCCCCGTGAACCGAAGCGGCACGTCGCCGACGTTGCGACTGTCTTGTGTGTCGCGATGGCTTCTTCATCTGATTCCTCTGCATCTGCCTCTGCGTCTGCTCCCGCCGCTACATCAGCACCTGCATCTGCTTCTACATCTATCCCTGCTCCTAATTCCACCTCTGGCGACCCTTCATCCGCTGGCTCGTCGGATCCTGCCCAACCTGCCCCGTCTTCCTCCACGCCCACAGCCGAGAATGGTACCGCCGACGAAACGCCAGCCTCCAAAAACCACGCCTCCAAAGACCCAACCCCAGAGGTCAAAATACCCATCCGCACTGAGGAATCATTCAAGGCCTATCAGCTCGAGCGCATCATCGCCCGGGACAAAATTGCCACTGCCGCCCTGAAGGAGAAGCAGGCGCGCCTCGAAGACAATACGAAACGCTGGAAACAAGAAATCGACGAGTACAAGCTGGTCCAGACCCAACCCACCTCCTCGTTCTTTCCCCCCTCCAGGTTATACGGGGAAGGGTACAATGGCTTTGGCAATGGACACACCGAGAATCGCGGCCCACCGCGTCTGGTCTACCCCAAAGACAAGCCTCGCGCCGGCAGGCGAACCACACCAGCCTTGCCGAAGCCGAGCCGGAAGGACCTAAAGGAGCAGGCTGACCAGTACGAAGAACTAGTACCCGTACGGCTCGATGTCGATTGGGACAAGCTTAAGCTGCGCGACACACTGACATGGAACCTGCACGACCGCCTGGTGCCCGTTGACCTCTTCTCCGCGCAGCTTGTCGAGGACATGGGCCTCAAGGCGCCACACGACCGACCGGTCTACGAGCAGATCCAGAACCAGATCCGCGAACAGCTGCTTGACTTTTACCCGATGGTCTACTCTCAGGAGGATGCGCTCGACCCCGAACTACCCTACTCGGCATACAAGAACGACGAGATGAGGATATTGATCAAGCTCAACATCACAATCGGCGCGGTCACACTGATTGATCAGTTCGAGTGGGAGATGAACGAGCCAGACAACTCCCCCGAGGAATTCGCTCGGGTCATGGCCAAAGACCTGTCGCTATCCGGTGAATTCACAACGGCAATAGCACACTGCATCCGCGAACAGACACAGCTTTTCACACGGACCCTATACGGCATCGGGCATCCTTTCGACGGCAGGCCAATAGAAGAGCCTGATCTCGCCGCCTCCTTCTTGCCTTCGCCTTTGCCCACTGTTTTCCGGCCCCAACAGCAGGCCAAGGACTACGCTCCGTACCTCTATGAGCTTGGCGACCAAGATCTGGAGAGGAACGAGGTTATCTTCGCAAGAGAGCAGCGCAAGCAAAAGAGATCAGTCAACAGGCGCGGCGGCCCACAGCTGCCCGACCTTAAGGAGCGACAGAGGACGATCCGGACGATGGTCGTCTCCTCGACCATCCCCGGGGCTGCTGACTCGCTCGAGAAGACGGGGCTGTTCAAGAGGGTCGCAGGCACTGGCACTGGAAGAGGCAGGGGACGTGGCCAGCACGACGGCGCATTCTCAGACTCGGACGAGAGTGAGGAATCAGCGCCAGACTCCCCGGCCATGTCACAGCTTGCAGGAACTGCGCGGACTAGGGGCATGCGTGGTGCAGCCACGGTCGCGCAGCAAAAGATGGCGCACATTGGCCGATCTGAGACACCCGAGGTCATTACATCACATCATCACGAAACTAGGACTTCGAGGCGTTTTGGTCGTGCCCTGGACGAGACGCCCGACGAGCCGCGGAACCACTGGGTTGTGGTCAAGGTGCCGCGAACTTACGAGAGGGCAAGGAAGATGCTTTTGGATATGAAGATGGGGAGGCCCATCACCCGCCCCGATGCTGCACAAACCCCTCGCCCACCACGTGCTCCCAGTGCGTCAGTCCCGCCGGGCAGCATGGGGCCACCGTCGACCCCCTCGGCACAACCTAAACCTCCTCTTGTCAAGACCTCCAGTAGCGTGTCGCAGTCTAGCCCATCTGCGCCTGTGCCTCAAGTCGGTCGTGTAGCTGCCCCTCCGCCGCCCGGGGAAGGGCAACCTCCCCTCGAATTAGTGAGTATTCAATTCAGCTGGCCCCGGATTTTTCACATCCCACCGGGAGCCACATTCGCATAGAATATTCAGCCGCTGACCATTTCACAGCCACCACCTCCAGAATGGCTGGAAAAGTCGCTGAATGACCTGCGCAAGACCTACCCTCATGACAACTTCGAGGCCACCATGCGGCATTGCGCCGTGCACGCCGACACGGAGACCACCATCATACCGCCGCCACAGGTCCCGCGGGGGGCGCCCCTCCCCGACAACGTGAAATACATGTTCCTGCCCAGGATCAGGTGTCCGGACTGCCCCGGCAAGCTGTACACGCCCGGCCCAGACACGACGGCGGCCAACTTTGAGGTGCACCTGCGGAACAAGGCGCACCGCGACAAGGTGAACAAGCGCGTGGGGTTCGAGACGGACCCGGCCAAGGTCGGCGCCTCTGCGGGCCCAGCGTCCTAGATGAATGAGGGCAGTGTAGGCGACGTTATTTTTGTGGGCGGCCAGGAAGGTTCGGGGGATAAGTAATTCAAGCCGAAGGCCAAACAAACAAACATCACCACGGCATACAACAGACATGCATACCCTACATCATCAGTCTCCACATCGTCTCACGATCCCAAGTTTTAGTCAGTCACACCACCACTTTGGCTAATGGGGTTGTTTTTTGGCTGGGACATCCGCAGGAAGTGTGATTGATTGGTATAGCGGGATACCTGTTCCTGCTCAGGGGTCAAAGAATCAATAGGAAATGTTGAGAGCTTACGAGAAGGGATGGATGGGCACACAACAAACACACTCTTGGGGGCGGGGGGTAGGGTAGGGGAAAAAGGCGCACCGGTGCGATTGATCCAAGACGGGGGGGGCTCCTGCCTCTCTTTATACAACAATGTTTTATTCGTGTCTATTGCGCTTCTTTTTTCTTGTTTTGGATGAAGGCTGTGAAAGGCACTGTAGATCATTAGGGGCCTCTCAGGATATACCAGATGATGAATATTGTGTGTACATGCTGGTTGCTGTCGGCCAACCCTCTTCGGCGGCACAGAATCTCGTGCAAGGCCACACCGCAACCGTTGTCACTTGCTAGGGAGGGCGCCAATGCCACCGGCCTACTATAATACGCACAGGTAATGGCAGTAGGCCGCAGCGTGACCAGACAGACCACCTGGCACAGGCCCTACAAATTCATGGCAGCTCACTGGTGTACAAAAGAGCTGGCTGGTATGGAGCTGCCATTACATCTACAGATATTTCTAGGTGAGTTGGCCGCAAGCCCCAGGCCAACCAGCCACTAATTCTACCATTTTCACCCCGTCGAACACGATTATAGGCCGTGCCGCCTCCCCCGGCGAATATCCCTCGTCACCTGCGCGCTTCAGAATTCCGGGCAAGCCTAGTGTGCCACAAGGCTCGATTCGGCGTGCTTGGTTTAGAGTCCGAAGCAAGACTACCATCGCAAGCCTAGAGTGCGTTGTCTTGGTCGAGCAGCCCCGACGAAAGGCCGGCCATGGGTCGGCTGAATGCGGTGCGGGAAAGACAAATAAGAAGCCGACCGACCCCCTCTCACCTCCCTCACACACCACATCAGAAGGATGACGTACTCCACAAATTATAAATGCGAGAAGATGCAAATAGATTTCAGATGGTGTAAGGGGTATTCACCATTTGCGGGAGAGGGAGCACATCACTGAGGGGGTCCGCACCCTTGGGCCGAAGCTCCATCTATGATGACAGATGACACCAGTCGTCCCGCCCAACACGAGGCTGACACTGGCTGGTTGTCCGAGACTGAGATGGCTGTTGGGGCGAGCCCGCTTCGCTGTGCCTTTGGCGAGTGCCACTGGCGAGGGAGGGATAGGAGAGTGGTGGATCTGGTTGTGGCGGCCACCCCTTCGAGTGTAGGGGGAACCTTGGGAACAGCCTCTTCTGAAGCAAAGGTCAGGGAACAAGTGTTGGGATCTTGTTCAGCTAGAGCCGAGTGGCATCTGGATAGGGAGCCATGGTCGTGAGAGGGAGAAGATCAGGAAACAGGGCATATTGGCGGTGGGTAAACATAGACACAGAGTGCGGAATGGGCTTTGAGAGTGATGGCGATGCGTGTTGAAGGAGTCGTGCAAGAAAAGAAGGCTGAGGAAGAAGAGAAGTGCTGGGAACGAGGAGAGGAAAGGCTCAGGTTTGTTTACTTTGCATTCAGAGACGCTGCGTACTGCATTGCTACTTGGAAAGAGCGAAGCATGGTTTATACTTTCTTTCCCTTCTCTACCACCCGCTCATCACTCGTACCAGATTCCAATAGATACTACAGAAATGGCAGGCAGGATGGGCATGAGCGACTTGGAGGCAGAGTACTTACTCTGTTCCCACTGGCGGATGCCACCCTCCTTCCCTGACGATTTCATCTAAGACGTCCCTACGTCGACTCGAAAGTCTGGGGAGTTCACCCGCGCCTTCTCCTACTGTACCGACAGATTTGAGCAGAGGGGCGCCTGCCTCATCTCTATTAAACAGCTCGCTTCAAGTTTCCCCCTTCGTTTACAGCCATGAATTGAAATCAGTGGGCCGAGGAGAACTTGGCCCCGAGGTACTATCAGGCACGCCTGCCTGTCTAGGTAGATAAATAGCTCGGAGATAGATACAAAAGTCTACAAGACACCTGGACACTTTCTCGTATTTGAAATAGCTTGAGTGCTGGAGCTCCTTGCCGCTGGACATGTGAGGCCTTTCTGGCGAGAATGCCTTGTGTCGCGCAAGGCTGAGAGACACTCCACAACTTCAAGTTGTCTTGCCAGTGAGGCCTTCTCAAGAAAAGGGCACAGAGACATGGAAATCGTGTAACATGCTCAAGTCACGGCTGGGAAAAGGAGGGCCTCAAAACAAGCGCGCTCGTGTAACATCATCTGGTTCCTTCCGTTGCCCCCGAGTACGTGGGACCGGTTCTCACAGGGCTGGTTATGGGTTCCAAAGAGCAGAGTAGGAAGCTTTCGGACACTGCTACCACTACCGTATCGCAGGCATGTTTTGTATATGGTGCAATACCGACGGCAGGAGTATATGTACGTAGGTAGCTTCTGACCGGCCTACACAACACCAAGTATTGTCCAGCCCAGCCTGCAGCAAACACCGGGAGGGAGCAACCGCGTGCAGATCGATCACATGTAAGCTGGCTGAAACAGATGACTTGGCCAAGGGGTGGTGTGAGTAAGCAATTGGGGCCCATAGCATGCGACCTCCCGACAGCCACATAATGCACAACTACGTGGTATCAATTCATTCGATCATTGTTTGACCATTTCGAGAACTAAAGTCAAGTTGGTGTGCGGTGGCAGCACTGCATTAAAGGAACTCAAAGAATACAAATAGTATTGTACACCCGAGGGCCAGGTCCTCATCTACATATCCTCCTTCTTCTGTTACCCAAAAAAAGCCCACTGCGTGATTCTCATACATAATTTGACCGTTTGTTTTGTTTAGTTTGCTCAACCTACCCAGGTACCGCCATGGACATCCTTCAGGAATCAGTTCTCAACACCCCTGGATATTACGAATATCTCCACCTCTTCGGGAGGGATCTTGATGACACCCTTGGCACAGACAAAAAGAAAACTTCAATCAACACCATCAGTGCCTTCGCTCTCAAGGACGGTACCATTGATTTCAATTTGAATAAAATTGGGAACTTCACCACGGAGCAGTTTACTGGACAGCGTTATGACCGCTTGAACCTACCGCCATTGACTCAAACAGAACAGTGGCATCAACGGCTTGCAGAGGAGGGGTTGCTCGAGGCAAAGCCTCAAGACACGACAGCAACGCTGAATGTCATCTACGTTCACATTAACCCTGTTTTCCAAGAGGTGTCGAAAGAGGCATTGCGGAATCTGTTCACAGCTTTTGGGCTGGACCATTCCTTCCTACACTCCCTGTGCAGATTTGCAGACAACTGGCACTGCATCCGGCGCGACGACGGTACATGCTCTTTTCTCCTCACCATCCAGAATGTGTACTCCATGGCCTGTTCTTTTTTCCCCAGGGGGCCAGAGACCAACTGTGTAATTTTCGTTAATGACCCTCATGTGATTCGTGTCGAATTAGCGGCGCATGATTTCAATTTCTATCAACCATCCTGGTTCCGAAAACCATCCTGGTTCCGAAGGCGATCCGAAGACCGAGCCGCGCTCGACAACCAGGCTACGCTCAACCATCAGGACGCGTGCGGCACGCAAACGAAATTCGTGCCGTCCCTAGCATTTCAGAAGCTGCTTGTAAAGTTCAAGTCTCATCATATACATCATCCTTTGTCCCTCGCATACCTGGGCCTCGTGGACAGTTTGTCGATCCTCTTCATTCAAGTCAGCACCGTATCGCGTTTCATCTTTAAGCTCGAAGACACAGTCACCGACGTTTCAAATGATATGGACCATCTAGTCAAAGTGTCTCGAGACGCAGGTATCGCCAATGTCACAATAGCACAAATATCCAGATCCATGGGCGTTGCTCTCATGTTGCTCGAGGAGCTGGAAGATGGAAATGTTTGGCGAAAATGGTGCCGGAAGTTTCGACCAACAGACTCCGAAAGACAATATGGTGTCGCCGCCAAATGGCTGGCAGGGGGACTGCCTAGTTGCAGACAGATCCTCAAGAACGAAACATTACAGAACCGCTCGTGGGAAGACAGGGTCAGAGCCCTCACACCAATTGTAAGCTACTATTCCACCGACAACATATCTAAACACATCAAAGACTCATTCAAGCTAATTCTTGCTTTAGATATATGCCAATCTCACTCGCGCGGACACGTCATCTATGAAAACGATCGCAGTCATGACTATGGCATTCTTGCCGGCAACAGCCGTTGCCGCTATATTCGCCGTACCTTGGGAGCGCGGGAGCCAGATGATCCAGAATATTCAAGGTATCGTCTATGCTGTTGTCACCGTCTGCATGACAATCTTGGTATTTCTAATTTGGAGACGTGGTGCAGAGTGGATGACGTGGTTTCGACCCCAGCCCCAAGAAATTACTCGCAAATTTATTATGAATTCAATTGGTGGTTCTGCCGTTTAGAGGGAACTGTCGACGGGTGGTCTGATATGGGCTACTCTTCCCACCACACATATGGGACTACAAACCAGGGGAACTCCAGGGCTGCTGACTCAAGGTGGAATCCTCGGGGCTAGAGTCCACGGGAGATGATCCTCCTCTAAATTAATGGATGTCTGTTGCTAGAGTACTATTAACAATTTTATGTGCGATTTCGTTTCTAATCCCCATTCATATAAAACAAAAGTGGCGCTGTCAGACAGTAGTGAACGCTCAAGACCTAGCATTATCACAATAACTTTGGAAATATTAGCTACTTACTTTCCTTTGTAACCTCCAACGATGAGGACCGCACTGCAGAGCCCAAGGAACCTGCTGGGGAGCTTCAAGAGTGCGCTTCAGAGGGCCAGGAGTTCGCAGCACAGGGAGGATTTCTCTTTTCAGACATCCATGGATACTGCTGTAAAAAGGGATCTAGGGTATTATATCTGCATCGAATAACAAACTAATTACAGGCCTGCGTTATCCTTGCCTCGAGCGCCCTGAGAGGGACTAACTACCTAGGTACTACACTCATTGCCACTCAAGCGCCGTGCATCGTGGCTTTAAAACGATCGACCTCTAATGTTCGACGGTACAGACGAAGATAATAAAAGAAGAAAGTTCTTACTTCCTTATTTCTTTTTTCAAAGAAAGAGGATTCTTATTCTTATAAATGAAATCACTGTATGAAGGCGCCATGCATCCATGGATGTCTTCGGACATGGGTATGCGGAATAGAAGCGAAACCAGAAAAACCAGTTAGGTTGGCGTCCCGTTCTTGAGTACTAAAAGCGACTTTATCGTAAAGGCAGGCAATTTCAGGCGGGCACAAACATCCCCAACAGCGAGGATCGTGTACCTAGGTAACATTCGCCGCTCGGTGGGCGGCGCTCAATACAACCCTTGGGAAAGCTTCAAGGTGTCAATGACCGTCAGGAAGTAGTACGGCTATTACCTAACGGAGAAATAATCTGCCGTGTCTTGCGGAGACATAGAGTCCGGGAGTATGGGGCTATATGTTTCTTTGCCAATATGATGGTTTCGAATATAGGCCCCGGGCTGGCTGGCTATAGGCCTGTTGATCAACAGAGCCTCTGGCTCTGAACTTCACGCTTTGTTTGCTTTATGATGTGCAGTAAGCGAGGTCAAATACTTTATACAGGTCAAGCTTTCCGCTCAGTGTCCTGAATAGTAGGTATTTATAATACTGATCAGCTCTTCACGATCCCAATCCCTATTCCGACTAGTTGATATCTCCCTCGTCTCGAGCCTGCATCATGAAAGGGGTCCCAGCAAACATCGTTAGCGCCCTGGCGGCGCTCGTCGGCCTGGCCCAAGCCAACTCCGACATTGTCAGCCTCTACACCAGTGGCAACACCTACATCACGGAAGCGAGCGCAACACTCGTGCTCCCGAAGCTCCCAAGTCCCGTATCTGGGGATGTCGCCATCTGGAGCGCAATTATGATGGAGAACGAGGCCTCTTTCCTACAGGGCGTGACATCAAACTCTCCGTCTGGGTAATTGCAGCATCTATGACCAGCCGAGCCAGACATTGAAATGCATTAACTGTCTGACAACATGTTCACAGATCGTACTGCAATGACCAGGGCAAGAACTGGTGTAACTTTGCATACACATTGGTTGGTTAGTATTGGACTTCATTTGGCACACCTGGGCATCGCTGATTCATTTTTATCTTTTAGGCTTAAACCCAACTGTCGGCGCTCCTGTTACTGCTTCTCCCGGATCTACAGTCAAGACGACCTGTAAGTTAGATTACCCTGAGTCTCGACCGGTAGCGGCTTACTGAGAACCATGTACAGATAAGCTAAACTCATCAACACAACTTTGGGACCAAAATGTCTACATCGACGGCGAACTCCTCTCCTCCGTCTCGACCAGTATGTGCCCTCCAGCGGTGTGAAAAGCCACAATACGCCTCAACAAAGCCGTAAACTAACAACGTGTCTTTCAGGCAAGGGCCAGCACGGAGACATCTTCTACATCTCCATCGAGTGCGCATCCGGCGGATGTGCCCAGCACCCAGCCCACAGTAGGTCGCCATGACAGCAGTGGCCCATTTTTATATGAAACTTCGAAGTCAACTGAACATGACCGTATACAGGCTGGCAGGACGTGTCGGTCGTGCTCAACCAGGCAGACCAGCGCTTCAAGCACTCGGGCAGCTGGAACTTCGGCGCCACCGGCGGAGCCATGTCGACGCCCGACGGTGGCAAGACCTGGACCTTGACCACTCTCAACATCCCGGCACAGAAGGCGGAGTGAACGGACGGGCTGACATACTACTTGCGGCTCACTTGTCTCATTAGCAAGCCTCGTTCGGGAGTGGTCTCTTCCCGGCATATAAGTTGTCATGTGGACTTTTTCTGTTTGTAGAGCAATTGAATTAGGAGCCTCATATCGGCACCTCTGATACCACCAGATCAGAGAAAGACGGCATCTGGACACCCCAGACATGTGCTTCACACCAAGGCCAGACCTGATTCCGTAGTCATCTTTTACTGTTCAAGCAAGTAGGGATAGCGCTAACTACCAGCAGAGGATGTACCGCCTGCCTACTCTCTCATACATGATCTTTACTGCAGAGATGAATTAGGGGGGGGGGGGCTGGTCCATGCAAAGATCAACGCAACAAATTACAACGTGAGAGTTCGCCGGTGACGAGATACCTTGACCAAGAGTTGCGACCCCGTGGCATAAATCCTCCATAAGAGCAGCGGGTAGACACCATCCTGTTGATTGAGCACCCAAGGCTGATTCTCAGTGGGCCACAGACCCGGGCAGCTTCACGACGACACAACATCTCTGGCAGGGCTTCCCCACCTGCAGGCAAGATCAGGCCAATAGGGGCTGGTTGGTCGACCACCACACAGACCAGAAAAACAATGTTCCAGGTAGGCACAAGTAAGAGTTCCTGGATTACGATAAGAACAGATAGATGGTCCAGCAGCAACTCCACGACAAACAACCAGCCATAACGCCTTGCGGAAATAACAAACCATTCACCTCGTTTCCCAACGCCGTCTACTCATATACAAGTAAGCAGCGGCAGTAACGGACGAGCGACATGCCCACACATGCCTCTGCCTCCTCCCCCCTGCGGCCCAAGCCATGCCAATAATAAGCCCCTCCCCCTCCCTCACCACGTCGACCACGCCCCGCAGCTGTCCCAGCTCCGCCAGCCCGAGTTCCACTGCCACTCGGTCAGCCGCTCGACGAGCACGGGGTCGATGTCGCGGTTCGTCTTGGCAAAGACGGTCTCGAAGGGGTGCACGTTGGCGCCGAAGTACTTGCGGTCCCACAGCATGTCGCCGTGGGCGTCCGGGTCGCAGGCGGCCGAGTAGTTGGCGATGCCGTGGTACGCGGACATGAGCAGGTCGACCCCGTGGCCGGCGTCGAGCATGACGCGCGTGGCGCCCAGCTCGGCGTGCAGCGCCCTGTTCAGGTCCGGGTAGCAGCCCGCCAGGCCCACGGGCTCGTCGCGGCCGGCAAAGGCGTCGACGTTGGTGGCGTTGGGCCCCGGGCGCGGAGGGTGCATGAGGAGGTGCATGCCGACAAAGTCGGTCGCCCAGACCTCGGACTGCACGTGGAAGTGGGGCCAGCAGCTGGCCGTCATGCCGACGAGCTTGGTCTGGATGTTGACCTTGGCCAGGAAGATGTCGCTCCAGCAGGCGGCCTGGCCCCAGTGCGGGAGGAAGGGCCCCCGCACGCTCGAGTTGAGCAGCAGGAACCGCTTGTACCGCTGGTACAGCGCCAGCCTGCCCGGCCCCATCCCCATCGGGACCTTGTCGCCCCGGAGGACCTCGCCGTACGCGCCCAGGTCGTAGCACGTGTTGGGCCGGTAGACGGTGCGGATGTTGGAGGCGCCCTGCGGGATGAGGAGTTCCCGGGCCGTCTCGTTGTTCATGCCGTTCAGGATGAAGATGAAGTCGGCGGCGGCGTGCAGGCCGTGGTGGAGGAAGAAGCGCAGGTTCTCGCGCGAGCTTGGCGAGTCGGAGAAGGCGTAAAGGATCAGGGGCCGCCATGGGTCGTCGGCTGGAGGGGACAGCGGGCCCTTGGAGGGGCGGCCGGAGGGGTTCAGCTGGCCCTCTGATATATAGGGGTTGATGACCTTGGCTGGCTTGGTCGGGAGGGGGAGTTCGGGTTGGCCCTCGGGGCGGGAGGCGTCGAGTTCGAGGGGGCCATCGTGCTTTGATGAGTCGACCTGTAGTGTCTCTGTCGCTGTCGTCTTGATCTACAAGTGCATGTAGGTTAGCCAAGGCTAGACCGAGGGCAGCAGAGGGCAGTAGAGACACCCGAGACATGTGACTTACAATGCTCTTGGCTGGGGTCGCCTGGCTGTTGAAGCCCAGGTACCACAGGAACATGAACAGAACGGCGCCAATGACGACGTTCTGTTTTGACGCATATGAGCCGCCTAGAGCCATGGCATCTCCGACCTCACAGGTATCCTGGCGCCGCGGAAGGTATGGGCGGCTACCAGAGGCGCATACGTCGTGCGCACTCGGGCCACAGAGGGCACCTCACGTCACCGGCCGAGGCTGGAGGCGGCGAGCTGTCGCGAGTCGGCAGGTCGTTCTCCTGGGTGAGGCGGGCGTGCGGAGTGGTAGACGGGCTGACTACGGCCCAGCTTGCGTGCGCTCTGGTCGAGGGTATACGGGAACGAGGCTGGGCTGACTGGATAGTAGTAGTCAAGGCTGGAGGCAGGGGTCGGATTGAAGGTGCTCAGGTAGCTGTCGTATGCTGGACAATGAATGAATAGCACGCCGCCGTGCTCGGAGGTCACGACCGGATAGATGAGACTTGGAGGCGCTTGTCCCGACTGACTGTGACTGCTTGGAAGTATGGACTGAAGGGCTAGTGCTGTGAGCATCTCGCCTCCATGTGGGAGTTGTGAAACAATTGGGGGCGCATTTCTTCCTCCCAAAGCCTATCTCGGCCAAGACACGCGTCGGCCGGGGGCTGCCAGTTGCAGGGTAAAAGGGCCCCCAGAAAGGAGCAATCGAGACGGCCGCAGTAGTCTGGAGGCGGTCCGCAGAGGGGCCGCGGCTTAATTTTAGCCCACCCAAGCCCAGTGCCCAGCACGACCACCTTAGTCAGCACGTTTCTCGAGTACACCAAGTCTTGTCTTCTGTCTCCGACACGGCGAAGTACGATACGGTACGGCAGGGCGTGGGCGACCAGGCAGGCATGCGCCGTATAGCAGAGACGAACCTCTCGCAGTGACGACACGAAGGTTCATCATGGCCCTGTGCCGATGCGGGGACAAAGTCTGTCTGTTGTTTGTGAGGCTCCCCCAAGCAGTTCTCGCACATGGGAAACGGTACCGTATAGCAAGGGGAAACAGTCGGTAGAGCACGACATGCACCAGGGCAGACGACAGACTCGACAGCTCCCACCAACCACGATCCCAGGGCTCATCGACAGGGGCAGGTCAGGGTCGATCACCAACTCTAAGCGGGCACGTTTACCTACTTTGGGGCCAGGCTGCGGATTCTGGACGAGGGGGGGCCAAGCAGCAGATAGATACAGTAGCATCGCACCGCTGTCATCAAACGGGGGAGAGCTGCACAACTACCTACGGGCCGCCGGTCTTTTTTTGGGTTCCGCCCCGTCTGTCTTGTCTTGTCTTGCCATCGCATCGCGGATTTACAGATTGTTCGAGGCCCGGCCAAAATAAAAAACCTCAGACAAGGCGAGTCAGCGTGTTTGTTTGATCAGACGTGAGAAGCTCAAGGCATGGGCCTACATCTGTTACACCCGCGGCGGTGCATCTGGTGGTGGTGGCGATAATCAGCGTGCATTGTGTACCATGCAGTTGGGATGCGGCCACCAAAGGCCTGCTGATAACTTTGTTAGCTATATGCATGTGCTCTGTAGGTGATGTGTGGTCAAAAAGAGGTCGCGTGAGCGCCCATATGTGCTGGGCCCTGCTCTTATAACGGCATACCACCGTTGCCACGCCGGGACTTGTGAGGCTCAAAGTGTGCATGCAGGCTGCACGGACTGGGTGGCCAGCCTCGACGTCCATTGCAATGCCAACGTAGAGTAGGGTAGAGTCACCGCAATTGCAGCATGTCGATATGTGCCGATTAGTCTCCGCCGTGTCGATCCAGGAGAGGGCAGATATCTTGGCCAGCCACCCGGCCAGTGCTTACTACAGCATATCCGGGCTGTTTCGTCAGTGCCTGCCTGTCTGTTTTATTACCCACACACAGCCCAGAAATCACGGACACACAAGCAGCCAACGAGCATGGTGGATGACGGCTAGGCCCAGCGCCGCCGGGCGTTCCCCAGACACGTGCGTGGCTGGAGAGGTGCGCTATGGACCAAAGAGCCGGCGGCCGAGCAAGCTTCCCCATCGGAAATTTTCACCGCCGTTCATAACTCGTTTCAACGGGCGCTCGGTTGGCTGCGAAACGGCCTTGCTTCTAGAAACCAGGCTTGTTTGGAGGTTTGACTTGGTGGTCCCGCTCGCGCCATTGTGTGGTGGTTTTGTTCTGGCCGGAGGGAGATCAGAGATCACCCTGATGCAACGCCCCGCAGCAGGATAAGTTTGTTCCCTAGTCTATGAATATATCGTTTTTATCAGGGCTCCCTCCATACAAGAGGGCCCCCAGTCAGGTACTGCGTAGCCGAGACGACTGGATCTTGGTACGATGGGACGATCTTGAGGAGGGAGGGGGGTTGTATCGGTGAGACGGTACATCGTTCGCGGGGGCTTACAAGCCTCTTTGATGATGGGTGGACGTGCCATCAGTGGTCTTGACCACTACTATTGGCCGACGAAGCTGCTTCGATGACATGGTGTGACATCCCTCTTCGAGACCGACGAGCGTGGAGCTCGGTGTGTGTTGAGAAATCTCGCAGCGGAGGCGAGCAGACGCCTGCGACGTATCGGTGCGGTGCCCCGGGATCTGCATCTCTCGGGGACTGTTACAAAACGGTTCGGGGCAGGGTAAAAATAGAATCCGTCATGGATTGTCTGACAGCTGCGCGGCATGCACAGTTCAGTTGAGGGTCTGAACTGAAAAACACCTTACCTAAGCCCGGCCTCCAAGGACTAAGACGATGGCCGGAATGAGCGTGTGTCGCTGTTGGTCCCATTAGACAGATCGTCATTGGGGCCACTGAGAACGACAGGCTGGATTCGACATAAGCCGTGCTGTCGAGAGGCGGCTGCAGCAGCGGCTGGGGTTCCGCAGAGCGCGCCCCAAGTGCATATACTGTGTACCAACAGAGTTGATCCTTCCCAACTCCTCCAACTCCTCCTATTCATGCCGCCCGCCCGGATTAAGCTTGCGCCCCACGTCATGAGCGTTGGGTATGGGGACCTCTGTCAGCTTTGCGGTCATGCGGCGCTGGACGACAAATTTGTGGGCGGACGAATATGACGAGGGCAACAGATTGGCTCGCTCCTGCTGAAGCATCTACACGTACGCTGCCAGTGTCTCGTGGTGAAAGCTGCCAACGCCATTGCTCAAACGCTGCAGCACGCATATGCAGGCGGTCGGAGCTGTGAGCCGCTGCCCAGGCCACAGGTGGCCAGCCACGACCTGGGCCCGCAGGCCAGGGTGCAGCTGTTGCTGTGTTTCAGATCTCTTAGCGGCAGGGCGGACAAGGCTTGGGCGACGGCTGGCCCACTAGTCTGCCAGAGTGGCCCGCAGCGCGATAACTGGTAGCCCGAGAGAGCGAATCCGAAGGCACGGCATGCAAGAGCGGCCTGGGATACGATGCGAGCACATACACGAACAGGAACACTGCTCTCGACGATGGCCTGCCTTGCCTGTTGATCGGAGGGAGAGCAGTTCGCGACGTGGTGGGACGCCCCGGCTGGCCTTGGTGCGTGCTCGCCTGATGATTGATTGATGCATTGTGTACACTACACAATGAATGAATGACCCGGCCCGGCAACAGTTCGGATGCCCTGCGCTTGACCAGACCCACAGGCGCTGCTTGGTCGGTGGTCACGCTTGCATTGACTGCTCCATAACACGGCATTGGCCTGTGTCCAGCTAAGGTTGCGCGGCTGGGGGCTGTGATACTGTTTTCGGCCCTCACCACGATGGACTCGCCGAGGTAGCCCCTGAGCCTGGTTCGCAGCCAGCGTTGCTCTTTGGCAAGGTGAGCTGAGCCGCACGCCGGAACTATGTACAGTACTAGGCGTCGAGATGATACCCCGTGTATCGTGCGTGCGTGTGTGCCGTCCGACCATCGAACGGCCAGAAGGCCATCCGGGACCCTGCTGCCGATGCGCTGCAACTGCTCAGGTGCTGGCGGCAGCGGTGAGCCAGCGGGAAATGGGATGGTTCGCCAAAGCAATCCGACATGTTGAGGTTTGACGTTGAACTTGTCCGATCTCAGATGGCACGGCGGCGGGAAGGAAGGCATACAAGGCAGAGTCGTACTCGACAACCCCCCCCCCCCTCCAAGGCCCTGCCTGTCATCTTTTTGGGGGGCTTTTGACTTTGTGGCTTTTCAACATGGGGGAGGGGGCCAACCGGGCTGGACCAGGTAGGCATGACTTTCGAGGTCCGAAAAGTCACCCCAGGGCAGCCAGGTCTGTCGGGGAGTCCGAATCGGCTGGACTGATCAGAGGATCGAAATGCCGTGGCGACATGCTGCTCGAGCTGGTTGGTGTAGAGGTCACTGTAGACACAAGTCCAGTCCTTTGACTGCAGGACAGGACTTTTGGCAGCACTCCGGAAGCGACGACGAACAACAAGAGGATCATCGGCGACCCGGGAGAGATCATAACAGGGCTGCTAAGACAGGTTTGCGCTTGTGCGGCAGGGCCAGGGATGAGCAGGTTACGTATACTGCGTGCTGGTGGTTTACGACAGCGTCGACAGGCTGTCAAAGGCATAATAATAGTCGCACAGGCTGCTGACAGCCCCCCTAGGTTTGAGGATGAGCAGGGCTGGGCAGGCTGATAGTCCCAGCAGTGTGGGGAAGGTTGGTTTGGGGAGAGGGCAGGCGAGAGCTTGTTGCTGCTCGTCTCCAACTGGCAACGGCCAACTGGCGGCCAGAGGCTGACAGCCAGAACAGCCCCAGGCATCAGATAGATGGGCGTGTGTTTGTGTCTCTCTGCCCCCCCTTTTCTGTCAACCGATTGATGAGCGTTGGATAATAGTACCTAGGTACCGGTCTGCGCACAGAGTTGCATTGGGGAAGAAATCGACGAGGTCACGACGTCAGATGTCATGACTACATCCAAAAATATCAATTGAAGAAACAGAAGACGTCCGTATCTGGACCTCATCCCCGCTGCCCAGCTCGTAGAAGTCATAACGCAGGTCACGGGGGATTGATGACGGTGGGCAACGGTCGGTTGGGGTATCAAACGACAAAAAGACGTTGTTGCCAGGGTCCAACATTCTCATTCTCAGTCCCGCAGTCCCGTCTACCACAGCATCTCATCAACATCAGGCCCTCGCAAAGTAACTCTCAATGCCTCGATAGGGCGCATACGCCATCGCTGCGCGGGATAGATGACTTCTCAGGAGTCGCCCGTCCCGCCGCTCCCGAGCACGTACCGAGTAGCAGGTACCACAGTACGGTGCTGTGGTACATGTGCCTTGTACCTGCTACCCCTTATTCCTGGGTTGTTTCATCCGTCCTGGCTTGGCCAACTGACACTGCCCTGACCCTTGCCGCTTGACGCCCGCCCCCCTGCCCCCCTGCCGCCCTGCTGGATCTCCTTGCCCTCCCCTCCTCCTGGAATCACCCGTCCTGCTGTCATGGCCAATGGCTTGCCATTTTGCGCTTGGTGGCAGCAGGGCCTTGCAGGCCTGCAGGACATGCACGACTCTGCTCAAGCAAGCAGCCAACAGCAGAACACATCCCCCCCTGGCAGCGATCCATCTAGTGTGCGGGACGTTGTGTGTGCGTGGCCTTTCTCTGTGCCTCTGTGCCTGCCTGTCTGTCCCTTGGGGAGCTCCCCGACCCTATTACACAGTAACACCGTAGTGTCCCGAATGGTGGTGGAAGTACATTCTGTGCTAAACACCTGGTTCCCAGTAAGGAGGGTACATACGTAACGTACGGTTGGGCGTGGCTGCCAGACCAGACTACTCCGTACCTCACCTGGCTTGCATCAGAGTCTGCCTACCCTCCCCCCTACCTCCCCTACGTGCAGTGTGGTGTGGTACAGAGTACCTTTCTTTTTACCTGCCTATACTAGAATACCGTCCTGCCTCGACCTCCCGTCGCAACCTCGTCCTCGAACTTCTTCCTCCGTTGGTCATCTATACCGGCATAGTTCCTCACCTTCTTCCCCCCCCCTTCCTCCTCCTCTTCTCCAGGCTTCGTCGTCAACCGAGCCGTCTAATGAAGCCTGTGTATTGAGTTGACTCGTTGAATTCCTCTTGTCTTTTCGACCTCGTGTGATTTCCTCGGCCAATCCCTCTGCCCCGCGCACCAGCACCCGAACCCTCGTCGCATTTCCTTCCTCTTCTCGATCTTATCGGCCAGCCCACGAGCACTCCCGCGACACCTCGCCCAAGGTCTCGTGTGCAGTTCTTGTCGGTTCCGTCACCAGCACTCGGGTGGCCCCACGAGCAGGAAACGAACAGACGCTTGGAGCTCTGGTGCCCCGTTCGGAATTAGACCTTGGAGACCAACGACAGGAAAGAGACACGACTCTCCTTTTTGCTGCAGCACCAGCTCGCGCCGCTGCCAAGTTTCACTTCTTGACCCCACAACTGCGTCCCCTTCCAGCCTACGAGCAACTTTTTCTCCGTTCGAGCACTTGACTCGACAAGACCCGGCAGCTGCTGCGACTGCACCTCTTGCCCGGATTTGTCTTCGCCTGCAGCCAGCCAGCCTGTCGACCCTTTCGTAATCCTTCGCCCTTCTGCAATACCTGTACCACACCGCCTCGCCCTGCGATTTTCTGCTCGTCACACGCCTCGGGCCACAGCTTCAACCAGCCTCAGTCCTGCCAACCTTCCTTGCGGCAACACGTCTCTCGCTCTCTCTTCACCCTCTCCCCCCTCTCGACTCTCCGGATCCTCGATTGGGTCCTTGATTGAGAGTGCGGCAGCAGCGATCCGGCCGTCTCCTGCATTGGCGCCGCTACCTGTCAAGCTTCTCGCGAGCTGAGTTGCCTGGCTGTCGAGAGTCCCAGCAGCTCCAGCATCCGGGTTGAGACTGAGGTCGCTTGGGCCATCGGGGATCTGTGATCTTGGACGAGTGCAGTGGTGCTGTCGTCATTGTCCACGACTCGAGTTACCCACTTCGGTCGACCGAGAGCTGCGGGCACATTTGTCGTGCTGTGCGGTCCAGCCATCGTCATCCGACATCTCCATCCGAGACTTTTCCGCACACCCCGCGGCACATACAGCTTTCCTAATATCAGCTTCCAACCGGCGGAGCCTTATTAACACAGCTTACGAACGAACGAACACCCGTCTGATGAGGTTCGGATTGATTTTAATCCATAATGTCGACTTCTAGACCAGAGCACTTGACAATTGGCAAGTTTGCGCCACCGCCTGGCCTCGGCCAGTCTCTGTCAAACCCCGCCAGCGCCAGCACCTCCCCCAACGAGCCCACGTCCGGCGGGAGTGCGCCAATTCGCTCGCCTTTTGGCCTGCCAACTACATCAGGGCTTAATCCGGGAGCAAAAATGACCTCGGCCACGCGATCGGGGGCCGGCTCTCCTTCGCACGATCCGCTCGCCGCTCCTGGCAGCGGACGGTTCCTATCCAGCAAGAGGTGAGTAGTCAACGGCGGGTCCTTCGTCTGTCCTGGTGGTGCCGGTGTCACTTTAGGCCGTTGCGCAACTGGCTGCTAACCTTTATATCGGATGGCTAGGGCACGCGAAATCCAAGCTCAGGAGGGTGTGACCAGCCTGCCCCTCAACCCCTGGGGAGGGCCGCCGACCAGCGGGAACTCGACCCCTCTCCGCGAGAACATCCCAGAATCGCCCACGGATGGCTTCCCCGACTTTTCACAGCTTTCTTCCCAAGATTCTCCCATCTCAACACGCCGTGCACGCGCAGGCACCTTGCCCTCTCGACTGTCTACCACGGGCCCCGCCAATGGTCTGCTCAGCATCCCAGCGTTGGCATTCAAGACCTCGAGGCCCTCGCCATCGCACAGTCCTTTCAAGTCGCCCTCGCCTGGCCTAGAGTCAACTGAGCCCTCGAGCAACCCATCGGCATTGCTATCCCGCCTCCGAGCGGGTTCCATGCCACAGCGCAGCCCGTTCGCCCCACACCCGTCTGGAGCCAGCTCACCGTTTGGCCCGAATATCTTCAGCAGCAGCTGGAACGCAGTCGGTCGCGAGAGGGGCTCGACGTTGGCCAGCATAGCTAGCGTCTCAACCAATGGGCCGAGCTCCCCTACGCAGTCACAGATCTCGAGAGAAGGAGGCGTGGAGAACGACGTTCCTGCGAGGACTTTGGATTATCTTGGTCTGATGGGCACCCCGCAGCCGCAGCCTTCACAGATGGACCCCCCTTACCTTCAAACAATGATGCCCGACTTTGCCAGACAGGCCAGTGCGAGCCGTTTCCGATCCTATTCGGTGAACAACAAGGACACGTACGAGGACGAATATGACAACGACGAGGAAGATGACTACCAGCAAGACACTCTCGAGAGCCAGTACGAGCTGATCCAACAAAGACTCGCCGCAACTCAAGCCGCAATTCGTGACCATAACCTAGCTGTCCAGGCGTACGCCAACCAGGCGGCCATCAGCCGACCTCGTGCAAGAACAGCTGGCGTCTTGGACACGCCCAACACCTCCCGACTTCTCCGTAACTACTACCCTACACCCTCCCGGCTTGACAGCTCTATCACTGCTGCGGAGCTTGGGTTGGCTGACGACAAGGCGTCAAATGCCGATGAGCTCACGCCGGCTATCGCGGGGATGAATCTTGGTCGGTCGAGCAGCCGAAACAACGGCCTTCTGACCGCCGACGAGCCGGAACTGGGTCCCACCAGCGCCCTCTGGCTGGGCAGCATTCCGACATCAACCACGACCACGACGTTGACCGAGATGTTCAAGCAATTCGGTCCTATTATCTTCACACGAGTTCTGACGCATAAGAATTGCGGATTCGTCAACTTCGAGAGGATCGACAGTGCCATGGCTGCTAAGAACTCCTTGAATGGCAAAGAGATTTTCCCCGGTGCCGGTCCCGTTCGGATCAACTTTGCGAAGCCACCTTCTGCATCGAACACGCCAGGACACGACGGCACCCAGCCCTCTCCAAGCCCGATCCCATTCACGCAGGGACAGAACGGCACCCAAACTCCTACCGCGGTTGGGATTGATGCTGCCGGACCGGGGACACCGTCAGTGCCGCCACTGTCGGAGATGACAGCGGATATTCTGAATATCGTCAAAGACTTTGGCGCCAACGAAGAGGACGTCGCTCGCATCGGCGTCAATCTGCAGGAGGCCATCACTTATGGTAAGCTCGCCGAGGAAATCCCACCGATCGGGGAGCCCACGCACACCAGACTCTACGATGCACCCAAGCTCCGCGACATTCGCAAGCGGATCGACAATGCTGCCCTGTCGCAAGCTGACATCGAGAGCATTGCACGCGACATGTTGCCCGAGATCGCAGAGCTGTCATCCGATTACCTTGGCAACACTGTCGTGCAGAAGCTCTTTGAGCAGTGCTCCGACCCGACACGTGATGCCATGTTGGAGTACATCGCGCCGCACCTGGCAGAAATCGGCGTGCACAAGAACGGCACCTGGGCCGCTCAAAAGATCATCGGCGTCTGCAAGACCGAACACCAGATGGGTGTCATCCGAGACCACCTCCGTCCCTACACCGTATGCCTGTTCCTGGACCAGTACGGAAACTACGTCCTGCAAGGCTGCCTCCGGTTCGGTGCCCCGTACACTGATTTCATCTTCGAGACCATGATGAGTCGCATGTGGCAGATTTCTCAGGGTCGATTTGGATCCCGCGGTATGCGGGCTTGCTTGGAGAGTCACCATGCCACCAAGGACCAGCAGAGACTGCTAGCTGCAGCGATCGCACTCCACAGCGTGCAGCTGGCTACTAACCACAATGCGGCATTGCTTCTCACATGGTTCCTGGACACCTGTACTTTCCCACACCGTAGGACGGTGTTGGCGCCTCAACTCGTCCCGTACCTGGTCACCCTCTGCACCCAGAAGGTCGCATACTTGACTGTTCTCAAGGTCATCAATCAGAAAGCGGAACCGGAAGCCCGCGACAAGATTGTACAGGCCATGTTCTTCAGCCCTAACGACCAGACCCTCGAGGCGATCCTCAGTGACTCGCAGTGTGGTGCAACTTTGATTTTCAAGGTCATAACTACGCCGTTCTTTGATGAGACCGTCCGGAGCAAGGTGGTCGAGAACGTGAAGTCTGTTCTGTCTCGCATCAAGGCCCAGCCGGACAAGGGCTACAAGCGCCTGATGGATGAAGTTGGGCTGTCAACTCGCAACGGCAATGGAGCTTCGCGTGGTGACGGAGGAAACCACCAAGAACGACACCGCGGAACTCCGAGGGCCAACAACTCGAACAACCAGCAGCAGCGTGAGCAGGCACAGCAGGCACAGCAGCAGCAGAAGCAGGCACAGCTGCAACAGCAGCAACAACAACAACAGCAGCAGCAGCAGCAGCAGCAACAACAAGCGCAACAAGCTGCGGCTGCCCAGTACAACGCTGCTAACAGCGGCCAGTTCTACAACTCGCTGAATGCCGCTGGTGGTCCCACCGCAGGCTTCGACGGAGGATTCAGCATCCCTCGAAGCGATAACGTTGATCCCTCCGGGCAACCCTTCAACTCCTTCCCGTCCCAGGGCCCAATGACACCTGCCATGAATTTCCAGCAGATGCAGTACCAGCAGAGCATGATGCGCGGGACCCCACCGATGGGTGGATACTACCCCATGCAGACCGGTGGCCTTCCTTTCCCGAGCGCCAGCCCATCTGTTGATCAGTACCGTGGTAGCCCTGTTCCTCAGCCTGGCATGCCGGCTCCCAACCAGAGCCCCTATGCCGCCCCAGGTTTCCCGATGCCGATGTCTATGGGAGCAGGAGGATACGGGTACGGAATGCCTGGCCCAGGGTTTAATGTGCCCGACGGTGGCATGAACGGCAATGTACCGGGCCGTCGAGGAGGCCGCGTGGGCCGCCAGGGCCGCAACAACACTGCGAGCCCCAGGCCTTACTGATGAGTGGCATCATTCCGACTTGTCCCTAACACAGCTCGATAAGAAGAGCGATTGCTCGAACCAAGACTGATGATGTTTCCTTCTGCCCACGGAAGGCCTTGAGTTCTTTCTTCACTGCATGGCAGGCGCAGGTGATTAGCGCAGAGAAAACCAAAATTTGACGTGGGGACTTTTTGATGAATTGCTTGTACGGATTGCTTGTACGGATAAGGAGTTTATGGTTCTGACGCGGCGTTTCAACCTTCTTTTTTTTCCAACAAAAACTTGCCGCTTCCATCGTCTCGGCGACAAGCAGCCGCCGAGACCTTCGATTCGGCGGGGGAGGAGAGGAGGAGAAAGCCCCCTCTTTTTTCTTGTTCATGATTTTCGACACGCTCGCTTATCAGACGGACTTTTTGGCACACGGGAGGGTATATAGAGCATTCTCGCGGCTGGACCCACAGAGAGGAAAAAATTCGACCATAGGAACGAAGCGCTTTTTTTTCTTCTAAGTATTGTTACTACTTCGACGGACTTCTGTGTATGTGTGTCTCAGCCGGGTGGCGACTTTCCATCTTCATCATCAGTATGTGAATTGGAGAGAAAGAGGAAGGGGAGGGAAGGTGCTCCTATATTGAACTCTGGCGTTCCTTTCTCCTGCTCGACCTCGACGGATCAGAACGAGACAAGAAAAGTTCTCCTTTCTTTCGGCTCTTGAGCTGCTCCGGTGGTCACGCACACGAAGCGACAGAGCACGCACGCCATCATCGACTTGTTGCTGGTGGGGAGTTTGCCCGGCGAGCCAAGGTGCTGGTGGGGTTTTTTTGTATCTCCGGAGGAGGGCAGGGCGCCTGGCACCCACCTATCGATTTAAGCGGCTTCGCTTCTTGTAGAAAGCCTCTTTTCTTACCTTTATCCCTTCATTATACTTCTTATTCCAATGTCACAACACTTGATGCGGTTAGTTCTAGGCGGGGATGAGGGGCGAGAGCGAGACGCGAATGAGGGGCTGGGAAGCTCGGAATGTCGGGCCAGGCGGGCGAGGTCATCATCGCCTCCCTCGGCCGGACAGTGGCAGGGGGGCTATCCGCGCGTGAGATGATGACTTGGGAGAGCTGGCAGGGGCGGATAGGGGCGGGTGGTGGTGAGATGGAATGGGAGAGCGCGGGCTGGGTGGTAGAATGAATGAATGGGTGTGGGGCATCATTATATTCATTGTGTTATTTTTATAGCCTTTTTGTAGAGCGCGGTCCCTAGGTCATATTAAATTCAAAGAGCATTATATATATCTAAAGTTCAGTCTATAAATAGTGTATTAAGTTTAAGTAGTTAATTAAAGTATTAACTATAATTAGTTTAATATTTATAAATTAATTAAATTTCTAATTTTTTAAAAATATATTTAAAAAGAAAACTATATAACTTAATATTAATTAATTAAAATAATATATTTATTATTTTTTTAAAAACTACTTATTTACTTACTTATTTACCTACTTATTTACCTACTTATTTACCTACTTATTTACCTACTTATTTACCTACTTATTTACCTACTTATTTACCTACTTATTTACCTACTTATTTACCTACTTATTTACCTACTTATTTACCTACTTATTTACCTACTTAAACTTTCCTCCTCTACTATTTACATTTTATCCTAGTCTACATTCCTACTACCTATAAAGTCTAGTAGGTATATAGTGGGCCTTAAAAAGTCTTATATAACTTAGATATCCACACTATACCTCTATTTTAACTATTTAACTTTAATTAATTATAACTTTATAAAAGATTTTATTTAAATTAATTAACTTATATAAAAATAATTATAAAAAGTTATAAATTAATATTCTATATAAGAATTATATATAATATATTATATTTACTCTTTACTTTAATAATTTAATAATTATATTAATCTTACTTTAATTTATTAACTACTATATATTCTTTATATATTAATTAAAATAGATTATATTAATACTATTCTTTATTAATTTTTATAAATTTAAATATTATTTATAAATCTTTAACTTAAAAGTTTCTATATATTTTTAATAAAATTTAAATTAAATAATTATAAAATTTAATCTATTAAAAGATTTTATATATTAATATAAAAGTTTATACTACTTTTATAATATAAATTATAATATTATTTTATTAAAAGTTATATAATTTATTATAATTAAAAAAGACTTTCTTATAAAACCTTTAAATATAACTTTTATATATATTTATTATATTTTACTATTAAATCCTTTTATTATAATAAAATTACTTTAACTATTCTTCTAAATAATACTTTATATTATTATTAAAATTATAAACTTTATATAATCCTTTAAGTTAATTAATTCCTTTTATATTATTAATTAAAAAGTTTTAAACTTACTTTAAAAGTTTAAAAGATTATTTTATATATTATATTTATTAAAGAAAATCACTTAAAAAGGTTAATATAAGTAAAGATTTAATATAATATAATATTTAAAATTAAACTTTAAATAATTAATAAACTTTAACTAATTAAAATTTTAATATTAAATCTTTATTTAATAATAATAAACCTTTTATCTTCCTTTAATAAAAATATCTAATATATAGTTTATTAATAGTTAATATAAATTAATTTTAAAACTATAAAAATTATATTATTATAAATAATAATATTAAGCTACTTTTAAATTTTATTATATAATAAATAACTTTTTTAAAAACTAAATATTTTAATTAATATAATCTTTATTTATTAAAATACTTTAAATAATTAAATTTAAACTTTAAAGTAATATATTATTTAATTATTTATTCTTTCTATTTATAATAAATTATAAATAATAATATATATACCTTTTAAAATATAATATTAAGTAATTTACTATTATTTATAAAAGTTAAAATAATAGATTTTTAAATTAAAAATAATTTATAAAAATACCCTTAATTTTCTAATATCTTCTATAAAAATAATAGATTTTTAAACTCTATAATAATTATAAAAAAGAAGTTTTTAATTATGAATAGATATTATAATTAATGTGTTTTATGTGGGTAGATATATAATTCATATAAGACTTTTTAAGGCCCACTGTAGTGTAGTATAGGTGAGCGGCAACCCAACCTTATAACTGGCTAACCAATGTTTAATATCTACACCTATGATATAATCATGTTATCCAGTTCACTACATTCTTGTTGCCAGAGGTACTACTCTCAAAAATGGTCTTTTGCACCCTATGTCATCATCAACAAATCCCGTTGAGTTCTCCGATAAATGATCAATGTGGCTAAAGATGATATTCCGATGATTGTTTACGTTCTTGAGCCCTTCTCCCTTCACTCTCGCTTGTTTGAACGTTACTTTGAAGGTTTGTGCCAATCAGCTAAGCTTTCTGTATTTCTCAGGCATATATATAGATTGCCTTATGCTTGCGCGTGCCGTCAGGGCTAGTTTACTACCTAGATGCTCGGGAAAAGAACGAAATAGTGTGTAACCTGGACAACAATCAGACCGGCGACTGAGACCAATCAGCGAGTGTGTTGTAAGTGTTGTGCAACGCAAAGTCGATCATGAAGGGCAAAACGCAAAGAATGACACAACAGATTTGTCTAGTATGCCTCCACCACAGCATTGAGAATCTCATGGACGGGAGTTCCAGGCATGACCTTGTGTCCACCAATGCAAAAGTCCTCCTCGCTATAGTTTTCTTCCGCGTTGTCTCTATTGTGAGAGGAACAGTGCTTGCAATGGGTGCATTTCTTGGAACCGTGAGTGCACTGAGTCCTATGCTTGCAGTTCGTCGTACCTCTCTTGTTCTCTCCCAAACCAAGCCACTCCGTGGTGACAGTGAAGTCGGACCCTTGATGACCAACTTCGCAGCTGTCCCCCTGAGGCTGCGGGATCCCATCCGGAAACATCACGGTGATGCGTTTGGCATGAAGTTCATATTCAGTCCATCCGGTCTGATCTAGCTCGTCGATGGTCTTGATCTTTAGACCGAACTTGTGCTGGAGGTTGCGTTCGGTGACAATGTGGCAAAATTCCGCAAAGAAGGCACCGAGATTGGAAGTATCAGGAACGCCACACGTGGCATACTCATAGGCCTGGAGAGCGCCCTGGTCATTCACAAAATAGTGAATGCCACAGAATCCTGAATCCTTAGGCGGGACCACGGGTCTCATCGTCTGCACAGTGCCGTATGCCGGAAGCTTCACCTTGTCGAAAACCATCACTTCCCCGTCAAGCGCGTCGTAATGCTTATGAATCAAACGAATAGAGACAGCTTCAGGGACATCATGTTTGAGCAACAACGCCCGAAGAATCTCGAGATCTTCGCGATTCTCCGTAGGCACGTCGGAGACATCCTTGATGTGGGGCAGAGAGTTGTAGATTGAAGAGGTGACAAAGGTATTGATGAGTACTGCCATTTTGAAGCGTTTCTGGGCTGGTATTTCTTGACAATAATAATACGTGTTCCGAGCGTGTCGATGAAGTCGGTGTATGATTTTGATGGATGAAAGAAAGGGTGGGGAGCTGAGTGCCTATATAGTGAGTGCATAACTTGTTCGACATCGCTCAACGCGCCTAGAGTCTCGTATAGTCTACAATCACAGGCCGGGCCAATCTCTGCCCAGGTGAACATCGTGACGTCGTGTTAGGCCCCGGGCTGTGTCGGCGTTGTTGGAACCATAGTGGCACGGACCATTCCCGCGCCGCTTCCAGCATTCATCAAGTGAGTCAACGTCTCAAGTGCTACCAAGCTATTCGCCGCGCAAGGCCTGAGCAGGCATTAATATCGCGAGGACCACCACCAAGTCAGGCTGAAATGTCGACGGAGTACGCCTTGAGGTTGGCTTTAAAAGGCCGGCCCAAAAGTGCGGCCCCAGATGTTACAACCTAGAATAGAGGATCACGCTACTGAATCATCCTACGAAGGTTATTGGCGGAAGGGAAACCAACAGAATATGACGACTCTTTGCCCAGCGACGGTCCATCCGCTGCGCATGACGAAGTGGATTATCGATAAAGTGAGAAAATGTAGCTGGAAAGCCCCCTCACTAATGCTGAGATTTTGGCTGACTAAGTAGCCGTGTCTGCCTGGCCGTCTTGCAGTCACGGTCTTATATTGATGCGCTATTGCACTAATAACGTTTGAATTGCCGGGAGCCTGGTTGGTCCCGGTAACGTCACTGTGGTTGTCCACGCCTTTTAACATTTCCAACTTGAACACGGAACGCCCCGCTAGCGAGTTGGCCGACGTCTGCGCTTGATAGAAGCAACATGTCTGAAGAGCATACTGACGAGGTCTACGAGAATATCGATGGCTTCATGACTGGGCCTCTCGATGGGTTCTTTTCAAAGTACTTTGGCGATGCAGCCGCGGACGACGTGTTCCAGGAGAGAGTGAGGGAGATTTGCGAACGCAATCCTCTTCAGGGTGCTACCACTTCAATTGAGAGGTTCTGTCACTGGATGTCATCACTTGCCGTGGAGAACGACGAGGGAGCTCGAGGCTCGTGGAAGGCTGCACCGCTGTGTCGTTCTGGCCAAGGACACGAGACAGGCCTTGAGCTCAGCACGCATGTCGCTGTAGCCTTCACCCGCAGCAACCCTGTTTCAGAGCCAAGCGACGCAACCGTGCAGGTCATAGGCGAATTCTGTCTTGGCCAAGCCATCTCCTACAAAGAAGGCCTACTCAAACTGTGTGCCAGAGCTTCTTCCATCTTCACCGTCCAGCCAACGCGCCTGTTCTTGCACGCCTTCTACCTCCGCGGTAGCTGGGCAGAGCTCTTTGTGTTCGACCGCTGCGGGCCATACACCTGCAATGTCTTCGACGTGGAGAAAGACTTCCAGAGATTTGTCACAGTGATTTGGAAGTACTCGTCAATGACGGATGCAGAACTAGGGCTGAGCGATCTCATCAAGCACGACGGGATGGGCCCATATATTGCCTTGAAGGAAGACGCCTCCGTTAATAAGTTTGCAAGCTCCACGCTGCGGCTGGCAGAACAGCCTCTTGCCACGCCCGAAGAGTTGGTCAGCAAAGCCACAACGTGCTTCAAAGCCAGGCTACCAGGATTAGATCGGTGGGATTACGTCGTCAAGTTCAAATGGAGATTACGAGACGATATTGCAGAGGACGTTGTGATTCGACATGCAGAGGAGCGGAACGTCTGGGGTCTGCTTTCGCTGGATTACTTCGACCAGATAATTGATACTGCTGATTTGAGGTCGCGCCTCCGACACCGCCCATATCGACGCTTCCCATCCGAGAATGACCCTAAACTCTCCGTCCAAGGCGGAAATAGTGTCGAGTCAAATACGATCGAAACAGAGAAGACATTCAGAGTGCGGACCATGGTTTGCATCATCACATCGCCGTGCGGGAGACCCCTCCACACACACAACTCCGTGCTCGAGCTCCTCCAGGTCCTCAGAGACGCTGTGAGGGGCCACAGGTCCCTGTACGCGGACGGCGGCATCCTCCACCAGGACATCGCCCCGGGTAACATCATCATCAGTGATTCCCCAGACCCAGGCGCACCAAGCGGCATCCTGATAGACCTGGACGTCGCGATGATCCTGGAGGCAGGGCCCCGGAACCCGGGCGGCATCTCCATCACCGGGACGCCGCCCTTCATGGCTGTCGGTGCGCTCGAGGGCCGGCCCCGCACGTATCGGCATGATGTGGAGTCATTTCTTTACGTCCTGCTTTGGGCTGTCATCTCGGACGGGGCGGTGTCCCCGCCGGGGGACAGCAGGCTTCAGGGCTGGCGGGGCGGGAGCTACGAGGGGATGGCGGCCCGCAAGATGGTTGATATGACGTCGGACGGATTTCGGCGCATCCTGTCGGAATTCGCGCCGGGGTATCGGGGTCTGCAGGAGCTGGCTCAGGGGTTTCGCCAGTTGTTATTTCCGGTTCGGGTAGACGATGAAAGACTGTCGTCGACCGGGACCGGGACTGTAGGCCCGCGGGACGAAGGAGCTGCGCTTTATGATGGGGTTCTCAGACTGTTCGATCAGGCCATTGACCGCTACGAGAGCTGATATTTGACCAATCTGAGCTGGCTTGACCAAATGGCACTACCACTGTCGACTACAATGATGCAAGGCATGGTATTCATACTGCTATGCGTGCTTACCAACCTTCTTCAGCAATGTGACGAATGAAAAAAACCGAATAGTGGATATACTGCTGGTAATTTGAGAGTTAGTTTTACAAATAAAGTAGTATGAAACGTATCACGACCACTAAGCCGTGCTTGTACTGCCGCACTTTCAATGATATTAAATTGTTTTGCAGACACTGTCAATGCCCATTTGTACGAACTTGAAGCGGTGATCCGCAAATGTCATCGCAGCACGCATCTGTTGGATGACGAGGTGTTATCTAACGAAGCCGCGCGGACAGCTCTCGCAAGGTGTGAATGCAATAAATAACTATGCTTTGCTGTCATATTTGCGATGATCATGCACTGACTACTATCAGTGACCAAGACACACAGAGACAGACTCCCTTAATTATGTTTCAAATCATCCCATTCCAGGCCTTCCGATTACTTGTACGTTTCTCATCAGCTTTATAATCTCAATTCGCTAATACTATCCAGGTCCTTATTAGTAAATTACTATACACATTTAACATACATTCAAGGTTACTAGCATACCTTATAAATCATAAGGTTGAGGCTATGTGTATTCATTGTACTTCTACTAGTAGTATCAGTATTATATCTTTCTTAATGCTAGGTTTGACTATTTACTACTCTGTCTTCAAGAAATCTACCCCACTCAGTACTGAGGTCACGGTCAAGCGTGGCTTGTTCTAGCTCGAGGGTAAGGAGAGCGTCGATACCTTGCCTCTACTTGAGTATAGGAATAGCTCTTGCTCAGATCTCCGTTACGCGGCTACAGTTATTTTAGTATTAAAATATATGGGTGTGGCTCATGTCCTTGCCTTCTGCGACAGTACCTAGGTCATGTGCTGTGAGACAATCCGGTCAACTGGATCTGTCCCAAACCACAGGGATTTCACAACGGTGTTGCCACCGTTTATAACAAGATAGCTGCTTTGTACGGGAAGGTGAAGTCAGGGATTCAGTCGCTGGCCAAGCACCAACTAAACTGTGAGGCTGCATCACGGGTCCAGAAAGTCATCTCGCACGAAGGTCATAATTTGACATTGGACAAGTGACCTGTACTACTTAGATGTTGAGATGGCACAAAGATTCCGGTAAACCTCCTGACAAGTAATTTATGGACGGCTGTGAGAACAATTTCTCCATAAATTTATTACCTGTGCCCATACAGACTATGAAGTGGGCAATAGACCGGTTGGTCAGTCAATAATCGCCCAGAGCTGCGTATACTTAATGCTTCCGCTTGTGTCAGCACTAAGCAAGGAATAAATCTATCCGTATGTCAGCTTTCCCGGCAACCCGGTAAGCGTGGATTGGGAGAAGGCCTCGCTCTGGATTGCGGGGTGATCGATGCCATCATACATTTGTCGCTTTGCTTACTCAAGGAATTCACATCGGTCTCAGCGCATGTAACGTCGCCGTCTGCTGGTGGTTGATTCCCCTCAACCATCTTGACCTCTTCCCGAGGTAGCGACTTCATTCAGACGTCGCATCGGGCGTGCTAACTTACTTGGACGTCGAAGCAACACACGATGTCTCGCCAAACACACACCAAGACCCAGACCTCACTGGTCACCTGCACAACTAGCGTTGTCTTCCTGGGAGCAGCATGGGTTGCAGCATCTCAGTCGCCTCTGGGCATAACGCAGACTTGTCGCTGTTTCCCAGGAGACGAATGCTGGCCATCTACCGTCGAATGGGACGAATTTAACCGAACTGTGGGTGGACGGCTGGTACAGACTGTGCCCGTTGCCAGCCCCTGCCACGACAGTTTTCCCGGCGTCAGCTTCGACAATGCTACTTGTGCTGATATACGGGCGAACTGGATACATCCGGAATTTCATGATAGGACCAGTCACTCGCCTATGGCTGCATTCTTCGCCAACGAGAGCTGCGACCCCTTCACAGATCTTACCGCGCAATGCGTCATAGGATCATATGTGCAGTATGCCGTCAACGCGTCAGGTGCCTCAGACTACGTTGAAACTTTAGCTTTTGCCGAGGAACGCAATATACGCCTCGTCATCCGGAATACTGGACACGACTATCTGGGCAAGTCGACCGGGGCAGGCTCGCTAGCTCTATGGACTCACCACCTGAAGGACATTGACGTGCTCGACTACAGCTCCAGCTCATACACAGGTAAAGCCATGAGGATTGGAGCAGGGGTACAGGCTTCCGAGGCACAGTCTGTAGCACATGCGTTGGGCCTCGTCGTCGTCGAAGGAGCCTGCCCAACGGTCGGTCTTGCTGGCGGCTATACTCAGGGTGGCGGGGCCAGCCCGCTTGGATCCAGGTTTGGGCTCGCAGCCGACCAGGTATTGGAATGGGAAGTCGTCACGCCTACCGGTCAGATCCTCAACGCTAAACCTGATCTGAACACGGATCTGTACTGGGCTCTGTCCGGTGGAGGCGGCGGTACATACGGCGCCGTCTTGTCAATGACAGTCAAGCTGCATCCTGACATGCCAACCGGTGGAGCGACACTTAGTTTCACGGATCCGACAGAAAAGTACCGTGATGTCCTCCAAGCGTTTTTGATAAGTCTTCCTGCGATAGTGGACGCTGGGGCCGTTGTGTATTGGCAGATCATTAGAAAGGGGAGGCTCACAATCCCGCAATCATACTTGCCCAATGGCACAGCACAAGATCTGGAACGATTATTCCAGCCTACACTACTTGCTCTCAACCAGAGTGGTATCCCTTATGGTATTCAAGCTCTCTTTCTCTCCAAGTTTCAACTCCATAGGCTTGATGTGGCACTGATGTGAGATCACACAGACTTTTCGGCACGCAATTATCCCACCTTCCAAGATGCATTCTACACGATGAACCCGCAGATGAACGTCAACGAGATAAACATTGGTGGCCGCCTCATCCCGCGTTCCCTCGCCTCATCGCAAAGCTCGGCTGTCCTTTTGATTGATGCTATCGAGCACATTCTCGACAATGGAGGCATATTCGTGGGCGTCTCTCAAGATGTGAGCATGGCCCCGACGTCCCCGAACTCCGTCCACCCGTACTGGCGGGAGACTCTGGCTCTGGCATTCGTTGCAATGTGAGCTTCCTCGATCCCGTGAAATTTGCTTCAACGCATCCAAAAACACATACATGGGAGGAAACTTTAGTGTTGGATGGATGGTTGTTCCTACTACAAGATCCTGCCATCAAGACTTGTTAATCAAGACGACACCAATCTTATGTGCGGTCTGAGGCTCTATAAGAGTTCCACTTGAGGCTAATTCCCCTCCGCATAGTATGTACAATAGGAATAACTTCACAGCAAACATTGTCGCCCGACAAACCGTGACAAAAGTCCTGGTGCCAGCTTTGGCAGAATTGACCCCCAACGGGGCTGCTTACCTCAACGAAGCGGATGTCAACCAGCCAGAATGGCAGGAAACATTCTATGGCCCCAACTACCGGAATCTCCTATCAGTCAAGCGGAAGTATGACCCGCACGGTGTCCTATGGGCGAAGACAGCGGTAGGAAGTGAGGGGTGGGATATTCAAGGTGATGGCCGGCTTTGCAAGGTATAATCGGCTTCAAGTGTAGAAGACGCTAGGGACATGAGCTGTTGATATATCGATTTGAGCAATTTTCGCGTGAGTTTGTCACAATGAAACGCTCGTCCAAGTCAACTTCAGTCCATGGAATCTGACCTCAACCGCTGAGCCAATTGTTGAGTTCTTTCTGGCTGAGGTTTTCGACACGAAGTTTCATTATCAAGACAAGCTCGACGGGTTCGCATTGTGGTACGCGCAACTTGCGCACTTTCGACCGTCTAGCAGTGAATCATGGAACATTTGAACCCTGGCATCGAGACGGCTTCGTGGTCATGTTTTTGTTGCTTATGCCAGTTAGAAAATAGGCTACAACAGTTATTGCAACCCCATATGTTAGATCGGAACTACGTGATAGCTAAGTGTGTCTACAGACGAACTAAATGCGAATATTAGTACTCCATAGGCACCTTAGGGTAGGTTAGCGGCGCCATAGTCATGATGTAAAAAGGAGGCCCCACGAGCAGTTCGACTGCGTCTCTCAATAATTTCTCGATCCTACCATAACATAATTTCCGCCCATCAAACATCTCAACCACGCAAAAAAGCCACCATAAAAACCAGCTGCTGTCCACACTATCAGAGCACACCTGAGAGATCCATCATCATGACAGTCAGACGCCTACATTACGGCACACCAATCAGATTCAGAGCTGCCGTACATGCCCAGCTTGAACGTTTTGATAACAAACCGCCGCCACAGCCGCTAGAAGAATCCGAACCCGCTGTCAAAACGGGATCGACAGCGCAAAATGAGTCGAAGACGACAAATTCAAACAACTCAAAAAGTAATGCCGAGAACGCGAAGATGAGTGGCTCGGAAGCCCAGAAGTTAGTTGCAAGAGGGCAAAATACCACACCTAAGACTTCGGAGAAGTACCCGGGTTGGGTACCGGACAGAGGCGGAGGCTGGGACGGAACAATCACAAAGTATGACGCGTCGACAATGTACTTGGGATAGTTTCCCAGCATGTACTCAAAATACTGCACCTTTTAAGAAGCCTGAGGCTCGTTCGGGTAAGAGTTCGAAGACAAGCTCAGATGTCGCTCACCACCTCTCCTGACCAGCGCAGTGGAAGGTAGAGGCGATGAGAAGTGCCACTGGTCTTTGAGACCTGACACTACACATTGGTGCCCTGAAGATATTCCAAAGAAGAAACCAAGGAGATCGGAGCGATATTGAAAATACCAAAGACCATTGTATTGCAGGCGGCAGATGTCCCAAGACTTGTGATTTCAAAGTAAGCTGGGGCATTGTCTGGGGTCCGGGATTGAAATTTCCTCCAACACTGAAAGAGGGCCAGTTAACGGCAAAATCGTGGACCTGAATCTTCTCGCAATGGTAATGCTTCAGAGATAGTCCTTCAAGTTCAGCTGGTCAGGGGGTCGATATCATCTCACCTTCTGGTTGTTCATCCCTTACAGATGGATCATAGTAATCCCACCTGGGGTCTTGGGCGTCTGTCCAGCCCAAGTCAATGAATGAATGATAGTCAATACGAGCCTGGGCCCTTTCGCCAAGCCGGGCTGCATCCCACATAACATAGCCGAAGCGACGCAGTTCAAGATCAATGTAGTTGCCGTAAAGACTGCTATACTCGCCCCGCCAAAAGAGGACCCAGGCCAGTGGAGGAGAATGTATGTCGTCGCCGTTGAATGCCATTATGTTTCTGAAGTCCTGAGCCGAATCGTACTTGGAGTAAAACCATTCGCGTCTCACATCCTGGGTCTCATAATCGGCCATTTCTTCTATCAAGGCGCTGTCTTGGAGAACCTCGCTCTTGATCTCCCTTGCAAAATCCTGGATGCAAATGACCTGCTCGACCCCCCATGGAGGGAACATCGAAAAGAGTCGTAGGCGTTGGCGCTCGTCCTGGTAATTGACGTTGTTTATTACTTGCAGGCGATACATGGCTCGTTGGACCCGGCGTCTCTCCGTGGTCCTCAAGGGTTGCCGCCAGGTTGTCTCCTCCTCAGGGAAGACATTTAACGATGCTAATGCCCAGTTGACGTATTGTTCTGTAAGTGGGTCCATGACCCGAATGTGGAAATGGTGGATCTTGATGGTGTCACTGAGGTCCAGTCGAGCTAGCCAGTAATCTTCTGGCATATTGTACCTTGCTTCGTCTTCTTTGTCAAATGGCCACTGGAAAAACGCTTCGCTAGCCTCTTCAAATAGTGCCGTGTCGCAACGTGGGGTCGCCAAGGCTTCGACAACTATTCCACCTAAGATATTGCTGAGTACAGACTGAAGGATTCGCAATCGGTCGCCGCAATATGCTCGATGCAAGATCGGAGAGGAGCGTACAAGCGATTGGAGCGATCGCAGGTCCGGAGTATTGGAGAAGATGAGGGTCTGAAGCTCAACGGGCAATGCCTCGAGGGGGGATTGGAGCGCTGGTGAGTGATCCTCGGTCGTGGAAGCCGAATATCCAGGGCGTTCGGCTCTAGTTCCTATGGCGTCTCCCGTGCTAGGGGACTGAAGAGACGAAGTGAAACAACCCATGATGGTGGTGCTACTTGTGATGGCGGAAGCTGTTGCGTTTGAAATTGTCAGGTCACAAACGGCATTGTTCGTTGTCTTATAACTAGGCTGTGGAAGAGGCGGTGCCCTGCCTGTTGTTACATCAAAGCTGATGAGTCAAACGGTGGCAGTACGGCACAGCACCTGGCAATGAGGAGCCGCGCGGCAAGTCGGGCACTGCACAATGCACATCCTGCCCATCCTCGTGTGGTTTCGTTTTTAATCCCTATAAATATAAGATATATATATAATTATCTTTATAAGGTTAATTTAATTAAGTTTATTATATAAAACCTTTTATAATAATATTTATTTAATATATAATAAATAAGATATCACTTGGGCTTCACGGCATAAGGGCTTGAAGTTTATACTAAATAGAGTGGATTTAAAGAGTAGGGTTGCCTAAGGAAGAAAGGAAGAAAGGAAGGTTGCCCCTCGAGCTTCGGGGCGAGAGGTAATAGTGTGGCAGCCTTATCGATAAGGGGACCTGCAGGGACCCCTACGGGGCCCACCTGCCACCCTTAACCCCCAGCCCTAACTATAAATAAACTTTACTTTACTTTTTAAAAAAAAAGTTTGTTTTATAAATTTATTATTATAAGATTATTATTCTATTAATAGTTATATATTTAAAATAAAGATTATAATTTAATTTATTTAATAAATATAGATTTAAATATTTATATAATAAGTATATTAATAAAGAAAAATTAGTTTATTAAGTTTTATATTATAGAATTCTTCTTTTTATAAAAGTTATTTTAAGATTACTTTAATCTTATTATATAATTATTTTACTAACTTTTTAATATAATATTATTAAAAATAATATCTTTTAATTTTATTTATATAATATAAAACTTAACTATATACTTATATATTATATTCTCTTTTACTATTATTAATATTATATTCCTTTAAATACTAGATTTTAAGTATTTACTATTATATATAGATACTATTTTTTAAAAACATTTAACTATTTACTTTTAACTTAATAATAAAATTAAAAAATATAAATAGTTTATATAATTCTTATTAATTAATTAATAAATATATTACTTATAATATATTTTAAAAATATTATTATAATAAGTTTAATTTTCTTATTATTATTAATTATAAGTAACCTTTTATATATAGAGTGAATTTCATTAACTTTAAATAATAAATATAAGTTACTTAAGGTGGTAGTGGCTGTCTTAGTCGCAATAAAGTGTAATGTCTCTAACCTTTTGCAAGGTTAGAGCTTAAAGTTCACCGCCAGTCGCAACTTGGCTTCTCGGATCTCGAGTTCCTCGAGCTCTTTGTATCGGTGCCGGTGTTGGGTTTCTTGGGTGCGTTGAACCTCGCGGGGCGGCGTTGGAGCTCGTAAAAGGGGTGTTCTCTTTCCAATGTGACTCTCAGTTTATGTTTAGCTTCAGGGATGCACTCCGTTTGTATGGGAGAGTAGGGATTCGAACCTGCAAAAAGGAGGGTACACCTAAGCTCTATAGGACAACGACCTCCTCTAGGATAACCTTCTACACGATAACCTTCTGTAGGATAAGCTCCTATGATAACCTTATATAAGATAACTACCTACGTACCTATAGAGTTTGATATTAACCTGAGTACTGAAATCTTCAAGTTATCCTATTCTGTTTCTGTTTGGATTCTGTCAAGTATAATCTTCGCTTTCCTTTGTGAGTGATACGATCATTTGTTATAGACAACTCTTAGTCACCACCCATCAGCAGGCATGATGTCGAGTCCACAATCGGAGCCGAGCACTCCCCTCTCAAACCCTGGCCCTGGTATAGAGAACTCATCGGCCATCAGCCCACCGACCCCCGCGGCCCCTGTCCCGTTCAAGCCGGGCGTCAAGTTCTGGGCCATCATCGTCGCAATCGGCTTCGCAGGCCTGCTGACTTCACTCGAGTCCACCATCACATCCACCGCGCTACCCTCCATCATCTCTGACATTGGCGGCCCAAGGGGGGACCAGTACATCTGGGTAATCAATGGATACTTCCTCGCCATGTGAGCAAAAAAGCGCCATACAACGCTGCATCTTATCTACCCACAACATCCAGACCCCCCAAAGGTACAGGCCCGCGCTGACAGCCAACATCAAAAGGACGGCGCTACAGCCTCTTGTCGGCCAGCTAGCTAACGTGTTTGGTCGTCGATGGCCCACCATAATATCAACCGCTGCTTTCGTCTTGGGCAGTGGGTTGTGCGGAGGCGCCACCACCATGGGCATGATGATAGCCGGCCGTGTCATCCAAGGAGTCGGAGCTGGTGGAATCAATGTCCTATACGAGGTCATCGTGTGTGACCTGGTGCCACTCCGCCAGCGAGGAAGTTACCTCGCTGTAATATTCGGTCTCGTCTCCATAGGCATGGCCCTTGGACCTTTCTTTGGCGGGCTTATCGTCCAGTACAGCAACTGGAGATGGGTGTTCTATCTCAACCTCCCCGTTGGCGGTGTGGCCTTGGGTCTTCTCTTCTGTTGCCTGCATGTCAAGTCTAAGAAGGAGCCGACGCTGGCTATGAGCCTGGGAAAGATCGACTGGACCGGCAACGCCCTGTTTGTCACGGCCATCTCATCAGTCCTTGTCAGCCTGGGCTGGGCTGGCGCCGTCTACCCCTGGTCATCGTTCAGGGTGATCGTTCCCTTGGTGCTTGGGACACTTGGGCTCGGCGCTTTCTTGGTGCTCGAGAACTTCGTGGTCGAGCCGATGGTCCCGTTGCGTCTTTTCTCCAACCGCACCCTGATCGCCGTCTACTTCTTGACCTTCTTGCACAGCATCATAACAATGTGGTCCCTCTACTTCCTCCCAGTCTACTTCCAGGGCGTCATGGGTAGAGCCCCTGGGGATTCGGGCCTTGATCTGCTGCCAACTATCCTGATCCTCGTACCGATGGCAGCAGTAGGCGGTAGTGTCATGTCTAAAATGGGCAAATGCCGCGTCATACACTTCGTCGGCTTCGCCCTGATGACTATAGGGTTTGGCATCTTTACCCTCTTGGACCAGCGCTCGAGCACAGGCAAGTTGGTCGGATACCAGATACTCGCTGGGGCCGGCGTCGGCCTCGTCATCCCCACCCTCCTGCCGGCCATCATGGCGCCGCTGTCCGAGGCCGACACGGCCCTGGCGACCGCGACCTGGGCCTTCATCCGCAGCTTCGGGATGACCTGGGGCACCGCGATCCCCTCGGCTATCTTTAACAACCGCGTCGCGGCCCTGTCCGAGCGCATCACAGACCCCGCAGTCGCCGAGACGGTGACCGGCGGCCGGGCCTACCAGCACGCCGTCGCCTCCTTTGTAAACTCCATGGAGCCCGAGACCAGGGCTCAGTTTATCACCGTCTTGTCTGTCGGTCTAAAGCGCATCTGGCAGGTCGCCATCGCATTCGCTGCCGTTGGGTTCGTCGTTGTCGCTCTTGAGAAGGAGTACAAGCTGAGGGACGAGCTCGAGACGGACTACGGGATGGTTGATAACGAGAAGCCGGCCTCAGACCCCGAGGTCGCTTCAGCTGAGAAGAGAAGCAGCTAAAGTGTCAGCGTAAAGGCCGCGGGCTGCCGTAATTACATGTTCGCAGAGACTAAATATACCTAGGTACGTAGATTAGATTGGTGGAAAAGGGATAATATGTTTGTGGTGTACCATTCTAATTTGGGAAAATAGACACAGTGGACATGCAGGTGGAATGAAACAAGACCCTAACAGATCTGACAGGCCTGGCCAGACAGTGTTCACAGGGCAGTATCACTCTTTGAGAACGTTTCCTCGACAGACATTGGCAATGGGTGGATTGTTGACATTTTGCAACTGATTCCTAAGAGGCATTCGGTCCAGACACAGTTGATGAGAGCGTGAATAGAGTCAGTCGCTGTCTGTGACAAGCAAGATAATGCCCGCCCCCTCTTAATTATTCGTCGTGCATATTTCACCATAGTTTAGAGTAATTCCTAGCTAGATTTGTTGTTTTTCGCAGAATGGTTAGAAAGACGCTGACTAGATAGAGAGCATGGCTATTTACACCAACCTCTTCAAGTTAATGTTGTGATACCTTTTTTTAGGCGAACTGTGGCGTTGTAGCTTTTTTTTCTTTTTATAAAAAAAGGAAAAGAACGCTGGATCTTGAGTGTTTACCACTGTATGAAGGCACTGCATACATTTTGTATGTCAACTGGTATGCCAGTGAAGATTAGAAACAAGACTACTATTCTCTGTTTCGGCTACTATTCCGCATATGTCCGGGGACATACATGACGCCTTCATACGGAGGTAAACACTCAAGACCAACCGTTTATATCTTTTCTTTTCCTTTTTTTTTTTTTTTTAGAAAGAAATACAATGCCTTTCCTGGGTTGAATGCGTACAGGTTAGGTCGCATACAGCCGCGCAGCTCTCATAGCGTAATTTATAGCATTCATCAACGACAATCGTGTTTCACAACATGCTCAGCAATTTCCAACTGGACACATTGTTGCCCCGTGATGCGTGGCTTACAACATCAGTCCTAATAAAGTCGGGGTGACGATCATGTCCCAAGTCCAAGCAAGTTATGAATTGTTTCACGCCTCTCAGATCCTTCAAAGTTCATATGTGACAGGTGCCAGAATGTGTGCAATGAAAATTGGATTCCGAATCCTTCATATGCTGTGCCACCTGCTGCCAAGAGGTCAATGGTAATTTTGGGCCAACAGCCCCTATTATAATCCAATAGGATGCGTTGGCACACACGAGTCCACACCCAAGCATGGCATCCATGGATGTTGGGTCCTCGCCGTGAAATCTACTTTTCGACCACGAAAGTCACCGCTTTAAAGTGACTCCCTCCCGCACACGGTGGCCCGTAAAGCCACTGAGACCCCTAGTTTTTGGCGACCTCGTCGACAATCTCCTTGTTGTTGACGTAAACCTTTTCGAACCCCACCATGATCTCGCCCCTCGTGGAGTCGATCCAGCCATCTTCAGACTTGCGACCAATCTCCTGATACTCCGGGTCGCTTGTGAGAGCCATCATGTGCTGGATATCCCGGACCCAGTAGGTCAGGACCGCGTGTGAGCGGATGACGGTCCAACCGGGGCGGACCTTATCTACTGTGGCGGCCAGGGCTTCGGAGACATCGCCGGGGCAAAATGTCTGAGGCCAGGGACCACATATCCGTTAGCCATGCACTAATGCAAACGAGCGTTCGACCCGGGGGGCCATGGCCAAGGAAGGCATGCTAGTACTGTGCAAGTGGGGGTAGGGACGGGCCACTAACGATGGAATATTTCATAACCTCGTGTCTCTTCACCAGCTTCACCCAAGCCGGGTTAATGTTCTCGCAGACGTGCTTCTCGAACTCCTCATCAGTCTTGCTAGGGTCCTTGTAGTGCAAGGCCGAGACTTTGAGGACATCGCGAGAAGCCATATTTGCGTGAGTAGGGGCCGAGGTGAGGGCTCAAGATCCTGCCGGTCAGGCAAACGGAATGATCAGGTATTGTGGGGGAAAATACAGGCTGGTCCTAGTAAAGCGAGTAAATGATTCTAGTGTAACCCAAAATGATCGTTGCCTTGTGGATTGTTGGAACAGATGTTGGTGTCACTGGCACGATGATCCGCCTCAAGCAGGACCTGAGAGTTTTTTAAATGCAACATTGGACATTGGCATGGCCCCGAAATTCTTGGGTAACGACCAGTTTGACGGCCGTAGACTAAGCAGCCGATTCCGCATCTACTGTTCGACTTTTGACAAGTCGAAAATGGTCGCGAGATAACAGCGGTAGATTCTGGCTGGGCGTAAGCCTGTGCCGAGTTGTTGGACCCTCTTTCGTGAATTGCGCCCATGAACCACCCCGCCAGTTTGTGAACCATGCCTCATTGGGAAATATGATACATAAGTACAGATTATGGGGCCTGCAGCTAACGTCCAACAACAGCAAGATCATGTAACTAGTATGTAAGTAGGTTGAGTATGCCTCCTGGAACGGCACAACTTTTTTTTCTCCTTTCACTTCAGAACCCAGGCACCCCAGCTAGGATACTAGACGACTTGAGGATCTCCGGGATGAACACAAGTTGCAGCAGCATAGCAGGTTTTTGCTTAGAACAGCTCATGGTCGTTCGAGGGGCGGCAGATTCAGCCACTGTGGGCTCCGACACCTTCATATAGGTACTCCGTACACAGATAAGACAGCTTGCAACCGCTAGATTGTCGACACCACCCTTCTGACCACCCTTCTGCCTCTAGCATGCACAAATCTTCTTCTTGATTTTCAAATTTACTAGCCGCCGCCGACGCCCCGTTTATTGATCTTCATGTGTCTACCCCTGGCTCGCTCCAGATCCCAATGATGTCGTTTCTTCACCTCGCGCCCGTGGTCACGTCCACCGTGTCCCTCTGGTTCGCCTTTGACCAGTACTTTTTCCTGGGCATATTCTTGCACAAGGACGTCGAGCTCAGGGCCAAGCATGTCCTCACCCCGTACTGGAACACCATGATCAACACCGGCCTGGGCTACGTCGTCGCGCCCCTGTTCTGCACCATAGCCTCCACCGCCGCCATCCTCAACAACACCCCCACGGGGCTCCTCCAGGCCAAGGGTTCCTATGCGTGGTACGTCGCCAGCGCCGCCTTTGCCGCTGGCCACTTCGCTTTCGTGCCGGCTGTCCTGCCCAAGATCAGGGGCCTGTCTAACGGCGGCCTGACGCCGGTCCTTCGGCAGTGGATGCGCGTGCATGTCTCCCGCTCCCTCACCGTGGACTTTCTCTGCTGGGCTACCGCCGTTGTCGCCGCTGCCAAGACCCTTTCGGCTTGATTCCGGGAGAGCAGCCGAGACTACGAGATGCATGTCCTTGCCCTGTAGCAAAGGGTCCGGATTTGGATGAATCATAGGCCAGGTAGACTCAGGTTGGTTGGTGTGAAGGTGGCAGTTAGTGACCAAGATGCATTTAAGAAGGATGGATGTAAAGCTAGGAAGTGGTAGATAGGCTTCTCACTGTTCAGGTGACGCTCTAGACAAGGAAATGAAGCACTCTCATGTCGCAACAGTCTAAGATATCGGATAGTCTTGACAGTAACCCAGGTCTTTTACCCCCTCCCCCTCGGTCAGGGCCCCAAATCCACCGATCCACTGACACGTATCAGTGATACATATTCGAAAAGAGGTTTCTTTCCGGTGATAGCTAGTTAGTTGAGCAAGCCGCAGATTCGCGAGGATTGTGGAGCCGCCGAGGCAGGCGATCCGAGATGTGGTCAGGCAAGGGCAAGCAAGGCTCTAGCGGGAGTGGCCCCGAAGGGATACCGCACTGGCAGCGGGACTCGGAGCGGATAGCTTCACTAGAAACAGCCGGAAAAACAAGTTGAGCTCGAAGGCAACCAGGGGACCCCCCATGCCAGTGGTGTCTGTTGGGCGATATGACAGGTCAATCACGAGGCCCGCGGTAGCTGGCACCAGATTCCTGATCGCCTTATCAGGACACTGATCTTTTTTTTCTTTTCTCAAGGTCAGCAAGAGCACGGGAAGGGATATTTAAATGAGCTTCTCATAGCGCATTGTAACGTAAATTCCAACGGGGTTGGCAGGTTGCTTGTACGCCAGCAGTCCAGAGATTCGCTCAAGACCATGTGGGGCGAGAACCGCCGGCGGCTGTACGCTCCTTCCTGTGTGCCAAGTGTTATCCACCTGGGCGTGTTGGTTGGTTTTACTCTTGGCCAATATGAATTCCGTCTGGAACCCCCAAAGAGTTCACCCGCCCCGCCAATAGTCCGCTGTGCCGCGATCCCACAGGGGATTTGTTAGGCCTTGTTCATGCATATCGCTGACCAATACTGCATGCAGCACTTGAGGCCATGAGAGAGAGAGCCTTCCAATTCCCCTTCATATATTGAAACAAGGCTTCATCGAGGGCTTTTCGCATACATCAATCGCAATTTAACGACATTGACCTCAAGCCCAGAGCAGCTCACAAAATTTGAACATGGCCGTCTCAGACTCGGGCCCCCGGAAATATGGCATTGTTGTGCTCGGAGCCTCTGGCTACACGGGCACGATGGTCTGTACTCATATTGCGGCCAAATTTCCCACAAACCTCAAATGGTCAGTCGCCGGCCGGTCACGCGAGCGCCTCGAGAAGCTGGCAGCAAAGTTGAGGGACGAGTACCCGGACCGAGTACAGCCAGGTGAGAGGAGAACATTGAATACAGCCACCGTGTTTCTTGGACAAGCCAAATGCTGACACACGTCGGAACAGACCTCGAAATTGTTGCACCTGATGATACTCAAACCCTCGGAGAGGTCATTGGTAGGGCCAAGGTGTGCCTCAGCAACGTTGTTTACCCAGTTGATGGGGACGCCGTCATAGAAGCGTGCGTTGAGCAGCGAACTGACTATGTTGACATGTCTGTTCTATTCTTGTTCGCATTGAAATTGAATCAATTCTAACAGTTTCTTGCAGCGCCGGGGTTCCTACCCTAGTCCGGGACTGGATCGCCAAATATCACGAGCAAGCCGAGGCAAACGGCGTCGCGGTAGGTCGCAACACCACAGTCGTGACGGAAATTTGGGGCGCCAGAGCAACTGACAGGTTGAAATGAACAGCTTATTCACTCGTGCGGGGCAATGACTGGAGAGATGGACCTTTTCGCCATTCATGCCTGCGAGATGATCAAGCAAAAGTGGTCGGCACAGATGGGCAAGATGACGCTACGGGTCGACGATCTTGAGTATGGACGCACGCACCCATCCACTTCAGAAGTCGAGTCGACTTTGCAAGTTTACGACTGCTAATCAAATATTTCCAGCCCCAACGTGAGTGGCGGTACCCTGCGGACTATGCTCTCATTTGCCAGCGGGGGCCCGAAAGCCATCGCCGCAGCCGGGCACCCGTCGTTGTTGACGCCGCCCGCAAGTCCCTACACGAAACCCATCGAGACGATCCGCGGGTTCCACACGCACCCCGTGCTCGGGCTGCTCACTCTCTCCTCGCCCCCGGGCGACCAGGCTCGCACCCTTATCAACAGGTCCTGGGGCGTCCTGGGCGGGCCCAAGAGCAGCTGGGGCCCCAACTTCCAGTATAACGAGTATGAGAGGGCTCATTCGTACCCAGGTGCCATTATCAACCTAATCCGATGCTGGTTCATTCTCTCTATGTTCTCCATGGTCCAGTATACGTGGTTCAGGAACCTTATTATGCGCTCTGCGCCGGAGCTGGGGGCCGGGCCGTCTGAGGAGCAGGTCAAGAGCCTACCATTCACTGCCGCGGCTTTTATCGAGGCTGACCCTGTGGTGGAGAAGAACCGCGGCAAGGGGTGTCTGATCAAGCTGAGGTACCAGGAGGGCAACTACCCCTTTGCTGCCATGCTTATGGCCCAGGCGGGTGCTACGCTGCTGTACGACCGGAACCTGTCGGCTGGTATTAAGGGTGGGTGCCTGACGGCTGGGGTCTTGGGCCCGGACTTCGTGGAGAGGACCAGGCAGGGAGGTCTCGAGATCGAGACGACCATGATTGAGAATCTGCAGCAATAGCCTGATAGCCTTGACCAGTTTCCCGTAGCCCTCCAACCGCCTTCCAAACTCATCGACCTACAGTCTCTATCTTTTAGACGCTTCCCATACCGTTGCCTTGGTGCAAATAACCGTGAATCACAAAATCAAGTCGTAAGATGTGAAATCATCAATGCTTCTTACTGGTTTCGATTCTATTAGATATACGTCCGAGGGCATATATGGTGCCTTCATACAGTGGTAAACGCTGAAGACTCATGTTTCCTAATTCATGCTAAGATTTGTACCAGCGTAGAAAGGTGAAGCATTTTTTTTTTGGTGAAAATTAAAGTGGTATTAATACATAGCATTCACGTCCCCCCCTGCCCCTACCAAATTCTTGCTTGTGAGTACCAATAGACCTCCGCATTTTATTGAGGTGATCCAGGAAGTCTTTCAATGCACGGTGATGCTCTGCTGTTGTCCAACAACACGTATACTTGAAGGCCGGACCCAGCGAGGCAAGGGACAGTGACGGGCGAGAATTGAACCATCGGAGATGACCCCGGGAGCTCTGCTGGAAACGCGGAGAGCTGAGCGGAAGGGGGCGTAAATGATGAATCTAAACGAGGTTGAAAAGACGGACGAGAATTTGCGATAGGAGACAAGGCGGTAGAGAGACTGAGCGCTCGTGATCGGCTTCCGCCAGGACTGTGCTCGTTAGAGGATTGTAGCGTGTACCTCCAGCTAGGCAGCCTCGGAGGAGGATGTCTATTCCGGCGGATGGGCAAGGGAGAAGAAACGCCAAGACGATCTGACCACGTGGATAGCGAGTATGGGGTTGACCTAAACGGCAATTCTTTGAACTCCGTTCGGGTTATCGTCGTTGAAGTGGGTGGGGATACAGGTTTCGCTGCTGGACAGATCTTGTTGCTGGTGAAAACCGTAAGAGGCGGCATCATTGGTGCTGGGTTCGGCAGGCTGGGAGATATACTCCGCGGGTTGCTCGGTGGCTCCAGGGCTTTCATTGGTAGACTTGCTGAGCGAGACAATGGTGGGCACAATGGTTTCTCTATCGGGCTGCTGCTGCTGTTGTTGAAGACCGGAAGAGGCCATGTTAGAGGAAATGGCCTCCCCAGTCTGAGAGGTGTATCCGGCGACAGTAGTGCTGGCAGGGAGGAGGGAGTTGCTGGACGACGTCGTGAGAGCCAGCGGGCTCGGCTTTGTGTCCGCCGAGATGTCCCAGGTTTCACCAGCGGGCACCTTCCCGCTGGTCAACATCTCCCTCAGGGCTTCATCAATAGTAGCCACGGGCCCACTGGCAGAGCCTACGGATGTGCCCAAGAAAGCGAAACCGCCAGAGCCGTTGCCATTGCCGGCCTCGTACACGACTCGGACCTGAGTGCCATCGGTGCCCTCGATGGAGATCTCAACCTTGGTGAACTTGGCCTTGAGCTTGTTGTAAAGACAGGCTGCGGCCGCGGACAGGGCGGCGGCAGCCATTGGTCTGCCAAATGTCACGATCCACCTGGCAGGGTCGAGCTCCAGAGACATGGGCGCCTGCCCTCCGAGGCTCAAGGGAGCGAGCAGTGCAGAGGGTGGTGGGCCAGATCTGGACTGCGGCGGCGCACCAGGTGCCACAATCCAGTGATTTGGAGGGTCGGCAGGGTTGGCAGAGGTTGGGGGATTGAAAACGTAAGAAGTTGACCACACGTACGACTTGGTTACGGGGTCACTTGGGTTACTGAAGTCGTAGGTGGTCGAGTTGCTCCTGGTGCCGCTGAAGATCTTGCCGGTGTGGTCACCGGACTCGAGCCACCAGCTGACCGACTCCTGCGGCTGGTACCAGCCCGAGCTTCCGGGCGGCAGTATGGCCTTATCGACGAGGTGGTTGTGGTTTCGTTTTTAATCCCCATACATATAAAATATACATAGCACCTTCATACAGTGATAAACACTCAAAACCTAGCGTCTAAAGAAATATAGTGCTAATAATAGTAAAAAGAGAATATAATATATAGGTATATAGCTAAGCCTTATACTATATAAATAAGGCTAAAAGGTATTACTCTTAATAACGCTGCACTAAAAAGCCGGTAAAGTAGTTATATAGTGAGACTAAAATAGTCTCTTAAAATAGCCCCTATAAAAAGAAGAATCCTATAATATAAAACCTAATAAGCTAACTCTTCTCTATTAATATACTTATTATATAACTACTTAAATCTACCCTTACTAAATAAACTAATATAATCCCTATCCTAAATATATAATTAATAAAATAATAATATTATAATAATAAATCTATTTAAAAAAACCTTTTTATATAAATTCTATAAAAAGATTAAAACTCTTTTAAAAAATTAAATAAAGTTTATTTATAATATATTAAATAAATACTATATAAGGAAAGTAAAAGTCTAAATATTTAAAAACTAAATCTTCCTCCTTTAAATATATTATTTTATTATTAAAGATTTATCTACTTCTATATAATATATAAGGAATATAGTAAAAAAGGGAGCCTTATAGAGGAAGCTAGTAACTCTACTATATATAAATAAGTTTAAAGGTATATATTAAATAATTATTAACTTTATACTTAAAGTATAAACTAATAGCTAATCTAAAAACTAAGAAGACAATAAATAAATAAATAGTTAAATAAAAAATATAATATAGCCAAAGCCCCTTATCAACGAAGATAGGCTCGAAATCGCCCAAAACGGCATTGAGGACTCCGACGACGACATGGATGCCGAGAACACCCGGGTACGAATACTGAATATCGCCAACGTTGAGCCAGCCGGCTCTATCAGCGGGGACTGGATGGATAGACGGCTTCCAGTAGCCCAGGGAGTCGACGTCGAAGGACTGACCCTTGTCGCAAGCCTGCCACTCACCCCCAATATTGATCAAGACTCCGTCATTGGGCACCTGGGCCGTCCAGTTCAAACCATACTGAACCTTCCACGAGATGGAGGTGTCCGGGGCCGAAGCCCGAGATTTCCAGATCAAGTCATAAGTAGCTGCGGCCGAGCCGGATTTGACAGCCATGGCCAGCTGCAAATTCCAGCCGTTATTGCGGATGTTGACGGCGTCATCCCGCGATTCGAACCAGTGAAGCTTGCGAATAGACATTTTGGCAAGATGTTGGGGATTTCGGTGTTAACAGCACCGGCAAAGTGATGATCAAGACCGTAAAAAAAAAGTAACGGGTTTGAGAGCGAGTAAATGGTTGTGGAAATGGGTGATTCAGTAGAGTGATTGAATGGTGTGAGTGTGATGTGCTTATGGTAGTCTTGTTTGGTCTGAATTCAGGAGATCAACTCGATTCTTTATAATTTGGCAGCACAGCCCAGCACTGCTGTCATTGATGCAATGCTCGCCATGAGGCTGAAGACCGCCTTGGCCTGAATTGTCAGCCCTCATCGTGTTCTGCGCCCAGGCAGCGCCTGATGTTGAGCTGAAAGTTGAGACCAGGCTACTGACACAAGACTATTGGACTTTCCTTCCCCTTAGTCTTTGATGTATAATTGAGATTATGAGTAAATGAAGAGGAGGAATTCCCGGATTCGCTCAATTTTGGATAACCAATTCATCCCCACCCAGTGCTTTCCTAGGGTAGGAAGGACATTTCTCTGCGTTCTCTTCAGGTGGTGGGATTCCACTCTGATCAGGAGGAAACCAATGATGTCTGAAACCTATCCTTCAGGGAACGTAGGCAATTCAATGTCATGAATGCTTCATTTCCAAGCTCGGACTAAAGCTGCCCTCGCAGCTCGCGAATTGTGGACGTGTCATAATGACAACGACACGATCATTAATCGAGCCGGCCTAGACTGTGTGACCTGTAGCTCAGAAATAGAACCACAGGGATGCTATTCGGCGCGAGTTAGCCAATCCAAGCCATGGAGCAATGAGCGGCTGATCGGAGATGCCGTGATGTAATTCAACTACGTGGCGGTTGACAAAGGAAAGTGGTAAGCGTGGCGTTGCTTTGGAACAGTCGGAATGTCTCAGTCTCCGTGCTCATCATTCATCTTTGCTCGGTCTTTGATGCAGAGTAGAAAGAGTGACACGGGGCACTCAGCTACACGCCATCAGCCCTGAGAGGGTCTGAATTGGGTCCAAGTTCTGTCAATTGGAGAAATATCCTTCGGTGCGCTTCAGCCTCATCAGGCCATCGCGGCCGCCACCATTAGCAAGCGCATTCGACCATAGAGTGCTGAAGACTGGCTCGTGACCTATCTAATTGATGATAGACAATATTTCTGCTTCGGTGTTTACAGACTCAAAAGAAGAAATATGCCTGAAATGAATTACAGGCGGCAAGAAGGTGAGGAGGACCAGTTGACCTGAGATCAGAAGTATGCAAAATACAAGCGAAACCGGTTAAAGACAAATATGGTACCTTCATATAGTGTCAAACGCTGAAGACACATTTTTCAGAAAATATAATACCAATAAAAGTGCAGAGGGAATACAACGCGTCTGTGTGCGCGTGGCCTCAACCTCGTGCCGCACAACGAGGAAGCAAAAAGAGATAAGAGATCTGGACACCCAGTACCACTGAGTATTATGTAACTAGAGTCCCTATAAAATGCTAAATATATCCACCCGCTCCAACAAACACATATAATCATCTTTCCCATATCTGTGTTCGCCTTTGGAATTCCGAGTATACCCAGATAGTCGACCAAGAGGAAAATGGATGCCCCCACGTCTACCAGGTAGGTTTGATACTTATAAGACCTAAGCTAGTGTTTATAACTTTCATCGTTCGCCAACTAACTTTCGGCGGGCTTGAAAGTGACAAACAAACAACTACGCACACCTGGGCATGCTGGCGCAACCGAGCAGGCACTGTCCGGCTGAAGCCAGCGCCATTACATACCTAGGAATGTAGCAGATAGGTTTGCAGACAATGATACTGCTGGCAAAATAAGCTTCTCTTTTCATGAATGTGCAAACCACGGTAGCGTATATCTCGGTCTGTAATACTAACTAGTTGTCTCAATAATGTTAATCTGAGCCTTCTGACGGGCCGGCAATCTTGAAGCGCATCAATTTCAACAGGTTCTCGGTCAACGATACAGAGGCAATTCATTCAAACTCTCAGCATCCACAATCATCCATGCCCACTTTCAAGGTTCTGTGTACAAAAGTTTCTCAGTAGTTCGCATTGTTCATCAGAGATTGTATGGCGTGGCATGAACCAGCAAGTCACACCCTGCCCTGGTCCCGATTCCAAAGTTGTCTTGGTACAACTCAAAGTCCGCAGCTGTGGCATCCTTAATGGTAAAATCGAATCGCTGGACCAAAGCAGCAACAAGCTGATACATCTCGGCCCAAGCCAGGCTGTGTGGTGGCCCAAAGCGTCAGCACGGGATACAAGGCGGCGGGAAGGGGGTGGAGGGTAGGACCAACTGCATGCCAACGCAAATCCTCGTTCCTCGTCCAAACGGAGCGTACAAAGAAGCGGTCGCTTCCCCAGCTGCGGAAACCAACCACCGGTCTGGATTGAAGCACATTGGATCCGGATACAATTCCTCATCAGTGTGTAACAACAAAGTAGTCATTCCAACTGGCGTGCCAGCAGGAATCCGCCATTTGTCATAAAAGAGATCCTTATCCGAGACGCGTGCTGCTCGCGAAGAAATTGCAGGACTAAGACGCATGCCTTCTGTCAGTACCGCCGTGAGATACGGCAGCTGCTCCAATTTCTTCAAATCGATTGCATCATACGAATTCTCAGAAAGTGAAGTGATCTCGATCCTGAGCCGCCTCAGAATCTCTTCATTTGTATAGACATGGAACAGGATCAGTCTGAGGGCGCTAGCGGTTGTTTCAAACGCTGCACCAGTCACCGTCATGACCTCCTCGAGAACACGATCAAAGGTCTTTTCGGCTGGTGGAAGATCACTATACACAATAGCGTGTATCATGGTCTCACCGGCTGATTTATCAGAAGGGGGCGATGCTGCAGCTGCTGCCAGAGTTTCTCGTGTGTGTTGTTCCGATTGCTGATTGAAAAATTAGCGCACTGCTCCATGCAAATGTTCTCGGATCCTGGGACTCCACAAGTCTCCTACCATTAAGCAGCCAAGAAAAGCTTTCGTGTTATCGTCAGCCATCTTCATAGCCCAGTCAATTGGCATTCCCCTGATCGTAGGACCAAACCAGTGAACATGCTTGGTTATCCGCCAGAATGGTCCTGCTCCTTGAGACGCGATAGATAGTCCAACACCAAAGTCATCGGAGTCAAGCTCATTATACTGTCTGCCTACAATAAGCTCGTTGGCACTATCTCGCGTGAAAGCACTAATGGCCGCTCCTAGATTGAAGGTAGACCCAGTGAGACCGGAAATACGCTGGCAGAGTTTGTCCAGGTTCCGGCGCAAGACAGGTTGTCGTGAAGCAATATTTGGCTTCGAGAAGAATGTGGCTATAGCACGACGCCGGGATTTATGATTGTCATGTCCTGCAAATAGGAATGAGCACACTGAGCCGAGACCACAGCACGAAAGGAAAGGGGACAGCATTTACCTGAGCCAAATATGGTAGAGTTTCTGGCTCCAAATGCATCATATGCCCAAGAGTACTTGTCCCAACGTCCATCCATACAATAGATGGTGTCGAAGAATTTGGGATCGTTCACATGCAGTTCGTGTGGACTGATGCGGATGATGGGTCCTGTTGACCGGTAAGAGTCAAATTACCACGAATGATTCACTTTGTGCTTGGAAACAATGTACCATAGATTCTGTGTAATTCCCCGATCTTAGAGGTATACTGTCCATCCAAGACTACATCATAGTAGCCCTCATACCATCGCGAGACTGCTGCCAGCCTCGGTCCTGGGAATAGAGCCAAAGGGTGAAGAAATAAACGATAAAAGACAAGTGTCACATAGTAAGCGACCACCGCACCACCTAGCAGCGTCCAATTCATTGAGAATTCCATGCCGGCTTGAAGTTTGTGAACAGGTCTGTTGCACACTGAGATAGAATGAGATGCCTCTGAAGGGACTCGGATGTGTTGAGCTCCTCGGGTGGAATGAATAATTTTTGAGACGAGGAGAAGGAGTGGAAGATCAGATCAGGTGGCCTTTCATGCACGTTACCACTAGTGTTTCTGTTTACCTAGGTATGCAGCGCCCATGGCTTGTCTAACTACGCATACTCCGGTGGATGCATAGCCGCGGTAGTTGCCTTGGTACCCACAACTTTTGCTTGCTGACACCGACGTATACAGTGCCAGTCTCTGAAGTAAGGATATCGATCCTACGAAATGAGCATGGCCAATGAAAACCTGTTCTCGCTCTGTAGCCGCCCAGGCGATGTGATCCACGCACCGCCGCGGCACAGCGGTCAGAGTTCCTCGGAGGTTGAGCTTTCCGGCGAACGCAGCCGGTGTCTTGAATTTTTTTGTGAGAACCAACAGATGCTACCTTGAACGGAGCGCCTCCGTGATCTTGGCCGTTCTATTGCATCTAGATTTGTACCTAGGTAGTGTGGTAACTGTGTGGGTTCAATGACACCTTGCCTTGCGGCGTAGTTGATCTATTACATGGGCACAAACTTGTATAGCCTGTTGGCTGTTGGCTTTATCTTTTTTCAAGGATCACTGCCCCCGAGCAAGGTCGCAACCATCATCGCACCCCGGAGTCATTAGACATCTAGTCAAGGGGCGCAGGAGGTGCATGATATATTAATATGCAATTAAAGAGGTTTTGGTATGGCTCCTCTGTAACATGCCTATGTTTCCTGAATTGCATCAGCGAGGTGAAACACATGAGCTACTGAGGACCTGATCTTGCCCGCAATGGTTTTTTGGGGGGTTTTTTTTTTTGACCGAGTATCCTGATGTCTGCGTTACTATTACGTCCAAGTGACACTGCCCCTGAGACCAGCAAAATGGATTCAAAGAGCCTCAGCCCTCCAATCATCCAACTTGCTGCCATCATCCATCGCTCAGCTGCTACAATTCAACAAGTTCTCGATGCACAAGGCGCTCCCTCACCCTCATTTGATGAAAATGTTCCTTCTCTTTGTGAAATTGGCCAGGCTCAAGATGATGTGCTTGACGCGACAGCGGAGCATCACGATTTGCTCACCGAGCCTTTGAATTTGGTACACCGGGCTGCAAGAGTACGTGCCGCTATTCCTTCTGTGCTCGCCTGAGTAGCTGACAACATATCCCAAGAGCGACAGGTCAGCCTGTTTGCAAACGATTTCTCGCTTCGGTATCGCAAGCCTGATTCCCCCTGGCGGCCAGCTTGCGTTTAGGGATATCGCCAAGCAGACGCCGCTCACAGAGCAAATGGTTAGCCGTATCATACGTCATGCCCGCGGAAGATATTTTGCGAGAATTGGTCGAGCAGGGAGACAAGGGCGAGACTGCCTTCTGCCTCTCCAGCCCACTCGTCCAGCTCGTTGCGACGAGCCCTCAGAACGAGATCGCCAAATTGCGACTTCATTTCAGTATCAAGTCCCTCAGGAGCGATGATCCACTCCATAGGTGGTCGCTCAAACCAAAAAGAAATAACTTTCTTAGCTTCCTGGTTCATGTTTGGCAAGGTTGATTTCGAATACTGGCGACAGAGGGCTGATGGAATCGATCGGAGTTTGAGCTACCCGCTACCCCTGTGTCAAATTGCATCTCTGACGGATACGGTGAGGTGGATGGAATATACTCACTCGAACCGTTGAGCGCCTTAAAAACATCTGGTGTGGTATGGAAACTTTAAGTAAGCAAACATTGAACTGATGCCACCCCGATGTGACACGTCGCACAGCAGATATTCAGTGAGGGGCTTAGGAACTTATCGTGTATATGAAGGTTTCATAATGCGACTAGAAATTCGAGTACCTATTCTTTAAAGTTATACACCCTTTACTCACTATTTATATTAGTCTTATATAAATAAAAGGCTTCTTATTATTTTAAGACTACTATATTTATAAATAAATAAATAAATAAATAAATAAATAAATAAATAAATAAATAAATAAATAAATAAATAAATAAATAAATAAATAAATAAATAAATAAATAAATAAATAAATAAATAAATAAATAAATAAATAAATAAATAAATAAATAAATAAATAAATAAATAAATAAATAAATAAATAAATAAATAAATAAATAAATAAATAAATAAATAAATAAATAAATAAATAAATAAATAAATAAATAAATAAATAAATAAATAAATAAATAAATAAATAAATAAATAAATAAATAAATAAATAAATAAATAAATAAATAAATAAATAAATAAATAAATAAATAAATAAATAAATAAATAAATAAATAAATAAATAAATAAATAAATAAATAAATAAATAAATATATAAATAAATATATAAATAAATATATAAATATATAAAAGGAGATAGAGAGTATAAAGTAGGTAGACTAGCTTAGGGTTAGGGTTAATATAGTAAACTTAATAAAAACACTAGTTTGTGAGTTAGAATCACACCCGGGGAGTTAGTGCAACACAAAAAATTCGATGTGGCACTCATTACCTAGGTAGCTATTAGACACGGTACTAAAGGCTACAAGGCGAAGGCAGGCGAAGGGGGCTTTTTACCTTGAGCATCTGAAAGTTGGAGAATCCTTGTTAGGTACATTCATTATATGGGTTCTGCACTAAAAGTCTTGTACTGGGTAAGCCACCGGAAATCGATGGGTAAGTGGACGCAGATGGCGGGTAGGTGGACGTTAGCTCTTAGACGACGTCACCTCATTCTCATTTTTGTCTTCCAGGACGAGACACAAGGTAGGAGTTGAAAATTTGCACATTTGTCCATGGCAAACTTGCTTTCTGTGTCAGCATTGCTGGAAGATGGACTACGAGGAGCTTGCTTCGATGGGCTGGACTCATTCTTAACTCCTGAAAGAAAAGATACTAATCTCAGACGTGTCACGTATTGCGTTATTCCAGCATTAGTATATAATAAACGTTGGGTCTTTGAGCGTTTGCCGCTGTACGAAGCACCGTATACATTTTATATTTGGGTGCTTTCGAAGCGAGAACCTTGCAAACCTCTAGGCTGTGATATCAAGTTCACTGTGGCGAGACGCAACAGTTCTGGGGCGAAGCTCGGAGTCTCCGTGTGATGCGGTTCGAAAGACTGATGTTGAGGAGGGTAAATCATGTAACGCGATTCCAACACCCGGCGAAACGTTTTCTCCTTGGCCAGAGCTCATTTCAGCGGGACTGGCACGCTCGGCGTCCTCCCTCGCAAGCATCTTCTCGCAGAACCACGGCAGGAAGTTGTAATATCCCCCGCAGGCGAACACGCCGCACCAGAGCACGAACTCGGTGGCGTAGATGATGACACCGAGGACGTCAACCGAGGGCTGGAACATGATTGACGCGAGGGAGAAGACGTCCCCAGCGGCATCGATTGCGACAAAGATGAATGAAATGCCGCGGACGGTGCGGTGAACGTAGATGTCCCAATAATGCCGCAAAACGCCGGCGGCGAGCAGCGCCGCGGAGAGGACGGCCATGACGATCATCGGCCACTCGGTGCCGCGGTACTTGGGGATGCGCAGAGCGAAGACGAGGGCTGTCTGGATCCCGGCCATGACTGCTGCGATAAGAGTCGCGACGGTGAAGGAGCGGAGGACGGACCAGTTCTGACATGTTAGTCGCACAAGGTGAAGAAGATCCGTGGGATTGGAATGCCTACCCGCTCATAGTAGTAGCACTGAATCCAGGTGATAAGACTCAGGAAAGTCAGAATCTGGGGCTGGACGCGCAGGGCGATGTTGAAGTCCTCGACGATGTTGTAGACGCCCAGAGGCACGCCGGCCCATGCCCAGAGCATCATCATCGAGGGCTGGAGGCCGGTTGCATTGTGACGACGGTAGTTGATGATGATTTGCGGGATGAGCTGGTCTCTTGTTAAATGGGTATTGGTTCAAGGGAGATTTGTAACGGACCTGGATTGACCAGCAGACCTGCGATGTGTAAGTTTACCTTCATGTTGTGGAGGCTATGAGATGCTCACTGCGCCCAGTGTTCCCAAGGCATTGGCGGCGGCTGGGACATCCATACTAAATCCTAACTACGTTCGTTGATTTTTATAATTGTGAGCTTTGCTCGTAGAAAGCATGTAAAATGAGGATGGGGCAGCCTAGGACATACCTCTTCTCTCGTAGGTCTACGAGAGAGGAGACGGTCGGCATCGAACATTCGGACCCGAAGGAACAGATAGGTCACCCGTACAAGGCTGACTAAGCCGCTGCGACTCATAAGATTGCTGTACACGTCCGAAGACGTGTGGTTTCGTTTCTAATCCCCATACATATAAAACGTATGCGGCACCTCCATATAGTGGTAAACGCTGAAAGACCTGAAGGTTGAAAAAAATTTACAATGCCAATTCGTTCATTTCACATGCCTGAACTTTAGTCAACGCCCCTTTATTAAAGCATCACGTACACTACCAATTAAATCCCCCCTTCATAATCGGCAGCTCACTTTTTCATCACCATCCGTATTGCGTTCAAAGAAAGAATTACCTATGGCCCCCTACAGGGCGTGATGGAGAAATGTAACTCTTCCACCCATCCAATGTCCAATTCAAAAGACGTGCCAATTCCCATACCTTAGGGTAACCTTGGAGTTATAACTATTAAAGTAGAAGATCCAAGCCCAAGAGTCCTCCGGCACCGACGAACCACGTGAAAAGTCCTGTGAATGAGGTCTTCTCCACGAAGCTGGCACCTGACGTTTCGGTGCTTCCCGCCCCACCGGTGCTCGACGTGCCATCGGCAGACGACGTCGCTGTGGCAGTCGCGCTCCCCGAGCCAGATGAGAAGATGGCCTCGCCGTTGCCACCGGGGTATGCGCCACCGGCGAGGGCGATGAAGGTTCCCGGGACCTCGGGCTCGCGGCTCACGTACCAGAACTCGCCGGCGGCCGGCCGGTCGAGTCGGGCCTCGCTGATGAAGCGGTCGAGGCTGAACATGGACCGGTTCTGGTCGCTGAAGCCGGCGAAGGATTCCGGGATGGCGAAGTTGTCCGGCTGGGCGAAGGCGTAGATGATGTAGCGATGGGCGCTAGAGTTGGTCGGTGGCATGGGAGGGCGGTACGGGACAAGAGCTGGCGTGCTGTTCGTCAGGGCGCGCTGGCCGGTCAGAGGCGCCTGCGCCTCGGTGTTTTGGGTGACGTTTGCGGCAAGCCAGTGGAGGATGAAGCGCCTGGTCGGGTTGTCTGGTGACGGCGCATCCGGATCTACCATGAGGATGACATAGTTGCCGTTGTAGTCGGCGATAGACTGGTAGGCGGCTGGGTTCACGGCCAGTGCCGGTTGTTGGCTTGTGACTAAGAAAAGCGTCAGCGGAACATGATGATAAGGCGCGGATCGTCGTGACTGGCGAGCTTACTGTTTCCTCCGAAGAGCTGGCCCTCCTGGACCACCGTTGTGTTGCCATCGAAGGTGAAAGCTACGCTGAGTTCGGTGTGGTTGCCGCTGTCGACAAATCCGAATTCTGGTGGCGGAATGGCCAGACCTGGGCATGCCGCAAGGGCGAGGGCGACTAGTTTGTAGGTCGTGATCATCATCGTGACTGATAGTATGCTATAGCGATTTTGATCTTCAAGAAGAGATTATTGCCCTCTTGAAGTTTGGGCCGCGACACAGGCACCACTTCTTATTGAACGCGGCGCAGACAAATTGCCAAGAGATCGGCAAGCTTCATCCCGTCATGCACACCAGCAACGGATCGCGCTACAGCCGCAAGAAACATGACATGTATCAGCCGAGAGCGATCCCGCCACTACGATGGCCTATCAGCACGTTTCTCACCCGTACCTGCACCTACGAATGGCTGCCAGTCGGCACAGTTGGTTTGATCTGATTTGTAGATGGCAGAAACGATGTCATTGGCACCCAACGCAGTTGGTCCCTAGGTGCCCGCAAGCAACGACTTCCGCCTTGGCTGAGGCACGGGGAGGGAGGCTTTGTAAAACAATAGGACTGAGCAAGTGACTTTCAATCGGCTTTACGTCTTTCCAAGCCAAGTTGAGCCTCTTTGGCTGCAGGTATAGAGTCCAATGGCCGCACGCTCCGCTTAAGAACACTCGTCGAATACTATGTGCTGAAAGGCCACACAAGCCAAAGGCAAGTGGTTTCGTTTACAATCCCCATAGTTACATATAAAACGTATGCGGCGCCTTCATACAGTGGTAAAAGCCCAAGATCCAGCGTTTAGAAAACACATACAGTGTCGATAATAGTGGTGAAAATACGATAGGTGCTAGATACTTACACTTGTCCATTTATTATCAGTTGGATGAGAACAGGATGTACGCGTTCACCCGCTTCACCGCCTCCACTTCCTCTGCATCAAGTTCGACCCTCTCAATGTCTCATGGTACTTCATGCCCAGGTGGCGATTGTGTGGGTGGTTTGAGATGCCTTCGTCCATAACCATTGCCTGTGTCTCGGCGGTCTCGATGAAAATGTCACGGAGAGGATTCCATCCTTCAGTCGGGAGTCCACCGTACTGGGCCGAACAGCAGTAGGTGGCTGTTCTTGGCACCAAGTGCCAAGGCCATCCTCCTTCTGGGCCAACAGAGACATTACCACTCGGGCAGTGTCCGCAGAACAGGGAACACATGCATCAATGTCAGTGACTAGCTGTTAGTAGTTAGCAGGGTGACATTGGCTTCAAAAGCGAAGGATTCCATAATGGAAAGACGGGTGAGTTAACCACGTGTTTCGACATTGCAGCAGCAGGCTGGTGTGATAAATTCAACTTCTAATATTCGGTTGAACCCCAGGCTAAGACGGAATCGTACACGATATTCGATTCGGTTTAATTCAGGGCTAAGCTTCGAGTGGTTTCTGCCCAAGGTATAGACTGAGGAGATGGAGGACTTCCGCTGTTGCATAGGATGCCCACTGCTTGAACCCTCAGCAACTGGGTGTGACTTGCAGGTGGGTAATACCGGTAATACCGGAAGTTATGGCAGGCGATCGAAGCCTGACCCACGGTATTGAGTTCGCCTAGGCCATATGCAGTCCACTACGCTATTTATTACTCAGGTCCTACCCGCGCTTGTTGGAAAGTGTTGTTCTTCTCCTCTCTATACCTATTCAGAAATTTTGTTCGTCGGAAACTGGCAAGCGGAAACGACAACTCTAGAACATAACTCTCTTCTGCATTTCCCGCCACACGCTCGAGTGTCCTGCCGAAGCCACTTGCCTGTCGACAATACAGCCTGTCTCTCTATATACACAGTCACTATTTTCACTAGGCTATTCACATCTGTCGCTTCCGAAACAGGAAATAGCCTCTCCCGTCATCCCACCACTATGTCAATCAACAACAATGACACTAAAACCTACCCCTAAACTGCTGTATCTAAGCCTATTTATATCGATATTAATAGTAAGTCTATTTATATCGTTATCCCATGCGGTAATTATATAAGTAATAGTTTAAATAATTAGATAATTATTCATTATAAGCTTAGCTTTATATAACTTACTAGTAATAATAAGGTTAATATTTATTAATAGTAGTGTAATCTATTATAAAGGTATACTAACTTAATATTTAAAGAGCCCTTTTTAATATCTAACTTTATATACTATATTACTTTTATAGTAAGGGCAACTAATTCCTTATACACACAATTGGTAGTACTGCTGTCTTCCGCTCTGAGGGATGGGGTGGTGGGTGATGGGACGCTCGGACTAGCTATGGTTCTGGTGGTGTCCGCGTGGCGATTGTTTATGTGAGGTAGCTGCAAGGAGTCATTTCAATGTTGCATTAAAGCCGGAACCACTGCCGTGTTGAATCCTGGAGGTGTTAGGTATAGTGGCACCTATTTATTGTGTTTGTCTTCTTCCCAATCACCTGTCTGACAACCAACAGACCCCTCACCTATCAAGTAACACTCTTATCCACCAAGGAATTCCTTCAAGCCGCATACTGAAAATTGCATTCACATTGCTCATCGATCAAGGACGTTCCCAGCATCGACTTCGTGCTGGTGTTAGAGCCGCTTCCTCCCTTCGTGTGGTTTCGTTTTTAATCCCCATACATATAAACTGTATGGAGATCAATGTATCAATGCCACGCCACCACGAACATCCTCAGCCCGGCTGATCGGACAGAGTCACTCGTGATAGTCGAATTGTCGGCTTACTGGGCGATTGCGAGTGATGATGCTGTTGTGAATAGCACTTCACGTGCTTTTGTGGACGGCATCATCGGCGAAGCCAAACGGTACAACCCGTACATCTTTGCGAATCATGCGAATAGAGACCAGGGTCAGGACGTCATTGGAAGCTATCCTAGGGGATAGTTTGGAGCGCGTTGCGTTTTTCAAGAAGGTCAGACAGGCCGTTGACCCGCAAGGCGTTTTCAACTGCATGGTTCCCCGGGGTTACAAGATCCCTGGGCAGTAGGTGGGCTGAGGCGTCAGAGAAAACCCTCCGTCTGCGATTTTCATAGGCGGAGAGTACGAATGCCCTGATGTTGACTTTTTACAACAATAATTAACTCAATTAAGCCTATCACGTCGATTTCTGGAAGAACGGGCCTCGGCAATACCGCGTGCGGAGCGTTGCAGACAGCCACATATTTTTTCTCAGTGCAAAATGCCTGCTGAAATGCCATCCTTGGTTTTTCTACATCCTCCCTCCTGGTTCGTCAATCCATTCGTTCCCCGCCAATCAAATGGCGAGCAGTAATTCAAGCCACTGTTGCTCAGCCTCCAATAATGCGTCGTGGGGGAGTCAGCATTTCTGGAGACTAATGCAGGCACGCCCTGCAAGACCTGTAAGGGTGTTCAGCTGAGGGAGCCTGAGCCACCATAACAAGCGATAAGCCCAGCAAAGAGCCTCGCTAATTATTCCGTGTGTGTCTGCTCAGCCCCGATGTGACTATGAGCAACGCCTAGTACGCCCGCGATATAGCGGAGGTGAGACTGCGCACGCAGCCAGGGTCAGACATTCAGGTTTTTGCAGGCACCAGCTTGAGCCAGCCAAGTGCCCACCTGACTGCGATCGCAGTGTGATCGCTCTCTTTCAATTCCCAAGTTCTTGATGGGTCAAGTTGGCGTAATACATCGACCTCAGCAGTCGTTATAATTTCGAGTTTCAAGTAAACACTGGGTGATGTTTTGTCCTATGAGCTCTGGCTGATACCCATCACATTGAGAACTCCGATTGGGAAATCAGGGCAGCCCCGAAGCGGGCCGATTCCGACATGGATCCGCTTTCGATCACCACGTCCGCAATCACGCTCATCCAAGCAGCCGGCTCCGTAAGTTAGCCCGATTTCCATCAGCATCTTACCCTCCTTGAGAAAGTGCGAGGCATATTCCAAGGTTCAGTCCTAGGAATCATAGTCCTAATGTTGGTGTCGCGACTAGGCAGAATACTGACAAAGGCCTAGATCACGAGTTCGTTATGCGGCTTTATCAACCAGTGCCGCGGAGCCGAGAATCGAATCACAAGCCTGTGCGACGAGCTTGAAGGCCTGACCTCAGGCCTCGAGGCCATAGATCGCACCCTCAAGGGCCGCAACGCACTTGACCTAGCGCTGGTGGAAGACGACCTATGGAAGCAGTGCGAACTTGCACTGGACGACTGTCATGTGACGCTGAATTCTCTGGGCGTGCTGGTGCAGAAAATCAAGGAGACGGTCAAGGGCAAGGCCTGGGCGTGGAGGGTGAAGGCCGTGGTGAACCTCAACGTGTACGGTGGGGAGCTCGCGGCTTTCAGGGACAAGGTGCACAAGTCGAACTGGGCTCTCCAGACAATGCTTCAGACGATCAATGTCTCCTTGTCCTTGAGGAACAATGCATCCCAGGAAGCCATACTTTTCGAGCTCGATCGTCTGAAGTCATCTATCGACGAAGCCCTGCGGGCATCCGTTCGGCCGGCAGGGAGCTTTGCCCACCGGCCTGCGGACTATTCTGACGCGCGTGTGGCCCGGAACCTCAAAAATCTCGCCCAGGCGGCGAGGCACTTCCACAGCGCGGCGAGCTCAACAGCCAGTACTATACGCGATGGCTCACGGAACGGCGCGCCATGGCAGACTTATCCAGGGGCAGATGTTGATGTGAGTCTCATGGGCGATCTGCCGTCATTCAGGAGGGAGCGCGTTGAGGAGTACGTTCGCGAGTGGCGCCAGCATCGCAGGTCATCATCGTCAGGGCTGACAAGCCCGAGCTTCACCCCAGCTGGTGAGCATACCAACAAATCTCGGCCACGTAGAAGACCTCGATCACCTCGCCTTTCGACTGATTTGGGCAGCCCCCGCCCGCTATCGTTCTCTGGCGTAGCGGAAACTGTTACAGTATCAGGCTCGGTGGCCGGGGCTACCGTCGAGGACGAAGAAGACGATGATGTCGAGTTCGAGCGCCTTTTTCTCGACGGCCTGGAAGAGCTCGCCAAAGACCGTATCAAGGAGCGCGACTTCGACAAGGCGATCGAGTTCCTGCAGGAGGCCATGAAACGCGAGGTTGGAAGCAAGTCTGACAATGAAGCATTCCGCAACCTGCAGGTACAACTCGCGCTGTGCTACCTCCTGCAGCGTCGATGGGAAGCAGCAGATCCCATCATAACGGGCCTCGCCAAGAACAAGGCAGCTGTGGATGCGGTCGTCTGCAATCTGCTTCACTCCATGGCTCTGGTCCACTTGTCGCTCTACCACTTTGACAAGGCTCTGACCGTCTGCAGGGAAGCGCTAATGGCTAAGAAGAAGCTTCTAAAGAAGGAGAAGATCGATGCCGACGACTATGCCCAAACCCAGGGTCTTCTGGTGATGATATATGAGATCAAGGGCGATTGGATGCACGCCGAGGTCTACCATTCACAGATCCCAGCCAACTTCTCCTACAAGCACCCGAAGGATGAGGTTGAATTTGTCACCATGCACCCAAATATGCTCTTCACTGTTCTGGGTGATAACCTCCCTGACTTTTCTTCTCTTGTACCAAAGGTCACGCCTGGCTTGCACGAGCTGGATGGCTCCGGGCCTGATACATGTCCCACCTCTCACCCGACAGCAGGCCTCAAAAGGAACAATACTTACAACGGCAATTCGCCGCTGAAAGTCAAGTTTGCTCAGCAGCTGCGATACGAAGCCGATACAAGCAAGATAGCTTATGTACCGGAGTCTGAGTCGTCTGCAGAGAGTTCTCCTGTATCCAGCTCTGACCCCAGCACCAATGGGGACGCAGATGACGAGGTCTCTCCACCAACATCCCCGGAGTCAGCGTCACCAATAAAGCGCAGGTTCTCTCGGATGTTTGGCGGGAGAAGAGTTCAACAACAAAGAGCTGCTAAACCGCCTGCATCGCCAACAGTCGACCACGCCGACGTTCCGAGCCCCGTGCAAGACAGGTCGGCGCTAAGGTCTGGCTGGCTCAACACCACCCTCGGGTTCAAAAGGTCTAGGAATCGCCTGCGGAAGGCTCATCGGGACGAGGAGTTGGGGGGCGTGGGCAAGTCCAAGGAATTCAAGCTGTTGTACATGGAGCGCATGACGACAGAGAACGTTGGACAGGTGAAAGACCCAGAGTATCGGCGCCAGTACTGGTCTCCGGACAGCATTGGGAACTCCGACACAAGCGCCCACGAAATGGATGCTGACAATGAAAATGATCCAACGAGCGGGGATGAAGCACCTTTAGCGCCAGTCTCGAAAAGCGGTGGTGGACATGGAGTATTCTCGCCATGTGTGGATGCACTCCCGGAGAATGGGTTTGGAGATGACAATTTTACGTTCAAGAATCGTGTCCCATATGTCGATATCAGGGGACACAGACGTCGTCAACCTCAGCTAGAGGACGTGCAGGAAGAGAGCTTCATGAGCGACGAAGATACCGAGGCGGACATGCCAGAGTCAAATCCCATTGTGGAGTTATCAGGCGATTATGTCGAGTACTTTGAGTCGCACAGAGTCTTTGACCCATATCTCTGCCGCTCAGACTTTGAGGTCGAGGAATATTGGGACACTGCAATGCGGGCGAAACCCAGTGGTGTCAAGTCTTGCAATATGGTTCTCGAGAGCACCAGCCCGTCCGGGATGAGCTTCGGTGAACACGAAGCCCGGGTAATGTTGATGTTGGGAGACGAGCCTCCCGCTTTGACCAGCCAGGAGACGATCATAGAAGCCACGAGCGCATCCGACAGGCCCAAACCGGGCAGGAAAGTCCGCCGTGCTGCTGTCAAACAAGTGGATCCGCTCTTGCAGTCAATATCATCGGTCCTGGTCTCACTGGCCGACATCACTGACGCAGAGGGTCGCCATGCCGTGAAGCTTGACCTCGAGATAATGGCGCTGGAGTTCAAGAACCGCTTCCGCGATGGGCTGGTGTATCAGGACTTGCAGAGGGCCATTTCCTCGCTGGAGAATGACGCCATCACCGTGCCGGAGAACGACAACAATGATTCCGGCTACGAGTCTATGGGTAGCGAGACAGAAACGGAAGATGCGAAGGAGAAGCCAAGCTCGACCGCAAAGAGGGCTGCAATTTCCAATCCAAGGTCGCCTGTTGCAGACGACACCATGGCCTTGCATGATCGTCCAGAGAAGCCTAGAACGCAGGCCAGTCTAGTTTCGGAATCATGTGATCCTCCTCCACAAACGTCACCGCCGAAGCAAACAAGCCAACCCCGGGCGACCCAAGAGCCACGACTGCCACTGAGGAAACGATTCTCGTTCGAGAACGGGCAAGACGAGGTGGTTGATGCCAACGACGCAGTTGCCGCACTACGTGCCGCCGTCCAATCCGGAGAAGCCGATGCTGTCCAATCCGCGATTAAACCAAGTCGTGCGCACACTCGCTTCCCTATCTCTGGGAAGATACAAGAGAAAACCGTCTCCGACACTGCAGCAATCGAACATACAGCACTAGGAAGTCCCCAAGTCACTTCATATGAACTGACCGAGCGGAAACCAATCGTACTAAAAGGGGGAAATGACTTTGATCGAAAACAACCAACTGAAATCTCAGAAGAGGAGAGGACGAGTAGCGGGCTGCAGGGCAACGAACCTCGGGAGCGTGTCAGGAATCCACCATTTCATGACGCAGGAGAGCCTTTGACTACAGTATGAATGGACCGCATATACTTCATATATACGCGGATTAAGCACGAAACTGTTCGTGACCCAGGACTCGGAATTTATTTGCTCGGGGGATCGGATTTTAGAAGCAAGCTGGCCTTGCTGTATTTAGCAGACCGTCTATTGCCTGGTGTCTCAGTGATGGACCAAGACAACCTTCTTTCGAAGGCAACAAACAATCAATTCCAGTTTTCGGTTTCCCCAGTTTTCTGATTCTCTAAACTTCTGTTCCGCAAGAGACAAGACCATGGATTCAATGGTCTCCACTCGCTTGCTAGACCCTGCTCTTTCGGGTATCTGCAAGGCTTCTCCCGCAACTCGCAAGTATCTCACTCTCCAACCTCATTCTCTCATACGTAGCCGTCCTCGGATAATCATCTGCCCTGCTACTAAACCCATAGATGAGTCTCATCACTGTCCATGGGAAGTCGTCGGCCTCGTGCTGGAAGACAAGGTGGGGGTTTGCGCCTCTTTCCAAATATTCCCGTGCTCGTCCGTGATCGCCAGCTACACATGCCATGATAAAAATTGTCCAAGGGCCGGACTGGGGGCCGGACTCGCATGTGAACTGAGAATTGATGTCTGCGCCATGGTCCAGGTACTTGTCCACTAGGTCGTCTCTCTCTGCGACTTGGGCCATGTGCAGAGCAGTGAGGCCAAAGAAGCCTTCTTGATTGATGTTGACACGACACTTGTTCAACAGATAGTCGATCGTGTCGTTGAGCTCCCAGCGTGTGGCGATATGGAGCGCGGTAAGCCCGCTGGCTTCTCCTAATATGTTGACATTGGCACCCCGCTCCATCAACAGTCGTGCTGTCGACTCCTTCCCATTGCAAAGAGCGTAGTGCAGCGGTTTGAACTCTTCAAATTCGACACGTTCGACACTGTTGTCGTCGTCATCGTCATCGTCGTCGTCGTCGTCGTCGTCGTCGTCGTCTGGGTCTCTCGAGTAGAATCCCAAAGGTTCTGGGAACGTTTCAGGGCAGCGGAGAATTTTATCAGGCCGACAGGGGCAGAGATTCCATGAAATTTGCTCGATATCGGCGCCGTGACGCAACAAGTATTTCACCATGAAATCTTTACCATGGCTTGCGGCCCATGCCAGCGGTGAGAAATATGCTTTATCGCGAGGCCGTATGAATGCCTTCGTCCTTTCGAGGTCGTGTTCACGGAAGCTTTCGCCGACATCGAGGGGGTAACCAAGACGACGGTTCTTGTCGCGCATATTGACATCGACACCATTCTCAACAAGCCATTGCAGGATTCTGTATTGGTCGTTTTCGATGGCCCAGTAGACTTGTAACGTATTGTTAGCTTATTACCTTGGTAGATCTGTTGCTTCAGAGGCCCGTTCAGCATATTTCTGCCAATTACCTACTGGCTAAGCCTTTTTCCTCGTCGACATGTCTCTCGTATGCTGTAAAGAGAGCAATTTCGTAATAGCGGCGACCCGTGCATGCCAGCGAGATAAGATCACGAGGCGACAGAATCTTGTGCTGACATTTTCCGCGAGGAGAAACAAGCTGCGTTTCTTCTGAGCCGATAATGATCAGGAGGATCTCGGCTGGCACGCGATCGAGACCCCATCCACGCTCCTGAGCCATGGTTGTGCCGTCATACGGGTGGACGTATGCCAGAAATCGAAAGACGTTTGCACGGCTGTAGAAGAAGTTGTTGAAGTGGAAAATTGGCCAGGTAGAGTACCACTTGAAGAAGCGGGGAGGCCAGTAGAAATGTTGGTGTTTGTTTGAGTTTCAAGATCTGCCTGAGGCCGCACAGCTGTGCAAACGGGGAAACAAAGAGCAGGACTTGCTTGTGGTCAGTGCGTCTCGACAAGATCTCTTTACTGTAATTTGGGCCGTCACGGAGCTGAATGTTCATTGATGCATGACAGCATTGGAGTTGGAGTCTACGGGTAAATCTGGGGACCTGCCTTGGACCTGTGCGTGGTATGCCCAGGTGGCTAGAAATGCCAGTGAGTATACAGACTGCGATTCTTATAACCATTGTATCATCGTACGGACACTAGACCTCCCAAAATAGACAACCTATAGTGACCTCAGCATCCCAGTCCCTCCGTGGCATCCGATATACTCGAAGAACTGCTGATCCGCCTCGAGCACCAACACCTCATGGAATAAACTCAGGCTCATCCGGTCCCCCAACCTCTTCGCATACTTTCCAAACTCCCCAAATATGGCCAGGTGCGTCCTGTGCTCCTTGCTCCAGCGCTCCAATGAGGACAGGGTATCGAAATACGCCAGCCCAAAGGTTCGCTCTGTGCCGCTGCCTTCCACGTTGCCAGTAATGGGATCGACGATATCCATGAAGCGGCAGCTGAAACAGCCGACCTCGTCACCGTGGTCGCGGAGGTACTCCATTCCTCTGATCAGCGGCGGCTGCATCGACTTGAGGTAGAGCTCTCGCTCCTCCTCCAGCGCTGCTGACCAGTCCTGCCCGGAGCGGATGACGGCCAGGTTCTTCTTTCCAGGAACGCGGACTCGTCGTGAGAGGCTTGTGCCGTTTGCGACGGGCGCCTTAACGTGTGACTGATCATCGCTGTCTTCCCCCAGAAGCTTGTCCGTTTGTGAAATGGGCAGGCGGTCTCGCATACTACCCCAGTATACGTGCTCTTTGATCGGACCGCTCAACTTCTCTCGCATGTGCGCAGCGCCCTCGGGCGTGGCTGTGGTAAACACAGTCTCGAGCCGGTCCGCCGTCGGCAAAAACACCTCCATGAACCATCCATGTCCAGCTTCCCCATCCGGTTCGAGCTTGCTCCACCAGCCATTAAAGCCACTGTTCACAGACCACTCCCTGTAGGCCTCCGTGCTAGGCCAGTACGCAAACAGCGCAACGTTGTAGAACCCATGGTTATCAGTCACAGCGGCAACCTCGTGGAACGCCGGGCGCGCGGTGGGGTCGACGACGTCAGAGGAGATGAATGAGGAAATTTTCTTTAGGCTGGTGCCGTCGTTGAGCTCGGCTGACTTGTACTGAACGCCGATTATCGCCATGACTATGTCTTTTATGACTTTGGGGAAGCGGGCGGTGTACAGTTCGTAGGGGGGCGTGAAGCCGGGAGGCATCTTGGCGGGTTCGGTTCGGTCCTTTCGGAGCCACTCGGAGATGGCGGATTCGATTTCCATGGTCACGATTTTCTCTGCTTAGCTGAACAGCTCTAGGTATTGAAAGAATGTATGAAATGAGAATCATAGAACAAAGTAAGAAACAGCTGTCCCATCAAAGAAATGTGATTATACAAGTAGCATACAGGTGAAACCATATAGAATTAGGATGGGCTTTGAGAGGAGGCAATGCCTACGTATTCATATCCAAACCCACCACACCTTCTTGTACTTGAGTGTGGATACCAGTCAGACCTTGACTAGAGCGTTTAGTACGGAAGGGGGAAAGTGAGGTTATACAGACTAGGATGCAGCGACGGCGAGATAGGATAGTGCTCTACCGGCGAGGGGGTTCAGCGACCACAGGCATCTTGCAAGTCAGGTTACCCCTGGTTTAAGACCGCACAGCACTCACCCAGGTTCAACTTTCTTAGATAGGGTATTGCTCAACCGCGAGTTGCACTAACTCCAACCGTACCTAGTACAAGATGTACCAACGGATGAGGGCTTTTAGGCTAACTTTGAGTGCATCCCGATGGATAGGAAAGGCGGTGCCGACACTATTCAGGCCTTTGATCAGGGCGAGGAGCTTTGATCAACGCATCAAATCCGTGATCGATACTAGTAGGCTGTGCTGTCTTTCTCGAGATGGAATTGACAAAGCAAAATACTACCAGGGTGACTGGAGTACCGGTGTGTCTACGCCCCTAAATTAAATACAGAGCACAGAGTGATTTATCTGTTACCATTGAGGTCTTCTACCTAGGTACTGTGCCTGCTGGATTATAATATACCGCCCCATGGCTAAGTAAAGCGTCGAATATAACGCCCGAAGTATTCAAAATAACATGAAGTCACCACGCAGTCGAGCGGGTATATCTCTTACTAGACAGACAGCATACCTAGGTATATAACTACATCTGCGTCTTGCCTTCCTAGCACAGCCACTATTATAATAGCGCCGGTACCGGCCAAAACTAATTATATTTATAAATATGGGCGAGTTCACGGCTCTTATGATAGAAAATGGAACATATATTATAGGACATTGACAAGGAATCGAGCCTAACATCGTACTTGAAGCGAGGCATTAGTGCGACTGCTACTGGAGTGGAGGCCCAGGCCACACCTTCAAGGGCTAACCCGTCCCCCAAGGGGGGCCGCAGCTGCTAGGAAAACAGTATTTTATTAAAACGAAATACTATCACCTACTTCCCCATATATAGAATAAAAAATTCCCATTATTTCTAGGACCCTTCCTTCTTCCAAATTAACTTAAATCTTCTTTTAAATTAACTTAAATCTTCTTTTATTTTAATAAGTTATGAGTTTAGGTATTTTATAAGTTACTTAATACCTGAATTATACTTATAAAGTCACAACAGAGGTTTTCAGGAGCTCCATCTTCTACACAGACGGGCCCACGCTCACCATTCATATTTGGAAATCAGTGGATTTTCTCTTCTGGATATGTACTGCTCGGTTCATGGTACTTTCGAAGATGGAAACTAGTCCTAGCGTAAGATTTCGAGATAGGCTCCGCTATGCTAGCTTTTGGGCGGCCTTGGTGCTTGTGAAGTAAGGTGTCATACTACCTAGGTAGTTTATGTGCCGGCGTATTTAATATCAAGTAAGAATAGCTCATAGCCGCACAACCACTAGGAATGTTCAAAATTCAAATTTCGACAGGTTTCTCGTTCACGTTCGAATACACCTCTCAACGGACAACATTAGAAGCGCTTGAATCTTTTCGACGAAAGCTTTCCGCAGAATCAGGACCTTGTGGAGTCTTGGAGTTTCCTCACTTTGAGTTCAACCGACAAACGATTCTTGGATCATTGGGACATCATGAGAGAAACAAACGAAGATGAATACGAAAAACTCCGCGAGCTTCCTGGTTTCCCAGGGATGGAGAGGCCAGATCGAGGAGTGCCCCAGCCTGGGCAAAGCGAGGCGCGTCGTATAAGCCCAAAATCGCATTGGCACCCGAAAGATTTCATTCGATACCCCAAATTCAAAGGCGAAAGTCGGAATACACAAAATGAACATGGCAGTCACGTTATTCGGCTTCGCACGATCTCCAAGACGCTCATATTGCTGGTCATCCTCGCATCGTTCGCCGTTCCTGTGACCTCAGCAGCCATCCCTCCCTATTATATGGATCCGACAGTCTTGGCGGCGGGCATGTTGGCGAACGTTCCCAGCATCTGTGTCGGGGCCAACCTGATTTCTGCTTCGCACCGCAAAATACTCCCGCTGGTGATAATATGGTATGGTAGTCCAAGGCCCCTTGCCGCATTCCTTACTAACCAGCCGCAGGACGTGCACCTGTGGGCTGGTGTGTGAAGGCGCTTTTGTGGTTCTACTCATGATGAAGCTCCGCAGGGGGCTACGGATGCGTTTCCTGAAGCTCGTATCTGTGTGGTCGGTCATTTTGGTGCTCGTTGCCCAAAAGCTGTTGAGGAATGGAGAATGGAATGTCATCAACCTGCTCCCTTTGTGCGTCACCTTTTGCGCGATCGGTTCTTGCATGATATTGGAGACAAGGACTTATGTTACCCTTAGAGATGGAACTGCGCGAGGGGAACCCTGGGAATCATGGGAACGGAGAATCCTAGGGATGGTTTGAGATTTTCAGATGACTCATATGCTCTTGGGCCGTCTTTTGTATGGTGTTATTTTGATCTCATCTTGGTCTGTCTTGGTCTTGGTCTTCAATTTCAGGACTCTAGCTACTCTGGAGTTATCAGGCAAGAACATGCCCAGTCGTGACGGATCAGAGCAAATAATTTAGTTCATCAAAGAATGAGTATTGTTGTTAGTCCGGATATGAACCACTTTCTACTTCTCAAGTGATATAAATACGTGGAGTAATTGCCCTTGAGCTGAATCTCAAATGGACCACACTCCTAATCTTGAAGCACTGTAAGCCAGTATTTTCAAGACTACCTTAGGGTACTTCGAATGATCAATTTTTCTCGGCAGTTGATTCCTGCTTGGTTTCCATGCTCTCCTTGTCCGCTCTTCTCTTCACCAAATGGGGCGGGCACGTGCCGCCTTTTGACGGCCGAAGAATACCGTCGCCGCTGACGCCGTCAACACTCCCTGAATTGGCTGCATTCGAACCGGCTATTTCGAGTTTTAAGGTCAACCTTTCGTCCGCAAAGATAGATCCTGGGATGATAACTGACCTATTCCATTAATGAGACCCATGGCCATCTTATCGGCAATCTTTTTGGTCTTCTCAAGCTGTGCAATCATGTGCGGTGAGCAAGTGGAATGTCTCATATGAAGCCGAGCCAAGTATGGCAGTGCTAATTACTTACCAGTTCAGATCCGGTCATGACTGCAAGCGTGAAGAGAGCGATTGGTGTCCTGAAACAATGGAGATGGCTCAAACAGGCTTTTGGTGTTGACGTACTGCTGGACTTCAAACTCGCTAAGAAGTGCTTAGAAAAAGCGGCAAATGCAACTCTGGGTAGAGGAGCAGCACATAAATACCTCTGACCTACTCTGCCAGTTAATCCGAGGATCGAGCGCGGTAGCTCCTGCGCCACCAGTGTGACACCTCTCAGATGACTACCACTGCGAGTTGCCTCCAACCATCTTGGCGCCCAGAAAAGCCACCGAAAGTTGATGCCTAATTCGGAACTGCACTGCCTACTTTGCAGGGCGAATTGTACACTCACACCAGTCACCATATCCGGTCGGAACCTATTATAGATCCCACACTCTCACATCACGAGTGGTGATCTTGCTGCCCAGGTGTACTGGTGGCGATTAGGCTGATTTTGTAGCACCATCCATTGAAAGTTCCATGTATTTACAGTATCTGCCCAAGCCTCCAAAAAGTCATTGTGCTGGAAAGTGTCGGTAGCCCGTTACGCACTATAGACCTCCGTGGGTAGTGCCCACTAACAAATCTCCTATACGACAAACTCACATACAACAAAACATACACAAAATCTTAGAGTATGAACTTCGTGCGGTTTAAAATCTCATGAAACCGCCTCCAATAAGACAGTATATAGTTTCGCTTCTATTCCGTATACGTCTGAGGACATACATGGCGCCCTCATACGGTGGTAAGCACTCAAGACCTAGCGCTTAGAAAGAACACGATACCGAGAACAATAGTTATAATACGATAGGTGCTTGTGGCCTCAGCCTTGCGACGCACAGACAAGGCTAAGGGGCACCGTCTTGAATAAGACAGTATCTCATAGGATAACCTGCCCCATTGACAAGAACTACTGAACCTCAACAATCACAACTTCCCTCACTGGGCAATCTGCACCAAGACGACTCTCTTTATGCAGTGCAATCAGCCTTCCTTAAATCGCAGACACGTTCAAGCTTTAGGTTATTAGTTATTATGACACAATTTTACCTCTTCGACTACCTCCTAAAAGAGCTATCAGATGCTATTTGGGATATGGCTATCCGTAGTGACGATCTAGCTGTCCATTTCTTCTCCTTGTGCAACTTTAAGAAAGACCCTGACTCCGTTGTTGACCTAACCGACTTGGGAGTACACTTCACGAGAGATCCTGAGCTCTTCGAATGGTCTTACATCATATACTTGTATGCTAGCCTCGCAGCTCCACGGCGTCTTAGAGAGAGCGGACCTTCTTGGGTAGATGGAAACGTCTCCACCTATTTCGAAGACTCGGGACTAAGGATAGCCTGCCACGAATCTCGTCAGAGGATGTTGCGGTATGTCAAGCCGTCTGAGACCAGGCCACGGGGTTCTCCGAGGTAAAGATTGGGATCGGGACGAGATTTGGGCCATCAAGCGGCCTTGGGACTCGGTCGACATGGAATCTACCCGCGACAATGGCGAACGACAGTCCTTGACACTACCAGTTGACGCCCCTCTGAAGACCTGATCTGCCTCCGAATTCATGATAATTCCGACCTCTCATTCGCGCGCACGGCTTTGACTGGCAGAATACAAAAACGTTCCCGTCGAGCAGGCGGGATGACCATGAGTGCCACAGCTGGTATTCGACCATCAACAATGTTGCCGTTGAATACGACCAAGCATGAGGTGGGTGTGATCTCCTTGACCTCGCCAAACCCGTACGCAGCATCATCACCTTTGTTCGCGAGACTCACGGGCGCGAGACTTTCAGGTTCATTGACTACAAGCCCATGCGCAAATTCAAAGAGGACGCAGAGCAAGGTCAGCGGGAGATGTTTCACGCCGGCGGACTGACTAACATCGAGGCCTGAGGCTCTTGCAGTGATCCTGAATGGTGCCGCTGTCCGAAGGATCGCTTGTTCGGACGAATGTCTTCGGGGTGAACTACGCTGGCCGTTCATCCGGCCGGAGCGTATGACCTGGCGTACCACTGGTTGTTGAATCACCATGTAGTGTTTTGTTCATTAGATCTTCCCCACGGCAAAATTTGGTACGTGGTCCTCACCTACGTCAACCTGGAGTTGCAGGAAGAGTTGCGGACATATACCGAATGGTTCGATGTGAATAAGGAGAGCATAAAATGCCTTGGCCTTTCAAGACCACAGAGCCCATAGGTATTTCAAAGAAGTCGAGGGGCCTCATAATATGTGTACCACCTCCAGGGCTAGTAGGTAGTGGTCCAGCAATGCTGCAAGGGACTCGGAACCCTCACGACGAACAAGATCACCCATTTCTCTAACACGGCTGACAATTGTACTCTAACCGTGCCTGAACCCACGGTGATGATCCTTCCAAGTAGAAATGTGATGTTTCCAGGAATACTATAGCAATGAGATCAGGAACAGAAAGCCTAGTCAATGCCCGGTGTGTATTGGTGATGTGGTGAGAGGATCAATCAAAGGGCTACACGGTCCAGCACCAGTATGAAAATAGAATTGAAATTGAGTGACCTAGTAGTGGCTTGTGTCCGTCTTTGTAAGGTCCCTACCGCTCATATTTGAGTATCTGGGGGTGCTTAGGCGAGGAGATCGGACATATGTGGGGACTAGCGACGACCAGCTGCGAGCGTTTGGAGGCACGCAGGCCCGCCGCCCCCCCCCCCCCCCGGCACCAAATAAAAAACCTGATGGCTGACTGACATTCAACAAAACATTAGGGGAATTAGCATATTGATGCCAGGTATGACAATACGAGTTTTAGGCTGTGTCTTATTTCTCAGTTGCATCATAAGGACCCGGAAGTCGGCCCCGTGGTCTCTGCCATGACATGATTCGAGGAGCAGCCGGTTTTGACAACGGGCATAGGGTGGCTGGGATGTCTGGACCAACCAACACGATGGAGCAGGGTGAGGGCGCGTGGGACTAAAATAGGGCAGACGGGGATCAGGCGGTCCCCGGCCTGGTCTGATCAGGATAAGAAGTGGGAGACACCCCCCTCCAATTTCCTGGACAGTCCTTTTCTCTCACATCGTTCACGTTCGTATTCTCCATTTCAGTCAGTCAGTCAGTCATCATCGAGAGAGACCTGCGACCTCACATAGAGACCTCGGAGCTCCTTTAACCACCCCTCGTTGGAATCATCTGCCTCGCCTCCAGACAAGATGCCCGAAGTCAGCGCACCACAGCAGCAGCAGCCCATGGAGCTCGCCCCCGCCGACTCCGGTGTTGTTACTCAGCAGCCTGTAAGCGCCATCTTCCTCTTGGTCTCTACTCCCCGTTGCTATTTATGGTCGCTAACCTGAGGATTCCACAGGAGGCACAGGAACAGATGAACACCGACATGAGCCTTCGTGGTGGTTGCGGCGAGTCGATGACCTGCTGCGGCATGACTGAAAGCTGCGGATGCTGTTAAGCGGGCCTGCTGTTCCGTCGTGGTGATTTTACTGTTTGGATATTTGTGAGGGACGGACATCAATAGCCTCTGATGGCGGTGATTGATTGAGATGTGAGAAGGCGGGCCTGTGACGTCGATGCCGTCCCATGTCGGCATATCTACAGCTCTTCTTTGGGTATAACTTGGCAGTGTATGTGCGATAGATTGTTTTTCAATGCGACGACCGAGCGGCGTCCAAATTCCCCAGACTATCACATACTAGTAGATCTGATCTCCTTCTGCATGTCGACCGACTGTTTGATCGTCAGGTGTAGTCTGCACCACGCGAAGACGAGGAAAACAGACAGACAGACATCACCCAAGCAAGGTGAGCGGGGGCCAGCGGGAGTAGGAAGCCGCCCGAGCCAAGCTCAAACGGCCCACGCTGGGGTGGCTTGGCAGGGCTGCCAGAAAGCTTAACTCCCTAGCGCGGCACATGACGTCAGGAGCGGGCGGCCCCAGTTGCCCATCGAGCGAATGACAATGGTGGATCTGGAGGCCACTCCGCCCGCGTTCCCGGTTTGGGACAGCTCCAGACCGTGCCACCCAATGCTTGCTATATACGAGGAATAAATTGGTTCTAGCAGGCCGAGAGGCACAGTGGCATACGTCTATAGTCGTGGGATTAGTTCACGGACCTCACCTGGGCACTCTACTGTCTGCTATTTAGCTACAGCATGAACAATGAACAACCGGGGCAGTTCTCACTGGTCAGGATCCTGTGAGGCCCCGTCCCTTGTGACGCAACCTCCTTTAATGTCGCTTCTGCAAGGCCCTCATGTAGAATCACATCGGTGGGAAGAGCTCTCATGGAGGACATTCGTATCACGCACATCTACCTACACTATGTGGACACCCTGGTAACCGAGCCACACCGGCTCCGCAATGAGATCTAGACGTGTGAAAATGCTTAAGGTACAGTGATGCCATCATAATATCTTATGTTATAATGGTTATTGTCAACTTTCACGCGTTGTGAAATACACTCGGCCCGGAATGACCCACCCGGAAAGTGGAAGCTTGCTTCACAGCCATATCACTCTAGGCTCACGAGAATCCGGTGCTATCAATGCTGAAAAGGTTCATCAGGACGAATAGGCATGGTATGGATCTGTAGCTTGGCAATATTAATCATTTCATGATGATGGTAATCTGGAAGGAACTCTTGAGAGCTGATGTAGGCTCAGAAAACGCTACGGGACCAGTCAACACGGCTGGTACTTACTATTCGGCACAGGTCATAATGAACACAAAGAAGCCCGATACCGCCAAGCAGCAGAGACAAGCCATTTATTCAGCCCCGTTGCTATTTTTAGGAGATATGACAATAGGCTATGGCCACCACATTCTTGTATTTGAGGGAAATCACTGCTGGCCAATCAAGTCAAAATCCTTTGTATACAAATCTTTTACTGACTTTCACTAGGAGCCTGTTCTCCATCCTTTGAGCCTGAACAATTACTTTGCTGAAAGTATTTCCCTATCAGCTACTACAAATACCAAAACCACCGCACTACAACAAATTCAAAAAACAAGTACGCAAACTTTGAAAGTATGCAACTAAACATCCACTCAACACTCCTCGTCCTGGCGACGTTTCTCGTTCCCGCCATCCTCGCCAGATGCCCGGTATGCTTCGACAACACTGTGCGAGGGTGCGACGGCCTGGGCCCGGACTCGCTCTATTATACCTGTTACAAGTCGAACATCAATGCCATGATGGTCAGTACTTTTACCTGCGACGGTGGGTGCAGGTATATAATGGGTGAGCCCCGCTGTAACAACGGTAAGTTCAAGGACGACGTGATTGCCCTCCCCGTGGATCCAACATGCCCGTGGGGTCTGAGGGACGGCAAGGCTCCGTCTCAGTTCAGGGCATAAGAGGGCGTGGTCAAGATCTCGAGCTTCAGGGGTCTAGTCTTTTATTACATGGTCTCTGATGGCACCTGGGGTCAGGTCTTTCAACTACTGCAGACCACTTGAGCACGGCTGCTCATCGGTCGGCCAACTAAATTCCAAGCATTTAAATTTCGTTACCTGCTCCGCTTCTATTCCGCATACATCCGGGGACATACATGGCGCCTTCATACGGTGGTAAACGCTCAAGACCCAGCGTTTAAAAAAAAATACAGTGTCGTAGACTTTGAAAGATGAGAAGGACTGGGAATATTGGTTTCGCAAGGTAGTTAGTTATTCATAGTACTTCCATCAATATTCCTGTCCCTGTATACAATGCGGTGAACTTTCACTGAACGTGACTAGGAGCTCCCGCCCATTGATGGCACAGCATCGGGTTTGGTTCATACCTAGGTAGGTATGTGAGGCATGGCAGACCGTAGCACTTGCTGTACACTGACTTGCTTCGTATCCACAGCCTAGCGAAGCGAACCGGCGAGACGGGTCTCACGGGAATAAAAAAGGTGTACTCGGATCAGTGGTTGCAGTATGTCGCTGAAAAAAATGGCGAAGAACGGACGTGGTCATAATCGCCATGGTCATTACGGCCTGGCTACTGCACCCGGTATGTTCAAATCTAAAGAAACCGGCGGGGGTGCAAGAAGTCTGTATGTTCTCCCGTTCTCCAGACAAGTCTTCCTGAAAATCGCATCCAGATTCTTCATCCACACCTCTGCTGCCAGAACCATTAGCCGAGCAGACATCCCGGCCTTCTCGAGCGCTAAGGTGCGCATGGGGAAAAGAGAAGGTCCTAGATACCCGGGCTCAGTGAAAGTCTGATATTATCATGGTCAATGTTTTCCATGACCTTGTTGGATTGGTCTGGCTCTAATCCCGAAGTTTCCTCTTATGTCTGGGTTTGCGTCGTCATCACTGTTGCATTCACCCTTCTGACCATCGGACTGTGGTGGTACTTTGTCAAAGGCTGGCTAGAAGAAGATTTATCATGCTGCTACAATATTCCATCATGTATGAGTTGGATGTATCGTTGGCTCCTTCGGGTTCCCACCGGTTCATTAAGGGACCCCTGCAGCCGTGTACCTAGGTACGTACCAGCCCCGCTAGCGCAGGAGCGGGAACTTCCAGGCTGGGGCGTCCAGCCACCGCAGCAGACTCGTAGACCTCGACCAGCTGTCGCCAGCTGTGCCATCATTGACCTCTTAATCCAGCTCTCCCGGGGTCTCCATCTTCGCAACCTCAACCATGCAGAAGCGTGCCGTCAACCGGGTCACCAAACCGAACACCTTCCGCCGACCCAACCGCAGGCTCGACGAGGACCAACTGGCCGCCCACTTCGAGGGCTCCGAAGAGGAAAACGCCCTTTATCGCGCCGCCGCCGCGGTCGCGAACGCAGAGGGCCAGGATGTCGTCGACACAGGCGAGGCCGTGATGGACGAGGACGAGGTGGGCAATGCATTCAAGAACGACCAGGCGCAGCACGACGATGTCAACCTGCAGGGCGGCGAAGGCGACGGCGACGTCCTCCACCACCAGCAACAACAACATCATCATCATCATCAACAAGGCGACGCGCTGGACCACGAGATGCCCATGGCGCCCATGAGCGCAGAGCCACACCACCAGCAGGCGCACCACGTCGGCCACCAGAACCTCGACGACATCCTCAGCCACGCAAGCATGACCTACGCGCAGGCCGCCGCCGCCGCCGCCGACCTGCAACCCCCGCCGCCGCCGCAACCCAACGTCGGCAGCGCCGCCACGATATCCGCGCCGCAGCCCCTCGTCGCCGCGACCGACTTCCAGCCCACGCCCTCGACAAGCCACAACAACACGACGCAGACCTCCTCGGGGGGCGGGGCCCAGCAACAGCAGCAGCAGCAGCAGCAGCAACAACAAGAACAGCAGGACCCGCCCCAGCCGCCGCCCAAGACCACGGAGCAGATGGCCGAGGAGTCCGGGTACGCGGGGTTCAAGGTCGACAGTGCGTTCGCCAAGCGCATGTCGCGCGACCCCGGCCAGCGCCTGGCCGAGCAGCGGCGGCAGGGCCAGGACCTCAACCTCGTGCGCCGCAGCAACGTCGAGGCCCTCTTTGCCCAGATCGCCGGGTCCGAGGCCGCCAACCCCTGTGCCCACTGCCGCAAGGGCCAAGGCCCCTGGACCGTGTGCGTCGTCTACAGCGGCCAGATGATGGGGAGCTGCGCAAACTGCTGGTTCAACGCCTCCGGCTCGAGGTGTTCCTTTCATGGTGAGTCCCTGCCTGGCTCTTCTAACTACCCTTCTATCCTACATGCTTACCCACCCTTCCACCACAGAGAAGTCACAACCTCCCCTCCCGGGCGCGCACCACCCCTACGCCACACTCCCAGTAGCGATGCCCGTCCTCGGCCAGGAGCAAGCAATAGGCGTGGGGCCGGGCGGGGTGGTGGGACCCGGCGGCGGCGGCGGCGGCGCACCAGCCGGCGGGCAGCAGCACATGGTGGGCTCCCCGGCGCAGTTGCAGGCCGCGCAGCTGTGGCAGGCGCCCGCGGCGGTCTTCTCGCACGACAGCGGCGTCAAGCACACGGTGCAGAACGCGCTCGTGCAGGTGCGCCAGGCGGACCGGTACACGCGGGCGCTGATCGAGGTCGAGGTCGCGGCCAAGCAGCTCGCGCTCAAGATCGTGCACGCCGAGGAGCTGGCCGCCAGCCTGGGCGTGGGCGTGGGCGCCGAGGGCGACGAGGAGGACCACCACCACCAGCAGCAGCAGCAGCATGACCAGCAGCATGCCGTTGACGAGGACGAGGAGGCGCGTCACGGCGGGAGCGGGTATGAGTCGCCCGCGCCGGGCGGGAACGGCATGCCCGAGGACGGGGAGCCGTAGCTGCCCGGATAAGCTCCTCCGGGCCGGGACATCACGCTCCCCTTCATAGGTGCATATTCTGGCTTCGAGCTATATATTCTCTGAGGGGTATCCCCAGCAGCAGAGAGTTTCTCCGTGTGACGAGATTTCTTCGTGTGACGAGAGGTGACTTGGCCAGCAGGCAGGATACTTAGGTAGGCAGGCCATGAGTTGGCTAGTTGGTCCTCATTAGAAGAGACACCAAGAACAGAATTCAAATCATGATACCTACTACGCACGCGAGCAGAAACAACCTAGTGCCCTTGGGCTGGCAAGGCTGTCCGTCACATTCCAGGCAAGCTGTATGTCGTATGCAAGTAATAATACAGACAGACAAACCAGGCGCGGGCCAAGAACCCGCCACAACATGAAACAGCGAAACAACGCATGGCATGAACACAGCACGCAACACACTCACGTCAGCTGATCTGCTGGCCCTTCCCATTCCTGCCAAACCCCCCTCCCCCCCCGGGAATCCATCCCATCTTTGGGAGTGGAGATCGCCAGCGCCAGTGTCGCACGAGCACAAACAGTATCAGCCCCACGCGGGCCCATGGCCTGCCGAAAGGAGGGTTAGAATATTCCTCAGCCTTTCACCTGTTTTCCTCTCTCCCCTCTTTTTCTCCCCCTTCTGGGCCAAGTGCCCTTTTCCCCGGGGTCGCAGGTTGTTGGGTTGAGGGCTGGCAGGCGGCGGGGCGAGAAGAAGAAGAGACGACACAAGTCACACAGACACAGCCACCACCATCACCGACCCGCTTCGTTTGTGGTCGTGTTCAGACGAGCGGGCGGCCGGTTGCGCCTTGGGGACTGGCATGTGCAATCTGAAGTATGTTGCCCTAGGTGAAGCCTCACGCAAAGAAAACAAAACAACAGACTTGGGCCCGTCTCCCCCAGGTGGTAACTCTCAAACACATCTAAATCACGCGGTTTGTCGCCTAGTGAGAAAATGAAATCCCCGACTGATTGGTTTGGCAGCGGGAACCAGAACGGGTAACGAGGAAGTAAAAAAAACAAAAAGAGAGAGAGCCAAGATCATCACCCGTGATCACCGGCGTGACAGCGGCAGCAACTCGAACCCGACATGACAGTGACCATGACAATGACATATATGCCCAGGCACGCCGTGATAATAACGTCAAAATGGAACCCCTCCCAGCCTGGAACACAACAAAAAAAAGGTGGTGCGCCGCAACCGCACGCAGCGCGCCGCAATGATCGTCCACTCGCATGCTGCCGCACACACACACACACACACACACATATACCCCAGACCAATTGAATATAACGCATGTGCGCGTGTGAGTGTGTAACTACAGAATGAACGCATACCAGCCCAGCAATGCAGAGAACCCCCCTCCCCCCCAACACCAAACCAACCAGGGATGATACCTGCACCCCGGCGGCGAGCTGCGACCGGCCGCACGCCAACATGGGAGGGGAGGCACCTGGTCCGAAGTTTCAGTGCGGCCGTAGGCCGCTCGGGGCCAGTCACACGTCCTCGGGCGGGCGGGCGGGCGCCCTGTATACTTAGATTTTAACGCATGCATTCTGTGCATGCATGTTCGGGCGTGCGTGCATCTCTCTCTCTCTCTCTGTGTGTGTGTGTGTGTGAGTCGGCGCGCAAAGTTCAGATCCAGAGGGACAGCCGCAAAAAGGCTATCCTGCCTTGCCTGGCCTTGCCCCCCACCAGATCTTGCATAGTTGGGGCTGCTGGTCGCATGTAGAATGCGGGACTGACTCTGGCAAACTCTCCTGCGCAAGGCCGGATCAATCAGCTTGTGAGAGGAGTGCTGGTTGATAAGTGTGGTGGTCAGCGCCAGCCGGCAATTGATGGGGCCAGCGAGAGGGAACCATAGAATAGGTAAAGGGTATTGTAAAATATTGGCTTTCAGTAAATAGAGCTCGATGCTATAGACAAATCCAACATCCGGGCATTGTTGATGTCGAGCCGCCGTATCCGAAAACCTGTCGAGATCTGTTGCCGCTCGTCTCCCTCGGTGTGGGCCCTTGTCGCGAAACATGTCCCACCACTCCGTCGCCTGGGGTCGTCTTCGCGCGCCTCCCCTCGGTGCCTTGCGCCCGGGAAGCACTTGGTAAAAACACAAAAAAATACAAAAAGACCACAACGTTGACAGACTTCATAATTAAACAGAATATTGAACACCGCCCAGTAGTTTCAGATGCATATCCTTCTTTTTGCCCCCATCTCTGTTCAACGCGCCAGCCACTCCCTGCTCTGCAACCTTTTTGCAGACGTGGTCGTAGTCGCAGTCGCAGTCGCAGTCGCGTGATCTCGCAGGACATGATGCCGATATATTCGACGTAGCGGGGTGGCTTGGAGAGTCCAGATGGGCGATATCAAGGACCGGAGTAAGACATAACCTGTACCGCCCCCTTCTCAGGGAAACACGCGGGGAGTTCCGTGAGGCGATCCAGGTTTTCGTTCGTAAGGAAGAAATCGTTCGATTATAACGTGGTAGGGGTATCCGAATAAGAGCGTTTTGGACTAGATCAGACCGCAGAGACGCAGGTTCTCCTGGATGATGATGTCTACAGCGTTGTTAGTACGGTGTACGGCAGGCGACAAGCTTGCAACAGGCGTTAGACTTACCGTTGACGGCGGCCATGACGAATCGGATCTGTGTTGTATCTGTCGCACATGTGAAATGTGTGTAGATCTGCTTGGTCTCGTGCTGGTTGAGGCTGACGAATCGGTTCAGGATGTAGTCGCAAGCCGCTGCGTAGTCGTCACCGCCCTCGTAGTCGGGGAAGTAGTTCTTCATTGGGCTGACAGGCAGCTTCTCCTTGAATCGATCGATCTTGTTGAGGAACAGGATTATCGAGGTCTTGATGAACCACCTGGAGTTGCAGATCGAGTCGAACAGGGTCAGAGCCTCCTGCATACGGTTGACGGTCTCATCTTCGAACAGAAGCTGGTCGTACTCGGAAATGGCGACGAGGAACAGGATTGTGGTGACGTTCTCGAAGCAGTGGATCCACTTCTTACGCTCAGACCGTTGTCCACCGACGTCGAACATCCGGTAGGTGAGGTCGCCGATGATGAAGGTCGTCTCGGTAATACCCGTGGTCTTGACACGAGACCGTAGCACATCCTGGTCGTTGGGCATGTAGTCGGGAGCAGCGATACGAGCAATGTTGTCGAAGTAGCTGCGGGCTTGTTAGTTGACACGCGCGACAGGTGGGCAAGCAAAATGGCCAACTCACTATCTGGCAGAGTCGTTGAGCTGGTACTCTCTCGAGCGCTTGAAGCACTCTTGGACACCACGGTCTTTCCACAGCGCCTCGATGGCGTTTCCAACCTCGGGAGGGAGGACGTCGCCCTCGATCTGGGCGGGCTGCATGAAGATGGTCTGGACGTGGTACTCCATCCTTTGGTCCTCCAGGGGCAGCTCCAGTGACTCCATGGCTTCCAAAATGACGCGCATGGACTGGACTGTGTTGCTGAAGATGATTTCCTTGAAGGACTCTCGTTCGTCGCGGGAGTAGCCACCCTCGTGGATGAGCTTCATTTGCTTCAGGATGGTCGACTTTCCGGATTCACCAGCACCTGTCAAGCTTGTTAGCGATGAACGGCGACAGCAATCGCACGCGCTATCGAGGCCTCAAGCAGCGAAAGGCATCGAGTTGTAGCGTGGGAGGAGGGGACTCAGTCCGAAAACATACCCAGAAGTAGCATCTTGATCTCATTTCGTTGTTGCATCCGGTCGCGCTTCAGCTGGTTCTCGATCTCCTCGTTCCGGGCCTTGCCCTCCTTCTCTTCCGTGCTCATTCCGCAACCCATTGTGATTGATCGAAGTCGCTTCGCTCCGATGCAGTATTAATGGCTATTGGTGTGATTTAATAAGGGCGTCAAGTTCGATGGGGATCTGAAGCCAAGGGATTAGTGTCGAGTCGAGCGACGTTGTTTCGATGGTTGGTTGATTGATAGACTAGACAGCGACTGCTGACAGTCTCGAGGGGCGGTGCTGCAGCGGAGGCCAACACGGGAGGAACGGGTTTGCTTGACTGGGTATTTGGCCGCAGCTGACGTGATGAAACCGGAGCAATATAGTCGAGGTAAGGGATGAAGCAGCGTGGCAGTTGATGGCGACAGCGTAGAGGAGCAAGATGGGATGAGGTTGTTTGTGATGGGGGTTGTGATGGGTAATGAAGATGGTGGAAGGGCAGGGCGAGGCGAGGCGAGGCGAGACGAGGCACGGCACGGCGAGAAAAGTCAAGGGGGCTGGCTGGCTGGCTGGCTGGCTGGGAGGACGAACGTACCGTACAGAAGGCGATCGGTCGAGCCGGTGCGATGCGATGCGGATGCGATGCAAGGCAGTTGGATGTTTGAGTCCTGTTTTGACGGCCTCAATTCGACGCCAGGACGACCTGAAGGAAAGGATGAGGAGAAGGAAAGACAGTCAGGACTCGAAGGAGTTATTGGGGGGCACAGGCGATATGCAGAAAAGAAGGTTCGCCAGGATTGAGATCCAATGGAAAGATTGGACTACGACGGGAAGAGAGGTGTGGTAAGTAAGGTAAGGGTAAGCGTGGTGAAGGCAAATAACGAGGCCGGGAGTTATGGGGGACGAGGTCCAAGTCGACAGACGAGCGGACAGGAGACGAAAGGGGAGGGGGAGAGAGAGGGACTAGAGGGTAAGAGGGCAGAGCAGAACCAGGAACAGGCCTATGGGAGCAGACTGCTTGGGCGAGGGTTGATGAATGGGAACGGATTGGGATGGGGGATGGGTGATGGATGGGCCCGGATGGGACGATTGTCTCTGGGGTGAGGGGGGCAAGGCAGATTATTCACTTGCATCCAAGCAGCCCAGGCCCGGCACAACCAGGGCTGCTCTGCCACTACCAGAAGGGGAGCCCAGGCCAGGCCAGAGCCAGCGCCAGAGAGGGCCAGAGCCTGAACCAGAGCCAGAGCCAGGGCCCAGAGCCAGAGCCAGCCAGAACAGGTGTCGGAGACGGCAGAGAACGGTTGAACGGTGGTGCTCCCAAATGGCGCTAATATAAGGGTGTCCACCGTTGAACTGGAGCTGCAGGGTACTATGCAGGTACCGTTGCGAGCACTGGCGGGTGGGGAGCTACAACCGACCCTAACTGACCTCTTACGGGCCGACTGGGTGACTGGGTGACTGCCACCAGATGCAGCCAAGTTGACGGAAACGCTGGATGCGCACTTGCAAGGGGCAGAACAAAAGAAGGGAAGAAAGAAGGACAGAAAGAAGAACACCAAGAACCAGAACTGGTTGACAATGAGGCAATTGGGTAGCCGATCAATCAATAGAGCCCAGATGGGGATGCAATGCAATGCGATGCACTGTAGCGGAGCGCAGTGGTAGAATGGAACGGAACGGAAGAGCAGGTGTTTACGGTGTTTGGGGTGCACGCCCTGACGCCCTGACACGGTAGGACTGCACATTAGCCAGTTGTCCGAGCTCTCAGGCTGGCAGGCTGGGCAGGCGGAAGGAGAGACTGCGGTTCGGTTCGGCAGGTCGACTATCAGCAAGCTGCACCTCGTCTGCTCGTCCTGCATCTACGGTTGGTGGTCTCTGTGCAGTCACGCTTGTGTGTAATGTCGACGATTTTCTGCTTCTTCCCACTTCAAATCCCGCCCCGGCTACTTTTTTTTCCTCCCCCCCCCCCTCGAGGAACCACTGAGGGTCACCTGCAGTGACCACTGACCATTCCCACTTTGGTTGCAGCACAGAAGTGGGTACACAGCAAACCGAGCCAGAGCAACCTTGGGAAGAAGCTGAAGCCTGTGCCAGTAGCAGCAGCTCGGGGCCTGGGCTAGCCTCCTTGGGGCAGTGGTGGGCCAAAGGCAGACCGTCAGGACCGTATGGTACGGCCGATGCTATCTCAGGGGACTCGTTTTAGCAAGCCCGGCCAACACCCACTCGTGCCACTCACTCGCACACCCACACAGCCTGGCAGCCAGCAACCCACCACCCACGCGTGCGACACCCACAAAGCTCACCTCCCGACTCCTCTGCTCTGGCGACAAAGGAAAGGGGACCCATCAGTGATCTTCGGTCAATCTATCCACCCTCACCATGGATATATCCACGGCAATGACAGGCCAGCCTGCCAACCTGCCAGCCTGCCAGCCTGCCAGCCACGCATCTTCGGGATCCCTCCAACGCCCGTCACACGCCTGTCTCTGCCGTCCCTGCAGCCAACCGGGTGCAGCAACTCGGCCCCCCTTTGATGAGCCTGCCTCTCTGCTTCTGGGCCTGCAGCCTTTGCTTTGTCAGTGCTGTCTCGGCCCAAGACATCGGAGGCTGGGTGTCTGGCCTCTGGCGAGCCTGTCATCAAGGCCGTGCTACCCTTCAATCGACCCTATCGCGGGGGCATCCTGGCTGGGCAGGGTGGTCACATAAGTCCCCGTGCTAGTGAGATCAGAGCTGACTGTGTCTCTATACTCGGAGCTGAGACCTGCTTGGCGCCGCATTATTCATCATGTCCTCCTCCTCCACTCCAACCTCTCTCTCGCCTTGTGCTTGGGTCGGAATCAACACACAGACACACAGATTTGACAGACAGACATATCACATTTACGCCCAGCACGAGTGGCAACAAGATACCACAGTAATCAAGGAGGAGCCACTCCCGACTATCACTTGCAGGCGCCGGCCAGCTCGTCATGTCGAAAAGTGGGATGCTCATCTCTGCGCCCTCGGCCCCGTCGGCGAATGGCAGCGCTGTGAGCATATTCGGTACTTCAGACCCCAAACCTCGCCTGGCGCAATTTCACCGCAGCGTGTTCCCCTCAAGCCCCACCTGGCCACTCCACACACCCTGGTCGCCTGCTCGGATACCCCCTCCCGGTCAGTGCGGGAAGGGTCTGCCTCAAGAGACAGCCAGGCACAGCCAGGCACAGCACCTGAGCACCTGTAAGCACGCACACGAGAAGTCTGTCGGCTGTCTGGTGGTTGGTTGGTTGGTCGGTCGGTCCATGGACTAAAAGTACGGATGCTGTCCGCACCCACATCCGTTCCTTCTCAATGGCGCCCGCGGCCGCTCTGCTCTGTGGGCGGCAACTCGCCAGCAAGTACAAAAAAACTATTCCAGGCACCGGCAATACCGAGTGGTTGGAATAAGGAGGGCATTCCGCGCAATGCTCATCGCACGCCCGACGCCGCTCCCGTGCCCGAGCGGTCCAGGCCAGCCACGGCCCATCCGTCGGCGCACCGAAAGACTCAGATTGCACAACGGCAAAGTGATCTCGTCCTCAACTCCAGCTCAAATGTCCCATAGCCCATAGCGGCCCCAGAACGAAGCTTGCGTCTTTTGACATGACTGAAGCGGGTGGCGGCATTGGCCCGTGGGCCTCGCCCGGAGATGAAGAATTTACCCAAGCGGAGATTTCAATCCCTAAGCGGAAAACTCTCGCTCTCCCGCCCACAGCGCTACACCCAGCGGCCGCAGGGTCAAGCGTGCGTGCGTGTGTGTGTGTATACCCCGTACCTAGGTAGGCATGCGGGCGGTGGGAACTGCCAGCCGCGTCATGGCTGGCCTCCCCGTGGCCTCCACCACCACCACATCAACACTATGCTCTACTGCTTATTAGATTACACCCCAGCCCGCACAGGAGCCGCCATCTATTTCGGGACATCTTTGGACTTCCTGGTGATGATGAGCATCGTCGCCCTCCATCTTTTCTTCTCGAAGGCCGGTCCGCGCCGTGGCCGCCTCCTCCACCCTTCCCTGTCAGCGAGCCGTTGCGGAGACTGGGTCAAGGCCCCACCCGACCTCTTTTGGGCAGGTGTTCCTGCAGAGGGAGGGGCTGGCGTTTATTACCACTTTAATTTTCCGCACCTGCGAGATCGTCGGCTTGGGGACGCTACCGGTCGCGCGTTCGCCGGCTGGCTGGTAGCGGGCGGCCGACGTCCATAACAATAACCGCAATGTTAGTAATAATAGCAAGAGTAACTGCCACCGCATGCGTCTTGAGGATCCTGAAACCCCTTCAGGATCTCAGTCCTCGCCTTCATGTTTCGAACCCCTCGGGTATAGCAGCGCAACAAAGACAATCGTCCGCCTGGCAGCCCTGGGTCCTCGCCGAGCAGCATGTCCAACATGGCGCCATCAACCAGGTTACCACCTTAGCGGAACCCCCTGTACTATATCAAAATCAGCCCCCTGATGGTTACTATGAGTACTACGCCGGACACAGATTTGTTCGTCGACAATTTCAGGACGAGGTCGCCCAAGAAATGAGGAAGAGTCTGTGCTCGTATGGAGAGTCATCGGCTCGAGAGCCGCCTCCCTCGTCCTTCAACATTGACAGACTGACAAGCAGCAAGGCTGTTGTGACCCCCGTGGCATTCATTATTCAGACTTGCACCAATTGTGGGCTGACCCCGGGGATGCGAGCCCGAATCTCGCAACACGGGACCCCAGAAAGTAACGGTCAGACGGGAGGGAAGGGATCGCCCAGGACCCGTCGCCCAAGCACAATTCTCAGCCTGAGCTAAACTGCCCGCCCACAGATAGCCTTGCGGCCCTGGCAGGCCCTGGCAGACCCTGGTCAAATTCCTCTGCAGTGTCGCCAGGCCGCTAGACAGGCAGGCATTTGGCGACAATTGATATTTCCACCTCGCTTCTGATATGGATGCATCACCAAGGGCTTAGGGGCTGAGGGGCTGTGGCGCATCAGACCTATCGATTGCGTTGAAACACATGGCAACAAGGGGCCTTTATCCCACAGGCCCTCTTCGGCGATATATCACAACCTATTTAGATCGGCCCTGCCTGACAGATGCTGGCTGTTTTCAGCCTTTCCCGCTCGCTCGGGAGTTGGGTCTGCACGGCAAACAGCAATGGCGCCGCCAGCCCAGCCCAACCCAGCCAAATCGATACCGTCAGTACGGAGTAGACCAAAATCCATGCAGCCAGTCAGGAGTTCAAGTCGGCTGCTTCCTCGCTTGGCTTTGCCTCGCCTTGTCATGCCTCTTCCTCATCCCCTGCCCGCTCCCCAGTTTTTCCGAAACTGTTTTGGCTGCCGTCGTGAAGAAAGACTCGGCCCGCCCAGGGACAAGCATGGTTGTTGGTCTCTCACCCGGCCTGCCGGCGGACTGGCGGTGCGCCGTTTCGTTCTAGAAACCCTCATGGAAGCCTCTGTGACAAAGCAGCCCCCCTTTCTTCATGCATGTTCACCGCAAGCAGGCGCAGGTTTTGCCCCCCTCCGTCTGGTGCTACTGCAGGTTCCGGGATGCTCGAGTTTTGAGAAATCGGGTCCAGGTTGCATAGCGCCGAGGGGTAGAGGGCGACTTGCAGATTGTAATCTGGGAGCGCGGCATCGCTTCTCTGGCACGGGGATGCGATGCGGAGGCTTTTTCTCTCTGTGGAGGGCCTGTCTGCGGGCATGCATACCGCAGCGGGCTCTTGACCCGATATTCTCTCCGTTCGGTCGTTTTGGACGCCGCTCGCCGAGTCAGAGCCGTGCCGGTAGTTAAGATGGGATGATCCGATCTGTGCTGCAGCTGCAGCGGCAGAGCGGTAGGTTTAGGATCTGGTCGATCCAACTTGGCGAGAGCCGGAACATCGATCCCAAAAAGGTTCACCTGTAGCCCACCATCCATCTGGCTACCGACAGACACGTCTGCTTGGACTGCACAAGAATGTCTCGGGCGGCATTCTGCTCGAGCTGAGCGGGTAGCGGAATGCTGCTCATCGTATACCTAGTCTCACCGACTGTGGCCGGGTTGTTATTGGCGTCGAGTCGCGCGCCCCTGACCAAGAGCGCCAATTGACCAACCATGAGTGGACGAGCTTGTTGGCCCACGCTTCTGGGTCCGTCCTTGGGTGGCCTCAATCTAACAGGCCCCGAGGCCAGCTTCCAAGATTCCGGGCTTGAACATTACAGCACGCACATAGCTTCTCGGGCCCGCTGCATGCTCAATTCGCTCGTTAAACCCTCTGTCCGTCGTCAATATGGCTGAATCAATTCCTATGCACTCGCGGAGCCCGTCGACGCGTCTGGGAGGACGCGGTAAGTCGACTCATGCATGGACCCCGGACCCAGAGACATCGCGAATGATGTCACTGTGAATCTTGCTGACCTGGAGCCCGCACTGAAACAACAGCCTACGCCCATCATAATGACAACGACGACACGGAGACGGAATACGACCGTCTCCGTGACCTGGCCCGGGCCGAGGCGTCGAAGAGGAACTCGTGCTTCGACCGGGTACGCCGCCGTCCACGCCGCCCTGACTGGCGCTTAATTCCCCTGTTGAATCGAGACTGACTGGCTGACCGGCTGGCAGGCCCACCAAGCCTATGAGAACGGCGACGGCGCCGGGGCGAAGCAGCTGAGCAACGAGGGCAAGGCCCACGCGGCCAAGATGGAGCAGTACAACAAGCAGGCGTCCGAGTACATCTTCCGCGCCAACAACTCGGTCGAGAAGGTCCCCGACGACACGATCGACCTGCACGGGCAGTTCGTGGAGGAGGCCGAGGACATCCTGGAGGCGCGGATCCGCGACGCGCAGGCGCGCAACCAGACGCACCTGCACGTCATCGTGGGCAAGGGCAACCACTCGGTCGGCCACGTGCAGAAGCTGAAGCCGCGCGTCGAGCACCTGTGCCAGGAGCTGGGCCTGCAGTACCGCACCGAGGAGAACGAGGGCCGCATATACGTGAACCTCCAGGGCCACGAGATCCCGCACATGCCCCCGCCGCCCTCCAACTACCACGGCGGCGGGTACGGCAACAGCGGCGCCCATTACGGCGGCGGGCACGGCAAGCAGCACCACGGCCAGCCGGTGCACGGCCAGTCGCACCCCAGGCCCCCGGCCAACAGCGGGCAGGGCCAGGAGCAGCAGCAGCAGGAGGAGGACGGCACGGAGAAGCTCAAGAGGAAGGTCATCGAGAAGCTCACCAAGAAGCTCGGCGACTGCTGTGTTGTTATGTAATGTGTCGGGCGCAGTTTCTCTTCTACTGTATGTGCTTCGATATTTACGGCGACGACTATTTAGACGCAGACGCTTTCAAGGTCAGGAATAATAGATGTCACATTGCCCACCTGTACTACCGATACCAGGTCGGCGCTACCCTTGCCTGGGTTCAAGCTATCTGGATCGCGACTTCCACCCTAGGATGTGCTGGTTCCTGCTAGGTGGGCGGCGGACGTGTTCTCGTCACTTACTACCCGGCTTAGACAAACACACCACACTCACGCACAGCCTTCCCGACTCACAGGCTGAAGTACGTCACCCATACATAAATCGAAATACCTTACTCACAGCCCTGTCTACCTCGCTCGCGACACAACTCTTGCTGTACACTATATACTGTTCCTGAAACCATGGGGCCATCGTCCTAAGAATCCAGAGCAAGAGAATACCGATATGCCTACACCCTTCGCGCGGCCCCCGAGACGTGATAACACCAGCCTCACCCGCCAGCACCGACCTCGCGGACTCCGCCGGCCCGTCAAGTCCTCCCCTGTGTGGGACATCTGCGTGTACTACTGGTACCAGCCCACGACCACCACAGACAACAACAACAACAGTACACCGATAGCATCATGGAACAACCCATGGTAGATACACCACCACCACCGCCACCACCGCCCGCAGCCACCCGCGTCCTCCCCTACATATTCCACAAGAGCACGCACGAGCCAAGCCGCGCCGAGCTCACGGTCCTCGCCCTGGGCATCGTCATCGTCGTGGTCCAGCTGTGCCGGGTGGTCTTGCGGCTGCGGCGCGAGGGCGCGTTCGTGGCCGCAACACAGCCGCCGGAGGAAGAGGAAGCGAGAGAGAAAGAGAAGGAGGAGCCGCGCAAGGTCGCCATCGTCCTGCCGGTCGAGCCGGCCCGCGCTGCTTCAGCTTCGGCAGCCACACCCACGCCACCACGCGGTGATGATGTCCTCGGCGGCTTCGCGGTGCTCACTTCAACCGGCGGCGGCGGCGGCGGCGGCGGTGGCGGTGGCGGGCCTACCCTCCGCTTCCGCCTCAACCACCGCAGGGGCAGCTGGGGCGGCGGGGCAGCTGGGCATGTGGGCGACGCCCGTGGCCCCGAGGGCCGGCGCGGGTCTGCGGGACAACCTCTGGGGAACCTGCCGGAGGGCGACGACGACAGTGGCGACGCGGAGGGCGAAGAGCCGGATGCGCAGGTGTCGCTGGGGAACTTGTGCATGGGCACAGGCCCGGATCCAGAGCCAGAGACCGAGACCGCCCACGACGCACTCGCCTCCCTCGCGGACGTGGGCGTGGGCAGCTTGGGCCCGGACCCGGCGACGCCCACCATGCTGCCGCTGTCTATCGAGTATGCACGTGAGGACAATGACATGGGCGGCGGCGACGAGCTGAGGGAGATCGATAAGCCACGCTCGCCGCGGTCGCCGCGCATGCTCGCTGCCGATCAGGCTGCCATTATGGATGCTCTTCTCCACGCGGGGGACCTAGACCTGGACCAGGGGGTAGACTGGGAGGCGGACGCGCCGTCGCCGCCGGCGGTTGGAGCCGAGGTGGACGTGCCGTCGCTGGCTCTTGGGTTTGAGGACCCCCTTGGGGTGAACAGGCTGGCGGGGCGCTCTGAGAAGGACGGGCAGGGGCGTGAGGCGGTTGAGCTTGGAGAGCTGCGGGATATGTGAGAATGCGACTGGATGCTCTTTTGAGCTGTCTCCGAGGTGTGTTTTTTTTCTTTTTCTTTTTTCCTTCTTCGAAACTGGATTACCTAGATTTGCAGCTGCTCTGTCACAGCATGGATTTCCAAAAATTGACTGGATTATCCCCTCTCCCTGAGAGATGGTTGTCAAAGCTGGTGGTTCACGATCTTGATACCTCGTCATCACATCGGCCCACACGGGTCATGTTGGATCACGGCACATGGTCCCCATCACCCAATGGCCCCGAGAGAGCCCTGCTGAGTGTCAATGATTCTATTCATACCAATTACAAACCGTCTGTCTATACAAAAGCACCACCTCCGAACCGTGCTCGCGCCAATCCGGAAAGGTGCCTCCTCGCCCCGTCTGCCGTCTCCTCGTCACCCCTTTTTCACACCCGGGCCCGGCGGGGGCCCAGCCAGCTCAGCACTGTTTGTTGTACAGATCTCGCGCCTTTCCGTATATCAGGACCGATGGTAACTGTTTCTTTTGCATTGTGACAGCGTGGAGCCGACCGACGGCGTGTGCGTACGTGCGTGCGTCTCTGTGTGAAGCATGTGAACCTCGTCGTCGCCGTCGCCCGCCCGCCCGCAGCACCCAAGATTCATCCACCCATGCCCCAGCTTTGATTTTATCTTATGCCTGCTTCCTGATCTCGCGCGCGGCCTGCTTGAGGCTGTAGTTGCACTCCTCGTAGGCCCGGCCGGCGCCGAAGCCCGCGCCGACGATGGCGGGCCACGCCCTCCTCTTGAACAGCAGCACTGAGAAGACGACGCCGAAGCCGAGGCCGAGGGAGGACTTGATCAGGAGGTTGGAGAGGCAGCGGTCCCACTGTTTGTTGGGGGTTGCCGGTCCCGGCGCGCGTCAGTCTTGTTCTTGTTGTCCCCATGCCGCGGTGCACTTGCTTGCTTACCTTCTCGTTCAGGAGGGCCTCGCTGACGGGCCGCGAGACGGTGCTCGGGGGAGGTGGAGGGACGGAGGTCTCTGCCATTGTGACTTGTGGTTTCTGTGTTTGAGAGCCTGTCAATCAATCGCCTGTCGCTGCGGAGCTTTCGCGGATGGGCTCACCTCGCACTGGGGTTGTGGGCTGAGCGCGTTCTCCTCGGCCTGGATATGACGTTGTGGTCTGTGGTTTCTCTCTGTCTGTCTCTCGCTCGCTTCTGCGCTGCGCTTCCGGCTTGTTTTCGAGAGTCGTCAATTGACATGGCAGGGGCAGGGGCCAAGCTTGCCGAGCTAGCCAGGGTTAGCGGCTTATCGACGCCGCCTGCTACATTTGGGGGCATCTGCTTATCGCTATCGGCCTGGCAGAACTTCCAGAATTTCGGGAGCAAAGGTTTCTGGGTCTCGACTCTCGAGTCAACCCTGAACACCACCCGGGAACTCGTGAGGCCCGGCCCAAGTAAGATGGCGGCCGAAACAGGGAAAAGCCCACAGGTGAGACTGAGACAGCTTTCTCCCAGACCGGCTCGTGGAGAGGAACAAGTCCAGAACTGACAAGACCATCCCTGCAGTCGGCCGACGACCTCCTCAGAGCTACGAGAATCCTGGACCAGACCGGCCCAGAGTCTCTCCCCGACACCCTCAAGAATCTGTGGCGCCTACTCTCGAGCTCACCAGTCACCTCTCCAGTCGGTGCCTTCCATGCCCCGTCAGAGCTCATCCTGCGATGGATCCTCAAGAACATGAACGGCAAGTCTGCCGAGGCAGAGCAGTTCCGCCGATATCCTATGGCCTGGGTCGTCATGGCCTGCGTCTTGACCAGGATGCCTCTCTTTGCTCTTTCAACGTCACTCATCGACCGGCGATTCATTTCCATCCTCCAGCAAACCCTCAAGGAAATATCAGACCCGCACGATCAGGACGGCGCGTCCTCCGACGTGGACATGGCGGACGGCACAACTTCTCCCAAGGCGGATTCGAAAAAGAGAAAACGGTCTCCCGAGCTGCAATTTGACCTCTTGATGCTTCGGAAGCCACTTGGCTGCTTGCAGACGGCGGACTGTCTGTTCGGTGCCCTTGAGAAACTCCTGGCCAGGCTCAAGGACGTCCCGGTGGATGCACCCTCCAACGTCCGCATGGGGGCTGAGCACCTCAAGGCCATGTTCTATATTCCAGCCAAGGAAGCTGTTGAGATCATCCGGCCGATGCTGTCAATCTGTGGCAACGCCCTGAACGAGCAAGATTCAGAGACATCTGAAACCCGACCTAAATGGACCACTGTCCTCAGCGACCTGTGGGACCTTCATCCTAAAACCGCCAGCGATGCTGCTGATGTGGCCGTTTCTCTTTACCCCATCGGCTTCATCATCCTAGCCAAGATGGACCGTTCCAAAGACCTGGTCGTCAGTGCTCGCGTCAAGGCCAGCTGGACAAAGTCTCTGCGACGATTCTTTGTGAAGAACATGATCCTACCTGCAAGGGCTGCCTTCCTGCACAGAAAAGACGTGGCCATAATACAAGAAGCTGTGAATATGACCAGCTCTCTGCCCACAGCTTCATACCCTGTGTTGTTCAGCCTCGCCGTCTCACCTACAGGGGTAACCGATGATGCTAGTGGGCGGAAGGACTACCAGGACTGGTCTCAAAAGGTATTCGAGATCATCGAGGAGTCCATGCGCACTGCGGAACCTACCAGGCGAAACGAGGCAATGAAGGTCGTGCTCGGTACAGCCCTACAGAACAAGGCCAGCATCTCCCTGGACAGCTTGCGCGAGGTCTGCAGGCAATATACGTCCGAAAGTGGGGCAGTTGATCTGAGCCTCGTTCCCAGGGTGGCGGATATTGACGTTGATGCTTTTCTGATCTCGTCCGAGGGACAGTCTTTACTCGACGATGTCCTCGCGCAGATCACAATTTTGTGTGACGCAGAATTGAACGCCTCTAACGAGACTGACCTGGTCAAGTTTGTCGTGTCGCTCGCAGAAGGCTCTGCCAAGGCACGCAATCTTCCGTGGTTCATAAGGAAGTGGACAGAGGTTCTGTCGGAAAGTCTGGCCAAAGATGATGATTTCACCATTGTAAAGGGAATTTGGACCAGCGAGCAGGTCGTTGAGGCCGTTGCAAATCTCCTGCAACCGTCCATCAACACGTCTCAATTAGCCACTCTGATCGAGTGGCTGGAGAGCAGTGGGGGCTCCCGGAAGAATGGGTCTCTTCTTGTCGTCCTCGATGCGATGACCAAAGGCCTGATCGATGAAGAATACGTCGACAGCGTGGGAACTCGGCTGTTCGATCTTGCTTGCAAGGTTAAGCTGAAGCATCTCGACGGTGTTACGAAGGCGCGGTGGTGGCGTATTGTTGAGAGAACGGTCTCGCAATCGGAGCTAGGGGTCGTTGTCACTCTCTGGCACAAGATCGAGTCGGACCTGAAGAAAGCACTGAAGAAGGAGGATCTGGCAGACCCTGCGGCAATCGCAGCTTTCCGCTGCTGTACCGCATTCTGGCTGGCAAACTACCCCAAGGGTCCCCTTGAGTCCGAGACTTCGGCCATGGCCTGGACCTTCGTGAAGAGGCTGCAGAAGGGTGAACAGAAAGCCGCAGAAGCAGACGACACCAGGTTAGCTTTCTACGACGTACGCCGGCTGGTCGATCTCGCCGCCTCCTCGGACTTTAGTGGTGACTTCCTTGCGGGGTTGCTTGCATGCTTGGACAAGGCGGATCCTTCAAACCACTCAGTGCAGTCCTTGTTGTTGAACGAAGCCAGTCTGGGCAACTACAAGTACCTCAATGCCCTCGTGAGCCATGCCATCGGCACGCTCGCACGAGAAGAGGCCGACAAGTCGAAGCGTACCAAGCGACAGGTGGACGCGGCTATTCACATCTTGCTTGATCTGCCACCGGGAACGCTCAGTCGTGAACAGCGGGAGAAGATTCTGCCATCGCTGTTGCGTTTAGTCGACTTCCAAGAGGGCACGGATGTGGAAACGACAACCAGTCTCTTGAGTTTGATGATCAAAGTCATGAAACGGCCGACATACTACGAAGGCATGAATTTCGCCGACCTGGTTACTTTGGGGCAGAACATTGAGACTGGCATCACATCCAAAGAGCCGCACGTTCTATCTGCCGACAATGCTTACAAGTTATTGAAACTCTTTGAGGCTTTGGCATCAATCACGCTGAAGCAGATGACCTCCTCTTGGGAGGAAAGAGATCGAGTCTATCTGTCGGAAGTTTCCCGCATCGTGTTAGGCTGGCCTGCGAAGGCCGCCGACGATGAGGCACATCGGTATATCCTACTCAGAGCCCTCGTCAGCGCCCTGCAAAACTCAAAGGTCAAGCAGCAGGCCAAGGCTGTGGTTGATCCAGCTCAGTTGACGGAGAAACTGTCCTCAATGCTCTCGGATGCCCTAGTCTCTAGTGACCTACACGGTCTCTACGAGAAGACAACCGGAGCAAACATTGTAATTATAGTAGGGAAGAAACCACCCCTTTCGCCAAGTTTCAGCTACGTCCTGATCGAGCAGCTTGATATCCTCGACCCGATTGCTGTCCGGGCAAGCCTCCTGCCGTCCAAGGAAAAGCTCGAGCACGTGAGCGACGAACTTTGCAGCAGGGGCTTCAGATCCGGATGGCGGCTTAAGGAGTTGCTCTTCAAGACATTCGGCGGACACGCCAAGGACCCTCTACACACGTCTGACGATGTTGCGGTTTGGAGGCCACATGCGGACCGTTCGGTGCCACGCCCGCTACTCGCCAGTCAAAACGACATTACCCGGTACGTCGATGTTGTGCTGATGCACATGGATGAAGAGGCAAGAGCCAGCTACGCAGGGACGATCAGTCAGAAGCTACGCGAGGGCCATGGGATCAGTGGACATATCATCGCCATCCACCGGCTTCTGCAGGCCGAGAGCAGTGAGTGACACCCTTTTGAATTCTTTGAAATTTGGCTAAAACGAAGCAGAATCCTCGCTTGGACTCTTTGCTGGCCTCATAGAGTGGAAGACAGTCCAATATCAACTCGCACGACGACTGCCCAAGTCAAAAAACTGGGCCGAGTTTTCAGTCATCGCCAAGACCGCAGAAATGGTCCTCGAGAAGAAGCCAATGAAGCAAGACAATATTGAATTCACGTTGGAAACCGTTTCCACAATCTGCACGGGCGGGCCAACGATGTTGGACGAAGCTCACGCATCCGAGAAAGCCTACCCATGGCTCTGCGGCCTCGTCGAGGTCATCATCAAGCGACACCGCCACCGACTCGAAGGACACTTCCACCTCCTCACCGCAGCCCTCCAGGCCCTCCTCCGCCTTCTCATCATCCCATGGCCAACCACCTCCACCACCTCCACTACCCCCACCACCCCGTCTTCCCTCCCCAAAACCACCAGCACATCCTCCCCACCCGACCAGGAAGCCCAGGCCGCACGCTTCTCCCGCCTCCTAACCCTCATCTGCGAACCAAGCGTCGCCTCCGTGACGCGGGGCCAGAACCCGGGGGCGCTGGACTCGGCGCCCGAGGCGGCCAAGAAGTCGGCCGCCCACCACATGCCCCTGGTGCTGGCGGGCTACATCAAGCTGCAGCTCGAGCGGCCCGTGCAGCCCCGCGTGCGCGCGGCCCTCGACACGGGCCTGTACTCGGTGCTGGACATCACGCCGCCCGAGGGCAGGCGGGCCGTCAACGAGGCGCTCGACGCGAGCGGGCGGGCCATCTTCCGGGAGATGTACAAGCAGTACGTCAGGTTTGGGAAGTGGAATGGGGTCTAGAGGGGGGATGTGAGAGGGGGGAGAGAGCTCTCCACTCCCGGTGTGCCCAGGGAAGGGAGGAGGCGTTTCGTTCCTCCTGGCGCGGAAGACTCTGGCAGCGGTGTCTCCTGCCCAGCACTGGGTCCGCCATGCTTTGCGCGCGCGCGCGCTCAATAGTTCCATGATATCCAAATACAGTTCTGTATCTACGCACGCAGTCTCCTGCAAATCGAACATGTCTCCATTGTGACACAGTCCGGCCAAAGTGAATCATCCCTTCCCGAGTCCTCGGAGCACTCCGACGACCGTTTGGCCCCCCCCCCTCCTCCCATCGTTCCGTCTGTGTGATCGGCCCCTAGACGGAAGCAGCGGCTGCGGCGACGGACCAGTAATACACACATACCGCTTGACTTCAAGAACACCACCCTCGCCCTGCCCAAAGCCTGGGACCCAATAGACATTCGCCCTACGGAGCGGGATGGATCCGGAACCACCGCCAGCCAAGGCAAGCCTCACGAGCATGGCCATCGTGCAGCTAGCCAGGCCAGGGCGGATATCTTTGGGGGAACACAGCACAGCCGAGAAAGCGGGACTTTACACACCCTCTGGTGCCGCAGAGCACAGTAAGCAAACGCACCGCATAGAACCTTTCTAACCTGCTTCCTCGCATGTCCCCCTTTCGCTTTCCGCGGCCCTACTACGGTGGGGTGGGTAGGATACGAAATCCTGCACACCTGCCCCTCGACTAGGTAGGTAGGTATTTGCCTAAGTTAGTTACCGTGCCGCTCTCCTGCATGCATGCGTGATGACGGGGATGCAGGCAGACTACCCTACCCACCGCACTCCTTTCCTGTGCGACCCCCCCTCCCCCACCCTCCTCGCTTGTTAACAAAAAGAAAAGAAGAAAAAACAAGGCTGGCTGCAATGCAGGTGAGACACAAAATCGTCTAGAGCAAAAAATCCTGCAGCGGCAGTCTGGTGGGTTGGCTTCCCGGACACGTGGGCCTGGGTCCCATCGTGCTGTGTTATTTATAAATCGACGAGAATCGGTGGTCAGCACTATATGTGGGTCCCCCTTACCCTTACGGCCGGGCCAGGACTGGGACATCCATCCATCCATCCATCCATCCATCTGGGAAGGGCCGTGTGTGAGAGGACAGGTTTTTTCCTGGGTACGGGGGCTGATTGAGCCGGTGGGCGGGCGATCGGGGAGAAAGTAGGGACGAGATCGGTGTAAGCCACTCACTCGGTCGGTCGATGTCGGTCTGTGTGTACTGTATGGCTGCTGGGCGCTGTTCGGCGCCCTCCACTGGGTTGTATCTTCCGGGCTGCTGTTGTTGGGGGCGGCTGGCTATATGAGAGCACCTGTGGTAGGTTATAGGTTACAATATACTCAAGTAGGTGGACTGGACTGGTCGCCGGCTAGAGCCGTGGCCACGTTGTGGACAGGGCTGGTGGTGAATCCTTTTAGAGCCGGGGGGGGGGGACACAACGGGCGGCCATCGTGGCCGGCATGGTGGTTCATCAGGCGATTTCGAACAGATCCAAACCCAAAAGGTTAGACTAGACTGTGTGGGAGGGATGTAGGCTGCTATAGAATCTTGGACAGACGGGATGAAGTCATCTCTACCGTTATATCCTAGCCCTCCTGGATCGTGCCCACGACAGCCGTGGTGGTTATTATCCACCCCAGATGACGGTATCATGAGGGATTCCGACAAGCATTCTCCAGGCGCAACATTGGGCCAGGATTCCGTAGCACTGCAGGTTTTTTTCCCACCCCGGGAGCAATATGCACCAAGAGCCGTGCTTGGCTCTTCGCATAGGGCAGCGGTGGCATGGGAGCATTTTGCTTCTGCTGTCCACCCTGCGCCGTTGGAACGCGGTATGGTCACCGATCGCCTTGGGGGATGGGGGAGAGTTCTCCTTTTTCCAGCCGTCAAATAATAAATGCCCACGAGTTTGGTTGCTTTTTCTTCTTCGTTTTGCTTCTTCTATGAGGCATACTAGTTACCTAATCTAGTATTTTCCCCCTCCGCATTTTTGTTTTCGAGAGGGAAGAAAGGGTTCCAGGACCTCCTCAACCGAGTTTCCTCGCCTGTCCTCAAAATAATCAACGACCATTTTGAACGAACGTCGGTGGGTTTTTGACACCGGCCGAACAAAGCGGGCGACCCCTCAGCGCCCAGCCAAGCAGCTTCACCCCACACGAGCTAGAGCTCTCTCGGCTTCAAATGTTCATAGCGCTCGAGTGAACCCGATCGAGCTCCTCGGCAGTTCAGTCAACAACAACAATAACAAGCAGCAGCTGCATCAGGCGGGCATCTATATCCGCCGTCCCTGGCCTTCAACCGCCCCTCCCTCAAACATCCCGAGTATCGGGGGAGAAATATACGACACTATATCACATCGATATCTTGTTGACTAAAGCCAGACGTACTTACTTGATCACGTCAAACCGGGGCCCTGGCAGCGGAAGAAATCTGCAGGGACAAGGGATATCGAAAGAGACGAGGGTTCCCACCTCCCCACGCAATGGGCTGGGAACGGGCAGCCGGGTGAATAGAATTCCAACCTTCCAGGAACCACAAAGACGACACCCCGTGCGTGTCTGGCCACGCCAGCCATTCCCTCAACCAGATGGGGGCCAGGGATAGAAAGCAGCCCACCGCGGCTTGGGGCCCAGCAGGAGCAGCATCTACCCCGGCTGCTGGTGGGCGGAGCCCCGTGGGCGAGACGCCCGTATCCGCACCGAGTCGAGGTGGTGATGATCATGATGTGAACACGGTCCACGGCGGTGGGCAGCAGCAGCAGCCCGTCCCGGCGGGTGATTATTCGCACAGCACGCAGGCTGGAACTGTTAGAGACGCCGCGGACGAGTCTGTCGCCGCTGAGAGACAGGCAGCCATGGACATGGTCGACCGGGCCAATGCCGGCCAGCCCGTGTTGTCAGGGCCCGATCCGTTGGGGCTGGGAAGGAGTGAGCCGCAGAAGCAGCAGCAGCAGCAGCGGGAGGAGGAGGACGGGAGGACAGACGAGGGGGCCAGCACTGCGCACGAGAAGAGGCCGAACCTGTAAGCCAAGTCCTCATGACGAGGTGCCTTGTGTGACTGACCGACTGACTGACCGACCGACGGCGATAGATGGGGCACGTCGACCTACGACCCAGACGACGAGACAGACATGCACTGGGAGCATGGGCGGAGGTACTGCCGCGACTACTTCATGCCCAACGACGAGGACGAGCAGGACCGGCTGCGGATCCTGCACCAGATCTACCTCAGCATCTTCAACCTGGAGCTGACGACGGTCCCGCTCGAGGACCCCACGGCGGTGCTGGACGTCGGCACGGGCACGGGCGAGTGGTCCATGGCCATGGCGGAGCGGTGGCCCGGCTGCGACGTGACGGGGATCGACCTGTCGCCGACCTTTGAGCGCGCCGTGCCCCTGAACTGCCACTTCGAGGTCATGGACGGCGAGGAACAGCAGCCCTGGCCCTGGGGCGACAACACCTTCGACATGGTGCACTACCGCCACATGTCGGGGGCCTTCCGCGACTGGCGCCGCGTCTACGGCGAGACGCTGCGGTGCCTCAAGCCGGGCGGGTGGGTCGAGGTCCTCGAGTTCCACGACCACGAGGGCGAGAAGAGCTTCTACGACCGCTTCCCGCCGCACTCGCTCATGCACGAGGCCGCCCGGGGCATAGAGGAGGCCGAGGAGCTCCACGGCAAGCACCGCGGCGTCGACCACATGGAGCCGGACCTGCTCGAGGACAGCGGCTTCGCCGGCTGCGAGGTCCACGAGCACGTCGTCCCGCTCGACCCGTCCAACTCGCCCCTCGGCAAGCTGTGGCTCGTCACCCTGCGCGCGGGATTCGAGAGTTACGCCCTCAGGCTGCTGACAAAGTACCGCGGCTGGGACCCCGCCGACGTCCGCGCCGCCTGCGAGTCCGTCGGCCGCCAGATGATCGCCATGGCCACCGACCCGCTGCGCAACAAGGGCTTCCAGATCAGGCTGCGCGTCACCGTCGCCCGGAAGCCGCTCGTGCCCGGGGCGGAGGGGGCGGAGGGGGCTGCCCGGCCTCAGCCGTCCGGTTAGTCGAGCAGGATCAACGTGTCTGTCTGTCCGACTGTCTGTCTGTCCGTTGTGCCGTCCTGCTTGTGCTTGTGCTTGTGTGCGTTCTACCGACCGTGGAGATACCCCATCCTTGATACCACACACATTTTCTGTGTCTCGGTGATGCTGCACGATGGTTTTGAGTGGTGGAGAATCCGGGGGATTAGAGTTTCCTCTAGACCGTCAAGTCCTGATACGTAGCGTCTGCCCCTGTCCTTGTTGGTGGTGTTTGATCCCCAGATAGTTTTAAAAAGTTGTCTATACGGCCATGCATTCGAGAGCGGGGAGACTCACGTCCTGATTTTCTTTTTTCGTTTGGGGGTGGGGGGAGGATGTCTGGGAGGCGAGGCAGTGGTGATGATGAAATATCATAGCGGGCTTGAATAGATTGTTTGTCAAAGAGAGAGAAATTACTTAGATAGGGGCCCTGGGCCTTTTACGTTCGTGGAGACGACTATCCCTCCTCATTTCGTGATTCTGATAGCAACGTGCAACTGCATAGGTAGCCACCCTCAGTGTGTGGCGGAAGGTCAGACAGACACCCAAGAGGTTGTGGCTACTTGGGGGCGTTGAGTTGCCAACCTCCAGCAGCACTTCAAGATGAGCTGAAGTTGGATCATACAAGGCAAACACCACACAAAGTCACGACTGCTCCATCCGACGGCGTGCCTGACTCTCACATGCATACTGGCGAAAGCAAGAAGATCCAAAGATACAACCATAAATTCTACTCGATCTCACTCAAGGTCGTTGCAAAGGGCGTGTGCTGTATCTATATATATATGTCTGTGTGTGTGTGTATAGGCACCGCATGCCCACATGCAAAACCAAGAGGGGTGGGGGTTGCGCGTTAGAAAGATGGGTGTCAAGGAATCTCATCCCTCTTAATTCATCATACGAAGAGAATAAAAATGTATCCAGTCCTATCCTGGCGGTTGGTCTTTCAAGTAAGTACCCTCATCTCAAGAACGCCATTTAAAATAATATAAAAAAAACGCCCGGAGCCCGGAAAACCCAACAAGAATACATCGGTTAGGTTTCCTTTTTGCAATATAGATAAAACAAACAGCTTCTCACGCTCATGCCCCCTCCCTCCCTCCCTCCCTCTCTTTCCATGCTGTTGCTTGCAGGCCTACGACACCTGGAAGTTCTCCTTGGCCGCCGGCGCCCCGTTGCTGCCGGCGCCGACGACCTTCTGCTTGGGCATCGGCATGTCCGTGACCTCCTCCCTGTCGCTGAGCACCTCCTTGTTCTTGACGACGGGGAACGGCGACAGCACCTTGGAGATGTCGCCCCACCAGTGCTCGCCGAAGCGGCGGTACCAGTCGACGGTCACGCGCAGGCCCTCGGCGAACGACGTCTTCTGGTCCCAGCCCAGCTGGCGCAGCTTGGTGCCGTCGACGGCGTAGCGGTGGTCGTTGAAGGGCCTGTCGTGCGTGTACTTGACCCACCGCTGCACGTCCTCGGGCGCCGCGGCCGGGATGCCGAACTGCTCGAGCAGCCTCACGCACAGGTCGCGGTTGGCCACCTCGTCGTAGCTCCCGACGTTGTAGATCTGGCCCAGCTGGCCCTTGTGCAGGATGGTGTCGAAGGCGTCGGCCGCGTCGCCCGCGAACAGGTACCGGCGCGTCGGGGTGCCGTCGCCGTGCAGGACGACGGGCTGCCCGCGGTTCAGGAGGCACGTGAACTTGGGGATGATCTTCTCCGGGTACTGGTGCGGGCCGTAGACGTTGTTGCTGCGCACGATGATGACGGGCAGCTTGAAGCTCTTCTGGTACGAGTGCACCAGCATCTCGGCGGCGGCCTTGGACGCCGCGTAGGGGTTGGTCGGGGCCAGGATGCTCGACTCGAGCAGGTCGTCGTCGTCGTCCTTGACCTCGCCGTACACCTCGTCCGTCGAGATGTGGATGAAGCGCCGGATGCCGACCTTCTTGGCGCTCTCCAGAAGCACGTGGGTCCCGTACACGTTGGTGTGGGTGAAGCCGTACGAGTTGCCGAAGCTCAGGTCCACGTGCGACTGCGCGGCGAAGTGGAAGATGGTGTCGATGTTGTACCGCTCCAGGCAGTCCACCACCTCGGTGGGGTTGGTGATGTCGCCCTGGTAGAAGGTGAAATTCCGCTTGTCGTTGAGCATGCGCGTGTTGTTGAGCGACGAGCAGTAGTCCAGCTTGTCAAAAGACACGATGTTGTACGCGTGGGGATACGTCAACGTCAGGTGCCGCACAAGCCAGCATGCACTGAGAACTTCCGTGTCAGCGGGGGGAGGGGTCTACGCTCGTGTTTCGTGGCCACCGAGGCAAGCAGGCCGGCCTCGGGGGGGGTGAAGGAATGGCGGGGTCGACTTACATGAAGCCGGCGCCACCGGTGATCATGATGTTCTTGACATCTGGCAGAGGCTCGAATTTCGTGGTCCCCGTCAATACTGGGGCCTCCTTCCAAACGCCAAAGTCCTCAAAGAAGTTCTGGCGGGAGCCATTTGTGCTGCCTGTACAATGCGGTCAGTCCCAGTTCAGGATGGGCGTCACGAATCACGTACCATTTGAGGCGCCATTGCTACCGTTCGTGAGAGGGGCCATCTTTCTCGTCTCTTTCGCCTTGAGCGACTTCTATTCCCAGATTTCCAAATGAGAGGATAGAAAGAAACCGTGAGAGAAAGAAGAAGAAGGAAAAAGGCGCAAGCGCTGCTGTGTGTGTGTGCTGCTGTTGCTGCTGTCGCTGCTGCCGCTACTTGTTGAGTGATCGTGGGGTCGGTCACCTGGATCACCCTCAACTGCAGGCAGGCTCGCCGGTGAAGTACTAGCCACTGAGTCGAAGAATTGTGGGGACAACGGGTTGAGAGCAACGGCTATCAGGCGAACAGATTTGCGCCGGTGAATGTCCAAATAAGGGTCGTGACTCGCGCTTGAGAAACCCCTGACTTGAGATAAGTCGTCTAATACCGTGTATGTAAAAAGAGTGAGACTGGATATGAGGTGAGAAAAGAGGTTGGCTGTCTTGGAAGAATGGCTCGGCAAAGGAATGTCGCCTTGTCAATCAAGGGATCCGGAACCTAGCAGGCCTAACTAACTGGCAGGAGACTCGTTTAGTCCCGAAAAGTAACTAAGGGTGAGATCGCCTACAGCCGAGTTCAGGGAGAGGGCCAGGCTAATCAGACGGGACGAGGCTGCAGGATTTGTCTCTGTGTTATAAAATATGCTATATGAAGGGGACTGGATCAAGAGAAAGTCTGATCTGGCATGGCCATGTCTCTCAATTATACGGCCGCATCGACTTAGGGGGGCAAGTAGGTTTTAACTTTCCTTTTTTTAAAGGCTCGAATTGAGCCAAACGACCACGCGGCCCTGGCATTTGTGGGACCCCCGTTGCTGCAAGGTACCGGTACAAGGGAGCCTCCAGTGCGCAGTCGCCCACGAGTTGCGGTGCGGAATGGGATGGATGCCAGACGCACCACCACAAGCACACCCGGACACCCCAGGCGGGGACCCCTGGAGAGACTTGGGAGACGAGCTATTCTCGACGCGCGCGTTTTAGTCAGGGGATATTGTTGAGGCCTGCGCATTGCGAGGCCAGGACGACAAGCGGCTCAGCCGGGGGCCTGGAAGCAAAGCGAGCAAGATTGACTTTTCCTATCCCTCCAGCGCACACTCATGTGCACACATGATTAATCGCCAGGAACGGTAGATTTTACGGGGTCGCACTACAGCTGTGACACGGGCATGTCGTAGCTCAGGCCTATCGGGCAGCGCTATCTTGGGGGCCTGGTCGGTCGGTGTCGATGGACGGACAGGACTGCAGACCGGCGGGCCGGCGAACTGGCTGAATGGCAGGACAGACCTGCTAGGGAAGAGACGGCCCAGGAACAATAGAGCAAACGACCGTGCCATGGCACCACCAGGCACCCATCCAGCCATTCCGTGCCGATGGTGCGCTGACAATAGCATATGCGTGCCCACATCACGAACTGTCGCTTTACCGCGCCGAGCTAGCTGCATCGTATCGTCCCCGGCTCGCCCTCGCTAGCGCCGTCAACTAATTATCAGGAATCCCTTCGGGCGCGGGCCTGGTGCCCAGGTGGTCAGCATTTGCCTCTTCTGGCCTTGTAGGGGGTCTTCTAGCTGCAGCATCCAGCCTCGGCGTGAGCCACCTCCTGCAGCCGCAAATCTTAATGCGCAAAGAAAAGGGTCCTTCTCCGTGCACCGTGTGCCGCGGCGCGGAGCGGCGCCGGGTCCTAACGTTATTGCGTCTTCTCATATATGCGAGTGCCAGGCTCGAAGGGGCCCGCAGTGGACGAATCGGTAGCTGTAGACCCGAGCACGCCCGCATGGTGGCTTCCGGGCTGGCACGATGCGTGCTCCCTCGTGTGCCCCGTCAACCAGTGTCTCTTGCTGATAACAAGTCCGTGCTGTTGAGCGTAGGCTCGGTAGCACGGTGGACCCTGTTCGTCAGTGGCCGCAACGAGGCCGCCTCGAGGCCTGCGTACTGGACCGCGCTGTACTACCGTGTAGTCAACCACGACCCTGGACATTCCCGCTATCAAAGTTATCACAGGCCAAAAAGAATGCTGCCCTCTTGGCGGCGGATGCGCTTGGCGTCCTATCTGCCTGGTTCGATCAAACGACTCCCCACACACCCTGACGCCTCCTGCCTGCCAGAGTCAGCCGTCGGGTACCTACATCCCAGCTCCCGTCTCACGGCATTGCGTCTTGCCCCTTCGAGCGCCAGTCTGTGCAGTCCCTTATCGACCATGTCTATGTTTGTGGCTGCGTGTGTGTCTGTATCTTTGTCTTGGTCTTGGGCCCCTGTGCGTGCTGCCGATCATAACACGGTGCGACGCCGACATATGTGCCTCCGCAGGCTCTTGGCTCCGTGCACAAGCTGTGCGGCATTGCAACGGGACACCCCGCCTAGCCGCACCCTTGGGTAAACAGATCTGGAGATCGCAAGCACCTAGCTGATACGGGCCCTGGGGAGCAACCCCCCAACGCTCCGGTCAAGGCCAGTTCCAGTTCCTGGGCCACAGATAGACCAAAAAGAAGTGGGCTTGCATTCGTCAACTGCACCCCACGCATGTGCAGGGACCATCGCAGTATCCTCTGGGGAGGGTTGGTTGCGATGTGGGGCAGGGAATGCGCGTTTGAGATCTGGAGTGCTCCCCTTTTTTGTTTCAAAGAGCCTCCTGGCCGGCCCTACAGCAGCGCGCGCGGGAGACGCATGGTGGCCCTGGACCCTTTCGTGGGACAGCATTATCAGCATCATCATCGTTATTGTGCAGAGCCGCGATCGCGATAGGCTTGCAGGCTTGCCAACCAACACGCAGGACCCATCACTCGGTTCCCATTTCTGGTGGCGAAGTTTAAGCACTGGTTGGTTCGACCTTCGCCAAGACAGGCCGTCGAGTTTGTTTCTGTTGCGTTCTCTTTGTGTCGCCTGTCACCGGCGTGATGCACAGATCCTGGGGCAGCACGAACAGTGCCTCTTGTTCCACCTCCTGACAGCTCCACCGGTCGCCCGCCATGTAGGGCTGTTAGGGTACCAAAGCCGTGCGTGCGAAACTCGAAAACATGGCACTGCACTGCGCAACGAAACACACACATGCATCTCGCACGACACTCGAGGAGAGTAGAGATTACTCAACCATATGCTTTCGGCAAATCTGCAACTGTCGAAGCCTATTCGCTCGACTCATGGGCTCTAGACAGAAGGTGTCTTGACCGAAATAGCAACAGTCACAAGCTGGAGTTTGCCTTCTCCAGACGGCACCGCCCACATGTCCGGGCACCCGCTTTATTAGCATTGGACAAGGTCTCTTTTAGCGCATGTTCTCGCCTCTCACTTGGCACGTGGGAAGCTCAGGGCGACAAGCTTAACTCAGCTGAGATCGATGCATTGAGTTGTTAGCTTTCAATTAACGCAGTGTCTGACTCTCAGTTGCTCCGAGTCCTTTAATACCGAGACAGCAATCTTAATAGATCGATTGATGCCGGACGGCCAGCAAACATGAAGCCTCCCGCAGCTTCCGGACGGCATTGGTGATCGTCGACGCGTGAGGCCAGGTTCGGTTCAATTGAAATTGCTCAACCTTCGTCTCATCTTTGGGCATGGGTGGGGGTGTCGTGAGAGGCAAACAAAAAGTATAGGAGACAGGCTTCGCTTGGCATGTCAGAGTCGCCGAGCTTGTTGCCCTTGTGGGTTCGAAATAGCTTCTTCTGCACCCGAATGTCCCCGTCGTCCCGTGCTGTGAACCGTTGGGACTATTTTGATCCGGTACGCAAGCGATGTCTCTCGCGCTGGAGCCCCTTTCGGTGCCTGCGCCTGTCAAATTGCCTAGTTGAAGAGATATATCTGGAGTTAGGGGTGTCTGTGCATGGTGACGCCTTGATGCGCTAAAAACGACGCCGTTGACAACCAGCCTGCCAGCTTTTGTTATGCTCTGGGGTGGCAACGCTACTAAGCCCCTTTTCTAGCCGTGGTATAGTCTGCGAATCACTAAAAGTGGTTTACCTTTCGCTTATGGACTATGCTTTGCGGATACTGCGATGCCTTCCCCTGGAGGGTTTAGGCTTGGGCGCAGGCCTGGGCGCAGGCCTGGGCGTTGAGAGCTGGGCTGCGGCGTACCGAAGCTCTGGGCGGGCCGTTTCCTCCCTCTTTGTCGGTCTGTTCTGTGTCTCGTTAGGCGCGAGTAAGTTTTGGCGACGCTCGGCGATGCGCGACAGTCGGTGGGATAATGCCAGGCTCTGTGACGCTGCGTTGAAAGGGGGTTTCAAGCTGGCATATTATCAGGGCGGTGCAGCGTCAAGAGTTCAGCACAAGCGACCGCGTGCTCGAGAGTCCGCCGTGTGGCCAGACACTTTTGTGTGATGAGATGTGACCCGGTGAAGACCCGTTGAAGACCCGTGGGATAGCCGTACCACTTTGCGTGCGGTACGTGTGATTGCCTCAGCCACCAGTGGGGGATGGGCCCATCAAATGACGTCTCTGGTGGCTTGCTGGCGCGGAATGCTCTCTAATTGACAGCCAAGATGCGAAGGAGGGTTTCGATGTTCGGACGGGAAGTGGCTTGAGTGGGAGGTCCAGCCCTAACGAGGAGCCGCGCTTGCTGCATTTAGCAGCGACGATGTAACGACCATGATGGCACGCACCGGGGGGAGTGATCGGGCTGGCAGGCTGGTCGGCACAAGGATCCTGCCTGGTCGACGTCCGTCGGTGCTCAACTACTGTGGATAGCGCCCAGTCAGCCAGTCAGTGCGCCATGGGTTCTGGTAGACGATCAGAGGAGGATCAAGGGAACAGACTGGACTGGCGCACAAAACGCACACTACTGCTGGCTTGCAAATTGGCAACGCCGGCCGGATCGAAGCCGGCAGAGCGAGGCCCGAGCAGGCGAGGAGCGAAGCGGCAGCCGAGATCTGACAGGTTGACAGCAATATCGACAGGATCCAAGGTGTGCCAGTGTCTCTGGTTGGCGAGATCGGCAGCTGACCATGTCTCTGGCCGGGGTTGACGTACACAGTGGCAGAGTGGGTGGGTGGTGCGGCAAGATGGAAGAGGAATGGTGTCTTGGTTCCAAGATGGCAAAATGGGTTGCTGGCCGCGGTTCGTACCGATACATGCACGTATACGGAGTACTGTGGTACACATTGGTGCAGGTCCAAGACTGCGGTGCAGCCTGGCAGCCTGGCAGGTTGCACCTTCCTGTCTGCCCGTCTCCCCGTGGGCGTGTGGGCCCATCTGTCCATTCCGCTGGGCAGCCACGGGCCAAAAGTCAGTTATGTCGGGTATCCCTGCCGAGGCTCTCGTTCCTTAGCCTGGCCCCTGCCCTTCACGAACCCCTGCAGGCACAGGGACATGGAGGACCCCTTCCTGAAGCACGTTCCTTTGTCGCTGTCTCCTCCTCATCAGCCGTAGAAAGCCCGTCAGCCTTCTTAACTCGGGCTTGCTGCTGACGGTGACCGCGCTTTTCGATGCCCAGCCAAATTGTACAAAGCCGTCGTCACAGGCCGACACCTCCGCCTCGAACTCTACCTAGTGCCTTCTGCTTTACTTTTTTTTTCATATGAAATCTGCTTGGTTCTATTTCTTGATCTTGCGCCCCAACGGTCCTTTCCACCATTCCCTACCTTAGACGCTCCCTTTTTGTGTTCATGCTCCCGACGAGCCTAGGACGTATCATCGACCTGCACCACTCCTTCTGTCGTTTCAGCTGAGCTGGCCGTCAACCCGACTTTTCTTCCACTCCCACTTTATCAACCTGACGACAGCATCTCGCAAACTTGCAGGTGCCCATACCCAGAAGCACAAGGATTGCGCACCATGACTTCAGAATCTGGTCGGTCCGACAGGGAGGGCTCAATCGCCTCGTCCCACACCGAGACGGGCGGCGTCGACGACCACAACGAGAAGATGGCCCCGCTCCGAGATGACGAGAGCTTGACCGCCCTCAAATCACCAACATCCGCCTACCACGACAGCGACCATGACCGCGAGGATGAGGAGCTCCTTCCGCAGGTGGAGGAGAAGCCAGAGCCGCCCAAGGGCAGCATGGCGTCATCAATAGTATGGATGGTCGTCAACACCCTGGCCACCATTGGCATCGTAAGTATTTCCTGGGCATCGCATTGGTCCTCCAGTATTCCTTGTGAACAGTAGAGCACGGTCTGACAATCACTCCAACCACCAAAGGTCTTCGTCAACAAGGCAATCTTCTCCGACCCGTCGCTCAAGCTGGCACAGCTCACATTCGCCGCATTCCACTTCACCATCACATGGCTCACCCTATACGTCCTCTCGCGGCCTCGCTTCGCCTTCTTCACCCCTCGCCGCGCATCCATCCGCGATATCCTGCCGCTCTCCGTCTCCATGGCCCTCAACGTCATCCTGCCGAACCTGTCCCTCGCATTCTCCACCGTTACCTTCTACCAGGTCGCCCGGATCCTGCTGACGCCCTGTGTCGCCCTCATGAACTACGTCCTGTACCACCAGACCCTCCCCACCAACGCCATTATCGCCCTCGTCCCCGCCTGCGCCGGAGTCGGTATCGTGAGCTATTACGACAGCCTGCCCGCCGCCGATGCCAACATCAAGACCACCAGCGGCCTAGGCGTGATCTTCGCCTTCGCCGGCATCTTCGCCAGCTCCCTGTACACTGTCTGGATCGCGTCCTACCACCGCAAGCTCCAGATGAGCTCCATGCAGCTTCTGTTCAACCAGGCCCCTGTCTCGGCCTTTATGCTGCTCTACGTGATCCCCTTCGTGGACACCTTCCCCGTGTGGAGCACCGTGAGCGTCAGCCGCTGGGTGATGATCCTGATGGTAAGTCTCCGAAAGCCCACCCCCGGGTCCCTCCGCCCCTACCTCCCCGTGCGCAGCTCAGCTCTTCGCTGTTCGCACTTTGCGGATCAATCAAACTCTATCTTTGCATGGTTTTGGGTTTGATCGGCATTGCTCTTATCTCGCGCAGCCGCAAGGGAGGCAAGAGTCCGAGAATAGCAATCCACCCACAGCGACCCCATTCCCTGTACGTGTATGACTCGGCTGACATGCGCGTGCCCTGCAGTCCGGCGGCTTTGCCTCTCTTATCAACATCTCTCAATTCTTCATCATCGCCCAGACGGGGCCGGTGTCCAGCACCGTCGTCGGCCACGTCAAGACATGTTCTATTGTCGCCCTTGGCTGGGCCACGTCCGGCCGCGCTATCGGCGACAAGTCCGTGCTGGGCGTCATGATTGCCATCGGGGGTATCATGGCGTAAGTTTCTCTCTCCTCTACCCTCACACTATCAGACCGTGTTCCAATTCGTTTTGACTTCGATGCTGACTACGTAAATAGATATTCGTGGGTAATGCTGAAAGAAAAGCAAAAGCAGCAGGGCAAATAAGCTCTTGTCATTGTTCCAGCTGGCGTTGTTATGCTTCTTTTGATTTTCAAGCTTGGCATACAAATTCCATTTCATATATAATATATACCATAAAGATTCTACATGCATAGTATCCAACTGGGTGGCGAGGGACTTGACCCGTCCACCCATACCAATAGAACAACTTCACAGAGAAGAAAAATGTTCAAGAAAAAGATCAGCAGCGGCAGACGGGAGTTGCCGAATGTCCATGTCCCCCTGGCCAGTAGATGAGTCAATCTCTATGAGACAGTCTTGTCCGCTCAGCTTGCACGGATTCGCATCCCCGTAATCTAAATATTCAAATGTTTTACCACACCCTAAATGGTTTCGCTTCTACTCCGCATACATCTTAGGACATACATGGCGCCTTCATACGGTGGTAACCGCTCAAGACCCAGCGTGTAGAAAAAGAAGAAAAGAGAACAAAAAGCCACATCTATCACAATGGTTAAAATACGATAGGTGAGAAGTAGTGTCAAATGTAGTCGGTTGTTTATAACCATCAGAGGGTTGCCTAAAGGGCCTTAATAAGTGGATATGTTCCTAGTGACTCGGTGTAACAAAGGACTGCCACAATAGCAAAAGCTGTAGCTAGTAGAGAAGGATGGAGTGTGGCCGAAGCCTGGCTATCCTAAAATGAGTGTTCTGAAATGGATCCTATAACTACTCTCCTCCACCAGCCGCATAAATCTGCCTGCCGTTGGCGGCCTGGCAAGCACTCAGAGCTCCACGCCTTAGTTAACTATGCCAGCTTCACGCAGTGCTTCGATGATGACGTGCTCGGAGTCAAAGTCATCGCCAATGTCCGGCAATCCTTTCCCATCAACGAAGACTTGGTGGGTTCCCTTAGTGGTCTTCTGGTGAGCCGACTCATTGCCTTTGACGTCCATGATTCCCTCTATGGCATTCCATCCCGTGGTCCGATACGTCTCCGTAGGGTTAACCGCGTCAGCAGGCAACATGATGGTGCCGTCGCTGTCAGAGAGGACAAACTCCTTCATCCACTTGCCAAGTGTGTCCTGGCTGAGCAGCTCGATACCAATGATGCCTGCCAGACCGTTGAGCTCGAGGTACTTCTGTACAGCGGCAATGAAAGCATCGTCATTGGCAGTCATCGAAGGAGGGGCCTCCTGGCGATAATCGTAGGGGTGGAAACCCCCGTCGGGGCCCAGCACGAAAACGTAACCGTGCAAAGCCCCGAGGTCCAGCTTATCAGCCTGGATTGGACGGGTCCAAAGGCCGGGGAGGCAGCTCATGGGCTTGCCCATCATGACCATACCCTTGGCCATCTTCACGTGTCCATGGATCAGATGGAAACCAAACTTGTTCTGGACGCCGAACTCTTTGATGAGGCCCTTGAGCCCAGTAATAAATACATCAGCCACCTGAGGCGGGTCTGTGTCGTCAGGAAGCGTATTGTAGCTTATTAACAACAGACAGTCAGTGCTAGTACATCATTGGAGAGGACCCTGAGTGGATGCGTGAATGTGAACTTACATGTCTCCAGACTTGTTCATGTCATCCAGCGTAGGCCGCTTGTGAAGGCCCGGGATGTTGAGATGGTTGAGGGCTTCCACAGTAGCCATAGTAGCTGGATTTGGTTCTGCCGATGAAATTTGTGGTAATTCGATATTTCTTGAGAGGCAAATCCTGGAGAGGTCGAAAAATGACAACTGAGTACGACTTGTAGAGATAGCAGAGGAGCAGCAGCATGGGACAGGGCTCTCTGGGATTTTATAGACAACTACGAGGACAAAAATACAAAGGCAGCACAAGGCAGAAATGGCATTCCGTTGGTGATTCTTAGCTATCTATTCCATGATGTTTGGTGGTTGGCAGATATAGAAACTTCCATCCAAGCAAGAACTTTAGCCATGGCCTGTCACTGGCACAGCCTTTGGTTGTTGGCCGATAATAATTTATATTAGGCCTTATATTCAGGCCAGGAACTTCAGCTGTGGCCTATCACCACTATAGCCTTTGGTTGTTAGCTAACATTAAATTCTCTCAGGCCCTGTACCTAGGCTAACAATATCAATTGTGAGTCCTATCTATGTGGAAAGTTTGAAAGGATGATGAGAGACATATTAGTTTAAGATGGTCAGTGGAACAACAAATCGTTCTGAACTGTCTGTGCATGCAAGCTGAAGCCCACGATACATAACTTTTGGTGCGTCAGTACAATGGAGAAGGTTTTGTAGACCTACTGTCTTAAAAAGGTCTACACAGTAACTGCCTACCTAGGTAGTCGTGGGTTTCTCAATAGTAGATCAGGGTGGAAGAAGAGTTACTTGATAGAACTGCCTTTTGTGTTTGGTGTTCCTTAACAATTTTGCTTGAAGAATGTTCCACGCAAGGACCGTTTCAAACGCCTGTGCCACGCTGAGGCACCAGGCACCAGCAGTGAGAGATGTCATCGTGCAACCCCTACCTACCTCCCATCCTTTCTTGCTCTAACCATGGGCCGTCTGCTTCGCGCCAGATTTATTTCAGCCAGAACTATCTAATTGATTTAATTGTTTTATACTTGTTGTGTTACTCCACAGCATCAGCAAGCTATGCCTTTCGTCGTCTATAACCTTAACAACGCCATCGACAGCTTCTTTTCGGATGCTGGGGCGTCAACGTCTAGGGCCGAGTGCGACGCTATTGCCCACCAAAGATGCGGAGGCCAGATCCGACCCGTTGACATTCAAGGCATGAGCAGTTACACTGTGATTGCAGGGCTAAATGACGACAAGATCATCCAGTTCCGAGACCAGACCGCCTTGTTAGATACAACCATTTTAGCATTGGCCAAGGACATTCATGGCCATCTTGTACCAAGCTGTTCTGAAGTTGGGCGGGTTGGCGACGTAAGGGGCTCCTCGCATCTGGTGGTGTATGAGATGGATAGGCTTCTCGGAGAGAACTGCGTCACGGCTCGCCTCTCTCTACCGTGCGACAAGCGGTTGAACATTGTGCACGGCTTGGCAAAGTTCGTCGAGGTTGTCCTTCTTCCTCGTTGTGCGAACACTACTAATCTAACGCAAAAGTTTCTTTGCCCAAGCGTGGCAGAAAAGCATCCCAGTAGATTCAGGATTGGTCAACATGTCTGCCATCAGTGTCGAATGTTATGCCAGGTTTAAATATCTGGCTGACGCCCTCCCCGAGCGCTTCCAACCAGCAGTTGCCGAAGCGCAAGCCGCCCTGCCATCGCTCCTCGACGGGGGTTACCCAGTGGTTCTCACACACGCCGACCTCAACGAGATGAATATACTGATCAATTCCAATACCGGCGAAATCACAGGCATTATCGATTGGTCATCTGCGAGCATCCAACCTTTTGGCTTCTCCCTGTACGCGCTAGAAGATGCCCTGGGCGACATGCGCGCTGACGGGTGGAAATGGTATGATAACGCGGACGAGCTAAGGGCTGCATTCTGGAAGGCGTTTAAGGAACGGACGGGACTATCTGAGCCCCAGCAAAGGCTCGCTCAGCTTGCAGCAAAGGCTGGAATCCTCACCCGCTACGGTATCGCCTACGATGCCGGCTTCTCTGGGCCGATAGGGGTTAGAGACCCGAAGACGGAGGATTTCAGATACCTTGACGCGCTCCTCTAATAAGCTGTTCCCCATTTTGAGAAGCATGGCGGCGGCAGTGGAACCGTTGGTTGACACTAGCCTCGCGAGCCGAAACAAGGGAGAGGGAGGGACGCGGGTTGTCAGTGTTAGTAGCAAGGGAGATGGATCGACAGAACCGTCGAGTTGTCTCAGACATGAACGGTGGGGGGCAAAAAAGCACACACTGACACATAGTGCATCCCGGATTTCCTTGCATGCAGGTATGCCTGCGTGCATGCATGTATGCAAATCAACAAAAAACAAAGGCAAAGAGCGAAAAGATAAGGGTATCGATTTTTGTTCTACAACCTGGCGGAGGATTACAGGTTGAACCTCGTCCGCTCCTTCTCCATCTTGGCCTTCCACTCCCACGACAGCGCGTCCTCGCCCTCGCTGCCCGCCCGGCCGATGCCCTTATCGACCCTGCGCAGCTTGAGGGTGCACCGAGGCTGTGGGGATGCGCACACGTCAGCGGGTTTCCAAAATTTCTGATTTACAGATAGTGCCCGGTGTGAACTTCGCGCGGGATCCAGGTAGGGGTGTTGCATGTTGTGTGTATGTGTGTATATATGTGTGTTTGTGTGTATGACGTTGACCCAGACCAGCCCACGATGCTTTGCATGCCCACGGTGCCGTCCACCCGGGGTGAATCAGGCTACTGTTCGGCGTGCGATTGGCTGATTGTGGTGCTGGTTGGTTACGTCCACATGTTCTTGGTACGCGTGTGGGTGCGTGGAGAGTTACATGATCGACAGGTGCCATGAGGGGTGAAGGGGAAGTGGGGAGGGATATGTGTGTGTACATGTACTTACGCCGAGTTCTTGCAGACCGACCCTAATCCCTTCCACGCCCTGCAGTTCCTTGCCGTCTGCTGCTTGGACGCTCTTTTCTGTCTCCTTCCTGTCCCGGAATCTGTACAGCCGTACGTGTCAGCCAGCGGGTATCCGAGGGTGGATGCACAGTACATGATCAGATGCAGCTGTGCTACTCACATATATCTGTGCCGGCGAAGAAAGATGTAATCTCGCTGGTTGTGTAATGTGACCACCTGCCGCATCTCGATATCAGGCTGCGGCGGGAACAGCGTCTGGAAGCTCTTGGCCGCCAGCAGGCCGAGGCTGCTCTTGAAGTTGTTGAGCAGGAGCTCCGGGTAGTAGGCGTCCTGGGCCTTGCCGTGGCCCGGCAGCTTGGAGCCCTCGATCCAGTTGTTGACCGAGTACGTCAGCGTCGGCCCGTGGGGCAGGTGCACGATCGTGAGCCGGTTGGGCTTCTTGAGGTCCTCGTTGAGCACCAGCACCGCCGTGTACTCCCGGTTGGCCGCGAACTTGCAGATCTCCCTGACGCTGTACTTGTGCCCGTACCGGTGCGCCGACCGCCGTATGTACTCGGAGTTGGGGAACAGCGACGTCAGGATCTCTGCCTCTTTGTGGAGTGTCGAGTTGAGGGATGTCGTGACGAGCACCTTGGGGACTCTCGGGGGCTCGTCGCTGAACAGGTTCGGGAATTTCTTGGATAACACCGCGGGCGTCATGTCGAAGTTTGTGCTTGTCGTGGACGGCGCTGCGCTCGGTTGGCGCTCTGCCCGTTTCGCGCGCATCTTTTCTGTCCGCGCCTGTGCGGCATCGTCGTCTGCCTCCTCATCGTCGTCGGATCCCAGCATGCTGTCCACCTCGTCGTCCTCCCCATCCTTCTCGTCGTCGAGAGGCTCATCCTCGACACCGTTCTGCTCCTCCTCCAACTTCCGCCGTTTCATCGCCGCCACATCGGCGCTTGTGTAGAGGCTGTCCTCATCTGCGTCGTCCCATTTTCGCTTCTGGTCGAGGGTCTTTGTCTGGTTTCGTGAGAGGCGTTCCTTTTTCAATTCGGGGGCCTTTGCCTCTTCTTTCCTCCTGCGCATGCGCTCCTCGCGTTTTGCCTTGCTCGATGTTCGCTTGTCTTTGACATGTCGCTCTTGGCGATATATTTTGTTCATAGCCAGCTTTGACCCAGCCATCTTTGCAATCGGGGTGGGAATAGTCGTAGTGCAAGAGTGTAATAAAGCAGACGGGTCTCGATCGCCATTAGAGACGACGACGACTTTCAAGAAATTTCCTGGGCGGCTTTGTCGCTGATAAGATAAGAAATTGTTTTTGCCTGCCCGGGACCCAAGGGCGGGAGCTGTTCTGCCCCTCACTGGGGAAGCTCCAATGCCTTGCTTGGCACATGCGCCCAGGTGCTTTGCGACGCAGGCCAAATTGCCCATGTATTATTTGGAGAACGGTTTTTGAGTCACCCCAGAAGCAGCCAGCGTCTACCTCTCTCGCCATCGGCCACCCAACATCGTTGTTGCCGTTTGACTCACCTCGGAATCTGAGGCTCTCGATTGCCTGTTTATGAAGGCTTTCAAACTCGTCAATTCCCTCAGGCCACTTGCCGGTGCTAACCCCACCTCAAACTTCTGGAAAGTCGCAGCGAGTCCAAAGTCCGCGCGACCATTCACGACCACCAACCGTCTGCACAAAGCTGCTCCAGCATACAAAGTGAACAAAAAAGACATGGCGACCCTCACGACCAAGACCGGCCAGACCATTGACCGGCAGGCCATGGAGTCCATGCTGCGTCGGCGCATGTTCTACACCCCGTCCTTCGAGATCTACGGCAGCGTTGCTGGCCTGTTTGACTACGGTCCTTCCGGCTGTGGTCTGCAGGCAAACATTATCGAGACATGGCGGAAGCACTTCGTGCTCGAGGAGGACATGCTCGAGGTCGACTGCACCGTCTTGACCCCCCACGAGGTCTTCAAGACGAGTGGTCACGTCGACAAGTTCGCCGACTGGATGTGCAAGGACCCCAAGAACGGCGAGATCCTGCGGGCGGACCACTTCGTCGAGGCCATACTCGAGGCGAGACTGAAGGGCGACAAGGAGGCGCGTGGCCAGACGGTCGAGGAGAAAGAGGCGGACCCAAAGAAGAAGAAGAAGAAGGTCAAGTCCGAGGCCGTCAAGCTCGACGACGCTGTGGTCAAGGAGTACGAGGAGGTGCTGGCCCAGATCGACAACTACGATGGCGATGCGCTGGGCGAGCTGATCAAGAAGTATGAGCTCAAGAACCCCGAAACTGGTGTCATGCCTTCGCCCCCGGTGCCATTCAACCTGATGTTCCAGACCGCGATCGGCCCGTCCGGCCAGCTGGCTGGCTTCCTGAGGCCAGAGACAGCCCAGGGCCAGTTCACCAACTTCGCCAAGCTTCTCGAGTTCAACATGGGCAACATGCCTTTCGCGTCCGCCTCCATTGGCAAGTCCTACCGAAACGAAATCTCTCCTCGCGCCGGTCTGCTGCGTGTCCGAGAATTCTTGATGGCCGAGATCGAGCATTTTGTTGACCCCGAGGGTGGCAAGAAGCACGACAGGTTCCACGAGGTCGAGAACATCGAGCTTACGCTGCTGGACAAACACACTCAACTGTCCGGCAAGACGGACCTGAGAACCATGACCATTCGCAAGGCTGTCGACGACAAGGTTGTGGACAACGAGACCCTTGGCTACTTCCTCGCACGTATCCACCTGTTCCTCGCAAAGATTGGTGTGGATATGAGCAAGGTTCGTTTCCGACAGCACATGGCCAATGAGATGGCCCACTACGCCTGCGACTGCTGGGATGCCGAGCTCCTCACGTCTTACGGCTGGATCGAGTGTGTTGGTTGTGCTGACCGTTCGGCCTACGATCTTACTGTGCACAAGAACAAGACTGGCGCACCGCTGGTCGTTCGCCAGAAGCTGGACACTCCAAGTGTCAGGCAAGAGTGGACACTTGAGTTCAACAAGAAGAAGTTCGGCCCCGCCTTCAAGAAAGACGGCAGGACGGTTGAGGCTGCTATCACAGCAACAACACAGGAGCAGCGCGAGGCCTTTGCCAAGCAACAGGAGGAAACCGGCAGCTTTACCATTGATGTTCCCGGCGTCGCGGACGGCAAGGCCACTGTCAGCAAGGACTTGCTTGAGATCAAGTACTCTACCATCACAGAGCACATCCGGGAGTACACACCAAATGTCATCGAGCCCTCGTTCGGTATTGGCAGAATCCTGTATGCCCTTCTGGAGCACAGCTTCTGGACTCGCGGCGACGGAGCCGATGAAGCCCGCGGCGTAAGTGACACCCGCTTCATAACCATTTCCCCTCCCTTGACGCGCATTTCACTGACAATGCGAAACCACAGGTCCTCTCTTTCCCCCCGACCATTGCCCCTACCAAGGTCCTCATTGTGCCCCTCTCCAGCAACAAGGACTTCACCCCCATCGCGCGCAAGCTGGGCCAGAAGCTGCGGGCGCTGGGCGTCTCCAGTAGGGTGGACGACTCCTCTGCGACCATCGGCAAGCGCTACTCGCGCAACGACGAGCTCGGCACGCCCTTCGGCATCACCATTGACTTCCAGACCGTCAAGGACGGCTCCATCACGCTGCGCGAGCGCGACAGCACGAAGCAGGTGCGCGCCGACGAGGCCAGGGTCCTCGAGGCCGTGCGTGAGATGGTCACTGGCGTCAAGACGTGGAAGGACATCCAGGGCGAGCTGCCTGCCTTTGAGAGCCAGGAGCTGGAGGTCAGGACTGTCTAGATTCAGGCAGAGGGGAAGGACATGTGTTGAGATCTCTTCGGTGGTTGAAAAGTAGGAGCAGATGCAATACAGCATGCGGCGTCGTGCTGGCTGATGTAGCTTTGCCTGTAAATGGTTTAGATGTGAAAAGACGTATTCACCACCAAGTCCTTTCGAAGACCGAGAGAAATAGGTTGTTTTGGCCCAGGCGCATGCTCCTGCACGGCGAATGTCTGGGTGATCTCCGGCTCAGGTGTGCCCACCTCTCTCTTTGCCAAAATCCTACTTGTCCCCTGGATATGAAGCGCTATACCAGAAGAACATCTGACTCGTGGACTTCGTCGAAAAATGGCCCCTCTCCATACATAACCCCTTGTATATAAGCATCCCCGATCAGCTGATACCTCCCACCCTTGTCCGCTGCTGCTGGGCCTGGCGCCACTGGTCTGAGTACCAACGGAACAGCACCACCTAGCAGAGCGAAGATCTTGTCCCCGGGCTTGCACTCGAACGGAACCAGGCCAAATAGTCCGCGTTCCGTTGTGCAGAACCGCCGCTGTCGACCAAGCGGCACCAACACATCATTCATGAAGTCCTTGACGGGCATCATCTCGTCCAGCGGGGTGAAGCTCCCACGCACCTTCTCCAGGAAGAAGTCATCGTCCAGGTACATGGACACAAACTGGAGGAAACCCAGCCTAAGCGAGTGCAACGACTGGTCTTGCCAAAAGTCACGCCTCGCCTGACAGCACGCCTCCAAGAACCACCTAGCCCCCTGGCCTGGATCCTGTCCCCTGGGGAGGCGCTGGATAGCGAACCGTAGCCCTTGGAACGCAAAGGAAGACTGGACAGAGAGCGATCCGTCTCTCAGCGCGAGGTGCCGTGTGGAGGGGTAGGTCTCACGTAACCAGGGCATCAGCTCTTCGGCCTGGGCTGCCAGGCTGCAGTCCTTGATCGTGTCTATGATGCGCCCGCGGACTCGCAGCACCGGTTGCTGCGGGCGGCGTTCGGCATCTTGGATGACCTCCATGACGCTCTCGGTATCTTGGCCACCTGCACAAAAGTCTTTCTTGTTTATGGGACTGTACTCGTGAGCAGTCACCCGCGGCGTCACGGCCGACGATGTCCAGTTCTATGAACCGGCGTCAGTAAATACACACCTAGGTATGGGCATCTTGATAGCCCGGGACGACTCACCGGAACCCAACTTGGCAGGCCGTTCGTGTGCGCGGTGTTCGAGGCCTGCAAAAGCACCTCCACACCGTGCCCAAGACTTATGAGTCTGCGGGCCAGACAGGTGAATAAAATTTCGAGCGGCGTTGAATAGTCTACCAGATCATAGAACCGCTCCGCATCCTTTGCGAGACCCAGCAGTCCAAAGACCATATCCCGGGGACAATTGGCGCACAAGTCTCGGTAGTCAGCCAGCAGGTCTATAAGACGCCTGTCCGTCTTGGAGCCCTCGGCCGCTTTCCGCTCCTGAAGCATCCTGTCGGCTGCGAGGAAACCGGACGCAATGGCATTTCCCGCGTCGTAGTCCATCTCCGCCAACGCCTGGACGTATGCTGAACTGTCCTCTGTCGCCACGGTTGGCCGCAAAGACATGATGGCGGTGCCCTGTGGGTGAAGATACGCGGCCCGAAACTCGCGGCTGTACCTCCGCATGACCTCCATGCAGGTGGAGAGCACATGGTGGTCTAAAAATGCGTTCCCCAGGAACCATTTGAACTTCTTGGCCAGGACAACCTCCTGCTGGATCCAGATCCTTCGGAAGTACGGGGAGCCGAAGAGCCCCCTCCAGCTCTGCCACAGGGGGCTGGCCTCGGGGGGCAGGTTGTATTCCTCGAGGGCGTGTTTGGAGAATATGAGAGAACCCGTACCCTCCTCTGGTACGCCTGGGTTGGACGGGCCACCTGCAGTGGCCTCCGCACTCAACACCTGCTGGTCGCGGCCCGGGGCCCCATGGTCCTTCTCCAGGGCCATGCCGGCCGCCCCGATGGCAAGCATCAGTTCCCCGAGGCTCTCGGTCTCTTCGAATGACGGCAGCACCTGGCCCCAGACGCACTTGGCCTGGCGGTATATTCGACCCATCAGGGGGATCTGCGTCCTCTTCTCCTCCAGGTCGGCCTGGTTTATGCAGATTGCGTCGATCCAGAATCTGACGGCCTTTCGAGGGCGGCGTATTGTCCTCAAGGCCGCCATCAAGTTTCTCGTGACGAGGAAGTTCTTACCCTCAAGTTTGATGGTCTGCAGGTCGGACGCGTCGCCCCATACGTAGGACAAGGCTTTGTAGCGCTGAAAGGGGTGTAAGCGTTGTCCCTGCGAGCCTGGTGCATCGTCGAGCATGATGTCGCAGGAAATGAAGAAGTTTTGGCCCGTCTCTGTGTTCTGCCCCACGCTTTTCACCTTGAGTGGTCTCGGAGACTCGGGGAATATGTCATGGTCGGCGTTGAGATCGCAGGGCAAGAATTGGCAGTGTATCTCATCATGCGCTGTCCCTGGGTTAATGAGAAGCACTCGAATTGAGCTTGAGTTTAGGAGCGGCTCGTAGTTGAACCCCGGATTGAAAGACATTTCGTCGGAGTGATAGGTGACTTGAGAACATATTGTTAATCATATGGAAAACTACTTGAGAGTTCCGAGGACACTGCTCGTCTTCATATGATCATGGTAGTTGGTTGTGGCTGCCTTGAAACCTTAACCTTCCAGGTTTCGAATCCTTCCAACAGTGCTGGCAAGGGGTACGGGGCCAGTATGATGTGGTCAGCTGAAAGCCATCGGCCACTTCAATGACCACAGGCCTTTTTTAGAAGACCAGGATTGGTGGGCAGTTGAACAGGACATTGAAAAATATGAAGAGATTGATTTTGGACAAGAATCTTTCTGACCACTTTGCCCGGCTCGATCTTTTCCTCCATCCCGGGCCTTGTCTGGATGGTACATCGTTTCCGGATGCATGCTTTTCTTCTCGTAAGTAGCGCAGTGTGACGGCCGGAAAATTCCAATCGAGCCGTTGTACAGCACGCCCTCACTCTCTTGATCGGGTTGAATTCCTCAAAAGACTTGATTGGTAAGTCTTTCCCGGGGATGGTATTGGATGGCCATCGTCGCGCGGTACAAGCTCGGCTTCTTCGCCTTCCTTAGCGCCAGCCTATTTGGAATCACCTAAGTGGGTGATAATTTTCCAACAAAGCTGAGTCCCTGTTATCGGTCATCTGTGCCTGTCTTGGTTTGATATGCTATGGTCTCAGTCATTCCACCGTCCCCCGATCAATCTTGTTGCTTATGGCGGAGCTATCGACGTCTTTGCCATTATATCAGGCGTCCTGGCGGCTTTGATGATCCCTTTTTTCTACTTCGGTGCTCGAATCCAGATGTTGGCAATGAAAAAGCTTTGGCCTGAGGGAAAGAGGTGGGTGATAATGTGTGAACATGTAATTGGGCGACGTTGCTCATTATCGTCTGAACCAATATTGTATGGACTCACATGTTGAATCAATTTTTTCCAATTTGAAGAGGGTCTTCACATTCATTGGAACTTGAGAATTTGGTCTGTACACCTGTAATTCGAGACAAGTGTCATATATATACAGAAGGCAAAGATCAACCGGACTCCATGGGACTTGTTGTAGACGTTTGCTTCAGCCCAAAATTAAGGAAAACAGGCGAAGCTTTGTGGATCACAGATAGGATCAGTTTCGGAAAATTCATACATGACCCAGGCTGCCAATTCTTATGGGGCGGGAAAGTGGTCGGCATCGATCTTGAAGGTTCCAGTCCAAGTCTTGCCGTCGTCGGAGGTCGAGAAGCTTCCGCTGGAACCGCTGAGCTGGACATTCTTGCCGAAGCTCTCATCGGCCTCGTTGAGGGTGATGGTTACGTTGTCCCAGACTGGTAAGAAATAGAAGGTCAGAGAAACCCAGCCAACTTGGATCGGAGCATGCATTTGAAAAGCCCAGCATCACTGGACCAAGGGGGTAACAACTTACAGTAGGCGTTGATGGAACCGCACTGGTCCTTGTAGCACTCGTTGCTGGAGTACAGGTACGCCGGGTATCCGTCCATGGTATCCGTCTGAGAGGACACGAGCTCGCCATTAATCCAGACTTTCTGGGAGGCCTTCTTGTCCTCGGTGGTATCAACTGTGATCGGCATGTCAGCTAGCCCCCCTCACCGGAACAGCCCAGGCTGCTCATGCAGGAGACAAAAGCTCACTCTCAAAGCTCAGCATTGAACCATTGGGCACCGGGACGTAAGGTTGGGCGACCTGCGTTTCTGTAGCCTAGCATCAGCATGTTACCCGAATATAGCCAGCGTCTGGACCGAACACATACCACCGGTGAACGTGCTGGCATCCACACACCACTCGTCATCGGCAGCGTCGCAGCCTTGGGACTTCTGATTGACGGACCAATTCAGAAGCGGCTGTACGAGAGTTCCAGAGGAAGCCGTAGGGGAGATGCCGATCCAGATGGAGACAAACATGTTATCACCGCACGGCGCGGTGGAATCGGTGGGCGGCGGCGGCGGCGTGAGGGACCAGGTTGCCTTCGCGATCCAGTTTCTGTTACCCGAGGCGGGACCGACAGTGAACATGTTGCCGAAAGCCCAAGCCTCGAATTGGGCCGTGGCACCGTGGATGGCCAGGGCGAGAGCAGAGAGGGCGGCCTTGGAATGCATCTTTGCACTGTGGAATTCTCCGGAGAGGACCTCGGGAGGTTTTGGGATTTTGCCCAGGTGGGATTTTGGATGGGGGGGGGGGGGTACAAGGAGTGTGAGGGTGGTAAACGAACGATATCATAGACAGACAACCAGCTGCCAGGATATAGGGGGTGCAAAAAGAGTGCGACACTTGAACCTTAGAGGTGGGAAAGCGATAGACCTTGAGACTTTCGCAAAGGTCCGGAGTGTGTTTGTCATGCGGTGCCTCATAATGCAACCTGCCAGATGGACATCTATCCTGAGCTGGGCACAGATACAGCCCGTGGTCGTTGTGAAAAGGGGCAGGTATGACACGCTGTTGACAGCTCTTTCCCGGAGCGACAATCAGATTGATTAGAACCTTGGAAGTCACCCTGGAGCCGTTTCCACTCCAGGCGGACCTGTACGGGTCTCGCGGGTGTCAGTGTCAGCATTCAACTGCCGCTCCCATTTTCGTTGAATCCTCAAGTGCCTCTGTAGGCAAGGAGTTAGAAGCATTGTTTGAGGACATTCGTGGTGTATGGCTGTTGTGAACAGAGTATATTAAAAAGAGAACAAGAAAGTCAAGCCCTTCGTGGTGTCTCCTCACTGCCTTTAATAAGATGGCTCCCTTGCCATTGGAAGTCTAGGCACTTATAAAAAAACATTCCAAATAAACCCTTGGGAATGTAATTGTTGGGAAGTTGATAAATGATTTTGGCACCCTCCACTTGTGGACGTCTTTGAGGGGGGGGGGGGAGGATTCCTAACAGGATCCAATACCCCCCGGCTCGTAGTGAGCGAGATAAAAGCCAGGAAGGAACTTTCGCCTGTCATCTGCTGCTCTTGATCTAAACGGGGATCCAACTGAGGGAAGACTCGTAGCTACATGATGGCTCAAACGAGGAGCTATATTGAGGCTCATGACTACTCAACTACAGAAAACAGATATACCCGCATGTGGAAATATTTACTTAAGTACTAGAACTAGGTTTGCCCTGATTTCGTGGATATTCTTACAAAATTTGGCGTGGAGTGAGTCTGTGTAGGATATAGTGTAGTGTGGTAGTACTGTATACAAACTCACTCTAGGACAAATTTCATGAGAGCCTTGGAATAGTTATCCAGGCAATCAAGGCGAACTCAGCACCATGGACCAAATGCGAGTACTATAAATTTCAGTGCGTCAGTGTTGTCTAAATACCACGCTACTTCGGCCCACAACTTTCAAATGTTTCTGGCTTTAATCATCGCAGCATAATATGTGCAGGCTAGGATGTCAATCCGCCCATTGATTGATGAAGTCAGCGAGACACAGCATCCCGAGATTTTGCAGATCCTGGTCACGAGTGATATTGCAAGGAGACCTGTGTTCAGATTTCGGATATCACTCACTCAGAAAAGCCTAGAATCAAATGTGTGTGAGGAATCGGCAGCCCATTGTACCTAAGTACCACACGCAGTGCCAATACGTGGAACGCAAGCTCAGGCCCAAGAGCACTTGAGGCAACACCAAGGTTTAGAAATGCGGCGATTCTAGTACTAATAATTCATCTTGACGCAACTCGAGTGGAAGGAAGGGAGAGATGCAGCAGTGACACTGCATGCCCAGTAAAAACGCAATAATGTTACATGTACTGGCGTAGACGGCTGGACCCTCTCCACATGGATATTCACAGATGTCCAGCCAAAGAACACTTCCAAGTTGTTATAGTGCCAAGTGCCTCTCAAGTTTTAGCAGCGCACTTAGAACGATTGCATGCATCGAGGTCTCTTGCCCCAGTCTTTTGATGTCTCAATGCGTGACAGGGTATGATTGATCTCGCGATCTCATTTCCGCAGTTCGCTTCATCTACCACCGAAACCTCGCATCGTGCCGCTTTTAGCACTCCGAGGCCCGGGAATCCCGGGCCGCACCGCAGAATCTGGGGTAAAGCGTGGGACAACTGCAAGGAAAGAGAAGAACGATACGACGCAGGGCTGGGAGCTGCATTGGCAAAGTACGGGGTACGCACATATCATCGAGTTTCTGCTTCCGTTTATGGACGCTTCCCCGCGAGGGTGACGTGATTGGAAGAGGCCCCTCTCAAATTGGCGCATCAACCAATCTGCTATTTCATCCAGGCTGTTCCACGGTTGCTCTTTTGCACAATGTGATTGAGTTTCCTGAGTTCCGGTGTAACGCACAGTTCCACGTTGGGTGCGAGCTCTCACCATGCTTCTCACCACGCTCTTCACCTCTTTGATTGGTGCCAGTGTCTTAGCCCGGGCCCAGGCAAACTCGTTCACCAATCCCATATTTCCCGGTTGGCATTCTGATCCCTCCTGCACGGGTGTTATCACGGAGCTCAATAACACAAACTTCTGCGTGGCATCGACCTTCTTAGCAACACCGGGTCTCCCAGTCTACGCGAGCCAGGATTTCGTAAAGTGGAAGCTCGTCAGCAGCGCACTCACTCGAGAGTCACAGTTGCCGGAAATTGGGGAATCGAGCCCAGGGCAACAGAATGGTATCTTCGCCCCGACCTTCCGCTACCGAAACGGCACATTCTACGTTGTGGTCGTATCCGTACTTGGCTTGGACCCCAACCAGACAACCGTGGGAACCATATACACAACAACCGACCCATACTCGGATGATGCGTGGTCCGAGGCTGTCCGCTTCACGCCAGCCAGCATCGACCCGGATCTCTTCTGGGACGACGACGTGGACGGCCAAGTCTACATCACGTTCGCGGGCATCCAACAAGCCAAGATTGATCTTAGCACGGGGGAAGTCAGCTCGACATACTATATATGGAACGGCACTGGAGGAGTCTGGCCCGAGGGACCTCACATCTACAAGCCATGGAAGGGCGGATATTACTATCTCCTGATAGCAGAGGGAGGCACCGAGCTAAACCATGCTGTTACAATCGCGCGAGCAACCAGCGTAGATGGACCATATGAAGCCTTTGACGGAAACCCGATCCTGACCAACCGCAACACAACCGAATACTTCCAAACCGTTGGCCATGCAGACTTGTGGCAAGACGCGGACGGGAACTGGTGGGGTGTTGCGCTTTCGACGAGGTCCGGGCCGGAATGGATCAATTATCCAATGGGCCGGGAGTCAGTGCTCTTCAATGTCACTTGGGAGGAGGGCGATTGGCCGATCTGTCAGAATCCCATCCAGGGACGGATGAACGGGTGGGACCTGCCGACTGCGTCTTGCGACATACCCGGCGACGGTCCGTTGGTGACTGACCCAGATGTGGTTGACTTTGAGGACTACGAATCCATGCCGAAGCAGTTCTTGTACTGGCGGTTCCCAAAGGCTGAGAAATACGAGGTGTCCCCGGAAGAAAAGCCTAATTCTCTCAAATTGGTGCCGAGTGTGGCTAATTTGACCGGTGGCGCGGACTTTGAACCGGCAGATGGCATCACATTCGTCAGTCGACGTCAGACGTACACCGTGTTCAACTATAGTGTCGAAGTCGAGCTCAACGCTACTGCCGCCGAGGAGGAAGTGGGAGTAACCGCTTTCCTGACCCAATACCAGCACATCGATCTTGGTCTCGTTGCGCTGAACACGACGGCGGGTTTGGACTATTACCTTAGATTCCGTGTCACTGGAACCGGCAATTACGACGGTCCGGCTATCGAGACAGTCGTTAAGCCCGTCCCAGATGCGTGGGACCAGCCCTTACGGCTCAGCGTCCAAGCTGTCAACGACACGCATTACGCCTTGTCTGCCTCTCCGTCTGATGGTAGCACGGACGAAGATATCATAGGGTATGCTCCAAGTACCTTGCTAAGTGGAGGAACTGGCCCCTTTACCGGTAGGTCACCATCTCAAAGAGCAAGATATACATGGCTGTTCCATTTTACGCACAAGACTCACATTGATCTAGGCACTTTGATTGGTGCTTATGCCACAAATAATGGCGGCACAGGGAATTCTCCAGCATATGTGAGCAGATGGAGGTACCAGGGTTTGCAACAAAAGCTCGAGTAGTTAACTGGCTTATGTCCATATTTCTCATAATCATGGACGGTCTACCTAGGCACTGACAAGCCGCCACCATCAATTATGAGGTCTAGAATTGGGTAAGAAGCATAAAGTCTGTCCTCTCTTGAAGATCGATATACATTTGTGACGCTGAGATACTTGCATTGAATGCATCTTAAAATGGCACAGTAACCCAGCTTCGTACATATACAAGCTCCCATCTGGTAGTAGCTGAAACATCCTACCTTCCAATCGGATAGACGTTATGTCGGCAATTCACAGTGATTTTGCCAACTCCTCGCTGTCTTGGTGAGGTTCGTGATCGACACGAAAATGGCACCACCATACTCTTGTATGTCATAACGTGGGGGAGCAAAGTGAATGGAGGCTCCATCAAATCCAATCAAGTTCTTCTAAAATGGTTCCCGGACATGTGAAATTGATATGTGTTGACTATCTACCACATACAATGGATGACGGAGACCGTCCAATCAGTAGAACCGTAGATCACGCAATTCGGCCTCCAAAGTTCTCCAAGGAGGACTCGCAGATGCTCCGCCTTAGGAAAGAGGGTTGCCCAGACACCGAGTTCAATGCCTAGGCCACTGAAGTCTCAACTCGCAGATTAGCCAACAGGTCATGCATTAGCACCACAATGGCGCGCACAAGATTGCGTGACTGAAGCATCGGTAGGCGCTAGATCAACCAGGCCTTTATAAACATAAAGGAAGTCCTCTTACGCAGTGTCCAAGCGCCCCCAACGTGACGACTTTCCATTTTAATGTGAGAGAAGCCTAAAGTTCTTTCCTCACAAGGACTTTAACGGACCCCGCGTAGTACCACGACCTTCGCTCTCGTCCAAATTCCATCATGTCCCCATCCGCCACTGAGATAACCACGACGGTCGTTGACAATATCGAAGGGACACTGAAGCCCTCGAAGCATGAGGAGAATGGAAGGGGCCATGAACAGCTAGCTGGGCCTGATGTGCTCCCAAAGCTAGAGGTCAACCACCGCGAGCCACTCAACCTCGGCGGTGCTCTCGACCAGTTCAAGTCATTCGATGTGACCCCGGTCATCGGCCGAGAGTTCATCGACGTCGATCTTGCCGAATGGCTTCGCGCCCCAAATTCTGATGAGCTTATTAGAGACTTGGGAACCACCAGTGCGTAATTTCTATCGGGACTTCATGTCCTTCGTCATACCTATGCCGTTGTCCTGTTGCGAGCGTAATGGGTCTGAGCAAATGCAAACTGACTTCGCTGTATCATAGTCTCACAGAGAGGTGTTGTCTTCTTCCGCAAACAGGACAACATCACTGATGATCTCCAGAAGGAGCTCGTACAGCGTCTAGGAGAATTGACAGGGAAGCCGTCCACCTCCAAGCTGCACATTCACCCGGTCCACAACGCTTCCAGGGAGCACGGTGGCACAGATAATGAGATTAGCGTCATTTCTTCTGAGCAGGGCAAAAAGTTCAACTCTGCTCGCTACAAGTCGATTAGCCAGAACAACCGCCAGTCCGCAAAGGGTCTCTGGCACTCTGACATTACATTTGAGAAGATTCCTAGCGACTATGCCCTGCTGAGACTTACTCAATTGCCAAAGACTGGCGGAGGTACGTTCTCACCACACTTGCTGGGAATTTGTCCCCTCTGCGAAGGTGTGACCACCGGCTGACAGTCCTTCAGATACACTTTGGGCTTCAGGCTATGAGCTCTACGACCGCATCTCGCCAACGCTCAGGAGTTTCCTCGACACCCTCACGGCCTACTACGCCCAGCCGGATTTCAATGCAATGGCAGAGAAGAACAATTTTAAAATCTTCGCTTCTGCACGTGGAGCTCCCGAGAACATCGGAGAAGTCCTCGAGGCAACCCACCCCGTTGTGCGCACCAACCCGGTGACTGGCTGGAAGTCAGTGTACGCCGTGGGCCACCACGTCAAGCACATCCATGGTCTCTCTGAAGACGAGTCGAAGTACTTCTTGGACTGGTTCGTCCGCCTGATTGTCGAGAATCACGACCTGCAGGTCCGCCACCGATGGGCCAACGTCAATGACCTTGCGATCTGGGATAATCGCAGTGTTTATCACTCTGCCACGCCGGATTACATCGGCGAAGCAGACTTGGGGGAGAGGAAGGGGTCTCGGGCTGTTAGCCTGGGAGAGAAGCCTTACTTTGACCCGGAAAGCACAAGCAGACGCGAAGCCACCAGGGTCACTTGATTCATATGGTTTTCAAGATTGATATAACTGTCAAAGTGTGATGACTTTGTTTCCTAATCTTTTTGTAAGAGAATGGAGATCGACAAGTTTTTTCGTTTCTTTGCAACTCGATATTGACGTTTCTTTTTTATAATTAAGGCAGCGCGCTGCAGGAAGTCGGAGGTGAGGCCAGATACATGGTGTACGGGGTTCTCCAGAGCGTTTACCACCGTATGAAGGCGCCATGTATATCCTCAGACATATACGGAATAGAAGCGAAACCACATATTCAGTAAATGTGGTGTGCCTGAAATACACATCCACCGCATCCATTTACTTACTGATCTCAGAGAAATACGAGGATCGCTCTATGTTTGACTCTGATCGATTTGAAGTAGAGAATCCAAAATCTATTTATCGTCTTCGCTCCGAGGTGCCTATTCTCATTTTGGCGCTATGAAAGTTGTGGAATTTATCTGACTTGTGTTGTCTCGTGGCATTCTAGCTCGGACGCAAATGACCCATGCATTTCACACATGTCTGACGACTTTGTGCAAATGGCTCCATAGACTTCCTGACAAACAATGCCCCAGAACATCAACTCTTCCACTTTAGTTGTCAGGTCCTTCAGGTCTGGATAATATCGTAGCTCTTCCGAACGTCCGGCCTCGGTGGCACAGGTATGCTTTCCACCCCCCGAGGCCCGATGCTGGGTCTCTTCCTCAGGCTCGCCACATCCTCGCCATTTTCTACCCTCTTGATGAGATCCTCAGGGTCAAAGTCGACGCCGATCGGGTTCTCCGCAAACTCGGGCGAATTCATAAACGCGTTCGCGTCCTCAACCGTATCGAAATTGTCCACCTGGGTCTCGATCTGGTTGCCGTCCGGGTCCTGGTAGTAAATGCTGGTCGTAGGCCCGTGGTTGATGGACCAGATGGGCAAGATGCCCCGGGCCTTCCGCTGACGGTAGGCTAGCAAGAGGTCGTTGAAGGTTTTGAACGCGAAGGCCATGTGGGCCAAACCGGCCGCCGTCGGGTCCTTTGGTTTGGCTGTGGGCAGGTGGGCTATAGCCACCCGGTGGTGTTCCTCGTCGTATGTCAGGAACGCGAGGTACTCGTTCTCGTAAGTCGCATGTGCCCCTAGGAATTCCTTGTAGAATGCGACCATGGGTTCGTATTGTGACGTCTGGAGGACTACGTGGACCAGTGCGGCCGGGGACAAGACCTTTCCCGTGGTGCTGTCAATCGTCATTTTGGATGGTGGTAGTGATCTTTCCCTGGTGATGGTTGGTTCTTGGCAGACCACCCTCAACAGATCAGGCAGTTCATCGTGGAAGGTAGTGATATTTATGATCATTTCGGTCTCACGGACTGATTATGAAGGCGCCATGTATGTCCTCGGACGTATGCGGAATAGAAGCAAAACTAGCTACGGACTGATTACTCACGCTTACAATTGCTCCGCAAGAATTTCTAACGTTACATTAATTCGACACTGTGTAACGACAAATGCTGATAAATTAATTGATTGTTTGATTGGGTCTTAGTGTTCCACGGACATAGGGTATCTAGGTATTCAGCTTCTCTTGCAACGTGCCCGCAGGTGCGTGTAGTGGCGGCTTCTTGCAACGTTCAAATATTGCCGAGGAACATGACTGTCAGATTTCCTCGTCTTCAGAAACAATATTTCGGTGACCCCGATTCCAGTTTTCGTCAGAGAATGTGGCTGCATGAACTGCAACGTGGCTACTTGCTGTTACGAGAAAAGATGTGCTCGGTTGCACTCGTATCACCGAGACATGAGTGGACTCATCCCGGGAACGTGAGCGTCCAGACTGGCCGAAAGCACGAAGTCGATTTTCAAGGAAATCCCGGATTCGAAAAGAAATCAAGTATGGCTCGATAAGAGCTTCTTCGTGCCGGGAATCACGCGTAAGGTTTCCAAGCCAGGACCTGGACAACTACCCACAGATGTCCATTGGGATTGATATGCTTTTTCGCAGCGGGCACGCTTAGTGAGCGACCTTTACGCACACTGACCGCCTGGCAAAGTCGAATTGTTGCCTTCTCAAGGATCACTGCTGGATGCAGCACATCGGCTGATCTCAACATCTGAAGTTCTTCCAGTAAGCTCTGCTCAGCTTACGTCCAGAATGGCTCGATGAGGGAGACCCGGAGGCCCTCGGCCAAAACATCCGAAGGAACAATTGTTCAGTGGTCACATCCACTTCATACATAACCGAGATTTACTATTCTTGGATCAGCGAGTGTGATGATTGGGAAATTTTGTATGTGTTTCATTTCCAAAAATAGGATTTTTCCAATGGATAAAAATAAAAAGAAAAACACAGCTGGCAAATTTCTGATTACTGCCGGCCTGCTTTGGAAAATAATCTCCTCAATCGGTTTCCATCGTTATGTATCGCAATGACCAAACAGCTATCTCGCGGAGAGACGTCTTCACTATACTTTCAAATTCACCAACAGATGATTCTTCGCTTCAAGTGAGTTGGAACCGGTGTGCCCGATTTCACTCTCTCTCAACGATCACCAGTGGGGAGGGGCAAACACTTTGAAGGACAGCCACACGGTCCTATTTTCTCTCAATAGCTTAAAATTGTTTCGAGCCCCAGAAGCCTCCTCACCAAGGATCATGGAGGTGCAAGACATCTTGATTCAGAGGAGCCCATCATCAATGATGTGTGATGAGGCGCGTTTTTGCACGAATTTCCAACCCCCCTCCAATGCTTTCTCCGCCGCCCAGAACTCACAAAATATATTGATAAGCAGTATCTTAGTGTCTTGCCCTTTCCCCATCCTTATGGGACGGTAAGCTGGCCTGCTCAAACATCCCGGCATACGATGTGTGCCTGCTATCATACTATTCTGCACAGCCAGTGGGTATCCGCCCATCCGGTATCTTATAGCACACAGCCGATGGCCCATGCAAATTAGCTATCAGACACGAGCTCTCTCTGCAGCAGTTGAAGGGGGGCACGCATTCGACCAGGCCACTAGTGTTACCTGGCCAGTTGAGATTAAGATACACTAATTGTGGTTGTCCTTCATAGAATACAGAGGTGATTCCATGTTGATGTGACGACGAGTGAGCCACGAAGGGGCCTCAGTCTATCTGAGGACCGGCAGTTTGAAAGAGAGACCACTGAACTCAAAGCACACCGTGGCCGCCCCTCAAACCCCCCGTTCTCAGACTTCACAACTGGCTCAGAACCCGTGGCAATGGGAACACAACCTCGCGGGGTGCCTCTGTCGAGAACCACAACCCATGCGTCCACCTTCGGGCATACAACCGAGACAGGTTCTCGGTGTGATTGACGCCCACCTGCAGCGACACATGCCTGTCAACATCGCTGATGTTCCCCGTCACGGCTTCCTCGAAAGACGTAAAGACAAACATCCTGTCCTTGTTGGCCTCCATTATCTCATCCGCGCATACGAATATGGCCGTGGGCGGAGAGAACCTGGGGTTCCGTCTTGAATCTTCGAGATATCCCAGCCTGAGCGTCTCTCCCTGGCGCAATGCATCCGCGAGGATCTCGGCCATTTTCCACATGTACTTGGTCTCAGCGTCATCGGCCTGTGATGAAGTCTTGAGGAACTCTTCCAGTCTCAGAGCGAGCTGGTCCCCGGCGGATAGTTCATCAATGTAGTCTTTAGCCTCGACCCACTCATATTCCCGGATGTACTTTTGAATATCTCGAAGTGTCTTCCTAACCCAGCCGCGACCCTTTGAGATTCGCCCCGAGATTGTGAAACCCCTGCTGCAAAGCCTCCAGAGGTGACCCTGTGTGTGTACTCCGTCATCGTCGATACGGTACACTTTACTGAAGCGGCAGCCTTTGTTGAACGTCAAGCCGTACTTTAGCGTCGGTGGGCTGAAACGGTTGAAGGCGTACTCGTGAATGAACTCGGAAACCGTCAGGCGGGAAGATGATGCCGTATCCTCGTCGGGGTCGTAGTAAAAGATCTCGCCGTTCAGCAGGAGCAAGACCAATACCGCCAGGCTCACACTGCACTTGTTTTGCTCGAGTTCTCCCCTCTTGAGGCGTACGTTGTACGAGCAGCAGTTGCCGATGATGTCGATCCGGTCCGGGTGCACGCTCACCTCCCGTTGCAGAACGTCCTCGACGATGGATGGCGTCATCGAGTCTTCTCCTTCCAGCAGTCTCGAGTATCTCGCGGCTCTTGATAGGATTCGATTCACAGCTTCCGCGTGGTCTTCGGCCTGGCTTGAATTCCGGAGTGCCGAGCATAGGTCTGTCGACGCTTCGGAGAAGTCAATTGACTTGATGACCATTTCCCCTTTCATGTTCCCAAACAGGGTAGCGTACTTGGCCTTCGGGCGTTCTGTATTCGGCGTGTGAGGCATGAGGAGGAACATCCGCTTTCCTCCGTGGTAGTTCTCCTGATATATCCAAGCTCGAGTCCACCATCTGTCGGAGGTGATTCTATCCAAAAGCTCAATAGCCTCGTATACCTTCTCAGTCATCCCTTTCCTTATTGAAATCCTGCCGTCACCATACTCGTATTTGCGAACCAGTTTTCCCTGCAATATCTGAGCCAAGAGGTGCACTTCTCTTTCCTCCGTGACGGGCCTGGCAAGCATGCCAAATGGATGGCTCCCCTGGTTATAAAGCCGATCCATCTCGCTCATGGCCTTTTGCCGCTCCTGAATGGGATCCTGCGTGATGCATTCCGAATCTATCCACAAATGGCTGATTCGCCTATATCTCATGTAGGCCGCGGCCCGCCTCCAAACCGTGTCCCGAACGTCCGAGGTCCTCATCAGGTCTCGGGTCTGGGCGTCCTCTACCATGTAGCTGCCAGCTGTCTCGTCCTCGTGCTCCGGCGAGCCTTCCCATGACCAGGAGACAATGGCGCAGTTGTCAGTGAAGCCGTTGATCCGCTTTCTTCTAAACTCGACGTTGTCGCCGGCATGGACAAGGCGGAGACACTCCAAGCGACGGACGAAATCTGACGCCTCGCCTCGCTCGTCACGTGTCGTTTGGATCTTCTTCAGCATTTTCATGATGGGCATGCCGGAACTCATTCTGATTCTCTTCAGAGAGAAATGGCTGTCGTCCACGAGACATGTCTTCTTGGCCGAACAGGTTAGACTGGGTTAACGCTGTGTACTGAAGAAGGGCTCCGGACTGGACTGACCTTGCCGTTATTCACGGGACTCCCAAGGCGGCTTCGTTTTGCTGCCCCTGGCTGTCGGGACTCCTCCCTCTGTCTCTTGCTGGCGACCGAGGTGTTGTTCACAGACATTTTATCTTCTCGTCGTGCGTTGTTGAGATTGAAACCTCAATAACTTTGGTGCTGAAGGTAGGACGAGACAAGAGCATTTCGACAAGTTGAGTAATTAACGCGTCCAGACGCGTCAGGTATATTTCTGACGTAGGAGAAACTGTCAGTTGCACAAGTCTCTCCTGTCCTGGCGCCTGAGGGGAAGGGGGCGCAGCAGTAATTTAGTGGTAGCATATCACGGCGGGAAACCGAGCGGGGCTGATTAGCGCACCCAGCTGAAGGTAAGTCTTGGAAGTCTTGTTGAGTTTGTGTGACGTTTAGAAGGCTATAAGAAGAGATCATTTTGTTACGTGACATTTCTTTCGCCAATTCTGTCTTGAAATCTGCAACAAGAAAGGAGGTGCAGTAAAGCGTGCCTCAGTATAATTAGAACATGTCGTGTAACCTCGAATTCTGCCTACGTCCCAGGTCTAGGCCCCTGTAGGTGGCCAACGCCACCACAATTCCGGCATTTCTAAGTTGCCTTCTCAGTATTGATTTCGTCTTTGTGATACCATAGAACACTTACTCGTCCTTCATGGGATTTCCTGGTCTTATTCGCATCGTGAGTATTTGTCCTGAACCCGGCACGACTCTGCAAGCAGAAAAGAAGAAACCGAGAGCATTAAAAACCTACGGAAGGGCATTGTCACGGGGTGTGGCTTTGGCCACCACATTTGTGCTTGCATATGTAAACAAACAACAGGAGTTCGACGGTGACATGGATACGTTTATCCTCAGGACGAATGGCTGTATGACTATTATGATAATCGGGGACTGCAGCCCGAGTCTGGGCCTCCTTGGTTCCAACCTGTTCCATCACGGCGTGTGTGCACTGGTCACTGGTGATGGATTGCTATCAAATGCTCCGGGCTGGTTGCTCTACTGGCTGACGGCAAGTAAAGCTCCATCCACACGTGCGATGTTTCTCATACCCACTACCTCTGATTCCTTTACACATCTATTAGAGATACATCAGCTGTTCACAGACCGTGTCCACAAAACACACAAAGAAAAGTTTTAAAAGGGTATCATATACTCCAGTCCCTAGGAAGACACAACGTCGCTAAAACTCCATGCCATGCCATGCCACGCCACGCCATGCCATGCCGTCAATGCCCGCCGTTCGAATCAAGACGCAGTGACCTTCCCATTCTCCACAGCCTTATTATTAGAAGGCTCCTCATCACCCTCCTCAATACGCTCAGAAGAGCCCGCCCCCTTCCTCTGCCTCTCCGCACTCGTATTAGTATCAGCCGACCTCCTCGGCCCAGCAGCAGAAGCAGGGTCCAGCGATGCTCCGCCCTGGTGCTCCTCCGAGGACTTCCTCCTACCATCATTACCACCACCACCACCACCACCATGCGGCGACCCCCTCCGATCGACCGACTGCCGGCCCGAGATATCCCCAGACCTCCGCGCGAGGTCCTCGGACCGCCGGAACTCCTTCATCCCGGTGGCCACCTTCCCGCCCCGCCGGACCTCCTCGAGCGTCCGCTCCGCCATGGCCACGCTCTCCAGCGCCTCGGGCACCCCCTGGCCCCTGGTCCGCGTCTCGCTGAACTGCGCCTTGAGCCCGCCCTTGGCCTTCTCCTTCCCCTCGACCGTGGCCCACAGCGCCTGGAACACCTTCCACCCGGCGACGACCTCCCTCTCGCGGGCCTCGCGCTCCTTGCCCTGGCCGTCGCCCCCGAGCAGCGCCGCCGCCTCCTGCTGCCCCTGCAGGATCCGCGCGCGCCGGATGTGCTTGGTGGGCTGCCGCCGCCGCTCGACCTGCTTCTTGATGCCCTTGAGCGTGTACCCGAACGGCCCGACGACCGCGGCGATGTTCTTGAGCCCGAAGCCCGTGACGCCCATCCCCACGCCCTTGGCGAACCCCTCCACGCCGCCGCCGTGCCGCGCCCCGCGGTACGGGAGCCGCACGACGCCCGTCCAGGCGTCGTAGACGCCGAACAGGAACTCGGAGCGCGCCGCCCGCAGGCCGGACCGGATCCCCGTCACGCGGGTGGGCCGCCGCACGGTGTCGTCGCCGTAGAGGCGTGGTGCGTTGTGGAAGCCCTGTGCGAGGGCCACGGAGAGGTCGATTGGCGCGGTGGCGATTGCTTGGGCGGACTTGCCCACGCCTTCGGCGACTTGGTCGACGTAGCCTTCGTCTTCTGCTGTGCCTTCGGTCGTGGCTGTGTGAACGGATGCTCCGTCATCACCGTTGTCTCCGTCTTTTCTATTCCCCTCGGTCTTTGCCGGTCCCTCTTTTCTCTCCTTAGTTTCCGTGGTCTTGCTCTCGGAAGTGGACTCATTCACACCTTCCTTAGCGTCTGCGTGGTTAACTGTCATAGGAGCCCCGTTCTCTCGCGTCTCCTGGTCTGCTTTGTCCTTCTCTTCAGCCTTTCTGCGACGTCTCTCCTTGCGCTGTCGTCGCTTGTTGGAAGTCTTCGCAAGTCTACCGGGCACGCTTGCCACGCCACCGACCGCATTTCCGAAAGTCCCAGCAATGGACCCGATCATGCCAGTGACGGGCTCACCGGGGCCCTCAAAGTCGTTGTACTCGCAATGTCTCAAGAGCCTCAGCTTGCGCCAGGTGATGTACCCCTTGTCCACGAGTATCTCAGCGGCCAAGGCACTGAGCCTGAGGCTGGTGTTCCTCATCCACCACACAGCGACCTTGTCCTCCAGGATCGAGCATCTCATGCTGTGTTTTCCGGAGAGCTGCAGGTGCTTGTGGAAGAATGAGCACGCGTTCTCTGCACCGTCGCCCTCTCGGGCAATGTCGCGTGCCATCTCCTGGGCCTTCTCTTGCGCCTCCTCAGTGAGACAGTACTTGATGCCTTCGGCCAGCTTCTCAGCCGACAAGTGCTTGTAGGGGACGGGCTCGGGCCCCGCCTTGGCCCTGCCTATCATGGGACCCCAGAAATGCTGATCTCCAAAGAATGGCACGACCATAGTCGGCTTGCCACATTTCAGGGCCATGGCAGTTGTGCCTGCGCCACCATGGATGACACAAGCCTTGACCTTGGGGAAGAGCCAGTCGTGGGGCGTATTCTCAAGCATGAATATGTTTTCTGGCACGTTTTCGCCGCCCAGGCCACCCCACCCCTTAGAGACGAGTGCCCTCACACCTGCGAGCCGTACTGCTTCGAAGACCATCTCGGTGAACTTGTCGGCATCGTCGACAACAATCGACCCGAAACCGATGTAGACAGGCTGGTCGCCAGATTTGAGGAATTGGTCGAGAGGGTCTGGAGGGGTGAAGGAAGAAGCCAAGTCTAGGAAGACGAAGCCTGAGATGTCGATATTGTCTGCCCAGTCCGAGGGTTTCGGGACGAGCGAGGGACTCCACAGGTAGGAAATAGGAACGTTCATGCGGTATAGAGCACCCGGTGCCCAGAGTGTCGACACGGGGTCCAAACACAAGGTCTTGACACGGAAGTCGTTGACGAGGTCGCCCAGTCCCTGCCAGACCATCATCTCCACGAGTGGGTAAGACATGAAATTTGAGTAGCCAGGGTCGACGTTGCTCTTCTTGATGGTGGCCAGAGGATGTGGAAATGACTTTGTCGGCGTGTATGGGAAGGTGAATGCCATGATCAAGGGTATCCCCAGTGCTTCTGCGCAGTGCACGTGTGCGAAGCTCGGTGGGTTGGCGATGATCAGGTCGGCAATAAAGGGGTTCGTGTGCTCCATCATGCGGGCGTTTTTCACGTTCTTCTCTTCGTCTGTAGCGTTGATACAGGCTCTCCAAAAACCCTCAAACATTTCGGCCATTGCTTGTCGCCTCCGAGAAATATCACCGGCCCTCACTGTCTCGAGAGTAGGTATCATGCCGGGGTTCTTGACCATGAAAGCCATCAACTCGGCCGGGTCACCTCCAACGGAGAAGAACTCCAGCCCCGTGTCCTTCTCGACGAAATCACGAAAGGCAGGGTGTGTGGCGATTCTGACCCTGTGACCGTATTGTTCTTTCAGGACCTTGCCAATCTTTAGGAATGGCTGGGCGTCCCCGCGGCTCCCGATGACCATGATGACAATATTGAGTTTGGGACATTGGAAGCTCTCGGGAGTGAGTATCGTCTCGGAGGATCTTCGCTCGGCAGTGGGCCGTTCTTGGTCTTGCTCGGATTCTTCGCCTTCCTTCAGGGGGACTACCTTGCCAAGGGTGGCGCCGAGGGCCTTCACGAGATAGCCCTTGTCGCTTGTGTCTTTAATGGAGATGGCCAGACGCCCGTCGCGCTTGGATACCCTACCCTTGGTCCTGTAGTTCTCGTTCCCGACCTTGAAGCGGCGAAACGGGTCTGACTTTTCGGATCGAGGTGGCTGTGGCCTGGCGGCGGTAGAAGCTTGATCAGTTCGCTCGACGTCGGCACCGAGGTCGTCATCGTCGGAGGAGTCGCTGCTCGAGGACTCATCTTGGAGGTTAGCGTTTGTGTTCCAGAGGGCCTCTTGGAGCTGGGAGACATTGGTGCCAGCTCGCCTGATAGAGGGGGGTAGGGCGGATGTTGTTCTTGTGGTCTTTGGAGGAGCAGCAGTTGCAGACCTCTGGCTTGGCTTGGGCCTAGGGGAGGATTCTGGATCATCAATGTCTGACCCCAGAGGGGCTGAAGCTGCCTTTCGGATGCCCCCTGGTGGCGGCGGTTCTGTCTCGGGCGAAGGGGGTTCTGGGCTGGTGGGCGATTGGGGCTGTTGAGGAACATAGCCTGGGTACGCCACGTGCCCTTTGTCGTCTCGAATCAGCGAAGATGGCTGTCCTGCTTGCGCATTGGTTGTCTCGAGCTTCAGGTTCTGGTCCTCCGGCGCAACAGCCGGTGGGCTCAGCTTGGCCATCATCCTGCGTGTCGGGTCTCGCGTGCTCGTGGCGGTGCCGCGAACTGGGGAGGATGCAACGTGTGTTGACCAGAATATTACAGGTTGATGATGTAGTGTAGGTATTCGCAGGTGGGTCTCCCAGATCAAGAGGTGATGGGGGGAAATGGGCTGGTATTATGGGAACCATGAAGCAGGGGAGCTCATGGCAGCAAATGGCAGGGCATAGAGAAAAAAAAGAGATTATGGTGTCTCTGGGTGGCTGCAAGCACACATGCCCATAATACAGCCGAGGCGAGTAACCTGAGAACCTGAAATCGACACGCGGTGACTGTCTCTGACGGGCAAAAAATGCCGTGTCATCCCACTCATTCAAGATTGCCAGGCATTTCTCTGCCGTACGCTAGGGCCACTGGCAGATAGTGTAAATGAACAACCGAAAAAGCGTACTCTTGCTGGCGCTTGGCCGTTGGACAGGTGACGAGCGTGATGTGCCGTCCAGGCCGTCTGGAGCGTCTGATGTTGTTCGTAGTAATGACATCACGCCCAGAGCTTTTTTGAGTGAGCACCCTGGGCTAGATCCTGATCCGTGCGCCGCCCCACGGTTCCTGGTGGCTGCTTCCGACCCGCTGCACTTGTCAGGATGTGCCCCTGATTGCTACCCCAAACCTTCTGCCGCGGAGCGAAAGGCCCGGTCCACGAGTTAACCTGAACCAGCTCGTCAGCCACAACAGCCAGAGCCAGAGGACCGTAACTGAGTGTGGCACTTCAGTCAGTCACGACCACTCATCCTGTGAGCCTGTTGCAGCTTTGCCATGCATTATCATAGTCTTCCTTGCTAAGACAAAATCATAGAGTAGAACCGAATTGCGGCAGCCTCAGACATATGCAATACCCCTGGCAATGCGTGGTCTGCCTGAGTGGTTTCGTTTTTAATCCCCATACATGTAAAATGTACGTGGCGCCTTCATACAGTGGTAAACGCTCAAGACCCAGCGTCTGAAGAAATACAGTGCCAATAATGTGGTCTGCCTGAATCTGGCACAAAATTTACCGAGTCTCGGTCGGGGCGTGCCAACTTCTCTTTCACAATTTCAAGTTACCAGTACCTGGATAGTTACATCTGATGAGGTTATCCATCTACTTACTAACGTAAACAAACCCACCGGCCATGCTTTCTTCATCTCTTGCGCTCTCACAATGCGCTTACTTACCCATCTGGCATCCACTTCTGCAAGACCCTCATTTTTAAGAACCATATCATCCCTTACTTCTGGGCATCTTCTCCAGGGTGCTAAATGGGGGTACCGAATTACAGATTCAGTTAAAGGTGATGAAACGCACGTATCCTCCGTCTTCAAAGCCAGAGTTGTCCCACGCGAGGATGGTCCAAATACACCACAATGGTTCGTCATGTTGCAGCGATTGTACCTATCTAAGTATTAACACTGAACCATCACATCAGGGCTATCATCAAAAAAGCTATGCCTGGCGATGAGATTGCCTTGGAGAATCTCGAGCGTGAACGTCGAACTTATCGCCTGACTGGTGTCGCATCGGTGACATGCTTCCGGAAATTATATGATGTGATTGACAATCACACCCTCGCTTTGGAATGGCTGGACTCCACCCTTGCGGATGTGAAATATCAGCCCAACACGCGCAATTATGCCATTATCAAGGCGGTTCTAAGGAGACGCTGACCAGTTGTGTCGTTCTGGACTGCCAGCAATACGTGAACACAGGTGAAACAACCAATTCTGAATCATTGAAATTCGCTGACAAGCATAGATTTTAAACCTGCGAACATACTGCTCTCTGGCGTCGACACAGGCCGTATCACTGCCAAAGTTGGAGACCTGGGGCTCGGTACGCAACCACGGATAGACAAGATCAATATGTCTGTCCACTGACCCATTCATAGTCGTTCCGGATGGCTATCTTCATAACGCCCGACCCTATGCCATGCGTGCCCCCGAAGTCTTCTTGGGCCAACCATGCATCAAGATATCTCAGGTCTGGGCAGTTGGAGCACTGCTGCTCTGCTGGGTCAAGCCTGGCATCTTGGGGGCGTGGGATAGCCCTCATCCCCTTATCAACGAGGCTTGGTGCATGGCAAAAATCAAGCGACTGTTCCCCGAGTGGCATATCCCCACTCCTGAGCAGGTTGAGCGACCTACCCTCAAATCTGCAGTCGAATCTGCTGTGATTTTGAGCCAAAACGAGGAAGGTCCGCAATCGATCGGGTCTTTTGCAGAAGAAACTCAAAACCTCAAAATGCCCGGCCAGTTGAGAGATCTTCTTAACCTTATGTTGGTGGTCGATCCGTGCCAAAGGCCCTCCGCCTCCGCTGTACTCGAGTCTAAGGAGTTCAAAACATTCCAGATGCTAGGCTCTAATTAACCTAGAGGATACTATTTGATTCTCATACATTTCTCCGATCATTTATGTCTTCTGTGTTCAAGCATTGTGCTCATGTGTTTGAGCTCTGGAACTGTCATCTTCCTCCGCCGCGGTGCAGGCTCTTGTCCTGTTTTCACCACGTCTTAGACTTAAAATTCATCTTCGTATCCTCAATAACATATACTTCCGGATATAACACCAACTTGAAAGAGGGTAGGGTAGCAAGCTACTAGCCCTACAATTCCACACGAGTCATCTGCAGCACCACTGATGATCACCACACACAAGCGCACAACAATCAATTCGATACCCCCCACACATTCTGATCTTGAACTCTATCGACGTTTCGCGTACAATATGCTACACTGTCTAGATTCTCCCTCTTCACCGTCCGGTCACTCACTCTATCTTACTTCACCAGGTCTCCTTCCACACACCTATACCAGGAACCTCACTCTGATTTTGGCGACTTTGTTTACTTTCCTCCGCTAACTTAAACTATACTTTCCATGCTAGAGCCTAAACCTGATTCCACTATCGGACCATCGAATATTTCACACCATGACCAAATTTTAGAAGATACTCTTTGTTGATACTGAGGGTAGTGACGGTGGCCCCATGCGCATGTATTGTCTGTATCAAAGAAGATGACAAACGCACGAATTGTCGAAGCCAGGGGAACGGTTCTGGTAAAATTTGCCGCAAGGTATACGGGGTGAACTAGTACCTATGTAGGGCACAAAGCCAACCTGGTGAAGTTGACTGCGAGCTGGCTAAGCAAAATCACACGCATCTAAGACGATATAGGGCTCCTACCAGCTCGCAACTGTCGGCACTACGAAATCATTATGGGATAGTACTATAACAATTACTCCCTTCAGCCAACTCCTTACAGTGACTGACGCTTTAGCAGTCTAAGCATGCAGTTTTTAGCCTCGACTACTGACAGCCGCAAACACATCTCGGTCGATATTGCGACGGAGACGAGGTGAGAGGGATACGTCTGGAGGTCGGGAGGGTGTGATCACGTTTACTCAAAGAAATATATTACTTGCCCAAGCGGTAACATGGATGGCATCGACTGGTAGTTAGGCATGAGAGGGGCCTAACTACCAATTACCACCGGTGATGGAAACTTGGGGCCAGCATGATGCATTGTACAATGACTTCGCGAAACCATGGCCGCACCTGCAAGATTTCGTCGCGCCAAGGTCGCCGTAAATCATAGGTTTGCATAGATCCTAGACTTAAATAACTCTTGTGTGACGATGGCGCTTCAAGACAGATTTCCTCCTTAGGCTTCACTGGACCTGTGTTGACGTTGATGATCGACCACCTTTTCTGGTACGTTCGGAGCGCATCCTTTGACCCACAATTTTAGCATTTAGGGGCTTGACCGGCATTATAATCTGGTGCTTAACGTCCCCGGCCTACATTCCAATAGTCCCCTAAATCCGACTACCCTACACCTATATTTATATATATATATATCTATTCCTACTCTATCTATACCCCTTTATAACTTTATAAAGAATTTTTTTTAATTATTAAACTTTTTTTTAAATATTATTTTAATTATTATAAAAAAGTATAAAAAAGAAAAAATTTATAATATACTTATAATAATTAAAGATAAAATACTTATATAAAAGTTTTTAAAACTTAATATATTTTATATATTATATTTTATAACTATTTTTAATATATAAAGTAAATTTACTATTTATAATTTTTTTAATATTTAAAAGGATTAATTAGTATTATTTTTAATTAATTAAAGTAGTTTAAAATATATTTTAATAAACTAAATAATCTCCTTTTTTAATATTTTTTATTAAAAGGAAGTAATTAAAAACTTTAATTTATTATTTTATTTTTAAAAATTATAAATATTAATAAATTAAAGTAAAATAATTAAAAATAATAAAAAAATATATTTATATAGTTTAATTTAATATAATTATTTATTATAAAAGTTATTAAATTAAATAACTATTAAAATATTAATAAAAATAATTAATAAAAGAAAATTTAAAATAATATTTATAATTAGTTATTTAAAAATAATAAATTACTTTAAAAACTTTAATTTATATATATAAACCTTTTATAAAATATATATTTATTATAAGTAAGTTTTAAATTTCTTTATTATTTTTAAGAATTAAATATATAATAATAATAATTTTTATAATTTTTAAAAATTATATAAACTAATAGTTTATAATAATAAAAAAGATTAAATAAAAGGTTTATTATAATTAAATAATTAAAAAGTTTTTTTAAATTATATTAAAAGACCTATTTAAATAATATTTTCTTATAATTAATAAATATTATGTATATATTATAGCCTCTTTTAAGTATAAAGTTAAAAGATTTATAATTATAAAATTTTAATTAATTTTTATTTAATTATTTTATTATATTATAATTTAGTTTAGTTTAATTTAAGCCTTTTTAAGTTTTTCTAGCCTTTCTTTTTTTAAATAAGTTAAAGTTTTATATTCTTTAAATTTAAGTTTAAGATTCTTATAGATTTTAATATATTTTAAATTAGGTTTATAATTTTTTAGTTTTTTTAAAAATATATTAACTATTTTAGATAATAATAACTTTTCTTTAAAGTAGAGGTTAGTCTTTATATAGTTATAAATTTAGTTATTAATAGTTATTTCTTTTTTTATAAAGCTATTAGAATTATAAACCTAGATAATAGAGTGTGGTTGCCTTACCTAGCTATTTCTCAATTTAATGGGTTGCGTGGTAGACTAAGTAATTACTTTCAAGTGGTTTTGCTTGCAATGTAGTGGAGCTAATAGATAGGTGTTTATTTAAGTAGAGCTAGAACCTTTAAAGGAATGGTAGCTTTATTTTTATCTATTTTAGCTAACTTATTTAAGTTATATAGTAAATTTAATACTTATATATAGTGTTTATTAATGTTAGATTAGCTTGTAGTTTATAATAGCTTTAATTTTTAATAGGTTAATAGTATTAGCTTAAATTAATTAAATATAACTTAGTATATTAATATAGGAAGGTATTTTTTAATAATAGATAGTATTATAAATATAGATTATAAAGTTATTATAAAAAGTTTTATATAATAAATTTAATTAAGCTAATCTTTAAAAGATATATTATATTTTATTCTTTTAAAATCTTAATTATTTACTTTTAGTTTAATAGTAGAATTAAAAAATATAAATAATTTATATATATATTATAGTTAATTTTATATAAAAATATTTTTAAATAATATTTATATTATTTTTATTAATTATTAGTTTATATATATTTTAATTATTTAATATATTAATTTTTAATTTATTTAAAATTACCTTTAAAAATATTTATAATATTAAAATAGTTATAATTTTTATTAATAATTATAAAAGAAAGTTTTTAATTATTATTATAAAATATATATTAAAACTTTTATAAAATTAAATATTTAATTTAAATAATAAATAATTAATTTATAATTACTTTTAAATATAAAGTTTTTAATATATATTTTATTAAAATTAATAAATTATTAAAATAAAAAATAAAGAAAACTATTATTAAATAAAATAATATATATTTTTATATTAAATAATATTTTTATTAATTTTAAAAATTATTTTATAACTTTTAAGTAATTATAAAAGTTATATAATATAATAATTAAATATATTTATAATAAATATTTAAACTTTATATAATAACTTTTTTATAAAATTTTAAAAGTTAAAATTAAAAAAATATTAATTTAATAATATTTATAAAAAAGTTTAAAAATTAAAATATTAATTAAAAGTTAATAAATTAACTTAAAAAAAAAAGTTTAACTTAACTTTAATAAGTTATTTATAAATATTAAAGTAATCTAATAGGCTTAAATTAAAGTTAGGTAGATATTTAAGAAAAGTAATAAAGATAACTAATTAAAGATTTTAAGTATTAAGAAGGATAAAATAGTAGTAGTAGTATAAATAGGGTTAAGGTGAAGGGGTGGTTGAAGGAAGAGGTGGTTGGAATTAGGGGATGGTTAGAATGTGGGCCGGGGACGTTACACGCAGTTTCAAGTACCCTTTCTATATCCTTATCCAGTTTGGACCAGCACGAGCTGCAGGACAGGGCCCTGCCCGCTAGATATCCCATCCATACATGTCTACAGGTCATGGGCTATTATCAAGGGTCAGACGGATGTACACACCCGTGGACGGCTATGACATTTGGAATAACCTGCATATCGGTACCTAGGATTGTTTTGAAGTGCAATTCCTGAGTTCTGATTCGTTAATTGGATTAACATGGTGTCTTCGGTGCGTGCAACAGTACTTGAAACTCGGTATGTACAAGTCTGCGCACTTGTTGGTGCAGGCACTGATTAATTATATCCTTCATGATCCACTTGGCCAATTTCAAGTTTAACTCGGAAGTAGGGATTCAATCTGTCAAGCATTTGTTGATCGAAGACGGAACAGTGTAATATCAATTGATGCACTTGATCACTGATGGTACTGCATTTTCTTTTTTTTTTTAACAAAGCTGGGTCTTAAACGTATACCACCGTATGAAGGCGCCACATTCGTTTTATATGTATGGGGATTAGAAACGAAACCACCCCTTGATCAATGACCTCCCGCGTCCACGGGTGCCTGCTTCATAATATCAACTAACTTTTATTAAGCTCAGACCGGAGACCTCGGGAGGTCACTCAGCTGTGAAGTTGAGTACGATAAGCCCATACCGGTATCTGGGATAGACGGATATTGGTGGCCCCACCTTTGATCCGTAATATATCTCGTATAGTTCTGAGTCGTGCGCGCCCCAAACATCTGCACGCGCTGTGGTACATTGCGCACTTGCCGTGCAGATAACGCGGGGCACTGCAGTGATGTTGTGATGTTGTGATGCTGCCCTGCGAGACTGCTTCCTGCGAGGCAACCCCGGGACACCCACACAGGCTGACAGGCTGACAGCATCCATGGATGCTACTACGGTGCAGCCAGAGCTCGTATAGAAAACCTGGAAATATCCTGTCAGCGCTCTATGCCCTACTGCCACCGAATTCACCCCGCAAAGCATCATTGATCCAACGCAATGGAACCTGTACCTGCCACATCAAGCTAGCATTCAGGGCGGACCGAATCCGCGCGTCTTGGTGATGCTTACGGTGATTGGTGGGTACCTCATTAGACCCAAAAGTCGAGCAATGATCGACAAGCACAGGGACTACGGGAAGGTGGTATCACCTTCTGCTTTGGGCACACGGCTAATTGCGCTATCACAAGCACGACATTCTGTTGAGCAAACTAGCACAGGAGAGCTTGGAGCTCGAACAGCGTGCTTTACAGCAGGACTGTATGTATATCAGTCGCTTCCCCTGACGCCAAGATGAGCCAAGTCAGTTCTTCCCGTGTGCCAAGTTCGACGACCTGACTTTCATACCCACAATGTCCTTCGCTAAGCTCTGTGTAGGCTTGGGTGCCGTCTTCCTCGGCGCTGAGGCTCTGCCATCTGAATCTCCGTCGGCCAGCTATGCCATCAAGGAACGCCATTATGTCCCCAAGTCTTGGACGAGTCTTGGCCCGGCAGACAAATCCGACACTATCAACCTCCAGATCGGTCTGAAGCAGAGCAATAAGGGTGCTATCGAGCAGCACCTGCTTGAGATCTCGGACCCTGACCATGCTCGCTACGGACAGCACCTGTCCGCCGACGAGGTTGCAGACATTGTCCGCCCAACAGACCTGACCATCGACAGTGTCCACCGGTGGCTCGAGGGGCACGGCGTGGGCGAGATTGCTTACTCGCCCGCTCAGGACTGGATTTCCATCATTGTGCCCATCTCCAAGGCCGAGGAGCTGCTTCAGACGAAGTACACCAAGTATGAACACGACGGGGGCCACATTGCCAACCGCGCGACAGAATGGTCATTGCCACTGCATCTTCATGACCATATTGATGTCGTCCAGCCCACAACTTCATTCCTGACACCCAAGCCTGAGCACAAGCCCATCAGGTACGACTTGTCCGAGCAGGAGTTGACCTGGTGGGAGCACACGGGCAAGCTCAAGTACAAGCAGCAGTCTGCATCTCTGCTGGCAACCGGGGCCGCCAACGTCTCGGCGGTCTGCAACGCTACTTTCGTCACCCTCGACTGCCTGCGTACAGTCTACGGCACGATCAACTACACCGCACAGGCGGTTGAGGAGAATTCGGTTGCCATCAACAATTATCTCAACGAGACCAGCCGCCGTGACGATGCCAAGCAATTCCTGCAGCAGTTCCGCCCGGACCAAGTCGATGCCGCCGACGAGTTCGAGTTCGTCATCATTGACGACGGGCCGAACTACCAGGGCCCCAACAAGTCCGTCTTTGTCGACGCGGGTTCCAACGTCGAGGGTAACCTCGATGCTCAGCTGGTCCTCGGTGTCAGCGCTCCGACGTCTCTGACTGCGTACAACACCGGTGGAAGCCCGCCGTTCAAGCCCTCGCTGAGCACCCCAACTAACACCAACGAGCCGTACCTGGCTTTCCTCAACTACATCCTCGCACAGGATGAGATCCCAAATGTTTTCAGCTCATCTTATGGTGACGACGAGCAGACCGTGCCCCAGTCATATGCCGAGAGGGTCTGCTCCAGTTTCGCCCAGCTCGGTGCCCGCGGTGTCACCTACCTAGTCTCGTCCGGAGACGCCGGTGTCGGATCATCCGGTGACTGCTACAGCAACGACGGCAGCAACACCTACAAGTTCACGCCCGACTTCCCCACGTCGTGCCCATGGGTCACCTCCATCGGCGCCACCGCCAACTTCAACCCCGAGACGGCCGTGACCCGCTTCGCCTCGGGGGCTGGGTTCAGCAACTACTTCGCGCAGCCCAAGTACCAGGCGTCGACCGTCAACAAGTACATCGCCAGCCTGAACGGCACGTACGACGGGCTCTACAACAAGAGCGGCCGTGCGTACCCCGATATCTCGGCGCAGGGCAACCTCGACGTCATCATCTACGCCGGCAATGTCATCCGTGTCGGCGGCACGAGCGCCTCGTCGCCCACCGTGGCTGGCATCTTGGCCCTCGTCAACGACGCTCTCATCGCCGCCGGCAAGCCGACGCTGGGTTTCATCAACCCTTGGCTGTACAAGAAGGCTTACAAGACTTTTACCGACGTCACCATCGGCTCGAGCTTCGGCTGCAACACTACCGGCTTCCCGGCTCAGGCTGGCTGGGACGCTGTCACTGGATTTGGCACACCTGTGAGTACCTTGCTTATCACTGACTCAAGTGTTTCACTAACTTGGTAATAGAATTTCAACGAGTTGGTAAGCGCTGCTCTCGAAAAGAAGTAGATGCCATTTCGTGGCAAGCCAGAGTTTCAATGTATATAGAATTCATTTCTGGTGTGGATGGAGAATTTATCAAACCTGGTTGTTGCTCAGTAGCCAAGGAACCACTTCGTGACACACTGGGCCGTACAGCCAACCTGTGAAAGTTGGTTGGTCACTAGAACAAGTGACTGGGCCGCCTAGTCTCCTGTTACATAGATGATCAATCCGTTTCTATGCTGCCTTGTGGTCGGGTTCACTCGAAGTCTGAAGCCTTTCCCTACACACGCTCACAACGTCGTACCGGTGTACGAAGTTTACAAGTTCCTGAGTCGTCTCTTTTCCGAATCAGAAAAATTAGCCAGGATCAGAGGCTTCGCGGAGCCCAGTGCGCCATGCAGACTTACCAGGAAGCTTGAGGTCTGGGAGTAAAGGCTGGATTTCGGCATTTTTCTTGGTGGGTTGCTCATACATTGGCAGTTCCGACCACAGTTGAACGGCTGAATTGTAGGGAACCCTGATCTCGTCAAAGAGACCAAGCCGATGAGAGATGGTCTGAGGTGACCGATCCGGTAGGTCTTCGAACAGAGTACCGAGAGCCGCAGCATCGAGAATGGCAGAATTGGCCCCTTGGCCCAAGTGCTAGGATCACACGCATTCAGTCAGTCTCTTGCACCTAGAAGTGAATACTTGGGTAGCAGCATAAGACCAGTCACTACGCCATCTGCCGATGAACGAGAGGGAGGACGTGAACTGCAAAACTGACGAACCGATAACATGGCATGTGCCGCATCACCAATGGCAACAAGACGCCCGCGGCTGTACCGGGCGGCAGGTGCTCGCGTATGGAGCCGCCACAGCGGCAAGACATCCAGCAGATGTTCACACACCGTGCCAAGATCAGGATGGAACTCGTTCAGGGCGGCCGCCAGGTGCTCCCGGGTCGTCTCGCCTTTCATCTTGTGGATCACCATCCCGGGTATGTCCTCGAGGGCGTAGAGGACGAGATTCAGATACTCGAAGCCGTGACACCAGTAGCCCAGCAGGTACCGCGTGCCGTCGGGTGCCACGCTGAAGGTGCTGCGGCCGGGCACGGCAGCCATCACGCGCGCGAAGGGGTTCTCCTGCAGCTTGGCGACGGGGATCACGGCGCGGGCGGCCGAGGTGCTGCTCCGCAGGGCTGGCGAGGGCTCGCCGAGGATGACGCTCATCGCGGACGAGTGGACGCCGTCGGCGGCGATGATGAGGTCTGCCTCGGCTTGCGAGCCGTCCGCCAGGTGGACGATCCCCTGCTCCGGGTCGATGCTGACTACCTCTGTATATTCGAGAAGGCGGCATGGCGGGTTCGTCGCGTCCTCGTCGCCACCTTTATCAGACAACGGCGACTCTGCCACAAGCCTCAACTCCTCGCGCAGGTCAGGTCGATAGAACGTGCCTCCGGTTGTTCCCGCTACCTGCAAGACTTGCAGCAACTCCAACGTCCTTCCATCGAGGATCTGTGTGTTTTTCACTGATTCCCAAGTTAGCACCGGGGGTCTTGATCAGCCGTTGACCTCAGCGTATAGATGCATGTATCTAGGACTGCTTCTTGGGTGAAAGATACCAACTAAAAAAGCCTCTGACGGTTCTCACCTCTGCAAATCTTCGCTCTACTACTGTCAAAGCCGAGGTTTTGTAAGTAGTCCAGCGAATTTGACCCGAGTCCAACGGCGGCTCCGACTTCGCCCGACAAGCTGTTCTTCTCGAAAAGCTGTGTAAAATCAATCTGTAAGTACTCTTCAATACAGATCACTACTCCGGCATAGGAAAATCAAGGGCATTGCTGGGTGTCTTAACTGTTACTTTGTGCCCGGCCCTCCGCATTGCAATTGCCGCTGTCAGTCCGCCAATGCCACCGCCAATTACGGCGACCGATAAGCTAACGTTACTTGTAGCCATAACAACCATGCATTCTATGGGCTCCCGAGGTCACGTACCAGCTTCACAAGACTACCCTAGGTAGTGAATAGTCGCAATGTTTAGGTTTCCGTGCTCCCACCCTGGTCCATGGTCACTGTAAGGAGAGGGGAAACAGAGATAAGTTCGCTATCCTTATTTGTTAATTAGCGAGCCAGTGCTGTTATCTTTTATCTGAGGGGAAGGTTTAGGAAATGAGTGATAGGGCTTTAGCCTATACCGGATAACTCGGATAACTGAGCAATCAAAAGACCTCCTATACACTTATATACTTATATAATCATAGCTTAATTTGTTTCACATTATCTCATTAAAAGTTAATCCTTTATTTAAGTAAAATAAAAATAAGAAATAAATTAAAAATACTTTACTATTATTATTATATATTTTTATTTAAAAGGTTCTTTAAAATTTTTATAAAACTTTATTTTAAAATAATAATTATAATAAAATATTAAGAACTATTACTTAAATATAATATCTTATTAGGTTTTTATTAGAATCTTAAAAGAATATCTTAGCTTTATTTAACTATAATCTTTTAAATATTTAAATCCCACTTCTCGTCAAATCTACTCTTTAGTAGCTAGCGGTGCGAGGTGTGGCAAGTCGTGAGTAAAATGCTTTTCTTTTTTTTTTCATTCTGATGTCTTGATCATTCGTGTAATTGTAGGCCTCTGGAGGCATCATATATGTCCGATCAGATCTTTCGTAGTAACCTTTAGGAACATTGAAGCTTCCACACATTTAGTTCTTCCCTAATGTGACAAGATACTGCCAGTGACGTAAGACGTTCTTGAGCTGAGAAGATTCTCCCTGTGACACAAGACGTCCTTGATTTGTTGTTTCAATGTTTCCGTGGCCAGGTTGTCCGTTTCACCCGCTTCTCCAACTTCGTCAGAGGCTAGAGCCGATTTCAATGTATTGATGGAACCCTGAGCATCGAAGCCTCTCCATTCAAGTTCTGCAATCCAGAAGGTCTTGCTTGCACGGCGGACCGGATCGGCAGCTTGGAAGTCCTTGGCTTCAGCATAGAAGTGCATTGCTTCGGGCACTCTTACTTGCATGATGAGTAACTCGGCAAGTGCAAGCCTGGTCTCCTGTGCTTGTGATACCAGGTCCGGACGCGAAGCCGTGACAGCCAGACGGTCGCGTAGAGAAGCTTCATCCAGGCCCCTTGCGTCGCTGGGCACGCACCTTGCGATGTCAACAGCCCCTGTCTTTACTCTAGGCTCAGATGTCCAGCATCGTTGCACTGCCTTCACAAGCACGCCAAGGGCAAAGCGGTCGGGGCCTTGTGCTGCTGAGAGAAAGAGGCTCTCCCCCCAGGCGTGATCAAGAGGGTGATGGCCCCCGTATATAATCCGCGAGAGCTTTGCCAGATAGTCTGAAAGCGTGCGACAGACGGCCTTGCAGACCTCAGACTTCGGGTACTGGCCAAATGCAGCGATGGTGGCCACGAGCCGTAGGTATACTATGGGGTGGTTCAACGAGACAAGCTCCTTCAAATGCTCAAAGGCCAGGTTTATCTGCTTGAAAGCCTGATTCTGTGGATCATTTCGAGACAAACGTGCAAGACCTCCAATGAACAGGGCGCTGAACGTGTCTTGTGGGCCGGTCGAGAACCGCTCCGTGCAGAATATGTTGTGATGGCTGGCTGCGTAGGCGTCGAGGTAGTAAGTTGCCGCCTCAATTTTTTCAAGTGTGTCCGGCGCTCGAATCCTGCGGGATGGGGTCATGACCGCCCCGGCGCGGGCTTGTGATAGTGCTTTGTTCCGTCGATACTTCCTCAAGTGACGATCTATGCGTGCTGCGTATTCGTCGATCCTGTCATCTGACCAGAAAATATGTGCTGATTCATTTCCAGCGGCAATATTAAGGGCCTCTTGTCTTCTGAGGTTCTTGCGGATTCCCCAACGACGGAACTGGGACTTATAGACTTTGACGCTGTAGATCATGCTCAACATCCAGCGAGGCGGAGAAAGGCTCATCAGGATGTTACTACTTACGTGACATCTAACCCGTGTTCTTCTTTCATTATCTCTTGGACCTTTCGTAAGGGCAGGTCCTGTACCCAGAACAGGTCGATAAGCTCTTCGCGGTATTCCTCGAGGTAGTTCGAAACTCCTTGGGTCCCTTGCCGGCGACCATTGTCCCAAGGAAGCGCTTGGGTAATGCTGGCAGACCCGATTGCCTCGTCGCTCATGATCTGTGGGGGGTGCTCTGAAACTTGTCCATGTCGCTGTAGAAGTGGCAGGAAGTGCCTGTTTGGACCATGTGCACTTGCTTCAGGCGCTTCGAATGAGAGATGCGTGTCCATCGTTCCTCGTGGAGCCTACGTTCCCGAGGTCGTATCTAGCCGAGGTGAATAAACAGGAGATATTTATCAGTCGCCCAGCCAACACGTCCTCTTAAGAGGCGACAGTACTCAATGCGTGACCGAGCTGATGAGTCTGTCACGATTGTGGGGAGATCCAAAAATTTGGAATGTCCAGATGTCGAGGGCTAATTAGTAAAGCGGTCTCCTTTCCACGGCCCCCAATTTGCTGTGCCGCAGCTGAGACTAGCTCCACCCTCCGACCCAACGTCTCATCTATGACAGCATAGGTCTTATAAGTAGGCAGCAGTGGGTGAGAAGGATCCGAATCCTAGGTCTTAAGTTACGCGAACCAATTCTGTCAAACATTGCAACTCACAGCCCACCAATGTGTGGGCCTTGATCAAAACGGAAACCGCTCCGAGTGCAACAGCCTTCACCGGATTACCACCTGGTGTGGTCGGTCGACAATGCAGAAAGCTGGAGACCGGTCAAAATTGACACGCACCTCGCCACGCCGAGACTCCAGATTACGATTACTGTAATGAACAAAGGGTGATCAAATTGCTTTTTCCCCCAAAGAACAGAGGTAGAATACCTCACGACCTATTATGTTCTCCGCGTTGACACTTTTATTAAACACCAGCGGCTCGGCGGACTTTAGGAACCACTACGAAGTACACATATGCAGTGGATCCGCAATGCTATCAAATGCCAGCGCAAAACCTCACTATTTTCTGAGGCCACGTGCCCGCAAACGTATTGTTCTATCTCTGCACTGTTTGTCTCTGCAGTGGTTACTGGCATTGTGTCTCTTTTCCTTCTAAAACGCTAGGTCTTGAGAGTTTCCGAGGTTATCGTTGTATGAAGGTGCCACATGCATTTTATGGGCATGGGGATTAGAAAGGAAACCACCTTGTCCGTCTCCTATGTATAGGCGCAGCACACAAGCCCAATTGCGGTCTTATTCAAATTCGGGTTCCATTCTGAGAAGCTTCTCTCGTCCACAACATCTTTTCCTCTGAGGCCTAGGACCATACCCTCTCCATGGTCAAAGTCACAGTCAAGCACCTCGTGACTGCAGAGTTCATTTGCGTATTGTTTTAGGAACGATAGAGTGACAGATTAGATACCTAAGTATACGAGCGTACGTCTGCAGTATATGTGGCCAAAGATACTTACCTATGTTTCCATGTGCATAGTTAATTGGGCACTTTATCAGTTTACTGGTTGGACTGGTAAGATGGGCATCAATGATCAACCTTGGAACGGACAACTAGGTACCTAGATGCTAACATAAGTTGGGAACAGCGAGTTCTGGGACCAGTCAAATTCTGTTCCTGTTTTTTATGATATTATGTACCTAGGTATGTAATGGAATTTGTCCAGTGAAACGAAACAAAGAAATAAGTCGATCGGTAGTGAGTTTCCGTGAGGGCAGTAGGACGAAAACGATGCCGCAATGCTCTACCTAGGTACTACCCGTCAAAGCCCCGCGATTGTGTAGCATTTGGACATCTTGCATCATCCGTGGCAGCTTGGCTACTTTCCCCTGTCAGGAAACGGCTTTTATAACCCGAATGCTTATCCTAAGCCAAGGCCGAAGCTACACAGCACGTCACCTCAGTCTTAGGACGAAAGAGGCAGGCGTTGGGCGATGTGATGGTGCAGTCAGATATTACCCAGTCAATCAGCGAAAGGCCCCATGTATGCCCCAGGGTGTGTTACGACTGTGGACCTATGTAAAGACGACGACAGCCTGTTGCTCCCCCCTAACTCAACGTACGTGAACTTCGCGCCCTCAGATGCACATCGCTTTCAGCCATGAAGTGGACTATCATCTCATCGCTCTTCGCACAGAGCACTGCCGTGCTCGCAGATTTCCATCTGGTGCCGGTCCATTTCCAGGCTCCATCCATTGAGCATTTCCAAGACATCATTCGCAATGAGACCTATGACTTTGGCTGCCGACCAGCCATCCTTCCGACAGAGGACGGCTTTAAGCTTCATGCATTCCTGACGGAGGAGCAAATCGACCATTTCACCGAGGAGCACAGTTCCACTGAGCTCTCCATACACAAGAGCTTGTTCAAGAGACAGGCGGATACTGCCCCCATCGGGACCGGAGATCGATTCGAGGGAGGTAACATCGCTCCGCTGGGCCTGGGAACGAAAACGGCGGGCTTGAGGATCGACACACTTTTGAACGTGGGTGAGATCAGCAGCGCAGTCCAAGGTCTTGTCAATAAATACGGTGTCTCCACAGTTGATCTTCCACATAAGACATTCGAAGGTGCGACACAATTTGCCGGATATGTTGGGGGCTCAGACAAATCCAAGTACCACCTCTACCTCACAGCGGGTTCCCATGCGCGCGAACGTGGCGGCCCTGACCAACTCATCTACTGGATCTCCGATCTCCTGGCGGCGAACAGAACCGGAAGTGGCCTCAAGTACGGCAACAAAACCTATACAAACGCTCAAGTAGCATCGATTGTTGACGCTGGAATCGTCTTTTTCCCTCTGGTAAATCCGGACGGCGTCACATACGACCAGAGAACCGGATCACTATGGCGCAAAAACCGAAACACCAAGTCCGGAACTGGCAGCGCCGCCGGTGTTGACATCAACCGCAACTTCGATTTCTTGTGGGAGTTCGAGAAGTACTTCGACCCGTCCGCAAACCCGGCATCTACTTCGCCAAGCGCGCAGACGTTCCGCGGGACCGCGCCCGAGTCTGAGGCAGAGGCCAAGAACCTGGTCTCTATCTATGACGAGTTCCCAAATATCCGCTGGTACATGGACATCCACTCCGCGACAGGTGATATCCTCTACCCATGGGGTCACGACGAAGGCCAGAGCACGGACACGAGCCTGAATTTCCTCAACCCGGCGTGGGATCGCAAGCGAGGCGTCCTGGGTGATACCTACAAGGAGTATATCCCATCGACGGACGACAGCAACCTGCGGACTGTTGCCGCCAGGTCAGTGGCAGCCATGAGCGCTGTCGGTGGTCGCTCATATTCATCCGGGCCAGGTGTGGGGTTGTATCCTACATCTGGGGGCGTGGCCGACTACACGTTTAGTAGATACTGGGGAATCGAGGGGGCCAACAAGGTGTATAGCTTCACTCTGGAATTTGGGTATCCCACAAATTTCTATCCTACGCTGCAAGAGTTCAACGAGAATATCCTTGACACCAATGCGGGGTTTACAGATTGGGCATTGTCTGCTATTGAAGTAGGGTTGGAATGATCATAGTAGTGCCAGTGGTGCATTACTTACCATGTAACTTGCAAATGGAGCAATGCTCTCTGGTTGGTGTATCTTACCCATATAAAGCCCTCAGAGTCCTAACCATGTTCCCTCGGCGACTTTTATGTTCATTGGCTGCAAACTGGGTCATGGCATAGCCTGGAGGGCGGAGGGCAGCGGTGGCCGCTGAGCCAAAAGACATACTGCGAGGCCTCCAGTCTAGGTACCCAGGTACTCCCAATTTGGATCGACGGCTGGCCCCTGGCTGCTTTGATACTTAGCAATCAAGACAAGTACCACAGCCATGGAAGTGGATGAACGGCGACCAGCGACTTTGTGTATGGGCATGCGTGCAGTGCCACGTCAGATTTGCTGACAGTATTCACAAAATTAGATGGGTGGTGGGGGCGGGGGCGAAGCAACAACAGTGAGTGGTAAATCAGCAGAAGAACAGTCTGCTTGGGTGTGTGCTGTAGCTTCAGTGCATGTAGGCAACCTGCTGGGCTGACTGCAGCTCTGCGTGCCGGCTATTCCTGCCCAATGGTAGGTGCATCTGGGCATGAGCCACACTGCACAGCTTCTCCGCTCGCAGGAGCAATTCAGATCAGGCTCTGCTCTTCTCCTTTCATCTCCAGACCTCTGATTCCGACCCCGAAACAACCTTGTAGCATCTTTGCGTTCCATTCCAGTCCATTGAGAAACCGTCGCCAACATGGCCGAAGTCCTCGGAGCCGTAGCCAGCGGCTTGGCAGTAGCTGAGGTTGGCTTGAAAGTCGGAGGGACGGTATGGAAGTTGAAGAAGTTATGGCAGCAGGTCCATGAGGTTCCAGAGACGATTCAAGACTTGATGAAGCAGATTGAAATCATGGACCCCGTCCTATGCGATTTTGAAACCAACTTCGGCGTCCAAAATGCCAGCCTAACGACTCAAAATACCCCACAATCGATGCTGAGTGCCAAATATTGCCGACAAGCCTTCAATGACCTGCGGGGTCTGATTGAGGAGTTGGATGGAGCCATACAAGCAGAGAAAAAGGCCAGGAGGACCTTGGCCAAGATGAGGGTTGTGCTCAAGAAAGATGTAATCAAGGGATTAGGGGAAAGGCTAGACAGGGCAATGAAGCTTTTACAAGGGGCTCAGACGAATTATCTTGTGTGAGTACTTACCTATCTCGCGCTCCATCGACCATGTAAGTATCCTGCCAAAAGCTAACGAAACTTATCAGTACCAATGCCATGATTACCGGGGCTATGGTCACAAACATATGGACCGCTATAACAGACATACAGCAGGAGACCAGCAAAAAGAACTCTTCAGGCTGGACAGCAAAGCCACCTTTCCCAATTATCAGTCAGCCACTCCATGAATCTCGAGAACAAGTCCGTCGCAAAGGCAATGGAGTTCGACGTCGAGCAAACAGGATCTCTATGCCCCAGCCGGAGCTCTGTCTCTTTGGCGCTCTTGTGTTTGATAAGTCCGTGGCAGACAACGAATCTAGTAAGCTACTACAAAATCCGGGCAAATCAAGTTGCTGACTTAAATTAGCTTACGCTGTTCGCTTTCAATTGCCTAAGTGGCTCTCCCACAAGGTGTGGGACGTTATCATCAATCAAGCCTGCTTTGGCTGGCAAGCCACCCTTTCTACTTGGAACATTGTGCCTGACGACTCACCCGGTCTGGTGTGTGTCAAGAATGGTGACCTCGATGGGCTTATCGATCTTTTTAATCGAGGACTGGCTTCTCCCAGGGACTGCGATAGCTTGGGAAATAATATGCTTTTGGTGCGTCAAACGATAACAAGGTACTGACTGTACCGGGTGGCAGTGCTGACTGAATCAAGCTTGCTAGTGGGTATGGCGAAGCTCACATTGTCCGATATTTTTGCGACACAAACCTGGATCAACCCTACATCGAAGCTGGTGCCTGTAGTATTAGTTCTTGTTGGCCCTTGACACTAGTACAACGATTGCCAATCGAATACGCGCAGCGAATGGTTTCCCGAGGCTTGTTACAGTCAATGACTGACGAAGTCGAAGACCTTGAAGTTCTCAGTGCACCGATGTCGGAAATCTCGCATTGGGGGAAATCATTGACCATTTCTTACATGATGTTTACATCGCACATGCCGGAAGTATTTGAGCTTTGTTTTCGCACCTTGTTTCCTCTTTGGCACAATCTCCCGCCGAGACGTAAACAGTGGATCCTTATGCAGGATTGGTACTTTTCATGTCGTTATCCCTATTGCCTTTACCTTTGGGGGAGCGTAGGTTTTCGAACATGGACTGCTGATGCTCTCCAACTGATGCTCTTTCCTGACCGTCATGTCCGGCCCAACGACGTACAGGCATGGGCCGACGACGGTGCCTCGATGTTGCACCAGGTTCTCTTCTACATTCTGAGGTCCGAGTCTGACATCGCGGATCACAGTTGGAAGATCCTGCTGAAGGAAATAATCGAAGCCACGGAAGACGTGCATCACGGGCTGCAAGTGCCACGCTTCAGACGTTTGGGCAGTTGCAGTGCACTGGAATTGGCACTTTTGTGCGCCCTACTGCGCATTTTAAGATTTGGACCGCACAAGTTGGACGGAAAGGGATATAGATGGACTACCCGTCGTTTATTGAAGCTAACCTTGATGAAGCTTCAAATGGCCATGTCGAATTTTGCGAGCTGCGGTTACGATCTGTTGGAGTTCGGACGGCAGGAGTCAAAGACATGGTTCATCAAGCACCCCGCTGACCGGAACCGTAATGTGGGCAACACATTATTTGTTGGGATAGGTGAGAAACGTGGAGGTCTGTACGTCAGATCCCTCCATTACGGCTCAGACCCGAAAGACTGGTATTTTGAGATGGACTTCCGTTACGAACATTACGTTGGGCAGTTTTGGAATCGGCTGGAAAACCCACATTTGTACATGATGCCGGGCGCGTGGATAGATTGACAATGAGACTCGATATGGGGATGGTTTATACCATCTTTAGAATGCTCATCTGGGTCTTGAGCGCTTACCACTGTATGAAGGCGCCATGTATGTCCTCGGACGTATACGTACTAGAAGCGAAACCACTTAGAATGCTCATACCTAGGTAATACTCTCTGCGCCGTGGTCATGTCGGCGCAAGAATTGGCTATGATGCGCAGAGGTTCATGGTCAGGCTTGCCAGTAGTGGGTCAGTGTCTCGCACGAGAACAAAACCAGACGTGGACAAGTCCGATCCTGCCAGCTCGTTCTAAATACTGCATATGGACCATAACGCCCCCGTGGGGTGTATGAAAACAGTCCATAGGCCATCACCTCCGTTTCACAACAGTCTCCTACTGGTTACAGTTTGGCGATACATCAAAATTATTTCAAGAGATGTGTTTAGAGCTATAGGTTCTCTAAGACCATCTTTAACCTTGTGGTTTCATAGTTTCATTTTTAATCCCTATACATATAAAATATATATAATACCTTTATATAATAGTAAATATTTAAAATCTAATATTTAAAGAAATATAGTACTAATAATAATAGAAAGAGAATATAATATATAGGTATATAGTTAAGCTTTATATTATATAAATAAGGTTAGAAGGTATTACTCCTAATAGTACTATACTAAAAAGTTAGTAAAGTAGTTATATAATAAGACTAAAATAATCTTAAAATAACCTTTATAAGAAGAAGAATCCTATAATATAAAACCTAATAAACTAGCTCTTCCCTATTAATACACTTAATAGCTATTTAGATCTACCCTTACTAGATAAGCTAAACACACTATAATCCCTATTCTAAATATATAGCTATTAATAGAATAATAATATTATAATAGTAAACTTATTTAAGAAAGCCTTTTTATATAAATTCTATAAAAAGATTAAAACTCTTTTAAAAAGTTAAGTAGAGTTTATTTATTATATATTAAATAAATACTATATAAGAAAAGTAAAAATCTAAATACTTAAAAATTAAATCTTCTTCTTTTAAGTATACTACTTTATTATTAAAGATTTATTTACTTTTATATAATATATAAAGAATATAATAAAAGAGAGAGCTTTATAAAAGAAGCTAGTAACTCTATTATATATAAATAAGTTTAAAGGTATATATTAAGTAATTATTAACTTTATATTTAAAGTATAAGTTAATAGCTAGTTTAAAAGCTAAAAAGATAATAAATAAATAAATAATTAAATAAAAAATATAATATAGTTAAAGCCTATCTTTAACCTTAAGAACATAAAAAAGGCCCTTACCTAGGTACTCTCCTACTAAGAAGACCTTCTCTAAGCGCCTTAGATTATATTTTCCCCTAGGGGAGAAAGATGAGATAGCCGGCTTAGGGATCAAGCAGAGATACAGGTAGAAGCTCATCTAACGATGATATTAGTAGTAAAATAAGATATTAAGGTGAGCCAGCCTCTTTCCAAAACTATAGGAAGTTATGGTGGGTGGGGTGAAGGGGCCTGGATGCCCGTGGGATACCCGAGCAGAGCTCATTAATCTAATAGTCATTTAGATAATAAGTTATAGTGAACTATTATAAGGCTAACTCGATAGTCAATAGATTTCTATTAGATTTAATACTATATTATAGGTAATTTAATAGTAAAATTATAGTTTTTAATAATATTATCTTACTTATTCTATCCTATAGACTCCTTATATTATAAGGGTTAGTTTTATTATACTAAAAAGTAAATACTTTAAATATTTATTATAATAGTCTATAAATTTATTATAAATTTATAATAAACTATTATTTTATAATAAATTTATTATAAATTAGTTATTTACTATACTTTTATAATAACTTTTAGTCTCTATATTTAATATACCTTTAAACTAATATATTATAATAAACTAAAGTTTAACTCTCCTCCACTACTTCTTATTTATATTTTATAAAATCTTTTAATAAGTTTTAATTTTCTTACTAATTATTAATATCTTTTAAACCTAACTATTAAAGAAATCCATTCTATGTTTTAGTTAATAATACTTTAATTAATCTATCTACTATTATTTATATTAATAAAATATATTTTATATTAATAAAATTATTTTAAATCTTTTATTATAATTAATAATTATAAATATTTATATATTATAATTTTATTTTAAATTAGATAATCTTAAAATTTATTAGGTTTATAATCTATATATTATTATATTTAATCTTAATTTTCTTTTATTTAAGTTTATTAATAATTCTATAAAAGTCTATTTATAAATAATATTTCTTTTACTATTTATATTAAAATAAGAAGTTCTACCTTAATTATTAATATTATAATTATATTTTATTTATTAACTCTCTATCTAATTATCCTCTAAATAGTTTTATTATAAATATTTAAAAACTTTTTAATTTATAATATTATTAATAAAAAAGAGTTACTTACTATTATAAAATTATTTATATTTATAAAGTAGAGAGTAAGGTATTTAATATTTTGAAATAAAAGCACTTAATTTATAATATTTTAATATTTTTAATTTAAATTTATAAAGAATTATATAAACCTTAATATAATAAATATAATATTTAATCTTATAAATATTATAATAAATAATATAAATTTAATTTTTATTAATATAAGTTAACTTTAATAAATTTTATAATATTAATTTATAATTTTAATTCTTTAACTATTATAAAACTTTATAAAAAAGATTTTTATTAACTATCTTAATAATTTTTTATATATATAATTTAAACTAGTTAAATCTAGTAATTTAAATAATCTTTATAAATCTTTATACTTAAAACTATTAAATTAAATCCCTCTATTAATTTTATACTTTTCTTAAAGTTATTAAGTAAATTTATTAACTTATTTTTATTAGTTTTTAATATACTATAATAATATTATTAATATAAAAAAGATTAAAATACTATTTTTTATAATAATAAAGCTTATATAATATTTATTAATATTTAAGTTTAATAAGTATTTTTATAAATTCCTTTTACTATAATAATAATAAGATTTATAGCCTATATAATACTTTATTAAGTATTAAAATAATACCCTTTTTTATAACTATAAAGTATCCTTATAAAAATATTTTAATTAATTAAAGTATAAATAAATATATTTACTATATTATATTAAATTAATTTAAAATTAAATTTTATAATAATAATAATTAATATATAAAAGACTATCCTATTAAAATTATAATATAAATTTTTATATTTATCCTTATACTTATTAATCCTCTAATAATAAGTTATATTTTATACTTTTAAAAATATTATACTTATTAAATTTATAAATATATACTTATATATAATTTAAAACTTACTTTTTATTATATAAAGATCTTTCTTTTAAATTTTAACTTAAAATCTTATTTTAATATAACTTTATAAATAATTAATTTTAACTTATTTAAATAAATTACTAAATAAGTAATTTATTAAATTCTTATATTATTTTAATAACTTTAAAAGTTACTTTTTAATATTTTATCCTTAATATAAATATTTTTAATTTAAACTTTATTAAAAATATTACTATTTAATTTTACTATAAATACTACCTTTATTTTAATTATAAATATAATTTATTATAATAAATGTATTAAAATTTAATAGTTAATAAAATTTCTTCTTTATTTAATTATATTTATATAATATATATTAAAAGTATTAATAATAGTAATTAAAATAATATAAAGCGTAGTATAAATTTAGTATTTATATAGGGTTATTTTATTAATTCACCTTAAGTTATATATTTTCTACTTTCTTTTATCTTTTCTTAAATCCTCCTTTATTAAGTTCTTTTAAATTTTTAGTTTTAAGAAGATTCTTTCCTTTTATTTTTAATATTTTATTATTATTTAAAAGTATATTTCTTTTATTTATTTTACTAATTATTTAATATTTATAATAAAAGTTTATTAATAAAACCTTTTAATTATTATTAAATATTTAATACTTATTAAAGATTATATTTTATATATTAACTATTTTTTTAATAGAGGAAATTTATATTTAATAAATATTTAATAATTAATATCCTATAAAATAGTTAATTTAAGTCTATAATTTTAAATATTAATATCTTTTTTAAATTAAGTATTTATAGTTATTATATAGGCTTTATAATTAAATACTTTTAAGTAAGTTTAATTAAATTTTAAATTTAATTTTAAAATTCCTTACCTTCTAATAATAATAAAAAAATTAATAGTATAATATCTATTAATTTAAGTTATAAAATAGTATTTAATTATTAAAATAAATAGTTATTTATTTAATTTTTAGCTAAAAGGAAGTTAAGAGTTTTAAATTTATTTATAAAGCCTATATTTTCTATTTAATTATACCTTTAAATACTTTACTCTATTATTTTATATTTATATATTAAATATAAAAGTTTAATTTTAATATATTTTAACTTAAAGTAATTTTTAATAATTTATCTTTAATTAAATATTTTATTATTATATTTAATAATCTTAACTTTTATATTATATTAAAGTTTTATTATTTTAAAAAAATATAAATATTTTAAATATTATTTTATTATTTTAGCTTATTATATAATAATTTTATATATATTTAAAGACTTTATATGTAAATAATAATTATAAATTATAGTTATAAATTCCTAGCTTATAGTTATAAAAGTTTAGTACTATCTTTTACCTTTTTATTTAAGGATTTCTCTTAATAAATAATAGATTTACCTTATAATCTTAACTAGAATATATACTTTATATTTAACTATTATTAATTTATAAATTTATACTTTTAAAAGTATTTATTAAATATTTTAATACTTTAAATTTAAAATATTTAAATTATTTATATTATAAAAGCTTTATTTATTAATAGTTTTTTTAATAAATATTATATATTTTTCTTTAAATATTAAATATAACCTTTAATTTATAAATTAAGTATTTAATAATATATTACCTATAAATATTTATAAGTTTATAAAGGATTATTTTATTTTATTTTTAATATAATTAGATTTATTTTATTATTTTAAAAATACTTTTTTAAAGTTACCTTAAAATATTAATATAATTAAAATCTTTAAATATAAAATAATATTTTTATTTATAAAATAAATCCTTTAATATAAACTAATATTATATTATATATTATAATAAAAGTTATTAATTACCTATTTATAAATAATTATTATATATAATTAGTTTTAAATTAAATAACCTTTATAATTATTTATAATTAATATTATATTTATTAAATCTAATATAATTAAATATTTTAAAAGTATTCTTTTATACTTATAATAAAAGCTTTTTTATTCTTTATATTAATTATATAATACCTTAAAAGTTATTTTTAATTTTTAATTAATTCTTTTTAAAAGTTATATTATTTTTAACTTAAATTTTAATTTTAAGTCTTTTATAATTTAAACCTTTACTTATAAATTTATATTATTTTTAAAACTTTATATACCTTTTTTAATAATTATATTCCTTTTAAAGCCTTTAAAGGCTTTTTAAAAAAATATAATAGTAATTTATAAAGATATAATTCTAATATACACCTTATATAAATTAGTAGGTTCTTTTACTTTAAACTAATTATATTTTTAACTTATATAAAATCTATATAATTTATTTATACCTTATTATTTAGAATTCCTTTCCTTAATTATATAAGTATTTTCTTTATTATTATCGTTTTTAAATTATTATAAATAATTATTTATACTCTCCTTATAGTTTTATAAGTTTATTTTATATATTTAAAACTTATAATTCCTTTTAAAAATTTTAATACTATAATATATAAAACTTTTATTTATAATTTTCTACTTTTATATTTACTTAAATATAATTATTTATATTAATAATATTCTTTATAAAGCTTATAATAAATTATAAATCTAAATAATAAATTATTTTACCTTTATTATTCTTTATTAAATAACTTTTATTATAATAGTTTTCTATTAGTTTACTTAAAGTATAATATCCTTTAAACTTTATAATAATTTAAAAGTATTTTTATATATATTTTTATTTTAATATATTATTTAATTATAATTATTTATATTTTTATTATAAATTTTTATATTAACTTTAAAAGTTCTTTTAAAATATAATATATTAACTTATATATTAAACTAATAATTTATATTATTTATTTTTAAGCTTTTAAACTATGATTTATTTTTTTATATTTTAATTTAAATTATTTATATTTTTATAAGTTTAAATTATAGAATTTAAAGCTAGTATTAATAAGGTTAAATATTTACTATTAGTTTTATTATTTTTTAAATAATTTTAGCTTTTTAATATTATTATTAAGTCTATTAATAGTTTAAAAATAGCACCTTTTATAATTATAATAGTCTTTATATACTTTTATAATTAGAAATTAGGTTTTATAGCTTTAAAAAAGTCTATTTAATAATTAATATAGTTTTTAAATCTATAAGTTTTAACTTAAAGAAGGAATTTATAGTTCTAGTTATTTTATTCTTCTATCTTTATAAGTATTATATTTTAAGTTTTTATTAATTTTATTAACTATATTAATTAGTTTAAAATAATAAAACTTTTAATTATTAAATTTAATACTATATTATAAATAATTTAATAATAAAATTATAATTTTTAATAATATTATTTTATTTATTTTATCTTATAAACTCTTTATATTATAGAGATTAGTTTTATTATATTAAAAAGTAAATACCTTAAATATTTATTATAGTGGTTTATAAATCTATTATAAATTTATAGTAAACTATTATTTTATAGTAAATTTATTATAAATTAGTTATTTACTATACTTTTATAGTGACCCTTAGTCTCTATATCTAACAATTTCATTCAGTAGAGCGGGTCGTGGACCGAGCCTACGAGGGATGTGATTTGCGGAGCGTTCTTCTATAGGTTTAATCACTCGAAGTTATCTCAAGCTGGATTGGGTAGTTGAGAATTTTCTAACAAGGATTGGCCAGAGAAGATTTATCTCTTAAAGTATTTAGCCGGTATGAATCAGGTCTGAATACAAAAGGCAAAAATGATTGCTTTGGCTGGGTTAATACGCTCTGCTGACCCCTGTGCCATCACGTGGTATAACCATTTTTACTGCTGCTGTGGAGTAAGATTGTCGACTATTGCGCGCCGAACCAGACCATCTATTGCAAGGTTCAAGGCGCTTGTACGGTTTGTAGGCTGGAAAGCAACCCTTGTTGGGAAAGTAGTGAGCCAAAAGGGGGATGTGGGGACCCCTAGCTCCAAGCATAATACTGGTGTTGTCGGAAATGACGCAGGTACGGAGTACACCACAACGTCCGCAAAAAGTTTATTACCGATGTTTCATTGCCGGGTCAAACGGCCCCTGACGCAGATCTTGGTAGTAGTACTCCATATTCCAAGCGTCTCATTCGGAGTTCGACCCCAAGACAACGAATGAGTGCATCTGTCCTGCCTACGTTTGCAAAGTTAACCATCTACTCACAACTCACGCTCTGGAATTCGTCTCCTGAGTTTAGACTTTTGTTGTAGTTCAGAATTGTAAATGTTGTGATTTGAGTTGGCTCCGCCTCCTGATCCGGCTCCCGGAACCTACCCTCCGCATTATCGCGGCTGCCCCGGCACTAGACCGAGCAAAGTGTCGTCACTCTCATGCTTAGCTTCAACAGCCACGCAAAAATTATATCCACCTCCTATAATGAAGGGGTCAAGTGCCAAACATATTGAATATAAGGTTCTAGGGTGGCCCGCCCACTGACCCCCCTCATCCACTTTTATAGTTTGTATGCGCGTATCGGCAAACTACATAGACTGACCATCAGCGTGAGGAACGCAAGTGGCCAATTTTGTAACAGACATACCGGTACTCCCAGTGGGTTCAGTCAACACTGTTCTTCAAGATGGTCCGCCTGTCAGCCCTCCTCCCGACCCTGTCGGCGCTTGGCACGGCCCAGGCAGTCCGCTTCCTCGGGCGAGTGAACCCGGCCACCAGGGAGCTCTCGTGGTCCGGCACGGGCCTCACCTTCAGCTTCACCGGCTGCTCGGCCAGCGTGGCCGTGGCCTCGTCCTGGGGCAGCAACAGCATCGAGATGGTCATCGACAACGGCACGCCCATAGTCTTCGACAGCGTCAACGGGACCAGCATCGACACGCCGGCCTCCCTCGCCAACGGCACACACATCGTCTCCATCCGCAAGCGATCCGAGCCCCAGCTCGGCAGCCTCTTCCTCGGCGACGTGACAACATCCGGGACGCTGGGCGAGGCCCCGCCGCCGGCGAGCAAGCGGATCCAGATCATCGGCGACAGCATCACGGCGGGCTACGGCATGGACGGCACGTTCCCGTGCGTCAACTCGGCGGCGCTCGAGGACGCGCCCAACACGTACGGCGCGCTCACGGCCAAGAACCTGTCGGCCGAGTACGACATCATCGCGTGGTCCGGGAAGGGCCTGATTCGCAACATCGTGAACCCGGGCTTCCAGGACGACGTGGTGATGCCCGAGATCTGGACGCGCTGGGGCGCCGCCGACGAGGACGGGACCTACACCTTCCCGGCGGCCGACACTCCGGACGTCGTCGTCGTCAACCTGGGGACCAACGACTTCAGCTACGTGGCGACCAACAGCACCACGGGGCAGAACTACGACGCGCGGCCGCGCATCAACGCCACCGAGTACACCGAGGGCCTGGTGTCGTTCGGCAGGACCATCCAGGACCACTACCCGGACGCCGAGCTCTTCATCACGTCGAGCCCGCTGCTGAGCGACGGCTACCCGACCGCCGAGGACGCCCAGTTCACCACGCAGTCCAACGCCGCCAAGGACGCTGTCGCGCGGCTCGGCAGCAAAGCGCACTTTGTCAACTTCCCCACGCAGGACTCGAGCAACAACAACATCGGCTGTGACTACCACCCCTCGTCGGCGACCCACGAGAGCATGGCTGTGATCCTGACGGCGGCTATTGAGGACGTCATTGCGTGACTGCACGTGTCGTCGACCTCGCTGGGGACAGCCCATGTGTTCCAGCGGCCATTAACGGAGAATTAATGCGGCGAGTTTCCCACTGTATATATTCCGGTTCGGAAATGTGTATACTGTTGCATGGGGTCCCGGTTGGAAGGCCAATCCCCAGGCGCTTAGAGAAGCGAATCATATGAAATATGTTTTCCGATTGAGGCAAAAGGACATCTCAAAGACCCAGTACTGTCCCGGAAGTTTCCCAGCGCAAGCAACTTTACGTCGTATTTAAATCTAGAGCTTTTTCTTGCTGTGTCTATGTTGTGACTTTATGAGATCCGCAGTCTTTGTGGACGTAGCAAAGGTTAGTATGTGATCACATACTCTCCTGCCAGCTCCGGGGCCGGACGCTGGAGCGTTGAGCTCTAGTTATCCGCAAGTCAGCCCTGATTTCATCGTCATGATCCCACGTCAACCACCACTCACCTTCACGAAGTAGGGAGACCATTCCATGACCAGTCGTCACTGGCATTATTCAGTCTCCCCAAGTCGTCGTACTCCCTCGCGGCGCCGCGGTTAAGAAACATGCCGTTGATGGTGGAGCCGCCTCCAACAACCGCGGCGCTATAGACCACCTGCGGCCTGGAAGAAATTCATTGTTGTCAAGGGTTGAATTTCAGGCGCCAGTTACACCCTTCACTCTAGAATTGGTCGGGTCAAAGGCGGCACTTGCGAACTCCTTCGGAATATTCTTGGCACGAACATTCAAATGTCTGAACGAACAGCACCCGGCTCCTCGACGGCCCAGAAGTCGAAAAGACACACAAGAATAGAGATCAATACAGGAGTCATGCGGTAGAACCTGCATCCCTCGCGCCTCGTTGGCGTATTATTTCGTTCATGGTTTCTTCTTACATATTGCCTAACCAGGCAAGTTGCTGGGACCTCGGGACTCTTGGCGAATGATGACTGCATACGAGAGCGGTCTATTGGCTTCGCAACACAGAAATAACAAGCGCCTGGGTTGCATTTACCATGATAGGTATTTTAGGGAGCTCGGACTTTGCCGCCGTGCCGTGTAGTGCTCATAACTGTTGTTTCTTGTGAAACTTGGATTGGCTTGCGTGCCATATCTATTTGCCAAGGTCATGAGAGGCCCACGGGTGTACCACTCGATCTTAGTGCTCACCACGCTAGATCGAGTTGTACGAGAAATGAGGGGGGTATGATGCAGTGAAACCACACTTGGGAATCGTGTTGGTGCAAGGGACGGCGGTTTAGATTCGTTCTGCAGCTCGCCGGCCACATGCGTGAAAAAAGAAGAGAGGAGATCTAGCTCTCTAGTCACAGCATCGAGCCGTGATAGAGGTCATCCCCGGGGGCACGGCAATGAAAAAAAGACTGTCATGTAAGACTTGTCAGAACGCAAGACTTTATGTGTGCGAGCTGCAAACTCCAAATGGTATAGATCAAAAGTGGCATTATGCAACAGTTGTTTCTGTCAGCTCCAAGGTTCAAATCCATATCAAACACGGGTACAGATATAGAAAACTGTAGCTTTCCCCCAAACTCCTCATATTGTACATGAGTCCTGTCGTGAACGTGGAGAGTCGCGTCTTCCCAGCTGCTAAACACCGGAGAGAGGCCTAGATTTTCTTGGGATATGTGCTCGGGTGCCCATGTTTCTTCGCAAAGCCCTTGATCTGGCCGTGAATCACCAGATGAACAATGAACCACACCGGCGCCATGAACCACGCCATGAGCGTGTCAACCAGCCAGTTGTTCCGCAGAGACCCGCCCATGACCCCATAGCGCAGCAGCTCGCCCATGAGGCCGACGGTGACGAAGTGCTTGCCGGCCTCCAGGCCCGCGATGGCCCTCTCGGCGACCTGGTCCGGCGTCAGCTTGGGGTCGTCCTTCTCGAGCTCCAGCGTGATGTCGGGCTTTGTCGTCTGCTCCCTCTCGAAGCCGGGGCTGAGGATCGTGCCGGGGAACACGACGTGGATCTTGACGGGCTGGTCGGGGTACAGCATGGCCTCCTGGGTCAGGGTGTCGGCGAGGCCCCGGAGGGCCCACTTGGTCGGGTTGTACGGCGAGTAGCCCACGATGCCGTACAGGGCCAGCACGGAGGCGGTGAAGATGAGGTGCTTGGGCTCGTTGGGGTACTTGTGGTCCGGCGACCACCACTCCCTGAGGATGGCGTGGGCCATCTCGCTGCCGCCCCAGAAGTTGACGCCCATCTCGCGGCGCATCTCGGCGATGGCGCGGTCCTCGTGGAAGAGCATGGGGATGGACATGCCCGCGACGCACCAGACGATGTCTGGGGACTTGCCGTTGTTCCATGCTGTGGCCTTTGACACGATGCCGGCGGCGTAGCCTTCCTGCGTCACGTCTGCAGCTATGGCGAGGAACCGTTGGGATTGAGACTTTGCAGCGGCCTGAAGTTGAAGGAATGCACAAAGCTGTTAGTGTCTGTCTGATCACATCCAGGGAGCATGAACATGAATAAAACCACCGACCTTGACGTCAGCAAGGGCTATGTCTAGCTTCTGCTGGCTCCGCGAGATAATAATGATGTTTGCTCCTTTGGCTGCTAGTTGGCGCGCCGCACTCAAGCCCATGCCTTCTGAACCGCCCGTGATGAGAACAGTCTGCCGCTCGTGTCAGTCATGCACAACGCGAGCTGTACTTGGGCAAGCCGTTGCTCATACCTTGCCCTCAACTGGCATCTGGTTCTTGCTGAAGAGACCCATATTGAAAATAATGAGCGCAATGACCACGCCTGCAACTGCGATGCCGACGTGTGAGGTTTCCATGGAAGTTATGAAGTTCATCACAATATCTCAGCCGCCTTTCAGGAGGATTCTGAGATGAGATTTCGGGTTGGGTTGCGCCTAGCCAAAAAAGTCGAGCTTCAGGAGCCTTTGGGACGGGGCAGATGCAATTGGTACGGAAATCCCAACTTGGCACAGTGTTCTCATTAATGGGATCCTCAGATTTGGGAGTCTTTCGACTTTGTGCCAAGGTACTTATGGAGTACAGAGACAGAGTACGTCCTCTGATTCTCGCAGACCTGTACAGAGAGGTAGTCCCACGGTTGTAGGGGCTAGCCCGAGGGACCCCTGTCGGGCGCCTGTTTGGAGCTGTCTTATCGCGCCGATAAGCCCCAATCGGTAACTGTACTCCCAAAAAAATTCTGGGAGAAGGACTCAAGCACTTTACTATACAATCCAGCGACCTGAAGTTGTCAGCACCTTCAAATATCGTCCCCGTCACCAGGCCTAGCAAATTTGAAGCGGGCCTTCCCCCTCTAACTCACGGCACCAACATGGCCAAGAAGAGAAAGGTTTCCCGGGCCTCAGGGCCATCCGGCCCCAAAGATGTCGACCCCTCAGAGGCACGCCTTGCCATTCGCAGTTACGAAGACGTCGCCGACGACCAGGAGCAGTATTTCCTTGACAAGGATAAGATAATGCTCGAGGATGAGCCATCATCCAAGCGCATGAGGACGCAAGACCGGCTGGACGAGTTCCTCGAGCCTTCTGATGAGGAGGTTTTCGATGACCACAGCGATTCCGAGTCCGATGTCGAGGCCGAATACAAGCAACTCCAAAAGGCCGTCAAGAAGCAGACCAAAAAGAACAAGAAGAAGGCGGCGGAAGAAGAGGAACAGTCCGGCGACGAGGAGGGCGACGACGGCTGGTGGGGCGACTCCAAGAAAGAATACTACAATGCCGACGCTATCGAGACTGAGGCGGACGCTCTTGCTGAAGAGCAGGAAGCCAAGCGACTACAAAAGAAGAAGTTGGCGGAGATGGACGAGGCTGATTTCATCTTCGACGAGGATGAATGGGCAGCACCAGCCGAAGAGACCGAGGAGGGCGCCGACGTCGTCACGGAAGAGCTGAAGGATATCGAGGTTACAGATGACATGGACACGAACGAAAGGTACCGGATCTTACAAGCGAGATACCCTGAGTTCGTACCACTCGTTGAAGAGTTCGAGAAATTGCAGCCACAGCTCGTCCAATTACAAAAGGAGGCCGACGGCAAGCCCGCCCAATCGCTAGAGGTGGTCAAGCACTGGATATTGGGCTGCTATGTCGCGTCCCTCGCCAGCTACTTCGCCATTCTGACGTCGCCTGCAAGAGAAGCAGGCGCGCCAACAGTTTCCCTCAGCCCAGCAGAGCTCCGAGACCACGAGGTCATGGAAACGTTGGTGAGCTGCCGGGAGGCATGGCAGAAGGTCAGAGACCTCAAGCCGGCCAAGGCCACAAGCGAGGAGCCAGAGATGGTTTCAGCCGAAGAGGACATCTCGATGGGTGAAGAAGATGTCAAACCCGTCAAGAAATCTAAGCTGGCCGCGAAGGCCGATGCCGAACGCAAGAAGAGAAAGAAGAAGGCAGAAAAGGAGAGGCTTGCCAAGGCCAAGGAGGTCGAGGAGTCCCTTGCTGATCTATCTACGCTCCTCGACCAGCCCAAGAAGGCGAAGAAGGCCAAGACTATCACGCAGAAACAAGAGGAGGACGACCATTCCGACTTCGGCGAAGAGGAGGCTCTGGACGCACGAACGGCCGCCGACAAGGCCGCCAAGAAGAAGAGTCTGCGCTTCTACACCTCGCAGATCGTGCAGAAGGCCAGCAAGCGCGCGGATGCCGGTCGTGACGCAGGTGGTGATGCGGATATCCCTTACCGCGAGCGTCTCAGGGACCGCATGATCCGCCTCAACGCGGAGGCCGAGAAGCGAGGCAAGAAGGACTCGAAGCACGGCGCAGAGCTGGGCGGCGATGACAGCAGCGGGGACGAGGCCGTGGCCAAGGAGGTACGGGGCGGTGAGGATGAGTACTACGACATGATAGCGCACCGCACCAAGTCCAAGAAGGACGACAAGGCCGCGCGCAAGGAGGCACTTGCAGCGGCCAGCGTGAGGGATCGCGTTGTGGAGGTGGAGACGGTCGGGGCAGACGGCAAGAGGAAGATCAACTACCAGATAGAGAAGAACAAGGGCCTGGCACCAAAGAGGAAGAAGGAGGTGCGCAACTCGAGGGTCAAGAAGAGGAAGAAGTACGAGGACAAGCAGAAGAAGCTCAAGAGCATGAAGGCCACGTACCAGGGAGGAGAGGGCAAGGGCGGATACCAGGGAGAGACGACTGGTATCAAGACTGGCCTGATCAAGAGTGTAAAGCTATAGAGGATTGCACAATTGAGCATACTTGCATAATGAGTACTAGAATTCAATACATGCTGCCAGCGTTGACCACGGTAGGGTGCATCGATACATGAGGATCAGACCAAAAAAGAGGGCTGAATCTGCGGTGCCGATTCGGCAGAAAGTGTGCTTGGGCCAGCAGCACCTGTAAGCAGTGCAGACCTCAAGAGCATCCAGCCATCCCTCACCACCATCGACCACCACCTCAACCCGAAGCGCTGCATGGCGAATACTGAAGCCATCGAACGACCAATTGGATGAACACTAGTTTCGAAAAGCCATGATAACCCAATAGTCCAACATCCCTTGAACCCAACCCACCCCAACCCGCCACCACAACCACCACAACAACCACCAAGATGGCGTCTCACCTCCCCGAGCCCGACCTGTCGACCCTGACATCCTCGTCGCAGATCTTCTCCGCCGCAGCGGGCTCCCCGTCCTACACCCTCCCGCAGATCCGCAGCCTGCACAAGCACATCCACGTCGCCATCGACGACAAGCAGGCCCGCCTGCGCACCCAGGTCGGCGGCAGCTACCGCGAGCTGCTGGGCACCGCCGACGCCATCGTGCGCATGCGCGCCGAGGTCGACGAGGCCCAGGCCGTCCTGGGCCGCATGGGCGCCCGCTGCGGCCGCGCCGTCGTCGGCGCCAAGGTCGCCGGCCTGGGGCGCTTCGCCGCCGAGCGGGACGGCGTCTACGAGGACCGCTTTGGGAGGCGGAGCTCTGGTGATGCTGCGCGGGCCAAGATACTGGCTGGGTGTGTCCTCGTCCTGGGTGGTCTGCTGCAGCAGGAGCGTGCTGGGCTGCAGGATGGGGGTCGGCTTGTCACCGCGACCAAGGTCCTGGTGCTGGGCAGCTTGCTGGTCAGGAGCTTTGAGGATGAGAAGCCTGGCGTTGAGGTCAAGGGCTCGCTTGCAGCTTCCACCAAGAGCTTGGAGAAACTGAAGAGGAGGCTGTTGCGGAGCATCGACAGGGTGCTGGAGACGGTCGGCGACAACACCAGCAGGGACCTCCTCCTCAAGGCCCTCTGCGCACACAGCCTGGCAACTGGGACCGGTACACGGGACGTCATCCGCCACTTCCTTGACGTCCGAGGCAGCGCGATGGCTTCGGTGTTTGACGTTGAAGAGCACCGCAGTTCTCTGGATGTCATGAAGGGCCTCGAGCTCTACACCAAGACAATCCTCGACGTCCAGTACCTAGTTCCCAACAGACTCACCGAGGTCTTGTCGTCGCTCAAGAAGGAGACACTACTATCCGACACATCGCTCCGCGGCCTAGAAAGCCTGAGGCTGGACATCTGCGAGCGGTGGTGCGGCGACGAAATCACCGACTACAAGCCATCAATGCGCCATGACGACCTCGACGGCAAGCAAGCCGTCGAAATGCTGACAAGGTGGAGCGCAAAGGGCAGCGAGGTGCTCCTCCAGGGCCTGGAGAAGACGCTCGAGCGCACGACCGAGTTCAAGGCCATCACGGAGCTGCGGACCGAGGTGCTGCAGCTGTGGATCCGCGACGGCGGCAAGGCGCGCGGGTCAGACCCGTCCGTGATGCTGGGCAGGCTGCGCGAGACCATCAACGCGCACGTGGCGGGCGTGCTGGACGGCAAGGTGCACAAGCTGCGGCTGGTGGGGTCCGAGGTGGCCGCGACGCTGGACGTGTGGCGCTCCGGCGTCACGGACGCCCAGCCCAGCCTGTGGGAAACGGGCTCGCTCGACATGGAGCTGCACCACGGCGCGGGGCCCTTTGCCCTCGACGTCGTCAACCGGCTGTACGGGCGCAGCGACGCCGTCGCCAGGGCCGTGACGGGCTACAAGTCGTGGGCGCAGGTCATCGACGACGTCGAGGCGGTGGTCGAGCAGCTCAAGAGGCAGAGGTGGGACAACGACGTCGACGAGGTCGAGGACGAGGAGACCATCGACCAGCGGCAGCAGGCGCTGAGCAGGGACGACCCGGCCAGGCTGCAGGAGAGGCTGCACGGCGCCCTGGAGAAGGCGTTCCGGGACCTCGACGGGCACCTGGCGGGGCTGTGGGGCGCCAACAGGGAGGGCGAGAACGCCGGCAGGGTCGCCATGTACCTCCTGCGGATCCTCAGGGACGTCCGGGCCCGGCTGCCGAAGCTCGAGTCCGTCAGGGGCTTCGGCCTGGGCATGGTCCCGTCCCTCCAGGAGGCTGCCGCCGCCGCCGTCGCCGCGGCGCCGGTCGAGAACTTCGCGGGCGGCGCGCTGGCGGAGAGGAAGGTCGTCGGCCGGAGCCTGTGGGAGGGCGACCCGGAGCTGCCGACCTCGCCGTCGCCCGGCGTCTTCAGGCTGCTGCGCGACCTGACGGTGGCCATGGGCGATGCCGGCACGGACCTGTGGAGCCCCGCGGCCGTCGCGGCGCTGAGGAGGCATGTGAGCAGGGAGCTCTCTGAGAAGTGGTCGGCGGCCTTGGACGCGCATCTTGCTGGGGGCGAAGCTAAGCCTGGGGGTGAGAAGCCTACAGCTGGGGTTGGCGACGGCAGGGCTGAGGATGAAGTCAAGGCAGACGGACCTGAGGAGCCAGAGGACAGGGCTGAGGACGCAACAAAGCCTGCAGGGTCTGCCGCGGAAAGTCAAACTGGGAAGCAAGATGGAGAGGAAGCAGTTCACGACACAGCGACGGATGAAAAGCCCGAGGCCAAGACAGAAGCGACGGAAGAGACAGCCACAGAAAACGAGGCGGAAGCGGCCGCAGACTCAGCAGCTGCCGAGAAGCTACGGCGGGACGTGCTGGTACAGTGGCTCTTTGACATTGCCGTGTTGAGGTTGTCTGTAAGCACGGCAGAGACCCCAGACGAGTTCAAGAAGCTGGAGGAAGCCGTCTGGAAGAAGACGGGCCTCGAGGGCACATCTGCACAGCAACGGCTGGGCAAGGCATCTCAGGAGTACTGGAAGAGGACGAGCTTGTTGTTCGGCCCGCTCAGCTAATTGTATATACCCAGATGTGTTTTTATTCAAAGCCGTGTTTTTTGGCCAGTCTAATCAATGTTCACTCATTGCACACACACAGCGCGAAACAGGCTATACTACAGCTTGTGTCTCTTCTCGCCGGAGGCGATCTTCCTAAACTCTTCCTGGGCGGAGGGTAAAAGCTGTCAGCAGCCCGCGTCTTGTCCGTGAGGTGGGGGGTGCAGAGGTACTGACCTGTGGTATCCCGGCGACGAACCTCTCGAGGCCGTCGAGCGCCTCCGTCACGTTCTGGACGTCATGGACGTCCCTGTCGGGCCTGCGGAGCAGCCTCTTGATGCCGAGCAGGCTGTCCCCGTTGAGGTGGGGCCCGAGGCGCTCCTCGACCTCCTTCAGGACGAGCTCTCGGAACTTAGCATCCTCGCCGGGCGCGGTCTGGAAGATGGCGTTGACGAACCCGGCGCGCTCGAGCTCCTCGGCGGTGATGCGCTTGCTCATGATGAGGGCCTCGTTGGCGCGGGCGGGGCCGAGGCGCTGCGCGAGGGCGCGCGAGGAGCCGCCCTCGGCGACGAGGCCGAGGGAGCTGAAGGGGGTCAGCAGGAAGGTGTGCGGGGCGCAGTAGATGAAGTCGGCGTGGGCGACTATGGCGGCCGTGAGGCCCACGACGGGCCCGTTGAGCCCCACGACGAGGATTTTTGGGTGCGTGTAGAAGGAGTGCGTGATGTTCACGTTGGAGGCCAGGAAGGTGCGCATCCAGAACTGGCGCGGGTCGGACTCGGTGTCGGGCACCGCTCGGGATATCGAGACGTCGGCGCCGCTGTGAGGGACCGAGGGGGCCCCCCGGTGATGTCAGCTTGTTTGTTCACGATTGTTTTTCCCCCCTCCCCCTTGTGCTCTCTTTTTTTTTGGGGTCAGGGGGAAATTGAGGAAAACGCCTCGGGGTCAGGTGGGCTGGAAGAATGAGACCCAAGAACAACAAGAGAGTGTGTGTGCGTGTGAGAGTGAGAGTGAGAAGAGGGCGAGGGTGAGCCGGGCCGACGAAAGGGGGCGTGATGGTCTCCCGGATGGTTGATGGCGGAATGAGAGAGAGAGGAGCAGGTGAGACAAGCATACGCAGAGAAGTAGCGGCCCTTAGCGAGCAGGACGGTGATGTACACCTCATCGTGGGTTGCGATCTCGCGCAGGGCCCTTGATATCTCGTAGTAGTGCTGCTGGGTGAGGGCGTTGAGCTTCTTCTCGTTGCTGATCGTGATGGTGGCGATGCGGCCCTTGTACTCGACGGATATCACGGATTCGGCCATGTTGACGACGGCGATGGTACGGGCACAGACAATCTATCGGTGGTGGCCCAGCGTGTTGGTACTGGCACTGGCACTGGTACAACAATATTCTCAAAACGGTGTTAGTCAGAATAGGCCGAGTTACCGTGAAGGTGATAGATAGTTGTGTTACCTACTTACCTAGACTAGACTCTACCCAAGGCAGATCGTGGGATCAAAAAAGGTGAGACACAGTGTTTTGGGCCAGGGATGGGAAAGGATCTTCTTTGCTGAAGCAAAACAGTCTGACAGACAGACAGACTGACAGAGCAGACCTCATGTGGGTGAAGCCATCGTCCCCGCGGTTAGATGTGGACTGCCTCGGCATCTCTGAGACACCCCTTGCGAGCCCCCACGGGAAGCTCCAACCTTGCTCCAGCCTCCTCCACACCTTTTTGCTCCTCACAGCTCCACCTTCCCAGACAAGGGTGAGGGCTTTTCCTGGGGATGATCCCTGGAGCTGTGGGCCCTGTGGGCCTGATGGCCTGGCCCGACTGGCAGGCATCTCGAACTGCTCTGTACCACCCATCCTGCCATCCTGTCACGGCTGTCACGCCTTGCTTGGCCTGTCCAGCCTGTCACCAGCTCACGCCGCACGGGTCTAATCGGATTTATTCCTTCCCCAGGGTCCACGAGGTCTCACCTTCTCCAACCTTGTCATCGCCCAAAACCAACGTCGACTCGACCACCTGTCGGGAAATGATCGGCCACAAAACAACGACAGCCTCGCGCTGGAATGCGCCTCGCAAGCTCCTTCTGCCGGCCCACTGAGTGACGTGCCGCTCGTCCTCGTCCTCGTCCTCGTCTCTCTGTCTGTCCTCTTGTCCACTATTCGCTTGCATGTGTGCCGGCAACCAGCACGAGCCCACACGATACCATCCTTCCGGTTGACGTTTGCCGTTGGGAAACATGCTTGTGGCCCGGGTGCTTCGCCAGTGCGACGCCTCGGTGACGGCGCCCAAGGAGATGCGCCTGTCATGTTTTACCACCAGAGATCTGTGCTCGATGATAACGACCCGTTGGCGAGAGGGCACAACTATGGAGCTTTTTTTTCTTCTTTCTGCAGCCTCCACAGTTGCCTCCCTCCCTTCTCCGATCACGGTTCATGACCCATCCCATCCACCTGCCTGGCCTGTCTGGCCTGCTTGGGGAGGGCGGCCGGGCCTGAACGAGCAAGCCTGCTGTCATCGTGCGAGCGAGGATATCGCACACACAGTACACGCAGTCACGGCACTCGACGGCCGCGACGTCGCTGATCTCAGGGGATACAGGGGCGTCGCTGACCTCACGGGGGAGGGCAGCCATGTGTCCAATGGCTGGGAATTTGGAGCCCAGGAATGGAATGGAGTCGACATCCGGATCGTCGACGTCTCTCTTCCTCTGCGCACCGCGGGTGCTCCCGTACAGCGCACGGCGTACAGCGCACCTGATAACTGGTCTAGGCTGTCTAGCCATCGCTGTGTCTGTGACCAGCCGGGCGTCATCATGTCGACACCTGGCCGAGGGACGTGATGACTTGCCTCGACTTCCCGTCCGCACCAGTCCGTCCCGGGCAGTGTGTGACTGATGGTGTCTGGCTCTGCTTCTGCTCCTGCCGCTGCTGCTGCTGTTGTGTTGTGTTGGTCCGTCTACCGTTGAATCTACGATCGTGGCTATCGGTGGCTACCCCCCCTGGTGTTTCCTCTTTTCAACGTCTTGACGCCATTCCTCCGATCATCGTCGCCACCTGCGTGTCTTTCCCAGACCACGCTCCCTCCCTCGTCAACGAGACAGGAGCCATAGACCTGTGTGTATCTATCTATATATCACCTCGCCACTTGTCTGTTTGTGTACCAAGCACGCAACACCCTACCCACCCTTCCTGCCTTCTTCCTCCATGCTCCCCCGAAAGACACCATGAAGCTGAACTCGGAAAAAGTTGATTTACCGCCCAGGCCCAGGCCCGCGCTCTCCCTGGTCTCCACCAGCCCCAGGGTATCCGAGCTCGAGGACGCCGCCTCGACACGAGAGGGCGACGCCGACGAGTTCAGCCTGGTTCAGCTTCACCACCGCCTCGAGCTCGAGTGCCTTCCCCCTGTTGACCAGGGAAAGCATGCTTATCTTTTCCTCCTGGCATGCTTCATACTGGAGGCACTGATATGGGGTGAGCGCACTCCCATGCCCCTTTTGGATGCCCCCCACCCGCTCCCTCTTGCCCTTATCTCAGAGAAGATCAGACAGGATGTCTCTGTCGAGATCCCTTCGTACCCGAGGGGCCTTTCACAAGAGAGCTTGGCTGACTGAATCTTGTTTCTTGTTGACACGCAGGCTATCCGTTCTGCTTCGGTATCTTCTCAGGCTACTACGCCAGGACGCCCCCCTTTGCTGGCTCATCAGCAATAGCTAACATAGGTATGTGGCATGGATCCACATCAAATCTCCCAGACCCAGAAACTGACATCGAGATTGAAGGGACATGTTGTTCTGGACTGATGTATCTCTGTGGCTTGCCCGCACTCATTCTCAACCGCATGTTCCCACTGTGGGCGAGGTACTCTCCGCTGGTCGGGCTCTTCGTCGTGTGCGCGGCGCTCTTTGTGAGCGCCTACGCCAGGAACGTCACGGAGCTCATCATCACCCAGGGTGTCTTCTACGGCATTGGCGGGGCCATCGCGTACATGCCCTGCATCATGTACATCGACGAGTGGTTTGTCAAGAGGAAAGGCCTCGCCTACGGTATCATGTGGTCCGGGACCGGGCTGGCCGGCGTGGTGCTGCCGCTGATCCTCGAGAAGCTGCTCGAGGTGTACGGCTACAAGACGACCATAATCATCTGGGCGGTGGTGCTGTTCGCGATTACGGCCCCGCTGGCGTGGTACATCAAGCCGCGAGTGCCCCCGCTGCCGGTACGGCGCCTCAAGGCCTTCAACTTCCGCTTCTGCCTCTCGCGCCGGTTCGTCATGTACCAGCTGTCCAATACGGTCGAGGCCATTGGCTTCTACATCCCCGGCATCTACATCCCCATCTACGCCGCCAGCGTGCTCGGCGCCGACCACTTCGCCACAGCCCTGTGCATCCTCCTCTTCAATATCTCCTCCGTCGTTGGCTGCATCGTCATTGGCTGGCTCATTGACCGCTTCCATGTTACCACCTGTATCATGGTGTCCACCGTCGGCGCCACCCTCGGCACGTTTCTCCTGTGGGGGTGCGCCTTCAACATGCCCATGGTATACGTCTTCTGTGTCAGCTACGGCCTGTCGGCGGGCTCCTACTCCACCACCTGGACCGGCGTCATGCGCGAGGTGGCGGGCAAGGACATGTCGGACAGCGTCACCCCGAGCTCGCTCGATGGCGGCAGCGAGATCGCGCTCGGGCCCGGCGCCGGGAGCGGTGCCGGCGCCGGCCACGGACCTGCCGAGTCGCCCCTGTCCGAGTACACCGGCTCATACTCGGAGCACGTCGACCCCATCATGGTGTTTGTGCTGCTCGCCGCGGGCCGTGGCTTCGGCAACGTGGTCTCGGGCCCGCTCAGCCAGGTCATGTACTACTCGATGCCGTGGAAGGGCGAGGCGCTGCTGGCGTACGGCAGCGGCTACGGCAGCCTGATCGTCTTCACCGGCGTGACGGCGATAGGATCCGGCTTCTGCTTCCTGGGGCGGCGGGTGGGGTGGTGCTGACGGGTGACGTGAATGTTGACCTGGCTGGCCCGCGTACCTAACCCGCCCCTTTGGGCGTGTTGATTGTCTCAGTGTAATTGACATACATACGACTGCGGAATGTTTCTGGGGAGGAGGCGGGCCTATGACACGTGGCTGGGAACTTGTGTGTGTGTGTGCTTATTTTGTTTTTGGCCGTTTCGAGACTTCTACCAGCTGGGGGCAGAGATTCGACACACTTCTTTCAGGGGCGGGCAGAGGTAAGGTGGTTTTGATGAGGGTTGGTAGTGATCGATACCCGGAGCGACGATTCCTTCTCTGTACTGATGGTTCGGAACGCATGCGGCTTGCATCGGTCGCTCATAGACCGGTGTTTTTTCTCCCAGTTTCTTGTTTGGTTACTCCTATCCTACGAGCCTAGGACGAGGTGGTGCTTGCAGTAGCTTGAGACATAGAAGACAAGCAGATAAGAAGAGCAATCTGGACTGGCATAACAACAACAACAACAGCGAAAACACAGTCTGTCCCCCAATCTCCGTCTGTTGTTTGTTTATCTGCCTGTCTGCCTGTCCGTCCGTCCGTCCGTCCGTCCCCGGAGCTAATTTGTCACGGAGTGGCCACGAGAAATGCTGGGCAGATTATCTTTGGAACATGTATTTGTAACCTGATCTGGGGGATCGAGGAGCAAGGCCCCGATCCGGCTCGGAAGCAGATCTGAGACTCACATCTTTGGATCCCAGACACGGGATGACTGCGAGAGATGATGCATGGGGGGCGTCTACCTACCAAGATTCCCTGTGCTGTAACCACTTCTGGACTGGAGCCCAGCCGGGGCAGAATCATCATCCCGCCGGGCTAGACTACCCTCCCCCGAACCTGGGTCCCCATCCCACGTCTCTTTTTTCTCACACCCTTCCTTGCCTGCCTGACCTGACCTGTGTGTGTGCGCGTGTACGTACGTATGACAGCAGACGCACCCACGTTCGGACGGGTGGACGGGGGTCTCGCCTGAGACTCTCTTGTCCCAACCTGTCCGGGGATGGATGGATGGGCGCAGCCAGCCCACCCAGCCCAGCCCGGCGGCCACTTGCGGCTGGGGGGCCCTGATAACCCAACAACAATCAACCCCGCTGCCCACCCTGGGGTAGGGCTCAACAATCCGCGAGGGAGAGGGCCGGCGGCTTTGGTGGTGGGCTTCGGCGGAGGGCGCCGCTGTCCTTCGTTTCCCAGGGCGGGTGGGTAGCTAGGTAGGTAGGGCGGGGGGGAGCAAGGAAGAGCTGTCGGCGTGAAAGGGTGTTTGAGGTGTTTTCTTTCTTTCTTTCTGTAGATCAGTTACTTGGATTGTACATCCCGGGTCGTGGGATCCGGATGCTTCCTCGAGCTTGGTGGATCGATGGATGGGATGTGAGAGAGCTCCCCCGCTTGGTTTTCCGTCCCCCCCACCCCCTTTAGCACTGTATCTATCCCCCCCCCCCCGTGCTCGAGCCTGATGCTGATGACGATGACGGTGGATGCTGGTGGTGTGTTTTCTCCGTAACCTTTCTCGCCCCCCCCCCTCCAATATCCTTTTTTAGTGATCAAGCAAATGTGAACGCCGGAACTCCGTATATTTTTCCAAGTCCGCCCTCCCCACCTTATTCTATCCACTCCTGTTGTTTCCAAAAGCCAGCAAGTCCGCAGGCCGACCAGAGTAAACCAAATCCAAAAATGGTCCTCACGCCACCGAAAAGCCAGGTGAAAAGGGATGCGGAGCAGGATGGGCAAGGGGCGTCCTAGGCAGACCACTCGGACTGGTTCCTCTCCAGGATCGGCCTCTGGTCCCACCTGTCCCCGTCGATGCTCCTCCCGTCCCCGTCCCGGTCGTCGTCGTCGTCTTCAAAATCCTCAACCGCGCTCCCGTCCCCCTCCTCGTCCCCATCCCGGGCCTTGTTGTACAGGAAGAACTGCACAAACACGCCCATGTCGAGCAGCAGCGTGCCGACGCTGCCGGCCAGCCACGACAGGTTGACCAGTATGTACCGGCCGTAGACCTTGCCGGCCTCGCCGGGCCCGCAGCCCGCCTCGTCGCCGTAGCACCTGGGGTCGTAGGCGAAGATGGACAGGGCGTAGGTCAGGTTGCCCAGGCACGCGAACAGGAAGAAGAGCATGCTCAGGCCCTCGGTCGACTTGCGCCGCCAGTTGAGGAGCAGCTGCGGCAGCCGCGAGCCCAGGTACAGCACCGCGCACAGGTAGCCAAAGATCTGGCCCCACAGGTCGAAGCGGATCTCGTCGGTGTCATGGCTGTCCCCCTCCCCGGGCTGCTGTCCGTCATCCCCGTTGTTGTTGTAGCCCCGGCTCAGCGCCCACCCGGCCACGCCCGCGCCGATCACCATGATGACGGCCACCGTGTTCCAGGCTAGGGTCTGCAGGGCCGAGGCGGGCGGGGGAGGCGTCGCGGTCGGCTCGTTCAGGGGCAGGATCGGGTTCACGTGGATGAGGCGTTCGGACCAGTCGGAGCCGCGGCGCTCGCGCTGGTCTTGGGCGTGGCCCAGGAGGGTGGTGCGCTCGCTGGGCTGCTCGGCGCGGGCGGGGCTGCCGTTGCCGTTGCCGTTGCCGTTGTTTTGGTGGTGGTGCTGGCTGGCGCCATTCCCATTACTATTGCCGTTGTTGTTGTTGTTCCTCCTCTTCTTGGGCGGTGGCGGGACGACCTCGTCCTTCCAGGTGAAGCCCCGGTAGTAGAAGCACTGGCCCAGCAGGACGATGTCGGCGATGGTGTAGTAGATGGCCAGGATGATCATGGTGGGCAGCACGCCCTGCAGGACGGCGCCGAGGATGTTGAAGACATCGCCGGCGAGCCAGACGATGACGAACTGGAGGGACAGGCCGTCTGCTGCCTTGCGGCGGAAGTTCTCGATGATCTGGGGGCTGAAGACGACCACCCAGCATGCGATGGAGATGGAGCTGAATTACTCGGTGGTCAGCGACAGAGTTGGCAGGGTGGGATGGGGGGGACTCGTGCATACCCTGCAATTCCCGAGATTGCCTCGACATCAAGGTTGAGAGGTTGCGTTGGTGGCGCCATTTGAGTGCGGGAATGCGATCAGTGATCACCACCCGACAGGCCCAATGCGACGACAGGAAAAAGCAACTAGACGTGTAGGAAAATTATGCTTGAAAGATATCTATCTGCATGTACACCACGCTGATCAGGCCAATGAAGTATCAAACCCCTCCCAAAACCAAACCAGTAGAATTGGTTAGAATAAGGAAAAAGGAAAGAGAAAAGGAAAACCAGTCCAGGCACAGGGTAGGAAAAGGGTGTATTGGATTGGATTGGTGAGAGAAAGGAAAGAGGACGAAAGAAAGGAGAGTCATCAGCGAGGAAAAAAGGCTGCAGCAGGATTTTCCATGTGAGTGACGCACCCTTCTGGCGGCAGCTCCGAGCACGGCCGTAGCAGGCATTGGGAGATGGGAGATTTGGGAGTGCAGCCGGGACTGCGACCCACACCGCCGCGACCCTCTTGGTCCCTCTTTGGCTGGGCGCTATACCCAGCCTGGCCCAGAATCCGGGGTAAATGCGGGGTAGGGGCGGGCCCAGGGCTGCAGGTCCCAATGCCAAAGGGGAGACGCACGTCCCAGCTCCATCTGCCAGTGGCTCTGATGATGATGATGTGCTGATGAGTGGATCATGTGGATTACTACATACCCAGGCAACCAGATTCCTGGGAGCTATTGCATCATGGTTGGATCAACGGCTGCATTTCATCTCATCTCTGGTCCCGGGTCAGATCTGTCATGAACCGGATTGATATGCAGACGATAAAATACAACCGACCTCTTGTCGTAAACGGTCTCAATGCAGATTGACAGACGGCCAATGCATATGCGACGTTGGCTACACTGATGTCCTCATTGACATGTCTGGCCTAGGTCCTTCTGCATCTGGCGTCCTGCAAAAGCTACTCAAGAAAGCCCTTCAATCAACACACCTTGTAACCGAAGCCAGGCTCATACATGTGCTCATGGCAGGCAATGTTGATATACGTCAAGCAATGCTTCGTGATGCTGCATGTTCTGCTGCCTCTGCGTGATTGGCTGTATCTGCTCCACCTGCACTTGCCAGGCGTCGTGACCCGCCCAGCAGTGGATCGTCTAATCCAGTGGCCGTTCAGCGGGTACTCATACCTCGAATAACCAAGTACAATCAACGATGAGGACAGTCTCACGGCAGATCTACTGCGAGACCACACTGACGGGACCGTAGGTGAGGAGGATGAGCTGAGTGTGGACAAGATGCTCCTTGGTGGTTTTAGTTTCATTTCTAATCCCTATACATATAAAACGCATGTGGCGCCTTCATACAGTGGTAAACGCTCAGATGCTGCCTAAAGACAGCCATTTAATGTAGTGTACCAGACCTACTAGAATCGATGATCGATCCAGATTTATATTACCTAGCCCCGGGTGATGGGCTACTATCTGCGCTCAAAGTCTAAGCGCATTGTGAGAATAAGGTCAACTCAGTGATCATCTTATTGAATGCCGAATTCCGGGTTCTCTCTGTTTGAGATTAGAGGAGCAGGTAGATACTATTTAGCCTAGAATGAATTTGTATATGGAATGAGCTATCTAAATTTCCTTTGAAATGGCCCGCACTACGAGTACAATCACTCCATCCTACTCACACCGTTCCCAGTGGCCACGAACCTCACACATAGTAGCAGCTGTATATCACTGCCCCTTACCACTCCAAGCCATTCTCGCCCGTTGGATGGCGAGACTGTCCTCGCGGAGCCCCCTAAGGTACTCCTCCGAGAAGCCCTCAAGCGACATGGGCGTCGGCGTCTGTCCAGCAGCGATCTGTTGAAAGACACGCGTCAACGGGTCGACACTCCAAGAAGACGGCGACGCATCCGGCTCGCGCTGTTTCAGCATGACCAAGGTCAGGTCCGGGATAATTATCTCGTGGAACTGTGTGTTCTCCGGCAGGGGCTGGCCCTCGTGAACCCCCTTGGCCTCGAGGATGCTCCCCCTGATGGTGTGCAGCCAGTAGTGCACCGCCGTGATATAGTCGTGGACCGTGACGAACGGCTGCGATGCCGTTGGCGTGACCGTGAGCGCAGGCGGCACGACGGGCCTGCTCGTGCCGCAGCAGCGCATGAGCCTCCGGCCCTCGCCATCATCACCACCTGCATCTGCATCCTCCTCTCCCGCCCCAGTACTAATACCCGGGGTGAGATCGACCCAGACGGCCTGCTCGTCGTCTGCGTGGGGGACGTGCTCCTCGACCCACTCCTCCTCCCAGCCCTCGAGGTCGGACTGGGCCACGGTGATGGACGAGACGGGCGGCTCTGTCAGGGGCGAGGCGGAGATCGGGTGGAAGCTGGCCGGGCCCGTCTGGTAGCTTTTCTGAGGCGAGGATTCGTCGCTGGGATCCTCGGCGACGTAGACGGAGTCTGCGAGTGGCCCGAATGGCTTCCAGCGGATCCGCCGCATGTCCTGCGAGGGCTTGACGAGCTGCCCGGAAGAGATACGCTCTTTGAAAGAGGGGATCGCCTGTGGTGCGGCCATGGCAACGGAATTACATGGATAAAGGTGAAAAATTATTTGCACAAATCGTCACGACGAAATTTTACAAGGCTGGACGCGTTGGTTGGTTTCGAAGAAGGAAGAACCTGGGATCCACTTGTGCAGTACCACAGAAACTTGAATTTGCTTTCCCGCTTTGGCCTTAGTGCTACAATCCTTCTAGTATGTGTTTTTCTAGGCACCAGTCGAAATATTGATAAACCTGAACTGGACATCGTCCAATGACCAAATAGTATTACCACTGTGTAAGCAGTCCTTCAGCCTCGTCGAGTTTCACAATCGCGGCAAAGCCGAAGCTGCTCGATGGCACAACAAATGCAGAGGAATGTGAGGTGGGTACTTAGGTATCCTTTTCACGCTCTTTCTTCCGCAAGATCCCATCCAAGCACATCTATGGTCTCCTGAATCATTTCGAAGCCTAGGCCACTGCGATCCTCTTACTTCGAACTGATCGTTGTGACCTATCAGAATTGTTTCAAGGGTCGAGATAAGACGAGCGCTCTATGTAGTCATCTCTTATCGCCTCGGGACAGGCTTGAAGCGAAGCCAAAACTGTGGCCTCTCCCAAAAGGTAAGAAACCTGAAGTCCTTGTCGAAAGACAGGTCCTTGATCCCTGGAGCTGCCTCGAGATCAAACTGCCACAGAACCTTCGCGATGAACAGCCTGATCACGTTTTGGGCGATAACGCCGCCAGGGCATCCCCTGAGCCCCTGACTGAACGGCCTCGACACTTTCAGATTGTCATCCTTGAATCTGCTGTCGAACTGTGGGTGCTTGGGGTCGTTGGATAGCCACCTTTCCGGCCGAAACTCTCTTGGTTCGGTAAAGAAGCGATCGTTCCTCACTGCTGCGAAGTAACTGATCTGGCAGGTAACCTGATGAGCGCACAAACATTAATATGCGCCAGCTAAGGTGAGTCTGATGGATGACTATGCACGTACGCCTTTTGGAATATACTGTCCGTCAACAACAGCTCCTGGACTTATGCGTGGAAGTCCATCCGTAGTCGCCTGGTGGAGCCGAAGGCTTTCGGATACACAGGCTTGCAGAAATCTGAACTTGGCCGTACTCAATGCTTCCGTATCGATGGATTCGTACTCTGCAAAACCCGACCTCACTTCCTCCACCAAGGCTTCATAAGCCTTTGAATCTTGATCACGGAGCAGGAAAAAGATCAACGAGTAGAACTGGTCCGCCAGGGGCTGCCAGCTGGCGAGAAGAAGGTTGCCAGCCACATTTTCCAGATGAAAGATGTGCTTCTTGTCGTCAGGGACCGGTGTCCCGGTGTCAGACGGGATCAGCTGCTCAAAGTAGTCCAGGTGGTCCAGCTCCCCTCGCCGGCCGATACGATCCTGCACAATCTCGCTGTTCATCTTGATCAAGAATGGCATCGCGGGCCAGACCGTCGGAGGAATTGTGAGATACGGCAACAGGGTGAAGAGGCCTGAGCGGAATTTCCTCACCACCTGGCTCATTGTGACGAAGAGATTGAGTTTGAGGGCCGAGGCCATGAACAATGAATCCTTCACTGAATCAGATCACTCAATCATCAGCATCTGGGACACATTACAGATTCGTTGGGCTGGCTTACTATCCCGCACCTGGCCCATATCTCGACCATATGTCAAATCTGCCGACATGTCCAGAGCGAGCCAATCAGACCAACGCCGCAACTCGATGGGCTGGCCGATCGCTCCAAGTTCTTTCACCTTTTCGACAAAGAAGTCGAGGTGTTTATGAATAGTACCTTCTTTGGCCTTGTAATTCCGGGCGCTGAACGCAGGGGCAAGTTTCTTGGCGACTTCACGATGCCTCACAGGATTGGCCTCTCCAGAGATACCTCCATCACCAGTATCAAGAGCATCATATCCGACTTGGACAAATGTCTCCAGACTCTTCTCTTGTGCCAAGTAAATGTCTGTGTGCTTGATCAGTTCGGTCCGACCTGGTCTGGTACATTCACCGCGTGATCAAGCCCGTGTTCAACATAGTTTCTGAGGCCACCATCAAGTTCCAACTGCAGAAATTAAAGGCTGACCTTGTGCTGCTTGAGGGTTTATGAATACAAGTTCATTTGGGGCAATTCTCACAACATCGCCTAGGGAAGCAATTAGCATTTAGTGCGAAGGTCATGGTCTATTCACTTCAGTGAAAATAGCTTAATAATCACCGTATTTTCGTAGGGTATCCTCAATCAACCATGGGTATCTCCCACTCGTGCTATAGACTAATAAGCGATGTCCCAGCCGAGGATTTTGTTGAGAATGAGCATGACACACCATGCATAAGCCCACCAAAGGTCAGAAATAGCGGCAAGCCTTGGACCGGGGTACTTTGAGAGCGGGTGGAGATTGACATTGTATATACTTCGCCCGACCCAGTATGCCACCATCTGCTTCCGTCAGCCGTCACCGCAATATCCAGCCTTTCACCGATCGGGGGTCATTCGGCGCCAAAACTCACCAAGGCAGCAGCAGGGGCAAGAAGTTGACCGATCAGGGAGCGGACGAGCTGGACAACAGCCATAACTGTGGCTCCTCCTTGTTCCCCGTGTGAGTTGCCCGGAATGTTCAATCTGATCCTGAAGGCCATTCAGGTCTTGGGGTCATTGATTACAGTAATTTGCGTGCCATCATTTCAGGCTTTGGCCGGTGCTTGTGTGGTGGAGTTGCGGCGGCTGGTCGGACGGAGTCTGGTGGGCTCCAGCTCCACGCTATCTGCCCCTGTTTCGCCCAATTAGATTACATCAGCTCTACCTGCTGTCTCGGAAAAACGAGAGTTGGCCCCCCCCCTGTTTTATTACCCCTGTCAAAAATTTTAAAGGTTTATTAAAAAGTAGTCTTCTTTTAATAACTCTATTAATACTTAACTTAAAAATATATAAAAAATATATATATAATCCTTATTAAAACTTCTATATAGTGATATTTTTTAAATATTTATTATTAAATCTTTTTTATATAAAGTATAGAGGTTACTAGGCTGATAAGATAAGTAAGTATACGGACTTATTAAGTAGTTTAGCCTATAACCCTAGTAATATATAAACGTTAAATAAAAATTATTTTAAAAATTTAATCTTATAAAGACTTTTATAAGGGTTATAAATATATTTTTTATATATTTTTAAGTTAAGTATTAAAAGAGTTATTAAAAGGAAATTACTTTTAAAAGGGAGTGTTTAACTTTTGAACAGGGGGCATTTTGCAGGGGGGGGGCCAACTCTCGTTTTTCCGAGACAGTGGAAAGTTGTTGGTTGCTGTGCCACTCTGATAGTGGGGAAGTACCTAGGTACCTTGCAGAAGACCCTGGCTCGCTCACCGGCTTCGATATACCGCTTTTGGAACTGCAGCTGCGGAATTCCGAGCCCGAAGGCAACCTGTAGCCCAAGAGGATTGAGTGTAGCTTGCAGTAGCTGGTACTCCGGCGAGATGGCCCAGCCATGGACAACACCTCCTGGGGTCTCCCTTCGTCTCGACTCCCACTTCCCGCAATGAACACTTGCACGCGGTCTTTGCTCGTGTGAGTAAATGGCCGTTGCTCGTACGCCAGCCGTGCTTGTCCATCAGCATACTTTGTTGATTACTCTCGCATGGCTATCTCTACCAACTGTCTTCCTTGAGATTAATACTCAATTTTTTCAATCGTGCAAGAGGCCGCTCGAATTGTCGTGGCCGCTATTCCGCTCATGTCATCATGGGGCTCACATTTGAAGACGCTCTGGGTGACCCAGACGAGGGCCGAATTGTGATTCTGTCCATCGTTACAGTGCCGCTGTGTATTATAGCAACAGTACTACGGCTAGTAGCTACGAGACGTTCACGTCGAGCTCTCGGCTGGGACGATCTGTTCGCTGTTCTTGGGCTGCTCGGCTTCCTTGTCTACGCGTGTACGCCGTTCGTTGGTAGGTTCCCGGAGTCTCACTGTACCGAAACCGTATAACGGATTCAGGAACCACGACATTGACACAGTCTTGAACCATAGGCGTAGCTGCAGCAGGCGACTTAGACGAAGAAGACCTGGATATCCTAATCGCAAAGGTGAAGCCTCTTTCTCTCAACAATACGACGTGTAACAACGGCTCACAATATACTGCCAGTTATCCTACATAGCTTCCCCCTTCTATTACGTTAATCAACTGTTTGTAAAGGCTAGCCTCTTCGTCCTCTACTATCGGATATTCTGGGCCGACCGCACCTTTGTACGCTGGGTGTACATTCTCGCAACCATCCACGTGTGCTGGTTCATCACCTTCTTGTTCTTCCTGTTATTTCTCTGCACGCCAGTCTCCAAATGGTGGGATGTAGCAGGAACACAACCAGGTTCTTGCATTAGTGGAAATGCATTTCTTGTTCCGGAAGAAGTGACCAATTCAGCCATCGATTTTGCACTGGTAGCACTCACTTTTGTTGTTATCCGGAAGCTCAAGGTCACAAAGCATCTGAGGACCAAACTCACACTTGTGTTCCTCGTCGGAGGCCTGTCTGGCGTCATAGGCTTTGTCAAGATCGGCTTGGTATACGGACTTGACAACACCCATGGTCGTGAGTGATTTTCTTTTCCACGAGCTTGTATGTCTCCCGCTGACTAGGGTGTCGCTGTCAGAGGAAAACGATGCCAATGCATTTTGGGATATTATGCAAATGGCAACGAGCATATTCTGCGCTTGCGGGCCAATGTACAAGACACTGCTTCCGCTGCGATCTCTCTGGTCCCGCTTGAAGACATCAGTCTCATCTTGGGCCAGCAGGTCACGTCTTTACTATAGATCGGTCGGCAGTCACAAGACTGAATCTGAGCAGAGCACGAGCAGCGGGCGCCAACGCGATGTCCGCGGCGATGCTAATGTGACCGCGGGCACCGTGGCAGATTGGCCGCAGTTCGTTGATGGAACTGAGACTCAGTACACTTGGTCTGAAGTCGAGATGGTCGACATCGATTTCTCCAACCGACCTTCAGCAGGGAGCAAGAATGTCCAAAGGCAATCAAATTCGGAAATAGTATGATAGTTTATACAGCATGTCTTGGAAATTGAATCATAGGATACCTTGATTGAAAATCCTTTCCAGCAGGATAGTGCTCAACAACGCGACAACAGTCCCCTGAACAAACAAGGGGCCAAAAATTCTCGAAACCGCAACAAACCATGTTCCGTGACCACCTTGGCTCAGGCTTTGAGGCAAGTAGAATATCCTGCTGTTTTTCACAGCTTTTGCGCAACTGTGTGGTTTGGGTATACTTTTGAAATTCTGCACAACGGCCTTTTGCAATGGATTTCAATTTTATGGTTTCAAGATAAATTCGATAAATCGAACAGTAACGTGCCCTGAGTTCATGGAATATCTAGTCATAATCACAAGTCATAGCGGGCCTAATTTACTGGATTGGGTAATTTGAAGGTCCGTAACGCGGAACGACTAAAGGGAGACGTATATGACATCCTGTGTGCACCAGTCGCTGACTGCGCCATTATGGAGCAATCACCACTCTCCGCATTTCGTACTCTGATTCGATTAAATCGCCCTCAAATTCGGGCTAGAATCTAAGACTCTATGCAACGAGATCCATGAGGAAAGCTATCCCATCCCTGAAGATGCGTGAATTCCAATCATTGCAAGCACTGTGGGATCATGCCACGGTCAAGCACTGTTTTCTACTTGCAGGTGCTATCGTAAGCCGATATTGATAACATTGAAGTTCCTCTCGGTTCACAGAGCGCAAGACTAACGAATACAGTTCATAACGTACAAAACCATCCAATACATTTATAATGTCTTTTTTCATCCTTTATCAAAGTATCCGGGACCAAAACTTGCTCAATTCTCGGAGATTTGGTCGGTTTATCATTTGTGAGCTTCTCATATCTGGAAGGAGCCCCAGATTCCTGCTTCAATGGTACAAGCTGACAGAAGTAGGTGTGCTGGGAGATGGCCTTGGGCAATCGAAACAGCACTGGAACAGTACGGTGAGTTGGAAGTGCAAGTTCAGCCGCGTATTACATGACATTGATGACTTTTTCTGTAGGAAGTATTGTTAGAATCGCCCCCAATTCTTTGGTTTTCTTAGAACCACAAGCCCTGCATGGTAAGTCAATCAGCCTCGAGTGCTGTCACTGCGATAATAATGTTGTGTGGTCTTGCTCTTAATTGGTTGAAAAAATTCCACGTAGACATTCATGGCCACAAACGAGACTTGAAGGATACCTTCATAAAGACTCCTTTGGTCGATGGCCTTGGTGACGAGGATGATGGCTTGTTATGGGAAAGGGACCCCGAGAAACACCGCCGGGTGTCAAAGGCAATGTCCCCAGCTTTCAGTGGGAACTCATTGAGATCGAAATTGCCGACGATGAACAAACATATTGACCTCATGGTAAAAATGATCGGACAACATGGGGTAGTAGATATAAGCAGCGTATGTCTAATCCTCGCCCCAGACCCCAGTACTTCACCCTGCATTTGTTTCCTCCCCCATACATTGGATGCTGAAGTCTGTTTTCTTTTTAATCAAGTGGCTTGAGTGGCTGTGCATGGATACAGCTGCAGACCTCGCATGGGGTTGGGAAATGCATCAAGTTAGGGATAGTATGCTCTTCCACGTAACTTGCTGTCATCATCCCCATACTGACCAGTCATTAGTGAAATCCCACGGATTCTTGGAAGCGATGGAAGCAGGCAATTTCTTGGTGGTCATTTTAGCCGCCGCCAAAACGTATCCCTTCCTCTATCCACTTGCCCTTATGTTTGCACCGTGGAAGGTCATGCGTTCGCTGCCGAGGATGATCAGCGAGGCCAAGGTGCAAGTGGTTCACCGGATCAAAAGGCGCTACGATCTCAAACACTCTGATTACTTCGAACAGCTCCTCCCAGCTGACAGGCCCTCTCCGACCAATGATAAGCAAATCAGCCACATGCTAACAGTGGCTGGGCAATTAATTCTGGGTGGTTATGATCCTACCTCGGTGGCTATATATATGGGTTTCTACTTCCTGCTCAGAAACCCAACTGCTCTCAAACAGGTGCGCCAGGAGGTGCGAGAGAACTTTCAGCAGTACGAAGATATTGAGGCCGAGGCGCTCAGGGCTTTGCCTTTTTTGAACGCCTGTTTGCAAGAAACTTTGCGCCTCAGCGCTGCGGCAACACATCATTCCCTTCCTCGTATTAGTCCGGGGGCTATGGTCAACAAGGAGTATATCTCGAAAGGCGTGAGTTTCACTTACGCTCTTGCCACAATTTTATCCCCAACACGCCACCCCCCCCCTTCGGTCTCCCGAACACACAGAGCTGATTTTCGCCTTTTCCTAGGTCATTTGCCGTAACTCGCTTTTTGCGTACGGCCGCAGTGTTCGCTTCTTCCACAACTCAAAAGACTTCAGACTAGAGCGATGGCTGCCGGAAAGCCATCCAAGCTACGACCCAAAGTTCTCCACAGACCAGCGCGACGCCCATTACCCTTTTATAATGGGCCCTCGGCAGTGTCCTGGTCGTGAGGTTGCGAGACATATGTTCCGCTTGGTGATTGCGAAAGTGCTTTGGTCATATGATGTCGAACAATTGTCCAAGCCACTGGACTTCGACCGCGATTTTCGGGTCTATTCGATGTGGGTCAAGCCGGAGCTTCGTATTTGCTTCACTCCAGCAAAGGGTCAAGGGGCTATGTGACAGGCTAAAAGAAAGAGGGTGGCGTCACTCGTATGAGTGGTTTAGTCTTCGTCCGCATACATCCCGGGGGTGTACTTCCCGTAGTTAATAAACGCTTAAAGATCACTCATACCAATGTATTAATACTTAAGTTGTAAGAACAAGGTTCGCAAATTCTGCATGATATTTATCTATTTGGCCAAGACGAAAAGACGTGTTGGCATTTTTGGTCGTTACCAATCATAGAGTCACAACCAACTTCCTTCCGGAAACCGATCCGGACTTCAGTGATTGCAAGCCCGATAAGACGCTCGACAGTCCAACGCCTGCGGACTCGATTGGGTGAGTCTTGAGGCTACCCTCATCTAGAAGCTTTTGAAACATGGGAAAGAATTTGGCTGCAAATGCAAACTTTTCTGGGTCTGCCCGACTCTCGTAGCCCTGGGACAGCGGCACGTCTTCGCCCAATGCCTCATATGCCAGAACAACCTTTGCCCGCACGGCACGCCGTGTACGGAGCTCCTCTGGAACCATTTCTAGTGAGACATATCGGCCGCCAGTCCGCCCGATAGCCGCATAGCAATGTGCTACAGACTCGGGCCCGGTGACACAGTCTAATGCGTATTTCAACTTGTTGCCTGTGAGCCTTTTAACCTCCTCGACAAGGTCCGCCCTTATATAGTCCACCTGGGCCACGGCGCCCCGTCCATGAACGAGATCAAAGTTCCGAGGGCTGCACGTCACGACAGGGTCGAGTCCGGATAGTTTCAGCAGCTGGATAGCCAAGGTGCCCGTTGCCGTGCTCCCACCGTATACGAGGACAGGGAAGCGCTTCTCTGCCGGTGATTCAGGAGTAGCGGATAGGCCAAGCGCTGCATGGTCCCAAAGAGCCATGATATTTGTCATTAGTCCCACCCCGAGAGTCGCAGCCTCTTCCATAGGCATGCCTTTCGGAACCCGGACCAGCATTTCGGGGCGCGCGCGTACGTATTGAGCGAATGCCCCGTTGGTCGGATCGCCGGGGTTCGAGCCTTGAGCCATGCCGCAGACGCGGTCACCAATTTTGAGATCGGTCTTGGTATCACGGTGGATCGCTGCGACTGTGCCTGAGAAGTCCATTCCGACCACTGCACCAGGAGATGGAAAGGCGGCGCCCATTTTGTGGTCACTCGGATTGAGCGCAACGGCGACGGTCTTGACCATGATGGTTCCGGGCTTCAGACCAGGCAATGATATGTTGGCCAGCTTAGGGGCTCCATTTTCGTCTTCGATAATCGCAAATTGCACACTGGGAAGCCTGGATGTTGAGTCGGCCGACATTTCGAGAAACCTTGGAACAGTCGTCGCTGTTATTCAACGTTGTTTAGGATTTCCAGCAATGCTCGGCGATGTGAAGCCCGTCAAACTCGGTTTGACAAAATTATATAAGACCATGGTGGTGTCTTTTCCAGATAACATTGATGCAGTGGTCCCTGCCATTCATAGGTGCTCTTGGAAAACCTGGCCCGCTTTGGTAGAGGCCTATGCCGATTTAGGTCATTCAGCGCCGTGCGTGTGTTCGTAGGATTCTCACCTCTTCTCACCCGATACTCTTGAACGCATTTCAATCGGATATAATAAATTGGAATAATTGTCTACTGAGCACTTTTATTCGATTTTCATCAATCCATGGTTCAAGGTGTTCTGATGTTTTTATTTTGAGATCAGATATTCGCACTCGCCAAAACGGAGAGTACACCCATAACTACCTGGGAACTCGGAGATCAAAGTGCTTATTTTAGCACTAAACTGGTTTCACTTCTACTCCGTATACGTCCGAGGATATACATAGCACCTTTATATAGTAGTTTAACACTAAACCACGAGTAATAATCTAATAAGTTTGTCTCCTAGGTTTATCCTATAGGATGTTTTCCCATAGAAGCCTATCCTATAGGAGGCTGTCTTATAGGAGGTTGTCCTATAGGAGGTTGTTTAATGAGAGGTTATCCCTTAGTGCTTGGGTATACTCTTTGTTTTGGTGGGTGTGAATATCTGATCTCTTTATTTTTACACAAGCCAAGAAAATGCTGAACAAAGCAATGACGCTGTCTACTTGGTCTTAGAATTGGACGTCACCCCTCGAATCTTGTAAGCTTTTTCACTGTATAACTAGCCATATTGCTAACCGGTCTTTCCAAAATCATCATTTGTTACCGTCCGTGGGCCCTGATTTCTCCTCAGCAGCTCCCTGAGCCCGGTGATATCGGTCATTTTCATGCCTTAATCCAAACTCAGTTTCCAATGTTTCTCGGAGCACGATCTCGTCTTCAAATAAGGACAGCATGAACCCCACTCCCGCGAACGCGATGGATATTTGAAACAGCCGCTGAAGTGCTTGGCTGTATACGGAACGTATCTCGGACTGTACTTCAGGAGCAAACTGCTCCACCATCGCAGCGGATGCCGCGCCATATGCCGATCCACTTGCCATCATCTGGGCGGCTGCGGGATCAGAGATCTCACCAAGAAGTTGGCTAACGCGATTGTTAAATATTGACGCGGGGATGGCAACACCCCAGACCCAGCCGAAGCTTCTTATGAAACCCCATGCTGCGGAAGCGGCAGCCTGGTCGCTTTCAGGCACCGCGCTTTGAAATGCTGGTAACTGCGAATTCAGCAGCACTCCAGCGCCTAGGGCACACACGCACTGGTAGCTTGCCCATTGGGCAACGGTGGTATCGGGGTTTTGAAGTGTGAATAAGCCCAGGCCAAGCATGAATACGGAAAATCCTGCAACGTGGACTGGCTTGTACCGTCCCCACCGGCTGATGGACACCGCAGCAATTGCCGAGCCTGGAATGGCGACCAGGGACATGGGCAATAGAGCAACACCTGAATATTGTGGCCCGTAGAGTTTCACGGCTTGAAAAAAGACAGGCTTGCGAATCAGAAGTTAGCAGTCAATACTAGGTGGTACTGAGGCAGGTCCACCCACAAGAAAGAATACGCCCCAGAACGTAAGCGCCGAATTTATGAAGGTGTTGATGCTGATGATGATCGATGTACGGTGCTTGAAGAGACGGAGCGGGATAACCGGCTCAGCGGCAGCGATTCGGCCACCTTGGGTATACAGAAAAACGAAGAAGCCGAAGAATCCAAGGATGACTGGGACTAGAATCTGCCACGAGGCCCAGCTATAGCTAGCGCCAGCATTTGCCAGCGCATACAAGATCGCAACAGTGGAGGCGACGAGGACAAAATTTCCCAGGAAGTCGATCCGCCTGATCTTCTGGCTGAATGTCATGTGGTCTTTGTAGTTGACTTGGAGGAATATAAAAAGAATCACCAGAGATAGGCCGCCAATAGGAGAAATCTCAGGGAAATCTCACAGGGAAATCTTAAGGAAATCTTAAGGAAATCTCATAGGGAAATCTCAAGGAAATCTTAAGGAAATCTTAAGGAAATCTTAAGGAAATCTCATAGGGAAATCTCAAGGAAATCTTAAGGAAATCTTAAGGAAATCTTAAGGAAATCTTAATAAAGACTTAGGCAAGAGATGATCATTGAATTGTAAAGAGAAGCTTTAAAAGTATGTGCTAGTAGAAGCTACGGTTTTGAAGAAAGATACCTTACTCTTTCTGCCGAACGTGCTTGGCGGGCACCTTCTGGATGTTGCTCGAAATCTCCTGCAAAGGCTGACTGCTGTTCTTCACCTCATTCCTATCCTCCTGCTCGTCGAAGTCATTTTGCTTCCTCTTCTTCTTTCCTGTAATCCTCTTTTCGAGCTTTGAGTCCTTCAGAGATCGAATACCGTGGACAGTACTCAGATGCTGCTTCAGCTTTTCAGCATCCATTGAATCCCCCCTGGTACACATGTTGGGAAAGGCTGGGCAAACTGCCCCTGTGCCCTGCTCGACCTTCAGGAGATGTTCATGAACAATATGAAGATCAAGGTTCTCTGGCTTCAGGGTTATACAGCGCTCATCTGCTGGTAAGGTCTCGTCGTGTATGTGAAATGGGCAGATAGCTGGTATAATGACCCGGTCACGAATGCTTATGCCCTCATATCCGAAGCGAGAGATGATGCGTAGTGCGTCGGGGAGATGACCAGCCACATGGTTGTCGGCCAATGCGGGGTTGACAATCCATGTGTTACAATAGTAACAAAAGCTTGCTGTCTCGCGTAGACAAGGCCATTTGGAATGAACCGTTGTGAAGTGATCCATTAGCTCGGCATTTGAGGGGAGCATAGTACCCACCAAGTTGCCGCCATCAAAGGAAGCACAGTTGTCAAAGAAACACATGGGTAAATCAAGTTTCCCTGTGTGGGCCTTCATCATATGAGAGCCCCATTGTCTCCTGGTCAATGGGGTGGGTTGGGTTTTGCCAAAGCTGCACTCGACGACACGACCCTCTGAATCGAGATACTTCCAGCCACATGTCTGGTCTCTCATCGTGTCCTCAAAGAGGGTCTTCACTTGTTGACCTGCAGCCTTCTTCGAGCATGCCCATACATGCCTCCATTGGTGTAGGTTCGAGGAAATGTCGACGTCACAAAATCGACACTTGGATGTCCCCGTGGTGGGTTCGAACCCCAAGGGCCACGCGTGCGTACGATGTGTCACCGAGAAATATCGTATAAGTGTGGTGGCAAGCCCTTCTTCTGAGACCTGTGCCCGTAGCTCGCCATCAAGGTCATTGTATGCAGAGGTGTTTAGCAGTCCCACCGCATCAGGCAGGTGACGTTTGCGCTGCACTGCGCCCTTAGATTGCGGGCCAGAATGCCTGGATCCGAAGTGATCCTCTACCAGCTGGTGGCGCCGCATTGATGGGTGATCGATGTTTCCATTGTCACCTGAAGGCTCTTGTTGGCTGAGGGCTTCATCGGTTTCCTTCAACTCTGTTGGGACAACATCAGGAACGGCATTGCCTTCGGTACCGCCACCATCCTCAGTGCCGGCCCCGTACTCTTCGATCTCGTGGTTTCGGTCTTTCTCGAGCTCTTTCGACACCTCCCATAACCGCTCGTCGATGTTCGAGAGGTCCGCCGCCTCGTCCAGCTCCTCGAGAACGCCATCAGGCTCTGCCAGCTGGTCTGCCCCTAATGCCATATCCGCGTATTGCACGACTTCGGTAGACGCTATGGCTTGTGGTCTAATGTCCTGAAAGGAAGCTGCGTACTCGCGCTGTTTCTCTCCTTTCCTTAGTCTTGCCAAGAGAGCCCGACGCTGATTCTCAACCTTGTAGTACTCAGTCCACAAGGGGTCACCGCACCGGGATGCCGACACAAGGCTGGGGTGCCTGGCCAAGATTTCCACACGGATGGCCTCGACGCTCGATTCTACCTCCCGCAGCTCTGGGTTGGCATACACGCGACTTAGTCCCTCGCTGGACAGATCTCGCGGCGCCCCGTCCACCCTGTTGAGTAACATGCTCGAGTACCTGACAACCTCCTCCTCAGCTGGGGGAAGTCCCCGGAAGCCCCTCACAACATCAACCTGAGACGTGCGGGAATGATAGGCCGAATAAATAGTACTTGTCGTCCTGTGGCCCATGAGGAATCTTCGATCCTCTTTGCTGACCTTGGCCTGGAGTGTGTTGGCCACACCTCGTCGAAGACAATATCCGATTAATCGCGTCTCAAGTCCGGCGTATATACCCAGTTTCTTCAAGTTTCGTGTTACTCGCGCTAACGTCTCAGGCTTGTCTGTGACGACGTGATGCCTGTCAATATAACGAAGTACGGGGAGCTCTCTCTTGGCCTCCACCATCTTGACTCGCCGCCCGTGTGTTGCCTCGTTGGGTGGCGCCCTGAGCCGGCCGAGATCCTCCCATGCATTGACGCCGTCGAGTACCCCGTCCAGAATCGCAAGGATAAGTAGGAGCCGAAGTGTATCCTCTCTGCACATATTCGCAGGGAGCAGCTTGGCCAAGGGGATCTGCCTCCACTCTGATTCCTTCAGCTTCTGGCCCTTCGACCATCGGATCTTCACATTGGCCCCAAGATCAAAGCTTGCCTCCGGGTCTGCTTCCGACTGGAACGTATAGAACGTTACATCCTGCCACTGCAGGCACATCTCATCCGTCGACGACGTCCCCTTCGCAAGTGCTCCGCCACGCTCCGACATGTCAACCATAAGGCACATGTAGAGGTTGAGATTTAGAAATTCTCTCATGTTTGCAAGGCTCGCCACAAACTCGCGTTCGTATAGCCTGGCTGTGAGATATGTCAGATCTTCGCTGTTGACATTGTGCTTGTCGTGTGCCGCCGTGTGCACGTCTCCCTGGGTGACAAGATCATTGAGCACAAAGTCTCGTAGCTCAGCCCTGCTGTCCCTGGGCCGTTCCCGGGAGTTTCTCGCTCTGTCGAACACGGAGCATATGTGGCTCATGTAGCCTATGATGGAGATCGCGGCGACCTCGTCCTTGATTACTCCGACTCTAGACTGTGAAAGGTAACGAAGGTACTCCTTCAAAAGCGAAATGGGGGGAAATGGCGATCCGGGCTGTAGGTACAGCGCCTCTGTATCCACCTCTGGGTGCTGAAACTGCATGAACTCTAGGAACCATCGTCTTGCTGCTTTGAGATTTGCGATTTGGCCCAAGCTGAGCTGCCGGAAAGAAACCGCGTGATGTTGTGCATTTTGTTCTTCGATTTGTTCTGGGGTCAATGATGCTTGTTTTGCAACAAAATTGGCTTGTCGTTCAGCAGCTGTACGAGGCCTCTTTCGTTTGTCCATCGTGGCATGTAAGAGACTTGTGAGGAGGTTCGAGATGTAGTGAAGCTGTGTGTGGTGGGTGTAGGAGAGGCAGCAGGGTCGTGGGAGAGGAGCAGCTGGTGGGCGGAGAGGCAGCAGGGTCGTGGGAGAGGAGCAGCTGGTGGGCGGAGAGGCAGCAGGGTCGTGACTTCCAACTTGGGATTTCCTGAGATTTCCCCCCCCCCCCCCCGCTAGAATTTCCCTGAGATTTCCCCCCTGGCATTTCCCCTGTGGCTAGGGAGTGTAGGTACCTACAACGGTAGGTAGCTACCTAGGTAGGCACCTAAGGCTCGGAAAGATACAGTGATATGCCAACATTTGAACCTGCCCCTACAACCCGTTGTTGCCATCACCATCTTCCGACAGCTCCACATCAGCTCTTGTCAGGACGCAGGCTGTCATTCTGTTTTTCCTACTTGATACACTTCTCAAGGAGACAATCATGCCCTCGCTCACCACAGTGGTGTTCCGTCACCTCCAAATGCCTTCCCTCCACCACCGACTCGGAGCCGTCCGAGGAGCTCCCGGGGCGCTCCAGGGCCCACGCTGTAGCCTGCTTCTCGGGCGTGCTCGAACTCCATGACCCGGTCGATCCCAAAGTCTTTGATAAATTGGCAACGTGCTGCGAAGTCTCGGCCAACCTTGGCCCAGTCCCGGTAGTTCCGCCCTTCCTTGAGCTTCGCTCGAGCTCTGTCCCATACAGCCTCGGAAATGTCGTACTCTGGCTCTTGCTGGCAGCCATCCTTATTTGGCACAAATGCCACATAAAATTCGTCGGGATTGCAGACATATGCAAGAGGTGGGTCAATACCGACCTCTTCCAGTCCCAGACAGGCCAGCAATAAGGTTGGGTCCGAACGGGCCACACCTATTTTCTCATGGTCGAGTAGTCTGACCCCGACTTCTGAGAGTATGGGCTCCATCCAGAGCGGGAAGAACGTGACAGACGGCTCAGTCAAAGGGCCGAAGTAAGCCCTCGCCATGACAGCAGCTCCTTTATCCCAGCTCTTCATGATCGGCTCGGCCCGGGGGTAAATATCGACATATCGGAGCTCACCCTCAAGGAAATCGCCTACCACGTCGACAGCCGCGACATAGTATGCATGCTTGTCAGACAGACTCGAATCGGGAGCAGGTAATTTGGGGAGCTGTTTTTCAAAATCCTCCTTCATCTCTGGGCTGATAAGCTTGATGGCTCGCTCGAAGGCTGTCTTGTAGAATTGGACGATGGCTTTATCCTTGTGGCGGTCTGGGTCGGTAGGGTTGTTGGAGGTAGGGCTGCTGGTGAGGTTAATGACCTCGCTTGTGGGCTGGGAGGACATTGTAGGTAGCTTTGCGCAACTCGTGTCTGTGTTGGAGTGATTGTGGTTGAGTCTGTGTCGAGAGATTGTCAGCTGGGAAATCTCAGGGCTTTCTGGGGAAATCTCTGGGAGCCTGTTTGGTCTGTGGGGGCAGGTTGGGACCTTTACCAGTGCCGTAGAATTTCTTGAGACTAGGACTAGAAAAGTCGCTTGCTCTTGAATCATCAGAAGACCTGGCAGGCTCAATTTGTTTTTGATCACTCCGCCACCTACACTGCGCTTCGTTTCTGTCATACACGATGTCTGGGGTGACAACTAGATCACACACGGTCGCTACAGGCGAGAGCGACGGGGACGAGTCTGGGTCAGAGATCTCTACAACGACCGGCTTGGAGGAACAGGATTCCTGGTATCTGGCCCTAGAGCCAACGCACAAGCACCTCTCTAAGGATGTGGGTTACAGGAAACAGGTGCAAATGAAGCTACAAAAGAGACCACATGTGCTGGATCAGCAAGGTATCAGGCGAATCGTGCATCTCTATGGCTCCACAGCTGTTTTTGCAAGCCAAGCGAAGACAAACGCTTGCCATTGGGGGGATTTTGCAAAGACTCACAAGCATGCCTTAGACGAAGCGCACAAGGTACTTGAAGCAGAGGGGTACACAAACAGTCGGACGAGAAATGCTGGACGGACGGTTTACGTGCCCACAGAAGAGCTCGAGTCCCTGGGCTTCAAGCCAGAAATTGGGGGCCCAATCTCAGCAGCCACAGCCTTTGAGCTCCTACAAAAACACCCCCAGCCATTCCAATCGAAAACACTCCCATACAGAGTGAAGCTTGGTTGGGACATCCCCCAAACTCTCCACGAAAACGAAAGCGAACCTTCAAACCCAAAAACACCACCAACCTCACGAGCGCAAGAGTTATTCACAACTCCCCACAGAGCCTCCAAGATGGCGCCGGGCAACAGCCGTGGTGGTAAGAAGCGGGCAGCAGAGGACCAGTCGCCACCCTCCACGACCGTCCACGAATCCATCGACGCCCCAGCAGATGTTTTGGCGATTCACACGATCACCACTTTTGCCCAAAAGACGTGCGATGCAGTGGATGAGATCGAGTTTCTGCATGACGTGCACCGAGACTCTAACTTCTTGAAGACCTGCACCGAGGCGACCCCAGTGCTGCCTGAGCAGATCAAGGCTGCCAAGGCCGTCCTTGCGCGACACCAGGCCAAGGAGGCTCAGCAAAGCGGTCTTTCGTTTTTGGACCAGGTCAAGAACACCCTACCAGGAGCCAGCTCACCTACCACTCAAGATTGTTTTGTCGTTGGGGCGCGCGAGAGGAACCCTTTTGTCACCCCCACCAAGAACCCCTTTTCTTTCGGAGACCCCGAGCGCGACCGGGGCTTGTCCTCCATCTCTAAATCGCCATACGCACCGGACACCGGGAAGAAGACTGAGCCCATACAGGCAATCAGTACTACATTCTACAAGAATGCTTTCACGGACCTCGCGAAGCTGGCAATCGACAACCCGATCAGTCACAAGGTCATGTCTGCGACCGTTGATGGGAAGGGGGAGATTTCTCTCGTGGTTCTTCTGGCTACTTCTGACGCCTGGGTCATTCCACAGCTATGGAAACCCTGCATCGACCAGTTCCTCAAGGAGAATCGAAAGGATGACCTTGCTGCTACCTCTCTAAACTTCTGGGCAAGTGTTCTGTACATGACAGATATCAAGACCAGGATGGCCCTTCAGGTGAAGGAGGATGGTACTCGCAGCGAAATTACGCAGGACATTGTTGACGCCTGTGCCAAACGCTATGCCGAAATCGACTTTACCAAAGTCAACGAGAGACTTGGCAGGATCCTGTGTTTCTTTCGACGGGAGAAAATTGACGCCATGGAGAAAGTGAAGAATCCTGCTGAGCAGAGACTCCTGAGCAGACTCACGCATGAGGAACTTGAGTCAGTTCTGGGATTCCACCCTACAACCTCGGCGTTCGGAGATGGGGGTGACGGTGCGCTGTGGCTATGAACCTGGTATGTTTATGGCATGCAGGCTGGCATGAAGTGACGGTGTGGTGTAGATCTCACTAACGAGGGACTCTACACATCTAGTGACAACAACAGATACCTTCCGAGCTCCTTACCCTGCACCTGCGGTGTGTGGTCCTTCAGCTGCTTTGCCGTTTGGCAATGATACTATGAAGCCAGTTGTCAGGGGGTAGTGAAACGGGTTTCGTGTGGGCAAGTAGGAATGCCGTAGCTTATTGAAGCTGAGACTGTGGGTGTGAATCCCACCACGATGCTCTCGTTTTTACTACCACTAGTTTGGGGGAGAGGAGGAAAGGCTTTCTTGCACAGATTTAAGATTGGGCAACCCGTGGCAGTTATGGATGAACGGTCAGCCGTTTTAGGCACTCTAAGAAGGAGTAGACAAAATGGAAATGGTTATTTGAACTTCTTCACAACTATGCCTTTGATCTGTGAATTCACATTCCCCTATGGTGAACCTTGCACGAGAGACATGCGTCCTGCCCACCTGGGTGCCTTAGTTGTAATGCCACCACTGCTGGGTGGAGAACTGCGAGTGGAGGATCTCGGCAATGGCAATCATGCGGTTGCAGTTTCTTCGCACCTGTCAAGACGATTAGAAGAGGGCAGATAAGGATAAGCTCATGGCTTACATAGATGGCGTGGGCTTGGTTTATGACGCCGTGCTTCGGGTCTGTCAGGAATTGGCCTTCCTCCAGAATAGTATCCATTAACTCCATCGCATGCCGCATGCGTTGAAGGCCGTGTCTGAATATGGCTGTGAACTCCCCTGTGTTGGAGCTCCGGAACTAGTGGACCGACAAGTGGGAGACGCGCTGCATAAAGGTAGACCAATCGTTGAAGTCTCGAAACATCTTCTCCCTGGCCTCGCGCACTGGGTCCCGGTCCATAGAACGCTCGGCCTTGAGCTGCGAGTTGAGCAGGATATTGCGCCATAACCAGAGACGATATGCAACCATTTCTAGGAGATCCACTGGGCTGGACTGAGAGATGTTCTCCGCAATAACCATGGCATCGTCGAGGCTGTCAACAAATAGATGTCCGGGGGCGATCGAGAGAGAAGTGGTGTTGTTGCTGCGAACAACTGCCTGGAGCATGATGGTCCCCGTGGCTTCATCCTTCCTAGGTAGGATTTCAAACACACCCAGCCGCGCAACCATGACACGAGACTTCTCTTCATAGAGCCTTCTCCTAGCATCCACATCGCCTTGCCACATCTCGCGGAGCTCTTTGTTCAGCTGGAAGTCGGGCGGGGTCTCCGTGTTTTCCTCTGACAAATCCGACGCCCTGAGGCCGCGTGAGGTGCCTGAGAGGTAGCGGGGGAGGTAAAAGCTGGCAGGCCGCAGGGTCAGGCTGTGCCTACATGTTGTCAGTATCATGCACCTCATGGACGGATCTAGTACTTGCCTGCGGCGGGCAGAGCAGCATGTCAGGGCAATTGGATCCTCCCAGCGCTCCATGATCAGCCTTCTGCGGTGGTTTCTACCAGCTGGGCCACCTGGTTGGTACTCCTGTAGAGATGTTGGGAGATGGTAATGAGTGGGGGGGGGGGGGGCAGGTGGCTGCAGCATATCACTGTGTCTTCCCCAGGATTGGCACCCCTAAGCCATTTATTCCTAGGTACCCAGCTTGACCAATGCTACCGAGAAAATAAAGCAGGCCCTACTGGGGAGGTAGGTACCCAGGTACCTACCTCACAATGAATCCACAGGGAGCTAACCGCAGCTTTTTAAAGGTGTGTAAGCCACTACTAGGTAAGATTTCCCAGAGATTTCCTAGAGATTTCCCAGAGATTTCCCAGAGATTTCCCAGAGATTTCCCAGAGATTTCCCAGAGATTTCCTAGAGATTTCCCAGAAATTTCCTAAAGATTTCCTAGAGATTTCCCAGAGATTTCCTAGAGATTTCCTAAAGATTTCCTAAAGATTTCCTAAAGATTTCCTAAAGATTTCCTAAAGATCTCTTATAGTTTTTTTTTAAAAATTCTTTAAAAGTTTTTTAATTAGTTATATTCTATTAGTTTTAATTAGTTTTAATTACTCTACTTAGAAATTAGTATTATACTATATGCTTAGAGATTGGTTGTATCCTACTAGTTTTAATTGCTTTGCTTAGAAATTGGTGTTGTGCTGTGCGCTTAGAGATTGGTTGTGTCCTGCTAGTTTTAATCGCTTCGCTCAGAAATTGGTGTCGCGCTGCGCGCTCAGAGATTGGTTGTGTCCTGCTCGTTTTAATCGCTTCGCTCAGAAATTGGTGTCGCGCTGCGCGCTCAGAGATTGGTTGTGTCCTGCTCGTTTTAATCGCTTCGCTCAGAAATTGGTGTCGCGCTGCGCGCTCAGAGATTGGTTGCAGGCACCCACATCCCCGGCAGCTAGCGCTGCCGGGGATGTGGGTGGTGCCTGCGGCACGCACAAAGAATGTAGAAGATCCAACGCCAGGTTGTGTGACTGACTATGGAGCCGCCGATGAAGGGACCAAGAGTGGTGCCGATGCCGTAAATTGACAGAATTACGCCAATGTAGTTGCCACGCAGACGGAGAGGGACAAGATCTGATACTATGATATCTGTTCACAAGCCAGAACATTAATAAAGCACAAAAATATACAAAAAAGAGTCACATAGAACCACTGACCATTTAGTAAGGTGATCCCTCCTGAACCTAATCCTTGGACTGTCCTGCCAGCTATCAGCATGGCAGTATTGGTGGCACCACCGCAAATACCACTCCCCAGAGTGAAAATTGCAACACTGCCCAGCATGTTCCATCGACGACCGAATACATTGCAAAGCTGACCGACGAGAGGCTGTATTGCTGCGCTTCACACATGAGAAAGAAATTAGCATGATCCAAATGTAGCAGCAAAATCAAATTCAGCGCGTTGGGACGATTGTGGCGATGCAACGAAAAGATGCATTGTTGTGCCTTTCGCGGTCCTCTTCACGCACCTGCAGATAAAAAAAGAATTTGTAATCCAGATATAATCGTCACCGATTCCCAAATCAGAAATAATGTATGGCATAGCCACTGTGACAACAGTATTTTCCAGAGCAGTAAGCAGTAATGTGACACCCAAACCGACTATAATGATCCACAAGCGCAATCCGGGATGAAAGTCATCTTCTCCAGACACGGATCTCTGCGCGGTTCCCACAGCTTCATTGGTTTGTAGCCCCAGTTCCGGATGGGCACTCGGTAGCTCTTGTGAAGCTGGGAGAGGTTCCTGCCCCCTGCAGCTCTCAGTGGCTCGCTCGTCTGATTCGGGCGCCATGTTGGGAGAAATCCTGCGCTGTGCTCGGGTAGGATGCTCCTGAGCAACAGAGATTCCGAGGCTGAAGACGCAGCGTATTCACATGCTGGCATCTAGGAGCCCTGCTTTGATCTGTCCAACGTCGTTATGGAAAGATTATTGCCCGGGCTCGGACTTGCATATCCCCATTGGTTGTAAACAGCATCATGACGACGGAGTCGCTTTACCTAGATAGGAAAGATACTTTTGTGCGAGTATGTTTTGTTTTGGCAAAGCTGCGCCGCGTAGACAGGGGGTGCCCTGCACCATTCCAAGATCTCATTGAGCCAATTTTGTCGACACGAGCCTCTGCATATCTAGGTTCCCACCTTATTTCTCGATGGGGCGCTTCGAACCATGAAGGATTCACTCAGGATTGAAATGAGCCGTTCCTTATGATAGCCACTTGAAAGTGGGCCGCACGGTGGGGATTATCCGCTTCGAGTATGCTTGCACCAGAAAGTAGCTCTCCAGCTCCTGTGGCATTGAACATGTGCAGCTAACTGTGTTGGGGATTGGCGCGTCATGTCAGCTCTCAAGCTTGCTGATGATCCTGTAACTGCATTTCAGGTCCGGCTTCCAATGACTTGATGGAGTTAAACAATTTGAATTTGCCTTAGTGCTTTTCACGATATCGCGTGGGCCAATATCTGCAGCCTCCTAGAGGAATGTCGTCACAGCTACATCCAAGACCTAACAGTCCGTAGAAGTGCGCATGGATTTTGCCTTCTCTGTAAACGAACTTGGAATTCACCGATCAACGCTGTACTACCTCATGGTCAACGTTTGAGGAAATTGGCCGGAATTACTTGTTTTTCTTCTTTGATACAGTGCTCATTATGTATATGCCCGGAGAGCCTATCGCCATCATTGGCACGGGCTGCCGCTTTCCAGGCAATGCGAACAAGCCAGCTGCCCTCTGGGATATCTTGACGAACCCTCGCGATCTATCACAATCTCTTTCGAGCCGTTTCAATACGAGGGGTTGGCACCACGAGAATGGAAAATACCACGGGCACTGCAATGTCGACCGATCCTACCTTCTTTCAGGAGAGACTACCCATCGCAAATTCGACGCCCAGTTCTTCGGAATAAGTGCGGTAGAGGCCAATAGCTTAGACCCGCAGATGCGTTTACTGTTGGAGACTGTTTATGAAGCACTCGAGGCTGCCGGTATACCAGTGGAAAGTCTCCGAGGATCTGATACTGCGGTGTACTCAGGAGTAAGGCCGTTCCATTTCCAATTTGAACGTGCGATTTCTTTGCAAAGCATTTCCACGTCGCACTCAGGTCTCAACCATGCTTATACGACCAAGGGATTGAAACAAGCTGTCAAATTCCAGACAGGCAATAAATCACAGCGTAACCATGGCGTCTTACTGACGTGAGATCCAGATGATGACAAACAGTTATAAGACCTCCATGGAACGTGACCTGGACAACATCGGAACATATCATGTTAGTGGTACGAGTCGTGCAATGATGTCTAACAGAATATCATACTTCTTTGACTGGCACGGCCCTTCAATGTAAGCAAGACTCGGGGATTTCCCCACCATATATTCTCGCATCAAAATAACTTTGCGAACTGTGCTTGGGCTGAATTAGAGACCTCTAGGACCATTGATACCGCATGCAGCTCCAGCATGATCGCGGTCCACCAAGCCGTTCAGCAGTTGCGGACAGGCCAGTCACACGTTGCCATCGCTGCAGGCTCCAACCTTCTTCTTGACCCTTCTGACTATGTCTCCATGTCCAAACTCGAAATGCTGTCCTATGAGAGCCGTTCCCGTATGTGGGACAAGAGTGCAAATGGATACGCTAGGGGAGAGGGAGTCGCAGTGGTTGTCCTCAAAACTCTGAGTGCAGCTGAAGCAGATGGAGACAACATCGAGTGTGTCATTCGAGAGACCGCTACGAATCAAGATGGCAGAACATCAGGAATCACGATGTGAGTCTTCTAAAATATCCACTTGGAAAATCTCCGAAAGAGACTACCATTTTGGCTGACACCAGATAATGATAGGCCGAGCGCTGCAGCGCAAACAAAGCTCATACGAGACTGCTATGCACGTGCTGGATTAGACCCAGCCAATCCGGCTCACCGACCCCAATACTTTGAGGCCCATGGTAAGGTCCTATCTTTAGAAGGATTAATTGACAAATGGTATGGTTCTGATCTTGTGAAAAGGTACCGGAACGCCAGCAGGAGACCCGGTCGAGGCCGAGGCAATCAAGAATGCCTTCTTCCACGATGACGGTGTCGGAAGAGGGCTGTCAGGCCATCTCCTTGTCGGAAGTATCAAGACCATAATCGGGCACTCTGAGAGTGTTGCTGGTTTGGCGGGACTGATCAAGACCTCGTTAGCATTGCAAGAGTCGAGCATTCCGCCAAACTTGTTATTCAATGAAATCAACCCTAGGATCGCCCAGCACTGCAAGAATTTACGTGTTCCAATTTCTGTCACCCCATGGCCAGCTGTAGCAGATGGCTCACCACGTAGAGCTTGCGTGAACAGGTGAGTTTTGAAGGCACTCAACACCCATCAACGCTTTCTAACAATATGCTAGCTTCGGATTTGGGGGTAGTAATTCCTTCGCGATACTGGAAAGCTACAACAAGCCTAATCAGAGACAAAGAGCTGAGGTGCCTTGCCTTACACCGTTTGTCTTTTCGGCCGCTTCAGAGGAATCCCTGATGTCAAATCTGTCCGCACTTTCAAAGCACCTGCGGTCTGGCACCGAAAGCGTGAGTCTTCGAGACTTGTCATTGACGCTCCACACGCACAGGTCGAGGCTAGCCTTTGGAGTTTCATTCTTTGCAACAAGCGTCCAAGAACTTTGCGAGAAGCTCGATTCCAGAGTTGCTGCCAGCACCAATGAGCAACTAGTTGGCACACGAACCTTGACCCAGCTATCACGAGATCGACACCGCAAGCCCCGGGTTCTCGGTATTTTTACCGGGCAAGGAGCCCAGAGCTCACGCATGGGAGCTGCTCTCATCGAAAGGTCTGTAGCCTGTCGGCAGATTATCGACAAGTTGGAGACGCGCTTGGCTGAGCTCCCTAAAGCAGACCGCCCATCCTGGTCGCTGAAACAAGAGCTTCTCAGGGAAAACAATATTGATTTGGGCTCAGCAGCCTTATCTCAACCATTAAGCACAGCCTTGCAAATCCTACAAATCGACCTCCTAAAAGCGGCACGTGTTGATTTCTCCGCAGTTGTTGGTCACTCGTCCGGCGAAATCGCCGCCGCCTACGCTGCTGGCATGATATCTGCCGAAGACGCTATTTGCATTTCTTATTACCGAGGACTATTTGCTGAGTTTGCCACTGGGCGCTCAGGCGAGGGTGGAGCCATGCTCGCCGTGGGCACCTCTTTACTCGACGCACAGGAGCTATGCAACGACGACGACTTTCAAGACCGCGTAGTGGTAGCAGCTGTGAATTCTTCGAGCAGCATAACTCTGTCTGGAGACAAGGATGCTATCGAGGACATGAAGGTCATTCTAGAAGATGAAGGTAAATTTGTTCGGAGACTGAAGGTCGACAAGGCATACCACTCCCATCACATGTCTGCCTGCTCCGTCAAATACCTCACAGCTCTGGAGCAACTCAATGTCACTGTTTGCAAGCCTACAATTCCATGGTTCTCTAGCGTCAATGACGGAGCATCTATGGGTCAAGAAGATCTCACCCCTCTGAAAGTCAAGTACTGGAATGACAACATGGTACAACCAGTCGTATATATGCGGGCCATTGAGGCGGCGTGGGAATCTATGGGCCCATTCGACATGGCCATCGAACTAGGGCCTCATCCCGCCCTTCAGGCCCCATCTTTGCAAAACATCCAAGAACTTTCGGCTGGATCACAGGACTTCCCATATACAGGCATTCATACCAGAGGAAAAGATGCTGTCGAAAGCTTTGCCACAGCTCTTGGGCTGATTTGGACCCACCTGGGTACCGTGGATTTGGCAAGCTATGACAGGTTCTTAACAAATATTCCCAGCCACGAATTGACCACGGGACTTCCACCATATTGCTGGGACCACGATAAGGAATACTGGCACGAATCTAGGTACACGAGAGCAATTCGCACCAGATCTGAGCCATGGCACGAGCTTCTGGGCCACCTCACTCCCGATAGCACTGGTCAGGATATGCGATGGCGAAACATCCTGTGTCCTAATGAGTTACCGTGGTTGAAAGATCATGCGCTCCAGCAACAAGCGGTCTTCCCAGCCGCTGGATACGTTGTTGCTGCAGTCGAGGCCGCGGCAGAGATGGCTCGGGCGCGGGACCTGTCGGTATCCCTTGTTGAAGTCCTGGACCTTGATATTGGAAAGGCCATTGCCTTCGACTCGGATGAGTCGCGTTTCGAGACTATCAGCTCCCTAAGTGATATCCAACATCACGGTGATAGAGTCGAGGCAGTCTTCAACTTCAACGCTGCCTCTGCATTCCAGGAAAGTGCACTCACACTTCACGCCTGTGGGCGCGTACGAGTCGAAATTGGTCAAGGCAGCCTTGAAGTCCTCCCCAAGAGAAGCCAAACTGAGCCTAATCTGTCGAGGGTTGACTCGGAAGAGTTCTACGCCTCGCTTCTGAGACTTGATTACCAGTACAACGGTTCTTTCCGTGCACTCCACGGTCTTCAGAGGAGGCTAGGGTGTGCGACCGGATATATCACCAAAGAGCCGTCACGCCTACTTATCGATCCTGCCATGCTCGACGCAGCCTTTCAATCACTTCTTTTGGCCCACTCCGCCCCAAACAGCGGTGGGATCTGGGCTCTACATGTTCCCAGGTCAGTTCGGGCCATCCGCATCAATCCACTTCTCTGCACCGCAGCCCATGGGGACAGCAGTCCAGCCGCGTTTGATTGTGTCCAGCCAGAGGGCATGTCCTCACTGGAGGGTGATATTGATGTTTTTTCCACTTCGAGTGGCGTCGACCACGCCATGATCCAAATAGAGCGTCTCAAATGCGTCCCGTTCGCTCGGCCAACTGCACAGGACGACAAAGCGATGTTCACAACCACGCTATGGGATGTGGCACTGCCGGATGCAGTGAAGGTGGCATACGACGGAGAGCCCTCGTCACAGCAGGTTGAGCTTGCTCGTCTCCTAGAACGTATGGCTGTGTTTTACTTGAGAAAGCTGGACTGTGGGGTTCCTCAGAGCCATGACGCCAGGAAGACAGGGCCCTACGTATACTACTTCAAATTCGCATCCGAAGTACTGTCACTTGCAACCCGGGGAAAGCTACCGCTGTGGTCTTCGGAATGGACCGGAGATTCGTGGGATGATTTTAATGCAGCTTACCAGCCGCATTTGAATGTGCCGGATGTCAAGCTGCTGAAAGCTATTGGAGACAACATTATTGAAATAGCGACAGGGAAGATACAGGCAATCGAGGTGGGCATGCAAGACTCCATGCTGACCAAGATTTACGAATCTGGTCTTGGCTTCAAAGAGCACACAAGATACCTGGCTCGCATTGTCAAGCAGATTGTCCACCGTTATCCCCACATGAACATCCTTGAGGTAGGAGCAGGGACTGGTGGCGCGACAAAGGAAATTATTCGTGAGGCTGGGCCAAAGTTTGCCTCATATACATACACCGATATCTCCTCTGGCTTCTTCGAGGTCGCGCAGCAGATATTTACACCTCATCTTCCTAAGATGAAATTTCAGGTGTTGGACATCAGCAGAGACATCAGACAGCAGGGCACGTCTGAGCACTCTTACGACCTCATAATTGCTTCTGCGGTCCTCCACGCAAGTAAGGACTTTCCACATCCCTTGGAGTGAGTACACGAAAACTAACGCCGCGGCAGCCCCAACACTCCGTGATACTCTAGAAAACGTGCGACAGCTTCTCAGGCCCGGGGGCTACCTTGTTGTTGCTGAGCTTCACACAGATCACCTTGCGAGAATAGGTGCTATTTTCGGTGCCTTACCTGGCTGGTGGCTAGGTGTAAATGAGGGTCGCACGAGCTCCCCATGCATCAGCATACAGGAGTGGGATCATCTTCTACGCACTACCGGATTTTCAGGTTGTGACACGGTCACCCCGGTCCGCAATGGTTGCGTGATGCCCTTGAGTGTTTTCGTGTCACAAGCTGTCGACCCTCGAGTGGACTTCATACGTCGGCCTCTCTCTTCTAGTTTGCCGCTCTTCACGGATACAACCACGTCGGCTAGGCAAGAGCTCGTCCTCCTCGGCGGATGCAGTCCACAGACATCGAGACTGATACCTCAGCTCATGACCCTCCTCAGTCCTCCATGGAGGGGCAAGGCAATTGTCGTCCACTCAATTCATGACATCCAATCCGTGTCTATTACCTCTTGTACAACTGTCCTGAGTCTTCTGGACTTAGACGAGCCTGTCCTTGCAAATCCGAGCAAGAGTACTTGGGAAGCCCTAAAATGGCTGCTGCAGGAAGCTGATACGATTCTATGGGCGTCAACCGGTCGTCGAGCCCAAAAGCCTCACGCGAATATGATGGTCGGTCTGCTTCGAGCTGCAAGGCTTGAGCACCCTGGTCTCGCTGTTCAGTGCTTTGACAGCGAGTCCGAGCATGGTGTTGCAGCGGAAGAGCTTGCCGAGGCCCTTCTTCGTCTGAAGGCCACTATAGGCTGGCAGCGCCAAGGGCAGTCTGACAGTCTTCTTGCGAGCATCGAGCCCGAAATTGTTCGCGGCCAGGACGGGACTACAATTATCCCGCGCGTGGTAGAGAGCTCAAATATGAACGACAGGTACAACTCATCCCGTCGCCAGATACTCTCCGATGCGCGCGGCATTGCATCCACTGGCAACCTGGAAATAGTTGGATCACATTTACAACATACGCTAGACCCAGCTGGCGATGGCAGGTCGACTGTGCATGTCACTCACTCACTGAAGACCATTGTCCGAGTCTCTGCATCCAGCTACGCAAAGTTGATCCTGGGGCTGGATTCTGAAACCGATGCACAGGTTGTGGCTCTTGCGGGTCAAGAGAGTCTGAAAGTTGTGCCATACACACAGGTCGCCTTGCCGCAGCGGCTCCAAAGTGGACAGGAATCTGCATTTTTGGCTCTGCTTGCGCACCACATGGTTGCAGATATGTTCCTTGCAGGTCTGGCTCCGGGCTCAATAGCAATAGTCCATGACTCTGGCATGGAATTTGCTACCGTTGTAACGCAGAAGTCGAAAGAACGTGGCTTAAAGATCGTGTTCACCACTACATCTACTTCCGAGACAGTCAGTCCCGGCTGGATTGCGATCCATCCCAAAGCACCGGATCGCACACTACGTCGCCTCCTGCCCACAAACGTTACAGCACTGTTGGATTTCAACGGAGCTGTTGAGATGGGAGAATTCGGGTGCCGTCTTCGAACGCAACTGCCCAGAAACTGTCGCTATGACACAATTGACTCGTACATGTTCCAGGACGGAGCCTGGAAGCCGCAACATACGCTGGAGTCCGATGCCCATGCTCGCTTGAGCGACTGTGTCGCCCGCGCTCTGGCAAGGTCGCCAGTTCTCAAACTCTTAGATTCTACATCAGACATATCTGGCCCGCATCAGGGAAGTCAGATCGCAGATCAAGTCGTCGATTGGATCCAACTCATCTCCAACACCCCTATCAGGGCATGTCCTGCTGAATCGCAGATGCGATTCTCTGACCGCAAGACATACTGGTTGGCCGGGCTGAGCGGAGGGCTAGGCCTACTGCTTTGTGAGTGGATGGTTCGTCATGGAGCGAAATACGTCGTCATCTCCAGTCGGGCACCTCGCGTGGAGCAGGCCTGGTTGGAGAGAATGCATGCTGCCGGGGCAGAGGTCAAGATTCACCCCTGGTTCGTTACAATGCTTGTCAAAATCCAATTCACTCTCTGTTCGCTCAAACTAATGGTTTAATATAGTGATATGACCAAGAAAGCAGAAGTGGAAAGCGTCTACTACAAGATAAGGACATCGCTTCCGATCATTGCTGGTGTCTGCCAGGGTGCGAGTAAGTTTATTCTAGTTTCAATTTCATTGATAAGGCAAGACAGCTTACACCAATTCCTCAAAGTGGTACTCGAAGACACGGCGATCCGCAATATGTCCCTGGAAGCTTTGCTCAAAGTCACGAGGCCCAAGGTTGAGGGCAGCATGCTTCTGGATGAAATTTTCCAGCCTCCGACTCCAGAGCTGGAATTTTTTGTCTTCTTTTCATCAGTGGGCTCGATATCAGGGCGACCCGGCCAGTCGAACTACGCAGCAGCCAATCTATTCATGACTGCAGTGGCTGAGCGGCGGAAACGACGTGGCCAAGCTGCTTCGGTTATGCACATTGGGCCCATATTTGGTGTGGGCTACATGAATCAACAAGGCTTGGATGCGGATTGGAATGCATCTAGGAACTTGAAGTCTATGTTTCCTATTTCCGAGCGCGACTTTCTCGAACACTTCGCCGAAGCCGTTATCTCAGGGCGCTCAGGCTCAAAGTCAGGCAGTCTGGAGACGATCAGTGGACTGGCGAAGCTTGAGCCGACGCAGGATATCGACCCCTTGTTGAGCCACTATACCAAGGACCAGCTCGCCGTCTCTATTGATTCGTCGTCGAAAGATAAATCAAAGGTGCCGCTCAAGACACAACTTGCCAACGCACAAGGTCATGCCCAAGTAATGCGTATCATCGGCGACGCATTCCTTCAGAAGCTGAGCGTCCTATTCCAGACGGAGCTTTCGAAGCTCGAGAAAGCTGACGCGAAGACTTTGCGCCTGGATGAAATGGGTATCGACTCACTTCTGGCTGTGGAGATCCGCGGCTGGTTCGTCCAGGCACTTCAAGTAAATATACCAGTGCTCAAGATTCTCAGCGGGGCTTCAGTGGCAGACCTGATTGATTTGGCTGTTGAGACTATTCCTCAGGAACTTGTCCCCAATCTCAATCACGTTGAGTCAGACAATGCCAGTACTTCGGAGCCGACCCAACAACAGACACGAACTGGATCAGACCCGCCATCGCAAGAGCCGTCCGACCTGACCGCTACCAATTCTCAACGTAGGCTTCTGGTTCAGGCTGACCCAGTCTTGGCTACAGAATCGCACGAAACTTTGGGGACAGACTTGCCAAAAGCTAATTCCTCCAGTATAGAGTCGTATCCAAATACACCGCGTCGGGGTCATCAAGCGGAGGGAATGGCCACCATGGACAGTTCTGGTTCTCTGTCTTCCTCAGATGGTGACAGTCTAGACTTTGTGTCTCTTCTCAGTGCATCCAGCACAAGCCCTCCGCGGAATGGTGGACATACTCAAAGCTCTTCCTGGCCTGCCACACCACAACTTCCGTTGAGTGAGAAGGATGGAAGTTCTGTTTCAAATTTCCAGCCAGAGGACGAGAAAGCCCTGGCGTTATCATTCAGTCAGAGTCTGTTCTGGTTCTCTTCCGAATTCTCCAAGGACCCAAGAAATCTCAACTTGACCGCAACCTTTCGCCTAACCGGGGACCTCAACCTCGACCGCTTAGAAACAGCTGTACTTGCTTTGGGACAGCAACATGAATCCCTGAGGACCCGTTTCGTCATGAAGGACGGGCGGCCTGTACAAAGTATCATGAGGACGCCTGCACTGCGTCTTGAGCGCTGGCCAGTTTCATCCTTGGAAGTCCTTGAAGCCTACGCCAACGAAGTTCACAGTCACGTGTATGATCTTGAGCATGGTCGTACAGTTCGTCTTGCACTGGCATCCCTGTCTTCAACACAGCACTTTTTCATAATTGGAGTGCATCATTTGGCCATGGACGGCCAATCATTCTTCCCCTTAATGAAGGACCTTCTGATACACTATACGAATGATTCTTACGGGCCACTTTTCACAAACCAATACGCAGATTTCAGCCAGTCACAGCACGAGGATCTTGCTTCCGGTCGATTTGAAGAGGACCTTGCTTTCTGGAAGGCCGAGCTCGGAAGTATGCCGCCTGCCCTCCCGCTTCTTCGGACGTCAACTTTAACATCACGCCCACAACTTCAGGAATATGGCAACAGGCACATCAGTCGGAGGCTTGAGACGCAAACAACAGCAATGATCCGGAACCTTTGCCGCCGATTCAGGGTTACTCCCTTTCATTTCTACCTTGCCGTATTCAGGGTACTTCTGTTCAGGTACACCGGTTCCAAACACTTTTCTGTAGGCGTCGGAGATGCCAACAGAACGGAGGAAAGTCTCATGGGCAGTATTGGAGACTTCCTCAACATGCTGCCGCTGGTTTTCAAAACGAATGGCTCTCTTGGCTTCGAGGATGTGCTGCAGGAAACTCGGACCAAGACGCATGAAGCCCTCGCACATTCACGGCTCCCGTTCCAAGTCCTTCTGAATGAGTATGTGCCCTTGTCTGGGATAACTACGCTATCAGCATTCTTCTTTCAACCCTAAGATCCCCAAAAATAGCCTTTTTAGATTGATGAGAGGCCGCGGCTGACATACTCAACTTCATTTAGGCTTGGTGTCGAGCGATCCTCCTCCACCACACCCATATTTCAGGCCTTCATCGACTACCGCCTCGCTCCTGGGGAAAGTATGACTTGGGGGAACTGTCTTCTCGAGCTCATGTCCTTCAAACTATCCAAGATGGCGTATGACGTTGCTGTGGATATTGTTGACAACGCCAACGGGGACTGCAGCCTTACTTTTGTTTTCCGCGACGACTTGTACAGCCAGGCAGACGCGGAGAAATTTGCGAACAGCTATTTGTCCCTCGCGAAAGATCTCGCCGGCCAACCAAATACCATGGTTGGCAGTGCCAAAGTATTCGATGACATCGAAATCAAGGAGGCTTTGGGCCTTGGCAGAGGCAAGACTTTCTTTTTCCTAAGCTTCCTGAAGTCGAGCAACTCGCTCACGATGGTCCAAGTCGAGCCAAGCTAACGCATTTGTGACCCTGATTAGGTGCAATTTATCAATCTCGTCGATGGGGAAATACTGCCATCCATCAAGTGGACGACGTTGCCAAGGGATGTCCGGAGAAGATTGCCATAATTACCGGCGATGGCCGCAAAGTTACCTATGGTGAAATGCAACACGGGGCTGAGGCAATAGCGAGCAAGCTACAAGCGGCAGGAATCACGACTGCTTCCAGAGTCGCAGTGCTTCAGGAGCCCACACCCGAATGGATATTTTCCATCCTCGCCGTCATGAGGATCGGCGCTGTATACCTTCCCCTTGATGTTGGCACGACCTGGGGACGTTTAGCAGCCATGGTGAGGGACTGCCAGCCTGAGGCGGTCCTAGTAGACGAGCATACCAAGGACAACGTACATAGGCTGGAGTGTCCCCATATCCAAGCGCTAGACGTGTCTACGATGAAGTCCTGCTCGGAGCCGTTGACCTCTTCGGTCTCCGCCACGGCGGACGCTATATCGACAATTCTCTACACCAGCGGCTCGTCGGGGACTCCAAAGGGGATCTTGCTCACCCACAAGGGCATCAGATCGTGGCTTGAGCCCTGCAAGATGCTGTACGGCCTGCGGCCGAGTGGGGAGGTGGTCCTCCAACAGAGCTCGCAGGGTTTCGACATGTCTCTGATGCAAATTTTCACGGCGTTGTGTTTCGGTGGCAGCCTGTGTATACTACCGCGGAGGTTCCGAGGCGACGCCCGCGCAATTTCGGAGATGATAACTCGCTACAGCGTCACGCACACGTACGGCACGCCATCTGAGTACCTTAGCTGGCTCAGGTATGGAGATTCAGGGGCCCTCAGGGCATCGTCCTGGAAGACGGCGCTGGTTGGGGGAGAACGGCTTACACACCCGGTGGTCAAGGCGTTTGCTACACTAGGGAAGCATGATCTCCGATTTCACCACATGTATGGCACGACCGAGTCTACATTCTGCGCGGCCGTAACTGAGTTGGATTATGCCACTGAGGCCCCCAGCAACAGCACCTCAGACGGCGCTCAGCCAAGCTACCCAGCCGGTGCTGCGCTTCCAAACTACAACATCTATATCCTGGATGAGCAAAGACAGCCCGTACCTGTTGGCCTGCAAGGAGAAGTATACATCGGAGGAGCCGGGGTTTCTCTCGGATACCTGAACAACGCTGGGTTGACAGCGGAGACATTCGTGCCGGACCCTTTCGCGAGTCCGGATGACCTCGCTCGAGGATGGACCGTGATGCAAAGAACCGGCGATCTGGGCCGGTGGTCACAGACAGAGCCTGGCAGCCTGCTCATAGAGGGCCGGATCTCGGATGACACCATGGTCAAGCTGCGGGGACTGCGCGTAGACCTCCAGGAGGTCGAGCACGCCATTGTTCGCGCTGGCGGAGGCGTGTTGAGCGAGGCCGTGGTCTCGGTGCGCCGGGACTCGCTCGAGTCACCCGAGTTCTTGATCGCTCACGTCGTCTTCGAGAAAACCTCGGTCCAGGCCTCGGGGTCCCACGACGACTTTTCACGGAAACTTCGTTCCCAGCTCGATCTCCCGCTCTACATGCGGCCTGCCTTCATAGTTCCCCTAGAGAAACTCCCCACAATGGCCTCTGGGAAGCTTGACCGCAAGGCTGTCAGTTTGTTGTCACTTCCGGGGCGCGAAACGGTGGCAAAGGACATCGTGTGGACGACCACTGAGGAAAGACTCAAGACCGTTTGGGAAGAACTTCTTTCCCATGAGCTGGTGACCACACTGAACATCACCCCAGACACTGATTTCTTCCACATCGGCGGCAGTTCGTTGTTACTTCTCGAGCTACGCGACAAGATCAAAAGTGAGTTTGGAGTCGACCTTACATTGCTGAATCTCTTCGAGTCTAGTCTGTTGTCAAGCATGGCGCAACGTATTCGGGGCGAATGCGACACGCAACAGGCCATTGACTGGGATGAGGAGACCAAGCTGCGACCTTGCATGAAAGACGTGGATTCCGGGATGCTTCAACACGTCACTGAATCCGCTTCAAAGGTGGTCGTCCTCACTGGAGGATCAGGCTATCTCGGCAAGGCTTTGATCGATGCCATGATCCGAGATCCAACGGTGAAGGAGATCCATTGCCTCGGAGTGAGAAAAGCCGCCACTCGGACAGATCTACGGGGCATGGACAAAGTCACGCTATACGAAGGAGATTTGAATCAGCCTCTCATTGGGCTGTCGAGGTCTGTCATCGAGCGTCTCTTCAGCCGTGCCCATCTCATCATTCACAACGGCTCCGACATCTCGTACATGAAGACATATCACTCGATACGGCAGTCGAACTTCCTGACCACCAAGGACCTTATTGAGTGGAGCATGCCGAGGATGATCCCGTTCCATTACGTCTCCAGTGCCGGAATTGGGAATTTCTCACCCGGGGTGCCACTCACGGAGACCTCCATGGCGTCCGTGAAGCCACCCACAGATGGCTCCATGGGCTACACTGCCTGTAAGTGGGCGAGCGAGGTCTTTCTCGAGAAGCTTGTCAAGGTGAACCCCCACTGGCCCATCTGTGTGCACCGACCCACGCTCATCAGCCGCGACGACATCCCCCAGCTTGACGGAATGCACAACATCCTGTGGTACGCCAGGGAGCTCGGGGCCATTCCCAAGTCGGAAGGCCTGGCCCGCGGCGTGGTGAACGTAGTCGGGCTGGACACTGTAGTCGCAGGTGTTTTGGATTGTGCACTACGGGGCCACGCCGACAGCCAGCCTGGCCGTGTACATTTTGCCAACCACGCGGGCCCGCTCGACCTGCCGCTGGGTGACACGCGCAGATGGGCCCTGGAGCGGACGGCTGACGGCTATGTCGATTTCTCGGGTACGACACTGGAAGAGATCCCGCTGCACGAATGGGTTCGCAAGGCTAGCGAGCTAGGCATGCACCCGATCATGAGCGAGTTGCTTTCCACTTTCGGCCGTGACGGAGAAGTCGAGTTCCCCACGATCGGGAGGAAGTCAGGTAGCCTGACTCACGCACTTGATTCCGACGGTCCGGACAGGGTGGCTGAAGTGGTGTGCGAGCGTTGACCTAGTACAGGATTGAGTACTTCTGGTACTGTGATAACGGTGCAGCAGTTGGCTGTAAGCGAAATGGAAGGATTTCCACACAGCGTGGGCGGTGCAGGGCACCGGACAAGCGAGCGATGTAATGTTGTGAAAGGGTTGCTTGAGGGGTGGCGCTCCTATTGCCACCTACAATGGTGGGGTGGGGAGTATTCAGCCTATTTTTTATCGTCGTCAATAATTGGTCTCACTACAACCACCAGATCCGTTTTGAGTCTGCGGCTCCGTGGCTAGGCCCCTGCGCGGAACGATAACGAACAACCTTGGAATGCAGCCCGACGACGCGGAAGTGGGGAAATCTCACCAGTGGATAATCCTCTGCGGCACAGCGGCCTTAGGGCTGACACAGTACAGGTCCTGAGCAGGGCTTGAACATGCTTTTCCGGCGACCGGGTCAATAATCAGAATTGGATCCAGCTGAAAGCTTTCTACGGGGCGATGCATTCCCTTAGCAACTGCTTGCAACCTGCGAGGTGGACCCGCAGGGCCTTGATGCCTCCTTTCCCGTCTGCGTGCCCCTCTTGACATTCCTTCCTCAGGATCAAGGACGTGAGATCTAAGAAATCCGTGGCGCTAAGCAGGCCCTGCTGTTCTCTGCGACGTCTGCTTATCCGAAGCTCCTTGGGCAGGCCCAGCAGCGCATCCAGCCTTTCAAACAGGCTCGTCACAGTCTCTAAGAGGATAAGGATTTGCAAATTTCCAGAGTCGGAAGCTTGCTTTGGTATTAGTATGTGACTCCATAGCCGGGGCTCCGGTGGACTTACGCATGTAAAAGTTACTGTTGATGCTGAACCTCAGGAGCGGACGCAGGTGCGGGTGCTCACTCTCGGAAAGCTCTTTGAGGTGGTTGTGCAGATGGGCGAAAACGACCGAGTGGAGCTTCAGCAAGCGCATATAGATCGCAAGGATGAGGAGCAAGGACGACATATCGAGCTTCTCATGCGCTGGTGGAATGGTGATGGGCGACGGCGACTGTTCGGCCGACAGGCTTGTGTCTGCTGGCGAGCCCAGCACACTATCATGGTCGCAGATACTTATGCTGGAGGCATTGCTCGGTCGCTTGTTATGGACTATTTGTGTTGACGTGTCCGCTGCTGACCCTCCCACAGGTGGCATATGGGTCTCAGCCAGCAGCTTGAGTATAGCTGCGAATTCCGTCGTCCTGTTGAGAATCTGTTCCATGGTCGATGGGTGGAAGGTGTCCGTGCTGCTCTCAAAAATCGCCCCCATCGTCAGCCCCGGGCAATCCTTCGTGACGTGGGAAAGGGTCGCCATGAGCTCATGGTGAAGTTGCGAGAGCTTCCGCGGAGGCGTGTCGTCCGCCGGCCTCCCATTTCTGTGTTCTGTCGCACTCCCAGGCCTGGTATGTGCAAGATCAGAGCCGTCGATTTCGCCAATGCCCCAGGGCAGCTGGGTGTTCTGGGCTTGCAATGAGGGTGAGGCTGCAGAGTCGGCCGTAGATGGCGAGGCGCCTGTTGGGAAAAAATGGTCCGAGAAATCCACAAAGTCGTGGTTGATGCTTCCAAGGGCTCCTCCATCCAGGCTTGCTCCCAGATCAGGCCCGTAGAGGACATCTAGCGGATGGGATGGATGCGCGTTCGCGTTGCAGTTACGGTCTGTTGCCAAGTTGTTGGCAGCACCCGTAGGGTTGTGTGCCGCATATTCATCCCGCAGCTGCTCGTCCAGGGTTCCGTTCGACTCACTTGGCGTTGTAGCCGAGGAGGCTTGAGGAGATCGCTTCTCGGCATGGCGTCTTTGACGTTTCCTTGGTTGACCACGCTGATCAGGCGAATCAGCAATGAGGCCAACTTGGTCGACTGTGCTGGCGGCCGGAGGTTGCCAGCTGCGTAGCCTGAAGATTGGGCTTGTAAAGCACGGGGAGTCGGTTCGGGAGCAACGATCACACCGTGATTGATCTGGCTGCTGTGCACGTAGACATCTTGCCTTAGCAAAACGGCACTTGTCGCAAGCAGTCCGCCGGGATGAAATGCCTGCAACGGCTGCGCTCTGTTGTTCAGGTACCATCTATGGGGCTAGGTCCGCGATGTTTGGCCAGGAGATCCCTTGGCAGATCTTCTACTTCGCAGAAAAAAACCGGGGTGACTTGCCAAGATATGGTCTCTACCTGCTGGCGGGCTCAGGGCCTCTAGGTCGCGGCCCAGGGCTGTCACCCAATCGCTTAATGACCTCGGTGTTGGTTCAATAGTCTACCAACATTGGACGTACTCCCAATCCTTCGGGGCGACCCAGGCGGCCCAGGCCTCTGCATCTCGGTAGCCTTGGAAGGTGCGTTGAAGCTTGGTTCCACGTTGTTGGCTACGATACATGGGAAATTCCGAACAGTATCGGGCCTTTGGATTTAGTACTCCCCTTGAGACTCGCTACAGGGGTTAGTTACTAGGTATATTCAAATTAGCACCAAATCGGCCTTTTAAGTTAGAAGACAACACTCCACAGAGCGGGCAAGCCCCGAAGCACAGCAAAGGGCAGGGAGTAGGGTCAATAGGCACGACCTGAGTTCCCAGGCAGCACAGCACATACTATTTTGGTTCCTTAAAAATCAATGAGATGTTGATCCAAGATGTTGATGGTAAACGTAGGGCGACCTTTCCTCTTTGGGCGTAGCGAGTCCCAAATTCAAAGGCCTGATGGATTATGGTTGTCGCAATTCCTCGTAATTTGCGCGTCAAGTTTGGTGCCATTTCACTCTCGCCCATGGAAACCCGCCAGCTGGCACTTTTGGGCAACTACCCGGGCCACGTGGCCCCGGAATGCCAGTCTCATTGATATTTCCTGTCGGAGAAAGTCTACTCTGAGTATCAGTTGACGGAGGATCTGGTGCGACATCAATAGCATTGCATTGGCAATAGGCTCTACTTACCTACAGGCCTAGTTTGGTCTCAGACCAACAACTTACCTAGGTCGGTTGCGCACAAAGACCAATAGCAGTAATAAGATAGTACAGCTCAAGTTGAGAACGACAAAACCGCTCAATACCGATGCAGGATAGAGGCATAGACCCCCTCAGGGTATTCATTCCCCATGGGGCGGATAAGGCAGGGTGGGACTCACCGGTGCCGAGCCGGCAGTTTGGCCCGGGGCCTCGGAGACTCTCAAAAATCGCATTAATCAGCGCCGGTGATCGCCCCTTCAAGACCCCACCATCCCGAGATCCCGTCCATGACGATGGGCTCGACAGCGGTGTGCAACTTCACCTGGCACTTCTCCTCTGGCAACGGTGATCGCTGCGGCTCATAGGATAGGAATTCGAAGCCCCATCTTACCCTTCCCACGAGCAAACCAACGAGCGGTCCACGACAAACCCCCCCCCTCCCCTCCACCCCCAAGCAAACAGACCGAGAATCATGGGAGCGGCCATCCCCGACCTTCCGATACTGGAAGACGACGACTCGATGCTGTCCAGGAAGTTTGGGCGCGAGGTGTCAAACTACTTCGCCGGCAGCCCGCTCAACCGCGTGGGCTTCCTGCGGGGCGACCATGGCTTCCTCCGCTCGGCCTTCTCGCACCCGTCGGCGCGCTTCCTCCTCCTGAACAACCTCGCACCCCTCGTCGACGACACCGAGAAACGGCTCGCCTATGTGGGATACTCAGACGTTACCCCATTCACGGGTCCGGACCCGTTCGAGAAGAGCGAGGAGCAGATGATCAAGGATTTCAACTCGGACGAGTTCAAGCCGCTCATCCTGCTGCTCGGGCTGGACGAGGCGAACAAGGTCCCGGCGCCGGCGGGAGACCCGGAGTTCAAGTACAAGGAGTACAAGGGCAGGCCGTACTTTGCGGTCGACGTCACGCCCAACGGTGCTGGGGCTGAGGGGGCCAACAAGGTCGTCGACGCTGTCCAGGCGAAGGGATACAAGTTCTACCAGAACCAGAGGCATCTGGGGCTGGCAGCCAGCGAAGGTAAGGGGCACCACCACCTTGCACGGCCCACAAAACTCGAGACATGGAATGCTTGCTTGCTGACACTTGGCTCGTTCTACCCCCCTCACAGCGGCCATCTACGCCAACGCGCGATCGCTCCTCGACTGGAACGGGCGGATCCCCTTCTGCGCACAGTGCGGGCACAAGACGCTCTCGATAAACGCAGGCACGAAGCGGTCCTGCCCGCCGACGGACCTGGCGGGCGGCAAGCTGACGGAGCGGCCGGACTGCGCGTCGCGGCACGGGGTGTCCAACATCTGCTTCCCGCGGACGGACCCGACGATCATCGTGGCGGTGGTGAGCGCGGACGGGCAGCGGCTGCTGCTGGGGCGCAACAAGCGGTTCCCGCCGCACTGGTTCAGCACGCTGGCCGGGTTCCTGGAGCCGGGCGAGTCGATCGAGGAGGCGGTGCGGCGCGAGGTGTGGGAGGAGAGCGGCGTGCGGCTCAGCCGGGTCGTCATCCACAGCTCGCAGCCGTGGCCCTTCCCCGCGTCGCTCATGATCGGCGCCATCGCGCAGGCGGCGCCCGGCGACGGCGAGAAGATCGACCTGGGCCACGACCCGGAGCTCGTCGATGCGCGGTGGTTCTCGACCGAGGAGGTCAAGGAGGCGCTGCAGGTTGGCGTCTCTGGTATTGGGGAGCCGGCGCCTGCTGGTTACAAGGAGGGCGGCCTGCGGTTGCCGCCCCACACGGCCATTGCGAACCGTCTGATCACGGCTGTGATAGATGGGTTTGTCGGCGGTGGTTCCAAGATCTGAGAGGCTGGGATATAGATGGGCTCAAGAAATAGACAAGACGCTTGAAGCAAGGAGTTGTTGGAGTGGCACGGCCTCCTGCTGTGCGATGGTGGGCGTTGCGTCGCATCGTGGCGTGCTCTCGACCTGATGCAAGATGCCGTATTTTTCATCAACCTTGGAACCTCGGTAGTGGCTCCCCCATGCGTTCTGATCTCAATTCTGAATTGACGGGAGATTAAATCATCGTCGAGAAATGTCGAAGGGGAATCATGGTGCATCAGCCCATCAGCCAGCCAATGGCCCATGTTGAGTCTCCTAACCCTACAAGCCAGGCGCTGAGCCGCTCCAAGCAGCTGGGCAGGCGGCAAGGTGGGTACCTCCGATAAGCCGATAACAGAACCGCCCTAACCCAACCCGGCATGGACCCACATTATTTCTCAAGCATAAAACTTCAATCCAGCGGCGCGTCGCTTTTTTGCAACTTTTCTCTCTTCTCTCTATCAGTAGAGGAATCCCTGGTACACCGTCAAGTGAACCAGGGAATCTTTAACCACTGGAGGCTCCGCTACGGCGGCTTGCTGAGGGTCTTCCCATATTCTCTATGGATTTTCTTCCGTTCCCGGCCTCCTTGAGCAACGTTTTTGACCACCTTCTCCCTTCTTTTATCGCGCTGGACTTCGTTTCTAGGTCCAGTGCGGTGGGGTGGTCGCGACATTCCAACAGAAACATACATAGGATTTTGTAGTCATGATTTTCGCCCGAGGGTCAGCAGTTAGCAGCAGTCCTAGAACTCGAGGGGCTTGCTCTCAACGTGTGCAAATTTGTTTGCAGATTTTGCCCAGCAGACGCGCCTTGCGCTTGCTTGCCAGCAGCTGTGCGGGCGAGCCTAGAGCTCCCCTGCCGCGAATGTGACAGGCACGTCTGCATGAATGCATGCTGCTGTGGTGACCTCGTCAGATAATCTGTTGAGACAGCTTCTCAGTTACTTCCAGAGGGACAGTCTACGATGAGTAGACTCCATTGGACAGTCTCCCATAGGATAGCCTCTCATGGGTTAACCTCTCACGGGACAGCCTGTAAGGCCCTCATGTCGCGCACTGGAGAGATGCATGTGCAGGCTGCCTCACATGGCATAGCCCTTTGGTGAAATAACCTCATAGGAAAGCATCCCTTTGGAAACGTTTTCTGCCTCGTAGTGTCGGTACTGGTTTGGCTAACTCGCTACAAAAAATTACAAACTACGGGCGACCACATCGTGAACCCAGTTGCGGGGGCAATCTGGACTACCGTGCCGTACGGCAACCGTTCTCATCAGCATGTAGCTCCAACAATTTCGATGGCATCAGAGGTCAAGAGACTGTACTTTCTCTATCAAGCAAAGAATTCAATTACATTTGAACTGCTGGCATATCGCTTCACTGCCCGATGTCTTCCTGGGTTTGCAGCCTCTCGAGCGCTTTGCCGCCGCGCCGGATCACGTGACAAAGCCCACTTATCCTGACCAACCAGCGCTGTCCCCACCGCCCGGTCGAAAAGTCCCTACCGCTCCAAAAATCTCGACTGCCTCGCCCGCTCCACCCAGTCAACCTCATCTACAAACTTCGTCAACGCCAAGGCGCAACAATCCTCACCATTAGAACCACCAGATTTCTATTGGAAGACCGTCAAAATGTCGAAGATCACGGTCGCCGGAGTGCGCCAGAACGTGGCTGAGCTGCTCGACTACTCGGAGAACACGAAGAAGAGGTTCGTGACAAGGCTTCTCTTGCGACGATTCAGCGAGCTGACCATCCCAGGAACTTCCTCGAGACCGTCGAGCTCCAGATCGGCCTCAAGAACTATGACCCCCAGCGTGACAAGCGTTTCTCCGGCACCATCAAGCTGCCCTCGGTGCCCCGCCCCAACATGAGCATCTGCATCTTGGGTGACCAGCACGATATCGACCGTGCGAAGCACGGTGGTGTCGACGCCATGTCCGCCGACGACCTGAAGAAGCTGAACAAGAACAAGAAGCTCATCAAGAAGCTCGCCCGCAAGTACGATGCCTTCATCGCTTCCGACACCTTGATCAAGCAGATTCCTCGTCTCCTGGGTCCTGGTCTGTCCAAGGGTACGTAAAACCCCACCGCCGACTCTCCTGGCGGGAAGGAGAAATGAAGAAGAAAAAAAGGAAAGACATGAATACTGACAGAACGTGCAGCCGGCAAGTTCCCCACCCCCGTCTCCCACGCCGACAACCTCACCGACAAGATCACCGAGGTCAAGTCCACCATCAAGTTCCAGCTGAAGAAGGTTCTCTGCATGGGTGTCGCCGTCGGCAACGTCGGCATGGAGCAGGAGGAGCTGATCGGCAACATCATGCTTGCCATCAACTACCTCGTCTCCCTGCTGAAGAAGGGCTGGCAGAACGTTGGAAGCCTGACCATCAAGGCTTCCATGTCTCCCCCCAAGCGTCTCTACTAAGCTGGCGTCGCATCTGTGATTGTGACGGAGATCTTCGCAACATTCGGAAGATCGGTATTCGTTTCGGTGCTACACATCAGTTAGACAATCACTATGAATGAGACACGACTTGGACTCTCTGAGGCCGATCAAATGTTGCACCTGTCCCAAAAACTTGGTCGCCCGTGAAAAACGTTGCGTGACGATGTTCAATCACACCAGGAAACTCGCGATTGGTGCGAACAGTTGCATCGAATCCTACTACCCCACTGATGTGATTCCCTCTCAACCTCTGTCCCTCTCTTCCCAGACATGTGGATTCTCCAATTCACAGACTACGTTGCACTGCACGACAAATCTTCTAACAACCTCCCCACCCTGTCACACGTCCTGACTAACATTACTCCATTGACCAAGCCTCCACGAGTCACCGGTTTCATGGCGACTGTCGCGGGAAAGAACCCGCATTTGCAACTTCACGATCGTGTCTGCCCGACGTTAGGCCTCGCACACCCATGAAGCGGAGGGTGCCGTTCTTGCCGGGCCGTGATGCCGTGCCTCGCTCGGGCATCAGAACCATCTGTGGAAGTCCAGAGTCACATGCACCTCTGCCCACGCAATCTGAGGATCACCCTAGCGAATCTGGGTTCATGATGATCGGGCAACACCCATGGCGAAATCATTGATGCCGTGTCTGGAGGAGCAGCTCCCACCACAGTTCTCCCAATGAATAGTTGATGAACATATAGCACAAGACGTCAGTCCGAGCAAGATAGCCCCCCTGTGCCGATGCTATTCGCAGAGGGACAAATCATCTCCCGGTGGCGATCTACTTTCTCGTGCCGAACATCCAGCTCATCTCAAGTCGGTGGCAGTTGAGAACTGACGTCTATGATCGTGAGGCCCTGCCCGCCAACTCGCCAACTCGCCCACTGTAGCTCGGCGCGTCTCAAGAGATGCGTCTCAGCATCGGGGTCACGTCACAACCCCACGAACTGGTGGAACGTCAGCCGGATGGTGTACACACCCCCAGATGGATGCCACGCTCCATGTTTATTACTGCTCAATTTTTTACCACCATCACGAGCCAGAATGACAGACGTCAGGGCCGCCGGCGGCGCCGCGGGCGGGACCAATGAGTCCCCCCACCGTTGCATCGCGTGCACCTCGGGCCCCTTGGGTCGGGTCTTTTCACCACGCGGCAGAGTCGCCTCGCCAACACTGCCGTGCGAGCTTGGTTGGCTAGGTGTGGTCTGGCCCGCCCGCAGATCTTAGATCACATATTAGCATGAACCAAATGGATGCTGGCGGGAGTTTCCCCAAGTCCGAGGGAGCGACACAGAGGCCGTAGGCCACCAGCGCAAAAGGCAGCTGGTTACAGTTCGCAGATCACTGGCATCTGTCATCATGCAGTCCCGCAAACGGTTCACCACACCACTGGCAAGGCCGTCGGGCGGGCTGGCTGGCTGGGCAGACTGGCAGAGCAGGCAAGGGCAGGCCAGCACACAATAAGCTCTGGATCTAGCTCTTGATCTGCTCGGGAACCAAGGGGCTGTCGAGGGAACCCCCGGATTGTCAAACTCGATGCCTGGAAAGCGATTGGCTCTTCACGTGGGATCCCTCGCAGCGGGCGGTGGCAGCTCCAGAGGAAGGCCTGCCCGGTCTGAAACGGCTGCTGGGGGAGGGCGGCGGGCCACTCACCGATACGCGTTTCCTGTGTGTGGGTGGGCGAGGTTATCGAGGATCTTCACAGGGGTCCTCCACTTCCGAAACCCGGGCGCCCACGTCAGGGTTGCATCTCCATACCAGAGTGCAAGTCTCTCCCCCAAGGGCCCTCACTGAGCAGAGACTCGTCTTCTGTGGACAGTGGCTCACTCGAGTCGCCTTGTCCGGTCAAAATCCTGGCACCCGGTCACTGCGGGGAGCCCGTCTTGGTGAGCCGCAGGTGGAGCTGGGCAGGGCATCGCTCAAATAAATGTATTCCGATTGGCCTTGCAACTCGATCTGTTCCCGCCCGGCTTCGGGCCAGCCATAGGGCCGGACTTCCAGCACCAGATCTGGCAACCAGAGCCGCCTGACGTGCTGCAGGGACATCGGAAGCCGTTATCTGACAGTGGGGGTGGGATGGCACCTGAGGGATGGATACGATGCGATGCGAGACAGTCGTATAAAATCTCCGGTGTCCTTCGGCCAGCCGTCATGCGGGAATGTCCCGGACAATAGGATGGCGGGCCCCAGGGCTCGCGGGATGCGGGTTCCACTGCCTCGTCGGGAAGTTCGCGGACAGGTCTCGAGTGTCGGGTCTCGCTTGCCTCGCCAGCTGTGCCGCTCGTCCTGCGCTTGCGGGTTAGCAGCGAGCGTCTGAGTCCTGTTCCGGAAAGTCGGAGCGGAAACTTGGGGATGAGTTATAACAAACTTCTCGCATGGCGGAGTCTGAAAAGAGAGGCCGCGGAGGTTGGAGCGCTCCCCATGCGTCACCGATCGATAGGCTGTCGAGGGCGTTCGTGTTCCTTTCCCGCGCGCGCAGTGGCTCGCCGCCGAAAGTCAAGAAGGCTAGCCTGAATCCAATTATGGTTCCCACCACTACGGCCAGTTCGCCGCATTCTTTTTTGTGTTGTGATATAGATATTTGCCTATATTGAAACGCCACGACCGGCGAGGCTTCTGAGATCCGGTATCAAGACACAGCCAGCACAGCACAAACTGCCTCGATCCCAAGATAGCTGCTAAGCATCGGTCGGCAGGGGAGTGAGCATGCAGCCCAGTCCCGACAAGCCCTTCGCTCGCCCGGGTAGGGCAAGGAAGAGTGGGGAGCAAAGATCGCGACTGGATGGATCTTGTCTGTATTCCCACACATTTTCAAGGTAACATTGGCGTCCAAGCGTGTGCTACGTCGATCAGTGCACAGTTGCTCGCGGATATGACTTGCAAGAGTAATTACTAGTCCACTGGGACCACCACTCAACACCGCACCAGAGCCTCAGAGCCTCAGAGCCTCAGGGCCTGAGCCAGACACAGGTGGGGCGAGGCTGCGTGCCACAGCACGCGATTAGCTGAGTGCCACACTCTTGGGGCGTTTCGCCATGTTTGTCTGGGTCGCAACCATCGTTTCCCAAGATTTCAATTACGCTCCTAGCAGTGTGACAGATCCACACTAAAATCAAGCCAGGCGAGTTTGACGACCACGAACACTGCCCGTGCGCTCCTTGAAACACCGAGGAGCTGCCAACTACCGGAGGCTAATATGCATCCAGCTCCCCCTGCTCCCTAGCCACAAAACCCCAGGTATTCTCGACCGCACTCCTGGTGCTGGTCTTCTCATAGCATTGCCATTAATGCACAAACAGAAAACATCCAATCCCAAGGGCTGCCAAATTTGGTACACCGCGAGGCATCTCAAGTGTCCTGCTGCTGGCTGTGGGGGCGTGATCTCGCGCCGCCCGGCTCAGACCGAGAGAGGTTATGGACACACACACACCCCTGGAGGTCGGAGTCAGCCTGCCCGGCGGCCCAAAATGATAGCTCACCCACAGGAGGGTGCGAGACAAGATATGGCTTACCTTACCTGGAACAATGCCACCCCCATCGTGCAAAAAGAAAACTAACTGGTGTGTCGGAAAACTAAGAACCGAACGCACAAGGTGGATTGGCCAAGGGTCGAAGATTGTGTGGCTGACACTTCTACCGTGCGTCACTCTCGATCCCCATACCGAGGACTACACTGACCAGTCCGCAGCTGCCCACTCCCAGGGGGGGAGGGGGGCCACATCTGTGCCTCATGACACCCATTGTAGCATTCCTCTCTTACGCACAGGCATCCGTGCTCGTCGTCAGGGATGTGGCACCACAAAGTAGCTGCCAGGCATGCCTGGGCCTGGCTCTTTCTTCCCGTTGACGCCGGCTGTCGCCGCCGGGTTGTTTGAACTCCCATCAGCAGTTGTCTGCTGGTGTCAACTGAACAACTGCTGGTCTCATGGACAATAGCACTCATGCTATTTCGTCCGGAGCCGAAGCGACATAGATAGGGTCCTTGGCCTGGACAGGGACTACGTCCGAATGATGATTTTCCCGGCGCCCACATGGGGTCAAGGGCCCTTGGTGTCAAACGCAACACCACCGCCTTCCGCCCCCTTCCTTTTTCTGTCTGAAGTACTACGCAAGCCACTAGACGACCGGATGAGAGCACTTCCTTTCTCTTGCGAAACCCTCTCTCGGTCCCCAAAGGTCAAGACTGACTCGGTGGTACAAACGTTGGCGGCCCACCGTGAACATGTTCGTCTTGATGTTTGCTTGAAAGAGGCCGGTCCATCCCACCACTCCACTCCTCCGCCGGCCGTTTTCTTTCCTCTAGAAGAACTCGCCACTTTTCTTCCCTTCTTCTCGAAAACCTTCCCAGCTGCCCGCACCGAGTCCTTTCCCCGCTCGGCGAAGGTAGCTGGCCGGTCCATCATCAACCCAAAACGACAATGTTCTTCCCTCTGTCCACCCTGCAGAACTGGCCCACGCCCAACTATGTCAACCCCGAGAGGAGAGGACCGGCGGCCACCATCATCCTCTCCGTGCTGCTTGGGCTCGTCACGCTCATCCTCATCATCCGCATATACACCCGCGTGCGGATATCTCGGGGCTTTGGGCTGGATGACGTGCTTATAATGTTCGCCTATGTAAGGCCTTCTCACCTGTGGTCGCCTTTATTCACCAGGCCAAAGCTGACAGAAAAGCAGATACCAACGGCGGCGTTTGCTGTGCTCTCATTCTTCGCCATGACGAAATTCGGCTGGGGTACTCACATATGGGATATCCCCCCAGAGTCGACCAAGCAGAGCTTGCAGTTCAGGTAGGAGCTTCGGTGGCAGACCGTCGTTGCCAACTCATCGCTGACAATCGTACTCTTTTAGCCTGGCAAACCAGCTATTGTTTGACGTCTCAACATCATTGACTAAGCTGTCAATGCTGTCCCTCATTTACCGAGTGGTAGCCGTGGAGAAGAGCCGCTACAGATACGTTGTACTAGCGCTGGCAGCCATTGTCTTCTCAGACAGCCTGATTTTCTTCTTCATCACCACCTTTCAATGCCGGTACATAACTCCTTGACCTCTTCAAAGTAGATAATTCCCACTAACCAAGCGAATAGGCCAGTCTCAGACTACTGGACGCTTTCATTCGCCCCCCAGAACTGCATCAACGAAGAACGACACCTGCTGGCTGCTGGATGTATCAACACCGTCACTGACTTCCTCATCGTCATACTCCCAATGCCATATGTAGCCCGGCTCAAGCTGCCAAGGAAGCAACAAATTATTATTGTCAGCCTCTTTACGGGTGGTCTTTTTGTCACAGCAGCAGGCGCCGTGAGGACCTACATATTTCACATCACGCTCACGGATCCCGCTCGGGACTTGACATGGAATTCATACGTTATCATTCTTGTCAGCGCACTTGAGCTATACATTGGCATTGTAAGTCAACTTTTAGGCGCACTCACACCAGGCAAGTCCAAGAAACTCATCGTAACCTTCACAGATCTGCGCCTCCATACCCGCCATCAAACCCTTCGTCGCCCGCTACCTCCCAATCATGCTCGAGAACCCGAGGTACTGGCTGTCCAAGCCGGCCGAGAGCCGCAGGGACCCCTTCGACAGGCCGTCAGCAACAGGCAAGGGCCTCGAGCCCGACTTCTGGCTCGTGACCGCGAGGGACTCGAAAGCGACCTTCAACGACGTCGAGTCGGCCTCGGGCCTGGTCATGCAGATGCAGCCCCGGCCGCCCATGCCGGGCATGCCCACGCCGACCCGGCCGCCGCGCACAGTCTCGACCCTGAAGGCGGGCAAGGCCCTGTCCGCCATCACCACCGCCACCACCGCCACCACATCTACCGCCGTCGACGACGATCACCTCTCGGTGGCCTCGGCCGCGTCCGCGGTCCCGCCCCCACTCAACGTCGTCAAGAGCCCGCGCCACAGCACGGCCAGCTCGAGGCCCCTGGACCTCAACAAGCCGCTGCCCCGGATCGGCACGGCCGTGCTGGACGCGAGCTTCGCGAGCGAGGCGCAGAAGCACATGAGCAGCATTTATCAGTTTATCCCGCACGAGGACGGGCACATCAGCGTACACAAGGCGCGCAAGAGCGCATTCGGTAATGGGTGAAAAAAGTAAAAGAGCAAGAGCGCAAGATACCCGTTTATTTAATTCATATGGGCGATCAAAATTCGCAAAAAGGAGGTATTACACTCTAAATGCGATGTCCCGTCATTCTTGAGAAGCCCTTGTCCTGGATCAGGACAAGGCAGGACAGACAACTTCCCTCCGTCCCTTGGACCCCCCTAGCCGGACAGGACCGGCGGAGGCAACAAAAGGGGGCGGGGCGGATGGGAGAGACTGCGGCCGTACAGCAGATGCTGCGCCGCGTTTCGCGCGGACTCGATCCGCCAGTGATGTTCTCTATGAGTTTCAATCACTCAGAGAGCCGCCGAGGCTCGGAGAACGAGCGGAGTGCTCTCAGGTCACTGCTGCTGCTTCACAGGCAGTCAGTCGCTACTTGGTGCTCGCGCACCCATGGATAGCCAGTCAAGGTTTTAACGGCCTATTTTCTTCTTCTTGGGTTCAGATACCTAGATAGCTTTCAACATAATAATTCAAACGGAAAATCTTCATCTACAAACTTGTCAGAAATGACCAACATTCAGTTCTAGGTCTTGCCGCCGCGGGCGTGACAACCGCTTTTGTTCAGTCTTTCTCACACGGTGCCAAACTCTCAGTGACCGAAGCGGTTCTGAGACCGAGTCTGAAAGATTCCGATGCTTGGTATTCCAGATCACCTGATGCCTTCCTTGGGAGGTCGGTCAGATGTAATTACACAAGCCTCGGTCCCTGATATTTCATATTTCTAGCCTCCGGGTAGACGATGCCTCCCGAAATCCAATACCAAAGAAGCAGCCGTTCGTCGAAAGTAAAGGCAAAAAGCAAGGCCAAAAAACCATAATGCCACATGGGCGGCAGTTCCTCCACAAACACACACACACACACACACAGACATGCCCGGGCACATGCACCCAGCCTTCCAAGGTTTTCCCCCCCCCTTGCCGTCCGTTCCGATCGGTTTTTTGTTTCCGCGCAGATCCCCTCGCCCTCCCCAACCCCCCGCCCGCCGCCGCAAGCATCCGCTTCTAAATTCGGTTTGTCCCAAGTTGCGAAACATCGGGCCCCGCCCAATCGCGATAGGCGGCCGTTGGGCAAGGAGGACCGCCGTTGTTTTTGTGGGGACTCCGCCGCCCAGAGTGCGGGCGAGAGGGTTCGCCGTCGGACGAACTCGCGGCTTGGGTTATTGAAACCGCGCTATGCCCACACGAGACGGCGCGGTCGCTCTCCCTTGGCGATGGCTGTCGGCGGGCGATTCGGATGAATTGGATCTGGTGGCTGCTGGCTGTTGTGGCGCTCGACTGTGAAACCCTGGGGCGGTTTTCGCTTCGATTTTGGCGGGCTTTTCTTTGGTGGCGCGCGGCAGGAAAGAGAGGAGACACGAGGTTTAGGCGCCAGCTCGAGAGTATATCCGGCCACTTGATATAATATCATATAGACGTACCTACTGGATCTTGGAATAGGTATACGAGTAATTTATTCACCAAGCATAATGTGAGCTGTCCGTCGTGGCCACTGAAGCTGAACCTGGTGTCCCCCCTGTTAGCGGTCTTTTTGTCCTCGTGCTGTATTCAAAACAACAGTAAAGAAACTAAGAGCGAAGAGGCTTGCGCCACACTCACAAGCTAACCTGGCGCTTTTTTCGTTAGGGACCTTGGAGTATTGGCACATGATGTAGGTAACGTTATTGGCGGCTTGGGAGTCGTCATATCGAACTGTAGATGAAGAGACTGACAACCCTTTGGGAACAGGTCCGGCTCCGATATATGAGGTAGTAGATCGCCGCTGACGGCATTTCGCAGCGCTAGATGTTATCAAACGCAAATTACAAATTATTCGCAGGTGCCCGACACGCCCAGTCAAGGTCCACCGAGTGGCAGTATACTATGGCCATGAGTACTACCCAGGTAATCGCGAAGCCTAGTTGTCGCCATGGAACGTACAACGGGCACATAGCTAGCACATAGCTGGCGCCCTCGCTGCCGAGGGCGCCCTCCAGAACTAAGACAGAACACCAACAAAACACGCACTGCAACCCTATCGAAAGTTCGATTCGTGACCTATCGACACTAGTCATTGTGCTTGGGCCACGCGACCCATGATGGGCACTATTAACCACCCTCACATGAGGCTCATCATATCACTCGAAACTCTAACAAGACTCGCCAAGTTCGCCCAGGATTACGGATAGTCATACATAGCCTTATCAGCCAACAGGTAGGTAGGTAGGGAGGGAGGGCAGCTCGCCCGGCATGCAAACAAACGGATCATCTTCCGCCCCCGCCCCCGGTGGCCGTACCCGCGACGCGATGGCCGTGAGCCTACTTGCGATGGTAAGACTCTGGAGCTCGTCGATGTGCACTCGATACCAGGGCCACAAGGCAAGGACTGGGCTCCATCAAGGCGTTCTATATTAGCTTCGAGCATGCATGTGGACTCGAGGTCGCTGCATTCTCAGTTCTGGATGAAGGAACCCGAGGCCAATGACTGGCGTGTAGAGCTGCATGAAGCCGCGTTCGTACCCGTCATAGTGGCTGGTAGGGCATACCGGGGAAGAAGCCTAGGAACCACACGTTGCCGCAGTAAGAGGTGGATTCCCCGCGCGCGTTCAGCGCTCGGAGTCGTGATGGTCATACCGCGGGGAGGGGGGAGCAAAAAACATAGGATCCTCGATTGGTTGCTCGAATGTATCATAGCGGACGGCCACAAGGTTGTCCTTCATGTTCATTCCGATAAAAGGGGCAATCTTGACCAAGAGGATCTAAAATTGCTTCAGTTCGTCACGCGGCCTGATATGCGTCTGAGAGTCTGAGGCTCAGGGCGAGTTGGAGGCGCCGCCAGAAGTGGGTCGGTCTCTAATTTACATACATAGAGTGTGTACATATGTATGTGTATGTGACGCCTCCATACAGTGGTAAACGCTCACGACCCAGCTCTTGAAGAAAAGCACAATGCCAATCGCAGGGCAGAGAGAATACCATACGTGAGCAACCGTGAAACAACCCAAAATATCTACACAAGTCTCCAAAGGTTAGTTGCCCCAAGCAGCTAGCCAACCCATCAAAAAGAGTGCCTTCTCCAGATTCTGCTTCAGTAGCTTACCTACCTAAGTAGGTAATAATTTTGCAGCATTGATTTCACCGGATGAACCCCCGAGCGTTGGTTTCAACACAGGATGTCAACCCACCCACAGGTCAGTCTTATCCAACGTGCAACAAATCTCCTAATACGAAAGACATTGTCGTATCAATGAACAACAGTAGGAAAAGGTTGGCCCTCGGACTTGACCAACAAATTAGCTGCAGTTTAATTCAGTATTTCACGTCCGAATAACACGTAGCATGGAAGGGCCTCAAGCCGAGTCGGGTATAGTTGGTGACCCCAACTTTCTAACTGCTTGATGAGTAAACCATCATTCACCGTTGCACCACATCACCTGACCAACCGGGTATCGCAGTTCGAAACATATTTACTACATTTTCTATACCCCCAAGGTTGCTGTCGAAGTGCTTCGATATGCCGGAGAGAATAAGACTTGCTGCGTCAAGGTCCTTTAACTTGGTAGCCACGGTGTCTGCCCGCTTCCCTCCAAAACGCGTATTTTAGAGATACTTGTCGCTTAACTAGTCTAAGTAGAATCTCCCTGTTATTTGAAGAACACAAAATAAGTATTTTGGCAGGGAAATGTGTGGTAGCAGTGGTACTTAGTTACCTAGGTAACTTGAAGTAGGTGAACAGAGTTCGATGTTGTGTTCGAGGAACTTGGTCTCTACGTTGTCTGAAAGCATGTGGGCTCGGCGACATAGGGGCATTGGGGGTTGAAACCAGAGATATTAGCAATCAATGAGTCAAGCGTCAGTGCGGGTTTGTAAAATGATTCGAGTGAATTCAGAGTGACTTGCCGGAAGAGTAATGGGCCCTGATGGGAGACGCACAAATCGTGTTCGCCGGGAGGGGGTTGGGCTAGGCATGAATCTACTTAATTCGTCTTAGATTCTAGCCGCGAGGAAAGGGTTTGCCTGTTACTTCAGATACTCCTTCGAAAATTAGAAATCATTCTACATTGGTTCCAATCTTAAGGTGAAAGGACTTTCGTTGAAAATGGCCGCATTCAAGAGTGTATTGCTCATCGGAGTATGTGTCCTGTGTCCCTGGCCCTTGATTGGTCACTTCCGGCTCAGCTCTTCCTGAGCTTGCCAGCGGTTGAGGCTGATTTTTATCTGACTTACCTCTAAGCCGGTGGAAGCATCGGTGTACCGGCTCTCCAAGCATTTCTGGAGACTGGTGCGTACAAAGCCAATAAATTAGCCCGGAGACGTTGACGTCGGTCTTCCCGCTCAGCGTCCATGTCTTCAAGGTGAAGTACCATTACCGCGCCGAGCTTGAGCGCGCGTCAAAAGGCTGAGACGTCGTGTTCAGAATGGTCTCAACGGCCGCGCGACAGGCTTCGGGAACTTCCTCCCCAGCGAGTTTGACCCCCACCCCCAGGAAGCCACGTTTGTGGCGCTGAGTCAAAGTCTCGGGCCCCAAGGCAGTCTTTGCCGACTACCTCAAGACAAAAGAATCACGAATCTCATGGAGGAGTTTGGTGACCGGCTCCTCCTTCAACTGGGCGTTGCAGAATGGCTTGTTCAGCTTCCGATATACTACCGTAGTAGACCGCAGGCATCATCCCGATGTCGACAGCAGCACATCCGAGGTCTCCGCCTCAACTATTCCATGTATCTATCGCTCAGGCCGTGCTTGCCCGCCTTAGGCATACACGCAGGTGAAACCAAGAACCAGTACGTGGTTATAGGTGAGCTTCACATTTAGTCACCGGGATCCATGTCCCCAAAGGCATTGGAGAAGATCCAGTGCACCAAATGGAATATCAACCACCGGCTTTGTTCGCCAACGGGATAAAGATGAAACAGGCGGGTGATCCTCGGTTCGTCACAGAGTTCACAAGATCTGGAGCATCAAAACGTCCTCAAGGACTTGCCCAGATGATCCGCGTACAACAACAGCCCGACGTGGCAAAAGCCCGCGGCCTCTGTGTGTATCAGACGTGGATAGGCGAGCGTCCCATCCCTGAGAGCCATGAAAGACGTCTTAGGACACAACATGCTAACGCATGTGACCAGTCCCTAGCCTTGCGGCTGGTAGTCATCTTTGCAGTGCTTACTTGGGCGGCAGAGTACTTAAGCAGGCACCTTAGTTAGTGCCACCAGTAGACTGTATCCAGGTGGCGAAGCGAGCACACACACACACACACACATGATGCAAAGGAGCCAAGCACGGCCCTTCACAAAACCCATCCAGGCCAGACATCCCGTCCAGGCCACACAAACCCGCCCAAAACACACACAAAAATGTCGTGTGACACTTGGCAAGCCTTGCTTGCCCCTTGGTCCTACACGGGGAGAGAGAGAGGGGCAGGGGGTGTTGGCACCCTACACACTGTAACTATGTATCTAGACGGCGACTCCATGGGCACGCACGCGGGCACTGGCATGGCCCATCACCAGTCATCTCCCAGAACCAACAACAAACAGCTCACACCTCACCATCTAAGATCCATCGTCGCCCCGGCTATCCACCCGGGAATAACAAGCAAACATATACGATAACACCAGAATGGGGGGGAAGAAGGGGTGTGGGGTGGGGAAGCGGGTGAAGTGGGTGGGAGCGCCCGAGCTCTCTCTCGCGTGAGGCGAGGCGAGGTGAGGCTTGGGTTGGGCTCCTGTGCTCACTCACGTTGGGCTCGCATCCATCCATCCACCACGTCCCGTCCAACAAGACACTCACTCACTCACTCCCCGCCCGACCCTCCTCGCAGCCCAACCAAGACGGCACGAAACCAGTGCGGGCGAGAGGGCGAGACGCCGCCCGTTCAGCAAGCAAGCAAGTAAGTAAGCAAGGGACTTCGGGAGGGCAGACAGACAGCCAGAACAGAACAGACCCCTTTCGGTGCCCGACTGCCACCCGCCCGCCCAAAAGGGGCACGGCACCCAGCCAACCAGTCAGTAGCCAGCGCCGACGCACAGCGGAGCGGGCATGCCCGACGGGGTTGAGTTGAGTGGTCGGTTTGGGGAGGGGGCGGCGAGGTGATCGTCCCGCCTCCCTCCAGTCGCTCGCTGCCCATTTAGAACCTGGCCCGAGTCGGTGTAGGGAGGGCAAGGGAAAAGAAAGTCGGTATAGGTATAGGGTAGATATAATTAAACGTAACACAGACGCACTTGTGACTTCTATAAAGAGGTCTTGCCTGTGTTTAGCTGCTCACCCAACCTAACCCATCTGCCTCTCTGTCCGAGTAGCCGCTGCTGTTTTCTGAGTCCTGAGCCTGGCCGACAACCCACCTCCTCATCGAGATTAACCGGGCAAAGGTGTTCATGTCTTCATCCGCCAGTCAGTCTGTTACGAGCAGCCGACCGATGGCGAAGCTGGTCTCTCGCGCGTCGTGCGGTCACGATTGCGCCGCGTGCTGCTGACCGTCGACGAGGACCTCCTGAAGTCGGATCGCAGGACGGACACGGACACGAAAACCTGAATGGTCACCACGCCCGTGGCAACATCACTACGTGAACTTGACAGACACGCCTTGGAGGACGAGCGACCGGAGACCGGAGACAATTCGACAACGCAATTTTCTTATTTTTCTTTCGTTCCAACGCTAACCCGTATCCATCCAGAAATAGCAGTGACCAAACAAACGTGCAACCTCGCTGACGCCCATGAGACAGAAAGGAAAAAATAAGGGTAAAAAAAAAGAAAACAATGCTAAAACTAACAAGATGATTCTGTTGCCTGGTGCTTTGTCCTGTTCATCCAACGAAGGTCGCCCTTCGATACAAGAAGTGATCTATGTGTTTACATGCCCGTCATGAACCGAAATCCTCGAATGCAAATTATTCATTCTCCATGTTGTTTTGTGTTCAATGCATCAACAATCAATATCAAATCGCAGGTCAATCACTGCCTGCGATGGCGCTGGGCAGGTTCCATTCCTTTCCCTGGGTCGCTCCTTGAGGTGGCTGTCCTCGGCGCGTCTTCCTTTGGTAGGGAACGTTGAAGTCAAATTTGGTGGGATGGTCCCGGAGCGTCATTCTCGTCCGGGGACGCTTCAAGCATGGGCTGCGTCTTCAGCATCATTTCCCGAAGGCAATTCCTGCCTGGCGCAAGATGGTGCGAACCTTCCCGGGCGCGATGGTATGAGGCCAGCGTCGTCTCCCGCTCGACACGGCTGGGCTCGTGGAGTGTTGGGGACGAAGAATAGGTCCTCATTCTGGCTCAGTCCAGGGGTCGACAGCTCTTTGCACTTGCAGTCTATGGTTTGGAAATTCCTCAGTTGGCGTCTGCAGTAGTGTGGTTAGAAATCACTTTCAATACATGTCATGTTGATTCCCTCGCCGGGGAAGACGATATAAAGATAAACTGACCAAAATTCATTCAGCCGGATTGCTGAGCGAAATGGTTGTATTGCTGCTGGACGAGGCCTGGGTGGTTGTGGGCAAACAGGTCCTTGTGGATCCTTGTCATGGCATCCAGACGGTCCCGGACAGCGTTGATGTGTTCCATGACCGCGGGGTCATCCGCCTGGGGGAAAGAGGTAACCAGACTAGGAAGGGAAGCCTGGATCTCGGCCCACTCGCCGCGGAGCTTGATAGAGGCGTCCTCGACCTTGGGCATCTCCGCGTCCATGACCGGCTTGGGGGACTTGCGGCCAGGTACGGCCTTACCGGTGGGCTCGCTCTTCCTCTTCCTGGTCTTGGACGACTCCTTCGAGATGCTTCCGCTTGGCGAGGGAGGTCCTGAGCGGGCGCCCAGGGTGGACCCATTGTCGTTGTGTACGCGGCGCATGTGGTCACGCAGGTTCCAGTTGCGGGGGAATCCATTGCCAGGAACGGCTCGGTCACATCCTTCATAGGTGCACAGGTAGGGCTTGTCTCCGTGTCCATGCATCGCGTGGGCCTCACGCTCGTGCCTGAGGAGACACGCAGTAGAAGAGAACCTGGCGTTCTCGCACGAGTCGACCTTGCAGCGGTAGGGCTTCAAGTGGGAGTCCACGAATTTGCTGCGATCATAACCGTTAGTACTCGAGCACGGGGGTCACGGGAAACCTGACGGTGGTCCGTCTCCACTTACTCATAGTTGCACTTGAGCTTCTCGGGCTTGTGGTTGCAGCTTGCTTGTCCCTCCCACGGGCAGTGGAAGAGGCCGTCCGCCTTGGGATACGCATTCTTGTAGAGTGGATGATCCCGCGCAGACTCACCTTCGCCGACGGTTCGGCGACCAGTCCAGCCAGCCATCGAGACTTGCTCGTCTCCCATGGTGGGGATCATGTTGGCTTCAAGGTCCTCTGGTGCCATCATGGGTTGAGATGCGTGGGCGGGCAGGCTGAAAGTGTCCAGGGACTGAAGGGCTGGGGAGTTGGAGGAGACACTCGTAAGGGGCGAGTGTTGCAAGGCCAGCGGCCAGACTTCCTCCCTCGAGGCGCAGGAGCCCTCGCTCAGGTTGTCCCAGGACTGTGCGGGCGACCCACCAGACATGCTGGTGTCGAAGTCCAAAGGGATGGCATTAGGGTTCACAGAGAAATCATTGAACGCCAGTCCGGCGACGGGCAGACCGTCCATCTGGGGGTAGAAGCCTGACGTGACCATCTCCGGCGATGTTGTCATGGGGGCAGACTGTTGGTAGAGATACTGGGAAACGTCCATCAAACGGGTGTTTCCGAGTGGCCCATCCTGGAACGTGCTTGCAGCATTACCTGAGATGTCAAATTTCGACGCCATGGAGGCGCCCTGAGACATGATTGACTGAGGCCTTGGCTGGCTCTTGCTCGAAGAACCCTTCGAGATCCGGTGGCTCTTGGCAGGGCCGCGTGCGGAGATCCTTCTCATAGGCTCAGCCTTGTGAGTCTTCTCACCTGCAGCTGTGGGAGCTGGCATCCATGTGGCTTGAAAGTCCTCGGAAGAAGTGGTTTGTGGTTTCCCGGCAGAAAAGTGGCCCATTGTGAAAGAATAATCCTCGGCTTCTCCTTGGTCTGCAAAGAAGTTCTGTGGTCCTTCTACTGTCGTAGTGTCCCACGCTGATCCCGAAGGATCAGCTGATGGTCCTGTTTGAGAGAAAGGAAAAATCCCGGAAGAGTTTGGAGACATAACACCGGCTTGTGTGTAACTGTGATCGCAGGTAGGAAGGTTAGTGTGCTGTTTTTTCCACTACCCCGTTTTTTTTCAACTAGAAAAACAGCAAACAAAAACAAAAACAGAGACATGTCATCGTTGGCAACAACTTTGTTCCTGCAGTCGCGACAGGTTAGTGTCTACGCTCACACGGCCGTCGTTTAAGGTGGGGACTTTTACAGACCAACTTGGGAGGCACTCCTCGATGGGCCAGGCCGGTGCGGGTTCCAAGGTCCGGTTGATCCAGGCAAGTCGGAGTGGAAGGATCCGGTACCGTAGAGAACCTTGGGTCGGATAAGATGAAAACATGAAATCCAGGCGAGTTCTTCAAGTCCTGGCCATCGATAGGCACGTTGAAGACGGGTCACATCCAGAGCTTGAAGCGTCAAAGTTGAAAGACACATAGTCGTGGTCGCGAGAAAGCAGCACAGCGTGCATCCAGCAGGGCCAAAACAGAAATCAGAAAGAGGATGATCCTAAGGGTCAAGGTCCGTGGCTGGACTGGTGAAGCGTCCTGGGAGCGAAAGTGTCCATGATATTTGGCAGTGTCCTTGAGGAAGATGAGTCCATGTGCGGCTGCACAGCAATCGAGATTAGATTGCGTTGTCAGGGGGTTCTCCAACAGACCAAGCCGCAGGGGCTTGGAGCTGTCGGTTCACCACGACTGACGAAAGTCCAGTCCACCCAGTAAGGCCTGGGAGACACGAGTGGCCGGTCCGTCCACCGGTATGAAAGGGATACCGCCCTTGAGTCGAGTAAACAGAGAAGTCCGATCGGCCTTGGAAATCCGGGGCAAGCAAACAAAACTGTGAGAGGTCCTGAGGAAAATCCACTGATCCTGGGCAAAATCTGTTTGTAGCAGTCTGCGCATCCAGGGTGATACTTACGCAAGTCATATCAGTCGAACCAAGGCGCTGGGTGTCAAAGTTGTCCGGGTTTTCAACGGGTCAAAGAAACATCATGATCCATCCTTATCCTGGTGGTGTTGCAGTATCCGTTGGCAGAACAAGCTTCCAGAGAGAGTAAGAAAAGTCCTTGGGATCCGGGCTGCTCCTTGTGGTGGGTTTCTCAGTCCTGGTATGTTTGGGTTCTCCTTGTCCGTCCGGGAATAGCCTAAGTGGGTCCAGGTCCGAAGGTTGTTGAAAAACAAGACTTGGCTCAAGACATGACAGGCTTTCAAGAAGCACACAGATACGCCTCCCAGGGGATAGACAAAGGAAAATCAAGTGTAGTATACCTAGAAGGGCTTTGGACTTCGCTTCTATCCAAGTGGTATCCGGACATGGTATCCGAACGGTTTGATGTGACAACGGTGGTCATCCTCTCCAGAGCGGCTGCTCAAAAATCCCAGTGGGTTGAATGTATCAACACCCGACGAATTTTGTCAAAGGTGATTGATACACGAGTGGTCCTTGTGTGTAACAACTGAGTGTGTTGCTGCTCTGCACCACGGCTGTGGAGGCAAGAGGCGTGAATCCTTGGGGCGCGAGTACAACGGCAAAGTTCCCCAGAACAGGCCTGTTCTCCTTGTGGAACGATGCTGTGTTCAAAAAAAGCAAAGCAGAGATATCCTTTGGGTCGAGAAAAGGAGTAGTTTTGAGTAGCAAGATGATAGTGGAGCGAGTCAAGCCCGGGCGAGCAAGAAGGACAAGATGGGGGATGCTGTTAAGAAGTGGCGAAAACACGGCGGGAGATCAGCAGGAGGAACCGTGTGGAACTGCGTGGTCGTGAGTTGGTTGGGCAGTAATGCCTCAGGAAGCGAGCTGTAAGCTGTGGGTGCGGGTGTGCGAGTCTCAGGTGTGTGTGTGTTGGGAGAGGAAAAAAGAAGGAGGGGGGCACGATGGGAAGTTGGGCACAGAGAGGGGCCGCTTTGGGTTTTAAACTTGCAGCGACACGGACAGGGCACAACCAAGGCAAAAGGCAGTTGCGGGTGGGGCCCTCGCGTGAGGAAACAGGCCCCACCTCTGTCTGCTGGCGACCTGCCACTGGACGGAGCTGGCTGCAGCACCCTGATTCTGGTCGACTCGACCCCTGCGAGCCTGGTGGTGAATGACACGGCACCCCTGCCAATCAATCTCCCAGCCCTCCCTCCTTGAGGGCCCCTTTCCCCTCCCACCCAGCTCATCCAGCCCGTCCAGCTGCTGCTGCCAGCCATCTTCAGCTCGCTCATCTCGATTGATGATGACCATGCCCAGTTCCCATTTCCCATTTCCCGTCACGAGCAGACCAGCCCCATCTCCCAAGCACCCACGCTGGCCTGCGTCTGCTGCTGGCCTGCTTCTGCTTGCTGCAATGCACACACACTTTCCTGCTGCTGGCCCTGCTGGCTCTGCTTGGGCCATCACGTCGGCCGCATCATGCGAGCCCACTTTTGAGTTGGAGTGACGACGCGCTCTGACGCCCTTCTGGCCCTTCTGGACCTCTCTCCTCTGACCTCTGAGAGCCCTCTCACCATTCTCTCACACACACTCTGCCAGTCTGCTCATCCTCCTGCGACATGTGCTCGGCCGTCACGCTCCAAGCTTCATCACCAAAGCCAACTTTGCCTGCTTGTCTGGTCCGGGAAGCTTTCCCAGCCAATGATTGCCCCATCGGGGGGGTTGGGATGGCTGGTGCTGCCTCTCTACTGGCCGGCCATACAGTAGCGAAGACAACGCATCCATGCAAGAGGGCAACTCTATCACGCCAAGCCCCTCGCCTGATTGGCTTCTCTCCCACCGCTGCTTGTCGCCAGCCTGCCAGCCCGCCTCGTGCGGAAACCTCGGGATGCGCCGTTAATGCTGGTCGTCTCTTGATGACCATCCATCCTTGGCGGGTCATCCTCATCACCAGCGAGATGGCCACTCTGCTACTTCTGCTACTGTGGTACACTACCGTACAGCAAGACCACCAGGAGCAAGCCCCAGGACCTACTAGGTGCACGAAGCGCCCGCCGTATTTCCGGACGCGCAATACCGGTCATGCGCGAGCGATTTTCATGGCCGGCCCGTCGCCTAGCTGTTTGAGAAGCCTGTTTCCTAGCTCCCGTGCGAGTAATTCTCCTGACGATCAGCCACCGTGGGCACAATGGCTTCATCACAAAGCCCAGAATGGCCTTGATCTACGTGGTTCCGTGGCTGGGAGAGCGTGTCGGTTGCGGGTGGCTGAACCTTCACACTCGTCCAGTCGTCCAGATAATGTCCTGTCCTGTCTGCCCATGTCCACCACCGTTGTTGTTGGGGACGGGGGTTGAAGTTGCGAGCAACGTTGCACGGCTTCGGTTGTTGGATATTCCACCCATATCCGATACACAGTACCCTTCCCTCGTGTCGGATCCGACCCGATGTCACATCGAGCGATAACCTCGCTTGCTGGCATACTCTCAGAACTGAAGACTGTCTATTCTAGGAAATGGTGGCTACCCAGCTCGGGTGCGAAGCTCCTACGGAGTAGTCTACACAGGAGAACGAAGCACCGCTTGCAAAGCTCGTCTGGCTGGCTGCAGGGAGGGGTCTCTAGGCATATTGGTTTTCATTCGACACTGCCCTTTCCCATATGCTTTTGAGCTCTTGCTCGCCCTCGAACCCGACATACGCAACTTTCTTGAGCACGTTGACGGCTTCTGGCCATGTTTGCAGGTGCAGCATCGCGCTGAGATCGCGAATGTTCCGCTCAACCAGTCTCTGCTTCCGTCCCAACCTCTCGGGGCCACGCCCGGACGATGGTGTTAGGCTAGCCATGGCAGCGCTAGAGAGCATCACGTTCCAGAAGGAGAATGCTTGCTCGGCAAAGTCGGTTATCCCGCGTTGCACAAGTCCCTCGAGGTCTATACCCAAGGAGTCGATGAGGCACAAGACGATTTCGTTGCTCATGCGGCCAGGCCGGAGCACCAAGCTGAGGTACATGTACGCGATCATACGGGCACTTGCAAATCCCGGATCTTGCTGTTGCCCGCGAGTCTCTCTCAAGGCGCTGGCGGGTTCGCAAGCTGGATTGGCGGACTTCTGGTCGTCCGTATACCACCATGCGTCTGCTGGCTTGGGCGACAGGCCAATGAACAGCACGCAGCGTAAAGTGCGTTGGCTGATATTGCTGACCGTCGACAGCAGCTGCTCCTGCACGTCGTCTCTTGTGACACAACCGATGGCCCTAGTAGCGCAACTCTGGTCAGCATTACTCGTGTAGTCGATGCAGGCACAACATCTTCACCCACATTCCCAGGAACTTTTGCAGTAGGGTTAGCTCTGCGGTGACCAGCGAACCACAATAGTGATTTGCCGCGGTGACAAGGCCGTTAAGGTGCATGACCACCGCCGATAGGGCATCCGGGTTCGTCTACAGATGTTAGATGAGATATCGAAGTCGGCATTCGCTCTCAACCACACCAAAGGAATCCTTACCTCCCAAGAAGCAGCCTCTATGAGCATCAAGCAACTGATTGTTGCCATGACGGACTCCCCCGTCTCTTTGGATGGACTCCCGAGATTTTGCTTGATAAAGTTGAAGGCATTTTGCTTAAAATGGAGGAGAGGGACTTGAATGTGCTCTGGCGTGTTTGGTGTGATATCCACATCTGACGAGGTACGCCCGCTGCGGCCAGGTCTCCAAGGCGGCATAGGCAACCTGATCTGTGTCAGCAAGAATCCCGCGCGCCGTGCATATCAAGTATTGATCATCGAGCTGACGACGTCTTCGGCAGGTCACAGGACCGTGTTCAGGCGGATCGTCACCTACTGAAACGATGCTGCTGTTGACGAGGGCGGAAAATCAGTCCCACGGTCGCGTGCAACTGTACAGCACCCAAGTTAGTCATCCACCCGTAATAAAACCAGGAGGTGCACAAGCATACGCATGCAGAACAGCCACCAGGTTTTCTCCGACAGGTCGTCTGAAGTGCCGGAGAAGAGCGTCGTGGTGAAGTTGTCAGCCCTCAGACTCGACCAGCCCTCGGCCTCTTCGCTGCTGGACACCGATTCCGATATATCACTCGCCCTGGACTGGCCTCTTATTCCCTCCCTTCTCTGCCTGAGCTCACCATCACGACCGTCCGACTGTTCCACGGTCGATGTGGAATCGTCATGGTACGAGCACTCGGACCCGCTGCGAGCACAGCTCGCGCTGTGTGGACCTTGTCCGTCAGCCTCAAGATCTCGTTTGCCCGTGTCGCTAGATATTGACGACCAAGGTCTCGGGGCTTGATGGATCCTCAGACGCTGCGCCGGGTCGGGACCATCCAGTGGAATAGTATTGCATCACTCACCAGACTGGCCTCGCTTCATCACATCTCACGTGGCGCCTCTTACACGTTACACATCCATTGCGACTTCTCCGATGATATCTCCGTTGCCGTTGCGGGTGTGGGTTCCCCGACAGATATGTCGATCCGTAAAACGCCATGAGTCCCTCAAGTTACCCGGGGCAGTCACCTTCCTTCGCCACTGACGGACACCGGCGCTGTCTCTTCTTATGAGGCAAGTTCCGAACCTATGATCACATCGGCCGACCCACTTGGCAACAGCAACGTTTGACAGCGGCTCACATGCTGTTGATGTACATCTTTACTCACGACGTCCAGATCCCGTCGCTCCTGATCAGGTCGGAGTAGTCTAGCCAGATAGCCACACCGCCCCGATCAGGAAGCAGCCAAATTACAAATTGGCACAAGCTGGCTGCCATTGCCGCGGCCGTCAAGATCGCGAACGGGCTGGATAGCGTCGCCAGATCTCTTGGCAGCCATCATTCAAATGATCCTGATGTCTTCAATTCTGCTGTCGAGCCGCCATCCAGCCACTGGGAATCCACGTGGGCGCCAGTCTAGCCTTGCATTGTTCCAAGAAAGTGCTAATTGTCCAGGTCAAGCACTTTGAGACGTCACATTAGGCAACCGAATTTCTATACGCTGAGAGAGCCGGATTGTCGGTGCCTAGGACTGCATGTCTTGAGACGCCGTTGTCCGCCTTTTGTGATGTGTGGGCTGCCGGGGAGCTAGACCCCAGTACTGATGCCATTGTGCATGCAGGTCCTGCGTATTTTCCCCTTGGTGACTCTGTGATTCTGGAGAAGAATTGCCCATATAGAAAGGCATTGCTTCTGTCGGAGACGTGACGGGCCTCGCAGCAAATGTCTGAGATTCGGCGCGCTCGAGGTCTGAAGCAAGGAGCCGACAGTTTGGGTTCGACCAAGCCGGCGGGAATCGGGACTCTGACGGTAGGAAGATGAAGTGCGCTATTGCTCGTTAGCACCCTGCATTTGCATGCCGGAATTCTGCTGCCTTGAGCTATGCCGGCGCCGAGTCTAGCGCCGCGAAGGAAGTGCGAGGGCCCAGGTCTACAATGCGAGATGTGCTTCTAGGCCAGCACATCTTAAAGAAGACTGTTCTGGAATTTGTTTCAGCTGATCTATTTCCCACGAGGCCATAGACTCTGAAAACGCATCGTGGAGACTGGAGACCGGAGACCACCATCACCGGGCCATAGTGGTATTCGGGACCTAATATTAGCACGCACCAGGGCGGGCCTCGCTGCTGGACTCGAAGTTTTTCGAACGGTCGGCCGCTCTCCCAGCAGATCGGGACCGACAGTCGTTAGACTCGAGCACTTCCTTTTTCCTGTGTTGCACGCCGAAACGTCAGAGACGTCATGGCCTGCCTGTCGTCACTGAAGCATAATGAGTCCTTCGTGGCACATCCGCAAACCATCCAGGATCGCCCTATGGCCTGGGAACGGTCTTGCGCTTGCGCCCGGCCGCGGTGAATCCCAAGGTTATCCCTCTCCCGGGCGCGCGTTGCCGACAGAAGATTTTGGCCACGACAAGACCTGTCAGGGCAGTTCATCACGGAAGAGAGATGACAGATGCAACGCCGGCACGAGCTGTCTCGGGTCTATCTTTGGCCGTTATGCTGAGAGCATGCTCACTGAGCGCTACCGAGACACCCTAGATCCCCGCTCGGCGCTCCCTATGACCCCAGCTCACCCGCCCCTGGAGGTTTTGGAGATTTGTTCGAGTGCCAACTCAAAGTTCCAACCATCTTCTGGAATTGGCGAAACTTTACTGCGAGCCTTGGCGCATCAACGTGCCCATGGCCTTCTCCAAGGTTGTACTCCAGAGCACCTCGCCAATTCTCGTGTGGGAAATTCCCCATACTCCTAGGCCCCAATGCCCCAACGCCTTACTCAAGACACGCAGACCCGGCCGCTGCGGCCGAGTGGACATGGCAGATTCATATTGCTGCATGTCTCCTCCCCAGCGCGTCCAATATCGGTTGCACGACTGTCATCGAAATGCTGACCTATCAGCAGGTTTTCTTTTTTAGACTTCAAGGCTACCGCCGTGTGAGACGGCGTCTGTATCTGGCATCAATGCCTCGGTTGGGCACCCCATTTCATGTTTCACTGCCCAATGTCCCCAGCTGCTGTCACCGCTGCCCGAAGACCTGGGTGCTTCCCTGCATGACATGTCCTCCATGATTCCACCAAACCTGGATTGAGTGTCAACCCTTGGGCCACGACTTACCCTCTTGTTACAGCCGTGGAGGCCCAATCGATGCCCTATTGCCCACGTCGAACCCACCGCTGCGCCGTCTGCATACCAATTGCAAATCATGCTGCTTTACCCAAGCCGGTCATGTCGGATTAGGAGTCTCTTGCTAAGCCCGCACGCACGCCCAATTGTGCGGTCTCAGGGTCGGCCCCGGCCCCTCAGCCAGCTGTCCACCAAGCTCGCTGTCCACGCTCCAGATGCGTTCCCTGAGCTTTGACGGAACCCCAAGGGGTGATTGCTGGCAGTTGTGCCGCGCTCCGTGCTCTACGCCAGGCATGCCTGTTTCTTTTTCCAGTTGCCCGATCTGCTGTGGTTCGCAATTGTCCACATTAACCACCATCCCCGTGCATGCGGCTTGAAGATCTTTGTCCCTGGTCCCGTGGATTGTGGATCCTGAAGCAGGGTGCCAAATGAAGCTGTCTTGAGCCAACCTCTGTCGACTCTTGTTCCTGCCGCCCTGCCTTGGCGATAGGCTTCGGCTACTGGTCACCTAGACAAGGTCCCCATCTTCGCCACCTCCCCTCAGGTATCATAGATATAATTACCCCCGGCCTTATAGGCGCACGTTTGGCCCGCGAGAAATATTCATCTGAAGTTATTCGCAACCCTCCCGGAGTTGGCAAGACAGCCCATCTGTCACGCAGTCATATATTTCCGAGCAAGCATTACGCTATGGTAGCAGCTGCTTCCTCACGTTACCCCGTTTTGGACATTCCAAGGACTAAAGACTTGCGAGTCGCCGTCCACTTTCCGGACCGATCACCTGGACAAACTGACCACACACCGCTGCACCACGGAGATCACACATCCCGGAAGGACTAATTGCAATAGCCGTGGGATCCCTTGGTGACAAGAGCAGTTTTAAACCAAACTCTCATGTAAACTTGGCCCGTCAGGAGCATCCCGTGGACAAACACCAGGAGAAGGGCGCCAGCTTCTACTCCATGATCATCGCTTGTGCCCACAAGTGTCTCTTTGTCTGCTAGTCTGTTTGTGTGCATTTTTTTTTCGCTGTTACCGGAGGCCGTGTCGATTTTTACCCACCCTTGGATATCCCGATACCCAGGACGCGGAGTCCTTTTATTTTTTTGTGCGAAGATGGCGCAGCCGGACTTTGCCTACAGGAGTTCCAAAGGACCTTGGGGAACCAGAAGGTGCGGACCACGAGAACATGTCCCGAACGGAGTCGTGCAGCTAACCCGAAGCAAAGCCCCATTGTGTACCAAGACCCGTACCCCAACGGAGGTGGTCGGGACATGATGAACGGAGCCTACAGCAGCACCCCGCAAAGGTAAGACCAGAGCCAACCATGTGGACCCCCTCGAGCCGTGGACAGCGAGAATAACAAGCCAAATCCCAAAGTATACAATACAGCGGGAGCGCCTCGGCGTACAACCTCCCAGGAAGCATATCGACAGTGACAGCGAGTCATCATGGACGATCCGAGACGGCCTACTCAAATACTCAAGCATACAACTCAAGACCGGTTTCAATGACATACGCAAATGGTGCGGCCCCGGCACAGGCCTATGGGTCCTACAAGAGCACGAGTTCACAAAACTGGGATCACCAGGGGAGGTTCTCGCCGACGGACTCGATGGATGATATCATGGCATCACCAAGCCTGTCTGACTACTCTATCGACAACAGTGGCGGCACGGGAACGACACCGCCGGGCAAGGCCCACAAGTCATCGTCGCACAGCAAGAGCAGCCGCTCACAACGGAGGCCGTCGAACCGCGACGAGTTCGACGGGCCGCATCAGTTCCTCCAGCGACCGCCGCCCGAGTACATCGCGATGCAGGAACGCGAGCTGCCGCACCTCCCGACCAACCTGCTCGTCCAGGAGCAGGACAGCGTGCTGGCGCAGGTCAACGACCGGCTGTCGCAGTGCGCGTACGACTTTGTCGCCAAGTACCAGTTCCCGATCCCGCTGACGCAGGACATGCGGCCCGTGGAGCGGCCGCAGGACCGCGAGTGGACCGAGTGGGTGTACCTGCTCAAGCGGCTGGCGACGAAGCGGCGGATCCCGGCCCGGGTGCTCTACAACGGGCAGATCAAGCAGTTCGTCACGATCCTCGAGAACAGCCTCGAGATGAGGCACGCCGCCAAGCACCAGAGCCGCCCGCTCAAGGACGACAGGAACATCCTGCAGCTCATCAGCGCCGGCATCCAGGTCGCCAAGATCCTCAAGGACGCCCAGGCCATGGACTACCTCGACCGGCTGTACGTCAGCACCGAGCAGCAGATCCAGGAGAGGGCCAAGGCCGCCGCTGCGAGGTTCAGCCGTGCCTGAGATGACCCGCACCGTCTTGATCACCGGGCGGGTCAGATCCCCACTGGGGGGATAAGGTGATGGTGTCGAGAGGTGTCACCTCGCCACAACAGATTTATACGTTTTTTATTTCGACAGTCCCGCAAGTTTTCCGCGAGGCCCGAATTCCTAGTCATGATGGGCTGCCCAGACCACGGGCGCCACCCCACGTTTCCGATCCACTTCATGCTCCTGACCCACGGTCGACATGTCGATGTCGGGTCAGGGAGTCGAGTATTTATTATACGTTTTTTTTCACGGACAGGAACCACTTGCCCATTCAAATGGAAGGAGCAAGATGCAGCAAGACGAATCAAGGGAGTAGGGGGAGAGGCCGCCATCGGGTGTATTAACTCATCCACCCTGCTCGCCTAGTCTTAGCCAGCCGACGAAAGCAGTCCGACAAAACGGCAGTGTACAGTATCAAACCATTGAAAACAAAAAAAGACAGGGGCATCTTCTTGGACGACCCCATTTTTACGAGACCCATGACAACCGCGAAAGACAAAAAAAAGGAGGAACACAGGATGGAAAGGGAAAGATAAATTGAGTGAATGGCATCCAGATTAGCGAGACGGCCTGTCCTTTGGTGTGGAACACCGATGGCGGATGGGACATGGGGGTAGCACTCCTGCCCTGCGGGAGTGACATGACTCCTTCACGGGCCCCCATCCGCTCCCGTTGCCGTCCCGCCATTCTTTTGCACCGCGAAAAGACCGGAAAGACCAGCATCGTTACGGCCTGCTTGTGCGCGCGCGAGGTTCTGGATGCCCGGGAGAAATTGGACCGTACCAACGGGGACACACTCCGTCATCATCAGCGATCTTTGGGATTTGCGTGCGTTGGGAGGGGGGGGGGGGGAAGGGACCCCGGGACGGGAAGGCAGGAAAGCGAGGGCGGGAAGATCTGACTTGGGGGGGAGTTGTTGGATGTCGTGCTTTTACTTTTTCCTCGCAATCGCATGCATGTTTACTCTGCCCTGCCTTGCCTTGCCCTGCCCTGTCATGACATGTCATGCTTTGCCACGCTTTTTTTTTTTTAAACTTCCCCGCATCTCTTTTCTCTTTCTTCGTCGACTTCCCTGGAGGACGGTTGGGAAGAGGGCGAGTCTGTTTCTTGCATTTTTTTTTGCTCAGCTTGTAAAGTTGCTCTTGCTCTTTTTTTGTCATCCGCACGCAGCCCATCACTAGAGAAAGCGTCTGTCTTTTGCGCTGCGTTGCGCGCGTTGGTCCCAGCCTGCCCCCTCGCAAGAAAGAAACGAGCTGCGCCTGCCGGCTCTGCAGTCCGGCATTGACCAATACTACAGCGTCTTGGCCCCCCGTCTGCTTCCCGCCCTAAATGGATAGGAAAAAAATGTAGAATTTCACTAGATTCGTCAAGGGGAATAACAGGTTGTGTGTGTGTGTGTGTGTGGGTGAGCAGCATGTGCGTTGCGCTGCGTGTGCGTGCAAGTGTGGTGGCACGACCTTGTTGGGAGCCGTCCCGATTGGGGGTGCTTTACATCCTTTTGCATCCTTTTTTTTCCCCTGGTGGCACGACAGCGATGAGATGTGTTGTGGGATGTCCAACCCCCCCAACTGCAAGTAAACTGTTTGTGTCGCACGGCATCGCTGATGCATTGCTGGGCGGTGTTTGTTTGCGGTGCGGTTTTCCCCGTGCCGTTGCTTGCTTGCTTGCTTGGTAACCGGTGACGACGTTCGACGCAGCATCATATGCATGCGCGTACCCGGGAAGGGGAGACATGACAACTGACAGATAAGAAGACGCAGCAGCTGCTGCTGCTGGGGGAAACCGCCCGATCGGCGTGCTTGGCTTGAGAAGGGGTCCGTGTTCCAGTCCGACCCGTCGAGTATCTGTCTGTATCAATGATGGCATTGGCAAAGGAGGACAAGAGGTGCCAGTACTCGACGCTTGCCGGGACACAGCCATCCCCGATGCCATCACCGGTTACATTGTAGCAGGCCCCACGGGCATGGCTTGCGTGGTTTTGGTGCGGCTGGCAATTCTGCTCGGTGGGCGGGTACGTACTCCGTATATACATAGCAGCAAAGAGAGCGAATACTACTTAGCTAGCAGACATCTGGATGATGCGAGACGGGCTAGAATCAGCTGCGTTAGGAAATCGAGGACCACCCTGGCCCCTGCTGCAGAAGGGACCGGCTTCCCACACCCCCCATCATGCCGAGAGCAAAGCGCTGGAGATTCTGCTTCTCGGTCACGTTGCGGGGGCCGCATTGGCTGGGCCGTCCAAAGCTACTTAGCCAGGTATCCTTGTGTCGGTCGCCTCATGCGGTATAGCGGGCGAGTAGCCCCGGGCGCTGGATGGTGAGCCACGAAACAATACCCAGACTGCTGGAAAATAAAACAACCTCCAAGCCCACTCTTGTCTGGACGCCCCCCCATGCCTCCCCGGGGGGCTGCATCTGCCCTTGATCATCCCCCGCGGAAGTTCCCTTTCGTAGACTCCTGTAGTGAACCTCTCTTTGCTTGTTGTTCTCAGGGACTAAGCCAACAAAACCCCCCCGGAGAATTATATTCGCCTCCGTCCTCCCCGCCCTCATATGCAGGTGCTTCCAAAAGCGAACACCCGAGCCGCAGGATACACAGAGGAGACGTGGCAGCGACGTCGATTTCTCATCTGCCGAGCTGTCGCCAGCCCCGCAGCACTAGGGTCCAGTTGTGCTTCGCGGTGACGGGAGGGAAGGGAGATTGTGGAGAGGGAAAAGCAAACCGAGAGGACGAGGTGGAGGACACAACACGGGTAGGCCGTTGTGTCTCGTCTCGGCGGGGAAGCACATCAGTGCAGGACCGCGCAGGACCGCGCAGGACAGGGAGGGACGAGATAACACACGCCTCATGCAGCTTCCCTAGCCCTGGTCCCGTTCTCTCGAGCCCGCGCGCATACACAGGAGTGCACATGAGGCCGTACCGTTAAATGGGAAAGAGGGGAACCAACAGGACCACGACGACAAGCCGCGAGGTCACAGCATAAGCCCTGCGCCGAACGCTCCAGGCGGGCGATACATCATCTTTTCCGGGCAGAGCGTGAACCAGGAAGAAGGCTAAAAGGAAGGAAAAGAAGCCCGCGTGGAAGCAGTCCGGCGAGAGGAGAAAGCTCTTGCGAAGTCGTGAAGCTGGATCAAAACGCGAAACGACAGCCTCCTCCTCATCCATCGCTGCCCCCGAGCGAGGAAGGGTACCACAACTACTTCCGTCAGGGACAAGGCGAAGCGTACTATCGCCCTCCTCGCCACCACGACCGGCCCGGCGAGCACCACCAGGAGGAGGGCATATTCAGCATCGAGGGCCACAGCCGCAGGAACAGCAGCAGAGAGGTCACGGGGGACGACATCCGCATGGCCTCCGTCATCTCATCCGGGACGTCGCCCATGTCTGGGTTCTCCCAGATGGACGAGGACATGGAGTCGTGGCAGTTCGAGATGGAGGGAGGCGGCAACGGCGCCGGGTCGCTCCAGGAGCTAGCCGAGTCGCTCGGCCTGGGCGCCAGCCCGTCGATCGTGAGCCAGGGGTCATGGGGTGTTGTTGGGACGGCCGCCCATCACCATCATTTCCAACAGCAGCAGCAACGCCAGCAGCAACAGCAGCAACAGCATCAGCAGCAACAGCAACAACATCAGCAACAACAACAACAACAACAACAACAACAACAGCAACAGCAACACATGCTACTGCAGACACCCTCACCGGTCAGAGACCACGCACTATCCGGCTCCCCCATGAACGGCGTGTTCCCCAATGCGTCCCCAGCCGGCGTGGGCAACGGCGCGGCTGGCTTCGGGTTCGCCGGCTCGCCGATAAATGCGCAGCATCACGTCCCGCAAGGCCAGTTCGTCATCGAGGCGCTGCAGCACGGGCAGACATTCGGCATCGAGGCAAACGCCGCGGCATTTCTCGGGCCTCCAAGCTCGATAGGTCAGTGAAACTCAATCCCGTCCCCTCCCCCTCGCATGGGGTTTGATTGCTGAACATCTACAGGGTTCGACTTCGGCCTGGGCAACTTCGGCATGTTGCCGGACGCTGGGTATGGTCATGGTCTCGAAGATGCCCAGTCCCAGTCGATGGTGCACCTGGACATCCCCACCTCCATGCAGACAGGCGTCAACGCTTCGCCGCCGTGGACTCACGTCCCAATGCAACAGGATTACAACGCGAACATGGTCCCCGGCTCGTTCGACAGCCACTCAGGCTCGTCCATCCGCCAGTTCACGCCGCACTCTGGATCATCATCCATCGATCTGAGCCCAAAAGCCTCACCCGGATCTCTGCAGTTCAAATTGGAAGGGGGGAGCAGGTCAGCCACCAGCAAGGCCATCCCCATCCCCACGGCGGACAAGAAGGACCGCGCCGCGTCAAAGGTGCGAAAGACCCAGAAGCGCAAGAACTCGAGCTCGACGTCGCCGCTCCTGTCGACGTCGGCCGCGTCCAGGCTCGCCGGGGCGGCGGCGGCGACGACAGCAGCAGCAGCAGCACAGGGGGGCACGCCAGGGTCAGCAGGTCCCGAGAACCCGGTGTTCCTCTTCTGCAACGCGACGCCGGACACGTGGGCCAAGGGCGGCGGGGGGTTCGACGGGACGCCAGACGCGTCCAAGGCGTCGCAGAAGGGCCGCAAGGGCGCGCTGTCGACGGACACGCGGGCCAACGCGCTGGCGGTGCGGCAGAAGGGGGCGTGCTTCTGCTGCCACGTGCGCAAGGTCAAGTGCGACCAGCAGCGGCCGTGCCGCAGCTGCGAGCGGTTCTGCGCGCAGGTGCCGCAGGCGGTGTGCTGGCAGTTTGACGACTTCACGCGCGCGCTGTTCCCGGGCTTCATCCGCGTGCACTTTGCGCGCGACGAGCTGGCGCGCTTCGTCGCCGACAACGTCGCCAGCTTCACGCTCAACGGCGCCGAGCACCCGGACGTCACGGTGGTGCTGTCGTCGGGCGCCGGCCTGCGGTCGAAGCTGTCGGTCAGGGCCAAGTTCTTCACGCCGCGGGCGCACAACTCGGACGTCATGGAGCACTGGTTCCACACGGCGGGCGGCGCCGGCGCCGGGGGCGGCGTCGAGCTCGAGGCGCTCAGGTCGGCGCCGCTGGGGCTGGACGCCGAGGGCGCGGGCCCGTCGTTCCGGGCGGAGCTGAAGCGCAAGCTCGAGAAGTACGTCGACGACATGGTGCAGGAGCCCGGGTGGTCGGCGCAGCTGGCGGCGGGCATGGAGCGCAAGACGGGCCTGCCCGGGCGCGTGCTGCTGGCGGCGCAGCGGTACGCGCAGCAGTCCGGGTCGGCCATCGTGCGGCGGGCGCTGGGCGTGTACACCATGTACTACCTGCTGGCGCACCACCTGACCATGACGCCGCAGTGCGTCGAGAGCCTGCGGCACATCAACCCGGTGGTGGCCAGCGGGCCGTGGATGACGCCGCGGCTGCTCAACCGGCAGATCAAGGCGCTGGTGGACGGCCTCGTCGCCGAGGGCGTGGCGGCGCTGTTCGACGAGTTCGGCAAGCTGCTCAAGAAGCGGCACCGCGACCAGTGGGCCCCCTGCACGGCGGCGCTGGTCGTCTTCTGCCTGCTCATGGAGTCCATCCAGGCCTCGGCCGACATCTACGCCATCTCCGAGATCGAGATGGACATGCGCAAGAACCGCCCCGCCGTCTTCCGCCGCGCAGAGGCCCTCGCGGCCAACAAGGCCATCGAGGACATGCCCTTCAAGCAGCTTGCCTTCCAGTTCCACCAGATCTACCAGTCGCACTCGAGGGACGCCTCGGCCAGGGCCTTCAACCCGCTGGTCGAGAACGCCCACGCCCAGGCCGTCGAGCTGGACAGCGCCGCGCTCGAGTTCGTCATGACCCTCAGGGGCATGGTGCACGGGGAATGTAAGCGTGAAATGAAAGCCCTAGCCCGTGTGAAGTTCGAACATTTGCACATCAGTACTGACACGACCTCCCCCCTGCCAGACAGCGAGCTGGACTGGCTGACGCCAGCCCCCATGGCACCTGCGGGCGAGAGCCACCCGTACCCGCGCAACGTCGAAGAGGATTACATTGGGCGCCTGATGTCCAAGTTCCTGTTGTCCTTCCTGGACAGCAGGTATATCACTGGGGACTGCTAGCTCCTTGTGCCAGGAAGAGAAGAACAGACCCGACTGGCGGCCATGGGTGTCGAGTGTGTTTTGCTTTTTTGTTTTCAGGTCAGCCTAGCGATGAAAGGGGGGAATCTCGATCACGGTATGATCTTTGGGTCTCAAACCGGCTCTGGAATGAGCAAGCCGACCTGGTTGCATGTCAATGCGGGAGTTACCGACGGGCGATTGGTTGGTTGACTGATTGATTGATTGATTGATCTGCTTTGCTTCACAGGATTCTATCCGAGAACGGTCTACTTGACTAGATAGAGGCGACAAGAAAAAAAAGAGACTGCATCAAGTGCAATATAATGTAGGCGAAAGCCATGGTTTTCCCCAGCCCCATAGATCGACGATCTCGGCGAACGGAGTGGAATATGGCGTCTTCAGTGGGAGTGTTCCACCAGGCTCAAGCGTTTTACCGCGAACCCGGCTTTCCAAACCCCGATTGATCTAGGACCTGTCGATTGGAAATTGACATCATGGGGATTTGATGGCTCCTTGGTGTGATCGAACTGCCTCAGCAATCAACCCTGAATTCGCACGAGGCGAACAGAGGATCGCTGGGCACAGGTCCAGTTGTGTGTGTGTGTGTTTTGTGTGCAAAGGGCCGTGATGACGGTATGACTGGTCGAGTGCCTCTCCTTGGCAGACGGCCTTGATGACTGAGCACGAGACTCTCCAACTTCAGGACGGGCCGGTCGGCAAGGTTGAGGGCTTCTGATGGAAATGACAGCCACGATTACGGCCGTCTCCTCCTCAGAAGCACCTTGACGCGTTCGAGGCCGACCAGTCGCGTGTCGAGTTGTGAGTGACCAATCTCTTGTTCATTCGCCCATCATTCGTCTTCCTCGCTGGTTTCATTTCCAGCTCGCGATGCTGGCGAGATGTCTGTCCTCATTAGTCCTGCTGTTGCACTTTGATCTACACCAGCAGGGTGGATTGGACGGGTTGTCTAGACCCTGGTTTTGCTCTTCCACTCGAACGATATAAAAAAGTTGACCGTCTTGTGCATAGAGAGAACACAGCGGTAGGCAATTCGTGGTTGAAGACGAGCGTTCTCGCTGTCTTTTGGGGGTGTTTGGAGACGAGACAAAGGAGAAGGAATGCGGCAGTCTGCCCAGTTTGCACTGGATTGACTGCCTGTGAGACAAGGAGAATGGCTTCAAACCTGTGTCGAGCTGCGAAGTCATATCCGTGCTGCACTCAGTTCCAGCCGAGAAGACATCTCGTCTGGCGGGCAAGACGCTGCTTCGAGCTGCTGCGACGCGACGCGCTACGATGCTGTGGAAGGGTGGTTGTGGCGTTTGGTAAGAGAAGAGGAAGGAGTGCAAAACGCAAGCGTTGACGTCGAAAACTTTTATGGGAGGCCGGGCCCCACCAAAGCTGTTTGGTTCGGCGCTAAGACATCTGGCAAGGTACGTACTCCGGCCTGGTGGGCCCCTCGGTCACGTGCCGCTTCTGCAAACCTTGCCTTTGTCCCGACGTCCTGGCTTCGTTGTTGGGTTTCTTCTTTTCTTCTCTTCTTCTTCACACTTTTTACGCACGGTTAATCAAGCGGTCTTGAATCCCCAACTCGCGATCGTTCATATTTACGTGCTAGAGCAGAACTGGATTTCTCTGCCCGTCATCATCACACGCCTGGCGCTGCTCTCACTCATTGCTGCAACGGGCAAGGCGGGCTTTCCGACATCTCCAACCGAGATCGTCCAACGGGATAAGCGCAATTTTAAGCGAGTGAGGCACTGCCCTCCATCCTCTATTGGCGAAGTTCTGGACGAGGAGGATTCTGACTTGCCGTGTCAGTCGGTCGGTGTCGGGACGCAAGGTGCTAGCTACGAGGACACCCACCTCGTCCAGGGTGCTTGCTCGGGCATCGCTCGGATCCTGGGCTGTCCTCGACTCTCCTGGACCTGCGCCTTGACACGTTCGCTCGCTCCACCCGCTCGTCCGCATCACACAAGAGTGCCGGCCTGATTCAAAGGCTGTTCACGGCTCGTCTTGCTCCTTGGCCTGCCTCGACGAACAGGGCAGTCAATCATTGGACTTACCGCAGAGTCAACTGGTACGGCAGAGTAGCGGTCGGCCCCCCTCTCAGCTTGGTTGAACAGCTTATGCTGTGCAACTTTGGGGGACATCATACCATCCCTATGGCGTTTTGTTTAGGCGTCAAGTTGTCTGAGTATAGTCGTCCGCATGCCGATTCTCGCACCATCTAACCCGCCCATTCGTTCGTTGTCCCTGCTAGGCAATTCTTCGACTGGGTCTGCTTCTCCCTACGAGCCATTGCGTAGCACCGCCGTCGGTCATTTGAACACATTGTCCGTTTCAGGAGTGTCAGTGGCTCCAACTTCTCACAACATCGCCTCACCCTACGGAGATCCCACGAACGCTTCATTTGCTTGCTCCTCACCGGCCTCTGCGTCATGAATGAACCAACAGTGGACCTGTCAATCAGGTTGGCAACCATTCTGGCTATGCCCAATGAGCTCTGGGGGCGGCCGCACCCGTGGTGATGTCCCCTTGCCACCCCTGACAGTCAGCCCGGCTCCTGTCACAGATGGCAGAGCCAATTCGAGCGAGCCCCTCGCGGGCATGGTCCACCTCGTTCACCTATGTGAAATTGCCTGCGGTGCTCCATGTTCTCTGTCAAGCTGTTGATCTTGTCGTGCAGAACTTTTGGTAGCCGGGCAGCCGTAGCTATAAATTCGACGCTTCGCCTCCGGAAGACGCTGGCAGTGGGATAGTTATGCAGACACTTCCATCAAACGACCTGGTCTCCCTCCACCACAGAATTCATCGGGCCCTCGTAAACTGATATTGCTTTTTGTCGACTATACTTGCTCACTGAGCCTAGTCTGCATCTGGTCGAGTCCACATCGTCCCACTTACGAGTACCACCACCGCACACTCACTATCTCCATCGTCATCATCGCCACCCTCTCCGGCAGTCAACCATGGCAATTGGCGGCTTACCCACGTTCCTGAACAGTCAGCCTCAACCGCAGCCACCGCCAAAGCCCCAACCACGGGATCCGAGTGAGTAGTCACATGAGCGCCCTGCACTGCGATGCGATGCGATGCGCTGCAAGGTGGGCCGAGGAGATCACGGCGCGGCAAATTTGCAGCCCGGATCGCGGTGCAGACATCGCCAGCTTCTGGGTTCTGGTCCTCCGGGATTTTTAACAGCACAACTCAGAGACGAAGATGGGCGGATTTTGGCTGACAATTGTCTTCATCAGCACACGGCTTGAGACCATGAGGAACGGGCTCCACGGGTCGGGGTGCCGTCTGGGGGGAGCGGGGCTCTACACCGGTCCATACAACCGGAAACAACTGGGATTTACCTCCAGGCACCTCAAGTGCCTCTTGACTGGCGTGCAGTAGCGCACGTCGCAGGGGTCAGATCTCAAAAGGGATGGAAAGGGTGCAGACAAGGGTTCTGGCACCGCTCAGCTGGGCTGGGCTGGATAAACTCTCATCTCCATTCAATTGCCAATTGGTAATCAATATCTCTTGTCTACATGCGCATCAGTGCTGTCGACTACGACAGGCAACCTCTACCGTGCCCATGCAATCTCCCACGCCCTGCGTATTAGGCGGAGATAGCCGTACATATAGCCAGCAAATCAGGAGGATGGCCGTCTATCCTGCTCTCATCAGGACCCGGCTTCTCACACCCTTAGAACCTTCTGTACAGCTTTCTAGCTTGTTCGAGGATTGTCACCCACCACCCCACGCGAGCCGTCTGACGTCGGCACCAAGAATACGCAGGTGGCCCCAGGATATCCCCGGCAAGCCAAGACGTGACTGGTGCTGTCAAGTCCCAAGCAGGATTCACTACCGGGACCGGTGTGAGCCTGCCATTGCCTGCCATCCTGCCATCCTGCCATCCTTACCCGGCCTCCTCTCAGGCGGGCTGCCTGGGTTGCCCATATCAGGCGTTCCCAGTCATGGGGCCAACCACCACTGCGACGCAACATCACCGATATCCAATATCCGCACCCGAGTCCCCGTGAAGCAGCAATCCTACCCTGCGCACACCACTCCCACCGAGCAGGTCCTGACCGGCACAACCAACACCCCACCAACAGCCTGCGAGCCCTCTCAGCCTGCCAGGCATAGGCGGAAAGGGCAGGCAAATCCCATACCGGACGATCGACGATGTCACCCGCGGCGCGCGACCAACAACGCTCGGGGTGCAACTCCGAGGCGTGCTGCTGGGTTGATTTCCCCCCATCACCACCCACGGGAACCTGCACCCTGTGGTAACCCCAGACCCGGCGCACCGCTCCAACCAGCTAGCCCTGCGTGGGTACGGTACCCATTTTACCACTGCGCCGGGCGGAAACGTGGCATTCTGGAAGGACGACGGAAACCGCCGGACTCCCTCGGACCAAGACCAGAAGCGCAGGGCAGCCGAGGATGGTGAGGGAAGAAAGGGCGGGTTTTATCGTTGTGCTCCCACGCCGTGCGACCAGGCCTGCCTGGCACGGCAGGGACAGCACCAGGAGCCGGTGTGGCTGGCCCGGTTGTGGGCCGAGCAGCCCAACAGCAGCTGCGAGGCCGGGCGGCCCTGAGGGGTGGCGTCATGCGAGGGGGGAGGAGTCTGGTTGCGGTGCTGCTGCTGTTGGTAGTATTGGAGTTGGTGTTGTTGGCGGTGGCGTGCAAGTGCATGTGGGCTTGTTGATGCCGACGGTAGCCCCCCCTCGTCATGGCCTGCGCTTCCGCTTGCGGCTGAGGCTGCGTCTGCGGCTGCGGCTGCGCCTGCACATGCATATCCTCCTGTCCCCTCTCCTCCTGTTTTTGCTTTTTCGTATGCACCTCGGGCGGTGCCGTCGTCCCTGCTGCTGCTGCTGCTGCTGCTGCTGCTGCTGCCTCTCCTGCCCCAGATCCCTCGGTATTGAATCGGCAGCGGGTCGCTCACTGTGCCGAAGTAGGCGGCCTTGGCCAGCTCTGGGTTGTACCCCGGGGAGGGCAGGTCTGGCAGGGGGCTGGCGGGCCCGAGGGTGGACTGATTATCTGGGCTCTTCGGCTCGGTGTTGGAGGGGTACTTGTATCTCTCGCCGTCCACAACACTGTTGTTGTTGCAGGTAAAATAGTCCTCCTCTTCGGCCTTATCGTCGGACAAAAGTACCTCCATGCTGGAGATTATCTGGTCCATGCGGGTTTTGTGCCCGTCTTCCTCGTCGTCTTCCTCCTCCTCACGAGGGGTTTGGACCGGGCTGCCCCCATGCTCACTCACGTCGGTGCCAGAGCTAGTGCTCGCGGCGACGGTCTCGGATCCAGTGCTGGTGGCAGCCGCAGCCTCGGTGGCGGCCGCAATCGACCCCGGAGTCGCCTCCGGGACGGCGATGCCTTGGGGCCACTCCACGATGTACTTGCTGAAGAGGAGGCCAAACAGCCGGCGGCAGAATTCCTCGCGGAAGGGCGCGGGGATACCGGCCAGCGCCTGCTCGTAGCCTCGCGCGTACTCCTCGATGGGCGCTGTGTTGACAAGTTTTTCCAGCATTTCTTGGGAAAAGTGGTCAAGGACGAAATAGTCGACAAGGTCGTCTATCCTGTCTGCTTCGCTAGCGACGTAACCTTCGTTGAAGAGTTTCCTGCTGCCTCCGTTCCCGCTGTCGGCGATATTTACGTGAGTGAAGCCGAACGGTGCCGAGTATGAAGGCGAAAGTGGAGTTGGCGTGGTCGTTGCTCGTCCCAGGAGGGAGGCGAGGCTGTGTCGCAGGCGGTCTGCTGCGTTCACCCGCACCGTCACGTGGATGTACCACATGTACGAGGCTATCTTGGCCTCATTGATCCTGCCACCAAAGTCCGTATAGTTGGCCAGGTATGTCGGGGACTGGGTAGATTGGGTTGAAGAGTCAGGCATAGTGTCTGCTATTGCTATTTTCCAGTCAAGTTGGAATTGAAGTTGGTGTTTCTTTTTCTGTCTAGTTGCACATGTGAAAGGAATTTAGTGGAATGAGATGCCAGGTTGGCGCACTTTTATACATGTGCAAAAAAGCCATCCGTCTCTGCTGAAGCTTGATTCTTTGTGACGATAGAGTTTTGGTGTGATGCCGCTCTGCAAGTGAGTTTATCTGTTACTGGTTCCTGAACAAGCAGCTCAACACGCTTCCGCATGACTGACTGGCAGGTTCAACGACGTCACAAACATGGAATGGTGAGTGTGGATGGCAAACTGACGCAAAACATCACCACAAAGTACCTAGGTAACCAGCTGATTATGGCCAAGCGTCATTCCAAATACAATCATATTTTATTCCGGTAAAAGGCTGTCTAAGAAGTGAACCATCCCTTTTCACGCTCTCTCCTGAATTGGCCATCCTGTCTGTCTGTTGTCGCATGCCATTTCCGCACTTGCACAACACACTGATTCCCGCCTTTGCCGCCTACAGCCTTTGTCGACAGGGGCAGGAAACCCACAGCTACAGCCTCACAGAGAGCTCAGCCGCCCACTGGCACATCCCACCAGCCACACCTCACTTAGTTAGGCAGCGACGCCTCACCAGGGATGATGGTTCCGTTCTCGATGGCAGCCTTGTGGCCCCTCGCGACCATGCCGTAGGCAGGCATGTACTTGTCAAGGTAGGGGAACAGCTCGGCGGCGCCGGGCGTGTTGCGCCAGTCGCGCATGAGGTCGCAGACGATGGAGAAGAGCGAGACGATCTGGACGCCCGCACGCGCCATCCTGTCGTTGGAGATATCGCGGATCAGGGGGGTCGTGGTGCCCGAGGCCTCAACGTTGGCCCACACCGAGTAGCCTTCCTCACGCAGCGAGAGGGCCAGGAAGGTCGTGCCTTTGTGTTGTTAGTCATTCGTGGGTCCTCGAGAAGCACATGACAGGAGGGTTGACTCACAGACGTCGGTGACGATACCGCCCATGATGATCTGCGACTTGTTGGTCGCCCTGATGGCGTCGCGGAACTCGGAGTTGTCCCAGGCGTTGACCTCACCCTGGCGCATGATAAGAGGCGCGTCGGGGTACATGTCCAGCATCTCTTGGGGCAGAGGGCCGTTGGGTCCTGTTCTTGCTTGTCAGTTGATCGGCAATCACGAAGTCGGTCGGACGCCTTGAGGATCTGACCTTGCTGAGCCGAGGTGGTCATCACGACAGGGATATCAAAGATCTGTCCCAGGGACGCGTGCGCCATCATCGAGTCCCTGTACAGGGTGGCGTCAAAGTCCCGGGCGAGGTTGTAGAGACCCTCCTGGAGATCGAGAATCAACAGCAGCTGTTCCTTGCGTTAGCTGGCGCGCCACCACATGATGATGCTTTGTTTGAGTGCCTCGTTTACGTACAGAATCGTTCTTGTCGATCCGCTCGAAAGGGAAGGCTACTTCGTGTCAGCTCGTGAAACAGACTGCTCACGCATGAGGCTACTCACAGTCCGCAAGTGCCATACCCGCCAGGGCAAAAGCCGGCAAGAGAGATTGCGTAGACAGCTTCATATTGAGTTCTTGATGGTGTTTGTCGGTAGAGCGTGATACTGATCGAAGAACAAGGCCGAGGACTTTGAGACGAGATGAAGAGATGATCCAATGCACAAAGAAGTCCAGCACCTGGCCGTCCTTTATATCTTCGTCTGAACTCGCCAAGCATACTAAGAGTCACCCCTATATTCCCCAGAAGAGCCACGTGGATAGGGGAGCGGTCTGAAATTTCTCATCATCACCAAATTTTGACCAATGCGTTACATCTGGCCGGCCTGCAGGCACTGCAACTAGGGATGCGTGTATACACGGCACGTCCCAGGCTGTACCTGAGTAAGCCAATGAATCGTTATCTAGATCAATCTCGACTGCACGATCCAAAGACCCCACCGGACATACCAAAGAACGCTACCATTTGGAATTGTAACTACTGCTTTGGTAAACAGGATTCTTCCAGTGATGTTGTCGTATCCACCGCTTTGATGTCCGGAGTGGCTGCAGGTTTAGGCTTGGTGTTGACTTGGCGCGGAAGGATCTGGGGTTCCCGCTGGAGCGGGTTCTGGCTGGGGTATGTGAGGAGTGCCCTGACTAAGGCCTCATATTCTCTTGGGCAGAATTTTGCCCGTTGTGTCAGCGCCTTGTCAGAAATGTCTAATGGTTTATCATGGCCGTTCTGCATGATCCGCAATGATCGTGTGTAACGAACGATTGTGGTGGTTGAATCGATGAGCGTCCCAAGGTTGTGGCTTTACTTCCGTAAATCCGTCGTTTTACATCAGCAACAACGTGCTGCCCGGTAAGCTTTTTGTCAGTCTTTGGAATTTGCGGAGTAACAGGGCTACTGAAAGTGGGTTCCCAAGGGTTGCTGACGGCAGGTGACAGAGTTACATCGCCCCGTTCTATGGGCCTCGAGTGGCGTTTTCGTAGCGCCGGCGTTGCTGCAAGGTGCTCAGTAATCAACTTGCCGTTCTTAGCGTTCGTGCGGCCCGTCTTCATATCATAAAATTCATGGCTAAATTATATACACCTGAACTACCAAATTGGCCCGAGAGCGAGAGCGATCACTGCGTCATTTTCAACGAGATAGGAGCGTCGGAATTTCCATCGTTCTTCCCGCAAATAGAGATAGTGCCGCCTGAGAAACCAATGTACATCAGGCCGGCACCCTGCGCCCTATTCCCGGAGAAGTACCTGGGCCCAGAGCTGTTGTCCCCAATCTCGACGACAATGCCGTCGTTCGTGGTATAGGAGAAGCCATAGTTGCCCGCCTTGATATCCAGGCCCGTCGTCGGGAAGCACGACGTGCCACCCGCGGCAATCTTGTCGTCCAGCTTGAAGACCTCCTTGCCAGCCGGCGCCGCGATGGGTTGGGATGGCTCCTCGGTGATGGCGAATTTGACCGGCAGCGACGCAGATGCGGAGCTCTTTGCGCAGATCCTGAGCGTTTCACCGGCATTGGCATAGAAGGTTCCTGTCCAGGAGCCCATGGACTGGTGGTAGCCCTCTTTCGTGCCGCCGGTCTCGATGCTCACCCGCAGATTTGCGTCGGCTTCGAACGAGAAGCCATACGTTGTTCCAGCCGTGACGCTGAAGCCTTGTGTCCGGAAGCAGCGCTCGTTCCCGGCGCCTACTTCTTCGTTCAGAGAAAACAGCTCCTTAGGCGCAGGTGGTGGCGCAGGTGCGGTCGTTTCGGCTGGTGGTGGGTTGGACGTCGTCGCTGGTGGTGGGTTAGACGTCGTCGCTGGCGGCGGAGGAGCCGAAGTCGAGGTTAGTACTATGGTCGTCGTTGATGAGACGGCAGAGCAGGCCTCGCCGCTCAGGTCCTGACGTCTGAACTTGGCGCTCCCGGGGCGAGAGCAGACGGCTCCTTGGCCGTTGAACACGACTTGGCCTCCGTCGGGCACACGCTGGTAGGCCATGTCTATGAGGAGCTTCTTCATGTTCTCTGCCACCTTGCCCGTCTGGTACAGCTCTGGATACTCTCCCAGGGCAAGCAGGTAGGCTGCGAGGCCAGCTACTGCTGGTGCGGCTGTTCATGGCTATGTCAGTAATCGTAATGGGCGTGACGTACGCTCTTGCATTCTGGACGGTGTGCATGCTTACCAAAGGATGTGCCGTCCTGTTTCTGTGTGTTGGAAAAGAAGGAGTTGGAAGCACATTGGACCTGTTGGCCGGGCGCCATGACATGAACTAAGGGCCCGCCCTGGGAAAAGGATGCATTCTTGCCCGTGTTATCAACAGCGCCGACATTAATGATTGGCACCCCAGAGGCGGCTATCAAAGCCGGGTAGCCGTCAACGTCAAGAGCAGACGCTTTTCCGTCCTGTGAAAGGATGTCAGCTATTTGCTCCCTGCATTGAGTAATTCTCCTAATGTGGAATGGATGATGCTTACGGCGACCTCTTCCCGATCGTCATTCCCGGATGCCGTTATGAAGATAACATCTTCCTTGATCATCTCTTTGACGTAGTACTCCAGCATCTTCTGCGTGAATTTGCTTGGGTTTGCAACTAAGGGGTATGTTAGCGGGCGGTCGGCAGACAGCTTTGGACATTGTAGCACGTACTTGATCGCGAAAAGTTGACAATTGCCTTGCCTTGCAGCTTCTTTTCTCTCACATCCGCGAGGATCTTGTTTAAGCCGTCGAGTGTCTCGTCAGTGTTGATCGAAGCCTTCACAACCACAAGATTGGCCTGCTTTGCAACTCCATACTTTGGCCCATTGACTTTAGAGCCAGCACAGCTACCGTGACCGTCCGAGCCAAGGTCCTCCTCGACTGACTTATCCGCCTGCGCGCCTCCGAAAAGCCATCGTGGCTTCTTGGCCATGCCGGTGTACTCCTGAATGTCCCAGTTCGTCAGTGAGTATTCCGACAATGAAGAATATAAGTACTATGTGCTCACGCTGTTCTTGGTATAGTAGCCAGTGTCCAAGACATAGACTGTGATATCCGTGCCGGCGCTGTCATCATAAGTGTAGCTCTTGAGTGCCGCTAGGTCCACCAGAGGAGGCTGGGAGATCATGACAAGCTCAGTGGGGGCATTGTCCTGCTTCATCACGGCACGCTTCTTGATCCTGCCGAGTTTGTCTAGAGACTCCATCCACCACTTCTCATGGACGTCTTCGTCCCTCTTGCCGTTTGGGACCGGCACCGACTCGCCAGCGTTGTCATCAAGCGACACAATTGGCTCCACGCCACCGACCTGCAGTGTCTGTGAGTATAAAAGAATGGCGTGCATGCTCTGGGAGCATTTCTACTGACCAGTGAGTCCGCGGAGAGAGTTGCATTCTGCGCCGCCGTGACGTTGGCGCTCACGAATAACTGGACCGTGTCCGTCGTCTCCCGGTAATTGCCCTTTCCAAGCTCCTTGTCGATGAGCGCCATGAAATCCTTGTTCTCCTGGCTTGTAGCTCCGTCCTTGGGGAATATGAGGCAGGGCGTGGGCGGCCCGGTCGGCGCCGAGGTGGTAGTCTCCGTAGTTGTGGGCTCCGTGCTGGTCGGTGGCTCCGAGCTTGGGGGCTGGCTCGACGGCTCCGGTTTATCGGGGTTTTCCGGACTGTCACCCGAGGAGGATCCGGCCGTCACGGTCGTGCCAGCCGCCACTGCCACCGGCGCTCCCCCCGAGCCGGCGATACTGAAGAAGCCGCCTCCGGTTCCTCCCACCACCACGACGCCGGCCGCGACGACGATCGTGTCACCATTGCTAACTGTTGTTGTTGCTGCCGGGGCACTAGACGTCGCTGTCGAGGAGGGGGGAGCGCTGGTTATGGTGGGTGGGACTGTTGTTGGCGGAGCAGAAGATCCGCCGCGAGAGGTGGGAATATTTGAAGGAAGGATGGTTACGGGAGGGAGAGACGGGCGACTGGAAGATTGTATCACTCGGCCCGTTGAAGTGGAATTGTCGCGTCTGATGAGATGAGCAGCATCGTAGTAGGGCTGCCCTGGATGTGCGCTCACTGAGAAGGAATGAAGGCCCAGGCCGAGCAGTAAAGAATGTTGAAAATTGAACTTCATTTTCGATCAATGAGGGTAGATAACAACAAAGAAAGAATGTAAGGCGAACGACGCCACTTGAGCAGGCAATACAAAGGAAGGTTGGTCAAGAAGAGAATCAGAAAGTTTACTGCATGGCTGCAAATGTAGCAATATCAAAGTCGGGATGAACACAGCTCTTATTCAGAAGCATCCACGTCTGTTCGACGCGTGATCTTTCAGGACAGTAGACACCAATAATAGAAACATCATCCTCGAGACCGACGCCAAAGGGTGATCCGTAACCACTAGTTCGCAGCCCTGGAGAGCCTCGAGTCAGCCCCTGCATCGTGGTTCTCTCCTCTTCCACAACACCAAGCACGAGATGTACGATCCTTAGCTTATTTGAAACTGCGTGTTGGCACCGCAAGCCGTCATAGAGACCAGCCTTATCAGCAAACAACTAACAGGCGTTACCGGATCTCACGGGAAGAGCTATCAGCTGTCTTGGGAGTCACATTAAACCTTGCCCAGGTGTCTATTTCTATCAATGCTCCCTGTCCAGGTGGGTGGCCAACCCCGTGGCGCTTGGCGTACGACTCAGTAACGGGTGCCCGAGGGAACGGTTCGTGAGGAGCAGCCACGAAAAACTTGGAATGGGGCATTTAAGCTGAAACAAGGCCCTGGACAATTTAATCCGTGGCTGAGCCTTTGACGTTCCTAAGCCTCCAACAACGCCATCCAATATCTCTCCATTTTATGTGTACTGTGTACTGTGAATTGGGTTTCGATAGCCCCAGTGCCACAATTGACGATACAGAGTCTAGTAATATATATGCCAAGCTATTCTTGGTGGTGGTATTAATAATGCCCTTATTGCGCGACACATGGGAAATTCCGTCGATACGGTAGATCAACCACACAGCAAAAAAGGACGAGGCTAAACATAGACAGCTTGAAAGAAGCAGTAATACTAAGATGTAACTTTCCTTGATTGCCGGGTCTCAGACGATGCTGTATGAAGGGACCACGGGCGCGTTCGGGACTCCTGTCTACGGATCAAGAACGAAACCACCTGGGCACCCACATAGCACTCAAAGTTTCAAGAACTGTATATTCATCTTGCTTGTACAGTTTGAGTTTCTGCAACTCGCAAGTTAACGAAAGCCGCTCCTAACCTATGCTAGCATTTAGGCATTCGTTGCGCTATCCTCGCCTCCGCATCTTTCTCTGCACATGGCTCGGAGGGCCTTGATAATTTCACCAACCATATCAAAGCCCAGATGAGCCGGCACTCCACCCTTGCGGGCTCTGCCCTCCCTCATGTAAAACTTTCTGATGACTGTTTTGGCTAAAGTCTCGACGTCACGACCGCTAGCCCATCCAGTCGTATAGCTGAGACAATCAAAGAGCTCATTGATGACCCCCATTTGTTCGAGACCTACGTCTTTTGCCTTTGGTATGGAGATATTGAGCTCTTTTAACTCATTTCTGAGATGATCAAAGCAAGCACGTGGAGTCATTGGCGAGAAGACGACTTGCTCAGGGAACCTGCTGCGCAGCCCGGGGTTGGTTCGCAATAGCAACTCCATCTCGGCGGTATACCCGGCCAGGATCACGACCATGTTTTTGTTGTAGCGCGGCTGCGTCATTGCGTCGACCAGCTCCCCAATAGCCTCTGTTTGGAATACGGTGCCTCCTGCCAATCGATAGGCCTCGTCGATGAACAGAACTTTGCCGAGGCCAGTCTCCAGAGTGTTGACGACTTTGGGTCCGGTTTGTCCGTGAGCCTCACCGATGAGATCACTGACCGAGCAAGTCACGACCTCTTCCGTGGAAAGCAGGCCCATGTCATAGTACAGACGTCCTACCTTCCGAGCAGTTGACGTCTTGCCGGTACCTGGAGGGCCCTTGAAAATGAAGGCCCAGGGAATGTGAGGCCTGGGATCAAGGCCATGGAGCCGCATACCGTCCACCAGGAATTTGTACCCCTCAAACTTCTTGACTATTTTCTTGAACCCGACAAATTCATCGAACAGCGCAACACGGTTCTCGTCGGCTCTCAGCACCCGGTCCCACTGCGGGTCGATGTCACCAGGTTCTAGAACAACTTCGGCAAGCCTCGGTTCATGGGAGTTGTTCCTGAGCCGCGCATTGGCACGGACTTTTGCCTGGTTTAGTAGGATCCCGACATCCCCTGCGTTTCCGAACTTCGGGTTGATGCGCATACGGCCGAGGACCTGTCTCGACACAGCCCTGGCCTCCTCCGTCATCTCGATGCCACATTCGGCGGCTTTCCGATCCATGATCTGGCAGAGGTTATCCTCGCTGTAAGTTTCAAAGTGCAGGGCGGTCTCCTTGGGGAAGCGTCGCTGGAGCCCAGGGTTGCTGTTGTTGAACAGTTGACTCATCTCGTGCTCGTATCCGAGCAGTAGGATGCACCTGTCCTCGGGGTCCGCAGATACGTTCGCGACGATGGTATCGAGGACAGCGACGCGGAAGATGTCGGTCTTGTTGTGGGCCCCCGACGATGCGGGATATAACATGTGTGCGTCGTCGATGATAAGCACATTCCCTCGGGCATCGTCCAGGACGCGCTTCGTCTTTTCCTCAGAGTGCCCTACGTATGCGCCGATCAGGTGGGAAGGATTTCGCAACAGGACCTTGTCGCCAGAAACAAGCCCCAGGTCGATCAGCACCTGGCCGTATAATTGAGCAACAGTCGTTTTGCCCACCCCAGGCGGTCCGAGAAAGATCCTGTTGAGGCCGATCTTGAGCGGCTCCATTCCGAGAAGCTGCCGACGGTAGTTGTTCTGAGCATAGTCGATGATGTCGCAAAACTCGGCCTTGACATCTTCGAGTCCAATCATTTTCTGTAGCTTTTCCCAGGAGGTGTTGTTGTGACGAACGTCTCTCGGTTGTGGACCCATGATATCTTCTGACGTGAGGGGTGTTTTTTCCCGATCCTTGATCATGGACAGTTTCCCCGAATCATCACCAGGCCACTGGGAATATTCTTGCTGAGTTCTCAGAGCCCGACGGCGGCACGCCTTGTCCAATTCTCTTTGTAGGGTATGAACATTCGAGAAGGATTCCGCCTTCCTCTCCCGGGCAACTCGCTGCACTAAGACGGTGAGACTCCGATCCTCATATCCGCCCTCCACTGACAGGCCCTTCTTTTGTACCATGCGGACCAGAATTCGTCTCAGCTCATTTTCATTGTAGTCTGAGATGATCAAAGGCACTGGAAACTCCTGCAGCGCCGTCTCGCTGCTCTCGACAAGCTCGAGAAAAGACTTTTCCCGCGACGACAGAATCAGGACAGATCTCTTGCCAAGCTTCATGAGATCTTTTATCACCTTGGCCTTCCTGGTCTCCTCCATCTCAACTTGCGCCTTGCCGCGACGGGGTGAATTTCGTGTGAATAATCCCATACCGTAGGAATCGTCCCATTTGTGTTGATTCGTTGGCCCATTCTTATCGTAGAAGAGAACTGACGGATTGCTTGGCTTCTCCGGTGGATCTGAAGAGGGAATGGGTTCAGATCCTGGCAACTGGTCAGCCGCGCGATCTATGAATGGCGTGATCAAAGGTTTCCCATGTCTTGTTCTCGAATACCCGGGCTTGAGAACCTCCAAGCTCGAAACTCGGGCAGTAACTTTGGTTTCCACAGCCCCTATTGCGTACAGGAACTGCGCGTAGAGCTTTGCAATAGTCTTCTTGCCTGTTCCGTCTTTGCCCTGGAGAACCATATGAAGTCGCAACTCGGGCTGTTTGGCACCGCCGTAGCTGCTTGCTTGGGTCCTGGCCTGGACCCTGGCTTTGACAGCAAGGAAGTGAGCCTTCACCTCCTCCAAGCCAACCATAGCCATGAGTTGGTCAAGGAATTTGTTCTCCTCGTTGTTTTCCCGCTTCTGCCTCAGCCACTCGCGCCGTGACGGCGAATCGTCGTCGACATCCTCTGGCTTCATTTTGCTCACAATTGATTTTGCCCACGAGGACACACGATCGGGCTTCTTAAGACCCTGCTGTGGGTCCTCGAAAGGATCATTTGTTGAACTGCTCGACGAAGAGTCACCATCGAACTCATCGTCTGAAGTATTTTCAACAGGTTCTTTGGAGACTGGGGTAGCGGCAAGTTTCATCATGAGTGGTCGTAGTGCGAGAGGTTTGTCAAGAGGCGTTGGAGACGCAAGTGGTCCAGGAGGGACCTCCTGCTTTTGATCGCCGTTGGCTCCGCTGGCATCTTGCGTTTTGTTTTCATTTTGTTTCGAATCCGAGGAGCTCATCATGACAGTTTCGAGCTCAGTATGGCTATTGTGCAAGTTTTTGGTCTTGGTTTTCTTGTTGTTTCTAAGCGGTTGCGTGAGATCGTCGCAGTGGCTTTCGCCGCTGTAGAAAAGCCTGGCCGATACGAAACACGTATGGCGAATGCTTTGACCACCTTCGTTTGTGTTTTCTGAGGTCGCAGGCAGGCTTGGTGGTGACTTTACGTCGATCTTAGCAGATTCGTCCTCGTTTATCGAAGGGCTGTTGGGCTTTTGACAGCCAGCTCGCTTCTCTTCATTATCGGACTCCATGTTGCGAAGCACAGTGGAGGAGAAAAGAAAGAAGTTTGTCTGTGAGAGAGCGAAGTTTCTCTGGTAGAACGGGGTATCATGAGCGAGAATTTGTGACGGCGGACCTTGGTTGGATTCTGGAATTGGAAAGCGGGCTGCAGTCGAAACTCCGAAACCTTAGAAATTCTTGCAGCCTTGCATCGCCCGACTGAGCAAAGTGGGTTGGTTCCCAGGCGGCTGTCGACATCCGCCAAGAGTCCAGAAACAACTTAAGAGCACTTGAGGTTACCTGTACTGCCATGTTCGTAGTGTTAGAACCATCAGCATAACCAAAAGTTAGCCTCAGGCTCCCTAGGTACCTAGATACCCACCATACCGCACTCCTAGGGGTTTTTAAAAACGGTGTTCTTACTAATACTCTCTAATAACAGCTATAACTATTAATAGTCCTTTCTTTCTTAACTAGCTTTTAAGTAATAAGAAGGTCTTTAAAAAAGATTAGATCTTTAAAAGATACTAATCTTTAGAATCCTTAATATTAAACTTTTACCTTAATATAAAAACTAGTTAAGAGAGAATTCTTCTTCTATTCCTTTAATAGTCTTCCCCTTTAAAATAAACCCCTAACTAACCCTCTATTTACTCTACTTACTTAACTAGCTTTAATTAAGTTCCTTCCCTTTATATTCTAGGGCTTTAGGTAAAGGTTTTAAGAGGAAAGAGAAGGTCTTAAATAGAAAGAGAAGGTTTTAAATAAAAAGAGGAGGTTTTAAATAAAAAGAGGAGGTTTTAAATAAAAAGAGAAGGTTTTAAAAAATCCTTTAATCTTAAAAAAAGATACTAATATATATTATAACTATTATTAAAAAGTATTAATAAAGGAATGGGTCTAAAGTATTAGGAACTACTTAGGGTATTATTTTAAAGTAGAAGGGATAATCTAGTAACCGTTTCTAAAATCCCCTAGGGGAGCACTATAGCAGGTAGTTGAGTTGACGAGTCCTAGGTAGCTTACACAGTATCACTCGAAATGGCCGAGTAGCCCGTACTTAAGTATATGCAGTCCAAATTGCGACAAGGATGTCTTGTGCACAAAGGTAAAGCCTCCCAGTCACATACAGTCTCCTTTAAAAGCCGGTAACCAAGGTTCTATCATGGGCATTGCATGTCACCCAATACTGTAGTCTTGAGTATTGTCCCCTGTGCGAAAGTGAACAACTCAGGCTCAGCATACACATGGACTAAAGATGGAGCCACCGCTTAATCAGTTTGCAATGTTGCAAGAAGATGTATCTGGGAACTCTTCGTGTGTCCACTGTGAGGTCATCATTTTGTTGTTGGGCACCCTCTCTTGAAGAATGACCGGCCTCAAGGCTGGCTTTGATCAGTTGACAGCATCTGAACTTCATGGATCATGCGGCAAACGGAGGCTGCTGTGTTCATTCGTTGGAACCTCCGTTCTATCTCCCTTGTTTACCATTATGAGCAGGGGCTCGTCTGTTCAATTGTGCCCCGGGTGCACTTGCCTAATTGTCCGAAGCATAAAATTTGAAGCTAACCTCCAGGACTGTCGCATGCAATTGCGTGCAGTTTTCTCCCACCTCTCCCAGGTGTCACACCTGTAATTGAGTGTTTGTGAATTCAGGTCGGTTCGAGGACTTTTGTCAGGCTATGTTTTGTCAGGCTTAGTAAAATCCCCTACGGCTCTGTGCAATGGACAGCACCCTCACCGAGTCTCGTATGGTAGCGTAGTTAGTCTACAGATAGGCAGCGATGTGACGATAACAAAGTACCTACCTAGGTACTTAAGTAGGTAAACATCCGGCCAAAACTCCATTTTCAGGTCGTCTTTGACTGTATATCGCGCTGCCCGGTCAAGGTCGTGTCACCACACCTTCTGGACACCCCACCTCATGCACGTGAGTTTCGCCGTCCAACGTACCACAAGCCCCCGCAGTTTAAAACACGGACCTATTTCTACCATGTCGACTTGAGGGATCAAGAATAAATGATTCTGTCAACATCCTTTGAAGTGGTGAGGAAAGAAGCATTGCGACGTAGAAACAGTGCTACAAGCGCCTGATCGGCAAGGATAAACTTGAGAAAGCCAAAACTGGTACGGGACCTTCTCTGTTTCAGACTATTCCTCCAGCCTACTAACGGTAGCAGCAAAGTACTGTGCGATCCGAAGTGTTTGCATTGTCTCGCCATGTCTTCAGGTTCCACCAGTGGGTCTGAAGCCAAGGCCCACAAGGCCCACGAAGCATCCCATTCCCAGAGCACGCCAGCTCTCGCCCACATTTCATCCGCACATGAGGGACCAGTCTTCTCAGAGACGAGCCTCGAACCGATGAAACCCCTGCGCCGTGCCAAAAGCGAACACGATATACTCCATACGAGGCAATCTCTCGGTCGACTGCGACGTCAGCCCATCGACCCCTCTTTGGAACAGGTCTCAACCAAGTCCGAAGAAGAGCCTCTGCCCAGAGGGGTGCCACCCAGATACTATGTAGATGAGGTTTTCAGGAAGGTTTTGCCGAGAACTGAGGGTGCCGTCAAATTACCAGAGTTCGATGCCGCCGGAGCGTATGCTAGATCCGATAATGTCGTCTTGAAGATGTGGCGTGACGAGACGAACCGGTTGATGGAAATTGCAAACAACCCAAAGAAGAGGATTGAGTTTAAAAGCAATGGCTTTCTTCAGGGAGATACGGCAAAGGGTTACTCGAGTGCGTCTAATCTGTCTCAGAGGGTCTTGACTGCCATCGCGATCTGCCTTCTCGATAACGAATGCATCATCGCGGAGCACTATGGTCAACTTTCAACTCGAAAAAAGCTTTTCGATCTCATAGAACACTTACAAAAGAGTCAACGTACCACAGAGGCGACTGCAAGCATGGAAGATCGTGAAGCTCGGCAGCAGGAGTTCCACAGTCTAGCAGCTACTTACAGCTTGGTCAACTACATCACCGCGGTCCTGACTAAACTAATCTTTATAACATCTCCCATTCTCTACTGGTTCTCTGATTTCATGAGTATACTGATCAGACGCACTACCAAGATCAAGTTGTTGTTGCTTGATCTGCAAGCGAATTCTGCGATCTCCGCCAGGGCAGCAAAGGCTGCGCTCTCCAGATTTCCCGAATCATGCGATACTCAGCATCATGGTGGTGAATTGAACGATGAGGAATGCGACGATTACATTCGAATGATTGAGACCAATGAGAAGGAAGGGATCGCATCGTACGAGGAGACCCGAGTCACGACACACTGCCTTGAGCAGACCAAGTGTCGGTTACGGTTAAATTCAGCGTTGAGGGACATGGTCATGTCCGTGCGGTTCACCAGTCGTCTGGGTCTACCAGCAGCGGATTTTGAAATCTGTGCGATGACTTGTGGCTCACTTTCTGAGAGCTTTATGGTTCGTAGAACATCCGGCCCTCCAGCGCACGATGACAAATATATATGCCTTCTAAGACCTAAATCGTACGACGCAGGCCCTCATTTACCAAGATAGAGATCTTGAGTACTCGGCTACTTCGGACTCGTATAATTTGAAAAGAGCAAAGTCGGCATTCCGGATTCTCTGGGAGATAGTTACGCGCCTTCACAAGAGCCACGACCAGGTGGAACGTACCGGTAGCATAGGAACAAAGCTGTGCTGGTGGTACGATAATGAACTCACATCTCCCTATGACACTCAATACCTTCGGCTCAACTCCATGGATCAAGTCATCACCGTGTTGATTCCTCTCGCAACCATGAGCCCGGCGTTCCTGGCTGCTCTTCCTTCCTCCCGGCACGCCATGTTCCCAATTGGGGTTAAACGACCGAGCGGACAATCGCTCTTCGAAGAGGAGGGCTTTGGCTCATTTTTCCGTCTATGTACCCGTGAGTTCGATGACAACTTGAATGATATGCGAGGCGCTCTCCGTTTTTGGCAGGCTCGTTGGGCCGGAGTTTTCGATCAAGGCTACTGTCTCCCGCTGTTCGTGCCGTGGAAAATCCGGTTGACGTTGGCAAAGAGCCTTGAGAAGTTTAAAAAGAGGACAAGGAGATTGGATGTTGAGAACAGACATATGCGTCAATGGGTTATTGATGAAAAGTCTGTCATGGTTCCATGCCCAGGATACGTCTGGAGTGTAATAGCTGTGGCCAGCTTGCTCGCGGGTGCTGGGCTGGGAATTGGGTTTAGTGTTGGCCAGCGCATCCGTGGTGTCGATCCCTCTAATCTGGCGACCTATCTCTGGGTGGTGGCCGCCTTCATCGTTCTGATTGCCAAAAACATGAAGGTGAACGAATGGACCTGGAACGATTTCCTCAGGAGACGCGTCCGTTGCCGCTCAGTGTCCGAGCTGCAATCAATCACCGGTATCGACGGACAGATCATTATCGCCAAGTTGTTACACGACGAACGAAGGGGCAGTGTGTTAAACATCTGCGGCCCTTACAACTCGGCGTTCCTCAGGAGGGCAAACGAAGGGTTCTCCATCGACGAACCCATCGACTCGTCGACGCTCTTCAACAGCGGTTTGCTGATGCTCAGGGTCGCTACTGCTAGGGGACATGCCTTGGTATGCCTTGACTTTCGAAGAGGCACTGACTTGAGTGTCATAGGACACACTCCAGACCCCCAAAAGGAGTATCTAATCTGTGAGCAAATCGATAACTTTGAGTTTAGGGACCGGTTTCGGATGAGTCCATTGAGTTTCAGGCCACCGGTTCGAGAAGTTAAACTTGCATTCTCGAGGTCTAGGGGGCTGAAGTGGAACAGGGTGCTTGGGATCTATAACTTCGAGGGAGCCAAGTTGATTTGAAATTTGCTAACTTTTGGCTGCCTTTGGCGGCTGCTTGTGTTTCTTCATAAGGTCATAAGCACCTATTGATCTTTTAGCGGTCAGGATAACCTTGGCGGGAGAAGAAATCCCAAGGAAGCTGTGATTTCGTCCTCAACCTGTAAACATTCTGAAGGCGTCTGCGGCCCCTACATACGGTGGTTCACTCTCAAAGATCCAAGGTTTGAAAAAACATGCCGATATTAGTCAAGAAAAACCAAACTGAATGAGTACGTGGCCTCAACCCTTGTCACATAGACAGCATTTAAGTCGAGAAATAGTGTACCTAGGTCAACTGGTACATAGAATGAGGCAGAGTTGAATTTTCAATGTTATGAGTTCTCTGAAACTACTAGTTATCTTCTGCCTCGAAGGAAGGCGAGTTTCAACTGGGCCAGCATCATCATAGCTGTCAGAGGACTATTTGCATTCTTTGAGTTCCTCTATTGAAATGGAACAACAGTAAATGCCCTAGAAGGACAAGGCAACCCTGGCAAGGTGTCTTTCAAGATTAAGACGGCAAGTTTCGCCATGAAATCTGACAGTGACCAATTTGTTGCTGAAAATTAGTACTCTAGCCATGTCAGCTGAGCAACAACGGCATTCATTGCTACGTTCTATACTGAAATAGAAAAAAAAACTGGCTAGTTTCGGGGGAAGGAAAACCTCCATTTTCACTTGTATTTCTGTGCGTTCTTGTCCTTTGTGAAGAAGAACAACCAAGACAGTTGCAAGTGTGCATACTGAATATAGTTACACTGTATGATGGCGCCATGTATGTGTTCGGATGTATGCGGAATAGAAACGAAACCAGTGAACATATTTATCGATTTCTTCAGGAGCTAGATCTCCAAGAACTTTGATCGTAACACAGCGAATATCGCATGCCTCTGAGACCTGACGCCGTACACTGGGAGCAAGTAGATAGACATGCTCATCTGCTGAGCAATCTGGTGACATTCTCATATCTGTTCTAACGCAACAACGCACACCTTTCTAAACCGGCACCGGTTACCGCCTCCGGTTCAGCATCTCATTCCACTGCTGCGCAAACTCCCTCAGCCCGCCGGCGCCGGACGTGCTCGCGTCGACGACCTCCTTGGGCAGCTTGTGAGCCGAGTACTGCGGCGAGCTGAAGTTGTACGCGGCGGGGTCGTCCTTCTCGACGATCCGCAGCTCAGGCAGGTAGTCCTCCTCCTCCTCCTCCTCCTCCTCGGTCTCCTCCTCGGTGGTCTCCGCCTCATCCCCAGCAGCAGCACCATTGCCGCCCCCAATGCGGAGCCGCACCACCTCCTCCTCGACGCCCGTGCTGCCGCTGCCAGCCACGCCGAGCATGGGGTTCGGCACGTGCAGCGCCAGGAGCTCGTCCCACCCGAACAGGAGGGTGTCGGTCCTGGGCGCCCAGGGGTTGATGTCGATAAGCCGCGCCTTGCCGAGCTTCTTTCCTGGGTCGTCATCGTCATCATCGTCGCTGTCGTCGAGGCTGTGCACCTCGGGGATGTAGATGTCAAAGATAAAGTTGCCGTCCGGGAAGGTGAAGCGCAGCCGCGAGTCGAACAGGTCCTTTGCGCGCGCCGCGACGGCGGGGCGCATCCGCAGCAGGAAGTTGTAGTGGTTCAGGTCGCGCTGAGAGATGGCCACCAGGCTGCGCTGCTTGACGAAGCAGCGGAACTCGAGGGCCTGGTGCGGCGTGAAGAAGGAGCGCAGGACCAGGACGGGCTGGAAGCCCAGGCCCGGGGCGGGGGCCGAGCTGCCATTTGCCGAGGGGCTCACGGTGCCGTCGAAGGCGTGGTCGAGGTCGTGGGTGATGAAGTTTGAGCTCTTGAGCAGGAGGTAGATGTCGTTGGGCGAGGTGCACTTGACCGTGTTCTGGTGGGGCGAGATCCAGGCGGCGTCCCTGGGCGAGGACCAGTTCAGCTTCGGCGCGACCTCGCCGCCCAGCTCCTTGATGGTGTCCTTGATCTTCTGGTGCAGCTCCGGGAACCGCTCGTTCGGGGGCAGGCGTGAAGGCGCTGAGTCGTCGTCTGAGTCGTCGTCTGAGTCCTGCTCGGGCTCGTCCACGCGAGGAGGGGCGAAGGCGGTTGATGTGGGCTCCCAGTCATCGTCTTCATCTGCTGCTGCGGAGGGATCATCGCTCGAGAGTATTATGCCGTCCTCGCGTATATACTGGATGAACTCTGGAGGCAGCTTGATAATGCGGGAGCGGATGCATGATGTGCGGTATCTGAGGTTGCATTAGCCGTGAACATGAGTGTGAGACGAAGCCCATGACGGCCAGGGAGATGATCCTACTTGGGGAACCAGTAGTCATAAGAACAGTGCAAGATATGATCCCTCGTGACGGGTGGGAAAGCGATGTTTGAGTCGGCAGCCGCAGTGTTGGCCACTGCAGCAGCGGACTGCTCGGGACTGTCGAATGCAGGCATTTCGCAGTCTGACCAAGCAAGACGATCTAAGATTGTTTACGACGGGCAGAACGAGGCCTGCATGCAACAAACACCCCCGTTGGGACAACACGCCTGCGATAAAAGGAAGAAGAAATGGGTCTGATCTTGGTACAAGTGAATCCAAACTGAGATTTAGATAGACCAACAGACCGACGGTGTAGGCATTCAAGAGATGAGATGTTGACTCACAGTCGAATTCTCTGTGACTCTTTTAGTCGCCTTCAACAAAAGTCGCCGAAGGGTCCAACGGCCAAGCACCCTGCAAAGCGAAAACGTCAGAGACAAGCCCCGCCAATTGCCGCCTAAATCCTAGCCCACCTTCAGCATCAAGGGCCCTGGTTGCTCATTAACTCGCCACACCGCTTTCCCAAAACACCCTATCGATAACCCCCGATCTTTGGGACCTCGGGGAATTGACTGACTGACTGACTGACTGACTGACTGGACCCAAAAGCAAAGCAGAGCAACTCTAAACCAACATCACCACCTCCACAGTCAGCCACCACCGCATCCATCCCCTCCTTTCCTCTCCTCGACTCCACACGAGATCCATCCTATCGGAAGAGAACACGCGCAAGAAAAGACACGAGACAAGAGAAACAAAGAGGAACCACCAACCCCCAAGCAAAAACCCACCCAAAAAATGTCCGACAACGTAGGCCTCTCCACCCCACGAGGCAGCGGGACCTCAGGCTACGTCCAGCGAAACCTAGCCCACATCCGCCCGCGCGACAGCGGCGCGCCCTACCCACCCCGCGGCGGCGGCGGCCCTGACCCCTTCGACTCGCCCAAGCACAAGCCCCGGCAGCCGGACAGGGGCATCCTGGAGCACGACCGCAAGCGCGCGGTGGAGGTCAAGGTGCTGGAGCTGCGCGACGAGCTCGAGGACGCCGGGGACCTGGGCGACGACGAGATCGACGAGCGGTGCGACGCGCTGCGGAGGAAGCTGCTGGCCGCCGGCGCCGGCGGTGGCCCGGACAGGTCCAGGAACGGCGGCGGCGCCGGCGGCGGGCCCCTGAAGATGCACCAGGTGCACGAGATGGCGGACCAGAAGATCCGGGAGAGCGAGCGGCTCCGGCGGGCGCTCAAGATCGGGCGGGACTACGAGGAGGGGTCGCATTGGAAGCGGCAGGAGGAGCGGGCGGCCAAGGCGGCTGAGAGGGCTGAGGGGGACGGGGAGGAGAGGGGGAGGGACCCGCGGGACTGAAGTTGTGAGGTTGGGGAGGGGGGGATGTTTGGATAACGGGGCGCTTGTGTGGGTGTCTTGTCTTGGTCGGTCTGTTCACGCGCGGATGGGACACATTATTGCACGGCGCGGCAAGAGGCGTTTTGGGCGTTGGTGTTGCAAAATATCATTCCCTTTCGTAATACTGGTATCCCAAAAATACATCTGATTCACTTGATTGCTTCATCCAATCAACAAATATAAATGCTGCCGCCGCCAGACCTATCTGCTCACAAGTCAAACTATGATGCTCCTTACGCCATCTCCGCCCACCCTTAACCCCGGTCTGTGAACACTCCAATCATCCAGGATCCTTTCCCACAAGGCCGCCCATCCAAGCTCCTCTGCCTGTTCCACAACACACCATGACCTGACTACATGTCTAGTGCAGCGGCAGGCCCTTGAGCCTGGTCTGCAGGATATCCAGCTCCAGCAGCAGCGCCTGCCCGCCCTGGTCGCCGTTGCCGTCCCCGTCCTTCTTGATGCCCTCTTCCAGCTTCTTGGCGGCCGCCAGCAGCGGCTCCACGTACCGCTGCTCGACGGCCGCGCCCATGGCCCCGGGCACGACTTCCCTGCACACGTCCGACGAGAACAGGAAATAGGCGAAATTGGCCGCCTGGATCAGGAACGTCGAGTTCTCGCCCCAGTAGTCGAGCAGCGTCTCCGTGCTGGCCTTCTCCAGCGCCGACACCAGGTTCGGGAAGATGGCGTACTGCAGCTGCTCTATACACTGTGTCGTCGCGAACACGTTGCCCTGGTAGCTGGCGCTGGCGCTGGCGCCGGCGCTGGAACCGGTGCCGCGCTCCTTGCCCTTTGCAGAGGCCTTTTGGGCGCTGATGAGCTCCTCGCGCAGCCATGTCAGGGCGCAGGCCTTGAGCGAGGCGAAGGGCGCATTCTCCAGCAGGTCCTCCAGGATCTTGAGACGGTCTGCGTCGTCGGGGTCGTCGTGCAGGACCAGGCCCGCCAGGGTGACAGCGGCGTTGCGCACGTGTATTGACGGGTGGAACACGGCGCAGAGGGTCAGGGCGTGATGGTAGGCCATGAAGTTGGGTTCATCCTTGGCGTCCTTTGCCGTGTCCGGGGCGATGAGCTTGTTTTCCTCCAGCCAGAGGCCGAGGACCAGGATCGCCTCGATCGTCGCGGGATGCTCGAGGATCTGCGACTGGGGCGTCTCGCCCAGGAAATTCTCGAGCAGTGTCAGGTGGTCGGGGAACAAGCGCATCTCAGGCGTTGGCGCGTCGGCATCGAAGACGGTTGACGAGAACACCCAGTAGGCCATCAGACATATCATGCCGCCGGTTGAGAGGTCAATGTCTGTTGCATTGGATGCCTCTTCTATGTTTGTCAGAGGTGTCCGGTTGACTGGTTCGTTGCAGATGTCGTGGACGATGGACCTGGGGCATTTGGCCAGGCCAAGATCTCGTGTGAGTGCCTGTGATGAGGTGTGAGTGAGACGCGGCGAGAAAGGGGCTGTGAGGGGTGGTTGAGACGGCACGCACCACCAACTTCCCAACCATGGCATCCCTATTTGACAGCTCCTGGTCCTCCCTGAATGCCTGCGTTGCTGTTTTCCTACCGGGGACTATCTTGTCTGGGCTGTAGAACTCCAGCAGCCTCCTCGACCAGGACATGTCGTTGGCGCCGACATATGACTCAAGCACACAACTCGTGAAGGACAGCAACAGGCGTCTCTGGATCTCATCCTCGTCTAACGAGTCTCCCTCATTGTCAGCCTCAGGGTCGGGAGCATTCTTGGAGGCGTCACCGTCGTGGTCCGGGTTGGCAACGTTGACGCTGGACTTCCTCTGAGGCAGGGGTGGGCGTGCCCTCTGGCCGGACAGCGAGTGGACCAGGTTGAGTACGGATGCTGTCTGCTCCTGGTTTGGCTGGTAGGTCTTGTAGATGGTGAGCAGGCTGGAGGCCAGGAAACGCGAGGGATACTTGGTCTTGATGCGCCTGTGCAGGATGGCGAGCATGCCCAGCAGGGTGATGAACTGGCGGTTTGCCTCTTGGGTCGAGATGGGCTGCTGCTTTCCCTTGGCCTCCTCGCCGTCGTCCAGGGTAAGGTCCTCGGGGTTGACCTTCTCTGCGGGCACTTGAAGCGCATCGAGGACCTCAAGGACCTTGATAATACACTCGCGGGGGTTGCCGAGACGAGCGACGGTCTCGAGGACCTGCTCCGACCCCTGCACGGGGACAAGCTTGTCGACAAGGTCCCATCCTATCTCGGAGGTGAGGGTTGCATCTTGCAGGATCTCGTCGAGGGTGGGCAGGATTTCTGGCGAGAGGAACTGCTCGATGAGGGTAAGATAGGTGAAGTTGTCAGTGGCCGGGGGCTTGGACTCCTTGAGCGCCTGGACGGCCTTTGCGGTGTCTCCCATGGCGAGCAGCAGGGTTAGAGTTGGAGATGTGCAGTCAGATCGACAAGTATACGGCAGATCAGAGCAGGGCCGGGCTGGAGATGAGATGCCAGATGGGTATGTACCGTTGCAGTGGGCGGCGTGAGGAAACTGGGGGTCGGGACTGGGGGAATATCGATCAGACGAGATGGGATGAGATGCTTGTTGCTAGCTGCTAGCTGCTACACAGTCGATGCTAGGTTCTTGGCTCTGCTGGCCTGGGCTGGTCTGGTCTGGAGGATAACCCAAGCGCCCTCAATGGCAGTGCAGATGGCAACCCCGCAGTGAGCTGGACCAAAATGGACCAAACTGGACCTTGTACGGAGGGAGGTTCTTTGGCGGGGCAGGCAGGCTGGCAGGCTGGCAGGCAGCTAGCTCTCCACAGAACCGGTAGAGGAGGTGGATAGGGTGGACCTGGTTGACACCTCTAGTACCTCTATGACGCCATACCCAGCTCAGAAAGGGCCCGTCTGGCCGGGAGGGTGGCCAAGGTGGTTTCCACTTGAAACATCAAAGCTGACACACCACAACACCAGCTGTGCTGCCTCATCCAAGATGACATTCACTGTCATACGCTGCTAGACGCCATTACAAACGCCCACTCCAAAGTAACAAGACAGACCAAGACCAATCACAATCAAGACAGCAGACAGACGCCTTTTCAGCCAGCCCACCCACAGGCTACAGCTCGTCCTCGCCATACTCAGCCTCGCCGCCGCCAAGCGGCCGCATGGCCCCCCAGCTCATCCTCTTGCTGGTCCTCAGCATCCAGCTCCAGTGCGCCCACGGGTTCTCGGCCAGCCTGGTCATCTCAATGACGTCCCTGTCCCTCGGCCCCGTGCTGGCGAGCCCCGTCTCGATCGCCAGCCTGGCGTACCGCACCGCCTTCCACGGCTCGCCCACCCCGTTCCACTCGATCGCCGCGAACGTGTACGCCTCGTAGATGCTGCCGCTGAGCCGCTCCTGCTCGTACAGGCTCACCATCAGGTCCGCCATCGCCGGTGTCGCCGACGACCCCGGCGTGTAGTCCTCCAGCTGCTTGCGGATCCGCTTGATCTGCCGGATGCGCTCGTCCGACGCCGCCACCAGCTCCTTGCGCTGCGTGCACGCCGAGCACCCGCACTTGAACCCCCACACGTACGAGAGCTTGTCCTGTCGCTTGGCCTGCGTGCGGATCGGGCTGTTCGGGAGGGGAGGTGTCTCGTTAGCGTTCGTGGCCAGACGATGATTGATATTGTGGGACAAGACTTACTCCATGTAGGTGAGACTGATCTCCTCCCCTATCTGGATGGGCCGCGTGGCGTGGATGTGCTGCGCCAGTGTCTCCGGGTCGAACCAATAGTCTGCGTTCGGCCGGCAGTCGTGGTTGAACCGCGAGACTGTTTCCTCTGGTTAGACACGGCAGGGAAGAAAATGTGAAGGACTGGGAGGGGGCTCGACCGACTTTCTGGAAACACCACGTAGAGCCCATTCGCGTTGTCATCCTCCACCTCGACGTCAAACGCGTTCGTCCGCAGGATCTTGTCCACCTTCTCGATGTACCCGCTCGCGCCGTCGTGCGTCGACAGGTTCAGGAACCGCCCGCGGAGCTCCGACGGCAGGTAGTCGATCGCCTCGGCCTGCAGGCGGTGCATGTCGGGCACGGGCAGGTCCTCGAACATGGCGTAGTCGATGATGATGGCCGGCGTGAAGGTCATGATGTGGTCGCCGCGCTGGAACGGCTGCGTCGCCACCACGCCCATGTCCTTGCCCGGGACATGCACCATCTTGAACTTGGCCACCTCGGGGTCCTCGTCGCGGTTCTCGTGCGCCAGGACCTCCGGGTCGGTGAACCCGGGCAGGTTCGCGATGTAGTCGGCGCGGTCGGGGCTCGTGAGCACCGCTATGCCCCTGCCGTTGGCAAAGGTCGAGCTCACGAAGATGCAGTACTCTGCCGTGCCGTTGGCCGTGCATGAGGACGCCCTCGTCCATGCCCGGTTGGACGGGCTGTGGCTGTCCCCGGAAAGGTATTTGGTAATGAGCGTGTCGTTGGCGCACACCGGGGTCGAAAGCAATGGGAAAGAACGCGATAATGGGGAGTGACAAAGGCCAGCTCTGTTGATGGTCGACACCTCATGAGCGAGCGCCACAGGCGCTACGCATAGCGCAAGCCAGCCGAGCAGCAGAGTCATGATGCTATCGAGTATTCGCGGCTCACGGTGCAGAGGCGATATGTACAAGAACGGAAATACAGGTGAGGCAGCAGTTCATTCGGAGCTCACAAAGAAAAAAGAGTTTGTAAAGTTGTAGTTCGCCAGACAAAGAGCAGACATGGCCTTGTGGGATCTCACGGTCAGACACAGTGGCCACAGGAACCAAGACCGAGCAGGAAGGGGCCCCATTGTGTCAAACAAGCAGAACCTTCCTCACTTCTCCCGCCGTGAAGCTACCCTGCGTTGCGACCCCAATGACCGAGTGAGACGAATGACACGCCGCCGCTTGGATGTTTCATCAACGAGTGCGGAGGAGCGATAAGGTGCTTGAAACAGCCGGATAAGGGGCCCTGGGCATGCAGCCAGCGATCTCAAACACACATCAGCAGCAGCATTCCCCCGGAGCAGGCCAACGTAGCAGGCCAGGTGGGGGGCGAAAATAGGCATTGGGGGATCGGGCCCGGTTAATAGACTTAGACTACGACTGCAGCCAGCCTCAATTAGGGGCCCAGCCCCTTGGGGCAGTGGTGCCGGCCTTGACCACCCGACCCCTGGTACTTCGGATCTGTCTTTGACTGGCAGCCCTTGGCGAGGAGCGGCGCTAGTATCAAGCTCGTTACAGAACCACAACCTTGGGCGGAACCCCAGACAGGACAAGAGGAGGTAACACGCAAGAGGTCGGGCACTTCTTGACATGTCTTGGCGCTGGGGAAAAGGGGAGCCGAGCTCGAGTCGACGGCCAGTCAGCTCGAGGGCTGCGGTTATTAACACACACTTTTTGTTCTACATAATTGCAGAAATATGAAATGCCCACTTCTTCACACATTTCATCTGTTTAACTGGATACGCTTGTCTTCATCCAAGACGCTCGAAGCTAACAGCCTTGGGGCAACGTCCTCGGAAGCCCGGCCTTCATGAGTGTGACTACCCCTTGCTTGGCCAAAGCTGGTGAGGTGTTGCCCATCCCCGGAACTTTTGGTGTCAAGGTATCATTGAGCCTTTGACACAGAGCCGTCGTCCCGTCTGCACCTGGGACTGCAGAGCTACTTAGAAACAGACAAGTGACATACCTGGAGACCCACATCCACGCAAAAGCTACCAGGCCAAGGCGCTGCCCATTTACCAGGATGGTGGAAGAGCTGGCACGGCAAACGCGCACCTTTGGTCTCAACCGTCCTGGCCAGAGGCAAAATATGGGGTTTTGTCATAGCCCTGGAGTACGAAGAAGTAGTTTCGAATGAAACTCTTGTGGAAAGTAATGTTAGGCATAGCAAGAGACCGATCATTCTACCAAGTATTTGCTGGAGATAATGTATCAGCGGCGAGAAGAGTCGCTTATACTACTCCCCTCTTATCTTGCAAGAAGATAAGATTGTCGAGTCTTCTCACCAGTACCGACCTTTTTTTTGTTACATACCAGCTCAAGTTCTTCGTCTGACATTCAAGCCCATTGTGTAGACTTCTTCAAGGTGTCTATCCAAGGGGCGAGAGATGTAGGGCAGTATTGGCCATTCTAATTCCACCAGGTACAAAATGAAACTATCAGTAGCGGTGAAGTCGTCTAACTATCGAGGCCTTCTGCTTTATCACCTTACAAGGCTGATTATTGTAAGATTTCGCCCTTTGATGGTGGGCATACAGGGCTCTTCTCGGACATCGCCACAAGTCCTGCAGCGTAAAATGTGACTGTTCAGTGTTGAAGGCGCAGCTCATGTTGTACCTTGCTCCTGCTCAGAGCAATGGGTCGGCAATCAGCTGGAATGACACCCTTCTTTCAACAAGACGGGTTCTGATGTCCGATGAGGTCAGCTTACATACGTACAGAGCCTTCAACATGAGTCCACTTGTTTCTTTGAAGCCCGACTCATACCAATACGAAGGTGATGGTACTCTTTAGCCAAGAAGGGAATGAAAATGGAGCCCTAAAACTTGCGGCTGCCACACAGTGGAGAGAGTTGAGGAACACAAATACCTGGGTACAAGAAATATACACCCAAAAGAAAGGCAGACACATGTACAACTAAGCAAAGATACATATTGAACTGGGCCCAGTCTCAAAGGCAAGGAAGGTCATTGTCAGCAACTCGGCGGCAAAGTCCGGCATACGCTTCTTGAAGATATTGAGCCGCAGCAGCACTTTGCATGGCATCAATGACTCCATCATGCCTGCTTATGTCGGTCAACCGGTCTAGGCACATCTCAGAACACTGAACTTTAGAAGATTCTATTCGCCGCTGATGAAGAAATGTAACCCTGAATGAGGCTCTTAACATACCGTACTGGTAAATAGGGGGGGTCCGCAAGCGTTACGGCCCTCTACAAGCGTTGCGCCCACCGCAAGAGTTGCGCCTACCGCAAGAGTTAACCCTTTCCGCAAGAGTTAGAGAATTAAGGTGTAAAAGTCACGTAAGGAGATTTTAGTAATCTGAAAGTTGCTCTGCTTGCCTAGGCGTGGAGGATAGCCGAGAAGGATTCTTCTTCTAGGGCGATTTTAATATTTATTTTCTATTTCTAAGTTATCTTCCTCCTTCTTGTTATCTTCCTCTTCCTCTCCTTATTTAGCTTAATCTTCATAACTGCCTCTTCATAACTACCTCTTCCTAACTACCTACCTCTTCCTTAGATAGGTACGTACCTACTTCTCTCCTAAAAAATCCTCACATAACTTCTACACCTAAATTCTCTAACTCTTACGGAAGGGCAACTCTTGCGGGAGGCGCAACTCTTACACTAATAATAAGTCTTGAAAACGAGGCAAGTCTTGCGGGCCTCCGCAACCCTTGCGGCCTGCCTGCAGACACCGGTACGGTACTGAGTGAGTCATTGCGGTTGTACCGTCAGCCTCTCGTCTGACATGCCACATTGTTACCCCAAGTTTTCTCTAGCATATGTTTCCCCACCAGTATCCGGAGCCAGTATTAGTTGTTATTCGGTCTAAGCCGCAGTCGACATCCTAATTATTGGCCGCGCTCGGCCCAGAACGATATTCGCCCTTTTCTCATGGTTGCAGCATCCCTGTCCGATTAAACTCGTGCGCCACTGCGCGGGAAGGACCCTTGGCTGCAGCTCAAGGCTTACGAACTTTTTTCCCCTCTGTTTTCCCATTGCAACTAGGGATTGTCCACGGGCCATATCCACTCTGAATTCTTGCACACCCAATCTTGAATCTGGCCTGTCCCGACTCACATCAACTCTGCAAGACACAGGTGCACTGCCTCCTCTGTATGTGATTGGACCCAGCGTATCTACGTATCTAGGCACCTAGGTACCTATGACTAGGTCCGGTATGAGTCAGTCTCACTGTCTGTGACAAGCGAAGTGATGCCCCCCCCTGGCTAAATTCGCACGTACGCACGTGCCACATAAATCCATTTACTCCTTTTCTAAAGTAGTTTTCTTTTAATAACTCTTTTATTTTATAACTTAAAATTATATAAAAATTATATTTATAATTCTTATTTAAAGTTTAATAAGAATATAATTTTTAAATATTTATTTATTTAATATTTAAATTTAATTAATTTATATATATAAATTTTTAATAACTATAATTAAATCTTTATTAAAAATTATAAAATAAGTATTATTCAACTTCTTACTTTAAACTCTATAAAATTATATTTTTAAAATATTTAATTAATTAATTTTTAAAATTTATATAAATATTTAAAAACCTATTAAAATAAATATATAAAAAAATATAGCTTTATAGAGTTTTAAGTAAGGATTATAAATATATTTTCTATATAATTATAAGTTAAGAAATAAAAGAGTTATTAAGAAAAGACTAGTTTTAGAGGGAGTGAATGGATTTATGTGGCACGTGCGTACGTGCGAATTTAGCCAGGGGGGGGCATCACTTCGCTTGTCACAGACAGCAGCTGTCTGCATGTGGTGATGGCATGAGCCCACCCGACCCCTAAACTCCAAAAGAGAAGTGCCGTACATATGCGCCCAGATGCATATACACAGTCCTGAAGTCAAAAATGGCTTTAAATACTTACCCATTCTGTGGCTAGATTTGGGCATGATGTATTGTCGCTCTCACATCTCCAACTCCAAGCATGGCGTCCACACGCGACGGGGCTTCCCAAGCCCTTCACTACGCCTGTGCCCTGAGTGTCTTCTTGGTCTTGTCCATCTCGGCATGTTGCCGAATTGGCAGTAGAGCCAGGGCGGAGAGTTATTCGCTACCACCCATACACCACCAGTCAAAACCATCAAGGATTATACTGGCTGCTATCATCACTACTTATCTTAGCGAGTTCATTGTCGCTGGCTTCGAGGGGAACTCCCTCAGCTGTGAAGCGCCGCACGGCGTGCATCTCCTTCTCTCTTTACTTGCCTGGTTTGATTTTTGGTTCGCGTCGAATTACTCCCCACGTCTTCTGTGGGGAGCGTCTTTGATCACTATTCTTTTTGAAACCCCATTGATTATTCTTACCATTCTCGACGGGTTTGCAACGACCGAGGCGGGCGCAAAGGTCTGTCTTCAAGCAGCCAGATTGTTTTTGATGTTACTTCTAGTTTCAGCGGATATCACACGGAGGCTGTCATCCAGACCGCGGCTTGAAATGGAGGAAAGCCAACCTTTTCTCCGTGCGCAGCCAGAGGCTGGTGGGAACGGATATGGCAGCGTGCCGCACTGTGACGACGCCAACACGGAGGTCGCTAGTCAGGACACCGCCAGCAATTGCAGCGAAGACAGCGATGACGACGATGACGATGACGATGACGATGACGATGATGCAGCTAGTATCAAGCGACGACGAGCTAAACGTCTTCAAGAGACCGGAGGGTGGCTGGGATATCTGCAAGACTTTGCCATCTTTATCCCTTTCATCATACCAAGGAAAGACCGCAAGGTCCAGTTTTGCATAGTCCTGACCCTTGTCTGCCTGGCCGGTCGGAGAGTGCTCAACATCTTGATCCCGGCTCAACTCGGTATCATCACCAACATGATCCTCGAGAGGCAGGCTCCTTGGGGTGCGCTATTGGTGTGGCTGCTTCTCACTTTACTCGACAACGATGCCGGCCTGGGCCTTGTCGAATCGCTCTCCAAAATTCCCATCACGCAGTTCTCATATCGACAACTTACCAATGCAGCCTTCAACCATGTCATGAGCCTCTCGATGGAGTTCCACTCCGAGAGAGACTCCGCGGAGGTCATGAAGGCCATTGAACAGGGAGAAGCACTTTCCAACCTCCTCGACACCGCAATCATCGAAATACTGCCGACGGTCGTGGACCTAGTCGTGGCTTTCGCTCTCCTATATAGCAAGTTCAACATATACGTCGCCCTCACCATGCTCATCGTCTCAGTGGCCCTCATGGCGGCGGAAGTCTACACCTCGAGCGTGAACATTGCAAACCGCCGCGTCTCGAGAAAAGCCCAGCGGGAAGAGGCGCGGGTGCTGCACCAGGCAATCCAGGGGTGGCAGACCGTCAGCTACTTCAACATGTTCAGGTACGAGCGCCGCCGCTTCGGACAGGCCGTGGACTCTCAGCTTGCAGCCAGCCGCAAGTACGCCGTGCGGGACGCCCTTGTCCAGGCCCTGCTCGACACAATGGTACCGCTCACGTTCTTCGTCCTGACCAGCCTGATCTTATTTGAGATCTTCAATGACCGGGCTACCCCCGGAGACTTTGTGTTCTTCATTCAGTACTGGGACGCCCTCATCTGGCCGATGAAGATGCTAACGCATGATTACCGATACCTGATGACGGATCTGGTCGACGCGGAGAGGTTGCTCAACCTGCTGCAGACCAAGTCGACAATCCTCGAGAAGGAGGATGCCGTAGAACTCCACAATATCAAGGGCCACGTCGAATTCGAGAACGTCGGGTTCGCCTACGACCCCCGGAGGCCAACCCTCCGCGACCTGAGCGTCTCAGCACCACCAGGGAAGACCATCGCGCTGGTCGGCGAGACAGGAGCGGGCAAGTCCTCCACCATGAAGCTCCTGCTGCGCTTCTACGACGTGACCTCGGGCCGCATCACCATCGACGGGCACGACATCCGCGACGTGACGCTCAGCTCCCTCCGGGGGTCCCTGGGCGTCGTCCCGCAGGACCCCTTGCTCTTCAACGCGACCGTCATGGAGAACCTGCGGTACGCGCGGCCCGGCGCGACAGACGAGGACATCTTCGAGGCCTGCCGCGCCGCCGCCATCCACGACCGGATCCTGACGTTCGCGGACGGCTACGGGAGCCGCGTCGGCGAGCAGGGCGTCAAGCTGTCGGGCGGTGAGATCCAGCGGCTTGCCATCGCGAGGGTCTTCCTGAAGGACCCGCCGGTGCTCGTCCTCGACGAGGCCACGAGCGCGGTTGATACGGTGACGGAGGCGAGTATTCAGGAGGCGTTGGATAAGTTGCAGAACGGGCGGACGACGTTTGTCATTGCGCATAGGCTTTCTACGGTTGTGCGTGCGGACCAGATCGTTGTTCTGCACAATGGTGAGGTTGCGGAACGCGGAACTCATGAGGAGTTGCTTGCGATGGCGGGAAGATACTCTAATTTGTGGACGAGACAGATTGGTGGAGCCATGAGAGAAAAAGCGTTTCATTAGATGTGTTTTGCTTCTTTTCACACTTCAATACAGACTTGCATTTTGGTTCGGGCGTTGGGTTCAGACTGCGCGATAAATCACCCGAGATTGCAGCTTCGGGGCATTTATGATATAACTTGATTACCATTTGTATTTACCTACTGAAATAGGTACCCTGCACAGAAAGGAGCAAGTTCGAGAATCACGGAGTCCGTGACAAAATATATCCAATTTAAGTCTTCACCGAGGCTGATATAATAACGTACCTAATAATGAGACCTTTGCAAACAGACGTAGCACCGAATCACTTCTGGACCAAGAGCTCAGCATCCCGGCGTCCCGACGACTCAACACGCCACGTCTTGCCAGCTGCCTCGGGCCGCGGCGCAAGCACGATCTCGATATCATCATCAGGCTGCTCTACAGCCTCAGCCTGCGACGACTTTTCCGTCGTGGGATCATCCCACTCCCCACCCGCAGGATGGACGTCGAACCGAAGCAGAAGCATCGCCGCCAGCATCAGGATTTCCGCCGTGGCAAAGTGCCGGCCGGGGCACAGCGTCGTGCCGCCACCAAAACCCCGGAACGCGACGGGGTTCGGCCGCGGCCGGCCCTGCTGCTTGAGGAAGCGGTCGTGGCGGAACTCGTCCACGTCGGGGCCCCACACGTCCGGGTTGCTGTGCTGCGCCCGGGCGGACATCATCACCAGGCCGCCCTTGCGGAGGCGGTACACGCGGTTGCTCTCGCTACCCTGCAGCGCGCAGTCCTCGCTGACGACACGTACTGAGTTGGCCATCCCGTGGAAGCGAAAGACCTCGTGGTAGGTGGAAAGCAGCGTTGGGCATGAATTCAGCACGAGGCTCAGGTCTAGTACTGACTCAGATGCCTTGTCTTTATCGCTTGGCCGGACTGCCTGGTTGACCTCTCGCCTGCATTCTTCTAGTGTGTCTGGGTCGCTGAAGATGCGGTAGATCACCCAGAAGGCGGTAGGGATGGTGTTTGCCACGTTGTTAAAGACAGTACCGACCAGCAGCCGAGGGATGTCGTCTTCCGGTATCTCCTGGCTAATGCAGTGCTCTGTGAACTTCTGGATATATGCGGAGCCTTGCCTGTAACTGCCTTCGACGTAGTATTTCTTGAACGCCTTGACTAGATCACCCCGGGCTTGCACAGCTTCTCCGAAAAAGACGCCTTGCGGCAGAACATCCAGCATGATATACATCAGTGCTGGGTGAAATTTGCTGTAAAAAAGTTAGTTCACGATGAGGAAAATCATTTTACGAATAAGACTCACGACCAGGCGTCGAGGTTACGTCTATTTCTCATCGGATTAGACGGACCATATATCGCCTCCGTGGTCGCCTGCATTATGAGCCTGCTGATCCAGTCGTACATGTTGACAGTCGTGGGCGTAGATAGCTGCTTCATTGCCTTGTCGAAAACTTCGAATGAACTCGTATTCAGGGTGTCCAATGCCGGTCCGCTGCTCATAGTGGGATGCGTGGCCTTGACCATCCCGCCCATGAAGCCCTGCTCAGTCACCAAGTCGCGCTCCATGATGCCTAGGGCCTCTTTGCTTGCGCCCATGGCCGCCTTTGCCGCTTTGACTTGGATCGGTGCAAAGATCAGCTTCCGCCACTGGCGCTGTACCGCAGGGATGAGGTCCAATGAGTTGATCGCATAGATGCGGACCCCGGGGAGTCGGAGGGTATAAATTGGTAGGTCTTGGTTTTGCTCCCGCATGTGGGAGTAGAAGTCTTTGCTCCATTGAATCACTGCTTCGCTGTCAGAATCAACACTGGTATGATTGGTATGACCGGCCCAACAAGCCACGAAATCAAATTGGCCGGAATGACTTAAGAAACCTCAGAAATTTAGTTGTTTCCGTGGGAAACTTACTGCCTAGTATAGGGCTCATGAAGGGAACAGAGGTCAGCAGCACGGGAGGCTCATCTCTGCCCTGTGTGAGATGCAGAAGACTCCATGCAAGTACATAGGCTGCCACCGCTCCGCAGACGAGTGTTGCAATAACCGAATTCAGCTCAATCGGTGCCATCTTGACTCGTTTATACTCTCCGCAAGAGTGCTAGCGCATGAGCTTGGAGATACTCGAGGTTTTTAACTTAGTTTGAATCACATCATGCGGTGTTGGTTGGTTCCTCGTTTCGCAGCAATAATGATCCTTTCCGGTGTGTTGGCTTCTACCGACGGCTTGGGGAGAAGGATATGCATTTAACCGAGGATGTGGGGGGCCATGCGTTTGGTACCCTAGGGTAGGTTCACGAAACTGCCTATATCGCATAATTACAATCCGAGGCCTCGATCCTACGATTTCCCCAACCTCACCCCCTTGGACAGAAAGAAGCGCTCAAGTGCTGACAGCCAAGGTTTCCCTTAAGTGACGTGTTGAGGATAATCGACTTCTTTGTAGATCACCCTGTGCGACCGAGGGTTGCTCTAATGGCCTGGAGCTTTCTGTTACGACAGACGATCCGTAAGCTTCAAGTTGACTGCCCCAAGACCCACAATTCACCACCGCTAGGTACACAGCGGGCCTGTGGATATATCGTAGGGTGTAGTTGGTATGTATTATGGAGATTCGGCTGCCTAATTGGGTGTTTTACCAGGCGTTAGTCAGACACCAAGAACGCTTCAGAAGACTGCCAAGTTCACAGGAATGTGTGTCATATTGACCACGAGCCAGTTACTTAAGGATCACATCCGTAACGAAGGGGCTGCCATCACTATACCGTGCGTTAGTGGGTACTAGAGATGGTTACTATAACTACCCTTTAAATAGAAAATCCTTTTTTTATAAGATTAACTTTAAGTATATTTAAAGAGGAGAGAATATTAACTTTTAAATAGTTAAATAGTATTTTAATATACTTTTAATAATAAAAGATTTAAAAAGGAAAAGTAGTTATAGAGAGAAAAAGTAGTTATAGAGAAAAGAAATAGATTTGTAAAAGGATTTATAGAAGTAAAAAGGGTTATAGAGGTACCTTTCTCTATATAAAAAAAGGAGGAGTACTTCCTTTTTTCCTTCCCCTTCCTTCCTTCTTTCCTTTAACTTTAATATTAAGTTCTCTACCTTCCTCCTTTAAGTTAATTAGAATTCTATATTTAAAAATTTAAAAGTAGAGTAATTAAAAGAAAAGTAAGTTAATAAAGTTAAAAAGCTAAAAAAGATTTAATAGAAAAAGGAAGGAAGGAATTCTTTTTTAGCTAGTTAGTATATTTAAATAAGAGACTAACTATAAGAGAATAAAGAGTAAGTTATTTAAAAAGAAGGAGCCTTTTTAATAAGTTTATTTCTATTTTTATAATTATATTTCCTTTATAATTATCTTTAAGCTTTAAAATAACCTTAAAATTAATAAAGAATTTTATAAATAAGATAATATATATTATTATAATTATTAAATTAAAATAAATATTATAATAATAATCTTAAAGGGAGAGAAGTAGTATAATAATTAAGAGGTAGTAAGAGGAGTATAGGTAGTTATAGTGACTATTTTTAATACCTATTAACGCATGGTATAGTATTTATCGGGAAGGGGCTCGCCCAGCCGAGTCACTTCAGCTGGTTTATGAGGTTGTCTGGGGTGGACAGCCACCAGTGCCTCCGGCCCTGTCCAAAAGCCGGCTGTACAGAGTATAGCCCTGCCTGTGTCGGCCTGGGGTCTTACGTGCCAGGGGTGAAGCCGGAATTGTAGGGAAAGCTGCTCGCGCTCGGCGGCTGCCGAAAAGGAGAATAATCTCTAAGTATAAGTCATTATTAAGTACTACTTAAAAATTTTAAAAGTAGTAAGTTTAATTTTTATTCCTAAATTACTATATAATTATATATTTAACTATTAATATAATTTTATATAGTTTATTTATAACTTATATAAAAGCACTTATATAACTATATACTAAGTACCTAGGTAATAATATATAAGTATAAATTAAGATATGTTTTAAAGATAGTTAACTTCATTCTATTTGCTTCAGACCAGAGTTATATTACGGTAACAAACAAGGATACAATACAGCTCGGCGTCATGTGGCATTCCGACCACGATCAACCCCCTGCTCACCCAGTCCGACCCAATCATGGTTCTCTGTAATGCATCTGTTCGCGTTGCCTCACATGAAGCACATCGATATCGGCTGCAAAATGGAATGGTGAATAGTTCGAATTATATAGCCCGCGCGACGGTTTAAAAGAAGGGATTTCATTCCAATTCCTAGATAGGGTGGTCGATAGCCGTATTTGAAGCTTCCGGTCACCATGTCGCTGACTCGGATACGCAGAACAGTAGGGCAGGGCCATAATTGTAGATCATGAACCAGAAATCCTTTATTTCCAGTCTTATGTCTTTGAATTTAATCAGACGGATGCTGCTATTGCATGCGAAAGGAGATGACGTTTTCTGAAGCGCGGGGCCACTTTAAGTGAACGGCGATGTTTTTCTGGGCCAAGAAATTCACCTCTAGACTGTATTTCCTTTTCTAAACGATGGGTCTTGAGCGTTTACCACTGTATCAAGGCGCCACATACGTTTCATATGTATGGGGATTAGAAACGAAACCACTCACGCCTGGAAGCTTGATAGGCAAAACTTTAGGAGCGAGTGAATAGGTGCGTAACGAACCTGGACTCGAATGCTGCATCTGGCCCGGGAAACATTCAAGTTGTGTGATGCTGATCTACTAGTAATTCCAAGTAGTCTAAATCTTCGTATCTACCTAGGTACCTGACCAATGAGATGTCATTAGTGAATGAGCTCCATCAATCCTAGCTTAATATTGAAGGTCTAAGTGAGCAACCATCGTGCATCGAGAAGTTGTTGCTGCTCGCAAAATCGAATCATGCGTGTAACCCCTCCTCTGAGGTCATCGGTCCTTCGCGTGGCAAATCACGTACCACTCCTCTACCTCCACGATCAACCATCTGGAACGACTAAAAGTTAAAACACTAAGACATACAGCACCGCCTATTCACTATTCAACTCTGAGCTAACTACTGATCTGCCATTTTCTTATCCTAATCATCTTCCTGCTCTGAGAGGCGACGAAGACCGCGGAAAGCTCGAGCAGCATGTTTGGGATGTTCACGATTAATTGCCGTTTACAGCTGGTACTGACTGCATATTATATCCTAACCAAGCGCGCACCTGGCCGGAACCTTTTGATCCAATGCATCTCCCAAATCTCACTCCTAGCCACTTGTTCCAGAGCATGACGAGGTGCCAGCTTCTCTGTCGCGTCATGTCACACAAGATCTGAGCTCATTGGCTTGGGGCCGTGTAACACGGACTTCAAGGCAAGGTACTACCCGGTCGTTAATGAAATACTGTCAGATCCGCTGAATACAGGTGGGGAGAACATGTACCTTACAAAACAACATGTAGGTCTATAGTGATTCGGGCAGCCCCAGTCATCAGCCACCCAGGATGTCCATACTCGTCTTGTTTGCACTCTGAGAGGTTGAGCCAATGCATGTGAAAGCGACATAAGTACATGTATGCCCACCTGCATGAATGTATACAGTGTGGAGTGATGCGTAAGCAGCGTTGATCACATTGCACTCAAGTGCTATCAGGGCCGGCTTACCCTCCCGACCTTCTACGCCAAAGATTTCATGAGATGTCTCCAAGAACAGAAGTCATTCTCTTCATTACTCGTGCAATACACAACTTCTCAATACGCCCCACTGTTCACGACCTCATTAAGCTACGACTATGTTTAATAAGTGCTGGTTTCAAAACCCATCTTACTCACTTCTGGATGGATCGGACCCGCCATCGCGGCTCAAAACCCGTTCAAATTGGTCCAGAATGCGATGGACTCTCCTATCTCTGGCCCTAACAGTCGTGGGCTTCGCACTCGGCTGCTTAGTAACACGGTCGGAAACTACAACGTCAGTAACGACGTCGAGTGGCGTAGCAATATCTGGGATACTCCCAGGTAAGATAGCAGACCATTCTTCAATGGCACAGCCATTTACAGTTCAGGAAATACTCGACCAAGGCTGATGTTCATACAGACCAAACACCTCATGTCTTTTTGTACAATCGGACTTTCGGCGAGGCCTCCCCAATGTCAGATGCCGCTTGGGCCCAACTGCTCCCTCCGCAGGGAGGTTACTTCTCACACCCCGTCATTGCCCCAGAGCGATCCACTTTCTCGGTGTATCACTATTTACATTGCCTCGTGAGACATTTGCATATAAATTCTCCCACCGGGTACGTTGAGCGATAACTAAGGCTTTTCCAGAACGGCATACGAACCGGATTTTGGACGGTTTTCAATATGGCGACTGCTGGCGAGAAGGTTGACCCCCAAGACCTTCCAATGATGATCTCTCCGCCCCATATTCGGCACTGCATCGACCTCCTTCGACAGGCTCTTATTTGTAATCCAGATTTGACCATAGAGGTCAAGGATGAAGAAGCCGGAGGTGTACATGGGTTTGGAGAAACACATCAATGTATCGACTGGACTGAGCTTAAGCAATGGACAACACGCTGGGAGTCATGGAAAGAACCAGATTCATCTTTCTGAAATATGCAGACTATGGTATCAGATCAAACAACTGTTCTGATCCTTCCATACGAGTTGATGGCAAATTACCGAAGCACTATCCTGATTCTGTAGGTACCTAGGTATCTAGGTAGCACTGATAAGTTGGAGGAACCTGATGCCTACTCCCAGCCCACCACTATCAATGCAAGCGGCCCCGGAGGCATTGGTGTCACGGAATGAATGACGAAACGTTGATCTGCCCTCTTAATAAGCTCTTTCCATTGCTCGGTGGTACGCTCTTTGCTGTTGAACAGTGCCATCATAGCAAGGTCCTGACCCCTGGACATCTGTCAGTCACTGGTCCGTACTTGTCAAGATAAGCTTTGTCTCACCGAATACGCCACTCCTGAATCGGTGATAATGTACCGTGAGGAGGCACGCAATGGTCATTGATGAGTATTCGTGCTCCAGGCTCTAATGCCGGAACTAGTTGCTGCAGGATTCTGATGGCGTGCTCGTCTGGCCAGTCGTGCAGTACCTTGCGCAAAAAATAAATTGCTGCCCCCTGCACAGGTTGACGTTCAAAAAAGTCGGCGACCTGCGGTTTGATTATGCCACGCAAAGGCTTCGGAACGGCCCTTATCGCCTGCTCGATCACGGCTGGAACGTCTTGGACAATGATATATTTCAGCTGCGGGAATCGTTTTGAGAGCGCTATTGCAAAGCTCCCATCGCCACCACCGACATCGACGACAACAGCATCAGTGCTCAGTGCTCCCCAATCAAATAACTCGAGGGCGGCTGTTGGCTGCCAGCCCGGTAACCGTTGCATGAAGCTCATGGAGGACGCAAAACGGCGAGACTGCTCTGGATTCTTTGCTAAGGAATCCCAAAATGTGCCTGCCGTTCCAGTGGCGAGATTATAACCAGTCTTATCTGGCTCATGAGGCAGACCCGGCCACTTGGTTAGAGCATCGGGAATACACGCCGCGGCCGGCCGAAGATCCTCACAGACGTATCCCACGAAGTCTGAGATTGGCGGCTGTGCTGCCATCATTGCAGAAAACGCCGTGTGAGAGATTATGCCTGCTTCCGGCTGAGCCAGAAAGTGCTTGGTCACGGCATGTTGGACAAGACGAGTGATGGCCTCCTCATTGGCGTTGCAGCGCCGAGCCAGTTCCGCAGTGGTTATAGTCTCGCCGACAGGGAAACGTCTAGGGATTTCGAAGCGGTGCATGGCGTGCATGCTCGTCAAGTCGAACTGGTTCCTAAGTCAATTTAAGGTGCACTCTTTCAAGAAAAAAAAAACTTCCATAAAGTGTCCCTTACAGAGCGGCCCAACTGCCAAGTCATCCATCCAATGGGGCCCAGCAAAAGGGTAGTCAGTTCTTCAAGAGCTCCAAGTGCAGTATCAACTGATGCATGCAGCGACGGCGGTAACTGTGACTGAATGGAAGCAGCGCCTGGTTCGAAGGAGCAACTGGGCTTCCCAATTTTCTCGAGGTACTGCTCGAGACTGGTCACGGTTTCTAGTATAGACGATGCCAGCTGCACACTCCTCGGCCGCGGAGGATTCGTCGACATTGTCGGTCTATAACTCTGTTATCTTGGAGGTGCGAGAATCCCGATATTTTCCTAGCTGCTGAGTGGAATAACAAGGTATGGTGAAAGGAGATGTTGGATCTACAAGTAAATCAAACGGTTGAGCTGTTAAATTGCTTCTTAGCGTGCTCAAGCCACTCACAAGCCACGAATGGCGATATATGTTGGCTTTGACCGGGGCTGTCTGAATAATACACCCAAACAGTACAGTTTTCTTGTCAAACGACTCAAGTGATCTGAGCCTCAGCCTGCCTCCTAGCGAACCAATACTAAGTTACACATTTTGTCATACACTGGAGGTGGGGGCGGCGTCGTCATCACATAAGCAGTACGACCTATTCACCGACGTAACGCATGCGATTTGCACAAGTTTCTACAAAGAATCTTTCTCCTCGCTACATAATCCTAGGACTTTTGTTCTCATTGCCTTGTTTTTCTTGTCCAACACGTCGACATGCAGCCGGTGAGACATTCAGCTGAGCAATAATATCTGGGCACAACGTCGGGGTTCATAGCCTGCAGATCATCACACTCAAAAGTGGTGGGAGCCTTGCTTTTAGGAATTAGCTGCAAGGATCAGCAGGCTGTGTTCCTGTGGCACGAAAGGAGTGGGTGGATTATTCAGCCCATGAAATCAAATAGCCTCTTTTCTCAGAACACTTTGGATTCAATCGCATTGCATAATCTCCCGTCCCAGGGTGTTCGGGCCTGATGCATCAGCACACCCAGTAAACCTGCAGCCTACACCTCCCAGGTCACCTCAGCCTGCCTTGGAGCGTTTCACTTTTCGCCTCACTTGCAGAATGTCTCTGCTAATTTCTCACTTGCAGGATGTCTCTGTTAGTAAGCGAGCCGTCCTAGCGGCTCACAAACGCTGATCAAGCAGCATTGTAGCCTGATTGTGATGTTGCCCCCCTCACACCTCAAGTTCAACCCAACCTTTAGACTTTGCCAGTGTCACGTTAATTTGCAACTATTGGCTCATGTTATCATAAGGATGCACAGGAAGCGTCAGAGGGTGCGATTGCGATCCTGTTGTAAATTGGGTCCCAATTGATTCTAATCAAAAGCTTGTCTACAATGTTCCACGACATGAGCTAAATCCATAGGTCCGAATAAGGACGGAAAGATTGTAATACAATTATATAAAGCAAACACGTTGATACGCTGCAAAAAGATCATCGCTAGGCCACATGATAGCCTTATAGGCCCGATCGCAAAAGAGAACCCGGATATCCGGTGTGGACTCGAGCTGGCACCAATTGACGAAGGCAGAGTCTCTCTGGCTATGCGTCCAGCTGAGCCCTCCTGGGTTCAAATATTGTCCCACAGCGTCACGTTGTACGTGCTAATCAATGTATTCGTCTGCATTGCGCAAGGATGAATATGGCAGTGCTCTGGACGAAGCCCGAGGAATGGAGGCAACTTCCAAATTTTCCGCGCCCAATTCTTGCTTCCTACGGATGATCTTTCAATCCCCAGAACTGACTCACTCACTATTTAACCACGCTCAAGTCGCACAGAATAAAACCATTGAATTTTCAAGTCCTCCCAGATATCCATAACTCAGTTGTGACGTGACGTGAAGGCAGGCACTGCTGTCCACGAGAAATCATCGTAGACGTTCTGCTGGACCGTTAAGAGTTCCACGCATGATTCAGACTGGGCCAATCATCAGTGTGGAGTTGTGTAGATTGATGAGCTACCATCATTCACTGTGTTTGTCGCCTCTGTGAAGAAGGGGATTGACCATGCGATCAAGTTCTTGTTTTTTGACCACACGATCTCGGTATGATGATTTCATTAGCGAGTTCCAGTTCACACAACGGTGGATACCACGCTTCGCGTCGAATATGGGTTTAGGGCTCTTCTCGCCCCACTTGAAGACAGCAAGTGCTTCTGTATCAGCGCGGCAGAGTGCGGAACTGCGAAGGATCTCGAGGCAGTGATCAATATGGATCATGTTGTGTGCCATCTGGAAAGCTGAGAGATTTGAAAACTCTGGATATTCATTGCGCCAGCTCCAATGCCTCAAGAGTTTGACGCAATGAAGTTCATGAAACACTCCCAGCCATGCAAGGTACCCGCCATCCGGCAGCGATACTGACTTCTGATTATGTACGGCGAGTTCATCGGCCGTCACGCGTATCGCCATGTCGTTCATGAGATTATGCCAAGCAGTTTCGCTCTCTGGTCGAGGCTTTCCTGCAAAGCTGCTGTTTGGGAAGAAATCGTACTTTGTGACCTCGAAGTTGACTTCGAGTCCAGGAAAGGCTGTTTGAAGATTTTGTCAGATCCTATCGGGGACTCCCTCTCGTGAATGCGAGACTCAGATGCGAATGATGGCTCACCATTTTTCCTAGACGCTGATCCATTCGAGAGCGACCCAACAAGGAACCAGAAAGCTCCTGTATATAGGATTATCAAGACAATATGTCCGGCCACAGCGCATGGCCACTGAGGACGGGATGATCTCCGAATTGGAGGAATCTCTCCGTAAATCCCATTGTCGCTTTCCTCGCATCCCAACAAAGACTTATATTGCTCTTCGTTCGGCTTGGACGTCATCATGAACTGAACCGCGATTGTGAAAGATTATTTGGAACTGGCAAGGTGAAAGAATGGCAACCAGGACAGAGCTGAAAGCTCACGTAAATAGTATGGCCTCTTCGAGCCGATTGAAAACCTCTCGGACGTCGGAATCATGCGGTGCCCCAGAATGGGCCTCAGAAACATGAGTCAGAAGCACATTTGCTGACGAGTTCGGAAGCCTGATTTGCCACCGGGCGGGATATCCTTTTCGTTGAGACATCACTGGTTGCAATGCAACGTACATAATCAATACTAGATGCAGTGTAACACACTGTGCATTGACATCTCTTCACCAATGTTTCCGGGGATGATGGAGGGAGCAGAAGTCCATCGCCGATTGTGTAAGGGTCAACGGGGCATTTCAAGTGAACATAAATATGGACGGCGCCACGTTCGCCTTATCATTAAACTGAATTGATCGTTTTTATCCGGCTAAACAAGCTCGTCCTCTCTACCTCAAGGTCTCCCAAGACAGCCTTACTGTTTTGATAAACAAATCTACATCCCTAAGCACGGAGGCCAATGAAGACTGCATTTCTTACCATCGTAGCGGCGACAATGGCCGTCTTGGCTACGCCTGTCGTTCAATGTAAGAATCTTGAAAGTCCTCATCTTGTCATCAAACATATACTCACTCTAGCAAGATCTACCGGGCGACAATGATGATGTCGTTGTTTATCCTGATGATATGGTTGTTTACCCCGAGCCCGACCCGGACACGTTGGTGGTCTGGCCGGACGACTACGCCGATGATTAAATTCATGAAGAAAGCCGGCAGTTTCTTATGGCAGGGATTATGCGTCGAAGACCAGGTCACGCTGCAAAAAGTGCACCAGATCTCTTTTATCTAAGATCACGGTGTTGCAGTCAACAGTCTTCGCAGCACTTGATTGAGCTGCTCTAGATGCCTGGGAACAAATTGAACCATAATACTTAGTCAGATAGTATGGCGTGAAATTAATGCACAACACCTTGACTTTGACTTGAAGCAACTTGTTCGATTCAGCGGGGTGATGACCTTCCCGAACCTCATCCATTTGAATTGCAATAAAACTAACAAAGTAGGGCACGTCCGGCTGTCCTATTCCTGACCCTGCTCAAGCAGTGAAATTGATACATATTTACTGCCACTGCAAAGATTGTAATGGTTTCTCCTGAAGCTTAAATACTGTCACTACATTGGCTGTCCGCCCGGATGATGGATCCCGATTATGCTGAGGTGTGGGGAAATCGGATCGTTGAGAACTGGGAGAAGATAACAACAATGATAGAGGCCAGCCGGGCTGAATCCAGCCATATGTAGATCTCGGCCCCCAAGATTTGTCTATCCTACCTACGTACATGATCAGCTTACCTTGCAGATTGTGATACGCTGATATCTCAGCCCGTCACCTCGAAGTACGTATCCCGAAGTAGAATAATACAAACTCATCTCACGCATTGGTACCATTGCATGAGAGGTACTTCCAGGTATTTTGGTCACGCGCAGATGTACTCCTAAATGGGAATAGACCAGAGAGTTCTAAATTCACCCATGGCAGATGAGGTCCAGGCTCGGTTGCTGAAAACGAGACAAATGACGAAATGCAGACGATGATTAGTAGCTCCTGACTCTATTCTGGAGTGTATTCCATTCTCCGGCCCTGATTTCGCAAAATTTGATCCTTCGAGACCTGTACACAACCTTACCACAATTCTCATATTCCGCCTCTAAAGAAGCAAACTTAACAACTGTCTTGCAACTTTATGTTTGCCAACATATACGATCTGACAACGCGCTAAGCAAAAGAGGACGGTCAATTCTAGTCGCCCGTCAAATTCAAAAACCAAGGTAAAGTACAAGACAAGATGTCGTCACACATGCCGAACCCTCTTCCACCGGATCAGAATCGTGGTCCTCAAATGATGGGCATGTTCTGGACGATGGTGGCCATATCTACCATGATGGTCGCTTTACGGTTTTATGCCCGTTTTCGTATCAAAAGCATCGGATGGGACGACTGGGCAATGCTTATGGCACAGGTGAGTGCCATCGCGCCTTGATACCCGCACACTAAAGGGTTGATTCAGAAAGCAAGGCTGACTCAAGACTTTAGCTCTTATTCGTACTCGGGAATTCTTTTGCTACCTATTGGGTGCACAACGGTGGAGGTCGCCACGTCTGGTATCTTTCAGAAAACCAAACCCTTCTAGCGGGGAAATGGGCGTACATCTCACAAGTCCCTATCATCCTGACATACGCCTTCGGCAAAACATCAATAGCACTCTTGACGCTACGATTCATTGGTAGCATTTCTATGTGGCGGAAGTCACTGCTCTCCTTCATTATAGGAGCTGAGTTTGTTGTGAATATTCTGACCTTCATTCTCATTTTTCTCCAATGCACACCGTCTCATGCGCTTTGGACAAAGGTTGAAGGCGCGTCATGTTGGCCCTCATACATTGTCAGAAATTGTAACCACTTCTCCCGCGCCTGGAACTTTTTTGTTGATATTCTTCTGGCAATTTTACCCGTCAGCTTCGTCTATAAGCTCAATTTGAGGCTACATAAAAAGATCGCTTTGGCCGGTTTATTGAGCCTGGGTTTGGTGTATGATGCATCACTTGCTTCCCTTTCAGATTTTTCCACTGACTAGCAGGCAGTGCTGCACTTTGTGGTGGGATCAAATGGCAATATGAGAACGATCTGACTGACCCCTCTGATTTCACTTGTCAGTCGATCATCCATAATCAAAAATGCCACTGGATGTGAGAGTGTGAGCTGATGAAATATTTGATCAGGGAATGGCTACAATATCATGATGTGGAGTGAAGCGGAAGCATTCATATTGATATCTGCTGGCTGCGTACCTACGCTCTTACCACTCTGGGAACGCTACGTCACTCACACACGGGATACTTCCTATGGGCACACACCGCTCAAAGATATACAAGGCCCTGGAAAGCCTAAAAGGCCACCGGTCTCAGCGCTGTACACTGCTTATGGTCATAGTGGCGACGCTCTCAACTTGACAACGATCAATTCTGGAAGCAACGCCGACATAGAGTTGATGCCTCGAATGCCAGAGGGAATACTCATCAAGAGCAGTTACGGAGTTGACCACAGGCCCAATGAGTTCGCTTAAAACTGGGCCTGTTTCAGAGTGTCGGGGCTCAGAGGCAGAGGACAGGAGGACCAATGTCTGCGGCGTGGATAAAATCGTCAGTTGAGTTGTAATCTCGGATCTGCCATTCTGTGAACGCGAAACTTTTAAGGAGCAAGATACTGGTAACCTTTTGTTGGGGCATAATCGCTTAAAATAAAGGGAAGGGGGGAGGCTTAATAGAATGAATTGGCCGTTTTGTGGCTCCCATATAGGTATTGATTGCTTTTCTTCTTCTTTCTAGTCTTCAGCCGGCACAGAATATTCCACTTGTACTTTCCCTGAGTTATGTAGAATATGGATAATCGCATTGCCAAAGTAGATGAATACCTAAGTAGTCACTGGCAAAGATAAGGGCCTCCTCAAATTACTGAGCAGAGTCCGCGGAGGTGGCAAAACACTCACAGCTGAGGTGGTGGTGGAGTTTCGATGAGACCCTTGTAGAGGGGTGACGGTAGGCAAGCTCGGCTCAACGATGACTACAATAGAGGCTCGGCTAAGACTGGTCTTCAACATCGGCGCCTGATGGGGCTGCGTGGTCCTGCTCGGCGAGGCTGACGTTTTCTATAGAGCCAATCCATCTTGATACCCTGCTACCTAAGGCACATGTGGAGATCGACTACGCCAACATCACTGGACGGATCAATGGAAACATCGAGGAGTTTCTCGGTGCTTTGTAAAGCAATTCGCGCATTGGCCCACCGGCGGGGATCTATTATTGACGCTCATACTAGACATACCGTTCGCCACAACCGGCCGCTTGGAGCACCCACAGCTCTACACTGAGCAAATGGGAGAATTCGACGGCAGCAACTACCGGCCCATCTGCTCACTTTGATACCCATGGCCGCCTGGAGCTTCTGACCGAGAATTAGAAACCGATGAGAAAAGCTGGAATGCATAGAAATGCACGCCAAGCAGCTGCGGGACAACGAAACCACCTGGGTGCTCGTGCTGACCACATGACAGCGGAGGCGCCACCCGCTGTGCAAGTGACAGCCGTGGCCAATGACACCACGAATGGAAAACGATGACCAATTACAGAGGCAGACCTTCCACGAAAAGGAGGGCGACGCACAGATAATAATACACATCATTCACCATATCACATGCATGGCATGCACCTCGTAACTACACTCGGATGCGCGGAATTATGGGGAAGTGCTGCCGGCGAGCGGCGCCCAGATCCTTACTTGCATGAGGGCGGTTTCCCGACGGGTCGACCAAAACGATTCAAGTCTACGTATTGCAGCACTCTGGGGGAAACCGGCCTTGTACGGAGCCAAGGTTGAATTAATGGTCTTCGCGTCGTCTGTAGAGATATTGGAGAAGCTCGGGAGTGACGGGAGGATAGGATACCCTTTATGACTACAAGTATAGCTTAGGAAGTCCAAACCAGGCTAGATATTTCACTACTCGCAGTACGTTTAAGCGCAGACATGCAACGACTGTAAATGGAGGTGGTTGGTGCAGGGCTGCTCGTCGGCCTCCTCGCTTGCTGTCGAGGTTAACTGGGCGCAAAACCCGCAAATGCTGCCGTTTCCCCCTGGAGCCAAATTGCCTCTTCCGGAAGGTCTCTCTGGGTCCTCCCAATATTTGAACAGTTCCCAAGTCATGGTACATCACCCCTGTGCCCACGTCCCGGACGGGTCTACAAGGCTTACACTCGCATGGCTGAAAGGTTTAGGGAAAACACGACACTGTAGATCCATTGAGCAGCAACAAACAAAAATAAAGAACAACTTATGGATCAGGACGACCAGCATACCTCATCTGGGACTCGGAGTATAGCGAAGCACGTTTGGTGTCTAGACCTACGTAGAGATCCCGGACCCATCCAGTACACGATTCGTTACCGCTACCTGGTGCTGCATCCTATGCACGATCGACGAGGTTTCCGGCTCTTTGGGCCGCGGCCACAACTGCCCCCCGTTGGACTGGCGAGAAGCCAGGCGGCGATGGTTTCTGAGTCGTGCCCAGACTACTGTGGTAGTGTGCGATCTGAAAGAGGGTCCCATCCAGAGATCGTCCAGCTAGCGGCTGTTAAGGTCGACAAGTCTACAGATCAATCAATTGGCCATGTAGATCAATCGATTCTAGCGGCGGACTTGGGTGACTTGATTCATCCCAAATTGGGTGAGTGTTGCGACGCGTGAGAGCGCAATAGGAGAAGAACAGGCAAATATCAAAGAGCTTTCGTTAAGTCCTTCCTGCCACGAAGTATTACTAGAGTCCGACTGTCTATAACAAGCGAAGTAATGCCCCGCCCCCCCCCCCCCCAGCCAAATTCACATTTACACACGTACCACACAAATTTCTTCACTACCTCTTAAACTAATCTTTTCTAAATACCTCTTTTATTTCTTAACTTAAAATTATATAAAAAGTATATTCATCATCCTTACTTTAAACTCTATAAAACTATAATTTTATAATATTTATTTTAATAATATTTTAAATATTTTAAAAATATAATCTTATAGACTTTAAAGTAAGAAGTTTAGGAATTTCTTTTTAGAATTATTATTAAAATTTATAAAAGATTTCTAAAAAATTATATATAGATATTATTTAAATTTAAATATTAAATAAATAAATATTTAAAAGTTATTTTCTTATTAAACTTTAAATAAAAAGTATAAGTATATTTTTATATAATTTAAAGATATAAAATAAAAAAGTTATTAAAAGAAAACTACTTGAGAAAAAAAATAAATAATTTTATATAGCACATGTGTATATATAAATTTAGCCAGGGGGGGTATTACTTCACTTGTCACAGACAAGAGTACTAGTCCCCACAAGGGGTGACTCCAGACCTGCTGTGCCGCACGCGAGTTCATAAATACTTAGGCAGCGGCTTGACTTCAAAAGGACCGTTCCCGTCGATTTACTCTTTCTTTCTTATACACAAGCTCTCTAATCCGCTTTCCAAAATTTGATGCAGCAGCCAAATTATTCCGTTCAGATATCATCCAGGGCCAATTCGTCATGTCGCTCAAGCCTTGGTGGAAATTCCCAGCGTGGAACGACCCCAAATACGATACCGTACCACCGCCGGAGAGATTAGAGACAACAACGGCGGCACAAGCTCTGGACGAGGACCATCTGGCGGCGTATTCTCGGGCCATGAAAAACGTTCTCTCGACCGAACTCGCCGAGACAACATTTGCACAACTTGTCGATGGCTTGCCACTGTACAGCGTGGTGTCAAACCTGGTACACTATGAGCTTGAGAAAACGGAGCCAGCCTACAATCACCGAACGCTATGTCCGGGCGTTCTTGAAAAGACGAGGGCCTTTCATTCTGCCTTTGAACCAGACAAGCTCGATATCCGTGCAGATGTAACGAAGTTATCAAGCTGTTACCTCACACTCCAGTGTTCTAATAAAGTCCTCTAGGTACTACACCGATATCAATCCGCTCCAGTCGGCTCTAGGGTGTCAAAGATGCCCTTCATTGAGCTGATAGCCGTCGCTATACACACCACTGCGGCTCACCTTTTCAAGGAGGTCAATGGCGGACTCCATCAAAACGAGGAGTATCCAAGTGAGGAGTGGTATAAAGAGTTCTGTGATCGACGCTGGAAGCCCACGCCCTTCTCACTCTGGCGTTACGATGACCCGAAGCAATACCCTGACGGAATCGCCGACATAGCCGGTTACTGGGCAGAAGATCAGATATTTGGAGGGATTGTCTTATTTGATCGAGGAGACAGCGGTACGGAGGTATGAAACCCTTGCGTACAGGCCCTTATCCACTTTGGTCCCAAATTCTACAGCCAACGAAACTAATCCGCTTCTTTAGCAGAACGGAATCTGGTTTCACTCTGGGCGCTATGGGATCACATACCATGTCTACGCCTTGAAAGACGAACAAACCGCGTCTCTGCTCCTCTTCCTGGAGTCGGGAATTGGCGAGGCCCCGTGCCCTTTTCCAATACAGGAGCATAAGGACAGCTTGCGAAGAGAGTGGGGAATTTCAATTCAGAAGTACAATATATATAGGGATCGCTGGGAGCGAACAAGCCGGTTTAGAAGTTACTGGTGGTATGACCATTTTCAAAGCAAGTGCAGGGCTTTTGACGAGGACCCGATACGATTCCCAGAATGGGGCCATGAGGGAGACCCATGACATAGGGGAAAGACACATTACATAGCAGGAACCGTGTGCACTTCAATACCAACACGTTCACACTTCCAAGACAACGGCAAAACTTCCCACAAAGGAGACCAGGTGGCATACTGGTCTTCCACCTGGAAACCCTGGAACGATGAAGATAATCTCAGAGGAAATCAATAGTTCAGTGACTTTTTATTGGCCAGAGGAAGGGATTAAGGAGATGAAACGGTGAGGAGCATTAGATATACAGGCAACTAGAATTTGCTAGAAAGTCGGAGCTCAAGATGTTATCATTGATCCCAATGGGGTTACTACTTCATGGGCGGAAATTCAGCAGCATGTGATCATAGATTGCTGCCACTTAAAACCCGATTCAAGCTGATGTTTCGACAAAACCTGATAGGCGGTCACATTCTTCAGTGATTGATCGGATTCTACCACCGGAAGCTATAAAAGTCCGTTACTTCCAAGGTTCTCCTAATCCCCAGCGTAACTCAAACACGCAAACATAATTCGCCCAATTCCATTCATTGTACTCAGTTCCGCATGATTCTGCTGGATGGATGGACTTTGAATGCTCACCGACAGCTACAGCCCCAAGTCTCCCCAAGATAATACCACATGCACTGCATGAATTTATTCATTTTGCTTCACAGACTCCAGCGTTGCGACTTTTGATCCACACAAATCTTATAAGGAGAGCGGATAGACCAGAGAAGCACTCATCAGGTTGGTTCGTATTATCACCTGGCCGAGGACCTGGGGGCGAGTATCTACAAGCTTGTTCCTCTTCGAAAACTGTCGGCCACGTATATACCTAGGTAGGTGGCGAATGTTTCAGGAACCTCACGCAAATCCTCTCCGAGCTTTCAAAGGGGAAGTTCTTCGGCCGATGGGCGCTTTATTCTTGGCACAGAAAAGGGCGCGCAACGTGCCAGTGTTACGATAACGTTATTATAGACACTGGACAGCACGACGACTTGGTATTCTGATAGAGAACGGATATTCGCAGGGCAAAAACCGGATGGTACAGGGCAAAAAACGGATGGTACGGGGTAACTTTTTTATAAAAATAAAACTTTATATTATAACTTTAAAAGAGATTTAATTCTAAGTGAGAAAGAATACCTTATAATATAATAGAAAAAATAAGCTATTTAAAGATATTATTTTTAAAATTTTAGCTTTAATATTTATATAATTATATACTATTATAAAATTAAACATTATTTTATTAAAATAAAATTTAAAAATATATTAATTATTTTTAATAACTTAATTCTTAATATATAATATTAATTAAATAATAATAAATAATAAAAGATTTTAAAAAAATAAATATTTATAGAAATTACTTATAAAATTAAAAAAAATTAAAAAGTTGCCCTATACTATCCGTTTTTTGCCCTGCGAATATTCGTTCTCTTCTGATAGAGATTGGATATTCGCACTCGCAGAAATAGAGGGTACACCCAAGCCCCAAGGAGTAAACTTCTATAGGACAAACTCCTATAGGAGAACCTCCTATAAGATAACCTCCTATAAGATAACCTCCTATAAGATAACCTCCTATAGCATACCTCCTAGAATAACCTCCTTTAAAATAACCTCCTCTAGAATAATCTTTTTTAGAATAAGTTTATAATATAATTAGTTTATTACTAACCTAAGTAATTTAATCTTTAAGCTATTTATTTAAATATCTAACGAGGTACTATAAGTGTACCCTTCGTTTTAATAGGTGTGAATATATAGGCTCTTTTAATATTTAAACACTAATTATTTCACTATATATTATAAAGTAGCTATATAGTTTCGTTTTTAATCCTTATATATATAAAATATATATAGTACCTTGATATAATAATAAATATTTAAGAGTTAATATTTAAAGAAATATAGTATTAATAATAAAAAAGAGAATATAATATATTTATAAATATATAATTAAACTTTATATTATATAAATAATACTAAAAGTATTACTTTTAATAATATTATATTAAAATTATTAATATAAGTAACTTAAAGGTTAATTTATTATAATAAGTGAGGAAATAATTATATAATAAGATTAGAATAATCTTTTAAAATAGTTTTATAAAAGAATTTATAATTTTATAATATAAAACTTAATAAGTTAACTCTTCTCTATTAATATATTTAATAGTTATTTAAATTTATTTTATTAAATAAATTAAATATATTATAATCCCTATTTTAAATATATTTTTATTAATAGAATAAAAGTTATAATAATAAACCTATTTAAAAGCCTTTTATATAAATTTTATAAAAGATTAAAACTTTTTAAAAGTTAAATAAAGTTTATTTACTATATATTAAATAAATATTATATAAAGAAAATAAAAGTTTAAATATTTAAAACTAAATTTTCCTCCTTTAAATATATTACTTTATTATTAAAGATTTTTCTATTTTTATATAATATATAAAAAATATAATAGAAGAGGAAACTTTATAAAAGAAGTTAATAACTTTTTATATAAATAAATTTAAAAGTATATACTCTTTAAATAATTATTAACTTTATACTTAAAATATAAGCTAATAATTAATCTAAAAGCTAAGAAGATAATAAATAGATAAATAGTTAAACAAAAAATATAATGTGGTTAAAGCTATAATGTCTAAGAACGTTAATTAGATCTTGCATTCAAACGATCGGGATAAGTCGAAACAACAGGATAGTCTCGCAGGCGAAAACCTCGGGAAGATCTAGAAGGATGGTGTTGGGCGTGTCGTCTCTGTTTAGAACAACAAAATGGAAATAAGTCAGTCACAGGAGCTTTAGTTTGAGAAGCTATACTGTTAAGTGTTCCAAGGTATCGCGGTGTTTCGGTAAAAATGTGTGCGATTTTGAGTTGCTTGACTAGAGTCGGTGTGGTTGTAGGTGGCCGGCACCGAGTAAGTGGTCCATGTTCCCCTAAAGCCGGGTAATGATATATCCATAATTGACTTTAATGGGTCCGTCTCCCCTCGACTCACTATGAATCATACTCTGTGCCGTAAGAGCCTCCGTCTGGCCCGGTCTGGTGATTGCCCGTGCTCGGACTGGCCTCCGGGGGTCCCGGTGTACCTGACTAGCGTCTGCTTCCGACTAAAATCGATTTTGAATATATATAACCAACGCCAGAGCCTTGAGAAGAGAGGAGGGATCATTCTACTTTCATTCCAGCTATTTCAGACACTTCAGCAAGGAGCTCTCATTTCACATTCTGCCCGTCTCCGTTATTCCGGTTATCAACATGAAAGCATACCGATTCCTGGGCGCCGAAGAGGGCATGGCGCTCCACGAGGTTCCGGTTCCGACGCCCGGGCCCGGCCACGCCCTGATTCAGGTCAAAGCTGCGGGACTCTGCCACTCGGACACACACGTCTTGCACGGGGGTGGTGCAGCCTGGATGTGCAAGTTGCCCATCACACTGGGCCATGAGATTGCCGGCGTCATCACCGCGCTGGGCGACGGACCTTCGTCCTCATCCTTGAAAGTCGGCGACCGCGTGGCCGTGGCTTGCGTCGGGCATCCCATCCAGGAACGCAATTTCCAAGAAGCTCTTGGCGTCGGCTGCGACGGCGGATACGCCGACTACGCGGTTGCTCCGCTGAAAAACCTCGTCAAGCTGCCGGACTCGGTTAGCTTTGTCGCCGCGGCCGTGGCAACCGACTCCATCGCCACCGCTTACCACGCCGTTGTTGCCGAGGGCCAAGTGTCCAAGTCGGCCACCGTTGCGGTCATAGGCCTCGGCGGGTTGGGCCTGAACGGCGTCGCCATCGCTGCGCTGCGCGGAGCGAGAGTGTTCGGGGTCGACATCAACACGGACAAATTCGAACAGGCACGGGCAGTGGGCGCTGTTGACTGCGCCACGAGCCTGGCACAATTTAAGGATGAGACTTTTGATGTCATCCTGGACTTTGCGGGCGCCCAGCCCACGGTCGAGGCGGCAGTGTCTACAGTCCGACCTGGCGGCTGCGTGGTGCTGGTCGGGTTGGCGGCGCAGAAGATCCAGATCACCACCACCTCTCTGGTCACCAACAACGTGTCATTAAGGGGTTCGACGAGTGCCAGCGTGCAGGAGTTCAGTGAGGTTTTGGATCTGCTGGCCTCGGGCTCACTTGAGCCATGTGTGGAGGAGATCCCCTTCGAGGATATTCCCAAAGGTCTCGAAATGCTGGGCCGAGGCGAAGTGAACGGTCGACTTTACACAATTCCATAAGCGTTTAATAGAAAACTTGAATTATTTCCGCCAAAGGTTTATACACAGCCAGATTTCTAGTTGGAGGGCTTCACAGGTGCTCGAGCTTTAACGCTCGTAACGAGACTGCCCGGGTGCGTTCTTTGTCGAAGGATTAATAGTAAAGCGGGCTTCAATCAATCATATCATAACTAGTTGAATTTGATGTTTACTCCACCTACTTCGAAATCCCCCCTACAGAGAACAAGGCCTTGCCCTCGTAGAATTTCCTTTCCTTTCCTATTTTTGTTCTTCGTCTCAGAAGCTTGGAAGACCGGAGGCGGGGGGCACTCCTTTCCACCTAGCCACACTTTACAGAGCCAAATGGTCGATCAATAGCTACGCGATGGCGTTCTTGTAAGCAGAATTTTAACAGGACAAGGGTTTCAAATGATTACTCACAAATACTAACATAGAAATTCGAGGAGTCGTCTGTTGCGCAAGAATATTTCACTTTGATACACGCTCATATAATGCCAGTATGCTCATCTGTGAGTAATGCTATGTAATATATACAATCTCGAAATTCCGCGTCCTTGTTTAAGCTTTATCATCTATTTCACATCAAATCCAGCATCGCCTGCATTACGAACCTAGGAAGCGGAAACCTTGCGCGTTGAAACTGTGTGAAGCGGCCGCAAACGGTTTCGTATGTGTACGGATCAATTCAGAAGCAAACCACCCCCGAAGTGATTGCACAATTTTTAGCCCAGACCGGGTGTATCAACGTCCAGTGTCAAGCTCCACAGGAGCTTGGGTGGGTAGCTCTGTGCGCTGAGCGCTGTGCGGCGGGAGCTCGGAGCGCAGCGATTGTGTATGGCTCTTATTTGGGTCTGGTGTTCCGTGCTGGTAGTACCCGTATCCACCTTCTTGGTGCATTGGCTCTGTCTGCGGAGGTTGCGCCCGCGGCCTGGAGTTCTTCCTTCGCCGGTACAGCAGCCACCCGGCTACAGCGAGCAATATCGCGCCTGCTGCTGCCCCAACACCAATTCCAGCACTCGCACCAGCGGACAGTGACCCGCTGGAGGGTTCTTCACTACTCGATGGGATAGGGGCGGAGGAAGTCGAGTCGGTTGATGAGGCGGTTGGTGAGGCGTTGGTACCAGTCGATGATGCATCGGTTCCCTATCGGTTGGGGTCGCAATTCAGTCAGCTAATTCGTTCCGCGTGACAGGTCCTTTTCATTTTTCATGCCGCAGAACACATACCGGAGTTGGCGTTGCATAGATGATCGCAAGTGCAAAGAGATGGTAAGGGGGCTGGTATGTCGGAGTCGCAAGATTTGTGCTTGACTCCGACAACATATATGTCTGCGTCACGACCCAGGTGCCCGTGTCGGTATATTGAGACATGCAGCGGAAGATGGAGGCGTGAGGAGCGGTCGTTAGAATAGACGACGGTTGACAGGTGAAATCGTGCAGCGTTGGGCAGCAGACAACCGCCTGGCTCTCTCCTGTCGCCTGGCACGCTTCAGTGTACCGGGGAGGACACTGCGTGCCCGCGTATGTCATATCCCTGCTCCATGCCCTCGGGAGGCACTCCCTCGTCTGCGAAGGCCCGCCCACAACTGTTCTCCGGTCCTCTGAAATGCCATAGTCCCATTGCCAAATGTCGTCCGTCTTGAGGCAATTGGCTTGATTGCTAGGGACCCAGTCCCCTCGAAGGGTGACTGATGATGTCGTAGTCATGTCCCGTTTCGGAGATTGGGCGACTGCGGTGGTCGGCACCTCGATGTGAAGATGTATCTGTTCACGAGGAGCACTGAGCAGTCAGGGAATAAAACAGAAAAAGACCACGACATACCCGCGGGTGGGCGCGTTGCAGTGGCTGGGGGCTTCGAAAGGATCACTTGATCGACATCAGCAGCCAAGAGTCATGAACTGAAGTCGCACAGTATTCGGCACCGAACCCCTGATTTTCGTCGCTAGTTGTTCACCTTACCAACAACCGCCCCCAAATTGCCGCCTTATTCTTTTACTCTTATGAGAATGGGTCACTGAACATCTGACTTCCTGTCTTGCAGATGAACCTTGGCAATTTCACCCGCCCACTTCCGCCGTTCTGGATCCAAATCGAAGGCACAAAACACCCGCTGATGGGGTTCCGAGCCGCCGTCAGCACTAGTCCCGGCAGTGCCAGAAGGATTCTGCACGAGAACCGTACTGTGTTGTCTTAGTTTCAGCTCAGCCAGTTCATTGGTGGCGAGCATCGAGCCAAGATCATCCTACGGGCGCAAAATCAAATGAGTTGCATCGTTTCTGGGCCGTGTAGCCGGTGGATAGCCAATTCGAGGGCACTGCATGATTGGAGTGTTAAATACTAGTAATGTTATACTTATAGCAACCTTGGAAGCCCGAGATCTTCACAATTCCCTTCCTACAAAAACTTCCTTTGCTTACTCAACTACACCACTAGAGTGCGACAGGATTGAGTCTTGAAAGGAGAAAAGGAGCACAAGGAAGAAAAGAAATCATTGATGGTTGTGCTGTTTTCGTCAATTAGTTATTCTGAACTTACAATTATAAGTGGCATTGAAGCGGATGGATCTGCTCCAGACAGGTGCTGGTCATTTGTTTGTAGGTACCCAAGTGTCAGACTACCTACCGAATCTCAAACATACGCCTCGGTATGCCCTCATTGATGTGTAGCCTCACTGCTTCTCCATCCATCATTCCATGTATATAAGCTTCCCCTATGAACTCATAGTAAACATTAGGGTCTTCCCTCTTGGCCTCCTTCTTCTGCCTTTGCCTGTCGTCTTCGAATTGATCCGGCTCGCCATCTTGGTTTGTCTCCCCGGGCCCATCTTTTCCGTCTTGTTCCTGTGCCTGCGGAAGGACATCATTAGTGCTTTCCACTTCCTCAGCGTCCTCGGTTTCACCCTCTTCCACCAAGTTAGAAGCGAAGCCAGTGACCATTGGCCCACGATTAGTGATTGGCATCGTGATGGACCGGTTCATGTTCTGTAAGCGCTGTGGTGTCTGTCGCATCGCTCCTTCTCTTCTCTTTTTGGCAGATGCCTGGCGAAAATCGGCCTTCTTCTTCCTGATTGCTTGCTCTTTATCCTGGGCCACTTTCCTTCTTTGGTCCTGTTCCTCCGATTCCCTCCACATCTTCATCTGAAGATTGACTTCTTCCATTTCTGCCAAGACCTCTTCTTTCCAGAGTTCTCCGAGTTGTCCGCCGGGCTGCTCTTGCTCTTTCTGGAGCCGTTTCTGATAGCGAAGCTTCCGGAAGCACGCCTCTTCGCAGACCGCCATGGCGGCCTTCATGGACTCAATTTGGTCCTGCATTTTCTCCTTCTCTAAATCACCCTCTTTCTTCACCATTTTCCTCAGGATGACAGGCACCGTGCAGCCGAAAATGATACAGACCAGGTCGCCCTCCCGGACATGTTGACTAGCAAGCCCGAGAACCTTTGGTGACTTCCCGGTCTTGATCAAACATCGATTCCAAATGACGGCCTGGACGCGGCGACAAAACTCGGCAATAATAGAGTTTCTCTCACTATTGATGAGGGCACCAGTGTCCACCGAGCCGCCGCGCAGGCCACCTTTTCTCACCGATTCCCGGCAAGCCGTCGTGTAGTAGTACGGTGGGTTGCGCTCATCTTTGCCTCTGTCAGCCACGAGTGTTCTCCAGAACTCCACGGGCGGGAGCGTCTGACCGTCGACAGCGTTCTCCCAGCCCGCAACCTTGGTCCACGTTTCCGGTATGGCACCCAGCCTCGCTGGCTCGGCCACGGTGGCGATCTCGGTCAGGATGAAGCCTTCAGTGAACAGACTGCAATGATTCGACACGGGCCGTTTACGGAAGCGCAAGCGACGATCTGAGTCATAGTCGACTTTGGTGTCCTGAGCGGCGCTGTAGTTCTTGTGGCCATCTTGAGGCAGCCCGACCAGAGGGTCCGCGTTCATCCTGCCAATTCTTTCCGTCTTGTGCATTCCAGGATGCCGGTAAAGTGCAAATGATGCCCCAGAAATACGAGATATCCAAGATGGCAATGGAATGTCTGTTTCCTGCTCGTCTTGTTCTTTGTTCTCCTTCCCCCCTGACTCTTCTTCAGACTCACTATCTTCCCTGACGCCAAGCTCCTCCTGGCCTACCTCTTCGGCTTTCTTTGGCTGCTCTTTTTTCTTTGGGAGAAAGGGCTTCACATCTTTATCAAAGGTTAGAACACGATTCTTGAAGTTGTTCCTCCAGTCCTCCTCAGCCCGCCTCCAGTAATCTTCATTGGCCGATTTATCTTTGCTGATTGGCCAAAGCTTCTCACGCTCTCGATCTGGAAGAAACTTGTACGGCGTCGGCTTCCGATGAATCACGCCCCCAACGACTAACTGCGGCTCCGGTGCCCAGTGCCGGCATAAAATATCCAAAGCCCTCGTTGGATCAGACCTCCCGCTGACCTGGATGCAGAATGAAATGAAGTCCTTGCACACATCACTGTATGCGCGACTATAGTCAACCCTGAATGGCTTGCGTTCCAAGAAGCTCGAGACAGTGGACATGATGATTGCCTCATCGGATATTTCCTGAGACTTGATCCGCACTTCGGCGAAAGGCGCTGTGTCCCGAGCGATCGCTAGCAATGAGTATACCGCATCCCGAGGTTGTGTAGCCTGGAACACTGATAAGCTTGAAACCAAGTACTCGAGGCTCAACAGCGGTCGTTGTGGATTCAGTGCCGAGGGCTTGGATGATGACTCCAGATTCTGCGCCCTATCTTTCTTCAGGCCCTTGCGTGCGACTTTCTCAGCTCGAGCTCGAGGTTTCCTCTCAATATTCTCCTCCACATCGGTGGCTTGGTTACTATCTCTTCGAAATACCTTCCCTGTGGCCTGTACGATGACACTAGCCCCAAGCTCTGAGACATGTTCGAACCATTGTGGAACGTGGCCAAACTTTTCGTCTTTGCGCACCACCTCAGACAGCCTGTGAGTCGCCGTTTCGACCTCGACGAACAACTCCACTGCGACTGCGAAGTTCGTCCATGGAATCTTGTCAGTGCCACAGTAAATGGTTGCAGATCTCGCGAGCGCAATCTCTTGCACGACCCAACGCCGGGAAAACCACGGGCGCTGCATCAACAGAAGCAGGGACTGCCACTTGGAGGCGTTTTCTCTCTTCTCCGATATCGTGTCAAAGTTTTCCAGCTTCATGATCTCGTCTATGAACCTGATCGCGGTGGTCGAATCGTCAGTGTCTTCGCCAAACCAGATGCAAGCCTGCTTTGCACCGCTGTAGATAAGCGACATCATCTGGACCTGGTGGTTTCGTTCTTCGTGGTTATCCTGGTTGATGCAGAGTGCATCAATCCACAGGATCCTTTCCTCGTGGGGGTGCCTGAGGTACTTGAGCGCCAAAGTGAGATCCCTCGTGACGGCCAGGCGATAGTATTTGCCGTTCTCCAGGATCCTAATGGCGCGGTCCTTGACCTCCTGCCCCCAACACCACGAGAGTGCCTCATATTCGACTGCGCTAGCATCTACATCCAGGCTCTGACCGTCATTGGAGCGGTCTCGGTTGTGCCGCTCACGCCTCTCGCGCCTGGCGGCTCGCTCGCCCCTGCTCAAAACTCTTCTGACTGTATTCTGGTTGTCTTTGTCATATTCGACTTCGAATAGCTCGCAAGTAATTTCGGGGTTTGATAAGCCACCACCGTGGAGACGGAGTAGTCGTAGACGTCTGCGCATTGAGCGCAGCGGCTTATATTTATAAGCCTCCATTCGCCTGAGCTCGTTGTCATTTTACATGGAAACTTGTGAGCGTTGTTGACGAGAGGCTACAACGCTGCTCACAGGCTCGTAAATGACGTTGTCAAGTATAATTCGCTTCCGAGACTCCCCGGAGTCATTAGCACCGTCCATGGCCATGATTTTGCTGAAGTCCCCGAAGGAGTCCGAAAAGGTAAAGTCAAGATATTAGGAGGCCAATTATGCGTAAATTTCTTTGATTAGCACCGAAGGCCGTGATGTATGAACGAGTGTAAGGCACTCTTGGGCCGTGAACTGCATTTTCTCTCCCATCCTAGGGCGGCCCTCAACGTAAATAGATCACGGTGAAGCAGGCTGAATGTGGCCTCGATGAGGCTCTGCGATGACAGACAGGCCCAGAGATTTTGCAACCCCCACAACTTTCGGGATGTGATGTCGACCCCCTTTCTAGGGCCTTAGTAATAACTGGATGCGGCTGTGGTCGGCTGAGATAAAGCCGGACGAATCTGGCCAATTACCACTGAATCCGCTACATGGTCTATGTCAGTTACCAATAGTCGGCCGCACCTCAATACCCTGTGGTGTTGCCATTGAGATCCTCCTGCAAGCCTCATCACACCGACTGCGGGTGTGGTTGTACATGCTCAAGTGATGGGCCATGAACCTTGGGGTAGAGATCCCGAGGTCGCCAGAGCTGAACCTTTGCAAGCGGTGCATGGCTCACTGGTACGCGGCGTTTGGGGGCTGACTTCAGGATGGTTTTAGCCTTCACATTTCAATAATTTTCTTATAGTCGAAGACTTGAGTAATAGTAATCGACCTGAGGGGATAATCATCGATTAGCGCGGAGCCACATTAATATCTCATTCTCAAGACATTGTGCTTGCTCTGACACCGGCCATGTGGCCGAGAGGTTCGTCCAGGAAAAAGTACCCAAGCTAAAAAGAAATAAAAAAAAGAGATCCTCGGATTCCGCTCTCACATTACCTGCGTTCCATTCAACCGTGTAAGACATAATGGTCCATGGAAAGAGGGTGCTATTAGTCTGACTTTACCGTTATGGGAATACACCTTACTAAACTGTAGCAGGCGTGAACGGAAGAAATAAAGATTTTAAGGCGTTGTGAGTTTTAGGAGAACAACTGGCTATAATTTAACGGCCTTGATGGCCTCAATGCTCACTGACAACAAGGAACGTCGTGGGCGACAGCGGCATCAGCCAAGGCTAACCATACGCAACGATCCAAATGTTCCCCGACACTTACGAGCGCGCTTAAATATTACATAGTGAAGGCGTGTAGAAGGAAGGCCGTGGGCAAATCTCCAGGGCGAGGCATGAGCCGCAGGGTCATTTGATTGTAGCCCCTCTGCCGAATCAAAGGACGAGCCAGGTGTGTACCGACTTGAGTGGACATGTGCAGCATGAAGGAAAGCATTCTGGTTTCACTATGGAACTAAAGAAATCCCGAAGACGATCTAGCTCTCTTGCTCATTACTTATATGACTTCAAGGATCGCAATGAAAGAAGTGTATACGGGTAAAAGCCTCGCACGCGCTTTCCGGGCTCGTGTCGCCCATAGGAAGCATCGTCCCTGGCCCTGACAAGAAGCAAAGGTCAAATATGATGTCAGCCATTGCCCTAAAGATTCATTGCCTGCTCATCTTCGTCGTATTCCGGGTTCAGGTCATCACCCTCGACCTCAAAAGGCTGGTAGGCAGCACGAGCCCGCCTTACTGGTTGTCTCCTCGGCGTGTTGTAGGCAGGATCGTAAGGGTCGTACTCTGCTGACAACCTGCCACCATCGCCACCGCCGCGCTGCCCCGTTGGCCTGTCGCCTCTGTCTCTCGCATATGGCGCGCTGGGCGTAGGCTGCGGGTATCTTTGCGCAGAAGACATTGCGACGCGGCGACGTGCCCCGGGTGGCGGGCGTTCCCCAGCCTCGGGTGCACGCTCCTCCTTCTGTCGGGCGAGCTCCGAGTCCGTGGCCCCGAGCATCTTCTTGCGGAACTCGTCGTACTCGACTGTCGCCCTCTCGACCTGCTTGAAGTGGCGAGCGAGCAGGCGCAGGCCGCTCCCGGCCGGCGAGGAGCCGTCCCCGCCGGGGCGACCCCCATCGTCAGCCGCAGCCGCCGGGTCTCTTGTGCTGTCAAAGTGCTCGTAGCGCGCTAGGGATGCCGCGATCTGGAAGGCATTGCGTATCTGCCGCCCATTCCACCTGCAGTCGACTGTGCCACTGTAGCTAAAAGTTTCGAAGTGCTCCCTCGCAAAATCCAAGATGCTCCCTTCCTCAATTATCATCTCGGGTTCTTGTGTGATCGCCACGCGTTGCTTCTCGATCATCTTCAGTCTCTCGATATTCATCTGGAATAGGGATACGGTGTCTGCCTTGCTTAGCTGTGGGTAGAAAAGGGTAATATGTACCCTGGACTTTACAGCTTCGTCTAGGGCCCCTGGGCGGTTAGTCGTTAAAAAAAGGATACCCGGATAGTACTCTAGAATACGGAGGAAGACTATTGATAAGTAGACTTGTTAGTAACTCAGGCTCTCCTAGTCTTGGTTTAGGGAATACATACTTGACACTAGGGCATTCCTTTGTAGGTTGTCATCCCTCTTCTCCCTTGGGGATAGGAAAATTTCAGCTTCATCTAGAAGCAGGATGCAATCCCATGCATTCGCCAAGCGGAAGATCTCATTAAGGTTCGATTCCACCTCCTTCGGCTCAGTCCCCAGGTCACCACAGGTAATAGCAAACAAGGGTTTCTTGTAGACATCCGCTACAGCCTCGGCTGTGGCAGTCTTGCCGACCCCAGGGGCTCCATGCAGAAGCATTACAAGCCCCCTGCCTTTGCCCCGAATGAAGTCTTGGTCTGAGATCTCGAGCTGCCTGTCCCGGCCTTTTTCTTGAGCCTCCTTCTTCTGGAAATGCTCATGCACCAGTGACTTTATCATGCTCTTGTGGTTGACTGAGATCTTGAGCTTGTCAAAGGTTGTTAGCTCGCGTTTGATGGGCTTCAGATACCGAATGTCGGCGTTGACAAATCGACGATCCCGAAGTGAGTATGCAAACACCCGACATGGTAGCAGGGCAAGATCCTCGGGATCAAGGTGATGTCTACCGACTGACGGGAGAACTTCTTTCGCCCAATCTGTCCCTCGGATTGTTTTCAAGAAGCCCCCGGAATCAACCAACTCAGCTAACCTCGCGAAATCTACCTCATCCGTGTGAACCACCATTTCAAATTTCTTGCTGCTCTGCTTAGACCGATCCCTAGCAGCCCAATGGGCTACAGCGAATTCATCAACAGTCGTTACAGGCTTGCGGATGCTGTCGTCCAGAGCAAGGAAGTTAGGTTTCCACGGTGGAAGAGATTGGTAAGTCTCGCGGAAGTCGATAACGACGTCACTATCAATGTGCTCAGGGAAAGTGATCAGTTTACCCAGTTGGGTTCTGATCCGCTCGCCAGAAGGGTCGTGAGTCAAAGTCCATCCCAGGTACGACATCGTTGGGCGTTTATGAGTGAAGACAAACTCCCGGAACTTTTCGCCCCGAGCCTGCAAACGCTGAAGAAACTGCTCATGGTCCTTGGCGAATCGTATTGGGTACACCGGGAGACTGGTCACGGCTTTTGTCCCCTCGTACCAAGCGACCCACTTCGAGCGGGAGACGGGGGCAAAGGCTTCACCGTCGAAGTCGATGCGGTAGTGCCTCAGCTCTATCGCCCACTTAGGTCCAGTCTTCTCCACGTAAAGCTGACCTGTAGACTTTTCAGTGAGGTCATCTACCTCCCAACCATCGTCATCCAGTAAGGTAGCCCAAGATCTCCATAGCTGCATATCAGCGGAGGCTGGCCCAAGAGAATCAGAAGGGAGATCGAGGCCACCAGTCTTGGACATTGGTTCTGACGCATCTGGGCCAAGGATTTTGCGTTCGCACAGTATATCTCCTGGTCTGAACAAATACCAGATGTCCGAGTATCTTACTTGGACGGAGTTGCGATGGTCTGCCTTTTCAAACATTGTATAGAGAGGCATTATTCTAGTCTTCATGAAGTCCACGTAGCACTTCATGTCTTGATACGCCTTGAAACTTTCCAGTTTCGTGTCGGCCGATGCTTCAGCCTGAATAGGGCCGACATCCTTTTCGGCATCGACACTATCCGACGAACTGGGAATATCGGCTGTTGGCTGTGTGTCTGAAGCTGCCTGCGAGACTCGTTAACGCAAAGGTAAATGATCAGACAGTATCACTCATGATGGTACTTACAAACTTTTCCTTCAAGACTTCGAATTCGGCCTCCATCTTACGATGGTTATGAATAAAAATCTTGAATGGATTGAGAAATGTGTGAGGCTTCCGGTTCCACGAACCTTCTCCAGTGACCTTCGAAAGGTATCCAATGATGAATGCAGAATTGATTCGAACACGCTCGAGCCGTTGGTCGCCTACAGCCCCAGGGCCCATCTCGTCAGGTTGTGCAGGTGTTACTGCGATCTTTGATCTCGGTATGCTGCGCTGTCTTTCCTTGGCTTTCCGATCGATTTGCTCGAGCCTGATCTCCGCACTGAGATCCCTCGAGGCCAAGAGGGTCTCGATGGCACAATACTCGTCGTCGTCTGGGTACCTGTTCTTGAACTCGTGCCAATCGCAGTATCGAACCACTGGCTTCGTCCGGTACATGAAGGCATCTGATGCTTCCATCACAGCTTCTGTGGTTTGAAGCGTTGTGGTATCAGCTGAGGCGTCTTCTGTGGTTTGATTCTTCGCTCGGTCCGTCGACTCAGCCTTTCCGCTGTCTCCCAGCTCCGATGTCGCATCATCACGAGCTCGAGTTTCATGTACTTCAAGGTCTATCGTCAGATCAAATCTTCGGCCTCGGAGGACTGACTCGAATGTGCTCACGCTTAGGGGATGCAATGGTCTTCGGTTCAGGGACAACCTCAGTACCCTGCACATCGGCTTTCTGAGCCTGCGGCTGACCTGCGGTTGATGAACTTTCACTCTTCTTGTCTCCATCTTCAGTGCGGTCTTTTATTTCGTCTGTGTCCATGGAGGTGGCACTGTATCAAAGATAGCGGGTGAGCTCGATCGGCCAGCAGGGTTAGATGGACAAAAGATTTGGTTGTGGATGGCGACGAGAAGCTTGAACGATCGAATGCGTGTGATGTGGCAGCACAGGAGGGAAAAGACGACAAATATTTGGGGTAGCATCAATGGGCCCTGAGAAGGCGAGAATTTTGGAGGTACGATTTCTGAATGTAGGTGCAGTTCTGGGGTGGCAGTCACAACGCAGGAGGAGCCGCTTTGAGGGGAGCTAGGCTTGATAAACTGCACATTGACGCAGTAAGAATCCTGAGGTCGATAGATGGCACGCGTGGGAATCCAGTTGGATCATTTAGTAGCACACCCGCCGCCAGGCATCAGGACAGAAGGAGAAGGCCAGCAATCTGCATGTGTATCCACCCACCCTTTCGTACACCGGGTTGGTAGTACAACAGAACAGTGCTTACGCACCATTGATTGTGCGACGGTTCGTCATGTCCGGGGCGAGTCACCTCAATCATTCCTTCCAAGGTTGCTGGACAAGGGAACCCCCACCCTTTTTCAGCTGAACGTAGTCCGCTGTGCGTATGTTTTAAAGCCCACATGGGTTTTCAAATGCCGTGTCCCCGGCTGGCCGCCGTAATTACCCTCTTTCGAGGTTTTAAAATTTCACAAACTTGGGCTTGAATGAGCTGTATATGCTATGATGAATCCGACACTTGATGTTTCGTCATCATTGCGGACGCAAATGAGTAGTGTAGCCTCTGTCACGACCCTCAACACGTACAGGTACGGTGTCGGCAAAGATGTCTTGGGGGGTTCTCTCAATGTGGATGCACACTTTGACAGGCAGACTGCCCAATTTGTGCCTAGATTGATGAGTCGGTATGTTTGTCTCATCCTTCTGGGCTCCCATGATGAAGCTCATTTATGGCAAAATCCTAAAGCTAAGCAGAGAATTGCAACATATAATCGAGAAATACAAAGAATTTTACCGTAACGACAAGTTTTTTGCGGACCTTGACCCGGAACTTTGCACTTGGGATCAGGTACAAGATCAGCTTGATAAAGCCGAGTATGAATACCAGCAGAAAGGGAAAACAAACATCGTCCGGCGCGCATTCCGAAAAGACCGCCTGACAAGGACCTTGAGCCCGCTGCTAGAAGGGATACCCGAGAACGATGGACTTGGCATTCTAAAGGGAGCTTTAATTATACTATTCAACGCACGCTATACCCCTCCGTATCCCGTACGTAGATATACTGACAAGTAAACCTAATACAGGCCGTCAAGAGCAGGGCACGCGCCTGCGATAAGATATTTGAGTGCTTCCATCAAGTCCCGAATCTTCTCAGAGGAGTGCACGAGGCTTTGAAAAGGTTTCCAGACGACCAGGAGCTGTTTACCCGATCACGCGACTTGCATGAAGGACTGCTCAGCTGTCTACCCCGACTGATAGCCATCCTTCTCCATAATTCCGATCAACCCAGTATGTGTGAATCACTGCGCAACATGCCCTTCTAGCCATTCTATCGCTATCTCTCACATCTCTCTCGTCGTTCTCGGAAAGTGTAAAGCTTTAGAGGCTAACAAGAATTGAAGGGGTGCAGAGATTTGCAAAACAACTGTTCGGAGATGTGAGTGCTGATGTAGACGAGATCTTGCGGCCACTCACGGCTGCCCAGGATTCCCTCAGGGTGCATATTCGTCGATTAGAGGAGAGGCGAGGCGACCACATGGCAAAACGCATCGACCAGATATATGCCGAAACTGGCTGGATGAGGATGCAGCAACATGAAGGTCAATACCGAATCCTGGCCCAAGTGGCACAAATGAATGAGGCGCACAAGACGATCGAGGCGATAAACGCGGAAAACAAGAGCCTTCACGCGGAGAACTTTGCTTTGAAACTAGCTGCAAGCAAGACCTATACTCTGAACATGGTGCACCAGATAGTCGATGAGGTGCTGAGGAATCGCAGCTTTAACGCTATTGGTGAGCAACCCAGATCAAAAGAACCCCCCCCCCCCCACAAAAAAAAGGAAGGAAAAAGAAAAAAAGAAAAACAGAAATTGTCTCCGTGGACACGATCGAGGGAAGGCTGCCGCTGACCTCCCAACAGAAATGCAACACCAGGAGGCTCGAATGCTTCCAGAGGCCCCTCCAAAGAACGAGTCTGTGGAGTATAACCTCGACGAGCTGGTCGTGATCCTCTGCCACGAGTCCGAGACCAGCTGCCACGTCGTCGACCTCTACGATGCGCTCGGCCAGTACAACGCCTTCAGCGACAAGGCCATCGCACAGGCCGCCTACCTGTCCGATACCAGCCGTTTCAGACACTGGCTGCAGGGATCCGGGCCGCACCATCTCCTCGTGGACGGGCACTGCGAGAACCACACCACCAGGAGGACATCGCCGCTTTCCGTGTTCCTGGCCAGCCTCGTGCAGGGGCTGCTTGACCAGCCGCCACGGCCTGCCGGCTCCCCGAGCGGCCCGGACGTGGTGCTGTACTTCTTCTGCGGCCGGCACGTCGACGACGAGGGGTGTCTCGCGGGCCCGCAGGGGCTGATCCGCAGCCTCACGACGCAACTTATCCTCTCGTGGCCCCAGGAGTCACCTCCGCCGGATGTTGGGTTTTTGTCCTCGCTGCTTCCGGGCACGGTATCAGTTGCTGAGGAGGATCTCGAAGTTGAGACGGTCTGCCACATCTTCCTGGCGTTGCTGAGGCAGCTCCCACGACGCTCTACAGTATACTGCATCATCGACGGCATCTCATATTTTGAGACCAGTATTGGCGGTTGGTCTGAGGATATCTGTTTTATAGTCGACTGCCTGCAGAGTTGCTCTCTACCTGACACATCCCGCAGCGATCAGCCGGTAGTCAAGACCCTTCTCGGCAGCGCCAACAGGAGCATTGAAGTCCGCGAGCTTTACTCAACAAACTGTATAGTCCAGCTCAGGTCAGGGGGTTTGTACAGCTCTGTGGTATCGCGAGGTGCGTTGATATCCGATCTGCGGAGCCGGGCATCCTTTGTGGGCCCAGCAGCAGATGACGACCCAGCCCATGGGTACAGTGACGCGGATGAGAGACAATATTGGGATTAATAGGGATACTGTAGGCCTCGTTCTTGACATTTAGAAGTAATCAACATGACCCATCGCTGAGCCGCGCCCAGGTCACGATAGGGCAGGAGTTTTCCATCAATAGTTCGATGAATGAGCATACCAGGACTAGGTAGTACATATGTATGTGATGATTTCCCTTGCCTTGTATCTGCATAGCCGGTTTTCATTTTCTAAAGAGACCGGATATTCGCACCCACAAAAACTGAGGGTACACCCATACCAGGCAACTTACAGATTAAAGTACTTAGGTTAGTACCAAACTAGTTATCTTATAATCTTATCCTATAAGATATTATCCTAAATAAGGTCATTCTAGAGAAGGTTATCCTAGAGAAGGTCATCCTAGAGAAGGTTGTCCTCTAGGAGGTTGTCCTCTAGGAGGTTCTCCTAAAGGTTGTCCTTAGGTGTACCCTCCGTTTTTGCGGGTGCGAATATCCGATCTCTTTCTGAAATATGTATTTGACCACATTACCAGAACCTCCAGTCTTCAAGCTCTTTCTCTATACAGCATCTCGATTCAGTATTGTCTCTATTGTCACCGTCGTCGTATTGACAGTCGTGGTGTTGACCGTGAAAGAAAGGGCGCATTCAAGGTAGCTAGGGCGATTTGGTAGCTTACTCGCAGTAGTTCAACCTAACATTTGAAGGCAAAACTCTTTTTTTACGCCAATGAAGATGGCGATGAGTTGTTGATACTTTTGTCGCTGCTGCTCGTATGCTTGATCGAAACCTGCCCGGCGGCAACGGACCCAGAACCCGCGCTCGGCAGTATCTAAACTTAATATATCCTAAACTAGAGCATGTAGATCCGATAGATCTGGTGTCTGAACGTATGGCGGTAGTGTCAAGGGAAAAGCTTTCACGGGTGCTAACGCTGACACTACCCACGGGCGGGAACACGCTGGGCAAAAGCCAACTGACAGTCAACTGCAGCTGCATGTGGACCCCAGATTGTGCCGGGCAGACAGCCTGCCTCCCAATGTTAAAGATTCAACATCTGGGCTAGCACAGCATGGACATAGCCAGAGGCCAGGCCAACATCCAACAGCAACCATTGTGGGCAAGGTACATTGAAGAAGCTGAGCCCCTCTGGGACCCCTGTGGTGTTCCTTGTTCAACCACCTTTCCAGCAGCCGGGAGCGATGGTACGAACAGATGTGGAGTGACACGTGATTATACTTCATATTGATCCCATAAGCTGGCCCATGGCGATATCTGCCTTGGTTCTTGGCCCCCTGTCTTCTTGAGGCTGCCGGTGACCGAGCTCCCAAAGGAGGCCATGCAAGTCGAATCACGTCACACCAGTCTTTTGAGGCAACCTCAAGCGACCAGATCATTTCGAGGGACATGCATCTGGCATCTGATACCGCTGTACCGCCGCACCGATGTTAGAATTCGCCTCATTTAAGTAAGCTTTACCAGCAACCTTGCTGCTGGTAGCCGGGCTGCAACCCGTCCCTCCCTCCGCACGGACTATGCCGCTACAACACAGCCCTCTGCAGGGTTGCCAAGGCATGATGAATCAGACATAGCCGGCTTGGTCTTATGTACTCGGTAGTCTAGACCCGCACAAGGTCGCCGAGTCCCAGATTTGACCCAACACTCTGGGACGATCCACATCAGCAGAGGGGGGGCCAAGCAGGGAGCCGAATCCTACGCCTTACTTTGGGCACTCTCCTGCCCGGGACTGACAGATCAAGCACTACAGAAGTGGAGGAGGCTCTCGTCGATGACAGGTGCACGGGGCAACAGATTAGCGTGACCACGAACGACAAGACGGGCCGGTCGAGCCGTTGAGGAGGAGAGAGCTGCCAGTGGGCTGTTGATGATTCCTTCAGCCGTTCATGTAGATCTTGGCCGGACACGGGCTCCCGAGATGTGCGGCCTGATTTGTTATTTGCCCTGCCCATCTGCCCATTTGCCAGTCCAGTCGCTGGCCCCACCCACCTGACGGAACAAGACCTGGGGAAATTCAGGAATTAAGAGTTGCGCTAGGGGTCCAGCTGCAGGGACAGGGAACATGACTCTGTCGCTAGCTGCCCTGGCTGGCCCCCCCTTCTGGACCTCATCACACGCGTAACTGGCGTATCACCCACACCCAGGACACCCAACCGCCCGGCTTGCCTCGTCTCCGACCGGCAGGTATGCTCTGCCTGTGGCTGGCCCGGGTCGAGAGGGTTGCGCACTACGGCGATTGGAAGCGATCCTGGGACCCCTACCTCGTGCAGATGCCGGGTTTTGGTTTCCATCTGGTGGAGGGGCGACGGAGGGTTGCAGAGAGGCTGAAGAGACGGGCGGAGTCGAGCCCATGCCGAAGCCCGCAGCGAGTTGCAACGTCGTACTCAATGCAGAACAGGCGAGGACCTAGCTGGTGATCCGGCGGATGGGTGTTGGCCTCCTGGTCCTGGTGTACCGGTATGGGGGGGCTACTGTTAATAGGACAGAAATGCTCCTCGTAACCCCCTACCTCCCGTTCGATTTCCGCCCGCGACTTTGACTGCTTATCCAATCTTACGTCCAACTCCGTCCGACTCCGTCCAGCCCATATCTTGGTTGTCTGTCCCGAGCTCCGTCCCTACCTGACAGATCATCATCCCACATCTGGGCATCACCTGAGATCGCACCGTTCCGGCCCACAGCTTCAAGTTCATCGCCGGGTGGGACCAGCAAAAATGCCCCCACCGCCGACGAACTGGACACATGCAGACTGAATTGACAGCTACAACCGTATGAGCGCGCAGAATGGCTTCAAATAATGCAGATCAGAACCCCCGCAGACCGAGCGACCCGGACGACCAGAAGGTCCGGGTCCATTCCGGGACCACGGGCGCCAAGATGGTAGCCCGAGGAGGCGCCTCTTCTCTTCTCCAAGGAGGAGGAGCAGGAGGAGGAGGAGGAGGAGGACCAGGCTCCGCCAGCGACTCGTTCGCGAACAACAGCCCCCCCAGCACCCACTTCACCAACTTCACCCCCAGCACGCCCAACACCGCCAGCACCACGCACGACGACCGGAGACACCTGATCAACCGCGACGACTTCTCGGGCCTGCAGGTCGTCGAGCCGGGCCTCGAGGTGCCCCACAACAGCCTGCCCGAGGCCCTGCCCCCCTCGGACCCGGAGGCCCAGTACGTCGAGTACAAGGGGTGGGGCTCGCAGCCGCCCGAGGCCGTGGTGCTCCCCGGCGGCGGCTGGCCGCTGCCCGAGGCCGTCTCCCCCGGCGGCGACAACCCCTACACGCCCATCAGCAAGCCCTACAGCAAGGCCAGCAGCGCGACGTACGCCGGCGGGCATAACCCCTTCGAGGCGGAGAAGCAGCAGCAGCAGCAGCAGCAGCAGCAGGGCGGCCGGGACAGGAAGATATGTGGCCTGCGGAGGGTGGTGTTCTGGTGCGTGCTGGCCGTGGTTGTGTTTGTGATCGTTGCTGGTGTCGCGGTTGGGGTTGGCGTGGGCTTGGGGACGAGGAGTGATAGTAGTAGTTCGAGGTGAGTAAGAGTCTCTTTCTGTTGTCTCTCTTACTTCTCCTCTTCTTTTTCTTTCTTGTCACCCCACGATCTGTGCGACGCCCTGGCCCGCATCCTGGGACAAAGTGGAGAGGAGAGTTGGGACGAGGCACCATCCGGCTCGTCCCGGGTTGTTCCCCAAAGACAAGTTGTCGCAGGTGGAACCCAGCCGCGGAACGGCTCGTGGGAGCCAACAAGGGGAGGGCGGACGGACGAGTTGGCGTGGTGAACATCATTCATGCAATGGCCGATATGCTTTGCTTTACCTTACTTGGCCTTGCTTTGCTTTGCTTTGCTTCGGTACGAGGCCCATCGCGGAAGCCAAAGTAGAGCAGAGCAAAGCAAAGCAAAGACACCACGCTGCCCTCACCCACGCCGCAGCAAGAAGCAACACTGACCCTGCCCCCCGCCACACAGCACAAGCTCAAGCTCAACATCAACAAGCGACATCAGCAGCATCCCGTCAGCAACGGCCACCGCCTCCGCAACACCATCATCGCTCATCCAGTGCCCCTACGCCAACAGGACCGTCTACAGCCTCGAGTCCCAGCAGGACAAGGACTTCCTCGTGCTGTGCGGGCGCGACTACAACAGCTGCTGCGGCGCCGCCGACATGCTCACCATCAACGCCACCACCTTCGAGGGCTGCCTGGAGCGCTGCGGCGGCCAGGACGGGTGCGTGGCCGTCGGGTGGGGCAACTACTACGGCGTCGACACGTGCTGGCTCAAGAGCGCGTACGGCGAGCCCAACTGGAGCGGGAACTGGTACGCCGCTGTCCTGGTTGAGTCTTGAGTCGGGGATAGGAGGAGGTTACAAGACATGACCTCGAGCGAGGTGGGGAGGGGAGGAGCCCCTTAACTGTTGGTGTTGACTACAGTATCTATGGTGATCTGAAAAGCACCATCAAGACCGTGCAAATTAAACCACGGGCATATATATATATATATCACCGGCGAAACGAACGCCGTGCGGACTGTTTTAGTCCTCAAGTCGACAGAGATGTTAGGACATCAAGGAGCTGGACACATTAACGGCAGGGCGGGATATCTGATTTCCTTTGGAAGAGCGACATGGAGTTCAGGATACGGCGCATACCAGGGGACGACCCCCCAAGACAACCACCATGTCTCTTTTAACGGCCGGGCACTTTGGGGGAACTGTTTGGACATGTTTTGCGAGTTTAGATATTGTGTAGGTTCAATACCAACACCACTACTATGCCGCCCGGGCACCCCAACCACCCACTTGATATTCTTTTCTTCTCATTCAACACAATCTCGGAACACCCGCGCCAGACCCCAGCCTCCAGCCCCCCCTCACCTCTTCCACATCAACACAAGCCACGCCACCAGCCTATACCCAGCAATAATCCCAACCATGATGCCGACGTTCTTCCCGAGGTACCCACCCCGGTACCCGAACTGGTCGAGCACCCCCTGCCCGTCGATCCTGCACTCGGCCGCCAGGCCCGTCTCGTACATGCAGCGGCACCCGCCGCCGCAGCCGTAGCTCCGCCCCTCGAACTCGTTGACCATCATGCCCTCGAACACGTACTTCTGGTAGTCCCAGTAGCTAAAGACATACTTGTAAAAGACGTTCAGCACCGTCGGCTGCACCATGAACCCGTTGACGCACATCCACAGCCCGTTGGCGAACGCGACGAGCGCGAGCGCGACGACAAAGTTGGGCGCCAGCGACCCGACCACGACGACCAGGCTCTCGGCCGCCAGGAGGTCGAGGAACACCCACATGACCCAGGTGAAGAAGGCCGCCGCCGAGGGGTTGAAGTTGGACAGGTAGTACGAGATGGCGCTGAAGCCCAGCGCGATCATGAACAGGGGCGGGATGCCGATCAGGAAGTTGGAGAGCACCAGGTGGGCCGCCGAGTACAGCCCCGTGCTCGACTCCTTGACGTACTGGAGGCGGTCCTCGAGCCAGGCCGGGACGTAGGCCACTGCCATGAAGGACATGAAGGCCGAGCCGAAGAACTGTGTGCGGGTGTTGTGTTAGAAGTATGTATATCGTGGGCGTCAATCATCGAGGGGAAGAAAAAAAGGGTCCCCAAGACTCACAATGGCGTTGATATAAGGCTGGATATACTCCTGCTCCGTCTTGAGCCGCACCCACACCGTCCCCATCATGACAGCCAGCCCGAAATACATGGCCATCCGCACGCCATACGCGATGACGTCGCGGTAGCTCTTGATAAACGACCGGTGCAGCAGCGTGAGCACCAGGCTCGCGAACCCGAGCCGGTGCCTCTCCTCCACAGCGTCCAACAGGAGGTCCGCCTCGGTGCCCCCGGGCCCCTGCTGCTGCTGCTGCTGCTGCGTCCCGCAGTACCGCACGATGCCCGTGAGCTGCTCCGCCAGCGGGCTGGCGAGCCACGCGCGCCGCATCGCCAGCAGCCTCTCCCGGGCCCTCACCCCATCCCCACCCCGGTCCTCTCCGCCCCCGTCCCCGTCCCCGGCAAAGTCAACACTCACCAGCTCGAGGAGGAACTCGGCCGGGTTGACATGCAGCGGCAGCGCCCGCCCCACGGACTCATAGTACGGCCCCACGGCGTCCAGCGGGCCAAAGAAGCACGTCTGGCCCCCCGGCCCCAGCAGCAGCAGCTTGTCGAACAGGTTGAACGCCGCCGTCGACGGCTGGTGGATGCTCGCCACGACGATGAGGCCGTCGCGCCGCGCCACGGCCCGCAGGTACCGCACCACCTCGAGCGTGGCGGCCGAGTCCAGCCCGCTCGTCGGCTCGTCGAGGAACAGCACCCGCGGGCACGTCATGAGCTGCGCGCCCACCCCGGCCCGCCGCCGCTGCCCGCCCGACACGCCGCGCCGCACCGGCGTCCCGATCAGCGTCCCCGCCTGGCCCCGCAGCCCCAGGGACGCGAGGACGTCGTCGACGCGGTCCGCCCGCTCGCGGGCCGACAGCCCCGCCGTCGAGAGGCGCGAGGCGAAGGTGAGCGTCTCGCGGACGGTGAGGGACCCGATCAGGGCGTCCTCCTGCTCTACGAAGCGGGAGAGGCGGGCGAGCGTCGTGGCCTGCGGGACGGTGCCGTTCACGCGGACCGTCCCTGTTGCCCTGGGGCCACCCTTGCTTGTGATGCTGCTGCTGCTGCTGTTGTCGCTGGTGGGCTGGCGGCCCGCGAGGACGTTGAGGAGCGTCGTCTTGCCGCAGCCCGAGGGCCCCATGAGCGCGAGGACCTCCCCCGCCTCGACGTAGCCCTGGACATTTTCCAGCAGCGTCTTGGGCTGTTTTGTCTCGCGGTCTGTGACGGTGACCGTGATGCCCGACCACGAGATGTTGTGCACCGTCGTGTTCCTCAGGAGGTGGTGGGACCCTGCGCCGCCGTTGCGCTGCTTCTCTATGTCTGTGTCCGCGTGGTAGGGCAGCATCTTGGTGGCCGAGTTGCTCTCTGAGCTGCGGGCCTCCTGGACTGTGTTTGATGTGCTGGTGGTTGTTGTGGTCGTGTTCAAGTTGGTGGTGGTATCTACCATCTTGATCGGGTAGGGGGAGTCGCCTTTATGAAAAGGCAACAAACTGGTTTGCACTAAGGGGACGACGAGCAAAATTTAGGAGAGCAGCTGAAAGTACTAGTCATGCTTTGATAACTTGCGCATATAATAGACAGGCCAGCAGTCTAGTAAACCCTTGTAGTGGTGGACTCGCCGAAGGATTACACGAAGAGGATCATAGCGTCTTGACTAAGGGAACAACAAGATGATGACAAGAGGAGAGGGAGTGGATCTTTTATCGTGCAGTGCAGAGGATAGTAGTATGCACGATCAGATCATACACAGTCAGCACACACACACACCCCCCTCGACCTCTGTGAATTCGACCGAGAAAAGATGAGGCTGTGTCAGAGATAGAGCTGTCGTCCCGTCAGAGCCAACAAGCCCGCCTCGTCACATCACGTCTTCCGGTTGCAGAAAGTCAAGCAACCAACCACATGCCAGAAGTACCCCGGGCGAACCGGCACCCCGTATAGCACGGCTCAGCAAAAACAGGCATTAGCCTAACACACGACCCGGCGCGATACGCCGGTCGGGTGTGGATGGAGAGAGAGAGAGGGCGGACGAACGAGAAGGGGAGGAGGTGGAATCGCGCAAAAGAAAGGAAAGACGGTAACTGACTGACGATACCCTCCCTGACCCCCCGTGGATTCCATCACACAGACGCAACCATAATAAGCGGCGATCTTATAGCAGCCGGATCTAGTTCGTGTATGGGAAAATGGGGGCGCAAGGACAGGAAAGTACAGTACAAGTACAGTCCCAGGAATGAGGATCGGAAAGAAGCCGAGACGGGGAGGCCTGGCCTGGCCTGGCCTGGCCAAAGGGGAGGAACGTCCTCCGCCCCGCCAACTAAGCTCACTCACCTACCTGTCGCCGGCCGGCCCGCCTCGACGATAGATGATGATGATGATGATGATCCCCGCCCAGCCAGCCAGCCAGCTTTGGTAGGCCCGAGTCCAATGTTCATGTCGAAAACAGGCAGGCAGGCAGGCAGACAAGCTAACGCAGGTATCACCAGGATGAGAAGGCGAAAAACAAGGTCAGGCCGTCCTCCCATCCCCATCCCATCCCATCCCGCGCGTAATACCACCACGGGCACCCACCCCAGTGCGACCCTCAAGGCCGAAGGAGGGAAAAAGACCCAAAGTAAACATCGGGCCCGGCCGCGTTGTGTGCAATGGGATGGGCGAGGGGGACGACGACGTATGTATGCCAGGCATCGGGACCGCGGTATCAAAATGTCTTGGCCCCATGTGCGCACCCATCTCTAGGTAACCAAACAGCCCCCAGTCGCAGTCGTCACCGTCATCTCCCTCTCTCCGACTCGCGGAACGTGTGAAGAAGGTTGAAAAAAGAGCGGAACGCCAACGCCGCACAGGTGCAGCCAGCCGTTTCGGTCCTCGGAATGCACAATCGCATGCATGCATCACAGTACCGAGGAGCTGCTGATGAGAGCCCCCGGCTGCCGGGCGCGGATCCCTGCGTCGTGAGTGGGCGTGTGTGACTCTGTGGGACGGAAGGGCCAGGATCAGAATACCTGAATACCTCCGTACAGAGACTCCAAGAGAGGGCCTGCCTCCAGGAATAGATTGCTCACATGGATTGCCCATGCACGTGCTGCCCTGGATGGAAGGGTGGGAGGGGGCCTGTCTTTGCTGTAGTGTAGGAATATAGCTTGGAGGGGCGGTGCCCCATAAGGCTTCCATATAGCAAGCAGCTGTAGTAGTGGAATGAATGACCACGCTATAATTAAAGTGCAGTGGGTAAGTTCGAGGTCGGCGACCACCAGGCTTATGGCCCTAGATAGGCTCGGCACGTGCGCCAGGTGTGGGTGGTCATCGGGGAATGCCAACCAGTCGGTTCGACGGGCAGTCATCAGTGGGCCAGTGGTGCCCGCAGTTGCGGGAGCGAGCGGCTCGGTCGTCTTACCACATCAGTGGGAATCGGGGGGCGCAGGGCCCAGACCTCAACCGACTGGACGGCGACCAAGAGAACTGCACTTCCCGGAAGGAATCCCACCCCTGCCCGACCTTAATTATCACTCGGTTAGGCCCAATTTGAGGTTGCATCTGGAGCCTCTCCAGCGCTGCAGATTCCGTGATGCCGTTTCGTATGCGTGGTGTTTTACTTTTTGCTGTGACGGCTTCGCATATCTTCAGCACATCGCCAAGTCCGCATCTCCGGTGGTCGCGCAGCATAATAAAAGTCCGAAATAATGAATTCTCATCGAGCTGAGGGGCCCGAAGAATGATGTCGCTCGCCTGAGCTGCTAATCAGGCACACGAGTTTGATGTTAAATCATCCAACCCTTTCCAAGAAATTTCGAACTGTACCTTATTAAGGAGATATTATTCCAAGTCCCCGTGTTCCCTTGTCCCGATCCCGATCCCCATGCCCTAGCCAAGGGCCCCTTCTTGTTCCTTTTAAAATCGACCGCTAAGAAATGCTACTGTAATGTCCAGGTGTTGTTTGGTTTTATCTTCTGTTCCCCCTTCCATGTAGAGGATAAATATTCGAGACCTCAGTAACTCACCTTCTGTCCAGAATGAAAAGAAAACATGCCCCCGGAAGGGCTTCAGTGTTCCAGCGCTCCAGTCACTCCCGCCACAGACACGGGAGCACCCGAGACCTGTGACAGCATGGAGTCGATCTCGCTGATGATCGCCTCGTCGGCATTGAGGCTCTGGATCATCTCCTCCTGCGTGAAGGCGACCCAGAAAGCAGGGTTGATCTGCTGGGCCTTCTTGGCGCGGTAGATCTCGCGCGCCACGCCACGCACCTGGTTCGCTGCATTGTCGGCCGCCTTCCACACGGCCGACAGCTTGGACAGCGCCCCGATGCTCAGGCGGATCTGCTGCCGCAGGTCGTCTTCGTCCTGCAGGAAGTACAGCGCCCACTTGGACAGCTGCACGATAGAACTCATGGTTATGACGCACGTAAAGAAGTGCGTGTGGCTGGTAAGTGTCACCGGCGCCGTGATCATCTTGGAGATGTCCGCCGCTGCGGTCACCGTGTGCCGTGTGTGGATGTTGTACGATTCACCCGAGGGCACCGCTCTGTACGGCGCGCACGAGTTGACAGCACGCGCCGGGGACGAGTCTAGCTGGGAGTGTGGCTGGTGCAGCATGATGGTGCATCTAGGTGGGAAATAGAGTTAGCCCGACTTCCTGAAGCGCCCACGTCTCCTCCCGGCGGTCAAGACAACCAGAATCTGAAAAGATGTCACGACACATAGAAAATAAACCTACGCCGTAGTGATGAAGTGTCCCTGGAACATCATCTCGTCATGCAAGCAATTCTTGTCTACAGGGTCTCTCTTTCCCGGCGGCAGATGCAGCCTCCAGTTGGTCAGATGGGCCTCCATCTTGGCGAGATTCTCATCTTCCGGGAACAGGATGGGCCCACAGCGCATCATGCGCCCCATATTCCGGATCGCGGCAACGCGATACGCGAAGGATGAGAATTGGCGATCCTCGCCTGAGAAGACCTGATCATCAAAATCTTCAATATGCATTGGTGGCTGGGGTATGGTCTGTTTGTTTGTTTGTTTGTTGTTGTCAGTATAATGTGCCTACCATACCGTGGGGTGTAATGGAGGTGGACACGGCTGTATGCATGTCTAAGTATGTGGGACTTGACTTACACCCAGGAGGTACTCCGACTCCTCGCATGGGAGCGCCACGTCGGCGGCGAGGTCGAAGAGGAGGAAATTGGTGACCCTGTGCACGCCTGCCACCATGCCGTCGATGACGTACAGATCCCACCATGTCCTCCTCCAGCTCTCCTCGAGCATTGGGTTGCCGTGGCCATGGATCGTGGCGAACTGGCGCGTGTTCATTCCCAGCTCAACGGCGATCCTCTCGCAGTCAGTCAGCAGGTCCCGCGCCTTATCCTGCTGCAAGCTCCCGTCGAGGGCGACGATTAGCAGCATCAGGGCCTGGACTAGAAAGCCGTCCTTGGGGGTGCTGGGCGAATAAGTCAGGCGCAGGGCCTCGTCCAGGTACGAGGCGCGTGCCGGGCCTACGTCCATGAATAGTGAGCCAACGTATCTCATAGCCGCCTGTAGGTGGTCCAACTTGTGGCCCGACTCCCGGATGTGGCGGAAGAAGTACTCCCTGGGAAGCAGGAAGGGGTGGGAGGCATAGTAGTGGTAGTAGAAGGAGTCGAGGCACTTGTCAGCAATGGTGGGGACCGGCACGATGGGGGCGTGGTGCTGGATGGCACCGATTGGAGTGCCGAAGGGGGTGGTCCTGAAGACCTGCAGGTGGTTCATGGAGGCGGCGGCCGTGAGGAAGGGCGAGTTCGGATCGGAGCCAAGACCTGCAGCCGGCGTGAAGGCGGCACTGGTCATGGCGGGGGCGGTGGCCCCGAGCAGCATGGGGCAGCTGTCGGGGCCGGCCGCCGAGGTGACATCGGTGGCATCGGGGGACGAGGAGGCGTGGCGCTTGTTTGGGTTCTGAGCGGTGCCTCGACGCGGGCCCTTGTACCCGCGGCGGGAGGCGACATAAACACACTCGGACTGCGAAGCCACACAGCGGGTACAGGGAGTCTGGCCATCGCACTTGAGATGTTTGCTACGCTGTCATTGCAGATACCGCATGGGTACGAGTCAGCCCTGTGTCTTGTGAACCCAACCCGACAAGATTAGGGTTAACTGGGACTGTGTGGAGTCCCCGCGGGTGGGAAGAAGGAGGCCGGGCCGGGCACTGTAAAGACATATAGATAGATGGAAGCAGAGAGGGGGCTCGTCAGGAGAGATTGGGCTGCTCACACATGCCAGGCAGGCGGCGGGCACAGCAGGGCCCGTTGCCGCAGACTGGGAGCCCTGATCGTGGGCAGACGTTGGGGTCACGGTGCCATTCGGAGACCCATTCTCGTTGCCACTGCCATTGCCATTGACGGTGGTGTTGACGGTGGTGTTGACACTGGCACTTGCATGTTGTCCGGGTCCATGCCCGTGCCCATGGCCATGACCGTGCCCATTCGCGGGCCCGTTGCCGGCGCTACCACTAGTGGTGCCCGAGCCGAAGACGTCGGGCGAGGAGAGGTCGCCGACGGTGGGGGCCAGGGCCAGCGGAGACTCGCTGGTCAGGCTGGAGGCGGGCAGTGGAGCCGCGGAGGGCATGTTGTAGAGGCTCATGGTGGCAGCGGTCCAATCGAGAGCGAGGGTGCGGCCGGGCTGGAGCGGAGCCTGGGCCTGAGCTGAGGTGAGCTGACCACGGCTGACCACGGCTGAGGAAGGGCTCGAGTCCTGGTTTGTCGGGGACGTTTTCTTCGTGTCCCCAGGGTCAAAATCGTCGGCGGCTGGGCGGGCAGATCCCCGTTGAGCAATGACAGCTCACCCACAGTAGCAGCAGCAGCAGCAGCGGGAGCGGAGTCGAGGGGGACCGTTGTTCTACAGTGGTCGAGCAGGTGCAGCCAAGACAATGGAGGTCGGGGGTTTGCAGAAGAGGAGCTTGGGCTTGTCGCTGTCGCCGTCGCCGTCGATTGTGGTGGTGGTTTGATGTTGTGTCGAGTCGAGTCGTGTCGAGTCGTGTCGTCTGTCTGGATGTCTGGTCGTCCGGCCTGCCAACAAATGACACAGAAATCTCCCCCCTTCAAGCTTGATCCTCGGGCACAGCAGCACAGGCAGACGCAAGGTCGACGTCAAGTCTCGGACGGACGGGGGAGGCGGCAATGGATGAATGAATTCGATCAACGGGGTGTCCTTGAAGGCAGGGCCCCACACAGCCGCGGTGTTGCATGCGTGTGCGTTGTGTGCGCGTTGGGAGGCAGTTTCGACTGATGCCGGCTCCTGATTGACGGCTCAGGGAAGGAAAGAAGCATCACCTTCCCGCGGTGAGGGGACAGGGGGGGAGGGTAGGTCGTGCAGAGTCAGGCAGGTCAGTCAGGTCAGGCTCGACTTTTCGTCCTTGTGCAACGATAACAAGGGGCGCCTCCTGCAGCAGCCTGAGCAGCCGTGCTCATTGTTCATTTTCTTTTTTGGCTGCTTGTGTGACGCTGTCGGCTCACACTTGACGCGTCGCCCAGCCAGGTGCCAGCCAGGCCAGGCCAGGCCAGCCCGCGTGAGGGAAGGAGCTCTGGACCTTGGGCCGTGGGCTGTGGCGAGTGGTGTTTACTTACGGATACTAGTACTGGCTCATATCTAACTTGGAAGACCTTGGAGGATATCTGCTCCTGCTGTTCTGGCAATTGGCATCCTACGGGCCATCCTGACTTTGGTGCATGCAACTTGACCTCGCAGCAGCCACCGTCTTCGTCCTGTCTCAAATCCCCGCCTCCTCCTCCCACCACCAACTCTACAACACAGAGACTAAGCATATAGATCTATGTGGCTTGGTCTCCAGAGTCAAGACTACCAACACGGTTTACCACAAAAGTTCCAACCAACACGGTCCAGTGGGGGGAAGGGGAGCACCCAAGCCTTCCCCCACACAGACAGATCGATCCCCCGCATCAAAAATGCCTGGGTGCCCTTGCCCACGCACATGCCCAAGGAGAGAAGAAGCAGAAGCTTCGCACGAACTCTTACACATCCCCCAGCCCCTTCAACGACATAAAAAAGCAAAAGACACAAAATGTTCCACCCTCGAGCCCCACCCCACCCCGACCCTACTGCCCTCTCCTTCCGTAGTACAAACTGAGCACAGCATACTGCCTCCGACGGCGCACAGCATGTCCTGTCGACGAGGCGGTGAACCTCTCGAGCGAGCCTGTGACAGTTTAGTAAGCACGGGAATAAAAGCTTTTTAAAACTGAGGGTGTTTGCTGGTTAGTTAGATGTGGTGAAGACGCCTAAGTAAGTCAGTACGTGGTGATGACCAAGTGAGCCATACCTGGGTACGTCTGTACTCACTCACCTTCCTCCCCCACGGTCTATCCATCTGCCCTCGCTCACTCTCACAGCATGCATGCCCTTCTCCCTCTCCAGTCCTGTCCCGTCCCGTCCTGTCCTGTCCCATCTGCAAGTGCCGTTCACGCATGCCTCCCGTCCAGATAGGTAACCATGCCTGTGCCTCCGAAACAGGCATGGCATGGCATGGCATGACATGAACCCGCAGCCGAAAGGTGATCTCGGCTGGCTGCAGCAGCGGACCGCTTAAAGGGGAATATATCCATCATGAAGTATGTGTTCGCATGCCCGCCCGCCCGCCTGCCTACCTGCCTACCTGTGTCATGCATGCATGTCTCGTAGACGCCGCGCCGCGCGGGCGCCACCACGGGGCAAGGGGGTCTTTGACTGCTGTTCATCACGGTTAGGTTTCAGGAGGATCTGCTCAGGTGACTGACGGGTGGCGCGTAGATTAAAAATTTCGGAACTCCCAGGGAGATAAGAGAGAGCATTAGTGTTCTGGCACGCAAAGGGGTGGCGGCGGCAATCCGGGTATGGTACCCAGGCCCCTGGGGAGAGGCCAGAAGGGGGAAAAGGAGGTTGCCACTTTCAAGCCACATCTCACAGCATCAGAGAAACACCATCTGCTTTTTTCATGACCGTTTATTACACATTTCCTACATATCCTGAGTCAATCTTGCCGCACTAGGGTGAGTGTCTGCGTGTCTGCGTGCTTGATGCGTTCCCGTTCGTATTCCAGCCCAACCCCGGGCCTATTATGTCCACATCCACACGCGCACACTCGAGTCTTCCAGAACTCCTCGTTCACCCAAGTATCCTCGGCTTCTTCCTCTGTGCAAAAAAAGTCCGAGAATCTATGCATCGTCCCCGAAGAAGATGTCCTCAAACTCGTCCCACCCGTCCTACTCATCACCCGCCTCGGCCATCGGCGCGTCTTGCTCCTCGTCGTCGCGGTCCGGCTCGGCGTCCATGGGAATGACCAGCTCCTCCTCGGCTTCCCCGGCCGATGCCTCCCCACGGGCCGCCCTTGCCCTGGCCCTAGCAATCGCATTCCGCCGCTGCTCGTCAATGTAAGAAGGCTCGAGGTAGGCCTCAGGGTTAACCTGGTCAACCTCCTCGTCGTTCTCCCCCTCGACAACACCCTTGTCAGCGATGGACTCATCAATGGTACGCAACGCCTTGATAGCCGCCAGGCTGAGCTGGTCATCGCCCATGAGATACTGGACGTCGTCGCGGGGCAGGATGGAGTGCGCGCGCCCCTCGCCCGGCGCCATCCGGACAGGCGCGGCGGTCTCGTCGCCCTCGTACCGGCCGAGGAAGTCCTTGGTGGCGCAGTCGCTGAAGCGGCCCACGGCCTGCCCGCCCGCCATGACGACCTCCCTCTTCATCCGCCACTCGAGCGTGTCCACCTCGGCCGTCTCGTCCATCAGCATGTGGTACACGTACACCTTCTTGGCCTGCCGGAACCGCACGCACCGGCCCAGCGCCTGCCGCATCTGCGAGTCCCAGTCCGCCTGCTGCCGGCTGACGAGCGGCGACACGAAGATGACGTGGTTCGCGTTGTGCAGGTTGCTGCCGGCCGCCTGCTCCGAGTTGACCGTCTGCACGAGGACCTTGTGCTTGCCGTCCTTGAACGCCTCCAGGCTTCCGGCCTCGCTCTTCACGAGCATCGCCGCCGTGACGTGCTTGATGTTGGCCGCTGCTAGCTCGCGGTAGATCTCGGTCTCCATGGTGGCGGTCTGCACAAAGACCACGACCTGGTCAGCATCCCTGATTCGCCGGATGAGGTTGATGATGGCGCGGGCCTTTGGCCCCTTTGTGGATCCCTTGTAGTCCGGATCGGCGTCGAGGTATCGGACGGGGTCGCTCGTGATGGCCCCAGAGATGCCACTGGCGGTAATGACACGCTCGCTGTTCCTGAGCTCTGAGAGCGGGATGCATACGTTGTTCACGCTGCGCTGGCAGAGACCAACGCCACAGGGCTGCTTATCATCCGGCTTGCCGCAGAATACGTGACCACAAGTTAGCGAGACGAAATGCGCGTCAAGGTCACTGCCGCACTGCTCGTTGTGACATGCCCAGGTGCCGCCGAGGACCTCGACCACGAGTGACTGGAGGTTGCGCCTCGCGTGCACGACGACGCTGCGCTCGAGAACATCCGTCAGGTCACCGAGCACCTGCATCAGGCTGTCAAATATGACCTCCATAAAGCTGCCCCTGAACTTTCTCTTCCCTTCCTGGGGAAAGTCGGCAAGTGTCACGCCACATGACTCTGGAGAGATGTAGTCCTCGTCAGTTGCCGTCTTGGCAATGTCCCTGGCCACCCGAGCTCTGATCTCTTCCTTCTTGGCGATGGCCTTCACAATGAGGCCCCGGCGGTTGCATTCTTCCTCCCAGAAGGCCTTGGTGTCCTTGCAGTCCTTGCGAGCTGTGATGAGCTTCATAGCATCCTTGACAACCGGGTTCTCGCTTTCCACGTCGGAAGAAAGCTTTTGCCGGCGAGCGATGTCAAGTGACTTCAAATGCGCAAGGTCGAACTGGTCAGGGTTTGGATCACGGCTTGGGGGTTCCTCGAGCTTGTGCGGGAGTACGAAGCCCGAGTGGCCTCGCTCCGAGTCATCGTGTCCCCGATCCCATGTCAATTTCTGGGACCATTCCAGATGAAGGAGTTCCTCTTCCGCGGGATGAAATTGGTCGACATGGTCGATCAAGAACCACCTCCGTGTGTGGAGTGGTGTCTTCGTGATCCAGTCCCTGAATATATCAAAGTATTTGTGGTTCTTCTCGTAAAGTTCCCGGACTGGCGTTTTCCGCGACTGCACCACCGCCCTGGGCTGGATCGTCGGAGTCTCGCAAATTCGCATGTGCTCGAATGTCAAGCGAAGTACGCTCCGCAGTTCGTTGGGTTCCGTCTTGAAGTCGCCGAGTGCCTGTCGCATTGGCTCTGGCCAGATCAAAATGCGCATGGCAGAGCTGAAAGCATCCCAGCTCTGGAAGACACTCATGTCCATGTTGAGCACCGACTCCACAATCTCTACCAGGCTCTGGTAGTAGTCCAGATGCCGCTCGTCCTGTCCGTCGAGCTCGTCCTTGGCATTGGACAGCGTGATGAAGGTTAGCCTGTACGCCAGGAAGATGGCTTTGCCAAGCAGTTCCCGGCCGCGGTCTTCAATACCATGTATCTCCTCGTCGGTGTTTGAAAGGAGCCCCCGGGCAGCTTCGATATCGGGTAGACCAACCAGGCCGGACTGCTCCAGCACGTCATCAACCGACGCAGAAGCACGGATCGTGAGAGCCTCAACGGAGCGGTCGCGGCCGCTCTCCTTTCCTTTCCAGTCAATGCGGCTCATCAAGCGACGACGACATTCGGTGCCGACGTTGTTGGCATTATACTGCCGGCTTTGCAGTTCAATCTGCAGTTCCGCGTAGGCCAGCCGGGCAATCGGCGACATGGTCAACACAACCGGCAGCTCGATCTTGGCGACATCTGTTTCGCGGTGGTTCTTTCGCATGAAACACGAGACAAACGACAAGAGTTGCTGGTGTCGCTCTTTCAATGCCTTCAAAGACGGACGGCTCTGGAACAGGCCGGTCGATTCGAGATCGGAATGAGGTGCAAGCGGCTCGTTCTCGCATATTGGAGGCTGCCGTCCCTTGATCAACTGCAAGGGCCTCGCTATGTGCACGTTGAATAAGTACGCGGCCTTGCAGGCATCGCCAAGTGTGTTCAGCGGAGGAGTCCCGGAAAGCATCCACTTGGAGGTCGTGGCACAGTTGGCCACAAACTCCGTAACTGGGATATTCTCGTACGGGAATTCGTCCCAGATCACCCGTGACCAGCTGAAGATCTCGAGGAGAATTTGTGGGCGCCAAGCGCTTGTTTTCCCCCCGCGATACTGCCTCATCTTGTTATGATATGCGGGAGCGAAAGCCAGTTGCTCATCGTCGTCGAGCTTTGCAAGGTCAGCTCTGATCTGATCTAGTTTGTCCGTAAGGTCGGCCATTTCCGCCTTGACGACTTTGCCTAGCTCCAAAATCTTGACAACTTCATCTCGGACCTTTTCAAGAGTCCTCTGGAACTGCTTGTACCAAGCTCGGTAGACCTTCTGCATGGTCTGAATCTTGTCAACGTCGTTGGGGCTGCAGTATGCGGACATCTCCGAATGGTATTTGTTGTCCAGGAAGACCTTGTTGCTGCAAATGACAATGTCTGCCTTCTTCAACATAGCAATGCTGAGCTTTTGCAATTCGGCAAAGGTTGTAATAACAACGATGTTGTATCGCTTTGTGCCCAGGAAGCGCTTCGCCTCGCTCTGCCATTGATAGGTGAGCTGGTTCGGGACGATGATCAAAGTTGCCTGGAGATGGACCAAGCCATGGAGATGCTGGTTCTGCTTTCGCATATCCATGAACTCTTTCCTGTCTGTGCCACGCTGAACGTCAATGAGACCGAGACAAACTGCGGTCTTTCCGAATCCCACGTCGTCCGCCACGACTCTACCGCGGCGGTAAACGGGTCTCTTTGCATCGGCGTGGACCCGCATCCTCAGCTGTTCAAGGTGAACCTCTGCGGTCTCAATCTCCATGAAAGGTTCTGGTTCATGCACGGGCTCCCGAGACAGCATCCATTGCAGAGAGTCCGACTGCTCCTTGAATAGCTGGAGCCCGCCTTGGAAGCCCAAGGGAAGCGTTGAGTCTTCCAGGCGGACTGGACTAGGAGCAGAAATTATTGGCGTGCTCAGGACTGTCCTAGGATTCTCAATGACGGCGACCTCCATCGCAAAAGTCCCCGTGGTGCAGGTTGTATCCTCAAAGTGCGACGGGTGTTGGGGCAAGTGGGCTCGAGCTTGGTGAAGGAGCGCGTGCCCGTGAGCAAGGAAACAGACATCGACATAGCGAAAATTGTCTCGCTTCAATTTCAAATGGTCGAAGGGCGATTGCGACGTTACGTTGTGATCAATGTGCAGGAGGCGTGGCTTTGACTGCAGGTTCAGCTCGTAGTTCTGCTGGTCCACCGCCCTGTGCCGAGCAACTACAGGTCCCTTGACTTTGGAGGCCCCGGCATTGTCTGATGTCTTGACGACGTAGAATACCTCGGGAATCCTAGGAGCACATGAGTGACAGTCTGAGCTCAATTCAACATTCTCTTGAATGAGCACCACTCTCTTGCCAACGCCGACAAGTCCCATTTCGACAGCGGAATAGAGAGGGCCGATCAGTTTGGTCAACTCCGCGACGTCCAAAGGCTTGGTAAGGTCAAGAGTCTTCAATGTCTCCTCGATCTTGATGACCTGTTCATCATTCCCGAGTATAGGCAGGGATGTCGTGAGCAAGCTCTGGAACTGGTCGCACGAGGCTTCGTAACGCTTTGCGTGGGACTGCCCTCCCGTTTGGCGAATGCAGGTAGGGGCTGCCTTCGCGATGGTCTCCACATCATCGTATTCCATATTCGGGAAGCTTGTGAAATTGATCGCGAAATTGCCAAACTGTGCCCACCGGCCTCCGACGGAGCCTAGGACGGGAATCTTGTGACCTGGATCGACAAGGAAGGGCTCGTGGTCCAGGAGCACATCTTTGATGTGTCGGTGGATCTGGTCCTCTTTGGATATTCGCAGCAGCACCGGACGGGTCTCCATCGGGGCCCTGCGACCCATCTCTCGGCTGACAGTTGTGATCACAAAGGCATCTTGGTCTGCCGCCCCGATAGGATCGACATCTTTGAACAGAAAGTACTTTCTCTGATCAGCTTGGTGAACCCACAAGGCGTACTCCGGGAATCCACACTCCGGGTGGAACTCCCAGAGGCTTCCTTCCAAGCCTCTAATTTCCTGCTTGGTATCCTCCGGCACGTTGTCCAAGTCACCAATCTTGGCTAGCGACAACGCCTGTTCCTCTTGCAGCTCGAACTCTAACGGGAAAGACACGTGACCGGGAATCCAAAATTCCCATACTTGGGAATCTGGGAATAGATTCGTCTCTTCTCGCCCAAGAATTGCCCGAGCGATCGGTTCACCCTTCGGAAGAACACTAACGAGGAGGTCGGACGTGCTGCAGTATTGATCGAGGTGCAGGGACCAGGTCACCTCATCTTCCTCAACGAGCACTCTGAGTCTGAAGTTTGCCCCCCCGACGTATTCGAGCCGAACAACGTCGGTGATCTCGACGAACTGAAGCTGATATATGCTGTTGCACAGACCGTCGATCATGGCCTTGGCCAACTCGTGTCGCTGGGAACTGTCGCATGTCGAAGAGCGAAGCGCGTTGTCCAGCTTCTCTACCAGGGTGGCCGTCGGAGATTGCATCCACAGAATTGCTGGAAAGCATTTCCGGAACTCGTACTCAGCCTGCGCATATGGAACGAAGTTGATGTCTTCCAATGTCTGCTTAGACCTGGCAAGAACGTGTTCGGGGTTACCCTTGCAGCTCTTGCAATGGCTTACGCCGCACACGGTGCAGACGTAAAGCTCCACGCTGCTGTAGGACAGAATGTGGTGACACGGACAACGCCGACGGACACGCTTGGCCAGATCCAAAATGTCTTGGACAGCAGTTTGAGGGTATGAATCGGTGTTCATGGGGACGCTGTGTGCATACAGCTTCAAAAGTAGAGGGATTTGCGGTCCGTGGTCGACGTTTGCCGCATCGTGGTGGAAAGAGTTCAAAATCTCGGCCAGTGGCTTGAAGTCGCCGGGGTGAAATATGTGCTCCAACCAATCGTAGCCTTCTTTGTCTGCAACACGCGCGATCGCGGTGAGTGCGGCGAGGATCACTCCGCCGACAACGGTCGTTGTCATTGCATTGCCGGCGAGATCTTGGAGCTGCGCCTGCGTCTCCACGCTCATGTCGAAATTCTCGACCGGTAGGCCCTGAAGCCTCAGGGACTCTGCCCCAATAATTGGCCGTGCCTCGAGCGTGATGACAGGAATGGCGTTGGGGGTCAGGCAGCCAGTCCGACCGAACTTGATCTCGAAGGCAATCCTGTCGACGTTCTGACTGTTGTCGATGACCTGGGCCTTGTACCTTATGTCGTACGGTCCACGGCGAATGCTTCTCCCGTACAGGCCGTGGAGGTAGAAGCATTCCATAACATCGAGAATACGAAGGGGCATACGGCTTGCCCAAGGCTTCCACATGGTGACCGGGGTGTTTGCGTGGCCACTCAGGTCCCACTGCATCCAAAGATGAATGCGTGGAAGAATGTGCTTCCTCCGGTAAGCCGCGTGTCTGTCCTTTGAGATAGACCAGTCTGTCTCCCGCTCGCGCGATCCCTGGGCGTCAGACTCAACCTCGTTCCGGGCCTTTTGTAATTCGTGGCTGTTGATTGGAAACAGGAAGTCGAGCACCGAGTTTGAATGAGTATGCTCGAGTTGGGGCAGGATCCCCCGGAACATGTTACTCAGTGCCTGCGCGCCGGCCAACGTGAAGGCCCTGTGGCTGAAAAGGATCAAGTACTTCCGAACTCGTGTCTGCGGCATGTAAAATTGCTTAGTATCGAGTCTCAGCACGGTAGCTGAGTAGCCCATGAGTTGGAAAATCCCGTTGTCGACAAGCTTCTGCCAGGGGGCGCTGTCGACATTCTCACAGACGACGACTTTGGGCTGCCGGCATTTGATGTAATTGATCGCGCCGGCGAACGTCTGCTCAGACTGGTTCTTCCTCTCGTTTTCCGCGTTCATGGAGTCAATTGCAGAGCGCCAATCGTCAGGCGAGAGGTGTTCATAGGAGAGCTTGTCCCCATGAATTCTCTTCAACTCCGCCCATTTCTCCTGCGCTTTCTTGAGTCCAGCAAACTCCCTGGTCTTGTTGGTATTTAGCGACGAGAAATCTACACAGGACGTTCCAGCGATGAAGAAATCGACAGCCGGGATGGCTGCCTCCGCGCCTGTAACCAGGCGACTGCATAGTTGTTAGCGGCGACCAGGGAAATGATTGTTGTACCAGTAAACGTACGCCTTCTCTGAGTCTCCCTGAGAAAAGTCTCTCGCGTCCCTAAACAATCGCTTGGGCTTGCTGTTGCGCTTTAGGAAGCTTTGCTTCCACCACTCAATTTCACACGCGAATTCGTTGCTGACTTGAAAGACGTGGTTTCCTTCCTCATCCCTAAACATGGAAAACATTTCCATGACATGGATAGGCGCATCTGTGCCCGAGCATACCGTCCCGACACGAATGTAGTACGGACGACCGTTGCCCAGGAAGTGTGACAGGCCAATTGATCTCGCAATTCTCATCATAGCCTCGATTATCTCACGGAGATCGCACAGAGGCCGCTTGGAAGGGGCCTCATCCGATTCCACGGACGCCTCTGAGGGCTCTGGTGAGTCGTCACCGCCAGGGGGGTCAGGACGAGAATCGCTCAGTCGAGGTTTCTTGTTAGGCCCTGAAGCCGTGTCAGCTGCCTTGCGCTTACTGTTTGTCTTCTGCCCCGCTAGGCCGGGCGAGAGAAGAATCTTAGCATCGTTGACGGAGGTTCCGCCCGTGCTGCGAGCCATGGGTGCGATCGTTGATGGAGCACCCGAGCTCCTCCCTGGAGGACTCATCGGTCTCGTGGCAACACCAACGCCATGGTTCGCGTCGAGATGCAATTGTGAGGGCTGTTTCTTGTGTTTCTAATGATAATGTTGTAAGCAATACTGCATATGTAGTCTAAGGTGTTGGAGATGGGTGTATTACCGGACGACCCGATGAGCCAATCTTAAGGCCAACATGACCGAGCTGAAGTGAGGGTCGTGAGCCTCGTGGAATTAACAAGGAAGGAGAGCTGGTCACTTCTCGCGTGGAGCTCAGCGATGGTTGTTGCTGCGAAAAAGATCGTTAGCCACGCGCAACAATGAAACGATTCCAGGCGAGACTGGCACTTCGGGACAAGATATACGAGTTACTCACCGTCTCATCAGTCTTCTCGTCGGCAGCAGAAGTAGTAGCTGAGCCAAGTGTCTGAGGCGTAACGCCAGCATGCGACACGGGTAGCTCTGGTTTGGATTGAATGGGAGCCATCGTGACCTGTATCTCGAGTTCGTCAGGACTCGATTCAGCGTACGTGAGTTTGTAAGAACACATGAACGGCGCGAGGAGATCAAGATCAAGGACGGTGCAGGAAGGCCACACACGGTGAGAGCAAGAGGCAGAGATTGGAACTTAGGGCTTGAAGCCTCCTAGGGGAACGGCAGTAGTGGAGCAGGCAGTGTAAAAAAACAAGATCTTGGAAAGGGTAAGGCAAGCTCAAGCTCGTCAAGAACGAAAAGATTGATCAACTTACCACCTGGAGGAGTTGGAGGAATGCCGGGCTGCCGGAACAAGCAGTTGACAGTCAGAAAAGCAGCCCAGGGTCCTCAGGGAGCAGCCCGGATGCAGACAAGAGTGCAGAGTAGCTGAAGAGGAGATGGATGGTATCGAAACAAACAGAGGGAGGTCGAAAGTCGAAAAGATTGATGAACTTACCAGCTGGAGGAGTTGGGGGAATGCCGGGCTGCCGGGACAAGCAGCTGACAGTCAGCACAGCAGCCCAGGTCCTCAGGGAGCAGCCCGGATGCAGACAAGAGTGTAGAGTAGCTGGAGAGGTGATGGAGGGTATCGAGACAAACAGAGAGAAGTCGAAATTGGGGCGTTGATCGTCGAGGGTAGAGCCAGAGGTGGTGGGAGGGTAAGGCAGTGGAGGGTAAGGGCAGAGTGGTGAGCCGAGCGAGGCTTTGAAGGAAAGAAAACCGCAGCACCAGACAGCAAGCAGTATGATTGCAGGACAAGTCAAGAAGTGTTTGCAAATTGAGTTGAACGGGTCCAACAGGTGCAGGCTGTTGCTGGGGAGGAAGAAGGTGAGCTGTGGGGGGGAAGAAGAAGAAGGAGGTGAGCTTGGGGAAGGGAGGTGGACTGAAAACAACAAGCAAGGCAGGCAGCTTGGGACCAAGCTCTGGTCCAAGGGGTCCACATCCGCAAGAGACAGCTGTGATAGGTTCGTGAGAGCGAGGGTGCCATGGAAGCACTGCTGGCAAACAGTACGGGGGCACAGTGCCGTAGAGGGTGAAATCCTAAACCAAGTTTAGGACACTTGATGCTGCGAGGCTGCGAGGCTGCGAGGCCGCGAGGCCGCGAGGCCACACAGCCACAAGGTCACGAGGCCACAAAGCCGCGAGGCCACGAGGTTCTAAGGCAGCTCCTTCAGCCAGGTGTGCAGTGCTTCCGGAAGCTTCCAAGGTTTGAATCCCAGGGCCAGACCAGATATGTGCCATCCACAGGCCCAGTCCAAGCCCAGAACAGACAGCTTGGGCTCACAGGCAGCTCACGCCGGCTGTTCAGGAGAGCCTTGGCTCCAGCCAGGTTAGATATGGCCCAGGCAGGCTCACTGGTACGGGGGTAGTTGTCCCATTTGTCATCTCTCAAAGGGGTTGCCTCTGAACTTTCAACCAGACCCGAGATAGGATCAATGAGTAACCTCCTTTGTCTTGCATCTCGACAGCCAGGATCGAGAAATAACGGACAGACCGTTCCTATCAACAGCCTCGGGCATGAACTGTGAGTTGTGATAGGAATTACCGCAATGAGCTTGGGTCACTCCTTAAACCTGTTGATCAAATTTCGTCCGTAAACCCAAGGCGTCGGAGCCATCGATACAAGAGCAGCCCCATCACTGATGAGCTACGCAAGCTAAGCGTATCCGGTCAGATGTTCAATATCAGCTGCACATATCTTTCCGGAAGCTTTTGCCGAGACAGCCCGATGAAGCACATACGTCGATGAGATGTATGTGCTTCATCAATGAGATGCCTGGGCATCCTTAGATGGTCATCCATCTGAGCTCAGCGAGTGTGCCTGAAAATTGGCGAGTTTGTGTCATGGTCCTTTGTTGCGGCCAAGTTCCCATGCTCAAGGACGACCCTTATCCACGACGTTGGAAAATTGGAGCAAGTTGACAGCCGTGTCAGCCGCATGGCCTTTGGATCTATGACCCTGTAAGCTGAGACTTCGGGATGACCACGTTGAAGTTATTTATACAGGCAGTTTAGATTATGGCAACAACCTTCGGATCGGCTTCTATCTCATCGGAATAGCCAACTCGTGATAGGCTGAACACTTCCGCGTCATGGGCAAAAGACATCAGTGTTGGTTGTTCATGGCTAGAATAGAGTGGAGGTTAAGCGGGAGCACCATCAGGTATCTTCTCGGCAGTCCCGGTCGAGGAAAGGAGATGGAAACCGCGTGGTGAGCCTCGGTTGTGACAGGGTTTGCCACAAAGTTGGAGAGACAGCCTGCAAAGAATGGTGGATCAGACCTTGAGACCTTGGAGGCATTGCGTTGACGGATCATCGAGTACCCCTGGCCCCGGTCCAGACCGCGGTATCCATCCGGTAGGAAGACTTGGGTCTAGATGTGTGCTGGCTATTAGGTCAGCCGAAATCGATATGGATCATAGCTCAGAAAGATTTGTGATGAATCACAAGACAAGGAAACGCTGAAGAGTGACCTTCTTTCCAATTTGTGAGGGGTGAGATGAATGTGGAGAAGAACATGTCCACAGACCTTTTGCATGTACATATATTACTAAGTGATCAACATATGCAGTTGTAGAAGGCATGCGTATGGGGATTCGAATTCGAGGCTTTCCAGGAGGACTGTCCATGTTGAATGGCTTCTCCTGGCAGACTGGATTGGTCCGGCAGAAGCGTAGGAGAGAAGAAGAGCATTGTCTTCAGGGGCCTGGTGAGACCACAGAGATATGAAGTATGAATACTCATGACCAAGGCCTGCTGCCGTTGACCCAAGTGGAGTGAGCTGCCATGGTGCGGCAAACTCCGTGTAAGTTGTCATACAAGTCGTCGGTTCCCGCAACCATCCGTGCTGCGAGTCTATCCATGTCCTTCTGCCACACCTACGCAATTAGCAGGTTGGTCGTACGAGTTGCTATGCAGGTTTTCTTGCAGCTTATCGGGAAGTTTTCGTTTTTAAAGTTGTGTTGTACCTTCTCCATCCCACAGCAAGCACCTTCCCGGCGAGCCCAACCCATCCATGCATGATGTGGTCGTACCGTAGTGGCACTGGGAAGTCGCGCCCCCAACGTACCCCCACGCACCCAGTTATGCATGTGCACAGACGCACTAACACCGATCTACCACAGGCCACGCGTTAGCACGTTAGCAACGGTCACCCCCGTCAGAAGCGCAGCCTCATGGGCCCGCGACGCGATTCCTCAAGTCACTCCCTGCCCGCGTCCTACTGCACACGCCCTTGAACATGTGCTCTGGCCATGACGATTCAAGCATGGCCCCAACCACATCTACCCTCTCCGAGTTGACACGGACGCCGACACCACCGTCCAATGAGTCGCATTACCTCACCGCGAGCGAGGGCACCTCGGGCAGCGCCAGCGTGACCGAGCCTAGCAGTCCGGCCGGCGACTCGAGGGATGACCTGAGTCGGCCCAAGGCTGTCTATCGCGATGCCGTCACTCTGCCGCGCGAGCTCAAGCTGCGCTGCCACATCCACCTGGAGGAGCAGTACTGTGAGCACAGCCCCATCTCCCATCCTCTTCCTGTTGTGTTGTCATGATGCATGCTAACTGACAACACGCAAAAAAGACACTGCCGCCCTCAACCTGTTGAACAGCCTGCTATGCGACGGCATCCCGCCCGCCGCCCACGCGCAGACCAACCACCCAGGCTGCGTCGCGCCCCCCGCCCAGATGGCGGTGCTGGCCACGCTCGCCATCCACCCCAAGCACACCTCCAAGCTGCCGAGCTCGGCCGCCCACGACGTCTCGTCCCTGGCCCTGTCGTACCTGCGCACCGTCCTGGCCACCGTCGGCCCCGTCAACGCCAACCTGCGCGACGCCTTCCTCTTCCGCGGCGACAGCGGGCGCGGGAGCCGGCGGCGCAGCTCCGAGAATGCCGCTGCTGGTGGGCTCGGCGGCGACGTGGAGAGCGACGAGGACCTCGTGCGCGGCAAGACAGCCAACAAGGGCAGCATATGGGTTCGCGGCCAGGACTTCTGGAGGGTCCTCGGCTGGGCCTTCAACTGCAGCGCACAGCACCCTCACCGGTGGCGGTGGTGGCAGCCGTGGCTTGAATACATGGTCGATGTGCTAGAGGCGGACTACAAGGAGAGAAAGAGGCTTGACCTTGAGCGCGAAGGCTGCCAGGACGAGTACGAGTACCAGCTCCTCCAGGAATCGCTGCTGGTGTCGTATGTGGTGCCGAAAAATAGCCGGGTCAGCGCCCTGAAGCCGATCATCAGCGCCTTGTTTGCGGATGGCAATACCTCATCACAAGCCATCTTCAAGGAAGTGTTTACGAGGGAGAACAAGGTTGCGTCCAAGACTAGCAAGAAGAGGAAGCGAGACCGGGTTGACCTCGAGAACGACAAGTTCGGCGACTACGACGACGATTCATCCACAGGGGGATCGGAACCACCTACCCCAGAACACCTCCGGGTGCTAGCCATGGACGTCAAGAACGACACAGCACTGTGGTCAGGCTCGTCATTGTTGGACACGATACCGCTCCGCCTGCGACTCTTCGCCTTGGTACGTATTTAATGCACAAGGAGTGCCTACCCCCATTCCCGTTCTCGGATCTCTCGTACTGACCGCGGTCACAGTTATCCGAGGCAGCATGCGACCTGCCGAGAACGTGCGTGATCAGCCTGCCGGACCTCTACGAGAAGACCACAGAGCGGATCTCGCAGCTGCCGGTGGTGGCGTTCTCCAAGTTCCTGGCGCAGCACGACACGCCGCTCAGCAAGGACAGCCTGGTGGCCATCATCCGCTGCCTGATGCCGTACCTGCTCCCGGGCACGGCGCCGCGGCCGAGCGACGCCGACCCGGAGGTGGACGCGCGCGAGGACATCAGCACGCGGATCATGGAGCGGTGCTACCTGCCGTTCGCGTACCGCACGGCCGAGAACAACGCCAAGCTGTCGCTGGCGCTGGAGGCGCTGCTGCGGCTCGACTTTTGCTCGTGGTCGCCGACGCTGCAGCACGCGGTGGAGAAGGGCGTCGCGGCCCGCAACGACAAGGGCGCGCCCAGGAAGGGCGGCCGGTTCCGGACGGACGGCGAGCTGGCGGCGCAGGATATGCTGCGCGCCTCTGGGAAGAGGCTCCTGGCGTGGGTTGAGATCCTGAAGATGGAGCACGAGATGGAGTGCGACGATGAAGAGTAGATGTAGAGAGAGAGTGTGTGTGGTTTGTGGCAGCATATCGCTACCACCCATTGCTAGAGCTTACCGTGCGATGGCCAAGGGCCTGGCCAGTATTTGCGGTTGTGAAGGGCAGTTAGGGAGTAACGGTTCTTCTCATGGGTTGTGAGTCACCTGGGAAGCTGTAGTGACAGCAGCAAGGCGTTTGGTGGCCTCTGGCAGAGGCGAAAGGGAATACCTGCCATGTTCGGAGTTATGGTGTTTGAAAATCAGGTAGAGCCAGCCGATGGCAGTCATGACAATCAAAAGATCAAGGGGCAATATTAGCCAGAGGAGCATGGAGAGATGGCTTTTACATTTATATACTACACACGGCGGCCAACGCTCTACCTCTTGGGAGCTGGAGGCGACCAAGCCTGCGGCTGCCAGTCCTCGCTCGGCCCACCGCGTCTACTCTGCCCCCACGGGTCCTCCTTCTTGCCAGCATCCTCCCCCGGCACGGCGGCACCCCCCTCCTCCAGGCTGCCCCCCTCCCCAACCATGCTCATACTGCTGCTGCCGCCGCCCCCAAGCGCAGGCGCAGCGGGCTGCCCACCAGCATCCAACAGGGTCGGCTTGGCGGCCCAGCGGGCGTCGGCCTCGGCGGCCAGCACCCTCATCTGCTGCTGGCGGCGGACCTCGGCGTGCTGCTCCGGGATGGAGGGCGGGGCGTCGCGCGTGTGCCGCAGCCACTGGTGCCACTGGGGCGGGACTTTTACCTCGCCGTAGTGCGTGTCGCGGCGCGGGTACTGCACGATGCGGCGCCAGCGGGTGCGCGGGTCCGCCGGGTCGCCGCGGACGTCGCGGAACTCCCAGTATGTGTTGCCCTGGAGGTCGAGGCCTGGTTGGGGGTTGTTAGTCTGGGTCTGTACTTTTTTTTATTATGTTTTTTATTTTTGTGTGTTTCTGTGTGTGTCTGTGGTAGGGATGAATGGAAGGATGGATGGGTGGATGGGTTAGAAACAAGTTTGTTGTTGTTGTTATACCCAGCCAGTCTGTGATGTGATATCCCGGCCTTGGCTCTCGTGATGGGGTCGGGCAGTTGGAGTCTCTCACTCACCAACGAGGAAACGTTTGCGCCACGGCAGGCGCAGGGCCTTCCACTTATACCATGTCTGCAACAGAGGTGAAATCTGTTTCGGGGGCATGGCACCTGCGGTCGGTGTGTGGCAGGGAGTGAGTGTTGTGATGTGGCACTGAGATGGATCCAAGGAGCGCAATATGGAAACTATTGTTAGTGCCCTTTTTTTTCTCTCTCTCTGTTTTGATCATGATGCGTCATGGCCTGTCAGTGACCATGCCTGCACGCGACAGGCCGCGTTAAGTACCAACGGGGCCAATAGGAAGCCTCTGCGTGGTGGATCCTTCCCTGTACCGTCGCCTTGTCGGGCATCGACCAGCCATCCGCCCGAGGCAGCGTGGGCACGTTTATTTGTCCCTGGACCCCTGGACCCAGACCTGTGTGTTGTTGCATGGGGGGGGGGGCTGCACGCTGCAGGGTGGGGTCCCGCTGGCTGGAGGGGCTGGAGGGGCTGGAGGAGACTGCCAGGGAGAGGGACAGCCAACTCTCCCCATCCATGATTATTATGCCGCCCTGCACTCATGACTGCATTGTTTGTGCCTGGCCTGGCCTGGCACTAGTATAGGGACATTAGTATAGGGACATTTCAGAACATGCTGGATCAATGCTGCAATCATCTCCCATGGATTGCTCGCAATTTCCATATCCACAGCGTAATTTCGCCCTCTCCCGTGTTCGCGTGGCATTTCACCCGACATTCCGCCCTTGTCGCCATCGCATCAGTCTTCAAAAGCACGACAAACCGACCCTGGTTTGTTAACCTTCTAGACTACCTACGGAGTACTGACTGACTCTCCGACTCTCCGACTCTTCAACTCTCCAACTCTCCTCCATCCGCCTCCGAAACAACCCTCTCCCCCGGCGCCACCAATAAGACGTGCCAGACCGAGCAGCACTGCCTGACTGCCTGGCCACTGACGTAAGCCTGCGAAACAGCCGCCAGCCCGTCATCTCCGTTTCCTGCCGTTTCGGTGGGGTGAGAGAGCGTGCAAGAAGAAGAAGCAACTCTCGACTCCCAGTCCCAGCACAATCCTCGACTCAGCCATCACCATGTCTCTGGATCGAGACCTCAAACGCCTCCGCCTGGAGAAGTACACCCCGGCCGCTGCGAACGAGGCGCGAGAGTGGATCGAGGCCATCCTCGGCCAGCGAATGTCCGGCGACCTGCTCGAGTCGCTGAAAGATGGCGTCGCCCTGTGCAAGTACGTCTCACAGAATCCCACTCATGACTTCGGCAGCCAACAGCCAACTAATACTCTCCCGCACAGGCTCGTCAACCTCGTCCTGCCTCCCCCCGGCGTCAGGTTCAAGGCCTCGGCCATGCCCTTCGTCCAGATGGAAAACATCTCACACTTCCTCCGCGCCTGCAAAGGCCCGCCACTCAACCTACAAGAACACGACATGTTCCTCACCGTCGACCTGTACGAGGCCAAGGATCCCGCACAAGTACTACAATGCATCGGCGCCTTCAGCCGCGCCGCCAACAAGGCAAACCCCGCCTCCTTCCCATCCGCCATCGGGCCCCGTGCCTCGGGGCTGAGCCCCCAGAGGACCGGCGCCGCCGGCGGCACGCTCTCGCCAACACCCACGCCAGGAGCACGGCCCCGCGGCCTGTCAACCTCCAGCAACGCATCCTCTGCATACGGCAGCCGGCCGCCCTTGGTGGCGTCCAAGACTGGAGACTCCACAAGCGGGCGGTGGTCCCCTGCCAAGAGCCCTACACCAAGCGGGCCCAAGTCACCCTCCGTCTCCAGCTGGAGCAGCAAGGCCAATGAGGGCGCCACGTCGCCGGCGTGGAACATCGCGCAGTACGGCTACATGGGCGGCGCGAGCCAGGCCAACCTCGGCATCTCCTTTGGCGGGCGGCGGCAGATCACTAGCGCTGGTCCGTCCGTGCCCAGCCTCGCAGAGAAGGAGAAGCGGCGGAAGGCCAAGGAGGCCGAGGAGCAAAAGCAGCGCGAGGAGGACGAGGCACGGCGCCAGGCAGAGCTCGAGGCCGAGGAGGAGCGCGCGAGGGCCGAGGAGGCGCGCCGCTGGGAGGCGGAGGCCAAGCGCCAGCGCGAGCAGGAGGCGCGCAAGGCGGCAGAGGAGAAACGCCGCTGGGATGAGGAGGAGCGCCAGTGGAAGATCACCGAGGAGAAGCGGCGCAAGGCAGAAGAAGAGGCCGAGAAGCGCCTGGCCCAGGAGCGAGCCAAGGCCAGGAGAAAGTCGGGCGACTCCAGACTGCTACAAGGCCAGTTCCTCAGCCAATACCAGGCCGAACAGCCAACGGGCGCCCCCGCCGGCGGCGAGGAGGTCTACAGCAGCCGGATCAAGCAGCTGGAGAAGGAGCTCGAGCTCGCGCGGGAGAGGGAGGCCCAGTACGAGCGCGAGCGCCAGGACAGGCTGCGGCTCAAGAGCGCCGATGCCAAGTCCAGGGCGCGCTCCCGCAGCCGGCCCCGCCCGGCCTCAGGCGAGCCGAGCCGGCAGGACTCGTGGGCCCGCGGCGACGAGCGCTCCGCCATGTCGCCACCGCGCAACGAATACACACTCCCGGGCTCCCCACTGGCCCAGCGGCCCGCACCCCCGCCGCGCCAGGGGTCCCGCCCGCTGCCCGACCCGGCGGCGGTCGCCGCGGCGGGCCCGCCACCTGCAGCCGCAGCGATGGTCAAGACACACCGCACCGGCGAGTCAGCCAGGTCGGGCGGCACGCGGTCCCGCGCCAACACGGCCGGCTCGCGGCCCCTGCCGGACCCAAAGACCTACGCCTCCTCGCCGTCGACAACCCCCTCGCCGCAGATGAGCCGCGCCACCGACCGCTACGCGGCGTCCCCCTCAAACCCAACAGCGGCACCGGCACCGGCGGCCCCCGCGCAGCAGCTCACCTACTCGCGCGAGATCGGCTCCTCGGCCGAGGAGCGCGACGCCGAGGACCGGCGGCGCGCGGCGGCGGCGCAGCGCGCCAAGGCGGGCGGGCTCGCGTCCAAGTCGCTGCTCGAGCGCGAGATGGAGCTCGAGAGGCAGCGGCAGCGCGAGTGGGAGGAGTCGCAGAAGCAGACGGCCAAGGCGCCGCGCAGCACCAACGCCGACGGCGGCGTCGACGGCATCGGCGGCGGCGTCGGCGGGCGCTGGGACGTCAGCCAGTTTGCGGGGTATACGGGCGGCGACAACATGAACCGCGGGACGCAGGGGATCGGCGCCGGGAGGCGGCAGATCGGGGGCCCGCGGCCGCTGCCTGGGACGCCTGGGCCTGCTCGTTGAAAGCGTGCTTGCGTGGTTTCGGTTTCTCTCTGTCGTCTTGGTTGGGCATCCTGGCGTGGCGTGGTACAGAACGGTGCGGTGGGCTTTGTGCTCTCTCTTTTTGTTGTGTCTCCCGGTGGCCGGTGGGTGGTACAGTTTATATAACTTGTTGGTTTGATTGGGGCTTAATATCTGCCCCCCCCCTGCTGGGTGGGCAGCCCTCGTACGGCGCTGGTATACCCCATTCCTGCTATCTACTGGGTTTTCTGGAGGATGATCTGCCTTGTTGTTGTGCCTTGGTCTTGCTGGCGTAGTCGCTTGCCTGCTTTAATCCTACCCCCCTATGGTATCGTCTCGTGTTGTGTTGGGAGCCGGTCAGCGGTCCAGCCCTGAGGTTGAGGTGGATGGATGGATGGTGATGGAGAGCGGATACCCTATGTAGCACGCAAGCTGAATGGATTGGTTTACAAAAACTGCCGGCGTTGACTGCGCTGGATTGCTTCAAATGTTTGCAGAACGGAAACTTCCGGCATGGTAGATGGCACAGTCTAGAGGCAGGCAGGCAGTCGCTGTGGCTGAGGCGGCATCAGGCTCGTTTTGGAGGGAACTATCGAGAGCTGGACTTAGCATCAGCATCGCCACATCCGCATTCCCACTATTCCCTGCGGGTGGTTTCGTTAATCAACGCCTCCCCATACACATCACCCGTCCCGATGAATCCTCCATTGGTCAGTAGATACGATCGAGTTAGAAGGTGATCTGGGTCTTGATGTGAAATTATCCCTAGGGGAGATCAAATTTGACAAGCCTTTGTTCGACTTGAAAGCTGCTTGACATCCTGCTGCTCAGCCGAGATCTGGCATGCGCTGGCGCGCGCATGCGGGCAGGCGGGTGCTGCGCCCTGCCCTGCTGGCCATTTGTGTGGGTGGGGTTTGGTTCTGCTATCTGCGGTGAATGAGGACTGGGTTCGACCAAGATGGTGTGCTGACGTGCTTGGTCGGGCTGTCCTGGGGGCTGAATCCCACCAACTTTGGGTAGCAAATGTGGGCTTCCTCCTCGTTTATTCGTAGCCTTGATCATACACCGGCCAGATTTTACAATGCCTCTTTGGACACTTCCTTAGTCTTCTATTCCACCGTGCAGCGACACTTATGAATACGCTCTGGGTGTACATCGGAGCTCAACTCCTTTGACCTACACCGAAGCGCGCCACGCGGAGTGACTGGCGCCTGGTTACTTCGCTTGCCTCATGTGGGAGAGAGGTACTCGAGTATCGAAGCAGCAGGGTCTATCATCTAATTGGAGCACCTCTTCCGCCCGCAATGGATCCCTTGTCAGTGACCTCTGCGGTCGTTGGGATCGTCGGTTTCTTCTTTCAATTGGCCAAGACAGCATCCAAGGTGAAGACGGCCGTGGAGGAAGTGAAGTCGGCCCCAAAGGAGGCCAGGAAGCTTGTTGAACGGTTGACGAAGCTGCAGACCTTGGGCCTACTCATTGGCGGGCACCTGGAGCGGAGAGCGAGCATGCCAAACTGCTCATCGTCGCCTTCCCTGGACATCCTGTCAACGAGTCTAGCCCAGTGTTTGGCCAAGACACAAGAGCTTGAGCAAATTCTTTCGAAGCTTCTGATCCCGCAATCCAAGTTCAGCACGAGCTCTCGCCTCAGGCTTGTGCTTCGCAAGGAAAAGCTCAACTCCCTGGTCCAAGAGATTAACAGCGCCATCTCAGACCTCGAGCTTTTCATACTAGTAGATATGTGGTAAGTCCAGATGCCAGGTATCAACAGAGCCAGGATCTAATGTCTAGCCACAGGACTTTGCCATCGATTCAACAACAGCTACCTTCAATACCTAGCAATATGAATGAACTCGAGCCTCAGGAAACCCCGGTTATGGCGTTAGAGGACTCGGCACCTCACCAATACCATATGGCCCAGGAGATCCGCCGAACTCCAAGAAAGCGGAATCGCACATTCAGATACCTGGGTGGTATCACCTGGGTCACATCTGATACTTGGAACGGAGGCGATGAGAGTGATGGCGATAACCATATAGCCCACAGAGAAGGACGCATCACCTTTCGACTGCCATACACGTCGAAGGAGCTCACCATTTACTACGCTCATGGCATGGGGACTCCATCATACGCACTCAATGTGGTCCATATCATTGAGTTGAATTCCAAGCTAGGCCTCCGGCTTTGGCAGCTAATGACGCACGGGAGTGACGTGGACAAGCTCCATAAACTGATCTCGAAGCGAAAGCTGTCACTATACAGCATTTTGAGGCATTCTGATCGGGATTTGAACCTTTTTTTTGTATGTGTTCTGCGTTAGCATGGATGAACCGTCCATGGATGCTTCGATGATGCTGACTGAGCCCAGCTGGCGGTGTCCGCGAAATGGGCCAACGGGTGCAGATATCTGTTGCAACATGACTTTCGTCACGAATTTGAGCAAGGGTACGCTACTTTTCACTCTTTTGAATTTCAACCCAGTCCACTAATGGTCATTCCGTAGCGCTTCTTTTCCTCCCTTCAAGGTTAGGAGAACTCATCTTTCAGGGGCGTCTGAAGTTGCAGACATACTCTTGTCCGTCAGAACCCCATGCATGCTGGAAACGGACGTGCTGTATCTACTGGATAACGGTACTGAACCCGAATACTTCACCCGATATTTGAACGTGTTCATGAAATCCCTCGGAAACAATCACGTTAAGTTCCTTCGTTGCGCCTGGAAGCGTCTCGTGGAGAACATGTTCAACTATGGCGTTGTTTCCGACTGGATCCCGGCTGCTCGCTACCTGATTGATCAAGGTATTGATATACATCAGCGTTGCGGAACCTACAGATCAGGATACACGCGAATTCTGAGCCGAGCAGATCACCCTTGTGAAGCTGACGACAGATCGCATTCTTGGTTAAAGATGCTAAAATCATGCGAAGTTGACCTCGTGGCCTATGTCGCAACTGAATTGAAGATCATGAAGAAATTCGGACTTTGTGTAAGTTTGAATACGAGGAAGAAGAAAATAGTCGTTCTCGACTTGGACGGTCTGCCGATGCCTTCATGGCGATGGAAAGTGCCGCGGGTAAGCAGCATCGCTGAAGTCTTGGGCGAGTTTCCCCATCTTGGCATCGAATTTACACGCAGACCAAGGATGATTCGCCTGAGACTCATTCTCAACTTGAAGGGCTGGAAGCATCATGCATGCTATACCTCTTGGGCCGACTATTGTTTTCCTTTCCTGCTTTCCCCAATAGACGTTGAATGGGGTGAGGATGATGTCCTTGCGGGAACATGTAACCAGGCAATCGAAATCAGGGACAGGCGCTTTGCTAGGCGACAAGCCAGGAAATGGAAGAAAGCGCACCCTGGGGAGGTACCGCCTTCGGACAAAATGCCTGGCACTTGGGTTGACTGATCCTTTTCATATTCCCACCGGAAAACCATAGTCTATGGCAACTTGGGAGTGCTTCAAAGTTGAATGCCTCATTCAGCAAGTGTTGTGCGTGCCTGGGCGTTCATAACAATCCCCACGTCCGTGCCAAGAGATGTCGATGTTCTGCGACTCTGTCACGCAATCTACAAATTCTCATTCCTCACATGCGAGATTTGTCGTCAACTTGAACATAACTGGGGCCTTATTCCAGTTTGGTACAGAACTTGTGGGGTGCCAAGCTTTAACTAGGGATTTGACGACTAAAAAGATGCCGCCGTATCAAGCTGACATTAAGCTCTTGAGGAAGTTATACCCGCGGCCGGTCATATTTAATAACTTGATTGTGGCTGCATAAGACACAAATCGGGCTGGTCTTTCCCCCCTGCGTCCCTCTTTCTCCTCACGCAACCTGTAAAATAGCCATCATGGGCTTTCAGAATGCAGGCGTTGACGTCTCCGAGACGGGTACGGAGCGCAATGACTCCGTTCTGCCCGTGTCTGATCTAGAGCAAGGGGCACCTAACGAGGGTGCATTCAAGTATATCGCCAAGGTCATTCCGTACTTCAGGAATCGAAGAAATGTGTTGGTATTTAAGCTGGACTGCCTCCTCCTTCTCTGGATGTTCGTCGCCGGCCTGATGAAAGAAATGGACCAATCGGCAACAACGCAGGCCTACGTCTCGGGCATGCGGGAGGCTCTTGGCCTCTACGGCAACGAGCTTGTCATGTTCACCACGTTCTTCTCGATCGGGTATGCGTTGGGTCTTGTCCCTGGGCAGCTTATCCAGACCAGGGTGAGTGCAGGCGTGCTGTCCCGCCGGGATTCAGGGTGTCTTCCGGAACGAGGACGAACTGACAAGGATTACAGTTCCGGCCCTCGATATTCCTCCCGTTGTGCGAAATCACCTGGGGCCTCCTTGTCCTCTTCACATATAAGGCTCCCAACGCTCAGACAGTGTATGGCCTTCGCTTTTTCCTAGGCCTTTTCTCGTCCGCCTTTTGGCCGAGCGTGGTGTCACTCATCTTTAACTGGTATACTCCAACCGAGCTCGCGCTCCGCCTCGCATTCTTCAATGTCTCCGACGTCGCTGGGGCCATGTTCCTCGGTGCGCTACAGGCCACCCTATATACCAACATGAATGGCGTCCACGATTTGAGAGGTTGGCAGTGGTTATTCATTATCGCCGGGTCCATCACCGTGGGCCAAGGCCTGCTCGGCTTCTTGACCATCCCGGATTCACCAGCCAACACCCGAGCCCTCTGGCTCACCCCGGCGGAGAGGCGGCTTGCCCAGCTGCGCATGGGGGAGTCAGGTATCAACACGACAGTCCGCATTCCCGCCTCCGTGCTGAGGAAGAAGCTCCGACACATAATCGTCCACCCGATCACCTACTTCTTCCTCTTCGCCTTCGCCCTCGCGGCCTGGTCCCACCGCGCCAACTCGTACTTCGTGCTCTACCTCGAGAGCCTGGGCTACGACACCTACCACGTGAACATCATCCCGCTCGGCGGCTACGCACTCCAGATCGTCACCAGCCTCGTGTTCAACGGCCTCTCGGACTGGAAGCACTGGCGGTGGCAGATCAGCATCGGGTCCGCGTGCGCCCTCGGCGTGTGCCTGATCGTGCTGTGCGCCTGGCCGCCCAACAGCACCGCCGTCCTGACCTTCTACTTCCTGACCTACGCCACCAACGCCGGCGCGCCGAGCCTGATGGCGTGGATGGGCGAGATCCTGCGCAAGGAGCCCGAGGCGAGGTCCATCATCGTGGCCATCACCGTCACCATCGTGTACGTCGGCCATGCGACCATTCCGCTGCGGGCGTGGCGCGTTGCCGACTCGCCCAGGTATCCGATCGGGTTCCCGCTCGTGACTGCGTTCACGGCGGCGTCGATTTGTGTGCAGCTGGGGATGTTGTGGTGGGATAGGCGGCACCCTGATGTTGCTGACCGTGGCTTTGAGAAGCAGGCCATCCCGGCTGATCATTTTGATGATGGACACAAAGTTTCGAACAAAGAGGAGCCCGTATGAACTCTCAAAATCTCAACAAGACTCCAAATCGATTGAGTTCTGCTGTGGCCGGCACCAAATCGGCGCGGTCCGATCAGTGGCTGTCACATGCTAGAGAGACTGAAGAAGCACAAGTCCTGAGGGTCATTAGAAATGTCAAAAGCCATGAAATGTGACTGTCATACAGACCTTTTGAATTTACAGCCACGTATGAGACAAAATGCCCAGTATCAACGACACCCGATGCCTTGGGAAAGCCGTGCGAACCGACAACCCGGGCGAGGGGGACCGGGAAGAATGGCCTAGACTAAAAGCTTGAAATTGTACACTAATTGTGCTAAATTGCCTTTTTCAGAAGCGATTGCTTATGCCCATGCGAATTGTGGAGTGGATCTAAGCCAAAGGATGGAGAGGCGGGATGCTGTATGGGTAGGATTGGTGTCTTGAAAGGTCCCTGGCATGCGAAGTGGAACGAAGGATTCTGCACAAGTCAAGATCGCGATAGGCCCAGAGCGACGAATTACAGGATGAGAGGCTTAGCGAGGCTTACTGTACTCGATCCGAGTCTTACTCTAACGCTAGTTGGCTCCTTTGAACATTATCTTAAGCGAGCTCCTTCAATGTTTTTGCCGTTTAAGGAACTTGTCGAAGACGCAGACTTCTTTTATTCCCCATAGCCCAGATATACATTCAGATCTCAAAGATCGGAGTTGATTGCAATTTTGTGTACGGCACGGAGTCCCACACTCGTATGCTACAAAAGGTATGGCTCTCCTTTCGGCTGCTTTGAGCCTCATCCTGGCATTGCTGGGAGGCACGCTCCTATACTCCGGAGTCTGCCTCTTCCGCAACTACCTGAGAGCGCTAAAGTTCGGCTTGCCAATCCGCATTCTTTTGATCGACCATGTCAATCCCTTCTGGCTGGTGGTTGACCGCAAGGTTGTCTCGCTCGTCAAACGTCTTCCGTTTGGTCTGGGGAACAACAGCTTTACGAGATATAGTTTCAGGGGTTGGGAGGTTCCTGATAGATATTCCTCACATCATGAGATGGGTGATGCCTATGTCCTAGTTTCGTACGGGTATATTTGGCTCTATCTTGCAGACCCGGATCTTGTTTCCGATATTCTGCGACGGGCAAATGAGTTCCCTCGCGACACGTCTGTCACGGGTGAGCTACGCACAACGAAACATCCCACAGTGAGATCTCTAGCTAACCGGCTGAAGCCATCCTTGATGTATTTGGTCCGAACATTTCCACGGTGAGCACTCGAAAATTAACCGTGATCTACCGTCCCTGGTCTTCCAGAACCCATGCAGTTATTTGTCGCACGAGGATCGGGTCTAACGACATCTCTAGGCCCAAGGCACCCAATGGCAGAAACATCGCAGAATCACGGCATCGTCATTCAATGACCAGAATAACGTTATTGTTTGGTCTGAAAGCGTCACCGTCGCACATGACATCCTTAAATATTGGACGTCGAAGCCGGCTATTCAGACTACTGCTGATGATCTTCGCACCCTATCCCTACACGTCATGTCAAGGGCTGGTTTCGGCAGATCCTCCAAGTTCCAAAGCCAGGAGGAGAGCGAAGCTGCCGAGTCGTCTGGGGGGATGAGCTATCAAAACGCGCTGAAGATGATACTAGAGAATTGTGTCCTCATTTTTGCCCTCGGCAGGAAGACCCTTGCTCATTCGTGGCTCCCTCGCAAGCTCCAACGGCTGGATAAGGCATGTATTTCTTTCCAAAATCACATGACACAGGTCTACGAAGAAGAAAAGAGATTTGTCGCAGAAGGCAAGAAGACCGACCGCAACTTCATGGCTTCGCTGGTCCGGGCATCCCAGGACGCACGACTCGGTGGTCTCACGGAGAGCGAGATTTACGGCAACATGTTTACCTTCAACTTTGCCGGCCATGACACCACGGCTCACACCTTCACCTTCGCGCTCTACTTCCTAGCTGTGAACCCAGGCGTGCAAGACTGGGTCTGCGAGGAGATCAACCACGTTATGGGGCAGCGCCCGCCGGAGGAGTGGACCTCCTCTGACTCCACCCGGCTGAAGCGCTGTCTTGCAGTAATGTACGAGACCCTGCGCCTATATACGCCTGTCCCAACGTCCAAAATCATCGACGGAAACCTACCGAGGTCTCTTGTCATCGGAAACAAGACCCTCGTCTTGCCACCAAAGACAATGGTCGTCCCAAGTTACTCCTCCATGCAAACAGATCCCAAGTATTGGGGCACCGACTCTCTCGAATGGCGACCCTCGCGATTCATCAGCTCGCCCACCCAGAGCGGCACCTCAGCACAAGCCTTGGACGGAGAGGAGTTCATCACCCCGCGGAAAGGCATCTTCCTCGCCTGGTCAGGAGGCCCACGCGATTGCGTCGGCAGGAAGTTCTCCCAGGTCGAGTTCGTCGCGGTCATGGCCTCGCTCTTTCGGGAATGGCGGGTCAAGCCCGTCCTTGCGGAGGGCGAAACGGCCGAGGATGCCAGGGAGAGGGTGCTGGACCAGATCGAGACGGACTCGGCCCCTGTCCTGCTCTTGCAAATGTTACATCCTGAACGCTGTCCGCTGACGTGGGAGAAGAGGTGATCCGTTCAGAGAGTTTATGAAACATCCGAACAAGGAGGGGGCCAAGTTCAAGCCGGGGAATTTCCGTGAACTGACTTGGGGAGCGAGCGGTCTCCAAGGTTTCGTATTACCCTACACACGCGCAAAATTTACTCTAGATTAAAGCTCAAATTCGTACCACATGCACTTGGTGTACCTGTGTAGCCCGCAAAAAAACAAAACCTGTATAATTGGCCTGCCTAGCGCAAGGATTTAGCGGATCAGCGTCCTGTCCCCTGCGTAAGTACTACTACTACGTCGTGTGGCCCTAACCCCAGTCGAGCCTTGGATCACTATAGTGTAAGCCTGCGTCATTGATCTTATTCTCAGCCGCCTAATATTGCTGCCAATGCGTTCTCAACTCTTATGGGAATCAAAGGTCGTAGACAACCTCCTCACATAATAACATTCAAGTTTGCCATTATTCGACACCTGGGCAGCGAAGTGATGTCGAACCGTGATGAACAATCGCCGCTGTTGCAGCACGACAGGGAGCGAGATGGAGAAGAAGAACCGCAGACCATTGAGTTCTCCAAGGAGGATGACGACAACCCCAGGGCGTGGTCACGGTCCAAGAAGCTCACGAACATCGCAGTCGTGGCGATGATGGCGAGTACGCACGCTTCCAAGACACCGGAGCTTGCAGCTCGCTGATACTTCTCCCAGTCCTCAGTCCACTCGCCAGCTCCATGTTCACGCCGGGAATTAATTCCATCGCGGAAGACCTCGATACCACAATGAACGTCGTCATAGGTGCCACCACGTGTTTCACTGTGATGTTGGGATTCGGACCCCTTGTCCTTGCGCCCTTGTCTGAGACCTTCGGCCGGAGGACGCTGTACCTGTTGTGCTTCTCGGCCTTCACGCTGCTCCAGATTCCCACGGCGCTGAGCCCCAACGTGGAGACTTTGATCGCCATGAGGGTGCTTTCAGGTGCTGTTGGCAGTGTTGGCATCGCAAATGGCGGCGGGACGATCAGTGATATGTTTGAGCCTCATGAGAGAGCGGGCGTGTATGGGTGGTACCTGCTTGGTCCGCTGCTGGGGTGAGTCCCACTAACTGATGACTCAATGTAGATCGACACTGATGATCGTACTTTATTAGCCCGACAATTGGACCTCTCTTCGGTGGTCTAATAGTCCAAAGGCTGGGGTGGAGGTGGATATTCTGGGTCTTGGCCATCGTCTGCGGAGTCAATACACTCGCAGGATTCTTCTTTCTGAGAGAAACCTACGCCCCAGTCATCCTCGCCAAACGAATGCGAGACCTCGAGAGCGACGGAGGCCGACAGGGAAGATATCGCTTCGCCGGCCAAGACACTCGCCCCCTGTCCTCCAGGCTCGCCACCGCATTCTCAAGGCCGGTGCGGATATTCGTCCAACCCATCGTCCTGACATTGAGCCTCTATCAGGCTCTCATATTCGGCACCACGTACAGCCTGTACACCAACTTCGAAGCCATATATAGCGGCATCTACGGGTTCAACACGGAACAAGTGGGTTTGATGTATCTGTTCCCCGGGGTGGGATTCCTCATAGCGGTGCGACTCATCGTGCCACGCATCGACGACGTCTACAACGCGCTGACACGTCGGAACAACCACATATCGAAACCGGAGTTTCGGCTGCCCCTGGCGAATATCGGCGCCATCCTCGTGCCTGCCTCTCTATTTTGGTTTGCATGGACTGTCGAGGCCGAAGCGCACTGGCTCGCAACGATCAGCAGCACGCTGTTCTACGGAATCGGGCAGGTCCTGATCGTCAACTGTGTCCAAAACTACTACATCGACTCCTTCGAAAAGTACGCAGCATCAGCCATTGCTGCTGGCGCAGTATTTAGGTCGGTGGTCGGAGGCATCACGCCCTTGCTGGCACCTTCGCTGTTTGATGCTTTAGGATATGGGTGGGGCATATCGGTGTTTGCGTTCCTCGCTGTCGCGCTTGCTCCGGCGCCAGTGGTGTTCTACACTTACGGTGAAAGAATCAGGGAGTCATTTCATGTAGATCTCGATCGTTAGATTAGGGATGCCGTGGTATTTGACATACAGCACAAAACGGTGTTTCTACGAGTCGACGTGTACTATGCATCGTGTATGCTAGAATTTAATCGATGGCTGGCCTGCTTGAGGTTTGTTACTGGTTTCTCTGCGACGTCGACTGCATCAATTTCAGACTATATCACGACCAAAACCTCCTAAGTCCCCAAATACCCAAGTAATTGCAGTTTGGAATAGGCATCTACGAGCATGAAGTAAGAGGACATGCTCCCAGCATTTCATAATATTTAAATCGGAAACAAGCGTTGGAAACATCTTCAGCACCACAGTGCTTTTCTTCCCATTAGTAGAGCCTGCGTCAAACTCACATTCGAGGTTAAAGCTCTTCGCACAAGAAGTCTTCGACTTAAGCGTCTTCAACGTCCGCTTACACTACCTGGGTATCATCACCTGGAAAGACCAAGTAGAACTGTAAAATTAAGCCTTAAAGTACTGTATTGTCTCTGTACTGTTAATGGTACTGTGATTTTCTTTTTTAAACGCTGGGTCTTGAGCGTTTACCACTGTATGAAGGCGCCGCATATGTTTTACATATGTGGGGATTAGAAACGAAACCACCCTAAGCCTTAAAGCTGGTGCTGAAATCAACTCGATATTAAACATTGATGAATAGGCATATTATCCAAATATTCAAGTTGTCCAACCCAAAGCCGTTGCCAGACCAGTTGAGATTTTAAAGACAAGGAGAGCACGAGAACTCTGAAGCTTAAACCCAGCCAAACCGTGGACAGGAATGAGTAACAGCAACATGCCAGTGGGTCAACAGGTGGACAGGAACGTATGGTGTATGACGTGCTCGCTGCTTCCAAGCACGAACTCTGACTCAATCTCACTTTGTTGGAAGCCCCATTAATGATAAATTGGAGGAGTCTGGGCAAGGCATGTTCAGCGCCCTCAAACCTCGTAGCCTCCTCGCCACAAGCTCTACCACAATCTACCCTTGACAGTCCGTTCCTCGGGCACCGAAGAAATACCAGCAGGTTTGACGGGCAATTGGTGAGGTCGGCACTACATCATGTGACTGGCCCTGATTAACTCAAACTTCAATATCTCCACAACTCCTGTCCATCTTACCTACCTTTTCTAGCAAGCTCCATCCCACCCTCTCCGCCCGTGGTGGCGGGCTTGGCATATAAGCTCGCAGAAGACTAATGCGACCCTCTTGACATCGTCTGACCTGACAGGTCCCTACATAGCGCTTATAAAGGAAGTTGGGGAGACTTGCCAATGTCACTAAAATGTACGTGGCAGCACGAGGCTCCACTTCTGAAGTTAGTTTGGTACTGTACGGCATATATTCTTTTGCCAGCCACATCTCAGATTGTGGCAGGGATTGTCGGGGCCGTCGTGACTCGTGACCTGGTGCTCGGCATGGCCAACAACACACACATGGCATGGCTTGCAGCAATCACATCACTCACAGCCACCAAAAGCAAGCCTCTCTGCAGCCTCCCCGGGGCCCCGCAAGCGACGCGCCCCTCCTCGGGTAGCTATTCCCGGGCTGACTTTGTACGACCTCCCGAGTGCCGGAGAATTCTAGACGCGGTCGTAGCTGTCCGTATACACGTATTAGATACCGCGTAGTAATGGGTGCGTTCCTGAGGTCTCACCTGCCTAACCCGGTAACGATGGTAGCCTCCGTCCACAAGCGCTTATCACCAACGTCTTGGCTAAATACGACAGCGAGATACACCTGCTGCTGGCCAATCTTCCCCAGAGGATCCGGCACTGGCCAATCCAACGGCAGATGACTCCCGGCGATTGAACCGATCCAGAAGGACTCCGCATGCCGCGCCCCTTGCAGGCGTCGGGTCACGACCCGCGCCGCTGAGAAAGTGCCGTGATCCTGCCCGCCTTGCCCGCCAGCCCGCCTGTGTGACCTCTGGGTGGCATCAGCCATTTAAGCTTAACATGAGTGGATTGTTATTACCAACGGCCGGATAATTGCAACTTTCTCCGCAAACCTAAGTAGTGTCGAAACGCGGGTGTCGGTAGCACCACCTCGGGCCCATCCAAATAGGGAGCCGTATTTGGATTACATACATGCAGACATGTAGTTGACTTGCTTGCTTGTTTCGCCACCCCGCGTGCGGCGATCGCCGCCACATCGTCACGGGCCGGATCCTTTTGGAGGGGCGATCGCCCGAGTGTGTCCACTGTCGGCCAGGGCCCAGAATTATCCATGGACACTTACACGGGCCAAGCAGCACATTATCTTGACGGCCTGCCGTGTTTGAAGATAAGCCCCGAATCCGGTGCCGATGACCTCGAGAAGACTTGGCGTGTTGACCGATGTCACGAGGAGAGCTGGCGTTGAGTTGCAGCCGCACCTTATCTATCAGAAGCTCTCGTTTAGCCTCTTGGCTGGCTTCTTGGCTGCCTCTTCTCCTTCCCATTAGGCCAGGTATGTACCGGCTTGTCGTGCAGGGAGTATGCCATATCTTCAAAGCTGCCTTTTAGGGACGGTGCCGTACCTCTGTTGCTGCAACGCCGCAGATGTAGGAGGCTTTGCTGTGCGTTTCGACTTGCCGATACTATCGAAACCTGGGTGACATCGTGGCGAACGGATTGGGGCAGATTGGGAAGGAGAGATGGGGTGGAAGCTATTCTGATGTGGGCTCCGTCACTTAGTCGGCGGCAACAGGAACGTGGTGAGAGTCACGATGATGGAGTCGGGATCAACATATATAAGAGTTCATGTCCTCCTCTCGTCTTGGAGTTTGTATTAGCAGCAGCAGCAGCAGTAGCATCGACTCGTCCTGCCTCACATCCAGCTTCTGCATCATCGCCGTCTCTTGTCCCTACCAGTTGTCTTCATACCGCCTTCGACATGGAGTTGACCAAGTTCATCGCCTTCCTGGCAGCCGTCCTGCCCGTCGCCTACGGTGCCCCCACCCAGGCCGCGGAGAACCTGCACCCCGAGATCGTGGCCGCCATGAAGCGCGACCTGGGACTGGACAGCGAGCAGGCTCACGCTCGTGTTGCCCGCGACATCGCGGCCGCTGAGACCATCGAGACCCTCAAGGCCTCGACTGGCAGCGCCTTCGCCGGTGCCTGGACATCCGAGGACGGCGAGACCCTCAACGTCGCCGTCACTGACGAGGCCCTGGCCGCCGACATCACCGCTGCCGGTGCCACCCCCGTCATCGTTGCCAACAGCGCCTCCAAGCTCGAGGAGGCCAAGGCAGCCCTCGACAGCATCGACATCGACCAGCCCACCACCCTCGTTGCCACTGAGAACGCCGACGCCGCTGGCATCGCGTCCTACTACGTCGACGTGGCCGCCAACAAGCTCGTCCTCGAGGCTCTCTCCGGCAGCACTGCCCACGCCGAGGCCCTCGCCCAGCAGGTCGGCCTCGCCGCCGGCGAGTACGAGGTCCGCACCGTCGAGAACATGCCCGAGACCATGGCCACCATCCGCGGCGGCGACCCCTACTACATCGGCGGGGGCCGATGCTCCGTCGGTTTCACCGTCACCACCGGTTTCGTCTCGGCCGGCCACTGCGGTAGCGTAGGCAACTCCGCCACCACGAGCTCCGGCACCGTCCTGGGAACCTTCTCGGGCTCCGTCTTCCCCGGCAGCGCCGACATGAGCTACATCCGCACTGTAAGCGGCCACACCCTCCAGGGCATCGTCTACGCGTACGGTGGTACCAACATCGCCGTCACAGGCAGCACCGCCTCCGCAACTGGCGCTTCCATCTGCCGATCCGGCTCCACCACCGGCGTCCACTGCGGCACCGTCCGTGCCCTGGGCGCGACCGTCAACTACGCCGAGGGCCGTGTCACCGGCCTCACCCAGACGAACGTCTGCGCCGAGCCCGGTGACTCTGGCGGTTCTTTCTACACCGGTGGCCAGGCCCAGGGTGTCACCTCGGGAGGCTCTGGCAACTGCGCCTCCGGCGGCACCACCTACTTCCAGCCCGTCAACGAGATCCTGTCCACCTACGGCCTCACCCTGGTCCGCGGTTAAATGGCTTGTGGTCGGCTCCCTCTGAGCTGTGGTTGGTGAATTGGAAGGGTTTGTTGTTGGATGTTGGAGACAGAAAAGCGGGTACATATTCACATAAGCTTATCTTATCATCAGCCGCAACCGGCCTTCAAAACCGCAGCGAGGCCGTTTCATAGCTTCATTCCCTACCACCTTTTCCATAGTTAGGCGACCGAAGTTGTAAATAACCATTCTCGATGTTCTCACTTAAACTGCGCTCTTCAAGTTGTTGCCATCAAATGTGATCACCGCCTCGCCAATCTTTTCTATCCACGTAGTCGCATCAATTTCATATCCCCGTACCATATTCCACCTCAATATCTCACGTGTCGAGCTTAATTCAACCACATTGATCCGCTGTAGATCAATGCGAGTAGGTGGTATTATAATCTCGCCAAGAAGGTCTTGGACCTCCTTTGGGATACTGTTTTGGTAACGAACATCGATCGACCCCCCTGGCTTTGTCGATCAAACCACAGGAAACGTGCCGAACCGCTGGGCCAGAACATGAGGTTCCTGGCACCAAAGATGGGTCTGCGATCTATCACCCCGACACGATGTATTAATATATTTGGAACAGGAACGTTAAGGCCAAGTGCCGCTAGTGCACGTGGTATGGCTTGTGTTCGTAATGTTATATATGATCAGAATATGGAACCGCAATACCAGTAGATCCAATCGGATTGCACTGCAGAAAAAATGCAAGCACGTGCCCGGAGAACATGACCTGGATGCATAGACTCGATATCCTCTTCATGTCGTCGCAAGATGCTGTTTACTCACCTGGAGAATAGCAACAATCTTGTCCTCGGACTTAGCTGAACGAAATCTTGGTCTAATATATCATGAAAAGCGTATTTCTGAACCGTGGCCAAAGGAGAGCTGTTCAACAGCGAGGGAACACATGTATGCCCCGCATATGACACGCCCATCTCTAACTCTACCGCCGACTTCTGTCTTCAAAATTACGGCAGGATTTGAGGGCGCAGACAACATGTCTGGGATGTTTTCCATGAAAGCCATGTTGCATCAAGAGATGAAAATCATCCTATTGCACTGAAATTTGTCTTCGAAGGCCTTGTTGCAGGCATTGAGTGAACACTATGTATTCATCGCTTTCTGTGAGCCACGTGTCCGCTCATCACTGAGCATCCGTATTGAATCAGGCACAGATGTGACGAAGCACAAACACATCTGTTAGTTCCGTCGTTGCTCTTGATATAAAAGCTTTCCCCTCCAGAGCCAGTTCCGTTCATCAAAGGACTCCTTCTTTAGGAGAAAAACTCAATATTGCTGCTCTACAAAGAACCCATTGACGTCGCTCCGTCTACAAGCTCGCCGACGACATAACAGCTTGCGCCCAAGTGTATGCAAAGTCCCACTATTGGTAAGAACAGAGAAAAGGAGATCCCTGACCTAAGAGAAAAACCTCTAGACTGTTATGATTACAGTCCCGTTGTGTCTGCCTCATGGTTACGAAACCGGTTATGGCCGAGGACCTGCCGACTCTTCGTCCCGTAGCGTGCGTCGGAGAAGAATCCCGGTGCGAGCCATGGCCACTTATGCCAGATGGTACCAAATGGGACGGCAAAGACCTGCTTACCCTGGTGCGTGATGGTAGGAGCCCTTTTGGTAACGTGTGGGACGTCGAGCTGTTGTTTCGTGAGGTTGAGGACCATGCCCACGGTACAATTATCGACATCCCAAAAGTCCACAACGGCGCAAACCACTACGTATGTACTCCTTGCCGTTCATTATCTCAGTGTGAGCCTTGCCCACATTGCTGACTGATTCTGATGAGTCTCCAGGGCTTTCAGATAAAACTCTCCGACCAGCGAGAGGTGCTTGCGCGTCTGTCGAGGGCTGACATGAACGTTCCGAACTACGATGGCTACTCTGAGACTTGGCTCCACAATCTTATCGAGTTCGAGGCCGCTGTGTATCATCTTCTTGAAGACACCGTCGGCATCCCGACCTCGCGCCTGATCTACTTCCGCCACGCCATACAGTCTAAAGGGCCAAACGAAGAGCTTCCAAAGGATAGTATCAGCGGCCGACGACTCATGATTTTCGAAATGTCCAAGGACAACAAACCCCTTTGGCGGGTATTGAGCAAGCATCAGAAGGTCGGTGTGATTGATTACCTTACTTGATGGGGAGTTAGTGTGCACCTCATAAGTGCCATTGGCTTGCACCGAATTTACCGAGTTAATACTAACCAAACCTTTTGAGATAGAGTTCGCTCCTCACCCAGGCAGCCAAGAGTCGTGCAGCATTGCTAAACAAGGAATTGCCAACAACCTTTGTCGCCAACTGGATCTTGTGGACCAGCTTTCAGCCCGTGGAATGGATGCCCAAGATGTTCCCGCTCCCGCCTGCGGCAACCAGAGACTTCTGCATCTCGATGCTCAAGGCCAAGGTCGAAGCGCTGATCGGAGACGTAGGCGACAGCATCGGGTGGGCGGTGGACAAACAGACCGTGGGCCCACGGGCGTTCGCTGCGAAGCAGTCACTCCTACGCCTCATACCCCTGATTCTCCCGGCGGAAAGCGACAACGACGACGCGCTGTATCGGTTGGTCCTCCAACACGATGACTTCGGCATCCACAACATGTCGGTCTATGTGGATGAGCAGACGGGGGACCTCATGCTCAACTCCGTGTATGACTGGGAGACGGGCTGCATTGTACCGGCCATCTTGTCCGAGGTCGACTTCTTGATTTATGGGCGCGATTTCAAGTTGTTCGTCGGTGAGAGGGGCAAGCCTTCAGTGTACACCCGCCCGGACGTGGAGCTGGAGCCGGAGCGGCGCGTTCAGGATCAGGAACACGCCGTTGAGTTCGTGAATGTAAGTCCACCAAGTTCTTTTGTGATGATTGCCGTATTTATACAATCTGCTCGAAGAGGCTGACCATATCTGCGGTGTTGACAGGCGATCTATGAGTACGCACCTCACATGAAGGAGATACTGCGTGTTGGAAGCGACGCTCGTAAGCTGTGGTCCACTTTGAAACGGTGGCAAGGAGATGACCCAGAAGAATTCTTTGGCGAACTCGGATTGTGGGCTGCGGCGAGGGTGAGTGACCTGGTTGCAGACACACTTCCCTCTGCAGCCAATTCACCTATTTCTGAGGACGGTACACTGGTCAAGCATCCCGGAAGTATGTAAATGACAAGGATCATACGTAAAATCCTTCCATTGCGTCAACTAGGAGTCCACAACAATGCCAGCTGAAAGATAACCACACTGTCCTGTAGAGCTTGGAGAGTGTGGATGCCTATAGAATCCATCAAGCCTAATTTAAATCATAATACCGATTGTACTTTTCATCACTATTATCATTGTTGTATATTTATTTTAAATGTCGGCATTTTAAGCGTTTACCACTGTATGAATGCGCCGTGTCTGTCTTCTGACGTGTACGGAATAGAAGCGAAACCAGTTATGTTGGTATAAGTATCAAATATGTAATGCATTTCAGATTCCAGGAAAATCAAGGGGAAGATTTGTGGGACAGCTACCCTAGGGTAATGGACAGCGGTTGAGGCTTTGAAAACAAGGCTGGCCTGTGAGAACCCAATAGTACAGCAGACAAAGCCTCAAAAGCGCAGCTCTGGTAGCTTCACACAGAGTTCTTTTTCATTGAACCATTTCATGCGAATAATTTCCATTTTTCTCAGGAGAAACAAACTCTATGAGTCCCGCCATGAGCATATCTTTGGTTGCGCAATACAAATACAGCGCCTTGCCTATGCACCTTCTTCATCTGGGCACTTGATAATTCTGGCCATGATCTATCTAGCTACACACCCAGGTATCTAAGTACACCAGCAGCCTGTAAGAGCAGAAGCTTTGAAGAAAGGTTTCCACTGGCTCAACAGACAACTAAAAACGACCCTGGCTTGGAAAGGCTCTATGATGCTCGTGTCTAGTTAAACCCGGAAGTCTTTATCTCTAGTCCTGGCATTGGGCTTGCTTGACAGCGTAAAATTGATCCAGCGCTCTGGAGAATGCCATGAAGTGAACAGTCAGTCCAATAGCCATCCCCACATGGAACAGCTGGTGAGAGTGGCCCCAAATGTCGAAGGCACCAGGTTTCCATACCTCAGTGTAAAAATACCCTATTTATCAACAGCTTCATATCCATCTATAGCCTAATATAACTACTATTTTAATCCTTTAAATATAAGGTATTAACTTATATAAGGAATACTTATTTCTCTTAATTTTTATAATATTTTAATAAATATTTAAAAAACTTACCTTTATTTATAAAAAAGATTATTCTCTCTTTTTTAAATAAATTTATAATTAAAAGAAATTTATTTCTTTATTTTTATAAATTATATTTTTTAATATTTAACTAATTAAATTATAATAAACTTAATTTATTTATTTTAAAAATTAATTTATTATATTAAATCTATTAAATTTATATTTAATTAAATTAAATTCTTTAATTATCTTTTAATTAAATTAATTAAACTTTATCCTTTTAAATTAAAGTTAATAAATATTTTAAATTATTTATATTTATTTTTAATATTATTAACTTTAAATACTTTCTAATTATTTTATTATTATAAAACTTATTTTATTATAAAATATATTATTTAATTTATTTTAATAAATAAATTTTAACTATATTATTTTTAACTATTTAAATTTATAATTTTAATAAATTATTATATAACTTTTTAATTTTCTTTAAAAACCTTTAAATTAATTTCTTTATTAAAGACTTTTAAATATCTATTAAAAATCCTTTTCTTAACCCTATTTTTTAAATTCTTACTTTATAAATTTTTAATTAAATTTTCTATAAAAATATTATTTAAAACTTTAAATTTCTTTTAATTTTTAATAATATTTATATTATTATTTTAATTAATTAATAAAACTTTAAATCTTTTAAAATACCTATTAATAATATTTTAATATTTAAATTTTATAATTTATTTAAAATTAATTATTTTAATTAATTTTAATATTTAAATAAAATTAATATATATTATATTTAATATTTAATTTATAAAAAATATTTAAAAATATTTTTAATATTATTATAAAAGATTATTATTATTATAACTTTATAAAATATTCTTTTAAAATTTATAACTTTATTATAAAATATAACTCTTTAATTTATTATATTATATTTAATATAATTAAAAATTATAAAAATATTTTAAATTTTAAAAATAAATAAAACTTTTATAAAAAAATTATAAAAAATTAAAAATATATTAAATATAATAAAAATATTTTTAAAAAGTATTATTATATAAAGGTTTTAATTTATTTTATAATATAAATTCTTTTCCTTTAATAAAAAAGTTTTCTTTAATTTAAAGAATTCTTTATAAATTTTATAACTTTATATAATAAATATAATATTTTTAATTATTTAATATAAATAATTATTTATATTAAAGTATAAAAATTATAACTTTTATAAAAAAGCAATTAAAAATAATAATAATTTATAAAATCTTTTAATTAATAAAAATTATAAAATTAATACTTTAATTTATTTAATATATAAAAAAGACTTTTATATATATAAAGTATAAAAATATTATTATAAAGTTTTAAAATACTCTTAAAGATTTTTATAAACTTAATAGATTTATTATAAAATATTTAATTTTAAAAAACTTTAAAATACTTTTAAAGGAATTTAATATTATAAAAGAATATTTAAATAAAATTAAATAATTAATTAAAAATTTAAAATAAATAATATTAATTTTTAAATAAATAATTATTATTTAAATATTAAATTTATTTAATAATAATTATAAAGAATTTATATAAAATATTATATAAAGTTTAAAGAAAGATTTTAAAACTATATAATTAATATTTTATTTATTAATTTAATAAATAAATTAAAAGGAAAAAAACTCTTTTATAAAAGTATTATTTATAAAAATAATAATAATAATAATAAAAGAAAATTATAAAGTACTTTTATTATAATTTAAAAGGGTATATTAAAAATTACTATTTTTTAACTTTAATAAGGTATTAAAAGTTTAGAAAATAAAAAGAAAAAAGAAAATACTTATATATATAAATTAAATTTTAATAAGTTAAAGTAAAATAAAAGATTAATAAATTATTTTTATAGTTATTAAATTAAAAGGAAGGTATTAATTTTTTAATAAATTAAAAATAAAAGATAAAAGATTTATTAAAAAAATTTTAAATAAATTATTATTACTTATATATTATATAAATTATTTATAAATAAAATAGATATAAATAAAATAATTAATAACTTTAATAATATTAATTTATTAAATTTTAAATAAAAGTAAATATTATTTATACTTTTATATATTTATAATAAATATAATAATTAATATAAAATATAAAGACTATATTAATACTATATTTATAAAATTTATATTTAATAATAAAATAAATATAATTAATTTATATAATAAAAACTATTTAAAATATTAAAATTTTATAAATAAAATTAAATAAAGTAAAATAAATATAATAAATATTAAATATATTAAAAATAATATATTATTTTAAATAATAATTATAAATTTAAAGTATTAAATATATATTATATACCTTTATTAAGTTTAAATATATTTAATTATAGTATTATAAATTATATTATATAAATTATATTAAAAAAATATAATTAAACTTTATTTTATTAAATTTAATAAATTTATAAATAAAAATATAAAAGAATAGTTTATATTATATAAAAATTAAAATATTTAATAATAATTTTAATAATATATAAATAAATACTTTAATTATATAAAAATAAAAATCTTTTAAATAATTTATATTATTAATATTATTATTTAAATTATATAAATTTTATTTTATTTATATAAATATTTAAAAATAATAAAATAAATATTAAAATTTTATTAAAATTTTATAAATTTTAAATATAATATTTATTTATAAATTAAATATATAATTAAATATAATAAAAAAGTTTAAATAATAAAAATATAATATTTTAAAAGAATATATAATAATATAAATAAACTATTTATATTTATATATAATAAATATAAATATTATATTTTATTTTTAATAAAAAATTAAATATTTATATAAATATTTATTAAAAGAAAAATAAGATTTTAAAAGCCTTTAAAACTTTAAAAATAAAGAAGAAAATAATAATAATAAATTTATTAAAAATTCTTTTAATAATAATATTAAATTTATTAATAAAAATTTAAATTTTTTAAATAAAAGTAATATATATTATTTTACTACTTTTATATATATAAAAACTTAATAAAGTTATAAAAATTAAATTTTATTATAATAAATAAAGTTTAAAACTTAATAATAACCTTTAATTTATTATATATATTATAAAAATACTTTTAAAATTATTATATATTTATATAATATAACTTTATATATTTTTAAATTTTAAAAGTTTTATAAAATAAAAATAATAAAATATTTAATATTAATAATATAAATTTAAAGTTTTATAGTTTATTATAATAATAATAAATATAAAACTAAATTAAAAGTTAAAAATAAAAAGTCTTTTAATAAATTATATTTCTAAAATATATATATATAGAGTTTAAGATATAAAATTAATAAACCTATATTAGTATAGAATATATAAATTTTAAAAGGAAAATCTTTAAATAAATTTAATAAATTTAAAAATAAAAATAATATTAAAAATCTTATAAAAAAGAAATATTTATAAAAGAAAATAAAATTTAAGAAAAATTTCTATAAAAAAATACTTATAAAAATAAAATAATAGTAAAAAGTATAAAGAATTATATTTTATTAAAAATATTTATATAAATATTATTATAAATAATTTTAATAATTTTATTATTATAATAATTAATATTATAATTAAATCTTTTAATATAAAGAAATATTAAATTCTTTTAAAAGAATTATAATTTAAATTTATAATAAATAAAAAATAGTTTAAAAGAATAAAATTTTTATAAAATAATTATATTATTTAAAAATAAAACTATATTATTTAATAAATAAATATTAAAAATATATAAATAATTTTAATATAATAAAATTTAATTAAATAATTAATAAAGGAAAACTATTAAATATAAAGTTAAATAGGTTATTTATAGTTATAAATAATAATTTAAAATAAATTTTTAAAAACTTTTAATTATTTATAAATTAAAGATTTATAATATATTATTAATTATAATAATTAATAAAAACTAATATATATTAAATTATAATATAAAAATATTTTTATATTTTAATATAAATTATAAAATATATATTAAATTTTCTAATTTTATATATAATAAAGATAAATATAAAAATAAAGTTATTTTATTATTAAAAATTATATATAGTTTTAAATAAATATTTATTATAATATAAATATTTAACTAATATTTTAATAAAATTTAATTTAAAATATATTTTTATAATAAATGTATATTTATAAATATAAATTTATAAATAATATTTATATATTATATAAATAATATAATAGTTTTAAGTATTAATTTAAATATTATAAATAATTTAATTTCTTTAATATTTAAAAATATAAATTTAGATTTTAAAAGGAATTAAATAGTTTTAGAAATAATATTAAAATTAATAAAAATAATAAAATTATTATTATAAATTAAAATTAATATATTTTAAAATACTTATAAAATTTAATATATTTAAAAATAATTATATTAATAATATTAAAATAAAACTAAAATTAATACCTTATATTTTTAAAAGAATTTTAAAGAAAAATATAAATTAAATTTTTAAAAGAAATAGAAGCTTTTAATAATAAATAGGTTTTTTATATATTAATTTAAAAATTAAGTTAGATATATATTTTTAATATTTAAATTAATTAAATATATATTTAATTTTAATATAAAATATTTTAAAGAATTAAATAAATTATAAAGATATTTATTAAAATTCCTTAATATATATAAAAATTTTAATATTTAAAAGAAAATACTTTATATTTAATAAATTATTATAACTTAAATTAAAGTAATAATATAAATAATAAAAATTTATTTTAAATTATATATTCTTTTATTTATTAAAAATAAAGATATATTTAATTTTATTAATTAGTCTTTTAATAATAAAAATATTTATATTAAGTATTTATAAAGTTAAATATATAGTTTTAAAAAGTTATTAAAAGAAATTTATTTATATAATTTAATAATTTATTTTAATAATTTTTAAAATTAAAATATAATATTTTAAAATAAAATATATAAAATAATAATATTATTTTAAAATTAATTAAAAATTAAATATTTTATAAATAAACTAAATATATAAATATTATATATTACTTTAATAAATATATAATTAAAAGAATTTAATTAAAATTATTAAAATAAATATAAAAATAACCTTATAAATTAATTAATAAAATCTATAATTAAATAAAATTTAAGTTAATAAAAAAGTATAATTTATATAAAAATAAATATAAAATATTTTATATATATATAAAAAGTTTTAAAATAAAAGAATATTTTAAAATAATAAATAAACTATAAATATTTATTATAATATATTTAATAAAAAAGTATTTTTAAAAATAATAAACTTTTAAATAAAAATATTTAATTTTACTTTTATAAATAGATTATTTTCTCCTTTAAAAATTAAAATTAACTTTATATATTAAAAGGTTTTAATTATTAAAAATTTTATTAAAAATAGAAATTATTTTATATTTTATAAGTTATTAAAAATATATTAAAAATATATTAAATAAGTTTAAAAGTATTTTTAATTTATAAATTTAAAATAATTTAAAATAAAAGTTTAAAATAATTTTTAATTTATAATATATAATATATTATATATTATTATAATTATTATATTTAATTTATATTTATAAGTTTATAAATTTATATATATTTTATAAATTTATAATATATATAATATAATAATTTAAATATAGTAATTAAATTATATAAAATATATTTATATATAAATAAATATAATAATATATAAATATAATTATAAAATCTTTTAATAAAATAATTATAATTATATATTAAAGTTTTAAGTTTAATTATTAATATAATTAAACTTTTAAACTTTAATTTTTATTTTATTTAATAAATTAAATTAAAAATTATTAATATATATATAGTTTATATTTTATTTATAAATTAAACTTTTTATAAAAGTTTTATTTAATTAAAATATTTATAATTATAATTATTTATTAAGTTTTATTTTTTATAAAGGTTTTTAATAATAAATTTTAAAATTAAATTAAATAATATTTATATTTTTATAAAAACTATTTAAATAATTTATATTATATATTTAACTTTTAAAGGATTATAAAAATATTTTATTTATTAATAACTTTATATTTATTTATAATTTAATATAATTATTATTTTAATTTTTTAAATATAAGGTATTAACTTATATAAGGAATATTTATTTCTTTTAATTTCTATAATATTTTAATAAGTGTTTAGAGGACTTATCTTTATTTATAAAAGGGACTATTCTCTCCCTCCTAAATAGGTTTATAGTTAAGAGAAATCTATCCCTTTATTCTTATACTTAGTTAAACGCAGCTGTTTGATGGCCAGGGACATTAGTAAGGCCATATATTTTCTAAATTGAATCAGGAGGGGTGGTATAGAAACTGACTGTGTAGATGGTCACCGAGCACAGGTATATGAGAATGGTCCAGACATAGAATGAGGCTCCGTACTCGGTACTCGCCCGTGACCAACCGACTTGAAAGATCTTGATGATGATGGGATAAAACGCCGAAGATGCCATGACTGAGAAGACAAGGCCACGAAGAGGTCGCATCCTGGGAGCCTGGAAGGTTCTGGAGAAGAGCGCGGCGAGGGCCGCCAGGAGCTGGGCGGTAAGGTTGACCTGCAACAGGCAACCACGTAGTTAGCAGACTTCGTTTTCAGTTCTTGTACGCCTGGCGAACAGGGCCGATCCTTCCCAGAAGATGACGCACGGTGATCCATGTGAGCTTCACCTCCCGTGAAACACAAGGAAAAGTGTACCACAGACCAGGTGGGAAGCACCCAGCAGTGACGGTGAGGATGCCTAGAAAATCGAGCTTGAGGCAAAATTGATGTGTCGCTTGTGAGTGGTTCGAAAAGACATGATAAGCGGTCGAGAGGAGGTAGCACACAGTGCCACCCAAGAAGAAGAGGAAGAAGACGACGGCGTCGTCAGAGCCGGTGGCGGGATAATGGTCCCTGGCATAGAAGCTCCACCACATGCCCAGAAGGACCATCCAGACGGCGGCAAGAAGGTGCGAGTAGATGTTTCCCGTCTCGTTGTGAACGTAGAGCATGCTCTTGATGCACTCGAGGTATGAGTTGGTCTCGGGCCGCCAGCCGGAGTGAATGTGCTCGTTGTCCTTCGCCCACTCCGGGAGCTCGTCATAGAGGAGCAGCAGTCGGGTCTTGGCCTCTTGGAGCAGGCTGGCTTCGTCTGGGGTGTTGTGCTTGCGCTTGCGCTTGCCTTTCAGCGCGGTGGGGGACTGTGGAAGTCGGTGTCGCATGGTTGAGGCCATGATGAGAGACAATTGCGAGGCGTGAGGTCAGAGTGGTTTGGATCTGCCAGCGCAGCTCACTTGTTCGGTTCAAAAGTCGGGCAGGTCGGCCGAAGGGGTGACTTGAAATGAGAGCGAGTTGAACTGGAAGTTCGAGTCGCATGTAGGGCGGCAGCAGAGGTGGTTGCTGGGGTGGGGGCCAGTTGCACGGGGCAGCTCTAGAGGGGGGTGGGAGTCTCAGAGTGATAAACCAACATGCACACCGGTCGGTCACTGGGCAAGTTTTCAGTTTTTAGAAAACAGCCATTTTAAGTGTCACCTCATATGGGACAATCTGAGAACAAAAGGTGAGCAAATTGGACAGCCTGATGAAATTTCTTACAGACAGCCTCACTGGCATACAAGATGGCCAACTATGGCACAAGAGCACCCTCTTTTAAGGCATATCTCTTATCGGACGACCTCCCACGAGACCTCAAATCTACCCTAGGGTACCATCTATACCTCAACTAGATACTCAATCAATCCATCCACACCACTATTACCGACTAATTATATGAACAATTATTCAGAAGCCCTGGAGCCTGATAAACATGGTTCAAAATTTTGTATGGGGACCACGTGTCACCCTGGGGGCAGTCTGCATAGAGGATGGAATTTTGAAGGCCATCGTTCCTCGGTCATGGTATGCATATTTGATAGACAGCACTTGCAAGAGGTTTTCCTGCACAGGTATAGGCTCACTGGCTTTGGTCTGCTTCCAGTTGCCTAGTTCAAACTCAAGTGCTGGCAATCTCTTGTTTTATATTGTCTCAACAGAGTCTCGGGTCGCCTTTCCAGGGCTTCCAGACGTACAGTCGACTGCCAGATAATCAAAATAGACGATGGTGTTTCCATGAGAACTTACATAGACTGTGTCTGAATAAGCGGGATGGATGTACGTCTTGTTTTCCCGCTGTTGTGCAAGTCCAAAGTTGTGCCACAGGTGACGGATCCGCCCCGTTTCAGCTGTTTTAGCCCTTATTGATTCGGTGAACTTGTATAAATATCCCAATTTATCATGAACCAGATACGCGTCTGTCCCCAGCATCGACAGACCAGACAGGTCCAGTGGACAAAAGCCCAAGTCTCCTGCAAGGCTCCAAGGAGCGGTTGCATTGGCGCCGCCCGATTTTAGGCCTCGGTACAACGCACGGCTAGTCGTCCATCCCACCAAGGCATCCCACGTCGGCCAACAGAAGCTACCCTAGCAACCGAAGTCTCGGCCTCCCAACAAGGGCGAGCTGTCCGTCCCACGTCTCATATGACCCTCACACTGCCGTCCCCGGATCCAAACATCTTCCAGCTCTGCATCACCTCCTCCATTCTCCACCCCCGCCGCCAAGCAAACATGACCATCACGGCTCTTCGATTGTCGCCCCCGGACGCGGCCATGTTCCACGTGCCGCCCCGCGATGACCCGGAGACCGTGCTGCCCCCTGCGCCGGGCTCAATGTGGTCCGCCTCGGCCTTCTCCATCCCGCCTTCGCTTTACCACGGCGCGCTGGACGTGAGGGTCCCCATCACCATTGCCTCTGTGTACGCGGTGACGGCAGTCATGTTGAACGCGTACAACCGGTCCCGGGGCAACCAGCCGTGGGCGATCAGCAAGACCCGGGCCTTCTTCTGCTTCGTGGTGGTCCACAACGTCGTGCTGGCGCTCTACTCGGCGTGGACATTCCTCGGCATGGTGCAGGCCGCCCGGAGGTCGGTCGTCAGCCCGCTGGGCGCGGCGGGGCTCCTGGGGATGGTGGACAGCCTGTGCAAGATCCACGGCAGGGCCGGGCTTGGGAATGCTGTCTCGTACAACACGGTCGATTCGAGGTGGGAGTCGTACTCTCTGCAGGGGGCGGTCCTCGATGCCCACACGGGGGCGCCGAACGCCGCCAACTTGGGCCGCCTGTGGAACGAGGGCCTGGCGTTTTATGGGTGGCTCTTCTACGTGAGCAAGTTCTACGAGGTCCTGGATTCTCTCATCATTCTTGCCAAGGGGAAGAGGAGCTCGACCCTGCAGACATATCACCATGCTGGGGCTATGATGTGCATGTGGTGCGGGATCCGATACATGTCGCCCCCTATCTGGATGTTTGTACTGGTCAATTCTTTCATACACACGCTAATGGTACGTGCCTCCCACCACCCTCTCCGTTACTAATATACTGACGCGTGCCTGGGCTTCAGTACACATACTACACACTGAGCGTGCTCTCCGTGCCGGTGCCAGTGTCGTTCAAGAAGGCCCTCACCACGATGCAGATCATCCAGTTCTTGTTCGGGGCCTCCTATGCTGCCACACACTCTTTCATCTCCTACACCCTGCCGCCGAAACACTCTTCCGGTGATGGAAACGCTCAAATGTCATGTATCGACACCACCGGCGAAACCTTTGCCATTTGGTTCAATGTGCTCTACCTGACACCCCTTACGATCCTGTTCTTCCGGTTTTTCATCAGAAGCTACTTCAGACCACAAAAAGGCGGAAAGCGAGCCTCGCAGGGGAAGAAGGCTTGAGTGGCCGTGATGACCTCTATAGACATCGGGATTCCGACTGCGCGGATCTGGCGGCCTTGCTGGGGTCAAGATAAAGGAAGACACGCTATAAAAGATAGAGGTCTAGATTTCTTTGAAGGTACAATCTCTGGGCTAGATTCAGTTACTGGCGGCTCTTTGAGATGACATGGTTGATCTTATGGTATACATTGAATGTGTCCATGGACAGGACAATTCAATTCCATAACTTTTAACAGATGGGCAGAGAATTAGGTGCTTTTGGGCCAGCGTGGGATCACAGGGATGAGGGAATAATTTTGTCAATGCCAGTGCTCCGTCGTTGGCCCATACAATGGATCCATCTTGGGTTGTCGTGCGTGATTGCGGAGGTAATGTTAGTATACAGGTGTCGACTTGTGCCAGATCCAGGAGGCCTCTTTCCCTGAATATGAGTCTGGCCAAGTCCCTACAGCCACGGCTCAGCATGAACTGCAGGCATAAGACACTGAGAAATTCGAGAACGCAAAATGCTGGGGAGACGTTCTCGGTGCTCTGTCATTGGTTCCGAGGAGCTTGCCGTCGGGTGTTGTGCATTAGTGCTGACTTACAAGGTTCAGAATATGCGTGCATACAAGGTTGAGAATATAAACACACCTCCGCCATAGGGAAGGGGGTGAAGGTAACTATTATTTATTGAACACTATTTCGCCTGTTGAGAGAACTTTGTAGCTTGTAGAGGGCCGCCTGCACCGAAAGGTCTTCCTTGGATGATGCCTGTTGGAATTGTTCTAGGATCGTCATTGACTTGGGTGATTTCGTTTCTAGTGGTTTTCAAGTGATTTCGTTTCTAATCCCCATACATATAAAACGTACGCGGCGCCTTCATAAGCTCATTTTCGTGGTCTGTGTTGTGGTCCTTTGTCGCATGAATAGCAACCGGGCACAATAACAATGTCTGTAAAAAAGATCAAGCTGCTCGTCCCACAAAATGCACCTATGCCTTGAGATCTTAGCTGCTCATTACACGGTAGAAAGAAAGTTTGCTTCGGCCATTAGAACTTGTCCCGCTGGCACTCCACACTTACGAGTCGGTGTATATCTTGGCACAGCAGGATTTCATAGAATCAACATAGAATCGGACGATGAAATTTATATATGAGTTCTGGATCCGCTGTTGGGATATCCTCAGGCCAATCCATGCCAGTTTTAAAATCTACCGAGCTTTAAAACCTGTAAAAACCACTAATTTGATTGAATAATTGCCGGAGTCGGTAGTCTACCAGGTTCAGGGGTCTCCGAACACCGTCGACCTCCATAGATAAGAGGCATCATCGCCGAACTGTGGATATGTCATTTCCCAAATTCACGTGAGCGACTATGCGGAGACGACGCCGCTAAGCATTTATTATACAGGTGGGATTCCTCACCCGCGACTCGGGCCGTCTAAGTGCCTCACGCTTCCCGGCCCAGCTGTTCTCGGCAACACTCGAATCCCCAAGAGAATATGATGCGGCCCCTGGCCACCCTGGCGGCCACCATCTGGTTGGCCGCCCCAGCCCACGCCAGCTACGCCTTCTACGTGGGCAAGAACCTCACCGCGGACGGCAGCGTGCTCCTCGGCGGCACGGGCGAGGAGGTCTCCAGCCACTGGCTCCAGCTCTTCCCGGCCCGCGACCACCCGGCCAACGCCACCATCACCGTCGGCGTCACCAAGGACGCCTCCTTCCCGGGCGAGCTCATCCAGATCCCGCAGGTGAACCACACGTTCCGGTACCTGAGCATGCAGTACTCGGACTACGAGGGCTTTCCCGCGCCGCTGACCAACGGCGGCCTCAACGAGAAGGGCGTCGCCGTGCGCGACGTCTGGGCCGACAACCGCCAGGAGCTGCTGGACATGACGCCGAACCCGCAGCGGGGCCCGCAGTACAGCGACCAGGCGCGCATCGTCATGGAGCGGGCCAGCACGGCGCGCGAGGGGGTCGAGATCATCGGGGACCTCATCAAGCAGTACGGCGACTCCACCTATGGCGGCAACTCGCATCTCATCGCCGACAAGGACGAGGGCTGGGTTGTCTGGGAGATGGCCGGCGGTGCCGGGCTCTGGGCGGCGCAGCGTCTTGGGCCGAACGATGTCCGGGTGTCGTATCCCGGTTACATCGAAGACTTCCCCGTGGACTTTGCCGAGAACCCCGACTTTATGGGGTCGGACAACATCGTCTCGTTCGCCGAGGAGCAGGGCTGGTGGAACGCCAGCTCCGGCAAGCCGTTCAACATCTTCGACGCCTACGGCCCTCAGGACCCGAGGTACAAGGCCCGCGACGGCGGCTACAAGTTCATGTCCCAGGCGGCCCTGGAGAACGCCACGCTCGCCATGGTGCCGCTGACCGAGGAGAAGCTCATGCAGCGGGTGCGCGACCACCGCATCGCCGACGACGAGGCCGGCTACGGGCAGGTCGTCCGGCTGCACGCGGACATCACCGACAGCGACATGCTGCGGATCTGGAACGCGCCCACGGGCTCCGTCGCGGCCCCCTTCACGCCCTGGTGGCTCGGCGTGCAGTCCGTCCCGCCCGAGTTCGGCGAGCACAGGTACCTGACCACGGGCGCCTCGAGCAGCTTCCTCAACCCGGACTTCCAGCTGCAGGAGGCCTCGGTCTTTGCCGGGCGCGTGTTCAAGCGCGTGCTGTACTACATGTGCTCCGACCCGAACCGGTACCTGCCCATCGTCACCGAGATGCTCACACAGTTTGAGAACAAGACGCGGGGCCAGGTCGAGGAGTGGGTGGAGAAGTCGGCGTACCTCCTGATCCAGGATGGCCAGCGGGAGGCGGCTCAGTCTCTGCTTACCTTCTACTCCCACTCGCGCGCGGCCGCGGCCTTGGACATTGGTCACACGCTCGGCAGTGCGCTTGATGGGTACATCAAGCTGACTGGGCAGTGGCGGTCGCCGGTAGGCAGCGAGATTAACGACAGCAATGAGGGCAAGGAGACTGTCAACTGCCTGGTTGGTTATGATCCAGACCAGCCTGAATATCTGCAGCCACCCTCAGCTCAAAAGCGGTTGTTAGGCCTGTGATACTGGCTTACTTCGGCATCTATCAACACCCCACCATCAGCTGGAGTGACGGAGAAAAAACAGCAATAATAATCTATAACACCATTCTTGCTATCAAATAATACAAAAATACCTTATTCTCTGATCTCAAGTGCACCTGTGCTGTGTGATGTTGTAATCCACAAGTTGACGTTAGAACAGCTACTAAAAGGGGATGTGCGGAAAAATGCACCAGAATGCAAAACACAAGTTGTCCACCCCCCAATTGCTCAGAGCAGCTTCAATCACTTGTTTACCATGGCCTTTATTTTTCAGAGGCTGGAATATCATGAATGAACCTTTTTAAATAGAATGGTGATTTATCTGTCTACACATTCTTGAAAGTAATGACCCATTCAAAGTTGGTACAGGTTGCAGCGAAGATCTGAGTAGGAATTCGGAGGGATGTCTGTGATTATCTAAAGGCTCCTGGATTACCTCTCAAAGGTTTACATTCGGAAAGAATGAGAAAACAGAGCCAGCGTCCACCTACCCAGCATTTTCCGTGCACCCACCCAGTACCAATTTTTATTAATAACTCCCTTATATTTACAAGTACTTTCTGTGTTAGTATGAAGAGTATCCTCTTCTCTAAAATCTTAATACATTAGGTACAAGCCGCTTCTAGACCCCTTCTGGCACCCCTCTGGCCTGCACGCATTCAGGTACCAACTCAGCATTCAGATGCTAACTAAACGCCAGAAGGCCAGAAGTCTAGAGGGCTCGGAAGGCCAGAAAGGGTGCTAGAAGGCCAGAAAGAGCATAGCCTTTAGCTTTATATTCTAGCCTTCTAGCCTTTCGGCGTTCAGTTGGCATCTGAATGCTCAGTTGGTACCTGAATGCGTGCAGGCCACCAGGCCCAGAAAGGGTGCCAGAGGGGGTGCCAGAGGGGGTCTAGAAGGGGCTTATACCTAAATTATTAAAGTTTTTAGAGAATATTAGTCAGGTACATAGTTATATATCAGCCCTACACATAAAACCTTGTACTGGGTGGGTGAACGGAAAATGCTGGGTAGGTGGAGGTTAAGGCTGGGTACCTAGGTAGGTGGATGCTGGCTCGAGAAAACACATTTATACACATAGAGTCTCAATCACAACCAACACGATGATGCCGGAGTAAAAGGATATCCAAAATGACAATGGAAAGACTTTTTATTCAAAACACTTCGTGTCAACTGGTTTGTAACAGTCTATCAGCACAACGGCGAATGTATGTGTGTATGGGTTTTGTGTGTCATTTCCGTTTGGGAGGCCAAGAGAGCCCAGAAGTTGCGTGGAGCAGAGGACGCGCCAACTTGAAATCAATCGATTTCAAGGTTTCACTGGCATTCCCGTCCTGCCCGATTTCACCTGGCCAATCCTAACCCCGACATTGATGTCCTTGTAAGTCGCGTCGCGTCACGCGAAACAACCCTAATAAGAACCGCGTCAGATAAATACTTAATATTGCGTCAGTCGTGATATCCAACCGTGAAACCATCTTAGCTTAAACAACCAACCTCGTTAATCACCGCTTTCATACATCGCGGCGCCTGCCATCTCCCACCACGCTGTACACTACAACTCGGTGCTTGGTCCTTGCCCTACCGGTATCATTTCCTCTGCACCCTCTCCCAACTCGGAGCTTATAATGGCGACTCTATCACAATCACCACCTGCGCATGTTGGACCTGTCTCGGCCCAAGCCCCTATTGCTGCGGCCCCAGCTAAGCGCAAGCGCACCGCTGGCGCGGCCTCTTCCTCGTCGAGGCCCAAGAAGCCCAAGAAGGACAAGACATTTGACACCCAGATGAAGCAGGCCGAAGTGTGGATGAACTACACGGGCAAGTACTCCCACTGGGACGACTTGACCGATATGGTAGACGACTTAGGCAGCCTAGTGAGCTCCAAGCTAGTCGAAATGTTACAGAATATAGTCGAAGCCGCCCAGCAGCCCGATGCCAGCTGGGGCACCAAGAAGAACGCCATCAACGCTGTCTGCCACATTGTCATGGCTGTGCTGTGTTGCCCCATTGGATGGTCTAGAACTGAAGTCCGTATTCATTACCGGATGATTGAAGAACAGTTTGAGAAAGCCATCATGAACGCGCTTTCGGCCGAGGAGAGAAGGAGACTGGCGACCGAAGATGGGGCCGCTTGGATGCATTTCCTGGGGGCTATGGAGGAGGAGGCGAATGGGTACTGCATTCTGGGAAAGGTTGGCAAGATTCGGCAGAAGCTGTTGCAGGAAACACCACTATCCCCGCCAAACAACGAAAATAACAACGACAGCAGCAAGGCCAGAGAGGCATCCTTGCTCGTCCTCAAAGATGAGGCCGCTTGGAATTTTCTGGAGGGTCTAGAGAAGAAGGCGCCTTCGCACTGTCTCCCTGAAAAGATTGGCGAGATTCGGCCGAAGCTGTTGCAGCAAGCAGTGCTATCCCCGCCAATCAACGAAAACAACAACAGCAGCAGCGAGGCCACGGAGGACTCCCTTCTGGTTATCGAAGTGGATACACGGCCAACACCTCCGCTGGGTCGCGCTCCTTGGTATCCCCTCTCGCTCAACAAGCCTATCATAGCCCCTGAGGTCCCCTACGAGACTGCCTCTGGCCAGACACCCGGCGCCCCGCCTGCGCAGTCGGCCGACGAGTACTTTGAAATCCATCTGCGGAACCTGTGCTCTGCCCTCGCTCCAAGGTCCAAGTACTCCCGACTTCGCCGCGAAGATTCACTGCGCAATGGCGCGCGTGAGATTGTGGAGAAGGCGCGGGAGGCCGCATTGCACATGCTGCGGTCCACGGCGAAGGAGGGCACTCCATGGGCCGCCAAGCTCAATGCCTTTGACACGCTGCTCGGTATGTGCAATGCGCTTACCGGCAGCTGGCCCTTGGCCCACCAGTGGTTGTGGTTCGCGCACTGGCAGGGCTTGATTGCGCCCTATGTGTACGCGCAGTGTGCCATGATAGACCACTTTTTGATGAGGTTGGTACAGAGGATGGACATGACTGAGAGGGCCAGGCTGGCAAAGGAGGGGGATCGTGTTAACAGATTGGAGAATGTGATCAGAGTGACGAGAAGCATGAAAAAAATGGCCGAGTTGGAGACGGTAAGGGACTGGTTGTTGGGGGCATTGTAATCCGCAAAGGTAGATATCAGTGTAGCAGAATCCGTTGGCTTCCCACTTTTGAAAATGAGGAATGGTTGTAGTGCACATAGCTTCGAGGAAACGGAGGCTAAACCAATGCATGCTGTTACGAGCAAAGGTGCAGTTGCAAATAAAGAGATTGGCATTGATGCCGGGCCCTCACTTCTGTATCTCCGTCGACGGGAACTCGATACGGTCATGTGCATCGTATGTGAAATATCAATCAAGCCACGACTTGAGCATCTAACCCAGGCCATCAGATGTTCGTCACACAATTTCAGCATTTTTAGTGGGTGAGGTGTACTCTACTTAGAAGAAGAGGGAGGTCATTGGATTTATGAATGCTACTTACCTATACAAGTGGTTGCCATGTGAACTCGAAATCCTGCTACTAGTAGCGCACTGCTGCCATCACATTGCAGCACTATGACTTTGCTTCAAGTTTTGTCATTTCAATTTGGCACCGGCAGTACAAGTCTAGTAAAATTCCAAGACTACATAATATGGATCCAAATCAACACAGTGAGCCATCATGGAGAGAAAGTAGTAATTCTCACATATATTATCTATTACATTTTAACTTCACCCTAAATAAAACCTCTTTCTAAGTTTTAATTTATACTTTATATATAGTTCTTCTATAGTATAATAAATATTTAAAAACTTAGTTTTTAAAAATAAATATAAATAATATTATAAAAAAGTTAAATTTATAATAATTAATTATTTATATATAAATAAAATTAAATAAAAGAAAGTTTATAGACTATTTATATTTTTTTAGTTCTACTATTAAGCTAAAAGTAAATAGTTAGGGTCTTAAAGGGATAAAATATAATATATCTTTTAAAGATTAGCTTAGTTAAGTTTACTATATAGGACTTTTTATAGTGACTTTATAATCGTTTATAATACTATTTATTATTAAAAGACGCCTTTCTATATTAGTGCGTTGGGTCGTACCGGTTTGGGCTGGTGCTGTTAGCCTTGATATGGATCGGTCCGTTAAAGGTTAAAGCTATTATGAACTATAGGCTGTCTAATCTTAACGCCGTCGAGCACTATATATGATATCGCCGTGTAACTTAGGTGAACATAAGTTGGCTGAAATGGGTGAAGATAAAAGCTGCCATTCCCCCAACTAGGGATATGTACGGGTTCTGGCTCTACTTTATAAGCAAACACTCATCTATTAGCTCTATAAGTAAAACCACTTAAAAGTAGTTACTTAACCTGTTACGCGAACTGAGAGACAATTAGGTAAGGTAACTACACTCTATTACTACGCATCTAGATTCATAGTTCTAATAGCTCTATAGAAGAAGAAATAGCTATTAATGATTAGGTCTATAACTATATAAAGGCAGACCTTCACTTTGAAGAGAAGTTGTTATTATTTAAGATGGTTAATATATTTCTAGAGAAGCTAAGGGATTATAAGCCTAATTTAAAGTATATTAAGATTTATAAGAATTTTAAACTTAAGCTTAAAGGTTCTAAACTAAAGTTTACACTTGTAGAAGCGAAAGCTCTTATAGAGCTTAAGAGGAGGCTCGAACAAGGCTAGACCAAGCTATAGTATAATAAAACAAATAAAACCCAGTTAGAAAATCATAATTATAGGTCTTTTAGCCTTATACTTAGGAGGGAAAAGAAAGTTTATTAATTTTATTAATTAAAATTATTAATATAATATTAATTTAAAATAAAATATAAAATATTTTATTATAATTTTAATATTTTAAATATAGTTAAATTAAAGATATAAAATTAATATTAAATTATAGTTTTTTAAAAAAAAGAATAAATAAATATATTAATAAAAAATAAAAGATAAATATTAAGACTTTATATATAAGCTATATTATTATAGATAAGTTTAATAGTTAGAGAAATTAATAGCTAGATAATAGAGAGGAAAAATGTATGTAGGTAGTATGTTTAAAGCCTATCTTATATAAGTAGCTTATATCGTTAGTTCAACAGGCTTGTAAAACTAGTTTCAAAGTGGATGAGACGGTTTCAAAGAATTATTGCTGGTAAATCTTGCTACTTGGCAAGGACAGCAGTATTTTCGTTCCTCCAATTTGGATTACTCACCGCATATGTGTGTCTGCCTTGTCGTTACACCTACGTGTGTTCTCTAACGCTTTAAGGTTAAATACGCTGTCACAGCCTGATATGTCAGAAGACGTGGCTGTGGCGATAACGCGGGATCGGCGTCACACGCGTAGGACAGAAAGTGCAGGCAAAACCAAGAAAGTGCGTAAGAGCTAATGCAGAACGAGCCACAATATCAGCAAATCGAGCAAAGCTGAGCCCCTTGCGTACGTTTCCTTATCAGGCCACATTCCCAAACGCTATTTTTGTTGTCTCCCCGCGCTCCTGTCCCCACGCAGATGGGCAGAAGATGTACATATTCATGAGCAAAACTCTCCTAGTTCATATCACTTAGCATCTTTGTTCTATACTTTGAGGTATTGTGGTAGCTATGGATCCTCTTAGCGCCTTATCCCTTGCAGCCTGCGTTGTCCAGTTCATAGAGTTCGGTTTTAGCCTCGTCTCCAATGCCTATGAAATTGGCACATCTGCGACAGGAGCGACAAAGCGAAATGACGACCTTGAAGAGGCCTCTAGTACACTGAGTACACTCGTTCTTGAGCTTAACGGTCTTTCCGAGAATGTTACACCGTCTCCGAACAGAGTTCTCGAAGAATTAGTCCTCAAGACTGTTGCTACCAGATGCAGAGCGACTGCCAATGAACTACAAGCAATACTGCAGGATATGCGTTCCAACAGTCCTGGAAAGGGGTTGTCCTCTGGGCTTAGAAAAGCGTTCAAAGTGGCATGCAGTAAAAAGACACTTGTGGACCTGGAGAGCAAGTTGATAATGTGTCGCAGCGAATTATCGACATGCTTGACAGTCATAATCAGGTATGCAATATGTCTGAACTTATTCTTGTCAAGCTTTGAAGTCATGCTCATTTGATCTTCTCGTTGTAACATCACCCAAACCCATATTGTCACACGTTTGACGTATAAAGTTACGCAGCTATGTTAACAACGTCTAGCAACAAACAATCAAGCTTATGTCGAGAGTTCCGCCGCATGTACGAGGCAAACTCTTCTATGCAACTCAATCAGTCAACACAGTTGGACGATATATCTCAGAAATTGAAAGACATCGAAAATAATTTGCGGCCTGCTAGGACTGGGACGAGCCCACTCTTCGAGTCGGAGGCGGTATTCTATGGGAGGCTGTCTGATACGCTTTCCAAAATTGTCCTAACTGCAAAGGGCCTCTCCACTCAGCGACGTGTTCTCCGATCGCTGTATTTTCGAGCACTGCCAGTCCGTCATCAAAGCATCGCGGAAGCGCACACAAGCACCTTCCGCTGGATTGTAGACGACGACAACACGAATCATAGCCAAAGAAACTTTCTCCATTGGCTCAAAGCCGGCGATGGTATATTCTGGGTATCAGGAAAGCCAGGATCAGGAAAATCAACGCTGATTAAATTTCTAGCCGGTCATGCTAGAACATTCAGCACCGTGAGCTCGTGGGCAGCTCCGAATCCTTGTGTCATTGCGCAATATTATTTTTGGAGCGCAGGAACCCACCTTCAGAAATCACTTGAAGGGCTGATCAGATCCCTCCTGTTCGAGATCCTCCGTCGAAAGCCGGAACTAATGCCCACGATCCTTTCAGAAAGGTGGGATGCAGCATGTGGCCCTGAAAATCAGGACTTCGACGACCGAGACGGATCCTTTTGGAGCATGCCCGAATTATTTCGTGCTGCAGACCGTTTAGGAGACTGGAAAGAGACCTCGACTCAGTTCTGCTTCTTTATAGATGGCTTGGACGAGTTCAGTGGCGACCATAACGACGTCGTGAAGATTTTGGCTCGTCTAAGTTCATCGCCAAATCTCAAGATTTGCGTGGCCAGTCGACCATGGAACATTTTTGAAGATGCATATGGGCAGAGCAAGGAGAAGAAATTCTACCTCCAGGATCTCACCCGAGGCGACATTCAGATATACGTTGAGAGCATGCTTGAAGCACATCCGAACTGGAAAATGATTGTCTCCGATGATACGCGCTGCTCAGCCCTTGCAGAGAAGATTACGAGGAAATCGCAGGGTGTCTTTTTATGGGTGCATTTGGTTTTGAAATCGCTCTATGAGGGTCTCACGAATGGTGACGACCTCTATACCCTCAGACAACGTATCCGAAGATTCCCAGAAGATTTGGACAGCTTTTTCAAGGTAATGCTGAAATCGATCGATCCTTTCTACTACCCATCTACTGCACGCTTCTTCAAAGTCGCCCTCGAGGCCCGTGAGCCCCTCACCTTGATGTGCTTCTTGTTTGTCGATAAAGCCGTCCGTGATGAGAATTTTGGTCTTCACCGGCCCATCGAGACTATGGACGACTACGAAATCTTCAACAATCACTCCCGGATGCGCCGACGACTGGACGGTCGCTGCAAAGGATTGCTCGAGGTAGAAAAAGTTCCTTACGCCACGGACTATCTGGGACATCGCGTCAATTTCCTTCACCGGACGGTCAGGGACTTTCTGCTTACAAGGGACATGACCGACTTCATTGAGAAGCATTTGGAGGAGTTCAACGTCAACCACGCTATATTCCAAGCATTCGTCGCTCTCATGAAATCCATGCCTCTTCGGGACAATAACGCCAATGCACATGCAGAACTGGAATTGACGACATTGTTCGATGAGAGTCTCCATTACGCCTGGAAAGCTGAGCAAGAAACAGGACAGGCGGATCCGGATTTAGTTGACGAAGCGCGAGACACTTTCGAACTGCTTCTGAGCTCAATGGGTCGGCAGCCTTCCTGGGACTACTTCCGGAAGTTGGCTATCACGCGTGGTCTTTGCAAATATCTGGATCAACGAAGGGACTGTCAAGCTGGTTCATAAGCGATCATAGATGGGTCGCTGCTGCGATATTCTCTCACAGAGTCCGTCAGACAGCATGGTGTCGATGATCCGGATCTGACAGAAATCGTGGCTATGTTTGTCCGGCGTGCAAGCGAAACGTCTCGTTTTAATAAGAGACACGTGTCATACTGGCTTTCATCTCTTAACAAGACCATACTGAAGGCTGGGATGGATCACATCTGGGCAGCACGCCAACAACACATCATGCAAATCCTTCTCAGCGAGAGCGACCAGATCAACGATGGTGGTGCGGCGGGAGACTTTGTCAGTGGCTTGTTTGACCTGGCTCTGGAACATCCCAAGAGACAAGCGTGGGAGGTATGGATTGAGATGCTGGTGACGTTGCTGCGCGCGGGTGTGGATCCGAATGCGGTTCACCAAAATAGCACCGTGGCTGAGAGCTTCTTCAAAAGTCTTCTCAATTTCCGTCGTACTGGTAAGTGGGTGAAGGTTCCCATGGAGAGCCTCGAGTTCCTGGCGAAGATTACGGAGATACTTCTGGTTCATGGGGCAAATGCGGCTGGCATGCCAGAGAGCACGGTGTCCTTTTTGTTTCCAGGACGGCTGGGAACTCCCTTGCAGGCGATACTGGCGGCAAGACACCAGCCGCCGAGCCAGCTCTCTTTTCTGTTCTCATGGCTTACCTGGCCCTTTCGTAGAGTATAGTTTCAAGATACTTTGTCTTTAAAGGGTGTACCACTGTATGAGGGACCACATACATCTTCGGGAGTCAACGGCTTGAGAATTAAACCACTCTAGTCGCGTATCAAATTGTTTCAGAACGGGCTTGGGCACAGGCCTCTTTGAATCATGCTAAAAGCGCCTATCTACCATGGTAAACCTCGATTTTATTCCATCTCGATGGCAGTGAGAGTAACCTGGTGGGATTCCAGACCATCTGCCGTCGCCGAGACCGTGATCTCTCCAGCTTCTCCTTCCCTAGTACGGACAATGGCCAACACGAGGCCACTGAAGGCCTTCCGAGTCACAGACGGAAAGGGTGTCTGGTCTGACGGATCACCGTTGTCGGTTGACACGATATCACCTGGGCCAGTAATGGAGAAAGTAACACTGTCAGTCGCGTAGGGTACGATATCGCCCAGCCCATCAGTCACAGCGACGGTTATGAACGACAAGTCATATCCATCCGCAGTGATAGTCATGCGATCAGCTGTCACATTCAACCCCTCGGCCGGACCGACAGTGCTTCTGCTCGCCTCTGCCCAGACACTGCCATTCTTGTATGTCAAGACGCGAATGTCGCCGGGCGCATAAGTCACATTGTCCCAACGGAAGCGATAGGTGAGCGTCTCCTTAGCGAGGCGGCCGGCAGATTTACCATTCAAGAATAACTCAGCCTCGTCAGCCGACGAGAAAACATGGACGGGAGTAACTTGACCGACCCGGTCGGGCCAATTCCAATGTGGCAGGATATACGCACTCGGCAGGTCGGCCCTCCACCGGGACTGGTAGAGGTAAAATCTATCCTTACGGAACCCAGCAGTGTCGATGATCCCAAAATAAGAGCTACGCGCAAGCGGCGAGGCATCGTATGGCGCGGGCTCTCCGAGATAATCCCAACCACTCCACACAAACTCACCCGCAACATAAGGGTAAGTATCCTGCTGCGTAAACACCTTGTCCGGGCTGGACGCCCAGAAAGGGCCATATAACTCGTATGCGCTGACCTGAAGCGAGGTCGAGTTGCCGCCCTGGCCGTCGCTGACGATCTGGCTCTTGTTTCCCGCCACCGGGAAGATGTATGTTCCCCTCGTGCTCACTGCCGAGCTGCTCTCGGTTGTCCAGAGCAGCTTATCCGGGTGGGCGTCGTGGAACCCGGGGAATGTGCTGGCCCACGATGTCCCAAAGCCTTCACCTTGATAGTTCAGGCTTATGACATCCATTACTTCTGCAACTGTATCGTTGGGCTGCGCCCGTTCAAAGGACATCGTCACAGGTCGTGAGGGGTCCTCGCTGTGGACAATATCGCTTAATTGTCGCGCAGTCTCTGCCCCGCCCGCGGTTCGCTGTTCAGGTATCTCGTTCCCAATACTCCACAGTATCACAGAGGGATGGTTCAGATCACGGCGGACCAGAGACCGTGTATCTGGTTCGTGCCAGTCGGGGAACAACAGGTGGTAGTCGTTCGTGACCTTAGCCACGTTCCAGGCATCAAAGGATTCATCCATCACAAGAAACCCGAGGCGGTCTGCTAGATCCAAGAGCTCAGGTGCGGGTGGGTTGTGGGCCATCCGAAGAGCATTGGACCCCATCTCCTGTAGTGTCTGGAGCTGCCGCTCGGCGGCTCTCACGTTGAATGCGGCTCCAAGGCTGCCAAGATCATGGTGATTGTTGGTGCCTCGGGTGCGTATGACCTCTCCGTTGACGATGAGGCCCTTTGAGCCGTCGAAAGCTACTGAGCGGATACCGAATGTTGTCTCATACTCGTCAACGATCGAGTTGTTTCCGATAAGAACTTTTGTCACTGCCTTGTACAGATTCGGCGTCTGAGTTGGTGGCGGGCCCCAAAGCTGCGGCTTGGATATTATGACAGAGTTTTGGACGGACTGTTTTGTCCCTGCGGATAGCCGAATCGTCACTTCAGGGAGCGATGCAACCCATTCGTCAATGCCGGCAGGGTAAATATATGTCCTCACGACCACGTCCTGGGTTGAGTTCGCTGTATTCTCAACATCGACACCGATGTCGACCGTCGCTGCGTCTGCTGAGACAGAAGTAGTAGTGATCCGTGTTCCGTATTGCCCAACATGGACTGGATTTAGCTTGACAAGCCAGATATTGCGGTATATTCCAGCCCCAGGGTACCATCGTGACGAGTCGATGGCATTTTCTAGTCGCACAGCGAGCAAATTCGCAGCGCCAGCCTGGACGTACGGCGTCAAGTCGAGGCGAAATGACGAGTATCCGTAAGGCCAGCCGCCCACGAGAATGCCGTTGACCCAGACGCTGGCGTGAGACTGGGCACCATCTATATCAAGAAATATGGACTTTCCCACATCTTCTCCTGCAATGGTAATATTTCGCCTATACCAGCCCACTCCGTTCGTTGGCAGCCGGCCCATTCCGGCGCTGATACCAGGTGCGCCAAAGGGGCCTCTGATCGCCCAGTCGTGAGGCAGATTGACGCTTTGCCATGATGAATCGTCGAAATCCGCCTGCACGTACTGGACATCACTCCCAGGAGGCGTGCCGGTTGGCCGCTCATGCTTGGACCCGTTGACAATGAAGTCATTTGCTGAAGGAAGGATCCATGGCTTCAGGATGGGATCATAAGATAACAAGTCTGGACTCGTGGCAAAGCGCGAGAACTTCCAGTCTCGGTTGATACTGAGACGCTGTCGTACGGCAGATACGGCCAGTCGCTCAGTAACAGATCCGGTGGGGTGGCAGATGACTTCTTGCAACAGAAAAGCCAGAATTATGAGCCCATAGGCTCTCATGAATGTAAATTTAAGACCCAACATATTAAGATAGTGCTTACAACTGCAAAGTGGACATTACCGCCTACTCTAGGTCTACTAGAACCCGACCGCTTTATAACTCAAGTCCGGCCCGACCCCAACCATGAAAGAAGCGAGTATCCAATAATAAATGCAACGTCGGTAGCTAGCGAGGACTGCGACTTTGATGTACGCGCACCTCAGACCGGGCCGGTGCGGGGCACCCGCGGGAGCCAACGTCCACCCACCCACTGATTTCGATGGAGCACCCAGTAATCTGTACAAGATTTTAGGTGTAGAGCTCATACAAAACTATGTACCTGACCGGGATTCCCCATATTCAAGAGACTCAAGTACTCAGCCTTCTGGTCTTTACGCATTCAGGTGCCAACTGAAGGCTAGAAGGCCGGAAGGCGAAGGCGAAGGCGAAGGGGCACCAGAAGCTAGGGGGCTAGAAGGGGCTGTACCTTAAGTAGCTTAAATTGGACAAGGAAATAGCGTATAAATTCTTGGTGTTGACTGAGTGGGCACTTATAAATATAAGGGAGTTGCTAAGAAAAATAAGTACTGGGTGGTTTACCGAAGAATGGTGGGTGGGTGGACGCAAATGGGACCTGCAGCTGTGCACATCATGATACCAGCGTGCAGCCAAGTAACTCTCTTTCGTCCTATAGCTGAGGATCAACAATGCTCTTCAACCCATATGCTCCCTGTACACGCCTCTATATCTTCGGATCGACATAGCAGAATGCACCTGTTCTGTCACAATGGGTATGAGTTCATCATTGCACGAGGAGGGAAAGACTAGGAGCTGCGAGCTGCCGGCGCAGCCGCGGCATTTGTTGGGTCATGTCCCATTCTTTAAAACTTTGTCTGTTAATAAGTCCCACGGTTGACGTGACCAATCGTCAGAACGAACACACGCGGCGAAGCGCGGCATTTATATACCCTGGGTGAGCAGTGGTGACTGGTGGGTACTTACCTAGGTACCATGACATAGTCGGCTCTGCGTCCACGGGACAACCCGACTACTACGTCGATCCATCTTCCCATACTTACACACAGCCAAACCTTGAAAGTGTGGCAGAAAGCTACGTACATGCTGCCGTTGCAAGGGGTGGCAGTTTTGAATAGAATACAGAGCCGATGCCTTCACGGGATATATGCGACACCTGAAGTACTTTGAATCACGAAGCAAGGAGTCTGTTCTTACCTTATCTATGCTTCACTTCTCTGCTCGTGAACTTCAAGTTGTACTAACATAAATTCGAATTGAAGGGGGGACAATCAATATAGTGAGCTTAAGGGAATATGTGGAATGGGGGTGCCCTTGGTACCTGGTGCTCTCAGTCCTGGCCATACACTTGAGCGGAAGGCTCAAGGTTTAAAACTGTCCAAGTGCGAGTTAATAAAGTATCATGCACTAGTATTTGAACTCCTTTGCCAGATAGTAGGTTTACAGGGACTCTCCTTATACTTGAGGGTTTAGTAGTAACAGTATGTGTCTGTGGTATGGAGAAGTTGACTTACAATCCGGGTACATCCCGAAGTCGCACAGTCCCTTCGCGCAGTGGTTAGCGCTCAAGGATCCAGCGTTTGAAAGAAATACAATGCAAATAGCAGTGTGAGAAGAATCTGCCTGGGCACGTGGCCTCAGCCTCGTGCCGCTAGTAATATTAGACTAGAGGTAAAATCCAGTCTGTCCCCCCTTGTCTTCGACAAGGATTCTTTCACCGAGTCATGGTGTTTCCCAGTGATGCTTGATCCAGGAAGCTTTGATAGTGTTTGGTTGGAATCGTCTATTATCTCCATGAGAATGTTAAGGGTAAAAATCCATCCTCCTAATTACATTCAAACGGGCTCAAGATGCACCGAGACGGAAGTGGACTCGGGACTGCCGGATCACTTGAACAGTGCACAAGGGATATTACGAGACTGGTGATATCCGAATTACGAAGTGTGAAGGTGCGTTCCAGGTATGAATGAGTTCCGATAATCAGAAAGAAGTCACTGCATGACTTCTTTGAATACCGGCGTCGTTTTATGACTGTTACTAGGAGGTAGTTAGGAGCCCTGGAGGGAGTCGTCACACTTCAAGGCAGCAAAGAAATGTTGACCGACGGGCCGATGGCACGGTACTGACGACCGCATTTGGCCAATCAAACCATTTGGGCTCGACGGGGTTCATATATACCTGGCGACAAGCATTATTCATGCAATCTCCAGCCTGGCCCCATGCTTGCATTCGTAAAGCTTGTTCATCCCATTTCCAGGGGGAACTCCCTACTATCCGCTCTTCCGGGCTGCCAGGCCAATTTGGCCTAGCTGCTAGGAACGGATGGTTGCTTGGCCACGTGAGCGGGGACTCTGGCCAGCTTCATTTCCTTTCGCGGGTCAGTTTGCGGGGAATTCGGCCCTATCTAGGTACAGATTTAAGTTGTGGATCGGCAAAACGTACCTAGGTACCGGGAGGCCCGGTGCATGCGAGTACACGAACCAGAATGCGAATTTGATGTAAATGTACCATGGCCTGGCGTGTTCGCCACCCCAGCTCAGGGTGTTTTTCTTTCACCTTTACGTGTCAGTGTAAACAAGATGGTCGTCTATAGCGTCTTGGGACGGTTGGCCCTCCTGGCTTCTTTGGCAGTCTCTGCGCCGTCACCCGCAAGTCTTGACTCGGACCTCACTATACTGCTCGACAATGATCTGCGAGGTGAGTTGAACCAAAGTGCATTCGTCACCAGATGAGTAAAACTCACAACGATGCAACAGGAGCCAGCAGTCCCACAGCCGACTCGGGGTTGATTGTGCTCAGCCCCAAAACGTACGAAGATGCTCTCGCAAGCTGTCAAGCGTTGAATGAGGAGCTCTGGTCTCCTGGCTTGGGCTCGGCAAGCATTCAGCCGAACCTGGACTATCTCGTCTACGAAGGCAAGGCGACCAAGCACTCCATTTTCTGGATAGCGGCCAAAAACAATCAAACACTTGCTCTGAGCGCCTCAGGAAAAATCAAGACGGCACACCCTGGCCAGGAACTGAGCGTCTTGTGCACACAGTCGGCCCCTTTTGCTAACTCTACTTCCACGGATACAAACACCGAGTGGCAAGTATCTGTGCACTCAAACAATGAGGACCTCGTTGGGTTAGTATAAATCCACAAGATTTCCCGCCCAGTCGTGGCATCGCACCCATCTAACGTGTTCTTCAGCTTCCGTGATCGTACATCCTTCCGATTCTACGGGGTCCGTTATGCGCCACAGCCAGAGCGGTTCACATATTCCGTGCCATATGCCGGCTCCAATGGCTCTGTCTCAGCAACCAGTTTCGGATCCCAGTGCGCCCAGCAATGGGCGGACGGAACCGAGGACTGCCTGTTTCTGAACATCTGGACGCCTTACCTGCCATCTGAGGGCAGTAAATGTGACAAGAGCACTCTGAAGCCTGTGATGTTCTGGATCCACGGCGGTGCGCTCATCAGCGGCACGGGAAACGACAATACGTTCGATGGCGGGAGCGCCGCCTCCAGGGGAGACGTGGTCGTGGTTACCATTAACTATAGGCTGTCGACGCTCGGCTATCTCGCCCTAGACGACGGCGTCACCAACGGCAACTTTGGCCTGGGTGACCAAATAAACGCTTTGGACTGGGTGCGGGCCCACATTCAGGTAAGCTGGTCCCAAAGGCAAGGGACCTGCGGTCCCTTCAAGTGCACGAATATACAGCTCACATATCATCCAGGACTTCGGCGGTGACCCTGACCGTATCACGATTCTGGGCCAGTCCGCCGGGGCTGGTTCAGTCCGTGCCATCATGGCTTCGCCTGAAGGCGAGGGAAAGTTTGCCGGTGCAATCCAGATGTCTAATGTTGGAGGCAGGGAGCTCGGGGGAGGAACATACTCTCGCTTCTATCCACTCGAAGAGGCATACGAAGCGATGGCCAATCCAATCCTTGATGCAACCAACTGCACAGACGCAGAGTCCCAGGTCGATTGTCTTCGTGCCGTGCCTGCTTCGACCCTCTTGAGCCTCGACTCTGTCGCTCGCTTCTTCGTCGTCGATGGCACGTACCTCACTACAGAGAACCTGACTCTGACCGGGCCCGAGGCTCCGTACAAGCTGATGATCGGCACCATGAAGGAAGACGCTGGCGCGTTCTTCTCGTTCCCGACCACAACGAACGAGACAGAGTACTTGCAGTCAATCGGCTACGACCTCCCACAGGCAACGCTGGACGAACTCTTCCCACTGCCCAACGGCACAAACCAGACCCTGAACGTGTTCGACGTCGCCGCGCGCGTGGGGACAGACGACCAGTTTAGGTGCGACGCCCAGGCCACCGCGGCCGCGGGGCTCGCAAGCGGGAGATACGGCTCCATCTACATGTACGAGTTCGAGAGGTCCTACGCGCTCTTCAACTACCCCGGCACGGATGTCTGCCAGCCACCCGTGACCGCCTCGCACCCGAACGGGGACCCCAGCCTGCCCTACCTGATGTGCCACTCCGGCGAGCTGTACCTGGTATTCGGCAACGTGGCGTTCCAGGGCCTGCCCGAGCGCGACGGCTACGACCTGTCCTTTGAGCAGCTGACGCTCGACTCCTTCACCTCGTTCGTCAGGACCTTCAATCCCAACCCTGACCGGGGTTTCCTCGAGGCGAGACGGTTCACGAATACCACCAAGGAGCTGGAGAAGGCCGGGGCGTGGAGGCCTGCCACGAAGGGGGACCTGACACTCAGGGCGTTGCGGTGGGAGTCGTATCAGGATGGCTTCAGGGAGCTGCAGCAATGCGAGGCTCTTGGGCAGCCCCTGACATATTGGGAGTGAGGACATGACGATGTAGTAACCGTACGGAGACTAAGGAAATTCTGGGTGGAAATAATTCCATGAATTGATTGATTGTGACATTGCTGGCTTACCGCCGCATGCGCTTGAGGGCTCGGCATCAAAAGTGCTACCAATGGTGACAGTGTCTCCATAGAGACGATGTGCGAATCACAGAAGTAGTTTCGTTTCTATCTAATCACATTATATATTTAATGTAACTATGTAGCGCCCTCATATAGTGGTAAACGCCCAACTTTAGAAGACCCAGCATTTAAAAAATATGATATGAATACCAGCCCCTGGGAGTGCAGAGAGGATACTGCCACATAGAAAAGCTCACACCCAACATTGAAGATATCAAGAGCTGTGGGTTCCACTATTGTGCTGCTCTATTGTCTATAAATAAGGGCTTCCCTTGCTCACCATTCAAAGTTATTCTAGTTAGGAAGCCAGTCAATCCACTCTATTCGATATGCCCTGCTCGGATTCGTGACACTAGACTTGTCACAGCGGACAGCAGAGGTGGGTCGTGACTCGAGGTTCCTTATTACAATTGCCACCACGCATGGTTGCTTCTGATACTCGGCTCGCGCATTGCACCCTTCAATACCTAGGCTTACTCAAGGGTTCAGGACGTTCAAACGATGATTCATTGTTATTTCTTTGTTTGCTTCTTTGTTGTCGGTCAAACAAGTGTGGCACAATTCAATTTTGGAACAATCCAATCGATGTTCAATGCGAGATGTTTGACCATTGAGCAACCTTGGAAGCCATTGTGCGCTCCCGCATCGCGCCAAGCCCACCACCATCGCAGGACAAGGCACGGCTGGGGCCTTATATAGGCCAATTTTCCACAAATCAATTCATGAGTGTTTGGAGCAATTGGAGAGTGCCAGTGATTCACAGTTCCTCTAAATAGTAGAGAATCTCCGAGGTTTCCAACTCCAGTGCTTCACCCCACTCCACCATCACCTTTACACACTCAAAGCCGGTGTGTTGGGAGAGTGCAGCTGACCTTTTCCTGCTCTTTTTCTGAAAAGAAAATGGCAAACTTAACGAGAATCGTGGTGCAGTTTCTTTTCCATCTGCTGTGGCTGGCCATAGTAGAAGGGCTGACTGTTGAATTACTGAAAACAGAAATCCAAATGGTGCGAACACAAGCCGACGAGAACTCAGATCATGAACTGGAATCGCCGAAGACGGAGAGCTTCCCAGAATATGTAAATCAAATCTCGCCGCCTCCATGGTAAGCAGATGATTCACTAACACTCTTTTCGCAGGATGACCCTTTCTACTACGAAACCCACCCTTTCTGGAGGGATGGATGGTATTGCACAAGAAAGAGGCGTTTCTATATGTACAAGGACCCTCGAGACAGACACAGTACATGATGGTGTTTCTTTTCCTCAGGTTCCATGTGCAAACATTTAGTATCTTTCTCGTTGGAAACGTTTTAAATTGGAGAAATCCCACGGCTGTGTTTTCAATCTTCTTAAATAAAAGAAATGTCAACTAGATCTAGTTTCGATGTTCCTTCTCACAATAGACCTAGGAATAACATAAATTCTTCAACAACCTTGGCATATTTGAAACCACAGGTGCAGTTATCCCCATGTGTCTTTGAGTTCAGTAATCTAATTATTTGCCAAACCGCCCAAGCCTTTAGCCCCCTTAATGGCATTAACCCTGATTGTCCACTTTTGCAAGTCCTGGTAATATAATGAAGTGTCTATATGACCAGTAATTATTTCCTCGGCTTGCTTGACATCCTGTAACTAACACAAAGAGCAGCGTTCTAGCTTAAATGCCCCAGGGTGATGGTCAGACTGGTACAGTGAAGTTGTTGCCAGTACCAGGTCCTTGTCCTTGGTTATTACCTTGTGCTTCACCCCGTTCCCCATGCGCCCCCTCGACCCCCTCGGGCCCCTCGATTTCCTCGAGCAACTACTGTATTCCATCCATCTCCACTTCCGCTTGCTGATGAGGCACCACCTCCTGTACTAGCAGCACCACCTCCTGTACTCGCAGCACCACCTCCTGTACTAGCAGCACCACCTCCTGTACTAGCAGGTAACTCAGTCACAGGTGGGTGGCCTGTGCCAGCAAAACGTGGCCCAGGTTTCCTCTCGTCAGCCGTCCGCGGCCCCCTCCACTCTTGAGGTGGCCCATCTTTAAAGGCTTCCAGGATCGCATCTACCTGAATAGGCTTGATTGGCGGTGCCTTAAACTCGGAGCACAACCAAACCTCGGACGCCTCTTCGAAGTCCGGGTCCTGCACAGTCGTGCGTACCGGATCCCACACGTCACCAAGTCTATCTGAGTGATGCCAGATAGGGCGGAAATAGTTTTTCGGTGTGGTAACACCAAGTTTCCCCACCCTAGTATCAACCTCGGTCCATCCCTGGCAAGCCGTGTAAAGGGTGTTACGCCACGTCATAGCGGTCTGGATGAGATCCGGGGACACACTGGTGGTCATATCCGGGATCAGCTTCGCCGCGTTGATAAGACCCACTACTTTCCGCACAAAAGGGAGGTAAAGCTTGTCGTGGATGTCGTCAAACGTCAGTCCTGTATAATTTCGCGCAGTATTGCCCGGCACTAGCTGATTCAAAGTCGTTTGTCGTGCCATAGTGTAACTATTAAAAGTTAGGCAATTTTGTCGTCTCTGGCGCCCGACTGTCCAACAGCATGTCTCTCCAGATGCATCGCAAGTAGAGTGACGTCTAAATTGCAGTGATTGATTACTCACAGGTTGATGGTTATGACGAGGGTGAGCCAATCCACACCGTTCGACGACGCCGCGCCCCAATTTGCTAAATTGTCGAAGAGCACGTTAACTTGGTATTTAAATCTCTTTGGCTGGAGTGCTGGATTGCCCACGAGAGACAAGGCTGTGATGACAGGGCATCGACTTACTCAAGTAAAATGCTTCCTCTGAGGTCAAGCCATATCTGTATTCAAACAGCGCTTCCAAGTATTGGTCCCAGCTGCGTTCACCAGCATTATTGTAGTTTCCATATCGCATGCTGGCCTGTTTTAGTTGGCAAATAAAGGCATCGAGTCTCACGTCGGCTCCGTGGATCTCCGAGTTGATCTGTTCAAACCTGACCCCAATTCTAGGTGGGTTCTGACCGTATGAAAACAGGCCCTGAGGTCTATTACGCCCGTCTGGGTGCCACCAGCCCGATTCCCTTAAACTCCTAAGACGCACGTCGAACCACGAACGGACGGACTTCCGCAGAAGCCCCCAAGGCCAGCGGAGATAGTATGGATCCGCGTCCAACAGGCTCGCCATGCTGCGACCGATCATTGACTGGGGGTCTGTAGGAACTATGGGAAGGCAGCTCGCAACCAGGTTCAACCTAGCCTGAAACTGTGGGTTGGTTTCTGCAGCCATGCTTGTTTGATTGAAAATGGCCTCAAATAACTTCCCAGCTGCTCTGTTTCCCAGGACTCGCTCGAGGTTGTTGCCGCCCCCAAGCCGCGTCAAGTCCATGATCCCTTCGGGTTGGTCGGCTTCGCGGAGAGCCGCCATTGCCGCGTCCGTATACGCTCGGCTTAGGTCTATTCTCAGGCCGGCCTCTCTCGAGGGAACATTGACGTTTTTGAGGAACAGAAGAATGTCCTTGCGCGACCACTTGGCAACTTGGGGTGCCCCATGCTGATTGCGGATCTGACTGCTACCAGTCATGTAGCTCCACCTCGCAGGGTTTGTTTCGGCAGAGCCTGCAATATTTGTCGGATTGGATGACGCAGAAGAGGGATTTGTTGCACCAGCACCAGCACCAGCACCAGCACCACCAGAACCAGTTGTCGCTTGGCCTGTCGCTTGGCCTGTCGCTTGGCCTGCCCCTCGGCCTGCCCCTTGGCCTGTCACTTGTCCTGCACCTCGGCCTGCCCCTCGTCCTGCCCCTTGGCCTGCCCCTCGTCCTGCCCCTTGTCCTGCCCCTTGTCCTGCCCCTCGTCCTGCCCCTTGGCCTGCCCCTCGGCCTACAGGTGTACCACGACCGGCCATGAACGCATGTCGAGGAGGGCCAGCACCACCGGCACGACCGTCTCCAACGTCGTCCGGCGACCTGGCTCTCTTTCTTGACGTTATGTCCATCGCTACTGGCGTACGTCTGCTCTTGGTGCTGATGTTTGAAGACTTCCAGTTGCGTTCTCCGGATGTGGCGTTGCACGACTTGTCAACTTTTTAAGTCACAATACACACATGCTTGAATCCTGCTGGTTCGATTTGGGTTTCACTTTCCCAAGGCTCACTCAACAAAAGAAAGAAGGATTGCAATTGGAAATAGAGTTCTAAGATAATAAGCTGGGAGCACAAGGTTCAACACACATGTGTGGAAGTGTGTGCATACACAAGAGCATCACATTATAGCAGCCTAGAAATGAAAGCACGCTCTCAGTGGTGATTTGTGGGCGGCTGCTCCGCATCCGGGGTCGTGATAAAGACAAGCGTATTTTCATGGAGCTTTCGCCTTGTATACTCGGACCTCAATCTCGGCTCAACAACAAAGAACTTATCGAGTCAAAGGCGATCAAGTCCTCAATCATTCCGGACACAGCTAAATGAATAAACTCCAAGACCTTCCTGATAGTCATCTAAGGACTGATGCTTTGGCCAAAGGTGCACATGGGGACAGTCTCGAAAACGAGAAAACACTGAAAATTGCCACTATTTGCATGCCATCTCGATCCCCGTGAAGAATGATAAATGGAAAAGAGAGGAAATATTGCCATTGCCGTGCCGAGCTTAGTTGGTTAGGTAGCACATTAATTCAAATCGGGGTGAAAGGGCCCCTCTACTCTCATAGGCGCTCTAAAATAACAAATCAAGCAAGGCGTCAACCTTCTTGAGGCATGACCAAGTTTTAACGACGTTCATTTGTAGCGGGAAAAAGTCCGGGGTCATCTCGAAAGGCGGATATTCTAGGTTCTGAGAAGAAGACATGTGCTGCTCCCAAAAAAGTCCTATGGCCCAGGCGCCGCCGTACATGTGCAGTTTGCCGGTGTAGAAACAGGAAAGCAGTCACTACTGAACTTATCTCCCATGATATGAATACTTGATATGCGCTATCTATAAATTGCAAAAGGTTATTAAGTACTATGACATCACTAAATCCCATTTGCTGACATACCCCGTTAAGCCCAGCTCTCCCACTTGATCGGCCCACCACGACGGAAGCCATGTCCGTTTCGAGAACAAAACTCACCGGTCAGAATCAACAAGAGCTGGCAGACATGAGCACACCTCCCTTGGCCCTAGCGGGCAAGACCGCCATCGTAACGGGGGCTTCGCGCAGCATCGGCTACGGGATCGCCTTGAAACTAGCCCAAGAAGGCGCAAACGTGAGCCCTCCTTGTCAACGACCTTGCTAGAAACCCTCTTGCACACACTCCTGTTGACGCCAACCCCCAGGTCGTCCTCGGATACACCTCCCCGTCAAGCAGCTCCAAAGCGGCCGAGCTAAAGGCAGCGATCGAGGCGCTGCCCCACCGCCCCAGGGCACACGCCGTCCAGGCGGACCTGGGCAGCCTCGAGGGCCCGGGGCATCTCGTCAGCGAGACCGTCAGGTGGGCCGGGGCCGAGGGGCTGGGCGGCAGCGGCAGCGGCAGCGGCAGCAAGATCGACATCCTCGTCAACAACGCCGGCCTCGAGCGCGTCAAGGGCCTGGCTGAGCTCGTCGTCGCGGACTACGATGCCGTGTTCAACGTCAACGTGCGGGGCACCATGCTGCTGACGCAGGCCGCGCTGCCTCACCTCGGCGCAGACGCGCGGGTTGTGAATATCTCGTCGGTGGGCGCCAGGGCGGGATTCAAGAACCTGGGGTTGTACTGCTCCTCCAAGGCCGCCCTAGGTAAGTCGTCCCGGGCCAGGGGATGTCGCAGGACTGAATACTCGCGACCTGCGTGGAGACGTGCGCCGTGATATTGGCTAACAATCCGTGAACGAGGGAAGAGGGCCTGACGCGCTGCTGGGCTGCTGAGCTCGGCGGGAACGGCACGACCGTGAATGTGGTGAGCCCTGGTCCCGTGCAGAGCGAGATGCTGGACAACATCCCCAAGGAGATCGTCGAGATGCAGAAGCAGCAGACCCCGGTGCAGAACCGCCTTGGCACCATCGAGGAGATTGCGGACGTCGTGGCCTGGCTTGCCGGGCCTTCGAGCTCGTGGATCACTGGCCAGACCATCAGTGCGAGTGGTGGGTGGGCGATGTACTGAGTGGTCATTGGCAGGAACACGGGCAGGGCAATGTTCTTTACACAGCAGAAAGTATGGTTCTGAAATGGTATTTTCATATGGCGAGTTCTTTACAACATGTAAACTGCCAAGGTGGAACTCCTTCGGAGTCAATAATAAATTTATTTGAAAGTGATAAGTTGATCAACCTCAGACCGTAGAATATTTCTCAAAAAGAAGATTACGAGCCCAAATTCCGAGTAAACATCAGCCAGTCTCACGGATCGCAGTCCGTCGCAGTAGCCAGATCCTCCCACGACTTCATATTACTCTCATGAGTCTCAATAACCCCACGGACGATACCGTACGAATCCCTACCCACAAGCAGCCTGGGAGGCAGTTCCCGCCCCTCACACGACCCAGAAGAAGTGAGGGCGTCCACGATGAGCCTGCACGTCTTGACCGGGTCCCCAGGCTGGTTCAGACTGACGGCATCAAACGCCTCCAGCGTGTCCCCGAGCGCGCCGCCGCCGAGGTCCTCGATGGTCCGTCCAGGCCGCACCTGGTGGCCCGGGACCAGGAAGTTGGTCCGCGTGTAACCCGGCTCCACGGCCGTGACCCTGATGCCGAGGTGGGCGACCTCGGCGCGCAGCGCCTCGGCCAGGATGGTGGCGCACGCCTTGGTCGCGCAGTAGATGCCCGCGCCGGGGGTGCCGTGCCACCCGCCGACGCTGCCGAGGTTCGCCACGACGCCCGAGCGCGCGGCGCGCATGACGGGCAGCACGGCGCGGATCATGTTGAGCTGGCCGAAGACGTTGGTCTCGAAGACGGCGGCCGCCTCGGCCCGGCTCGCCTCCTCGACGCCGCCGGCCAGGATGTAGCCCGCGTTGTTGACGAGGATGTCGATGCGGCCGCCGGGCGTCCTGGCCGTGATGTTTCGTACTGCTGCGGCGAGGTTCTCGTCCGTGTCTGTCACGTCGACGCGCTCCGTGAGGGCGCCGCGGGAGGCGAGCCCTGACAGCTTGGCTGGGTCGCGGGCTGTGGCGACGACGGTGTCTCCCCTCTCGAGGGCTAGCAGCGCGATCTCGCGGCCGAGGCCTGAGGTGCAGCCTGTGATGAGCCAGACTTTCTTGTCGGACATGGTGTAGTATTGTTTATATTGCAGGGTGCCTATAGTGCGGGACAATATCAATAGTCAAATCGAACTATATGAGAAAGTGATGAGCTTCTTGGATATGCTGTCAAGAATTAAGATATGATGACTATGACTTTAGCATTCAATCAATCTATTCTGTTGAGTTGTGTTGCCAGCCTTATATGCCTGGCTCCTATTGCGGCGATTGACATGATAATCGCCGACGGAGGACTTTGTTACGGATTCATATGTCGGTGATATCACTGCACGCAACATTCCTGCCACCCGACTGATTGGTAGGTTGGAATTAGTCTGACAGCCAAGACTGATGAACTCTGCAGGTATGAGTTCATTTGGCTCAAGTGCAGCCACGACATACTAGTAACAATTCATCCGATTTCGACCTATGTCCGGACCAGCGAGCTAGGCGATAGAGTATATGGCCCGCGGTGTTGGCCCGCGGTGTTAGCCCGCGGATGCCCAGAGGATGGGGCACGATTAAATATCATTGACGAGATCGGGTCTGGTGTCTTGGAGCCCCTGCAAAAACGTGTCACTAATCACGCACATAGGTCTTTTTGTACCCATGTCCATTCTAGCCAGCCCTACCAGGAAGGGGTGGAAATCCCGTAGGATCCTTCGAGTGGGCCAGAAGCTGCAGGCGGCACGAGGCGGCAGCCATCGCCGATACTTGAACCGCAGAACAAAGCCAGGGCCGCCAGGCTGCCAGGGAAGAATCACGGTCGTGCTCACGTGGGACCGGATGGGGGGATCTGCTAGGCTACAGTAGTGCCGATTTGTATGATACGTCGCAGTACCCGTCAGCACTTGTCTTCTGTCGAGCCATTGGCTGCTTACACTGCCGATCCACCAGCTGAGAATATGTCAGCTCGGGGGTGCTCACGTCGTACTTGGCGCGTAGGCGAGCCCGGACTGGGGTATACTGGGGGGAAGCAGCCTGGCTTGCCTGGCAGCCAATAATAAATTAAATATGTAAGCACACATCGAGCAGACACATCAGCAGGTCCTATCGCCGCCCTCGCCCGCCTTGGGGACACCGGAAGCAAAAAAAACAGGCTCGCCCGGCTGATGAGGACCACAACTCAGTTGATAACACAGACGGGAGAAACGATTCGCTGGCCATGCCTCACCATGGAGAACCGGCTCATCACCGCCCAAGACTTCCGCGCCTGCTCGCCAGGCACCAGCAGCAATGGCAGCGCCGGCGGCGCGCAGAGGACGACATGGGCCGCGCAGTGCGACTGGGAGCGCCACAGGGACCGCATCATTGACCTGTACAAGTTCCAGGATCACACCCTACGCAGTGTGATGCACATCATGCAGCATGAGCAAGGCTTTGTCGCAACGTAAGTGAGCCAACAGGCACTCACGGGCACTCACACGCTCTCTCTCTCTCTTATACACACTCACTCACTCACTCACCCCCTTCACCCACTCACTCAAAATCGCCACACGTCTGGGCTGGGCCTGGGCGCCATCCTTCGAGTGGCCCCTCAGCCACTCGTGCTTGTCGTACTGACCAATACTGACAACACAATGTGTACAGACCAAAGATGTACAAGTATCACCTGCGGAAATGGGGCATCCAGAAGAACCTCCGCGCAAAGCAGGCCCGGGAGCTGCTGCAGCAGACCAGGCACGCGGGCAGGGAGGTGACCGAGGTCTCCATCGGCGGCATCAGGGTCGACCAGGACCGCCTCCGGAACCTGCTCAAGCGAGCATCCAAGGCACAGCGCGGCGCAGCAGGCCCGCCAACAACAACAACCACAGTAGTGATACCACCAACAACAACAACCGCACTCTCGGGCAGCAGCGAGGCGAGCAGCTCGCCGGCGACGTGCCGGCTCTCGCCGCCCTCGCCACCCTCGCCATCCCCGCTGCCCACGGCCCGGCTCCGGCCCCCCCACCCCCAGCCACAGCTGGAGCAGGTCCTCCACGCGCTCCGCAGCTACGTGAGCGGCAGCTTCGGCGCGGGGCGGTGGACGCGGTCCCACGTGCCGTGGCAGGACGAGCTGGTGGTGGCGGCGCACAACTGCTCGTGGTCGGCGGGGCGGCTGATGAACGCGGGCCACGTGCGGGCGGCGTTCCGGCTGCTGTCGATATGCATGGACTCGTGCCGGCACCTGCTCATGACCGACACCCCCTACTTCCCGGCCAGCATCTACGCGCTGCTGTTCGAGTTCTCCAAGCGCCACGGCGACCTCAGCCGCGCCGTGCTCGGCTTCCTGCGCGACCTGAGCCTCGTCGTCTACGGGTCCCGCCGCCACCCCGTCTACGTCCTGTTCGAGGCCATGCGCCAGATGTCCTCGGCCCAGATGACCCAGTGCGCCTGGGCCGTCTCGCGCGCCTACCAGGACGCCCTGCTCGCCGAGCTGGGCGAGGGCTCCGCCTACGAGGCCCAGCTGGCCGCCCACAACGGCCGCAACCTCAGCTGGACCGCCGCGTACGGCGCCGTCGACGACCTGGGCGTCGAGATGGCCCTGCAGGAGAACCTCGAGGACGTGTCGTCGGGGGCAGGGGCCGGGGCCAGTGTTGATGGTGCCAGTCCTACGGCCAGCTTCGAGGCGCTGGAGGCGAGGCTGCGCATCGCCAACTTCATGCTGGACCGGGACCGCTACGCCGAGGCCCGGGACCTGGCGGAGGAGGTGCTGGCGCAGGCGCAGGCGGGGGAGCACGGCCCGGGCGCGCAGGACGCATACCTCCTGGACGACTGCTACCGGATCCTGTTCTGGGTGTCGCGGCGCGAGGGCACGGCGGAGGAGACCACGGCGGCGGCGGCGCGGTGGGTCGGCATGTGCACGGCGAGGCTGGGCCGGTGGCACGAGCTGACGGTCGACGCGCTCGGCGAGGTGGCCGGGTACCACCGGGACGCGGGCAACGCCGACGAGGCCGAGCGGCTGCGGCTGGACCACGAGGACGCCATCGAGGGCATGTGCGAGCGCCTGGAGCGCCTCGGGCTGGGCTACGAGGGCGCCACCCCCCAGCGCCGGACGGTGCTCTACGGGCGGACCACGCAGCAGCCGGATGCTGTGATCAAACGGCCGATGTTGTGTGAGGTGCCAGGGGGTTCGAAATAAACAAAATGCTTGAGTGCCATCAAAACGTACGCACTTGTTCCTGGAGAACGCCAGCGAGACAGGGTCGTGATGGGATCTGATATATATAACAAAGTTTAGTTGCATAATAGCCCGGACATAGCGTGAATTGATACCATGAGAAACCACTGCGCTTCTTGAACAAGGACGTGCTAGAACAGTGACCTCGTTTGAGACGATGACGGCAACGGGCGTATCCTCCGACGGGTTGATGAGCTTGTCCTGGCCTGGAGGCTAACTCCAGCCACTTGAACTCGTGTCTTACCAGGCGTTGAGGTACTGCAATCGGGCCGTGTGCACACCTGGGCAAGAACCACCACCCAGTCCTAGCATATGCCGTCGAGCACATCTCGTGGTAGCCGGTGTGGTGCATCCGGAAGACCACGGCTTCCCTCAACCACGGCCCCACGGCATCAAGCCCTCTATGGGCAATTGCTCCTGACAGAAATCAAAACCCCGTCTCCTGAACACCACATGTGAGACATCCCATCCCACCCCATCCCATCCCCTTCCCTTCCGCCGCCACGCATATACATGGTCTTTTCGGCATGCCACCAGGCCACCCACAGCCCATCCGCGCCGACCGGTGACAGCCGTTAATAATTCATCCCGAGACAGCGGCCGCAGGCTGGCTGCCGGGGCCGGGGAAAGCCCGCCGCTCCTCGGCTACCAGGGGGAGCGCAGGAAAAAAAAGAAAGAAAGCAAAAGCAACACACGCCTGCAGGTCGACCGAACAGGCATACCTAACCATGTACCTGCCTGCCAGAGCACTGTGAACGATCTTTACCGGAAACAACGCTCGGTCTGGACCCATCTGCTTTTCCCGGACCCGCGCTTCCGTGTCACATACGAATAAGAAGCTCCCCCGGGGGTCAGGTCCAGAGGTGTCCTCCAGACCCCCCAAAAGCAGGCAGGCCCGTCCGCCGCGGCCAAGTACAACCGCCTATCCACAACCAACACCAAGCGAATCACAAAAGTCTCGCCGTGATAATAAACAAGTAGCATATACATTCCCGGTCCTGTCTGGTATCCAACTGCTGCAAAAGAAGGCCGGCCCTGCACATAACCAACTCCAGTAATTATAACAACAAGGTCAGATGGAACTCCGCTCTCACCGAAAACGCTTTCAACCCCAGTACATACATACATAGCTAGCTATCCGCGGATACAATCCATCCCCTGTTTCCCCCCGCCCAAGCGCCGGCCCCAGAAACGAGATGCGAAGCGTTCTCCCTCCCTCCCCTCCACCCCCTGTCCGACCCCAATCAATGTGAGGACCACCCACCCGCCCCATGGTATCGATATAGTAACACGCGGCCGTGCGAATAGACAAGATGCGTTTTCCCCGGGGATGGCAGTCATACAGGTGTCAGGCCCGCCCTGGTGGTCCAAGCCATGAAACAAAAAATATACAAAAAAAAAAAAAAAAGCGAACGATAGGCCAATGTGTGCCTCCGTCCGTCGGCCACTCAAGAGGCCCACCCGTCCAACACCCAATCAATAGCCCACCCCGCGGCTAGCAGGTATGATCTTCGTCCACTTGCCCGTGCGGCCCCAGTCAACCTTCTTCTGGCTGCCGCCGAGGCGCTTAGCCTGGTCCGCACGGAACGCCTCCGAGACCAGGAGCGGCTCGGGCATCAGCCGCGCATGCGACGAGTACGGCAGGACCTTGGGCACGCGGATCGTCGGCTCCTTCTTGGGCTGTGTCCTCTTGCGCTTCTCGGCGCAGGCCTCGTTGAGCTCCTTCATGTCGGACGTGATCTGCGCCTTGATGAACGCCAGGTCTGCCGTCGACGCGTCCTCTTCCTTGAGGGTCTGCATGACGGGCACCCGCGGGATGTACTGGATCTGGTCGAGCTGCGGTGGGGCTTCTGGGATGATGGCTTCATCGAGTAGGGCTTCGTCTCCCCTGGCGAGTAGTTGCTGGATGTCGATGGACTCCCCTGGCGGGATAGCAGTGTGGTGGGATGGGGTTATGCAGGGCATGTCGACTTCCTTGCGGAGGACGTGGTCTATGTCGACGGCGCTGAAGAAGGCGCACGACTGCGGGAGGTCGTGAATGCCGACCTGCTGGGCGAACATGCACCGTGTCCAGATGTTGGCAACCTGGAGTGCCATGGCGGCCCGGTACTTGTCCTCGTTCTTGACCAGGTACCGGATCTCGTCGTGCACCGAGATTGCGAGGCGCGCATCGATGTTGAAGCGTCTGGTCAAGTAGTCCATGGAGACTATCAGAAGGTGGAGGTAGTCGACGCCTGAGCTTTGGATCGCCCAGTTGATGCGGCTGGTCAGGAAGCCGCCCTTGCTCACGTAGCTGCTCATCAGCGCCTCCGTGATCCCAGCACCGAGCACGGGTGTACGCGGGCGGCGCTGCTCGGCAAATTCTTCGAGCTTGTTGAAAATGAAGGATTCCGTGCCGCCTCGCCAGAATTTTCCCTTGTAGAGAAGCTTCCGATAGGACTGTACCCCTTTTGTGGATGTGTACAGCTTCGTCGCGGTGTTGTATGCCTCACGCTCGGAGAGGGCCGGATTGAACTGGCGGAGTAACTGGGCCGCGAACTTTAAGCCGGCGCCGTATATCCGCCCATAGTTGAAGACTTTGGCTTGATTCCTCGAGATCCCGAGAATTGAGGCGGTCCGGGAATGGAGGTCGGTTCCAGCAGCCTTCGTACCTTCTAGCGTCATGAAACCGATTGCGTTGCCGCCATGCATCTGGAATATGGCGTCGCCCAGTAGACTTGCAATCCAAAGCTCCTCCGAGTCCACATCGGCGCCCACGAAGCTGTAACCCGGGGGAGCCTTGACCATTGCCTTCAGCTCCGAGCCTACCCTGGTCTTCTTGGCGTTGCTCGCTGTCAGCCAGGTGTTCTCAACCGCTCTCCTCGTGACGGTGCCCATAGGTATGACCTGTGGGAGGATGTAACCCCGAGCAGACTCCCCTGCCTCTTCTCCCTTGGCCACCTGCAACTCCTTCTCGTAAACAACCAGCTGCGACTTGATCCTTTCCCGCGCGCTGATCCAGTATGAACAAGATGCGTTCATCTCTAAAGCCTCCTTCGCATAGGCATACTCAGACGTCAAGACCCCGCTTTCGAAATAGCCCAAATAACTCTTCGCCATCGGGTTGGCGCATCGAGCCGTGGGGCCGTCCTTGTGTGGTACCTTGAAGTAAGCTCCGCTCACGTCGTCTCGCAGTAGAGGGATTGTCTTCTCGTCCGTCATAGAGCAAAACTCCATCGACTTCTTGATGTAATCTTCTTTCTTTTCAAGAGGAACGCGGAAGGTCCACCCGTGCTGTTCCGACCAGAACAATGGGTTCCCGTCCCACGATAGCCTGAGCAGCAGAGGTGCTATCCTCGTCCGCACCGATATGTTCATAGGTGCATCTTTAGTCGGGAATAGATCTTTGTACCATTTTGGCATGCCAGGCATTTTTTGATTCTTGGCTAGCCTTGGTTTGTCGTCCTTCTTTTTGGCCTTTACCCATCTGACCTCCTGTCCCGACCAATCCAGCTGCTTCAGCCAAGGGTCGCTGCTCCATTTTGTCTCATCATTTTTCATTTCGACGGCCGTCTCAGCCAGTGCTATGAGACGCTCTTGGACGCCAAACGACAATTCTTGATATTTTGCCTCGGCGGTGGCAATGTACGACTTCCAGGATTCGTCGACTGGTAGTATGACGGAGGACAAGTGCCGCAGTGCGGCAAAGCTGACCGGATGGGGACATGTATTGAGGAAGTTGGTGAAGACGATCGAAAAGACACGGTGTGTGACGGCGACGTCGGCTGCGCAGTAGCTGATGAGGTCGTCAAGCTTGTCCATAACCTTGTCTCGATCCAGCCCGCTGAAGTCGTCTCGTGCAGATTTGTCCATGGAGACGTTGAGATGAAATTTAGCAACATCCCGAAGGGAATTGATGGAGCTCCTCCCAACCCACAGTTCCTCCTCCTCCATCATTTCGATCAGGCCGAAGTTTCCCTCGGCTCGGGCAGTCCGCTCTTTCTCTCGATTCTTTTGGGCCTTGATCCAAGTTGGCCTTTGTTGCGAGCACATGCCATTTACTGCCACATGCAGTGACATGGTGTCCAGGAAGCAATTCCTTGTCTGCTTCAAATCATATTCCTCGAGTATTCTGGCCCTGTCATAGCCGACGTTGTGGCCGACGACGATCCGATCTTTCGTAGGGTCTCCCAGTGGCACGAGCTGGGTCTTGACATCGGTCTCGCCCAGCAGCCAGGGCGAGAGCCACACGTACCAGGCCGTTGGACTCGCAGCGCAGGCCATGACAGCAAACGGGTTCTCCTCCCACATTACTTCGACGTCGAATGACAGCATGGTCTCGTCGGGCGCTTCCACCTCTTCCACAATCTCGGGCCCCGACCCGTCTTCACAATAATATTTTGTCCACCCGCTCCGGCGTACCCATTGCCTCGGCTGTTGGGGCGTTTCCGACTTTGCGAATTGCTTTGCGTACGACAGGAACGGCTCCGCGGCATCCGTGCCGAGCCTGAAGAAATGCTCATCGAGCGTCTCCGTGTCCGGGGCTTGTAATTTTGGGAGGACGAACGCGATAGGGTCGGTCGGGTCGGTAGTCTTGCCCAGGAGATCCTGACGCCGTAGATGATCGCGTGAGAGCTCGACGAGTTCCTCTGGAGGAGGGGGGACCTCGTGACCCCTGGGAAAGACTTGCTTGTAGATGTGCTCGCTCAGCTGCTGAACCCCGATGGGGTTCTGGCGGGCGGTCGACGGTATAGCAAGCGTGCTGTTAACCGTCTGGCCTTCGACTTGGGCCGCGGCAGTGGCAGACTGCCATCGAAGTTGTGCTGGCCATCTCCGGTGTGCGCGGTGCCTCGCCAGGCGGACAGAGCTCGCGGTGGCGCAAGCACCTCGGAATGGACTTCTGAGGGAGCTGATCATTCTATCGCACCAAGTCTCGCATTTGTGCGCCGCGCTGCCGGCTGTATCGAGCGTTTGGCTCCGGCGGCTGGACGGGATGGGCCCGTTCGTAGGTGGGGTTGAAGGTGTCGTGGGATGGTTGTCGCAAAGGGGCGAAAGAGGGCAGTGGTTTTCAGGGTTCCCTGGGTCATAGATTGGACGATGGCGCTAAGGATGGTACCTAGGTATCATGGCTGGGCGTCGTGCCTGACGGTACGGCATATCTCAGTCCATGACCACGAACGGCGTGGGTCGACGGGGAATTCCAGATGAACGTGCTTCTTTGCTGGCTGGTAGCGTGCCAGGAGGAGTGCACAGTAGCGTCGCGTACTCTGATGCGCGTTAGATTATCTCAGTCTTGGGCGGGAAGCCTTGGGCAGGTGCGACTGGCTCGTCGGCACTGACATGGATGGGCATGGGTTTTGGGGTGTGGTGGTAACACGGGCAGAGAGAAAAGTTGCGACGGCGTGGGTGGGTTACTCGATTGAGAAGCTCCCCACTCCCAAAAAAACCAAGTGACAGACAGGGGTCCGTCGCTAACATGGGATTCTGCCCCTGCCCGTTCCATAAGCAGCACCTCCACACGCCCAGGGCCGCACCCCTGCCGCTTTGCCAAGCCCAGCCCTGTAAGCCAGTCGACGGATTAATGTTCAATGACAGACGTGCAGTACTCCGTACCGTGAGCTCACGGACCCGTGGTCCAGCTTTGGGACCAACTTGCGAATGGCGTTCCTACGGGGGTGGGCACGGATGTCATATGTACCTAGGTACCTAGGTACTTGACTTGAGTGGTAAACGGGCAGGCCCAATGAGATGGATGGTGGCACATGTGTGGTCCGAGTACTCGGTTGTAGCAGGGCTGAAGTGGTGTTTGATTGCCCTCACTGCCGCATTGATTCTTGCCCGAGCTGCAAGTTTGCAGTCCAGAGCATGTGTTGTGTCTCGTGGATTCTGGCAGACCCGCTGGAGCTGTCTGGCCTGCCCCGGCTGTCAGGATTTCGGACAGCTCATCAAAGTCTCCTGTGGAATTTGACATGTCACCAGGCAGGTGTACGGAGTATACCTAGGTGCCTAGGTACATATGTACTTGGTTTCGTCGCCGTGAGGACTGACCACAAAAGCGAGCCTCGCTGGTGGTTTCCTTCCTTGCCTTACTCGTCGCTCTGTGCCAGCCTGCTTGTGCTTCCCGACAGGCGGATCAGCTCGTGCCGTTACAGCTGCTGACACTTTCCAAGTGGGATACTCCGTACATGAACCAACCCACTGCAGTCTAGACCGCATACATATGTGCATTACGGAGTACGTAGCATATCACATCGGCCTTTGGAGGCAGGCAATAAAGCATGAGTACAGATGACTGATAGATACCTGCCTGTGCGTGCAGGTCTTGCCCCCTTCCCCTTCCCCCCTTCCCCAAAAGGCCCAGCTTGCAGCTCCAGGTCCAGCTCTCCCGATCCCGCCCCTCCCGCAGAAGACGTCCTCTCGTGCTTTCCCAAGCTGTTGGTCCGCCCCCTCGCTTGTGCGCACCTCCCTCCCCAACCCCAATCAAGCTTGCTGGCCTGGTGAGGAGTAGACCAGGAGAGTGGTGGCCCCGTAACGCTGTGCCGCACCTGCACCTTATTATATCTATACCTAGTACTTTAATCTGGCCCAGTCCAGCCTCCCAGGCGTATATTTCTTTCAGCCCACCCGTTCGTTCTCAAGTGCTCCACTGCTTGTGCTCCTCTCCCCTGTGAGGTGTGTGATGACCACTCTACAAACCCTGCCTGCGCCCACTCCAGCTTTGTTCTGCTACTGCTGCCGCCGCTGCTGCTGAGTTGCTTATTCCCATCCCATCCCAATATTATCTGGGTCTCCGTACAAGAGGGCACACCACAGCCGAGCGGTGAGAAGATACGGATACATTTGATCACCTCTTTCCACCCCCCAGTCGCACTCAAATACAGCCCAGCCTCCCGTGTCCAGGGCGCCGCCTTCCCCTCCTGCGTCCTGCACCCTGCGTCCCGAGTCCTGTACCCGTACCGTGTTTTGAGTTCTGAGCGTCGTCCCCGTGCAAACAAGGGCGAGACGCCCGCCGACCTTTGCCGCCCTGCAACCTTCAAAAGCCTCTCAGCTCCTCGTCAACCTTGCCCCGAGGAGAGGCCATTTTACCTGCCTGATCCCTTGGAACCTGCCTCATTCTTCACCCACCATTATTGTTCCTCTCCTGTTTCCTCTTCTGCCTCGTGCTGCTGCTCTGTGACGGCGTTGAGATATGCGATGCTCATTCGACCTGGACTGTATATCACCACCACTCTGCCAGCGGCCACAGCGACATCGCCAGTGAATCCATCAACCCGACAAGGGCATCCTTGGTGGCCCATTGAGTGCTCTAGCCGGGTGAGGCGACCTGGGTTGAAAGAAGGACGTCCCCAAAGCCGCCGACACTGACTGACCACAGTGGCTCGCCCTCCTTACTCATTCACAACAACCATGACAAACTGGTCTCCGTTCTTGTCGTCGGACGGAATGGACGCTTGGTTTTCAGGTTAGGACCTTACCTATTCTTTACCTGCCTGCGTGACTGACGACTCGACTTCCGTTCTCGTCCTGCCTGCACCTTGTCACTTTCACTTTCACTCTCACTTTCACTCTCTCACTCTCTCCCCTTCCCTCTCCTCTCCTCCACAGCACGGCACCGTTCAGCTTGCAGTCCCAATCCCTTCTACCCACCCAGAATCCGAGCTCACACCAGCCTGTTTCTGTGTCTTCCCCCCCAGCCAGCCCGCATTCAATTTCCCAAGCTGCCTTGGTTATTTCTCGTTGCCTTCTCCTGCCTGGGCAACCAACCCCACGTTTGATCGCCTCCTGACCGTCTCCTTCCCTCGGATTTTAGGATCCTGGCCGGACCAGCAAGTGCAGACGAATTCACTTGCACCACATCCCGGTCTGCAATCCAGCCATCCCTTCCTACCGCCTCTGCTCAACTCCCTCTCTGCCTTCCACTCGACCCTGGGCTCGCCGACTCACAGATTGGGTCGCCTCACAAGTCTCGGCCGCACTGCTGCAGCTTCTCCAGCATACAGGACTGCCCCAGGCATCGGCGGTCAGTCGCCCTTCACAGCAGCCCAGGCAGTGTCGACGTCATCCCAACTAGCCCGCCGCCGCCGCCGTGACGGACCATCGCTGGCCCTCTCACATAATCCCAGCACGGACCCCTACCGTCCTTTTCGCCCGACCGACTTCGTCCCGAATACAGCCGCAGCAACAACATCAACAACACATTCGTCAGCAGCAACAACAGCCAACTCTAGCCAAACCTCGGGTCAACAACATAATCACCTGCCCCTCTTCCCCCAACCCTCAGCCAGTACCGCCCCCCAAACCCTCCACAACCTCCTCACCTCGCCACTCGACGACTTCGACTTCCTCAACCACAACCCTCGCCCGCTTCACCATCGCGACCCGAACAGCGACGACCTCCTCGAAGCTCTCGCCACCGGCGACTTGTCTTCGCCTTCCTTGCCACCCCGCAGTCCTCAAAGTCCACACCAACCCCCTTCTCGCCTCCAGTTCTTCGACGACAACCCGCCCCCTCGACAGGAATCCGATTCGCGCCCTTTCATCACAGCAGCCCACCAACTGCCCGACCCCGTGACTGGGCTGTACAAGTTGGAGGACCAGGGGGACGGTGACGACGATTTAGAGGACGACAATACCCTAGATTCACCGCAGTCCGACATGCCTCCTACCAGAAAGCGCGCTCGTGCCGCCGTGGCCGCCTCGCCCAACGAGCACGACGTCGGCCCGTCTGCCCCCAAGCGGCCCCGTACCTATGTTTCCCAGAGGGCGGCCACGCCTGGGCGTTCAAGAATTACCCCGCGACCTGCAACCTCGAGGAACTATACCCCCGCGCCCGTCCCAGTTGAGTCTGACGACAACGACCTCGACAGCCTCTTTGGTGGAGATGGTGACTCGGGCAAAGTGGAGGTTTTTGATTTGACCAAGTCTGAAGAGGAGATACCTAAAGAGCTCTTCCAGCCCGTCAAGGACAGCAGCATCAAGCTGTCTGCGTTTGAGTGCGTCATTTGTATGGATGCCGCCTCCAACCTGACAGTTACTTGTTGTGGTACGTCTATCTTTGCTTGCCTAGCACGCACTGCCAGTTTTCACCAGTGGTTTCCTAACCGTACATGGCAGGCCACATGTTCTGTGCTCAGTGCCTCCACCAGGCCATGCACACCGAACTTACTAAGAAGGTCTGCCCGATGTGCCGCCAGCGCTTGGACAAGCCGGTTTCGAAGTCCAGGCCGCCAGCAAAGGCCTTTTTCCACCTCGAGCTGAAGCTTCGACCCTCTAAGAAGATGGGAAAACAACCTGCTCGACGTTGATCCACCGATCCCCACGACGTAGAGAGGGTCTCGCAAGGGGCATAGACTGGTTGGTGGCCACGAAGCTGCCTTGACGTGGGCAGTGACAGCCGCATCGATGTGGGGTCAAGGATGGCCTTCGGTAAATGGAGCAATAATGAGAGGATGTCAACAGAAAGACATTCTACGCGCCTTTTCTGGTTGAAAATCCTGGCATGTGTGTGTACCACAAGCCGGCAGGCCGTACAACGAACGGTTTGCAGCATTCACGATGGTTTTGAAACAAAATACCCATATTGCATTTGCGCGGCGTCTTGCATGGCTGGTAAAGGGCCTGGAAGGGGGGCGGCGGCGGCGGTCACAGGATCGACAATTACGGGTTTGTCACTCTACTGGTACATAGGTAAATACCCGATGCGAGCTTCCTTTTCTCCCTTCATGTTGCTTTCCGCCGAGAAAGCCGAGGGCAGGAAGCCTCGACAAGCAACACATGGAAACAAAGACATAATGCCATGGTTTATTTCTTGCACCTTACTCGGTGACTCCTTGTTCCTCCGTGCATGGGCCAAGAGCGTTCATTGTCCCGAGGACATCGTGACCATGCTAATGCACGCAGACTGAATCTCTTGGAGGCAGTGACTCGGACACCCGCATGCTCCTAGCCGTAATCCACTCACTAGGTAGGCGGCTGATTGCTCTCGTGTGCAGCAACAACCCGCTCGCAAAAGTATTGCAACAAGTCTATTGACGATCCTCGTAGGCTAGATCATATGCCCAATCAACTTTTTTGCTCGCCGACTCCCTCACGCGAATGCATGCCCAAAAAGTCACCAACCACCAGAACACACAAGGACCAGCCAACCTCCACACACACCTTTATCTGCCAACGTAGACTGTCAGGCCCCTTGAGATGCATTCATCCATCGATACATAGGTAGTCGGACTCTGCTCCAAACCTGGGTCAGGCCAGAAAGCCCCTCCCCAAAATACCCCATCTCGCCTCGCCCCATGCCATGCATGGAAACAACCCAACCCACTCACTCATTCACTCAATCAGTGGAACAGCACCGGCAAACCCCCAGCCTGCGGGCCGCTATCCCTCTTGGGCGCCGCCATCTCCTCCTCGAACTCGAGGAACCCCGTCGCGGCGATGAGGACCACGAACGACTCGGCCAGCTCCTCGACGGCGTCCTCGAGGGCGGCGCGCGCCTTCACCTCCGCCTCCTTGTTGTTGCTACCGGCACCAACACCAGCAGCAGCACCGCCAGGACCAGCAGCCCTGCCGATCCCGGCGCTCCGCTTCAGCGTCTGCACGACGAGCATCCTGTGCTCGGAGAGGAAGCGGCGCGCGGGGCCCTGCGCGACGCTGCTCTGCGGGCCGCGCGTCAGGACGGCCGCGCAGACGGCGCGGGCCACGCGCACCAGGAGGGCGTAGTGCCTCTCCAGCAATGACGAGGTGTTGCCGCTGCTGTTGTTGTCCTCGAGGAGCTCCGGGTCCGCGCCAAAGAGGCCCGACTGCTCGACCGCCGGGAACAGGTTCGCCTGCAGCGCGTGCTTGGCGCCGTCGCGGGTCTGGCAGATGGACAGGAGCAGGGCGAGCCTTGCGTTCCAGAGGAGCTCGGCCTCTGTGTTTCCTATTTTTGGGGGCGGTGGTCCCGCGGTTAGCGGCTGGCTAGGTCATGTCGTGTGTGCGTTGGTTGGGTTGGGTTGGGGGAGAGGGAAGGGGGCGGGGCGGTTGGCTCGGGCCTGGGGTTGGCTGGTCGGTTTGTTGGTCGGCTTGTTCTGATGGACTTACTTGTCTGGGTGATCTCAATCCACTCTGCCAGCACGTTCCTGAGCGAGTCGACCAGGATGCCGATGAAGTTGAGCCTGTTAAGATTCTCAACGACATACGCATCGTCCTCGACGCTGCCCACCTTGACCAGGGCGTTGAGCAGGATGAGGGCCGCCGTCTGGCACGCCGTGTCGGCCCCGTAGGCGTCGTCGCAGATGACGTTCAGCAGCCTCTCCCCGTGCACGTGGATCGACTTGACTGCCTTGTGGCGGCTGGGCAACGAGTCCTGGTCCTTCTGGACTATGCCCGCCAGGTAACGGTAGCAGATGCTATAGTACACGGCGCGGAGCTCCGAGCTACCCGCCCATTTGCCGACGGCCGCCAGGCAGATCTGGAAGAGCTGGAACAGCTTGTCGCTGACCAGGTCTCCAGATCTCCGCACGTCTTTGTTCTCGCCTGTCGCTGTCGAGAAGTCAATCTTGAAAAGCAGAATCTTGGCCAGCTTGGCCAGTTCATATGCCTCGTCTGGGCTGTCGGACGCATATATCTCCAGGCTGGGGAGGACTGCCTGGAGAGCTTGGAGAAGGAACGACGTCTGCGCACTGCCCTTGAATTCGTTTGACTCGAACATGACCAACAGCACATTGCTCCAATACCTGAGGACTTTGAGGCGGAAACAGCTCAGCTGTTTTTGCCGGTTCGAGAACTCCAGAAATTCCACAAGAAGAATCTCTTCCCTGTCCAGCAACTCTATGTCCTTCTCGACGGCAAGCTGACCCTGGCCGGCGAACTCACTGCGTTTCAACGTTAATATGTCCTTCACCTTCCTGATATTGTATATTGGGTTGCCATCCGAATCCTCAGCCAAGCAAGGCCTCAGGTCTAGGTCACGGTAGTATTGGAATTGTGGCGGTGGCACCTCCCAGTTCTGCCCATCCGGCGGAAGGAAGTCGAAGAGATCAAAAATGCTCGAGACCGGCATGATCTCGCCATCATCACTCTTAAGCTGACCATTGAGCGCGTCGATAAGTCGCCGTTTGAAGTGCGGCAGTCTATGCTGCGAGACGCTGCACAACTCAATGCTGGCATACTCGAGGGTGATGGCGCGAAGGGCAAGGAAGGATATAAAAGTCATGGATGATTCGCTTATCAGGAATTCCGGCCCATTCATAAGCTGCCCATCCCAGGACAACAACGGGTGGATAGGAATTTCGCCGAAAAGTAGGTGAAATAGGAACTCGTTATCCCTAAGCTCAGCCAAGACGATCGGCGCGGTCAAAGCTGATGTCCAGAGGATTCGGAGGATCCTCATAATCTTGAACTTCAACTCAATCGTCCATCGCCACATGCCCGTCTCTTCGTCACCGAAAGGTGTCTCGAGGAGGACACGTAACAGGTTGTGGAACATGGAGGTGCGTGAGTCGAAGTCTCCTTCAGTCTCGACGGATACCGAGTCCATGCCGCATCGGAAGCCCAGCAACAAGTGGGCTATGGTAGGTTGGTTGGGGGTTGCCTGTAGGCAGGCGAAAAGGAAGTCAAGGATGTACAACTTGATCATATAGTTCGGTGAATCTGCTCCTCGTGCCAAGTCGAGAGGCGCCGTCAATTCTGCGACAAACGACCCAGCAATTGACTCACCGTCACCATTGGATTCCAAAGCCACGATAGCTTTGTTGCGATGTGTCTGTCCGAAGTGGCCAGGGTTCCAAGCTGAAGTTATCCTGGCCGAGGACGAGACATTCTCGAGCAGTTTCAGACACGCGAGTGTCAGTGCTGGATGACCCATCCCACAATAGCGGCCCAAGTTCACGATCAGAGGAAGGTGATTCATCAATCCGTCAGCGAAGGACGTATAGGATGTCGCAACCGGTTCTCTCTTGATCGACTGACTGCGGAGAAGCGGGCGCACGAGATCGGCATACGTATCCTGCATATCGAGCACTTTGCTGACAACCTCGATGGCGCGTAGCGTGCTCAATATTATCGGTGAATCTGGGGGCGCACTGGCGAGTTGAGCGATGTCATCCGGATGTCTTTGGTTGACTGCTTCAAAAAGCGCAGCCATAACTCGCTCGTTGAGCATCCATTCCATGACACGCGCGAAGGGGTGAAGTCTGATGTAGGTGGCAAGATCCGTCGTCGCTATGATGGAATCCACAGGGATATTCGTTTCATTGCCGAGCAGGATCAGATCTTCATTGAAGGTTTCGAGACATAACAGCGAAAACTCGAGGCAACTCAGCCGGAGCATCCTCATCTGTGTCATGTCCTGCAAAGATCCGGAGTTATCGGCGAAGACAAACCCCAGGACATAGTCCACGTAAGGATCGATTCCCGGCATCCTGACCTGGGAGCCCAGATCCTCGGGAAAGGGGAGAGCATCACTCAACGGTGACGATTCGTTAACGGGGCAGATCAGAGAGTTCAGGAACTGGACGACTGCGTTTGGCTCCTCAAAACCGCGAGAAAGTTCCAGCAACTGCCTTCGCATTTGAGCGGCCGGGCTTTGGTTGGTCGGCCCAACCGGTTGTCGTCCTTGTATCTGTGGCGGGTTATGCTGTCCAGTCGCCCACGAGTCGAGTACAGCCCACATTATGGTACCCTCCTCGTCCGATTTGCGACTCATCAGCGCCCGCAGCGCATAGAAAGTATAAGACTTGAGCCGGGGAGGGATGGACGTGCTGGCCAGAAGGAAAAGCCCTTGCACCAGGTTGAAGTCATCGGTAAGGAGAAATGTCCTGACATCCTCGCTTTGGGACGATAGCTTGGTGATGAGTCTCAGATAACACTCGAGCATCATGGCCGATTCGGGTTCCGCCTCTGCTTGTTCTGGTGGGGGCTTTCCAGAGCGGTATATGTGTGATTGTGACGTGGAAGGTCGCTCCCGAAGTTTGACAGTGAAGAAATGAAGTTCCTTGAAGATTTGGGTCCACGTCAGTGAGAGTGACTTCCGCATCTTGCCAGATGCAGGCTGGTTTTCATCCAGAAGGAAATTGTGAGCGGCTGTAGCACAGGCATCATCGTCCGAGAGCGACTGCAGCATTTCACAGAAGGCGCTGACGAGTGGTGTCGACGCTCTTCGGGAAGCCCAGTGGAGGAAGCCAGCCAGGTTACTGTCAGGGTCTGTCCAAAAGGCTGAGGCTGCATCAGGCCGGCCTTCGTACGCGTAGGCGATGATCAACAGAAATCGTTCCAGATCTAGATCTTGCTCATGAGTTTGACTGAGCTGGCGTTGTTCGTCTTCTTCGCTCCGCATCCTGCGAAGTGCATCTGGAAGGTTGGAAATGAGGCCCTCTACCAAGTTCTCCAGGTGAACCATGAGAACTGTCTGGAAAGGGTCCGAGAACTGTGCAGTTTCGAGAAGAGAGGGTGACTTTCGCTGTAGCCAATGCCGTATTCCCAGCCGACCAGCGTCTAGCCATTCCGGAGTCTTCACATCCGCAGCAACAGAAAGGATGAAGTCAAAGGCGCCGGCTTTCATAGCCTCGTTGAAAGGCCCGAAGAACGTTTCCTCGTCTGAATCCAAACGTTAGCGTGCGTAAGATCATAAGAAGACTGATACTTACCAAACTTCTGCCTGCCCGTCTCGCCAATTTGGGTGAACCAGCCCGAGTATTCGGCAATCCACCATACCTGAACTGCAGCATGGAGATATGGCATGACCCAGCTGTCGTCATCGGACTGTTTGCAAATCAACTTGTTGAACTCCTCCCCTTCTTCCTGGGAGCTGCTCCCCTCCGTGGATCCGAAACAAGAGACATAGGCGCCAATGACAGGGAAGAAGTGGACTGAAGGAGCGAGTTAGCATACATGTCTGGATAGCACCTGAAGGCTGTTCATACCTAGGAGGTGATCATAACGATCCACCTTTTGCAGATATTTGAGTAGTTGCTTGAAATCTTCCGGCTTCGCGTGACGTTTCTCGATCGCGCTCGCCATTATCAAAGCCAGCAGCTCGTGCTGCTGGGCGAGGCTGACCCTCGAGAACTCGACCACCTCATGGTAAGGCAGACGAGGGGCAGCGCCAGAGTAGACGACATTCGCAGTAGTCATCCGATCTGCAAGCTTCTGGAACCAATTCTTGATGTCCTGCATGGCCGCCATACAGCGGGACACAATCTTTGCATTATCCCTCCCGCCATATATGTTCTCGGTGACGTATGTGCCAAACACATCTTGTAGGGGCTCGAGCTCTTCATCGTCGGAGGTTCGTATCTGGATGCAGAGTCGCATGCAATCGAGCAGATACCTGCGTTGTTGGTGGAACCGGATGACACCGCATTCCAGCAGCGGACGGCCGAGGGTTCGAGTGTCGTCCTGAGATTGGAGAAGCAGTTTTGCCGAGTCCACCTCGTCGATGTCTAGCTCGTCGGCGAGCTGGAGTGCCATCTCCTGGAATTCCGCATTGATCGAGTATACTTCGTCGTCAACCGTGATCTTTCCTGCGGTGTGAAACTCCATCAGCATCGGTGTCCAACTGTCGATGAATGGTGGGTGCGCAACGAACCGGTCTTGACAGCATCGCGGCTAGCATTGCTCCTGGGTCGCCTGTCGAGGAGCTTCTTGAAAGCCTCGGCGTGGGCGTCGAGCTCCTGTTCGAGGAGGTGGAGGCTCTCAAAGCGATGCTCGCAGGCGGCGACCAGCTCTCGGTGGAGGGCCTCAAGGCCATCCAGGGCAGTGACTCCGGCCATAGTGAACTGCTCTGCTCTAGTCTGCCGATTTCAACGCATCGCAGGCCTTCCTATCTCGTTTCCGCCGAATCGGTCGCGCAGCACTGGGTGGATGCAGGGTGCTGCAGTGGTTCTCGTGGTGCCAGCAGATACAGGCGCTGGCGCTGGCGCTGTTGAACTTTTGGGGCAGGGAAGCTGTCGCGTACCGTATGTACACAAATTTGGCGGCAACGCGGTTCGGCCGTCCGTCCACACATGGGCCGTTCGTTGCCCAGGGGCCGGGTTTGGTTTGTTAGACTTTCTGCAGCCTTGTTGCCGTCTCCCCAATCATAGGGCCGGTAAATGTGGAGCTGGCTCACATATGGCCAGAGCTCCCGGTCGGGGCTGGCAGGGGTGCTCCTAGAACCATGCAAGAGAAGTCGCATCGGAGCGCTTTCAACGCCAGCTCCTTCCTGCCTGATCTCACATAGCTGCACTGCACTCTTTCACGTCTTCACATCATGGATTTGAGAACTGAGAACAACGCCAGACCAGATCCCATGCATAGCATTTGAGGCCGACCTGTGCACCTGGTACCCTTTTGCGAGGAACATGTCCGTCTCATGCCGGTCGCATACTCAAGGATGGTCTTTCTAATTCGGCCCCATTACAGTTCCCATATCACGGATTCGATCCTGGCTTGTGGATGTTGATTCAGTGCAACCGGCCTGCAGCCTTGCCCTGCGTCCTCTCAGCCCCTGGTTTCCTCTTCCCACTCAATGCCACATTTTGTTGGACGATAGCCTCGCCTTCATGATATCCTCAGCTGTTGGGTTTCACAATGCCTCCGCGGAAGTCGGCCTTGCGGCCGCAGGCCACCAATCTTGCGCAACTCAAGAGCGCCATCACCGGAACACCGGTGACAGCTCGCAGTGAGGCGCTGGAAGGTAAGTCATAAATAGAATCACCATGCTTGCCTAGTGTCATAAGCTGCTAAATCACCTACAGACCTGGCCGCTTTCTTCCGGAATCCTTCATTGAACCAGTAAGGCCCGTGTGTCCCGCTTTTTGGCGCTTTGAAGCTGAGCACATTTTTTTTTAGCGAGGCTCTGAAAGACAAGGAATACCACAGCATCTGTGAAGCCTTGTTCCGTGCCGCTCTGGTTGACAAGGAATTGCTATTGAGTGGAAAGGGCGTAGGAACGGCGAACGAAAGGCTTCGCCGCTGTGCCAGGGCGTTGCGTGAGACCGTCGGCCATGGCGTTTCCAAGTTCAAGGGAAAGACAGTAAGGGCCATCATCGATCACATCACCGACACTCTTCCCACATATGACGGAGATTTCTTGGAGCCTCTCGCGAAGGATTACATGCAGACATTTGTGCTTCTACTCGACAGTCCAACACATGTTGAGAACCTGGCCTTGAAAGATGGCAGCGGCTGGGAACAGTGTGTCATGTTTGTCCTTGACAGGATCTCCAACCTCCTGGACAGCAATGATTCTGCCCCTGCCTCCATCCTCACTGGACGAGACTCGCCAGTGCCAGGGACAGCTCGTCAGTCCTCGGTTGGCCCTTCGAGCGCTCGATCGCGCCCTGGTACCCAGCGTGGTACTGTTCAAGTCCAGCGCAACGATCTGCTGGTGCTTCTCCAGTGTCTGCAGTCTCTCTTCTCAGCCCCGAATGCCCCCTACATGTCAAAGCGCAAAGAAGTGGCCGATGCTGTCTTACAGGTGTTGCGGCTGCGATACGATTTGGACAAGCTGCACAGATTTGCGTTTTCAATTCTGAACAGCATCTTGTTACACACTGCCGGTGATGATCCTGCCCTCGGTCAGCACTTGACCAGAGAGCTTGTGCCACTTCTTGGCTACTGGTGGCAGAGCCGGACCCTTGATAAAGATGAACTCCAGTTCTCAGTCCGGGATGAAATGCTAAAAACCATGCATGCAATCAGCGTCTACCTGGATTACCTGTTGCAGGATGACCCAGCTGCGGCCCTCCTTCAGCAGGTGGAGGAACTCTTGGACGAACTCTGGGGCGAATACTCATCGCGCAACCCAAGGGCTCGTCTTCAACTTGACGATGTTACCTTTTCATCTCTGAAAGCTTCAACCGGCCATTTTGCAACGGACCTCTTTGCTCTGAAGCCTTTCGACCAACACGCCGAACGCCGCTGGGCCTTGGTCGCGGTCATGTCTCGCCTTGAGTTCATATTCCTACAGCATTCAAAAAGCAACTCGCAGCGCCTGGCGACTGAGGACCGTCAGCCAAGGAAGAGACAACGTCGTGCTGGAGGTTCCAACCGGATACACCAAAAACTGCTGTCATCCGATGTTGGTGTCAAGCTGACATCACTGCAACTGCTGCCCTTCTTCCTGCCCCTGAGCAACCTGGACCAAGAGGAAATCCTGACGGTGATGGAGGACTTGTTGCCCATGATAGGTGACAAACAAGGCCTTCTATCGTCTTGGGCAATGATCGCATGTGCCAGGTACGTCTTCTTATTCTGAACATGACTGAGCAATGTACTCACCATCCCTGAGCAGCTGTGCTCTCCAATCGCAAGCGAAAGACGAAAGTACAGAGGCACGATGGAAACAAGTATGGCAACTGGCCGTCAGGTCCATCAGCATACCCAGCACTTGCCGAGCAGCATGCGTACTACTTCATGTCATTCTTCAAACACGTCTGGTACCACACCATGCAATTGCAAATGATGTCAACAACATAGTGACAATGGCCGACATATGCGGACCCGCTACTCTCCTTGACTCGTCTTTGGTCTTCATGCATTGCTTGGCCAATATACGCAATTCTTTGGCGCCGAGTGCCAGCCAAAAGACCTCCAGCTTCATAATCCGATGGGCATTTACAATGTGGCGACCATGTAAGTCCGCTTGAAACCCTTACCACGTGCAAGAGTACTTCCCCCGGGCCGGCCTGCTCTTGACTGACAATATTTAGCGGAAGCTACATACGCCTCATCACTGGCAAATAACATGGTGCCGATTGACCTGGTCAACCTTCTCCTATTATGCTGTGGTGTGTCCCAATTTGAGATTCCGAGGCGAATAGGGCTGGTAGGTGGCGGGCTCAGCCAATTCTGGAAATGCTACAATGACACCATTCCGATGACGCGATATCTACTGCTCCTGAGTGAGGATGAACCCGCAGGAAGCAATCAGTATCTAATACAGCCCTCGGGCGGAGGTGATGGAGGGCAATTCTCGGATTTGGACGAGATATCTACCTCACAGCCCTCAAGCTCTCAGACCTCGAAGACGCTGATCCTGGATTTGCTCCATCCCAAGCTGGTTGACTTTGTCGAGATGCTGGAACCTGCCTCACAAACGGGCATCCGCCGAGCCGACGTTCCAACGATGCACCTTTCTTCTGATCGACTACGAAGTATGGTGGCATGCTTGATCTCAAGCAGCATTCTCTTATCACACCTCGAAGTCGCGGAGAATCGGGGAATTAATGATGTCAATGCCCTTTTATCAAGCTTGTGGGAAAGGGTCTTTCGGATGGTCGTGTCCTCTGGCAGTACCGAATCTTTCGAGTTAGTCCTGGCGATGCTCGCTCCTTACATCCCTCCTTTGGACTCGTTGCGAGTGCAGCAATTCTGTAGCAGAGAGCCACACCTTCTGCAGCTGTTTGCCAGCCTATCAGGCATGATAGATGAGCACCGCAACCAACGGAGGACCACCCAGGATTCCGACGCTATGGACGTGGACGACGCATTCGAGACAAGAGACAGACGCAAGCAACCTGGCGACGGAGGCTTTACTATTCCCAGGAGGAAGACCGCATCAAGTATGAGCACCAGCGCATTCTTCGAAACAACGAAAGCAAGACTCCAACTCTTTTCAGAGTACTTCCGCGACCTTGGAAAGGTTGGCCTTATCCCTGATAACTTCATGGACAAATTTCTCTCGCTCGAGGACGATCGCTTCCTTCTTTGCCGGGAATTCCTCGTCGAACTTCTTCAATCCGACTTCGGCAATGTCTCCAACTACGCCAAAGATATTGTTGAGCAGACTGCGGCCATAGTTTTCAAAAATCACTACAAAACAAGCGAGGTTGCTTTGTGCACGCTGGTCGACGTGCTCCTTTCCTTCGCGCCCGTATGGTCCATGGGAGAAGGTGATGCTGACGTTATTAACCCATTCGTGGATCTTTACAATCTGCTTGTGAAGTCAGTCTGGCCAAACAACTTGATGTCCCCGGAGGTCCAATTATCGTATTCTGAGCTGCTTCTTCACCTGTGGGGAACGAACGCACAATTTCACAAGGATAAGAAGTCGTTGGTATCACCCCCTCACAAGACCTTACTTTCAACACCTGAGAGCCTCAAGGAGACTCGCGCTGAGATCCGTGACCCACGACCAGGCCCTTTGTGGGATGGTTGCATGCGCGCTAAATTTTACATCGCGCCGAGGCTGACTACGATCTTCGAATTCTTCGTTGTCAGCACCCACGAAGATATCTTCGTCGACATCTTGAAAGCCTTACCAACCGACCCGGAGATGATGGAAGGTATCGGTTTGCGAGTGTTCGTCTTGGCGGGCCTTGGTTGCAAGTGTCCTACACTGCTGAGGCGATCTGTCTATCATATTGTCGAGACATCTGGAAAAGTCGTCGGGTCTGCCAAGTATGCCACCCGCGGCATGAAGATGGTTTCCCTGGCAAGATCGTTGAAATCCCCTCAAGAACTCTTCCAGTTATTCGCGCCCCAGCTTCTCTACACCTGGCTTGAGAAGGACTCTTTCGAAGACATTCCTTTCAGCATATTCGGTTTTGCCAGCCTCGATGATCTCCTCCAGCGGTCGAGCATAGAGGCCACAGCCCTTATGATCATGCGATGTCAGGATGAAGCAGTGAATGACCTGGCCAGTAGGCTTCAAGTCACCCCTGTGACATTGGTCGAGCAGGGGTATTCAAAGATCATGGCTTATTCGATCATGCACGACCTTTCCACGTCTAAAGACTCATCAACGTCCTCAGAATCTCGAGTCCGGAAGCTCCTCGGCAAAGAGCTTTGGCTTGAATTCATTTATCGTAATTTTGCCGACATCATTGGACATTTCTGCGATCTCATCGACCAAGAGGATGTGGTTGAAGATGCGTGGCGTAGGGATGAGACTTTCGCGTACGCCGCGGACTGGATGGACCAGATCAAGCGCTGCGGCCAATCCTCCACATCGCTAGGACCAAATCAGCAGCCCATGTTTAAGGGAAAGTACCTCAATCGGGCAATTTCACATCTGGTCCGAAGAACGAGCTACGATGTTATGTCCATGTGGACGCAACCCCTGGTTACGTCTGTGGCGCGGAGGCTCTTGAATACCATTCATCCTGCTCTGGGGCCTTTGCATGCACTGTCAGTTATCCGGAAGGTTCGCATACTGATATGTCTTGCCGGTGCCCAAACTACGTCTTCTTATCCTCTCGAGATGCTGTTACGGTCAATCCGACCTTTCCTTTCAGACTCACAGTGTGCGGATGAGGCTCTCGCGATGAGCAACTGGCTGATATCGCAAGGCCAAGTCAGCTTGGCACAGACACCCTCATTCTTAGCTGGCTATGCTTTGTCTACGCTGGCCAGCTTGAGGATGTTCCTGGAGTCCAGCCAGGCCAGCTCTACAGAGGAGAGCCAATTCAAGTCGACCGTGAGCAAAGCTCAAAACTTCCACGGCTGGTTCGTCAAACTGCTGAAGGGTTACGACTCCAGCTCAGCCGCCTTCAAGTCGGATAAACAGGCGCAAGCGTTCAAAGCAATCATCGAGTCAGCATCTAATATTCGATCATCAGGGAACTCTCAGAAAGACACGCAGGAAAGCAGGCTCTTGCTCGAAATACTAAAGGACGCGGAGCAAGAGGCCGAGCTGCTCAACGAGTCTGCTCGTGACCTAGCTTTACGAATGCTTTGCGGCGAATTCAAGATCCCGAAGGCCAACAGAGACGACATAATCGACACTGATGACGACGCTCGTGCCCATGGACCGATGATCTGGAAGAGTTGTAAGGCTGTCAACTCCAGTAAGGAATACCTGACATGGGCAGGACGAGTTGTTGGCACTTCCTATGCGGCGTCTGGCAGTATTCCGCGCGATGTCCTGAGAGAATCACAATTGTCGTCCTATCAAAGGACGATGGGAATCAACGGCGATTCTGTCCACGGTCTGCTGAGAATCTTGGCAAAGCTGACATTGAGGGACAACTCGATTCATGCTGGTCTTGCAGAATCTGCCCTGAGGCGGATTGTGTCCCATGCGTCCTCCACGGAAGATCACGATCTGATTGCAGATTGCAGTCGAAGTCTTCCAGAGAACCTCCTTGCGTCGTCGGATTGGTCACAGTATCAGACACCTCCCACAGACAGCGGCCTTGCCCGGCACGCCAAGGGGGGCGTGTTCGAGGCTGAGAGCATAGAGTCGTCTACTTGGGCCCAAGACATTGCGATCCACCTTGCATGCTCCGTGAAGAGAAATGCAGTCCTCACGACCCTGCCTTCAATTCTGAGCGAGATCGGTGGCTTCGCCGAGCAAGCCCTGCCTTTCATTGCCCACTTGGCACTTCTCGAGGAGCTCAACAGCCAGAGACCGCTGAAGCGGGGCTTGTCCACCGCCTTCAAGGAGTGGTTGAAGTCGGGTTCCCCAGCAGCCAGTGACAACATCAAATTGGTGGTCAATGTCATACTCCATCTTAGAACAAGACCATTTCCAAATGAAGGGTCGATTGCCGATAGATCGCATTGGCTTGACTTGGACCTGGCGAGTGTGGCAGAAGCAGCTACAGGGTGTGGGATGTACAAGGTCGCCTTGCTTTTTGCCGAACTGGCCTCTTCAGAAACAGTGAGAAGCTCACGGCGGTCTTCGGCTGCAGCAAGAGAAACAGAGGACTCCCCAGAGACGTTGCTGAAAGTGTTCGAAAACATAGACGATCCGGATGCCTACTACGGTCTCAACCGTACAGCGTCCCTGTCTAATGTGTTGGCACGACTCGAATTTGAAAAGGAGGGTGGGAAGAGCCTGGCGTTTCGCGGTTCTCAATATGACAGCCATTTACGTTTGAGGGACTCGGAGGCAGATCGTGACGGACAGTCTCTAGTCCAAATTCTCAGTGGATTGGGGCTGGCTGGCCTCTCGAACTCCTTGCTGCAAGTTCAACAACACCACGATGATTCTGCCTCCTTGGATGGCACCTTCACTACCGCTAGGCGACTGGAGATATGGAATCTGCCTGCACCTCCAAGCCTTGAGAACCATGCCGCCACATCCTACCGGGCTTACCAATCCATATACAGGGCTGTGGAGATGGACCCTGCAAGACTTGCTGTACAGGACGGATTGGCGACGACAATGAAGCGTCTCGCCACCAAGGACTTGAGAGTGTCCGACTTGCGCCAACATCTGGGAACTCTTGCAGCCCTTACTGAACTGGACACTGTTCTGGGTGTTACGAACTTTGCTGAGCTCGAGAAAGTATTGGCTGACTTTGAGGCCCGGTCGACGTGGATGATGAGTGGAAGGTATGTAACGCTGGCCACCATGGGTATCCTCATGTCTTGCTAATATGAGAGCAGGTACGACGACGTCAGTCAGATTCTGTCGCATCGTGAGACGACCTTCAGTGTTCTCGGGCAAAAGAACATGCTTCGAAGCACGTTGAATCTCACTTCACCGGAAACCCGATTGGTTGAGGTTCGGAGCATGCTGCTCTCATCAAGTATCTATCGATTCCACCATGCAAGGCAAGAGTCGTTGAACGTTGCGACAAAGCTGACAGACCTTGTCGGCTCAAGCGAGGCGATCGGGTTGAATATTGATGCGGCTGTCTCGATGGAGACAGCCAACTCGTTCTGGGACTATGGGGAAATGATTCCGTCCATCAGACTCTTGCAGGGGCTCCAGGGAAGCCCTTCATCTCTGAAAAAACAGAGCATCCCTGTCACCCACGCCGACCTGCTTTCAAAGATTGGATATCAGGTGTCGGTGGCAAAACTCGAGACAGCCGATAGCATCCAGAAGAAATACCTGGAACCTGCGCTCAAGGAGCTGAAGGGCAAGAGCTCCGGCAAGGAAGCGGGACAGGTGTTCCACCAGTTTGCAGTGTTCTGCGATGAGCAGCTGCAGGACCCAGACATGTTGCAAGACTTGGGCAGACTGCAGCGTCTAGTTCAGACCAAAGCGGATGAAGTGGAGCACTACAAGAAAGAGTGCAGATCAGCAAAGGTTACCCAGCTCAAGGAACAATTTGAGAGATACCAAAGGACAGCCGAGAAATACTTGCTTCTCGACCAAACTGAGCTCCAGCGCACCCAGAGGACCCGGAACGAATTTGTCAAACTGAGCCTCGAAAATTATCTGCAGTCCTTGTCTGCCTCGGACGACCATGACAGCGATGCACTCAGGTTCACTGCGCTGTGGCTCGAACAGTCCGAGACAGACGTCGCAAATGCGGCGGTCCACTCACTTCTCCGGAATGTGCCAACCCGCAAATTCGCCTCGTTGATGAATCAGCTAAGCTCACGTTTGCAACTCGACAAGACTCATTTCCAGACTCTGCTGAGAGACTTGGTCTGCCGTATCTGTTTCGACCATCCGTATCATGGCATGTATCAGATCTGGTCGGGAATTAGGACGAACCCGAATGCAGAGGACGAGGTTGCCCAGCTGCGCAAGTCTGCCGCAACGAAGCTTACGGAAGAGTTTGAACGCCAGAAAGGCAGCGTCGCAATTACGTGGGACGCGATTAAAAAGGCGTGCGGGTGCTATCATTACTTGGCCAAGGAAAAGAATGAACTGTATAGGAGCGGAGCAAGACTCAAGGCTCAGGACTCACCGTCCGCGGCGACCCTGTCGAGGTGTCTCGCGAGGTATCCCATCCCGCCCCCAACCATGGAGATCGAGCTGCGTGCGGATCGTAACTACTCAATGGTTCCTGTGATAGAGAGACTGGATCCTACAATGTCGATCGCATCCGGCGTCAGCGCCCCAAAGATCATCACAGTTGTTGCCAGCAACGGGCAGAGGTACAAGCAACTCGTCAAGGGCGGCAACGACGACCTTAGACAAGACGCAATCATGGAACAGGTTTTTGCAGCTGTCTCGTCCCTGCTGAAGCAACACCGAACGACCAGGCAGCGCAACCTCGGCATCCGAACCTACAAAGTGCTGCCCCTCACGGCCAGGTCTGGGCTGATCGAGTTTGTTGCCAATACCATACCCTTGCACGACTGGCTGATGCCGGCGCACGAACGATATTACCCGAAGGACATGAAGGGCAATCTTTGTAGGAAAGAGATATCGAATGTTGCAACTCGCACCAACGACGTGAGAGTCTCTACCTACCGCAAGGTGGCCGAGAAGTTCCACCCGGTGATGCGATACTTCTTTATAGAATCGTTCCCGGACCCGGACGACTGGTACATCAAGCGGCTCGCCTACACGCGCACAACGGCCGCCATATCGATGCTCGGGCACGTGCTCGGGCTGGGAGACCGACACGGCCACAACATCCTCCTCGACCAGAAGACGGGCGAGGTGGTACACATCGACCTGGGGGTGGCATTCGAGTCGGGTCGCATCCTGCCGGTGCCGGAGGTGGTGCCGTTCCGCATGACGCGTGATGTCGTGGACGGCATGGGGGTGACCAAGACGGACGGGGTGTTCCGGCGGTGCTGCGAGTTCACGCTGGACGCGCTGAGGGAGGAGACATACTCGATCATGACGATCCTGGACGTGCTGCGGTACGACCCGCTGTACTCGTGGAGCTCGACGCCTATGAGGCTGGCGAAGCTACAGGGGGCGGCGAGGCGGGCGGAGGAGGAGGAGGACCAGGGGGGGAACGGCGCGGGCGGCGGCGCCGGGGCGGACAAGAGGAAGAAGAAGACGGTGGTGAACGAGCCGTCCGAGGCGGACCGCGCGCTGGAGGTGGTGAGGAAGAAGCTGTCCAAGACGCTGAGTGTGACGGCGACGGTGAACGACCTCATCAACCAGGCGACTGATGAGAGGAACCTGGCGGTGCTGTACTCGGGATGGGCGGCGTATGCTTGATGGGGGGTGTGCATGTTGGCTTTAGCTAGGGCATCGTGGAACATATACATAATTAGACCGTACTGGGCCTCGAATGAAATAATTCAATGTTGTCAATCTCGAGCATGGTTGGAAGTAATTTTCTTTCTTTTACTACTATTTTTAAGCAAATGTCTCGTGGGGATAAATGGAGTCAATAACGGCGCCGCAGGGACATGCTGACCGGCCGCTGAGGGGGAAATGTCGTTGGTCCTCGGCATGTCAGCCGATCTCTTATCGGGCGCGTCCACAGTAAATGACTGTCAGACGCGGAGCAATGTGGGGGAGCTCTTTAACTCCGGGACGACATTCACGGGCCGGGGTCGTCCCACTCGTCATTGACCGTGTGCATCTTCGTCTTGACTGATTTGGTTCGTTCAAGGCTGTTGTTTCTCGTTTGTCCCTTTTCAGCACACACTTCAAACCCCATCAGACTCGTCATTTGTAGTCTGGATTGGACTTCACGACAAGCAAAAAGCACACCGAGTCAAGAGTGCCCGTCAGCCAAGAAGCAACTCTACTCTCAAGTACCCACCAGGATCTGTGCGACAACAGCTTCGAGTTGTTGCAGCTGGATCCCCCGGGGCCTGGGCATGCAGTCACGGCCGTCAGGAACCGAGGGCCCCTTCGACGACAGCAGCCACACACCCACCCCGACCCCTCCTTCCCGACGCCGCCCTCGAGTCGACTCGATCCCTTCCTCCTCCCACCCCCGATCCGCCCAGCCCGACCCCAAGCGCATCCGCTCCGGCGAGACCCCCCCGGCCACGACCAAGACCACGACAGCCTTCAGGCCCACCTCGGCCGCCTCGATCAACACCATGGCCGCCAGCACCATGAGCGCCAAGGCCATGGGCAAGAAGCCCGAGGGCGCCGCCGGGTTCCAGCCGCTGTCGGGCGCCCGCAAGATCGTCATCAAGAACCTGAGGACCAGCTCCCGCACCGCCGCCGACGTCGACGACTACTACAAGAAGACCTGGGACAACGTCGAGGGCGCCCTGCGGTCCATCCTCAAGGGCGAGGTCGCCCGCGTCCCGCTCGAGAGGGTCTACCGCGGCGTCGAGGACCTGTGCCTGCGGGGCCAGGGCGACAGGCTGTTCGAGCTGCTCAAGCGCGAGTGCGAGAGGCACCTGTCCCGCGAGGTCCTGGGCCGCATCAGGGACGGCGGCATGGTCGTCAGCGCCGACGTGCTGCTGCGCGTGCGCGCCCAGTGGGCCGCCTTCAACAGGAACCTCGTCACCGTCCGCTCCGCCTTCAGCTACCTCGACCGCTCGTTCCTGCTGAACAATAAGAGGTACCAGTCCATCAACGACCTGTCGCTGTCGCTCTTCCGCAGGATGATCTTCAACTCGGCGCAGGCCGCCGCCGCCGACGACGACGACGACGCCGACTGCGGCAAGAAGGTCATCATGGGCATGTGCTGGCTGGTGGAGCACGACCGCAGGGGCAACTCGGCCGCCGACCCGGCGCTGCTGCACGACTCCATCAACATGTTGAAGGTACTTGGTGTCTACGGGAGCAAGTTCGAGAGGGAGTTCCTGCGGCAGTCGGACGAGTACTTCACCGACTTTGCCGCCGAGCACAGCACTGATGGCCTGAGGTCGTACATAACCTCGTGCGAGAGGCTTCTGAAGAGGGAGGACTACAGGTGCAACAAATACAACTTTGACAGCACCACAAAGGTATTGCTACTCGAGAAGGCCCACGAGGTCCTCATCACAAACTACAGCGAGGTGTTGCTGGACCAGGGCGATGTGTCGAGGCTACTAGACGACAACGACATCAGCTCAGTCAAGGCGCTGTATTCGCTGCTGTGTCTCTCCAACATCCCGAGAAAGCTGAAAGGACCGTGGGAGGAATACATCCAGCAGGCCGGCTCGAGGATCGTTAACGACACGGAGAAGGGCGACGAGATGGTCATCCGGCTCCTCGAGTTCCGGCGGTCCATGGACACCATGATCAGAGACGCATTCGGCGGCGACGAGGTCTTCACATACAGCCTCCGGGAGGCCTTCACCGTCTTCATCAACGACAAGAAGATATCATCATCTTGGGGTACAGGCACCTCAAAGGTCGGCGAGATGATCGCCAAGCACATTGACATGTTACTGCGTGGTGGTATCAAGGCCCTGCCCAAGACATTAATCTCGGACAGCAAGGACCGCAGCGAGGCAGAGAAGAGCGGCCAGGCCAGCACCGGTGACGAGGACGCAGAGCTGGACCGGCAGCTGGACGCGGCGCTCGAGCTCTTCCGCTTCATCGAGGGCAAGGATGTCTTCGAGGCCTTCTACAAGAAGGACCTGGCCCGGCGGCTGCTCATGGGCCGGAGCGCCAGCCAGGACGCCGAGCGGAGCATGCTCACCAAGCTCAAGAGCGAGTGCGGGTCCAGCTTCACCCACAACCTCGAGCAGATGTTCAAGGACATGGCGCTGGCCAAGGAGGAGATGGACACCTACAAGAGCTGGCTGGACGCCAGCGGCAGGGGCCGCAAGGGCGTCGACCTCAACGTCAGCGTGCTGTCGCAGGCGGCGTGGCCCTCGTACGACGACGTCAAGCTGCTGATACCGGAGGAGGTCGCCGAGAAGATCGACCAGTACGACGCCTTCTACAAGAACAAGCACACGGGCCGCAAGCTCTTCTGGAAGCACAACCTGTCCCAGTGCATGGTCAAGGGCTACTTCCCCAAGGGGACCAAGGACCTGGCCGTGAGCGCCATGCAGGCGAGCGTGCTGGTGCTCTTCAACCAGGCGGCGCCCGACGGCGTGCTGGGCTACGAGCAGATCTCGACGGCGACGGGCCTCACGGGCGGCGAGCTGGAGCGCACGCTGCAGTCGCTCGCGTGCGGCAAGGTCCGCGTGCTGACCAAGCACCCCAAGGGCCGCGACGTGAGCGCCACCGACACCTTCTCCTTCAACAAGGGCTTCACGCACCCGATGGTGCGCGTCAAGATCAACCAGATCCAGCTCAAGGAGACGGCCGAGGAGAACCAGGAGACGCACCGCCGCGTCGCGGCCGACCGCCAGTTCGAGACGCAGGCCGCCATCGTGCGCGTCATGAAGAGCCGCAAGACCATGCCGCACGCGCAGCTTGTTGCCGAGGTCATCGGGCAGACTAAGAGCCGGGGGGCCATGGACCCGGCTGATATCAAGCAGAATATTGAGAAGTGAGTGCGGGAGGATTTTTTTTTTCTTTCTATATGAACCATGGGATTGATTGGGCCTACTTGCTAACGTCGCTTCACCATGCAGGCTTATTGAGAAGGACTACCTCGAGCGGGAGGGTAATTCGTACACGTACTTGGCTTGAGCGTGCTGTTTTATAGGAAGGAGGCCGTGGCTTTTTACGGCTTCTTGGTGGTTGGAACCTTGTTTTGTTTTTCCCCCTCGGAGGAGGGATGGATGGGTTGGATGGATGTATGGATGAATGCATTCGGGCGTATCTGGTCTGCTTGAGGGGAGCATGCACACACACACACACATGAACACAACACACAGCGCATCACATACATGTCCTTAGACATAGAACATGGCACTGCGGCACAGGTCCTAATGACCTGTGCCGTTTGTATGACTCGGTTCGAAAGGTACAGGTGAATGTGTGACCCTGCATTGTGACGGTACTTGCTCGTAGGAACAATTACTGTACGTTGTATCTGGTCCACTGCTGGGAAAGAAAAGTTGCAATCGAGAGTTGAGCAGCGCATGAGTTCCATCAACAGCCATACTTGAGTGTGATTGATCTGCGGATGGATCTAGATTAGACTTGAAGTGCCACAGACCTTCCAAGGTTGGTCAATGTCACAGCTCTATGAGTACTTCCAGTCCGGCCGCACTCTTGATCCCGATTCCGAGCCGCTCTCGATGCCTGACAAGCCCGGCTCCTTGACCGTCATGCCCACAATATTTCCGCCGAGCTCCTGAACAGACACGCGGGCCTTCCACGTCGATGAGCTCTTCACACCACCCCCTGTGTTCTCCAGTCCTGATTGCGTAGGGGACCGGATAGCCAGTACAAGAAGTTCACCGACGCTCTTCCACGCGCTACTGCTCCAAGGAGTCCCGAGGCTTATAATGAGGATATGGATGAAGACTGTGGCCACATAGAGGAACAAGACGACGAAAGCCAGGATGGTTGTGACGCTGTGGAAGGCATAGCCATACCATTCCTCGGAGACCACGAAGTCGAGCCGTGTGGCCGTCTCCCTTATGTCTGAGGCTGACAAGGTCGATGAAGTCCAGTTCTCGTGCATTATCGTGAGACCAGGTCGAGGGCTGCCAGGTCGGTCCGGACCACTCCACGGACTCAGGGTCAAGGAGGGACCGAGGTGGATCCCGTCCACCACACTGTCCAATGTTCCTACCGCATAAATGTTGGATCGATATTGGATTTTTGAGAGGCCCTCAGTAATCCCGAGGGAGATTCCAAACGCCATGCAGAGAGTGCTCGGCTTTCTCTCCTGAAAAGGCTGGCTCGAGGCACCAGGGTTACTTTCACCGAAGTCCACCCAGTCCAAGCAAGCCTGCCTCAATCTTTGAAAGAAGTCGTAGTTGGAGTCGCTGCCGGTCCCGCTATCGAGTGCCCGTAGCCATTCTAGGTCCAGGTGGATGATCTGGTTGGGTTCGGCCTCGTTGAACCAGGTTCCTGCCGAAACAAGCCAGTCCTCTTCCCAGGGAAAGTCAGGTGCTGGCCACGACCAATCTAAGCCTGATGTGTAAGGTAACAAGCCAGTAATGGTGAGATTAATCCAATTTGCCTTGATTAAGCACAGTGTGATGTTTGGAGACTGATTATAGATGAAAGCTGCAGAAGGTGTAAGGCTTGGTGTAAATTGAAGATTTGAGACATTGAGGAATCCAGTCCGGGTGTTATCGGAGGTATTTGAGAGAAGCTGTGAGTCCAGATTGACGGTATATGCTGGCCCGCAGTCGGGTGAATAACCAAGACATCGATCGAATACAAATGATAAAGACTGTGTCTCAACGGTGTCTTCTATTTGCATTGAGCAGAAAGAAGATACATAGGGTTGTTGCCAGGAAAGCGTCGGTTGTTTCTGTCTCATTTGTCTGGGATACAACTTGAATGTGGCAGGTCGATTCCAAGTGGGATTGAACCGATCATGATATGGACCGCCGAATATGTTCTCCGGAGCTTCAGAGAACCAGTTGTCGGAATAAAATTCAAGCAACATTCGCGATAGCTGTGATAAAAAGTCGGACGATGTCGTTGCTTCCACAACAGTCTGGTTGTGACCCATGGGATATCCCCTGAGTATGGCACACATGATTCGAGACATCAGTGAAGGTGTCTCATTCCTCTGAACAGTGAGGTTGTACCAGGTTGAACGGATAGCAAATGATGCCCCTCCAAATTGAGTGTCTATATCGGCTGGTAACCAGCCACGTAGAATATCCTCTAAGCCATGGCCGGGGCAACTCCTAGTCTGAGGATCAGAGAGATTGCCATAGTCGCAGGCTTCAGGAATGAAGTCTGCTGTGATCTTTTGGGGGTAGAGGTCCGATAGCTGGCCGCCGATATAGATCTCCAACGGGTGAGGATTTTCGAGGAAAGGCACATAAAAGGGCGCTTTATCGACTGTTTCAGCAAGTTTCCAGGTGGCGAACCTTGGAAGCATGCCGCTAGCAGATGCAGGACCAAGTATTGCTGCCAGGGTGAACAAGTATATATGAATGACGATGGTTATGAATTTCTGTACTCCATTCTCGCCTGACCAGGATGCTGACAAGAACTCCTGGCTCCAGAGGTAGGTTAAATCGAGTAAGCGATATGGTGAAGTGACAATTCCTAAGGGTAGACCTTGGAAGGTTGACAGCAGTCGGTATCTGATATGATGTAGCAGAATACGGGCGAGTGATGTAACCATGAGAGCCTCGTGGACCTTTGAAGCAAATTGTAAGGCATTGAGTATATTTGTCGTTGGCCATGGTGGTACCCATATTACTTGACGAATATAGAGTCCCAAGAGTGCAAAGTTAATGCAGACTGGAATGAAGTGGAATAATAGAATTTGCCGGATGATCTTGCGTCTTTTCTGGCTGTACACGACCTTTGGTTTTTCAGATTTACCGGAAGCTCGTCGCCCCCGACTGGATTGGACCGGCCGACATTAGCTTGGTTATATTGAGAAGGGCATCAGTATTCATTACCTATGGATGATCCATCTCAGTAATCTTTTCACAGTGTCTTGATTACTAGACTGGGACTCATTCTCCCCTTGATGCTGACTCGTATCGCCAACATTGCCTTGGTTCGGGAGCGTCTCAGCTCCTTCAATCAACGTCTCTGAGGAATGTGCCGCTATGTTTGTGGTTTCTCTTCGTAAGAGTAACATCTCCATCGATGCGTCATTTCTTGACTGTAAGTCTTCAGCGATCATACTTCGCAAAGATTCTTGGACTTCAAGGGCTGGAAGATCAGGCGGCGTGTGGTGCATTTCAACGTCAGGCCGTCGATGCTCTTCTATGTTCTGCGCGACAGGCTCCATATTTACAAGGGCACTATACTCAAGTAATCTTTTATAATGATCAAGTGAGAAGTTGGAATCCGTTGAATCAATGTAATTAACGAGTCTCTCAAGAAGCCAAGGGTGGAGGGTGAAAAGCGCGACGGAGGAGCGGCAGACGCAGCCCTCATGGCTAATTTCAGCTGTCTGCCCCCACGCTGTTGTGCTACTTCTCGAAATGGTCAAGATTATCCGTAGGACTCCAAGCGTCAAATCAGTCTTATGGGATACTGAATTACCAGAAGTTTCTGAGAAGTACTACCGAAAGGGCTTGGTAAGATGTTCTGTGCTGTGGGTATTTGGCCCCCAGCTAACCCACGAAAACAAGAGCGATGGGTCACGCAAAATGCCGATCTCAAGCAGGCTCTCGTATGTCCTCAGCTGAAAGTTCGACGGTCTTGCGGTATTTCTCGATGCAAGAAGTTGCTTGCCTGATTATATCAACAATGATGGATGGCCATGGGTCGCACAACAGTCTCGCGCCCTGGTGATCAGTCATCATAATGTGGGAGTGACTCCTCAGCCTAAGATGATACTGAACTTAAAATTGGCATTTCCGCAGAGTAGGGACTGGATATCCCAAGCCCTCTGTACAAAGCATCCATCCATACGAAATTCTCTGCTAGTCACATATACTATTACCGCACCAACGCCACTCAAAAAGTTGTATGTCATGCATGAGCCCCGGTAGTTTTCCCAGCTCGGTTTCTGTAGACCTTCTATCTCCTGTGAGGTTACCCCTCAGGATGTTCTCTTATAGGAGGTCAGAAAGTACCTGCAGGTCGCGCAGCAGACAACCGAGCAGCGCAAGCACCGATAATGTGGGTGAAAACCCAGTCTAGTGAGGTACACATCCCATAAACCAGGCACCAAAGGTATTTAAAAAGCTCTGGACTTATCTTGATTTCATTCTAAAGAGATTTACAATTAAAACTCCTACCACACAGCGCGCCCTGACGTTATAGTATGATGCTAGAAAGTTGAGAAGTTTTGGTGTAGCTGCTGATAAGCCTACAATAAGTACCCAGGTACTTTTATGGCCGCATACTGTGGTGGGCCTGACATCCCTGTCGAGACCCTGGGCCAGGCCTTATCTGCAGCGCCGATAACAACTTTTCTCTCTTAGACCACTTGATTTTCTCGACCACATCGAGACCGCTCGCAAACCTGCATTTTCCCCCTCCAAACAAGCCAATTGTTCGATCCACACAAACACACCGCCAAGATGCCCAAGTCAAAGAGAGGAAAGGTGTTCAACCTCACCCAGGTGAACAAGAAGACGAGGGAGCAGAAGGAGAAGCTGTTCCAGGACATCCGCGACACCGTCCCCAAGTACGAGCGCTGCTTCGTGCTGGGCTTCGACAACATGCGCAACAACCACCTCAAGGACGTGCGACACGAGCTCTCGGACTCCAGGTACGGATGAAGACTCCTTACAACCAGTAGTGAAGGCATGGCGATTAAAAAAATCTGCCTGGTTTCTCTCCTGCTGTTGTTTCCCCCAAAAAGAAAGATCCAAAGTCATTTGGCCCCAGACCTTCGCCGCGCGCTGCCTTCCCTCCTCAGATGAAAGAGGGGGGAAGGGGGCAAAATAAGAAGCAGGCCGCTGACTAGATCCCCTTCCGCCTCTCGGAACCAACAGGCTCTTCTTCGGCAAGACAAAACTCATGTCCCGCGCCCTGGGCAACACCCCCGAGGACGCCACTGCGGACGGCATCCACAAGCTGTCGGCGCACCTGACGGGCAACGTCGCCCTGCTCTTCACGAGCCGCCCCGCGGCCGACATCACGGCCTACTTTGCCAACTTCTCGCCCGTCGACTTTGCGCGCGCGGGCGCCGTCGCCCCGCGCGACTTTGTCATCCCCGCCGGCGTCGTCTACGCCACCGGCGGCGCCGTCCCGCCCGAGCACGACGTGCCCCTCGGCCACACCATCGAGCCCGAGCTGCGCCGGCTCAACGTCCCCACGCGCATGGTGCGCGGCAAGGTCGTCCTCGGCGAGGAGGGCGGCGAGGGCTACACCGTGTGCAAGGAGGGCCAGGTGCTCGACTCGAGGCAGACGAGGCTGCTGAAGCTTTTTGACCAGTGCCTGAGCGAGTTCAGGGTCAAGATCCTGGCGTGAGTTGAACAATTTCTCCAACCTTGTCCGATCCCACGAGACAGATAGGCGTCCCTCGATCTTGCAAAGTCTGGGTGCCCTGCGTGTTGTTGTGCACAGTTTCGCTGACAAAATTACCGGGTTATTAGCTACTGGGAGTCCGAGAGTGGACTTGTCACCGAGGTCGAGGAGGCTGACGAGAATGCCATGGACGCTGATGATGATGAGTAGGGTGGACATTGAATGGACAGATATGGACGCTAGAGGTCATGAAGTGTTCTCCGGCCTCTTCGGGCTGTCAGGGTGATACCATTGCATGCTGGGTTTCGCGGCGTTGGGGAAGGCAAAATGGACAGACAGTTATCGCGCACGGCAGAAGGCCTTGTGCACAAGACCAAAGAAAAAAACTACAATGGAATGTATTGTGTTTCGAAGCTATGAGAGTAAAACATCCGCACACTCTGTGCGCCCAGCCATATCCTGTAGAGAGCGCCCCGCTACGCCGTGTTCGCTGAATTGGCATATGATACAGTCTTGCTACTTACGCAAGCGACACGCTTCAACTCGATGTGCTCATTACAGTATCCTTTTGTGTTTCCCGAAATGCATTACTAACACCAAGCTGGCAAGGAGCTCGTGGTCAGTAGGATCCGCAGTCCTTACCTCTGACCTTACCTCGAAAGCTATTCCAGTATTTTCCTCCGCGTGACTGGCAGATACAAGAAACACGTCACCTTACAAGGAGAAATACTACCTGTCCAATCCCTTTGATGAGTGGCGCCTACCTATCCTTTTTGGTAGCGCCAATGCCTATGGCGACGATGTGTCGACGAGAGATACTTCGGGTGTAGGACAACCACACACTTTGGTGTGTTGTTGAAGGATCCAGGCGAGGTGTTCTGGGCGGAGCTGGCATCCGTGGTTCCAGTATGGTTGTCTGGTGGTTTACCTTGAGACAGGGAGTCTGAAGTTGGCCAAGGTTGTTGGGAAGACCTGTCTCCGTCGGCTTACCCTTGTTGTCAAGGAGGCAAGAGAGGTGGAAGACGACATAAGCGAAATGAGTGGACTCAAGATACCCACCACAAGACGAGAGGCTGTCTTGTCATCAGTAGCGGCGCAGTTTGCGTTCACCTTCGTAGCCCGACCCTCCTTCGTAGGGCCGTTTCCGCGAGTCGTCACGGTCGTAGTCGCGGCCGCGATACCCGTCTCGGTCGCGGTCTCGATCTCCGCCGCGGTCTCCGCCGCGGTCCCCACCGCGATCCCCACCGCGGTCGCCGCCTCTGTCTCTGTCTCCGCCGTGCCTTTGGCCGAGCGGCATGGCGTTGCTCCCAGAGCTGGACCTATCACCTCCGCGGTAGCCGCCTCCGCCGCCGTATCCTCTGTCGTCATCGCGTCGACCGTACCCGCCGCCGCCGCCACGATCTCCGTAATCTCTGCGATCACGGTCAAATCTGCCGCCGCCAGGTCCGCTAGGTGCGTTTGGTGGTCCGCCGAAGCCCCGGTCGCGGCCTCCAAAGCCTCCACCGCGACGGTCGAAACCGCCACGGAAGCCACCTCGGTCTCCGCCCCTGAAGCCACCTCGGCCTCCACGGAATCCGCCTCCGAAGCCGCCGGGACCGGCCATGGGGCGACTGGGCATGGCTTTGGTGTAACCGCGCCCTCCGAGTCCACCACCGAGGCGGCGAGGCTTCCAGCCCGAGACGGTACGGCCGCGCTCGACGTCGGTCTTGATACGGCGGCCCTTGATGCTGATGCCATCGAGTTGTTCCAGAGCAGCTAAATGTGCGCGCGGCAAAACGCGCTTGTGTCAGTACGACCTTACCATTGTCTGCATACCTTACGTGACGAGTGAGATGAAGGGGGAAAGGGGCACCGAGACAGGCGAGCTTGAGGGCCATGGTCTCGGCGGGGGTTGGATCGCCGTGTAGGCTGTAGGGCTGTCTCGGGAATATCAATGGCGGTATTACCTCTCATGTCCTTTTCGCGCTCGAATACTATGAAGGCATAGCCACGGTGTGGCTTCTTCTTCTTGTTGCCCTTCTCGTCGGCGTGGGTGTCACGTACGATCCTTATCTATTATGCTGTCAGCGATGATGCGAAGTGGTGTTCTAGGTGTCCATGGTCTTGTCATACACGCTCGATGGTCCCGATGCGACCGAATTCTCGCTCGAGGTCCTCCTCGTTGGCATCATAGCTGAGTCGCGAGACCATCAGTGTCTTGAAGGCATCGCCACGAATGTTGGGGTCGTTGGCTGGGTTGACTGGTTCGAGGTGTTAGCGTTCATCATTGTGTGCAAGGGACCCGGCAGGGATCTAACAAAGCTTTGGGGCCTCGGTGACGAGTTTCTCGATCTCGGCCTTCTTCTCGAGCTTCTTGCGGTCGCGAGCCTGCAGCCAACTCTCGGTGGGGACATAGCCATCGGCATCCTTGTAAGCCTCGAGGTGAGGCAGGAAGTCGGCCACACCACCAACGGCAGCAGTCTTCCGCTGCTCAGGGGGAAAGTCGCACGGAGGGACCCATCGCAGAGGAGGCCGCGGCGCGAACAGCGCCAGGAGGTTGGGAGGAAGCTTGTCGGTCATTTTCAGACTCCCTTCAGGTGCTTCGCACTGAGGCAAGACCCGGTCAAAATAGAAGACTGCCCCGCTTCGATTTTTTGAAGCAGTTGCGCGCTGTGGACTCGACGGACAAGTCAGGACAAGCGCAAGCAACGGCGAAGGGGGGTGGGAATGAGGGAGGTGGCTGAAAGGAGTGTGCTTTGCGACAGGTTGCCTAGTGCAGAGCTATGCCGTTCCTCGACGGCAACAAGGGACCAGCACAGGAACGCGTTCTGGAGAAAGCTCAGACCACAACCTTACGTAAGCACCATTTTTTGGATGCGATTGAACGTATCGAGCGAGGCGATGATTCCACGACGACAATGTCCATCCCTAACCCATTTGACAGACCACCATGACAATAAGACCAGCATTCGAGGCAGTGACGAAGGGCCGAGTAAGCATTTCGGCCAACAACTTGTCCGTCCACGCCGCATCATACTGACCGCCGCTGCAGAATGGCGTCGGCGCCTTCATCCTGCAATGTAAGAGGATGGATTTCCACTACTGCGACTGGGCAGGGAGCTCAAGAGGCATGAAGTAGGTGCTGCAGGCCCTCTCGAGGCCGTGATTGTGGTGCTGACCTGATCGCAAAGCTCCTTCATCAAGTCGATGCTCCCCAAGTTCGCCGCCGCACACCCCGAGATCGAAATCACCGTCTCCCCACGGCCTACGAAGCACCCTCTCATCAGCGCACACTACATCAATGGCAACACGCGGGCGGTCTGCGTCAAGAACTTCCACGCCAACCAAATACAGCAAAAGGTTGACCTGTTGCGGGACTCGACGGGCGAGAAGAACAAGAAGTTCAGCAAGCCGGTGAGGAGTATCAACGAGAGTGTTAGAGGAATCTGGTCACCATATCACGGCAAGGGCCTCACAGTATAGACGGGGTCGAGCCGACTGGAATGTGATAGAAGGAGAACGTGTATTTTACATGCATGGTGCCGGCGCGCCAAATCTCGACAGAGGAGCGGTCTTCAAGGGTCGCATCACGTGTCGAATATATACCCGGACTAGGTCTTCAAAGCGTCAAGAAGCGCAATTCAACGAGACACGAATATTCGGATGTCCCAAATGGAGTGATTACAAGGATTTCATTTTGACTACTTTTGGCTGCCTATCTCAAGTTGTCCTTATGCCCCCGATTCCGTCGGGAAGCTACCCATGGACTACCTGCTCCTCTCCCAGCTCGACGGCAAAGAACCTTATGCCAGGTGACTGTTGATGATGTCGACAAAGGCGGGCTTCAAGCTGGCACCACCGACGAGGAAACCGTCAATGTCGGCCTGCTTGCTGAGCTCCTTGCAGTTCTTCTCGCTGACGGAGCCGCCGTACAGGATGCGGGTCTCGTCGGCGGCCTTGGCGTCTACCTTGTCCTGGAGCCACTTGCGGATGGCGGCGTGGACCTCCTGGGCCTGCTCGGTGGTGGCGACCTTGCCGGTGCCGATGGCCCAGATGGGCTCGTAGGCGATGACGATCTTGGACCAGTCGCTGCCGATCTTGGCCTTGAGGGCGTCGAGCTGCTTGGTGACGACGTTGACGGTCTTGCCGGCCTCGCGCTCCTCGAGCGACTCGCCGCAGCACCAGATGACGCTCAGGCCGCCGTCGACGGCGACCTTGGTCTTGTTGGCGACGACCTCGTCCGACTCGCCCAGGATCGTGCGCCGCTCGCTGTGGCCCAGGATGGTCCAGTTCACGTCGCTGTCCTTGAGCTGCTCCACCGAGATCTCGCCCGTGTAGGCGCCGTTGGGCTTGTCGTAGACGTTCTGTGCTGCCACCTCGATGCCCTTGTTCAGGGTGTCACGGACGTAGTGCAGGTACAGTGATGGTGGTGCAACAACGACCTCTGCGGTTGGAAGGTCTGGTTAGCAGGAGGGGACTTCTGACATGGCCGGTTCTTCAGGAGCAAGTGGCCCCAGAGCCGTGTGAATTCAAGCATACCAGCGTTGGAATCGAGCTTTGCGCTGTTCAGGTTGTCGACAATGGTCTTGATGGACGACTTGGTGCCGTTCCTGCGGGTTTGGCGAGGCCATCGTCAGTCTTGAAGCTCTGCGGAAGCCCTGCGGGGTTTTTCAAGAAGCTCGGGGAGCTTGTTGGGCAGCTCACATCTTCCAGTTTCCTCCGACAAAGAACTTGCGAGCCATGATGGGCAATTGGTTTCTTGGGGTATCGTTAAGGGTGAACAAGAAGTGCAATTGTTCGCGAGGAGGAATGTGTATACCGTGTAGGTGTAGCTGGAAAAGTGAAGAGAGTGGTGAGAGAGTTTCAGGAAAAGCGTACTCGAGGTGACGACAGCGTGCCTGCTCTTTAGAGGGGCAGCAAATGGAGGGGCACAGAGCACTGGAACGACGTTTCTGGTGGGGACTGCCGGGACTTGGCGGCTCTCGTTCGACGGCCCCTAGTTTCCGCCCTCAACGAAAACAACTCATCGCCTCACTTTCCTCGGTAAACAGCATGACTTCATGCCTAGCTCTCCCTGCTTTTCCCGCATGATTTACAGTGCTCTGTGGCGTGACGTTATAAACCCACCCAACCTGTCTGCCCGTCCAAGCCGCAGTGAGGGACTGAGTCGCGCTCCACCTTTGGGTGGACTGGCAGGACTGGGCTGAATGGGCCTGGGAACACCAGCGTTGTTACCCGAACTCATCACCGAACGAATCGGCTTCCAAAGGCATACACGGTCCCAGTTCGCGCATACATGAGTCTCGACCTCCGTGCCCGAGGCACACTTGGCAGGCTCAAACACGGCTGGGCATCCAATTGAGGAAATGCCACCAGTTCTAGCCACTATTAGCCACGATGAGGCAAGCAGCTGGTTCGTCCACGTTCAATGCTCGGCCAATCTCCTTCGGAAGGGTGGCTCGCCATCAAGACCCAATCGTCTGAGGTTGGGCTGACATGCCGCGTGTAGGCGGAGCATACAGCATCGGGTCTCTTAATAACTACGAGCTATCCAGCAGCCCCAGGATGGCCCTTTCTTCCCGTGAATCTTGTCAATCTTTGCCCCAACCGTTGCAGACACCTCACCAGCACAGTTTCACACACAACCCACAGTCCTTACTGCAGCTGCAGGTACGACACCACGAGACAGTGGTCAATGCGATCGAAGAAAGCACACTTTGATCCTCTTCATCATGGACTGCGCAGAAGGTCAAATCTCGTCCCAAGCTCTTCCACCTTGAACCACATGGCTGGTTGTTGGTTCGCCTCCAACCTTACAAGATGTTCCATGCGATCAGGTGTCCCTTGAATCGATCTCGACGCACAAGCCAACATGAAGCTTTGGTTAGATCAGCTTACCGAAGCTGCTTCCTTACGCGCCACTTGCAGTGTCACAACCTGTGAAAGAAGTTGTGGAATCACCATTGCTTGCATTCTGAGTACAACGCTCATGCTAAGGACATTGCCGGCTGAGACGACATTCTGGAACTATGAAATTAGGGAGCAGCCTTGCGAATCGCACTCCTCACTGCTCAACTTTTCTGAACGCTACCGCGTTGCGAATGACTTCCAGGCTTCTGAAACACGGACAAATCCTCCTGACAAAAGAACTCATCGCCTATAATCACGATCAAAGTCATATGTGCGGCCTGCTCTCCGTAGTAGAGGCGAGAACGGGTTCACAGAAGACGGGGGCGACTCTTCTCGCCGCCTTCGGTACAAGATCTCCTCGTCTAGTTGCTCCCGCATGATATTCTCCTGCTCTTCTCGCGCCCGTGCCTCGCGGCGTCGTTGGGCCTCAAAATGGACAGCGTCATTAAGATCCTCACGGTCGAGTCTCAACCGATGGAACTCGTCCTCGAGCTGTCGATCTACCTCGCTTGAGGTGACGTGTCGGATCCTGGCTGGAGATATCGGCTCATTGATGATTTCAGGACGGGGCGCGTATCGAGGCCTGTATCTCCTCGCGGCAAGATCGAGACTCTCGGGCCCATCCATGATATGCCGGTCGGCAGCCTTCTGGTCCGACCTGCCAGCCCGGTAAGCCTCGGCCTCGATTTGGTCCATGTCCTCGACGGGGATCGCGGCCTTCCTTGGAGGTACCGCAACCTGGATGATTGGGACACGAGCTCCACTCCCGGTAACGATGTATGATCCCTCCTCGACCAGGCTGCGGCGACGGCTGGGACGGTAGACATCAACGCCGAAGTTCCTAGGCTCTTCAAGGTACTTCAAGGACCGCCTCTTCGATCCATGATGTTTTCTGTCCTTGTGCGAGCCTGAGGAATGGGATGGCTCGGTGATCAATGTGGACTCCGAGCCAAGTTCGGAACCAGAGCCGCAGTCAGAGTAGTCGGAGCTGTCAGAACTTCTTGAGTGTCGACTTTTGTGGTGCTTATCCTTTCTGTGGTCAACCTCAACGCGGATTGGTGTATGGGGGCGACCAGCTCCTTGTCCGTGATGAGGTTGATGCATCGGCATTACCTGGGGGTGGTGCATCGGTCCATGCATCGGGCCATGCATGGGTCCATGTATTGGTCCATGCATTGGTCCTGGACTACGCATTGGGAGAGCCTGCGGGTGGATCATTGGTTGAGGCTGATGGCGTTGAGGCGGGATCATGTGATGATCGTGTGCCTGGTGTCTCATCCGCATCGCTTCAGACTCGCGCTGCCTCTCCATGCCAATGGCACGAGCAAGCTCGCTCGGTATCTGAGTATTCTTGGGGCAGCGTTTGAAGTATGCGGTTATGGAGACACGCTCGTACCTCCTCTTCTGGTGGATCTTCCTCTTCGTGTTGGACTTTCGGACATACACCTTTTCACGTTGTTGCATGACGGGCTTCAATGTGGAGTCGATCTGTGCGAGCACGGTGTGGAAGCGTGCATCCTGTTCCTCCAGGGAGAGGTCGCGTTCTGCTTTGGCAATTTGGCCCTGTTGCTTTGGCGACAGGTCATTTTGCTTCTCGAGAAGGGTCTTCCCCTTTTTCGCGTCCTCCTTGTTGAGCCGCCGGATTTCCCTTCGAGCGTCCACCTTGTCGACATTAGCAATGCGTGTCCTGGTGCAGTTATCCCAGCCCGCCTTCACTTCTTCGCCATCAGAGTCATATTCGTCGTACGGTTGAATCTTCTGGAACCTCAGGATGACATATTCTGAAAGCTCCTCCCGAATATCTTCTTCGGTCAACCCCTCATGTCGAATGTCGGAGACGACGACCGGGCGTTGAAAGTGGGAGGGTATGATATTCCTGGGAGGATGAGGTGGATGTGATGGGAATGGAGGGGATAAGGGCGGCAAGGTCCGTGGCATCTGTGGGGAAAGAGACGTCGGCGCCACCGTGGGCATAGGACGCTGCTGATGCACCATCGGCGCCGGTGGCGGCGGCCGACCGCCCACACCCGGCTGATGATGTTGAGGAGGGACTGGGATAGCGGGTGGTGAATGGGGCTGACCACCATTGAGGTGAAAGAATTCCGGCATGATCACAAACGTGAAAGATGCGCTCAACTACGGAGAGGAGCAAGCGACAATTCTGCCTTGTTCAAAGAAGGGCAAGAGAAAGGTTGGATGAGGAATGACTGCTCCGGGCCGATGCGAGGATTCAGAGCCAGGCAGCAAGGCTATAATATATTGGGGCGGCTCCTGGAGGACAGGCAATCCGAAGCAAGTCCACTAGATGGTGTGCAACCCACAACCTCTTGGTGCGTCATGAAAGTGAGGCGAGGACAAGAGAGGCCACGCGGTTCGTTCGTGTCGCAACGAGACGACCGAAAAATGAGACAAGGAGGGGACAGCCATCAAGATATGAGCCACGCGTGTCTAGGACTTGGTGCCCAGAGCCCTCGAGGTCACTCGGTACGCGGATCACTCGGCCAGATGAACAGCTCCGAGGTCCTAGGGTGGTCTTGGGCGGCTGCTGCCGCTGCGACTTTGCGATGAACCATACCCAAGATCAGCAGTCCGAGACTTGACTCGAGAACATGGGAGCGGGTACATGCACACCAACCTCGAGAAACAATTGCCGGGCATGGAGAGGCACTACTTGATGACCTCCAACATGGACTAAAACATAGCAACGTCTCGCCCCACCCTGGCTTGTTCGGTGAGACGGTGTGTCACACACAGGCACACACACCTTCTTCAACTCCAAAGGCGCACTCTCCTTTACAACACGGGTCGTGATTGGCCAGGCAGCCCCCCGGGGGACCAGCGCGGAGTGCTCGAAGGATTGCCAAGGCCGGAGAGCTAAGCTTGAGCTCAGCTTGTCACCTAGTACTGCCAGGCTAGACAGGTCGCGATTGTGGCGGCCCTGGGTGACCACAGGCTGCTGGCTGTCGTCGCGAGGAAATAGTGAAATGCCCGCAGTCCTGAGGTAGCGACCACATATGCGGTGTCTTGTTGTTCAATATGTCAGGGGATGATCTGGTACGAGTTGGAGACACTGTGAGACCGCGACTGCCGCCCGGCGCAACCTGACCTCTTCATACCCACTGACGCCTTGATACTTACTCACTCACGCCTAGCACACCAAAGACCCTCGCCGAAACCTGTCCAGATATGTCTCTGATACTGAACAGGGGCGGGTGGTACTCGATAGCCCATGTGCCTGTATGCTGTACGACGCGGAGCACCTGAGCCTCAACCGGCCGCATGGTTCGCCGGCACTGCGGAGCAAAAGAAGGCAGCCGACCGACCGCCTTATTACACTTCTCTCGGGCAAACGCTAAGGCAATGCACGAATGGCCCCAGCAAACGGTGGCCTTTGAATGCAGATGCAGCCTCGTCCGGTCTCCACACTTTTTATTCCTATTCGCTCCTCGCCCGTCAAGTGACGGCGACTAGGGTCCCGTATTCGCCAGAGATCTCTCGTCGCGTTGATAAGGTCGACACCCTCAGCTATTCCTCCGCCGACTCCAATAACTCGGACTCGATTGCTTGCCGCGTACCCCAACCTGTATGCTTATCGACTTAGGTTACGCACACCTCAAGCCACCCAGGCATCTCTACGGCGTCGCCAATAAGCGATGCCTGCTATTACGGCTGCGGCTCTGCGACCAATGCTGTCAAGTGAGAGGTCGGACGCGAGCAGCACGCCGGTGGCTGCTTACGACCTTGCCCTCAGGCTACTGCATTGTATCTGAACATGTCATTGTTTCTGATCGACGATCTCAGTGCCTAATGCGCAAACGCTGCGAACACCAGGCCGAAATGCTGCTGATCATGGCTTGTCATTTTTGTCGGCCAAAGAGACAGGCTGGCATTTTGAGCCGCATGTCCCGTTCGTGCCTGAAAATGTTTCTGGAAGGCGAAGCCTGCTCGCTCTCTCGTATGCAGGAGACATGTCTCTCGCTGCTCAACCAGCCTGTCCTTGTCACGGAACCACCGTTTCTGGGACCACTGTTGCGTTGTGTCCATCACAGGCGTGCACCGCCGCCCTCTGTGCCCCGTCAAAAACGAGTAGCCATTACTTTTTTGCGGTTTTTCTTACAATAAAGACGATCCACAGTTAATTGAGCCATTCATGGGGGATCCATGCTCACCTCTTCGGCATCGTTATGCCATGCAGCCGGCCCTGCGGTGCGCGCCGATGCAGACGGCCGATATCGAGGGCCCACCCTCATGCTTGCCCGGGCAAGATACATTGGCCAAACATGATGCAGGTCTTGCATATGCTAAGCTCACCGAAGAAGTATTGGGCATTGGGCAGAAAACAAGGGTACATATCTACCTAAGCCCGGTCCCTATGCCATTGACAGCACTCGCCTGCAGCTGGTATTGGTTCCCATTTCTCGGTCCTGGCAGCTGTGTATATCTCATACGCACACCTTGATGCATCATGTCGCATCATATCGCATTACGTGCATTCTACTGATCACATATCACATTGCTTTGTATGCGTCCTACCCACCTGCTACCGTCTGTGCCCCGTTCCTCGGATCGCTGATGCAGGCTACACAAGGTGCAATGCCCAACAGCCCCCATATTCTGACCACCACATATGCACTATTACCCCATTCGTGCTCCCTTCGCACTTCAACTTGACCGAGCTCTTTGCCACGCCCACATTTTCTGTGGTGTTGCGCGCATATATCTTTACCCTCGGAGATCCTCCGCTCCCTCCTCCCCTGGAATAGTCACTTGCCCACTCTCACATGCATGCATGTAGTCGTTACACGTGGTACGACCGGAACATTTATGTATGTACGATCAACAAGCCCGGGACGCCCGGCCTGAGTCTGTGTGACGTGCCAGCGCGCTTGTGTGCAGCATCGGGCCCCCATCCTCTCCTCCTTGTTGACCGCCCCGCCAACCTCCGTGGGCAGACAATCCCATGTTTTGAAAGGTGGCGTGGGGAGGGAGGGGGGCAACGAAGCAGGCAGGATACAAAAGAAGAGGGGGAGGCGGCCACAAGGACCCAAACCGGGTTGTTGGAAAGAGGCGGTGGGTGCCCAACGGTTCCGCGACGCCGACCCAATGCTGGACGACCGTGCCACGGTACGTGCTGCCGCTATGCGTTGTTGTTCTTCAAGTTGTTGGGAGCGAGGTGCCGCTCGACGATGCCGCCCCCTCGTGCCGGCTGAGGTCCACGGGTGCTGTGCTCCGTGCTGCAAGAGGAGAAGGAATTGGCCAATTCCTGCCCGGCCGCGTTACATACAGGCTGGGTTGGCAGGTACTATGAGGGACGACGCCGAGTCCGTTTGGGAAAGGTTGGTCAAGGTGCATGCTGTGGACTGGAAGAGTTGCTCGTGTTTCTTCCTTTTGTGTGTCGTTGTTATCCTCGCTCTGTTATGGTCTTTGGTGCAGTGATACGAAGCTCCCGAGTTCTCGTTCGTCTTGCTCGCTGGTGCGGGCTACCGTATACAGATATCCGATTTTGCTATTGTTCAACTATCATGCTGGCAAGCTTGCTTGTTAATCCCCTTTGGGCATGGGTATCCTAGATATGGGACCGTTCGATACTGACCTCGTGGGCTCAGTGTTACCATGACTGCCCAGGTGAACATGTGTTGGGGGCGAAAACCGGCATGCCTACCTGCAGCTTATTCCCACTTTGTGAGAGAGCCCCATAACACAAGACAGATCTTCAAAAACACGTTTTCGAGAAGCACAAATGATGACGATCTTTCGTTGATGGTTTCATGTGCAGCCCGTACTACTCTTTCACAATACACTCCGGAAACCTTAACTCCCCGCTCGTGGAATCCGCGTCCTTTGCCCACCGCTTAGTAGGCTAAGAACTCGGTCTCCTCTAGGTTTCATTTACTCCTTGATGTTCTGCTCAAGGCACAAATCTGTGCAAAGTCAGCCATAGATGGCTCGACTGCGTGGGGTCGGTGCCACGCGCCTCAGATCCCCGGCATCCAGCTGGCTCTTTCCGAGCAGAAGAACTCCCCGTCAGGTGGCAGCTGCCCAGGGCCGTCTAAAGTGCGGTACGTGATGTACCTGAATTTTTCCGCCGCTTGTTCCTGTCGTGACCAAATGCATCGTCTCGTGTTCGCGGGGCTACCAACCCATTGCCCAAAAGGGTGGATCATAGCATAGCCCGTGTTCGCGTGTGAATGAGCCGCAGTTGCCACAGAACTCCCTGCTCGTGACAGCGCAATTGTCCTGCTTGAAGAGCTCATTAGGCCCGCCTTGGCTGCATGCGTACTTGAAGCTCTCGATTGGGATCTTCGTACTTGGCTAGCGACGTGTATGTATGATGGCTGGCTAGGTTGACTGTGTATTCCGTGAGTGTTGCGACATGGCCAAGAAGGACCGGTGCATCAATGATATCAAGACTTGCCTAGAACGCCAACCCGAAGTTCGTGCCGACTGCCTCCTTGCAGCTCGAATAGTGCTACAGTGATGTCTTCTTTGGGCCGGCAGAGTCAATATTTACGGTGTACTGCAGCTTCCTGCATGCGTAGGTGCCGGTGAGATTGAGGGTTAATACTGTGGACAATTTCCAGCGCGCAGAACGGCCAGGGCTTGAAAGTCTTGGTTTCTATGTGCGCATAGCGGCATTAGAGAAAGTAATAAATCATTTCTTGATGGTATAGAAAGCATAATAAATAGAGGAAAGATAGGCTTTATAGTTCTTCTAAAAGAGCACTCTAATAAGACAGGCACATTAAATGCTACATGATAGACACCTCGGCCGAAAAATAATAATTTCAAGTTGCTTAAATTTAAAATACAGCATGGCACATAGGGATAGATCATATATGATAAATGCCCAAAAGGGAAAAAAAGATGGCCGGGGCCTGCAAGTTCTCTCTCGCCGGGAATTGAACCCGGGTCTCAAGCGTTGCTGCTTCCAAGGATGGCGATGACAAGCTTGCATACTAACCACTATACTACGAAAGAATTTTCTTTGTCTCGGTGTGAAACCGAGGTAGCTGGTGGGCTGTTCGTTGGGAAGTAGTTAGGCTGGGGGGTATATAAAGCTATCTCAATATGACAGAATTTTCATCTGCTACCCAGCATAGGGCCAAGGTCGCTAGTTAGTCACCAGCAAGTTATATACTATATATTGCTACTATCCACTACATCTCCTACACCCGACCAATGAATTAAATACCTACTTAGCTTGATTACGAAATAGCTGTTATGCTTTCTCCTCTCGGAAAGTATCCGCATGCTGGGCGGCACTTGGTGGAGGACGCCGATCCCGGTACCTAGTGATAACAGCAAGTGCCGGGCTGCACCGAGCCCCGTCCCGTCCGCCCGCCTGGCAACACACACTTGACAAGATATCTTAGCCACACGTGGTACAAAGTATTAATAGCGAATTTAGACAACTCATGACTAAAATACCTTAATTCCATCCTTCATATAGCTGTGAATACTTACAAATATACTTAGATTCTAAAAGTAGTAATATGAGTTAATATTCATATGGCGATACTTAAGCCTTAAGCCACCCCTATCAACAGAGAAATATGTCTTCGGGTTCACCAGAGCCCTGGCACTATTTCCAACAAAGATCGCGGCGCCCGAGTTCGTGAGAGCAAAATCCGACTCCCTCGTCGTTTACCCCGGAGACATACGCAGGCCCGACCACTTTGTAGAACCCGGGAGTGGTACCGGCGGCACGGAGGATGAGGGGCGGGAGCTTTGCTCCGACGGCGATACCGCAGACATCGTCTGCTTTCGCAGTAGCCGGAATGAGGCAGTAATTCCTTCGAGACAGTACGGCGAAGCGCCGGCCAATGTGTGCGCGGTCAAGTTCTTTCTCGATGGCAGTCGGGAGCTCCCAGTCCCTTGTGGCAGGGTCATCGCCTCAGCGAAGATCTTTCAACCACCTGGTCCGAGCAGCATTCAATTCTAAGGGGTTGGCACTCAGCATTGCTCGTGTCCCCGAGTCCCCCATCATGAGTGTGGATAGGAAGGACTGAGCAGCCGATTCCGAAACTAACCCAGCATTTGAGTCCATTGGAGAGCGCTTCAGATCAGGCTGCCTCTAAAATTTGACAATCTTGGTCTCATCCAGTCGCCGATAGCCAAAAATGCCGTGTTTGGTTGCCAGCACTTGAAACTCGTCGAGACGAAAAGGAGAAGTAAGAGACCCGAGGGCGGATACAGAGAGCCTGTGTCCTGCCCATGTGCCCAGGCTCTGAAGGTCCTCGGTGCCAGCAGTCGCGCCCTGGGCCGGGGGGGGGGGGGGTGGGAAATACGGCAGATGAAGAATGGATTCTGTCGGGCCGTCGCATTACTGATAGGAGGTTGTCTGATAGGAGGTGGTATAGTAGGAGGTTGTCCTGTAGGAGAATGTGCTATAGGAGGCTGTCTAGTAGGAAGTTATCCTATAGGAGGTTGTCTGATAGGAGATTGTCCTGTAGGAGGGTATCCTATAGGAGGTTATCCGGTAGGAGGCTGTCTAATAGGAGGCTGTCTGGTAGCAGGCTGTCTGAAGGTGGGAAGCAGTAGTCATGTTATTCCCTTCAGAACTCGCCTCGACAAGTGTGATGCACGCGCTGTAGCCTGTGGGCCACCTTCCAAAGACGTTTTTCCTCATTCACCGCAGCAGCTCAGGGACGATGCTTCCGTTTTCTGTTCATGTGACACACCCCTTGCAAGACTGACGAGATGCTGCCCGGTCTTCGAGTGCATGAGTCCTCTGTCTCGGCCTTGCGCTGCCCCGTCCCTCTACCTAGAGGCAGGAGTTGAAACATGGAATGGGAAGGAGGAGGGCCTGGATACCTTAGCTGATCGTGTAGGGGCGTAACGCCTCTGAGGAAGGTACAGCAGACAGTCGCGCCAAATTTTGAATACATCTTGAGAACACCAGCTCCCATTTCTACTTTGAACCCTTTGAGATGGCTCGGCCGCGAAGTACTGACTGAGAAATAGGTAAAAATCACCAAAATCACCAAACACGATCGAATCAGTAAGTAGCCATCCCATTCCCCACGCAAATGTTATGACAGTAGTTGTGGTTTCGTTGTTAATCCATATGCATCCTTTTTAATGTCATCAAGCAGCCACCTTTGTATGAGCCTCTCTCGTGCTGATACTGCAGCCAGGTATGGCCACCATAACAACCATCACCACCCCCGTGCGCCCCCCCATGATCACCACCACAGTCACCATCACCACCGGTGAGCCCCTGGCCCCTGCCGTCGTCTCGGCCGTCGTCTCGGCCGTGGCATCTGTCCTGGGGCCAGTTCTGGCCACGCATCTCGCCTCCCCCCTGGCCGAGGCCATCAAGGCCGGAACGAGCCCGTGGGGCTGGCCCGGCGCTCCTGGCCGCTGGGTCTCCAGCATCCTCGGTCTTGCGTTTGGGCGGCTGGCCTCCGCCTGGGACAAGAAGGCCAAGAAAGCCAAGAAGGAGGAGGAGGAGGAGGAGGAGGAGAAGGAGAAGGAGAAGATAACCAAAATATTTATTTATAAAGTATATTACCCACCCCTAATTAAACCAGCTATTTTCTTTTCTTATTCTCTTTTTTATTCTCTTTTTATTCTCTTTTTTTCCTCTTTCTTATTCTCTTTCTTTCCCCCCTTTTTTATTCTCTTTCTTTTCCTCTCTCCTCTCCTCCCTCCTTTCCTCCCTCCTTTCCCCCCTCTCCTTTTTCCCTCCCTCCTTTCCCCTCCCTCCTTTTCCCTCCCTCCTTTCCCCTCCCTCCTTTTCCTTCCCTCCTTTTCCCTCCCTCCTTTTCTTTCCCTGTTTTTCTCTCCCTCTTTTTCTCTCCCTCCTTTTTTTCCCTAAAAATTTATTACTTTTTAAATTATTTTTTATTTTTAATATTCTTTAAAAAATTAATTTTAAATTTATTTTTAATTATATTTATTTTAAATATTATTATAATGAAAATTTATATAATTATTAATTTAATACTTTTTATTTAATTAAAATATTATAGTAGTTTATTTATTTAATTAAATATTTATTAATATATAAATATTAAATTATTAATATTTTTTATAGTTTTTAAAATATTTAAATATTAAAAAAATAATATTATTAAATATTTTATTTAATTAATTTATATATTTATAAAAATTTAAAGATTTTAAATAATATAATATAAATAATAAATTATAAATAATAAATTCTTAATAATTTAATTAAGTTATTTTATAAATACTTTTTTAATAATATAATTAAAAATAAAGTGTTATTTAAAATTAAATAATATTTTTAAATATAAAGTTTAAATTTATATTATTAATTAAATTAATTATTAAAATAAAAACTTATATAATTATTAATTTAATATTTTTATTTAATTAAAGAATTATAATAATTAATTTATTTAATTAATTATTTAATAATATATTATTAAAAGAAATTAAAAATTTAAATATTAATATTTAAATTAACTTTTAAATTTTATTATAAATATATATTATTATTTATTTTTAATATATTTATAATTTTATTATATTAAATAAAAGAAATTAATAAAGTTTTAAATTATATATTATATATTTTAATAATTAAAAATATTAATAAAGTAATTAATTTTAATATATTATTTATAATTAAATTAAAATTATTTTTATAAACTATTTATATTTATTTTAATTTTATTATTAAATTAAAAGTAAATAATTAAAGTTTTAAAAATTAAATATAATATATTCTTTAAAATTAATTTAATTAAATTTATTATATAGAATTTTATAATAACTTTATAAAAATAAAGTTTTTAAAATTTATAATAAATAAATAATAAATAAAAATTAATTAAAAGTTTTAAATATATAATGATTTCTTTTTAATATAAAATTAAAAATTATAATTATAATTATTTAATTGTTTTTATTTAATTATTTTTATTTAATTATTTTATTATATTATAACTTTATTAAATTTTCAATTTAATTTAAACTTTTAAACTTTATAAATACTTTTATATTCATAAATATAAACTTTAAATTTAAAACCTTTAAACTTAAATTTATAAATTTTATAAATTTTATAAATTTCAATATATTTTAAATTAAATTTATAATTTTATAACTTTTTAAAAATATATAAATTATTTTAAATATTAATATATTTTTTAAAATAAAGTTTTTATAATTATAAATTTAATTATAAATAGTTATTTTTATTTATAATAAAGTTATTAAAATTATAAACTTAAATATTATAAATTAATATCTATTTATTTAATAATTATATTTATTTATTTAATTTTTATTAATTATTTATTTAATATTAATTTTTAAGTAACTTCTTTATATTTATAAGTATTTTTAAGTTAATATTAAAAGACCTTATAATATAATCTCCTTTTTTAATTTTAATACTTTAAGTATAAACCTTTTTTAACACCCCTTTTAATACTTTTTCTAATACCTCTTTTAATACCCTTTTTAATATCTCTTTTAATACCCTTTTTAATACCCTTTTTAATACCCCTTTTAATATACCTTTTAGTATACCTTTTAATTTATATATATTTAAATATTAATTAAATATTTAAATATTAATTAAATATTAAAAAGTTAAAAGTTTAAATTGTTAAAAGGTTAAAAAAAGAGTTAAAAAGTTAAAAAGTATATAATCTTTATCTTTACCTTTTTAATTTCTAACTTTTTAATATTTAATTAATATTTAAATACTTAGTTAATACTTAAATATATATAGGTTAGAAGGTTTAAAAGGTAAAGATAAAGGGTTTTAAAAGGTAAAGGTAAAGGGTTTTAAAAAGGGTATTAAAAGGGGTTTAAAAGGGATTTATATTAAAAGTATTAAAAATTTAAGGAATTCTAATTAAGTATATAGTTTTATATAGGCTCTATATATAAATTCTTATATTAAGTAAATAGTTAAAAAAAATTAGGTAAGTAGATATTAGTTTAAATATTATATATAATAATTAAATATAATTACTTTATTTAACTATATTTTAATTTAATAAAATATAATAAATTAAATATTTATTTTTAAATAATTTTACTTATAAAGTTAATAAATAAATATTTATTTAAATAAAATTAAAATTATTAAAAATTAATAACTTTATTTTTATTTATTTTAATTAACTTATATTTATTTAAATTATATAATAATTTTATTTATAATATTTAATAATAATAAAATTAAATAATTTATAATTTATAATAACTTTAACTTTTAATAAATTAATAATATTAATTTAAATTAAAATAATTCTATATATTAATATTAAAAATATACTTTAATAATAAATAATATTATAAATAATTATAAAATTATTATAAAACTTTTATATAATAAATTTAATTAAACTTATTTTTAAAAATCTATTATATTTTATTCCTTTAAAACTTTAATTATTAATTTTAATTTAATAATAAAATTAAAAATATAAATAGTTTATATATATAATTATAAAAGAATATTTATAAAAGAAATAATTTATTATTTAACTTTTAAATTTAAATTTAATTATTATAACTCTTATTTTAAAATTAATATAAGAACTTCTATTAGAATATTTAAAAAACTATTATAATAAGTAAATATTATAATAATAGTAGTCCCTAGATATAGAATTTTAGACACTTTAAGTTTAAGCTACTGTTATGTTGTCTCCTCAGCCTGTGACTAACATCCTTTTTTCTTATCCCACACACATCATTATCCACAGCTCAACACTAACTATGGCCAGACATCCTGCCCCTCACGAGCAGCTATAGTTCATGGTAGTAGATCTAGTTTTAGGCAAACCCAACAAGTCATTGTCCAGACCGAAGATAGAGAAATTTAATTAGTGATAAGATTGAACCAAAAGTCCCGTCTCAAACCTTTAGCAGAATCCACGGCATCTTAAGAGAATCGTCCCTAAATCTCAAAAGATTCGCTCACGGCTACCCAGCCCACTTTCTAAGAGGAAGGAACCCCGGATGATCCCAACTCCTACTCTCCTATAGACTGAATTGTACTGTAACACCCTGGATTCCGTAGGTGCGACCAACAACACGTAGTGAAGCGTATCCTCATGCGAGTCTTGGTCCTCGCTCTTAAGCCTCCCAAATATGACGCACGCTATGGTCGGAGCTACAGCTGCCCAGATTCTGGGATCATCAAGAAACAGCGCATCTCCGAGTTCATATGCTGCCTGAGAGTCAAACATGCGGACGGTAGCTGTCAATGTAGGTCTGTGACTGGATCGGTCTCGACTGTAGGTCCAGGTCCCAACTGGGCTTCCTGACCACGGCGAACGGACGTCGTTGTGTTCCCATTCCACACGGCCGAAGGGTATATCCAAGTACCGTATCGCCCCATTGTATGCCATCCATGACCATGTAGGAGGTTCTGATACAGACTCTGTGGTGCTTAGGACACTCTGGAAGTCAATCATCTCCAAGAGGCCGACATCAGTTGCTCGACACCACAACAGGCTTCGCAGCAGTAAGCCGGACCCGGGGTCGTCAAAGATGCCAAAACCACCACTAACTTGAAAACTGCTTATTAGGCGCTTTTCAAGGCCCGCAATAGCAATAGGTCGATCGGTGTCTCGGGTGAGGATTAATCGTGTGTACTTTGTGTAGAGGTCCTGGTAGAGAATGATTCTGCCTCCACGGGACGCCTCCACTGCGATCCTGGGGAACTGTGGGTCGCCCGAAAATGAGACAAGGCCGCTATCGAATGATTGAAATTAGTTCATGCTATCCCAAGACAGGAGCTTTGATGGGCTGTTTTATTTTTATTTCCCTGGTCCCATGCTTTTCTTATACCGTTGCCACGGAAGTACTCACTTCTCCATCTTGGTCATACTCTCACATCGGACACCTCTTCCACACTCCCAGTAGCTCTGCTTGTTGGAAAAATAGATAGTCCGGCGGGCTAAGACCCTCTCCTGCAGAACCCAGCCTCTTTGGTTCAGTCGGCTATTGAGAACATGCTCCTTGAAATCGTCCATGAATTCGCAGATATATAATGGATCTTTCCCAGGCTGCTGAATGCCGACCGAGTTCCGTTGTTGTATGGGTTTAAGAAATCCATCCGTTTGGTTTGTGGCACCGCTGGCTGCCAAAACGCAATATGCATGGGAGAAGATGCCTTCCATTCGTTTCCCTTCGGTGTCGAAATCGCCTTGCTTTCCTTGAATGATGCAGAGGGAGTCAATCCAGATATATTGAAACCCTAGTTGTCTTGTGACAGTTATTGCATCTCGAAATGTTCTCGGTAGACTTTCGACTGGCACTCCCTTTCTGTGCTCGTCAATGTTGTCAGGGTAGGTGCAAAAGTGCGGTGGATTACCCCAAGGATGGGAGAGAGCAAAGTATTTCATATTGTCGGTGTCTTGGGTTTCATACAGCTTGACCACACTGGAATGACCCTTCCCAACGTTGATCAGCCTTCTCGGAAGGTCACCTTGGCTTGAGTCTCGAGGCATGCAATCTCGATGATTCTTATCGCAATCGTGTAGCCATCGTCGAAGGATATCGAACTTGAATGGGTCTTCCGTCTCAGGGAGTCGTGGAAGACCAATCTGAAGATCTCCTGGCAAGCTTTCACCCGTAAATCTCAAGCCTTTATGAACAATTTATCAGCTCTTTTGTCGAAAATTAAGTGAACTCCAGCTGATCCATACATACCTGGCCCTTGGAGCAACGTCATAACGGGAGGGTACTTTTTATTAAGACGCAGATTGGACTGTTGTCTGTCAAAGCAGACCGTCGACACATTCTCAGAATCCAAATGTCGGCAAGCTTTCCAACGCATGAAGCAGAAATCGCAAGAGTTCGCGTTGATCCTGAGGGTAACGAGAATATCTGTTATCTCAAATCCTGGAAGGAAGAAATCCAGCCTCCGACAGCCTCCACACAGTCTCTCGGACGGCTCTGGCCATATTGTGATGGATCTCGCCACCGTGGTGACCTGATTGCTGATAATAACGTCTCTGGCAAAGCTATTGTCCACTATGAACTTCCACACCTCATTCAGCTAGACAGTGCTATCAGTAGGAGGAAGAGTCATACTCTTTATACCAAAATTTATATGATTGGGCTTACAGTCTACTCAAATGTTAGAAAAAAGAACTCATTGTACTGCAGGTAAGCATTGGGAGAAGACCTACCGGCTATGAACGCGATCAGTTCTTGGACGCTGTCTGAGATGAGCAAGAACATGAAGTGATACGCCGCTAACTTACGTGCTAATTTACTTCTTAGTTCAAATCACGCCAAATCATGAGGAAAAGGTCAAAATCTCAAGCAACTCACATGCTAGTATTTGGTCAAACCAGGCGTAAATGTCAGCCTTCAGTTTACATTTGTGTCCCTAGTCCTAGGATATGGTGGTGATGCTTTAGATCTTACATACTATTATGTGGTTAGCAAAGTACAAAGATATTTCATAAGAACAGGATCAGTCACCGGGTGTCAATGAATATATGAAAATTCTTCAATCTCATCAGATGCACCCGGGCGAAGTTGACGCTTGTGTATTTCTCATGGTACTGCTAGCACTACTGAGACAGTTCAGTTTAAAAGAAATGTTGGAGACCCATGAATCGATGTGTTTTTGAGGAGGAACCAAACATGAAAGAACTCACATTGTTGCGCCTTTGATCACCTGGAACTCCAGCCACAGACTTGGCGTTTGATGGGCTGCGGAATAGACTCCCAGTCTCACCCTTGAACCAGTATTCAGGGTCGTCCTTTCCTTTACTTACAATCTTTCGCAGCTCATTATGGAGAGTTTTAGCGTTGGCACGATAGCCTTGTTGCCACTCGTTGTCAGAATTGCTGGGAAGTCGCACAACCAGGAGTTTGTCTCTGACGAGCTTCAACAGGTCTCTGATCGCATCAGATCCAGTGAATTCTCTCATGATTTTCTTCATGTGTTTTGTGACTTCCTCATGCACAACCTTCCCTCCCCATTTCATCAACTTGGTTCGCTGGTTCCAGAACGTACTTTCCATTTGATAGGGATTTCTGGTCTTCAAAGTGAGTTTATCGACCCCGCGGATGTCGTAGAGCAGCCACGTAATGAGCTGCAGGATAATACAGCCCATAGACCAAATATCATACAGTCGTGACGTTGGTTGACGATCTTGGAGAAATTCGGGTGGCTCGTATGAGAATGTACCATGTTTAGTGGAGGTCGGTCCGGCCCTCTTTGCAGTTGGATCACTGTGGAATTTTGCCAATCCCAAGTCTGCGATTTTCCAAATACTCCCAGTGAGCTTTCCTGTACGCCCAAAAACTAGAATGTTCTCCGGCTTCAAGTCGCCGTGTCTGCAGTTGTCTTGATGGAGGATTGAGAGGGCTTCGGCCAGCCCTAACAACTGCGTCAAGATGTCTGCAATGAATCTTCCTTCTCCTCCATGTTGAATAGTACCGTGTTTCTCGCATAAATCCCAAAGATTGCCACCATCTGCCCATGGAAACATGTAGTAGCGCTTCCGTCCTTGATCGAAAATAGCTTTGGCGTAAATGATGTGTTTCACTGATGCTGGGCTGCTTTCCTTAGACCTTATGTGCAGCAGAGCTCCACATTCCCGGCCTGAGAGGGAATTTTGTGTATCGTCTTGCAAATTTTCATGTTCCTTGCCCTCGAGGATGACCTCTTTGATAGCGACATAGCAGTTTGCCTGAGCAATGTCGATTCGAGAGTCAACTATCTGTGAGAATCAAGAACATGGGAAGTCAAAGAGAAACATGGGAAAAGGACGATGGTTTCGGGGAGCAATCGGGAACCGTGGAAGCTGGCAAAATGGTGGGTATCTTACTTGGTGAATGGGATCGCCACGGTCAAAATGGGCTGGATGAACTTTGACTTTGTATACAGTGCCAAAGCTTCCCTTACCCGCCGGGCTGATTTGAAGGAATGGGAGTATTTCTCCCTCCGACAATCTTGGCATAAGGCAGCGACTTCTGGAGAACGTGGGTACCACAAACTTCCACTGATGTTGAAGGAAGTTGTCAAGATCTATTTTGTACCATCCAAGACGTCGAGCGTATGGAGCCAAATCGCCTTCGCTGACTGGGAGGCTTTTGTCGTATAATCCGCGATCTTTAAACTCACGCATGGCCCTTTTCAGTTCTGACCCTCGGATCCTACACATCAGACAAATGGCCAGAAGTTTTGTCCCGTTTTTCTCGACGAACTGAATCAGTCCATTGTCGACAGAAGACGGGGCCGCGGGCGGGTACAGCTCTGTGCTGACATGTTTCCGTTCGATGACTTGGCTCAAGGAGCCTTCTGGCCAGAAATCTGCCTTGCGGGGGTATTCTGATGAAGCCTTGGCCTGTTCAATCGCTTCCCACAGCGCGCAGGTCCGCGCCATCATGGCGGTGTTCGCAGGACCAGCTGTACAAGATGCTTCCTGACAGCTTTGGAAGTGGGGGCAGGAAGAGCCTCAAATCCTGGGTCCAGCGGGACACTGGTGTAATAATAATACCGAGGTCTTGTCAGAGCTAGTCTTACAGCGGTGTAAACCGCGATCATCTGCTCGACAGTACTTTGGTGGACATGCAATGGCCAAGAACGATTTGTTGGACGACCTTCCCCTTCGGGACGTTCAAATACCGGGTCATTATCATGGTGCCTCGGATCTAGAAGTCATAGGCCACAACTTCTGCAATTTCATGCAGGTGGGATGATCCTGAGTGCGATGAGGTCAATATTCAAAGCAGGCTGTGGTATTTTTCAATACCTGTGCTGCTGTGATGGTGCCTCGGTGTTTATGTTGATAGGTTATCTAGTTCTGGTCCTGCACATTGCCCTTGTTCGGCCAATCTCCGTCTTGCTTGATGACCTTGGGAATGGTGCTCAGCGCTGTATACGGGCAAGCCACAAAAGTCCTGCCCGGGACTTTCAAGCCATCCCTTTTTAGACACGGATATTTACAGGAGGCGGCTGGAGATCGAATCTACCTAGGTATATTGACTCTTCGAGTACAGCAACTTGAGCCATCGGATCAGGAAAACGAACTTGAAAAGAACTTGGGACTTGAATAAAATAGACCAGAAATGTTTTCCCAGGTGAATTCAACTTGACACGCGGGTGCTACTTCATTTGGAAATACAAGTCTAATGTGTTGTGCCACCCTCGGAAGCAGTACCCTACCTAGGTACTGAAATTGTGGTCGATTGTTCGAGGAATTCCAATAAGAGTGGTGGCATCATATCAACCATCCTAGCTATCCTCACTGTTACAACCGACCCAGACAAGAACGGAGGATTGCGGCACGTTGCCCAAGGCAGATTTCTCGCGGGGATCTGTGCAAGTGTATTCCCACGAGAGCTTTTGTGGATAAACTCAACTCCACCCACCCACACTAAAGTCTGCTGCAACTTTAAATGGCCCAGCTATGTCAACTCGCTATTAGGCAAAGTGTAAAAAGCTGTCGTAGAGATTTCAACCCCCATAGAACTTTTTAGATCAATTGATACGCTCAAGTTTAATCATGGGCACGGTCAACCACACACCCACACAGCATCGCAGGATGCAGGGGGGTGTGCAAAGCCGAGGAGAGCCCTGGCAAAAAGATCATGCCGCGTAGCCGCACTGGACTGGTAAGCCTAGGAACGCCTGCATTGTGAGGGCTGAAAGAGATGCCATTTTGGCTTTGCCCGGGGCGATGCTAATTCCACAGGGCGGGTTTCATGCACTTGTTGCCTTTCCTGTGGCGTCGACGGTTGCTCCGCCTTCCGCTCGCAGAGTCAAACGTCAGGCCGGGAGCTTCCCACAATGCTATAAATTGGTGGAGATGCATGCTCCCAACAGTATGATTCACATCTCTTCTGTACACATAAAAATGAGGTCGATCTTGGCAACTATCTCACTCTCTGGCATTCGCGGTAGAGTTTTCGGTGGTTTGTTTGGTTGGAAGTCCTACTCAGCGAGCACAATGGGCCCTCCAAAGTGTAATACAAATTCATCTCAGGCCTCAGGTAAGGAATTAACAGCTACATTGTCTTAGGCCAGTCCTGAGTCTGAATTGGAAACTTACGATTTCGACGCTTTTCACAGCTCATGCGCTCAGTGACTATGACACTCCCTCGAGCTGGGAGGAGTTCGAGGTCATCAGCCAGTCATCGATTGATGGGTCGGAATGCTCTTCCAACTTCACCACAATCTCACAGTCTTCAGTTGAAACTCTCCACACTCAAGAATCATCGCTCAAGGAGAAAAACGCAAGGAATGTCAACCTTGAGAGCCCTGTAGGTTCTCATCCCCGATATCTGCACCTTCTCTTAAGCTCTGATCTCTGATATGATCTTCACAACAGTACAAATGGCATCGTGGGAACGAACTCCAATCTCGCCTTATGGGCGAGCTTATCAAGATTCCAGGACGAAAAGACAGGAAAGGATTTTTTCCAGAAACAACTTTCAATGAAATCATCAATGAGCAGTCTGTGCGCCATGAACTGAACCGATATCCGCTGCGGTTTGACTCAAATGCTGTTGAACTGATCGCAGCAACAGTGTGCGGAGACAGACCATTCAGAAAAGTCTTCGCACTTCTGGTCATTATGAACAAGCTCGCCGACATAAACGCGTTGATTGATGATGGAGTTTCAGACAAAACTCTACCCTTGTCAATGCTACCTGAATCGTGCTCGACAAATACCTTTCAGTTGGGTAGTAATCGCACTTCGAAGAAATCCATTCGACAACTGGAGTGTTTCGCCAAATGGGACGCAATAGATGTCTGGACTTTTGAAGAGTGGCAATGGACTACCCTGAGCCCTGTCCTTGAACGTGGGGGACGCAGGAACGTCAAGCATCTCATCATTCGAGACGAAGTGCCACTTCCATTCACAGATGACAGTCGATATAGCTCCGATGCACATACCCTCATCCAAGGAGGATTTAGTACTGTGTCCAAGGTTCATATACACCCCGCCAACCATCGCTTTCAGGGCCCTGAGGTAAGCTCTTCTGCTTAGTCTATATGGAAATGCTTTCTAAGGCTGGCTCAGAATGTTCATAACGATCACTTCGCGGTGAAATGTCTTTCTTCAAGGACGAGACAAGATTTTAAACAAGAGGTGGACATGCTCATGACCTACAGTGGCGACACTCATCCGCATTTAATCTCACTCTTGGCGACATACGAGCAGTATCAAATGTTCTATTTGATATTCCCATGGGCTGAAGCCGATCTACAGTGTTATTTAGAAAGAATAAATCCACATCCGAAAATGGACTACCCAACTGTCCAGTGGTTAGCACAGCAATGTCATGGCTTCGCTAGCGGCCTCTGTCAATTACATCGGCATCAAACAACCTATGTCAGCAACGCATGGTCAGATAATGAAACAAAAAGCTCAGAGACGCACGAAATTGGGCGGACGACCCAAGTTCAACTATATGGCCGGCACGGAGATATTAAGCTTCAGAATATACTGTGGTTCTGTGACCCGAAGAAAAGCGGTGACAGGGGAGTTTTGAAGATCACTGACTTCGGTTTAGCTGAGTTTAAAACAAGTCCTGCAAGATTATATAGAGGAGCGAGCCGGATGAAGTTCAGTCCTCCGTATCAGCCACCCGAGTGCAACACACCAGGTGGTCGTGTAGGTCAATCTCACGATATTTGGTCATTAGGATGCCTCTATCTGGAGCTTATTGCTTGGTTGCTGGGGGGCTGGGAATTGGTCAAGAGTTTTCAGAGTGCTCGAGAAAGTACTGACCCGGAGTACTACGCCAAAGCTATCAATGGTACCTTTTTCACCATCATCCCAGGCGGTGGAGATGGCTTGGGCGTAGCTGTAGTGAAGCCTGCAGTAAAGCAGGTGAGAATTTACGCCTTGTCCTACAAAGAAGCATACTGACTTTTAAACAGTTTATCGATTCTCTTCACAGCCATGCAGCCTGTTCCGAGTATCTGCATAAGTTCCTGGACCTAATTGAGACAGATATGTTGATCATAAAATCAACCAATCCAATCGAAATGAGGAGAATTGGAATACCGGAACTCAACGTTCAATTAGGCGCACTTTATCGTCAGGTATGTGGCGATGCCACATTCGCAACCACAGCGGCAACACGGAACCTGCAGGACACCTGACAGCATCTCCGCCCTGTTATTTTGGCCGTTTCTCCCAGGTCTAGTCTCTTATATATACAAGTCTTCCTTTAGCCAAAGCAACCCTTGCTGGTCTTGCCTATTCTTGTCTGTCTTGCTAGTGTCTTCATACCACGAGCCTGAGTCACCCCAGTGTTGCAACATAGGTATACAATGTAGTCTGAGACATAAAGATGTATGTGCTGTTTGCAACCAACTCAGTAATCTGCCCCGTATGTGGAAGTCACTCGCACTGACCAACACAGGCCTAGAAAGTATGTGGAACGTGGACATGTGAATCACTGAAACTGTGCAACCATAACCCTCCCAACGCAAGCACGTCTTCCCTTTGCACCCTTTAGCACTTTAGTGAGTGACATCGTTGGGTGAGTGTGTCAGTCACATTTAATCTATCAGGTTCTTGAACTCAGTGAATAGGTCCTGTTGGAATCTTCAATTTTGTGCTATGGGCACCAACACTCCCACTGACATAAAGACAAGTCACCGTCCTTTGGCGTCCTTATGATCGTCTCCCTAGTCCTTGTCGTACTACTTGGTGAGTCCTCTTCCCAGGATGATATGATCACCAACACGATTCACATCGATATTTCCACATATTTAAAGAAGCTCAGTACATCGGTCCTGAGCAAACATCACCCCCTATTCTTTCCACATTCCCAAATCCCTCAACCGAAAAGGCTCAAACATAAGCTGATCGGCAGATGTAAGTTCCAGCAAGAAGTCAGACATTAGGGCAGCTTTGCTTCTCCCATCAAGGTGAACGAGTGCTTGATCTTCTGCCCGCCCAATAAGTTGAAAATCTTGTAGAGAATGACATGCTTAACCCTTTCTCTGACTTCTTCTTCTGGCAGTCCTCGAAGTCACACCGACAAACAAAGACAAGCACAAAATGTTCACTAGTGGTCAGCTGCATCAGCCCTTTTATATCTCTCGAGGCTCGAATAACCCCTTCTAGAGCTTCTAAAATCAGTCAACACCTGCTCCTCCGAATCCGTGCTTTTCAAGATGGCCGACTCTGAGCAACCACCGCCATGCAGCAATTGTGCAGGGGCGGGAACCGTGAGGTGTAATAATCCATACTGCAATGACCAAGGAAGGGACGAGAACCTGAAGCGCAAATGCCCGATATGCAACGCCACCAAGAAAGTCCAGTGCACCAAGTGCAAAGGTTCTGGAAAGCAGTGAAGTAAGGCTGGCCGGTTGGCATCCGTTATCCGCCTAAAAGTACAATCATCAGCTGCAGGCTGGTCGGTGGGTCCACGGCGGATGCTCTTCTTTGCACAGTCGTGGTTAGGCACGACTGTGTAGTAACCGCAGAATTGGATTGATTGCGTGGCTAGCTCAGCAGTAAATCTGTCTTCATAGCAAGTCCAATACGTTTCGTTTTGGGGAGCCTGCTCCCAACAAGCTCTGCTGTGGTGCCCACTTATACAAGTCTGAGTCCATGTCCACATTGTAATCCCGTGTCAGCAACCAAATAAGATTTTGAGTTCAATGCTCAGTCCAGATATGCATTACCCTAGCAGACTTTCACCATGATTTCTCACTCTGTCCCCCGCAAGCAATCAGATGGATTGATGCTGACCATTTCAGCGGCATATACTGTAGAATGACAGGTCATGTGGCAAAATGTATGACAGTCGCAAGATTGGTGGCCTAATATGCTCTAGAACTCCGGTTCAGCCGCCCAATCTAACTGTTGTATATAGTGTCCCTAGGTAGAGTAGAGAGCACTTAGCATTCTTTTTCTATAATCAACCAAAGGCATTATATAACTGAGTGAAATTAATTTTAAAATAATTATAAGTCTTTTACTCTTATACCTCAGAGGGATATAATAATATATAATACACTTATTCTATTATTCTACCAAAGTCTGTCTTGAAAATGGCATCTACCTTAAATGGACCCCCCTACACACCAAGGAAAAAAACTGCTGGTATTGACTTCAAACAGGTGGCTTCCACTGGTAAAGATTGGTGGGCTCGTGACGGGTAATGAACAGTGGGGTTTGGTCTCGAGTGTCTGTCGCCCACTCAAGAAAATGCACACACGTTGCGACGGCGTCTTTGGCCTGTCTTCCCTTTATCTCCTCATCATCCTGGCGACTGATCGCCTGCCGCATGGTACTTGAGCAAGTGAGCCCATCCGCATTCCGAGAGCACGGCCGTGCACCTTGTGAGCTGGAGAACCTGGCCCTGCACGCCTCGCAAATCATTGCGTCGAAAGCTGTGCGCAGCCCAGCCAGCGAGTTCGCAAAGCGCTCGTTGTCTGGGTAAAGCTGCTTGGCGGCCGAGAGGTACGAAGGGAACCTCGCAGCCACCAAGATCCCCACGGCGCACATGAGCGTGCTGCTCCGCGGCTCGCACACAGCTTTGCCCGCAAAAGCTCGGTCGTATATAGCCGCCCAACGCGGCTGGAAAGAGCCCTCGAGGGAATTCATGAACAGGCCCAAGAAATTCAAAGAGAAGTAAACAATCTTGCTGACCGGATGCATCCATTGGACAAGAATTATCTGGACCACAAAAATGGTGAACGCGCATCCGGAAGCTACCATCTTCCACTCGTCCTTCTGATCCCTCACCGCTTGAGGCTCGAACGTGTATTCTTCGAGGCTGAAGCCGGTGCCGTTGATCGTTGAAGACCGGATGAAGAGAACGGCTGAACTGTTGAGGCCTCTGTGGAGCATGACTGGGATTGGTCGATGAACGGTCAAGTCGCGCCCATTCCATGCCTTGACGCTCGGCTTGATGGCCCAGAGCAAAAGAGCCTGGCTTAACAGTGTGAGTCCCAGGGAAAGCAACGTTTCGAAGGTAAAGTTGGCAAGTCCGACGGCCAGGCCGATACAAAGCTGCAGAACAAGGCAGCCAACCTGCCCCCAGAACAGCCATGTATACCCTGGCTTGATTTTGGACACTTCAACATCCACCACCCCTGTCTCGCGTGTTGATTCGTAAGATGTTCCAAAAGCCCGTTGATGCTTTTGTCTCGGTCCTCTATGCCATGTCTGCCAAATGTTCTGCAAGATGACGTGGTCGGCGTCGTGTGTTGCACCCGAATTCAGATTTGTCAACATGAGGCCTTTTGTCTTCTGGCTGTCCGGCATTTGGTCGAATATTAGATTTGGTGGCCCTCTGCTGCCCTGCATTTTGGCGAAAATGGTACTTGCAAGCGGAGCCCATCCAACAGATATGGGGAAAATGACATGAGTCCAATGCCATTGTTGGAAGCGGTGGCGTGACCATATAGCTGTCCAAATGGTGGACTCTCCCAACAACAGGAGGATTCCCACCAAATCAAAGTTCAAGCTGGTATTGAAAAGTTGAGTCATGCTCGCTTTGGCAGGGAGTTCAGGTGATGAATGTAGGTCAGCGGCACGGAGCGTGTGTGCTTTGGTTTCAACCTTTCTCAGAATAACGACGTGGTCTGGGTGGATTAGCACATATACGCTGTTCGTCACTAACGACCCAAATGGAGCGCTCAGTTATCACAATTTGCAGTCAAGGGCTCAATCGTAAAGTTCCACAAGGAGGGGTAGCTTGTACTCCCATAATAAATCTAACACTCTCTGGCCGAGAAAACCCAGCCATTCGCAGCCCCAAAGTAGTTATCAACCCACCATTTAAAAACCCGAGATTCAATTTACTCAACAATCAAAGGGTCTCATTGATAATCCCCTGGACATATAAATTGTATGTGGTGCCCAGTCCACAACCAACAACCCAATTAAGACAGGGCCGGCTCCGCGAAGGAGCCGAGGCCCGAAGCGCAACGGAGGGCCGCGAGTAGGGCCGCTAGGCACGACCCGAGGTCCCAGAGGATCAACCCGTTCTATTTATGTTTGTCAGACTCTAAGGAGACGTGGTGTTGCGAAAAAAAGTCAAAGAAGGACTCACAAATAGCAGTCTTTTCTGGACCAGTGAATGTCAGTTCAGTGCTCCCGCAATGGAGGATTCGAAGGACGAGGTGCAGGATGAGGCGCAGGAGGAGGCGCATTCACTGCCGTTCTGATGCCGCATTCGGGAATCCTCTTATATACCTAGGTACTTACCAACCTACTTCCTTGTCTAACGTTCTCTGCGGCTCACTCTAATAGCATAGGGATTCCCGCAAATCTACACCTATCATCAGGTTTTAGTGTGCTGATATCTACATTGTATTTGTTTTGAGGACTGACGAGTTCTCTTTGTTGTTTCAACAGGGAAGGCAAGCATCCCGAGAGTCGAACTGACAGCGAAAACCCTGTTTATCTCCCTTCTGGACGTCCTGGAAACGACTGTGCTCAATCATTCATAATACAAGTATCAGCGACGCTGACACCGAGTCAAATTGATGCTGAGGCCATGGCGGAGTATCAAGGTCACAACTCAACCTTGAGCCAAAAGGGAGACTTGACGAGATTTTCAAGAGCGCATAAAGGAAGGGCGGTGATCGCTAAACCTTTTGCCAGGCAGGACATGAATTTCCCAGCAATGTATTCCATCATCGTCAATATTCATGAGCGTCGGAGAGTTTCAATTATCAGCTTCACTTTACGACTGGGACGCGGAAAATCCGGGCAGATGCTCTACTCGACTATGATGGAAAGTCTGCATACTTCCGTTGATCGCTTGTCGAATGACAGTAGAGCCGCCCGGAAAGGAAGACCTCGTTTCTGGTTAAAGTCCCAGAGGATGAAAGCGCCGTATGTGGACATCAGCGTGGGGACTTTTCGGCCTCGAGACCTACAATTCGACTTTGCCAACCACCTGTCGACTCTGGGGGAATCGATCTCTGAAGATCAGCTTCAGACTGTGCTCGTTGCGGCCGGTTGGTGCCCGAACCAAGTCTTCATGTGCCGTGCTACTTTTGGTATGAGCCTGGCTGTCTTCTGTGCACACTATCGTCGGCCTATTCAACGGTGTCATGTGAAGTGCTCTCGGCGGGAATGCATTGCATACAAGGTCCTCGATTACACAAAATGTACAAAACACACCCACTCGGATTGCACCTGTGCATTCCTCGAGGTAGCGACACCTTTGTCGTGGCAGTTGATTCAAGGGGGATCGTTTCCCCTGTTGAGAGTGACGAAGTCTGCTGTGGGCAACAAGGTCTCAGTTGAAATCACTGAGGCCACCGAAGACAGCCAGTTCGTCGCCATCTCCCATGTGTGGTCACATGGGCTCGGCAACGCAAACGCGAACTCGTTGCCCAGCTGCCAGCTCCTGAGAATCCAGCAGCTCGCCTCGGATGTAGCAGGCCAAGATACCCTGTTTTGGCTCGACACACTCTGCGTTCCGCGCTATCCTATGCATGCTCGACGCCGCGGGATCGAAGGCATGAGAAACATCTATCAGCGTGCATCCAAGATGCTTGTTCTGGACGAAGAGCTACAGTCAATTAGAACACACCAGCGACATTTCCTCGAAGTTGTCATGGATATCAACTTGTCGGGATGGATGCGTCGACTGTGGACCTTGCACGAGTCGGTCCGGGCCCCCAAGATACATTTTCAGTTCCAAGACGGAACTATAAGCAGAGAGGCCATGCTAAATCATGCAAGGAGCGTTATAACATCCGGACCCCGCTCTGTAACAACGCCGAATTATCGCAAGGCCTTCATCAGCGCTACTTCCAACTTGTTCACGACGATGCGCATTAACGAAGAGTCCAATGGCGCAGTTCGACTAGCCCACATGTGGGTCCTGCTCCGCTGGAGGCACACCAGCTGGCCAGAGGACGAGACGATCTGCATGGCAAACGTGCTCGGCCTGGAACGGGATGTAGTAGACAGCGAGCTTCTGCAGGCTCCGCCCGACGCTCGCATGAAGGTTTTCCTCCAGAAGTTCAACTTGTACCCGGCGAACCTACTGTTCCTGGACGTCCCGCGCCTTGAACAACCGGGTTACCGCTGGGCCCCACGCTCCTGGATGCACGACCATGACATGGTGCGCGAGCAGCTAGATTTTGGCCACGATCGCATTTGGACAGGGGTTCGCTTCAAGAATGGCCTATTATGCTGTCTCAGGAGCATTTCTCTGCATCGCGACTCCATATCCTATGAGGCTGAAGGCTGCGTGATTGTGAATATCTGCGGTTCGGCCTTCAGTATTACTGGCGTTCAGTTTCGTCAGTGGACGGGTGTCAATCGCCGTGTTTGGGCTGCCGCCGATTACAAGATTCTCCTAGAGCCATGGAATGATGTTCTTTCCCTTGGCTCCGGGTATCACTATCGTGGAGTTCTGGTTGCCCATGAGCCGGATCGCCTTCCACATTCCAATAATCCAGCCCACCTTGCTCGATTCATTTGCCCTGTAATTATTCGGAGGCGGACATGTGAGCCATCAGCCAGCATTCTTGGTCTCGATGAGGGGCCTTCAGCTTGGTATATCAGATAATATTAGTCTAGTATTGTTCTTATTCCATATAAGCCCAAAGGCCTACACGGCACCATTAAATAGTAGTCACTTATTTTATTTCTGTTCCGCGTTTATCTAAAGCTATATAAGCATCTTTATATAATACTAAATACTTTAAAATGTAATATTTTAAAAAATATCTTATATTTCTTAAGTCTATTTATTAAGCTAAGGAATAATTATCACGGGAGGGATATAAGAGAGGTGAAGCTCTCAAGTCTTGCTCAAGATTGTAGAATTTCGAATAATACCTGGTCTGTCTAAGAAAGAAAGGAAGGGAGGAAGGAAGCCTTCGAGGGTTCCAACGTCAGAAGAGCTTAGGGCCTCAGAGGCTGCAGGTGGCCCGTGCGCCCAGTCGCCCACCTCAGCCCCCAGCCCGATGCGGCCATAACAATAATGAGTAGTTTGAGAGACTTGATTAATTTCTTTCTATCTTCTACCTCCTTCTACTTTCTTTCTTCTTCTCCTACCTTCTCTCCTCTCCTCTCCTCCTCCTTCCCCATCCCTCCTCCTCCCTTCTCCTCCCTCCTCCTCCCTCCTCCACCCTCGTCCTTTCCTCCTCTCCTTCCTCTACTTCCTCTTATTCTTACATTTATATTTAAACTTATAATATTATATAGAATAAAGCCTTTAATATAAAATATTAAACAGAATTAATTTTTATAATATAATAATCAAAATATTATGCTCCTCATCCAGTGCAGCCGAGTTCTTCCAGCCATGAAGCAGCCTACAGGAGCCCGCAAAATCATCATGCCCCCGGACCATTACAAGGGTATTCATTGGCTTATACAATCTATGCATCAAGACCAGCCCTTTTTCCTAACCGGAATATCACCCACCGCCATCCTCCGCACAATCCTCTTCATAGCGGTATCCCTCTTCTCAGTCTTGTCCCTCCGGTGCGCCTCAGCAGCCGGCCCGAGCACCTCCAGCAGGGGGAGGTTGAAGTTGGGGGTCCCCCACCAGCCCACCAGGGGCCACGGCCGGCGAGAGTACCGCCCCTTGCGGACGACGACGTTCTCGCCGGCGACGTACCGCCCCAGTCCCTCGGGCGGCCCGCCGCCGCCGGACAGCTGGCTCTGGTGCTCCAGGACCTTGACGAGGTCGACGTGCACGGTGCCGGGGGGCAGCGCGACGCCGAACGTCGCGAGCGCGCAGAGCGAGTCGCGCAGGTCGTGGCTCACGAGGCAGACGGACGCGTACTGCCCGCGCAGCTCGGCGAACACGCCCTGCGCCCTGGCGTTGGCCCCGTCGCGGCGGTCGCGGAACTGCTGGCGGCAGTTGTAGGGCCCGTGCCAGGGCAGGCCCTTGGTCTCCTTGGGGACGTCGAGGGCGACTATGTGCCTGTGGCAGAGCTGCCGCGTCGGGTGCTTTTCGCTGGGCTCTGAGCCCCAAATTGGGTTCGAGGTTGGTGATAGGATGTCGAGGGATAGGAGGGAGGTTTCGTGGAGGTGTGCGCCTGTTGGCTCGCATGCTACTATGACGATTTTGTCGTTCTTCCAGCAGTCGGCTAGTGCGGTGTTCTCCGCCAGACAGTCGTTGATTCTTCGTAGGTCGCTCCTGGTGAGGAGTTGTGGTTGTGGATGCACCATTGTTCTCAGGAGAACTGATCCTCTTTTTCTTTTTTTTCTGTGAACTTTGAATTGAATGGTCAATCCTTGGGCATAAAAACAAAAATACCGTTGGCTGTTCTAGTTTAGACGTCAAAGTTCAATGTTCAGCACTGTTAACGAAATACCGAAGTACATATACAGGTATGTAGTGACCACTGGCCAATTATATCAAGTTCATTGTAGGGCTTTGGCTGGGCCGGAGCATGAGTCACTCGGCAGTAGAGTGAGAAGTATATACGAGCGGCAACCACCAAGCCACAGTGTAGCGCATCCTCCCGGTTGATAGTGCAGACAACCCCAATGTGTCAAGTAGCAGTGTGTTGATGGGTGTCTCGAAGTGGGGAAGGTCGCCTGTCCACTCATAGACTTCCACCAGTGCGGTTTATATTGTGGCCTTTTCAGTACTATATAGCATTTACACATCTTACTTATGATTCCGAGGCCATGGATCTAGTCCCCAATGAAATACGAGGCATCACAGAAATAGCACCTCACATATAATGTTACCACAACACCTTACCATAACACCGCCACATCCTCAAAAAGTTCTATAATGTCATATTAGAGTCACTATAGCTTGCCTACCTCTGTTGTATTGTCTTACAGGCAGCTATCATGTAGGCGGTTAGGCCACACAAACGACGCATGAACGCTGACGGAGACCTGATGATGTAAAATACATAGAGAAATCACATCAAAAACGATGCGTTGGTCGACTACACGCAAGGGATATTGTGGACTGAGTTGCAGGTTACCTTGCCATAATGACCACTGATACTGCACGGTATCTAAGCTGCAGAGACCGCAACCGTATTAGATAACCTCCTATTAGACAAGCTCCTATTAGACAACCTACCTTATGGAAAACCTCATGTGGAACAACTTCTCTCGGGGCGCTAGCACATGTTTCCAATGCCGCAGCTCTGATCGGTACAGACCATAGATGAAAGAAGACGGTGGCAATTCCTCAGGTGGGTCGAAAGATTAGATCACATTGTACTTGGGCAAGCGTTGTGTTGCTGATGGCTACCCTAGGGTAGTTGGTTGTATTTGGAAGTGGATCTCATGTTAACCCACTCTGGGGTAGTTCAGCTGCTGTGGGCTGAGTACCCCGCGTGTACCCCGCTCATGGCTCATGGGGTTAGCCACAGAAGGAGACCGCACACGCAAAATCAGCCTATGGATACAAGTGAGCACCTCGCTTTTAACAGCCAAGATGATTCTCAACAATAGCACTTGAGTATAATTTTGACTGAAGCATATGCCACTGGCATATACCGATTCAGCTGCAAAAGACAAAATAGGAAATCAGAGAGAGAAATGCCCCTGACTAGCGTGCTCATGACACGGTAGTAAGCTATTAGTAAGGAATCGTCATCGACAGCACGGGCATGGGGCCCTCACGGACATAGCTATCGCGAGCATAGTCTACACACATATATGTAGAGCTCCTGTCCCCTCGGCATATCCCAGAGCCGCAGACCGAGCCTATTCCAAGAGAGCCGCTGTTATCACCACTCACACTCAACAATTGCACATCACCAACCTCGAAACCATGGCCAAGAGCTTCCGCGAACTCATCGGCGTGCCGCCGTCGACGGCGTCCACCAAGGACAGCGTCCTGGTCATCATCGACGCACAGAACGAGTAGGCGACCCCTCACACCACCCACCACTTGTGGCAGGAGATCGGTAGATCACAAGCTTCAAGACCAGCTCGCTCACACAAACATCGGCACCACGCAGGTACGCAGAGGGCCAGCTCAAGACGGCCAACGTGGCCTCGACGCGCGCGGCCATCGCGGGCCTGCTGGAGAAGTACCGGGCGGCGTCGGCCCCCCTCGTGCACGTCGTGCACAAGACGCCCGAGGGCGCGCCCGTGTTCACGCCGGGGACGGCGCTGGCGGCCGAGTTCGGCGAGCTGGAGCCCAGGGCGGGCGAGAAGGTCGTCGGCAAGCAGTTCCCGGGGAGCTTCACGGGGACGGACCTTGAGGAGTTCCTCAAGGGCACGGGGAGGGGCAAGGTTGTGCTGACGGGATAGTGAGTCTTTCCTTTTTTTTTCCCCTTTGTGTTCTGGCATTGTTGTACCCTGTTCTCCTGTCACAAGCATAGATCTATGCCTCTGTGGTACAACGGCGAGGCTATGTGGTGACACACCCTGTGGCTGACTTTGTTGCCCGTGCTCTCACTCCAGCATGGCCCACGTCTGCGTCAGCACGACTGCGCGGCAGGCGGCCGAGAAGGGCTACGACGTGGTAGTGGCGGAGGACGCCGTGGGGGACCGCGACATTCCTGGGGTGAAGGCGGAGGATCTGGTCAGGACGTCTCTGGCCGAGCTGGGCGACGCGTTTGGTACTGTGGTCAAGTCGGCGGACATCAACTAGATGGGAAAGGGATGTCTCGGCCACGGCTCGGCTGTTAGTCATATCCGCATGTTGTTATCAAAGAAATAAAAAAAAGAAAATGCCATGCTGGAGATGATGCTCTGCCGTAAAGCAGTGCCCGTGTTTCCACGGAATGTTTTCTCGGCCGCCTTGTTTCTCGCTGACCTGGGTGCACGAGGTTGTGCAACAGCATCCTGGAACAGTCATGACATTACATGCAGGGCGCTAACTACGCAGGCCACACGTGGCTGTCCACGATGCAGCTACTGGGCCACTCTTGGCCGCTGGGCTCGTTTCGAAACAAGACCGAGTTAGCCCTCGCGGAGGCCCCCAAGCCGAACGCAATCGAGCTGGAGGCCGCATGCCATAGTTTGGTGGGTGTCGTCGGGCCGCCGCAAGACCTAATGGGCCCGAGGGGGCGGTGCTCGGCTGGCAGGCGGAGCTTTGACGGAAGACCGGACAGCCGTGGATCCGGGGCGGCAGGGTGGGAGGGCAGCCTGGACACCAAGACGCTAGCTAGCCCAGGCAGACCGGCCAGGACGACCACCAGATAAGATGGCAGGCAGGCAGGGCGGACTACGGACGGAAACAACAACGACATCGGATGAGTTCAGGAGGGAGGGTGGTCGAACTGTGTTTCGCGCCTCTGCTGACGATATTCCAAAAATAGGAGGTCCAAGGCGATGGAGGCGATGGTTGTGTTGCACCCGCAGAGCACGAGCGCAGATGAGAGGGAAAAACAAAAGAGGGGCGAACAGGCAGATTCGGAAGTGTGCCGTGCAGCGTGCGGGGGGGAATTCGATGGGATCTGAGGGAAGGGCGGGCGGGTGGAGACGGTGGATGCAACCCAGAATCGACATTTGGTCCTTGGTACTGCTTACTGTTACTCCCAGGCCGTCCCTGCCGTCGCATGCTGGGTAGGGCTGGGAACAGTGGGGTTGCAAGCGTGATCTCTTTTTTTGCAATAAGGTTGTGGTATAGCTCTTGAAACATTCTCAGATTCAGAAGATGCGGGTTGGATGCCCTTGACTTTCTGGGCTGGCGAAGCTCGACGATGATGACGAGGATCCAGCTGGGGATGCGTCAGCTGGGGTGGGCGGGATGGAATGGGACGGACAGAACCTGATGGGACGGGAGCAGTTGAGAGGACGACGTCAGTGTCGACGGCCACCTCTTGTGTTTATATTGTCAGGATTGTGTGTGCACGACATGCACAAATGCCAGTGTGTGTGTCTCAGATCGAGGTCACACACAGAGACAGCCACACCACCCCGTCCCACGCCCACATGGCAGAAGGATCCCGAGTGCCGATGCTTGTCTTTTGTACACATTTGCATTCCGTGCGTCCTCGGGTTTCGCCAGACTGCCTGACTGCCATGTGCGCTGCCTGTAATCAATGTTTTGTTCTTTTCCCCCCCAGCAAATCTCACGTCATCTCCAAGCTGAAGGTCCAAGTGGGTCTAGCCTTACCGTGGACACAGGCACGCTAGCTGTTTCGGGGAAACGGGCCCCGCTAGCGCCCACGATATCGCCAAAGTAAAGCCGTTGTTAGTCCAACCTCTGGCCAAGAGTCGAGGACTCGCAGGCTCATCTGCGGCTAGAATTAATTGCTCGGGCAGTGCGCGACAGGCGGTCAGGTCAATTGATCAGGCTGTCAGGCTAGCAGTACTGCCCAGTCGGGTTGTGTCTGTGTGTGTGTGTGTGTGTGGTGCTTCTGCCTGCACATAACCAAGTTAATAAGGCGCATGGCACGCATGTTATGGGGCCCCAATCCTGCCAAAGTGCTGCTGCTCCTTCCTGATTGTGTACTTACCACACCTCGGGCGCATCCCTCCCCTCCCCCACCCCTCCAACAATCAATAGACTGCAACCAACAGGACCCAGAAAACCAAACCAACGACGACTCACAACTCATAACCCACAACCACAACCCACAAAGCTCCTTGCTGTGCCGTTTACACGCGTAATCACATTCCTCTGCGCGCACATTGCCCCCGGCCCGCTCGCCCTCTCGCCCTTTCGTCATGCCCAGAGCGTAATCACGGCGGCCGCTTGACTGGTTTCGCTCGACTCGACCATTTGCCCCTCCCTCGTACCGTCACTCCCGGCCTGACGAACAGTCTGCCTACCGCCTGCCTACTTGATCTCGCCTCGCTCCTCCAACAACAGCCCAACCTTTCATATTCTTCTGCAAGGTTTCCAACACACCATCTCCCCCGCCGCCCAGCACGACCAAGCAAGCCTCGTGCCCAGAAACGGCCCTCGACTAGCACCAACCGACCCGGCCTCCCAGCCACGACGTCGACCAGGTCCAAGTTTCAGGGGTCTTGCGCCAAAAGGCCAAAAGCCTAAATTGGTGGAGGATTCGATTCCCTCTCCCGTCCTGCCAATCTTAAGACAAATGTTAGTCCTCCACCTTGTGGTTCCATTTCAGCCGTGACCCAGCCGCATGTGATTTATCTCCTCGCCGACCCCCGCCGCCTGCCTCCTCCAACGTCCATCTTGTCTCAGCCCTACAACCTCCCAACCCGTACCCGCCGCGCCGCGCCGCCAGGCACCTGACCATCGCTCACAATGTCTAGCATGCTGCGCAAGAAGGAGGCCTACACAATCGTCACTCCGATCCCGGGGTTCATCCCGCGCCAGCTCGCCATCGACATCCTTCACAGCCATTCAGAGGTCATCACCCTGAATCCCCTGGTCCTCGACCACAAGCCCATCAAGGCGCCCCAGAAAGCTGCCTCGGATGAGTACTACAGCACCTGGTATGAGATCAACCAGAGGATCCAGTATGTCCCAGGCCTCGGCAAGATGGGCTCCGGCAAAATCTCCTTCAACGGTTGCTTCCACGACATGCCGTGGGGCCTGCAGACTCACATCTACGCCCCCATGAACGTCGACCTGAGGAACAAGTATCGAATCTCCGGCAACCAGCCTGGTGTTGAGCCCCCCGAGCAGCCTGAGATCGGCCTGGCCTCCCTGGGCGCCCCTAGCGACGGGCTCTACCTTCGCGATGACGTCGAGATCAAGTGTAATGTAGCGGTCATGTCGTTTGTCAAGGCGCAGATGAAGGCTGCTTCCAAGGAGATGGTTTCGCGGATAATCAAGAAGGCCGAACTTCTCGACGCCGGGGTGCTGCACGCCATGATCGAGGACGGCAAGCTCAAGACCATCAACCCCAACGACCGGACCGTGACGGTACCAGACGCCCAGGTGTCCCCTAGGCCCTCTCCCACCTCCATGTATCACCAGCCCGGCTCCATGTCACCGCCACCCACGCCGTACCAGATCCCCCGACCGGCTTCGCACCAGTACCAGAAGAGCGGCACACCCATGCAGCAAAACCCACACTGGTCTGCCCCGTATGGAAGTCCACCACCAGCACACCTCCACCCAGCATTTGCGCAGCCGACACACGCAGAGCTCCCCGCCCAGCAGCAGCCGCAGCCCGGCACCAACAGCTTCCCGGTCGAGATGCCCGGCGACTTCTCGTACCCCCAGGCCTCACCGCGGCTGCAGCCCCCGCAGCCGTCCCCCACCTACAACAACTCGGACATGGCCTCGGTCCACTCCTCGTCGCGCACGTCGCCCCAGCCCGCCGGCGACTGGCGCTGGTCCCAGAGCCAGGCCGCCTCGCAGGCCAACACCTCCAGGCCCACGTCCGTGTCGTCCGACGTCTCCGGCGGCGGCGGGTTCCAGTCGCCGGGCCTGGAGCACCAGGGCTTCGCGTCCGAGCTGGCGACGCACAAGGAGACGCCCGAGGAGCACAGCGCCGGGGCGGACGCCGTCAAGAGGCGCGATTCGAAATCGGCGCAGGCGCAGAACGCGTATGCCCCGTATAACCCGGCAGACTATGCCAAGGGTCGCGGTGGTAACTATCCGAGCCATCCGACGCCGCATAGTTATGGGTACAGCCATTGAAAGGACAAGGGCTGAGGAGGGAAGTGAGCGGGAAGGGGGACCACGCCGCCCACGGCACTGAGGCTCACGGGCGCCTTGGCGCTTATATGAAAGTGATATTGACTGACGACCATGTTTGGACGATTTCTCACCTCCGCAAGGCGTTTGTGGAGTTGGAGACACCAATCACTGATGCCCCGGCGCTTATAGTAGTTTCTTCTTATTGGTTTCTTAGACAGATGGCTGGTCTTTCTACGGAAATTCCAAGAGGGGGCATTTCGACGACAACATTCTGGTTTCACGAGCTGGGTGACCTCTGTTGGTTTTTTTTGGGAAATGCGATGGGATACCAGGGACTCGGACTTAGGACTCGGGATACTTCTGACGAAAATTCTTTTGGGGATTCCATGTTTATATTATTCATGAATCTGATTTTATATACCCTCCAGGCCGCGCGACCCGAGACGTGACGCTCGAACCAGGTACCAGATGCCCGATGTGCTGATGTGGGCGGGCCCGGGGGGAGGGGGAGGGGTACGGGCAGAGCAGGGAGACGACACAACCACATCACACACAGGTCCCGAGCGAGTGTGTATACCGCTCAACCGTGCCCCAAGAACGAACGAGGAAAAGACGACGACCGAAGCGCGGGGACAGATTTACACCCGGCCGCTGTCCTCCTCACTCAAAACGCCCCGCTCAAGTCGAGCAAGCAAGCACATGAGAAGACCTCTCCCCCCCGCCCCGGTCTACACTGGTTGACAAGAGTAGGACAGAGGCAAGCCTCAGCCAGGGCAGGTAGGTAGGTAGGTAGGTAGGTAGGTAGGCAGGTACGGCCCCTTCTCCTGACCTACGCCGCAGCAGCGCGCGGCCTGATCTCGACCTTCATCTCGTCCTTCTGCCACGTCGTGTACGTCTTCTGCCTGTCCAGCCAGCCGGCGCTCTCCGGGTGCAGCGCCATGTCGAAGTGCCAGAACATCCTCGCCAGGACGGTCCTGGTCTCGGCGTACGCCAGGCTGTTGGCTGGGGGTTAGCGGGACGGATGGGATCTCGGCTGGGAAGAAGTGGGTAGCTGGGTTTGGGGGGTTGGGGCGTGTTGGGGGCGGGTTTCGGCCGCGAACTTACTTCTTCCCGATGCAATTCCTAGGTCCAAACGAGAAGGGGTCTTTTGTTTGTTTGTCGGAGATCAGCCATGAAATATGTCAAGATATAGGGAGTGGGGAGGGGGGGGGGGGAGACGAAGGCAAGACAACAACAACTACTCACGGAAACAAGCCCGGTTATCCCCCTCGAACTCGGGGTCCCCAAGCCACCTCTCGGGCCTGAACTCAAGCGGCCTGACAAAGTTCCTCGGGTCCCGGTGCGTCGCCACCTGGTGCACGCCGACGGCCACGCCACCCGGAACGAACCGGTCGCAGACGACGCGCCCGCCCTCGGGGACGCGCCGGGGGAACGTGCCCGGGCCGGGCGGGCACAGCCGCAGGGCCTCCTCGACGACGGCGTTGAGGTACGGCAGCGCCGCCGTGGCGTGGGGCAGGATCTCGGCGCCGGTCTTGAAGGCGCCCCGGACCTCCGCCGTGAGCCGGGCCAGCGCGTCCGGGTTCGACAGCAGCAGGTACGTCGACCCGCACAGCGCCGTGGCCGACGTCTCGCTGCCTGCTACGATCAGGACCTGCGCGGCCGTGTACGTCTCCTCTAGGGTCATGCCCTTTTCGCCTTCTGCGTTGAGGATGTATGACACTTTGGTGGTGGGGGTGTTAGCAACCAGGCAGGCGTATTGAGGGCTTTTTCGTTTTTCTCCATGGTGCAGGAAGTGGAGGGCAGGAAGTAAGTAGGTGAGAGGGCAAGGTGGACAAGCCGGTTGGTGGTTTGGGGGGTAGGGCGGGAGGAAAGAAGAGAAGGCTCACTGAAGTCAGGCCTGTCGGTCGTCTGCTGCAGCCTCTTGTCGACCCTCTGCATGCCGAACGCGAACTGCTCCTTGCGCGTCTGGATCAGCTGCCGCGGGATGAAGAGGCACAGCAGCGTCGCCAGCGGCTCGGGGAAGCGGCGCGCCGCCCGGAGCATCGTGCCCGCCTTGAAGATGTCGAACACGGCCTGGAGCCACCAGTGCCATTCTGCATTCTGCAGGCAGTAGAAGGGCTCGCCGAAGGCCAAGTCGCCGATGATATCTGGTTGTGTGTGTCGAGGTTAGCATCTCACCTGTGCGGGTGTGAACACAGAGGTGAGTGAGTTGGGGGGATATCATTTGCTCATGGCTCATGCAGCCTTCCCCAGTCCGTCGCCATCAAACAGATCTTTCCACCCGCAGAGAGGTAACATCCCCCCAAAAAGACAGAAATATCATGAAAACATACCAAAGGTAGTAAAATTATACCAGGACGTCATGTCCACCACGGCACTGCCGCCGCCACTGCACAGACCATGCAGCTTGTGAACCAGCAGCGACGCATACCCGCAGATGACAGACTCCTGCGCGCGCAGCGCCTTGTCGCTGAAGGCCGGGTTCTGCAGGCGCCGCATGCGGCGGTGGCCCGCGTCGTCGGCGTCGAGGATGTTGACGACGCCCGTGACGGTCTTGTTCCACCACTGCGGGTCCTTCTCGAAGTTGCCCGTGCCCTCCTTGTTCGGGAACCCGTAGATGGCCGGCCAGGCGCGGCTGTCTGTGTCTGTTTTGCTGGTGAGCTAGTGAATCCTCGAAACAGCAGATACACCAACGAGCGTCCGTCCACTGGTGACAAAAATCTCCATGAGAAAACCCTCCCACAGCGGCTGGCTGGCTGGCTGGCTGGCTTGTACGTACATGAGAGCTCATCCGGGGCGATCCTGATCACCGGCCCGTACTTCTGGTGCCACTCGTTCACCTTCCAGTGGCTGTGCCCGCGGACGTCGTACCAGAGGTAGTAGGCCCTCGTCGACCCGGCCCAGAAGGGCCCCGGGTACTTCCTGAGCGGGTGTAGGAAGAGGTTATAGAACACCTTGCCGGTCGCGAACAGCAGTATCGCCTTTTCATCAGGAGTTTCATGTTAGCATTGGGTCGTCCTGTAAATACACCCAGGCAGAGGTGAAGACTTACAGCCAGGCAGTACAGAGGGACACTCTTTAGCGATAACATCCCCCCGATTCCTGTGAGGTGCTCCATCTTCGGTGTTTTCACTCACGCTTGTTCACCAGAGAGGAGAGTGAGCATGAGGATGAGAGCGCAAGTGGCGATCAGTTGTCGGGTTACAGTTCCCTTACTCCGAGACAGCATTAACACGCACGTCTATCTCTTACCCCCAATTATCATGTCCTGTAATCACCCCAATATGATAGGCAGTTGTCCCTAGAGGGCAAGCATGCGTCCCTTGTGTACAAGTACGAAGGGGAACTCCCGCAGACACCGAGTGGTGGGTCCTCACCGTGCCCGATATTTTCAACGAAACGCTTTCGAATGATGGCCATCGAGTACATGAGTTGACGGCGTACATCTTTTCCATTTTGCGCCGTTGCCTCTCTGTCACACGAGAGCCCAAAGAGCGCCGCGAGTCATCTCACCGATTCTGTTCTTGTTGACCCTGCTTATCTGGAGGGCCCTCAGCTTCCGATACCGAGGAAGAGCTGATTCAGCCTTGTAAATTGGTTTTGGGCAGGTGATAAAGGCTGGAGGGATAAAGAGGGTCCTGCCTGTGACTGGGCGGGTCCTCGAACTTTTGAACCCTTGAGCCTCCTCCCCGTGGGGACAGGTATGACTCGGTCCACCAGCCGCGATATGAGATCGTATCGATGGCCCGCTATAACGGTGATGGCTAGCATGACAACAAAGAAATACACTGATTGACAAGAGTTGTTTGCAGTCTTAAGCTTTCCTTATCACGGTACCACCTCGAAACGTGGTGGGCCAGGGCATGCCCGGATGGAGGGTACCCACGCGTTTGAGGCCAATCCGGTACGACGTCAGCCCAGCCGTCATCGCACGGTCGGATCTGTCTGCGAAACTTTAGATCTCCTTGGCCGTTATCTAATGCTTCTGGAAGTTCGAGCCTTGCAACCTCGCTGGTCCGGCATACCCAGCCGAGTGCGGAAAACGCTGGCTGTATACCAGGCGAGTCCGGATATCGGATGTACCTTCCAGAAGAGCTGTCAATTTATTACCCATCCCAATATATCGCTAGCCACATACTTACACTACACAGTTGATGTATCAATGTGGAAAGTCTCGAGTCGTAATCACCTGGGCAACTGGATCTCGGCCATAAGCCATAAAGCCTGGATGACCGGGTGTATCTCGGTGGATATAGAGGGAGGCCGGGTGCATCTCGGCGCATAGAGAGAGGAAATCAGGGCCATGAGAAGATGGAAGCCTCCCAATAATCGGCCTGACATCTCTTTTCGGCACAAGAAGCAAGGGCCTTGCGATTTGATAGCGTAGACGGATGATGCTGGAGTCCAACCTAGTGCCCGTACCACGGTCATCTCATCGCAGGGCTTACCCCCAGCTTGTTGACCAACTGTGACCCAATACGGCTGCCCCATGCGTCGAACAAGATCATGGCCCACCTTTGACGAGGGGCTCGCCCGTGTGGGTGGATCGCCACATCCTTCCCGTTTCGAAGACTTGCCCCTCTGAGAGAAGGGCCTGAAGATCCTTGGAGGACTCCAGCATACTCAACAGGCACGACCAATGGGCGAAGGAGTTTACCCGCCTCGTCGGGCTCGAAAGCAATGGATCGCCATCATGGCCTGGGTCTGTTCTCTGTCAGAGTCAGTCAGTATGGTAGGTTCCCTTTATCAAAATGAGGGCCACGGTGGGTCAGGAGGGACTGTGAACGGACATAGTGGGAGCGAGTATTAGAGACATGGACGATCTCGCGCCCTTCTCGATGACTTCCAGTCCCGTCTCTATTCCATTCTCTCCAAGTTTCCCACTTTTCGTTCCAAAATACCAGAACCAACAAGGAACCTTTAGTCTGTTGCTGTATATATCTCCCGTCATCCAGGATGCAAGTCATCAGTCGTGTGCCCGCGGCCTTGGCCCTGCCAAAGGACAAGACGGAGCTCGAGCAAGAGCACCACACCAAGGTCATCAGCATCAAGAGACCATTGGACCTAGACACCCCCCAGCCATGGGAGACGGTGAATGCCACCATCCAGTTCCGAAATGAGGACACACAGTACTGGTGGGACCGGACAGGTCGAATGTTCGCCAAGCTCATCCAGAGGGCCGGGTACAGCGCAACGGAGCAGTACAAAGAACTGATCTTCTATGCCCTCTTCGTCGCACCAGAGCTGGGCAAGGCCCCCGACGCACAAGGCAACGTCCGGGGATGGAGAAGCCCAGGTACTCCGGACTCAACACCAATCGACTTCTCGTGGGAGTGGGGGAATGGCAACAACGGCACCGTCAGGTACTCGTTCGAGTGCATCGGCCCGCACGCCGGTACAGATTTGGACCCGCTCAACTCTTTCGCGACAGACGCCTGGATCCAGAGGCTCAGGGACCAGGGCATGGTTCCCGGGCTGGACCTGGAGTGGTACGACCACTTCACCAAGGCGATCCTGCCATCGCGGGATATGAAGCGTGAAAAGACAGCCGAGGTGTTCATCGAGGAGACAACGCCCAAGGCTGGGGTTGTGGTCGCCCTGGACATCGAGAAGACGGGGCCTGTGATGAAGATGTACATCTACCCGGGCCTCAAGGCCCTCGAGATGGGCATCAGCAACCTTGAGCTCGTCCAGCGCGCCATCCGCAGCCTCCCCAAGGCGCAGTACGAGTCCCTGGGGTGCGAGCCGCTGCTGCAGTACCTGGACGAGGGCACAGCGCGCTGGGGTTTCGAGACGGGCATCCTCTCCATCGACTGCCTGGAGCCGTCGAGGGCGCGGGTCAAGTTGTACATCCGGGCGCGGCACACGAGCCTTGAGTACATGATGGACTGCCTGACGATGGGCGGGCGGCTGAGCGAGGATGGTCTCGGCGAGCAGGCGCTCGCGGACATGAAGGATTTCTGGCTTGCATTCCTGGCGGACGCACCTGACCAGCTGCCTGAGGATGCGCCCGGCCGTGCCAGCCCGGGATTCTACTACACCCTTGGTGCCGGGAAGCCCGTCTCGGCCAAGATGTACGTGTCGCCAACGTACTTCTGCAAGAGCGACACCGAGGTGCTGTCTCGCCTGCGCGGATACTTCTCGACGAGGAGGGCAGACATGACGCAGGTCGACAACTATGAGGCGGCACTGCATGATATATTGTAAGTGGTCATCCCAGATGTCGATCCCCTCTTGCTGTGACGGTGTACTCTTAGCTAATATGTGGACTTTGCACAGTGGAAAGAAGACGCTCGACGACAGGTGCGGGTCCCACTACTATGTCGGCTGCGCGCTGGCCAAGAACCAGCTTCGTGTGGTGACATATCTGAGCCCGCAGTCGTTTGACTGCGAGAAGGACCTGATCAGGGAGCGGGCCCTGGCGGCGTTGGAGTAGTCCGAGTCGTGGCGGGAAGGGGGAGAGAGAGGCTGTTTTACTTGGAGCATAACGGGCATGGGCGTTTGGGTTTTTGGATTCGGGTTTGGGCACCAAGATTTCTAGAATGTCTGTAGCAAGTTGGGATGGCAGAATGGATGATGAATAGTTCAACTTGACGAGAAAAATTGCTCTGCTTCGTCGGTCCTTCCTTCCACGTGTGCCCACCCCGCACCTTCCCTCCTTAAAGTTTTCCCCGAGTACTTTGCTTGGCAGTAAAAAGTCCAAGCTCCCTCCCACGCCTGTCTACATGACATCGAGCACCAAATCTAGGCCCCCACGGACGAACTCTAAAACTCTATTTCGACCTCAGGTATCATACGCAGTTCACCACATTCGTCTCCCTTTACTTCGCTCCAGCAAGACCCTCTAGCAAGTCGCACGCCCTCGCCGCCCCGCCCAGAGAGTTCAGGGCCCGCCCAGCATCACCCGCAGCCTCGCCGTACCTCGCGTCACCGAGTATCTCCTTGACGGCGTCCCGCACCTGCTCCGTCGAGGGCGAGTCCGTCATCAGGTCGATGCCAGCCCCGAGGTGCGTCACCCGCGCCGCCGTGTCCTTCTTGTCCTCGCTGGTGCCCGCGCACACGAGCGGGACCCCATGTGCCAGCGCCTGCGTCACGCTGCCGTACCCGCCGTTGGTCACGAGGACGTCGCACCGCGGGAGGAGCTCCTCGTACGGGAGCCACGATGCCAGCCGCAGGTTTGCTGGGAGGGACTGGCTGCCGCTGCTGCCACCATCCGCGAGTAACGCCTGCCTGATCTCCTCGACCTGCTGCGACGGCACCACCAGCAAGAGGCTCGCGTCGTCCCTGAGCGCCCGGATCGCCGGCAGGAGCAGGCTCGACGGGTCTGTCGCAAAGGTCCCCTGCGTGATGCCGACCACACGCAAGTTCCCTGTTGCCTGCTCCGAGGCGGCGACCACCTCTCCCCACCAGTCAGGCAGGGCTGACGACTTGCCGTTCAGGGGGCTGACCAGCGGGCCGACGTACTCGGTCGGATGAAGGGCCTGGCCGAACTCGAGCTCCGGGCTGGACGCCTGGATGTGCAGCTGCGGGCTGTACTGCAGGATCTGGCGCGGCTCGACGGGCCCGAGGCCGAGCTCGACCCGTTGCGCATTCATACAGTCCGCGATCAGCTCTGGCTGGCTGAGGATCGCCCCGAGGGTTGACTTTGGCGCGTGCTCCCTGAAGTACATCGGCACAACGCCCAAGGTTGCCCACGCGGGGACCTCTCCCAACTCATGCCTGTGATATCGATGAGGTTCAGCACATGTATAACACGCAGTTGAGACCGGGAGGAGAGGCCCGTCTCGGGTTATATATTCCCTTCGAGCCACCTCGACAAGATAACCAGGAACAGAAGGAAGAAAGAAAAAACTCACAACACAGCCGCCCCATAAGGCAACGCATCATTCACCAGCACATCCGGCCTGAACCCACTCCTCAGCACACTGCGCAGGTCCGCCACCTGCGCCGCGAGCCGCCCGCCAAAAAACGCATCCACGATGCCCTCGAGCGTGTCGGGCGGGTCGGCCATGCACTCTTGCAGGACCTTGTCTGCGCGGTCGATCTCCGCCGTGGCCACGAACCGCGCCCCGGTGGCGCGCACCCGCGCCTCCTGCTCGGGGCTCGTCAGCCATACCACCTCGTGCCCGCGGTCCACCAGCGCCTTGGCCACCGACTGCATCGGCAGCACGTGGCCTGTGGCGTAGAACGTGTGAAGGAGGAACTTGGCCATGGTTTCTGTAAGTATGTATGTATGTACGTAAGTCTGTCCGCCTGTTGTTGCGTTGTGTGCTTGTCTCGTTTCCCGTCATGCAGATGTTGGTTGACTTTCTCGTCCACGCTTCTCCTGTCTCTCACGGTGTTGTTGGTCGGCTTCACTGGCTGGCTGACCACCTCAGCGTCTGTGTCTGCGTGCGAGCGAGCGAGCGGGTATGAACAACACGACAGACAGCCTCTCCTCCCCCTTCCCTGCCCTTCAGGAAATCCATTATCACAAGCAATCCCCTTCTAGAAACATGCTTATCACCCACGACATACCCGCCGCAGCCCCCCGGTCCGGAGGGGGGCCCTCGAATCTCGATGACCGGGGGCCCGGAATTGTGGACCGCAAGGACAAGCTTCCTTGGACTACGGGTCCGGGCTCCACCGCGCCCCTCCACCCCGGCCGCGAGTCAATGGTACCCTCTCGACGAGTCATCCCCAAACGGCCCTTTTAGGAACCTCAAAAGAAGATGCTTATCTATCTAGCCGTGGGTGGGGATCGTCGCTCCCAACTGCCGGCAGACTTTAGATCTGCGCGTGCATGAACGACTCGTGTATCCTTCCCCTCGGTATTGAGTAGTGATTGGCGCTGTCTGGGGCTGGAGCTCGTCGATATGGCAGGCAGGTGAGTCGTCGCGAGGCGCGCGTGTGTGTCAGATCCAGGGTTGTCATTTGGTAAGACTTTGTCGCGGGACTTTTTCCTGTTGTGCTGGTGTCATAGTAATTTCTTTTCCTTTTCCTTTGCTATCTGTATCTGCGCGTTGCTTTTATTAAAAAATGTTCTTTGTAACAGACTCGAGTCCGTAATCCGTATAAGATGAAAAGTGATCCCACCCCACCTCTATGAGGGAGTGTGTGAGTGGATTTGGCTCTCCTGGTGCTGAATCTCGTCCTCGTCGTCCACCGGTGGCCAAAAGCTCACCCCAGACAACAAACCTGTCTGCAGGATCTTTCTCGCCTTCATGAAAGGCTGTCCGTTCTCTGTTGACACTCGTCTGTTCGCGCAGTGCCGTTGGCTAGAAATAACCCCAAGGAAAAAGGGCTCAGAACCCGGCTGTCCTCTGTCCAGCGTCCATATCCATTTCCCAAGCAGGGTTCAAGGAGAGACCGTCATCATACATACATACATACATACATACTCTGATCATCTTCTCGCTTTCTGCCACCTCATTACCATGGCTTGTTCAGTGTCCATAGTCATGATGGTTGGGAAGCCAATGATGTAGGAGAACATACAGCTCTTCACAATCTGGAATGCGAAGACGGCTGGGCCGATCCATGCTTCAACTCGTCCACGTGCCTGGCATGCCGGCCGACTGAGCGGCCTTGAGGCTCTTGCTGGCTGCTCTCACGGGTTGGTCCTCGGTCGCGGCCAGGAAACGATTATGCCTGTCGGTGGATGTGATGGAACACTTGAGCCAGAGAAGGAATGCAAAACTCGTCAGGGTGCCGGTCCGGCTTTGGCCCGTCTTTCGAGCCATCCTGGGGCTGTCTGTCCCCTCATATTTTCTCTGACCCAACTGCCCATCATCAACATGTATGCACAAGTGACATGTCTCAAAGCTCCCCCCCCCCCCAAAAAAAAAGGGGGGGGGAGAAAGAGAAAAAGACTATAAAGTTCCAATTTCGCTATGGTGATATTCGCCTCCTTGTCGATAAAAGTCCAGAATTCCCTCAAGAGGCCCGCTGATCTGCTAATAACACAACCTAGAAAAATTCCTCACCAACTTCAAGATGAATACATCGAGCCTCACGCCCCCCCCTCCCCAGCCCACTCAACTCTGCTCAGCCCACCCAACCAACCAACAAACCAACCAGCCACCAGGCCTCAGTGGGGGTAATCAATGCGGAGGCAGGGTAATTAATCAAGAATAAGCATAAGTCTGCTGGCCCCTCCCCTCCTCACCAGCACCACCAGCGCCGCCGCCGCCGCCCATCCAGCTCCGCCTCCAGAGCCAAAAGTACCCGTTGAACCCCGTCTCCTCCTTGCCCCACTCGCCCACGATGCCCAGGGGCGTCATGACGCCCTCGTAGTCCCACGAGTGGGCGCCGACGTAGCTCTTGCGCAGGCTGACGATGCCCGTCGCGGGGGCCACGGTGCCCACCAGGTCGAAGCTGCGCGTGATGCCGTCCTGGCAGTCCCTCGCCTCGAGGGGTAGTTTCTGTGGTGGCTGTGGGGTCGGGGAGGACCGCTTCTTTGTTGTTGTTGTGGTTGATGTGGGAGTTGGTGGTGGCGGTGGTGGTCTACCGAGCCTGAAGTGGATGTTCTCCATGGCTGGGTCCTTGGACCCGATGGGGTTGCGGTTTTCGGTGCTGGTCAGCGTGTAGACGTAATATCCGTACCATTCGTCGTCGTCGTCTTGGTCGATGGTGTTGACCAGGTCTCGTACCCGAGAGGTATACCACTCCTGCCACGAGTTTGACTGGCCCGTTATTCCGCCATGCCGCCCACCCTTCGTTTTCTCCAGTAATGGTATCTTGAGTTGGGTTGGTGGTAATGATGATGGAGTGGGAACTTTGTCTGAATTTGATTGTGACGCTGTGTCACGAAGTAGTGGGATCAAATCTGACCGAGGTGTGTCTTCGAGGCCGCTGGTCTTGAGTATGTAGGCCATCAGGCCGGCGAGCTGCAGTGATCTTGTGTGCAGGCCCTCCCAGCTGAGCCAGAAGCTCTGGTTTGAGGATGTGAAGTCCTGGGCATGGTAGTCGGCCATCACGCGCTGTGCAAGACTTTTGTACTCGGGTGCTTCAGCAGGGACGTTGGACCAGTTCCAGGGATGGATCAGGCCCAGTGTCATGGTGAATGCCAGTTGAAGGCTTAGTTGTTTCTGCGCCAGCAGCTTCTTCTCGGACCAAATGTTGGCCCTCATGGTCCAAGGGTTGATGGCCATGAGGGCCCTGCCCAGATCAACATCGCATACATCCGAATCTGATGATCACAGTTAGTGATGTTCTCAGATAACCGTGCATTCGCGTACGGGGTCTGTATCCCTGCTGCAGGATGAGACCAAACAAAACAAAAGTGGGGTGTGGATGCGCCAAACGTCTGGCGCGAAACAAGAGCAGGCAAGAAGTGTACTGACATCCAAGGACACAAAGGGTGGACATCAGCCCCAGTCTCGTCTCGATCTCGGCGGCAACGTCGCAGTCGTTGCCATTTTGATCAGGTAGTGGGCCAGCACTTTTTTTGTCTGGTTGGTCCTGTTGGCCTTGCTGGCCCCGTTGGCCCTGTTGGTCGTCGGAGGTGCGATCCGAGGCAGCCTCAGGAGGAGGACCCCTGCCCGAACCCTTGATCCGTGCCCTTGCCAAGAGCGGGCCCATTGTTGCTTTGATGCGGGCCCGCTGCCTCGGGGGAAGAGTGACGGCGAGGCAGAGGAAGGCGTCTCTCCTTGCATCCTGGTCTCTGGTCATGAAGTCGTCGCTGTCCATCTGTGCCTTGATCATTTGTATGAGGGCGTCTCGGCCTGGCGTGCCATTGGTGGGAGGGTCCATCTTTAAAAGGCAACGGCGATATTAGCGCGTCAGTCTGTCGGGTCGGCCTAGCCTAGCAGCCTGGTCTAGGGGGTCTGGGGGGTCTGGGGGGTCGCAGTCTGTGTGTTTAGATGTGACATGGCGTCCCATTGTGTAAAACCCAATCTAACAAGCCTGCAAGCCTGGGAGTTGGGGAAGCAGCAGGCAGGGGTTGTGCGAGCTGCTGTGCACAGAAGCCCGGCTCACCCGCTCGTCGACCCAAGCTCGGCCCCAAGCCCTCCCCCGGGACGAGGGTGCAAGAGGCTAACAAAGAGAGGCGACTTTTGTTTTTGCGAGTACAGGAAGAGGTGCATGAAGGCAGGAGCGGGGAGAAGGAGAGAAGAGGAAAAGAGGGCCTGGGAAGACTCACTCGTCGCCGGGCAATCTCGGCCCAAAAGTCAGGGGAGTCCAGGGCGCGATGTAAGGACCGGCAGGTGTGTCGTAAGCCCAGGATGGCATCAGGCCCGCAGAAAATAGCAACGTCTTGCACGATGTGGTCTGGCAGCGTGTCTAACGCCAGGCGGCGTGGGGCGGACCAAGAGGGAAGGTGACTCGGCTCTGGGGCGGACGTCGATCCAGCGCGCTGGGTCGGGGCGGCAGTAGCAGGGTCGTATTCGTTATCCAACAGGCAGGGCGAATCCGATATCAACCGGGGCGACGATTTGCGTCCCTGCCTGACCAGGTGCAGCTTGGAACGCAGGCCGAGCATCTGAAATCGAGCAGAGGCTGGTGTATCGATCCGCAGGGCAGGACGCCGGGAGGAGGGAAGAAAGGGAGGGGGGGTGGTTCAATGTTGAACAAACAAGAGGCAATGCCGGGAAACAACAGGCAGGGCCGGGGGACGACAGGGACGTCAAGTTGTGCTCATCGGATGCAATCAATTGATGCCGGGCTTCTCGTCAACGCGGGGCGCTGATTTGCTTGCTCAGCTTGCTCCTTGCTCCTCGCCGTGGGGGACTTGAGGGCTGGCTGGGCCTTGCTGGCCTTGCTGGCTGGCCGGCTCGGATTGCAGGATTGCGGGAGGATTCCGGCTCAGAGTATAGTAGAATTGCAGCTTGGCCCCATGCAGGCCGGACCGAGCTTGTATGGGAGATGGTAACATCCCAAAGCCAGGACAGCCAGGACAGCCAGAGGTTAGAGAGGTGTTCTGTTTAGTGAATCAAAGTCAGAGTCGAGCCCAAGACGACGTCGTATTGTCGAAGCGGATATAGCCGGGAACTTGGAGTTGGTTCCTGAGTAGGTTGGCAGGTTGTCAGGCTGGCAGATATCAGGGTCTCTCACATCAGACAAGCTGACAAGGAGAGGGAACACTTGAGAGTGGCAGATTCCGGGCTCCCCCGCAAAACACGGCATGGCTGGGCTTAACCCCCCGGTCACGACAGGCCTGGTCAAGTGCTGCAGGAAATGGGGACTTTGTTGGTGACATGGGGACACAAGAGGGGGAGGGCGCTGACAGCCCAATCTCGTCCTTCTTGTTGGTGCCAGATGTTGCAAGTAGAGGAGGGGGCGCCTGGCTGATGTTACACAGGCTGGACAAGGCAAGCCAGCAGAGGTGCAGAAGGTGGTGGTTGTAACGACTGACTGACTGATAGAACACCCCCCACACCAAACCATCTGATGCATCTGCATGCTGCATCTGCATCTGCATCTCTCTATCAGCTTCGCCTCGGGCATGATTGCCGGCTATCTGCACCAGCACTGCGCCGCAGAGATTGCTGACACAGCTCGCAAAGCCCCCACGCCGCCCTCCCCCAGGCTTGTGAGAGCGGGAGGGTACGACGATCACTCTGCCCCCGGGCTGCCAGGATTGTTGGGCTGCGGGATTGAGCCGCTTTGGAATCATTTGGCGTCTGCATGCATGCTGGTTGGTTGGCTGGAGCATCAATGTTTGTCCATCTCGCTAGCCAGGCAGCACGTGCAACAGGCCTCGGCCTTGCAAGATGAAAGGACTGCAAGAGAGCAGGCGACGTTACAGGCCTCTCGTGCCTCGGTGACAAGTTGGTGTTCCCGTACTGCCGGGGCGGCGGGCCTATCACCTGCAGAAATGACGCGGTCTCGTCGGTGGGACAAGGTCAAAGTTTGGAGGTGCTCGTGTTGCCCTTTCTCGTGCGCCAGGGTCAAGCCTGCCCAGGGGTGCCACGGGCTCCATTGGCTTGAGGGGGGGTTGTTCAATGTTCCTTGGGGAGCACCTGAGATGAGATGGAGATGAGATGGAAACCGTTCTGCGACGATCGGATGCAACTTGGAAGGTTGGTTGATCTCTTGATTGACTTTCCGTCCTTACGTCAAGTGGTCCTTCCACAGTCTGTCCTCTGCCCGTCCTGCCCGTCTGCTCCTTCCGTCCCCAAATCGAACTCCTGGGCTGTCAAACTGGAGCGATGGGGATGACCCCTGCTGTGGTACACCCACGGCCCCTCAGTGGGTCTGACGGCCCGACGCAGATGCGCAGGAATTTCAGGGATGCCTCTCGTTGTTTCTCTGGGGAAGCAACAGCTCATTTTGCTTCTCAGAAAAACAGTGCACAAGTGGGTATTTCAACATCATCTTGTTGAACATTATCTAGATAGGGGTATCACGAGCCTGCTGCTTCCTTTTGACGTGCCTTGTCGTACCTTCCGCATGTCCATCCATACTTCATTATCGTGACCAAGTCTTTCTCGTCTCTTGTTGCCCTATTCAGGTATGTCACGGTGAGCTCAGGTGACTCCCTCCCAGCTTTCCGGCCGAAACTCATATCAGCGTCCACGGCGATCTGTCACAGACCTTCGACTTCTTCCAACTTGGGGTATCCTCTGTCACGGCTGTTTGTTCATGGCAGCCTCCTTTCAAACCGCGCAGGTGCTGATCGGACAAGCTGGCAAATACATGATCGTGAAGCAGTTGCACAAAGCAGTCTGACTCGCCAGGTACTGACCGTCTACCAACGGCACCACAATGCTCATCTATAGCACATCATAATAACACGCCCCCGCCCCCAGAAATCAAGCCCACAAAGATGTCATTATCAAGAGTGTACAGGGCCATCCCCGCGTGGCCAATGAGCGCCATGTGCTCAAGATCTTTACACCGCGATCCAAGTATATCCCACCACTACTGGATGAAATAGTAGAGCCTGCGGAGCCTACGACAATTGTTCTCAGCCACTTACAATCGACCCTCCTACAATCTTCAGTCAGGCAGAAGCTAAATCGTACAGAGCTTAAATACATCTGCCATGGCGTGCTAGAAGCTCTGGCCGTTATGCATAGCGAAGGTTACGTCCATGCAGGTAAGTCGCGCTGGCGGAAGCGCAGAAGAATCTACTCTCGCTCATTACAGTAAATCTTTAGACGTTAAAGCCGACAACATCCTGGTAAATGAACATTCGGATGTGACCAATCGATTTACCGATGTTCGATTAGCGGACATGGGCAACTCGTACCCAGAGACTCATAAGTACGCTTTAGACGGCCAGCCTATTGGTGCTCCCATGTGGTCCAGTCCGGGGGTACTTATGCACATGCCCTGGGACACCAAAACGGACATTTGGGCTTTCGGGACACTGGTGAGTACGGCTTTGAGAAATCTCGTGCCATTTGGAATTTGACATCAATGCAGTTGATCAGCCTCATCTATGGCCGTGACTTCAACATTTATGACCCTCCAGACGTCCCCACGGATCCTATCGACGATTACAAATTTGCGGTTCTTCGGAGACAAGTCGAGATATTTGGCCCTTTCACAGTCAAGTATGAGGGAATCGCCAACGAGGATGTAATGGAACTTATTATCTGGATGTTGGAGAACCTCAAGGAAATCAGGACCCCCTTTCAAAGCATTACGGACAGCGAGATCTGTCAGAAGGACAAGGACTTCATCAGCTCGATTATGAAACTCGACCCTCGAGACAGACCGACAGCCGCAGCCATTTTATCGCACGAGTGGTGGCAGCAGGAGTGAACAAGGGATTAATTACCCTTCCCAAGGGTTCCTTGGCAGATTCCGCACTGATGTGCGGTAGCGGTCTACTGGTGTAGCTTCGGAAAGAGGAATAGTCTAGAGTATACTTACAACGACGCCCCAAGAATGGTGCGTGACCTGTCAGTCCCCATTGCTGTGAATCGCTAGCATTGTACGGCTTTGGAGCATTGCTAGACAGATCACATGTGTACATGGGCCCCGGCTGGGTATTCGGGATCGGTCCTAACGATGGACTCAAAAAGAAAGCCTGCACATGGTCGTCTACTTGGGCCGAACAATGCATTGTGCTTTATCATGTCTGGCATGGTCAGTTCTTATTGATACCTAGGAAAGCCCGCTTGACACTATTCACAACCTCACTATCCTCACCGCCCCCACCTCCTAGGAGCCCCCCAGTCTCACTAATGTTTTCTATCCTTCGCTAGCCTCGCTAGCCCTCTCTTATGGCCTCTTTACTGCCTGTACTAGCGATCTCTAGTCTCTCCAGCTCGTTCTGGGCCCCCTAGCCTCTTTGGCCTCTTCAGCCCCGGCCGTTCTGGCCGCCTCAGCCCTCTCTAGCCTGTTCAAGTTCAGCTCACTCTAGCTTCTCTAGCGAAAGCCTTCTCCTAAAGGAGGTGGCTCCCTTTGGAGATGGAGCTGCTCTAAGCTGAACGTCTTTGATCTTTCTTCTTCTTCAGACGTCTCTTATCTTCCAATTTCATACACAATCCAGAAAAACAACCGAAGCATTCGAATTTGGGCAAAGTAAGCTCTCAGAATAGTCTACGGAGGGCTATGGATAGCTGGATTTTATGAAATGGACCATGCACATTGCGACGCGATATGATGTTCAAGTTGCTCACAAAAACAGAAGGCCGTGTCGCTGTGTCGGAGTACATATGTAGACGCACTAGTTGTTAGTTGCAGACGAGCTGCGGACCTCCAGCTGCAGAAGCTATCGGCATGCAATGTTCCAGTATGTAGCTGCCAAGAGCATTCGTTTGCCAAGTAAAAAGAAGAAAAAAGCCACGGGGTGTTGGGGGGGGGGGCATCCGGAGAAAGTATGCAACTTGAACCGCCAGCCGTACATATATACCTACAGGTGGACCGCCATCAAGGAACTCAATCAACAGCGCACAACTCTCTATTCACTAGTCCCCCGGCTTCATTGCCATATGTACCTTCTAGTTACTTAAGTCATGGATGAAGACCACCCAGGCTATGTAATTGTCCCGCCTCCTACTCCCGATGTGATCGGTGAGGAGCCTGCATTGATATCGACGACTGCAGTATATACAATTCAATCAGCTCAGGGGCTAAATCCAAGCACCGCAACAGGCTATGAGCCGTTGATCTCAACCACTACGAGTCCACCTCTAGCAGAAGGAAGCACCCAGGCATCTCCAGCTGGAGCGAACACTCAGGAGGATCCAGAGCAAGGAAATACTCAGCAACCTCCAGTGGGAGCAGACACTCAAGGGTTTCCGGCTGACACAAGTAATCAGGGATCTCCACAAGGGGCAAACACCCAGGGAGCCCCATCAGAAGGAAACACTCAAGCAGCTCCAGCAGAAGGAAATACTCAAGGAATTCCGACGGACGCGAACAATCAGGTGTCTCCAGCAGGGGCGAACACCCAGGGAGCTCCAGAAGAAGGATACACTCAGGGAACTCCACCTGAAGCAAACACCTCGGGATCTCCGGCTGGAATAAGCACTCAGGGTTTCACATATATACAGCTACAGAGCAACGCGGCCTACAAGCTGGGCCAAGAACATTTTCTCGACGCAAGCTTCAACAACATTTGCCCCTCACAGAATTGCCTGGATGATTGCAGGAACTTGACCCAAGTTTTTATCTCCAACCCTGGGATTCCCAACCATAATACGGCCACGGATGCAAAAGACGTCCAGGTAACCCTATTCGGCATTTGCAGCAACCTGGCCAACGTCACAGCTTTGGTCGAAGACAGTGATGACGCCGCCGTAAAGTCTTATTTCGAAAACCCAAGCGCTGGCCCTGATAATGACCTCGGGCTCATAACGTCGAACCTGACAATGTGCCTCGTGGACACATGCGATAGTACAAGGAACCCGTCTGAATGTCGTCAATACTGTCGGCCGGAACATCTCCTCCAGTCTCAGGACACACTCTCTATCTCCCCTGGCATCTACCAGTGTGCCCATCAACTCTGCCAAAGCACATGTGGACTGCCGTACGCGGATCAAGATGTCTTCGGAATTGGTGTAAGGCTCAAACTCCTTTTTTCTCTTCTTCTAAAGCCAAATTCTGACTGGCCAGGTACTTATATCATACTATATACAAGCCCTCTTGCTGCTTATCCTAGCGCTGGTTTTTATCGCCTCCGCTGCGTGGCAGGCATGGAAGCATAAGCGAAGCCCGACTGCGTCCGACTTAGCGAAACCTGCTCTCAAGACCTTTCTCAATACTCAATGCTATTTTGGGGGTGAGTGAGGAAATTTATAATTATGATATCAATGATAGCGAATTGCGCTAACGAAACTCACCATACCCAGCGTCTGCTGCCGTCGCAGCTTACTTTATGCACCCGAGGAAAATAGACCCGCTCAACGGTTACCCCCTGGTTACTGTGGCATTGATGGGCTGTATCGGACCGGTATTTACACTCAGCCTGTTCCGCAGCCACGGCGTCAAATTCCGATCCTCGATACCTTTATGCATAATGTCCTGGGTTTTGAACACCGTGGTGTTCTTCATACTTGTCTCGAACCTCTCACGCTCACAAGACGATGATCGGATTGTCGACCAGGCCATCCGCGGCCTGTCGAAAACAAGTCTTTGTGGCGGCTCATCTGCGATGGTCCTGTGCCAGGAGTGGTTGGGAACGAATCCGCTGCGGAGCTTAACCAAGTTCTTCAACAAGGACAGCATCCCTAATATCAGCAACGTACCTGTGGTTTGGGCATTGACTGCGGTTGTTCTGATCATTCTGACTTCATGGCAAGCATATCAAGTCTTGAGGTCAAGTGGAATGTTCTTCACGGAGGTCCCTCAAACCATGCCGCCTGGTTTAGTTCGGCGACATGGGTTCTTTCAGAGACTTGCTCAGTGGCTGGCATCGCCCTGGGCTAGCTTTTCCCTCTTAATACCGACGGCTTTGCTCTTCTCATTGGCTTTGGCTTATGAGTTTGTTATGGTCCGTGCTTATCAAGAAATGGACGTTATCGACATGAACGGCTGGACCTTCGGCCAGGTGGTCGCCGTCCTGTTCTGGGTACCTCCACTTTTTGATGTGACACAGTCGCTTTTCGGTGAGCCCCTTTCCAATACCTTTTATGCCTTCCATTTATTAAAGGGTTGCTGACGCCTCTTTACTCTAGCATCGCTCAAGAAGGATACTTCGGAGCAAGACCCCGCGAGGCCTAAGTATAAAAGCCTACACTTGGACTCGTACGAAAACTACCGACATGTGGCGTTTTCACCGGCTGTCAGTCCTGGTCCAGGCACTCGTGGACATTCTGAGAATCTCAGCACATCTATGAGGCAGGATGCGCAGGCAGAATCTTTTCCTCTACAACATCGGCGTGTCTTGTGGGCTGAAGAAGGCAGAAACTAGCACATTTTGGGATGTTCAAATATTTACATACTACTACCCTAAGGTATCGCACGGAGGGATCGTACAACAATGCTTGACACTGGCACGTACATGAATCACGAACGCAACTATCTACTCAAATTACTCGGGGCGGGTTTGAAAGAATCGATCGCACTGACCCACCTGGGCACACTTGGAGGATGTTAAAGATGTGAAAAGGAGATGTGTGTAGCCTTCTGTGTCAACATAATGAACACCATACGCGGTCTGTTCCGGTGTCCCCAACGCGGCCACAGTAACTATGTGCCCCCCCCCCCCCCATCACCCCACCAGTTTCCCCAGGACAGCCTCGTCTGGGACAATCTTCTGCACGATACCTATCTGTGCAACACTCTTCTATGGAACACCCACCCATGGAATAAGGCTGTATAGAGGAAGGTGGTTATATATCCAGTTCAGTCACAGAGTATCTTCTATGACGTATTTGTAATTTGGACGATGTGGCAGTAGTTCGGAATCAGTACATAATTGTACCTTTATGTGACATGGTCAGGGAACTTATTCATTAAATCGCCTCTAATGCACACACTGTAAAGCCGCAAAGCCATCGCTCCACCTAAGCCCGCCCATGACGGCCACCATGAGCGCAAACCCAGCCACGACGCTCGCCACGCCGTACACCCAGGCATGCCGCCTCCTGAGCCCAGCCAGCTCCGCGACCCACGTCGACACGGTGGTCAGGCAGCCGCAGAACCCGTCCTCCACGCCCTGGAGCACCTGGCACCCGACGACGCCGCCGAGGGGCACGAGGGGCACGCGCTGCAGGTCCCACGCCATGCCGAGCACCGCGGTGCCGAGCACGTTGGCGGCGAACGTGCCGAGCGGGAACGCGGGGCGCAGGCCGTTGAGCCACAGGGAGAGGTAGAAGCGGGCGAGGGTCCCCAGGGGCGCGAGGACGAGGGAGAAGACGGCCACGCCGCGCCAGTGGTCCGCGGGCGGGACCGCCGCCAGCACGACGGCGCCGGCCCAGCAGCCCCAGGCGAGGGGGACGGCGAGGCGGTCGGCCACCCTGCGGGTGATGAGGAAGGGCAGGGAGGGCACCGCGGGCTCGAGGGCGGAGGCGAGGTGGGCGCCTGCGACGAGTCCGGAGAGGGACGCCGTCACCGTGATGATGACCACGGCCAGCAGGGCCATGAAGGAGTAGCCGCCGTTGCGGGGGGTGGTGGCAGTGTTGCCGCCGTAGGTCAGGTCGTTGGACACGGCGAGGAAGGTGTCCCGCATGAAGGAGGAGAAGGACGTGAAGGAGCCGCAGAAGCCCGTGGCCAGGCCGATGTAGAGCGGGATGGTCTTCTTGGTGGCCAGGTGGGCTTTCTTGGCGGCCGCGAGGTCGACGGATGGTCGCCCACTGTCCCCAGGACCGCCGCCGGCTTCCTCGTCCCGCTTGGCCTTTTGAATCTGGTGCTCGTACGTCGGGGCCCCCCACTCGTGGCGGAAGAGCATCCTGTCCTCGGCGAGGAAGCCCATGACCAGGCTACCCCCGAAGTTGAACCATACCGACGGGAACACTGGCGCGCCGGCGTAGTTGGTAAGCCATTGGAGGCCGAGCCGCGCCAGAGTGCCGAGGAAGGAGAACAGAATCAGGTAGGAGATGGTATATATTTGCGTGGCCAGGCGCGAGACTTGCACGCCCTCCGACGGCTTGCCCTGAGCCTGAGCATCCGTCGGCAAGCCGTTGCCATCCGACGCGCTTCCACTTTGCTCTGTTGTGTCCTCAAGGTCATGGCTCCTGGCATCTTCCAAGCCCTCGTACTTGTATTGGCGTCGGTCCTCTAGGTTCTCGATCGGCCTTTTGACAGCGATTTCGTCGAGGTTGCGGTACGACTCAGGGATGCCGTTGTCCGACGAAGGAGACGAGCGCTCGTCATGATGTTGGCCACTTTCTAGGCTCGTTGGACTCGGAGCAATCGGTCGCAGCTCCACGTGCGCCGCCCCGTTGTTGCGCTGGTCCGACGTTTCGTGGCGCCCGGCGTGGGACGTCTGCGTCATCGCGCGACGGCTGTGCTCGATGTCGCTTTGAAGAGCCCTGTAGACCTCGCAGATCTACCCGTGGATACTGGATTTGTGTCTCATCGTGTGGTGTCCGGGTGCCGAATCTTGGGCGACATGATTAGAGGTCGACATGACACCTTGAGGAGTGGCGCGAACTTTGTTGCGACTTCAAGTCGGTAATGACGGCAGGGGTGTCGGCGTTGAGATCCTAAGCAGTTGGTGTGTGCTGGGGAGCGAGTTAGTGCGGTACAGGTTTCTGTATGGAGAGCCCAGCACAAGATTGAGTATTGTGCTATCACCCTCCAAATTATCTTCGCCGTACCCATGGCTACAACATACAACGTTGGGATATTGCCTCCTTCATGGGTCGAAAGTGGATCCAACAAAAATGATAGTAGATTCAAGGAGCCATAATTCAACGCTGACTATGGGGCCCAGGATCTCTTGATTTGGACGTTGTAAGGCAACACCGTCAGCCCGCGGCCCGTAACCAACGGCATCTTCGACAAAGCGCAGCTTTCCAAGGTTGCCTCGCTGTTTCCATGAAGCTATGAAACTCTCAAACAATTTGACAATAGCCATTGATCTGATCGAACTTCAATATGGCTCTTGAGTCTGAGGCTTATTTTGAAAGCATGAAGCATACTTGGCATTGTCTTCGAGCCAGGGTCAGAACAAGAGCGTATCCCTCGAGCAGTGGTTCAACTGCTTAGGTACAGCATTGATGTGTGGTTAGATACTCAGGAACCGTGCTATAAGAACGAGGGGGATATTCCGAGTACAACAGTGTTATTTTTCCTTCGATCTAGACACCAAGATAATTTGAAAGATCTTGTACCGAGTCTATCCAACAACCGAGCTCAAACACACTCGCAGTCATGAGTACAGCCAGCCCCCCCAACAGTCCCACCTCCGGTAATATCCTGTGGAATTGGGTCTCAAACAGCACCGCCTCACAAAGTGATGAGTTCGCGACTCAAATCACCTGCTATGCTTTCCCCTATGGTGCCCTGGGATTCTTGGCTCACCTGGTCATGTTCTACGGCATTGCGCTGTCGTCCCTGAACAAGTGCCCCTGGAGACCGAGCAAGCCGCTGTCGCATTCGGCCCTTGACATGATATTCGGCATAGTCGGCTTGGTCATTTCCTGTCTTTTCGCCTCTGTCACCATTTACAGGTGCTCCGGGGCTCCACAATACATCTTGATAGCTTTGTCCCAAATCTTTGTGACTATTACTTCCTTGGCCATTGGTATCAGTATCGCCTGGAATATACGCGGCACAAAGAAGGAGAGCGATAATAAGGCTGAGAGCGATAGCAAGGCTGAGAACGATAGCAAGGCTGAGACCAAACTCACGCATTATAAAGCGCTATGGTGGTTCATAGTAGAGTTTTTAGGGTCCATTATGGAACTGGTTGGCGTCGTCATGGTCCTCAAGGAGGCGGACCTCATTGCAGTCGACAAGACGAAGCAATCGGTATTGACTATGTCACTCATCTTTGCAGGTTTTATGGGCCTCCTTTTTGGCATCGGGTTCATATGGCTCGAGTTGCGACAGTAAGCATACAACCTAAAAATTCCAGGAATCGAATCCACCCTTCTGCAGCCAGTGCTTTCGGCCAAGATATTGCCGGGACGCCCTGGCGGTCATCGAGAGACACAATAGTCGCACTATGATGAAAGCCTCTCCATTTTGATATTGAAAAACCTTCACATTCATTTGATATTGCGCAAGCTAACTTAGAATCATGCAGATGTGCTCAGAGGCGTATGGAATGGGAGATGTGCAAGGTTCAGGCCAAGTGCACTTTGTTGGAGGAACGGCTCGAGGCTCAACAGCCACGAGGTAGGCCTCGCAATCGCCGTCGAGACACATCGAGCAGTAATGAACGGGATCGGCGGTCACCTGTCCATAATAACGGTCGTGAGAGCGCCCGTCGTCGGTCCGGTCAACATCAACCAACCCGAGGCGTGGGCAACGATGCAGCGTCACACATGGGTCAAGAGCGGGATCTCGAGGCCCAGCGGCTCCTTTCCTCATCTGGTGAGGCTGAGGCTCCGAAGGAGCCTGTTTTATACCACTACCAAGACGTGCTCAACTCTGCCAAACAGATTCTAATAATGGCGGGCGCGGCTTTCTCCCTTTCTGTGACGCTGTAAGTCTCGGCTTCTTGTATTGGTCTATCGTTACCCAGCGGAGGAGATAGTTCAGATTCGGTGATGTGTCAAGTGCCGCTGCTGATTACCCCGTGTCTGTCCAGATACACTGATTGGATTCTGGCTGCCGTTAGCGGCTCCTACTTGGGTTTCCCGACAACCGGCAACGTCCCGTTGACAGTGGTGTATGTGTTATTCTACTTTTTCGTGCGGCTGATACCCGTGATAACCCTTTAGACCCATGCTCAATCAAACTCGGAGAGTCAGTCTTATCAGCCAAGCTGGTAGGTATTTCGCAACGGAGCGCAGTGTGCTTGTCGTCGGGTTCGAGGTCGATGTCGTGATACAGTCTCCACCTTCTAGCTTACTTAGACGCTTCATCACTTGGGTACTTGATCATCTTCAAGCCAGAAATAAGACATCAAAGTTTCATAATTATTGAGGCTTCCTCAGCTATGCCATATAGTTCCAATCTTCAAAGTCGTTATATGCTGCCGCTAAATCATGCGCTTTGACTCCCGCTCTTAAGTTGTGAAACCGAACGCACTATAAATTAGATTTCCAGCCAGCGATAACCGGAGCACCCTTTCAAATATCCTTGTCGACCGGTCACTTTCCAAGAGTTGGCGAGCAGGCCGAATCACTCCTTCACCATCTACCGTCGCTTGAACTGCACCATCGGGCCTTTCCTCAAGCCCACAAACGCATCATACGTCTGGAACTGGTCGACATTCCGCCGGCCCACCCTCCCGTCAGGAGAGCCGCCGCCCAGGTTGTCAGCAAAGTCCCTCCTGATCTCAAACTTGTAGATGATCTTGGCCACGACGATCATCATCTCAAGCCAGGCGAGGTTCTTGCCGGGACACCCCCTGGGCCCCGCGGAGAAGGCGCAGAAGGCGCTCTCGGCCAGCGCCACGCTCTCGGCGGACGACGCCTTCTCGCCCACGATCCACCGCTCGGGCCGGAACTCGAGCGGGTCCGGGAAGATCTCGCTGTTGTAGCTCAGGCAGTAGTGGCCGACGCTGACGCTGACGCCCTCGGGCACGAACTCGCCGTCGACGACCATGCCGCCCTTGAGCACCTCCCGGTCCAGCTCCGCGGCGACGGGGGGCGAGATGCGCAGGGACTCCTGGATGAAGGCCTTGAGGTACCTGCAGCCGTAGAGGGTCGGGCCGCCCGCTATGTCGTCGAAGCTGTGGAATGTGGATCGGATCTCCTCGGCGAGTCTTGCCTGGTGTCGGGGAGTAAGGTCAGCAAGTTGCCACACTTGTCTGGACATGGGCCTGGTGGCCCACGATGACGTGAGCAGCATATGGGACTTTGGCTAACCTGGACATCCTGCTTACGCGCCAAGTAGAAGAACATGGCAGTCATCACGATGGCGGTAGTATCCGAGCCGGCAATAATCATGGACTCGGCCTCGCCCCACAGCTCCTCCATAGGGAATCCTCTGCCCGTCTGCGGGTCCTGCGCGTGGAACAGGTAGTGGAAGAAATCCTTCCGCACTTCAAAGTCCGGGTCGCTCGCCAGTAGCCTCTGCGCCTGATTTTCCGCCTGCGTGCGCTCCGTCAGGCAATTGGTCACAAAGTCGCCCCACCTCTTCACGGGCGGAGGCGTGGCGACGGCGAGCAGCGAGTCCAGGCCCCTTGGCTTCAGCCAAACCCAGAGGGCCGTGAAGGGCGCAAAAGCAATCTGGGATACAGTCAGCATCACACACTCTCTCGGCAACTCCCGAATACCACTGAGGGGCAAAACAGCTCCACATACCGGGTTCAGCAGCGCCAGCATGTCCGCCATCAGGTCCGGCGCCTCCTTCATTGGCCCGTCCGGCTCCTTCATGCCGAAGGATTTGCCAAAGCACAGGTCGCCCAGGATGTCGAAGACGAGGTAGTTGACCCAGTCCGTCATGTTGAGGGAGCCGGACCACTCCCCGCCCGCCCTGACCTCGTCGTCGAGCAGCTCGCACCACCTGTCGGTGTTGGACAGGACGAAGGGCTCCGCGGACCGCAGCGCCTTGGACGAGAAGGCGTGGTTCAGCACGCGCCGCTTGAAGCTGTGGACGGCGGGGTCGGTGCTGTTCCACGTCGTGACGGCCTTGGCGTGGCGGGGCCACACCTGGTAGTATAGTCCCTTCTTCACATTGCCCTTTGGCCCGAATATCTGGGCGTAAGCTGAGGGGGTGTTGACGAGGATGCTGTCAGGCCGGTATCGAAATGTTGGGCCTGGAGGTTGGTCTCATTAGCCATCACACCCGCGTACGCGGAGAAATGATATCAAATCATGGAGGCGAGAGCCACCTACCATACTCCTCTTGGAGACGCCATAGCCAAATGTGTCGATCTTGTCTGAGCGTGTGCCAGTATGAAGGAAATGATGTGATGCGGGCCCAAAATGGGCCGGGGTATCTTGAGAGCGGGTGGAAATGAAGCCGATAAACGACGATCGCGAGGACACCCGCGGATGCGAAAAGAAGACACAATGAAAAGATGTCGGCAGCGGCCAAATCGATGTGGGACTCTAACGAAAACATCATGATGATCTTGGTCGTTCGTTACTAGGAAACAAAAATGACGGAGAAGATACGACGCTAATAAGGCACCTGGGCAGGGAAACGCTCAGATGTGCTGAGTGAGATTGGGGACACAAGAAGGGGAAGGTCCGGGCAGAGAAAGAAAGAGATGACACCGCCCAAGAGAAGATCGCTGCAATGCTGCCCAAGATAAGACAAAAGAAGTTAATATTCTAAATCCCAGTGGCGCATTGCCAGTGCTGACTCTGACGGTCCCCTGCGAGGGTGCAATCACCGGGGACACGCTTTCTTTGATGTCCTTGTAACAGAAAGAGTCAACAGCCCAGCTCTCGGCATGACGCGAAGACCCAGCCGGGCAATATCTGTCTGTCCCTTGCGCCCTGCAATCAGCCCAGTTATCCCCCATCCAGGCTTCCTTATTACCACAGCATAAGGGAGGGAGAACAACTGCCAGCTTCGATGGGCGCCATTATCAGGTCAGGGTGGGTCACGCCCGGTTGCCCTCGCCTACTCGTGATGGCGTCGCCGGGGGGGATTGATAGGTTGGTAGGCACCACAACAAGGCCCATGCCCAGCGCGCACAGAGCCTCGAGGGAAATTGACGTCTGGCTTGCCGTATGGTACGGATTCGTCCGGGGCGCTCCCGGCAGTTGTCCATCAATGTAATGGCGATCCAGGAACGGGCCTGGTGGGATCGGCCGGGGAGCCCGGACGCACCGCCACAGGGGTGGTGGCTCGGGGACTTACGAATAATCTAGGCGCCGATGATTACTACTGTGTAGCAACACGTGCCAGACCCCAGCGTGTATCACATCATATCGTCGCGTGTATTATCCAGGGTTAGTGTGATAGGGGGGCCTACAGGCCGCACAGTGGGGCCCTCAGGTTAAGCGGTAAGGAAACTTGATACATCAAGGCCCACCTGCGACCAAGAGAGATTGAGTTGATCTCGGAATATAGGACGGCATATATAAATGGGTACAAGATGTTTTGGAGCGAGCCCTCGCTTGTGCACAAGATTAAACGTGGGAATACCCACACCGGGCTGACTGGAACCTCCTCTCCCAGAACCAGATTGAATCCGAAGTATAAAACTCGCGAGACCCTCTGTCTTTGTCATGTGCGTGGAGCTCGAGTCCACTCAGCCCAGCCCCTACGGATTACAACAATTATTGTGGTTCTGAGCCGCCCTAGGAGAGGCCTGTGCGCGTTTTCCCAACCCCCAGTTCGGATCATGCGATTATACTTTTCAGCCTGAGCTTCTGTGGTACTCTCTCACCGCGACGGCCGTGAATACGAGAGCGACAAATGCGCGCGGATGAGCAGCTTTCCGGCCCCGAAGCCTCTCCTTATACAGTGTACGCGCTGTGCATAAGCTGAGGGTCTCAGTGAAGTCTTCGGGCTCCGGCCTGATCTGCACATGCATCTCGCTGGTGATTGTCGTGTTTCCGTTTGATCCATGCTCGAATGCCTGCACAACTTTAGAATTTGAGCCTTCTTTCACTAGTGCCACTGAACCTGGTCAGAAAGTCTTATCACAACCCTGGGAAGCACCAGATATGCAATAGTCTTAAGCCACAGTCCAAGTCATCTGATGAAAATGGGGCCGCGATTGATCCTACAGTCCCGAACTTGATCTCATGTTCCTTTGTAAGCTCTTGAAACCTTTCAACGCGCGGTCGTTTCCATCAACAGATGCTCGGTTCCACCACCAAATAGTTCACTGAAACTCGGCGCTGCGGAAGCTCCTGGAGAAAATGGTGACCAAACTCGCTCAAATTTTTATTACATGGGCCACCTGCTTGTGGCATCAGTCGATGCAAGTGTCAAAATTGATGGATATGCACACACTCGTGGTGGGACTGTCAACTGACCCTAGGCATCGCGATCCATGAAATTCTTAACACACATGTGCATGGAGGCCGATTCCGAGAAACACAATTACAGGCTCCGCCCTTTCCAATCCGATATTTTTCAGATATCCCCAGCATCATATATAACGAGGCTTGGGTTCAAACTGCTGATGAACGTGAAAGGTGATCCTTTACTACGCGGGAGTACACATAACGTCGAATCTAAAAATAGATACATTCCCGAGCATGACCCTACATGCATGCACGTTGGCTGTGTTGGTTGCAGTATGCATATACCTAGGTATGTTCCCCTACGCGGAGCCTTTTGACGAATTGCGTTCAGCTTTATGCCGGATTTTACTTCTCCGTGCAGCCTGATCCCAACACTGAACACAAATATAAGTGCCTGCCCCCAATGAAATGAGGTCAAATCGATTTTTATGGCAGGCTCCAACTATGAATTTCGAAAATGATAGGTATAATTTGAATCTTTGCCTAGTGCCTTCTGGAATTTTGTTGTGCTCAGACTGGTTGTCCTGGGCTAGGCTTGGGTAAGTGTTGCAGGAGACGTTGCTGAGTGATTGCGATTTTGCAGTTCGAATGAGTCCAGTGATGAGAGATTTCACAGAAATGGTAAAGAGACAGTTTCGAATCCTTTAGTTTCCATCGCAGGGCAGCACTTCGGACGATTGCAGCGATGTACAGTGTAGAGGACTTCAAGTTGTGTGCTGCACATGACATGTATACCATATGATGGATATTTGTGGTACGATAGATACATTTGCCTAGATTACCTTCCTAGCCTTGAAAAAAGCGAATCTTTGTCAGCTGCTTAATTGAAAACTTCCTTGGCACACCTGGGCACATGAGAAGCAAGGCAAAGCCTCTGCCTGTGCTTCTCCGTGGCCCTTCCGTAAAGCTGTTGCCACTCTGGACATTCAGTGCCTCTTCCATTTCAGAACTCGTGCGCCGAGCTCTTCTCGCAACCAGCTGAGAGATCTCAAGGGTGAACCTCACTGTTTCTGTCATCGCGATGGAGGCCTGGTGGTTCTGGGGGCCCTGGCGGTCTTGCTACCCGTCGGCCGAGTAGTCTCGCTTGCCCTCAATTCCCTGTTTTGAAATACAAAGAGACCTTGCAGGATTGCTTTCCATGCCATAGGTATAATTTTCCCCTGTTCTTTGGCGTCTCTCACTGCCTCACGGATATGTACCCAGTTGCCGGAATAATCAACGACATGGTCGGCTCTTGCGGGTGGGGCCGCAGGTTTCAAAGCACCTTCACGGATGGAATTGAGCAAGCCATCGAGCTGCTTCGTCATCCAGGGCCAGTTGCGCTCCACTCTCTCACGAGCCCCCGTGATTGAGTTTGGGCGCGACACCAATTTCTTTCTTATGCGTAACGGGGAGGATAGTGGTGGCTCCAAACTCCGCTGGGTTGCCTCAAATAAAAGCTTTCGAAAATAGGGATGGCGATACCGTTCTCTCTGACCCCAAGGCACAAATATTCCGGCCTCCGGTTGACCATTCCATTCCGAGGGATCAAAATCCCTGGTTTTGCGTGTTTTCATGGATGACGAGCAATAGCCCGCAAATCCCTGGGAGAGATCATTATTCTTTGCGTAGATGTGATACTCTTTGCGGAAGAAGCCTTGCCCATCGTTCCATGTCTTGCGGTTACCAAAGTCAACTGTAATATGCCAAGGTTCGTCGAAAACGTGAGCGTTATGGTGGAAGCGTGCTCTGTGTGCCTGGTTAGAGCTACAAGTGGGTTCACCAAGAGTGGGTTCGTTTGTGACTCACAGCACGTGGATGAACTCGACGGGCGTGGAATCCCTCTCTGGGGAAAATCCCCGTATGTCCTGTGATGGCACAAGGTCAGTTCGGAGTTCACATACTTTGCTCCCCAGCCCCCCTCCCCCACCCTCGGGCCCCCAAGCAGATGACCTGGTTTTACCTTTTCTCGTTCACTGAAGCTGATGGCAAAGTCACGGAGTATGGAAATTTCGTCCCAGAACTCGTCATCCTCGACAAAATTGCACTTGTATAGAATGAGCAGGGGTATATCCCTTGTCCCTTGGTACTCCAGGACCTTAGTCGACTGGTTGAAAAAAGGGTTTCTCGCCGTATATGCAACCTTGACATGACCTCCTTCTACGGACCTGCCGTGGCGGAAGCAATATTTGAAGTTGGAGCCCGACACGACTGTGGCAATACTGCGGTGAGCAAGACATGACCTAGAGAATTGTAGCAGGGCGCAGCCTCGTGATTGCCGACTTACAGTATTTGCGGCCCTCTGCATCCTTTCTTTCCTCTGCCGGCAAGTGTGGGCCTGGAACCCAGGGTGTGTCGTCAGGCGGCCCCCGTGTTGCACGGTCTTCGGGGCTGTCAAGGCGGGCCCCATCTTCTAGAGCGGTATTTCCAGGGCTAGAGGCATGCCTTATTCTTGTGACTTGGCTCAGCAGGCAGCTCGCGTGTGAGAGTGACCGGATGGCAGCGCATGGCAGCGCTAGGCGAGTGCGGATGGCGCCCGCGGGATGCCAGCGCGCAACTGGCTGCAGCCTTCCAAGCCATCTCCTGCCACATCCACTCATCGAATTGGAGCGTCACCAGTTGTTAGTGGTCACGTCTGATAGTTTCTGACACGATGGTGTGGCCCGAGCAGGGACTGTGGTAGAAGAGTCTATTCCTGTGGGCCCGCGATGGAATGCCAACGCGAAGGCTCTGACCAGTGGGCGTTCTGCATAAGGAGGACCCTCGGGGACCCTTACCCTCAAGCCGTTGTGAAGCGGGGGGTCAACGTGGGGGAGGGGGGTCAACTGGCATTTTCTTGGCCATGGCACCAGGAATCATCCTTGGTGCATTTTTACAAGAAGTGACAAGTTTCCTGTGCTTCTAGCAAGTTTCGACGACCTTTCACTATACTTTAAGAAAATACTTTTAGAAATAATCTAGGGCCGACATTATCATTAATGAGCGTTGATCTAGTCGAGTCAACTTTGGATATCGCACGAGTGCAAGCAGTCTCCTTCGTGGGTCTTGATACGTGCCAGTGTATTCAGAAACAACTTCGATTTCACGAGGTGCAGATCAGAAATTGTCACCGAGAAACAGCTGGAGCCCAAGGCTCGAGTCTATTCAGAGCCGTTTCCGTGAGAGCTCATCTTAAGAGGGATGTGTCATCGCCTACGGCGGGATGAGCACTAAAAATTGCTGTTGCGGCGGTGTCCTCCTCTTGATTGACCTCGGTACGTTTTCTTTTGTAAGAGGGTTGACAAGAGACTGAAATATGATATGACAGAAGGCTTCATTGGGAATGATAATAGTGTCCTCCGTGGCTGATCCCTGGGGAACTCGATTCTATGGTCCTTACAGTGCTCACGTGCCCAGGTGGGCAAAGTTTATTGATGGATCTCCTTTTAGGTAGCAGCAAATTCTGGGCATATTGGAGATTTCATGGGCTTAGGTTCCCAAAGAGAGTGCAGCAGGTGGACCAGATGCATCCCAGGTGCTGAGTACGGACTAAGGTGACTCTCAGTGCTTGGGATGAGATCAATCATTCTCGGGCTTGGCGGCCTTCACCCCGGCTGTGTTCTACAATACCATCACAGTCATAGTGGACATAGTGTTGATTTTGTAGCCGGGCAGAAGCTTCCGTAGGCTTCGATAGATAATGCTCCCCTCACCTTTGGTCTCCTCCCTGCATTGCTATTACACCAGCCTTACTAGCTTCTAAAGTACCTCGGTTAGCTTATTAAACCTAATAACAATACTATAAAGCATCTGTTTTAATTACTGTCTGAATCTAGTTGTAGTAGATATATAAACAGCTATTAATAGTAAAGTTAAGTGATGCAAAGTGTAAAGAATTCTGCTCTAATTTGTTGTTAATAACCGTAGGCTAAGTCCAAGTTGTTGTCCGAATGGCCTCAAGTGCTGTACTGTTAAGAATAGAAGTTTTTGTAGCCGGTGGGCAGGGCAACAAGACTTTGTGACAGGCAAATGAAATCTTGATGTTGCGATGGCAAGTTTGCCCGAGGGATCTCTTGCCATGGTGAAGAAGAAATTGGGGTGTCTCCCCCTCACCTCACTCATCAAGTGCTGCACTGTACATATGTACTATTTAAATAAGCTCGCACGGGCTCCCCTAGCGTGAGTCAATCATCCAACCTGCCCAACTTGCCGCCGAAGCAACTCTGAAAGTTGATGCGTCACTGTCCCAAGCTCAACTGTAACTTCCCAGGTCTAGACGGCATCTTCCTGCCCACAGAAGCTCGCAACATGCCCAGCAGCCAAATTATACCCCAACCTAAATATCATTAGCGGGGGCATGGAGGATCAATACGCAATGCGCTCAAGTGGGCGAGGGACCTGACCTCCTCAGCTGCGTCACGACTCCCAATCACCTCCCGTCTTCGGCCAAGCTGTGCGTTGGTCGATAAAGTGCAAATTCGTTGAGTAACTTGAGGTCGATCTAACGCACCCAACCAAGCCACCCTATGCAGTTGGATATGGGATCTGCAACCCTCGCTTGGCAAAAACAGCGGCGACCTGTCGGTGACGTGAGGAGAAGATGCCGCCGCCGCCCACCACAGATCCCTGCCGGCACGTCGTTTCATGCGGAGGGCTCGGAAGCACCACGGGATGTGATGGTTCCCTTGTCCCAGAGGTTTGGGTTCGTCTCTTGTTATTTGTTCTCAACCTGCGCCCGCCCCCCTGTCAATAATTCCATTACGTGAACTGTATCAGGACGTGGCGGGTTTTCTGGAATTTAAGTCTGTCGCCCGCTCAACCTGCGAGCAACATTGTCCGGCTGGATTGGTATTCATCAGCCAAACAAGCAAACAACTTAAGGACTGGCATTCACGAGCTTCAGGAAACGACATCCTGCTACAGGCACCAGGTACTGAGGGCGTGTGGAGACATTCATATCTCACTTCCGCTACTTGGCCCGAAAGAGCACCGCCAAGATGAAGCTTGGCTCTGCCATCGCGGCTTGTCTCCTCCGCCCCACACTAGCCGCGACCGCCTTCGAAGCCTTCAATCCCCTTCTGAGGTATAGGCCGCAGAGTCAAGAGCGGTCCACCGAAGTACCGCCTGTTGTGAGACGGCAAACCCCCACGTCGCCTTTCCTGAACGCCAACACCACGAGTGAGTAGCACCGCCAGGTTCCAGGCATCCGCCGACCCGGATCATCAGATCAACCGCTGACAGCGCATACAGAGTTCGTCGTCGACGGTGCCGGGATTCCTGATGTCGACTTCGACGTCGGTGAGAGCTACGCCGGCACCCTGCCTGTCGGCAATGTAGGGAACAGCACCGACGGGCAAATGTTCTTCTGGTTCTTCCCCACCGCGGCGGCAGAGCAGCCTAAGGAGATCATCATCTGGCTTAACGGAGGTCCTGGCTGCTCTTCCCTGAGCGGCCTGATTCAGGAGAACGGTCCTTTTCAATGGCAGACCGGCACCTTCAAACCCAATGCCAACCCGTGGTCGTGGCACCAGCTCACCAATGTCGTGTGGGTCGAGCAGCCCATCGGCACTGGCTTCTCAACCGGAACAGTGACGGCTCAGAATGAAGACGATGTTGCCCTCCAGTTCATGGGCTTCTGGCGCAACTTCGTGGATGCATTCGGCCTGCAGGGCTACAAGATATACGTTACTGGCGAATCGTAAGTGTGCAAGCCTGCAATTTCCTCACTTCCCCTGAATTGCTTTTGAGGGGAGTCATTGAGCACTGTCTGACATGTACTGATCGTTATATAGCTATGCCGGCGCATACTGCCCCTTTATTAGCAGCAATATGCTTGACGCGAATGACACGACTTACTTCAATGTCAATGGCATGCTGATCTACGACCCAGTCATATCTGGCGGGCCTGCAGGCATTGCGCCAACGAATTACTTTGTAGACTACTGGCGAAATGTGAGTTCTCGAACACCTCGGTGTCAGCTTCCCAAGGGTTGTTTTGCCTGCGGCTCGTGACATTCAGTTACGTGCTTCCTTCTGCCTACTCAGGAATGTACCTGCTAATAAAAGCTGAAATGAGCAGGTCATGCCATTCAACGACACTACTGCTGCCAGCATATCGAAAGCGTCCAAGGATTGTGGTTTTGACGAGTTTACTGACAAGTATCTAACGTTCCCACCATCAGGCCAGCAACCCGATGTCTGCCAGCAGCCGGGAGTCAACCAGGACTGCACCGATTACATCGATGGGTGTGACGTCTTCGACACCGCGTTTAGTGCCATCTTTGACATCAACCCGGGCTTCAACATCTGTGGGTGAACCCCCGCTTGCGCTTAACACGCCTCACTCAGAGGAGGTTGCGGACAGCTCATGTCACAGCATTCAGAACCTTGCCAACCTGACAAGTAACGATCAAGCTGACACGCCCAACAGACCAGGTCGGCCAGCTCCTCCCGGTGCCAGACGATGTCCTGGGCTTCCCGACCTCCCAACAATACGTAGCGCCAGGCCGGCAGGTCTACTTCAACCGGACCGACGTCAAGCAGGCAATCCACGCCCCGCTCGACGTAGACTGGGCCATCTGCGCGGAGCAGCCCGTCTTCGCGGGCGGCGACAGCTCCGACCCGTCCTCGTACCGCGCCATCCCCAACGTGATCGACCGCACGCGCAACGTGCAGATCGCCCACGGGACCATGGACATGGTCCTGCTCGCCAACGGGACGCTCCTCGCCATCCAGAACATGACCTGGGGCGGGCAGATGGGCTTCCAGTCGGAGCCGCGCGAGCCCCTCTTCGCGCCCTGGCACCCGAACCCGGACGTCGCCGGGTCCAGCGGCCAGGGCGTCCTCGGCACCTGGCACAGCGAGCGCGGGCTCACCTGGGCCCTCATCGAGCTCACCGGCCACATGGTCCCGACGTGGCAGGCGGCCGTGGCGTTCCGCCAGGTCGAGGTGCTGCTGGGCCGCGTCGAGAACCTCGGCAGCACGGCGGCGTTCCCGCAGTACGCGAACGCCACGCAGCCGGACCCGTCGCAGCTTGGGTTCGGCACGGCGTGGTATGGGTTCGGGGATGCCTCGTCCGGGGTAGGCAGCGAGCAGATGCGGGCTACGAGCGGGCAGAGTGAGTTTTGCTTCCATACTCGTGACGGTGACTTGCGGAACTACGATGATATTAACTATTTTATAGCTTCCGGTGCGAGAGGATTCAAAGTCCGGAGGAGCATCTTCGGAGACTCGGCAAGTAATGGCATGGTATACGTGGTGGCAGGGCTGTCCCTGAGCCTCTTCCTCGTCTTTGGACTGTAGACTTGAGGATTCAACGGGCATATATAGAATTTGCCAACGGCTGGGAACTGACTTATCACATGCGGAAGAGCCAATATGTTCATAGAGAATAACGCGATAATTCGGTCAATACACATCACCACACTGCTGGCTTGATCTGGACACTTGGAGCAGCAACTCCAATTATATTGACAGGGACTCGTCAGTCTGCGGCGCAGGGGCTAACATCCCTCGGCTTCTTGATGCACACACCGCCACAGTCAAACCCATTGTATCCAGGGTCGCAGTCGTCCCTGGGGTCGTCGACGCAATATTCATTCCTACCCTGACACGGCAAAGCCGCAATACCACCACAGAAGCTATCAAAAAGAGGCAGATAAAGAAGTCAGTCGGCAATCCACTGTATCGTGATAGCTTCTATCACCAAGATGGGGTTCTTCCTTGCTTACCTCCCTGGGATGACACAGCGAGGACTTGGGTCTGCGATGCAGATGGCGGTGGACGGGCATGGGAGGAGGCAGAGCGGCCGTGGGTCGGGCAGGGGAATGACGAATGCGCCCGCCAGTGAGGCCGCGAGCGCGACGTGTGTCACTATGATAAGCTTCATGTTGTTGCTATTTGTGTGACAGGGTGTGGAGGGTTTGCAGAAGAGAATCCATGGAAATATAGAAGACATTTCAGAGTTATGCGGCTCCTAAAGTGGGTTCAGACGTGATATTATATGGAACACGTACAGGCCTAGAGACCTAGAGTACATATAGTATGGAATCCTTGAGCTGCACCTCTTCAACATTCATCCAGAAGCAAAACCTCTGGCTATACGCCGGTGGCTGCTTACCATGTCTGGGTGTCGGCCAGGCTTCCTCCTTCGGATGCAACGGCAAAGTGGGTAGCGAGGTGAGACAAAGGACCTCTTCATATCAACCTGTCTTGGCTCGTATTCCATACCACACATATTGGATCTCGTAAACCTTGTTTCGGGCCCTTTCCCACAGAGATCTAGCATCCCTTTCCTCGTAGGTTCGACAGTTTTAGTAAATTCCCCATGCCAGTCTTGGCTACCTCAAGTCCATACTTAGGATTGGATTGGGGACTTTAGGTAAGGGCGGCCGTTCTTGTTGAATAGTCGGTCAAGTGCAGATCACTTGCGGCTGAGAGTATACTAAGCTTCGAAATAGTGGAACAAAATCGTTCGTAATGGTCACGGGATGACACTAAGGCTTCTTTGTCTCGGCCGTCAAGCGAACGTGCCCCGCGGGCAGCCCGAAGGCGTTGGCTGCGTTGTGATGCGCGGGGAGGGGCAGATGGCGCGGGGTCTCTCCTGGATTTCCCAGCCCAGCTAGGGCCCTGAAGAAAAGCCAGGAGGGTGTTTATCTTCCGGTTCTCGATTACACAGACAGCTTGATTGGATGCGAGTTGCTCGGACGCAATAAATGCTAACGTCCGACCGGAAGGGCAACTAACACTGCCCTTGTGGATCCTTGCCGATGTATCGGGCCGGGAGCTGCCATCGCGCGGGAGCTTGTTTAGTGGCAAAAGCTCTTGACGGTGCATAACTGTAGTCTTTTTGACGGGGAGACTAAAATATCACTCGGCTTGCTCGAGCACTTTAGTCCACCCGTCAAAACACTGCCCTTGCCCGGCCGTCGTCTCGTGTCAAGTTGATCTCGTTCGTCGAAAAGTTGCACACATGTGATTGATGTCTGCCGGATTCCATGATATATCAGACCATCTATTCGTATCGTCCGAGTGCCTCACATCGGGCCGATTGGCGACAGAGTGCTCGAGTAGGCGCTAGGAGCTTGCCTGTCAACCCCAAGTATCACACGCGTGCTCTTTGCCAGTTTCTCCAGCTGCCGTGGGCTGTGGACATGTGGGCTCATAACGTCTCGGGTCGGTGAGACAGAATGGTAAAGGAGGGCCGTGGACGACGACTTCCAAAGACTAATGTTCCGGCTTCTTCGGCTTTCCATCATCTCGGCCAGCAAAAGCACTGCTGCCGCCAGGACAACGGCGAAGGGAAGTGCCAACCACGGCCATTGCACGCGGACCAGTACCACCGAGCTGGCAGTGAGACCCCGCGCGTTTGCATTGTAAGTCGAACGAAGCTGATTTGTCATACCAACGGCCATCTTGTCCAGAACCTGCGAGATATTCCTCCCTGGGCTCCAGACTCCCGGGGTGATACCGGCCGAGTAGACTGCAGGGGTCTCGCCGAGAGCCAGCTTACCGCTGAAGTGGTCGGACGGGAAGAAGTATAGCAGGGCGCCGAGGTCCCATATCGAGACGGTGAATTCGGGAAGGCCGCTTGTGTTGAAGACAATATGCGAGCCCTCATTCCAATTACCAGAAGCCACGAAGGTCCCGTTGTCCAGCGGCGTCGTCTCCACGTTGCCGAAATTGAAGTCGTTCCCCACCGAGGTCACGTTGGAATAGGTGTAGGCAGCGAAGCTCAGGTCACACTCCAGGGTCTCTTCAACCGTCGCATCGTTCATGACGTAGTCAGCGGGTTGCCGGAAGACGGCAAATCGCATGAAGGTTGGCGGTACTGGGCCGGTGTTGGAAAAACTGTTGAGTCCAAAATACACAGCATTTGCTACGGCCTGGATGACCAACACCGTTGACCACATAGTATCAGCCTCGCCGGTGCTGAAGGAAACACCACCAGGAGTAGTCATCTCGCAAGTGTGAGTGCCATTTGAGTGGTGGGTGCAGTTCCTCGTGCTGTATGTGTCCTGGGTGACGTTGGTGCAGGCCATGCTGAAGCCAAGTGACGTGTAGGATTGATCCCAGGTGCAATTTGACGTGCAATTAAACAAGTCAGGTGTTTCCAGGTCGTAGAATGCCTTGAAAACGGCTCCCTGCATGGAACTATCGATGGTATAAGCTAAACCAAAGCGCAAAGACGTTAGTTGAGGTGATCACGACGACATCGAGGACGGGCAGAGTTTGAAAAAGGCAGACGAACGATCAGGTTCCCAATCATTCCCAGAACCACCCGGGGCGTTGGCCAGCAGTGTTCGAGCACTCCCGTTGTAGCTATGAGCAAGGCCAAACGATGCCGTCCCGTCGTCAGTCCACCTGGTCACGGGCTCATTGCTAATGACCTGCTGCGCAAAGGTGTCGATGCCTAATGCCACGATGGTGACGACTGCGCCCAGGGTTCCCAGGCCCCAAGTCACCGTGGTCAGCATCTGGACAGAACCAAGGGGCCCTCGAGATGCTTCCTCGATGATGTCCAGATCGGCGAGTCGCCTGCGTTTGGAGAGGAAATAAGCCCATTTCCACTGACTTATACAAGCCGCCACCGAGAGCATCGCCGTCGACTTTGCTGCAGTAATAAGGGCAGCGATGGTAGCGTTGAGACTAATCTGGTGGCTTGGGTTAGTCGTGAAATTTAGGGTATCCGCAGTACTAATAAGCGTCTAGGCGGAACAGCTTGTAAAATAGCGCCAGCCAGATGGGGCATGCGGGAAGGAGCTTGAGGGCTTACGAAGAAGGTCCACTGATCGGTTGGTTTGTCCTGAACCATCCTCAGGATGACAATGACGGCGACGATGCAGCCGAAGCTGGCTATAACACTGACCAGTTCCTGCCACCACCAGAAGGACGAGCAACGGCTCCGGCTTGTTTGCGAGGCCGGCTCGTCGAGGGACATGTATTGCACCATGCTCGTGGTGGATGCCGGCGATTTGGAACCCATTCTGCCAGGCCTGGATGTGTAAAGATCAAAAGAACAAGCAAGATTTTGGATGAAATTTTTGCGACTACTTGACCACTGCTGAAACCCCAAGCTGACACCACTGGCATATAAGAATGTGGCTGCCTGGTCCCGAGGTCCCGCAAGGCGCCTGGGCGCGTGGGGGTATAGCTGAACCTCAATGTTACGCAGGCCGTGGCGTAGGCCGTTCAGCGCTTACAGAAACCGGGATCTAGAAATCCTTCACTACTACCATAATCTAGCTCAGCCGCAGTGAGGACCCTACATAATACCACCATCTCCTATGAACATTTGGACTACGACTTACCTAGGTACTTTGAGGATGTTGCTCACCTGAACCTATGTCCTTGTCAAGGGGATAGATGATAGATGATTGAGTCGGAAAATACTTGAAATGGCGCGAGTAAACATGGCGCCGGATAGGCCCTTGGAAAATGCGTGATGGGCAGGCGCGGCCAAAACGACGGACACTCCAGATATCGGTCGTCCATGAGCGGGGAGCGCACACGCCGGAACTGGGCCAAGATGTGCGAATACCATCATACACGGTCGTTCTTTCCACTCATTCAGATGGCTTCAGATCGCTCTACTAGTATGGTCTTTGATCGGCTTGACGCCAGGGCACTTCGCCGCATACAACTACCTTCGGCACAACTTTTCTGAACACCGGTACATCTTCATTTCTTGTCTCGCACAGAACATCTCTTCCGTGTTCTACTTTGCGTGTCTTCACAACAAGAAGACGACGCATTTTTCCAGCTCTGCTCCCGTGACAGAGCTCTTGAGGAGCACCCTAATCCCTCCCCTGATCCGTCCTTCCTGGCCATGGCACCAGACCTATCTCAGAATAGTCATTCCTGCGCGCCTCCTCTGGAGAAAGAAGGGCAAGCGGAAGCCGAGACTATCATGAATGAGAGTCCCGCCAGGTCCACGACAATCAACAACAGCCATGAGCGTGAAATATATCAGCGGGTGCCTCCGTTAAATCCGCCCCATACTACCGTGACTCACCCGCTTCCGGCCAGCATCTTGAACACAACGGACACCATGCTGCCCCCGTATCCTCCCATAGGGAAGGTTGCCATGACTCGATATGGTCCTAAGGAGGTCATTGTGACTGGATCTGACGGGCTTTTCTTTTTCCGTCGGATGCATTACCATCCTTGGAAACCGTGGTCCCAGCTTCAGCGATTTCCGCGGAGAGAAGCCGAGCTAAACGCTACGACTGTAACCGGGCTGGCGGTCCACGAGGACATGGACAAAACTCTGCGCGTGTACTGTGTCGCAAAGGGCCAATTATACGCCTTCTACCGTCCCGGGGACCTGAGCACAGGCTTTGTTGTTGATCACTGTCCTGCTTTTGACGAATTCAAGATCAAGGGCATTCCAGCGGCTGCTACACTCTCGGAACAAATCGGGGGCGTTGATTCTGATCGCACACTTCGATGGTGCCTTGTCGTGCCACGCAGTCTTGGTGGCTTGCTTTACACCGATACCACAGCCCCCAGCAAAGGAACCTACAACATTTCCGAGCCCCCACACCAATACTGGACGCATGCCTCGGTGTTTGCTGAACACCTGACCGAGATCTCTGCAGTCGCCATTACCGTCTCACGTGTATACAAGACGCCACGCTTGGCCGATGATCCGCCCACCGAAGTAGTCGCAGTCTGCATCAACCGGGGTCGCTTACACAGCTTCGAGGGAATATTTAACCCCGTGGAGTGGGAAACCAAGAAATTTGGCCATCAGGACATCCCCATCCAGCATCCAGGCCGGGTGATCGGCAACCCGGTGCTCCTAAGCGATGAGAACGAGCAAGGACGACACCAGCTCGACCTGCTTGTCCCTTCCGCGAAGGGCGGCATCTTTCGTTTCATGCGGACCGAGAGTACACGTCGGGAGTGGCACATGGTCGGTCGTATCGGCTTTCCAATCGGCTTCCCGCTCGTGTCGAGCCTCGCCTGTGCGCGTCTGGGCCCGGCGCAGCTGGGCGGTGACCACCTTCCTCCCGGGTCCTCCCTCCACGCTTTTATGCAGTGTAAGGGCAAGCTCTACTTCATCAAGGCCCCCGAAACCGCTACCACATGGGCCAGATCTCGATTGGAAGCAATCCTTGGGCCTGGACCGTTTCATGATTGATCACTTCTACGACTTCATATGTTTGGCAGTACGAGTTAAGATCGATGCTCGCTGTCTGATGATGGAAGGTATGGAGATTGTGCTCGTTGAGTATTTCGATGGCTCCTTGCCCGCTAGCAAAGGTTACGGCCACAAGAGCGGTGATGGATTGAATTCAGTCGGGCAGCCTTATGGCCTGGCAGAGGTGTGGATACAAGGCATGCAGTGTGAAAGACTAAGAAGTTTAGATTCTAATTGGACAACCTATATGTCACGATGAATACAATGAATTGATACTATTGTTTGCTCTCAACTTAGAAAGCCTTTGTTGAATAGTAGACTTGTCTTGTCCGGAGACATCGCCCAAGCATGCGCTGATTGCTGTCTGGGCGGTACGTGCCTAGGTACGAGCATGCGAATTTACCTAGGTAACCAAAGGGGGGGGGTGCCTGAGACGCGTTTGCACTCGACCCACCACTATTTCAACCGCCGCTTTTTTTTTTCGACCATCTCATTTATCTACAACCAAACCCTTGGAAGACAAGACTTCAGGAGGCCAAAAGCTCACAGATCTCCACCATGCCAAACTCTCAAGCTACCGGTACTTTCAGGGATTTGTTCTCACAACAAATCGTCCGCCCAAGTGCCGGAGGTCAATCTCTCTCACGAGTGTCGACAGCGACGTCAACAACTAGGGCGATTAACACCCCTCGTTCATCTGAGACCGACAGCGCCAGCCCCAACGACGCGCGCCTCCCCATGGCCCCCGCGACCTCCTCGGGCCCGCTACTGGTCACGAGCCTCAGCGTGAGCGACTGGCGTCCGCAGTATCCTCGCATAGGACAGTTCGCCATGACCCCGTCTGAGGAGGTCGTCGCAGCCACTCCCGACGGGCTCGTCTATTTCAAGAGGGTGCAAGACCACCCCTCGAAGCCGTGGTCCGAGCCCCGGCCTTTTGCCCTAACCGCAGAGAGACTGGACGCTTCGAATGTGACTGGCCTGGCGTTGCACCAGGAAGATGACAGAGCGGGGGGCGAGTTGAACGTGTATTGTGTCGCGACGGGAAAGCTGCACGCCTTCTCCCGCTCCAAGGCCTTAGGCTCTACCTTCGCTGTTGACCCACGCCCTCCATTTGCAGGCTCCACGGTCAGCGGAACACCGGCTGTGGCTAGCGTCGCAGACAGCCTTGGAAGGAAAAACTTCTGCGTGGTGGTTCCATGCCCGGCTGGCGGCATTCTGTACACTTCGACCTTTGGTTCCACGGTTTATGACTATTTTAAAGACACACCAATCTGGGAGCCATCAAACCAACAGGCTACGCCCTTGGGCATCGTGTCTGCCGTCTCCGTTGCTTCGGTAACTGCCACAAAGCCAGCAAGCAAATTCTATCACGATGAATATACCACGCACATAGTGGCAGTCTGCATCGCCCGATCAAGACTGTACAGCATTGACGGGCTATTCGAAAAGCCATCATCATGGCCGATTAAGGCAACTTGGAGGGATCCAAAATCCATCAGAATTCAACACCCAGGCGAGGTCACCGGCAATCCAGTTCTTCTCGCGCCTAGGAAAACCGGTTTTGGTGCAAGAAAATACCAGTTAGACCTACTAGTGCCATCCGCAGAGGGCGGTGTCTTCCACTTCATACGAGCCGCGACGACGCCTGACGAATGGCACATGGTCGGACGCATCAAATTCCCGACGGGAATCCCCATTGCGACAAGCTTAGCCTTTTGGGGAGCTGATTCCGGTCACATTTTCGACTACCACCATAAGCTACGCGCTTTCATCCAGTGCGGAAGCCGGCTCTACCTCATCCAGACTTCCTTGGGCGCTCAGCCGTGGGTTGGATCTGAACTCTACCCGGTCAACGGGCCAGGACCCTTCCTGCATTGATCCCGTACGTTGAGATTCCGCTGGCATGAACCTTTCTTCAACGAACTTCTGGCGTCTTTACCTTGGTACCTAGGTAGCTTTTAGGCGTCACGGGGAAGCAGATCGCATATTCCACTTAGTGCTGGACCGTAATGCTAGTAACCCAAGGGGTTCAGACTCTGGTAAACAGAATGCACACCTTAGACTAATAAAAGAGGAGATCTTAATCCCGTCGCACGTTCAAGGGCGCGGCAGGATGGTTTGTGGGTGCCAAAGATAGCCGTATGTCGTCTGGCGATTTAGACCACAGGCTAGTTCGTACACATCTGCATGGCTCCTTCGCGCCCCCTTACTCCACGACGACCTCGGGACGTTGTTGGTGCATGAATCACATCGTTATGTGGAGAGAATGAGGCTTTCAGAACATCCACTCTAGACCTGTCTCAAGGGATTCTGTGAAGTGCGGAAAAGCATCTTGGAGGAATGACATGGCAACTCTAGAAGGCAACATTGAATGATTCCTATGGTGTAAGTGATTCCTCCACAAGTACCTCGGTACTCGGGGCGTGCAGCTAGGGTCCCCTGCTTTTCCTCCTGGTGTAAACGGTTTCCACAGCGGCTTCGGCCCCACAGTCATTCTCCACATACCCTCTAAAGCGGCAGGTGGGGAGTCCTTATCGCCATCTTATCGGAGCTCTCCCTAGCTCACACCCCCCTCCGGCAACGACGGCTGGGCGCCGACCTCACCCATCACTCACCTGCATTTCTGCTGACCTATCCGTCCTTTGTTACCCTGACATCTGTCCACGCCACGCCCATATTCTATTCGCCAATCTTCCCGTAGCTGTGTTGTTGTTGTGCAAGGCATGAAGTAAAGCGTCTCGGTGATATTTAGAACCACACAACTACAGGACCCCCCCTCCTTCGCGTATCGCCAGTCACCGAAAACAGCCGACAACATGTCATCTCTACCCAAGAATGTCCACGTCTCAAACCACCCTTGCCTGAGGGCCAAGCTGAGCCAATTGCGGTCAAAAAGCACGCCCTCCAAGGACGTCAAGGCATTGGTCCACGACATCTCCCTCATCGTGGGCTGCGAGGCACTAGCATCGGCCATCACCACAGCCCCCGGCCCCAAGGTTCGTCGTTGCCCGTCACATCCCATCGTGCTTGGACCAGCAGCGAGCTCACACACAGACCCGGGGCGGGTGGTAAAAGGACCAAACCCCTCTCGGCTTCGAGTACGAGACGACGACGATCCCGCAGACCCTCTCCATCGTGCCCATCCTGCGCTCGGGGCTGGGCATGGTCGACGCCGTGCAGACGCTGCTGCCCGACCCCGTCGCCGTGCACCACCTGGGCCTGTACCGCGAGCCCTCGACCCTCGAGCCCGTCGAGTACTACAACAACCTGCCCGAGCACATCACCGCCGGCAGCGCCGACGGGCCCTCCAGCCTCGCCATCATCGTCGACCCCGTCATCGCCACCGGCGGCACCTGCGCCGCCGCCATCCAGACCCTCAAGGAGTGGGGCGCCCAGAGGATCATCGTCCTGAGCGTCCTCGGCGCCCAGCCCGGCCTCGCGAGGGCCGCCGGCGAGTGGCCCGAGGGCGTCGAGATCTACGTCGCCGGCCTGGACGAGGAGCTGACCCCCGGTGGGATGCTGAAGCCTGGCCTTGGGGACGTGGGCGACCGTTTGTTCTTGACTATTGGGAAGTAGGATGTGGCTCTGGTCTCGAGAGTCGCTGGGATCCATGCTTGGGTTGTATCCTGGATTTTGGGACTATCTGGTACATGTGTTTTGTGCAAGCTGAGGGAGATGATATCATCTGTCATCAGGGTCTGAGGTCTAATAGAAAAAGAACATTGAATAAGAGATTTTTGCTGTCCGAGGTCAAGCATAATTGGGACTGGGCTCTCATACCATTGTCATCATCTGGAAATGGATGTGCCTTCTTGGTGTCTCAAGCACGGAGTTGGTGTTTGAGTGTTTACCACTGTATCAAGGCGCCGTGTATGGCTTCAGACGCATACGGAATAGAAGCTAAATCAGTGAAAGATCAATACACATCAAAGAGTTATATACCCACACTCGTGTTATTGCCGTGGACAGTTCCATCAACCAAGTCCTCATCCGCCCGAGAATTGACAGTTCTTCCGAAACAACAGCCCAGCAGACTCTACCACCCTATGGTTGTTCCATAAGCTGCAGCTTCCCTAGACCGTCTCTAGTGGAATCCATTTCGGTGCTGCCATCTTCCGTGCGGCGTGCTTCCTCCATACAAGCCTGAACAAAAGCCACGATCTCATCCATGTTTGGCGGAGCAAAGTACCTCACAAAGTCGACTAGGTCTGCCCTACCTCCATCATGGGCACGGAGGAAGCGTATGAGATCCCCAGTGTTGTGCCCAAAGGGGAATCTGAATCCCCTTGAATCATTCTCCGAATCCGTTCTTACGTCTATAACCCCAAATTGGCTTCGATCAAGTCCGCCGATGTCTGACTCATCCCGCCAGTGCCATCGAAAATGAACCAAGGGGTCGGCCCTGTGCCTCAGGAAGGCCATGAAAGTGGACCAGAATCCAGAATCCCTATGAACAATGAATTGCTTGACAAGAACATCCTTCAGGAACGTCATCCAAGGGGAGCCGTTGCCATGCTTTCTGCGGGTCGGAGAGGGCCCGTTGGGGTCCAGGAAGATGTCAAGCAAAAATGTAATCATCGCACGTCTCTCCCATGGCTCTGTCAGCATGACTGCACCGAAGATTTCACTCCTTACCCGGTCCCCGAGTATCCAAGAGGGATAGTTCTCCCGGGCCCACTCCACGTATGGGCGGAGCTTCCAAAAGCAAGCGAACGCGTATACCGACAAGTAGTTACCCTTGACATCACCATAGTCCGCTAGCTGCTCGAAATACGACTGAAACATGCTTCTTTGGTTGTCTAGAGGCAGTTTTGACTGGCGCAGGGCGAGAGCCTCCTCTAGGTGCTTCAGATGCTCGAAGGTAGGCCGTATATCGACGGCTGAGGACGACAGGATGCCCATGACACGTCCCAGATACCTCGATTGTTGCTCGGGTATGAGCGTCTGTCGGTCAAAACATTTCGTCTCCGCCGTGATACACTGTATGATTAAGCTAGCGGTGGAGCTGGTGTCGTCTATGGCCGCTTTGATACCCTTTGTTGGTCCCGTTTTGAGAAAATCGTAAACAGACCTGTGGGCAAAAGACAAGAACTCGTTGGTTTCACCTTCAAAAAGTCCCTTGCACAACCCTGGAAGACGTCTCTTAAATCTGGCGATTCTTTTGGCATTTTCTGGCCATGCTTCGCCATCCGATATCCTTTGGCTGTCTGATATGTCTCGGGGGAGAAATGGTACCGCGGGGTGGACATCCTGATTTTTCAATACCCTCTCGTATAGCTCTTTGAAACTGGGACTTCTTTTCTCTAGACGACCTCTGCCATTTCGTGGCATCTCGCTGCCCGATATGTTCTTGCTATCAGATCGTTCTAGCTTCGTCCAATGGATACTGAATGAAAAGTTGGGGTTCTTGATGAAGTCTTCCACAAAGGAGTAGTGGAACACACGCAGAGGGTAGAACCACCCATCCGTCTGGATAGCCACTGCAAAAATCATCGCAGCCTCCTGCTTATTCGACTTCCTAATGGAGTTGATAATTCGGACGAAGAACTCATCCAGCTCCTCGGGTACCCTACGGAGGAGTGCGAAGAGCTCGTCCGCCGTGGCACCCTCATCCAGCGCATCCCAGAGCTCGTTCTTAATAAGCAAATGGACCCAGAGAAAGACGCCCTCTGCCCTGGATACAACATTAAGGGCAAAAGAATGCCGGTCGGCAGACTTGTATTGACGGAAGTGCGGGTGCTTCATGAGGCGCTCGTTGACCATTGCCTCGACATCGGGCCGAGTTAGCAGGTGCAATCTGAGCCTCTGCTCCGCGGGAAAGGTGTTCATGAAGGCCGGCTCCTCTCGGCTGGATACGCAAAACTTGACCCCCGAGGGATTGTGCGACACCCATTCCTGAAGGTACTCTGCGACCTCCGTATGCTTCAGCTCATGGTCCTCAAACTCGTCAAGGCCATCAACAAAGAAGCAGAAACGATGGTGATCCGCAATATCCGTGTCGGTCATCAAATGTTTGGTGGCGGATTCGATATCCTCAAGACTGATTTTCAAATCTTCCAGATTCATCCAGGGATAAAAGCCGCGCGGGTTCCAGTACTTTTGAAAAAGCGTCCGGATGAGCTCCGGTACTTGCTGGAGGATCTGCCTGAGAAGTGTCCGTATCATCCCCTGTAGGTTCTTCTGGAGTGGAACACCTGCGTTCCACACAAAGAAATTGGCCTTCACCAAGGTCTTGTCCCCCGCCCACGTCTTGAGCAGTGAGTGCGTGGAGCTGTGCTTCTCTAGCATTTTCATCAGCGTAGATTTGCCGCCACCAGGCTTCGCGGAGATGTGAAATATGCCATGGCCGGCTCGAAGCCACTTCTTGAGTGAGATGTCAAGAAGTCCCTGGCCTCTTGGTACGGCCTCTTCCGAAATGCACCAACCAAAAGTGTCACGGGCCGCCTGTGAGATCTGCTCGTGCCGGGCCTCGATCTGGTCAAACTCCAACCCCTTAAGGATCCTTTTCCTGTTGATGTTTTCGAGAATGGTGTCGGGCAGGGCGAATATCTCTGCTATCTGTCCGATCTGAGCGAGCTCAAGCTCTTGGTTCCGTGAGAGCCTCTCCACAAGGCTCTGTAGCCGAGAAATGTCGTTGGCTTGAGCGGAGTGCATAATGAGTAGCTTTTCAAAGCTTTTGCCTGCCCTAGACCTATCCATCGGCTCGGCAATTATGATCAGCAAACCCTGTCAAATGCGAGTTTACTTATGAGTTATTCCCACTACTTACCCAACTACTACCAGCAGATGCGTATTCAGCTGTGTCCTGCAACTTTGAAGCTGCTCATTCAACCCCTTGACCGTGCTCTTGTACCAAACCTCCTTCGCAGCAGCCTTGAGGGATGACCGTAACGAGCCCTCCTTGTTCGCTTGCATCTTGTCCAGAAACTTTAGGATCTTCTCCCCGAGGAGTCGGCACTGCTCGGCCGTGGCCAGCATGCTATCCTCAGTTGGCCCAAGCGTGGGTTCCTGGGCCTGTGATATCTTAAACTCGGACATCTGGGCTAGGAGCTCCTGTCCGTTCTTGGTGACATCCGCAAGCCTCTTGTTGTCCTCCGAGGCGCCATCTTCGGACTTGTTGATGTCCACCGCGGTCTTTACGATTGCGAACGCGAACTCGGCAAAACTGAGCACTGCCGATGTAGTCCCGATGATCGTCCAAGGATCCATTGTACTTTCTTCGTGCGGCCGTAGCCCCTTCCACAGTTGGGGTGTGTGTGGGCTGACTGGTACTTGTAGCTGGTAGACCTAACAGAAGCAGATCCTCGGAGTGGGTTGAGGTGTTCTCACAGAATTCGAGGCTCTGTATATTAGATGGATTGATTTCCCGAGTACTTGGGAATCGAAGCTCAGATTGTGGGCTGGCAGAGAGCCTCCACCTTGGATTCTTGGGGCCTAAAATTGCCTGCAGGTCACACCCCCTCCACTCAGCCCCATGCGCCCGCCACAGTGATGAGGTGTCAGCAGACAATCCCTCCAATGGTTCGTGTGGATGCAAGTTTCAGCTGACAGGCTATTCTGAAAATCCCGCTGAGAAAAGGATGCACGGTGACAGGTACCTATTTCTACATCTACGAAAATAATTCGGCGCGGTCATAGCCTTTGGTGTTGTCCCTAGCTTGAAAAGGCTCAGATACTAGGTAATATCAAACCTCGTTTCAACGGACATGATAAATGGAATTCCGAATTCAAGTAGAATATATTGTACAATAGGGTTGAGGGTCCCTCGCAGGCCTCCAGCTTGTACCATTGATGCCTATGTAAGTTACTAATAGTACTATTTGGACAGCCTTTAGGACTCACGGCCTCGGCTTATCCACGCAACTCATTACTGGCGAATACGAGTCGTTAGCTCTGAAGTGGTTGACATGTGCATTTGCTATTTACCGATCTAGCATCATACTTCATAGGCTGCAAAGGAATGCACTACAAGCTGGGTGTAGCTAGCGGATTATTTGATACAAAATCGTTTAACTGCGCCATTCCCTCTCAAACTGTTTCAGTTGACATTCTTAACAACTTGAACTAAGAGCCCTGAAAATAGGAATGTAAAAGAGATATCGGGAACAGCTGAGACTATAAGATACAATTACATCCAGCCGGAAACTTGGATACCGAATAGAAAAGAAAAAGATCTATGCATGGAAAATATCAAGCTTAGTTCCAGCCTGTCCACATCTAACTATGTCAATGGGACTGTATGGTCTAGAAGACCAACTCAAGTGATGAACAGCAATGCCACCGTCCAAGCATAAGTTCTCAACCGGAGAACAATTCAGTTCTAGGTGCAGGGCCACAATTATTATTTACTCCTGCCCCGATGAGAAAGCACAAGTGGCAGTGTATTGTTGGCTTCTGAATTTGTCCAACCACACCACTTCACCCACGGCTATCTTGATTAAAGTCAACGGGCACAACTTCCATTGCTGCTAGAACTCATAACAAGTGCTTTGTTGCATAGTGACTCTCCACAGCCCCTCCCCAGGTGGCCTTACCCAACCATCCCGGCCGTACCATAAACTCATAAAACTGCTCTCCCTCGGGACCTCACAATGAACCGCCTTGATTGTTATGCCGGCGCCTGTCGTCGCCCGCACACCGCGTCTCCCCCATCTCGTCGTAGACCCCCGTCCCATCGCAACTGCGACATTTACCGCGATACATGGTGAAGTCATACTCCACGCACCCCCAGGGATATCTAGGGTCCTGTTTGTTGCAGTACCGGTTCATGCACGGACTGAGCCCGCGGGGATCAACGCCGGTGCGTGGATCCTGGGATGCGCGGTCCATGCAGTGGCACGGCACGTCCTCTGCCACGACGCATTAAATGATCCCTCCCAGCCCGTTCAGGTCTCTGCCACAATTCCTGCAGTACCGTGTGCGACGTCGTTTCGAAGTTTTTGAAGGTTCGGAAGATTCGGAATGCTGCGGTGACTCCTGATGTTCTGGCATGTTTGATGTTTTTGCTGCTGGTACTAGGGATAAGAGTCAATGGAGGCTCGAGGCACCTGTGTTAAGATGAGTGCACATACACGCCCTTGGCAGATAGAGTTTGAATAATAGTAGGCAATATGAGTACCGAACTTTGATTTACGGCCCAGTCGGAACTCAGAGCGAGGGTGGTGAGGAGTCCAGGTCTGGACTCAAAGCCGGACTACTTGGGTTGCAGAAGCGGTTTATATGTTCTAACCGCCCTTCTCCATTTCACGAGCATTCTTTCGTAACTTACTAACAGCAGTCATGATGTCCCGTGGGTCTGTGGTTTATATACGTGATTGGGCACTTGAGCAGTCCCAGGCTGGCGTTAGGCATAATGACGGAAATTGCGTTCAACCTACCTAATGCTTTGTCGCAGGCATCGGCCAAAGTGAGTACTCAACGAGAAATTGTCCCAAGCAAATTGTTACACTGTCAGAGATCGTTTGCATACCAAGGCAAGGCAATCAGTTGAACGGAGTTATTATTGTAGTTTTGGATATTATGCCACCACTGGAAACTTTTCGCGTCACCTTTGCCATGGGCCCGTTAGGATATGCAATATAGGCCAAACATGCATGTCTTCCCTTATCAGAGTAGCCACCGAGATCAGTGTCGTGGCTGTCAAATCATAGAAACCATGACGCTTTAGATTAGAAATATCACTGATTGACCTCGGGAACTGACGACTCACAACCCTTTTCAAGGCCATCAAGACTTGCATGACCAAGATCAGTGCAGCGGTTGAGAATAGGTGATGATAGTAGGGCGTTGACTGAGATTCACACCCTTTTATACTGAAGAACAACTTTCAACTTGAATTGTAGCATCGTAGGTACGCACATACTGCATCTACTTGCTTTTGGGGGCTAAATTGGTCAAGAGAAAAGCATGAATTTATAAACCTTGGAACGAGGTACCTACTTATGAACCACCAAAACAACGGTTCCAAAAAGAAGACTAATAAATGCCTACACCCCGAACAATAATTTCTTAGAAGAGCATGACATATGCCTCCCCTACCAAGGACCGTACTCACCAAAGTCGCCAATGTGAATCCACCGGTGTCCAGGCCCAAGCTCCCCGGTATTCAACCCGCGGTTGTTCTTGGTAGTAGTAAGGCTCACGATACGATCGTTCATGATGCCGCCCCTGACGCAGCCTCTCATGATCCCTCTCATACCTTCTTTTGTTCTTTCTCCTCCATGGCGGCGTACGCGTTCTCTCGTAAGATGAGTCCTCATCGCTCGCTGCGTACGAAGACACCGATGTCCCCCGGTAGGGACGAGGCGGCGGCATGCTCCGTCCCCGCCCCCGGTAACTCGGAGGCGCGAATCTAGATCTGGACCTAGATGACCGACGCCCGCCGCCCCGTCGGCCCCGGGGCACGGACGACGGCGATCTCCTCCGGGTCCAGTATGATGGGGCCGCAGACGACGATCGCCCATGCTGGTGGTGCTGGTGGTGGTAGTAGTACTGAGGCGCCGGCGCGGCTTCCATCCACAACTCGAACCTGGGCGGCGGGGGCGGCACAAACACCGGCACGGTGCGGCACGCCCAGTCCACGATCCTCGCCCTCCACGACGGCCTGGGCTCATAGTAGGTCCCAACCGGCGGCGGCGGCGGCGGTCCCATGCTCATCCTGCCGCCGCCACCATGATGAGACCTCCGCGCGCGCTGGTCCCTGCCGACCCTGTGAGGAGGAACAGGAGGAGCCCGACTCCGACTCCGACTTCTCGCCCTGGGCCGGGGCCTCGCCCCCGCCAGGTTGGCCCTCTCCCGCCGCTCCCTCTCCCTCTCCTCAGCCGCAGGGTTATCCCGCTCGACAACCACGGGCCGGTGAAAGACCCTGACCCCGTCGATCAAGCAGCCGGGACACTGGTGCTCGACCCGGTACACGGGGGGCCCCGAGAGCACGCCCGCGGCGGCGCCGCCGCCGCACCCGAGGCAGGTAAGCCACATCCCCCGGTGGTGGTTGTACGTCCAGCCGGGGTAGGCAGTGGCCGCGCAGGGGCAGCACTGCGGCTGCGGGGCGTCGAGGACCCATGTGACGTGGCCGATCGTGTCCATTGGGAGGATGCACTCTGTGCAGATTGGCATCTGCATGGGCATGGGCATCATCGTCGGCATGGGCATCGTCGTCCTTCTTCTGGGCCGTGGGTGGGTGGTCGTGCTAGAACGGGCTTTGCTTTTCTGCTAGAGCGAACAAAGACTCGTGGTCAGTACCTAATCGCGCGGTACTTAAAGTATGTCTGTGGCAGGAGGAAAGGGATACGTGAGACCGACCTTGCGGGTGCGAAAGAGACACATGAGACCGACTTTGGGGATGATGGCTGTCTCCTTTCACTGGCAGTCGTAAATCTCTCGTTCTGACTGTCTTGGACGCGGTCGCATTTCCTTTTTCTCCCTGGTTACACCCGGTTGCTGTCGATTTGTGTCAAGTGTCGTTTGGACCGAGCCTCAGATTTATGGGTGCTGTCTCCTTTTTTGGATCTGGCGAGTCTTTATTGAATTCGGGTATGAGTCGCGTTGCCATTCTTCACTTGTGTACTGTAAGATAGACCAGGAGGAGGTCTACCGTTTTGTGTTGGTGAGATTCAGAGCCGCAGAGCCGGGGGAGTTGACCCTTTTATAAGCGGCGCATCTGTGATATCGACCACGATGTATTGTGGCTAACTCTCTAACTTGAGTCACTCCAGCATGTCCTGAACACTCCAATGTTCAGGCCAACCACCAGGATTGAGGGCCTCAAGGTCATGACCAAGCAGACCAACACCAATGTTCTATACCTAGGAACATGTTCGCAAAACTGTGAACCACTCGTGCTTATGAATCAGCAATATTTCTTGACACCATATGTAGCTCGAGCCCCTCGCTGACAATTGCACAGCCAGTCGAACAAACAAACCAAGTTTCTTATTTTGTGTTCCAATTCTACGTACTACGGAATTAAGTAGAGTGGTGAGCACGCGGTTGCGGAGGAGCCGAAAGACGGAGGGAAAAAGGAGACATGAAATGATTGTGAAAACAGGAACCTCTCTTTCCATTACTAATCCCCGCATTACACTTCTGCAGCCCGCCTATCCCCGGCTGAGAAAGAGACTGGTTTGCCCAAACCGGGTATCAAAGTTATGAAAGTCCACGACCGTCCGGGTATAAGAAGAAAAGGAAATCAAAAGGTTGACCAATCATGGCATGTCCGATAGCGTTATTCAACAAAGGAGAAGAGCCGTCATTTTTCTTCAACATACCCGCACGCGCGCGAGAATCCATTTCCGTAGAGAATGCTCCGTGAATCGATGTCTTCGTTTCCGTGGGTATCTCATCATCGTCAATTTTAATGCTGCTCCGTCCTCAACTTATGACTTAGGAGACAGTGGTTGCAGGGGTGGACTGGGTGAACTGATTATTGGTAGCGGCGTTGAGGTCACTCTTGATGTTGCCATTGTCGGTGAGCGTGGTGCTACCATTAGTGTTGGAACCGTTCGTGGCAGCGCCGGTGGTGTGAGGCTTTCGGGTGACCTTGGGCGCAACAGGGATATCGGTACTTGCTGTTTGCTTGTCAGTGCTTTGTTACCTGGAAAGAGTTGCGGTGCGATGCGAGTGGCAGCTAGTCACTTACTCTTAGCAGAACCGATGGAGAAGACGGGCGACTCCCACTTCTCGCCCTTGCGGGCCAGCTCCTTGTACTCGGTAGCCTTGGAGCTGATACCTCCCGGTAGCTTGATGTCCTTGAACATGCTATCCTCCTGGGTGATGGCGTAGTTGACCTTCTTATCGGCCACGGCATCGACGGCCTTCTTCTTGCCCTGGAGGAGCTGCTTCTGGAAGGCGTCGACATAGCGCTTGTAGATGTTGGGGGCGTTCTTGGGATCCTCGCGAGCCTCCTCCAAGGCGCGATTCGCCTCGACCTGAACCTGCTTCAAGAAGGCGTCCGCCTGGTTGAAGTTGTCCTTGATGGCCTTCTCCGCAGCCTTCTGGATTGCGGGTTTCATGGCCTTCAACGCAATAGGCTTGGCAATAGCGAACAGCAGCTTATGCTTAGACTTCTTCACCTTCAGCTTCATGTTGCTGATGTTGACGTCAACCTTGTCGACCTTGAAGAAATTCTGCGAGTCTTTCTTGTCCGCCGAAGACATCTTCAGCGTGAAGCCGAAGCCCTCGCCTGCCAACACAATGTCCATCACACCCTGGTCGGTGATGGAAGGGAATCCCTGCTTCTTCTTGACGTAGAAGCTGACATCCCGCAGATCCATCTGGACGCCCGAAACCTTGATTTCGAAGGCATGCTGGTGCTTGCTGGTAACCTTCTTGCGTCCCCACCGCATGTGGTTCTGACTGTTGATCTCCAACAGGTTGGGCGTGAAGTTATCGCTCTCGAGGACGAGGTTCTCGATGACAGCGTCGACCTGTGGGTCAGAGTACTCGACGCGAGGGACGGGAATGTAAGCAACGTTCTCGAACACAAGCGGGAGGATGACTTCGGTGAGGTCCTTCACCAGGTGAGGCTTGAAGGTTGGCTTGCCATTTTCGTCGTTGCCGAGGTCAGTGAAGAGCTTGTTGACGGTGGCGGCGAATTGCTTGTTCTGGGCATCCTCATCGAACTGGCCGGCGAGGAACTTGACCTCATCAATGACACGATCAGTGTGGGTCTTGTACTTTTGGCGAAGCAGGTAGTCGCCATGGTCGTACAGCCTGTTCCATTCCTGGGTAGACGCCTCTTCGAGGATGTAACCGTTCTCTTGAAGAGACCGGCGAATGTACTTGTCCAAGGACTTGAACCAGTCCTTCAGCTCTGGGTCCTTCTGTGCATCCTCGTAGATCTGGTTCACGGCTGACCACAAATCATCGCTGGACGTGCCATTTGCAAACCGCTCGATCAGAGTCTTGAGATCGGCCTCAGCCTGAGCAAGGGACGAGCGGGCGCCCTTAACAGTGCCCTGACCACCCTGAGCCAGGGTGCTGGCGTGGCCACCGTACTGCTCGGCCAGGTCAAGCAGGGTCGTGATAGCCTCCTGGTAGTCAGGATGCTGCTGACACTCAAGGATCATCTTCTTCAAGCGCCAAATTGTCTGCTCGCGACGCTCTTGGGGAACCTTCTTCTTGAGGTACTCCAGAGTCTTGGCGCGGTACTCTGCGGCCCGCTTATTGGCAGCTTCCTTCGCCGCGGCAGCATCCTGCTCGGTTATACCGGTCTTTTCCTGTGCGGTCTGCTTCGCAGCATCAACGCCGGCCGCGACGTTGACCCCGCTGTCTGAGCTGGGATCCTGAGCAGCATTGGCTGCGTTCTCAGCGACCTTCTGCGCGTCCTGTTGAGGGTCGTTGCCCTTATAGTTCTTCTGAATTTGACTCCTAATGTTGTCCTTGGAGAAGTCGGGCTTCTCATGCCAGGTGTTGTCGTCGGCGGGCCGATCAATCTGGGACAATCGATCCTCCGATGGCCTAACCCTGCCGGCGGCGTTAGTAGCGGCGTCACCGGCAATATCGCGCAACAGGATGCTGGCATCGTTCACTATGGAGATGTTAGTGGTGGGCGCGTTCCACACGGCAAACTGGAGTGGGTGGCACATACGAAGCTTCCGGAATTGGCCATTGGTGATGATCAAGGTGCCCAGAGTGCGCAATCCTTGCAGTGCCTTGTCGCCGTGCTGCTGTGCGGTCTCCTTGTTGACAGGGGCATTGGGTGTGCCAACAGCCTTGGGATCGAACTGCGTAGTCTGCCAGATGAAGTCCTGGAGCAAATTACCCTCGTTCTTGGACAACAGGAGATTCTTGGCCTGGGTGACAACCTCACGGAAGTCTTTAACAAGTGCCTTGCCCTCGGTGGAAAGCTTGTCTGAGGGCGAAGACAGGGCCTTGGAGGCCAGGAAGCTGTTCAGGGCAACATCGATTTGGGCATTCTAGTACGGAAGAGGTCAGCGCGGTCAATTGGCTTTGGGACACGAGCAGATGCGACCTACGGATGGAACCTTGCCGTTCTGGAATGCAGACGCAATGCCGTAGATCTGGAGCTTCCTGTTCACGTCGGCCTCCTTGGCCTTCACGTCGACGGGTTTGTTGACGTTAGTTGTCATGATTACTCTGTAGTTGTGTGCTTGGAATTACTACTGTGATAGTAGAGGGTCGATTAATTGGCGGTGGACTGAGCCTTTTGACAAAAATTGCCTGGGTATCAAAAAAGGGGGCGTTGGGGGATGGGGTATCACGTCGTTGGGAAAGGGTGGTGGTGTTTGTTGATGAATGAGCTTCGTCAACAGCAGATGGCAAAGGGGGGAAGGAAGGAGACAGCGGAGGAAGGGGGGTGGATGGCTAAAGTTGGTTTATAGAGCTTTGACTGAGAGCCAGTCACCAAGATGCAAGCAAGCATGGGATGGGACGAGAATGGTTGGGTCCTTGGTCGTAGTCCAGACTACGAGCTGAGGATGTACATCATTGGTAGGCAGGCAGGTACTGCGTGGCAGGTAGTCTGGTCCAAACGTGCCTGCGTGGTCTGCCGTTGGGTGGGAGAGTGTGGTACCTACGTTTGCTGCCGTGGTTGTGACGTGAACCAATACGTCATAAGTACAGGAGCACCGACGTCAAAAAAAAAGACAGGGTGCGTGTCAAGGGGTGATTTCGCAAAGGGCAAGGGCGAGATCGGGGTGTGGAAATTGAACAATGCCAATGGAACGAGCTGCAGCATCAAGCTACCTCCCGTTGCAGCTAGTGGATGTGCCGGGTTACCGGCCTGGCTGCGCGGACTGCCAGAAAGCAAGCAGGAATGGCAGTGGCACTGGCACTGGCAGAGAGCAACATCGCTGTTTCCAGTTCCAGCCGCCCAGCCGCCCAAATGCGGTCCATGATGAGATGGGCAGCCCAGTGTCGATCTTGACCGTGTGTGCGGCTCAGCCCCTACGTGCTAGGCCGCAGTGGGACAAACGCCATGGACGTGTTCCCAGGTGTTGTTTTGTCTGCCCTCGAATCTCGTTTCTATGTGGCTTGCATGTCACCAAGGCCAGGGCACTGGCGAGAACGGTCTGTCGTTGAGTCCCACAGTCGCAGCTAGAGCTCCTGGTGTAACACGGAAGCTTCTGCCATCAGCCATGACCAGCCATGACCCTGCCATACTGCCATACCAGCCACCCTCTGACACCACATGTGCAGTGACTGCCAGACTGCCCATGTACAGACTCAAACGTGGGCGGCTAATCCACCTGGCGGCTGCGGGCGACGATCAGAATTGGATAGATTAACAAAAAGAGGCCTCATGTTGAGTTCCGCGTCGCAGAAACAGAGGGGCCAGGCTGGCAGGGATGGGAAGCTGGGAACAGGGTTACACTGGGACTGTCGTATCAATTCAATCCCAACATAGTGCACACACTATATGGGGCATGGTGCGGTAGAACTTGTTGCTAAGTGGGTGGGTCATGTCATGTCGTTCGACGTGAGCTCTGCAACATGCCCAACCACGCCTCGTGCCTTGCTTTGCCCTGCCATTGAAACCCCAACTCGAGTTGAGACAGTGTGTGTATGCCCTGCGGCCACCTTGCATCGAATGGAAGGGGCCCACTACAGCAGGCCTATTGTGGTATAATACTGGAGATGTGGACGTCGATGAGTGGCCTGGGCCAGTTTGGGCATGCTGGGTTGAGCTGAAATGTTGGAATCGGCACGCCAAGAGAATCATATGATCGGGACTGGCAGACTGGCTGACTTGGTAGGTATACTGAACTGGCATGGCTTGCCGCATGGTGGTGCTCTGAGCCGGGCCCTGAGCTTGGAGGTAGCTTGTCCCGAGGCGTCGATGGATGACGTCAAGCCTGTTCAATGCCAATTGACGGCTCTTGTGCCAACTAAGCCCGTCCAGCCGGTCCCGATGGCTTCCGTCTCTCGCACGGCAAGGCCCTGAAGACGGCGTGGCTTGATGTCCATGATGCGGTCTCTGCTTGTATTTTTATTCCAAATGACAGACCACCTTGGAGGTTTTGCTGTTCGCCTCCTTCGGGCCCCCTGTCCGCCGTCTTCTGCATGAAAGCTTTCCCAGTCCCACCACCCGTCGGCGGCACGCGACCCCCTTTGCAGGTCCCACCACGACGGGAACCCGCAGAGTTAGTGTGACAGCCATTACAGGGTAATGATGCAACCAACCACTCCAACTCCCGGGCGAGGAGATCGCCGCAGGGGCCATCCTCCCATCCTGTCATCCTGCCATCCTTCACCTGCCTGCCTAGGTACTGTGTGCACCCTCTCAGCCCTTCTCAACACTACTACTCACAGGCGAGGACCATTTCTGAATGTATTTTCCGACATGGAGATCTTGCTCCAGACGGCCAGTGCCCCAGATCTGTGGATACGTGGATATGTTCGGCACGTGTCCCGGTGTGGGTGCACCACACTGTCATATTAGCCGGGTTGAGCACGCAACGTGGTGACTCTCTTGCTCGACAGTCTGACAATATGATTCAACACCAACACTAGTGCAATTGACTTTTGAGCTTCCTCGGATCCCCACACATCGAGATGGGTCCTCTTTTATTGTCTGATCAGATTACCAGAGCAATGGGACGCTGTGTGGGCTGTGTGGTCGGTCAGCTTTTGTATGTGCAGGCATGAGTGCGAGTTGCGCTGCACTGACTTTGGAACCGATGGATATGATAAAATATTACGGTCAGCGCTGTAAACATAAAAGCGTGCACATTAATGTCTGCCTGTTCAAGCTGTTGGCCTGCTGGCTGTTGGTCTGCGGTTGGCTCGAGCTGATGTAAGCTTCACTTCACATGATCTGGCGAGGCAACCGCGCCGCATGTCCCAGGCAGCACTTCACTCTCACCTACACGCACACGTTCACGCCCGTCGCGCGTCGCGTTCTCCATCAACATGCCGAATGGCCCTATCCCCATCCAATTCCCAACACCAGCATGATCTAATATCCATCATCTGCCCAATCAACCAACCGTCACACACACCCATCCCTTCTTGACCTCACAAGCCTCTCGCCCATCATGAGTCAACCCAGCCAGCCGGCCCCTCACAACCATTCTCCCACCCTACCATTCGCCGAGCTTGTCAAGGACCTCTTTGAACCCTTGAAGAAGGGCCCCGCACCCACTCATTTCACCCATGCCCCAGGCGTAGGAAGAATCAAGGTGGAAGCCAAGTCGACGAGGGTGCACACGAATGAGGTCCTCGAAGGTTTCTTTTCCAGATGGCGCCAAGAAGTCGGGAATGACATCTACCCGGCCATGCGCCTCATTTGTCCGCAAATCGACAGCGAGCGCTCGGTATACGGACTCAAGGAGCAGACTATTGCGAAGCGGCTCGTCAAGCTCCTCGGCATCTCCAACAACAACCCAGATGCCAAGAGTCTCAATAACTGGAAGAACCCCGGCCAGACCGAGGCGACCCGCATGGCTGGTGACTTCGCAGGACGCTGTTATCAGGCCTTGCAAAAGCGCGTCGAGATAGAGGGCTTTGGCACCATGAGCATATCACGCGTGAACGAGCTGCTTGACCAGTTGGCAGGCTCTAGCAGAGAGGCCGACCAGCTCCCAATCCTCGATGACTTCTACCTGCACATGTCCGCCCTGGAGCTGCAGTGGCTCATCCGCATCATACTTAAGCAGATCAGGGTGGGTGTATCCGAGAAATCCGTCCTGACAAAATGGCACCCAGATGGCGTGGACCTCTTCAATGTCAACTCCGACCTGCGCGATGTCTGTCGGCAGCTCACGGACCCGGAAATTCGCATCGGGGAGGACGACCAGAGACTCCATATAATGCATAATTTCATGCCCCAGCTTGCACCAACCGCCAGCAATGCCATGACCTGGGACAAGATCGTTCGCCAACTCAAGCTTCCTGCAGACGACCCGACGTTCTGGATGGAGGAGAAGGTCGATGGGGAGAGGATGCTCATGCACGTTCAGATGGAGGACGGTGCATACCGTTTCAAGTTCTGGTCCAAACGGGGTAAGGACTACACATATCTGTATGGGGAGTCAGTTGACGATGCCAATTCGGCCCTTACACGGCATCTGGGAAACTCATTCCGCAGCGTGCCAAACTGCATTCTGGACGGGGAGATGGTTGGGTTCGACCCCAAGAAAGGCGGGATGGTCACTTTCGGGACTCTGAAGACTCACGCGATACACGCGCAGAGGAACCCGCACGACGAAGAGAAACCCAGACCTCTATACCGGGTTTTCGACATCTTGTTGTACAACGATAAAGACCTGACCGCCACGCCACTCGCGAAACGGCACGAGTTACTGGAATACATCATCCAGGATGTCCCTGGGCGGTTCGAAATCCACCCCCACCAGGTTTGCACGTCGCCTTCGGAAATCGAGCCGTACCTTCGCCAGATCATCCAGGACTCTGCGGAGGGCATCATGCTCAAGAACCCGCACGCTGAGTATTACCTAAACAGTCGCCCCTACCACTGGATCAAGATCAAGCCCGACTACATGAAAGACTACGGCGAGACCCTGGATTGTGTCATCATAGGCGGGTACTATGGCACCGGAAGACGGGGTGGGATTCTCTCAAGTTTCCTCTGCGGACTAAGGGCAAGCCAGAGGGAGATCGAAGCGGGGACTGCTCATCCCGAGAAGTTTTACAGTTTCTTTAAGGTCGGTGGTGGCATAAAGATGGAGGATTACGAAGAGATCCAACGTCTCCTCCCGGAGGACAAGTGGCAGGACTGGAACCCAAAGCGCGCAAGACAATACATCGAGCTGGCTGGCGGGGAGAGGTACGCAGAAAAGCCAGACCGGTGGATCCGACCAAGCCAGTCGATCGTGATCGAGGTCAAAGCCTCCAGCGTCGAGGACTCCAATTCTTTCAGTGTCATGAAGACGTTGCGCTTTCCTCGCTTCAAAGGCATACGCACTGACAAGAGCTGGACTGATGCCCTCGATATTGACCAGTGGAACGAAGTCCGCTTCGAGATCAAAAAGGGGGAGGACCAAAAGAGACAGATCGAATATGAGGAGAAGAGGAAGAAAGCACCCAAGAAGAAGGCAAAGACAGGCTTGTACCTCCCCGAGAACGACGGCGCCGTCGTGTTCGAGAAGTCCAAGCTGTTCGAGGGCATGGCGTTCTACATACCGTCCGGGTCCGAGGCCCTAGACATGCTAGAGAGGGACCTCCAGAACCTCGTGCGAGAGCACGGCGGCTCCATCGTCCAGGACGCCAGGAAGGTCGCCGAGGGCACCGCGATCGGCGTCGGCGACAGGAAGACGGTGCTCGTCAACTCGCTGGCCAGGACCGAGGGCGTGGCCTACATCATCAGCCCCAAGTGGCTCGTCGACTGCGCCAGACAGCAATACCTCCTGCCCTACGAGGACGAGCACCTCTACCTCGCGCCCGACGACATGCGCGCCCTCGCCCTCGAGAACACGGACCCCCTCGGCGACAGCTACCACCGCGACCTGGACGGGGACGAGATGGACCGGCTCTTCGCGCGCTGGAGGGAGGACCGCATGGCGGACGACGGCGACAACACCGCGGCGCGTGGCTTCGACAACGGCGCCTTCTACGACCAGCTCGAGGCCCGCGGCCACGAGCTGCCCCGCTCGCGGGGCTACGTGTTCCGGCGGTGCCGTGTCCTGCTCGCGCACGTCGCGGGCCAGGAGCACCGGCTCACGACGGCGCGCCTGGATGCGTGGGTCCGGTTCGGGGGCGGCGAGGTCGCGGCCGACCTTGGCGACGGCGACGTGACGCATGTTGTCGTCGTCAGCGGGGGCGATGCCGACGGCGCGGGCGAGGTGGCGATGGGGATCAACGCCCGGGTCAGCGAGAGGGAGGACCTCAGGCGGCCGTATGTGGTGACGGAGCGGTGGCTGGAGAAGTGCTGGGAGGAGGAGACGCTTGTGGCGGAGGAGGCTTATAAGCCTTGACGTGCGTGGTGGATGCATAAATACGTACCCCTTGGCGGCTTTGACCAGCATCTGGTCTCTTGGAAAGGAGGTTTTGGGTTCGGGTTGAGATGGGGCGGCATTTCGTATCACTGCGCATGGTCGTCTACGGCCTGGATGAATTTTTTGACGGTTGGATTTGGAGGAGATACCACTGGAGTCAATTGATTTTGGGGCGCCCTTGTGAGCCGGATTTTTAAGAAGCATCCATCTTTTCTGATTTCGTGAGGACGGTTATGCCACCACGATTTCGTACCTGCTGTACAGTTCCCACACAGTCACGACAGATGGGAATACAGGTGTAGTTCTTCAAGGCAGAAGGACGTTCCCAGAGGAAAGAGACGGTGGGGCTCGGGATGTATGTATCCTCTAGGACGCAATGAATCACGACGAACAACGTTATAACTCGATCAGACGTCAGTGGGATGAGACTGCGATCAGCATAGAGCAAAGTCACCACTCGACACTTCCGCCGCCATCCCGTGGCCTGCCTGGCACAATGTGCCCCTACTTTTCCTGCATTGCCCGACGCATTGCGACTTCACGAGAGGGGGGAATGGAATAATAAGGACCAGGAGTGGCGGCTGTCTGAATCAAGTATCTTTATAACCCTGTATCTAACCCGCTACAGCCTATCCGGAGCCAGCCTCGCGAGCTGTTCCAGGGACTAGGCGGCGGGCCCCGCCTGGTCCACACCGGATCCAAGCGGCGGTGCTGGCGTCATGACGGTGTCGGTATCTGCCGCAACGGGAGCGGCAGCGGGCATTCCACCAGTTGTCGCGGCCCGCCCAGGCACCGTCGGGGCCGGTCCTGCCTGTGGGGCCGGTCCTACTGTTGCCTTTGTATCACCACCAGGCGGCGGTATCGACGGTGGTATCGCCGCCGGCGGGGGAGGTAATCCCGCAGGCGCGGTCGCAGGCGCCGGGATGGTGTTTGGCAGCGGCACCGAGCCAGAAGCGACAGGCGCCGCCTGGGCGTCGGCACCCTGTCCCATCGGTGCCATCGGGGCCATCGGGGCAGGGGTTGTGCCCATCGGCGCCGTCGGAACCAGCCCAGTGGACGAGGCAGTACTCTTCGTCGTCGTCGTCGTCGTCGGCGGCGGCGGCGGTGGCCCAGCAGCCTCGAGCCTGGCCTTCTCCTCCGCGGCGAGCTTCTCCTCCCGCGCCTTGCGCTCCTCGGCCTCCTTCTTCTCCCTCTCCTTGCGCTCGAGCCTCTCCTTCCTCTCCTCCTCCGTCTCGGGGCGCGTGAACCGCGCGGGCACGCCCTGGGCCGCGTCGTCGCCGCGGCCCACCCACGTGCCCGTGAGCTGGCTCCACTTGAAGTCGCCCGCCACGAGCTTCTGGATCTCCTTGAAGGCGTAGGCGTTGTGGTATGGCAGTCCCGTCTTGGGGTCCCTGTACTTGGCTGGGTGGTTTGTGATGACGCACAGGGGCGCGGGGGTGGGTTCTGAGGGGCGGGCGGTGTTGATTAGCTTTCATTATTGTTCTTGAGGTCGGGACAGGACAGATCCAACATGGGTAGACTTACTCGCCAGCTTGGTCATCTTGCGGCCGAACAGGATCTGGGTCTGGACATCGGGCTTCTTGATGGCGTCTTCGTCAAAGTCTTGGAGAATGATGCAGCTGCGGGTGACTTTGCCTTCCAGAGGCGGCTCGGGCGATGGGGATTTGGGAGGTGGAGGAGGGGGCTTCTTCGGAGCTGCAGCTTTGGCGGCCTTCTTAGCGCTGGCTGCTGCCTCCTTCTGTTGCTTCTTGGTAAGCTTCGCGGGAGTTCCGGTCGGAGCAGGAGCCGCTCCTGGCGATGGAACTGAGGCTGGACCTGGACCTGGAGCCGGACCTGGAGCCGGAACGGCGGGCACAGGTGCCGCGATTGGCATTATCGGCTGAAAGCTAGCCGTTGTATGGATTGCTGATGGTTGCGGTGCGGGAGGAGGTTGTTGGAATGGGCTTGGGAAAGCGGAAAGTGGGTTGGGTGCTTGATTTGATCCTGGGATTGGGATGGGAGCCGCAGCAGGTGACGAGGGGTTCAGAGGCGAAGGCGAGTGAGAGCCATTTGGGGCAGCCAGGCCAGCGGGGCGAGGAGGATGTTGAGCCGCGTATCCCAAGACCGGCACCGGTCCATTGAACATGCTGGGCATGCCGACTGGAGGGGCAAGGACACTCGGCTGGGGCGATTGGGTGAGATGAGGATTCGGAGGCGGCATAAACCGCGGTCCTATATCCGGCCTAAGGGCCAAGGGCAGCTGTGAGGTGCTCTGCGGCTCCGTCTTGACGGGTGGCGAGGGCATCGAAGGGGACATATTTCTCGATTTCGGAGGCACGGAGAGAGGAGAAGGGCCTGAAACCGGGGGCGATGCTGCTGGGCCCGAGGCTGCTGGGGACGCAGACAGAGGCCTCGGGGGAGGTGTCCCACGAGCGTGTGCCATGGGAGCGAATATGCCGGGACTCGGGATTCCTGGTGACATGGACTGGGGCCTCGAGGCAGATAGAGGGCGAGGTGGGATGGTGACTGGTGCTATGGGCGCCGGCACTGGCGTTGATACCGGCACTGTCGTGGGCGCGGGTGCAGAAAGGGGTGCAGCTGCGGGTGCGGTGGCCGTTGGTAATGAAGGCGGCGTCTGCTGAGTGCTGATCTGCTCGTTTGTAGCTTTTTGGGTCGTAATTTGCTCCGTTGAAGGTTGGCTAGTCGCAGGCTGCCCCGTCGTGAGTTGCCCACTCGTCGTCGGCTCAGCGGTGTTCTGCCCAGTCACAGGTTGCCCAGCCGTGGATGTCCCAGTTGAGTTTTGTTCAGTCGTAGGCTGTGCTGTTGTAGGTTGTACAGCAGCAGGCTGTTCTGACGTAGATTGCTCACTCGCCAGAGGCTGAGTTGTTGGGTTTCCAGTAGCTGAAGACTCAGTCGTGGATTTCTCAGTAGGCACCTGTGTAACAGTACTCTCGGATTGCTCAGCCGCCTCTTTCTTGGGGCCTTTTGGCTCTCCTTGTGTTTCTGGCACAGTCTGTAGGGTGGAGCCTTCTTGTGCAATCGGCGTAGGGGGGACTGTCTCTGAAGCTGCTGTCTCCGCCTTGGGACTGGCCGTAGCCGCAGTGCCTGCATTCGAGACGGCTGTGGATGGTTGGTCTGGCTTGGGGCTCGGCGCGGCGGTATTCGCACCCGTATTCGCGCCCGTATTTGCGGCAGTAGAAGCGGCAGTGGACGGCCTCTTCCGCTTGGGTTTCTCCTCGATGGACACCAGCTTGCCCACGTTCTTCAGCTGGGTCTCGCTGAGGTCGACGATGCCACTCCACATGGTGACGACGGGGCCCTCGAGCCGGCGGTTGTTCAGCGCCGCCAGCTTGGCCCGGCGCTCCTCCTCGCGCACCTTCTCGGCCTCCTCCCACCTGTTGAGGCTCTTTGAGTTCGTCTCCTCGACCAGGGCGGCCTCGGCGAGCCTCTCGGCCTGCGTCATGGGCGGCTTCTTCATGGCCTCGAGCTTCTTGGCCTTCTTCTCCATGAGCTCCACCTGCCTCTTGCGCCGCTCCTCGCGCTCGACCATCTGGTTGTGCAGCTGCTCCTTGCTGAGCCTGGTGGTCTTGCGGTCGGACGAGCGCGTGGGCATGTCGGCGGCCGAGGGCAGCCAGCTGGCGCGCTCCGACTTCTTCTTGGGCCGGGGCTTGGGCGGCTCGGCGGTGGTGCTGGTCGGCGTCGGGGGCTGGCTGATGCGGACCTTCTTCCTGAACCGCGCGGGGATGGCCTGCTGGGCCTTGCGCTTGCGGGCCGCGAGCTTCTTGTCGCGCTCCTTGCGCTGCAGCTCCTTCTCGCCCTCGTCCTCGGCCTCGGCCTCGTTCTCGTCCTCGTCGTCGGACGAGTCCATCTGCGCGTCGGAGCCGTCGTCCTGGCCCCTGTCGCTGAACCCGGCGTCGTCCTCGTCCTCCTGGAACAGCAGCTCCAGGTCCGAGTCCTCGTCGGCGGGCTCCTCGTTGGCGAGCATCGACTTCATGCGGTTGCCGGCGGTGGACCGCTTCGCGCGTGCCGTGGCTAGCCATTCTACCTGGGGTGCGGGCGACTCGCCCGAGTCGCTGTCGGAGTCGCTGCTTGTGGCATGGCTGTCTCCGTCGGTCAAGGGTTCCGGGACGGGTGAGGGCTGGTCTTCGGGGTCCGTTGCCATCGTGTTTGTCGTGCGCCCATCACAGGCTGCCGGGATTCGAACAGAACCGGATAAAAGTTTGGGCCTCTACTTGTCTATTGGATCATCGTGGGGCACTGCGAATCTTTGCGCAATGTGGCTTCGAGGCAGTGATCGTCGAGTCGAAGGGCGATGCGTTGTGTGGCGCGCGTCGTCGCGTTGTCTGCGTAAATGGACGGGGATGTTGTGGTGAAGACTGAAAAAAGTTGAATGGCTTCTTCGCAGTAAAATGGGCGCTGTATCGTAGCTGCTCAGTGTAGCATGGGTTTAGACCGTAGGCTTGTCTTAGCATGTGACATCACTGGCAGGGCTGACCCCAGACGGGTCCAGGCGGCTCGACCCCTGCAGGTAGGCCTGGAATGGCTTGTATGCATTTCTTGACCCGTGTGTTTGTCTTGTCCATTTTGCCCTGCTTATGGAAATTCTATGTGCTCAGAGATTGGGACGATAAAACTTGTATGGTTTCCGGATAGGAATATATGATCCTTGCTTTCCAATTCTCATCGTCAGCAAAAACATAGTAAAAAAGCATAAACCAGGGCTCCCCAAGCACAATACCCATAAGGCGAACCCAATTGCCGACAGTTAGCACACCAGGAGATTATAGCAAGGTACTGTAACCGTGCATATGTATTCTGCTCCTTAATACATCCACAACAATATGTGCCACACTTCACACTCTGGTGATATGAACCCGTTCTCTAGCTTGACCCTTTCAGCCTGTGTGCTGGACTGATTCCTCGATCTTAACGAAGGAAAAGGTCCCTCACAGGCACAGCATCACTGCCGACTGAAGCCACAAAGACAGGCCTCTATTCTACCTCAGCCCGCTGAGGGTAGTCTCCACATCCCTCAGGCTATCCTCCAGCGCCTCGTCATGCACCTTGACAATCTTCCCCATGAGCTGCTCCACGATGCCAAGCACGGCACTGGTCGAATGGACATATCGCCTCTGCACCCCAGGGCGCGTGTTCTCCATCAGCGCCGCGACGAGCTGCAGCACAGCGACCTGGAACTCGTACACGGCAGGTGGCTGCTCGGCGTCCGGCACGTCCCACCCCGCGACGGCCGTGACGACCGCCATCCACGCCTCGCGGCTGCCGGGGCTCTCCCCCTCCACCGCCGGGATCAGCACGCGCACGATCTCGACGCCCCTGGCCGCCTCGGCCTCGTCGCTCGCGGACGAGGTCGACCGCAGGATGGCGAGCAGGTCCCGCGTGAGGACGTCCCAGCCGTCGTGCTCCAGCAGCGCCGCGGCGCCGTCCTCGAGCGCGGTCGTGCCCTCCAGCGCGACGAGGACCGGCCGCCTGAAGTCGAGGCGCGCCCCTCGCTCCGCGCTGGACCTGTAGAGGTCCATGAACATGTCAGTGAGCCCCGTGGCCTCCCTCCTCAGCATGTCGTTCTCGTCCTCCCGCAGCCAGAGGGCCAGCGTCCTGATGGCGGCGAGGATGAGGGGGTCCTGGTTGGCGCGGTCAATCTTGGAGTCCCAGGACAGGGTGAAGTGGGAGCCCCGCGATGTGTTGGCCGCGCCTGGCCTTGCGTCTGGGTGGAGGCCCATGGCGCCTGCTTCTGCGCCGTCCCACCGGTCGCGCAGGTACTCGATCGCGAGGGACAGGGTCTCGGCAATTGACTGTCGTAGTTTGAATAGGAAGTTTGGTGCCATCATGAGCGATATGGAGTTCTCGGGGCTTTCGTCCTCTAGGAAGCGGACGAGGAAGCCGATGAAGGCCGACACGACGTCAAAGGCTGATGCGATACGCTTGGATATACTTTCGTAGTTGGGATCGTTGAGTTTAGCCAGCAGATTTGGGAAGGATGAGCGGAGGTCGACGAGTACCAGGTTGACCAGGAGGTATGGGAACGGCTTCTCTGACTTGCCCTCGTCGGTGAAAAGCAGTTTTGATGCCGCAGCGGGATAGATCTGAAGTAGGGTAGCGGCGAGGTTTGTGTAAGCCGCACGGCCAGCTGCTGTTGGCTTGCTAGTCACGAGGTTGCGGATGAAGCCCGTGATGGTCTTCAACCAGGCTGGATTTTGGGTTAGGCACTGTGGAATGGTCAGTCACAAGCACTCAGAGCAGGTCCACCCGGGCAGCTCACTTCGGGGCTGAGTCTCCGCAGGAGCTCGGCGAGGAAGGCCAGAAGGGTGACAGCATCTGTGCCCTTGAAAGATGCGACCAGGCTTTGGATGATGTTGTCAAGCTTGGACTGCATAGAAGCCGCATCTTCGACGAAGGCGGCGGACTGAGCGTAAGCATAGAGAAAGATGTTCAACGCCAGAGGTTGCGAGGGGGCAATCTCGATGAGAGCGCTGACATCGTCCACGGAAACAAACTCCTTGGCCCCTTCTGGCCGGCTGACGAGAGTCAGTAGAGTCTGCAGCACAAGCTGCGTCGTCTCTTTGGAGCTGCGTCGGCGCGTCAGCGGAGGCTCGAGATGTGGGGGAAGAGATGACTTGCCTGTGCAGTATCACCGACACCAGCGCTGGTACCCGACCGACAAGGCTCGGTTCCTTCTTTGACTCGTCTGGGAGGAGAACCGAGAAGATGTGGACGACACCGACAGCGATATCGATCATGTCCCTGGCGTCCTTGGGCGATGGGCCCGCCTTGGCACCGCTCCTCAGGAGGCGGTCCAGGAACTTGGGCGACACGCTGTGCCACAGTGTCGTGACGGCTTCCTCATCTTCTCGGAGTTGTGGTGAGTTGTCGAGGACAGACTTTAGAAGTGCGAGGCCGACAAACCTTGAAGTGTCGTTCTTGGTCTTGAGGAGCTCCTGGATCCTCTGTATCGTCACGGCTGCGTCGGGGTTGTTGTTGGTGCTGTCGCCCGTGTCCACGTCCTGCGCCAGACCTGCTTGGGACGAGCCTTCCGCGGCCATTGCGATAGACAAACCGAGTCTCTATCCCAAGCTCAAGAGGTCCAGTCTTTTGAACGCTTTTGCGTCAAATAAGGAGATGGCGCACCCAACTTCAGTGTAATCACGGAGCTTTTACAATCGTTGGCAGGGTCTGTAAAAATTTTAGTGACGTCAAAAGGGACCGTTGCTTCAGGGTTCAGTGCACCATACCTGCCGCTCACAATCCGTCCACATGAAGTACCTGCGACTCCTTCATCAAATAACAACATCTGAGAGACCAAAAAAAATCAAAATCAAAATCACAATGCCGATAGCATTAGCATTAGCATTAGCATTAACACAGACTTTTGCGGGATGCTGTCAGATCGGTCTACTTGACGCCAGCGCGAGGTAGAGGACTCCCTGACACGACTGCCAAGGGTGGGCTTTCTCCCAGGTACTTGCAAGGGCAGGCTAAGCCAGGTCCTGCAAAAGCTCGTCGCCATTGTAGAAAGAATCACCGAGAATTGCAAATAAGAATCAATTTAGAGCCATGTGGAACTCTTTAGCACGTTTCTTGATATCCTCTGCTTTCCCCTGGTCCTGCCCCGTGTTGACGGGCCATTCTTGCCGCTCGAGGAACGGATCAAATAATCCCAAAAGATCGGCGTCTGAGTAGCGCTTATAATTGTCCCAGAGTCTCCTGATAGCTGTAGGTTGAACTCTGACAATATAGACCCTGACAACTTGGAACCTGGTCCATTGTCAATTGTAGATGCTGCTATATCCTTGACAAAAGCTGTCCCCCATCCGGCTGTATGAACAAATTCAAGATCGCAAAGAGCACTGCCTGCATAAAAGTTAGGATAATTATCACTTGATGCTTGCCATGTTGCTACCTAATATGTTCAAGTTGTCTCGGTGTTTGCCTGATGCGCTCTAGCTGAGCGTGACACGCGGTCGGATTTAGTAGATATTGTGTTCCTTTCGCCAGCCTCCGCTGAAGATGGCGAACATTCATGGCATGCAAAGGCCTGAAGTCGAGAACATTAATGTTGTCCCCCACACGGATCCACGAACGAACTCGGTGAGTCGATCGTGGTACGGCAAGGCTTTGAGTTGGCATAGCTCCTCGTCTCTCGCTTCTCTGAGATTTATTTCTTCTTGGACACTCCCCCGCCAGTTGATAAATCGTGCATTTGATGTGGCCATATGCAAGAAATTTTATTGATCGATTTCCACGGCGATGAAAATATTTGGAGGTGTGGTATGGACTGGGTTCAGCGGTTTGCCGAATGACCGGTGCCATCGGGACCTGGGCACCATAAGTCTTATTATATATCTGCAGCTTTTCCTGCATATTTCCCCTCATACGGTCTGTTCTCTCGTTTCTCATGCTCATCTCTTACCGTAGCCTCACTACAACCCTTTCAATCCTGGAAGTGTATTACCTGGTTTCACTTCTATAAGCATACATCCAGGGACATATATGGCGCCTTCATAAGGTGGTGAACGCTTGAGACCCAGAGTTTAAAAAGATAATGTACCTATAACTATAATTATAATACGATAGGTGCATGTGGACTCAGCCTTACGGCGTACAGAGAAGGCTAAGGGGCGCACCGTCGTGACGGGGAAGTGTATTAATCCAATCCGTAATGAGCCGCGGCATTGAGACTTCAGGATAACATGCTGGCAAGTCTTGTCCTGTCGGCCCCCAACTGGGCTTGTGTCTTTCCTATGTTTGTTAATCAGAAATTAAATCATTTGTCTTTACTACCTAGGTACTGTAGGGCATGATCGGGAGGGGATGGGTATCAACAATAAGAGTTATGTTTAAGCGTTTAGCAGTCACTGTCAGGTACCCACAGATTAAGAATGAAACCACATTATCCTACCTAGTTATTTTATCATTCTAATAACAATTTTCGGACTGGTACTCCTATATGGCTGCCATGGGCGGTGACACGCCACATGGGTCACCATTGCCGAAACCCATTACCGCTACACCTGGGCTGCTGGGTAAGAACATTGAATCAGTGATTCTAACAACCCGCCTACCGATGCTTCCTAGACAAGCTAGACAAGCCTACAGTCATTACTGGGATAGTGCCATGCTGTGGAACATGAGCAGCAGGCAGTCTTGGCTGTGTGTATGCGAGTGTGCCGCAACGCTGCCAGGGGCGGTTTTGATTTGTCTTATTTCCAACATCACATGCAAGCTTAGGAGAATTTGGATTGGGTCCTGTGTCAGCGCCTAAATCAGTGATAAGAGAAGCACATTCCCAGCCGGCCTGCATGACACTATGTGCCAACTCACAGTCAAGCATGCAACTCAACCCAGGAATTGCCTAAGTGCTTTTCGATCGACATGATCTCGGAATGAACATACTGCAGCGCGACGATATGAGCAAGTAACCACCCCCCCAATTCACAGCCTGCTGACCACTCTCGGCTCCTTGCGTGACGCCACGAGCAACAAAACCCCTCATCTCACAGCCTGCTGATGACTTCCAGCTTCCTATTCGGACTTCGAATGAGCACTTCACGCGTATCTGCTATCTCGAACAGTACCCTATAGCTCAGAGCCTTGCACACAGCAACGCCGGTATGACAAGTATAAATATAGAATGACACAAGCGTGAAGCCCTCACAGATAAGTTACCTCTCACACTGTTCCATGACAGTGATTGATACTTCGCCTTGGTCAACGACGGGGGCCAGCTGACAATAGGAGGATTATGTCCGTTTCATGACATCAATATCAAACGTACACTGTCTATTTCCTCCACATGTGCGGTCTTGCAGGTGTGAGAAACAAGCTTCTCGAGTTCCGCCAGAAGCCGAGGACGGAGCCCAAGATCGATATGGCGAACCCTCCCGGCCCGGGAACACTCATCAAGAGGCATTCCACGGGGCGGGAAATGGTCCCCGATTTGGGCGGACAAATCAAGCAGAACTTCGTGCAGTCAGCATACCCGACATTCGACCGCAGGCATCCAGACACTACCTTCATGCCTGAAGGCAAGCTCGAACAGCTGTTCACCACCGATGCTGTCAAGAAGGCACTAGGCACGCACTACTCCAAGAGAACGTATGACTTCATCCGCCGCAAGGCCTGCAAGGTGTTTGCCACTCTGGTGTTCATCGACAAGGCAAAAGCTATCAAAGACTTCGAGGAATTTGGTGTTTGCGACAATTATCTGCCCATTGTTCTGGAGCCTGATGCAAAAAGACCTCACATATTCTACCTCGTGTCCAAACGCGATGTGAATAGCTCAGAGTGTGAAGACGCACTGGCACAACTCCTTGACGCCACATGCAAGAATGAATGGTCCATGACAATTTGGGCCATTGAGACTTTCTGTGACTCGCAATGGAAGTTCATGGCCCCCGTGTTTTCCGAAACGTCACAACGTTGCAGGTTCTCTCCAAGGAGAGTTCTGCCTTTCTACCTTCCACCCGGAGTGGATCCTGTTTCAAAAGCGAGCACCTTCAGCACCGTCTACCAGGCTTGGGTGCACCCATCCAACCACAATTTCAAGGACCCCGTATGTGTTTAACATGCCGCATTGTGGATTGAACAGAAAACTCTAACAAATCGCTCTAGGTATTCCCAGAAAAAAAGTTGGGAGGTCCAGTGGCAGTGAAGATGCTCAGTGTCAACGTCAGTGTTGTGGACAACTACAACGTGACGACTGCATACGACAATGAGATCGAATCCCTGAAAATTTTCCAGAACGTCTCAAATGCACATCTAATCAAGGCTTTGTGCACCTTCCAGCATGGCGACAATGGTTACTACATCATGTTCCCGTGGGCCACTGCCAATCTGCGAGAGTACTGGGAAGACAATCATCCTGGAGATTCCGATAGTGGGGCCCCTGCTGCTGCTAATGTAAAATGGATGTTGGAGCAACTTGCAGGTTTGTCAGGTGCTATTCGCAGCCTTCACTTCCTCAAGGACAGTCATTATCTATCTCCGAAGGTCGCAGAAAATAAAGAGACAAATTGCCGGCATGGCGACTTGAAACCAGACAATATTCTGCTCATGGGCCCTGGCAAGGGAAGACTGGTCATTGCAGATGTTGGCCTGACCAAGGTACACGGCGAACCCACGAGATTTCGCAAGGATGCCACTCGCTCCATCGCGGGTACGGAGAGATATGAGCCGCCAGACATCCTCCATGGTGGGGCTAGATCTCGAGCCTACGATATATGGTCTTTCGGCTGCATCTGCCTTGAGGCCATCGTTTGGATCCTCTATGGAAAATCCGGCTTGCACACTCTTCACCGTCAAATTCTAGGTCAACACAAATTCTGGTTCTCACCGGATGCAGAACGAACTCTGGAGGCTTTACAGAGCGAAACGAGCAGCGACACCTCGCGTATGGAGCCTGGTGAATTGGACAACCTCAAAAGGCGAGCTCTTGCGTCTTGCACAATAAATCAGAACATTCGGGTGCTTCTGGAAGAGATGAGGAGAACGGACCCACGGTGCTTTAGCGACTCTCCCATCAAGGCTTTACTTGAACTGGTGGACAGCAGGCTGTTGATGATCAGAATCAACCGTGTGGACAATCCACTAAAGCGGCAAGAGTGCCGTGCGGATGCCAAGGAAATGTTTGGAGCGATAGAGGCTATACACGTTCGCGCAGTGAAGGATAAGAAGTATCTGGATAATTGCCTGAAAAGTTACCCCATGCCCCAGATAACCCCGAAGCCACAAGCTCCACCCAGGCATGGAGCCTCACTCGGAGACGACTTGGTCCACCACGCGGTACACGACCGTGTTTCTGCCCCTCAGGGGGTTAGGAATGCACCAACGGATGACATAGTCACCAGAGAGGGAGTACCGGTACGTCACTTCTTGCACTTGCGAATCTTGCCGGGACATGATCATTGACCGCAACTTGGGTGTCCACACAGAAAGTAAGGATTGCTTTGTCTGAGCAAAGAAATGAGGATGAGTAGGACGCCGGAAGGGATTTACTAACAGGAACATTGTTTAGGGAGTAAGTCTCCTCAACAGCCCACCCATATGGCTATTGCTAACACAATTTGTGCCATGATAGTATGTGCGTATATCCGCCTAGCCGAACTTCACAGTACTTTCACCAGAGCTAACCACCACGCATCAGCGTGGCGTAAGTGCACCATTCAAATTGCAGGTCGTTAGATCATCGATAGCTTGAGCCAACGTCATATGCTAACAACTCGATTGAATTTTGGGCCTCAGGTTGTAAGTCATGCCTCTAGTTGCAGTTATGTCCCGGTGCTGACTTACAGTGAAGACAGTAAGTTTCTGAATAATATCCAGTCCCGCTGTTTTGATGACTTCCAATAGCTTTTACTAATTTGATCAACCAGCCGGTGAGTTGGATCAACCGAATGCTTTAATCTAGCCTACCCTTCTAATGGCATGATTAGCTCGACGATGTCTGGACCTTCTCTGGAGATGGCATCTTCGCTCGAGATCTGTTTCGTAAAACCAAGCCCTGGCTAGTGTTCCCATCAATTCCTCGGAAGCCCAATCTGAGAAATGGCTGTGCCGGTCTTGACATATGGGAAGGCGGGTTTTCAATTAAAACCACCGTTGCGAAGCTGCAAACAGAGCAGGAAAATTGCGACTTATGTCTGATGCTCTTTGAATGTGTAAAACGAAACGGAAAAATTAATGAGACCCATGTGGAATTCTTTCGCATTGGGTCGACATTCTCTTTCAGTCGGTACCAAGAGCCTGTTCTATCAATTATTGGGCACCCAGGTATGACATGCAAACCCCAACATCTTCCCGGAAAGCCAGAAAGTGCTGAAGGACACGCGGTACAGACTTTGCTGCCCCGGCAGCCGTATCTCTACAATTGGGATTTCCTCAACTTCCATCCATGATGAGTGTAATTCAAACCGCGCTGCTGCGCGAGTGGATTCGGGTTTGCGATACTTCACATCGCTGTTGGTCTGAAGACAAACGCATCTTACCCACACGACTCTTGGACGTCAACTGCCCTGGACACGGAGATGATTCTACGATCCAACTTGTCAAATCGTCTTCTTTAAAATGCAATCCCAAATATGTTGCACTCTCTCACCGCTGGGGGACAATCGGGCCTTCTATGCAGGCTACCAGCGACAAGATCACGTATCTGGAGCGAGGATTCAAGACAACATCACTTCCGCAGACTTTCCAAGATGCAGTCTATGTCACGAAGGAGCTAGGGCTACGCTATCTGTGGATTGATTGTCTCTGCATTATACAAGACTCTGATCAAGACTGGCTCTACGAGTCCGTGAAAATGGAGGATGTTTTCGCCAATGCCTATTGTACCATCGCTGCTACCAGATCTCGGTCATCTGAAGACGGCTTCCTATCTCAACAGCGAGTGGAGCGATTATGCAAGGCGGTGCGGCCTTTGAAGGGTCCGCCGTATTATATCTGTGACCGGATCGACGACTTTCGAGAAGATGTCGAGAATAGCGAACTGAACCAGCGCGGCTGGGTGTTACAAGAGCGGGCGCTGTCACGCAGAACAATTTACTTCGCTAAGCGCCAAATTTATTGGGAATGCGGGAAAGGAGTTTACTGCGAGACGTTGACAAAGTTGCAAAAGTAAGTTTGTTTCAACAGCTTTCCGATCGCTAGGCTTCTGTTGTGCCAGTGCACCTAGCACCTTCATTGCGCTCTGAAAGTTGTATTCTGGGATGCTAAAATTTTATTTACTTTAGTCGCAAATCAGCTTTGCTTGGAGATGCTCATTTTCCACAATACATTGAGGACCTGGCCAAGGACGACAAAATCAATTACTTCATTAGTCTTTACGAACAATACTCCACACGATCCTTCACGTATCCGGACGACCGACAAGTTGCAATCCTCGGAATTGAGCGGCGTCTATTAAAGTCTCTGGGAACGAGAGGAAAATACGGTGTCTTTGAAGAATACCTGCACCGCACCCTTCTCTGGCAACGAAACAAGAGCCAAGCGTCAATGAGATTGCTTTCTGAGAGGCTTCTCCGAAAGGTGCCATCATGGTCTTGGATGGCATATGATGGGGGCATCTCATATATGAAAGTACCGTACGGTCAAGTGATCTGGAACTCGCAAGAAATGCCCAGTCCTTTCAAGGATATGAGGGTAGATTCGGATGGCTTGTTGATCCATGAGCTGGAACTCGTTGTTGTGGGGCAAGAACTGGACATTGGCTATGAGTCGTTGGATATGACCCAAGTTGTGCTCGACTGTGGCAGGGATAATGATGGATCAGGTTGGTTGGTCGTTGTGTTGGGCGAGGAGAAGTATGTGCCTGGTCGCATCAAGGTATCCCGGAAGATCTATGTGATTCTTGTGTCGCCGTTGAAGGGAGACAGCACGGGTGTCCTCTATAGGCGAATAGGGGCGGGTACTCTACCGGGTCGAGAGGTCATAAAAGACGGATCGCGCAAGATCATCCGAGTGCGTTAGAGTTGATTTGTCGAAGGAATACGGATCCGGGGTCGCGAGACGCTGAATTTAATTGTATCGGATCTCTGCGCCCCGTTTCGGATGGAATTACTGTGGCTGTAGTGATTATACTGTTTGTTTTGGACCGTTTCTTGGAGGTACTTTGATCAATTCACATCATGGAAGCATCAGATTTCCAAGTCTACTGCTGGTTAAAGAATTGGTAAATGAGGTGATGTGTTTAATCTGGGCCGGCCAGGCGTCATATTGACTGCGCATGCTTGCTGACATTTTTCTGTACATTCTTGCTACTTGAGGGGGTACTTAGGCGAATGTCACTTGTGTCTGAGCATACCTAGCTACTTCCATGATTGTCATTTTTTCTAATCATAATCCAACACGATTTTGAGTTGCCTTACTTATAGTCAAACAATAGGTTGAATTAATCAGGGGGTCATACAGTCATGATAGTTACATTTAAATACTGAAAGGGTGTGGCAAACACAAGACCATGAACCTCAGCAGCATCAAGCCCTGCTCCAAGAACCGATGTAGGGAAACTAAATCGCGAGGAAGTGTGAATGGGGTGATTTGAATATCAATTCAGTGCGAATTGCGAGATATAAGAAATTTCAGGTAAGAGAAAGGCAGTATCATGTCTCGGGTCCCTCAGTGAGTCAGCCCTGGTCTCCGTGTGCTCGCTGTAGAACCGCTGACAGTAGTTCACATAGCTTCTTTGCGTCAATTCGGTCCTCTACCTTGACTCTGAGCAACTTGAACTCAATGGTATCGAGCAAATCCCCAAATGTTGTACCCTCCGCGCCCTCGGCCACCTGTCTGAGACTCGTGATATTATCGGCCACTGCAGGGTGGACTTCGATGCTGTCCTCGGCCGTGCTGTCCTTTTTGTAGTAAAAGAGAGCCAACTCGTCGTCGCCTACTGCTGTAGACTTCCGTGCAAGACTAAAATTCTCAACAGCACGCCAATCGCGCATGAACCAAATAGTGAACTCTAGGTATATGCACCCCAGAGACCAAATATCGTACTTGCGTGAGCGTGGTATGCCTCTTGATAAGGCCTCCGGGGCCTCATAGGAAGGAGTTGTTGCTCGGGTCGTTGTCTCTACTCCCTTCCTCTGCAAGGTTGCAACATTGTGGACGCGAGAAATCCCAAAGTCGGCAATCTTCAGGACACCGTACGGGTCTTCTTTGGCAGGAAAATGCAGGATATTGCCAGGTTTCAAGTCGCCGTGGCGGAAATTAGCCTGATTTCCAATTTGGTTATGGAGAAAATCAAGTGCCTCCGCAAGACCAAGCATCTGCCGCAGACACCAATCGGCTAGCTGAGGGGATCGATGTTCGCGATTCTTCTCCTTCCAGAAGTTGTCAAGGTCTCCCCCTTCAGCCCAAGGAAAGATGATGTACCTTTTGTTACCCTGGGAGAATGTCTCAAGGCTCTGGGTGATATGATTGCTCGAACATGAGCCACGAATCGCGTTGAGATTTTCCCGCTCCGTTTTGAAGTCGTTCGGGTATCGGAATTCCTTTAGTGCAACCTCGAGACTAGGTGCTTCGATCTTGGCTTTCGTTAGTTATGTCCCCTGCTGCCTAGGCAGATAGAAGGGCGGGGGGGGTTACAAGTTGACTGTGCTCACCTCGAATCCTTTTTGATGACTCGGATCGATCGAAACCTTATACACAACGCTGATCTGTCCCCCCGAGATCTCCTTTACCTTTACAAAAGGCAGTGGGCATTCTTGAGCAAGGTCCTTGTGCGCCCCTCTTGTGCAAAAGACAGGAGCCAAAAGTAACCACTGCGCCGTGTCGACGAAGTAATCTGCCTTTTCCGGGCCCCAATTGACAGGCCACTCGAACGTTTTCGTCTTCTTAGCCGATGAAGTCAAGCAGTTACCGCTCTTCAACAGTGGCAGGTCCTCATCCGTGAGTCCAGCGTCGAGCAGATCCTTGATCTCCCAGGACAAATTCAGCATTATCAAGATCGCGAACAGTTTTCTTCCACGTCCCAGAATGCTGTCTGCGAGCTTCTTCGAGCTTTCACTTTGTCGAGGCAATGGAAGCAGTCGTCGTTTCCGGTGCTTGTTAAGTTCAGCGATGACATTGTCTCTCGGTAGGATCTCACGCAGCGCGCTATTCGGGATGTATCTCCGACCGCTAAGGCCGTCCCAGAGGCGAGAATTGTGTAGCGCGCCGTATAAATCACTCGTAGCGGCCATCAAAGTCATAGATCGTATGCTTGTCTTATGCTTATTATCATTTCCTGGTGAAGGTGGTTGTGGGCTTCAAGTGAAACTCATTAGCATAGATATACTAGCAAATACGGAAAGGCTGTATAGGGTCTATGCGAATCGGAGTTTTCTGAGATTGAGAAAAAAAAGCAAGTCTTACTCACATTTGAAGTAGATGATCTCGTCGTCCTGAGTTTTTTTTGCCCCGAGTTCCCTGCACCCTCTGTAGCATACAGCAGTCGTCCTTGCGCTCTGGTCAGTGCCGAAGCCTTATCGAAACAGCATGTTTGGAAGGAGTGATACAAGAGAAGCGGGGTTTCTCTACGTCCCGACAGTTATATCTGAAGTCCCTCAAAGCCGGAGCCTGATATGTTTAGTGGCGTTGGTGTGGAAGAACGACAAGGCTCCGGAGCTTTCCGCGCCCATTTGACCGAGGCAACCCACCATCAAAGGAGGCGTTTTGGCTGACCGGTCACTAAAGAATGGCATTTGTGGTGGTTGCATTGTGCATGATCAACCGCACAATCATCCTTTCATGTGCAATGGGAGTCGTTTTTCCCTGAGGCAGGCTGCAGCATGCAGCCACTAGGGATGATGTGAATCCTTCGTGGGGGCTGTGGGCTATCAAGCTACTTAGGTACCCAGGTATGCTATTGGCCCCGTCTTCGGTGAAGATGCCTAGGTAGGAACTTGGCAACTCAGATCTGAAGTGACATGTGCTTGTTTCACAAGACAAGCGCGCATGTTCAGCTGCTCCCATGGCTGTGGTGGTCTCATTTTTGAATGTTCCATCTGCAACGGCAATAATTTACTCGCATTTGAGCCTCCTTCTGATACACAGCCAGTCGCCTCAATACTTAAGAACCATATCCAGCCATCGAAAAACTCTTCGGGGACGAGTTCCGATAAAGGGCATGGCTTAAATTGCCGGGAGTCTTGGTTGCTATATACTAAGGAACAAAAGGCGTCCTGGGGTAGCAGATTCCACCTGAACAGTCGAACAGTCGCTTTGTTCTACAAGTGAGTGGTACATTGAACATCACTGCTGCCAGCATGCACCCTTGCATCTATCACTCGATTGCAGCCATTCCTCGTGCTCATATACCGTCACCACAATTGGAGCTTCCCAGATTTAAGCTTCTCCACAAGTGTGGTGTTTACTAGTATTTTGTGGCAGGTGTAATAGATATTGTGGGTCCAGTCAGTGCTGGTCCTACTCAGATTACCCATAATATGCACCTGATATTAAGGAGGAGGCGCTGTTTGAGTTACAATCAAATTGTTGCAATGCTTGAAGTCAGAGACTTGGTTGGTACAAATTCCCATCACGATGCTGGAATAGAGGCGGTCTCGAGCCCGGCAAGAGGGTGAGCAATCGTCTAAGGCAGTTGTGTATTGGCTGTTCATGATTGAGGATTAAAAAAAGGGGGATTAGCTTCTTAGGGTCGACCTCGGCAGATTCTGCTGAAGAGTCATATGAGCTTTAGGCCAAATTCGACTACATAGTGTCAGTGCGCATATGAGCACAAAACCATTGCAAGGGGTGACTGTTCCTAAGTGACTCACGAGGGGGCCTTGGCAACTAAAAAGTACTTGAGGGCTCTATGCAGGCAAAGCTCGTGACATTCGATGTAACTAAGTAGATGATAGATCACCGAGAACCTGCCGTGGCGTGACAAAATTCCGCACAATCTATTGAAGTTTACACAAGATGGCCGAAGCAACCCGTACACCATTCGGGCATGAGATGCTTCAGCACTTTCTCTTGGAAGAGAAACAAGTCAACCTCAACCACGGTGAGTTGATCGAAAGTTGGTCTAGTGAGTTGGGAAGTAATGAATTCTCACAATTCTCCAGGCTCGTTTGGGTGCGCACCCAAGCCCGTCCGAGAGGCTCTGCGCCGCTTCCAGGACGCCTCAGAGGCAGCACCAGATCGCTACAAACGATATGAGTACCCGGATCTGCTTGACGAGTCCCGTGCAGCTGTCGCATCCTATCTGGATGTACCTGTCGATGAGCTCGTCATAGTTCCCAACGTCTCGACAGCCGTCAACACCATCTTGCGCAACCTGAGATTCGAACAGGGAGACGTGATCGTCTACCTGGACATAAGCTATCGCTCCAATGTGAACACGATCGAATACATCATGGAGACAACGGGAGCGGAGTCAGCCAAGGTCGACTTCACCCTCCCTTGCTCAGACGCCGAGATCCTCACTGCCTTCCGCAACACCATCCTCGCCCAGAACGGGCGCGCCAAGCTCGCCATACTCGACACCATCACCAGCCTCCCGGCCGTGCGCCTCCCTTTCGAAGAGATGACCTCCATCGCGCGGGACCTCGGCGTCATGACCCTCATCGACGCCGCCCACGGCATAGGCCACCTACCACTGGACATCAAGGCCCTGGACCCGGACTTCCTCACGTCGAACTGCCACAAGTGGCTGTACACGCCTCGGGGAAGCGCCGTCCTCTACGTGCCCTTGCGCAACCAGCACCTCATCCGCTCGTCCCTGCCGACGTCGCACGCCTTCCAGCCGCGGCCGCGGCCGGGTGCCGTGCGCGCGCTGAACCCGCTGCCCCCTTCTGACAAGAGCTACTTTGTGGAGCAGTTCGAGTTCGTGGGCAGCGTGGACAACGCGTCTCTGCTCTGTGCCCCCGCGGCTCTGGAGTTCCGCCGGACGGTCTGCGGCGGCGAGGCCGCCATCATGAGTTACTGCTGGGAGCTGGCGAAAAAGGGCGGCCTCGCGGCCGCCGAGATCCTTGGCACCGAGGTCATGGACAATGAGGATGGGACGCTGACGAGGCAGTGTTGTATGGTGATGGTCAGGTTGCCTGTCCGGATAAGCAATGCGGAGGAAGCCGCAGGAGTGCAGGCCTGGATTTGCGAGACCCTGGTGAAGCAACACAATACCTTTGTGGCCATTGTGTGGTACAAAGGAACATTTTGGGCTAGGTTTTCGGGTCAGGTATACTTGGATGAGAGTGACTTTGTGTGGGGGGCAAAGGTGCTCAAAGGGATGTGCGAGACCATCGCGGCGGGAGGTGTCCTGACCGTAAACTAGACACTCAAGAGAATTGATTCGCGTCTATACGACTTTGAGTTGCCGACTCCAATTTCATCTTTCGGGAAATACCCTGATCAATCGCAAATCGCAGGTGACGATACATATTTGTCACTGCCTGCCTCGCTCTGCCAGGCGTTCCAACAATAGTCTACGTTGAAATGCTTGAGCATCACGCCGGATTAGCTCTTCATCATTCACGAATTGCCATGCATGCGGACGGTATCAAGCCTCCACTTCCTCATTCAATTGATCTGCTAAGTGGCGTTGAAGCGTCCAGGAAATTGTTTTGCGTTAATTACAATATTATTGTAGTTTCATGCCACATGTGCTTGTCAGACGTCTGAAGCACAAAGCCGCGTATAGAGTTGGGCCAGGTGAGCAGACACGTCCATGGAATCCTTTCCGCGAACGGCAGAGGGTCAATTGTGAGATTCACAAAGGGCTTGTTCAAACGGAGTACGGGATTATGTACTAAGAGAGTTTGTCTCGAAAGCACATGAATCATTTGGAGATGATATAAAAAGATGCATGATGTCAACTTGAGCTGAACATTGGACCCCCTGATTGATATCATCCATCTTACAACAGCAAGCAATCATCACCTGAGCACTTACAACCCGGTGTAACTCTGCGATAAACTTGAACAGTACACTGAAGTCTCCCGACAGAGGATCAGGTAAGTAAACCACTATGAACACACAGGGAAGTCAAGGTAAGTTCACCGAGATGCCTTCGCAAGCCTCCTTGTCCCTGGACAGCGAGGGGCGTCAAGAAATGGATTCCCGGCCTGCAGCCGACACCCGAGCTACCACCAACAATCAAGAGGACCACGACCGGGAGACCACTCATAACAAATCTCCACCTTTCACGCCGAAACTTTGTGACGCAAAGGGAAATGCCTACAGATTCCGCTGTGGAGAGATATCTGCCAGCACCGGTCGGGTATGCGGGAAACCGTACGCGGTTCGCCAAAACATGATGTGGCACATCAACTCACACCGAAAGAATAAACGTTCGAGTCCAGCCGAACATAAAGTAGAGAATAACGGGACCGTAGCGAAGCTCAGGCCAGTAATCGTAGAGGCAATCCTGAGCGCTCCACATCAGCATTTATCCTTTGTGGAAATCAAACGCTACATTATGGAGAATTGTACATGGTATGAGAAGCCGATCGCGTCGCATGTCAATCTTAAGCGCCAGCTCTTTCGGTCGATCAAACCTCGGGGATCGAAGGTATTTGAGCAAGTCCCAGGAATGGCGGGCCGATGGCGGTTGAAAGCTAGTTATCGGGACGAGCTCAGACAAATTGAGGCCTTACCTTTCTTCTCAGCATCAGCGAAATACTAGTAGCTTGATATTCTGTCATTTTCAGTTTACGTGCTCTTTGAGCACACAATCCCGGTCGTTTCGGTCAGCTGTTTACAGTTACTTTTGTTTCAGGTTTGTTTTCTTATTTTGCTGCAATCATGTTTCATCTAATAAAACTCCCTCCCAGAATAATTTACTAAGACAGGATCTCAGTCATTACACATTTCTGTCCGCACATAGAGATTCATTCAAATTGTTGTACCTCAAGTGTTGATTTGGCTTTCCAATAATGTATTCTATAAGATCAATCTGATTCATGAAAACCTACCCTCCTCGCAGTCCGACCAATATCGTCGAGAAGCACCTAGGTATGAGATATATTAAGCATCATGGGAAAGTGAGACCATATCCCCTTCGGAACTGCCACCAACTGTTGGTCGCCGTCTACATCGAATGCAAGACTCTCTTTACCACGCCGTCTCTCACACCTTCTAAATGGAATATTTAGCCCGCATGCTGTCTGTCCAGGCGGAACAAGATGCGTTTGTCCGTGCGATATTGTTGGTACTGGCGAGTCATTCTTTGACTATCTAGCAAGCCTTAAAAACAAGCTTCATGATTATGAAGCAAATTCCAATGAAATCTGGAATTCGCAAATCGACGAGTCATCCCCATCACCCTGAAGAACTCTTTTCTGATCTACGACTCTAGATGAGCCCCGTGCTCGCTTCCAAGTTGCGACGCAACTGGATTGCCACCCTGAAGTGATGCCAGAGCAGCCCGCCCACTACAGATAGACCTCATCGAGGGTCCCAACAATGGCATTATAGTGTATCTTTGCCAGCGGTTGCCCGTTGTGTTGCTCAACACAAAGGACCCTTGTCGGAATGGGCCGAGGGAGACAAGCGTCTAGAATCGTCTTTCAGCCGAGGTCATAAGCACATTGTACAGGATACAAATAATTGTTCAAGATAAGGAGGAAGAGTACCCGAAAATTTGCTTTAACTTGACTGACGGTCCTCCGGTCTTTTTCGAAACCGCTGCTTGTCTAAACCTGTTTGGCAGCAATCGGATAGCCTCGCCTGCCTAACAAACCAAGAGAACAACACAGATCTGATACCTCGTAGCCCAGAGTTCAGCCAGCGGAAAAATACCTATGGACGGTCAACAACTCCGGAGGTACCGCTGTGGGGAGACGCGGGATGGTATGGTATGTGGGGTGACTTATTTTGTGCACAAGAATCTGACGAAGCACATGAGATCTGTGCACGGGTCTAGTGAGCCAAGCGCCATCTTCTATGTGAAAGGCAAGGCCGATTCGCTCAATGACTCGATCACCTCTTACCTGCACGCTACAACCACCCGAGTCGAGACGTCCTCCAACGACGAAGCTGCGCACCGGTCGAGGGACAACAGAGATTTTTGGGAGGTAATTATGGGAAAGGGTACGTGTCTTCCAAACCCAATCCCCGGCCAAACACCGACCGAGGATGATTCCCCTGAAATATGGGGCCCTCCAGATACGGCTCTCGTCAATGAAGCATACCAGAACCGAAAGCCACCGCAAACGATGAAAGAGCTGATCGCTGAGGCAATTTTGAGCACCCCTAATCAGGAAATGCCCATAGACAAGATCGTTGAATTCATTGCGACTCATTACCCGTGGCACAGAGAACGACCTCGGGGAGGACGATTAACTTATCTTGTGCGGCAATACCTTATGCGCGGGGCCCTTCAGAGGGAGCAGCTGAAAACGCCCATGCCCTTTGAAGAAAACCAGGGCTTATGGAGAGTGGCGGATTTTCTTCGTTCAGATCTGGAGGCACCGATCTGGACAGGATTTCTGGTTTCACCTCTGACTGAAATGGGGTTTGGGCATGTATACAATGTGCTACGGCTTAGCAAGTGGGTAGGACTCGGACAGAGGTATCGCGATTAACTTAGTCCTTTACCTACCGTAGCCACCTGAACACCGTTCAGCGACGCATGTAGATCTTGATAGCTTTTTTATTGTATGTATCCCGGTTCTCGAGTTTGAACAGAATCTTAGATTGCAGAGCTCATAGCCAGATTCTGAGCCCAATTTAAATAAGATCGTTTCCTCTCGTGTCGTAGTAAGTAACATTGTGATTAAGTTGAAGTTCACAGCAAATATATTTAATTGCTCAGCTACCAGATCAACTCCCCTTTTCCGCAGGAAGCTGTAAATGTGTGTCTATAGATTTCAACTACCTCAGTAGGGAAAGTGGATCTTGTGAGAGGGAGTATGGTCTTCCGGGGGCAAGGAAAGTCTAGTCTGAGGGGAGGGCCTCGCAAGAAAAAGAGGGTCCAGGAATGGCTATTTTAAAGAAGATAGGAATAAAAACGCCACCGAGCGGTAGCACTGTTCTGCAGTGAGTAGGATGCTCCTTATGGCAGGGGGGAGGGTACGTACCGGCTGTGTCTAGACGCATGCGGGTCCCCTGACAGAGAGGTCTTGGCAACGGCCAAACAAGCCAGGGCCGGGGTCGCATGTGCCAGCCGGCAGCGAGCGACTCAGCCGCCCGTCCAACCTCACACTAAGTCCTCGCTCGCTCCGCCGCCCGACTGCCTTGAGCTTGCGCGGCCAGGGAATCTCGAAAAAGCCAATGCGACCCGAGCTCGACGAGTCGTCGCACCGGAAGATGAGTGCATTCCCACCCGCGCCTCACCGCGAAACAAGCAGACGCCGCCCCCGACCATGAACGACGGCCTCGCCAACGGGGAGGCCTCGTCGTCGTCCTCCTCCCAGTCGCCCCGGCACGGCACCCATGCGCTACCACGAGACGAGGACAACGACGCCCGCCGGCCCGACACGGCCGACAGCGACCTCCTCGGCGATGACCCCCTCACCCAGGACCACCTCGCCGAGCCCATGTCCTTCAAGCGCAAGCAGAAGCGCCCCGGGGTCGGCCTGGGCATCCTCACGAGCCTGGCGGGGTCGCTGCGGGACCAGAGGGGCGGAAACGGCAGCTCACATATGGGAACGGCAAGGCTGCAGGACGACGAGGCTGAGGATGACCCATACCCAGAGACATATCACTCCTCGCCCAGGAGGAGAGGCGGCGGCACCACCACGACCGGCTCGACCCCGAAGGACGGCGCCCCTCTCGACTGGCACGTCGAGGGCCCAGGCCAGCGCGTGGGGTACGAGAACCTGACGGCCATCGACTGGATCTTCGAGTACACAAAGGAGAGGGCCCGGCTGAGGGTGCTGAACTCGAGCGCCGTGGGCCTCGTCGGGTACGCCCAGCGCCTTCTCGATGCGAGCCAGGAGTGGATCATCCTCGTCCTGACGGGGCTGCTAGTCGGGTCCCTCGCCGCCGGCATCGACGTCGTCTCGGACTGGCTGGGCGACCTCAAGGCCGGCTACTGCTCCACGACGGACGGCGGTGCCTTCTACCTGAACAAGAACTTTTGCTGCATGGGCTACGACGAGGGCGCGCAGTGCATGGGCTGGCGTCCGTGGGCCGCTGCGTTGCACATATCATCAGCTGCGGGAAAATGGATCATAGAATATTTCTTTTTCGTCTCCTTGTCCGTATGTTCGGCGCCCCATTCCTGCCCCTCCAAGAAGGTATTTCTGACGATCTATAGGTGTTCTTTGCTCTTTGCGCCAGCATTTTGGTAAAGGAGTACTCGGTCTATGCAAGACACAGCGGTATACCCGAGATCAAGACTGTGTTGGGAGGTTTTGTCATTCGGCGCTTTCTTGGTACATGGACCTTGGTTACGAAGTCCCTCGGGCTGGTATGCTGCATTTCCCACCGTGTGCTGGTTCTGCAACTGACAATGTGCTTAGTGTTTAGCTGTGGCTTCCGGCATGTGGTTGGGTAAGGAGGGCCCCCTGGTCCACGTTGCCTGCTGCTGCTCGAATCTATTCATCAAGCTTTCCCCCGCCATCAATGAGAATGAAGGTACTGTGTGTTCCTTCTGCGCCCAACTGACAATTATCTGACTTTTTTCAGCTCGGAAAAGAGAGGTGCTCTCTGCCGCGGCGGCATCGGGCATTTCTGTGGCCTTTGGCGCCCCCATTGGCGGTGTGCTCTTCAGTCTCGAGGTATGACCAACTCAACGAATGTCCCATATGATTAAAAGAAGAAGCTGTTGACTTGTTGTAGCAAATCTCGTATTACTTCCCCGACAAGACGATGTGGAAAAGCTTCGTCTGCGCCATGACTGCCGCTGTTGTCTTGAAAGCTCTGGACCCTTTCCGTACGGGGGAAACTGCCCTGTATCATGTCAAGTACAGCACCGAGTGGCACAACTTTGAAGCCGTCGGCCCCTTCATTGTCCTTGGCGTTATAGGGGTGAGCCTCCTTCCCTTGATGTTCTTGCGTGTTTCACCGCACTGACGACCAGACAGGGGATTTATGGTGGTCTGTTCATCAAGCTTAACATGAAGGTCGCCTCCTGGAAAAAGGCACGAGCCATCTCAAAGGAATGGCTCCCAGGGCCGGTCACCCAGGTGGCCATCGTCTCGCTGCTCACGGCCGTGATCAACTACCCCAACCTCTACATGCGCGCGCAGTCATCAGAGCTCGTCGCGAACCTCTTCTCCGAGTGCTCCAAGCTGCTGGACGACCAGTTCGGCCTCTGCAAGACGGGGGCAGCAACGGCAGGCACCATCGTGCTGCTCCTCTTCGCCGCCGTCCTCGGCTTCTTCCTCGCGGCCATCACCTTCGGCCTGCAGATCCCTGCGGGCATCATCCTCCCGTCCATGGCCATCGGCGCGCTGTCGGGCCGCGCCATCGGCATCATCATGGACATCTGGGTGCACAACCACCCGGGCTTCATCGCCTTCCAGCAGTGCGAGCCCGACATCCCCTGCATCAACCCGGGCACCTACGCCATCATCGGCGCCGCCTCCACCCTCGCCGGCGTCACGCGCATGACCGTCTCCATCGTCGTCATCATGTTCGAGCTCACGGGCGCCCTGACGTACGTGTTGCCCATCATGATCGCCGTCATGATCTCCAAGTGGGTCGGCGACGCCTTCGGCCGCAGGGGCATCTACGAGTCGTGGATCCACTTCAACGAGTACCCCTTCCTGGACAACAGCGACGAGAACGTCGCCTCCATCCCGGACATACCCGCGGGCCAGGTCATGACCCGCATCGAGGACCTGGTCGTCCTGACCGCCACGGGCCACACCATCGCCTCCCTGCGCAGCATCCTCGAGACCCAGCCCTACCGCGGCTTCCCCGTCGTCTCGGACCCCCGCGACGCCGTCCTGCTGGGCTACATCTCCCGCGCCGAGCTCGCCTACAACCTGGCCGGCGCGTCCCGCCCGCCCAGGTCCCTGCCCCCCGGCGCCGAGGCCTTCTTCAGCCACCAGCCCCTCGCCGACCCGCGCACCACGCTCGACCTGCGGCCCTGGGTCGACCAGACGCCCATCACGCTGCCCTCGCGCGCCAGCCTCCACCTCGCCGTCAGCTACTTCCAGAAGATCGGCCTGCGCTACGTGCTCTTCAGCGACAGGGGCGTGCTGCAGGGCCTGCTGACCAAGAAGGACGTCTGGCAGGTCCTCAACGGCGCCGAGGAGACGCGGCGGACCGGCGGCGGCGTCGGCGGCGGCGGCGGTGGTGGTGGGCGCGGCGGGCTCTCGGGGAATGTTGGCGTCGAGACGGGGATCACGCGGGAGGAGGGCGAGGGCGAGCACAGGGGCCTCCTGGAGAGGGGCAGCGTCCCCGTCGACGAGGCGCCGAGCCCCGGGATCGACACTGGCTCTATATTGTAGGATTACCGGTATGGGAGAGGCGGGCGCACATAGGGACTTAGATGGGCTTTTAGCGATTGTTCATATAGACTCCGTCGGATGCGATGAATGTACCTAGACACACATGCACGTTCTGGTTCACAGAGGGTGGGTCCCAGCTGATACGGTCTGGAGTTCGGTTCGACAGCAGCGCATGAGCGCCTGGTTGAGGATGCTATGGAGTCAATGTCGGAATATTAACCCCGGGTAAATAGAGAACATGCTGGGCTTTATCTTGCAGGTAGCAAAGCAAATCGAGACAGCCAGCCAGCTCTTCAACCACCACTTGACTTCGGACATTCCGGTTCTCGAGGGCGTTTCTCTGACATTCCCCTCCCTTTCCCCCCACCCTAATACTCAAAGTCATCATCCACAGCCGGCCCCTTATTCTTGGTGACACTCTCCTGCTTGCGGTACATCTCCGCAACCTGGCGCGACGTGGTCGCCTCGTCAGGCTTCTTGTCGTCGCGGACCTTGATGAACCGCGGGAACCGCAGGGAGATTCCCTTCTCGCCCGCGGGGTCGACGCCCTCCTTGATGCCGGCCTTGTAGCGCGGGCTGAGCGTCAGGTCGGCGGTGCGCACCTCCCACACGTGGCGGGGCTCGAGCCACACGTCCGGCTGGTGCTGGCCGCCCGAGGAGTGTGAGTAAAAGGGCTTGGGCCGGTCGATGACCGTGTCGGAGAGGGACTTGTGCAGCTCCTCGAGGACGGCCTCGCTGAACCCGGTGCCGATGTTGCACACTGTCTCGTAGGTGTCTGAGGCCGGGCTGTAGCATGCCAGGAGGAAGGCCCCGTATACGGATGTGCGCTTGCCCTTGCCGTAGTATGCGCCCAGGACGACGAGATCGAGCGAGTCGCCCACGCCGGAGAGGTAGTCTTTCTTGATCTGGATTCAAGTGTCACGTTAGCATGTGGGCCGGCGGCAGGGGAGCAAGATGGGAGATTGAAGTGGCTTACCTTGAGCCAGTTGCGACTGCGCTTGCTGGGCTCGTACCCACTCTCCTCGCCGTCGAGCATCTTGACCATCAGGCCTTCGCATGACGCCTTGACACTCTCGTCCAGGAACTGCTGGATCTCGTCGAGCTCCTTTCCGTTCATGTGCACCGCGAAGGCAAACTCGCCCTCGACGGGGTTGAACGCCGTGCTCAGCAGCTCCCGGCGCTCTCGCAGCGACTTCTCCACGATGGCCTCGCCGTTGAGGTACAGCAGGTCGAAGGCGAAGACGCAGACCTTGACCTTGACGTCCTCGACCTTGACGTCCTTCTTCTTGCGCGTCATCAGCTGCTGGAATGGGAGGACCTTCTTCTCCACGGTGTCCCAGGCCACGGTCTCGCAGTCGAGCACGAAGCTCTTGGTGTCCTCCTTGACCCATGTGTGCAGCTTGGAGAGAATGTCGGGGTACTTCTTGGACAGGTCTTCTGAGTTCCTCGAGAAGATGGACGCCACGCCATCGCCGACCGCCTGCACCGAGCCAGACGTCGCCTCGCTTAGCTCCTGGTTTGCGTCCTTCGCTACATAGTGTATCTGAGCGCGTTCACCATCGTACTTGTACTCGCAGGTGAAGTTCTGTCCCTCGAAGCGATCCAGAACTTCGGTGATGGCCTTGGTCGGCTTCGCCAACATAGGCTTGAGTGGGACGCCAGGCCGCAGCTTGCAGTTTTCGCGGAGCTTCAGGATGCCATGCTCCAGCATCGCTGGGATGATAACGTCGTAGCTCGGCAGCTCACTGTAGACGGTCTTGAGCGTGGACTCCGCGTTCTCCATCTCCGTTGTGCTGGGGACCTTGCCCTTCTGCTCGGCCTCGTGGCATATCATCGCCTGGGCAAGTGAGACCAGCACGGTCTTCTCGGCGAGACCAAGCCGTAGCTTGCCTTCCAAGAAGCGAATAATGTACTTCGCCTCACTTGGACCGCCCTTGTCCTTGGTTATGTCAACCTTGCCCTTGCCTTGGGAATCGGCCGCAGAGAGGAGCTTCTTGATTCCATCGACCTTTCTGCCCTGTGCACCATTTCCTGTCACAGTCGCAATGCCCATCAGGCCCTTGTGGACACCACGAATAGTCAGAGGCTTGGGCTTGAACATGGTCGGCTGGGTGGACCTCGACTTGACCGCGACCAGTCCCAGGTCACCAATCTCCTTTTGGTCGTTCTTGATCACCTGCAGACTGCGCCCCGTGGACTCTCCGATAGCTTTCATGATCAGAGACTCGCCAATTCCCAACTCTATGCCTGCGTAATCAGGTGCCAGCTTGTTGATCATCAAAAGCACCGTCGGTAGCAAGTCATCCGGGGTAAGCCGTAATACTTGACGCAGGAACAGCGCGCAGTGCGCCATGATCTCTAACCTTTTGGTGGTGAGCTCAACGAGGGAGAAGGTCTGGCATAGCGCAGCATAGGGTACTGGCTCGCCCGGCTTCCAATCAGGATATGGATCCTTGGCCTTGGCCGCCAGTTTGGTTTGCACCTTCTTGCGGGCTTTCTCGACGACCTCAGGCTTCTCCTCCTCTCCGCTTTCTTCTGCTTCCTGTTCTGCTTCCGACACGGGCTCGCTGGCAGTTGCTGCATCGTCATCTTCCTCAGCCGGCTCAGGCTTGGGGCTTGGCTCTTTCTTCTTTCGAGCTGCTGGAGGTGCTGCCTTGGCCGGTTTCGTCTCCTTTTTCGCCTTGGGCTTTGGCGAGGGCGCATCCTCCATGACCTCGTCCTCTTCGTCATCTTCAACCACTTTCCGCCCCTTGCGTGACCGCTTTACGGCAGGAGCATCATCCTCCTCCTCAAGATCTTGTGCTTCATCTTCGTCTTTGATCTTCTCATTGGGCAACTTCGCTGCTGGTTTCGAGGATTTCGCAGGTCGGCCGCGCTTTTTTGAATCTATGCACATTTCATCAGCTAAGATCAAGCTGTTGTCGCATGCGACACTGACCTCGCGCTGGCTCTGAATTCTCCTTTGCGCTGCTACTGGTGGGGCTGCTCTGGCTCGCCGCCTCTGTCTTGACTTCCGTGCCCTCATCAGCACCGCCGTCCTCTTTCTTGGCAGCAGCAGCCTTCTTTGGCTTTTCTGACGCCTTCGTCGCGAACGAGAGCTTGGTCTGCTGTGTAGGAGCTGGCTTGGAGCCGTCGGACTTGCCGAAGAACTTGCTAAAGTGCGGGAGGCACACGGTCAGCCATTGGACCTGGAGGGATACCCCATATGATGTATAATGAACCGCGTCGCAACCTAGAGGCTATGGTGCACACACCCCAAGGTCGTTTGCGACGGCTTGACGTACCCCAGGGTCGCTTGCTTGGGCGCCATTGTGAGAAGCGGGCGGCGTAGCGCAGATCGCGTTGGGAGGTAGAGGAGTTGCTTGGAAGAACGCAGAGAGGACAAGTTTCGTGTCTGTGAGAAGTTGATCAAGAATCTCAGTTTTCCAGCAGGATTAAAAAGAGACCCAGGGTCGCGAAGGCAGTGCATCTGCAGGGAGGAAGGGGCGATTCTAGGCAGAAGGGGGAGGGGAGGGACAAGGCGGCAGCTCTTTGGGTGTTAGTGAGAATGACGCGCCTTTTTGGCTCGAGTAACGCGCCGAGATCCTAATGCGAACGCGACCCTCACGTGCCGACCGTCCGTCTTTTTGTCTCCGTCTCATCAAACCAAACACTCTACTTCACGACGACGCTCATTTGACTTGATTGTCGTATGAAAGTACACTACATGTTCTAGACTCAATTACCTGGTCGAATTGTTCATGCTATTCCAATGGGTTCGCCCCAATCATCAGGATTTCAGGCAAGTAGTCCGCTACGGCGAACAGGAGATGTTGCATCTGATCGCCCTTAGGAGCATGTCAACGGCACGAAACGCATCCCACAAGTCATTGACACCGGTGTGCATGAGTATGTAAGGCGATTAAGACCAGTCTGTGACCTCCTTTAAAATTCTCTTAGGATTTTCAACCAAACTCATCAATAACGCAAGCTTTCCCAGGGTTCCTATCAAAGGCCACGCCGTGCTCTAAGTTGTTGTGTGGATATTGTACATGCGCGACCCCTACATAGGCTGGTGCACCGCCTTCAGTGATCATGATACTCTCAGAACCAGCCTCCCCCAACTTCCGCTCAGCCTATCTTCTAGGCTTAGTTGAAGTAGTAGTTCTCCTCCGGAACCCGACCCCTGATGAATGGGGGCTCGGAGCCCCTGACGTAGATGTCCTCGTACAGGATCTGAGGGGTAGCCTCTGGGACGGGCATAGCCTCGGCGATAGCGACCTCCTCGTTGACGTGGTTGCGGGCGTCCTTGTCGATGGACTTGAGCTCGTCCTCGGAGGCGACGTTCCACTCGAGGATGTGCTTCTTCAGGCCGGAGATGGGGTCGTTGGTGCTGCGCATGCGCTGGATCTCCTCACGGGTTCGGTAGGTGGTGCCGGGGTCGGACATGGAGTGACCTCCGTATCGGTAGGTGACGTACTCGAGGACCAGAGGGCCGTTGTCAGCGTCGGTCCACTGCTTGCCGTACTTGACGGCAGCCTTGACGGCAAGGACGTCCATGCCATTGACCTTAAGACCAGGGATGTACTGTCCACGCTTGTAGTAGTCCGTCAGAGCGGAGGAGCGAGCTGCCGCCGTACCCATACCGTACTTGTTGTCTGTCGAATCCTTGTTAGCGTTTGTTCGTCAACATTCTCTCCGAGACAGGCTTACTCTCGCAGCCGAACAGCGCCGGCAGGTTCCACAGCTTGGCCATGTTGAAAGCCTCAAACACCTGACCCTGGTTGCTGGCACCATCACCGTACAGGATGATGGAGGACTTCTTGCGACCAGTGTACTTGTGGGCAAAGGCGAGACCGGCACCAACAGGGACCTGGGCACCGACGATTCCGTTTCCACCGTAGAAGTTCTTGGCGAACATGTGCATGGAACCACCCTTTCCGTAAGCGATACCCTGGCGTCTGCCCAAGAGCTCACCAATGATGGATCGCACGGAGGCGCCTCGCATCAGGGCATAGCCGTGGCAACGGTACGCGGTGATGACATCGTCCTCCTTGGTGATAGCGTGCTCGATGCCGGTGGCCACGGCCTCTTGACCTGTCGACAAGTGGCAGAAACCTCGAATCTTCTTCTCCTTGTACAATCGGTCGGCGGCCATCTCCATCTGTCTGTAGGATCAAGTCCGTCAGTCCCTGCTACACGGCGCTTCTTGGTCCGGAGACGTTGCGTCGAATGTGTTTCTCGGGAAGGGGCGGCATACCGGGTGACAACCATGTCGTAGTACATCTGCTTCAGCTCCTTCTTCGTCACATCGATGGTGTATGGAGGTGGGTCCAGCTCGTATGTCTCGAAGCTCTCATCGCTGAGGTTTACTGAGAATGGCTCGTCGTCGGACTGATAAGGGATGCCTGTTAGCTTCAATTACCCGGGTTCCGATGTAAGGGAATCTCTCGCATCTGTCGAGGTGATCTGAATTATGCCGGCCGGGCCGGGCTTGTGGATTGACTTGCCTTGGGGACTGCGGTCTTGTCAACGCTGGCGGATGCAGCGTTGGTGGTGACGGACCGGCGAGCTGCGACGATGGGCATCGAAGGCCGGGCGGTGCGCAGAGGCACCGCTCGTGGTATCCTGGCAGCTCTGGAGAACATCTTGTCGACGACGATGGGCAGTCGGGACAGGTTTGGAGGGGGGAGGAAGGGAGTGGATGTGGTCGCGGGATGAGCTGTCGCGAGATGGGCCAAGTCCGAGAATTATTCTCTCTCAACATTGTCGGGAAACAGCTCACTCCTTTTGGGGTTAGCGCCTCCTGCGGACGCCGAAGATTGGGCCGTTGGTCAGAGCTCCTGTACCGGACCTCCAAACCCGCTAGCTTGGCGCTCAACGTTGGGGAGCTGAGAGTCCGGCAGGACTGCAGTCTAGGCACGGAGTACATAGAGTCAGCCCACTCATTCATTGCTTTAGTGATCTATCATCCTAGGCCGCATCTCACTTTGAGCATTTTCAAGGGGCCTTCTGAGCTAAGTGCTATTTGTTTTTCGTACAAAAGCTACTGCAAATGAACTCATCTATTCCTCCAGTGACTCCATGACAAAACTCAAACAATACCTCGCATCTCTGGTTGCCAACCGTTTCCATATTTCCCATTATGTTGAAACCAACCAAGGCAACGAACGCCCAGCCAGCCTCAAGTGTTAACGCCCCAGCCATGCGGATAAAAATCGACTATGAACACCCGGCGTTGCGCCAGGACTAGAAGCAATAAAAGTTTTGTAGCCAGAAAAATGCGATGTCTACCCCATATGCAAACAATGGTGTCAGCGGATAAGGTTCAGACCACCTGGCCATGCGATGTATGCCGTAATAAATGATGGTTCTAACGGTCTCTGCTCGGCCAGTATAAGGCATCAGAATGCGTGCCACCCAACGACAGAGGGAAATGCATTCGGCTCGCTGATAAGGGTTGTATCAGCGTTGAAGAGTGGTCATCGGGTCCAAGGTCAGATTCAGTCGTGGAAGAAAGTGCCGCCTTGCCGGAGGGGGGCGGTTGAGGGGCCAGCGTCTCTCATGTCAATGTCTTCGACTCCACTGTCACGCGGACCCAGGCTGTGAAGGAGTGCGGACTGTGGCGGACGGTAGTCCAAAGGCAAGGCGCTCTTGGGCCGGTCCGGTTCCTCGAGCGACCTCACCGCGAACGGCCTATCATCTTCCGGTGGAGGAGAAAAGGACCAGACCTATTCGATATGAATTAGTGTGTACTCCAACCAGGGGTGCTCTGGGTTCTTCACTGACCTCCATGATGGTTCGATTGTTCCGGAGAGCCATGGCCACGCATTTCTCATCCTCGAAAGCCACGCGCCACACAGCCTCGCCTTGCGCAATCAGCTCGCGAACGAGGTGGCCCGTTTTCAGGTCCCAGACCTTAACACGGCCATCACTGCCACCGCTAACCACACGAGTATCGTCGAATTGCAAGCTTGTCACGCTGTTATCGTGCGCAGCCAGCCGGTGAATTGGGACGAACTTCGAGAGGGACCAGACTCTGACGGAGCCGTCAGAGCCGCCGGTGACAAGGGTATCTCCCCGCATCTGGAGCTGGCCCACCAGGGACGTGTGCCCTTGCAGGACTGCCTGGCACTCGCTGTATTCTCGTGTCAGTGTACATGTGACGAAGACGGTAAATTTGCATCGACTCACCCTGTGTTTGCGTTCCAGATCCGCACGCTCGTGTCCAGGCTGCCCGTTGCCACCCTTGCGCCGTCAAAGGCAATAGCATAAATCTGGCTGTAGTGGCCTTGAAGCGTGTGTAGACATCTGCCCTCCGATATGCTCCAGACCTTCGCGGTAGTATCGTAACTGCCTGAAACCACTATATCTCCCTTGATCTCCAAGCATCGAACACTAGCTTGATGACCTACAAGGACGTTGCGGCAGACGCCAGTCTCGATATTCCAGACGCGAAGGGTGGTATCTCTCGAGCCGGAAATTGCGGTTTTGGCGTCAGACATCTTAAGACAACGCACAGTGGACGTGTGACCCCTCAGGGTGTGCACGCAGTTTCTGAGGCAGTCAGCAGGCCGAATCGTCCAAAGTTTGCAGAGGCATGCATGCTATTCTTACCCAGTGCTCAAGTCCCAAACCCGGACATCTCGATCACAGCCACCGCTGACCAGGATGTCTTCCCATGGGACCATAGCCCAGACGCCCATCACATGGCCCTGCAGCACTCGCAGCGAATTGCCCTCAGTGTCGAAGACGTGGATCTTGGCATTATCCAGAGCCACGATGATGTATCGCGGCGTCAGGTGCAGGCTGGTCACGACGCCACCGTCCTGGGTGATAGCTCGTGTGGTAGCCTTGCCACCAGTCCGCCACGCCGCATCCACCAAGTACCTCTGCTTGAAATGCGACTTGTACGTCCTCAGCTTGGGACGGGAGCTCGTCTCAGAGCCGTCAAGGCTCCTGGAAGCCGACATGCCAGTCGCAGTTGGCAGGGCTCCAGGGAAACTGTGCATGTGATTTGAGAAGGGCGTGTCCAGCGTGACAAGAGGCTGTGCTCCAGGTCGAGATGCGTAGAGGGGTACCGTAGTGCCAACCTCGGAAAGACGGCGGCCGTAATCGTGTTTGACACAGAGATTCTTCCAAGTCATGTCATCGCTGAGTAGGTCTCGCCATCTCCTTGATACCTGAGAAGCTCTCGCTAGGACTTTGGGGTCGTCGATGAATGACAGGATCTGCATTGGGTCAGCTGACATCAGACGCAGAGAAATCGGGCAAAGCAGCGATCGGAACCTACCCTAAGACATAACTCATCAGGAAGACTGGTAAAAGGATCCTTCTTGAGCAATGGGCTGACGAATTGGTGGACAAATGACAGCTGCTGGCTTGTACACAAGTTCAACAGGTCCGCCAAGATGCGTGTTCGTTGAGGGCCGCTGCAGGTCTGAAAGTGTTGTCGACACTGGGCCAGGAAGATATCCTCATCGTCCGCGGCGTCACTCCAGTCGGGTTGAGCGTTGGTCGGGCCGGGCGATGCCGCAGGTGTAGGGGGCGGCGGCGGCGATCCGGTCAGGGTCTGGTCGAAGTCGGCGGCAGGCGTGCTCATGCTGGGAGTCGGTGGTCCCCTGGGCGGTCTAGGCTGGGGGATCTTGATTGTGTGGTTTCCGTTACCCATGACGACATCCTCACTCGAGTACAGACTCGCCCTTCTGTCCGAAAAGCTGAGCGGGCGGTGGCCATAGCCATCCATTGTGACAAGAGTCCCTGAACGCAATAATATTGTCGGGACCCTATCTCTAGGACTCGGCGGCCGAGGAACAATCAGAGAAGCGCGGGACGAGGAGTGGCCTCGTCGTTGTCAGGTGCAGACCACGGTCTCGGGACTCGAGATTCAGACAGGCGGGACGGGGTCGAAGTTGACTCGGGTCTCGATCGGAATGGCGGGTCCTTGGAGGCGGTTGGAACGTACAGTTGGAAAAGGGACGGGAATTGGGAGGCCAGGACGCTTTAATGATGTGGAACAAGGGGAATGGCGGCAGCGCTAGCCAGGATGATGGGCGGTGCTGCTCCGTCGCAAGTGGAACCAGCAAGCGACAGTGCAGGCAGGCCCGGCGTGTGCTGTCGATTTGGAGCCGCAAAGAATGACGGCAGAAGAGGGTCTGAGTGCGCAAAGATACTTTTGACACGGGAGCCGAAACCCAGGCGGGAGGCTGGAGTAGGAGGCAGAAAGATGGTGCTGACGCTTTGAACCCGGGGGGCGGAGGAGGGAGAGCGAGTCCAAATCAAGGGGTGGGTGGGTTTGAGCGGGCGGCTGCTGGTGCGGAGGAGAGGTGAGGAGGCGCGAGGCTTAAAGCGTGAGGGCCAGGCCGGCGGCGAGGCAGAGTTGTCGGAAGCGCTGCGGAGTAATAAGTAATGTGTCGGAGGGGAACGAGTCGTACACAGCACATCAGACGTGCAGAACCACACCAGGAGGCGAGGGCTCTGCAGGAGAGAAAAGACTGGATGACCGCGGTGTGGCGACGTATGAATGGAAGGGACCGAGTCAATACCGGGATGCAGGTGGTATCTGATGGCCGAGTGAGGAGTGAGGCGTGAAGGTGAGTAGTAGTGAGGGTGAGGGTGAGGGTGAGGGTGAGACGGAAGTTCTCTGGTGGGAGAGAAAGGTGTTGATGTGGCCCAGGTTCCTCGCCCTGTTGTTGTTCAAAACTGCTGCTGTCATGAGGTTGCGCAGATTGAAGGGGACGGCGAAGATGTCAAGGCGATGGATGGCCCTGGACCTAGACCTGGACCTGGACCTGGACCTGGGAGACTGGGACTTGCAGGAACTGAGAAGAGAGCGAGAGAGATGTAGTGGTGGGTCCCTTCCGGCGACTCCTCGTTTCCTGTTTCCAAGGAAGGCTGGCTGTAGGGGTACCTGGGATAAGTACCCTACACAGACTTGGACTACTACTGCTGCTACTGCTGCTGCTACTACTACCACACAGCACAGTAACAATGTGCCGTGTTTGGCTGCCAGCGCCAGGTGCAGGCAGGACTGAGAAGAGCGAGGAAGGAGCCAGCGGCCACGGCCAAGCCCTTGTTCCTCCAGGACCCGAGCTCAGGCGCGTTCCAAATTTACACCACAGTACTTGTGCCGGCCAGCAGTTGGCTGACGGTACGGCTGCACTCGACAGGACTCGGCACCACCCGAGCACAACGTCAGGCTTTCTTGGGTATGGATACCACAGGGCGAGGCGAAACGTGGGCCTTATTCAAACGGGCAAGACCTCAGATGGCGTGGGACGTTGAGTAAGGTAAGTTGACAGACAACTGGGCCGCAAGGGCACGTTGAACAAGTGAGGTGACGAGGTTGACTGGCGGCCGTTCTCAATGTCTACCCAGGTACCTAGGTATGTAGTACGTACACTACTAGCCCGCTGCTCGTTGGCCCATCGTCAGTCAATCCAGTCATTTCTAACCCCGGTGTCCACCCTGCCACGATGACGCTGCTCCATCTCGAGGTGCCCATCCGATGCAACTTTCAAGGTTGTTCTTCCACGGCCCTCCCGCTTCTGGTTTCTGGTCCCCAAGGCTTAGGGTTATGTCAACATTGCCAGGACGGCAGCACCTGGGCACTGACGAGACCACCTCCCGTTTCCAGCCCAAATGCCGTACTTCTAGACTTAATCGAGGCAAGAGCGATGGGAGATGGAGTGCGGTACCAAACCTTGGCCTGCTGGGCAGGCTGGCAGGCTGACAGGGCAGGCTGGGGGCGCTTCTCCGTTCTCGATGCCACCCACAAGCACTTCTGGTTCCCGGGCACCACATCAGCACACCAACATCACCCGCCTCTGTTTCCACTGCTGATCTGCATCCCGCCAGCCCGCCAGCCCGCGTGCAGGGAAGCAAAATTGACTCTGGCAGTCTGGATGCACGCGGTTGTCATCAGCCCACGGACCCTCCCAACTGCCCAGGTGCCTCTTAGCCCGTGGCGGTCAGGGGCAACTTCAAACGGGCCCTGCCCGCCTGCCCGCCTGCCCGCCTGCCCTGACGGTGTGAGCCAGTTTTCTGCAAGGCCGCCTCACCCTGTCAACCTGTGCATTCACAGGCAGACCCATCAGATTTGCGAGACCGATGGATGGCTCCAGGATCATCATTTGCTGATCCACCTGCACCTCTGCACCTCTGCACCGGGGAATTTGTCCATGCACGCACAGCACATGGCGCCCATCTCAGACCTCAGCTGCTCATCTGCTCAGCTGCCAACATCGCCGTTTTAACTGGTGCCACGGCTGCTGGTGGTCCAACCTCTCGGGCCAGCAGTAGCTCTGGTGAACGTCTGACATGGCATGAACCGTTGGCCAGGGCCAGTCGAACACGTCCGCGAACCCTCGCACACCTACATGCTCCCTACATTATATGCCGTCGCCGACTTTGCTTTACACTTGTCACCCTGGCTGCGAATCGAGGGCCACCTCACTCTACATGTAACGTCCCGAACTTCACGTCCGATGTTTCCTCGAGTAACCCCGCAGGATTTATGACATATTTTGCGCCTGGGCGGCACCATTAGAATTTTCAGACGTCGGATGAAATAACAACGCCCCCCTTTTCCTTTTCACTGTGTTTCCCGTGCCTCGACCAATACCCCCGAGGAGCCGTTGTTTGGGATAGTGTGGAAGAGACGGACGCACCCGGGCCACGCACATTTAGTCCTATCTTTGTCCGGTGGACGGGGACGTACAAGCTGAAGTGCCGGACCATCTGGGGCTACAGGGGTGTCGTCTCACTTATTAGACCTACATGCATGCAGTCAGCAACATGGCCGGATGGGGCCACGATACACGAGCCTGCCCAAGTGCGCCGAAGAACTCGTGTGCAGCAGTTCTATGGTCTACGCTCAGCCCAGCACTATATGATGCGCAATCCTGAGGCAACCAAAAATCTGGTCTCGATCAGATCACTGTCAATGCTTCCAACGCTCCGGACGAGGCAAAAGCTTGTTCAACCGCCTGAAAAGTTAGGCTATGCCGAGAATACCTGGGACGCAATGCATGAACTTCCATCGCATCTCGTCATTTTGAAATAATCGCCCTTGTCAGACGAGACGCTGCCAATGGTCGCCCCCACCCTTTATTAGCAGCGGGAAGGAATGGGCGCAGGGATGGCCAAGGGAGCGACGGAAGGCTGGCTGGCTGGCTTGCGGCAACAAGAGAAAAAAGAGTTCAGCCTCATTCAGCGCGACACACCCTGTGGACCCTCACACGCCTCTGTGCCGTGCAGCGGTCAGGTTATTGCATCAAACCTGCCGCAGCTGGCCAACCACCGCACATCTGAAGGAAAAATGCTCATCTCACCATAAGCAGCACGGACCAGGAACTATAGGCACAACATTTTCGCATGCGAGTACAAATGAGGGGGAATGACAACACAAAAGGAAAATACCGCCCAAGGGAGAAGGACAAGTCGTGAGCCATGCTACCCAAGGGAAACAGCCAAGACCTTGAGCGCCGACCAACACCAAACTGCTGCAAACCGTGGGGTCTCGAGAGGACCGACCCGAAACGAAGGGTACCTAGGGAATGGGCCGCGGCCTCGCCCGTCAGCACTTAGACACATGCGGCTGACGAATTTGCAGAGTCGACATCCGTTCAACCAGCACACGCACGCACCGGCCCAAAAGCAATTACCAAGCATTTGTTGGCCAAAATACGCACGTAGGCATCAACACAGCCGACAATTCCTACTATGTAGTACTCCGTAGATTTATCCTTACAAAGGTCGGGAAGCCAAGTCGCCTCTTGCGGCTCCAGAGGCTAGAGCTTGCAGGCGGTCAGGAGGACAAAACGAGTAAACTACAAACAGACCGACCGCCTCGGTCCGCGCACCGACGTTGCGTCGCCTCGTTGTGGCGTCGACGATCTTTTAACCCCTCTAGCTGAAACGGGAAAAGAAGAGAGAGTTAATTGCACGACTTGGTTTCTCTTCCTGTCCCTTCTCCACGGAGAAACCCCCCCACCTACCCCCCAACCCCCCTCCCCCAAATCTAGTCGAGAAAAAAAAAAGCCCAAGTCGCACGACTGCGGGATCGAAACATTGGACGCCTCCTTGGAATTGGCCGAGAAGTCTAGACTAGACGCGTGACTGCTGTTGAATAACACCGAAACGTGAGTGCGCAGACCACGTCTGTACGTACGACTCAGGTCGCCTACAATGATGTGGTCTGACGGCGTGTTGTCAATCCGGTCGTTGCGGTGGCTAGTCACTTGGAGGTGGGCGACCTTGTCACTCACTCTTTTGTTGGCCGTCGCCACCCTCACATATCACGGTCTTGTTGGTGTTGAAATGGTCAAGATACTGGACGGGTGCAGGATATTGCCCCCAGACTCCTTGTAATGCTATGCCATGCCCCGGTTCCATCCCATCACATTGTCTAGAACTCGAAAACAGATTCAATACGCCAGCTACACAGTACAGTTCAAACACCGATATTTGACCACTCCTTCAATGGTGGTGGCCGAACTGGGTCAGTAGGGGCAATAGCATCCCGCCGACGGTCGCCAATGTGTCCCGCATCTGTGGCCGGCTCGGCTTCCTCTGCGTGCTGCTGTCCGCATAACCGTTCATCGCTGAGTGGTGATCGTGCACTTGAGCCGAGGGATCTTCTTGCATCGCGTGCATAGCGACATACCTGCCAGAGGCTCATTAGTCGCGTCTTGAGAAGTGTTTCATCACGGGAAAACTTACAAGAAAGTGCCGGCAGAAAATAAAAGTAGCATGCCCGTCCACCACTGCCCGGCCGGGCCGTCCATGTTGCCGCCGCCGAGCAGCGACACCAGGATATATGTGCCCAGGGCGCCGACAGGCGCCGCCAGGCTGAAGGCGACGAGGTGGCCCCGGGCGGCCCGCTTCGACAGCCCCTGCTTGAGCAGGATGGACGTGAGGCCGAACGCCGCGGGCGCCTTGTGGATCATGATGGCGATGAAGATGATGAGGCCCAGCTTCATGTCGCTCGTCGTCGCCGACGCCCCCATCGCAATCCCGTCCGCCGCCGCGTGTATCACCAGGCCCGTCGTGGTCGCCAGGCTCTTGGACTGCCGGGGCGTCGGCACGAACGACCCCAGGAACCCCTCCGTCTCGTCCTCGGCGTCGCCGTTGACGCTCGCCGAGCCCAGGTTGTCCAGGCTGATGTGCCTCGTCGCCGGCGCCGAGCTCATCCCGTCCGTCGCGTGCTGCGGTATCCTGTCGATGAGGAACATGAGGATGAAGCCCAGCATCAGGGAGAGGCCGATGTAGAACGTAGGGAACTCCTCGTGCTCTGGGGGCGCGTCTTCTTTCGGCGGGGGTGCGGCCGGTTCGCCTTCTGGGGGAGGCGCATCGTCCCGCTGTTCCATGGCCCTGCGCAGCAGCGGCGCGAGCTCGAGCGGTGCGGCCTCCCTCACATCTAGAGCAGGTATGTCTCGTGGTATCGCGAGCTCGAGCACATGTCGTTGGCTGAGAATCGTCGACCGGGTGCCGTGCGGCGCAGCGGCGGGTTTGGTGGTGGACGCGACAGCCTCGACGCCCTCCGGTATTATGACTATGAGGGAGGTCCCAACAAGTATCCCGACTCCTATGCTTGATATCAGGCGTAGTTGTGACTGGCTTAGTGCCATCGAGAGTGGGAGTGCGCCGGCGAGGAAGGAGGCGAGTGCCATCACCACCTGGGCGAGGGCTAGCTATCAGCTGTCATGTTCCAAGGCACTGCACGTCAGGGGTTGCGCCGGCTCACACTCAGGACAAGGAGGAGGAATAGCCCGCCCATCTTTGCTTTCTGTGGCTATCCAATTGCACAACTCATCGGTGGGAGATTCGATTGAGGGTTCTCTCGGCGAGGATCATGGAAAGGCTGCCTTCCACCGGGGCAAAAGTTGTTGAGGTGGTTTCACACCGGTCGCCCCCAGTCTTTACCCGGTCCCCCTCTCTCTGGACTCGTGGCTCCCTTGCCTCAGAGTTGGTCGTTCCAGATGTCGAGTTTGGTCGGGCGAATTGAGCTCACTGACTGTATGGCGGACAGATACCAGCTCTCCGTATGAAGGTGACGATGATTATGTTTCTTAAATAAAAAAAAAGAAAACGGTGAGCATTCCTTGAAAGACGCGCAATATTACTGGGGCCTTCAATGCACTTGGAATGATCCCTCCAAGACACTTGCTTCGAAAACCAGGCGATCCAAGCTCCCCCTGTCGGGACCCCTGCCCGCCTCAGTTTAGCGCCTTACCTTTCGCCTGCGGCTGCTAGACTTGACGGCCAGGCCCCACCACTTTAAGCTGTGCGCGTCTCAACTCGGGCGCAAACGCGACCTCACATTTCCACGCGCACCTTGTAGCGGAGAAGGAGCTTTGAGTCTTCAAGAGATCTATCGGCCAATTTCAGCTCGCTTTCAGTCGCCTTTCGCCCAGAACTGAGACATCATTCATACGTTAACCTCGGTCTCTTATCCTCAATCACATCTTCTACCGACAAGATGGCAGAGGACGACGAGTGTGAGTCGCGTCGCGGTCCCATTGCACATTGCGCCGTGCCAGCGCTTCACGCCTACCCAAGCTCTCCGCTGACTTTCCAACTGCAGGGACCACCAAGGCGAACGACGTCTTCAACATCTCTCTCGTCACCAAGTCAGAACAAGGTCCCCCAAAGACCCTCGACAGCTTCCAGCCGAAATGGACCTACCCGATCTACGAGGAAGAGGAGATCTATGGATACAAGGGAGTGAAGATCAACCTTCGATTCAATGCATCCGACATGCGCCCGCATTTCTCGTACACAAAGGGCAAGGAGGTCCCACTAGGCTTGGCCGACAAGGAGCCAACTGAGATCAAGGAGTCAATCGAGCAGTTTCTGCCAAATGGTAAGCTAGCCGCTGTCCTGGGGGGCGGGGAGGTCATTGAGGTACTAATGATGAACAGTTGCCTTTGCGAAGAAGGCAGACTTTGAGGAATACGTCCAGAGCACACCAGATGACTGGAAACCACCAGGAACTCTCATCTCGTCAGTTGAGGGCAAACAAGAGACTTACGAGATCTGGAAGGGCAGCCTCGCCGACCCGGCCGTCTTGCAACTGGTGAAGAGGATCCAGATACTGGTGTCCTTGTTCATCGAGGGAGGAACGCCGATACACACCGAGAGCACCGACGAGTACGAGCAGGATCCTCTTGAGCGCTGGACAGTCTTTTTCTTGTACCAGAAGCGACCGATCCAGAGCCAGCCGGGCCGGTCCTCGTATGTGTTCGCCGGCTACTCGACCGTCTACCGACTCTACGCGTTGCAGCCACAAGACATCGCCACCGCACTGAGCACGGGCGAATTTGAGCTCCCAGCCCAGAATGCCTTCACAGACTTCCCTTGTCGGTCAAGGATATCTCAGTTCATCATCCTGCCGCCCTTCGCCAAGAAGGGCAACGGCATGCGGCTCTACAGGCAAATCTACAAGACACTGCTGGACGACCCCAAGACGTTCGAGATCACTGTTGAAGACCCCAACGAGGATTTCGACGTTGTCAGAGACATGGCCGATCTTTTGTTCCTCCGCGAACAGGCCGACTTCAAGCAGGCGGTCCAGATCAACACCAAAGTCGCTATTCCAAAGAAAGGAGCTATGCCAAAAGACATTGTTGATCAGAAGGCTCTTGAGGCGTTGCGAACCAAGTACAAGATCGCCACTCGACAATTCAACCGACTCGTCGAGCTGACCTGCTTCTTCAAGCTGCCAGACTCTGTCCGCCCGACTCTGGACATAGAGGCAGCTGGCTCCAAGAACAAGAAGTCAACAAGGGCAGAGGATCATGAGTACAGCCTGTGGAAGCTGCTGACCAAGTCTCGGATCTACACGCAGAACCGGGAGATCCTCAGCCAGCTGGAGCCAGACGAGCGCATAGCCAAGCTGGACGAGACCGTGTTCGCCGTCGAGCTCGAGTATGCCCTGTTGTTGGCTCGCTACAAGACGAGACAGGCGCTGCAGGCCGAGGAGCAGACGGGCGGAACGAAGAGAAAGTTGGACGAAACGGATGAGTCGCCGAGTGGCAAGAAGCCTAAGATGGAGAATGCCTAAGTGGCTGGCGCTGATGAGCCGGGGCGGGATTTTCCCATGAGATCAGCACATTCAATGATCTCAAGCCTCTTCCCTAGGCACAAGCTTGGGTAGTACTGTACAGATAGTGTGGCCTAGAACAGGGTGCAGATCGTCGTCCGCGACATTCTCACATGCCTTTGGTTCTCCAGGTTGGAGATTTCGCACTCCTTGGGATGGATGAGCCATGGAAATAATACCAATCATGATTTCAATACGCCCTGCCCGTTTTATACTCTATAAACCGCGCACGGGTCATTCTATTGTTCGACAGCAGTGACTTTATACGATGTGAATTTTGACCGACAACGCCCACGCTCAAATGCTCAATGCTCGTACCCATTCAACCTGGTGCCATTGACGCCCTGCGCCCCGTTGCCCAGCCTACTCGCAACAGTGGCAGCCTCCCTCACGGCCCTCGACACCGTGCCCCGGACACCACCTTCTTCCAGCACCAGAAGCCCGCCGATAGAACACCCACCGGGCGTGCCGACCTTGTCTCGCAGCAGGGCAGGGTGCTCCCCGTTGAGCACCAGCCCGGCGGCGCCCTTCATCGACTGGGCAGCCATGCGCTGGGCCTCCGCCCGCGGCAGGCCCATTGCCACGGCGCCATCGATAGCCGCCTCGAGCATCAGCGCGAAGAAGGCGGGGCCGGAGCCGCACAGGGCGGTGGAGGCGTCCATGTTGGCGGACGGGAGGTAGACGACCTCGCCGATGCGGCGGAAGATCCAGGTGACGAGCTGCATGGTGGCGGGCGGGATGGGGGCGTCCTCGTCGTTGGCGACGACGGTCATGGACTCGCGGATCTGGCTGGCGGCGTTGGGCAGGGCGCGGACGATGCGGCAGCGGCCGTCCTCGTCCGGGTCGCGGTCGGGCACGGCGCCGTGCAGGTGCTTCTCGATCTGCTCGACCGTGACCCCCGCGCAGATGCTGATGAGGAGCTTGCCGTGCAGGGCCTTGGCCATGCCGGGCTCCGTCAGGATGCCCTTGACCTTGGAGGGCTTGCAGGCCAGCAGCACCACCTCGGACTGCTGCGCGCTGGCCACGTTGTGGCCCCAGACCACCTTGACGGCGGCCGTGTGCTCCCAGAGCGCGGCCTTGACCTTCTTTGCCGTCTCTGGGCGGCTGACGCAGGCGATGAAGCGGCTCGGGAGGCGCTGGGGCAGCGGCTCTGATGGTGTTGAGTGGCCCGAGGGCGTCTGGAGGGGCTTGGGGGCCTCCAGCTCTACGAGGGAGTTGAGGACGCCTGACAGGATGGCAATTCCCATGTTTCCTGGTGAAGCGTGAGCATGATGAATGAGTGCAGCTTGAGACAGCCAGGCAGGTACTTAAGTAGGTACTGTAGACTTACCACAGCCGAGGACACAGAGAGTAAGATCATCGTGATGCCCAAGGGTCCTCACCGACGTGTACGAAGAGTTACGAGAAGCTAACGTGAGCAGGCTCATGATGGGCAATATTTGACAAGGCCACTTGACAGAGCGGAAGGGAAAGAGGGTTCTGATGTGTTGAGAAATGGTTACTGTGTACTTGTACTTGAATTGAGGGTCAAACCTGGCAGGCGACGATGGATGGATGGGTCCGGTCCGGCAACGAAGATCAAATGACTGACGAGTCGACGTGCCTAACTGACTCTGGCCGACCGAATGGCAACTGGGAATTATTTATCTGGACTGAAACTCGTATACCCTCGTCGGATCCGAGGCCCGGCGAACTCTCCTTTCCTGCTCTGCTGTAAACCCGGCCAGTGCTCATTACGACTTTCATTGCCATCCCCTTTTATGCGCTTCCTAAAGATATTAACTCGGGTGAACATGGCCTTTGGGCGACGCTGGAACTCCCGACTGCGGGACCTTGGGCGAGCTGGGCCAGGGGCCCGACGGGTGCGCCCAGTGCCCACACCGCCTGGCCCGAGGAGCCTGGGCCCCTGTGGAGCGCCCGAGAGGACAGGCGACGAGTGATCCGCGGCTGCTACGCCATTGCTGTGACGAAGTTTTAGAGGGACCATTCCGATAGATGGGGCAGCACGGAGGTTTAAAGCGTCCAATGTCGGGAAAGTCAAGATGCATGCTTTGTCTCAGACAGTCTTCAACACCCAAAAGAAGGTTTCGAACGGCAGTCTGCGGGCACGACATTATGTATTCCTATGCCAGATATTTTGTAGCATCCATGGATGTTATCCGGGTATAATGAAAAAAAGGTGGTCTGTGTGCTGAGGTAGATCCGACTTTTTGCCTTGCCAAATTTAACAGTACGGAGTAGTCTACCGGGCTGAGAGCCGCGCAGCTGCCGCCTGTCTTATTAGCGCTGCGACTGCCACTCTACTACACCGGTAGGTAGGGGCCACCGGTGCTCAAGCAGCTTCATTGCTCGAGCAAGTCCGTCGTGCCCACCAGCTACCTGCAATAACAAGCAGAGAGAGACGCACCCCGGGATCAAATGTCTTCCACCACAACAACATCAGAACCACGAACAATATCGCAAGCACTCCAGGAAGGAGGCTGAACTTTGAAGATGGCGGACCCATTTGAGGTTCGCATGAAATTCTCACATCAGTTGCAACATCTCAACGCTTCAGTCACATCAGCGCAGAAGGCCGCCCAGTATGCTCTTAGGCACAGGGACATGGACGAGGATCTGCACTCATGCATCTTGGAGCAGATAGAGCGTGTTTGTCTTTCCTGCCCCAGAATTGCGAGCAAGGCGCACATCACTGACACTCCACGCAGACTAACATGAACACTCGGGCCAATATCATGTACTTCATCGAGCACTTCCTCGAGGAGGCCCAGAAGGATGGCCATGTCGACTACATCCGCATGATACAGAGAGATATCATAAGGGTTGTCGACGCTGTCGCTCCAGACGACGGCTCTGGTGCAGCCAATGTTAAAGTCGTCAGAAGGGTATGCATTCCCTCACTGCCCTGCCAGCCATGCTCGCCGCAGACGATACGCCTTCCCCATGATTCCCCGTACTAAACAAGACCCCCAGGTCCTCCAAGGCCTCCAGTCCAAGGATTTCCTCCAGCCACAGACCGTCACAGAGATCAACGAGGTGCTCAAGGAGCGGGAGACCTCCAACATGGACGTCGTCATGTCCAGCCCTGTTAACAGCACGAACCCGGGACTAGGCGACATGCCGCCATCACAGACGATCCCGAAGCCGGGCAGCACCCCGCGCCCTCCCAGGCCCGACAAGAAGCAGATCGAGCAGCGCATCGAGGAGGACCGCGAGCGGCATAAGCGTCTGCGCGAGAGCATCTGGGCGGTCCCCACCGAGCCCGAGGACGCCGAGATGTTGAAGATGTGGGAGGAGACGAGCGACCTCGGCGAGGACGACTTGCTCATGGCCAAGGAGGAGGAAGAGGAGCGCCAGCGGTGCATCATGGACAGCTGTCCACATCGGAGGGAGGAGGCTGCCAGGGAGAGAAACGGGCAGACTAATGGCAGGCACTCGTGATGGCTTTTGTGCGTTGATTATGAGCGGGCATACTCGAAGGGCCATGGCTCAGCATTCGATATCCGCATCTGGATATCAACATATGCTGTGTTCACCTTCCTTTGGGCTCTTGCTCAAACGGTTTCAAACCGGCTATACATACGCCTTGTCATAGCGTGAGATATACGCTGTATTCTCTCTCGCGTTTTCCCTTGCGATAGTTCCAAATGTATCTCTTGGTGGTTTTATGGTGGTTTTACAATAGTCTGTACCTCGCGCATTCACCTGACAGCTGTACCAGTGTCCCTGATCTTCTTCAAGTCCCTGACAGCCCAGCCGCAGCAACTCGACCCCAAAGCTTTACGCTATCAGTCAGCCAGAGTGGAAACATCTCGCACTGCATATACTCATGCTTCCATTGCGGCTCCACGTAGGGAATTCGCAAGCAGCCTGGGGAATTTGGAGAGACCTGACCCAAGTGCCTTCCACCAGTCACCCCTGGCCTGCCAAATCCGACCTGGTAAAAGTAATTCCACCTCACACAGAGGAGACAGAAGAGGAATGCCATAATGAGTCCATCTAGCTGTCCATAGTGTTACACGTGCATTTTTACATGTGAATGTATGATCCAATATCCATAGTGGGCCGTGTTGGCCACATATATCCATCCAGCCTGCCTGCCTCGTGCTCTCTTCGTGCCCGTGCCAGCCCCTCTAGTCCATCTCGACGGTGGCGCCGAGCTCCTTCAGCGTCGCCACGATCTTCTCGGCCTCGTCCTTCGGTACGGAGTCCTTCATGAGCTTGGGCGCGCTCTCCACGAACTTCTTGGAGTCCACCAGACTCAGGCCCAGCAGGTTCTTGATCTCCTTGATGACCTTGGGCTTGGCGGCCGCCTCGAACTTGACCAGCTTCACGCTGAACAGGGTCTTCTCCTGGGCCGCGGGGGCCTCCTCCTCGGGTTCGGCGGCTGCTGCTGCTGGCGCGGCGGCGGCGGGCGCGGCGGCGAAGCCACCGACGGGCAGGTCTGGGATGTTGAGTCGCGACTGCAGAGGTTGGATGGTCAGGTCAGGTCCGTTCTTGCCCATGTGCGGTGGCGCTGTAATAGTCTGGTGGTGTCCCTCTTACCTTGAGGCTTGAGACCAGGTCTGCGGTCTCCAGGAGAGTCAATTGACTGATCTGGTCCACAATACCGGCGATCTTGGGGTTTGTGGGTGCGGCCGCGGCGTCGGTGGACTGGTAGCGCCGCGATATCCTCTGCTGGGCGAGGGCGCCGGTACTTCGGATGGTGGAGGTGGAGCGGAGCTGACGAGCGCAGCACTGAGCTGCGTACCTGCAGGAGAGAGACATGGCGGGCAGATTGTGGGTGGGAGAGAGCCTCTGGATGGCGAGGGAGGGATCAGTCGGTCGAGTCCTGTGGCTTCGATGCGCGCTGCACCGATGATGCTCCAAAGATTTCGCAGAAGGCTTGAAGCTGCGTTACTTAGGTAAGCAAGTGGTGTCCTCTGTGTGGGTCCCGCGCGTGGGTGGACCCGCCTTCTCCAAGGGTAGGAATGATCCCTGTAAAAAAGTTCCTGCGGGTAGACGCAGTCAGGACCGACGAAAAAAAAGATCATCTACATTGTCGCCCCAAACGACAAACCCCAGGAATATCTCGCCAGCCATGGCGAAGTTCGACGTGAGCTCGCAGAGGGCCTCTCTGCTCAGCGACGCGACCACATTGGCGTATTTACCGCCCGAGTTGCTGCTCGTCATTCGCGACCAGAACCCGACAAACCTTCTGGACGCTCTCTCGCAGGCGGCGCTCATACCTCGACTTACAGGTCGCATATTCGCCCATTTCGAGTCCGTCTTTGCAGACCTCAGCGCACGCTGGGTCCTCAACGCTCCGCACGGGACCTGCGACGATGCCATACTCGCATCCTTTGCTAGAGTGTTACCCTTTGCCCCTCAGCTTTCTGTCTTCCTACAAGATTATCTGAAGACCATCTCATCCCGGACCCGACCATCACCAGGGTCACGCACTGCACCCCTCGACCTTGCCGAGTCTTCAAGATCGTTGGGCGCAGATGCATTCTTAACGAGGCTTCTGGCAGTATGGCGCTTGATCAACTTTGATCGCAAGGCCTTCGCCTCTTTGGTGCTGCCGTCTGATGTGCAAACCCTCTTCTCACACTCACACGCCCCTGTCAGATATCTATCAATACGAATTTTCTGTCTCCTTCTAAGGGCCTCGGATAACAGACTCGAAGCACTCATACGGCACCACATCCCTGAGAATGAGTCCCTGACTGGTGATTTTGACGGGAAGCCTATAGACTATGCGTTCTTGTCATTATTTGAGCACGCGCGTGCCGAGTCGATACAGAAGCACATCGCCATCGTGAAAGAACAAGTGCAAGAACTTGCCTCATCACACATTCCACCCCAGAATCTCACCAGCCTGGTCGTGCATTATGGGGATACCGTACTTCCCCGGCCACGTGGCCCGCCCAAGCAGGGCTCTTCTCTCGTTGCCACTCCCACGACCCTGCGAAACCTCGAGAGTCTGGCAAGGCTTCTCCAGCAGCCAGGACCCATCCTTCTCCATGGACCATCTGGTGCTGGTAAAACAGCATCTGCTCTGGAGCTGGCACGGGAGCTCGGAATGGACGAGAGCCTCGTCACACTGCACCTAAACGAGCAGACTGATGCGAAAATGCTCATCGGCCTGTACACTACCGGGACAAAGCCCGGCTCTTTCGAGTGGAGGCCGGGCATCCTGACCACGGCTGTCAGGGAAGGAAGATGGGTTCTGATAGAAGATCTCGATCGCGCGCCAACCGAGGTCATGAGCACTCTGCTTCCTCTCATTGAACGGGGCGAACTCCTGATTCCCAACCGCGGTGAAACGATAAAAGCCCCCAGCAGCTTCCGTATTTTGGCTACAGTAAGGACACACAAGGGGATGGACGGCCAGGAGAATATCCCCTCGTTGCTCGGGCTACGGTTTTGGACCTTGTTACCAGTGCAAAATATGCTTCAAGACGAGCTCCAAACAGTAATGCACGAGAAGTATCCGCTTCTCAGCAAATTCGTGGCAGACCCGATTCTCAAGGTCTATGAACGAGTCTGTCTCCTGCTGAGCAACTCGGGGCTTATCCCGGGCGTCTCAGCGGCGTCAGAACGTCCAATCAGCTCGAGAGATCTCTTCAAGTGGTGCAGGCGGTTGGAGAGGATTATCGCCTCAACAGGAGCGAAGACAGGCGACGAACCGATGAGCGAGACGGCGTACGACGGCATGTTCATGGAGGCGATCGACTGTTTTGCAAGTGGAATCAAGGACCACCGGGTGCGAGACAAGCTAATAATTCACATTGGCGAGTTGATGGGAAGGTCGAGCCAGCGCGTGGAGCATCATTTGAGTTCGCACATTCCCCGCCTCTCTGAGACCGAGACACACCTCACAGTCGGACGCTCAACGCTGCGGAAAACAAAGCGACCGGATCGCATCACGAAATCCAGGAGGCCCTTTGCGCCGACGACACACGCGCGGCGGTTGTTGGAGCAGATCTCTGTGGCAGTGGGCTTGAAGGAACCAGTTCTGCTGGTGGGAGAGACCGGTATAGGCAAGACTACCGTGGTGCAGCAGCTGGCTGAAAGCCTGGGTCAGAGGCTTGTTGCTGTGAACCTTTCCCAGCAGAGCGAGGTTGGCGATCTGTTAGGTGGCTTTAAGCCCATCAACGTGCGCAACCTGGCTGTCCCCCTGAAAGAGGAATTTGAGGACCTGTTTGCGGCAACTGGTATCTCAGAGGAGAAAAACCAGAAATACTTGAAGTCCATCAACAGGGGCATTGCGAAGGGCAAATGGCCCGAAGTTGCAAAACTGTGGGCTCAGGCGCCCAAGATTTTCGAAGAAATTCTCAAGATGAAGGTCAAGGAAGAAAAGAACAAGGACCAGACCCGGGATGTTGATGGGCAGCCTGCGAAGAGGCGGAAGACTGGCTCGACAAGATTGGAGACGCTGCTGGAGCTCAAGCCTCGTTGGGACAAGTTCTCCAAGAACCTCGAGCAGTTCGCCATTCAGCTGTCCGGTGGGGCAGGGGGGTTCGCGTTTGCCTTCATCGAGGGCAATATCGTCAAAGCCGTCAGGAATGGAGACTGGGTGCTCCTGGATGAGATAAATCTGGCATCACCGGACACGTTGGAAAGCATAGCAGATCTGCTCCAGGCAGGGCCGGACACGACGCCATCGATACTCTTGTCAGAGACAGGCGAGATCGAGAGGATCCAAGCTCACCCCAACTTCAGGATATTTGGTGCGATGAACCCAGCAACCGATGTCGGCAAGCGGGACCTGCCTCAGGGCCTCAGGTCAAGATTCACAGAGTTATATGTCTCTAGCCCAGACAAGGATTTCAAGGATCTTGTTACGATCATCAAGTCATACCTCAACGGTCAAAACTCCCAGGTTGACCAGGCTGCGGACAAGGTCGCCAACCTCTACATGCGTATCAAAGAGCTTGCTGAGGCCAAAGCACTCGTTGACGGCGCGAACGAGGTTCCCCACTTCAGCTTGCGTACCTTGACCCGAGTATTGACATATGTCAATGACGTGGCTCCATATTATGGACTGGAGAGATCCTTATACGAGGGCTTCTGCATGGGATTCCTCACCCTGCTGAGTCGAGCGTCCGAGATGCAGGTCATGCCTCTTATTGTGCAGCACTTGCTTGGCAAGGACCCCCACCGTCTTCTATCAAGGCCGCCCAAGTACCCGGCCGACGGGCGTGAGTACGTCAAGTTCACGGATACGGACAACAACCGAGTCTACTGGCTACTCAAGGGAGCCGAGATCCCGCAGGAACGGGCAGACTATATCAGGACGCCGTACGTCGAGCGGAACTTACTGAACTTGGTGCGAGCCACCTCGACGAGGCGGTTCCCTATTCTCATCCAGGGTCCAACGTCAGCAGGAAAGACGAGTATGATCGAGTACCTTGCCGAGTACAGCGGTAACAAATTCGTGCGAATCAACAACCACGAACATACTGATCTGCAAGAGTACTTGGGCACCTACATATCCGGCTCCGACGGGAAGCTGAAGTTCCAGGAGGGTCTGCTGGTACAGGCCATGCGTCAAGGACACTGGATCGTCCTCGACGAACTGAACTTGGCACCCACCGATATCCTCGAAGCTCTCAACCGTCTTCTCGACGATAACCGCGAACTGTTGATCCCAGAGACTCAAGAGATCGTCCGCCCTCACGAGAACTTCATGCTCTTCGCAACCCAAAACCCGCCAGGACTCTACGGCGGCCGTAAAGTCCTCTCAAGAGCTTTCCGCAACCGTTTCCTCGAACTCCACTACGACGACATTCCCGAATACGAGTTGGAGCACATCCTGCAGAAGCGCAGCATCAACACTGCCCCATCCGACTGCAAGCGGATTGTCTCTGTGTACAAGGAGCTTTCCCGCTTACGGCAGACCAGCAGGGTCTTTGAGCAGAAAGACAGCTTTGCGACGCTGAGAGATCTCTTCAGGTGGGCTCTTCGGGATGCGGAAACACGCGAGGACATTGCGAACAATGGTTTCATGCTCCTGGCAGAGCGTGTCCGGGATGATGAGGAACGCGACGCGGTGCGGCAAGTCATCGAGACCGTCTTCAAAGTGAAGATTGACCCGGACGAGCTTTATAACGAGCGGTTCAACCGAGCGATGCGACGAGCTGGCCTCAAAGACAACAAGCAGGGCGTTGTTTGGACAAATGCCATGCGCCGACTGTATACCCTGGTCTCGCAGGCTCTACGGAATAATGAACCAATTCTACTGGTCGGTGAGACCGGATGTGGAAAGACGACAATTGTTCAATTGCTTGCCGAATCCCTGGGCAGAGAACTCCACATCGTCAATGCCCACCAGAACACCGAGACGGGTGATTTGATCGGCTCGCAGAGACCAGTCCGGAACCGCGGGGCCATTTCTGAAGCCTTGAAGCAATGTCTCGTGGAGGCTTTTGAGGCTATAGGACAACCTCCTCAGGGCAGCATCGACGACCTTCTGGCACGCTACCACGCTCTCTCTGTGGATGAGAAGAGTCGCATCCCTGATTCTGTGCAAGAGAAGGTCGTCGCCAACGAGATCAGGAGCAAGGCTCTCTTCGAATGGTCCGACGGCAGCCTTGTGCACGCCATGAAGGAAGCACACTTCTTCCTGCTCGACGAGATCTCCTTAGCTGACGATTCTGTCTTGGAAAGACTCAACTCTGTGCTTGAACCCGGGCGAAGCCTGCTGCTAGCTGAGAAGGGCACCGACGACTCATTCGTGCGCGCGGCGGATGGCTTCCAGTTCTTCGCTACCATGAATCCTGGAGGTGACTTCGGCAAGAAGGAGCTCTCTCCCGCGCTGAGGAACCGTTTCACGGAGATCTGGGTGCCGCCATTGTCAAACAGACAAGACATTCTGGACATTGTGGTTGACAAACTGAAGCCCCAGTTCAGACCTCTTGCACATGTCATCGTGGACTTTTCGTACTGGTTCGGCAAGACGTGCCGCTCCTCATCGGCTACTGCCTTTTCGATCCGTGACATTCTGGTCTGGGTGAACTTTGTCAACCATGCTGAGAGCATGCAGCCAGCTATGGCCGTGTTGCACGGAGCAGCCACAGTGTTCATCGATACCCTTGGTGCCAACCCCTCAGCTCTACTGTCACTCGATCCCAAGACCATGGATGAACAGAGGCAGAAATGCTTGGACAAGCTGAATGAGCTTCTTGGAGACGGGATCGACGTCACTGCCACCTACCGAAACGAGCCACAATTGGCAATCGGCCAGGATTTTGTCCAGATCGGGGAATTCTCTGTTGCTCGGATGCCTCACGGCAAAGATGACTCTGCGTTCGCTTTCGACGCCCCAACAACCAAGATGAACCTCATGCGAGTCATCCGTGCTCTCGCGGTCAACAAGCCTGTTCTGCTTGAGGGTAACCCGGGCGTAGGCAAGACGACACTCGTCAGCGCCCTGGCTCTGGCATGCGGAAGGCCGCTCGCCCGGATCAACCTTTCAGATCAGACGGACTTGATGGACCTCTTTGGTACCGATGTTCCCGTCGAGGGTGCCGAGGCTGGCAACTTCGCATGGAGGGACGCACCTTTCCTCCAAGCAATGCAAAAGGGCGAGTGGGTGCTGCTGGATGAGATGAACCTTGCCTCCCAATCTGTCCTCGAGGGCTTGAACGCCTGTCTTGATCACCGTGGAGAGGTATACGTTTCGGAACTGGACCAGGTCTTCAAATGCCACCCAGACTTCAAGCTCTTCGCTGCCCAGAATCCGCACTCGCAGGGCGGCGGCCGAAAGGGTCTGCCCAGCTCGTTCGTCAATCGTTTCATCGTGGTCTATGCCGATGTATTCACGGAGCAAGATCTTATGCTGATTGCCGGCAAGAGGTATTCCGACGTACCTCAGGACACCATCCAAAACATGATCAGATTCGTGTCAGCGCTGGATTACGAGACTTCTATTCGCAAGTCTTTCGGTGCCCACGGCTCTCCTTGGGAGTTCAACTTGCGAGACTCGCTTCGATGGCTGGAACTCTTAGCTTCCAAGGACAACTTACTCGCCTCAGCTCAGGCGTCAGATTTCTTGGACATAATCATCACCCAGCGTTTCCGCTCCAAGGTTGACAAAGAATGCATCGCACAGCTGTTCAGAGACGCCTTCGGAACGCTGCCTCAGCCGCACAGTCTGTATCATAACCTCACATCAGCCGTATGTCAGGTCGGACTTGCCATGCTGGATCGCAACCCTCTGCTCCAGCCGAGCAGATTCCCCAACATGGACATCGTGCCTCGTCTTGCAGAAATCGAGTCACTGCTGATCTGCGTCAAAAAAAATCTGCCTTGCATCCTTGTCGGCCCTTCAGGGAGCGGGAAGTCATCGCTGCTAAATCAAGTAGCTGCGTCCGTCGGGAAGGAAATGGTCGTGTTCCCTCTGAACGCCGACGTGGATGCTATGGATCTAGTCGGTGGATTCGAGCAGGCCGACCCCTTGAGAGAGCTCCACGCAAGTCTTGACGAGCTTCATGACGCACTCTTAGAGTTTGCCTTGTCTCTGCTGCCTCAGAATTCGTCACAAAATGCAGTCAACCTGATAAGCATCCTTGACAGGCGCCGAGGAGAAGACGACCTCTCTGAGATCATTACGCGCATAGAGGCACTGGCCTCAGAGGTAGCAGCCGACTCACTGCTGGGCCAGCGACTTTCACATGCACACCAAATGCTGAATTCGCCCAGAACACTCGCGAATCCGCGGTTCGAGTGGCTCGACGGAGTCATCGTCCGCGCCTTGGAGGCAGGCAAGTGGCTCGTCCTCGACAACGCCAACCTGTGCAGCGCATCGGTCCTCGACAGGCTCAACTCGCTGCTTGAGCGTCCCAATGGGTTCCTGAGCATCAATGAGCACACTGGTCCGGATGGCGAGCCTAGGATCATCAAGCCTCACCCTGAGTTCCGCATCTTCCTGACCATGGACCCGCGCTACGGCGAACTTTCCCGTGCGATGCGGAATCGATCCGTTGAGATTTACCTTGAGGAGTCACAGCTGAGGAGCGAGCGATATCTCTCAAAGATCACGGAAATTGAATCTTCGATGCGGAGATACAGTCACGCCACTCACGTGAGCTCCGAAGCGTTTGTGAACGGTGGTGTTGAGGTCGCCCGTCTAGCACTTGACAATCTCGACCTTTCAGATGTGCCCCTCCTGGCAAGATATGAGAAGGCTTCTACGAACGGCTTGGGTTCTTTACTAGATGCAGCATATCCTGACACTGATTCCGGTCTATCTGCACTTGTGTCATATGTGCAGTCTCCAAAGGCCGCGCCGATAAGACAGGCTATTCTTAACCTGTATACGGCTACAGCCACGGACGTTTCAGGGAACGACGTGTTGACTGCTGCGCAGCCTCTTCACACTCTACACAATGCTCCAATGGTCAAACTCATGGAGAATCAGTCAAAAAACGCTGCGGAGTGGCTCGCGTTCTGCTACGAGGTCTTCGTGGAACTCCAGTACGCGCAGCAAGCCGTGCAGTCACAGATCCGCACTCTTGACAGGACCAAGCCTTCCACGCTCAACCGACTGCAGCGATCTCTGGTTTCAGATCAGGTCGCCAGTGTGGCGAAAGACTCGACAGTCAACGTGGCAGGGTTCCTGAGCTCCATTGTTCAGGTGGTAGAAGCACTCATAGGCGACAGCCTGAGGCGTTCAGAATGCAGCACCGAGGTCAAGCCGATTTTGCGGGCCGTTCTTCACTACTGGTGGAGAACCTTGACCTTCGTCACTGGTGCTTCATTTGAGGAGGCGAGGTTCCAGGCCCATCTCAAGCAAGGCATCGATGCACTACAGTCCACCGCGGGCAGCTCTGACAGCGAACGAGGGCTCCAAGTGATTACCAGCATCCTTGGCAACATTCAAGATGCCTTCACTGTTGGCTTCAAGCTCACCACAGGACTGAGTATGGAGACGCTCTGGACTCTTCTACGGCCTGCTGCCATCACTGACGAGGCCGCGTTCTCGGCTATTGGTGAGATGGAGAAGCTCGCGAGTCGCTTCGATGCCATCAGGTGGAAGTCGAATGCTAGTGTTGCCGACCTCAGCAAGGCCATTTCATCTCTGGCCGAGGCTTACAGTATTGTGCGCATGAATGCCACCGCTGCTGCCGACCTGATAAAAGCACTGCAAGGAGAAATCCAGCTTCTTGAGGATAATGCAGATGATGCTCGTGAGGTCACGCCATTCTTCGAGCAGGAATTCGAGACCCTGAGGCAAGCATTAACCGTCCACCGGGCGTCGCGCCAGTCGTCTGTCTTTGTGGACTTCCAGGACGTCGTCGTGTTGTCAAATATCCCCACGCTCTCGCAGATGCGGCTGCAGAGCTGGAACAGTGCTCAACGGCTTCTTCATTCCTTGGACTATGTTCTTGCCCAAGCCTCGGATTCACACCCTTGGAATGGCAAGCTAATGTCGAGACTTATCCAGCAGTATGAGTCGACAGCTGCTGCCAATCTCGCCGCCCTGCAGTCCCTCGAGATAGAGCTGCCAGCAATGGGCAAGCTCCTGGCAGGATCCTCGGAAGCCGTGTCGGCAGACTCTGTCGGGTGTCTCAATCAGATCTTGTGGCACCTACTGCGGGAAGTAGCTGGTTCTCATGATGCGCTCTTGCTTCAGGACTTCGTGTCCCTCTTTGAGCTCCTGTCAAGAAAGTTGAAGCCAGCCTCGGTGAAGATTGAGCCAAACGGTCTGATCTTTGAACTCCCGAGCGGTGGGCCGACCCAGCAGTCTAAGTGCCCTGAGCACAGTGCGGCCATCTTCAAACAGCACTTCATTCCCTCCATCGTTGCTCTGGTGGCTTCCGAGAAATCATTGACTCAGAAGAGCGCTTTTGCTGCCGTCGCGTGGGTCCATTTCGCCATCGGGTGCGTCAAGCTCTACGTTCCGGACAAGATATTCGACCCCTACCTGCGGGCCGAAACAGAACGTGATTCCCATGAAGAGCTTCTGGCCAACCTGAGGCACAAGTGGCACGCCTTGTGCGCCTTCGAAGAGCGATTCACCGGCCAAACATCCAATTTACGTGCTGAGCTGGTGCGCCAGGAGATCGAGCAACTGGGCGAGCCTCCGGCTGCCGCTGTTACTATATACCGCCCGACCAGCGTTGACTTGGGCAGACTGCAGGGAGAATTCAACAACGTGCTGAACGCCGTTGTGAAGAGCGATGTCGCGTCTGCCGTCTTTGATTATCTGGCCACCGGTACCGAAGACAAGGCCGAACAAGTCCAGCTTGTCAAGGACAACGTGCTTCACCTCATCGAACGTCTGTCAAGCCGCTTCCAAGTCTATGAGGATTTAACAGTACCCTTGGTGACAATCTTACGCTCCTTGCAACTTGGACTCTCCTTGAGCACCGACTCTGGGGCCGGACATCGATCAGATGCTGCTTCGTTGCTCAGCGTCACGCCGATGTTAGGTGGATCTGTTTGGAGTGGCACAAGCCAACTGCCTCCCCAGAGCTTGGAGTTCCTGTCTTACATTGGTCTTTGGGTCAGTGTAAACGGAATCGAAAGCCTCGACACTACTCTCCGACAGCTGACATTCGAATCTGTCCACTATTTCTATGAGGAGTGGAGCAAGAAGCTCGATTCTGACAAGAGGGAGGAGGCAGCCAAAAATAGCATGTATCGGTACAAGGGTAGCCTCGATGACGAGGAAGAGGCCGACCAAGAAGATTTCAACGAGCTGTTCCCGGATTATGAAACGGAGAATGTTGAAGACCAAGCTGCCACAAAGAAGCCGGGTCAGGCGTCTCGAAATTTAGCACTGAGGTTGGCCGAACGGCACGAGAGGATTTTCCTGACGCCCCAGGGTACTCAGCAGAGTATGATCAACTTCTGCAAGGGCGTCGCCCGCAAGGTCTCCAGTGAAGCCGCGCAGTCTTCCCTAGACGCCCATACGGATCGGTCGCTTCTTCCTGGCGCATTGCTGGTTCTCGATGAGAAGATGGAAAACTTCACATCTAGCACGACTTCTGCTGGCTACAATTTCTACACCAGTGCCAACTTGTTCGAATCCCGCAAGCTTGTGAACCTGGTGCATGGCATCCGCATGCGGTTCAGGGAACTCCAGAGAGTCGATGAGATCGCGCACTTGGAGCCTATCACTGATGTTCTCACCGCCTGCGATCACGTCCTCGAGCTCAGTCACTCGGATCCTCTTGCCAAGATTATAACCCGCGTCGAGAAGCTGGTGGCATTTTTCTACGAATGGCAGCATGGTGGTTGGGCTAGCCACATCTACGGCGCCCCGGAAATGTACAACAAGTTGACAGACACGGTCGTCAGCTGGCGTCGCTTGGAACTCGCAACTTGGGCCAAGCTGTTCGACATGGAGGTTGAGAAGTGCCAGACCGATGCCAAGTCCTGGTGGTTCGTCGCCTACCATGCTGTCATCGCCATCCCCATGACCAAGGTTGACCTGGGCCACGACTTGAGGGATTATTCGATTCAACTGGTGTCTGATCTCGAGATGTTCTTCTCCGAGGCCGTGTTGGGCGAATTCGACACCCGCCTCCGGTTACTGCGCCAGTTGAGCAAGGAGCTGGAGCTCCTCGTCGTTGACTATGCACCACTCAGCCCCATCCACAACGCAGTGCTGAACTTCATTTCGATGTACAGCCGCTACCAGAGCAAGGTGGTAGAGGCCATTCAAAAAGGAAGGGCAACGGTCGAGAAGGCCATGAAGGATGTCCTCTTGCTCGCCAGCTGGAAGGATACCAACATCGTGGCTCTGCGGGATAGTGCTCGCAAATCCCACCAGAAGCTGTTCAAACTCGTCAGGAAATTCCGAGCCGTCCTTGGTCAGCCCATGAGAACCGTCATCGACCAAGGACTCCCCGATGAGAGCCACTCAAACAGCACAGCATCAAAGCCCCTCGCTCCAGCACCACCAAAGCCGAATGACTCTGCGGCCGACGTATGTCAACAGCTCATTCCTGGGTGGCTCGATGACGCTCATGCCAAGCGACTCTCAAATGCTGGCAAGATCATCAGCATCATGTCCAAGGCGTCTCAGCTGCCTGAGTCGACGATCAATGCAGCGGATGTGGTCAACACCTTCGTCTCCGACACGATGTCTGCCATGTCTTCGTTGAAGCAGGAGACTCCTGCTTTCTTGAACGACGAGAACAAGGAACAAGTCAAGCATCTCAAGACCAGGAAGGTCCGCTTGTTTGAAGAGACGGTCAAGGCGATCCGGACTATGGGCTTCACGCGCAACCTCAACGAAGCCCACCTACGCAACCAGAAGCAGCTAGCAGCCGTGCTGGCCAAGTTGGAACACCTACCTTCTGGAGGCGATTCAGCCCTGGCTGAGACCGAGTACTACTTCCACAAGGTTTTGGATCTGGCACCACAAGTGAGAAATGCTTTGCATGACCACAATGGCGATCTCACGAATGAGACTGTCCGACGAAGCACTGGCTACATGGAAGGCATCCTCCATGTACTGATTCAACAACGTGGCTGCTTAGCCGAGAATGCAAACATGCTGGCCTCCGTGGATGCTTCGATACAGAGCGTACAGTCTCTCATTGCGTCCAACGATTCCGAGAACCTGGTTACAAAACGGAACACCTCAAATCACGCTCAACTCCTTCAGTGGCTTATCCCCGTGCTGAACTTGGGTCTCCACCTGATCGAAGTACACGGCACTCGCGGCAAGGTCGCGAACGGTCCTGTGCAGTCCGCCCTGCAGGAATGGCTGACAAGTTTCAGCAAGCTTCAATCCCGCTTTGACGCATGTCAAAAGTTGCCAGACGGGTTGGATTCCAAGACCCAGTTGCAACTACGAGAACAACTTCAGGAGAAGCTTGACGACTTCGAGGCAACATTGCAGTTGCTTGAATCCGAACGGCCTGACCTCGGCTTCATTTTCCAGCAGCTTCAGATTTGGACCACTGTCACCGTCGACGACCACCAAGCCGGAACAGGCACCGATGACGCTACTGTATTTGTCCAGGAGACTCTGAACCTCTCGAAGAAGGTCCTTGATGCTGTGCAAAAATTCCAAAAGGCAGCAGCCTCCATGCCAGCATCCACGGAGGATGCATCGTGGCTTTTGCAGTACAACGACACCCTGACAAGCATGCTCAAGTCTCTGCACATGAAGACGATCATAGAGGGCATCAGCGACTCCGTTTCCCGCCTGAAGGGTCTGAAGTTGCAAGATCAAGCCGTCAAGAATGCGGCATTTTCTCTACTTGCCGTCACCCTGCCCTTGCTACAACAATACGCCATCATATGCCACACCTCCGTCACGGATCTGACCAATGTGCACTGCGCCAGCTCCAAGATGGCGCTCAACCTCGCCAAGGCGTTCGTGGAGATCGCGTCCCGGGGATTCTGCACCCCGCAGGAGAAGTCGGACGAGACATCTGCAGACTCGGGCAAGCTTGAGGGCGGCACCGGCCTCGGCGATGGTGAGGGCGCCGAAGATATCAGCAAGGACATCCAGCCCGATGAAGATCTCTCCGAGTTGGCTCAAGAGCCAAACAAAGAGAAGGACGGCGATATCGAGGACCAGGAAGACGCCGTGGACATGGGCCAAGATGATATGGAGGGCGAAATGGGCAGCGCAGCCGGTGATGACGAGGACGATAAAGACGGCAAGGATGGCGAAGACGACGAGGAAAAGGACGAAATGGACGAGGAGACTGGAGACGTGGACGACCTCGACCCCACCGCTGTCGACGAGAAGATGTGGGATGGAGACGGCGACGATGCAGACAAGGACCAGCAAGGCGATGATTCCAAGGGCCAGAAGAACGAAGACGAGAAGGCTGCCGATAATGACGCGCCCGAAAAGAAGGATTCTAAGCAGGAAGAGCCGGAGCAAGGCAAGCCTGAGCAAGAAATCGATGAAGAAGAGGCCGGCCCAGAGGAAGACGAGGCCGGCGCACAGGAAGAGATGAATAGGCAAGACCAGAACGTCGATGAAAATGAGGCGTTGGATCTGCCTGACAACATGGACATCGACGGCAGCGACGACGAGTCGGCCATTTCAGACGACGATTTGGATAAGCTCTCGGATATCCAGCAGGACACGGAGGAGGAAGCCAAGCAGGAGGGAGACGCAGAGAGCGTCGATGAGAACGACGGCGACCAGGGCGACATGAACCAGGACGACATGAACCAGGAGGTCGACGAGGACAACCTGGACGAAGACATGACGGGTGACAACGCCGAGATGGAAGACAAGGAGCCGGAAGCGGAGGAGCAAGGCGCAGACGACTCTGGCGAGAAGGACGAGTCGAAGCCGCCGCTGGACCCCAATGATGACGCCCACGCCGACCCAGACAACGCTGCGCCGAGTGACGTCAAGAGCGGCGCCGGCCAAGACCAAAACAACATGGAGAACGGGCAAGATGATGATAACTCACAAGCCAAGGCGGCGCAACGCGAGAGCGGCGATATGGGCCAAAACGCAGACGACCAACAGACCGCCGCGGGTAACGAGGGTGCAATGTCGAGGCAAAACGATGACCAAGACCGCTCGGACGAAGCCAAACAGCCCGACGACTCAGCGCAGTCGCAGCCGTTCAAGAAGCTTGGCGACGCCCTCGAGAGGTGGTACAGGCAGAACCAAGACATCAAAGATGCCATGGACGAGAACCAGGAGGCGCGGCAACAGGACGACTCGGACATGGCCCAGAAGGAACTCCAACACCTCCAGAACGACGACGACGCCCCCGACGCCCAAGCCCTTGGCACGGCCGCCGAGGACGAGGTCCAGCCCATCGACGAATCCATGGCGATCGACGAGGAGAAAAAGGACGACCAGAACCGCGTCATGCCTCCACAAGACGGCGACAACGAGAACGACAACATGGACATCGACGAGGAGGCCGACGGCGCGGACCAGGACGAGTCCAAAGACAAGGACGTGCCAGAACGTGACGAGTCTCGAAGCGGCGTGGCCACCCGACGCGGCGCCTTCAACCGCGAGCGGTCCATGTCGCCCTCGAGGACAAACCAGACGGAGGAGCCAGAGGACGAGACCGTGGACGAGACATCAACGCAGCTAGACCACACCCACCTCGCCGACCCGGAGCGCCCGCTGCGCGACTACCAGCAAGCCCTCGAGACATGGACCGCCCTCCAGACCAAGACGCACCCGCTCTCGCTGGCGCTGACCTCCCAGCTCCGGCTGATCCTCACGCCGTCGCAGAGCACCAAGCTCTCGGGGTCCTACCGGACGGGCAAGCGCCTCAACATCAAGAAGATCATCCCGTACATCGCGTCGAGCTACAAGCGCGACAAGATCTGGATGCGCCGCGCCGTGCCCACGAAGCGCACCTACCAGATCCTCCTGTGCGTCGACGACTCCCAGTCCATGGGGCAGACGACCGCCGGCGCCATGGCCCTCGAGTCGCTCGTCATGGTCTCGCGGTCCCTGGCGATGCTCGAGGCCGGCCAGGTCGGCGTGACGGGCTTCGGCGCCGACGTCTTCACGGCGCACGAGCTCGCCGCCCCGCTGCTGTCGTCGCACGACGCCGGCGCCCGCGTCCTGCAGAACTTCACCTTCGCCCAGGACCGCACCGACGTCGCCCTCCTCATCCGGCGGACGCTGGACCAGCTGCGCGCGGCGCGGGCGACGGCGGCCTCGGGCGGAGGCGGCGGCCGCGGCGGCGAGGACCTGTGGCAGCTGGCGCTGATCCTGTCGGACGGGCTGACGCCCTCGGACTCGCACGAGCGCATCCGCCGGATGCTGCGCGAGGCGCTCGAGGAGCGCGTCATGGTCGTCTTCATCATCATGGACGACAGCTCGTCGCGCAAGGGCGACAGCGTGCTGCAGCTCGGCAAGGCCAAGTTCGTGCGCCGGGCCGACGGGTCCAGCGACGTCGTGGTCGAGCGGTACCTTGACACCTTCCCCTTCCAGTACTACCTGATTGTGCACAACCTCGAGGAGCTGCCTGGTGCCCTGGCCGGGTTGTTGCGGACTTGGTTTGCGGAGGTTAATTCATAGACTGAGAGTTGTTTCATATTTTCATATTCGTAGTAGAGTCAAGTCTTGCGCGACACATAGATGAACGGGGAGTCACTTGCATTTTGGAGTTAGGGATGGGAGAACGGAGTTAGTGTTTTGTAATAAAAAGACGTTCATCATGATACCTGACCTTGACTGAGAATATTCCGCATTTGTGACCTGCGAGTCAAAGAGTAAAGTGATCAATGGCTCAGTGAATATACTCTACGGCATGTCAACTTATACTTGGATGGCACAGAGCGGAACGATTCTAGTTTACTGGCAAATACGTCTGGATTTGGACCTTAAACTAGTTCCAACCTATTGAAGAAGCCAAAGTGCTAAAAGAAGAACCTGCCTCCCGGGGCACAGCAAATTGCAATGGACTAAGTAGGTACCCAGCGACCCGCAGCATTCAGATCAATTCCGTACTTCTGAACCAACTCAACAGTCAAAACAAACTCAGACTCCGGACCAATTTAGGCCACAAGCTTGCAGGGAAAGAAAGGCGAAATCAAGGTCTCCGAGACTCCGTCCACAGCAGGCATCTCAACCTCGTCCAGGTTCTCACAGGCCCTGGGGGTAACAGTGCGAGGCTTCCAGTTGTCCACGGTGGTCTGCTCCAGGCACTTGAACATCTCGAGGTCCTCCTCGGGCTCGCACAGCCACGGGTGCTTCAGGGCGGCGATCGCGGTAATCCTCCTCTCCGGCTTGGTCTGGAAGCAGCGGCGGATGAAGTCCTTGCCGGCCTTGGAGACGACGCCAGAGCGGATGGAGGCGACCTCCTCGAAGACACGGCCGAGCTCCTTGGTCGGCTCGTTCACCTTGCGCTGGGGGGTGAGCGCGTAGTTCATTGCGAACTTTTCGAGGAGGTCGATAGATTTGCACCTGTCGCTGCCGCAGAGGAGGTAGATCGCGAGGACTCCGATGCTCCACATGTCGGCTGGCGGGCCAGCGTGGCTCCTTGGGTTGATGATCTCCCTAGTGCGTTGGGTCAGTTTTATGAAGTGCGTTGGCTTTGTATAGTAGAGGACGTACGGTGCCTGCCAGCCATAGGTGCCGCAGATGCCAGTCATGCTCCTGTCGCCGACCATGCAGGTGTGGCCAAAGTCCGTGATGACGACGCGGTGGTGAGCCGAGGGAGTTGTCGCGCAGAGGATGTTCTCGAGCTTCAGGTCCCGGTGGACGAGGCCCTTTGCGTGCATATAGCCCGCACCGGTCACGACTTGCCGGATCAGCCAACGCACCTCGATCTCGCTCATAGGGGAGCGGCAGCGCTCAGTAAGCGTGAACAAGTCTCCACCGGCGGCGAGATCCTCGAACACATACAAGTTCGAACGGCTCTTGTAGGCGGCTCGGAAGGAGGCCAGGTTCGGCTGAGCGCTGTCAGAGAAGGCCTCGATTGACGAGAGTTAAGAGACAAGAGAGGAGACAACTTACATGCTCAATCTGGCTCCTCACGTGTGTCTCCTGCACCAGCCGCTGGATGTAACCTGTCTGGCCTCTCTCTCGCATGTCCCCAATATTGTAGATCTTGCAGACGACAAAGTCGCCCGTCTCCTCCTCAATGGCGAGATAGACTTGGGCGGAGGCCCCGCTTCCGATCGCAAAGTTTGTGACGGCGTACTTGTCGTGGAATTGCTTGATAGTTGTTAATGAGGATCGGACCGAAGTTTGGGAGGAAGAATTGACTTACTAGGGCTTCCATTCTCTGGGTTGGATTGAGCCTGAGCTTTCCGACGAAAGGATGGATGATCTCGAACTTCACGTTCTCTCCAACGCTGACCACGTCCTCATGGAGGAGTATTCTTCCAGGGTAGACCTTTGTCTTCTCGCCGTCTTGTTCGCGGCCGCCGATGAGCTTGCCGTTGACATAGGTGCCGGAGGTAGAGCCGCGGTCTCTGACGTAGACCATGGGGTAGTGCTCCTCGTCGAAGATGACGGTATAAAACTCTAGCTGCAAGCGAGACACAACGGGGTCGTCGATGGCGAGGTCACTGGCACAAGTAAGCCAGCAGCTCCAAAACAGCTGACTAGTCTTGACCTACTTGTGAGAGTGATCACGGCCGACGCGCAAGTTGTCGTTGGTGTGCAGATACAGGGTGTCTGTGGAGGAGGTTAGACCGCGAGGCCTTGAAAATGCCAGTCGCTAATTGACTCACCCTTCTTGATCTCCCCATCCGGGAGCTTGATTTCGAGCTTGATCTGAGCGACCGCGCCGGCCGGGCTGGATGGTGGGGTATCGTTGGGTGCCATTTCTAGAGTGATGCTCTTGATACCGAAGGCTTGAGATTGTGTTATGGTGTGTACGTGTAGCTGATCTGGTCAAAAGCTCTGTCCAGCAGAGGATCGCAAAGTCGGTTTGCAAACAGCAGTGAGATGGTAGTCAAGATTGGTGGCCAATTTGGGGCAGAAGTCGGGAGATCTGGTGCTGAGGATGGGTCGAAGTAAAGTTGGGGCTGGGGTGGAAAGAGACATTCAAGGGGAAGTCAGACAGGGGTGAGATGAGGTCTTAAATAATACAGGCAGAGCTGCGACGGAGAGGCCGTGGAGATTCAGGACGCACGCAACAAGTGAGAACAATGGGATGGAGGCCATTGTGCAGAGCATTTTCCTTGTGGTGGCTGCAAGAACCAGCCAACCAGGAGTTGAGGCAGGCGGAGGAGCTTCAGCCTGGCACTTGCCAGGATTGGAAGAAGACAATAGACAATAGGAATCATCCCAACTTCAGAGATTGAAGACTCAAGCGGATTGGTTGGATTTTATTGCAGACAAATCAACTAATGGGCAATTGCTTCCCAGCCATCGATTTTCCACTGTCAAATCTGCAACGAGGGCTCATTGGTGTGGGCGAGGGCCGATGAATGAGTCTTGTAGGAAGCAGCTGCGACTTGCGCTACGAGCCTGCTTGGTAGGGTATGAGTATCGTCAAATTGCTGGCTCCTGATCGATACGAGAGGAATTGGTTCTGCTTTGAGTGAATGTGTCCATCGATGGGAAGTCATCGGAGCAAATTCAATGGTTGATTCTCAGTCAGCAAGATCATTTACTCAGGGACACACTCGAAGAGTTGGTTACTTCAAGGGACCATCACGACTGCCATGATACTGAGATGGCAGGCAACTGAAGGAGCTTTGCCAGTTTTCACCATAGCCCTGCGACATATTTAATTCGACACAGTCTCAGATACAATAATGATTTTGCCCCTGACTGCCCAGATGATCGGAAGCAAGCATCGCGATAGCACCTACTTCAGCGGCAACGAATCAATATGTAGGTGCCTGTTGTTCACTTTGTAGTCTCCTCTCCAGTGGTCAAGCCTGGGGAGCACTTGACAATTCAAAGGTCACTACAGCACTCAAGCAATTAGGTCGCATTATTAGAGACAAATTCTATTACCACACAGATATATCCAATTGCTTCAAAGGTACTTTCTTAGACCGTAGATGGAATCGCAGAGTGACCGTGTAATTAAGTACTTAGGTACTTAGGAGTCAGTAAGTTGGAAGTTGGGCCCCTTACATAAGCCGCCTCCACTGAACCCCTGAGCGCCATAGCTCTCAGAGCATCCACCCACCCACCCGCTCGCTCACGGTGAGTGAGCTCTCAACTACGTCACTCACAGCAGCCACTCGACCTACCTCCTAGCAACCAACCTCACTAGGAGCACCAAACCACTGGATCAAATCCAAATCCTCAAATCTACCTCACCGTCCATCAATCCACCTCGACTCGATCCGTACGTACCCTCCAAAATACCAACCCCCCCCCCCAAAAAAATGGCAACAGCAACCCTCTGCCGCACCGCCCTCCGCCGCACCGCAGCACCCATCACCCTGGGCCTCTCAACAGGCCTGCTCCTCGCCCACCGCCAGCACCACCGCCATCCCATCCGCCTCGATGCCCTGCCCGCCTCCTCCTCCTCCTCGAGGCCAACCTCCCCCGTCACAGGGTCCGAGGACTGGCTGGACCCGGAGCTGATCAGGCAGTTGTCCGGCGGGAGCCTGGCAGGTATGTGTGTTGTTGTTGCATGCAATGAATTCAGTTGCAGTCGCATTTGTTTAGTTCCCCCCTGGCTCAAGGTCTAACATGTACTAAATCTCCTGCAGGATTCCTCTCAGGCCTGCTCGTAAGCGTCTTCTCCAAGACCTTGGTCCTGCTCACGGGGCTGGCCATCGTCACAGTGCAGGTGAGTTTTTGGCGAACCCCCACCCCCTTTCTCGGCGGGAATACGTGTTTGCATTCGTGTCCTCTCATCGGTAGTCTGGGGCCCCCTTCGTAACAGAATCATCATATCACAGGTTGCCTCGCGGTGGGGCGTCGACCTGCTCTCCGCCCTCAAGATCCGGCAGCGCATAGAGTCCTCGCGCGTCCTCTCGGCCCTCGAGAAGAACCCAACCTTCAAGCTGGCCTTTGGCACCACCTTTGCCCTCGCTGCGTTCATGCATTTTTAAAAGCGCTGTCTATGCAGATACCTTCATAATATACAAACCTCGTCGTCTCATCATTCTGAAACCCGCTCTGTGCTTTTCTCATATCCTGGCTTCCATCTCTTGACAAGCAACCCGCCCCGGACCGCTGTTATAACACTGGAAGGGTGCTTCCTACCCAGGTACATCTGTTCATAATTCAACTGATCAAGCAAAGGCCACATGAGTGCTTCCGAGAGGCTTCACAACGACTTGAGGGTAGCCCGTAGGTGACAAGACTTCACCTCCCTGTGGGTACAGCGAGCTACTTGCCGGGCCGACGCCGAATATGATCTGGCTGCCGTCGGAGCTTGCCAATAACCCGCTGTTGAACCTTCGACAGCTTGCTTAGAAATAGTTTTTCCTAGAATGGTGCTGTCTCTCTCTGCAACCAAGCCAGCGCGACTTCATCCCCTTTGAGCAAGTCTTTCGTCTTCTCGTAGATCTCTCTGTTGTGGTCATTTAGCCACCCCAACTCTTCTTCAGTCAGAAGCTTCACGTCGATAAGGTTCCGGCAGTAGGGTGTCATCGTCACATGCTCAAAACCAAGGAACGGTCTGTCACCGAACTGGTTGGCCGTCTTGACCTCCTTTACGATGGCGATGTTCTCGATGCGGATGCCGAACTTGCCATCTTCGTAATAGCCCGGCTCGATAGAAGTCACATTTCCGGCTGCCATGTAGACTTCAGAGTACTGCTTCCTAGTTCCTATCCCAATTGGGCCCTCGTGGACATTCAGATAAGAGCCTACACCATGGCCGGTGCCATGACGATAATCCAGACCCTCTCGCTGTACACAGCGTGTTAGTCTCATGCATGCCCTGGTGCGTGCAACGCCTGGAGATTCTTACCCAGAGGAATTGGCGCGCCAAGCTATCGATGGCGAATCCAGTCACGCCCTTGGGAAAGATGGCTCTGTCCAAGGCGATGTTTCCTTTCAGAACTAGGGTGTTTGCCTGGCGCTCCTTGTCCGTAGGCGTGCCGAAATGTAGTGTTCGAGTTGTATCCGTTGTGCCATCAAGGAACTGTGCACCGGAGTCACACAGGTATATGGCGTTCGGGTCTATGATTGAGCAATTGCCCCGCTCTGGTTGGTAATGGATGACGGCCGCACTGGTGGATCGTCAGATCAATAAACACAGGCTCGCCAAACTCGGATTGTGGCAGGCAGACTTACTTGGCCCCTGTTGAGGATATCGTGGGGAACGACAGCCCGACGAAGTCCTTCTGCTTGGACCGAAGCTCCTCCAGCTTGTCAGCCGCCGTCACCTCGTCTATCGTGGCCTTCTTGTTGACCAGCTGGTCCTCCAGCCATGCGAAATAGGCAGTCAGTGCCGCGCCGTCTCGGATGTGACATTGCCTCATGCCCTCCAGCTCCGTCTCGTTCTTCACGGCCTTGGCATCGCCGACGGGGCTCCTGATTTCCTCGACGGCCTCATCGCCACCCAGTGCCAGCTTCAACGCCCATGAGCCTTTTGTGGAGATGGCAAATTTGTTGTTTGTCACTATCTCATAGCCATTAGCGTCAGTGCCTATGGAATCGGTATTGCTCAGCGCCCTAGCGTCGTCGAAGAGGCTATCGTAGGGCTTGACTGTAACACCAGATTCGGCAAGATAGTTGCGGCTCTCGTCGTCGAGCTTCACCGAGTCGATGTATAATGTGGCCTGGTCAGCTGTAATCACGGCGTAAGAAAAGAATACGGGGTTGTACGGAATGTCGTTTCCGCGTAAGTTGAACAACCAAGCGATCTCGTCCAGCATTGACACGACAAAACAGTCCAGGTGCTTCTTGGCCAGCTCTTTACGCAGCTCCTCGAGCTTCGTCTTGGTGTCTTTACCGGCATACTTCTGATGCAGCAGCTTCACAGGCTCATTCGGACGCGGGGGCTTGCCATCGGCCCAGATGATATCGACCAGGTTCTCGGTGACAGCGGTCAGGTCCTGTCCTCCCTTCCGCTTGATGCTCTCGGCCAGCTTCTCAGCGGTCGAGCTGGTAAGCAATGTTGGGTCCACACCAACGACCTTGCCGCCGGCAGACTGGTCTGCAGACCATTCTTGCCACGTGGGAACGTCCTGTAGGCCCTGCTTGAGAAGGGTCCAGTTGTTGTCCAACTGTTTCGTTGCCTGGTTGAAGTATCGGCCGTCGGTGGCCAGGGCAGCCTTGTCGTGTGTGATTACGGCGCAACCCGCGGAACCGCTGAATCCGCTAATGAACTTCCTCCTCTCATCGCAGGGTGCGATATACTCGGATGAGTGGCTGTCTTCGGACGGAATGACTAGGAAGGGGGGGTCTTTAGAACTTGTATTCATTGGGCGGTTCCCGGGGGGGGGGGTGTGGACTGACTATATATGTCCACCTTGCGCTCCCTCATGAGCCTGCGCAGCTGGGAGAGCTGGTAGCTGGTGTCGACCGTCTCCATGTCGGGGTGGACAGAGGTGGAACTGAAGCGGACCTTCCAGGAGGGGGATGGCGACGCGGATGGGAATCTGGAGAGGAAGAGTACGCCCCTGACTCTGTTGAAGGCTGGCTGTAACTGGGGGGCAGCTGGTTTTACCTTGCAAGCGGCAGAGAACAGCCTGGGCGAGGACAACAACATGGGCGGGTAGAATTGGGAGGAAGTAGAGGAGAGGAGTGAAATGGCGTCGGTGGAAGGGGAGATGGAGGGGCGGTTGGTTGTATGCTACGCAGCATTGAGCGGGATGCGCACACCCCACCTTCCTCGAGTCGCCAATCGAGTGAGGCCCACACAAGCTCTCCTGCTGCATTTGGCAAGCCTCTGAGCATCGCCAGGGGCGGTCTCTGCGCCTATTTGCGCCTAGGGGCTGCCATGCCGAGGCCCTGGCCTATCACACTGACGCCATATAGCTCGAGCCAGACACGGTCACACATGGACGAAGCCACATTGGATGCCATGATGCCGGCACCAGCAGCTTCGGCGGCGGCATTGAGGGTGTCATTGTTTACATACGATCGAGTTGCTGGCACACTGCTGTCCACGTTTTGAGTTATGGGGCTGCAGATAAAGTTTCGGTGTCTGTACGTGCTTGGCTGCAGCAATTTGTTGTCTCTGTCATTGAGACTCTATTCTTGAGACTCTGGTCCATTGTTGTGTTGGTACTCCATACATAGTTTGGTCATGATCCACTCCTGAGACAGTTTGTGGACGAATGCCATCAGGGCTCCACTAATTCATGCTCTCGAGCTGCACGACGATCAATGTTCCGCGTGAACAAAGAGGCAGCAATGATATATACTGCTCTCATGGAGCTGGACAGCCTGTTGCCATGGAAAGCAAGCTGTATGTCCCGTACTCCGTACTCCGTATTCTTATCGATACGGCGGTCGTCCTCCCAAAAAAACATCGCCCCACCACGAGCACAAGCGGCGCGTCGGTATGCTGCCAGCCTGGTGCTTATAAGTACCATCTCTCATCGAGCAGACCAGGCCGGTTTACTATACCGGGGGACCTCAGCTGAAGCCTCGACATCCCTAGCTACTAGCAGTTAACTGACCTGCACATAATGTTCCACTGAGCAGGGAACCCCCAAAGCCAGTCCCCACCCTCGCCGTCTCACAGACCCACCCCACCATCCCCACCGCCGCCCTGTTTAGAAACACAGCAGCGACAGCACAGTGCTGTGTAGTACCTCCCGTTGCACTGGCCGGCCCCGAACGCTGCGGCGCGTAGGCTGAGACAATCTTTTGGCCGGGGCTGTTTGCCGGTCGCCATGTTGACTGCACAGCAAGATGGAGCCCCTACCACTGCCATCAAACCTGGACGAGGCCGAGTCGGTGAGTATTGCCGTCCTCCGCCCGCAAAAAAAAAAGACACAGTCAAGATGCTTACTCCCCTCGCAGTTGATATTGGCGCTGTACCGGCCGGCGCCGCCTGAGGTCATCTCCAGGACCCAGGACGCCCTGCAGCGCCTCCAGCGCTCACATCTGGGATGGCAGTTCGCCCACGGCATGCTCGAGCGCCCCGACGACCAGGTCAAGTTCTTCGGCGCCCTCACCATCATCATCAAGCTCAACACCGAGAGCTCTGCCCTGGCCGAGGACGATGCGAGGCAGCTGCTCCAGAGCCTCATCGGCTGGTTCGTCCGCTCCCTCGCCGACGGCAGCGGCGCCCTGGTCATCCGCAAGCTCGCCTCCGCCCTCGTCACCTTCTTCATCCAGTTCCCCCACCTCTGGCCTGCATGTGTGCATCACCTGCTCTACTGCTTCGACGTTGGCCGTGCCGTGCCCAGGGATGAGGCTAAGAATGCCCCCACCTCGGCCCTGCTCGCCGCTCTTGATGAGACAAGGTTGATGGCTGCCATCTGGTTCATTACTGTCTTTGTTGAGGAAATTGCAAAGACCGAGATGAAATCACAGAAGTAGTACGTGTGGCATCTTACACGCGTGCCGGATTTCATATGCTGACTTGATACAGCTTAGCAGTGCATGAGAGCCTCGCCCAGAACTCGGAGGATGTGACGGCACTCTTGGCTTGTGGGCTGTCCAACAGGTCTCCCAGTGGCATCAGGATTCGAGAAGAGACTATTAAGTGTTTACAGGTAGGTTTTGAGACATGTATTGAGGTTGTTGACGGGGCGCTGCTAAATTGCATGCCCTATGACTTCGTCCAGACTCTGGGTGAGATGGCTAACAGGCATCTAGTCTTGGATCCTCTATGAACAACGTCTTCCGTCATCCGATGACACGCTCACGAAACCTCTGCGGGATCTCATAATCCCAGCACTGGAATGCATCCAGACTGAAGAGCTGACCGAGACGACAATGGAGCTGTTCATCGACATTCTTCAGAACTATTCTGGTTTCCTGAAAGATGAGCACTACGAAGCCCTCTTCGCCCTGTTTGAGAGCGACTGGTCGCGGGATCGCTACATGCAGCTTTCGTCCGGTGACTTTGACTTTGCGTTTACGCAATATGGAGTTCTGATGATTGCATTCGGCGACGCAAAGGTGCAAACCCTTATGGAGGGCGTGGACGAGCGATCGCATAGGATGCTTCAAAGGCTCTGTGGCCTACTGAACTGCAGGGGCGTCCTTGTTGGAGAGGACAAAATCTTTGTCCCCGCCCTTGAATTCTGGGCCACGTATGTCGAGACTCTGACGGACACAGTTTACATGGAGGAAGCGACCGCTTACAGCTGGCTGCCCTTTGCCATGAGCCAAGTCATGGATGCTATCTCCCACTGTTATGGCAAGATCCAACTCGTCGATCACTCCACGTGGAGCGAGATGGACTCTAATGATAGAGCCGGATGGGTTGAGGCCCGGAAGGATGTTGCCGACTTTTTGCTGGCGGTTTGGACTCTCAAGGGGAAGTCCCTAGTGACCAACTTTGTTGATCTGCTGCTCCAGGCCCTCCCCACTCGAGACTGGGCCCAGATTGAGGCCTCTCTCTACTGTCTTGGAGCGATCAGCGACTGCGTTGGGGATAGCGGGGACTGTGACCAAGACCTGCACAAGGTCTTCTCCTCTGAACTGTTTCAACTGGTTGGGCCCGGGCCCGCCAGGGCGACAATACCGCCTCGTTTGTTGCAGACAAGCTTGTCGACAATCGAGCGCTTTTCTGATTTCTTTGAGCGTCACCAGCAATATCTGCCTTCGGCCCTCGAATTACTCTTCACCGTTGTTGGCGAGGACGGAGCACTTGGGGGCTCTTCCTCCAAATCAATAATGACACTATGCTCTTCCTGTCGATCTTTGCTCAAGGACCACGTTGAGGGCTTTCTTCAGCATTACCATCGTATTCACGGCATAGGAATTGACTCTGTCGCTGAAGAGAGGATCATGACCGGTATCGCTTCGATAGTGCAAGCAATTCCTGAAGAAGATCGACGGCTGGGCTACCTTGAGGACCTGATCGCTTTACTCAACAATGACACACAGCACTGCCTCCGCCTGAAAGAACACCCGCATCTGGCAGACGAGCAAGACATGAAGTCATGGATCGAGACGAGACTTCGAGCTGATATCCTGTCACAGAAACATGCGCCGACATCTGTGGACGAAGCGGCTCTTCTCGTAGCAGAGAGGGTCTTGAGGAGTATAGCAAGCATGGGCAAGGGCATGCAGAGCCTGTCTGAGGCGCCTATCGAGCTAGACGTTGAGGAGGACAGAAGGCCCCAAAACAGCAGCGAGCGGCTCTTGGGCATCCAGAACCACATCGTGACTATGGTGAGCCAGATACACCAGGCCTTCGGCCAGAGCGGTGAGGTCACAGAAACAATCTGCAACATATTCCGAGCTGGCTTCTCCGAAACAGAACCGGGCCCGTTTGTGTTCCCACCAGCACTTGTGATTCAGTTCTTCACACAAAATGGGCCCAACAGCCCCCGGATAGGCAGCATGATCAGCACCATGTGCTCTTTCGTGAGTTCCTTGAGCAACCGACCCAGGGCACAGGTCCTGGAGTGTCTCGCTGCTCTCCTGCCATGGGTGCTCGGTCTACTCAAGGTGATATCGGGTAAGCACCATCCCACAACCATACTACAGCGACAAAGCTCTGACCGTCTCCAAGAACCCGACAGCGACCCTGATCTGACGCAAAGCGGTATCGACTTCATGAATCGCGTCATGTCGCGGTATCCCGAGGCTCTCCTACAGCTTCAACCGACCAGTGACCTTGAATTCTTCTTCATGTTCGCCCTGAGGGTCTTGGACGGAAAGGAACCCCTGCCGAAGGGAAGTGCCTGTGACTTCTGGGTGAGTACCACCATACAGCTGAGATTACAACACCTCGCACTCGAAGCATATTGGAGACTCGGTGGCTGACCAGCAACAAGTCCGCATTCGTCGCCATCAAGAGCGACGACGCTTCGGTCCAAGCTGGTTTCGGTAATGCCCTCGAATACCTCGGGCCGCTCCTGACGCAGTCACTCGTGCAGAACATTGGCGGCAACGCGTCGCGCAGCGAGCTGGACAAGCTGAGTGACCCCCTGAAGAAACTTGTCGTCCAGCATCCCAAGGCCAAGCAGTGGCTCGAAGCTGCCCTGCTGGACCCGTCTTTCCCCAGCACCAAGGTGACCGCTGAGGACAAGTCGATGTTTGCGAAGAAGGTCATAAAGTAGGTTGACCCTCCCCCTGAACGGTGTCTATCTCTCTTGAGGGCGGTATTTTGCTAACCCAATCTTCAGCCTGAGAGGGGCGAGGCAGACCAACACTGTTGTCAGGGACTTCTGGCTGGCGTCAAGGGGTTCCAACTTTGCATATGCATCTTGATGCTCATATGTTGCCGTTGCCATGTGAGAGGCTGGACTTTTAGTACGAGTGGGCCGGGAAGATAGAGATGGAAGAATGCGATGCAAATCATAGATACCTCACACACTAGCATGTGCAGACGATTGGAAGGCCGACAGACATGTTTGGATTGCTAGGTTGCGGGTGTCGTACCAGGACCAGCACTACGAGAAATACACACAACGTATGCACGCCTCCTGTCCCGTACTTGAGTGGGGACAATGAATCTTATGCCCCGGGGACGCCCATCTATATGTCTTTGTACACATCTTACACCTGGAGACGCACGATCCTAAAACCCTACGGCATCCTTGACAAGCTTCATGGTCGCATCCGCACTCGCCCTGGCCTTCTCGGCACCAACGGCCTCGAGATCATCCAGGCCCCTCCCGCCGTTGTTGCCCATCAGCTCCAGGTACCTCTCCCGCACATCCCTCAGCTCAGCGACGACCGCATCCGCCGTCCGCTCCTTGAGCGCCTTGAGCGGGTGCTGGGCCCCCTCGAACCCCCGCGCCACCTCCTCCGGCGTCCTGCTCCCCTTGCCCTTGCCCTTGCCCTTGCCCCCCCTCACGCCGCCGCCCTCGAGGACCGCCAGCATCTCCAGCAGGTTCGACACCCCAGGCCGCGCGGCGGGGTCGTAGCTGACGAACCCGCTCTGCGAGTCCGTCACGGCGCGCATGATCTTGCGCCGCACGTCCGCCTCGGCGTCGGTGATGAGCACCCTGCTCGCGGCGTTGGCGTCGGACTTGCTCATCTTCCTCGTCGGGTCCGCGAGGCTCATGACGCGGCGCGCGGGGCTGACGATCGTCTCGGGCGGGACGAGGATGTTTCCTCTCTTCTTGTCCTTGTCCCCGCCGCCGCCGCCGCCAGGGCCGTAGGTGTGGTTGAACCCGGCGGCGCACTCCCGCGCGAACTCGAGGTGCTGCCGCTGGTCCTCACCCACGGGGACGTGCGTCGCGCGGTGCACGAGGATGTCGGCGGCCTGGAGGACGGGGTAGGAGAAGAGGCCGAGCTTGAGGGCGGCCGCCGAGGAAGACTTGCCATCACCGCTTCCACCTCCCCCTGCCCCCTCGCCGCCGTCGTAGTCCCCCAGCGCCGACGCGTCCTCCGGCAGCGACAGCTTGCTCTTCCACTGCGTCATGCGCGACAGGTACCCCATGGACGCGGTGCACGACAGCACCCACATGAGCTCGGCGTGCGCGGGCACGGAGCTCTGGTGGAAGATGGTGCTGCGCGCCGGGTCCAGGCCCACGGCCAGCAGGGCGGCCAGCATCTCGCGGCGCCACCGGCGCAGCTGCCCCGCGTCCTGCGGCAGCGTGATGGCGTGGAGGTCGACCACCGAGAAGAGGAGCCGCGTCGTCGGGCTGGTGGATGTTGCCTCCTCCTGCAGCGCCACCCACTGTGACAGCGCGCCGAGGTAGTTGCCCAGGTGTGGCACGCCCGTGGGCTGGATGCCGGAGAAGATCACCTTTGGGGCGGCATCGCTGGGGTTTGTGGGTGTGGTGGTGGTGGTGGTGGTGGTGGTGGTGGTGGTGGTGGTTGAGGCCAAACGGCGCTGGTGAGATATCTGTGAGGATATCGACGGGTGCGCGGCTGGGTGTGAATTGCTGGGTGGCGCAGCTTGGGCGGCCTGTCCTATTGCTATGGGCCTCGAGCCCAGTATCCTCCGTGACCGCCTACACAGCATTGTGACGTTGAACTGCTCATACGAGCACTCCCCCGGGTGGTGGTGTGGTGGTGTGATGTGTGGAAGTCGACGTCGTTGCGCCGAGTGAGCTCGGCGGTTCAGAGTGCAGAGAGCCGAGATTTCACCAGAGATCCCAACCCGCCAACTCGACACAGGTTGGGCTACAACAACGGACGCAAAACAAGTTATTAACTTTTAATTTTTTCACGGATGCAATGATCACGAAAGAAGAACAGGACCATGCCTTTCTGGGTGAATTGTCTTTGATTTCTGCTGGCGCCGGCGGTATAACGGTATGCTGAGCCATCTAGAAGGCCGCTTCCGCTTCGCTTCGACGATGCACAAATACGTGTACCACAAATATAATACATCTTCATTCACAGTATATCTACCGGCCTCCAGCCAACTTGTACCTCTCGCTTGTGAGTAGCTCATCCACCTTCTCGATTGTCCCAATCTCCTTGTCCTGTCCCAAGAGCTTGAACTTCTGGTCGATCAAGGGCTTGGCCTCCTCATATGCCTGGTCCAGTTCCTTGGCAACATCTGCGCGTCCAAATTAGTACACATACCAAATAAAAAAGACTTATGATCGAATTAGAGACAAGAGAGACGTACCGATGCTGCTGAACTCCCATATGTTGGCCTTCATACCCACACCCGCCTGCTGGTGCTTCTGCAAGAACGCGAGCCAGACCTGCACCGTGTGCGGGTGTCCGTCGCGGATCTGGATGAGCCTGCGGCGCGTGATCCGCTCAAAGTTCTCCTGCGACTTCTTGAAGATGAAGCTGGACTTGGGCACCGTCCACCTCTGGATGATCTTGGGCAGCGGCGTGGGGCCGTACGCCGGCAGGCCCAGGTAGTACGCCGCGCGCAGGGCAAAGTCGCAGAACGACTCGAGCGGCCGGACGCTGTAGGATCGCAGCTGCAGGTTGCACGAGGGGATGTTGTACTTTGCCTCCCGGCGGAGGGGCTGCATGTAGAAGGCCTGCACGTTGCGCGGCAGGCGGGGCCCGTCCTCTGGGTCCTCCTCGTCCCCTTCCAAGGTCTCGACCAGCTCGGCCGCCTTCTCCTCTGCCTTGTCACCGATTTCCTTCTCCGCCGCGGCACTGAGGCTGTCGTGCCTTGACACCGTCGCCTCCTTGTCCACGGCTGCGACAGGGCTGGCTGGCTCCTGTGGCGGTGTCTGGTCGAGCTCCGTCGCTGCGATCTGCTCGTTGACAATGTCCTGGGCCTCTGTGTTCGTCAAGACCACGGGCTCGGACATCTCCGTCTCGCCACCTCCCACCTCCTCGGTCTCACGCACTTCTTCCGCGGCCTTGACGACCTCGTCAGGGAGCGCGGCTGGTGTCTCTGCAGTCCCCACCGGCTCAGATTGGGCCTCGACCGCGGGCTCGGGGGTGTCCTGCTCCGTCACTGCCTCTGGGGCGTGGCTTTGCGATGCCACAGATGCGGCCTCGACGGCCTCCTGGCCTCGAGACTGGGGCTCTCCGAGCGCCTCTTCAGCCTCGACAGCAGGGCTCGCATTATGCGGCGCGTTGTCCGCCGAGTCCGCGATGGTCGTTTCGAGCTGTTCCGATTCGAGGCGCGCTTTCTCGAACGCCGCGATACCTGCAAAGACTTCATAGGACAGATCATGCACCTCCTTCATCGTAGACCTTATGAATGCGCCGTCCGGTCGGGGGATCACGATTGCCTCTGGCTCCGGGGCAGTAGCAGCCTCGGCCGCCTCGATCTGTCGCGCGACCACTTCTGAGATGCCAGCCTCGATCTCAGCACCCGCGAGCCTGACTTTTTGGAACGCGGACTTGACCAAGGCGGCGTCAAGCTTCGGCAGGGCGGCTTCATTCGAGCTCGGCTGCGCGGGCACCGCGACCTCGGCGTCCGTGACGGGCTCCCCAGGCTGCACAGTTGCGAATTCGCTCGGCTCGGCCTGCTGCACTTCTATCTCGCCCGTCGTCTGTTGTGGGCGCTCTGGAGGTTCCAGGTGCTCCTCTGGGTTGACATCCTGTGCCTCTTGCGCCGCGTTCGTCGGTGCCGCTGCTGGGGTATCTGGGGATGACTCCTTCGCAGCCTCCTCGGCAGGGCTGTCCGACTTTCCTGCTGGGTCCTTGGTTCTGCACGACAGCACACATCAGTGACATGTTCCCTCCACACAAAGCCTGGCCATTATATCCTTGACGTACGTCGACGAGTTGCACCGGAGCTGGGGTCGGAGCTGTGAGGCCCGGGCGCAGTAGGGTGTTCGGATCGGACGAGAGGGCACAAGTTGCTGGTTCAACCAGGTCAGCAGCCGTCGCCAGCTCCAATTGGGTTTATATAGCATGACCTACCAGCCGCCTCTGCAATATGGCCCTCAGCGGCCGTAATACAGGTGGCGCATTCATCTCGGCATGCTTGGACGGGGAAACGCAGGTGAGGATCATCAAGCTCCAGGAAAGTTTGTGCTTTGGCCGGGTGGATCATATCGATTACAACCCCAACCCTGTCGACAACCTCACTGGTAAAACTTGCTGCAGAGCACATGAGACATTTACGACCGGGCAGAAACGGATTCACATGCTGATGACATTAATTTAATGAGTTTATGATTTTCAATTTAATGTGCTAGTGCATCTCTTTTCTTTTCTTTTCTTCCCTGCTTCTGTTTGCAGGGGCAAGGCCAGGTGTTAGCCATGGCCTTGGTGAATACTCAGGATGGTGATGACGGTAGAGCTTCATGGATGACATGAGTTCGTCTCCCCTTGGCGCACGGTTATGTACTGACTTCTCCCGCTATTACCGCAGAGCGAGAAGTCGACCTTCCGTGCTTCGCTTCCTTTCGTTGCGTCGCGACAGGTGACGTGGCTTTCTGGTTCAGAAGACCTGCCTCTGCCTCCCACACGAGCTGCTCGCTGGCGCGCCGCCAGCCTTCGGCAGCATAACAACCAAGCATAGAGCATGCAGTGGACACGTGGGTTGGGGTGGTGGGGTGGTCCGCGCGACCTCTTGGGTGGTTGAGAGGGCGGCATAGGTATGTTGTAGCCTCCGTCAAGTGCCCTGCTGGGAACACTCACGGTCAAGGCTCCGACTCTCAACCCCTGTTCCTCCTGGCTGCCATAAGTCTCTTGTAGTGGCCCTTCTTGCCACTCATCTTCTTCTCCTGGATCTTCATGTATCTGTCCTTGAACTTGCCATCCGACTCGCCGGTGGCCAGGACCTCCTCGACGAGAGTGCGCTTCCTCTCCTTCTTGGTCAGTCGTCCATTGTGGTGGTCCAGTGATCCTTCGACCAAGGTCCCGACCTGCGAGAACTGAGGGTAGGGGTCCTTGCGGTTGTCTCGCTTCCAGAACTTTTTTCTGTCGACAACACCCCTCATCCTCAGCAGTTGCAGGTCCTTCTTCACCTGAGGGTCATCGATATCTGTGCGCGGCATGTAGTTCCAAGCAGCGCCAGCATTGTCAGGAAGGGCCTATGCATCCAGTCAGCGAGCTGATCGAAAGACAAGGAACAAGACACATCGAGAATGATGAATTAACCTCAGAGTAACTATGAACAAAGAAAAATCACGTTTGGTGCAGGATCCGCCCCCATAACGGGGGCTCGTCGCCGCGTCATTCGAGTTTGGGATAAGATTTCCTCATAGGAGAAGACGGTGTGAAATTTGGAAGTTCTGCGCGTACCTTTTTATCCTTGGACTTGAGCTGAGGCACACGGAGCGACAGTTCAGACACTCCAGTCGACTTCTTGCCTTGGTTCTCGCCAACGCCGTTGAGGGCGACGAGGCTTTGGGGGCCAGTCGGTGGCTGTTGTGGCTGTTGCCGTGACGCAACAGACTGGTCGGCTGCCTTGCTGGCCAGTGCGAGCTCGGCAGAGCTCAGGAGCTGGTCGATCTCATTCTCAGACAAGTCGACCGCCGTCATGATGAGCGCTGTGAGATTGGCCGTTCGACGGTGAGGGAGAAGAGAGGCAACAAAGGGTGTGATGCTAAGAAATTTCGAATTTTGAAGACGGAGTCGCGAAAAAAAGATGCCAGGGTGGCACGGGCCATACGCTAGGTCAGCGACTGGGAGGGAGGAAGCTAGACCAAAGCGGTTAGCTGGCTCGGTCCTGAAGTCTGTGCTCCGTCCTAGGGGGTACGTACCTGGGCGATACAGCTCTCTGGCAGTCGGGTACGACAAGCCCGGACGGACTTGACAATGCCGACGGTGAGGTCACAGAATGGGAACCCGTGTGGCACTCAAGAACTCTCTCTCTCTCTCTAAGACATGGACGGAACCCAACCCCCCCCGAGCTGGTCTGCCACACCCTGCCAGCTGTCATATAGCCATGGATGTAGCTGCAGGAGCTGCAGGCGTGGATTGTGAGGCTGCTTGAGACGGTCCTGATGGGGAACACGGGCCGCCGGTGTCTACGTCGCAAGCGCTGGCATGTCATGTTGGTGAGAGGGTGGTGTGGTGAGGTGGACAAGGTGCGTGTGTGTGTGTGTGGTTGACACTGAGACTGAGACACAGGAGGAAGGACTGGGGTACTGGGGGGCATCGGGTTGATGGAATACAGTACCTACAGCAAGTACAGCAAGCACACTAGATGTCGGACACCGCTGGGCTTGGGCTGGCAGCTGGGCTTGGGGGAGGCGGACGGGTTGAGTCCCAGTTGCACTCCCCGTCCCGGCTTGATGCCCAACCCTGCTGCTGGCCCTGACCGCCCCTCATACTTCAATCGTCATCTTTCCCTCCTGGAGGAGTCGATGGGGAGCAGCTGGGTCTCCCAGGCAGTCTTGTCTTCAGCCCTGCCGATCCCGTCGCGATCTCCGTGTCCAGCAAAGATCTCGAAGACGTTGAATCTTGAGGGGCGAAAAGCATATAAAAGCCGTGTATGTGCACTCACTCTTACTCGCGTGGGGAATACTTCCGTCTCCCACTCTCTGGGTGGACGAGCCGGAACAGCCCCTCCCCCTCCCCTCCCACTCCACCTCCCACTCCCACTCCCACTCCCCAATTCCACCACCCCCAAGCAAGCTTGCTACCTCCTGCCACTGACCAGCGACTGCCGCCCCTCCCCTCTCCTCCCCTAGCTTGCCCTCTGCCCTACCCCCCGCGCTAGCTGACTGGCCCGAGTTCGTCCTCTAAAACAGACGAGCTTCTCAGGGCAAACTCCACCTTGGTCACCCATTCGCTACTCCGTACTTCAACTCAAAAGCCACCCCAGCCAATCAATTGACCGCATCGCATCGTAGCTATAGAGTAAGGTGAGTTCGTCAGTCCGGCCCATCCACAAGACCTTCCTTCCCAATCAAGGGACGCCCGCCCAATCCCGCTGCGAACCAACGAGCGCCCGCGGCGCAGGTCCCGGTAGCGCGCGCTGGTTGCGCCTCGCAACTCCATGTCAACAACAGGGTGCAGCAAAGAAAACATCAAGCTCTGTCGCCGGCGCGCGCACACGGTGCAGGCCTCCTCCGGGAGTGAGCCCACGGGGGAGGGAAGGCCGGGGCACCGGCTCACACGAGACCCAGCCTCGAAGCTCTGCGTCTGACGCGCCAAACGCGCCGGGTTTCCCAAGTGAATGAACCATTACTGATTTTGCCGTCCTTGTCTTTTTTTTTCGCGCAGCACAGGACTCGAAGCCGACAGCGTCGCCCAATATTCGAGTCACCCGCCCTTCTTGTGCATCGTAAACCGCCCACCGGATCCAACCATCGTCGCGCAACGGTCCGATCCTCTTATAAGTCGGCGTCGCTCAATCAACCAGCCCGGCCCCGACCAATCAGCCGACCAACCAACCCATCAACACCACCCACCACCCAATCACCTCCCCACGAACCTGTTTATCATCATCGTGTGTGTCGAATCTAGTAGTGTTTCCGTCCCATCATGGATCCCTCCCAGAACCAGCAGCAGGCACAGCAGCAGCAGGCCAGGCCCGTATACGACACCAGCCACGGTGGACACTATGGTAAGCTACATGACCAGGCCTCCGCCTCATGCGACCAGCCACGACGAGAACGCTGACCGGTGCGACACAAAACCCAGGCGCGAGCGCAGCGGTTTGTTTGCCCCTTCCGAAGGAGCCTAGCGACACACACGACTGGCCCTTCTTGCTCGACCTGATCCACTAACCTCATCCGCAATCCACTTAGCTGTCCGCCCAAGGGTACGCGCCGGCAGAGCTGTACACGGGCCCGTGGGCAAACGTCCACCAGGGCCTCAATGGGCAGTACAAGGACATTCTCACGACATACTGGCAGCAGACCATCAACCACCTCGAGAGCGACTCGCACGACTACAAGCTCCACCAGCTGCCCCTCGCCCGCATAAAGAAGGTCATGAAGGCGGACCCCGAGGTCAAGATGATCAGCGCCGAGGCCCCGATCCTGTTCGCGAAGGGTTGTGACATCTTCATTACGGAGCTCACTATGCGCGCCTGGATCCACGCCGAGGAGAACAAGAGGCGGACCCTGCAGCGCTCCGACATCGCCTCCGCCCTCGCAAAGTCGGACATGTTCGACTTCCTCATCGACATTGTCCCGCGCGAGGAGGCCGCGTCGCACTCCAAGAGGCAGGCCGGCCAGCAGCAGGCCGGCCAGGGCGTGCCGCAAGCAGCCCAGGCCATCCCCGGCCAGCACGTCCAGGCAAACCACGCCCAGCACCCCATGCCCGACTACGGCATGCCCGGCCACCCCCTCGGCACCGAGGCCGACTACCGCCAGCCGCCAAACATGTATCCCGGCCAGGTCCCCGCCAACCCTCAGGCTGCATACGGCCAGGCACAGGCCCCTATGTACGGCGAGATGCCGCCCATGTATGGCTACGAGGCCATGCAGCCACAACAAGTAAGCCTCTCCCTTTCTCGCCTTCCCCTCGTTGTTTGTCGTTCGTTCGCCTAATCGTTGTCTTTCTGCATGCACCACAAATGCCACCACCTGAGGAATACAATTCTTAACATGCTTCATCTCGACCAGAGCGCCTGAAAAGCCCGCCCCGACACGAGACAAAGGAAGAATAGACGGATACCCTCGCGCCTTGCTTTATTTTGTTATTTTTCTTGATGCTTGAGACAACAGGACGTTACCCCCCACCAGCAGCCTTGAAGCGGGTCGATTGGTCTGGTGTACACGGCAGATAGGATCGAGGTCTTCTGAACATCGATATCCAAAGTCCAAGGGCGATATGCCCCATCGAGTCGCTACTGAAACATGGCGTTTATTAAGTAGAGACAAATTGACCATCTCCTTTGCTTTGCGTGTAAGCTGGGCGCTTTGCCCTGTGCAGGCACGCCAGATACCATGCATGACGTACGTGCACGAGAAGAGGACCAATCGGCAGACTTGCACATGTATGTGCTCAGCTCTTGAAACCGAACCGCGACGAGAAATTTGCCATCGTGGCTGCGGCACGGTTCGGCGCCTCGACCGTGTGGGTGAGCTTCTCGAGGAGCACCGGCCCATTCATGGCGTTGACGGAGCCGTAGTTCCTGTTCCGCACCGAGATGTCGTAGAAGTCGTCGGCGTTCTCGGCCTGCATCAGCTTGACCGTCTGCTCGAGCTCCTGCAGGATCTGCATGAGCATGAACGAGTTCTCGAGCCCCTGGACGAACTCGACCAGGCACTGCACGTCCATCGCCATGGCGGCCACGCCGTTGGGGTTGATGGTCTTGACCTCGGGCTGGAGGGGCAAGGCCTGCAGTGGAGGGGGGTTGTTAGCAACTTTTGTCATTGCAAATGCGAAGCGGAAGCTGTCATGACTTACCAGGATCCTCTCGGCGGCATGGTTGAGGGCGTCGTAGTAGATGAGCTCCTTGATTTCCCGAGGGAGGCCGAGCAGGGTCGAGTTCATGATATTAGACAAGTACCTAGTCAGTGTCTGAATGTAGTTGCTCGGCTCCGTTGCAGCAGTTGTTGACATCCTGCATTCCCCGGTCAGTATCAATGGAGATGTGGTGAAACAAGTCCCACAAAGCTGATCGCGACTCACCAGTCATATTCCGCCGTGTCCACGAGGTCGTCGATCTTTGAGTTGACCAGCTCGAAGATTCGCTTCTCGGCTGTCTTCTTGTTGTTCCTAAACTGCTCGGTGGCGCTCAGAGTCACAGGCCCACCGGCTGACGTGGAAGATCGAGCCCTGATTAGTAGCTGCTCCAATTCCTGACAGGCGATCTCGAAGTGCTCCAAGTTGATGAGAATCTGAACTATTTGACCCAGGTATTGGGAGCTCAGCCGTTCAACTAAAGACTGGCACACCTTCTGCGTCAAGAGCTCATCCAGGGACTGCAAAATCAAGTCAGAAAATGATACAAACAATCGTGTGAAGCAGTATCAATGCTCACCCTTCTCAATGTGTCGTCAATAACGTTGGGGTGTTGGAAGTGGTCATCGGCAAAGAAATAGAATTGATTCAGGAAGTTCCTTATATCGATGCAGCACAACGGGTACATTTGCGAGAATGGTAGGACGCATGGGAAGGTCAGCTCCTCGACCGGCGTGTCCTGGGTGAACCAGCTAACGTTGACGACTTTTTCGTATTCCTCGGCGCTATTGATCGCCATCGGCATGTAGTCATCCGTTGAAACTATCTCTTGGAAGTCCTCACTGAACCGGCGTTTCAGCAAGTCGGCGTAGGTGTCGAACAGCGTGAGCAGGAAGTTATCCAGCATGGTGACAGTATAACCCCAGCCTTCCATGGATTGGATGAAAAGCGCGTAGACGGATTTGATCTTAAGCAACACCTCCGCATTGGTAATGCTGCTCAGGCAACGGGATGTGAGGGTGATTGCGGAAGTGCACATGGAGTCCCAAAGCTCTTCCACGTCCACAGCAGACCGCAACTGGGGCACACGCCGCATCGTTGCCTTCTCGATGACGGCGAAACCCGCAATGCCTTCCAGTAAGCTGTTGAGAGAAGGTTCTTCGTCGCCGTCCACGTGGATCGCGGTCGGTATCAAAAGATCCTTTTGCTGCCGCCTTGTTGCGGCATAGTCTGCACGAAGTTTGTCACTCCGACCGAGAGCTTGGTGGATGTGCAAGCACTCAAACAAGGGCTGGAAGTCCACCTGAAGCTCCTCGTTGTCGAGAACGTCAAACTCTTCGGCTTCGTCATAGACAAGTTCGATTGCGGAATTCAGCTTGAAGCTGCTGAGGGTCTCGTTGTTGTCCGATCGCTCCTTGTGCTTCGATCGCCTCATCTCTGTGTGATAGAACGTCACCTCACCTAGGAACTGTGAGGTCTCACGGATGCGAAAGAGCCACGTATTCAAGTCGTTCATGACAGCATCGCCTATTGATTTCTGGGAGGTTGGAATGGACTTCTGGATCATGTCTGCTAGCTGCTGCTGCGTGGCATACTTGTTCTGTATTATTGGGATCAGATGCTCGTTCTGCAGGTCCTCGAGCGATTTCAGTGCTGCATAGTATCTCTTCTTCCGTATCAGCTCGTGCGCGTTGTTGACTGCGTGCAGTATCTTGAGAGAGCCGTTCAGCGCATCAGAGGCATCGGCCACGTTTTGTCGGATGGCCCTTTTGTCAACCAGTTTCTGCTTCTGCTCGGCCAGCTCCTGAGTGCTCGACTGTATGGACTGGTTCAACTCGAGAATCTCCGCCGTCAGGTTGATGGTACCCTCGCGGACCTTTTGGAGCTGGGTGACGGAGCCCAGGAACTCCTCATGCTTCGTCAAACCAATGTTCTCGATCTCGGCCTCGCGGTCCTCGGCGTAGCGGTTGAGACTCTGGGCCAGGGAGCTGGTTCGATTGCTGGTGCTGGCATCTTTGAGAAGCGGGATGAGTTGGTCGAGGAAGTCTATGTCGGAAGAGGCCAAGATGATCTATGGAACGCTGTCAGTGGACAACCCTGGGCACCCGCGCTCCCAATGGACGAGAGGGATCGCTGACCTCGCCAACGGCAGAGCCGTAATCATCAAACGTTTGGGTCCTTCGTGTCATCCTGAATAACTGATCCGGTTGCGCATACAGCTAGGGGACCTGAATTGTGGAACTGGCGCAAGTCGCGGGGGGTGAGGGCCGTCTCTCCTGTTCAACAGGGGATGGGGCGCAGTTAGAGCATCAGAGGTACTGGCTGCGAACAAGACACTGTTGACTGGATTGAAAGGTATTATGTCGCATCCCCTCAGCCATGCACAACAGTAGTGTCTCCTGATGTTGGCTTCGAGTCCGGCATGCACTTAGGATGACGGCGTCCGAGGCAGGCCCAGGTGGACTGGCCAGCTGGGTACAAGTGCATTCATGGGAACGGGGCGGACCCCAGGCAGCAGGGATAGGTCATGCAGCTGCAGTGACGGGACAGGGGTGTTGAGCCTCACCACCCAGCTGTTACCGCCCGTGTCCGACTACACGGCTTGATTGCACGCTTTTCCATCAAACTCTCCCGGACAGCCTCATCTACCATCTTTCTACATTATGGAATCATAATTCACCTTTTCATATATCGACTTTCTCGGAGATGTTGGTGCTCATTGTTGGCAATGTCATGTTGGCTTGCCACACTGTACAAGAAATTGCCTGCTATCTATCTCTGTAGACACTTGCTGGTAATGCTAGGGGAACTCTGCAGTTGGACTGAGTCTGTTTGTCAGGACTGCTGTTGAGTAGCTTTCTTGAATAAATTCTTGTTTGACATAAGATAACATGGCACCAGGTAATATGGGGCAGATGGACTCAAGTGGCATCCAAACTAGGCAATGTTCCTGTTCATCTTGCAACAGTGGACAGGCTCTGATACTCTGACAAGGGCAATGGAATACAAGTGCATTTCCTTTACAGTCACATCAATGATGCCTGGCACCGATGTTGATAAGGCAGCAACTTCATACTCCACAAGAGTTTTCTTGGGGTAAGTACGGCTCAAAAGCAAGCTGCAGGTTGTAGAACCCAGTCCAGAAACCTGAGGTTGCAAGAAGAGGAAGGCACATCCAGCATGTGTGTAAATTCCTGTCTTCTAGGCCTGGAAACAGGTGCTTTGATCTGACTGGGCTTATCGGAAGACGTTGGCTATCATCCATGGTGTTGTTGGGTGAAGGTGTCTGGAGGGAAGGTGCCTTTGACGTGCAACTTGCTGTGGCCACCAACAACTCTCGAGGCAAACGGGCACCCAAGGCCAGCAGTAATCTGGAAATCGTTTGATTCTGGACAACGATCCCGATGCCAACTTGACCTTGCCTCGGTCAGCTAAGTCTCCGTGAATCACTCCTGCCCTCCTGGTCCGTGCCAAATTCGAGGTGCCTTACTCCCTCTCTCCTCCTTCCCATCTGGCAACCTTCCAGTCTCCCCATCCCCCGCCTTCCTCCTACACTTTCCCTGACTTTTGGATTTGACCACCATTGCAACTGCCTTACCTGAGCGACCGAAAATTGGGCACTCTGCCACTTGTTTCGTGTCCTCCTTCTGGTCTCTTATTGATCTCTGTTTTTGGACTTTTGGACCTCGACCTCTACTATTACCAGCACATCCCCGCCCCGTTTCCTCTCGGGTCTGTCCTTCGGGTTGACCTGCGGCCTTCAACGTTCATTCATTACTTCTTCCACCTTTGTCAAGCACCCGCAGTCTCCTTCGAGGCATCCTCTCTCCAAGTATCATCAGCATTCAGCAAGCTCTATAACCCTTGGGCAGCCGAACCCGAAGTCCACCGTCACCCGTGGCACAATGGCTCAGCCACACGAGACTTTCCATCCATCTTCGCCTCCCAGCGAGGGTGGAGCCGAGTCCTACAACCACGAGGGCACACCAGACACGCGTCTGACTGCCTTCTCCCCTCTGGAGGACTCGTCCAAGTCCTCCCGCCTCTTCAGTGCCCTCAGCTTGAGTGATGGAAACGGAAACGACAGAGGTCAGTCCGTCGAGTTCCAGAGTCCCACTGGTCTTCACCATGTCACCTCTCCCACCTCGTTTGGACCCGTCGCCCGGGACAAGGACCCCTTTGTCAGCTCTCCTCCCGAGAAGCGTCAAACGAAACTGTCAGCTACTGCCTCGACTTTCAGGCCTCTCTCCACTCCGGTCGTTTCCACCCCAGTCGTTGCCTACGGTTCCGCGGGTGTCACTCCCAAGCCTTTCGGACAAGCTGTCCCCGCGGCATCTGTATGCCCAAAGACTGGACTGCCGCTGGCACCGGGTCTGAGCCACAGCATTGGCTTAACTCGTTCCCTGCGCGTCTCTTCGTTGGATGGTGTGGCTTTGGAAGCAGTTGCGAAGTACCTCCAGGTAAGTTCGGCCTTTCCGGGTGTTTTTTCACAGGCCTTCTAACCTCGAGTGGCAGACGATCGAGGAGTGTGGTCCTTCCTTCCAGGGGCGTCCCAGTGCACTCTTCGAACACGGATCAGAGGTCTACATTCGCGCTACCAACATCAGAGATGCTTCGCGGATCCTCGGTGAGACCGGCTTCAAGCCAGAGGGATGGAAGATCGAGTGTGTTGAAGCGGAAGAGCTCAACAAGGTCTGTTGCTCCCTCTTCTTTTCACTATCAGAAGCACATGCTGACTTGAGACCAGTCATACGGGCGTGAGCTGGCCAGCAAGCATGAATCCCAGTTTACTATTACCATTCTACCCTCTGTCGATCTTACCGAGTCTCAAATCGAGGCCAACATCCTTGCCTACTTCAAAGATCGCGGTATTTACGCATTGGAGCGCCAGCCATCCAGCATTACCGACACCCTTCATTGGATTGTCGAGTTCGACGACGCTGATGCCGCCTGGGCAAGCGAGGTCGTGGACAAGGGATGGATCCTGGTAAGCTTTCCATCTGTGATGACATGGATCCCTGCTGCTGACCCCCTTTTGCAGGTCGCAGATGCGTTCTACATGATGATGTCGCCGTTCGGTCTGGGTGGCATGACTCCACCAGGAGTGAACTGCTATGCCCAATTGCACTCGCCTGCTATTTCCACTGTCGGAAGTTTCGATGTCACGAAAGGCCTGGACAATGTGTCAATGGTGGGCTCGCCATTTTCTATGCACTCGATGGCCGGAGCTGTGTTGCCCTCACCTCTGTCCTCCGGTACTCCGATGCCCATGACCCCCTGGCCAATGTACCAGTGGGCCCACGCTTTGCATTCACCGAGCACTTATCCGGGCTACATGTCCCCTGGTTATACTGTCCCTTCTGCATTCCAGATGTCCCCAGTCTCTTCGCACCAGTCACCAGGTGTGGCGTCGCCAAACACGGCCATGTTCGGTCGTCCGATGCCGATTGGTCTGCGACCCGAGGGACGTCGGAATACTGCCATGCGTATCAACCGCACTCAGTTCAGTCCTCCAAGCCCTCACCATAATCACGTCGACATCAACAGGATCAAGGCAGGCACTGATGTCCGCACCACGGTATGCACCGATCGTTTCTGAAACTCCTTCGCACTTCTAACGACCACAGATCATGCTCCGCAATATCCCCAACAAGGTGGACCAGAAAATGCTCAAGCGCATCGTCGACGAGTCCAGCTGGGGCAAGTACGACTTTATGTACCTGAGAATTGACTTTGCCAACGACTGCAATGTCGGCTACGCTTTCATCAATTTTGTCGATCCTCTCGACATCATCGATTTTGTCAACAAGCGGGCCAACAAGCGCTGGAACTGCTTCCGGAGCGACAAGATTGCCGAGATTTCGTATGCCAGTAAGTTTCGATATTGCACAAAATGCTTGACCTGGGTCTGACATCATTCAGCAATCCAGGGCAAAGACTGCCTTGTCCAGAAATTTCGCAACAGCTCTGTGATGCTGGAGGCACACCACTACCGGCCCAAGGCAAGTCAAGCCCTCCAGGGGGGACTAAGACCGCATGGCTGACTTTGATAGCTCTACTACACCACCAATGGCCCAATGCCAGAGCTAGCTGGTATTGAAGAGGTCTTTCCAGTACCAGACAATCAGTCCAAGATGAAGCGAAGCTGTGAGAATGCCGAGCATGTTGGTGAGTACAGGGTGTTTGTTACCTTAGATGCTTGCAGCCCAGTGACTGAACTATCTCAACTTGAAGGTCTCTTCACGCCCAATGCTGGCCAACAGTTCCGTGACGAGCAGCGTCACCGTCGGTCTCAGTAAGTCTCCTCTGCTGAATAACTATACACATTCAGCTGGGCTGACAAGCACAGATATGATCGAGGTACTCGACTCGCAGCACTTGAAGAATGTGACACTTTCGACGTGTACCCTCAAGATGTCATCCACTAGCTCGACTGCCTCATGAGAGGCCACTCTGGTCGTGGCATCTTCAGAAGAACCCACCCGATTGGTCTTGAAAAGCACCACCAGAACTCCCTTGCTATCTATGAGTTGAACCTCAGCTGCGGTACAGGTTTTGACAGGTTCGGCAATGTTTTCAGCACCGAGAGTTATTTTTCTCTTCTCTTTCTTTCTCTTTTGCCAAATCTTCATAGTCTTTAATGAGGCGCTTGCTCGTACGCCTGACATCTTGCAACCTGCAGCCGGTGTCCCACATGGTCTCACCTACAGAATTGAGTGTCTTGGCCTAGGAGCCAGTTGGGGTTGGCAATACGTCTGGCGAAGCAGGAAAGACATCAACCCACGTGCGTCGTTCTATGTCGATGGCATCTGTTTCATAGAACTTGGAGGGTAGTCACCGCTGGTATGTAGCCTAGCTCGAGTCAAAAATCCATTTTGCCCATGATCATACATATATTGCTGTGTCCCGTCTTTGAAACACGTATGTCATTTCACGCCTGCCTCGCTGCTTCTTGACATGTAATACATTGGCAATTCACACCCTTTGACCAACGTACATTACCGGGGCATCAGAACACAAAGTAGTAGGTACCAAAGAACCACAGATACAGAACATGACAAAGATCTTGAATTTCTCTCCTCACATCCATCAGCATCACGAGGAGATTGAATCTGAGGGATTTGAAGCTATCTGAACACAACAGTTATGGCATAAAGAACACTCTGTCAATTCGAAGACAAAGTTTCTACTCCCACAAGGTAGCTGGAATTCCCCTTTCTTCTTATTAGCATAGAGATTTGTTCCATTCTGTGTGTTTGAACAATGTCTGCCTTTCAGGGCTTTCTGTTCCCAAGCGCATGGTTGAACCAAGGCTCTTTGGGCTTTGCTTTTGACTTAATTCCTTCCAGATGCACGTTCATATAGAAATTTGGACATATATTGACCATATTTAAGGAACTGATTCTAGTGCTGACAGCTGTGTTGCTCAATCCCAGGGACTCCGCCCACGACATGTTAGATGCATAGGGCGCAGGGCCCTCTCCCAACAAGTAGAAGCGGTCCAACCCTGAAAGCGAGATTTGTGGTGCGGGGCTTGTCCACTCCTGGCGGTTGGTTTGGCAAATGTATTTTAGGTCTAGAATGAGTGACACGAATGTGGTGACCCTTATACTGACGATGATGGGAGGCTGTGATGGGAGTCAAGTTGTCTTCCCAGACTTGCTGCAATCCACTGGAGGTTGTATCAGTCTTATTTGCAAGGGTTCTCTTGGGACGGCAAGCCCAACGGACTGTCGGCGCTCTTGGGAAGCACAGCACATATGTGACAGGTATAATGGTGTGACCTTCCTATCCTCTTTAACATTCCTGTTTATCAAGCATACTCAAGCTGAAACCGACTTGTTCTCAGTCGGCCTTCCCTCACACCCGCTTACTGGCCGCCCAATATTGAGGGCAACGGTTATGTTCCTGATTCACTTTCTGGAGACGTGCTACCTTTGGAGCCTATGTTGAGCGGAAACTTACTTGGAAGAGTTCATGGCAAAGAATGGGCGAGATATCCGGGTGAATAAGAGATTTTCGCCTGCGCGAGGGAGTTGAGAGAGAAGTGAGCTCCAGGAGCCAAGTCTCTAACTACCAATTTAGCATTTCCTTTCATTCTCTAGATGTGTGTGCCCAGATGTCTAGGTCGACCTGTGCCTGCCCATGTTTATCTTCCGGCCGTAGAAAACAAACGTTTCTCCCTTGAGAATTACTTCCGCTCTTCCAGTCAAGACATAATCTATCTTAGACCGGGAGCTGATTAATTCTCTTCTTTCATAAACACCTTCGTCATCACAGTCGGATTCTGTTGCGGCGGGAGGGCAGCATTTCATCTCGGAGCACCCCACTGTCCTAAAACTCGGCGTGCCGTTTCTCTCCCAACACTTTCTCTCTCTCCGCTCGAGGCTTTGGCCACGTCAGAATGTAGTGTTTGCTTGGGCGACGTAGTTGAAGCGCGACTGGAACACACGCACATGGCACGCCGAGGAAGCACCGAACGCCACCAGACAAGTCATCATGTCACAAGACAGCGAATTGAATTGTAGAACCATAGTATACAAAGGTGTTCAGATCCTCCTTCATCATTCCAAGCTATATCTACAGAGCATGCCTCCACTCAGACCTCTCAAAGCCAGGGGCTACAGCAACTTCCTCCCCACGATCCATCCTCGCGTTGAGCCTCGAAAAGTGCACCCTCATCCCACCCGCCAGTAATGCCAAAAGCACGATGAATGACGCACAAGTAAGCAGGCCCCTCTGGTAGACCGGCGCGTCCTGGGCCCGAAACGCAACAGAGCTGATGATGCCGCCGATCGGGATCGCGGTGGCGAACATGCCCAGCCGCAGCGCCCTCCCCGTGGACGTGGGGCTGCTGCTCGCGATCCACTCGGCGACCAGCGGCGGCGGCGTGAACGTGCCCGCCATGATCAGATAGGTGAGGAAGTAGCCGACGTCGACGCCGCGCCGGCCGCCAGAGGAGAGGTCCAGCGTCGCCAGGAGGATCCACGCCACGCCCGCGACGGCCGCGAAGCAGCAGATGAGCACGCCGCGCTGCTGGATGCGGTTGTTGAGGAAGGTCGCGCCGAGCTGGCTCGCCATGGCGGTCAGGTGCGGGCCGATCGTGAACAGGTTCGCGCGCGCCGTGTCCTTGGTCAGGCGCCGGATCATGGAGGGCAGGAAGTTGGCCGCCCCCGTCAGCGCGACGCCGAAGCTGAGCGCCATGAGCATGAAGGCCCAGCTCTCGAACTGCAGCAGCGTCGCGCGCGCGTCCGCCCACCGGAACCTCTCGAGCTGCTCCTGCTCCCTGCCGGCGTCGAGGGTCCCCTGCCCGAGGCGCGCCCGCGCCAGCTTCTTCTCCTCGGGCGAGAAGAAGCGGCTCGACTCGACGCTCCGGGGGAGCACGACGAACAGCACGGCCGACATGCCCACGGTGATGGCGCCCTCGATGAGGAACAGGTACCGCCACCCGCTGAGCGGCTTGTCGCGCCACTGGAACACGGAGAAGGAGATGAGCCCCGACACGGCGCCGGCGACGTTGACGGCGGAGAAGAAGCACGCGATGCGGAGGCTGAGCTCGCGCCGCGTGTAGAACAGGCTGCCGTAGTAGCTCGGCAGCGGCAGGAAGGCCGCCTCGAGGACGCCCAGGACCATGCGGCACGCCAGCATCCCGCCGAAGTTTGTCGTCGCCGCCCCCGCCATGGCGACCGTGCCGAAGCCGAACATGGCGATGGGGAGGACGCGCGACGGGCTGAAGCGCTTGGCCAGGAGGGAGAAGGGGACCGAGGACAGGGTGAGCGGGATGTAGAAGAGGATCAGGAGGAGCTGGAACTGGTTCCCCACGAGGTGGAGGTCGCGCTCGAGGGTGTCTGACTTTGCGTTGCCGATGTTCGAGCGGTCTATCGCGTGTGTGAGGAGGCCGCAGGCTGGGATATGTGTTAGTTATTGACTCATCGAAGGTTGGCGATGAAGACATCGTGATCGACTAGAGGAGTAAGCGTGGTGTATTTGCTTATGACGCATACCTAGGGCTGGGAGAACGAGCAAGTCGATCTTCCGGACGAGTTTCTTCTGAACATTCTCGTCGATACTTGGTGTCAGCGTCGACGAGGAGGGATTGCTCTGCAAACCCAATTCCTCCGACTTCTCAGCCGCCGATAATTTGTTGACGTCCGACATTATGATCGCGCTGATCAGCTCAAAGCTGGGTCGTAGCTCAAGGAATTATTGGGTGAATACTATATATCAGACGTCTACCATAACCAATGTTCCACAGCCCTATGATCAGCAGAGGGGGGCCGAAAAAGGCTTATAAAGAACTCCATTAATGCCTGTCTGAGTGTCAAAAATGTCTGTCAGTTTCAGATCGGCCAGTCAGTTGCACGAGATCGACTGAAATCCCCGAGGGCTTGCCCTGGGAGCTCGTGTTTTGCCAAGCGTATCATCGTCGCCTCACGGGCCTATGCGTTACTCAGTAATGCAGCGGCGAACTTGTTTGCAAATCTCGAGAGCTCCCTCTCGTATAGGTATTGTGCGAGCGTTTATCCACCTGGGCATATAGTGTTAGTCCAATTAGTGCGCTAGTGATAATTGCGGGAGGCGCCGAGATTGAGAAGGATATCCCTGTCAAGAAACGCTTCAGACAAACACGTTACACTTACAGATGCTTCAGATTGGATATCAAACTCTTCTGTGCCGACCGCAGACTTCAAAGAGAAAGATTTTTATCACTTGCACGCCCAAAGAAACTCCGCGATATATCTCAGATAGGCGATCCGAAACCTTGGTCAAAATCTGGAGAAAAGGCGACGAGGGGCCCCGGGCAAGACTCTGGGGCAGGACATGATCAGAAATCTACAGATACGATAAACGCTGCACAAATGGACAGTCAGTACACTTTTCTAACCGCACGATGCAGAATCCTGGGACGTGGCTGAAAAACAAGTTGATATTCCGCTGAAAGGACCAAATAAGAAACGCTATGAACTATGCTGTCATGTTGGGTCTTGCTCTGGCAGGGCTGGCAGAGGTTTTCGCGATGATTCTGCCCCTAACTCCGACAGCGGCGATCGTGTAAGTGGTGGTTTGCTTGGTTCCATCGTATCTTCGTCAAGGTCATCTAGTCGTTGCACGCTTTCCACCTCCACGGTCGAATCTCTCGAGTCGAGATATGGCGCGGACGCACTGTCTGAGAACTCATCCTCATCATCCCCCTCCTCGTCTTCACTGACGTGCATAGCTACTGTGGACATTGGATCCTCTCGTACGGGCTCAAATGCCTGGGGGGTTGCAGTGCTGTTGCCGTCGGACCCCTGGTCAAGTCTGTCTCTGTCGAAATACTCTTCGTCTGGCGTAATTTCGTTGATTCGAATTTTGGGAGCCTTCTGGGTATGTGAACGAGGGAGCGGTGGCGGTGTTCCGTTATCATTGCTGTCGAACTCTTCGGACGTGGGTGTCAGCGGCAACACCTTGTCCGTGTATGAGACTCTACGACGTGCCACTCCATGCCGAGGCACCGGGGCTTGTGTACCAGCTGGCTGCGGCGTGCCGACGTTGCCGTTGCGATCCGGCGTATTTGATCGACTAATGGACTGCGGTGACCCCGGTGGCCATCGCGGTGAGCCGAGATAAGAGTTGATAAATTGCGACGTGGACGAGATAGGCCACTGGTCCGCGCTCACGCCGCTGCCACCGAATACGCCCCGGCTAAACACGACCAGAACAAGACAGCAGAGGAGCAGGACGGACTGGAATATCGCCATTCGCTTTTGGAAGATGACCTCATCTCTGAGCGCGATAATGTCACGCTGTGACTGCTCGCGCTGCGTCTCCAAGGCAATTACAGTTGATTGCCAGATCTGATCATAATCCTGACGGACCCTGCGCAGTTCAGAGAAGACTGTGCTGTTAAGGTTGTCAAGAAAAGAGTCGACGCGCGAGATTTGCTTGCGCTCCATTTTCTTGAGAGCTTCTTGCAGGAACTTGGACTGTTCCTCGATGTATTGGAGCGATAGAGTGGTGTTGGACTCGAGGAACTGCAGTCGCTTAGACACGGACTTGAAGAATGACTCTTGGACCGTTGGCGATGCTGCTGCTGAAGACGAAGTGTTGGTTGTGCTCCTGTTTTGGGAGTTGGTCTTGGACGGCTGATGGGGAGAGTGCCCGGCCACCGAGTTCTTTGCTGCAGGTTTTGAAGGCGGCGAGTTTTGCGTCTTGGCTGAGGCCGACGCCTTCGGAGGCGTCATAGACGACTTCGGGATGTCAGCTTCGACGGTCTTCTGGATGGTTTGCGTTGTATCTGCCACGGTATCGGCGACCCTGTTGGACGTGGCAGTATGGGAAGCGGATGGCGTGGATGTATTGGAGGGCGGATTGGTGAATATTGAGATGCTTGGTGAAGGTGAAGAGGCAACTGTAGATTCTACGGTTGAGTTTCCAGCCGTCGCAGAAACGCCGCCATCATCGGTACTGACAGCAGACTGAGACGAGGACGGAATGCTTTTGTTTGGTAAAGCTGACGGAGAAACGTCGATCGTCTCTGTCATTGTGGGTGTGCCGATGCCACAAGTATCATACGAAGGGTCGTTGAAGAGAGGCGGATACCATGGGGAGAGTCCGTGTTCGAAAGACACTTCGCTGAATGCAACAGTAGTTTTTACTTCTGCTGCATGGGTGGGCTCGGCCTCTGTCTCTGGGAGGCTCTGATGCATCGGCTCTTCCTCGGGAACCGCCTCGGGGCCATCAATCGTTTCGGCTGGTTCGTCGTCCTCGAGGCCTGCTTCACCGTCCTTCCAGGAATCCAACATCCGAGTACCGTGAACCCGGAGAAGAGACACAGGGCAGTAATATTCGTTCCCGTAGTGCGACAGTAGCTCGATCCGGATGTACTTTGCCCATATCTTGGGATTCTCGATAAGAAATGACTGTATATCTCTGGAGTTCCTGGCCTGGAATGTCCCCAGGTCCTTCCACTTCTCCATCTTGACTGGATACTTATCGCTCACGCTGACACGGAAACTACGTATCATGCTGGAGAAGAACTCAAAGTTTGCCAAAACAACGGTGTCGACAAGGATGTCCTCGCTGAGCTCGACAATAACAAACTTATTCTCCTGAGAACATGTGAACAGCATGTAGGAATCCTTGTTTTCGACAAGAATGGCCTTTGGATTTTGCGCGCCCGGGGTAGTCTTGAGCACTGTTGCGCCGCCGTCGAAAGACGAGTAGGAAAACCTCTCCTTGCAAGTCTTTCCGGCATCCTTTGGACGGCGATAATGAGCAACTCCGTTGTCATACATAGTGGTGTCCTGCACTTCTGTGTTCGGCGCGTTGGTGGAGACGGCTCCAGCACCGACACTATCGGTGGCTGTCATCTCGGAGATCTTGTCTGAGAGTACGTCAAAGTCCAGGGAGATCTCGCCGTCCTCGCCCCAGCCGTCAAGACCACTGCCCACGCCGGGGTCTGCATCTCGTGCCTCGCGGCGCTTTCTGTCCTTGAGGTCGGCCAGGTCTTGGCCCGACTTCTTCAGCATCATAGCCTTCCACTCGTCGAATGACATGAACGACTCGGTGGCCAGATCCTCTGAGTCTTCCTCGGCGCGCTTTGCTTTTGTGTCTTCTTCCTGCGTGCCCTGCGTTCCATCCTGGGCGATCTGGCCGGTCGATGGGTCTGGCTTGGTGTTGCTCTCCACTGGGGCTTCTTCCTGACGCGTACCCTGTGTCGCCGTTGCCGTCTCAGTCGTCGAGCCCGTTGGGGAGGCCCCTGTAGCGGTGGGGTTGGTGGCATTGCCGACCATCTGTTGCGACGCAGACCATGCTGTCGGCAGACACAGCTGTGGGAGAGTATGGGTGATGTAATTGATTGTCCTGGCCTCACATAGACCGGTAGAAGCCCCTACGGAAGTTTCGGTGGGGCCATGGGCGGCAGAAAGACCCGGGGGGCCAAGGAGGAGGAGGAGGAGGGCCCTTTGGGGGGAAGGGCTCAAGAATGGGAGTCGCATCGTCGGGTTTGCCAATCCATAGTCGTGGCGACGGAGCGTGCTGTTGTCGGAGAACGGACAGCCTCGGGTTGCCTGAACAAGTCAACATAAACACGTCGGTCGTTTGACTTTTTTCTCCCTCCAGCCTGTCATCAAGCAGACTTTGGAAGTTGGCTGGCGGGCGAAATCAAAAGCCTGTTCTGGACCCGGACCAACGATGGTCAAACGTCCAGGAAAGTGCAAGCCTAGTCGTCATTTCTGCAGGCCAGCGGCTGCCTTTACCCCATTCAGCCCCTAATCAATCCCATACAGGGATGTAACCCCCAATTGCCGCCCGTCAAGCTTTGGGGGGTTCCGGAGGGTCCAGGCCCCAAGACCCTGCTTGCTGCCAGATCACCTGCACGGGCCGCCACGTGCACCGGGCATGGTAGAAGGATAGGTGGAACCCAACCTTGGTGCTACTTTCAATCTGCATGATGGACTGGCAGATCCACGAGATCCACAACCAGAGCGCTCGGCGTTTCCCTTGATCCTCATTGCCTGCCAGCTGTCCTGACTAGGCCAACTTACGTCTTCTCTCATCCTCACCGAATCCAGGAACAGCACTACTATTCCTCCTCCTCCATGGCATAGCACCAGGCCGCCCAAACCCCGATCTTGGACCCCCCAAAACCCCCGCCATGTCGACCCAGAGGCTGAGCTTCCTCTACCCGCACCTGTTTCGCACTGCTAGATGGGGCGAATCTGCGGCCGGAACCACAAGCGGCCGCTGTCGGAGACGAGCCACAACCACTCGCAACAGCCCCTCCAGCCACCCTCGGCATGCTGCAGCGCCATTCGGGACCTCGACCACCTCCAAGAAGGCGAGCTTCGCCCCCCGCGTGGGCAAGGGCATAGAGCCCAAACCCCTGGGCACCGTGCAGGATGCTCCCGCCCTCGAGTCGCAGATGAAGGGTCCCAAGCAGCCCTTCAAGCGCCCCTTGGGCAAAGTCCAGGCCGCGCCTAGCCTCGAGTCGGAAGTGAAAGGGTCATCATCAGCAGCAACACCCTCCTCCTCTCCATCGAAACAGGAACCCAGCGCGCAACCAGCCGCCAGGGAGAGCACGCCAGAGCAGAAGAAGGATGCCGCGAGGGAGCTGGACCCATCCGCGGACGCGCCCAAGGAGACCCTCAGCTCGCCGGGCGTGTCCTCCTCAGAAAAGGCCAAGAAGAGCGGTGGCGGCGGCGGCGCAGACGGGGCCCAGGAGGCGGACGGCGCGCACAAGGGCGGCAAGCGCGCCAGCGGGCCCATGGACGCCGTGCTGCACATGGAGCCGCCCGAGAACAAGAAGCCCGAGGACAAGCCGCCGCACCTGGCGCCGTCGCCCTACGTGCACCACTTCGACAGCTACTCGCTGGTCAAGCAGCTCGAGGTGGGCGGCTACACGCAGACGCAGGCCATCACGGCCATGAAGGCGGTGCGCGCCCTGCTGGCGCAGCACCTGGACACGGCCCAGGGCGGGCTCATCAGCAAGGCCGACGTCGAGAACGAGACCTACCTGTTCCGCGCCGCCTGCGCCGAGCTCAGCACCGAGGTCAAGAACAACAGGCGCGTCGCCGACGAGCAGCTGCGCCAGCAGCGCACCTTCCTGCAGCACGAGGTCGACAATACCTCCCAAGCCCTGACCCAGGAGCTGGCCACGCTCAATGACAACGTCAAGGGCATGTTCAACGACCGCAAGATGGCCGTCAGGGAGGAGCAGAAGGCCGCGGAGAGCGCTGTGAGTTCTTCTCTAATCATTCGTTCCTTCTTCTTGCCCCAGACATCATCGATGTCTGGAAAGGAAGCCACAGCTGACATTTAAACCAAAAACACGCAGACCCAACAGATAGCCTACAAGATCAGCGTCACGCTCAACAGCGAGTCAAAGTCCGAGATCGAGGCCGTGCGCTGGGTCCTGGCCAGGCGCGCCGTCACCGGCCTCTTCTTCATGGTCGCGCTCTCGTTCCTCGCGCTCCGGGTCAGTAACGCCGTCTCGAAGAAGCAGAAGCAGGAGGAGGAGCTGGTCAAGGAGGAGGCCGCCGCCATCAAGATGAACGACGGCAGCAGGGACGTGGCGCCCTCGCCCGACGCCGCCGAGATCCTGGCCGCGAACTAGGGCAGGCGTCTGTCTATACACACACACACACATATATATACACGCACACACATAGACACACTGCGCAATGCATATAGAGATACCCCTGCTAAAAAATAGAATACCTGTCTTCAACGACCATCTCTGCTGTCAAGGCGTTTTGATGGGGTGCAAACACAAGCTTCGAGCTGTGAGGGATGGATGAAGTGCGCTGGCCCAACTGGACTGACTGTGGTGCAATATAGTTACTCCTGTTAAAAGCTTGTCCTAAAGGTGTGCATTATGGTCCTCCAAGACTCAGCCAAGCAAACCCCCTGAAGTGGATGAATATCATGCAATTTACGTCTTTAAGTTATGGGTTGCTGGAAATGTTTATCTAATCCATGGTATCACATAGTAACATAACAAAAGCAACCGCATCAAGCAGGCTGTGCGTTTGTTTGTCTGGGGTGGGCGGCCGCGGGAGTGCCCAAATCAGTTGCCACCCCCGAAATTCATCTTGAGCGCGATGGAAGGCTGCCCGGACCCCGAGTCCGCATCCTTCTCAGCGTGGTCGTTCGACCGCCCGCTCTTGATGACCTCCTCCATGAACGCCTTCTGGCCCTCGCTCATGCCCGCCACGATGCCCCGGAAGCTCCCCTGCTCGACCGACGCCAGCTCCAGCAGGCGCGCGCTCGTCTCGCGGTAGATGCCCTGCTCCCCGGGGCCCTCGCTCGCGGCGCGCGACAGCAGCGTCGGCAGGACCAGCGACATGGCGATGGCCGTGTGGTCCTTGGACACGACGCCCACGTACTGCGACAGCGTGTGCGCGACGACGGAGCGCGCGTGCTCCGGGTCCTCGCGGTCTGTCGTCGTCACGAAGGAGATCAGGCGCGGTAGGAGGAACCGGGTGATGGTCTCGTCGGCCACGGTGGGCTTGCCTCGAAGGAGGAGCGACCGGACGCAGTTGGCTGCGATCTTGGCAGTCTGGCTTCAGTGTTAGCAAGTAATTGTCAATGGCTTGGTTGGACCGGCGACACATACCATGCGGTCCGTGAGACAATCCACCAACTCCTCCAAGAACTTGGCCACGATGGGGTCGTTAGCCGACAGGTGATTCTGCCCGCCTGTGAACAGGATGGTGATAGCCAACAGGCTATTCTTGACATTGGTCAGGTCCGTGGGCTTTTCTCGTTTCTGCGAGTGGAGGTAGATGGACAAGAAGCGTCGCAAGCAGCCTTGGAGCTGGACATCCGTGGGCCCACTGTTCCCCTCTCGTGGGCCGGCCATAGTCGCGATGAATCGCTTCAGCGTTGGCAGAGATTGCGGGACGACAATTTCCTGACACAATGGTGTTGATAGAATTGTGGCAAAAATGTGGATGAGACAAGCATGCAGGTCTGTCTTGATGACAGCTGGGAAGACTTCAGCAGCGTCAACCAAGGCATTGAGGGATGTGCGAATGAGTAACACAGCCTCTTCGGTCAGGACGTGGCGGACGGGCTGGTTTGCTTCAGTGAGGTTCGGTAAAAGCCCAGCCAGAACCAGGACAATGATGCGTGTCAGCTCGAAGAGCTGCTCAATGTCCTCGGAGAGTTCTCCGTTGTCTGGCTCGGTCGATCTCCTGGCTGCAGGGTGCGCGACGCAGAGCGCCCGGGCGATCTCAACAATGACGCCTTGAACATCCAAGCCCTCAGTCAGGACAAGCCGATCCAGAAGATCCATGGTCTCCGAGAAGATGGCCTCCCTATAGATCGCGTGACCTGAAACGCTCGGATGCAAGATCTTCTTGAGTGCTTGGAGAATCTCGAGTGTTTGCTCCTGGCGAGCAAGGGAGTCTGCCTGGCCTGGTTTCGCGGCAAGAGCCTCGAACGCGATACCGAAGAGGACAAAGAAGAACGCGAGGGGCTCGTCGCGATAGTTGATGTCTGACCCTTTGGTGTGGCCATTGGTTGAGGCGTCTGCGGTGGTCTTACCATCGAGGGCATCGAACACAAATTCACTGTCTTGTCCGATCAGGCTCGCAATGGCATCCACAAGCTTCAACCACGAGTCCTGGTAGAATTTGAGCAGCGTCTCTCTGTTCAGAGCTGCGTAGATGGTGTCCAGACTACCGGACAACGATGGTGGGCCCAGTGTCATGGAAATGTCTGGCTCGAACCTGAGTCGGGCAAACTCTCTAAGTGACTCCAGCCACAGTGGGGTCAGCATGCCGATGTGTGTTTTGAGAACCTCGAGAAGGTAGGCTTGTTCGGTGCTTGCAACTTGCAACTCGGCCCAGGCTGAGAAGACCGCCATCTTCACCATGACCTGGGCGTTGGAGCTCAATCCCTTGAGCTCGCCAATACCAGCATTGTCGGTTTCGGTGGCGAAGTTCTCGAGGGCGCTGACGAGGGTCTTTAAGATCCTACCCATACGATCGACGTCCTTGACAATACCGGTGGCAATGAATGCTGCGCACACATTGACTGCCTCGGATGCAAGCTCAGGAGACGAATCAGCAGCGAAGGCAGGCGTTAGTGCAGAGCTGATCTGCGCCTGATACTGCTCCAAAAGCATTGCCTCGTCAAAATCTGGATCGGGCGTCTTTCCGAACATCTTCAACACTGCACCAATAATCTTCAAGCCCCAGATGCGTTGCTCCAAGACACCAGAGGTAGAAGCAGAGAAAGCCATACGGACGACATCCGCGATTCTGCTCTGTAGTGCCACCTGAGCAGCCGACTCTCCATTCGTCATGACATCCTTGTTGATGTAGATGAATACGTCGTTGAGGAGTGTCATCGCGAAGGCGATGACTTGCCATCTCAGCGGCTCCACGTCAGAGCCCGAACCGCCCTCTTTTTCGTCCTTGGCCACACCGCCGGCCGCCGCGAAACCGGCCACTTCTTCGTCCTGAATGTCAACGGCCGCAGTAGCCTTCCTATTCAACACCTGGATGTCGGCAACAGCCTTGGGCCTTGTCAGCTTCAAGACGCCTTGGAATCTCTGGAGCCAATCTGCCGTGTCTGTCAGGCACGTCTGGCGCATCCAGTTCTGGATGATATTTCGTATGCCGTCGTGTTCTGGGTTTGCGTCAAGTGCAAGCCACAGGTGATCTTCCAGGCCAGGCTCCGCGGTTCGGATAACATCATACGGATCGCGCTTCATAATGTTGTAGATACCATCGATCGCGACGTCTCGGAGTGTAGAATGGCCCGACTGCAGGTACTTCTGAAGCAACTTGACATAGTCGGCGAAATACATATACCCGGGCGCGTACAGAGAGAGATGCTCTAGACATGCAAGGCTCGCCGCCTGTACTTGAGTATCTTCTTCATCCTGAAGATACCCGACCAGTGTCAGTATGAGCTCCCTGGACTTGCTAATGTCTTGCAAATCGGGGCCAAGGACGTTGATCAGAGAGTCAACACATCGTGTAATGGACGCCGTTGTGGACAACTCCAGCTCTAGGTTCATGGAGATCGCAGACGCAACCTCCGGATTGTGCGTATCAGACACGTAGAGCTGTGCAAGCATGCCAAGGGCGCTCGAGACGTATGGAGAGAAGCCCAAGCCAGCGGCATCGGCAGCACGCGCCAGGGCCTCCAGGGCCCAGAAATGCACAGTCGGGTGCGGGTCGTTACAAAGCGACATGAGTATGCCAAGAATTGTCTTGAGATGATATCCGGCAGCCATGCCACCGACTTTGGCCTGGATGCAACCCAGTGCCATTGCACAACCTGCTCGAGCACTAGGTTCTCTGTTGACCACGATCGTATCTACGAGGAACTTGATCTCGGAGTTCGTGAACGCATTGCCGCAAGCATTGCAAAGGCGAGCAATAGCTGCATAACCCAGGTTTCTCACGTACTGGTCTGGGTCGAGCACGAAACCTCTGATCGTGTCCTGAAGCAGCTTCTCGACTTGCAGGTTGGTGACGTCTCCATGCGGGGACTTTGTCTCCTTGACGGCGACCTTGAGTGTTGACAGAAACGCCGTCGCCACATTGACCTTGACGGCCGCTTTCCGCGCAGCGTCGCGCTCGCCTGAGCCAGCTGCCATGAACGAGGCGATTTGTTCCAGAATGCTCTCCTGGACCTTGGCTGGAGTGAGCGGGAATGCGAATGCGAACAACTGGATAGCCATGTTTACGACCTCTGTAGCTGGAGGATTCGTCATACAGTCGAAGGCTTCCTGTCCGCCAATATAGAGAGTAGATGCGTCGTGCTCCAGTGCGCTGCACACAGGAGACAATAGGAGATTCTCCATCGCGTCTTCTGGGCTGTCGTCTCTTGTAAGAGACGGCTCCACGGAGCTTTCATGCTGCCCTGGTAACCTCTTGACGGTGAACCCAGTGACGAGACCGGTCACACCGTATCCCGAGTTGTCACCGACATCCCAGATCGTCTCGAATGTGCCGGCAGAGCTCGCGATCGCTGCACTCAATGAACTAGGAGAATAGGTTTCCGGGTCTGCGAAAAGTGAAATTGCCAGGGTGAGCAGGTTTGACTGCAACAGCGCCTCGCTACCGCCAGCTGGGCTTGTGTTCACCAGTTTAATATAGCATTGCATCACGCGCCGCTGGACCATCATCTCGATGTCATGAAGCTGCAAAGCTGGGGCCAGTCTCTCCGAGATGTCATCTGAAGTCTTCTTCTTAGGTAGTGTCTTCAGGAAGGCTGTCGTGCTCTGCAGCATGGTCGCAATTCTTTTCGACACATCGACGGTCAACAGTCGGCTATTATACTCCAGAAACGCCAATATGGAGCCCAGGGCACATTCTCGAACATGTGCGAGGAAAGACGCCTCGAGATAATTTCGTGCGGAAGTATTATCCTTCGCGAGGGGTTTTGGTAGTGCATTCTTCCAGAGAAGCAGGAGCTGGGACAGGTGGATTTTGACAAAGTTAGGCCCCAAGGACATGAGACCACCGATCAGTGTCCAAGCAACCTGGATCTGCGTACTAGCAACACGAAGTTCTTGTTTTCCACTGGTCTTGAGCAAATTTGTCGCCATAGTGAGCACACGACTGTTGATATCAACAGATCCATACAGCGGCCTGGCTGGACTTGCACTGAGCGTGGCGGCCAGACCATGAGAGAAGCCAGTGCACTTTCGCTGAGAGTTGCGACCTGTGCCAAGCACACCAAGCTCCCTGCTCAGGCTGTTCATGCATACCGAGAGACAGGGGAGCAACTGCTGTGGACATGCAAGGACGAAGGTCTTGAGACACGCCGAGGTGTAGACCTGGACTGTGTAACTGGGGTGCTGAAGGACCTGCAACAAGGCGTCTCTGGCGGCCTCGGCAAAGGAGTTTGAGGCTGAGCCAAGTGAGATCATTAACGAGCCCAGTGCTCCCATCGCGGCGATCAGCATGTTTTTGGTCGGCTCGGGCCGCTCTTTCAGTGCTTGCGGATAATTTTTGAGGATGTCGTTGATCAAGACTTTTGCGGCATGTGACTGCCCAGTCTCGCCGAGAATCTTCTTGCCTACGACATCCTGTAGTAGGTGGTCGACGATGCGCCGGGAGATAAGGAGACGGTAACGGTTGTTTACAATGTTGGGGTTGCCGAGCAAGTCCATGGTCAGGTTTTCAACAATATTGAGGTAGTTGATCTCGACGGCCTTCTCTCCAAGTCGCTGCAGGAGCGTCGCGTAGCATATGCCAATAGCGGTCCTGGCCTTATTAGACGTAGCCATGCGACCGTATTGGGTAGACAGCGATTTCAGCATGTCTCCTGGAGTTAGGGCAAGGTTGGGGTTCCTTTTGGTAGGCGCTGGACTCCCAGGCCTTGACGGAATATCATCCTCATCTTGCAGCGCGCCAGGCCCCATCGACTGGCGCTTCGACGCCTTGGATTTTGGCTTTTTAACTGCAACTTCCTGAAATGTCTCCCCTGCAGAAGATTCCGAGTAGCCCCTGACGAAAGCCTCGGCCAGACACTCAGCTGCTGCCCGTCTCGTAGTCGAGGATGTATGCTCAAAGGTCTTGAACATGGCCGTCTGGACCTTGTCGAAGTCGTTGGAGTTCTTGAAGTAGTTCGTGTTCCGCATCAAAGACCGAAGACACCGACAGGCGGCCGCACCTACCAGCGCGCCCCTGTCTGTCGAGGCATGGTTCCGGCCCTGCTTCCATATGTCTCGTGCGATGGACTCGTCCATCATGCCGGCCACCATCTTCGCGATCTTGCCAAGCGCCGTGAAGCACGCCGCGCGGAGGCCTGCATGGTTCGCCGAGCCCTTCAGGAGCTTCAGAAGCGCCATGCAGGCGATCTGGTGGTAATGGCCGACGCTGTCACCTGCTGCGGCGTAGACGTCGCCGAGGCAGGAGACGGCAGCATGTTTCGCGCGGACCTCGCCCTCACCCTTCGATTTCCCGCTCGTTATTATGGCCACGAGGTCGTTGACGGTCTCGACCAGGAGCTTCCGGTCTCCCTTCTCGAATATGTGGGCGAGACATTTGCCGATGCTGTTCCTTATAACACGGGTAGGCGGCGGGGTGGTGAGGTTTATGATCTGGAATATCTCCTTTTTGAGGTAGAACTGCTGCGCGGTGCAGTCGTCGGCGTCGAGGGAGAGGACATGCTTGGTCAGGGTCGACACGAACGTCAGGAGGAACAGGTCTTGTTGCTCTGCGGGCAGTGCCTGGAGCTTGGACAGCTCGAGCTCGGGCGTCGAGATGGCTGCTGTCACTGAGGGTCGAGGGGCGCTCTCGGAAACGGCTGGTGCGGGAGCTTCTGGCGGGGGCTCTGAGGACATGATTGGGACTGGGTGGGCGTTGCGGGTTGTGTATCGGGTGTCAGAGCTGCGTACTCGCCCAAACAAGGCATTTGAGATGGAGGACTTGGGAGGAGATGGGTGCCGGGAATGGACATTCCAGCTGGCAGCATCCCACCCTGAAAGGCGACTCGAAGTGCATGACCCCTGTTTCTAGCGCCGCTGTCGCTCCAATCGGTTGGCAGCGGCTCCACCAGCGCTGATCGCCAGAATTGTTGCATGTTCTTGCCGTTCTGCACTGCCCGAAGGATGGAAAAGCTTCCACGACGTCACCAGAAGTTCTTGGGTGCATATAAACTGGCTGCCATGTACATATAATTGTCAGGATACCAAGACCCATGTTGATCACCCCCAATGGCTCTTCGACTACCCACTTTTAGGCTGCTTCCGCAGCTCGCCCAGGCCGCCCGGCCATCACGAATATGCCCGCAATGTTGCCGCGCATTCTCGACAACGCCCATATCACAGTCAGGGCACAATAAATGGTCCAAGATCAAGCACACGAAAGGGAGGGCGGACCAAAAGAAGACCTCCGAGCGCACAATATTTGTACAAGCCATAACATTATACTCAAAATGTTCGCAATGCTTCCGCACCGGTTTTGCTATAGATACATAACCTTGACTGTATCCTATGCTCACATTTTCGCAACGCAGTGTACGGTCCCGACCCCAACCTAAACACCTCCCTGGCCAACGCAATCTCAATCGCCAAGAAGGCCAGCACACCAAAAAATGTCATAGACCAGGCCGTCGCACGAGGCCAGGGCCGCTCACTGTCCGGCGCAACGCTCGAGACGATGAAGTTCGAGGTCATGATCGGCCCAAACGCCTTCATCCTGGACGTGGAGACGGACAACAAGCTGCGCGCGCTGCAGGACGTCAACGTCGTGATCCGCAAGCACAAGGGCCGCACCGGCGCGACCGAGTTCTTCTTCAGCAGGCTGGGGCGGGTCGTCTTCGAGAAGCACGACAAGGTCGGACTGGACGAGATCATGGACGAGGCCATCGAGCTTGGCGCCGAGGACCTCGAGGCCGACGACGAGGGCAACATGATCGTGTGGTCGCAGCCGACCTCGACCATGCAGATCGCACAGGGCGTCGCCAAGAGCTTCGACCTCAAGGTCCTGAGCTCCGAGATCATCTGGTCGCCCAACGAGGACACGCGGCCGACGGTCGACTCGGTCGACGACGTCAAGAGCCTGGCAGCTTTCGTCGAGGCCTTGTCCGAGCTACCCGAGGTCCAGGCTATATACTCCAACGCTGCCAAGGGCCCGAGCGTGCCTGAGGAGGAGTGGGAGGCCTTCGAGGACAACCTGGACTCGTAGATGACCTTGTAACAACAATTGTATATAAAGATGCATCTTCACCCAGCCAAATATCGTCGATTCGTGCACAGCACAGCTTTGACATGATCTGCGCTTTTGCCATTTGTCCATGCGCCGATATTTTGAATAATTGAGTGGTGTTTTCCTCTTTCTGTTCCTGAATCCATGTCGTGGTGGATGGTCCTCGACCAGTCGGTGCCGGACTTCCTCCGCTCTTCTACCAGAACCAGCCCTTCTTCTCCTGCTGTGGCTGCGCCTGTGGCTCCTGGTTGTGAATCTGCTCCGGCGCCGGCAGTGGGTTCGCAGCCTGCTCCCTCGCCTCCTCCGCCAGCCTCCTGTCGCGCAAGTAGAGCCTCCTGGCTCTTAACCTCTCCAGCTCGGCCTTGATCTCATCGCGTTCCGTCGGCACCTTGTTCGCTTCTTCAGGCTTGGGCCAGAAGTCGGGGACGGCGAAGCGCTCGTCGAGGTTGACGCCGAAGTATCCCATGAATGCAATGGGGAAGAAGAGGTACATGCCGAACTAAGCAGATGCCGGTCAGTCAGTGACGGGAATGCCATTGCAGCGGGGAAACAAATGTGGAGTGGTTAGTTACCTTGAAAAGCTCGAGTCTGAAGCCGGCCATGTTGACGTTGTTCGGACTGCTTCGACGGTTGGGAAATGCACTTCAGACCAGGGCTCGAATATCGTAGATCTGCTTGGGCAGTCTACTAAAATATCATGATGCTGGATGAGCTCTGCGCTCCAGGTGGGGGGAGCTTGTGCAACCAATATTTGAAGAACCAATTACGAGCACAATTACATAAGCTGGTTTTGGTCCTCGAAAGGGGTCCACCCGCCACATATGACTTGCATGAGGACTGCATATCGAGACCAGAGTGCTTTGGCCCTATCAGGGAATACAATCAATCGGTTTTTCGTTCATTCGTGACAAGGGGTGGGGGTATCTTTGCGTGTCTAATCCAGTCATTTTCCTTTCCCAAACATTTTCCTGTGGTCATCGCTTGCATGATTTTGTCACCCGCCAGATCGCTAGGCCTCGCCTCCCAATGACCCTTTTGAGTGTACTCCAAATACCATCTTCTGCGAAGTCTAGGTCGTCCAGATTTATATGGTGGCTGTTTCTCCATACTTGCCGAAATCTCAGACCCTCTAGCCCCTTATTTCCCAGATATGGGTCCAACCAAGCGGCTGATGTAGGGGCGATGAGGTAAGTCCCGTTTGGTTCCTTTTTGTATTCTTGGTTCCTCCGGTCCGCCGGAACGTCGCAAGTGGCGATCTTTGTGAGGTCCGCGTAAAGGTCCTCGCCTGGCATCCCCATAATATCGCGGGTCTCCAGCGTCTCGGCCTTGCCATCCAAAAGCCAAATGGGCGGCATGTATGTCTTCCACCATATTGCTTTCGTTGCATCCGATTGCTTGCTCATAAACACCTGTGCAGGAACAATGCCTCCTTGATGGTAAATGCCCATCAATGTACCGAATATAAGGTTGAATCCAATCCACATCGCAGTCCAGATCCGCAAAACCTTCTGCTGGTGTGGAAGTCGGACTGACGAGAGGATCAGCGGGATGGTGGGAAGCAAGAATCGAGCCTCCTGATGCTGGAAAACTGAAAGCACTGATATCCCCGAAATCGCAGAATAAAGTCGCAGAGAAAGGTGTGGTCGCGTAAACAACAAGATGGCTGCCGGTCCAATCAGCTGCGGGATGTTGAACAGAATGTGTTGATACCATGGATGAACACCGTGCTGCGCCAAGTTCGAGGGATCTATGTTATACATGAGATTATTGTAGGGCGTAACTATCGGATGCCAAATCAAATCGGTCCACGAGATTTGCTGACTGCTGTAGAATGCCGTGTCCAGGGAGATTGCAATGAATGCAGTGAAGAGCGCGGATAATATCGTTGCAATAAGCGCAAGTGGCTTCCTCCAGTAGTAAGGGATTAAGCGAAGGCCAGGGATGAGGAGGAAAGCAGGAAAGGTTATCCTGTTGAAAAATCCGAAAACAACCATCGAACCAAGTAGAGCCGGTGCCAGAAGAGGAGTTTGCTGCTAGAGACAATCATGTCAGACTCGTGCGACAATCGTCCTCAACATTTTTTTTTTTTTTTTCATACGTACCGTATTCACAGGCATCGCGATGGTCCGCTCGATCAGGACCAGACTCCAAGCGACAACCAACGTTTCGATGGCATTGGAGAAGGTATGCGTCTGGTAGGTCCACGTCACATATGACGAGGCGACAAGCAAAACGGCGACGCGGCGGTGCCGGGGTGACTGGACCAGCTCGTGAATAGCCCAGTCCTCGAGGACGAAGCTAAGCACGAACATGAGTGCGCGGAGAGTCCAGAATACTGCTATCGGAGGAACCTCGCCGTCTTGGCCATTGCCTATCCACAGCCATCGGAGGAGGAGCATCGGGAGCCCGTATATCGGCCATAACGGGAACACGCTTCGGATCGGGTGGTCGCTAGTAAATTCCCATGTAAGCCGGACAGGATACTTGAAAATCTCGCCTGTATGAGCGTCTTAGTTAGCATAATCCGAGGCAAGCACGTCGTTTCCAGTCAATCCGCGTCTGCGACAGGGTTGTGTGCGAACTGAGTCGCGCCCTGACGCTGTTGCGACACGCGCCCAGGGGGCTACGTGGACGCAGAGGGAGGAAGAGCCAGCCGTCTTACCTGCGATGACCTCTGGGCCTTGGAAGTTCTCGTCGGGGTGCAAATAGCTGGGCGACAGAGCGAACCACAGTCGAACGACTATGAGGAAAAGGTATGTGCGGCGCCACATGTTGGCCTCGATTTCTTCCTAGAAATTCCAGCGCAAGCATCTGCGAGGCCTTATCGCGGCTTTCAAGGGGGCGTTCTCGACCGTGGGCAAGCGGGCTGCATACGGCATGTTTGGGAGGGGAGGAGAAGGGGAGGGACGGAAGAGTTCAGGGGAATTTGCAACAGCACTCTTCGAAATGAGCAGCCTCGGGATCGTCTGACCGGTTGGTTTGTTTATGAAAACGTCAGGAACCTGTCAAGCGACGAGGCCACATGTTTGGGAGATAGGGTCGAGTTGGTTGGACTCAGCTGTCCCGACAGGGGTGGTAGCTGGACAATCAAACGCTAGCATGCCGTCAGCTGGGGGCAGGGGTCCTGGGAGATGATCGCTGGCAGCCCACCCAGCAGGCCAGGCAGGCGCAGTAGGGCCAGCCTGCCCTGAATAGGAGATTCCCGCAGCCCAGAAGGTTAGCGGGTCGGATGCAGAAGCCTTGAAAGGTGGATCTGCCCTTCAACGTTCCTGATGCGGAACATTTTGAGGGCATCCACACGGCTTTCTCCAGCCTCCTCTTGTCTCTTGGTACCAATCTCTTGTTTGCGGACGGTGCATTCTACTACATACCTGACTGCAAACTGTAGCGACAGCACTGTCTGGCCAGTCATGCCAGCACCATACTTTGTGATACTAGGTACTCCATAAATACCTAGGTACCTACTTACCTACCTAGGTACTTAGCCAGGACCCTGATCACCTGCCATCACCAAGTGTACCAACGGCAGCACATCCATGTCCCTCTGGTCTCAAGGCCATTGCAGATGGGGCCTGGTAGCTTGCACAAAAGCAGAGGAAATAGACAATACAATAGACAATTGACTTTTGTTTTTCTTTCTTCATCCCAAGAGCCCCCAAATTTTGGGACGATTACTGTGCCACCAGCGGTTCAATCCTTTCATGCCAATTTTAGGATGCCTACAACACAATGTGCGGGCCAAAGGGCCTCTTAGCAGGCCACCGTCCATGCCGCTGGCTTCCTTCCATCACTTCAAGTCCATTATCAGGCCAGTTCTTGCTACTAACTCGCCTGGCGGCCAACTAGGAGGACGATACAATGGCACTAGGTCATTCTATTTATCTAGTGCTTTGAATGAACTTGAACTACCTAGCAAACGCACTTGAGCCAGTCTTTTGTGACCATTTCTTTTCCCCGTCCGGCCCACAAAGTATTTGCGCCAAATCACCAGCAGATCAGGGTACATAAGTAATATCACCTCTTCCCATTCCCACTGAGAATTTGCTCTTCAACCAACCAACCACAAACGAGATCATCTAACCTGGCACACTCACCAACACACAACCAAACATTGATCTCTTTCGTTGCCTACACTGAAGCAGGCACGCCTCAACCCGTCCAGTAAGTCGCCTGTCTCCCTTTTGTCTGCCCTTGCTCATCTTGTGGGGAGGAGCCACTTCCTGGCACTGCCAAGTGGTAGTTTCCCATCTGCCTAAAGCATCGCTGCATGTTCTGCACACAATCTCAGGTTGCCGTCGAGAACCCTTGCCTGCCTGCCTGCCTACCCGCCCGCCTGCCTAGAAGCCAGGCAGTGTGGTGATTGGCCCCACTTGTTAGCGGCGACTGCCTCCACCAACTGCCAACCCCACGCCGCTTGACTTAACCTGATCCCAAACCACCAACAACCCGCTTCCTCTTCCGACTTTCATCATCGTCAGCCGCCCACCACCCATTGCCTACTTCCTTCCGTCCCATTCCATCGCACTAAGCAGGTAAAACCCCCATACTCGTGGTTCTTCCCTTGGTCCCTTGGACATTGCCTCTCAGACTTCCTCTCTTCCATCACACCCCACCCGCTGCTTCCACTCTGCTCCAGGAACGTCCAAAGACATCACAGCATCTGACCATAGAGCTTCTATTTAACAGACACACACATCAACTCATCCTCACATTAACCACATCAGAACACCATCCAAGATGTCTGCCGAGACTCCCAGAGACAAGCAGGAGCTTTCGCTGAGGTGCAACGACGGTGGCGTCGTCCGCGTCGAGCTGCCCGTTGCGGAGCGTTCCATCCTCCTGAAGAACCTCATCGAGGACCTTGGTATGGAGACCGCCACCACTCAGGCTATCCCTCTGCCCAACGTCACCCAGCCCGTCCTCGAGAAGATTCTGGACTGGTGCAAGCACCACCGCAACGACCCTCTACCCACCCAGGATGACGACAACGAGTCGCGTAAGAAGACCACCGAGATCGATGAGTGGGACCAGAAGTACATGCAGGTGGACCAAGAGATGCTCTTTGAGATCATCCTGGCTGCAAACTACATGGACATCAAGGCCCTGCTTGATGTTGGCTGCAAGACTGTGGCCAACATGATCAAGGGCAAGTCTCCCGAGGAGATTCGCAAGACATTCAACATCACCAACGACTTTACTCCTGAGGAGGAAGAGCAGATCCGCAGGGAGAACGAGTGGGCTGAGGACCGGTAAACACCTGGCAGCTACCTGTCACCAACTTCCTCTCACCGGCACACGATTTGTGATTCTTCTCCCTTGTCCTTAGCCGATGGCCCGGCTCCAACCATCTCGGCATCTCGTTCGGCGTTTGAGGTACTAAATGGTTGCTTTTCTGGAAGGGATTCGGCTGCGGGAAGGAGGTTGTGCAAGGGGAGATGCCGGCTTTGGTTAGGTTTAGCAAGCCCAGTAGTGCAGCCTTTGAGCCCATATGCTCTTTCACAACAGCATCCCTACCTCAGAAACCTCGGCGACATTGCACAAGAGCCCCCCTTCGGAGCACACTGCTCCAACAGTTAGTTGTTCTGGGCTTTAGTTACACGGAGAATAGAATTCGGAATCTCCTACTATTTAATTATGCTTGTGATAATGTGAACCTGCTTGCTGTGATCCTCCCGTTTCTGCTGAGCATACTCCACAGCTGACGGTGGTCTTCATACCCACCAGGCGTAGTTGGTGACTGGCACTTCAATTTGCGTGGGGCTTTGAGTCATGCTCACTATTGATTCTGTTCCCAGCAGTATAGCAAGAGGTGACAGCCGTTCCAGAAACGTAGATGCTCTCAGATACTCTCAGTACCAACACAGATTTCCGGCTTGGACCGGGAGAATAATACATTACAGGTTTTTGAGCCTTAATGATCCGGACATATGTTGCTTCATTGCTCATTTCGTTGCTTACGCCTAATACCTGGCCCCACCTGTCTCTATTCCACGATCCTGTGATAGCGAGATGTGTGGATCTCATAAACTTGCAGGCATTCGCAGTCACTCATAGACATGTCAATTTTAGTGGATAGGCGTCCACAGCGCATCACAGGGAGTGGCAGCAAGAGGAGCGGCACCCAGAGGAGCACCCGCTCAGGCTGCGCAAGTATGGTACGTCAATCAGTTGGCATTTCTTTTTGCATTCCCCGAGTCCCTAAATGCAATCATGCGGCTCAAACGAGCCAGCAAAACCCAGCGAGACACCTTGTCCGGGACCAAGTTGAAAAGAACCCATTTTGGTTGTTCCGTCAATCATTTAGTCCATGATGATCATTCCTCTCCCTGCCCTCACGCCAAGTCGCCGTTTTACTTTCATCCGTCCATCATCTGAGTTGTGACAGCTGGTAGTCGGTATCGTGAAGAAGATTTGATTGATGGGAGAAGAAAAGCAGCAAGAGGCAGTCGCGTCGTGGGGTGATGCGCTTAGATGCCGAGACGGGTCTTGCGCCAGTGCCTCCGCTTCGCGTTGTAGCTGTACAGACAGTCCTGTTAGCCAAAGAGATCTCCGTGCTTCCATTTTCACACGAGGCGGCCGGTGCAGGCCTGCGTCTCGAGCGCCACAACTGCTGCCGTGGCTCTGCATGGTACGCCTTGTGCTTGACGATGGGAGCGCATCTCGTGGGATCAATCGTACCGGATGGTGTTGTCCGTTCGGAGGCGAATCCACTGGGGGATAGGGCGGTTCTGCTTCTTCGCCTTGGCGAGCTTCTGCTTCGTGCGGAAAGACTTGTGGCTCTGTGGAAGGTCATGACCTGTCAGCGTGGTGGTCTTTCACGATGATCCGAGTTCCAGATTCCCATCATCGCAGCCCGGCGGGCGGGGCCGTCCCCCAGCTCTTGCGAATGCGCACAAGATCGATGTGTATCGAACTCGCAGTATTCCATCCTTGACATCCATTCCGTACGTACCGGCATTTTGACTGATTGTCGTCGATGTCGAGTGGGTGGGTTGTTCGTCTTCGTTGGTCGATGGGGGAGGGTCCAGCAAGAGACAGTCGAGTTACGCCTGTGAGAGTAATTTTTGATTTTTGGTGTAGTCACGTGGAATTGTGGGGGCGCTGTCGGGGAACCAGCCCGTCATTGGAGCTGGACACGTTTAGGCTGTTGGACTGGGCTGACTGGCTGGACTGGCTGGGACTGGCTTCGGGGACAGGCCGGCAGGCACGCTCGCAGGCTGGCAGGCTAGCAGTCTGGCGGGCAAACACATGCAGAAAGCCAGACCGGGCCAGCCGATGGCTGGATCAGCCAAACTTGGCAACCCTTGCCCCTTGGCCCCTCCCCCCTGGGCCACCCGGGTTTGGAGTTGGAGCCAGCCAGGCCAGCTGGATGGAGGAGCCGGCCCTCGTCAGCGGCGGCATCGAAGCTACAGCCCGTGCTTCTGATGCAACCATTGTGCCAAGCTCGGAGGCGAGTACCAGCGCATTATCTCGAAACTTTTCGATTGGAAATCAACGATCTGGCAGCTTTCCCTCTCCTGACAACACTACCCTCACACACGACCATATCAACATCGCCGGCGAACCTTTCCTTCCAACGCTCCCCTCCCCCACCACCGGATCCGTCGCCTTTCACTTCCGCAAACGGTGAAACATCAACCTGTCGCGAGGACCACAGGCCCGAACCGACGCCCCGAACTGTACAACACACACCGCGGCACAATAGTACTTTTGGTTTCCCAACGGCGTTCTCGGCGGAGCATAAGCGAAGATGGGTCAGAGCATGTCATGGCTTTCCGGCCTCTTGTGGGCAAAGAAGGAAATACGGATATTGATCTTGGGCTTGGTACGGGATCACATGTGCCAGGGGTCAAGTTCTCTCTGCTGATGCCTCCGGTCCAGGATAACGCCGGCAAGACAACCCTTCTCTACAGACTCAAAGTATGAGACCTGCTCGACTTTCTCTTCGGGGCCGGAGTTACACTTGCTGACACGCAGTGCAGATAGGCGAGGTGGTCACAACGATCCCAACAATCGGTTTCAATGTTGAGTCCGTCACATACAAGAATCTAAACTTCAACGTTTGGGTAAGCAGCTCCCCCAGCGGAAACAGCCTTCGAAACGAGAGGCTGACGTTTTGCAATAGGATCTCGGCGGTCAAACGAGCATTAGGCCCTATTGGAGGTGCTACTACGCCAACACGGCAGCCGTCATCTTCGTCGTCGATTCCACGGACATCGAGCGTCTACAGACAGCGGCGGACGAGCTGGCAGCCATGCTGAACGAGGAGGAACTGAAAGACGCCGCGCTGCTGGTGTTTGCGAACAAGCAAGATCAGCCAGGGGCAAAAGGGGCAGGCGACATCTCACAGGCGCTGCGGCTGGGCGAGTTGAGGGACAGGAATTGGAGCATCATGGCATGTTCGGCGGTGGACGGCAGCGGTGTGACGGAGGGAATGGACTGGTTGGTGGTAAGTCCGACGGCCTTGCTGCATTTCAGAGAACTTGCGCTGACCAAAACAGCAAACCGTGTCCCAGGAGTAAACGGCCGCAGGAGCGCGCAGGAGCGCGTAGCAGTGCCCAGGGCCCGCTCTCCATCAATTTCCCTTGCTTGAATGCCTCCTCACAGGCGGCTCACACTAATAGGCAGACAAACTGGCGATCTGACCTCAGCAGCGGCGTTCATCGGGCGGGCGAGAGTGCACTGTAGGTTGGAGCAGCGTGTACATATAAAGCTTTATGCGATAATACGGTTTAATGAATACAGACGCGAGATCGTTCCTTTAGGCCACGGACGGAGTCCATAATATCGACCGCGCAGGGGCTGAGGGAGGCTGACAGGACAGCCAAGAGGCAATGGTCACTGCTGCAGTTGCAGGGGAGGACACGCCGAACACCGAGCTCGGGATCAACAGCCCCCAACCACGTATGTACTGCACCGATTCGGGAAACGCCTCACCTGCAGAGTATAGGCCTGCAGTCGTGATAAATTCGCCGGTCAACTGTCATCAGCTGATGAGCAGAAGGTGATGAGCCGGCGTTCAATCATGTATATATGTGTTTCAATCGCCAACTAGACTCTGCATCACTGACCAAGCTGATTCACCTTTAATTTTCAGTCGACACTTCTAACACGGATGTTTAAGCCAACCCATGGGGTCAGTCTCTGCCTCTTAAATGCTCAGCATTGGATCCCGTAGGATTCTGGGCTCGGGGGGGTTGCTGATCTAAAGAATTCGGTAAAGCTACCCGAATCATCGGACATGGTTCCGAGAGACCATTCGTTGTCTTTTTTGTAGCTTCAGCATCTGCATCAGACCAGCCATACCCATTTATAGCCGCAGCATTGATGGATTCACGGCTTGCTGCGGCCGACTCCACCCGGGGGGCTTGCGGCACGTGTGCGATGCCCGTTTGGCAAGAAAGAGACTGGACTCCAAAGATACAAAAGACACTTAGTCTCAATTTACAATGTGTGGTTACATTGCCCTCCATTTCCCTCTGGCAGAGCCTCGGGTATGCAAGGGGCTTGCAGTGTCGAGACACATACATATATGCTACTGGCCGGGCCTTTTATTGCTTGATGCAGACATGAGTACGAAAGAGTTCGTTACCACAGCCAGTGATTCGAAGGTGAACCATACGTCCGGCCCCCTCTCGGAGTTGCTCGAGACTCGTCATGGCCGGGATCCAGCCAAGAAAGCCAGCAATTGCGTTGAGAAAAGTGGCGACCGAGTGGGTTTTTTCCTGAAGCGGATCCACACGGCATGCAAGCCCCAAGAACTTCCCATTCCCAGATCTGTAATCAGATTCCAATATCTGCCCAATCATTGGTCTGGGTCCCACAGATTCTCGGTATTCTCACGGAGAGCCAGAACGGGCGCGACCTGCTGCCCGGTCGAAACGTACAGGACGGAAAAGCTGCAAGATGGGTACCCCATATGCACCGGCCCGATGTAGATGATTCAGTAGCGGGGGTGAATAGATATATATCCGTCTATGTGGATGATTCCCTTGGCCGATTTGCTAGCCGGTTTGTCTCCCAATTTTGCCGTTTTTCTGTCAAGCGTAGCCGGGTCTCCCTCTCTCTCTGGGAAGGAAATACTTGTCTGGTATCACACAGCCGGAACACAATATCTGAATCACTCTTACCTGTAGACCACCTTTGAAGGGTTTTGAAACAGACAAACTCATCTCACCAGACAACATGGTCGCCGACGACAAGCCAACATACCGCTACGGCGAGAAGCCGGTCTACACAACCTCCAATGGCTGCCCTGTTGAGAACCCATCCAGCTGGCAGCGGGTCGGCCAGAAGCCAGGCCCTCTCCTGCTGCAGGATTTCCACCTCATCGACCTGCTGGCACACTTTGACCGTGAGCGTATCCCAGAGCGCGTTGTCCACGCCAAGGGCGCCGGTGCCTATGGCGAGTTCGAGGTCACGCACGACATCAGCGACATCTGCTCGATTGACATGCTGAATGGCGTTGGCAAGAAGACGCCGCTGGTTACACGCTTCTCGACTGTCGGAGGCGAGAAGGGCTCGCCCGACTCTGCTCGTGACCCCAGAGGTAACAACATTGAATATGGCCCTTCGAGATGAACCTCAGCTGTGACATATTGCTAACATTGACAAGGCTTCTCCATCAAATTCTACACCCAGGAGGGCAACTGGGACTGGGTGTTCAACAACACGCCAGTCTTCTTCCTCCGTGATCCCACCAACTTCCCCCTCTTCATCCACACCCAGAAGCGCAACCCCCAGACCAACCTGAAGGACGCGACCATGTTCTGGGACTACCTGAGCACGCACCAGGAGGCCGTCCACCAGCTGATGCACCTCTTCTCGGACCGGGGCACGCCGTACTCGTACCGGCACATGAACGCCTACTCGGGCCACACGATGAAGTGGACCAAGCCGGACGGCTCCTTCGTCTACGTGCAGATCCACTGCAAGACAGACCAGGGCAACAAGACCTTCACCAACGAGGAGGCGGGCCAGATGGCCGCCGACAACCCGGACTGGCACACGCAGGACCTCTTCGAGGCCATCGAGCGCGGCGAGCACCCCAGCTGGACGTGCTACGCGCAGGTCCTGACGCCCGAGCAGGCGCAGAAGTTCAGGTGGAACATCCTCGACCTGACAAAGGTCTGGCCCCAGGCCGAGGTGCCCCTGCGGCCCTTCGGCAGGTTCACCCTCAACCGCAACCCGCAGAACTACTTCGCCGAGATCGAGCAGGCGGCCTTTGCGCCCTCGCACCTCGTCCCCGGCGTCGAGCCCTCGGCCGACCCGGTCCTGCAGTCCCGCCTCTTCTCCTACCCGGACACCCACCGCCACAGGCTCGGCGTCAACTACCAGCAGATCCCGGTCAACCGGCCCCTCCGCGCCTTCAACCCCTACCAACGCGACGGCGCCATGGCCGTCGACGGCAACTACGGCGCCAACCCAAACTACCCTTCCACCTACCAGCCCCTCGCCTACCGCGCCGTCAACCCCACCGCCGCGCACGAGGAGTGGCAGGGCAGGGCCGTCACGGCCGTGTTCGGCGGGCTCACGCCCGACGACTACGCCCAGGCCGAGGGCCTGTGGAAGGTCCTGGGGCGGACGCCCGGCCAGCAGGAGAACTACGTGCACAATGTCGCCGTGCACCTGTGCGGCGCGCGCCAGGACACGCGGGAGAGGACGTACGGCATGTTTGCGAGGGTTAACGCCGAGCTTGGGAGGAGGATCCGCGAGGAGACTGAGAAGGAGGTGAGCCGTGAAGCCTCAAGCCCAGGCCCTCAACTTGGGGGCTGTTTTGTTCGGTGCGGGTTGACTAACGTTCCGTGTTTCCTGCTAGGTTAAGAAGAGCAGCTCGGTGGACAGCACCGGCGCGACCAAGTCGAAGTTGTGAGAGACGCGGCCTTTTTTTTTGGTCTGGAGTGCGTTTAGGCAATGATCCCCCCAGAAAGTACCTACGGTGGCTATGCTATGGCCAGGGGACGGGCGCGCATTTCTGATATGGCGTGCTTGGGGAAACAAATTAGCTGGTTGTTTCGAGAGCAATGGAGTTGGCCAATGCTGCGGTGACAATCGCAGTGGGATATGACGATGTGCAAGCAGGACCGGTATGCAAGACTCCAAACAAATGAGGACCTGAAAAGTGGAACGTGAGCTGGCTGACCTGAGCGCCCATGGGTACTTGGGTAGCTATGATATATGTATATGCTGCTCCTCGTACCAGATCCGCAGGCTGAGATTATCTTGACGTTTTATTCCACTGGGGCCTTGGTGTTGAGAACAGCCAGGCTTTGGTATCAAGCTTGCCTTATCTCGACATATCGGTACCGTAGGCTTGTTTGATCAAGGGGGTCGGTCGGTCGCCGTCGCAATCGGTCGTAGACGCAATCTGATCGTGGACTTTTGGGAATGAGATGATTCCGTTGCCGTGGTAGTGGGTGAACCCAGAGGAAGGCCCTCTCAAATCGGGTCTCTGACCAGTTGAGACCCCTGGCCAAAGCACTGATGGCCGTCATGTTATCCGACTGCGTAAGAGTAGAAGCCATGCTCAAGACAGCGGTGGTTCTGACTGCCGGAAGCACGAGCAAAGGAATCCAACAGAAGCATGCAAAACGAGCGACGCCCATGTACAGTGGGATGGAAATTAAACCAAAGATGTCATTTGAGCCATCCAAAGACCTATGCGCCATATCTAATCAAACATTTCCCCCCCATCCAAATAATCAACTCGACGTTGATGATGTACATCTCGTGGCATGTCGGGGGGTTCTCTCTTCATCCGGGGTATCCTTCATCTCGCGTCGCACCGCCGTCGACTGCGCCACCGCCGGGGGCGGCACAGCCGGTCATTTATTTCTTGGGCAGTCTATGTATCTTACTCGTGCGTCGTCCATCCAACAGAGACCGCTTAGACGTGTTCGGCGACCTCCTCGGCGGCCAGACAGCAGCAGATGGTCTCGAGGGCACAGCAGCCGGCGCAACAGCAGCAGCACTGTAAAAGGGGAACATGGTTGGTTAGCTTGAGTGTCTCGCTTGTGTTCGATGCAAGAGAAGGGGTTGTTGTAGAGACTTACGTCCTCGCAGAGACCACCACCACGGAGGGACATTGACATTGGCTCCTCAGCCTTCTATATACACAGATCCAGTCAGCAAATCTGATTGATTGAATGTCGTTGATGCCAAGTGTGCAGGTGATGATGGATGGCGGTTGAGTGATCAGCGCATTGGCAGAACGCCAAGACCTGTCAGGGCTGACTGCCAAGGCGGGAGGATGGCCAGAGGCCAAGGGACGGACAAAGCTTGGCTCTCGCGGTTGCAGTTGTGATACGTACGGGCTGCTCAGTCTGGGGCTGGGCCACCATCTGGTTGGTCTGGGGCATCTCCATGGTCTCGGCAGGCATTTTGAAGGTGTTTGGTGGTTTGAATTTGTGAGGGAGAAGATGTGGGATGTGATGGCTTGAGTAGTAGAGTGATGGTTAGACTGTCAAATATTTCACGAATGGGACAGACACGTCGAGGATGAGAGGAAGACGAGGGACTGGGGACTGGGGACCCTTAAATGGCTCTCGGCACAAGGTTCCAAGGTTGATGCGCTCAGGGTCCATGCAAGGTTTCAGCTGGGTCGGGGCAGGGGGTTTGGAGGAAGGAGAGTGTGTACTGTATGCTGATACGGAGGATGGTTACGGAAAAGGGGGTCCAACTAGAGATAGTGGGTGAGTTGGCTGCGCAAGTCAGTCAGCCGGGTTATTGTGAGTAGCATGTGGTGCTGGGCTGTGAGGGCTGTGAGGGCTGTGTTAGCCAACGAAGGTTCGAGCCGGGATCCGACGGTAATCTAAGCTGGGCTGTGCCTGCACCTCGTCAGGTACGTGGTACTCTCGACGTTGACAATCGGCATGCGATACCCGCTCGTTGGCGGTCCCTGACGTGGAATGAGGATGAGGGAGCGGATGCCGCGGACCCACCGAGGACATGCTTTGCCAGGTCCTGCAGATCACTCACTCAGCACAACCTGGCTGGTTTTATTGATCAATGCCGCCGCAGTGAGCTGGCCTGGCAAGCCTGGATAGAACCAGTTGACCATATGCCATAGTATCACCAACTTCCCGTGATATCCCCGTCCGGATATCCGAGCTTCGTCATCCAGCCGGCCAGCGCACGCTCAAGAGGGCGGTCCCTCGAGGGCTCAAGCGCCCAAGCGGGACGGAAGACTAACCGCAGAATGGGTCTATGCCACTGGCTACCCACTCTGCGTCTGCCCACGGATCCTCTCCGCCCCTTCTGGGTGCGCGGGAGCTAGCGAATCCCTACACTGCTTGACTGCTCTGCGACTTGCCGCCAACACGGCGCAGCCAATTGCGCGTCAGAGTTCGACGCCGTCGAACTACTTTGTGTTAGTCCCGCGTCCACGCCCGAGGACGGTGGAAGATGAGAAGCTCGGTGTTCGGTGGGCGGGCTGGTGGGCTGGTGGGCTCGACCAATGGGCCGCTGTGCGCCAGTTCGAGCGGCCTCGTCCTATTATTGTTCCAAGGCGGGTGTTTCATGCCGTGCAGGCAGACTTGAGGCCACTGCCGCAGACCTGCATGCATGCAGGCCGGTACATGTACGCCCGTTCCTGAGGAATCCTGGAGATTCTTGGGAATAATCTTCAGAAGGATCAGGACACCCACCCACCCCGATTGCTGTGGTATCGATTTCCGCTTCCTCTCATTTCCAGACCCTCCACCCTTGCCAGCGGTGGACGTGCCGGCTAATAAGCGTTGAGGCAGAGACGAGTGGCTTGGCCGTCCGGGTACGCCCCATTTTCAGCTCGGCATGGGTCTGAATGAGTAAGAGATGGATCCAAGATTTGAAGATTCTACTTCCCTTTCCCAGCAAGAAAAACTCCACGTTTTCCCGCAAATACTTCTGCGTCCGTCCTGCGGTCCCTGCACCTGGGGTGCCTAGGTGGCAACTAGCCCTGCCATCTCTTATGCTCGGGAAACATGCAGATAGAGAGAGGACACGGGTACGGGTCTCCTTCACTTTGCTAGAAGAGGACAAAGTCACAAGCAACTGTGGACCTGCCAAGGTCCCCGTTGCACAGATCTCCCTCTTTGCTGGGGTCCCATGGACCGCAGCGTAAACAGGAACCTGCGCGTGTCATTATTCCGAGATCAATGAGTTGGGCCATCCTGGACAGATCGATCTGGTCAATCGGAGCGCGCGAACTATTTTTGAGCAGCCCTGCCAATCGAGACCCTGGCATACCACGCAGTCAGTCCATATTGCTTCGAATATCTGCTCCGAATCTAGCAAAATCTGAGTTTCTGGAATTTAAATGTGCTGCTTTCTTTTTTCTTCTCTTTCACCCGCGGCAACGATCGCGTGCATCCCGAGGTCGCGGCGGCACCGACCTGTGCGGCAGAGCCGCCGCACATCACTAACGATGCTTCTTCTGGCAAGAAAACTGCTCCGCATGAGGAAAGCCCCACGTGGTCTGTCTGTCTCATGTCATTCAAGCGAGAAGCCCTGAAGGACGTCAGCCAGGAGGCCAGGCCGTCAAAGGGGTCGTTGCTCACCCCCAGCCTGTCAACGGCCGCTTGGCCTGGCTCCGGCCCAGGCCCCAAACCTCAACGGCGCCCGGTACGTGGACGGTGAATGGCCAATACCCTCGAGATCATCATTGTCCCCGCTGGTCACCTCTCCAGGACACCCCGGCTTGTGTTCCAGACCGGGGTAGATACGGTCTGTCAACAGGTCACGACAGGTGACTAGACAGCTACAGTGGTCGATGATGTTTCACAAACAGGTCGACCTCAAGACTTTGTTGCTTAAGCGATGGGAGGGCGGCCAGGACAAACAGGAGTATCTCCAGGCCAGTTGTCCAGGGAGTGTCAACATGGGGATATCACAGCCAAGGTATTGAACAAATGTAAAAGCAGGTAGCCCTCGCCCAAATATTCCAGTCTAGGACAATCCTCGACCAGAAAATTCCCAGACTTGCTGTCCCTTTTACACATATTATCATGAGTGGTCACGCCGTCACCGGGCCGCAGGGCCCGCCCGTCGATTTGAACAAGGCCATCGAGCTAGCTGGCAAGACTCCCATGAAGCCAGTCACTCTGGGGAACGCGGCCCTGGTCGGAATCCTGGTCACGCCAGAGCAAGCTGCACAGTTCCACGTGGTGCCACTATCTCATCAGTCTGTGAACATCAACATACAGCAGAATATCACAATCAACAACTTCAATGTCCCACCACAAGAGCCTCCTAAGCGCGGAAACCACGAGGGCTCCCAAGGCAGACTTGACCAGAGTCGGCAGCAGGCTCCGCCGCCGAGCCGAAGTCTCGAGGACAGGCCTTTTGACGTGAACACATTATCCTCGAAGGTAAATCCAGCGCCAACAGCTTATCCGAAGAGTCACGATGGCGCCGTGGGAAGGCCTGGTAGCTCTGGTAGCTCTCAATGTGCCCAAGGCCAAACACGTCCAACTCAGGATGTTCACAAATCGGAGACTGATTCAGTTCGTACAACGAGGCCTGCCGATGGTCTGGCGCCCCCACGGCCTCCTCAGGGCGCAAACAGGAACTCTGCTCCTCCTAACGTTACAGCAGCCCGGGCCCAAGGACAAGCCCATCAACAAAAGACTCAGCCAGAAAACAACAACTCCAGTTGGACTCGCCTCAAGGCTATTGGTTCGCGTTTTGCCCGTGATCAGGGCTCTCGACAAAAGGCAAACCCGCCTGCTCTTGTTGCAAATTCACCTGCGCCGACCCGTCATGATAGCAATCCCACTGGAAGTAGGGAAAGTTCGACTGTGAAAAGACCACAGAACCACGGCAACTCTCAGCCGCCAAACCACCACGATCAAGCTCCGAGTAAGCCTCCTAGTACTGTGACGTCTGGAAGACAAGCAGTTGCAGGACCTCCTCATGTGGGACCCCAACCGAAGGGACAACATGGAGCTGTTGGTGTGCCACAACGACGTTCAGCCGTGGGTCAAGAGACTACAGCCGCCGCACCAGTCGCAGAGGAAATTCAATTAGATCAAATACTAGCGGGTGAGCACAATCCTCGAAGACAACCTGGCACTTGAGTGGATGAAGCTGACGAGATGTATAAACCAAGGATTCGAAAGGCTCAATTCTTCCCTTGGAAACTTCAAACCTTCAAGGCCTACCAGGGTCATCCTGATCGGCAAATCCGCCACCGAGATCATGCAGCTCGAAGATAGAGAGCAGGCATATCACATCGACGTGATTCTCGATCTCCCAGCCGGGGACAAGCTCCGCGAATGCATGAGGCATAGTAACATCATCAAGCTCTTCAGGGAATTCGACCAGCCCCCCGAGCCGCCGAGGGAACCGCACGCCGTGGCGCCGCCCCGGAACTCGTTTTTCGGCCCGACTGAGCAAGCCAGAGCCAAGGCGCTCGGATGTATCATCGACAAAGAGAGCCATGTGCTAGATAACATCGCGAAATGGGCACACCTGAAGGTCTACCTCATGTCGAGATCCCGCGCGCTGAGATTTGAACTCGGCCGGCTGGCACACCCCGACGTTGACGAGAAGACGAAGCGCGCCAGCGGGAACCTCGTCGTGAGGCTGCTGTGGGGGGATCCCAGGAACCGCACCCAGGCCGGCAGGGGTCAGACCTACAAGGGATGGCGCAACAGCCTCGAGATGGAGGATGGCTCTCCTGTGCCTGATGTAGATGCCTTGATCAGGAAGGTCGAGAGGCTCTTCAAGGAGCGTTATGGCGAACAGGACATTGTGTAACTAAGGCGTCATCCGTGGGGTCCAAGTCATATGCATGTGGGGATGGGAATTGGCGCAAGCAACCATTCAGGTTTATTTAGATTGATATCACAAAGCACCTATCGTATTTTAACTACTGTTATCGATATTGTATGTTTTTAAGCGCTGGGTCTTGAGCACTTGAATTTTTACTACTGTATGAAGGCGCCATGTATGTCCTCGGACTTCAGGACATATGCGGAATAGAAGTGAAACCAGTAAACAATGGGAACGATAGTCCGTCTACATCCTACAATTGATGAGCAACATAGAATAACACTTGTGATAATTCACATGCTTCAAATTGAGTTCTGATCAAATTTCATCAGGGAATGTACCAATCTTATAGAATACATGAATCTCGATATACAGTCGAGCCTGTTTTGTAAAAGTACTGGAAGAGGGTTTCTAAGTCAGGTTGATAGGTATTAAAGGCTGTGGGTTTCATGGAAAACCTATCTGCGGCGGACTAGGGTGCTTTATGAGAAGACCTTGCTTCTGCGCACCATCTGATCTGCCCAGCCCTCACGGCGTCGACAGCCGCATTTGCCTAAATTTCGATGTCGCAAGATCGAACAGGCAAACTCGGGGTGGAGCTCCTGGCGTCCCCGAATTCAATTCCTTTGGCTGTGAGTTGGTCAGGTAGTTATCGTTTCACCGGCTCCCGAATCATGATACATAGTTTGTAGACGCCATGGCGGTCCTTGGTCAGTTCATCCAGGTTGAACTCGAGCCTGTCGACCTCCCGGAAGCCGTATTTTTCATAAATCGGCTTGCCAGCAGGCGTAGCTTCGAGATAGGTCCGGTGGCCTTGTGTGTCGGCCATGTTCAGCATGGTAAGTATCAGCGCTTTGGCTGCGCCCTTCTTGAAATACTTTGTCGACGTCGCGATAAGTGATAGGCCTGGTGACAGTCAGTACCATGGCTCTCATATCAGAAGCTCTGCCTACGGGATATGAGAGATGAGTCGCTGCTTACCCAACATGTCGTCGGCCATCCACTTATCAGACATCCGGCTCAGCCCGTCGAAGAACCCACGGCAGAGCTCCAGGTCGGCGCCACGAGGGACGTCGAGCGTAGCGGGAGAAGCGTCAGGCGGCGGCGGTGCCTCGGTAGCACCTGTCACGGGTTTCTGTTTAGCAACCGCCTCCTCCAGGCCCCCCACCGGCTCCGTTGCATCCACCTCCTTCATGCCGTTAACCTCCACCCCACCAGCAGCAGCGCCCGCCCATTCCCCGAATGCAACCGACCCCTTTGGCACGTCCCACCGTGCAAAAGCGACCATCTCATTACCACCCGACTGGGTGTCGACGATCTTGAAGTGGCGCACAGACGGGTCGGCAATCTTGCGGCGGATGCGGCGAATCATCCATTCCATCATGGCGGACGTGTCGGCGGACCACCAGTACGTGTTACCTGGGTCGGTCTGGAAGGCGGCGTAGTAGACCTCGGCGACCTGCTCGGCATCATTCGGGTCCGTGATGGGTAGCATTTTGAACTCCGGGGCCAAGAGGCCCGGCGGGACAGGGAAGGGGAGCGTCATGGCGGCAATGGGTCTTCCGTACTTGATACCTATGAACTTGATGAGTTGGTTGCAATTGGATCGCATTAATTTGACTGACGACTCGGACACAGCGTTTCTAACAGCCCTGGAGCATGATTTGCGCTACTAGTATGGCCCAGCCTTTTTCTACCCTAATTATGTAAATTTGTTTTGACCGAACCAGGGGCAATGTGTGGCGTGACGCTCGGCTTGGAGCGATGCACGCACATCTCCCGAGGTCCGCTTTGGACCCGCTTGACCGATGACTCTTCGCCGTGTCCAAGACGGGGAGACCGGATGATGCCACTTGAAGGACTCGACTGAGGGACATTGAATGGTGGCTTCATTTGCACAGAAATGGTAATTGGCTTATTTCATTGTTCTCGGAAATAGAAATCAGCTCAGAACACGGGTCATGCATCACAAATGAGCGAGCCAAGTTCCGTTGGTGACGATGGAGAGACGATGGGACTTGACACGGGTATTGTGTCGGAATCATTTGCAGACAAATATTGGAAGCGTTTTGTTTTCACAAACATTACAAACATTATTACATGCTGGATTCTGTTTTGGAGTTGGGCTCTGGTGCATCATTGATGCTTCATTGGCTATCTGGCGGTGGAGGCCGTCTTATTATTTCAAAGCCTACGCTATGCTCCCTCTCAAAATATTGCATGATTGTCTTTCCGGACACCTTCCTCGGTAACTGGGTGTTATCATTCGTGAACTGCCCGCATGTCACTGCTGGATGGCTGCCGGCGCTCGAGCTGGTGCAGACCATAGGTCTAGGGAGCAAGTAAGCACTTGATCAGCTTCAGTAGTAATCACATCAGGGCGCTCCTCATTAATCCAACCCTTCATGATTTGCACGAAATCCCATACACCTCGTAGAAGTAAGCCGAGGCCAAGTACGCAAGCATGCACACAGCGAATGGAGTATCCAAACACATGCCGAATCCTGTCGGATGCTACTCCTGGTACGAACGCAATCATGGCTAACAAGACAGCGAGCCCGGCGACAGCAGTGATGGTACCCAGTGAAATGGTGGTATATACTGCAGAGCAGCGATGCAGATTACCTAGGTATCATGATGACCTCGCGAACTGCCAGAACAACGGTCTGGGCGAGTCCTGAAAATTGGAGACCGCCTACGGCAGTTCCACGAATAAAGTTAAGTAGAGATAGCCATCTCACAAAGAGGATACGCGCTTTGTCCCCCCCTTTCTGCCATACGTGCAAAGTATTTGTCTCGGTTGAAAAGCAGAACAACCCAGAGACTGCGCGAGGGGAGAGATCGGAAGAGCCAGGTCAGTGACCGGGTCGCCATGGCGATCAGCAACGCAGCCAGAACCGAGTTTTAAAGCGGTATTAATGACGCTTGGATCAACTAATAGACCGAAAGAGATATCAGAGGCACGATGAGATAAGACAGAGCATCCTGGAGCACCTGTTAGCCGGTCTGTCGAAGCCGGGCTGGCCAAGAGACCGCGCTGGCTGGCCTCCGAGCCAAGAATGCCGCTGATGACCAAGAATATGGTGAAGAGAAATATCATTTCCAACCAGGTCTCCATGCTGGCGGGTGCCCCCACCATCTGATTCATTGTCTCCAGCCCAAAAGTGCCATACCATGCGTTGATGGGTACTAGAGATGGTCACTGTGACTATCCTCTAAGTAGGAAATCCCTTTTTTATAAGACCGACTTTAGGTATACTCAGAGAGGAGAGAATATTGACTTCTAAACAGTCAATTAGTGTCTTAATATACTTCTAATAATAAGAGACTTAGGAAGGAAAGGTAGCCATAAAGAGAAGAGATGGACTCGTAGAAGGACTCGCAAAAGGGAAAAGGGTCACAAAGGTACCTCCCCTATATAAAGAGAGGGAAGAGTACTTCTCCCTTCCTTCCTTCCTTCCTTCCTTTCAACACCAACTCCTCCACCTTCCTCCTTCAAGTCAGTCAGAATCCCACATCTAGAGATTTAGAAGCAGAGCCATTAAAAGCAGACCCAACAAAGCCAACAGAAGCCAAGAACTAAAAAAAGACTTAGTAGAAAGGGGAAGGAAGGGAATCTCTCTCGGCCAGCCAACATACCAAAGCAGGAGACCTACCCTTAGCGAATAAGGAGAGAGTTACTCAAAAGGAAGGAGCCTCCCTAGCAAGTCCATTTCCACTCCCATAACCACCTTTTCTCCATAACCATTTCTAGGCTTTAAAATACCCTTAGAATTACCAGGATTTCTTTCAAATATAATAAATTATACCATCTTAATCGCCATATCAAGGGGAACATCATAATAATAGTTTTAAAGGCAGAGAAGTAGTGTGGCAGTTAAGAGGTAGTAAGAGGAGTATGGGTAGTCATAGTAACCATCTCTAGTACCCACTAACGCACGGTATGGTGCCCCCATAAGTACCGTTCCGCTTGTACATGCCATCGGAAATGCCCTCGTAGTCAGGATGCCTACACGCCGTGAGTATGCCGCCGCTGAAGAACAACGACCAGTACAGTTGCCCCAACCAGGAAACCAGGGTAGAACAGGCTGCGAGATATTAGAAAATGGCCACTCCATCCCCACTCCCCGGGAACAATGAGGGCTTCAAACCGGATGTATTCTGAGGGATCATCTATATTCGAGTCCCTCCGCATTATATGGTTTCGCTTCTATTCCGTATACGTCCGAGGACATACATGGCGCCTTCATACGGTGGTAAGCACTCAAGACCCAGTGCTTGAAAAGAACACGGTGTCGATAAGGCCTCCGCATTATAGCCAAGTAAATACGTCGTTTGGGCTGTGAAATTATACTTCTCTTGACATATAAACCCAATTGCATTGCATGGCATATTTGATCTAGAAGATAATAGTTTCGCGTTCTCCCAAGCACAACATTGCCTCTTTCCATTGTACACTGCCTTCTATTACGTAGCTAGATGGTCGTCGTGTGACTGTAGCACTTGGAACTCTCAAAGCTGTGCTCTAAGCTCCAACTGCTGGTCCAAAAAGCTCCCCACCGTATCCTCCATTGGCTTCCACTTCATCCCCAACACAGTCTCCGCCTTGTTAGTACTTACCTCCGGCGGCTCCTCGAATGGACCCTCAAGTTTAACATCCAACGCTGGGTACTTCGATCGTACAAACTCTGTGACTTGTCCCCACGTCCAGTGGTCCTTTGGCCCAGCACTGAGGATGAATTCCTCAACCCCGGCTCCAATCCCGACCTCCAGAGCTTTAATATGGGCGAGTGCGATGTCACGCACATCCACGGCGCTTAAGAAGATGAATGGCTTGGCCGAGTGTAAGCAACCCCAAAGCATAGCGTTTGTGCCATCTAGCCCCTCGGCTGATGTCTGAGTAATATTGCGGCCGAAGACGAATGATGGGTGTAGAGTAACGAGGCCAAACGCGGGCTTGTTCGTCTGCACCCACTCCAAGGTAGCGCGATGGGCGAGGATCTTGGAGACGTGGTACTTCTGGCCTCCACTGGCCCTCGGGTCCTCCGGGAAGGACATCTCAGGGTCAGCGGGTATAGTGTGGTTCAGCCCCTCTATAAGAAAACTTAGATTTGGACGTTATATATCAGCAAGGATCAGTTGGGTACCTTTGGCAGAAAATTTTCCAGTGGATAGAGATTCCACAGGGATAAGTGCAAACAGAGAAGAAACGACGACAACGCGTTTGATCGACTCAAATTTCTTTGCAGCGTCCAACAGTGCAATGGTGCCCTGCACTGCTGGCTTTAGGTAGTCTGACTTGAAGTCGGAGCCTTTTCCCGGCATGGGAGAGGCGAGGTGAAAGACGTATGTGACACCTTCAAGCGCCTTGCCAAAACGACTTTGGCTTGTGAAGTCTGGTATGACGGCGAAATCTAAGTTGGCTGCATGCTGAGAGAACACCTTGCGCAGGGCAATAATCTGTTCCTCTTTGCGTACGCTCAGACGTACTTTGTAACCAGTGGCAAGACTTTGACTAACGACGTGAGAGCCAATGAAGCCCGTTGCGCCGGTGATGAAGATTAGAGGCTGGGACATTGTGGATGCGAGTCTGTGAGGAACGATTCGCGAAAAACATTCGGTATCATAATATCCCCAACTTGATGCAACTGCATACACATTCTTATACGAAGCGCCTACGAAAGTAGGTAACATGATTACTTGTGTAGCTTGGTAAGCTTTTGGGCCGGTGTTTGCCCAGATGAGGGGATTCAAAAGATTACTGATACTAGGCCCACTAGACCTGATTCGAAATACAAGTCAAACAAGAGTCCGCCATTTTAGGGCCTGTATTTGGCCATATGAAAAGTAATCATTATTCTTAACCCGAGGCATTTGAATTTCCGGACTACTAATCATTGGAGAGGGCTGCTGTAGTCGACCTCCGCAGCTCGGTGCATCGAGCCCTGGGCGCATTAACACCTAGGTACTTAAGTACCTACTTAAGTAGGTAGGCAGTATGGACGGATCCAGGCTTCAATTTAAACCTCGAAACCTCATTCTAACCTCCAAACTAGCCTTTTAAGCCTCTTTTGAATCACACCTTCGAGCTTCCCTGAAAAGCCATCATATCTTTCTATACATTCTACCCCAGCGCTCCAAGACGCCACCACGATGCCTCTCTGGCTGATCTTCCACCCCGAGGGTACCTTCGAAGACGTTGCGTCCAAAGAAGCCCTCGCAGCCGACATCACCAAAATCTACACAAGCGTTGGTCTTCCGGCGTTCTACGTGGTCACAAACTTCATCAAGATGCCTGAAAGCACCATGTTGGTGGGCGGCAGGGTGATCAAGAAGGAAAAGCCGTTCATCCGACTCGCGATTGAGCATATTGCTGTGACCCTTCCCAACCAAGACGAAGAGTACAAAAGGGTTGCCAACGCGGTGGATATTTGTCTCAGACCGCATGTTGCGGACAAGGGATACGATTGGGAATTTCATATTGACGAGACGGAGAGGAGGCTGTGGAAGATAAATGGAATGTTTCCTCCGGCTTTTGGAAGTGAGGGCGAGAATCTCTGGTTCAGGAAGAACTTGCCAGTGCCTTTATTAGAGAAGGGGAATCTCTGATGTGTTAATAATACATCTTGCATGAAGGGACCGTAGTTACACTTCCGGAATTTACACAGGTTAAAAACGAAACTGCTTAATGATACATGGATGGCAAACAATGTGTATAGCTACAAGCAATGTAATGAGCATTTGAGAAATAATTAGTTGCGCTATCTAAGGCTGTTTTTGCAGAGGGCAAATCTTCAGCCCCTCCCTGCTCTCTGGTGCTTGTCTCGGCATGCACACCTTGGACCCTCGGGTGTGATATTAGAATTGCATGCCAGGAGTATAATTGGCTTACATATTGGGATGTGGAAAAGTGGTTTGGTTGTAAGTGAAAGAGTGTGAATGAGCAAGATGGAGGAGACACTTGAGCTAAATGATCCCACCAATTTTCACTAGTATGATACAAAATGGTGCTGATGGCCTGCCTCAGTGCTATAAGAGAAGACTGCTTTGTAGAAATAGATTCAAAATTCACTGTCAAAAACCTTGCATAGGGAAACTTCATGTCTTTATCTGAGAAATCAATACATTATCTGTGCTCCTTTTGCAGTTAGTAGAGGGACTTGGAGAGCACAAGTAGGCGATTCTTTTGTCAACACCCAACAGTCGTGTTTCCGCAGATATCACAAAATGCTGTGATGTTATCGGGGCAGGTATGTTCTCATATATTCTTCAACTGTCATGAAAGTACTAGCACGGTGCTTTCTAAAGTCATGGTGTCAATATGCAGGTTGCTGAGAATTTGAGATAGCAGCTGGCTGGATGAAGGGGGTAGGTGGCCGCCCAGGGCTTTGGAAACACCAGTGTCTTATAGCTTTTTTCTCAAGCCGCTTCGTTCTTATTCCGTATCTTCTTTACAGTGTCAGCATTCAAACTCAAGTCTGTACAAAGAAACCGCACAGGAATTTGAGTTTGACAGTGACAAACAATCATATCAAGTGGTATTGTATGTTCGTTCAAGATATAGTTGTATTAAGTGGTTTCTTCTTAATGCGTGTGCATCCCGTGGGCGTATGGCCCCTTCACACAGTGGTCAACGCTCAAAGACAATTGTATTAATTTCTCATAAAATTTGGAAGATCTCCTTCATGACTTGTCGCTGCCCACGTGGCTGCTCTGAAGCCTCACCTCAGAACGGACATAAATCCCTTCGCTCTGGTGAGTTTCGCTCTCACTGCGCCCAGCCGTCGTAACAATATTCGTCAGGCTGTAATTGTTTTTAGTCAGGCGAAGTTCATCCTCTTCCTCCAGTCGTTGTATCCCTTTGGCGCCCTTGGGCACCGGGCCTCCACTCCCTCCCCAAGTCACCAGACCCGGTGTCGATGTTGTTCGTGACTGGCCTGCACTGCGAGCCGACGATGATACTTTGGTGCGAACAAACATGAAAAGCGGGCGCATGTTTGGCAGACAGGCTGAGAGAATACCGATGGAAGGTTCGACGGCGGACCAGACACATACGGGCCCCATAAACCACGTCACGTCTACTGCCGTCGAGAAGACGTTCAAATAATAGATCCGTACAACGCTAGCACAGCAGACACTACAATATTGTTAGTACACATTAGGAGAACTGGACACCGACAAGGTGGGACAGGTGATGATCAGCGCATCGAGTGGGAGATCCGACTCACAATCCTCCGAGAAGCATGATGCCGCACACACCGGCCTTCTTGCGGGTAGACATTTGCAGCCCGAGGATTGACGGGATTGGAATAATTAAAATGAAAAAGTCGATAAAAAGGTTAATGATGGCCATCGCCACGAAGAGTAGTCCCGTGTTCAATGGACAGCTCCCCTCCGTGTCGCCAGCGAATTGTGTCCAGTAGAATGAGACCGGCTGGCAAGCATTAGCCATGGCGATGATAAAGGTGAGAGGATATCCGATGACGAGGAATGCTGCCGCCCAGAGTAGGAAACGGAATTTTGTATCGGATACTTCGAAAATGCGTGTATATAATAGCAGGATGGAGGCCTTGGTGAGGGTTATCGTGGCAGCAAAGACGAAGCTGTAGGCGAACAAAAGCTACGGGTCGTCAGGGGTTAGTGGTGAGCCGGACGACAGGCACATGACTAGAATCGCCTCACCTGTGCTGCCATAGCTAGGTCGACTGCCTTGACCGTCCAGACATGACGCCCAGCACCAAAATGACCGACGGCGAAAGACATGGCTCCCGTCGCATACGTGAAGATCAATGCCGCTACTATCACGGTGTCATCGGCCTTCAAGGGGCTGCTCGTGTATCGTCGACACCATAGTCTCAGTACCACGGCCACTGTGGCTATCACCAGCAAGATGGCCACGGCGACATCATTGCCGGCAGTTGGGTCTTCGCTCAGGTCGGTTCCTGGCGGCACCGGTCCGAAGAGGGCCAATATCGTAGGATCAACGTCGGCCATTGCACGTCGTCGGAAGGCGAGGAAATTGTGCAGAGTGTTGCAATTGCCACGAGAGTTGGGGACTTCGACGGACGGATCCTCACGATCGCAAGTTATTAATCATATCTTGTGATTTGTGAAAGATCGGCTCTTCTCCGTGTCTGGGAAAATCCCAGGGGCCTGTGCAATAATACCCAATTGCCCCCACGATCTTCACTGCCGCTCAACATTTCTGGACAGACAGTTTCGATTTTCTGCCTGTGGCTCCGGCGACTGGGTCATATCGCCTAGTGGAGCACAGTCATTCCGGAGCAAATTTACCTCCTTCACGTCCTGGACACCTACACAGGGGCTAGAAAGTCTATTTCGCGCCTTGTATGCCCAAAATCGTTATTTTGACTAACTTGACTTGGTAGACGGAGGCGAACGGTGGCCTTGGGGATCCGAAGAGACCAATGAGAAGAGTCATGACAGGGGAAAGTCATCTATTGCCCCTGTGAGGCTACGAAGCCCGGCCCCGGAGCCGGTTGGCCGGTAGTGTCGGATTCGGCAACACCTATGGCAAATCCCATTGTATCGACGGTCAATGCCGGTAGTTCGATGCAGATCGAGTGCACCGAGTCAGACGCCTCTTGGCAGGCTCCTCTCCGGCTGGTAGGGTCCACCTGGGCATCAAGCCCCGTGTGTTGTGAGGACTGCTATTGGTGAGACCGGCCCATGGTCAACAAAGGATGGATAAGGTTCATGACAAAGTGCATTCCTCCCGCAGAGGGCTGATCGGTTGCGAAACAAGGGGGTTCGTCTCATCGCGAGGGAGCCTGGGGAGGCGAGAAGCAGAGTTTCTGACGCAACTCTGACCTTCTCACCGAGGTCGCATCACGGTCATAGCTCTGCTCAGAACGGTCCACTCAACATCCTCATACTGCCCAGTGTGCATAAGCGACCTCTTGGCTATCGCAGCGTTGCAAAAGATAAAATGGATCTCATCGACCAGGATTTGCTATTCCAAGTAACCCCAATCGAGCAAATCAGTCCTCGAGGCTGGCCGAGATATGTGAGATTTCACCGCCAGTCCAGCCCAAGGACTCGCTCGGACAACGCTGACCAATTTCTCTACTCTTAGATCTTTCCTTTTGAGTTGGCTGAGAACTATGACCTTGATGAGGTGACGCGGATCCTGAAGGATGGCTGGGAAGCCACCTGCCGGCGCATCCCCGTCCTGAAGGGCGAAGTTCTCGCCGACCCTGACGGGAAGCAGGGCGGGATGGTGAAGATCCAGCTGCTCGATGACAAGGAACGTCTCGAGCGGATTCAGCCCATCACGGTCAAGGACCTTCGGTCACCCGGAGCGTACCCCTTGACGTTCGCCGAGCTGAAGGAGAAGCACTTCCCCGTGTCCGCGTTCGACCCGGAGGTCTTCACGCGCCGCTACACGTGGCCGTCCCCGGAGGACCGCCTCCCCATCATGCTCATGCAGCTCAACTTCATCCGGGGCGGCCTGATCCTGAACTGGAACCCGTTCCACATGATTGGCGACGGCAAGACCTTCTTCACTTGGACGGCGATCTGGGCGGAGGAATGCCGGCGGGCTCAGGGGCTAGAGATCAGCGAGCCGTTTGAGCTGCGCCAGAGCATCGTCAGCGACAGGCGGCATGCTATCAGCCCCAGGGCGCCACCGAGCGGGAAGGCAGGCAGGCTGGAGGACCACCCACAGTATGTGCTGCTGACCGATCCGGCGAACCAGCTGGCGAAAGTGCTCAAGGCGGACGGGCACGTCGGGCAGATCTTCTACTTCTCCAAGGAGTCGTTGGAGCAGCTCAAGAGAGATGCATCTCCCAAGAACCCTGCGCCAGGCGAGCCCCCGTACATCAGCACCAACGACGCGCTCACTGCCCTCGCGTGGCGCTCTGTCATGGCGGCACAATACCCACCAGACAAGGTCAAGGGCGACGAGGTCTCGGTGTTCAACATGGCGGTTGACGGGCGACTACGCATCCAGCCTCCAATCGACGAAAACACGCTAGGAAGCTTCGTCGAGTTCATCGAGGTGAAGATGCCCCTCCGCAAAATCTTGGACACCAGCGGAAACAGTGTCGCCGAGATCGCATCCGCTCTCCGAAAAGCAATCACCAGCATGAACGACGACTTCCAGGGGGCCTTCACCAACGACGTCATCCAGCTGATCAACGGCCTGGGCGACGTGAGGTTCCTCTCGCCGTCCGCGTTCCTGGACTGCCCTGGCTTGTGCTGCTCCCAGACCAGCTGGGCCAAGTTCGAGCTGTACGGCCTGCGGTGGGGGCCCGCGCTCGGCGATCGCATCAGGGCGATCAGGTCTCCGAGCAATGGAATCCTGAATGGGATGCAGATCATGATGCCTGAGCTTCCGGACGGTGGCCGGGAGATGCTGTGTGGCATTAATGAGGAGGACCTTCCGAGGCTGATGGCTGATCCTGTTTGGAGGAAATATGCCGAGGCACGTTGAGTTCCTCGGTTGAAATGGAGAGATTTCTGATGCAAGCTTCAGCATTGTCTCGAGCAATTTAGATATTTACCTAGGTAACTATGTGACTCGCTCCTGGAGAGCGTCCCTTGGCACACGCCAATGATAGTACTCGCAACGCAAGACCGCCCAAATAATCCCCCTACTACAACTCAAGCACTTTCTGTGGGGAAACCAACTATACTAGATCGATGGTGGCGTCCGACGACATCAATGATAGTAACACTCCTTCCTATCGAAATGGAATTGCTACATATGTATCTTTTCTGACTAGTTACCTAGATACCTAGGCATTCGATTAGTGTTCAGCAGTTGCATAATTGGGATTAATATGCTCGGTTCCACAAACACAAGGCTTTTGATTGAGACACAGCGTGGCAAACCTAAGTATAGGAGCTGTCAGCAGTGAACCCTGTCCATGTTTAAGGCAAGTCACTGCCCTATCGTCAACAGCCGAGTCAAGAATCTAGATGCCAAGTCGCTAGATGGGCCCTGCCTACTGAATTTTGATATCAGCATCGTGAATCTCGCATTCAAAGTGGGGAACCGCAAATACTCAATTCAAATCTAAGAGCACTAGGCAGTAATAGTAATGGTCGCGATGGCTGCTAATTCTTTAACCGGGGCTCGTCGGAACAGATCCGAGGCACCTGGGCTCTTCAACCCCAGGGGCTCTTTGTATGCGCTCGATTTCCATTCTGGCGTTGAAGCACTCACTCTCTTCAAATCCGCATTCATCGACGTACAGGATGCTGGGACTCAAAGCGACGACTCTGGTGGCGCTCTGCGCGGGCAGCGCACTCGCCCAGACCCCGATCCGGGTTGCGAGCTTCAACATCAGATACGACAACTCAGATATCAGCATCGCGGATAGGGAGCTGTGGTGGGGAGGTCTGACCTGTGCGAACGACCCCTACCAGTGCCGCATGTTTGGTGTGATCGGCGAGCTCGGTATGTTTTTCTCTCTTCAGGATTGCATTGAGACTCCCGGGCTCGAGGCCCATGGAGCCCACGAAAAAAGAATGCTGACTCACAAACCCAACAGCCAAAGTGACCGCCGCGGGCGACTCCTTCGTGGGCATGCAGGAGGTGCTGGACAACCAGCTGAACGACATCATGGGCGCCATGAAGCAGCTCGGCCCCTGGGAGCACATCGGCGTGGCGCGCGACGACGGCAAGAGCGGCGGCGAGTACAATCCGATCATCTACAGGACGGACGTGTTCGAGCTCTTGCACGAGGAGACAAAGTGGCTGTCCCAGACGCCCGACAAGCCGTCCAAGAGCTGGAACTCGGGCAGCAACCGCATCGTGACCGTGGGCGTGTTCAAGCACATCGCGACGGGCAGGCTCATTCTCATGGCCAACACTCACCTGGACAACGCCGTCGCCGAGGCCCGCACCAACCAGATCGGTGTTGCCGTCGACATCATCAAGGCGGTCGATGCGGCCTACGGACCTAACCTGCCTACCTTCCTGACTGGTGACTTCAACTCGGGCGACACGGACCCTGCGTACAGGACCCTGGTGGGCGAGAAGTACCTCCAGGACTTGTACGCCACGGCCTCCCCTGCGCAGCGCAGTCAGCGGTTCTACACGTACACCGGTTTCGCGGGCGAGTATGCGTCCCGGATTGACTACATCTGGTTTGGACCTTCGGTACGTGCACCACTTCAAGGAAAATGGCCTCCTGCGCCCTCGATATGTTTGTTTTGGCTAACATGTAACACTCTAGTCTGGTCCCGCCGGTGGCCCGATCACCATCAAGGGATACTCGGTCGAGGACAACACCTGGGGACCCGGCGTCATGAGCGATCACCGATGTGTGGTCGGAGATGTCACCCTTGGCTAATAAACGCAAGGGCCCGAAGGTCATGTAATCGATGGAAGTGGGTCAAATTTCATGCACATATATTCAGCTGAAGTACCCTATACATAGACGTTTTGTCTGGTCTGGTTTCGCTTCTTTTCCGCATACGTCCGGGCTATACATGGCGCCTTCATACGGTGGTAAACACTCAAGACCCAGCGTTTGACACAAATACTGTGTCTATGACTATATTTAAAATAAGATAGATAGGTGTTTCATACCCATTATTTGACAACCTTGGAGGTCTGCCCGTAGATGAATCTGGTTGGCTGGAATTGAATTGATATGTGAAAAATGGAGTCCAAGAGGTGCCTTGGGGCTCGGCGGAGAAGGTGAAATGGGGAATGTGAAATACGAAGAGTGGCGTCTTTCCTCACCACTGATCCTTCAGTCATGGCCAATTACACTCAACTCCAGCCGCTCACCTGGTCTACCTTGCAGTAGTGTTGACAAGCGAAGCGATGGTCCTCGAGTGTAAAGCAGCGAAAAGGTGGGGATCACACGCTGATTGGGTCGCACAGCAGGAGGACGCCCCGAATGGGCAGTGCCTTCAGTTGAAGCTGTGCATCGACTCGAGCACATGAAGGCATTTATGCCTTGCTGAGCCTCCTTTCTTTTTTTCTACTTGGACCGCCCGCGATTACCAAACAAAACTGGTCTCCTCATCTGCAGGCAGGCTCCCACTCACAAGCAGCTGCCGCTTTGCATCGCTACAATTCACGCACCGATTCTTCCGATGACTTTAAGCCTCACTGATTTCACCGCGCAATAGTAAACTGCGACAAAATCATGGATCCGATTGAACTGAGTCCGAATCCCCCTGAGACACCGGACGCGGCAGGAGGGAACCTGTTGGAAGCAACCCGCGGTAAGCATGAGCACTTGACAGCCCCCGAAATGCGGACCCGCATCAATCAATGATCCCAAATCTCTCCCATACTGCTCTTCAATAAGGAATTTTCTAAGAAAACAGCCCGCGATATGCTGTTCGATGATATCCTCCAGCAGTTGGCTCTATGCAACCTCTTCAGCGATCCCGTGCGCGCTCCGACCATCTTCCCCGTCTACGCCCACGACAACGAATCCGCGGGAGTTGCGCATGCAGGTATTGTTCATCGAATTATCGAATGGCTTCAGAAAATCAAGGCCAGAATCATATCAGACAAGGCGGCCCTTCATCCACTGGTTTCCAACAAGGAAAATGCCTCAGCCCATCGGAATATCCTTTCCAACCAGATTCGTCTCCTTCCCATTGGCAACAGTGCCGACTCCAAAGCAAACAATAATGCTATAGACAAGGTTATCGTTTGTGCCTCTGATGTCCTCAAGCGATACTGTGAGGATGATGTCGCCCTCGACTACATCACAAGAATCAGAGATTTATGCAATGTCAACCACGGAAAGTCGATGGAATACATAGAGACCGTGATTCGAGGAGAAGTCGACAGCGAGATCGAAACACCAGACTTTCATCACGTGCTCACCGAACTCGCCTTGCTAGAAGTCAGGAAATCTCGCCTCTCTGGAGATCACGGCATGGTTCCCGTTGCATTGAACGGGGATCACAGACTACCTTATCTGTCATTCTTTGGAAGCACGGATCTCACCCTGAAACTGGAATCTTCCACATCAACCCCCGGGGCCGCCGCCCTACACAAGCTTTTCTTCAAGATGCTCGAGCAGCTTTTCGTGGAGCACAAAGATCTCGTCAAGGAATGCAAAAAATGCTACGACAAAGTGGCCCAGGAGCTCAACCTTGAGAATGGGGAACCGTTGTCCAAGGAAACCTTTCGCAACTGCTTGGGCCAAAATATTACCAACATGTACCACAGTTATTGGAACGTATTTTCGACAGTCGTACACAATGGCAAATACGTGACATATGCTGGTAAGATTGGAGAGCACACCTTTCAAATCTTGGAGGCGACCAAGGCAGACGAACGACAGAAAATACTTCAATGGGTGTCGGGGACACACATCTCAGATTCTCATGGGGTATACGGTGACGGGAACAAAAAGCGCGTCAACGGCACTTGCGACTGGGTCATTCATGACCAAAGGTTTCGCGATTGGCACACCTCTGATAAGTCTGAGATCCTCTTACTCTCCGGCAGCAGTAAGTCCAAACACCGAGTTTCAATACAGACAACGTGAGTAATTGACTGTTAGAGTAGTGGGGACAGGGAAGACGTATGCCACGTCAAGAGTGATCGATTGGATTGGAAAATCCCTCGAGGGAAGCGACTATGACGAATCTTTCGCTTATCTCTACTGCATGAAGCAAGATAACGAGCGGAACAACCCTAAAGCGATTCTGCGCAGCATTGTGAAACAAATTGCAAGCGGACCATGGAATCGTCGCGGAGAGAATGTTGCCCTGGATGAAGCCGTCACCGACATCTGGAAGAAGCACTCAAATGACCAGCTACAGTTTTGCAACACTTTCAGTGAGTGGAGAGACTGTCTCTTCAAGCTTGTCAAAAAGTATCCCAGAACCACTATCGTACTCGATGCACTCGACGAGTGCGTTGAGTGCGATGAAGACAAACGGGGTAGTTTGGTCGACCTCCTCACTACCTTATCTTCTGGGGACATGGGTTTTGTGAAAATATTCTGCTCGACTAGACCCGAGCTAGACTTGTCACAGCTGCTGAACAAATATCCTGTCATTTCAACGAACGGCGATCAAAATCAGAAAGATATGGGGATGTTTGTACGAAACAAGCTCGAGCAGAATCTCTCCTGGCTCAAGCATGATTACAAGGAAAAGATCTCTCGTGCTCTTGTGGAAAGAAGTCGAGATATGTTTCTATTTGCGTCGCTGCAAATCGATCGTCTACTGGAATGCGAATTCGAGGAAGATGTGGAGGATCGACTCAGGGATCTCCCACGGTCTCTGAATGAGGCTTACAAGGACATCTACATTAAAGTCACAACGGATCGTGAAGGGAGAAGGATGAGTGGCACAAAGAAATTCCTAGACAGGGCGCTTCGGTGGGTCTTATGCTCGGCAAGGCCCTTGACCACCGATGAGTTGTTGTTGGCGATCTCCCAGGACCCGGAGTCCGATATCGTGAAACCCCAACACTCGCGATTGACCGAAGACTGGATTTCAGCGCGGTGTCGCAATCTCTTGACCCTGGATCCTAGGGGCTACAGCGACGATGGCGAAGTCTCAATCTACCATCGTGGTGATGATCCACGTCCCGTGTGGCGACTGGCGCATCAAGCGGTGGCCGATTTCATTGAAAACAGTGCCGAAAGCGTTAGCAAGGATTCCAAACTCTTCGGAGATGACACCGACTTCAGTCCCGAGTTTTCCCATTACGAGGCCGGAAAGATTTGCCTGATGGTATTGGTCGATCTCTTCGGCCGCAGTCCCTCTTCGGCCGCAAATGGCTCGTATGGTGGACCAAGACGCAGCGAGGACTTGGAAGATCTTTTCGAAGATTACAGAGATGAAAATTGGGTACATGTGAGACTGAAAAGGCCCCTGGTGGAATACGCGATCATGGCTTGGCCGACTCATGTGCGCGCGCACGAACGTTGCGAGTCCCCCCGCGCCGATGGACTTTCGCGGCCACTAAAGCGATTTCTGTGCGGAAACGAAGATATCGGGCTAGCCTACGAGAGATGGCTGGCGCATACGTTTTTCAATTCAGTGTTGTATACGGATGATTGGGTTCCGGTTCCAACCTGGTCTGTTTTCGCGACACGATCGTTACCCACGCTCTGGCTAGGCAGACACACATGCATGAGGCCGATTAATTTGGCATGTCACTTGGGCTTTAAGACCGTCCTTAGAGAGTGGTTGCAATCTTCTGGTTCTGAGCAGAACTCTTGCTATGAATCAGCGAACTGGCTACCGATAGTCGGTCAAAGTACGCCCATTCGTTGGTCGCTGAAATGGTCAATCGAGTCGCTGGCATGTACCCATGGGGAGGCAGATATCCTCGACCTCGTTCTGGGGCGAGGATCCCAAATCAACACTGCTGACGATGATGCGGTGCCGCCAATTGTTGCTGCAGCAATTGCGGATTCGGAACCGGCTGCGAAAATGCTACTCAACCGTTCCATTGACCTGGACTCAGCATTTACAAGGAAGCACGGGCATGTCTTGATGTTCGCGATTTGGTACGACTCGTTGAACATGATGCGACTGCTGTTGCACGACATCCTTACTGAAGCACGAGAGGTGGAAGAAATCCTAGCTTCGGCCCATCACAGGTCTTTCAAGTCGCCAGACGCGATTGAAATGCTTCTTGAACATGGTGTAGACGTGAATACGTCCCTCAAAGATTCAACTCTGCTGATGGAGGCCGCATATAATGGGTGGGAGGAATTATCCCGCCGGCTTTTGGAAGATGGCGCGGATGTGAACAAGCAGTTCCCGGGCCCGGGCGCTTGCAATGCTCTTCAAAGCTGCGTATCGCCTCACGAAGCCAAAACTCTGTCCATTCCTTGCCTTCTTATTGAGCACAAGGCGCGCGTTGACGGCCGGGTTGTCTCATCCGCGCTTTCCTACAACTGGCTGCGAGGAATCTCGAGCCGCCAGGGGCTTCCCCAGCTACTCCTCGACAATAAGCCGCACCTCAACGACACTTGGCTCGAACATGCAGGTGGCACTTGCGACGACAACGCCATGAGTGCTTTGATTGAACAAGTCAAGTGTGGCCACGTGAAAAACGTGCGGTTGCTAATCAAGCATGGCGCCGATGTGAAACTGCGTGTGAAAGGGAAATATGATGACGCCTTGAACACCGCTTTCCTAGCCCTTATGGAATGCAAGGAGTACCCCTTCGACCGAATGATCGAGGCGCTGCTCGAAGGAGGCGCCAGCTTCAAGGGTCGGTACGGCGACCGCCTTAACACACCGCTCGCAGGTGCCGCGCATTCTGGTTTCGAAGAGATGGTGCAGAACTTCCTGGACCGCGGCGCAGACCCAAATGCCATTTGCAAGCACAAATATATCACCGCACTCGCTGCAGCTGTAGCATCAGAGCATCCCCGGGCACTGCATATCGTTCGCATGCTTCTGGAACATGGCGCCAACGTTAACGTCTACTTTCCAGAACCCGTTAAAAACTTCAACGCAGGGTATAGTAGTAGACTTGCACTCGATTTGCCCCTCTGTGCAATTATATCACCATTAGGCCAGCGCGGATACCCCAGCGCCCGCCGGATTCAGCGTATGAAAACTGCGCTTGAGTTGGCCTCCTATTTTGTGTCAAAGGGTGCAATATGGGATATCGACTTCGAACAATGGAGAACCTGCTGCGAAATGAGGGTTCCTGACTTCTACCGGGACAATGCCGAGTCTTTCAACCAAATAATGAAGGGGCTGCGCAAGAACAGGGTCATCTTCTTCCAGGACAACCCGGGGGCAGCCTCTGACGAACGATGGACGATCAAGGCCGCAGATGATGAGAACAAGAACGACAGGAAGCTGTTCAATCGAATGCATGCAATTTTGAACTGAACTATGTGTGCATAATGAAGTCAGATGTTATGGACTCGGTACGTGACCTTGGGAGGCCAGCGACCCTCATACATATAGTCATGGCTGCTCCGGGGCCAGAAAGGTGGGCCGTTTCAGAACAGCTAATGATTGAAGCGGGGACAGAAAGAGACGTGTGTTAGTGATATTCTCACAAAATTGGACGGACTGCCCACATATTCTACTAAGACGTTGTTGGTCCAGAATTGGCCCAATACCTCTCGGATATGGCATCTTCAAGATGACCCATCTGGACTTGCTTCTGGCATGTAAAGCCGCTTTCCTTTCAGAGTTTGACTCAGTCAGATACTCTTCGATCTATACTTACAGCTCAGAAAGAGCACAAGCACGTTTCTTCACAAACCCAAAGACTTAATCGAAAGGCATGCCACTCAATTACAAGGATGGTATCGGCTTTTAACATGTGATGACAAATTTCCACGTGGAGTACCGAGCCCTCTCATTATGACAGTTAGGACTCTCTTTGAACGTACTTTCTCCTCCAAAGTACTATAATCAATGATGTCTACTGTAAAGGCTCAAAAACATGTCTCATAGTATTGTAAGGCTTCCAGCCGCGAGAATCGTGGTCTGGAAATTGACCCATGTACAAAGAGGCCAAAGGAAGGAAAGTAAGCGTGCGACATGACCCCAGTTATTTCTGTGGGACAGGGCCTGAGTGCTAGAGAGGTCGCCGATCAATCACGGTGAGCACGAGTGGCTCGCCGAGACCATCCACGGCGAGACATGTCGTGCAAAGCGTGAGAACAACCAGGGAGCACAAGGCGTACAGATTCGGCCCTACGCCTAGTCTGCTCTTCATCTAATCAGTAGGTCAGGAATTAGACGAAGCATGAGTGCGCATTACAGGCCAGGAAAGGATGACACAGACGCAACGAAGTGTGCCAGTGGAGTGATTAGCGGCTCCAAAAAAAGGTAAGGCTACCTACATGTGGGTACTGAAACTCAAGTCACGAATCCTAAGAGAAAATTCGAGATTTTAGGTACTATAATTATCAAAGTTTACTTATCTAGAGTATTCTTAGTCTTACTTATATAAGTTTATTATTAAGTTATAGTTATAAATTACTAAGCTAAAAGTTGCGCTGTAAGAATGGTGGGACGGGGCATTTCCAGACCTCCAAGGCGCGGCTTCGAGCTGAATGCAACTCAAACTCATTGATCATGATCCTACTCAGGTGCGCACTACAAAACGAAAAATTAGTTAGTGATCTCAGCAGAAGAAACAGAGCCGGCTTCATTGCTTCTCACTAGTAAAAAATTGTCTGCCCTATTTGGCGTGGGAGGCAGTGCAAAGCGTTGCTCTTGATTGAGGACCGTCACCACTCCTTGTACTACCCGTATGTAGTAGTCATCTTCTGGGTAGCCATGTTCTCTGACGTAGTCCTTGCATATCTGGATGTTCTTGCGGCGCGTAGGATTCGATGTTTCTTCTTCGATCCACTGGTCCAGAAACCTCATCATCACTTCCAACATCTCTGGCGGATCCTTGGTCAACCCTTTGATCGGACCCTCCTGGGCGTCGGTACTGCTGACGATTTCGGTAGGCTCCGGGTGAGGGCCTTGTCTCTGGACCGTACGTCGCATGATGGCGGCTCTGAGGAGGTCAGACAGACCACACATGAATGAGGGTCAAGAAATGAAGGTATGGTTTAATGACGACAAAAAAGCCTTGCTATATGTTTCGGGAAGAACGCATAGGAGGCGAAGCGAGTGGGTGCACATGTGGGAAAATAGTAGACCATGTCAGCCTAGAAGCTTGAGGTAAGAGGGGAAAGATCAGCTAAGGTTATCTTTAAGATTTATACTAATAAAATAGTTAGTCTAACTGATTTACATATTTATTTATTTATATTATATATTTAACAAGAATTAAATAAAAAATAAAACCCAATGAAAAATTAATGATTTAAGTATTATTTTTATCTTAGTTTACTAGGTCTAAGTTATTGTTAGAGTTACTCCTTTAAGGCCTCTAAGACCGCACGGGCTATCACCGATACCCTTCAGCTGCTTGTGTAGATCCGCTAGATTTACTTAGTCAGCCACTCAGGCAACGCTTCAGGCCGGCCTCAAAACGCGTCACGTGGGAGGCCACGCAACTGCGAGTTTGGAGGAATCAACAACTCATTGACCTACATTGTCGGTCTTCAGGATCAACTTGATTTCTGCAGTGCTGCCACGTAGCTATGGGTCAGAATGCACACCTGGTTTGGCCTCAGAAAGCTGGCTGCCTGGCGTCCCAGCTGGCGGGCAACCCACCTTTTTTTTTCCTGGTTGCCTTATTTCACCCTGTTTTCTTGCTCATCCGGCACCCTGCAGGGCGTTCTGACACCACGACTCGCCGTGAGTGGCTGGCTCGTCTGTTGGGGCCGGCATGTTTGGCCCCCCCAAAGTGGTCTCAGACATTGGCCGATGACACCAAGTAGGCAATCAGGATGGGTCCCCCGAGCGAGGCCTGCAGGTAGGGCCACGCGAAAAGCGCCGAGCGGGTTTTCTCTGTTTCTTCTTCCTTGGCTTTGGCCTCATGGCGTCCGTCCGAGCGGTTGTCGCCGACGGACAGAGAGACATGTGCAGAAAGACATGTGCATGTCTTGACTAGCGGAAGTGACCCTCTGTCCTGGGATGCCGGCGTGGTAAGGCGTGGTCGAGGCTGAACCAAAAGCTGTGGCTCCGACATTGAACGGCGGCGACCCTGCGCATCAGGCTTCTGAAATTGGGGTGTCTTCCCACCGGGCAGGAAGAGGTCCGTCCTGCATGCGGGTCAGCAGGAAACCCCCAATCAAGGCAAACTCACGGCAGGAAGCAGCCACCACATGGTTGGCTTGTCCCGGTGGCCTACAGCAGGCTGGTCCCACCCACCCTTCCTGCTCGATCTTGCTGGGTCAGTTGGGCCCGGGCTCACCCTTCAGCCCTACCAAATGTTTCTACCTGGGCTCGAGCCTGGTAGGCCTGGGACATGGGGACCACCCTGTTAGTCGACGTAGTACGGTAGGACTGCCAGCTGGTGACAGGGATCCGGCTCCTCCCTGTGCCGTCTCCAATCCACCCTACCCACCTACCCAGGCAGTCGTACCTTAGCTGCCGCTCTGAGGTGCCACTCACAACGGATGACCGAGCGGCGGGAATGGCCTCTGTGCATGGCTTCCGCCCTTGCCAGTTCTGGCCCCCCTTGATAAGAGCAGCTTGTCCCGCCGAGATGGGAAAGCTACTGGGCTGGCACAAGCTAGCGAGACTCTCAGTCCTCCTCTCTCTTTCACGTTCCCAAGCGCAACTCCCGAGCCGTCTCGTGGTCTTCAGCCTTTCTTTGTTCCTCGACGAGCGTCTGTGGCATCACTGCTCTCGTCGCACCAGACCTTGCATCTGACCCTACTCGTGACCCCAACGGGCTGTTGCTGTCATCATAATAACAGTCCCGTGTGAAGCTGCCCCACGCTGGCCATCGTCGAACAGCCAAGAGAACAAAGAATATTCAGCTTCATAACCAACACGTCGGCCCACCAACAAGCACCCCGAAGCGAGCCCGAGACAGCCCTTTTGGAGACTCGAGCAACCCTTGAACTTCCAAGTCGAATATTTCGACAAATCCTTGCAGCTATGAGTGCTTCATCTCGCACACCAGCCCCGACGCGGTCGTACACCACGGGCTCCAGCCCCAACACACCAACATCCCCGACGTCTCCCACATCTTCTCAAGGCGTGAGTGCAAATCTCCCAAACATTCTCCCCGCGCCACTTCACTGCTCGGGCGCCGACAAGACTAACTCATCAAAACAGTCACCACAGTCAGCCTTCACAAGCCGTTGGCCAACCCGCGCCGCCATGAGCAGGAAAGACTCGTCAAACTCGGTCACCTCAACCATGTCCTCGGCATCGGCAGCCTCTGTCCCCAGGAGGAAGAAGGCGTCGTCGACTAGCAACGTCAACACGTACACGCATTGCGGCAGACACACGGACCAGTACCTATTCAGTGGCTGGTCCAAGATATTCAGCACTAAGCACTGAGTGCTTGCACCGCCGTGACTGTTGATTTCACCATTGGCATCCACGCAGTCATGGCCTTTTTCTGTCTTGCCTTTAATAATCGGGATATGATGATGGATCCGGGATTATATTGTACAATATTCATGATCTTGATGTCTTGTTTTCCTGTGGTGCAGGGCGCGAGGCCCGGATCAGACTGCAAGTCGATTCCCAGGAAGCAGAGTATGATAATGACGAAATGAATTACTGGGCTGTCGGGGTTAAAGTCGGATTCTATATGCCAAAAGCAAAATGATAATTACAAGATCTTGCACACCCATTTGTGTCTATGATTGAAACACGTCTCATATGTTGTTACTGCAACACGTTCAAGGCGGAGGCCCCTATGGCTTCAATACCTCCCATCTATTATTCTAGAAGAAGTCACTCATTCCACGGAGCAACTTCCAGATAGAGGTCGCCGAGTAGGGGACACGCGTTCACTTTCATGTGGCTGGCTCTTACTTGGGCCAACTGCGATCTTGCCGAGGAACCCGCTAACCTTTAACTCGGAGGCCCAAGCAGACCCTAGAAATGCATATTAGCATTGAACAGAGCTCGTCCCATCGCACCTTACAGGGCTGAGGAACAATACACTACAATGAATCCAACATGCAGGAACCAGACTGTCGGCACTGCAACTGCAACTGACATGAGCACTGCCACCCCCATCTTTTGCACCTTTGGCCCTGATCCCTGCAGCAGTTCCCCCGGGACAGGGAACGAAGGGCCCACGCCTGCGAGGGGCCTAGCCAAAACAAAAAGCGGGTACTCCTCGGCTCGAAATTCTACACTGCTACAACGGCTCAACAAACCAAAACCCAGCCGTCACCAACTCAACCCACCGAGTTTATCTGCCCGTTAAGCCGAACGAGACAACGTCCGGTTCGAAGAAGCCCACCCGCCAGGCACAGCAGCAGCATTTGGACGCACAGACACAGCCAGCCGGCCGGCCATCACTGAACAATGGCATCCCCACAGCCAAAAGAAGATGTCATCAAGACGAACGTGTCGCCGCGGCGCATGTCGGCCCCGAAGCGCGCCTACCTCGTCGCGTACAACGGCGTCTCGGCCCTCCTCTGGTCCGTCGTCCTCGTCCGGACGGTGACTGTGCTCCTCGAGAACGGGCTCGACAAGGGGCCCGTCCTCGTGTACCCCGCCGTCGGCGAGTGGACGAAGTGGACGCAGACCCTCGCCGCGCTCGAGGTCGTGCACTCACTGCTCGGTATGCGAGAACCCTGCCTAACCCACCTGCACCAGCCCCCAACAAGCAGGAAACAGAGCAGGAGGAGGACAGACGGGGGGGGGGGGAGAAGATCAATTGGAACCTAAGCTAACAACCACCGCCACCAATCAAACAGGAGTCGTCCGCGCCCCCCTCTTCACGACCCTGATGCAGGTCTCGTCCCGCTTCGCCCTCGTCTGGGGCGCCGTCCACACCTACCCGCTGATCGCCGCGAGCCCCTCCTACAGCAGCATGCTGCTGGCCTGGTCCGTGACCGAGGTCGTGCGGTACCTCTTCTTCGCCCTGTCGCTGTCGGTCGGCGCCGAGCCCTACCCCCTGCGCTGGATGCGCTACAGCGGCTTCTTCGCCCTCTACCCCGTCGGCATCCTCAGCGAGCTGTGCGAGCTCCTCCTCGCCGCCCAGGCCGCGCGCGCCGAGGGCTCCGCCGCCAGGGCCGCCGCCGCAGCCGCCACCATGCTCACGTACCTGCCCGGCGCGCCGATGCTGTACACCCACATGATCAAGCAGCGGAGGAAGGTCCTGGGCGGGGGCGCCGGTGCTGCCGACAGGGCGGGTGGCAAGAAGAGGCAGTGAGCTCTGGAGACGGGCAGAGAAAGGCCGGTCACAACACGTGGCATTTTGTTGGGCGTTGGGAGAAGAGCTGTCTGTTTTGTGCTCACGTACTGTATTCCTCTCTGCACTGTTATTGGCACTGCATTTTTTTATTTATTTTTTAAAACGCTGGGTCTTGAGCGTTTACCACTGTATGAAGGCGCCATGTGCATTTTATATGTATGGGGATTGAAAACGAAACCACTTGTTTGGTGTTTTCTTGGAGCCACTACTCGGCCGCTAGAGGGGGCATGGGGCATATGGCCAAACAGAGCATTCAGAGCATATTAGAAGAAGCGCCTTTGCTCTTTAATCATTGTATCCTGTATTATACCAAGCAATAGAGGTATCAAAAGCAACGGGGAAGGAAACCAAGTCAACTCCAAACTATAGGAAAACAAAAGACCGTGACGCCACAAGACCCAATCAAGACGGTGGCGCAGTCCCCAAGCCCTCTCCCTTCATACCAACGTCCTCGTCACTGTCCAGGGCCATGTCGCCTTCTGGGGCTGTTTCTTTGTCCCGCGTGATCTCCCCCTCGGTACTGCTCTCGTACCAGTCGTTCCTGGTCCACTTCGCGATGAGTTGCGCCGCCGTGTTGGAGAGCCTGTCGTACCCGGGGTTCTCTTTGGGCTCGAACATGGCTGCAGTTCAACAAGAAGCGGAGTCAGCACAAATCCCTCGAGCCACGGACCCCATCCCGCCCACATCAGAAAAAGAGGGAGCAGAAGAGGACTTACCCATGTGCGCCGAGGTCTCGTCCCCCGCCTGGTCATTGACAGCCTCCTCCCAGTGGCCCAGCTTCTCCGGGCCGTTGCGCCGGCTGGGCAGGTTGCAGAACGTCCTCTGGCCGCCCAGCACGGAGCCGACCATGTTGGTGCCGCCCATCCCGGCGACCTGCTGCTGCAGCGCGGTGGCGCCCTTTCCCAGGCGCGTGTACAGCACGCCGAACCCGACCCCGAGCTCGTTCTGCGCGCGCGCCATGTACGCGACGCGCCGCCGCAGCTCCTCGCCCCGCGCGAGGCACCCCACGAACTCGAGGTGCGACGACACCCACGTCCAGCCCTCGGTCAGCTGGTCGCGCTTCAGGTACGCCGCCGCCGCGGACCCGGCGAGCGCCGCGCCCGCCCCCGCGTACAGCGCCATCTTGCCCCAGCTGCCCCACGCCGAGGAGGATTCGTTTGCCTTGTTGCTGTTGTTGCTGCCGTTGTTCCCTCCTGCTGCCGGCGGCAGCGCGGCGGCGGGCTTCTTCTCCTGCTGTGCGCCCTTGCCCGCGTCGGCGGCCCCCTTGGCGCCCCACAGGCCCGTCAGCGTGCTCAGCTGCGTGAGCGCGGCGCTGGCGGTGCTGTAGTGGGTCTCGGCGCCGTGGGCGACGACGCCGGGGCTGATGCCCAGGTACGGGGTGTCGAAGCTGAGCACGGCCTGGACGTAGGGGAACATGAGGCCGTTGAGCTCGAAGGACCTGTCGCCCTCGGCGGGCGCGGCGGTGTGGTTCCCGTCGCCGGAGCCGCCGGAGGCCGTCGAGGGCGGGATGACGCGCTCGCTGGTCAGGGCGATGAGGGTCTCGGCGGCGACGATGCCGCCCATGGAGTGGCCGCACAGCACGACGCGCACGGAGGGGTCGACGGTGGGCGAGGGGGTCCCCTTGCCGACCTCGATGTCGATGACCTTCTCCTGGAGCCAGTCGCGGAACCGCGAGACGCAGTCGGCCAGGTCGCCGCGGGTCTCGTACTTGGGGTAGACCAGCACCCGCACGTCGAGCTTGGGGAGCTGCTGGGCGACGAGGTCCCGCAGGTGCTGGGTGAAGGCATATTTGTGGCCGAAGGTCTCCTCACCCCCCTGGACGGTGGGAAAGAGTGCGCGTGTTAGCAGTGTTGGGATTCTTATGTGCTTAATCAAGAGGTGACAGGTGACGTATCGCAACGAGGAAGGAATACTTGCCTTGAAGCCGTGGATGAAGCACAGAAGCAGTGTCTTCTTCATCTTGCGGACCCATCTGAGGTGAACCCAGGCGATGGAGGGTGAAGGGCTCGGGTCTGGCGAGTGGTTGCGGGATGTTGAAGGGAGGTTTGGGGTTGATAAGCCCAAAAACTACCGGACCCTTGGACTCGAGGTGGCGAGGCGCATGTGAGCCGCCTGCACAGCGCTACGGTGCCCTGGCTTGCATAGCAATGACCTGAGGTGTGGAGGGGGGTCGCACCTGCAGGACCCCACCAGACCTGGCGTGTGATGTCAGCGGGGGTTTTGGAGGGAAATTGGGATCTGGCTGTCAAATCTACATAGGACCCCAGACCAAGGTTTGGGCGGCTGATCAGCATGTCTTGGCCCATATTTGGTGGGCATTTCTCGGGCTGGATATAGAATTCAGTAAGTCGACCCAGAGATCTGGAATATACCTACCTGAATTTTAATAAAAGCCAGTTGGCCGGCAACCTGCTATTGAGTGGACCACAGAGCCAATATTTATTTATTTATTGGACGATCAGATCTAGACTCATGCATGCTCGTATAGCACTTTCTCATCGCCCAAAACAGCATGTCTATCATGACCCATGCAGCCTCAAGACCCTCACAGCATTCCCGCCCATGACCCCCCTCGCCTTGTCCGACCCCTCACCGAGCGCCTTGTTGACGGCCTCGGCGTTCATGCCCACGCTCTCCCACTCGCCGTCCTCGTCGGTGCCCAGCGGCGGGAAGAAGGGGTGGTCGGTCCCGAACATGAGCCTGTCCGCGCCGCCGCTGGCCTCGATGGCCGCGTTGAGGCCCACCTCGCTGTAGATGACGGCGTCCAGGTAGACCTGGCTCCGGAGCACGTCCCACACGGTCCGCCTGCCCGCGCCGACCTTGCCCTCGCGCACCAGGTGCCCGTCGTGCAGCACGCAGCTCTCGATCCTGCCGGCCAGGAAGGGCAGCGTGCCGCCGCTGTGCGCCAGGATCATCTGCAGCGCGGGCACGGCGTCGAACACGCCCGCCAGGTACATGCGCGCCACCGCGATGGTCGTCTCCATGGGGAACCCCAGCGCCAGCGGCAGCACGTGGCCGTACTCGCCCGACGCCCGCGGGCCCCACACCTCGTTGGGCAGGCCGTAGTGCGGGTGCAGGAAGATGGTCAGCCCCGCGTCGGCGAGGGCCTGGAAGATGGGGAGCAGGGCCGCGTCGTCCAGGCCCTTGCCCAGCCCCGAGGTCCCCAGGATCACGCCGCGGCAGTAGTCCAGCCCTTTGAGCTGTGCGATGGACTCCTGTATCGTGGCCAGCGTCGCGGTGAGCGGGAGGGTGCCGAAGAAGAAGAGCCGTCCGGGGTGGGCGGCGCACATGTCGCTGAACTCCTTGTTGACCGAGGCTGCAAACGGCCCGGCCTCGGATGGGTCAAGAAAGTCCAGCCATGGGTTCGCGAGCGATATGACGGATATGTCGATCTTGTGGGTGTCCATAAAATGTATCTTCTGCGCCAGCGACGAGTAGTGCTTGGTCAGAGGCCGCCCTGGTGGTTTGGCCGATGCATCGTCGGCGCCCGAGAGGGACGGCACCTCTGCCTCGAGCAGGATCAGTCGCGGATCCGGCGAGCTGGCAAACTTGCGGACCAGAGGGATTGTGGACCGTGATTCCAGGATCTGGACGTAGGAAGGAGGGTACATGTGGGTGTGGATGTCCACCACCTTTGACGGTGAGGCGCTCGAAGGATCGGCCATGGTGTGGTCTGTGGTGGCGTGAGTGAATGAACGACTGCCTGACTGACTGATTGGGCTGGCCAGCAACAACAGCAACAATAATCAGGAACCAATGAGTGAAGACAGGGCAGACAAGTCTATTAGTATGGAATAAAAAGAAGCTCGCGACCCCAGCATGTGCTGCCGGAAGGATCGACAGGAAGGGGAAAGCTACCCCGCGGGCCCCTCCTTCCACCTGGGTACAGGGTACGGATACACTATCGTCCCCTTTCCCACGGGCAGCATCTTATCTCGACTTCCACAGGGGCGCCTGGTCAAACCGGCCGACTTCTTATCAACGGGTAGCCACTGTCAAGAGAATTTGACACTAATTGGGCCATGTCGAGTCTCGGCCCTATAACAGTCGAATGTCATTCTTATTCGCCTGCCATTTAGAGCCGCCCCGTGAGCCTGAGCCGGAGACCGCCGCTCTCACTCCGTCAGTCGCCCGTCCGCTTTAAAGTTGGAGGCCCGCGCCGGATGTGACCGCGTGACACTGTTGAAACTAACACGAGTCTGCTTGACAGTCTAGAACGTGCTGCCTATTTTTTGTGCACACTTCAACTCCATCCTCATCACCGATAGGCCCGTTGGAGTCTCGAGTAACACAGACATCATGGAGAAGGCCGCCGTTGACGAGCAGGGGCTCATGATCCCGGTGCGTGAGTGCTGGACGGAGCGTTGGTTGGCCGTGTGACCTGGAGTGCTGTGCTGAACATCCATCTCATCAGTTGATCGACCTGTCCAAGTTCCTGCACGGAGACGCCACCCAGCGCAAGGAGACGGCCAACGCGATCCTGAGTGGCTTCCAGAATGCGGGCTTCATCTACCTCAAGAACCTCCCCATCTCGCCCGAGACGCGCAAGCATGTCTTCGGCACCAGCGCCAAGTTCTTCAACGGGCTCAGTCTAGAGGAGAAGCTGGCACTCGGGTGGACGACTCCAGAGGCGAACAGGGGCTACTCGGCCCCGGGCCGCGAGAAGCTGACCCTCGTCGAGGAGGAGAAGGATGTGGCCAAGTTGAAGGCCAGCACGGCCGACATCAAGGAGAGCTTCGAGATTGGCCGCGAGGGCGACCCGGACTACCCAAACCGGTGGCCAGAAGAGAAGCCCGGCACGGCGGTGGACGGGTTCAAGTCGACGATGCTGGACTTCCACGAGCAGTGCAAGCGCATCCACGTCGAGGTCATGCGCGCCATCGCCGTGGGCATGGGCCTCGGCGAGGACCACTTTGACGGCTTTGTCGACGTCGGCGACAACACCCTGCGCCTGCTGCACTACCCGGCCGTCAAGAGCGAGGTGTTCAAGGTCAACCCGGGCCAGGTCCGGGCCGGCGCGCACTCGGACTACGGCAGCATCACGCTGCTCTTCCAGGACGGCGCCGGCGGCCTGCAGGTCCAGAGCCCCAACGGCCAGTTCGTGGATGCGACGCCCATCGAGGACACTTGTGTCGTGAATGCCGGTGACCTCCTCGCGAGGTGGAGCAACGACACCATCAAGAGCACCATCCACCGCGTGGTCGAGCCGCCCAGGAAGTCCGATGAGCACCCCGCCCGTTACAGCATCGCGTTAGTTTTACCACTGGGCACGATCCCCTCGAGAACCGTGTTGCTGACCTGCCGGCACAGTTACTTTTGCAACCCCAATTTCAAAAGCTACATCGAGGCCATCCCTGGCACGTTCGCGGCAGAAACGGACAAGAAGTATGCCGGTATCACTAGCGGGCAGTATCTGGTGCAAAGACTCACTGCGACTTATTAAATGGAAAATGGAAATGAATGTATGAAATGGAACGAATCGAGAAAGTTGTTTGCCGAAAAGACCGTTTGTTTGACTGGCTGAGAGTTATGTAATTTAGACCGTATCTTTCGACCGTAAATTTCCACCGTGAGCGTATCTTATCAGTCCGGCCGTAATCTTCGATAAGCCAACCTTGGAACCTGGTATCCGGTTATCTTCTCTCACAACTTCCACTCTACCACCACGTCGACCACCAACCAACGACGCACGCTCCTGATACCAAATCCAACAGACGTTCTTGCATACCATCTCCCCGTCGTCCTCGCAAAGTCACCCAAACAAGCCCAAGATGAGCGACAACGCCAGCGCCGAGCTGCTGGCGGCAGCCAAAGACGCCGCGGCGCGCGGCCTCGACTACTACGCCCTGCTGGGGATCGACCCCTCAGACGACACCCCGATCACGCGCGAGACGGTGCAGCGCGCCTGGCGCAAGCGGTCCATCAAGTACCACCCGGACCAGGCGGGCGACAGGTTCGACAAGGACAAGTGGGAGGAGTTCGGGCAGGCGCGGGACGTGCTGGCGTCGGAGGAGGCGCGGGCGGCGTACGACGGGGCGCGGAGCGCCGCGCGGCAGAAGGCGCTCGACAAGGAGAGGATGAGCGCGAGGCAGCGGCGGTTCGCGGAGGAGCTCGAGGAGGCCGAGGGCCGGGGCCGGAGGGCCGCCGCGGAGGGCGCCGCGCGGCGGGAGGAGGAGGAGCGGGAGCGGGCGGCCAAGACGGCCGAGGGCCGCAGGATCGTGGAGGAGAGGCAGCGGCTCGTGCGGGAGGCCGAGGAGCGCGAGAGGGCGCGGCGGCAGCGCGACGACGAGGCCATGGGCGACCGGGAGCGGGAGCTGGAGGAGAAGCTTGCCGAGAAGAGGAGGCGGAGGGAGGAGAAGAGGGCCAGGAAGGAAGGGAGGAAGAGCGGTGCCGCCGCCGCCGCCGCCGCCGCCGAGGAGGCGAGGCCCGAGACTGTGCCTGAGCCCCGTCACGATGCTGAGCCGAAACACGCCGCCGAGGACAAGAGCGCGCCGATACCCCGGAGGGACGTACCGAAGTCGGCCGACCCGGTCAAGTTCTGGGAGACGCAGTGGCCCAAGACGAGGGCGAGATTAAAAGCGGCGCAGGCCGTGAAGGAGCAGAGGATGAAGGAGGCGGGCATGGCGGCTTGAGATGAGGGGCGGTTTCTCCGGGGTCCGTATTACTTTTTGTCATGATACCCAACAGTGAAGATTGAGCTAACACGAATGCTCTCTTTAAGACCAGCCCCTTGGTACCGTTCCTGCCGTTTGAGCGCCAGTCAAGCCGTCAAAGAGACAGCTGCACAGGTGAGGCGTAGCCGTGCCGTATGTGAGATTTGTCTGTGATCTCTGATTCATTGCTCAGGTAAGACGATTGTAGTTGTAGGCACACTCGTGGGAGCGTTTCTGAGCGCAAGCCCTGCTTCTGCTACTGTCATAACTGATGGGTCCCCCATTTTGAAGGGGATCCAAAAACGCTACTTGGGTAGTATCTACGGGCCATACTGCAGGAAGCATTGTGCATCCATTTCCTCCTGTTCAACAATGTGGTGGAAACCTCCAGCACTGGCGCATCCCTGCTACCTCATTGTCGATCCCGATTCAATGCCTATTGTACACTTCTCGAGACCGCATTACGAGCACCCGCCAATCAGATCTGCCCATTATCAATGCTTCTGCTGTTCATCCAAACCCTGCCTCAGCCACTCGGGCACAAAAGCCTTGACCCTGACCTTAAAAGGGTCCTCCTGCCCGTCCTCGCCCGCCTGACCCTCCATCACAAACTCGTCAGCGGGCGTGTAAGAGCTCGCCGCCGGCTCCCCAGGCAGGACGACGTCGGTCATGACCTCAAGCCGGCACAACGCCAGGCCGACATTACCCACGCCGCGCAACCACTTCCCTGCGCTGCGGCCCCTCTTGCCCAGCCTCCCGATGCGCGTGTCCGTGGGGATGGCGGAGGCCACGGCCACAGCCACAGCAGAGCCACCGTCCGCGGCGGGGAGGTACTCCAGCTGCGAGGGCTGCTCCTCGCCCCCGTCCGCGCCGTAGATCATCACCGGCAGCACGCGCTTCCGCACGACGCCGCGGTGCCTGGTGCGGATGGTGAGCTCCTGGCCGACGTAGCAGCCCTTGCGGAAGTCGATGCCGCCCATGACGTCCATGTTGGCCTCGAGAGGGAGCGCCCCCTCGCGGGCGAGCTCGGACTGGCCCTCGGGGACCCCCATGAGGTACCTCCTCACGCGGTAGGCGTCCTCGCCGGCCGTCGCCCTCTCCAGCTCCACCGCCGGGTCCCGCCCGGCCTCGGTCAGGATCCGGTGCCCCAAGCCCGGCGCCCTGGGGTCCCTGAGGTGCAGGAGCTGGTGCGGGGCTTCTCCGACGGCCAGGGCGGCGGCGGCGCCGGCCTTGTCGTCCCAGCCGTGCCAGACGGTGACCTCGCCCGGGGCGAGCAGGCGCACGGCGAAGTTGGCGCGCAGCTTGTAGCGCTTGATGTGGCGCTCCAGCCTGGGCGCCTCGGCCGCGTCGACCTCGATCAGGAAGCTCTCGCCGGGGGTGGCGCCGCGGGGGTCCCGGTAGATGAAGACATCGTGCAGCACACGGCCCGTGGCGTTCAGGAAGGCGCCGTATGAGCCTGCGGCGACGGCACTGTCGCTGCTGCTGCTGCTGGCGAGTGGGAGGATGTTCTGGGTGATGGCGCCCTGCAGGAACTTGGGGCAGTCCGGCCCGGAGACAGAGATGAGACGTCTTGATGAGAGTGCGACAAGTCCTGACGGCGGTGGCGGTGGTGGGATCGGCGACGACCGCGCTGGTGATGTTGATGAGAATGGTCGAGCTCGCCGCGGCGCTGCTGCTGCTGCTGCTGCGAACCTGCAGGTCGAGCAGATGAAGCTCGGGGCCGCTGGCGGTGGGACGGCTATGCGCCTGGGGACGATGCTACCTCGAGGCCGCATCATGGAAAGTCTGGTTGCGGTATCGCGATGGTGGAGATTTTGTAAGTCAACACGGGAGAGAAGATGCTGGTGCGGCGGGCAGTTTTGAGGATGACGTCCTGCCGGGGTCCCCGGGACTTCCGATCCGCTGCGACTGTCAATCGAGGGAATCGACTGCTCATGCAGGCAGCAACCCTGCAACAACCAGCTCTCTTACACACGACACATGCAGTAGAGCATGGCCAGTTGCCAGGCATGGGCAGAAGTGCAGTATGAGGGTCTACCTCACAAGCACCTCTCGTTCTCAGCGGTCAATTGTGATGGACTCTGCCCCACCTCTGCTATTGGAACAATTACTGACGGCCCAATCAGCTCTCAGATCCCGGCGTCCTGTGATTGGACGGGTTCTTCCGCCATTGTTCATTCTGCCTTGGGATTGATCGATTCGCTCAACCCACCAACCAAGTGACTGAACAATTGATCTGATTGTTTTCCCATGGCAGAATGGACGAGGTGGAAGCTTGGGCCTCGACGTAAAAGGCTTCAGTCGATTAATTTTGGGTCGACGCAATACTGCCAGCAGTCGACCTCTTCTTGGCCACAAGCAGCTTCCCAATCTGGAGCCAGGCAGACACCTCACTTCTTCACTCTTGTTTTGTTTTTTCCAATCTACAATCCTCACCACAACTACTACTCCACTTGAAGTTCTCACCAAATACTGTCAAACAGCATCCCTTCTTCACCATGGCCACAATCGCGGGCGTTGACCGTCCAACCCATCCAGACCATCCGTCCCCCTCAGTCAGCTCGACCACCGACTCTGGCAGTCGTGGTTCTGACAGATCCTCCTCCCCCTACCGCCTCGTCCGCACCCCGTCTTACGAGTCGGACGACGATAATGACAGCCGTTTCTCCCTCATCATACACAGGACGGCGGAAGAAATCCACGAGTTCATGAAGGAACAGCGCCTGTTGCGAGACAAGCAAGGCGATGCAGTTAGTAACTCCATTTCTCCTGACTCCAGTTTCAGCCAGGGCAATTCTGCGTCCGCCGAGAGCCAAGATGAGGACATGACCGAAGAGGAGTTCTTCGCCCAGTTCGGTGAAGAAGTGCCAGACTGGGCAAAGCAACCCCTCGGCGCCGCGCCACAAGATCACGGCGCCGGCTGCGGTGATGACCTCATAGAGCTAGGCGACAACGACATTGAGGCACAGCTCAGCGCTGAGATCACAGCAGTACCCGACAACGGTTACGATGACGACGAAATCATGGAGCTGAGCGCAGAGGCGTTCGAAGCCCAGTGCGGCGCCAGAGCCGCGGCCGTGCCAGCCGCCGACGAGGACGAGGAGGACGAGGCTCGTGAGGCGCGGCTAGATGCTGAGATCGGAGCGGAGCCCGTGGTTGACCATGCCGCTGTCGCCGCAAAGCAACGCGCAGTACGCCGCAGGCGCAAAGCGCGCAAGGACAGGTACAGGAAGAGGCGTGCCCCAGGAAAAGGTGGCAGGCGCGGTGGTTTCAAGTCATGGGTCGGCCGCAAGCATCGGGCGCCAGAGGTCCAACTCGACCAGCCAGACAATCTGACCGCCCCTACCACCGAGGATCTTGAAGCCGCGCTCGACGCCGAGCTCGCCGGTGACAATCTAATCGACCTGACCACAGAGGAGCTTGAAGCCGAGCTCGATGCTGAGCCCGCCGGAGCTGATCTGAACGACCTGACCACCGAGGACCTCGAGGCCCAGCTCAACGCTGAGCTGGCGGGGGACACAAGCGCAGCCGACGGTGCATCTGTCGACAGGGCCAGCAACGCTCCCAAAGTCGCATCTTGGGAAGCGTGGACAGACCGTTCCCAATTCCAGCAACCCAAAGCAAGTGCCGCGCTCGAGATCAGGGAGGTGAAGCTTGCCGAAAGGCGAGCCACCAACAACCATGGGCCCCTCCGACAACGCCTCGGACGCCACCAGCCTCCCCCGATGCGCACGAATGATGCGCTGCCAAAGGTCTACCACCGGCAAAACCCAATCGACTGGACACCACTGCGAAAGGCAATCAACCTGAGTACGTACTGCCAACGGCTTCCATCCCTATATCTTCCCCCTCAACCCCCCAGTCTCTCTCCATGTGCAGCACTTGCTGACGAAAAGTATCCTAGCCACCCGAGTTGACCTCAACACCTGTTACAAGGCGCTGGGCCTCGACTCCCTCCGCGGCAAGGCAATCTACGAACGCCTGAAGGCATACCTGCGCGTCCCCGGCAACTCGGTCAACCTCACAAACGTGCAGCCGAACGACGCCAAAAGGACCATGGCCAGGATCGCCCACAGGCTCCTGGTCAACGAGGGCTGGGGCATGGAACACTTCAAAATGCCCTCCCTGTCGTCCGCGGTCAAGTTCATCCCGTTCGAGACCAACTCCACCGAGTAAGTTAACCGCCCCCCTCTTCCTCCCACGGCCACTCTGTCCTCCACTCTATTTTCTTTTATGACCAGTCTCTGCTCCCCTCCAGAACTATCATCAGCCCGCTAACAAAAGTCCTCACAGGGTCTTCCTCGAGTTCACTTCCCTCCTCTACAAGGCTATGAAACTTGAAGAGAAGCGGAAGAAGGGCAGGGCAAAGACACAGGAGATGAGGGAGGCCAACGCCGTCGTCCAGCACCAGGCGGCCCAGAACGTCGCCGCCACGACGTACCAGTCGCCGCGGGCCGTCGCTCGTCCCCCTCCCCCTCCCCCTTCTGCTCGTACTCGTACTCCTGCTCGTGCTCGTGCTCCCAATCCTGCGCCTCCTCGCCCTCGTTTCTCGACCGCGCCCAACGGCGGTGTGAACCCGGTGTGGGCGAGGCTTGGTCTGCTGGGGTAGGAGGAAGTGGGGAAAGGGGGGCGGTTGGTAGACTAGTCGGTACTCTCACGAATGAATGAACGAATGAATGACTAGTGCAATTCGACCTTGAACTACGTGACATCCTAAGTCATAATCTCATATGTGATATTTCCCTCTGGAATACTCCCCAAAGGGGCAGCCTCTTTAGGAAAGCTTCCTTTGGGATGTGGCCTGTGAGCAGCCTCCCACATTCTCTTCGCGTGGCTTCTTTGTGTGATATGGTCAAGTATTCGGCCTGGTAGTTACAATCGCGAGGCAGGAGGTTTTCTGGCGAGGCGCAGAAGATGCGGACCGAATACTATCAACGCGGTAGGTAGCCGAGGAGCGACCAAGACGAGAAAATGTCTAAACAACCTTCGAATTCGGTGAGGAGGACGAGTATGCAAGCTTTGTTGTAGAAGAACTAGTACAATTAGTATAGTATTACAAGATGGTATTGTAGGGTGTGTACTTGTTAGAAAGACGCCGCTTTCCCAAGTAATTATGATGATGCTTGTAGTTGTTGGTCATGGGACCGCCCTCTTCTTTCCCTCCCCTTCCCCCCGAGGCTCTTTCCCACCCACCGGATCTTTTGTCCCCGGACCATTCTCCCCCGTTGTTCCCTTCTTCCCGCTCCTGGTATATTTGTTTTTCCCTGGCGAACTGAGGGGTATCCCCGCGAAACGATGCAGTGCCTGGTAGAAAAAAGGATTAAAAGCAAAGTATACAGATGAAAATGCTTGTGATGTGACGAGATCGATGATGATGATGATGTTGTTGTGTGTGTGAGTGATGCGCTTTCTAAAAACCCTCCCTTCCCAACCGGCATCTCCAAGTTCCAGAACGCCCCGAAAAGTTTTAAGACGCCTCGCCTTACTAGTGAGTAGCTCGCAGGTCAGCCTTTCCTCCCCTTCTCCCTCGCCCCCTTTCCGTCTCCAATTTGTCGCGCGCGAAGGATCTAATAATCCGGTGGCGGGTAGTTGTTAAAATGTTCAACGTGCAGCCCGGCGGACATGGAGAGATTTCCCGAATCAGAATCGCTGGCAGAGAGAGACCTGCCGTTGTCGGAAAACAAAAGTCCGACGGAATCGATGGGAAAAAAACATCCAGCCTTGAAAGCCCAGCCCCAACAGGAGAAACAAACGCCGTGGCTTTTTATAAAGGATCCCTTTTTTTTTCGGTTGCCCGAACTGAAACGCGTCTTCTAAGTGTAGTCAAGAGAAAGAAAAAGCAATAAGGAAAAGTCACCCCCATGATGGAAAGGGGGTGGTGTATGTCCAAGTTGCGAAGAGGGTATCTCGAGAGTCGGTCCTGGGGTCTATTTGGATTTGTATGTGATGATTTGGTAGAACAAGCGTGGTACGCGTGGTCGGAGCGCGGCAGCTGGTGTGCGAAATAGGCTCGAATGGTGTGATTCGACGCATTCATTCACCCGGCAGGACTGTCAGGGCTTTCAGGGATATCACCTTCGGGAGGGATCTTGAGGTTCTCTGGTTGCCCATCCCATCTCGTGAGGCGGCGGCCTCCCGTAGTACTGTGTCTGATGGGGGAGTGGCGGAGTTTGTGATTCGAACCCTGTCGGATGCGCAGTCGTCGTCGGGGAGGAGGCTGGCTGGTCGAAGCGCAGAGGAGGGAGTCTTGCGCTTGGGGGAGCCGAAGAGATCGGCCCGGTATACCCCTGAGTAACGATAGGGGGCAAGGAGCCGGGAGGTTGGGCTGGGCGCATCGCGTAGGGTGCGGCCGAGAAGTCGGCGGCAGTTGGGTCTGTTCGGCGCCGCCTGCTCGGCCTCTCGAGTTGCTCTTCTGCGTACGGGGGCGAACGTTGCTGATGAGCCAACGATGGAGATGTTGTAGAGGAGCTGCCACCTGCCGCGTAAGAACCTGTAAAGGAGTCTTCCGTGGCTCCACCGGAGGCGGCCGCGCGCGATGGTTGGGGGCTGGGAGGGCCCTGCTCAGCGTGCTCTCTGATGCTCGGGGTTCGCAGGACCACGTCGCGTAGCCGATTTCGTTCACTGCGATAAAAGTCGCGCTCGGCTTGCAACTCGTGGATCTGTCTGCCAAGATCTCGGTTCTCGTTCTCCAGCCGCTGCATGTTCTCCCGCAAATCCTTGTCCCTCTCCTTCTTCCGGGCACGAAACCGCGCAGAAGCTCCTGCGTTGCGATGTCGCTTTTCATCAGCCTGACGCGAGCCTTGGTGAACATCCAACGGAACGGTGATGTGCTCCCCCGTGTTGGTTTGCAAGGTAAGGTGAGGCTGCGAATCGGGGCCTCTCGTTCCTCCGCCGCCACCAATTTGCAAAGCATTCATGATCGCTGACGACAGGTTTGCCTCCGCTGGGGGGCTGCCTTGGTGCGCATAGCCCCTGCCGCTCCCCTGCATTGATTCAAATTGCCCTTGCATGTACACCGGTGCCATTCTCTGTGGACTTCCCGCAGTTCCATGTTGTATAGGACCCTGTGAGAAATGATGGCTAGGTGGATTGGCGAATGGCGCCTGAGCGAAGGCACGAGGGTCCATAGTAGCCGTCGAAGCAGCGGGAGTAGGCGGAATCGCTCTGGGAGACTGGCTAGGCATACTCGAGGTCGGCCCATGAGGTCCGGAAAATGGTGCCATTTCCTGCTGCGCGCCGAATCGGCCAACCGGCGGCGTCGAGAAATCAAAGGGTGGCTGATTATCACCTGAAGCTGCTGGCGTTGTCACGCGACCCAAGCTGAGTGATCGAGGCGACCTCGGCGTCAGAATCCTTCTTGCTGCCCCCAAGGCAGGAGGAAATGGTCGAGCTTGACTCGGAGATTCTCGTTGGCCAGGAGGTTGGATCGAGGTCAACAGGCCAAGGGGAGCTGTAGGCCCTGGCGGTGCACCGTAGGCTGGCGCCGCCGCCCCATATGGCTGATACGGCGAGCCAGACACACCGTACTGCCTCGCCCCAGCACTTGAAGGAGAGCTGTCGCCGCCAACACCTGCACGTTGAAGAGACGGAGACGTTCGGCTCTGCGTGTCCCTCGGTTCGGATGGGTTGAGGATGTTGTGTACTCCCAAGGTTCGCGGAGTGGTCTGCCGTGGAGGCAAGTCGTCCGGAGCGACTAACACCCTGCTAGGATCTCGAGTTGGATCCACCCCACCGTCATTGCCGTATATGTGTACCGGTTGCAGGGATGAAGGCGAGGTGTTCGCACCGGTCGAAAGAGACTGGGAGCGACGTCGAGAAGGAGGGCGAGAGGCAGCGCCTCTCTGCGACATCGAGACCTGTTCGCCCTCGCGTTGAGGATATTGTGGTTCCGGACATTGATCACCGCGACCGCCCTCATACGAAGAAGAAGTTTCCGGCCCGAGGCCGATTCCAGTCGATTGAGCCCAGCTGCTGGGTCTTTTTGCTCTGTCAACTAGGGATTGTCGGTGCGGCTCAGCAGGACGCCTCTGGCCGTCTCTGTCAAGGCGGCCTAGAAGGGGGCTGGTGGGACACCAAGAAAAAGATTGGATAGCCAGCGCGAGAACGTTATCCAAGAATTGTCTCGTGAAGCGCAGATGTAGCAGTCTCCGGGATTGCAGGACCGGTCTCCGTCTTTCCGGTCATACAAGAGGTAGTGTCAGATTCTAAGGCGCCGTGGAAGCTAATAATCTTGCTATTCCGTCCGGGTCAAGGACTGCAAAGATGGTGGCAAGCGGGCAAAGGATCTCCGGAATATTGTCGCAAACCTGAGTGAAGCCGGGAGCAAATTCACTGGTCTGCTCTCACAAGAGAGTGTCTGAGGGAAGAAGGTTCAAATTGACACGGCCCGGTGCTGAAAGGTTGGACAGTAATACTCGTTGAAATTCTGCTTCGCAAAGGATGGGCTACGATCTGTGGCAGGCGATGAAATGGTCTTAGCTGGATTCGAGCGGGATGACGGATGTAATATGCATGTGGGATAGATATTGGGAGCAGGACAGCGGAGGTGACTGGTAAGGATAGGTGCAGTGCAGCCCACCAACCATGATTCTCATACCAAACTCTGTGACTTGAGTGGCTATCTCAACACTCCTGCGCTAGAATCGGTCGAAGCGTGACTGGCAGGTTTCTGCCAAAGTGTCCCCGCGAGCCTCTCCTTACGGGACTTCTTTCGTCCCTGAATCCTTTGCAGTCGCGTTGAGAAACAGAGAACCGCCTTGACATGAAGAGATGTTTATCCAGGCTGGGGTGTTTTATGTGGAACGATCGGACACGGAGACGGGTGAAGATGTCAAGTTGGCGAGTACGGGCGGCGAGAGAGACTCACGGTGTGCTAAGTCGCCTTTTCTGGGCACCAGGAAAAACCAAAGGGCGCGAGGGAGTCTTTCGTACCGATGACCGCAGGATCCTTCGTAGATGCAGGTGTCGGTCAGGCTCCACTTCGCGTAACCAACCGGACTGTTGAAGCTTTGTTTTGTAAGGAGGAAGTTGATACAAGAGGGAGGTTCTGACGTCCGGATATTCTTTTTGGGTGTTCGTTCTTTCTATCCTCGTCCGGCTCGTCTTGCTGCTCCCACGCCATTCTTATCTGGGAGAGGTACTGACTGGGATGGAGCATGGGGTGGAGCCAGAGGAAGAGGTGTTGGGTTGTGGTGTCTGCCGGGGTGCAGCTGCAGGGCAGGGGTGGCCCATGCCACGCTTTGTGTGGATGCTGGGTGGATGCTGGGTGGATGCGAAGACCACGACAGGGCTTACGGATACAGCCTGGATGGGCCTCTATGGCTGTCGAGAGTGACTGTCGCAACGCCGCCGTTGCTTAATGATTTCCAAGTCCGGTGAGTGCGGACCCTCCAACACCTTCACACCCGCGCAGTAGTGCGCCATACCTGGCACTGTGGACAGGGTAAGAAAGACATCGACATAACGTGCTCTGGATTCGACGAGGAGAGAGGTAATAGGCAATGTCCACCCACCCAACCCCCTTCCTTCTCCAAAAGCTAGTCAGTCATACCATTAGCAGCTAGATTTCGATGACCGACGGCTACCAGTCCAGCATGTCGAACATGGGTTGCAGAGCCTGGTAACATGCAGCTATACGGTGTATTTGCACATCCCGTGCACAGCATATTCGGGATCGCAGGCCGGGGCGAAGACCCCCATGGCGTGGAGGGCTTTGACCCAAGCACCAGGGAGACAGATGGTCAGCCTTCGACCCTGTCAGCCGCTCAGGGATCCAAGCGATAGAGGCGTCGCGCACGTCAAAAATAACGAGCTTGTCCAGTGACAACATCGCATCATCTTAGTCCCCCTTCCCGAGATGACGGGCATAGGCGAGTGATTAACTTGTAGGGATTCTGCCCTAGGCCGCAAGGTCCGAACGATCAAAATTTCACGGTACATTCGCAACGCCCACAATTAGAAAGAGTGGATGATACGAAAGCCAAATGATGTCTCCCGATCCCTCTGCCCAAGAAGAGCCCATGGAAGAGTGATGGAAAGAATGGGGACGGTGTGGGAGGAGCTAGCGTCATGAGAGACATCGCGGAGACGGTGGGATTCGAGGCCAATCTCGGGCCAGTGAATTCATCGACCTCACGTACCCGGGGCAAGGTCGCAGTCTTGATGGGGTTGGGTTGTGCTTTCATAGGTGACAGAGCCAGCTGCGCCAATTCAGCAACTCCCCGGGCGTGTCTAAGCGAGCCACGTCCAGGAACAGGGTAAGAATCCGCGAAAACGTCGACTGCTAACGTCCGCGTCACGGCGGATGGCTTGAGGGCCCTGCGGACGAGGAAGTGTGAGAAAACTCGTGCCACCGAATCAGCCAACACGACAGTGGCGATGTGAGGCCGGCGGTGTCATGAGAGGGTGAAGATCGACCGCTCCCTCAGATTGGGGGGCGGTGCCATGCATGATACTATAGTCAATCTAACTGTGCATGGTGGCAGAAACCATCAGATGCCATGAGCTGCCAGTTGCCGAGCGATATCGTTACTGATACTGGCGAGTGTCTGTTGCCATGGAGCGGCAGCCGGGCAAGGAAATTAGCAGCTTTGCAACTTCACAATTGGGGCGTGGGTCTGGAAGACACAGAAAGCAGGGGTCCGGATTAGCTGACAGGGTCCGTCCTGATGCCAAGGCACATGGATGGCGAGCTTCCAATGGGGGGGGGGGGGGGAGGGACTGTCGGAGAGATCCAACACGGGCATGCATATACTGTAATCACTGTGTATCCATACTGCGGACAGTGTCTGGTGCAGGCCGGGGGGCCGGGGGGCGGCCGGTATTGGTACTTTGGGTTCGATGTAACACAATCCGGCGGTGATTGTAGAACGTAACCATTGACGAAATCGGATTTGCACTAAGAGGACACCGGTGACCAGAGAGCGGATCACGATGGCCGGGTCGACGTGAAGAGACGGTGAAGTGTGTTCTGATGAGTCTACTGCAGAGCCGGCAGACAAAAGAGCAGCGAGGCCGCGGCAAGCCGGAAGAAACGACACGTCAACCAGGCCAGGCCGACCCAGAACAGACAAGTTCCAGTTGAGCCCAGGCGCGCTTGGAAGAGCCGGGCGGAGCCAGGGCGCAAGGTAGGGCAAGACAGTGCAGGGCAGAGCAAGGTGGCATGGCGGTCGTGGCAGACGTGCATGAAGACGGTGAGGTGAGGCTTGCCCTCTGGCTGCAGCATCGACGGGGCCTTGGCCCAAGTACTGCAGAAGAGTGGGGCCCAGGAAAAGGTAAAATCTGTAGGTCTTGTGGGTGGGTGTTCTTGGACCTGACAGGACGCGTCGACGAGGTGGTGAGGCGATCAGAGTGTCGAACACACAGATTCCATCTGGGTGCCGCAGAGGCGCAGAGGCGCAGAGAGGTGCAGAGGTGCAGAGGTGCATAGGGTGCAGTGCTGCAGTGCTGCAGTGCTGCCCATCGTTCCAACAGGGTCCAAGGGCTTGTCTTGGAGAAGCGTCTCTCGGTGACCAGGGGGTGGGGGTGGGAGCGGAGTGGAGCGCTGCCAGCCAGGTTGGGGTCGCCATGCACAGAAACACACATGCGCAACGACGTCGACGACAATGTCTCGGTACAGGGCCGTCTCCCAGATCTGCGGCATGCGACTGGTTGCGGTGAGGGCGAGCAGGTACGGGAGTGGTGAGTGTGTACTCCGTACTGTACTGTCTGACTGTCTGATTGACTGTAAAGAGCCGCTGGGCACCCGCACTGGCCCTGGTCACCCACCCAGTGGGCTGGGCATGGAGCTCTCAGCATGGAGCTCAGCATGGCCGGTGCAAGGAGCGTGCGGCCCCCAGAGCCCAGGCTGGGTCGCATAGGTGGGAGCTCCGGATGGGGCCTGGAGCTATCCCACACAGCATCTTCTCTTACCGTCGCAGTGTTGCAGGCCAGGGTCATAGTATGGGGTAGATTGTTTGGTCTTGACTCTTCTGATTCCAGGCTGGGTGGCTGCAAGGTTGGAGGGATGCAGTTCGAGATTGATGAAGCTGCCCATGCGTCTAAAACATTGGACGAACAAGCAGCCGCCTGCCTGTCTGCCTGCCTGTCTGCCTGCCTGCTGCCTGCCTGTCCGTCTGCGCAAGTCGTGCACACACCGTGCAGAGGGGCAGCAGCATCGCCGCGTCAGGCCTGGCTGAGGCAGCAGCAGCATGCTGGAGACATGCTGGAGACAGACGCAGCGCCAGGGCCAGGACACGAACATGGGGCGTGGACATGGACCTGGGCAGCCGCGGATGCTCGAAATAACCTGTCTGATGATTAGACTTCGGGGCTTCCATGGGACCTGACACCGACCGCCAGAGTTGCACGCCTCCTCCTTGGTGACGACGGCACCAGCGGGACCTCAGAGATGTGAGGTGAGGCAGCATGGTCCAGCATCGCTGTCTGCACTGCGCGTTGCAGCCAGACGGACGGGTGGGACGAGGATGGCTTGGATGGGTGAGTGACCGAGTGACCGAGGGGCGGAGGGGGTGGATGGAGGGGTGGGTAGGTGGTGGGCGTGGCTTTCTCGATGTGACCTCAGCTATGGGAATCCGACGAGTCGTTCCACGTTGTTGCCATCTTGGTTGTCTTGCTTAGCTAATCCACACCACGGCCCCACCTCGAGCCTGCTGGAGTACCTGGGTACCTAGATACCTAGGTACGGAGAACTGAGCACTGTCAGTACCTAGGTACGTACTGTGGTATGCATGTGCACTTCCTTGCACATCCGCCTGCACATCTGCAGCTTGCAAGCCCCCCCCCTGCAAGCTGCACCTGCAGTTGCACCTGGGTCTGCCCGCCCGTTCTGCTTCATCGCACGTCGCGTCTAACTACCCCAGCTGCCCAAGACCACAAGGCACCAGAGCTGAGAGAGTGTGTGTACGTACATACGCGAGTGGGCGAGTGGGCGAGTGTGTGTGTGTGTGTGGTGTGTTATTTCACATCTCTTTGCAGTCTGCACTGCCTGCCTCCCCGACCCCGTCCCCGTCCACTCTCGTCTGGATCATTGCATATTTCCCAGGTCCTCATCTGTCGCTCGCTCCTGCTTCTCCGTCCGGGAATGGCAAATGCTAGTGCTCGCGGATGGCGGAAAGGCTTCCTTCTTCCTGTCTCGGCCCTGGCAGGCGCCCTGGAACATCCCGCCGTGCGCTGCATGCTGCATTCTGCATTCTGCATTCTGCAGTCTGCACTTCTGCAGTCTTCTGCCTTCTGCCATGCCATGCCATGCTATGCCATGCCGCGTCAGGCCGTGCCCCAGGCCAGGCCACCACACACCCATCTCCTCCGTACATTCCAGCTTCACACTAAGCACCTGCACTTACTACACCTCACACCTCAGGATGGCCCCCTTCCTCTAGCTGCAACCACTATGCCCAGTCAAGACGCCTCAATCTCTTCGTGCCTGACTGCTCCTGTCCGGTCGGAGGTCCAGCCAAGCATCCCGTCCACTCGTGCTCCCACACCCACCTGCACATTACACGCGTTCGGCTGGCCTCGTTCCCAACTGGGCCCGCCAAGATCACGTCTCGTTTTTTTTTTCCTTCCCGCTCACGACCATGACCATGACCACGCCCACGCCCCAGGGCTGCCAGGGCTGTGAGGGCTTCGCGAGCTCCTTCATCGGTCGCCCGTTTTCTCACCCACTCACATGTGTCTGGCCACACACTTACAGTACCTAGGTACTGTGTACCCCGTGCACCACTCTGCTGCTACCATAGCGTAGGATCCTCGGGCACCCAATCGACCATCGCATCCCAAACCGTCAAAGCAGCCATCTCTCTCTCGCCCGGCGATGGAACATTGGTTCTCAAAAGGGGTCATGTGCGTACAACCACATGCAGTCTCACCTCATTCTCGTCCTGACCTGGCCTATAACCATCATAGACACTATACTAGTCCTACATCCGGACGGCCACCTCATGCACATGCTACAGCCCATCTCGTGTACTGTAGACCCATACCCCGTCAAGTCCTGTCTGTCTGTCGGCAATCCATCGACCGAGTGTGGACCCATGCCAGACGAGACGCCCGCGGCTGTTCGGCGCAACTCTAGCCTCTGCCAGTCAACTCCAGATCGATCGGTGCTGCCTTTCGACCACTCACCGTCACCGGTTGCCATTGCCCACTTTCACATCCCAGGGGCTTGGATCCGAAAACAAGCCCGCCGGCGCAGAGAAACAATTCCTCACGTCACAGCTGCCCAAGCCTCGCCGGGTACTCCTTGCAACCACCCGACCAGCCCGACCAGCCCGGCCTGCCGCTGATGACTCAAGCACCACTCTGGTCTCCAGCGACGAGTCCAGGAACCACAAGTCTGCCATGCCCCCAATTCTCCGCTCGAACCGGATGTCCTCCGGCTGTCATTCTCCTGTGGTTCATGTGGTTCCTCTGGTTCCTCTGGTTCCTGTGGTTCCTGTGGTTCCTGGGGTCTTGGGTTCCTGGGGCCGTCTAGCGCCGGCAAGGACGAGGTCCTGATTTCTTTCCTGACTGCCAATCTGCAGGTCAAAGCCGGTAGTGGATGCGACCCCATCCGTCATTCGCCATGTTGCATTTTGCATGTTGCATGTCGCATGCCGGCTGATAGAACTCTGTGCGGAGAGCTGCTGCGCTCTGCACGCCCACCCGCGGTTGCCATACTATGTTTTGGCTTATGCAAGGACCAAAGCCCACACCTCTCTAAAGTCCACTGCGGCCAGACACGCGGCCACGACACCCACCCGGGGACACTGTGCACGTACGGTACCTGGCCCGGCTGGGAGGGTCTGCTTTGCAGGCACACTGGGTCCTTCGAAGCCCGCAAATCCTTCTCGAACTCAAGGTACCACCCCTGCTCTTGGCCCTAGCAGGGCCTACCACCAGCGACTGGCATCTCTTGCCGAGCACTGAACTTCTTCTGACAGACTGTCTCGCCTCTTGACGCCGGCCCTGATACATACCTCAGCGGAGTCAAAGGCCGGCTGTCCATCGCGTGGCCGGGACTGGACCGTGACCGTGCCTCCACACTTCGCTAATCTCCCAACAACCATCTCATATCGGCTAGGGCGATAGTCTATCCCCGGAGATTACTTGAACCAGAGATGGTGGCAGAGTCGATAATCCCGGGTCAGGCCAACATCGCGAAACTCAAATTCTTTTTTTTTTTTTTTTTGGCTGTGAAGGCCGCATTCTCTCATGATAAAACGACACAAAAACCGGCCTTCGGATGGGTTGCTCAAACTCGGCCTCGACTGCAACATTGCGACCGCTCGGTCAATATAAGGATCGCCAAGGCGGCCTTCGGCATGAACAGTTGGCCAGCACGGAGCCGGCGAGTGCAGCACTCCGTGCAGGCTATTACCCTGTCGCCGAACAACAGTTGATCAAACCGCGCGCGCGGGCCGTCCCCGTCCAGCTTTAATCGCTAGCCGGTTTCTAGTAAGGACAGCAACATCCTTGGGAAACGAATGGACAGTGCTCCACTAGGCCTTCACAGCCGACGAGGTGTGACATGACATCCAGAACGCAGGGTTTGGTTCTTCGTTGTGATTACGATTTATTAGCAAATATCGCAATAGCCGTTGGTCAAGCGCGCCACGGTCGTCGACCGTTCGGCACTTGTCGAGGCAATAACAGCCCTGTGCCAGCAGGATTGAAAGCCCAACGTGGGCGTCAAATGTGGGTGTGCGGGACGATGAGGTGCAGGTATGGCTTGCAGCACGCAAAGCATGGGTTGATGCATGCCATTGGAGCACAGCACTACCTCCAGATTGGAGAAGAGCGAGATGACGGGACCCGTTTTCGTTGCTCAAAAGGTGAACCGTGTGCCCAACGGAAAACTGGGCTATATTGGCCGTTTTAATAGCCAGCCTTCACCAAACATTAACGAGTTACACGGCCGTGCGAGCTCATGCACCAATCAAGGAGCGTGTACGCCCACCTTACCGAGATGCAGATGAGCAATTGATCAGAATACGCCCCGTGCCTTACTCGGATGTGCTCGTACCACCTGTTCATCTCTGGACTCGGGACCTGCCTGCTTGCATCCGGTCTGCCTCGGCCGCATCCAGCAGATAACCCCAGGATTTCATGACGGGAAGGGAATTAAACTACCAGCAAGGCGAAGGGAAGAGCCTGATGTTGATCGGCAACCCGCATGGTGCCCGGCGGTTTCAAGCATCACGCCGATGCTTCTTCCAGTCGCACCGTCGAGGAATGGCGGCTGGGTGCTAATATCGCCCATAATAGGAACCCTCACAGTCGTCGCGGGTGGTTGGGAGCACTGTACAATACGATACTTTCTCACGCGAGCCCGAACTCGGCGGGGCCAGGATTTACACAAGCGGAGGGATCTGGGCCTCGTCAGACGGTTCTCTCCCCCGGGCCGTGTTGCTTGACTGTATGTTGTCTCCATCCACAACACGGGCTGGGAACAGGGCAATAAATGTCTGGAGACGCAACAACAAGCCATGTGCCGGCCATTTCTTCAACGCGAAGCGTCCTTGGGCATGGTCTCAGTCAGCTCGGCGCCTCACATTACTTTGTCTCTCAGCTCCTCGGTTTCCCCCGTCAGACCGAATTCGATACGACACCACAACGCCCCGGCACTGTGCCGCTAGTCACCGACGGCATTTCTGCCACGAACATGATGCAGGGTCTAGTACGTAACTTGAAGTCATCTCATCAAACTGAAATGGGCAAATATTTGATCGATTTCTATTTCGAGAGTGTCTCCGATGCAATCGTATATTATTCCCCGGGAGGTCTACCGCGCCCGAGGCGACCTCCGTGGATGCCCAGGCACGTAGGTAAGGCACGAGGTCCATCACAAGTTGATCGTCATTCTGTTTGGGTCACCGCGGCGGCTACGTTCACAAAGGGTGGGTTGACTAAGATGAGCTGCATGCTGGTTCTGCACTAGGGCAGTCGGCTTGACACAAGGGGCCCCAACGTTCGCTTCAGGGCACGCTCGCTGTATCTGACCACTCACCATCGGCCAGGTTTGTCCTGAGCCTCGAGCTCTCGCTTGGGAAGTTCGGCGGCCGATATGTGTCGAATCGTTCATCCCTCGAGGGGCCAGTCCAACAACAGTTTTCCAAGACCACCACGGCTCCACTTCCTCTCCGAGTTGTATACTCTCTGACGGTTGCGGCCTGTCTGATCAATTATCTAACCCTACCCCTAATACCAGTCCTTTACTGAGTTGGAGAAAAGGCGGGTTCCCATGTGATTTTTGGCAGAGTGTCGTTCGATTGGCCCCCTGAGGGACGCGGCGGGATTAATGGGTTCTGATTCCGCGTGTTGTCTGCAGCAGCTACGGAGCAGATATCCTCGGACGGCGGGCCCCCGTGAGGATACGGAAGCGAGGCCCGCCTCCCCGCGTTAACACAATCAGCCGCCGGCTGCGGCAACGTGGCAGAAGCTTCGAGCCCCGAAATTCCGCCCCGCGTCTCCAAAGGTGTGATGAACAGGACTGCTGGGCCGCATATAAACTCCAGCCTTCGCAACGCAGAACACTCAAGTGTGAACACCCAAGTGTGCTCACCCGACAAGTGTTAGTCTGAACAATTTTCAGGGGCACCGACGTACCGAAAAGACATTGGCCCAGTTTCCAGCAAGCATCCTGGAGTTGCACTGTCGCCGGGATCACACAGCCCAAGTTTCACTCTATCGTTGGGGGTCAGGTTCAGCTGTGCAAGTCGGGTGCTTAGCCGACTTGTCCGATCTACGACAGAGCACAGGATCGCGGTACGAAGGGGCCAGGTCGCAGTTCCAAGACCTCTCACCAAGCAACCGATTGGTTGTGACACGGCGTCAGACTGACATCTGTCGTGGACCCTCTCACGGCCTGGAGAGCTGCGGCGACACCGACGCAGCCAGACACTGGAACTGTCGTCTCGTGACAGGACTCGCCCAGACTTCAACGGTCGAGCGCCCCTGACCAGTGTAACGATTCCACTCTGTGAGACAAGATGGCAGGCGGAAACTTTCAAGAGTGGACGGTTGAGGAACCGTACCTCAACATCCACTGCAGGCTCGGGGAGGGACCGTACTATGAGGAGGCTACCAATACCTTGCGCTGGGTGGATATCATGGCCCACCGAGTGCACACCGTCTCCCTTACCGAAGGACCAGAGTCGGTCAAGACCCTTCAACTGGACACACCCGTGGGTGTCACAGCGGATGTGGAAGGTTCCGACCCCCAGGACCAGCTACTTGCCGGCCTCAAGTACGGTCTCGCCTTGCTGGATCGCAAGACGGGCAAGTACGAGTACATCTCTAGATTCGCCTCGGCCGATGGTCAGGACAATAAGCGCTTGCGGAGCAACGACGGCGCAGTCGATCCCCATGGGCGCTTCTGGATGGGCAACATGACTGATTTCGACGCGGGCGAATTTCAGAACGAAGGCAAGTCATCATTATGCCGACCTTTTATTTTCCTTGAACTTAGTTTATGCCTCGAGCCCAAGAGACGCGTGCACAGACGGTCCGGCACCCACAACAAACCACGACGCCGTGCATGCCCAGACGCGATAGTCGTAACCAGTTCGCCACTGAGAACCCGTTGGACTGACCCTTAACAGGCGGCCTTTACGTCTTTGACGCGAGGCAGAAGCCATCGCAGGCCAAGAAGATTGTCCCGGATCTCATGATTCCGAACAGCATCAGCTGGTCTCCCGACAATAAGACGATGTATTACACAGTGTCCAATGCTGGTAAAGTCTATGCTTACGACTATGACATTACTGATGGCAGTGTCTCAAACCATCGCGTCTTCTATGATCATGATGGAACAGGCGGGCCCGACGGCCACCGTGTGGACAAGGACGGGAACATATGGCACACGATCTATGGTGAGAGCCGCGTTGTGAAGATCTCACCCGAGGGCAAGCTCATTGGCCAGATCAACCTGCCGACCAGAAACATCACGTGCTGCGAGTTCGTGGGCTCGACCCTCTACATCACCACGGCGAATGACGACGAGGGCGAGGGCAAGAGCAAGGAACTTGGAGGCGCGCTCTTCAGGGTGGACGTTGGCACCACAGGACTCGCGCCATTCAAGTTCAAGCTTGGTGCCTAACCAGCCTGAAATGAGAGGCAGCCCGGGATAGGAGGCGTATGCCTGCCTGTCTTGTCTGGTAGCGACAAGTATTCTGGGCATGCGCTACTCGCGCAACGACTGGGTTGCTGGTTCGTTAGCCAAGATTGATATTGGAATTCCAATCCTCCCTTTTCTTATGCCGGCGAGAAACCCATGGCTATATGATGTGCCTACCAAGCGGGCTGAAAATCAAGCACTCATGCAGTTTGGTTACCCTGCTCGGCACTTGTAGATCAGGTTCAAGAAGAACCACAAGACAGTAGGCCCGAGGATCACCCATGGGAAAAAAGCATTGGCGATGAATGTTCTTTTGCGACCGGTCAACGTCTCCTGCGGGGGTAGTCCTGTCACCTGCAGACGGGGGTGGAGGAGTTAGGGTTGAGGCCTGAATGATGAACCAACCCCCGGATCTTGATCCGATTCCGTGCACCCTGAAGAAGCCTCGGCTCCGTGGGCCGAGGGCTGAAATGTAAATGACACGAGAGATCCATGACGACGTCGACGGGGCCTTCTCGTGCAGTATGTGAAAAGAAGGGTGCCACCGTGATGCTCAGGACCAAAGCGTCAGGCCACCTTCGCAGCCAACAACCAGCGGTTGCTCTACCTTGTCTTGTTTTTTCTTTTTCCCGCCACCAACACTACCTACCACTCGACGATATCACCAGCCCGCTGCTGCCTGTTTCCCCGTTTCCCCGTTTGCGATGCGAGTTCATGCAGTCACCAAACGGCGGGAATTGCCAATTGATGAGACTGCTACATAGTTGGCATGAAGTACGACGAAGTACGAAGTACGATGCTGCTGCACGTTGCAAGCCGTTGCCCACGCCCCCCTCCCCCCCCGGCCCCCCGTCGCGATTTACCTACCTGCAGGAAGAACACTACACTCCTGCCTGTCGCCGAGAGATCTGGGGTGATATCCAGAGAGGCTAATTCATGCGCAAGCCGGGGCCCGTTGCTACGAGACGAGACGAGATGGGGGCCGGTCTACCATGGCTTCCAGAAGGGGGAACCAACGGGGGACATTAAAAGGGCACGCCACCAGCGCCTCCGGCGCCTCCGGGACTCGCATTCCGGCCCGTGGCGCGCAGACGCAGACGCGGCCGCGCGCGCCTCGTCGTCGAGACTGACGACTGTGCGCAGCTGCTAACGTGGTAGCGGCCTCCTGCCTCAAACGGGCAGAGGCTCACCCCATCATCGCCGACGCGAGGAGGCCCTGAGGACCAGATTGACTGACGACGGGGCTGGATGAACGGGTGGCCTGGACCCTTCGGAGGGCGAGGCACGGTCAAGTGACCCTGGCCGCCCCCAGGGAGCCCCCGGCTTTCAATGGCGAGGCCATTGGCGATGTGGCGCACATCGGACAAGGCCCGGGAGAGAGACAGAGAGAAAGGGCCAGACAGAAAGAGAGAGAGAGGAAGAGAGAGATGGCATCTGACTCCGTTACGGCTAGCGAATGAATACGACCACCAACCTCGAAACTCCGCGCTGATGAGGCGCTCTGCATGCAGTCAGTCCCATGGGGACCGGCGGACAATGGTGTCTATGTCTGTTGGCGGACCGACTTATGCTATGCGGCGGCAGAGCTCTCTCCCGGATTGCGCGTATGGCGCATACGACTGCTTCTTTGGGCGGCGAGGTTGGCGTCCAACTCAAGCTATAAAACGAATGCGGGAACTATAAAGAGCCACTTCCCCTGCTAGGGGGGTCTTATTGGGAACTGGGTAAGAGGCAAGGTCAGCCCCAACGCTGAAGAGCCAGACAGAGATCAGGACTTGGTCTGCCGGATTCAAACGACACCGCGAGTTCTAGATCCTTTCCCCCTTCGTTCCAAGTGGCCGGCATATAAGCTCAAGAGAAATGGATCAAAGCGAAGAGCAGGATCTGGCCCGGCTCTGAGGGAAGACTTCTTGGCTTCCTCCATAGCGAACAGTAGAGGTCGGATCCCTGAGCGAGACCCGGGCATGATCGACACTACTGCAAGGACGATCATTAGTGCCCAACAGAGTTCACGACACTTCGAACAGCGACATATCGACGGCTCCGAACCCGTTTCGACGAAGGGATATCCCGGCTTTTTTATCTCACAGGGCGTATAAGCCAGCCAGGGAGCCGTCGCAGCGAAGGGCCGTGATTTCAAGCAGCTAGTCGGCGATTCAATCCTTTCCGTTCCGAGTCCAGGGATCAAGAGGCCGCCGCTAATAAGGGACGAGAGGCCGCTGAGCCGCATGTAGAGCGGCAGCAACGAGAATCCGACGTTGTCGAATCAGGGTAGAAGGCCTGGGTGACAGCCACAATACCACCAACAAGATCGCATCACAACCTTCCCACCCATATTTTATGCCGAAGACTGTCACGCTGTCCCAACACTACCGGCGCTCAAGCAACAACGAGCGGGCGTCCCAAGCTGTAATGTTTCGTTCGCATCGACCCACCCAAGCGGACGAGTCCGCCGTTGCTTCATACGATGCAATATACATCTGATCAGGGAATGCACCCTTGCTCTGCTTGCCATTAGAAGGGTGTCAGCTACTACCACAGTACAGAGCGTGACAATTTTCCGTACCGGCCCTGCAGCGACCCCAGTCAGTCACCCGCGGTCTCAAAGAGCCCCGGAAAAAAACGTAAACCATGCCATCACGGCCTCAACCATTATTATTACTGGCCCCCCGCCCCCTCCCTCCGATCTGATGGCAGCGGAGGCTTATGCGCACTTCCTCACCTGCCTTACCGCGAGTCATCCTCACCTGAAACGGTCACTAATACCCCGGGCCGAGGAAGATATTACTGCCCAGAGGTTCAGCCCTACGGCATCCGCCGCCCTCAAAATCGGCAGATGACTCGTCTGATGTGGCCGACGCGGTGCGTCAGGGCTATTGCTGCCCATCCCCCCTTTCCCTTGCCATGTAGGCCTTACGGGGACGCCGAAGCGATATATTCAGTCTCTGCCGAAGGTGACCCAGCCTGGCGAGGCATCCCGGAAAGCTCCCGATATTCATGAAGGTGACCAGGGAGGTTCGTATAGACCGTAGCGGGTGACTCGCGGCGAGATGCCTCGGGCTTTGCCGTCGAGCACCAACGGTGCCATGGAGGACACAGTAAGAGGGCTAGACACAGTCGCGTCTGGCCATGACTATGTACATGTTGCCGCAAAAGGTACACTTAAGAGGCCGAAAGGTAGAGGGCTGTACAAATCTGCGCAGTTTCGAGTGTACAGTTATGCGCGACTGTGTGGGCGAGGCCGAGATGAAGGGCGCCAGGCACAAACCACGTGTAGACCCGGGAGGCATCCTGCCAGCCAAGGCTACCCCAACGTCACCTCTTGCCCCAGCGTGGCGCGTCTCACTTAGATCAGAGGGTTCCTCGGGGGGATTCTATGAGGGCGGCGGGCCTGGACTCGGGCGATTAGCATCGCAAACTTTCGAAACGCTCCTGCACCCCGGCGCACATCTTACCTGCCTGCACCCCTCACCCACCCCGCAAACCCAACGCGCGCGCATCAATAATTGTCCGCAGCGGAGGATGCACTCCACCATCAGTTCCATATGTCTGTCTGCCAATCTATCTGCTACTCTCAACGGCCGCACCATGTGCCAGAGACGTCTCGCACGCGGGAGTGAAAGCTTGCCCTCTCGGACCGGGCTTCCGATCTCAGGGGGGCGATCCGCCATGTCATGCTGTATCTATTTCTGTTGAGCCAACGAGCGCACAGGTGCAGAGTCCCCGTATAGTTCGTATAGAGCTGGGCTTGTTTTCCAGGATGCTCCAGATTCGGTCCGAGAGCAGTTCTGGTCCTGGTTTTTGGGAACAAAGCGGGGATGAAGTTGCGGTTCTGGGGCGACGTCGCGCCTGCGCACGACAGGATGGCAGGCATGTTGGTTTGCACGGAACTGTGTTGGGTCAGATCCGAAGAGGCGTGGCTACGCGTCTGTATGGCTGTCACTTATGCACATTTTGTCAATCATGTGCTGCTTTGGCAGCGAAATTCATGTCCTCACCGTCGTGGAGAAGGGTTTTACCAGAGCAACGAAGAAGTAAAATTAAAGTTCTAGGAGTACTCGGTACTTGCTTGAGTGGCCGAAAGTTTCTGCCGAATGCCACATAACAGTAAGGACAATCGGTTGAGGGAGGATCACGAGGGGAAGGTACCTGGATGACACCTTGAAGGCTCTTGACAGGGAACTCAATGGAACTTCCGGCGTAGTTTCCGGAGTACCACACGCCTGGGTGACCACTCAGAGAGGGAAAGCTTGTCGGGGTGTTTGCTGAAATCTGACACGGGGGCCGAGCTGGGACGCGCTTGTCTGGTCCCATGTATTGACATGGAGGCTCCGATCATATGGACTGCTACATGGTGATTAGGTGCAGTCCTGGTGCAGTCCTGGGCAAGTATTTGCATAGTCCTATTCCTGCGGCTTCAGAGCATAGATCCGAACAGGGAAGAGCTCCTTCGGAAATCCGCGTTGGGTCTCGGCCCTGACAAGCCTAAGTCCGGCATCCTTGAAGATGACTTGAAACTTCTCATCGGTCCTAGGCGTGATAGGGGTGTTAGAAATGTGCCCGGTGTCTGGTTGTGTTTGGACCGGATGCAGCCGAAAAGTGCCACACTTACCTTGTCACGCTACTGTCCTGGTCGTCGAACAGGTCGACACCACTGGTGCTGATGTTTTCCTTGACGACAATGAGCCCATTTCCAGGGGTCAAGACTGCCTTGCACCTTTCCAGGTACTGGACCAGCTGTTCATCTTTGAGATGACCCACACACCATTGATTCCATACGAGGTCGTATTGGGCGCCCGCATCTGGTTGCCATTCCTCCAGGCCGACGTTGAAGACGTGACGGACGCCACTCTTCTGCTTCAGAGCCTCAGTGAATTTCGCTATGGGCTCGACAATATCGACTTCTTGTGACACGCTGAGCAAGAGTCCCTCTGTGATCCTGCCTATGCTGCAAGCCGGGAGACAGAAACATCAGCCTTGTTTGCTGGTATCCAGGCAGATTGTGCTCGGGGGTGTGGGGAAGAAGTCAACGCGCCAGGAGCCCGTGAAGGGGTCTCGGCGCATTGAGGTCTCGGGGCATGACGAGGGGGGCTAGAAAGCCAATCACTCACCCAGCTCCGCCCTCCAGAGCCGTGGCGACAGTGCGCTGCCCGTCCTTGGTCCCGATGCCAAACTTGGCGAGAAAGTTTCGAGACCCTTGTAGGTCCACCCGCGACACATAGGGAAAGCCTCCTAGCATGCCATTGACATCGGCATCGACGCCTACACAGTCGCGAACACCCACCAGGGTCAGCCAATATGGTTCAATGGCATGCAGGCGATGCAGTGCACTTGTCATGGGGAGGGGGGTCTGGGGTGGAGGGCGTGGAGGGTGTGGCGCAAAGGGGTTGGGGTGTTGTCGAGACAAGAAAACCAAGGAATCAGCAAGGACGTGAGGGTGGTTCAAACCTTACCTTGCCAGTATTTCCTCCCGTCCTCGGCGTTGATCTTGGAATCTGGCGCCTGTGAGGCGTCTGGCTGGCCAGGATCAGACATGGCGAGAATCGGGTGACAAAAAGTTGGGCGCAGACGGGTACTGTGGACTGGTACGGGAGCGAGCTCCGAGTGTGGTGTGGTGTGGCGAGCCCGTGTGCACAGGCGCCCGGGATGGTGAGGGAGGGTGTGATGGATCTTTTGAAAGGTCGCGCGCACAGCCTCTACCCGTCCGTCAGGCACGGGCGGGTGTCCAAGTTGGAGAAGCCTCAGATGTTCCACGATGGCAGGCGAGGGGCTTCGGGCCTCGATTGGCTTGGGCGTTGTCCCCTGCGATGATTGCCAAAACCTGGTTTGCACACAGACGGTGGAGATCAGAGTTGTCGCAGCCCGGAGGGAGCGGGTGGCCCTCTTTGATGTAGTATCCGGGACTTGGGATGAGAATCGCTAATGCCGGCGCGAACTTAGTCGACGATGCACTTTGTGCACTTTGCGCGAGTTTTGTGATGCACGCAGCAAGCCGTCCGCCTCTTGCGTCGATCTTTTTGTGTGTCAAGGTTTGCTAGTTGCGCCTGTCACCCAAGGAATGTACAATCTTGTTAAGCCAGGCTGCCAGACGCACATTTTAACTGCCTGCGTGGGCAGGCAGGCAGTGACGGAAACCGTCCCCGCAGCGCGACTTCCGCACAAGCAACACGAGCAGACAAAGCAGGCACGCACGCACGCGACTGTGACCGCCACTATCGGCCACTGAAAGCAGTCAGTCAATCAGGTCAATCAGTCACTGACATAGACGAAGCCATCGTCGAACCCCAACAAGGGCCATGCCAATGGACTATTCTTACTGGGCTGCGGTTGATTTATTTTCAATGTTTATATTCAGTATTAATCTATTATCCCAAAAAGCAAAATGGTAAAAGCAAAATACAAGTCAGGCCCCAGGCTTATATTTTCCCCGTTAAAGAAGAGCTTGACGCATGTCCGGTCCTCCCTTTGAGCATGGTTTCTTCTCCGTTTCATTTGCCTTGTCCACTCTGCGTGATTCCAAAGCGCTCCAATCGAAGCCATGATCAAGGTCGGCCTGTTTTGAGGAAGCGGGCCAAGTCGCGAAACAAGGCACACCAGGCAACAGGCTCAACAGGAAAGAAGGACCAGATCAAGCGCTTAGGTCTGCCTGGTAAGGAACGCCTGTGAGTCCATGACACCCATAATTACAGCCTGATACGCCCATCGCTAACACCTCCGAACCAACGCCGTATATCCGTGTTATTGCTGCCCGACCCAGACGCCGGACCGCCCTCGTCGTCGTCGCCACCCATCCACTTGGGCTTCTTGACGATCTCTTGGAGCCAGTTGGGCGTGTCGATCGTGTCGACCGTGTTCTTGATGCGCGTTCCGAGCTGTGAGAAGAAGTTGTCGTCCTCATCCTCGTCGTCTCCGAGTCTTCTGTGCTGCCTCTGTCCAACCCGCCTCGAGCTGGCGGCTGTGGCAGGCGACTCCACCCTGCCAATATTAGGTGACGTCCCCAGCGGTGTTGTTGGGGCGCCCGGCCGGCTCGATGGGCCAGGTATGGAGCGCACAGGCGTGGCCCTCGTGGCTGCGCCGCCGTTGGCAACTCCACCCGGCCCCGCAACATCCCTTGATCTGCCGATCGAGGTCCCGTTGAGCTCGCGCTCGATGAGGTCACGGCCTTCCCGCCATGATCCAGTGCCGTAACCAATTTGATTCTCGTCTTCGTCATCATCGATGTAGTCGGCGAGACCGATTGTTCGCTTCACTTTGCCGTAGAGGCCAAACAGGGTGGCGCTTATTGGCAGAAGGATAAATAGTGGAAACAAGCGGTTGAACCAGCCTCCCAGGGCTGTCAGATCGATGAGCCGGCCGAGGAAGTCATAGAATCGTGTCTTCTGGTAGACATCCTTGGACAAGAAGGAGATGAAGTTGTAAGACAGTGGGACGCTGAGACGGGCCACGTAAGACGAATACCACAGCGCCGATTCATGGGAGGTGTTTCGATAGACCAGCGCGCGACCACGCCATACTTTGACCTCAGTGATGGAGATCAAGGCAGCAGCGCACATGTAGGATATCCAAAATACGGCAATCATTTGGCCAGCGAACCCAACCTGCCCCTTGTCACCAGTCCAGTGATGCACCACGGTCAGGCGAATGATGGACAGATCGGCGAGGGCGGCAGGTCCGGCCTTGATGACTTCGGACCAGACGATGAAAATCGAGGCTAGAGCCAGGAACCCACCAAAGACGAGCCTGACATGTGGCATAATATGGAAGTGGAGGACGTGTCTCGTGTACGGAGTGAGCACCGAGACCCGCTCCCACCACGAAGCGTGCGGTGCCGTGCCCCCGAATTCGAGCTTCTTGGAGCCACCAGAGTCCAGGATGGCCCGTGTCTCTGCGGCTCTCCGAAGCAGACGGTTCCACTCGTTGGCATATCGAGAGCGGGCGTGTCGCGCGCGGGTGAGCTCTCGCGTGAGCTCTGCCATGTACTTCTCCGTGATGACCGTGGGGACCCGCCTTGCCTCGCCAGAGCCCAGAGCAGATGTCGTCCGGGGCTGTTCCTCGGGGAGATTTGTAGAATCCATCAGCTCCTCGATCCAGTCCTGAAACTCGACGGCTGACCCGGTCTTGCGTTGGCACAACTCGGCCACCTGTATCTCGAGATCTGCCAGGTTCATCTCGGCCTCCTCCAGCTGCTCGTATAACCTAGGAGCCGCAGACTGCAACTGGCGCAACCGCCCGCTGATGCTGAAGCTACGTATCAGGCGGCGGGGGATGCTGACGAGTCCGTGACCCATCAGGTAGATTGCCAGGACTAAACCCCAGCAGTACGCGAGAGCCATGACGGGGCTCTTGAGGGAGTCGAGGTGTATGCCGTAGGAAGTAAAGACATATATCAAGGCTATTATGCCAAATCCAAAAACCATGGCATAATATTGGGCGTTCGACCGTAGCGAGTACATCAGCTTTCCCTTCGGGTCTCGGTATCCAGCGTCGGAGTATTCGGCAAGCACGGGAAGAATGAACCTGGACTGCTAGTCAGTAGTGTATGGCATATCAGATTAGAAGTCGTCGCAATACCATGTGAGGGTGAAGGTGAGCCAGTAGGCGATGCGCCAGCAAGTCTGGATGACCCTCTGTGGAAGCCATATGCCCCGTGTGGCCTCATCATCGGTCCTGGCGTTGGAGGCCAGATCTATGGGCACAAGGAGGACGATACATGCCGGGAGCCATAATGCGAAGAATACGGTGACAAGGACGAATGCAGGCGTTGTTCGGAGGGGTAGATAGTGGCGGAGGACTAGGAGGGTGATGGCGGAGAAGATTAACAGGGCAATCAGAGAGAAGATCTCGGACCCGACCGGGGAGGCTGAGCTGGCTATCATCATGAGGATGCAGGGCCGAGGGGTTTGGAAGGGTCCATGGGAGGTTGGTGGGAAAGATATTCAAACTCTTGGTATTGGGGGGTTAGGGGTGTTGTTGATGCTCAGGGCCAGCCGTCGTTGTCGCAAATTGAGGATGGAGATGTTAGATTTGCGATGACGTTGGGGGTGTCTGTCAACTGTTTCGAGCGAGATTATGTCACGCAGCGCAGCGGGAGAGCGCCCGGGCTGGCGGGCTGGCGGGCTGGCGCTGGGGCCGACAGGCCATTTTTAGAAAGATGACTGCCGTCCCGGTGAGCCTAGGGACCGACCGACTGGCCCAACACCCCTTATAATAATAATGCCATATTAGTTAGACATTGGAATTCGCGACCTCAGGCAGCCCTCAGGCTCAACACAAAGCTGCGCAGCCTGGGCATTAATTAGTCTATGAAAAGTCGGCGGGGAAATGGTCGGACCCAAAGGCCCAAAGACATGGTGGATTAGTCAAATGTATCCGCTCATGGTGTTTCCTTCGCATCAAAGGAAAGCTGTCGCATGTCACAAGTCATTTACACGGTGGGACCCCTGCAGCGGCCATGACCTGCAGGGCCGTTTTCGCCAAGTTCTCGCCTATCAGCGGCAAAGCCAGGGCTGCCGAAGCGCCTTAAAGTCCGCGGCGATAACGATAAGGCAGCCTGGCAAGCAGATGCTTGACAGGCTTGGAAACTTTCTTCTTTCGCCGCATTCCGGTCGGCCGTGAAGTGTGGATGGTTTTCGGGAAACAGCCGGGTAACTGTCGCAGCTGCAGCAATGCAGCATCATGCAACATGCGACTCCAGAGTCACCCCGCAAACTTTTATTATGATGAACCACAATACTCCGTTCTGGCTGGCTGTCAGCGGTGCTGCAACCCACATGTGCACACAGTAGCAGAGTAGTAGGGCTGTAGCTGGTGCTAGCATCGCGTTCCCCACACCCGAGACGGGCAGCCGCAGCCGGGGGATGCGGCGTCCCCCAGATAGTCTATCTTGCATCCAGTGAGGGGTCATCGTATCGGTCCTACATAAAGGCTCGTCAATGGCCTACAAGATGCCCTCGAGGTCCCTCTTCTCGCCTGCATTCTCTCTCTCAACTTTATCCTCACTTCGACTCAGGTCCGCTGCTTCCACGTTCCACAGATCGGGTGCTTCTGGACTCTGCACACAACATATCAGACCTCGCTCCTTATTCCCTCCCACCTTATCACCCTTCTCCTGCTCGCGTAGAGCAGCACTCTCCTCTAACACCAGACCAGTCACAGCTATGGAGGTCGAGCTCACTGCCCCCAATGGGAAGAAGTGGTCCCAGCCCTTGGGCCTTCTCATCAACGGAGAGTTTGTCAAGTCGAGCAATGAGCAGAAGATCACCTCCATAAATCCTTCGTAAGAGCAAACTCCCCGAGGCCTGCATAGGCATAGGTCTAGACCATCTCAGTGTTGGCCCCCGTGACTGACATCCCACACAGTACTGAGGAGGAGATCTGCTCCGTCTTTGCCGCCACTGCTGATGATGTTGACCTCGCTGTGGAGGCTGCTCGCAAGGCCTTCAAGGACCCCTCATGGAAGGGCCTCAGCGGCACACAGCGCGGGGAGCTTATGATCAAGCTGGCCGGGCTGGTCGAGAAGAACGCAGAGATCCTGGCCACGGTCGAGGCACTTGACAATGGCAAGCCCTACAACACGGCGCTCAACGAGGATATCCCAGAGGTCGTCAATGTCCTCAAGTACTACGCCGGCTATGCGGACAAGAACTTCGGCCAGGTCATCGACGTTGGGCCCTCCAAGTTCGCCTATACCCTGAAGCAGCCCCTTGGTGTCTGCGGCCAGATCATCCCATGGAACTTCCCCCTCGCGATGGCTGGTTGGAAGCTGGGCCCTGCGCTGTGCTGTGGTAACACGGTGGTGCTCAAGCTGGCCGAGCAGACACCTTTGTCCATGTTGGTCATGGGAAAGCTGATCAAGGAGGCCGGTTTCCCTCCAGGAGTTGTCAACGTCATCAATGGTCATGGACGGGTAAGGTCATCCCAAATCCCCGGTTTTGTTGCGCGAAACTGGTGCTGACTTGGACACAGGAAGCTGGTGCGGCACTCGTCAAGCACCTGGGTGTTGACAAGATCGCATTCACTGGCAGCACAGCCACGGGCAAGGTCATCATGAAGATGGCGAGTGAGACCCTCAAGAACATCACATTGGAGACAGGTGGCAAGTCACCACTGATCGTTTTCGAAGACGCCGACCTGGACCTCGCTGCCACCTGGTCACACATTGGAATCATGTCCAACCAGGGACAAATCTGCACCGCCACATCCCGTGTCCTCGTCCACGAGAAGATCTACGACGAGTTTATCGCAAAGTTCAAGTCCACGGTGCAGAAGGTTTCGGTCGTGGGCGACCCCTTTGAGGAGACCACATTCCAGGGACCCCAGGTGACCAAGGCGCAGTACGACCAGGTCATGAGCTACATTCAGGCCGCAAAAGACGAGGGCGCAACCATCGCTCTGGGCGGTGACCCAGCGCCGCAGAAGGGTAAGGGCTTCTTCATCAACCCCACCATGTTCACGGACGTCAAGCGGGACATGAGGATATTCAAGGAGGAGATCTTCGGCCCCTGTGTGTCTGTCATCCGCTTCAAGGACGAGGCCGAGGCCATCGAGCTTGCGAACGACACCACGTATGGCCTCGGTGCGGCACTATTCACCCGCAACCTGACCAAGGCTCATCGTGTCGCCGCGGAGATCGAGGCGGGTATGGTATGGATCAACAGCAGCAACGACTCAGACGTGAGAGTGCCATTCGGTGGTGTCAAGCAGTCCGGAATCGGCCGGGAGTTGGGCGAGGCAGGCTTGTCCAGCTACTACAACATCAAGAGCGTACATTTGAACATGGACTCATAGGGACTGCCTGGGGGAGACCGTAGCAGGGAGGTGTGCTGAACGAAAAGTGTAGTATTTGGGTTATGACATGACGAACTGGCTGGGACATGATGGAATACCCGCCGTGGGCGAGCTAAACTTGTACACAAGATACTAATTCAAACGCCTGCTGATCTGCTCAATGTTTGTCTGATGTGCCATATGAGGTGATTTTATGAAGTCGTTCTATCCCAGAGAAGATCGTTCGCGGGTTGTGATTTTACCTTGACTTGAAGATTGCCTCTCGAATGACAAGCAAGGAGCTTAACATGCACAGGCAGGGGTACAGTAACAGGCCCTCACGGAGTACCTGGGTAGGGTTACCTAGGCCTCATTTGCATACTCGCATGTACCTACCTAGGTATGTAAACTCACACTCGAGACACTGAGGCCACCTGGCTTTTCTCGTTACCTTATCAATTTTCAGTGCCTTTCAGTACCGGATCAAAGACTACGGTACGCTTGTCGCGTGCGAGAACACATCATAGACCACAGTAGAGTCACTTGGATGACACAGTTCTTAGCTGTGTGACTTGTGGAGAGCAGTGGTATTCTAGGGCGAGACCGTTTCCGGAAAGCTGGTACCTGAACCCTGCCGATCTGCGGGCAACAGCACAGGGGTTCAGAACCATGGACGGCCTAGACAGGATGGCCTAGCCCGAGCAAGCTGAGAGCAGTAGCCTCGCCCGAGGCTCACATCGTCATCTGTCCTTTCCGCACACACACGACGTCGGGCTTCGACCCTTCCCAACATGCTGCCCTCTCTTTATAGCCGCTCCTTCCTCCTCTCCTAATTGCATCACTCAAACCCCGTGCCTGCAGTTCATCCCACCTTGACCACTTCCAAGGTTGTCCCAACTGTCACTTCTCATTGCGAAAGTTCTCCGTCGCCTCCGACCTCTGCAACATACGGCATCGAACGCAGACGACAGCAGGCCCCCTGCCCCCTGCCCGATTCGTTTACCAACAATTCGAGCACAGATATTCCAACAAGACGCAACATAATTTCACAGTTTAATTCAACAGACTGCTGTCATCAACACATTGGTTGCCAGGATGGCGCCTTTCCCCGAGTCGATAATAGACGTCGGTTATCCCCTATACGGATGCGACTTCGACCCTCAAGACTCCAATCGTCTGTTTGTGGGTGGTGGTGGAGGAGCAACGAAAAGCGGCGTTGGCAACAAGATCACCCTGGTGGACACATCATCCCTGGAGAAACTCGAGCCCGCCGGGCAGGTCGAGCTGAGCGGCAACGAGGACAATGTCGCGAACCTCATCGCAGGCCAGCGCAAGGGCAAGTCCACCCTGCTATACGCCGGCATCAACTCGAGCCCGGACGACTTGAAGAAGGGAAAGAACGAGCACTTCCGTGTCTTCAGCGTCGACCCGCCCAAGGCCAAGGCCGTGCTTGGGGCTAGGATCACCGAGCTCTCCAGGACGCAGCTGTTCACGACCGCCGATTCCGACACATACCAGCGCCTGTTGAGGCTGTCGCAGCCCTTCGCAGGCTCCCCGCAGCTCGGCGCCGTCGCAACAGGTTTCGCGAACTCGTCTCACCAGATCGCCATCTACGACGTCGCAGCTGGCAGCAATGTCGCCCCCAAGCCCAGGGGCGTCCTTGACATCACAAAAGAAGCGATAGACATGGACGTGATACAGACCGCCGACGACCAGTTCCAAGTGCTCTACTGCGACGACTATGACATCTACTCCGTCAAAGTGCCCAAGACGGGCGATGTCACCGCCGAGCCAGCAAGGATCTACTCTATCCCGCACGACGACAGCTCTGGCCTGCGGCCCGCCCTCCGCTGCCTGCGCTACCTGACGCCCGGCTTTGCCGTGGGCGTCGCGAACCTGCCCAAGGCTGGCGGCGTGGTGCTGTACGGTTTTCGCCTTCCCAAGCCCGGCAAGGAGGACACGCGGGCACGCATCTCGGTCAACGCCAAGCTGCCTAAGCGGCAAGGGCTCAAGGCGACTGGGCTGGCGGTCGCCAACCTCAGCCCGGTGACGTCTCCGGGCGCAAAGCAGGGCGACGCGCAGTTCGTGCTCGCCGTGACAGGCACAGACCTCAGCATCCACTTGTACACCCTCGATCACCAAAGAATTGGGGATATCGACATGCTCGCCAACCTGCTACCCCTGACGACCTTGCGGAATGTCCACACGGCAATGGTTACCGGCCTTAGCTTCAGTCACTTTGCGCCGCCAGAGAGGGGGACGAGCCGCACCCAGCACTTGAAGCTGGCGTCCACGTCAGTCGGCAACGCGGTCGCCGTCCAGAGCATCCCGCTGCGCAAGTTTATTGACCCCTCCGCGCCGGTGCGCCGTGGCGGACCCCCGCGCCAGCCCCGCTACGTCGTCGCGATGAAAAGCCGCAGGCCCACGATCTGGGGCCTGCTAACGGGAATCACCTGCTTCGTCCTTCTGTTGGCCATCCTCCTACAAGGCATTCTGGAAGTGAAGGGCCTCGCGCCGCCAACAGTCGGGGGTCACAAGTGGCTGCCTTCATCCATTCATTCGGCGCCTCCCCGAGTTGTGCCTCCGCACGGCGGCTTCCTGACCAAGTTGCTGGCCGGGAAGTCGTCAGATAATGGCGGCGAGAAGCAGCAGGTCGTCGTTCTGGACGTTGATGGAAAGGAGGTCGAGGTCCTCACGACCACCACTCTGGCGGCCGCGACCGCCAGCGGCGAGCCAGCGGCTACAAGCTGGGAGGATCTTGCGCCCGAACAGAAGGCGGCGTGGAAGGACAGGCTCAAGCGCGCGGGACACTGGGCTGAAGAGCACGGCGAGACGATCTTCAAGGGCGTCCTCTTTGGCGAGCTTGCCGGCGTCGTGGGCGGTATCGTGGCTGGCTAGCTACCTGGAGCCGCGGGGGCTGGTGGCTGAACCGGTTGCTGCCTGAGGTCGCGTATCACATCGCCTTGGGCGTTACTTTGGGGTTGGGAGCGTATCTTTTACTTGGGAGAAGATAGGTTTCTTCGATGAAGTTTTCACAGTGTATGGAGCAGATTCAGCCTCATTCCACAAAAACTCGGAACAGCGACATTTCGTTTCTTGGCCATTGTATAGCTAGACACCAGAAGGCCCTTGTACAAAACAAAAGCTTTGTGTATGTTATGCATACCCTTCTCATGCCCTCAATTGGGGGTAAGCATTCTGCAAAGAATACATCTCGCATGCCTGCCTGACTTGGGTCTATTGTGTGCTCGGCCAGTCATGGACAGGTGATGATGAGATGAGACAGGTATGCACAAAAGTCAGGAGTAGCTCTGGATGCTGTATGTTTATATTCTACTGCAGCCCTGGAATCCCCACGAGTACAGTACGATCGAATAAGCGAGTCCCATCTCAATCTGGGTCCTTGTGCACACACGCAACATTACAAGTAAATGTAGCCCAGCCAACCATGTAGATAGAACAAGCTTTATGCCACTTTTTTTGGCCCCATCTTCCATCGCACCCCGTAGATACCCAAAAACTGTGTCAGTCTGTCTTGTCTATCTGCTTATGTAAATCATTGCCGACGCTCCCCCTGTGGTATCATGAATATGAGATCCCTGCTTATGTGCCCGCCCCCGTCCCAACCGCCCCCGCCCTCTCCGTCCCAGCCAGGAAGAAGAAGGACGCCGATCATTATCTATATGCATTAAAGTTTCAGTGACTCGGCCTCGTCAGACAGCTCGACCGGGTGGGAAACCTCGTCGGGTGTGTCGCCGGGTTTATCTGCCGTTTCTGCCCCGGACGCCGCGTCGCCGGCCGGCTTCTTGGGGTCTTCTGGTTTCGTGTCGGGGTTCTCGGCGGCATCAGCTGCTCCTTCTTTTTCTTTTTCTTCTTCTTCTTCTTCTGGCTTCGGGGCTTCTGGATCCGGCGCTGGCGGCTTTGGGAGTATGTCTTCTGCGTCTGCCTCGTCGCCCGCGTCTGCGTCTGCGTCTGCGTCTGCTCCACTCGGTTGGGAGGCTTCTTTGTTTGCCGCCCCGGGCGGTGTCTCGGCACCGGCGGCGGTCTTTGCTGCTTGTTCGTCGAGAACCTTCTTCGCCGCCTCCATGTCATGTGCTTTCTTGGCCTCCTCGTCCTTCTGTCGTGCCTGCTCCGCCTCCATTGCCTCCATCTTCTCCCTGTTTTCTTCGTCCTTCTTCTTGGCCTCCTCGTCTTCCTTCGCCTTCTTGGCCTCCTCCGCCTCCTGCTTCTTGCGCTCCTCCTGCAGCTTCTTGAGGGCTGCTTCCTGCTGGGCCCTCCTCGCCTCCTGTTCCTTCATCTGCCTGAGCCTCTCCTCCTCCCGCTCTTCTGGCGTGGGGTGGATAACTGTTGATTGTGTCAGTCAGTGCTGGCTGTTTCAGGGGTGTGGGAGACAGCAAGCCGCCCGTGTGTGATGAAAAACTCACCCCCATCCTTGGTGTCTCCAGCGCACCTCTCCCGGTCCAACTTTGCCTTCAGGACGGTATGCAGCTCAGGGCAGTACTCCAGGATCTTCTTCCTCCTCTCGTGGTCCTCCCACACGTCAGGGTGCAGGTTGTCCCCCATCTCTTGGACGTGGAAGCCCATCGGCTTCTCCATGTACACGTTCTCGACAGCCAAGGCGCCCTCAAGGCCCGATGCGACCTTCAGGCCGGGCATGATGTATAGTCGCTGGCCGAACCACTCATCCTCCGGAGCGGTGTCGTTGTATCGCGCCTGGAAGCTGAGGACCTGTCGAATAGCGCTCACCCGACGCAAGGACAGGCCCCCGTTACCAGCGAATCGATCAGTCTCGCCTCTGTAGCACTGTCAGCAGAGCACAACAGAGGGGCAGCAGAAAAAGTCTCGCGGTCCCTCCCTTACCTCGGAGCACCAGCCCAGTGCCAGTGGAGCCAGTCGTTGAGGCTGACCTCGGAATTGGCACACAGGATGCTGTCGTACTCGAACTTCAGGATCCACTCGACGCCGGGGAGGAACTCGTCGTAGAAGCGCATGTCGGTCAGGGTGCGGAAGACCATCTCCTTGGAGGAGATGTCCCAGGGCTCGGGCAGCACCATGAGGTCCAGCTTGCCGACGACCTGCTGGTGCTTGACCGAGGTGCTCCTGCCCAGGAGGGTGACGCTCCTGTCGGAGCCGATGAACAGGAAGCGCCAGTCGGGCGGGACGACGGCGATCATGTGCAGCAGCTGGGGCACGAGGTGGGGCATGACGCGCGGCTCGATGATGAGGGCCAGCTTGGAGGCGTTGTAGGCGGCCCGCGGGTCGTTGGTGGGCGTCCAGTCGACCTTGATGGAGGGTATCCTCTGCCTTGCCTCCTCGAGGCGCGAGTGAAGCTGGGCCTTGATTATGGGCTCGTAGTGTGGCAGGAGCGAGGCTATCCACCACCTGGCGACGAGGCGAACAAGTCAGTCAGCACACCATCCATTGTTCCCAAGGCTCGTTCACCGCACTGCCAAACGTTCTTTCTCTCGCAACCGGCCCGAGGGAAACCCGAGGGGCTGTGGGTTGACATATGGATGCATTGTTGGACTCACGTAAAGGCCAGGGACATGGCCAGGAGCAGGCGAGGTTTGGTGATGGCGAATACCCCGGGAGAATGGGTGGAAGGGGCAGCCATGACGGAGCAGACACGAAGCCTCGTGCTTCGGGGTGACGACGGGACAGAAGGAGGCAAGTGTGTGAGATTGTTTAACGGTCAGATGGTATCGAGGCGTCAGGAAAGCGCGTCACCATCATCGGCACATGGGCATCATAGACGGGATTTGGGGCGTGGGGTGCCACGCAGGCCAGATTGTTCACTCGAGTCGCAGTGCAGCTGCGAGGGGTTGATTCAGTTACGATGCGGTGCGATCGATGCGCAGGGATGATGATGACTTAGACGGGGCTGGCTGGGCCGTCCATGACAGCGCGCAAGAAGGGAAGAGTCCTTGGGCGCTGAATCTAGGCTGGTAAGGACAGCGACAAGAAAACAAAAAAGGAATTGGCAAAGAATGGGAGACAGTCCAGGTACTACTAGTGAGGAGTGAAGGGAGGGAATTTTGGATGGGCGAACATTGAAATCAAGGGGAGGTACGGAGTAGCATTACGCAAGGTGGGCAGGGTAGATGACGGGAAGAGGATACATTGGGGTACATACCTTAGGTAGGTACACCTGCCGTGCCCCTTGGAAACGTGGGCGAGAGATCTCTTGGCTCGCTGCGGCTCGGGGTCGCGATCCCTTTGGGCTCTCGCCCACACACATTCCCCATGGGTTGGGTGCACGGGTCGGGTGGAATCCCTTGCGTTGATCACACCTACGCATCATGCCTTTTTATCTTCTTTTCTTGTCTACAGGATAAGCTTGTTCTGTCCTTCTTGTTGGCCATCGCCGCCCCTTTTCCCCACGACCAGGCCGGGGGCGGGCAGAACAAGCTTCCCGGTCCTGCCGGAGTGTTTCGAGCTAATAAGCATGGGCATGTTGGCTTCTGAGAGCGCTATGAATACACCTAAGGTCTGCAGTGGCTTCCTGTCAGCTGCTGGCTGGCTGGCTTGGGGCGGCTGAATGGTGCCATGCTCGAATGGGGCTAGAGAGACGTGGACAATCAAGGAACTGAGAGGGTTTGTGGCGCAAAGGGAGGCTTCTCACATGCAGGGTCGATGCAAGAAGTGAGACTGTGACTCGCCAAGGCTAGGGTCCAAGATGATAGCACGATAGATAGTCTGGATCGAGAATGACAGCACGGGCAGAGAAAAGGCCAAAAGGCTCACCTCAGCTGTCGTCTGTGCGCATGCAGTCCAGTCAAGTCTATTCGTCTCCCAGGAATCAGTCTCCATATCACACGGATATACAGATATGCCCCTCCCACTCCATAGCTGCCAACAGCAGACTAGTCGATCTGATTCCTCGATGCCAAGCCGGTTCGCAGCCCTGCCCTTCGAGTACCGAACCGTGGTATTCCGTATTCCTGCTGCACATCACGTCCCCACGCTGCGTTCCCGAACGGGCAGACGGGCCAGCCCCAGCCCGGCTGTGACTGGTCAATTGCTGCCGTGCTGTCGCCAAGTCACTCCATGTACCTGCCCAGCTCTCCCTCCTTCTACCACGGTGGTCTTGTGTAGGTATTTTTGCGACGCCTTAACCTTGTAACTCTGCCCAGCCCCTGGAGAAGGGGGAGGGGATAACCATGAATCAGATGTCGCCTCCCTAAACCTGCCATCTAAGATGATTCCCAGTCAAATTTAGCACCACCTTTTTTTTCGCCCGTTGAAACCCCTCGACAGGCACAGCATCTGTACTCCGGGACTCTGTCTTGCATGTGCACTCGCTCTGTGAGCCCAAATCTAGACTGCCCCTTACACACGCACAACTTGCACACAAGAGTTCCACCTCGAGGCCTTGCGTGTCGGGTCTCTGTCCACCACTTCATTCTGGACCCCGTCCAATCGACAAGACTTACACAGTAGACAGCAGTCAACCAGCAGGGGTTACAGAGACGACACAGCACAGCTTGCGCGTCACCGGCACTGAAACGTGCGCCGCTTCGGTGTGCCCATTGGAAATTGCTCCACCAGCGATCCCCCCAGAATACCGTGTACGCTCCCAACTTTAAATCTGGCCGGCGGCAGCGCCCCCAGCTCCCGACTCTGGCTGGCGAGTCGTGTGCCCGATCCATGTAACTGACCAGGGGTGGAAACTCTCGCTCGCTCGCTCGCTCGCCCGCCATTGCGCCCGCCAGCATCTAAGTTCGCCGATCTGGCTTCCGGCACTCCTCACACGCAACATGTCGCTCAAGCAGGCTTATGATGCGGACGAGGTGGACTGCGGCGAGCTCTGGGACAAGATGAAAAGGGTCGCGTTCAAGCTCTGGTCGAGGACGACGAGGCGCGTCCGCTTCGTCTTCGCCCTCGTCTCTTTCCTGTAAGTCTTGTCTTGCGCACAGCACACGGCCGTGCTGCAACTCTGGCTCTGACCCTGATGCGCAGTGTCATCACCACTGTCATCTCGAGGCATCTCATGCAGAATGCCGTCCTCGACGACTACATCATCGTGCCCAAGGTCTCGCTCGAGTATGCCTCGGAGCAGCGGACGCCCTTCAACGAGTCCAAGGTCGCCCTTCTCATCGAGAACCGCGTCAACCCCATCCTGGCGCCCCTCATGCTGCACTTCATCTCCGTCGTGCCCCCGGACTGGCGCTTCCGCTTCATGGGGTCCCTAGAGTCCGTCGAGCACCTGAACAAGTCCGTCGCCATCCGCGAGCAGGTCAGCATCGGGAAGCTCGACCTGACCTACATCCCCTCCAACATGTCCGTGTCGTCCCAGGAGGAGATCTCCCGCTTCCTCACCAGCCTGTGGCTGTACGAGACCGTCCTGGCCCCGGCCGAGTGGCTGCTCATCTTCCAGACCGACTCCATCCTCTGCGCCAACTCCCAGCTCAACCTCAACGACTTCCTCGACTACGACTGGATCGGCGCCCCCTGGAACCCGGGCTCCCGCTTCGGCGGCAACGGCGGCCTGTCCGTCCGCCGCGTGAGCGCCATCGTCGACGTCCTCCGCTCCCAGGCCCGCGCAGACTTCTCCGAGGCCGAGGACGTCTGGCTGACCGAGCGCCTGGGCCACCGCCCCGACGCCCGCATGGCCAACTCGACCGTCTCGCTCACCTTCAGCGGCGAGATGCACACGGGGCGCCCCACCCACCTGTCCTCGGACAAGGAGACGGCCCACTACAACTCGACCCTCGAGGCCGCCGAGGCCGGCGAGCTGGTCAAGGGCATCGACGACTGGCGCGAGGGCTTCTACGAGCCCATGGGCTACCACACCGGCGGCGGCGGCTCCTACCTGCACAGCCAGATCTGGGGCAGCCCCCGCCTCCGCAAGCACATCTGGGACTACTGCCCCGAGGTCAAGATGACCATCGCCATGGACGCCGCAAAGTACGTCCCCGGGAACTGCGGCGCCTACTGGAAGCGCGACGTCCTCGGCGGCGGCTACTCCATGGACGCCGGCGGCTCCCTGAGCGCCGACCTGGGCTACGGCACCGAGGTCATCGACGGGGAGGAGTACCCGCTCCTTCCCGACAGCCTGGCTCCTTTTTGAGCATTTTGTTTTCTTGTTTTTTTTTTCTCTTTCTTCACGTATATCTGTTTATCATGCACGACGACTGGGTGTCACATGTTTGGACTCGGGTGTCATGGTGTTGGAATGTGGCGTTGCTTCTAGGGTTCATGTTAGGGACATGCAGAAGACGGTGCGATGATATAGACAAAGAAAGTTTGTCCTGGGAAGTTTGGTTGGGTTGGCTTGATATCCCCTGGGAAAGCATGCGAAAAACGTCTGTGGTAGTGGGCGTTTGTATCTCGAGACTGGACGGCATGTAGGCAAAAGATTGGTTGGTACAATCCATTCACCTGCATAATTCAAAATATGAAATACCCCCCCCCCCAATGCGGCTCTCGTCCCTTCTTCCACCCCCCACCGCCCCACCCTTGCCAGGCTATCCATCTATCGTCTGATGTCTGTCTGCCTGCATGTATGCTCAACGTGACTCTATCTGGTTGCAAGACTCACCGGTGAGGCTGAGCTGAAAGAAATAGCTGGTGGCCTATTTCTCATGCGTGTTGGTTGCGGCCCCAGGTCCACGCCCGAATCCAGGAGATCACTCAGATATTCATTGATGCCTTAACCCCTTTTCCACCCACCGTTGTGCCGCAGGCGCGGTGGTGAGTCAAAGCTCGCTTAATGCTGCTCAGTCGCTGCGCAGCCAAGCCGAAGGGAGAATCGGCTTGGGGATTCAACCCTCGAGATGAGCCAACCACCCACCACCACATCATCATGTCACAATCACATGCCCGTGAGGTCATATCATCATACCCTTTTCAATCAGGCTTGGCAATAAATAAAAAAGCTGGGGGGGGGGATAACTCAATGAGGGAGGGGTGTGAGTGTAGTTGACATAAGCGCCATAATACCCGCGACATATGCATTGTCTATATTGGGAAATATGCTTCTGTGTATATTGAACAACGACAGGTCAGGGCGTCCAGCGCCCGCCCGTCTGTCTTTATTGACTACTTGCCTACCCAGTATCCCCTTTCCATTTCCCATTACCTCGGGTTATGTACAAAGTGAGTGTGCCTATGTGATGTGTGTGGTCCAGCGTGACTCCGACTGTCTGTCTCTGCCTCTCCCTCTCTATCTAGCCAAAGCAAATGTTACTGAGAATCCATGTTCAAAAAGCTAGAGATGTCATCCGAGTCAGGGTTGAAGAAATTCGCCCGCCCCATGACCGCCTCGCGCTGCTCCTCGGCGCGCATGAACTGGTTGATTAGCCGCGTGTTGGACGACTCCTGGGAGATGCCCTCTTGTCCATAATCGTCGCCATCTCCGCCACCAGCCCCCATCTGCATCCTTGGCTGGGATGCCGTGTTGACCCCACTGCTTGCCTGTGTTGGTCCCGCATTTGATGCCGTGCCATAGGCTGAGTCCGACGCCGCGGGTTTGGGCTGCCCGTGGAGTGACCCATAGTTCTGGTGGGTGGTGGTGACGGGGCTGGTGCGGTGGACAGTGGACAAGCTGTCTGACCTTCTCGACACGGGGTGACTACCGTGGTAGTCAGCCATGACGCTGTCAGTGTCCATGTTAAAGCCCATTAGGTTTCTGTAGCTTCCTGGCTGCCTTCCTTGCACAGTATGACGTTGCGGGCCGACAGCGTAAGTGTAGTGACCCGGCTGGGTATGTGGAGTGCCCGGTGCAGCGGAGGGCGGCATCAACGCGCGCGTCATCGTCTCTCCCTGGGTTGGTATGGTCCTGGGCGTAGCTTGTGAGGCAGTCGGCTGGAGCATCCTCTCCAGGGCTGCGACCCGCTCCATAAGAGCATTGTGTTCGCTTCGGCTTACAAGGTCGTCACCACGGAAGTTGGACTGCGCTCGAGAGGTATTTCGAGGCATCTCTTCGTCTGATTCGCCTTCTGCGTCGGATACCTGATCAACACTGCTATCATTTGAGACAGCTGCTCCTGCGGAACTTGTCGCCAAGCGTGGGTCAATTTTACAGAACGTCTTTTGAATGAGGGTATACTTTTCCCTCTTTGACCGTGACGCCTTTTCACATTCGATAGCGAAATGGTTTTCAAAGGCTTGGGGGTCCGAGAAGGCCCGCCAGCACCTCCTGCACAAGCCAGCAGCAGGGTGGCCGTGTTCGTTGTTCTCGAGGCCAAAGGATGAGACACTCCTGCGCTCGCTGACAACCTCGAGGCAGTGGGTTGGTCGGCTAAGGTGGCGCCTATCTCTGTGTGTTAGCAGGGATACCTTGCGTAGAAGCCGAAAGGAGGCCCTACTTACACCACCGTGGAGATGTTGTCGTGTTGGGTATGACAGCTCATGTACTTTCCATCGCGAGCCATATCATAGATTTCCGGGTGCTCGACTCGAAAAGGGCAGATCATCTTAGGATCACCTCCTTGATCTGTCTTAGCAGCAGGAGCCTTGTTCCGCTTGTTTGGAGGCTCATCGTCTTCATTCTCGTCGCTGCCATCGAAACCCCTAGAAAATTCGACCGGGCGCTTCCCCGGCCGGCTGGGCTGGCCAGGGTTGCCAGAGCGTAAGCCTCGCGTTGTGGGCACGCGCCCTGGGTCTGATTCAACATCATGCGGTGCGATGCCGTCTCTTGCAGCCCATGGGGACTGCTTCAAAAACGGGCTTGGCGATGAAAGGGGAGTTAAGACCTGGGTTTTCACCGTCGGACTCGCCTGCGGAGTCAGCACGATTGGAAGGGCTTCGAGTGAGTTTTCATGGCCATTCGCTGCTTCCGGGGTGAGCGCTTTTTCTGCGCCATTATCATTGCGTGGAGCGCTTGTGTACAGCTGCGGATCGACTGGAATCTTCAGCCACTCATCGTCGCCCTGAAACCCAGGTGCATAAGTCCGGGAAAACTGCTCCAGAAAGTTCTGATTGTTCCTGAGTCGAGTCACTGGTGAGTTCCAGGGAATATAAACATCTGCCCCGTAGGAAATGGGCCCATCATATGTCGCTGACGCAGGGGAGTTCTGCGGCACCACCGGGCTTGGAGAGACGGTCAGGCCTGGCACAGTCCGGATCGTCAAGCTGCCCCCTGGGTGAATGACCTGGTTGCTGGCATCGCTCGTCATGAGGGGGAAAGGAGAGGCAGGCTCGTCCTTGTGCGCATGTCGACTGCGAACGTATTCCCAGCCGTGCGTCTTTTCCATGTGCTGCTTGCAATTTGATTCCCGCTTGGAGGTGTCTATTCGGACACGGGGTTAGTGGACTCGGGTTGTCACCAAGCCGCCCAAGGACTGGCCGTGGGCAATTGACTTACACGTGCAGGGCAGATACGGGCAAGAGTATGTCCTCGGTTCCATGGAATGTTTGTCATTGCGATGGCGGTCCAGCTCCTTCTCTGTTGGCCAACCGAGCTGGTGGTACTTACAAGCCTCAAAGGGGCACTTGAAGGGCCGGGTGTGCGCTTTGAGGTGTTTGTTCAGATCGCACAGTCGAGGATACTGTCTGCCACAATGCTGGCAGACATGAGGCCCGTCCGCTCCCTCCATGTCCCGCACGGGTGAGGCTGCCAGACTGTGGGCCGGGATAGCTGCATGGTCGTCACGATGACCAACAAGTCCCCATCGAGACTCTGGTGTTGGAACGAATGGAGTGTTCATGTCAGAGGGGCTGACAAGGACGGGTGGAGCTGATCCTCGGGGCTAAAGGCGGGACAGGCAACGAAGATGTCTCTGGTTCTGCCCGTTCGGGTGACTGGATCTGTACTCGTCTGGGTCCGTCCGGGTGAGCAGGAGTTGAGCAGGAGTTGAGCAATCAGAACAGGGCTTGTGCTTGTCTCTCCCGGGTGCAGAAGGCAGGACAGTTGCGAGGAAAGGTGAGAGGGGCTTGCGGTAGATAAATTGGGCAAAATGTCAGGGTCAGGATCGTGTGGGATAAGAGTAATAGAGAAGCACGAGTATGAGTGAAAGCCGCGGAGGCTGAAGAACAGGCAGCAGAATTCCCACAGCCCCGATATGTATTTAGCTTATGATGGCGAGCTGCAGACGGGCTACATGAGGTGAGTCGAGGTGAGGTCGGGTCTGGGGCGGTTCAGGTGTGCCGATATGGCAACGTGGTAGCCTTGACCCGGCGGCATCGTCTAATATATGAGCCGCTACCGAGGCATGGCCCATGGCCCATGTTGGGTTGGCAGCCATATCCATTGCATACCTAGGTGGGTAGGTAGGTCGCAGCAGAGATGTCTGGATGCCCGGGTAGGGGAGAGAGACAGACAGGCCAGGCCTCGGATGGGGCTGAACGGGGCAAGGCCATCTTTGGAGACCGGCGTGCATGCTGTGCTGGCTGCGAGGGCATTTCCAGTGCGCTGCGCAGTAGAGCTGGATGCAGCCGCGTGGCGGAGTCCTCTGGTCTTCTCGTCTGGGTATCATGGATGATGGTACGTAGGTCAAGTTGCTTGCTTGGGGGTGGAGTGCAGGAAGGGCGACGATGCGGCCGGGAGTGGGCGTGTGTGGGAGGTGGGGGTGGGGGTGGGGGATTGAGTTGGGGGTGTGCATATGATGTCAGTCGCCCATTAACTCCATGGCCTGTGTCGTCAGCGGAGGAAGCAATAGTGTGGTACGTGCACCCGCAGCTTCGGTGGTACGGAGTAGTGGGTTTGCGTGTGTTAGGTAAGCGGGCGGGAGGTCTCCAATGATCAAAAAGGGTGCAGGGGTGCGGCACCCAACCTGGCAAAGCACGGTGAGGCTTTGCGCAAGTGGGATGGATGCATGCGCTCTCTGTCTTCCCTCACCTTGCAGCCCTTGCAGCCCTTGCAGCCCTTGACGGGCTTGACCTCACCACGGCCACAACTGGCGGCCAGTTTTGGCGACCAGTGTGTGTTGGAACCGTTGTGCCGGGCCCGGGCACTCCAGACTGGCCACTCGCAGGCGTCCCTCTGTCGACTCAGCCAGGATCGCAAAAGCCAACGTGCATGCCCACACAGGGGGCTGCTTGTGTCGTACCAGAATCTTACTTTTCACATGGTCCGCTAAGCGCAGGCGCGGAGACACCACCTGCAGCACCGCGACCCATCCAAATCCAGTCCATCTCCAAATCAGGGTGTCATCAGGTTGCGACCATGTTGCTGCAGCTGCCAGCCCTAGGACGAATGCACACGAGTGCCAGGCATCTGGCATGTCCACCCCGATCGCGAGGCAGAATCTCTGGCAGACCGTTTCCGCTTCTACCTGGCCATGCACGGCTGCTGCAGAATACGGATAGGGTGCAGTAGCGCCATCACCTCTGTCTCTCTCACCCTCAGCCATGACGCTCCCGAGCTGCGAGCAAGTGCGGGCTATGGTCCATGTCGAGCAGGTCCCGTCCTGACTGCCCTAGAGGGCTGACTGCATAGAGGATCACCAACACAGACAACACAAAATGAGGTACCCGGTAGCAGCACAAATCAGAGCCAGCATGGGAGCCAGCAACCCTCGTCAGCAGGCTCAATTAGGTTTGCGGAAACCAGTGAGAGGATGCGCCAACTGACAGCCATGGTGGGGTCTATCTTGAGATCGTCCTACCCTCGGCCGTCTCCACTGCCCTGGGGAATGCCAGCAGTGCAGCACGAGCCGTCACCACCACCTGCGTCTCATCTCCAGTGATCAAGTCTTGATGTGACATCGCCCGCTAATGGCTGATGCCTCACGGGCCCCCCCAGGCGCCCAACAATGCGCCATGCGGACTTTTGCTTCATACATAGCATGATCAACGATGCCATCACCAACGCGGTTGATGAGCCGCGTGCTATGCGGCCTCCGGGCGTTGGGCTGGGGTCCCGTCCGGACCAAAGCGGGCCCTTGGGCGCCTTGGCGGGCCGCCGAAACTGGCCGGAGGCCAGAAAAGGCGACCAAGTGCCGCAAAATATTTTTCTAGGCTGTTGACAAGGCTCACGATGCATTCCCCGTACCGTCGCTGCAACCTGGCCCATGCGGGTCCCGTAATTCCCGGGTCTCCTGAAACCCCAATTCTGCAGCACGCTTCCTCATTGAACGACATGCGAGAGAGGCACTTTGCGAATTCACGCCTGCCGGACCCTGCCTGCCGCAGCGGGCTGCCACTTGCACAGTATCTAGGTTCCAGCTCGCAATCCTTGGATCTCAGGTCAGACATGATAGTACGGAGTAGTGGGACGCTAGAAGCTTTGCTCCATGCCTTCTCTGACCGAGCTAGAGATCCCAAGCTGCGCGACTCACACCCGGTTTCGACGATTGACCAAGGCCGACTGCGTGGGTCCCCGCAAGGAACAGCCATGAAGCCTGGGTTGCCTGATGCAACCGCACGTCGTCTTTGGCCTCAGTCACCGCACTGCTTGACTGCAGTGCCGCGGTTGTGGACGCGGTCATGGCCAGATTCATTGATATCACCGGTCCTGCCGCCCTTCAAGGGTCAGTGATGGCCTACGGGGAAAGGTCCGCCAGCCGGGACCGCGGGGCCGCTCCAGAAGGCCCGTCAGAGACCGTTTTTCTACTTGAGCTTCTGGAAAAACTTCGCCACTCCTATGAAGGGTCGCACCTCCGGCCTCGTGGCTGGAAGTGGCTGGACCGGCAACTATCGCCGGGGTGGAGTTGTCCACAATGGGGCTCTTGCGGGTTTTGAAACTCCGCTCTTCACGTATCTCTTTTTCATTGCTCATTAGACGAGCCAGAAACTTCTTTGGGGGCGATCTCCCTGGTGGGCCCGTCGTGCCGCAAATGGGACTGATCCAAGCTTGGATCACCCGTTCGCGCGGCCCATAGGGCTGACTGACAACTTGCGATGTGGTTGGCGCATTTACCTGCCCGACAGGGTCTTGTGTAGCCTGTGCCTCACTGCGGTCCACCGACGATGTCAACAACATGACGGAGGCTTGTGATCCACGCATGCCAGCGCACCATTCTGTGACCGACGGCCATGTCATTCCTGCCTCAACCACTCAGCCTCGGTCGTACGCTTTCTCTGAGCCCCACGACGAGCTGTCACATCGGGCCTGAGGTGCTCCGCGGGAGACTGCCGCGTAATATAATTGACACACACCGGTTGTCCTCTTCAGGAAGTTTCTAGGCCCAGACAATGTTCACAGTCCAGGCACCGGACATGCTATCTTGCTATCAGAAATCCTGATCGGCACGTCCCGGGCCTTGTCCAACGAACCCAGCTTCCAGGACGTTCTTCCCAGTCCCGGACTGTCATGCAGTCTCGTGCCAACAGACCCCGGAAACAACATGGTCCGGTTTTTGAGGGAGACATATACTAAAAAGTCTGAAAGTACCCTAGGGTAGGTTCAAGAGCGATATTGTGTCGTGTCCCAAAACACATGCTTTCGGACGGGGCCTGGCTCTGACCAACCTTCATGTGTCTTGTGCGGTATAACCTACGGCTCGTACTAGATTTTCCTCAGGAAGACTCAAGTGTGTCCGCTACAGCCGTTACGTTGGCGGGTATTGTTCGATAGCATGTACCGTCGAATCTGAACTCATCAGTTAGGATTACCATATAATTTGGCAGGGGAAATCATAACATCTCGTGACACTTGGGCATTTCTACTAGAGGCTCAGATATCGCGGCACTAAAGCTTGAGTACAGAGTACTCATGCAAAATGCCAAAATCAGTTGTGACACCTATCTTAGAGGCATCAATGATGCATCCTACAGTATGTGCCTTTTGAAACAGGCTTACATCGCTGTTCCAAAAAGCTCTCCCCTTCACTCATAACCGCGAGGCATATCATTGTATCCAACGTTGACTCGGGCAAAATCACAGCAACGGAACAGACCAAGAAAATTCATGGTCGTCGATGAAAACATGATTGAAGACTTTAACCAGCCTGGTAACATGAACAAAGCTGTCTGTCTCCCGTTCGAGGCGCGCAGACAGGTCAAGTTTAGAGTGTGGCACACCCCAGACTGCCTCTAACCATGAAACAAGAGTCTGATTCCAGACCATTTCATCCATACGATGCGTTCTCGTCTCCAAGTGGCAGAAGGATACCGAGATCATTCTGAGCATATACATAGCGAATAACACAAGTCGACCACAACCCAACAACCACAAGGGGCTCCTGTCATCAGTGCCCATATGGCAGGCTCAGCTCCCGATAAAGGTCGAACGATGTGTATGAATATTATACGGCTTCGCCAAAGTTTGCTTCCCATCTTTGGATGTGTTCTGGCAAAGTAGAGAAATAGAAATATGAAGGCTAGTCCATGTACATGGCATGTGTTAACTGAAAATACCCCAGGCTTTCCAGAAAGTTAAATCCAAAGTCCGAAAATAGCAGTTGGGCCCAAGGTTACTGCACCCAGGCTGCTTGATTCCACTGCAATTATGTCTCCCGGCAACAATCCTAGAAATGCTGATCATGATTACTTCACACAGATACGGCATTTCCAAAAGACCTTGCATGGTTTCAGGCTTCTCTGGACTGAGACACCAATAATCCCGCCCCCGCCCCGAGGGAAGGGGGTAGTAACTGTCTCAGACAGAGATGTTACCAGCTGCTCACAGGCCGTGGGAATACGTCCCTTTGTCTCCCTGTTCTCGGATCACGGCCAGGTACATGGCAAGCCCCGGGTCTGGAGCGGCCGGCGCGCCCCCTCCGACGCTTATCTATTGCAGGCAGCCGCCGATCTTCCGGGGTCACCGACACCATACGGCCATATGGGGGCTGTTTCTAAATCTGAGTGGTGTCAGGGGCTGTGCCGCACAAGTCCTATGCATGCCTGCGGCGCTGCAGCGAAGGAACTGCACTTGTTGGTGACTTGATTACATGCCAGTGGCCTCCACCAGTCATAAGCTTATTTGCCATTGGCCAATATGCTTCAATGTTGCTGATGTGACATCATTGATGCAAGAAGCCTGTCAGAATTGGATTCTCCTGTTGAGATATACGGGAGCCTAATCACAGCGTGCTTAGGTGATAGGTGATGAGACAGGACGCACTCGAGTAGTCTTTGTGTTCTCAATCGAGACCTGAGTGTTCGGTCATATACATCCGCAGCGGGATTTGTGCTGAAACTTTGGAGCACTTTCACTAGACTTGGGAGAAATGTTGTAACCCCAAGCCATCATGGACGCTTCCTTGGCCCAACGCCTTGGTATTCGAGAAAAGTGGCAAGGACCTCACGGCATTTCGCTCGTTAAGTACCAAGACATAGCCTTGTAACATGTGTGGACTACAGAAGTTTGTTAAACAACACCATAATGCCTGTTGGGGGGAGGGGGGTTAACTAGTAGTCTGGTGGTCTAGGAAAGCCCCATTTTAAATGTGCCTAGGTATCTGAGTGGACATCAACAATTTCAAAACTAGAAACGGGCCTGAGAAGTATTTGTCACAGTTATTCTCAAGAAACCAACCTAAAAGTTGTATCACACAATCTTACACTAGCTACCTGGGTCGCCACACAGACCGTTTTCAAATCTCTGCTGGTCATATTCATAACGTGGTCAAATCGAATAAATACCCTAGGGTAGGCGACGCATAGTGAGGAACGTGTTTCTGGGGTTGGGGACTTCAGTCACTCTGCTCAAGTGTTGTGCCGAAGCGACTGCTCGGCAAATTGTATACCTAGACACCTAGGTAGCTCAATGAACTGTACATACGAGCATACAACATTTGAAACCCATAAACTCTTGCTGTAGTGTCCTTTATCCATGAAATTTTCTATTTAGTCTCTGCACTGGTAAGTATTATTGATGGTCTAATTGCTGGAGTCGTAAGGTCAACCAGTATGAGATACCAGGAGTTGTGGTGAACACAAAGACTGTAATTATCCGCCTCATCAACATTTGAACTCGTGGAAAACAACAGGAGCAGTGAAGAATATTTAGTAGAGAATAATCAGCATGGCCAAGAGCGTCGCTAGGGTTCGAATGATACAAGGCTGAAGAGGAAGATCAAGACCCAATATGCACCAATTGGCTGCCCGGGCTTCCTAGGTAAGGACAATACCCCTACTCCTCGGGAGTCTCTCGCGACTCAATTCACTCACAAGGCCTGGTCGAGGAGACCGCCATCGCATGCAATGGGGGGAGTCTTAGCTGAGCCATATGATTCAAGAACAAATCAACTCGTCATGGGGATAGTCATTACAATTTTGGCTTAGCGTATCAAAATGAAAAATGATCAATAGTCTATGGTCTATATACAGAGAGATCAAACCAGTCAATTTGCAGCATACTTCCCGTCCTCTCTTGCTTCAGATCCATATCCTGGGACTTCATTGTGGCCGTTCTCGTAGTGAATATCCACGTCTCTGTTTACCAGAATTCCTTTATTATAGATTCTCTCTGTGGACTCATCATCGCCGTATCCTCTTGTTGATAGGATCGTGGCGTTGTAGTCCTGCACCTTACGCTTCCCCTTCCGCATCTCAAAGGCATCATTGTTGCTGTCGTTGATGGGCATAGAGCCTGGCTTGGAGGGTCTCATGGATGAGCTCTGCCCTGTGGTCATCTTGCCCCTCGATGTCCAGAAAAGCCGGCTGAAAGCGGGGCGCACTGCATGACACAATATCAGCGACAACAGTAACGATGGGTAAACACTATATTGACTCGATGTATAGTTGGGTGTGGAAGGCTGTGCCACGGATGATTGTGCCGACAGCTCGATATGCTTCGGGATACGGGTGGGAGTGGTATAATACGTACACATGGGAGCTTGCCCAACCAACGTGGCAACAAAATCCTCTCGGCAAGACCAAATAGCTGCCGTGGATCCATCCTTTTGCTATGAAAGAGGTATGTGTGTCAGAATACTGGAAATATTTAATAGACATGTTAGGACAGGATTGACTAACCACCATGACAAATGTCACTCGCAGAATGGCTGCGATCATGATGAAGAATCCGCCACTGAAGAGGAGGACCAGTGATACCTTCTTCCATAGGCTCATCTTAGCTCGCAGGACGACGGGGGCAGGTATGGCCATAATGCAGAGGTCTGTGACGATGTTCATAACAAGAACTGGGAGCATATAGAGCGTTGCTTGGGGCTCGCACAAATCTGTTGAATGGTCACCTGTGTTAGCCAGATCTCTTATTTCTCTCGAAACACACTCGGTACTTCCAGCGGTGGCTAGAAATGGATCACTCACCACCCTCGTCGGTGTAGAATTTCCACATCCTAGGGTATGGGCGGCATGCCCCAAACAGAATACCCATGATCATGATGAAAGTACACAAGACGAGGCCCAACAGAGGCCAAATGAGCTTTGCGACCCAGAGGCCCTTGACGACTCGCCGGAAGAAGATCAGCATGTTGATCTTGAGCGACCAGACGAAGACGACGTAGGTTGCCACTCCGGCACAAAACCATTGCGTGACCCAAATGTAAGGTGCGGCCTCATCCGCTGTCATGTCCTTCCTTTGATCAAATGTGAGGACGTGTAAGTCCGGGTGGCGGTCACAGACATCTGCCGCATATGTCATGACGGTATAGACTACCTGTTCGTCCACAATTTTCAAGTCAGCCTGAGAAGCATGGAATGGCTAGAGGCGTTGTCTCGTCTTCCAGATGAACTTACCCATGAAAACCAGATGAAATAATCATCGAAATCGAAGCCGCGGAAGCCCACCATCCTCCAACGACACAGGCTCCGAGAGAAGATGAGCAGTGACCCGGCGCCATAGAGGGCCCAGGTCTCGACGATGGGGCTGTAAGTGTACGCCATCTCGACAACGGTCGATAGACGAAGACGGGAGAGGCTGTTGGTGGCGTTGTGCGATAGGTAAGGCGAAGGGGACCAGAGACTATAGTAAACAGGCAAGGCTGAGATGTCCAACACGTGACAGCCAGTGGGTCATGAAAACAGCCCTTCTGGTCAGTTCAGGCGAGCAGGAAAGGGAGAAAGCACCCTCGACATTTGGATGACTCAGTTGCAAGCGACCTCACCGTCGTATAGTCAGATTTTGGTGGCCTCGATGCCCCTGCCGAGGTGGGTCCGTGAGAACTTATAACCAATTATCCAGAATTGGAATCTTTTGACCGACTTGCTAGGTGAGCTGACCGACACGCCCAAGTCAACGCCACTGGGCCTCCAAACCATCCTCCTGCCGTGTCTGTTTGGCCTGGCGACCTCGACGAAGACCAGACTTATGCAAGCCACCCTGCCTGGTTACCCCAGAACGTCAAACATGCACGCTATTCAAGTCCCCTTCACTGTGTGACGATCTAGTTTGCAATATACAAAGATGATATCCAACCGAGGAAGATCGTCCCCGAGCATCTGGATATCCCCATTTCACACCGGCATACTCATGCACTCAAGCATGCTTCTTCTCAACCCACTAACTACTTCAAGAACCGAGGCGCTCTTACTCCCCAGAAAAATCCAAGCACCTGGGCAGTCTGGAACTTGAGCAGCCAAAGGACCCATGCAGGTAGCTGCATACACAGTACACATCCATCTCGCTTGCAGTAACCATTAATCCTGTACCACTCCTCCTAACGCCCGCATATGTGAACCCGGAATCCCCGGCTGATGAATTGTCCCGTGTGCTACCCAGGCGGGACGCTGGGGAATGCTGTCCTGTCAGCTGCAACACTTGGAGGCCACGCGGGAGGTCCAGCATTATGCAGAATAGAAACAACAGCACAACACAATGAAACATGAATCATCCTAAAAGCACAATTTTTGGACATCGTAACTACTTAAGTGGGCAGGGAAACTGGCCAACGCGGATGGGAACCCGAAGGTGCAGAATCCATTGATCCTCCACACCACGGCACCTGGGTAGCGCACGGCGGACTTCACCAATATTAGCGCCCGAGATTGCTTACCCTGCAGTAGGACGCCTCCGGGAGCATCTCTCCTGCATTAGACGCGTCTGGGGTTGCCTTTTTCGAGGTGGAGGAGACGACAAGATCGGGCAAGGGGGTCGCACAAGGTATCCAGTACCGCCCGTGTAAGCCGCAGCCAGCGCTTGGAATCAAAGCTTTGGCTCAGCCTGCAGAATGGTCAACCTCTCAGCCTGTACGGTACCTAGGCAACTAGGTATTCAAGTAGGCGGCCAGCAGGCCTGCAACAGGCCCCAAGACAGACCGGGTTGGTGCCTGCAATTTGAGAATGTCTGTGGGCAGCAGGGTGCCATCAACTAGAGCCGCATCGTGCAGCTAGGACCGACTAGAAGAACACCATGCAGATCTCCGCAAGCTACCTAGGTAAGTAATAAAATTCGGGGTGCTTTGTAGTCTCCGCGTACCGCAGCTCTCAGTCCATATTCAGACAAGATCTCCGCTTTCCGCCCCGCGAACATGCATGTCGGCGTGGTTCATCGGTGGAGGTGTCTCTAAACCACCATATGCATCGCACAGTCTTGGCATCCACTCTTGACATTACTGTGGTCGTATGGCGGTTGGAAGTCTCTGGGCGGCCTGGGCGGGCGGGTGTTTCGGCGGTGGTGTTACCAATCGTGGGCATATTCTTTCCCTGGCCACTATCTGTGAATGGGGGATCTCTCAGAATGACCTCGGCACCTAGGAATATTGGAATCCCTCAAATCCAAAGGACCCCCTGTCCAGAGAGAATCTCCTCTTCCTCAGAAATATGCTTACATCCTCGTTGGCCGGGAATGGAGCAGATTAAGCCCAAAGTCGTAGACGCCTTTCTCCGACCCGCCGAGCCGGATCAAAAGCCAAGCTTTAATATGAGCTGGGGAAATCTGCCAGAAATACGCCCAAAGGACCATCGGGCCTGTTGATGCAGGTCGGGGCCGATGCCCTCGGAGGATCATTGGTTCGAGAACGATGCAGAAATGCACGACTAGCAGACACTCAAGCTTCACACTCAAGTTTCACATGTTGTCGGTTTGCAGGTCGATACCTAGGTAGTCATCATCCTACATATGTATGCAACCCAGCAAAGATCCCAGCACCCAGTCACATTTGTTTTCAGACTAATAAATCCCAGCCCCGGGTAGATCAATACTTGGGTACTTACTACTCTGACTGCAGTCGGCATGTACACAGTAAGCATCCCACATTCCCCGGTTTCACAGCATGTTTATTGCCCGCTTACTGCAGCCAGCCAGGTAATTTATTTCTCGTGCGGGGGATATTCCTCTCTGTAAAAGCAATCTCATCCCTTGATCACCCAGAACCCCTGAGGGTTGCACCAGCCTTTAAGCCCAACAACGCCCCAGTCCATGCCGATTCCGCTTGCTTTGTGCCCCCCAAAAGGCATGTTGCCACTTACCTGGAAGTGCGAGTTCACCCAGACACTGCCAGACTCCAGCTGATCGGCGATCTTGGTGGCCTTGGCAACATCGCTACTCCAGACCGAGGCGCCCAGCGCCTGGTCAAAGGCATTTGCACGGGCGATCACGTCCGCCTCGTCCGTCCAGCGCAGGATAGGCAGGATAGGCCCGAAGGGCTCCTCTGTCACGATGCGAGAGCTTTCCGGCGGGTTGTCGATAATCGTTGGTGGGAGGACCAGTCCCTTGTTGGGCTTCTCGCTCAGCTCCTTGAGGCCACCAAGCGCAATAGTCCACTTTTCCTTTTCGGCCTCCTCAAATAGGTTCTTCACCTTGCCATACTGCATGCTATTCTGCACAGGACCTAGCGCCACATTCGCGTCCTGACCAGAGCCGTATGGCAAGTTGTTGCGAACGAACTCAGTCAGAGCAGCGAGAAATTTGTCGTAAATACTGTCGTGAACATACATTCTCTTGATGTTCATGCAGATCTGTCCGGAGCCGACCAAGGCGAGGAAAGCAACCTAGAGCAATGATTTGTCAGTATGGAGGAATATCGGACGAACGATATCACCCGCAGATACTCGCTGTGCCCAGGACAGGGGAATGTGATCAAACTGAACCTACCTGTGGCACGACCTTGGCGATATCAGCATCATCACAAATGATAGCTGCATCGTTGCCGCCAAGCTCCAGCGTAACCCGCTTCAGCAAGCGCCCACATACCTCCCCGACCTTCCGGCCCGTCGCCGTGCTGCCCGTGAAGCTGACCTTGGCGATATCAGGGTGGTGCGTCAGCAGCGGGCCGAGGCTCTCATCACCGCTCAGCACCTGGACGACGCCCGGCGGGAAGATCTCTGCCGCAAGCTCGCCGACCCGCAGGAGCATATACGGCGCATACGGGCTCGGCTTGACGACCACCGTGTTGCCGGCCAGCACGGCCGGGCCGATCTTGCCGATGCCCAGGAGCAGCGGCCAGTTCCACGGCACGATGGCGGCGGAGGGCCCCAGGGGCCTGTACCGCACGCGGCATGTGCGCTCGGCCGAGTCCTCGACGACCTCGTCCGGGACGCGCAGCTTGGCCGTGTCGCGCAGGTGGCCGATGGTGAGGGCCAGCTCGAAGCTCGAGGTCGAGAGGGGCTTGCCCGTCTCGGCCATGTCGAGGTCGCGGAAGAAGTCGTGGTTGGCCTCGACGGCGTCGGCGAGCTTCAGCAGGTAGCCCGCGCGCTCGTCCCACGAGAGGGTGCTCCACGCGGGGAAGGCCTTCTTGGCCCCGGCGACGGCGCGGTCGACCTCGGCCTCGCCCGAGACGGGGACCTCCGGGAGGGCCTCCTCTGTTGAGGGGTTCACACCGTGGCGTGTCTGCGCCGTGGAAGTGAGCTCATTGTTGATGAGGTTCAGGTACGGTGCCTAGATGGGTCCGAGCCTTGCTGATTAGCACGAGGGGCAACGTCATCTCATGTGGCGCTCGGTTGATAAGCCAATACGATGGCATAGGTGGGTGATCGCTTCCGGCTTGGAATTCTACTAACCTGGGGCTCTAGCTTGACTTGCTTGATAGCCATTTTCTGTAGATGACGGACGGGACACCCAGGGGGGAAAGAATGAGAGAGGGGATTCACAGCAAAGGATACCGAAGCAGAAGAGTTCACAAGGTGCCAAGGTGGGCAAAACAAGTGGACGATAGTTTATGAGAGATGATATAGACCCTCTGTGCTAGAACCATGTGAGACGATATATGCGTCTTTCTAGAATCTGCGGGTCCGCAACATTGAATAAACCCTACAATGGTACCCTTCACCTCTTATACGGGCGATGGAAGAGTGTTTTGGAGCGGCTTTGAGCATCAAATTGAGGGGAGCAGGCGTGCGAGGAGCATCAACCTAGAAGACATGGCCCCCCAAAGTGAATCAAGCCCCGGATGCAATGTAACAAAAGACACGGTGCTGATTGGCTGCCTACCAAAGTACGGAACATCCGCATGCACGCAGGGCACAACGGCAAGAAGGAGTGGTACAGGATTCGTCGGTCTGGCTAGCTGCTGCCTTCCTTCGGCCGCGACGACTTCTAGGCCCTTAATGTTGCTGTTATCGGTGTCAACTATCGTGGAGGGGCGCCACAACATGTGACAAGTGCTGGAGGGAAGGTTCGAAGACCTCTGTCAGAACTCTGAAAAAGCCAAAGGATTCTGACCTGCTTGTGTGGGGTGTATAAAGGGAGGGGCACTTACATGGGCCTGGCTAGCCCTACCAACCTGCCAACCTGCCAACCAGCCCTAGCAATGGAGGCAGGCCCACTCCGATTGCGAAACTCACAACCTAAAGAAGCGGGCCAATCTGGACCTTGACGTTTGGGGGCCGATCTGCAAGGGAGGTTTTTCTTCCGCCAACAGCGTCATCATGACTGCTGTGCCACACCGCTGCAGATACGAACATGTAAGGCTCCAGCAGCGTGGGTTTTTGACCCCGCGAGAGGGAAGAGAGCACTGACCGGTAGTGCCGCGAGGGCCAGCCCAGGCCCTTCCATTCGTTGCAGGAGCGCGCCAATGGCATGTATGTCTCTGCCTTCAACATGCAGACATGGAGACTAACTAGAAGTAGGAAGCGTTGAATCCTTCCAGACCGCGCCTGTGTACTTCCCAAGACTGGGAAGCCGCTAGGCTTAATTTGGACGTGAAGTCTCGCTTACACATGGTGTTCCTGACTTGGCAACTAGTAGAGCAACTGGTATATCAATCTGGTCCCAGACACGTGCTTAGGAAGTCCAGATTGAATGATCACATATCACTGTAGACCCTCTAGAAAATCCTCGCAAGAGATTGCTGATTTCATATTTTCACTCGTAAAGCTATCCACTTGTGTACCTCGTGGTGAGTTATCTAGGTAGGTCTCTTTACCCGGGTTCCTCGGACGGACTTTTTCGGAGGAGCTGAGGAGTCTCGACATTGAGGTTGCACCATGATAGTTAATCGTAATCAGTCGTGCCCTGGCCTAGGTGTCGGTATATGGTGGTCCGGGCTCGTAGAAAGTCCGCAATACAAACAACAATAGCTTTAGCTACACTATATTTTTCCTTTACACTATATAACTATCTTTTAGTTTAACTACTTATTTCTTCCTTAATCTAAAGCTTATATATAAAGTCTTTAATAACTTTATATATATCCTTATAATTCTTTTAAAGAGAAACTTTAAATCTACTCTTTCTTTTATTTCTATTATACTTTTTTATATTATTAAAAAATTAATAATTATTAATAATAAAAATATAAACTTAAAAAAGAATAAACTTATTATACTTTTTCTTTATCTTTTTATAAATTACTTTTAAAACTCTTTTTAAGAGTTTTAATATTTTATTATAAAAATCTTAAAAGTAATATATTATAAATTATTTCTTTATTTTAAATTCTTTTAAAATTAATAATTATATACTTAAATAAAGGTTATAATATTAAACTTTATAAATTTATTTAATAAAGGTCTTATTATAAAGTATATATATATATATATATATATATATATATATTTAAAGGATAATCTTTAATTAAACTTCTTTTAATATAATTTATTTATATAATAACTATTTTTAATTTTATTATATAACTTCTTTATAATATTTTAATTAATATTATTATTAAAATAATACCTTTTAACTTTATTTATATATTATAAAGTTAAAGTTATAAATATTTATTATATTATAATTATTATTATTAATATTATATTCTTTTTAAATACTAGATTTTAAGTACTTACTATTATATAAAGGCACTATATATATCCTTAAATATATATAAAATAGAAGTGAAACTATATATAAACAATAATACCCGGAGTCTTGAACTGAAGATTTCAGAACCCAGACTGTGACCTGCCACAAATGGCTACACCACACATCCCTGACTTCGCCCAATCTTGCCGGAAACATGGTATGCACCTAGATGAAGGATTTTTTTGTGTGGCTGACGGGCCGAGCGACGTGACACAAACCTCCCCCGCGGTGTCCGTGTCCCTGTTGAGGAATGGGCGCACTGCGGCACGCAGGGGGGGCCTCAGGGCTGGGATGTATTGTCTATTGCCTCTCGGGTGGCAGCAGAAGAGCCTTGGAATGGAAAGCAGGCCGAAGGATTGCAGTGGCTTGCAGGAATCATCAGTTGCATTGGGTCGTGAGTGGTCTCGTTTAACGCGTGTACGTGCCGACCTGCAAAGTGCATATGCGCTGAATCGGACATGTGTGCCGGAATCTCGTTCGTTTGTTGAGTACCTAGGTAGGCAACGAGTGAAAGGTAACCTTCCTCACGAGGTATCCTTCCTGTCGGGCCTTGACCGCTTGAAGTTGTAGGAATGGCTTCATAGGCGCGGGCTAGCTGCCAAATGGTCTTGGCCGCGCCCTCGCAGAATGGTGACCATCCGCAGGTCCTTTCAATGCTACCACATCGACTGTCGAAACGCCGAGACTGGGTCTGACTGTACCAGGGCATTCACGCAGGCACATTGCATGCCCAGGTGGTGTCACAGAAGCAATGTCTCAGCTGTCATATCATGACTTTTTTTTTCTCCGACTCGACCTGTAAGATATTCGCCAACCGGGTGAATAGTGGAGTTTTATATAAACCTAAGCGGTCGTGCTTGTTGATACAACGACAGTGATGCTGGAAGTTTTGGGTCTCGGTAGCGGTCATTACATGTGTGCGCAGTCATAGCCCCTTTCCGACGACCCTTGTCTCGACAAAATGCTTGCAAAAAGCTCTTCCTCGTTTTTCAACCTTCCTGTGGCACTGGACACCAATGGGTCGCGCGAGGAGCGCATCCTCGGCATGCGACAAGACCATACCATTCACACTCACTGGAAGTCTCTTGATGATCACTCCTTGTCGAAACCGTCTCTTTTGGACCTCTTTGCGAACAACATTCCCCTCGTCCGCGAGAGGAACTTCCTTAGCGACGAGGAATGCAATGCCATGCACGAGATTCTCCTGACACACAAGATAGTGAGGCCTCCATATTGCATGCTGCTCCGACAACTTTAGAACCTGAGTTAATTGAGCAAACACAGGGGATCTACAACATTGATCACGTCTGGCCCAAGGTTGGCTGCGTTGGTATTTCCCAAACAGACTACACCAAAGGTATCCCGAATGCGCACACGAGACAATCCATCTCAAACTTTGAGGCCGAGACCGACCTGCTCTAGCTGCTGACCTCCACTCGTACTTAGACAAGGACACATACTTTGGACGCGTCGAAAAGGCGAGATCCCTTCAGGATCGTTGGAAAGCAGAAGCAGGAGTTGACATTATGGATCGGATCGCGGGTTCCCTCCGTAAGGCCACTGGCCTGCCGGTCCGGTTGGCAACTGAGGGGGATCGAGAGTATTTCGCCGGCGTCGTCCGGGCCCTGGACAGCGGCATACAAATCCACGCCGACTACGCACCTTTCGTAAGAATTAAGGAATTCTTGACTGACCCCTACAAAACCCTCTCAGTCTCACCAAAATTCTCACCAAGCCATTCATAAAGCTGACATGTTCTTTTTGAAATAACCAGGAAGGCGCAAACTGGGAAATCGGGCGCATTGCCGCTCAGATCTCGTGGAATATCCTGATCAACAAGATCCCTGGTGGTGACACATACATATACGACAGGGAGTGGAGGGCACCGCAGGACGATCTTACATTCAGGAAGGAGTTCCCGAAATACGCATATGATCCCCAGATCGTCCAGGGCCGTGCTTTCAAAGTGATGAGCGCCCGCCGAGGTGATCTCACAATTTTCAACTCCAGGTAAGCAACCTTCCCATCTACACGTGACAAACTGGCGCTTTTCATGCTATTAAATCAAATCTCATTGCTGACAATTCAATGTTTTGATTGCAGGAATTTCCATGAGGTCAGAGCATGTGATATCCCGAAAGGAGAACGGGACATTCCCGTCCGTTATACTGTGAGCTCCTTCATTGGGTATCTACCAGGTCAGGGCGAAGATCCAGCTACACTGGTGCTTTGGTCGTGATGAGTCCTTTGACCTTATAAATCGAGACTTGTAATGAGCATCTCTAATTGCCATTCATGTCAACTGAGAATGTTAGAATAGATTGAATAGCAATATTGCACATGTATGTATCCACTTTGTCAAATTTCAGTGAACTTTCGTAGCCCACAAGTTGAGAAGAGAGCAGTCGCACCTGTGGTCAACTCCTAGTGCACTGAGCCAATGAGAGGAGATGTGGTTGACCCGAGGGCATGTGGATGCAATATGCGGGCAGTCAGCATTTTGCACCGCAGTAGGTAAGCATGCGGCAGAGATCAGTGCCTGGTCTGGTGACAGTCCCCACAACCCACATGGTACCTATTTAACTGCCGAAGTTTCCGTCAGCACGATGGTCGGTCAGATCAATGTGGAATCATGGCATTGGAACGAGAGGCGGAAGTGCGGGTCCAGCAGCTGGTTCTCTGTGATCAACATCTCTAGTGCTATACGTAATGATGCACGGAGGCGTCTGAATAAGACACAGAACCAACCAATTCGGACCGTGAACTTAAAGGTCTGCGTATAATTGGGCGCGGTTGGCAAGGCATCGGGTTGATCTGCAAGCTTGCTGCCCCGAGTTCCAAGAAAACGAAAGACGCCAGATCTGCTGATCCGGCCGTCGATCTGTGAATGATATCAAAGCCTGGCAAAGTACAAAATTGCATATTGAAGTATCTAAGCGCTTAGGTACATATGTATGTTGGTTTTTGTCGTCTAACCGCAGAATGTCTAGCCGCATATGTATGCCCTGTGCCCCGTCACCTTTGTGTTACGATAGCGCAAACTGCTGCACGGCAAGAATGGCAGCAGCTGTCAGCTTACTTGTACTACACAGTACGGAGTACAGCATTTAGCCTCATGCGTCTGCACAATTACGACTGTATCTGAACTTTACTTGTCTTTTGTACCAGCTCACTCACGGACCTGCTAGCTAGGGTATATTTGCCCGGCCCAGCTGGTCCTTTTGATCCCTCCTGTCACCGATCAGCAACTATGCCTCATCGATCGTAGAAAGGCAGCTGCCGTGAGCTGTTTATCTACTCGCTCTAGCCATGTCTCGGCCAACGGGCCCAACTTGTACGTCCTTTTGCACTAGTGTGCCCGCGTGGACATGTGAACCGCTGCACCAGCCCAGTCCTGGGAACGGTGAACCGTTCATGGCTCGTATATTGTCGAATTACTCCGTACTGGGCCGGGCAAGGGTGTTCCTCCAGCCGTAACAACCGCGAGAATGCCTGCCATTCTCTTCTAGGCAACCCCAAAAATTTCACACTTTGCCACCAAATATTCTAACATCCTCAACCGCTCAGGATCCCGGGCCCGAACGGAGACCGACAAGCAAGCCAACCAAATCGGCGAGGAGTACTATTGCTGCATGCTTGGCATGAACACTCAGTGTACATGGTACATTTTGTACGTACACTACTTATGTGTGTTGGTTCAGCGTCGCATCGCATTTCATCCTTGCAAGTAGTTCAATATCAACCTAGTCAAAATGGTTCAACTGGTTGGTCCGTAAGTTTGTCAACGACGCCCTCTGTTTTGTTTTGTTCTGAGTCTCAAGTTGGGCATTTTCTTGGGTTTCCCTCCTATCTTCTGTGACTCGAAATCTAGACTTCTCCCTACCCATCAGATTTTGGGCGCCACCACCCCTACTTACCTAGGTATCCTAGAGCCGCGCTCCTCAACACAAATATAGCAAATCAAGAGGCTTCACTACAGTCGTCCGACGTTGACAATATGAAATCAGCAGTAGCTACAAGCATTTCTGCGTCAGACGAAACGCCTGTGGCGTCTGGGTTGCAGACTCCCGATGAAAAACAGCGCCACGACGCGGGAACAGAAGTGCCGGCATTTCCCTCAGGACTCGAGTCCCAACCGCTTCAGGAAAACGAAGACAAAACGATCGAAGCGGCCATTACGCCCACGCCATTTCGGCCTCCCCTGAAGAAGTATGGACTATTCCCGGCCCCGCCCCCGGATGGTGGCACCGTGGCATGGCTTCAGGTCCTGGCAGCCCACCTGATGTGGTTCATCAGCTGGGGCCTGATCACCAGCTTCGGCCTCTTCCAGTCCACCTATATGGAGATGCTAGATGCTTCACCGTCGACTGTCTCGTGGATTGGTACGGTGCAAATTTTCATCCTCCTGGTGCTTGGCACCCTGTCTGGCCGCGCGAGCGACGCGGGCCTGGTCCACGAGTCTGTCCTCGTAGGGACGATTTTGATCGTCTTTGGCTTGTTCATGACGAGCCTGTGTACAGAGTATTACCAGATCTTCCTCGCCCAGGGTATCTGTAGCGGGATCGGGATGGGCATCCTGTCCATGCCGGGCCTCTCGGTGCCAGCATCGTATTTCAAGGCCAACAAGTCCTTAGCAGTCTCCATCATTGCGTCCGGGGCAGGGACTGGCGGATTGGTGTTTCCGGCCATGGCACAGCAATTGCTCCCTCGCGTGGGCTTCGGCTGGACAGTGCGCGCCATGGCCTTCGTGACGCTTTTCGTCTCTATCCTCATCAACCTCCTCGTACGCGTGCGCATCCCGGCTCGTAGATCCGGCCCTCTGTTCGACTTTCACGCTCTCAAGGAACCAGCCTATGTCTTTTTCAGCATTGGGTTCTTCCTTGTCTATTGGGCGGTGTACTTTGCCTTTTACTACGTACGTACTTACTTATTCAGTTATTCACCCCTTCGTTTCTTTTCGGATCTTTCTCTGACGTGCCCATCACCACTAGATCGACATCTACGCCACCACCTACGCCTCCTTCAACTCCGTGGACTCCATGAACCTCCTCCTCATCCTCAACGCCCTCGGCGTGCCGGGCCGCATCATCCCAGGCTGGATCGCGGCGCGCTTCCTCGGGCCCCTCAACACGGCCGTCCCGACCGCGGCGTCCGTGGCCGTCGTGCTGTACTGCTGGCCCGCGGTGCGGCACTCCCAGGGCTCGCTCTACGGCTTCGCCTTCGCCTACGGGCTCGTGGCCAGCGGCATCCAGTCGCTCTTCGCCGTCTCGCTGACGGCGCTGACCGACGACCTCAGCAAGCTCGGCACGCGCATGGGCCTCGTCGTCACCATCGTCGCCGTCGCCAGTCTCACGGGGAGCCCCGTCGCGGGCGCCCTCCTGCAGGCCAGCGGCGGGGAATACCTCCCCGCGCAGATGTGGGCCGCGAGCAGCATGCTGCTGGCCGCCATCGCGCTGGCCGCGGCGCGGGTTTGCAGGACGGGGTGGGTGCTCAAGGTTTACGTCTGACTTGCTGTCCGGGCACTGTTGCGTGGTCAGGGGCTTCTCCAGGGGAACCAAACTGGGGACAACGAGGAGTCTAAGATGGTGAAGAAACTGTAGAAGTAAGCCCCCGGTTCATGTGAGCTCGGGCTCTCTTGTGAAGATGGGTTATTTCTCCATCCGAGAATGAGGCTGGTTCTGTTCGGCGCAATGTATTTTGGCGCGAGCGCACCAAAAGAGGATCAAGTTTCAACCAGATGTTAGTAAATGCATGGTACTACAGGCGATATACAACTAGGTATTAGACATGAAGACATTGTGTTCCTAGACTCCTCCCTCCCGCAACGGTGGGTGTATCATGGACCAGTACATTGGTGACTTCACCAAATTAAGACGCCACTCTCTCATTTCTCAGGGATCATGCGCTTCTTCTAATGGTCGCTCTTCAGCAATGATAGGCTGGCCATCTGGATCTATTGATTTCTTCTCCCAGACTTCCCAAAAATTCCTTTAACCGACTCCAAATATTCCATGTGCCTTTGCTCTTCTAACGATTTGACATTTTCAGTGCCGTCAGTCACACTGTGGGCTTTCGTAACGAGACCAATCAAGGGACCTCCGTTCGAGTTGCACCGTTGCGCGTAACATTTGAGAAACGTGCTCAAGTCACATAATTACTAGTAGTCCTGTCTCCTCGTGGGCCTGTAAGATCCCGGGTCTCCCTCCCGGATGTGATCTTGAGAAGTTCATCAGGATGTATACGGATTAAGAACGAGACCACTCCGAGTCAAAAGGATGCAACTCCGTAATATTGGATTAGGCAGAGGTGCCCGTGCTCCAGCTAAGCAGCAGCGAATTCCAAGAAAGCAGAGACCTGATAGTTGACTTCGATACTGTCCTTTCTGGATGACAGCGAAACGTGCAACTCACGGTCTTGCTTGTTTGTGTGTGATAGAAATCTCGTAAGGTAGGAAATCCTTCTTGGGATATTGTACAGAGATGGCGCAAAAGAATTCTGTGCAATTTAATTGCCCATGGATTGGTATGAGATATTTGCTGCAGATTTTGTGTGTGTGGTATGAAGTTATCAGGTTAATAATGTCACAACATGCTCAGTCGGTGAGCGTTTATCACCGTATGAAGGGGCCATGTATGTCCTCGGACGTATACGGAATAGAAGCGAAACCACATAGTTAGGCCGCTACGAATTGAACCTGGGCGGTCTGAGGTGCAAGTCCAAGTGATGGCCGTGGCTCACCGATGGTACCTCTGCTCCCCTGGGTATAAAATGCCGTGAACATCCCCATCAGGCGCGCTGAGATTGGCGCCAGCAGCGGGACATGCAGAGGTCCCAGAGTCTCCAGAGACCAGTGCCTCCGGAGGGCCTCATCGGAGGACTAGAGCCCCGAGGGGTGCTTGAGGGTGCTCCTGTGTTACTGCCACAATGAGCGCAGCTCTAGCTTCAGGCACATGTAGACTTCCAAGGTTCAAGGACCGGGTGCTCACAAATGATAGTCTAGGACTTGCATGGCTGACCGGACTCCCAGGTCTAGGAAAATCCGCCTCAATTCTGTAACAGACAGCGTATCGTGTATGAAGACGTGAGCAGATGCTGGGTTGGGGCTCTTGGAAAGGCGTTTCACAAACCTCCACTCGTTTCTGGGCTGCACTGGGCTCCTCGAGCCTTCACAAACGTGGCGGACGCTCAAAACCTACTCGGCCAGTCTGCTGAGGAGCAGTTCATCCTTCTATACTCGGAGACACTATCATATGAGATCCCACAAGGCACGAGACTCGCTGAAAGCTCCAAGTGTGGTGGTTGACTTCCCTTCTTCTCATATCCGGCCTACCTAGTTTGGGTGTTTTCTGGGAGCACCCGCAACCTGGTGAAAGAGCCCCGACTCTCACTCATCCTGCCATAGGTTTTTATCAAGTGGCCATGGGTCAGAATCCGGGATCCTCGAATTGCCTGGGATGTTGGGATGTACAACAATCGCAAGTAGATGTTGACAAGTAGCATCATGTTGAGCACGAAAAGGCATCTCATAAAACCGACAGGATAAAAGTGTGAGCTCGGGGAAGGAGGCCGGAGGGGTTCCTCAAATAAAGATGTAGACCGGGTATGCGGTACACCACGAGTGAGGACCCATGTGCGTGGCCACCTCGAGAGGCTGAGATGCCCAACCGAGAAAGAAGCTCATCAGTGCGTAGGTATGGCAGATGCTTGGCGTACCTCTGGAGCAACAAATTGCCAAAATGGTCACAGGGGTCCGAAAAAGCCCCGAAGAGCTTGTCCGTTGCCCAGTCGTACAGTCAAGTAGCATTGCGTGCTTTCGCTGGGCAAGATGGTTCATCTCCTTCACGCTGCCATTGTTCGCGAAGGACCCCGTTCTCAGAGGCAAGCACCTGAGCCGGCAGCGAGATCTACCTCGCTTGGGGAAAGGGGGCTGCACTAGGCGTGGGTGCTCTTTCGAGGGTGATGATGCCAAGCCTTTGTCAAATAAGAACCGGGCCCACCACACTCTGGTCGGTGATAGCGAGGGCAACGGCCGGTATACGGGCTTGACACAGGACTCGCCGTGATCTTCACAATGGGGGAGGAGTGACATGATCGTCGGCCTGACGGGGCATGTGAATCGTAGGGTGCTAGTAGTAGAGCACTCTAGTAGAGTAGAGACTCAATAGTGTACCACACGGCAGTCTGTTCATGGGCGGCTCACAGACCGGGCGAGGTGAGATGGCCCCAGCTTGGCTTCCTCCCAGCATCCTCCACCTATTTCTGGAAGCAGGCTGGGTGGTCCCTGCGCGGGACTCGGCTCCTCTGGGCACGGGTGCGCACAGTCGACATGATTGATGGGTGGGTGCGGCATTGGATGGAGAAGGCTAAGGCGACGATCAGGACGGATTGGGAAGGCAATGGTTTGATGAGGAGCCGTTGGATCTGGGCCGGGACAAATTTGCGAGATTACCTCGCGAGAGTCCAACCTCGTGGGTGAGATGGAGTTAATCAGCCGGTCAGTCGGTCAGTCGGTCAGTCAGTCAATGTAGAGGCGAGATGCGTGAATGGCAGGTGGGAGAAGTTGGCACATACAGTTTGTTATTGGTTAACAGGCATGACCAAGGACGGGGGAGCAGATCCACGAGATTCCAAGGTTGCGGGATGCATATCAGTGGTTCTGTGTTTCGAGTTGCTGGAGCCTGCTACCCAGGCCTGGGGTGCCTACAGTCCCCAGGCACCGTGCCGCTATCCTTGCACACGGTTGTTGCTGATGAGCAAGCGGTGAGATTTTGTGGCTCACTCACACATCCAGATTGAGTGAACCAGACAACAGAGTAGAGGCATTTTTACTGAGGTAGGCTGACATTCGTATTTCTCTAATTGGCATTGCTATTATCGTTGTCATTTAAATAGCAGCAATTGCAGTCGTGGTTGGCAATTCCTTTCTGTCAGAAAGGTCCAGCCCCGCCAGGCCCAGGCCTGATTGCCGGGAGAGGAAGCGAAGGGAGGAGTACCTGCATTAGCGTCTGGAGAAGCTCGCCAGTAGCAGCAAAAGACCACCAAGCACCCGACCACCACCGACAGCCAACGGCCCCCTCCCTACTGCTAATGTGAGGCTCAGCAGCAGCAAATTTCCCACCTCCGCAATCCTCATTTGTCGGTTGGCAGATTTGGACGGCCTTCTCTCAGTCTCTCTGCCCATCTCACGCAGTCGCACAGTCAGTCAGAACAGTAAGCTTACGGGGCGGCAGGGCGGCACACACAGCGCTTTCAGGCTGTGTGGCTTTTTGGTGCTATTGGAAAAACCCAAAGTGTCGGTCAATGAGAGTCGAGCTCGGTCTTTGCCATTACGTTTCGTTTCAGGACGTGGCCTGGCGTACCTCTCGAGCATGGTCCGGGATCTCGCGGCTTTAGAGATCTTCCTTGGGTGGCACTGACAATTCCCAAATATCACCTCTAGCGACAAGGTTATCTCTCTGATGGGGGTCCAGCCAGCTGCCAGTCCCACAAACATGCAGGGTCCGGAAGTGGCCCCTGGTCAATCCCAATTTGGCATCGCCGACGTTGGGAATCCGGGGCAGCACCAAGGCCAGCAGGCCAGCCATGGCCCATGGCTCGCAATCTCGTGGCCGTGGCCGACTTGCTGCTCGCTTGCCATCGCTGCCGACCCGCCCCCAAAAGCATTGGGCATTATCCACCTGGGGGGTCTGTTGGAGGCAGCCGTCGATGATCGAAAAGCACAAGGCTCGCGTGAACAGACCAGGCTTGCCAGGTAACGCGCGGCTGTATCGCAGACGATGAATGTGTTGATCATCAGCCATCATCACCAGCCTCAATTGCTGCCGTCATGATTCACGTCGACGAATCGGCACGGGCTGGCAACAAAAAAGGCTCTCCTCAAGTGCTCTTAAGCGCTTGTCAGCATGCAATAGCATCGCAGGACAGCGACCCGACAGTCCAAGATGGAGGCTGCGCTAACTCCACACTCTGCAACCCTACCCGTCCTTTTGGGCGTCGCTGTCCACTCATCAGGCTAGCCTCGAGATCGAATCGTGTCGATCAGTCCTCCGCGGCTGCGAGCCCAGGCAACACAACACCTGAGCAGACGTACTGACGTACTGTATCCCGTCTTGACAGCGGCACCACATGATGGCGAATCTCGTGCGCTGAGGTTGCCAACGAGCGGGTGCTGTCAGAACACATGCCCCGGCCCGGGCAACCCAGTCGCTGTGGATACCTTGGTGGAGGATATCCCTGGGAAATGTTAATGATTGTTCCTGAAGACTTCTCCTCCACCGAGGCCCCTGGATTAGCGCACCGCCCCTGCACGATCCATGTCCGGTGCAATTTCCCACAGATCCCACGCCCTCACACCTCCCGGAGGAAACCCGCGGGGTCTACCGTGTGTGTACCTGCGGTCGAGGGCCTACTGTGGTATTTAACAAGTCTGCCCTCTTTTCTCGACATCTTTGCCGTCTTTTCCTCTCCTCCAGCCCACCAAACAGCTCCGCGATATTCACCTCCCAGAGCCTTTGACTCAAACTTGACTTCGGTCGTCCATTCTTTCACAACAAACCAAACAAACGCATACTACAAGCCCAGAGCTTCAGTCCGGTCTTTACGTCCACCTTCAACTCACTCGAAACGAGATATTTATAAATCCTACTTCAAAACCAAACCGTCAAGATGAAGTCCGCAGTCTTCGCTGGTCTCCTGGCTACGGCCGTCGCCACTGAGGTTCAGTCCACCGTCTACGCCACCGAGCACATCACCATCACCTCGTGTGCCCCCACCGTCACGGACTGCCCTGCCCGCTCCACCGGCGTGACCTCCAGCGTCCACTCCTTCACCCAGAGCACCGTCTACAGCACCGAGTACGAGACCATCACCAGCTGTGCCCCCACCGTCACCAACTGCCCGGCCGAGTCCACCGTCGTGTCCTCGTCCAGCTACATCGTCAGCAGCACCCTGGTCTCCGTCCCTCCCCCCGAGGAGACCGGCGAGGCGCCCCCTCCCGAGGACACTGACGTCCCCCCGGTCGCCTCCACCAACACCGCCGCCGTCCCCCACCCCTCCGGCCCCGCTGGCGTCCCCAGCTTCGTCTCCTCCAGCTCCCCCGTGACCACCGGCCAGCCCGGCCTCCCCGGCGGCGGTGCTGGTGGCATCTGCACCCCGACCTACTCCGTCAACACCATCTCCACCACCACCGTCATCCCGACCGTGATCTACGAGACCGTCCAGGTGCCCTGCGTCACCGGTGTTCCCCCCGCCCCCTCCACCGGCTTCGGTGTTCCTCCCCCGGCTGGTGGCAACGGAACGTAAGTCGATGGTTCCCCCCGTCCCCCGGAAGAAAAACAAAAAAAATGAATACTGACAGTCTCATCCAGCATCACCGGCTCCAGCCCCACCCCCACCGCCGTCGTCACCGCCGGCGCTGGCCGCACCTTCGGCGTCTCCGCCGCCCTGGCTGGTGTCGCCGGCCTCGTCGCCTTCCTCGCCTAAGCGTCAAACCCATGCTGGGTCTGAACGGCGGCGGTGTCTCAGCACCGGCAATCTTCTCATGATTTCGGCTCGGGCGCGCCCTCCCCCTGGGGTGGCAACGTCACGACGGGGCTGGTGGACATGTGTTGCCGCGATGTATCTATGTTATCGTTCTTGAAGACGTACTGAGCCAACCCTGGAGACGACCCAAACCCCATGGGTAGGAACCCGGAGCTCTCATCTTTTAAAACCACTTAAACACACCGTATTCTTCTATCTTGATACCAACCTTAATTTTTCCGTCTGTATATAATTCAACGACGCCATGAACGTGTGTGTGCCTGTCCAAACGGTTTGTACGTATGTGTGACTTGAGCCCATTTGGAAACAAGTACCCGTTGTTTCGTTTTACCCCGCGCGTGAGGGCTGAGTCGTAGACCGCAGAGATCGTCCTCAAAGGTCAGTAGGCGGCGCGTGGTGTCTCATTTCCCGGAGGATCAGTTGACGTCGGAATCTGCCAATGAGTCGGGTTCCCTTGTTGGCGGTGGGGAAAGCCACCCCGGGCGAAAAAGAGATTAACAGAGGCGGGATGGCAGGCTGGGCAGGCTGGACGTTCAGACGGTCCTGGGCGCCCTGCCGGGAGGGGACAAGCTGAACACCCCGGAACCCTCGTTAGCTGTTTCATGTTTTTCCCTCTCGACTTTTAGTGTGGGAAAAAAGCAGCAGAGCCGGGGACATGCATGTTTCATGACCCGTTCAGCCCGTTCGGCTTTTTTTCTCACTCTATATTATTTTATTGTGCGTGCTCTTGTTTTGTGGGGACGGTGACGGAATAGCTGCTATTATTATTGTCGTCCTGACTATGTTCATTGTGTTTCGATGCTGCTGTTGTTACTATCATCATACTGTGTATGGGCGAGAATCGAGTGTCGGCCACATTTATCTTGTCATGAGTCGGATCCTGTACAGGCAGGTGGTGCTCAGGCGTTTGCCTGTCTGTCTTCCTTGCAAGTTGTCCTGTGATGACTGCTCGAGCGTGGCCGCAGGGAGGGAGAGAGGTTCATCCATGGGGCCCAAGTGCAAGTGCACAGCCCTATCCACTCCAACTCGGGCACGCATCCATTCATCTACGATGCATACATACTTCTAGGATTGGACTGCCAGTCGTCCGTGTCCGTGGGTAGTTGCACACGACGTGCAACAATGTGATTGCGGGCCCCCGAGTCCCACGACAAAGGCCCGGGCGCTGTGGGTCTGGCAGTTACAACCAACCGAGCACACAATATGCAATTGACGCCGTGGGGATGCCTGCGAGCAACTGCGCTCGATTCAGACGGATTGAGGGATACAAGGCGAGCGAGTGCTTTCCCTTGGGGCGGGGGAGGGAGCCTGCCATGTGCCTGTGTGCGGCATTGACGAGGCCAATTTCCCACAAGGTCGCCGCTCCCCAGTCGCTCGAAAGGGTACATGGTCAGGCAGGCACAGAAGCAATGCTGTTTATCATTGCCTGCTCTGCTGTGGCGGTGAGGCGACCGCTCGGCAGGGAGGAGGGATATGAGAAGACCTGGACCGTATGCGTCAAGATCGAATGACACTGCCTCCGCCTTGGGTGAGCCCGTGTGCAGTCTTGTGGCACGCACAGCTTCTCTTCTTGTAAGCTTGGTGTTGCTGTGATCTTGGCGGCCTTGTTCGCTTCGGTCCGTCTGCACATCGGCTGACGCCAGATACACCTTGTTGGCCGGGCACATCTACACTTTCCCTCCTCTGGGAATAGCTTCGAAGAGTCATGTACTCGCTCACACAAGATGGCACGATGGCATGTGTCGATAACGCTGCCATCGAGATCGTCATCCACCAGGCCTCGCTGTAGTGATGGTCTGTACAGTGCCCCAGTGCTTGCGAACATCTACAAGCAGACTCATCATCTAGCATGCAAGGCATGTCGTGTGAAGCGCGTTGGATCATTGGGCGGGCCGCGTGTGTGTCTCGGGTCCGGACCTTCCTCGACATACACAGAGTTGTGCAGGTAGGTGCCACTGCGGTCCAACTCGGCCGTGACCTCGACAGACACACGGAAGGGGCGAGTATCAGCGGGCGAGAGTGCTCTCCGGGTCGTCAAAACATGCACCACAACCTGAGGTTGTTGGGGATATTTTGCTCATACAACACATGCTCTGGGGTCCGACTCGCCCGACAGCATAGCATCATTTTGCTTCAGCAGCTTCTTGAAAGCATCACGTACTTCTTTCCTTGTCGTTGACTTCCCAAGTCGAGACGAAACGTCAAGCCTCTGCGCCGTCTTGGTACCAGTATATCAGCTTCCAAGGTTTGGTCCTAGCCCATGCCCTCGAGCTTCGCGCCGTCGTCGTCCAAGAAGCAGCCCGGCGGCTTCACCACCACCACCAGCACAGCTCCCCACTCCATTGAACAATATCTTAAAGCCAGCGTCCCCTCACTCATCAAGTCTTGCGCCACTCGCCAGGCATCTTGCTCCCAACAGTGAACCCCTGGCTGGCCGACAAGATTCTGTTTGACATCGACGACGGCGAACAACCAGCAGCCATGGCCTGCCCTTCCACGCCTTGCGATATCGCAAAGTACCCGGATTACTGCCAATACAATCCCTTCGGCCCAAGCGCAAACTGCACACTCGATGTCTGCTGTCCAGAGTATAGCGTCTACGCCTACATCCCCGGAATGCCCGCCAATTTCATCTTCCTAGTCGCCTTCTCCGGTGCCATGGCCGTACACATCCATGCTGGCTGGTTGTACAAACAGTGGTGGTTCGTGGGCTGTATGGTCGCCGGCTGCTTGGACGAGGTCTTTGGCTACGTGGGACGTGTGATCATGGCTCGGGACCTCTGGAACTTCAATGCCTTCATGGTCCAAGTCGGTGAGTTGAGAAAAGCCCAACTGTTTTGTCGTCTTGCCTATGGAGGTGTTAAGACCACCACTGACCGCCCGATTTACACAGTCTGCATCACTACTGCGCCCGTCTTCTTCTGTGCTGCCATTTATGTTCTCGTCGCAAAAACGTGAGTGCCCATCTGCTCCTTTTCCCCAAGGAGGAGCCCCTCGCAGATTGAACTAACACATGTCCGTTGATAACAGAATCTCGGCCCACGGCCAGAACTTCTTGCGTTTCAACCCCATGCTCTACTGGATGTTCATTCCCTGCGACATTTTCTCCCTGGGACTCCAGGCCGCCGGCGGTGCTGTCTCGTCCGTCTCGTCGGGCAGAAACAACTTAGGCGTCGACCTCGCCCTCGCCGGCCTCGCCCTTCAGGTCATCACACTGGTCATCTTCTGTGTCCTTTACGGCGATCACCTGTGGCGGTACCTCAAGTCCGAGCAGTTCAGAGAGCGTGCCGGCAGACATCAGTCATTCGGGCGGAAGCTGAGGTTCTTCTATACCTTTCAATCGCTGGCAGTCGTCGCCATCCTTATGCGATGTGTCTTCAGATTGTGTGAGCTCAGGAAGGGGTACAACCCCTCAAACGAAATGCTCCAGGAAGAGGCGCTCTTCATCGGCCTGGAGGGAGTGCCCACAATCCTCGCCGCCGTCTTCTTGCTTGTCGGCCATCCGGGCCTCATCTTTGGCAGTGGTAATTCGTGGAGGTCCCCAATGGCTTCGTCGGCTAAGGAGCATGAGCTTAAGGAGCGTGAGCGTCAGGAGCGTAAAAGTGACGGGTCGGCCGAGTAGGCGAGTCAAGAAATCATTCTCAACTTGAGGGTGCGAGTGCACAGAATTAGCGTACCACCACTACACCTTTAGTCAAAATAACAATACAGTATCAGTGCTCTTTCCCATGAGACAGGGCAGCCTCTCATAGAATTGTCTGCCGTGGAAAGCCTCTATAGAGCAACCCTCTGAGCTCTTCCCCCTACGGTGCGGGGAATGGCTTTCGGGGCCCCATGGATTAGGCGCGGAGCAAACTTCGTGTACTCGGACCCGCGAATACGAAGCAATCGCGCTCACTTCGGCGTTGGCCACGTCAAACATGCAGCTTAGTCAAACACATTATGAACGGCTCATGGTCCATAGCGCAAGCCTACTCTAGGGTAAACTTAAATTAGATGATTATGAAAGATAGGCTCCTAGTATAAGATAACCTTCTATAGGATAATCTCCTATAAGAAAGCCTCCTATAGTGCAACACCCATAGTATTTCTATTTATAAGGTACACTCTTCTAGGATACTTTCTTGTTGATAAACATCCTATAGAGGAAATACCTACCAGTGATGATCGCAGACCCAGGTAGGCAGGGAGCAGTCAGGCCAAAGGGACTCCAGGGCTCTGCCATCAGGTCATGTGTTTGTTTTCTAGGTTGGGCCGGGGGCACGCAAGTAAGTGTCCAGGTGTGAACTAGACGGCAGCTGACGCGGTCAGGCTTGGTTGTCTCTCTACCTAGGCGGGGGAGGCACACTTGAAGTTGACCATTTTTTGAATTTACTGATACATCTACTGCTACAAGTGTACTGCTACACCAACCATCGCCACGACGTCCCGGGACCCTCTGTTCTCAGCAAGGTATCCGTCGCCCTCGTCGTCCTCATCCGCCGAAACCTCGTGTCGCAGCGCCGACCCGCCGTGGTAGAAGTCCCGGGGCCCCAGGTTGAGGACGGGCAGCGAGTTGCTGGACCTCAGGAACGCCCACCTGGGCACGGCGCTCGATGCCCAGGGGCCCGTCGGCGAGAAGCGCGGGTCGTCGTTTTCGTCGTCGTCGTCGTCAACGTCGTCGTCCTCTTCGTTGTCTTGCGCCTCATGCTCCTTGAACTCCTCGTGGAACTTGTAGAATCTGAAGGTCGTCTCTGGGCTCGGCAGCGGCCCGCCGCCGGAGGGGGTGTCCGCCGTCTCGGGTGCGTCCTCGTCATCCTTGCCCCCTTCCTCCCGCTGCTCGTCGGTGCTGGCGTTCGAGGAGGAGGAGCCGCTGCTGCTGGGGGGCAACGATGCCCACGATTCCTCGCTTGACGTCTGGGATCCTTCCTCTGGGTCGTCGAAGGGTGATGCGGTGGCCTGCGCCTGGCTGCTGGTGTATGTGTCCTTGGTCTCCTCGCCGTCGCTTACTGCCTCGACGACCTCGCTCTCGCCTCTTCCGAAGTTATCGATCTTGAGGGAGAGCCCTTCGAGCTCGGCGACGGCGGGGGCCGTCTGGTTGTGTCTAGGGACCGTGTCCGCTGGGTGGTCCTTCGGCCGGGGCTCCTCGTCTGTGTCCTCCGGCCGCTGGGGATGGTCATGTTCTGGTGCTGTTGTCGAATCAGGGCAGTCCTCCTCCTGGCCCGAGACTTCGCGGACCGGACTGCTGCTCGGCGTCATTGGGTGCTGCTTGAACTTCAGCCTGGGTGCTCGCCGCCTCGAGGTTACTCTCCTCCACCGTCTGAGCATTTCCGTTGTTGCTTGGAAGCTGTTTCTGTTTCTTTGTCTTACCTTCAGTTCATAGGTCCCATAATATTGCCTTGCGTTGCATTCCACAGAGATCGCCATTTTCTAAATGCCACCACCAGTGCTGGAGGCTAAAGAGGGTCTGTAAGTCAGGGCAGGGCAGCCTGCCACCTTCGGAATCATCTGTAAGTGGGACGGCCGCCTTTCATGGGTTTGTCCAGTGGTCACAGAAGACGGGTGATGACACACAACGCATGCCTATCACACAGGACATACATACACACACACAACCCAGGCACACGCAAACCGGTCGGCCCACGGATATGACAAGACAGACAGACAGACGGCATCCTTGCGGCCATCAGGAACCGCGTGTGCTGCCTAGTCACTCGACTCGGCGTTTCAACAGGCCCCCCAAGGGCAAACAGCAAGGCAAGCGAAACGGCCCCCTCTCCCCCCCCCCCCCCCCACGAACGGTGACACAGCGTCTCGGGGTGGCACAGCCGCAACGTTGCCGCACGCTGCGTGGGGATAAGGAGTGCGAGCAAGGCAAGAAGAGGTGAAAGAGGGAGAGACAGGAAATGGGCCCCCCATCCTTGCCTCAGACAGGGCCGGCCGGCTTACTGGCCCCCCCGACGACGCACACATACATAGCCGAGCCGGTCGTTGTCTGAAGAGACCTTGCCTCCTCCTCCCGTTCATTGATACTTAGGCAGCCTCGTCCCAACCTTGACACCTGTCAACCTCGCCCATGCCCTTGTTAGGCCACCCCGACCAGGCCGCAGGCCGGGGCCGCAACAGACGGCCGGGAAGGGGATACCGGTATGGTCAACGTGACCAGGTGAGTGAGCAAGGCACCGACAGGGGGCCCGATCTCGCGGCCCTCGTGGTGGCCGTCCCGGGCCGGCCTGCTGTCCCCTGCCCAGCTGCCCCTCCCAATCCTACGTTGCCGACTCAGGCGAGGCGGGAAGGAGACCTCTCCTTTGCTTTTTTCTTCTTCTTGTGTGTGTGTGTGTGCCTTTGCAGATACAGCCAGCCAGCCAGCCAGCCTCGGTGACATCAGGTCTCAGCTCTCTTTCTCCGGCCCAACTGTCGGGTCTTCTTTCTTTCTTGTCCGTGGCCAGACGGCACTTCCCGTTTTCTCAAATGAGGAATCGAGACAAGACGCCGTGCCCGCCCAATTGCCGGGTGTGGTGGCGCTGAGGCGGGTTTCAGTCCTGCTGAGAAGAGACCGCCGCCCGCAAACACGTAGTTTCTCAAGGCCGGGCGGGCATTGAGTCGGGCAGGGCAGTGCTGGGGAAGCGGGATGTCTTTTCGGTTTTTGAGTGGAGGGTGTGTTGGCTGAAAGAGGGAGTGGTGTAAGGACAGAGACGCACCCTTGGCTCATCTCCTCAGCCTTCCTTGCTGGAATTGGTCTGGTTGGAATTTGAAGACGCGGCGCGTCTTCAACCGTCCATGGACAAAAGAAATAAGTTGATCACTGACCGTGGGCGGTTTAAGAAACAAAGTGACGTATGAGAGCCCGTCCTGATTGGAGTCCACCAAAGAGAATTGTTCTTCATACAGACCATCGGCGGAGAACAGCTCTCTACCTGTGCAAGACAGATTGGTGGGTCCGGTCACGGTTGACAACTCGCTCTTCAGTCGTTGCCCATCACGTACGTTTTCATGCATATGCAAGTCAATATCAGAAGAGACATGGGAGTCAAAATCTGTCGGTTTGTTCTAAGCTGTCAAGCTATTAGAAGAATGCCCATCCGGAACGCCCTTTCCAGATTTCGTCCGTCCAATGAACCTGAACCTGAAGCCCTCCTTTGCCCCCCCCCCTCCATTGAATTCCTGCCCGAAAATAGAACCGGCCTCTCTTCCTCATGGATCGCATAGTCGGGGGGCAGCACAACAAAGGGAATAAACCAAGATCAAGTGCCAACACACAAAAGCCAACAACAGTTTTTGTAAAGCGGCCAAACTGTACCCCCGGCCTGATGGGAAAAGATAAATCATAGACAAGTTGAACGCCGTCTGAGATAGTAACAAGAGTGTGAAAAAGCCGAGCCCAAATATAATATTGCACCCGTCCCGTGACCCATTATTTCCGAGGTGTTTTGTGCCAAGGATGGTGGTGGTGTGTGTGTGGTCGCGTTGTTTCGAGAATCGAAGTTGACGTTAGGAGAAGTTAATTGTCGAGGGAGAGTATTGAAAAGTAGTAGAGAAGCTTGGTTGTATAAATGAAAGTTCCAAGTCGTTGCAAGAAAAAAGCCCCGTTTTGGGAACGGGTCCTATATTGGTATCTCTGGCGTCCCCATGTCGACCGATTTCATGGAAGCCCTCCGCGGCCCCGGTGCACACCGCTTCCCTCCCCCCGAGCCTGAGGTGTACAAATACACACGCACAAGACATTATTGTATCTCATTTCCAACCCATTTCTCCTCGTTCCGACGGAGTGTCCGCTGTTTCTCACTGGGCTTCCACCGCATTATAAGGACTTTTGAAGTTCTCTTGGTCGGAACAGGCCGCGGGATGCCGCAAAATATACACACCACTGTTGTCACACGCATATCGAGGTATGCAAAAATGCGCAAAGTTTTTCTGGATTCCTGACCCTGAACGTGATGATTAAGGCCCACCGGGGATGCCGCTCAGGAGTGGAAGAGATCCCAAGCCCTTTCGCAGATCCGCAGGAACTCTTCCCTCTTGGCACGTTGTGTTTCAGGGCTGTCTCGCCCCTCACCAAAGGGTCCTCGCCTGACCGATGGCCGGCCGTTGCCCAGCGGGGGCGAGACCCCGGCCTCGTACTCGTCGCGGCGGCGCTTCGTGGTGCTGGTGCTTCGGCTGGCGTCAACTCTATGTGCGCCGTGCAGGGGCGATGGCGGGGTTGGTGGCTGATGGCCGCCGTAGTGGACTAACTTTGGCAGGAGTTCGGGACGCCCTCCAGCAAGCTCATGCTGGGCTTCCTCAGCCGACTTGTATTCCCTCGGCCTGGTGGCAGTGGGCGGGGGGTGAGGGTTGTGGGTGTGGCCGGGCGAGCGGGCTGGCTGAGGGGGGCCGTTCTGGTGCTGCGCGTACATGGCATGCCCGGTGGACTCGGGGTGGCCCGAGTGCAGGTTGTGGCCGAAGACGTCGGAGATGGGTGGCAGCCTGTTGTTTGTTTGCGTTGCAGGCACGTGGTGGATGTGTGATGTGTTTGAGAGCTTGGAGGGGCGGTTCTCGATGTGCCGAGTCAGAGGGTGCGGGTTGTTCATGCCAGTAAATGTCTGTCCGAGGGGAGCTGACTGGATGACTCTCTCGTTGGCAAAGTTCTCGTGTGACGGTGCAACAATGGACAGCCCTGGGGGAGCCTTGTTCCTGCGCGATTGCATCCCGGGCGTCTTGGCTGCGAAACCGCTCTGTGGCTCCTTGTCCTTATCACTCGGGCCATCTCCCTTTGCTGACTGCTGCTGGAGTCGTGCTTCAATCAGGTGTCTCTGCTGCTCGCGGACGGACAGACTCCTCTGCACTTGCTCCTTCATGATGGGATCCTGTGTGACAAAGCCGGGGGACAGGCAGGCGAGCCCCATCTCCTGGATACCCAATCCGCTCTCTCTCGACCCCAGAGGACGGGCAGTCGCGGCACCGGAGCCAACCTGGCCGCCCCGGGACAGATCTAGCCTGCGAGGGCGGTGGCGAGCCGTTGTGAGGTCGGGGGAGCCGGGCTCCTTCTTAACGATGATCCTGGGAGGGCCTCCACCTGTTCGAGACCTGTATTGGGCGAGGGGCAGTTAGCGACCGGTTGCATCAGGCAGGGGGCGGGTATGCATCAGGATATAAACCTACGCGCTGGGGGGAGATGACTTTGCGGCTCCTTGAGCCTGACCCTTGGGGCTGCGACTGCCAGATCTGTTGGATGATTGTTGCGGCGCAGGTGGTGCTGGCGCACTGGGGGTTGCTGAAATGGCAGTTCGCTGCGCAGATGGGGAAACTGATGCAGGGGCGGGGCCCGCGGCGGCTGGCGGAGAGCCGCCGAAGCTTGTTCGGTCGTGGGGAGCTGGCGAAGGAGCCATTGCGATGGCTGCACTCATGGTTGAGGTGGGCGTGTGCTGAGGATAAAAAAAGACGAGATAAAGGGGCGATTGGATCTACTCCGCGGGAAGGCGAAGAAGTCGGCACCACGAGGTCGCCTGGCTCAGAGACAAGCTAGGAGGCGACTCGTTGGCGTAAGATAAGCCCAGGCAGCTTGTGCAGGACCGGCCGGTGGCTGCAACCCGCAGTGAGGAACGCTGCTGCAAGGTGGACGATTTGGGCCAGACCACAGCAGATTCGGCTCGTCAAAACCCGGTGGTCGAGAAGGGCCCAGATGAGCGACGGGCGGGAATGCGATTATGGGTGCGTGAATGTTGTGCGAGTGGTGAATGGTGGGTGGTGAGTGGTGAGTGGTCAGTGGTGTGGGAGAGTGGGTTGAGAAGCTGAGGCGTGGGAAAGAATGTCCAACGCTGATCGTCGACAGGACTGGACCGGACGGGCAGTGGTGGTGGTGGTGGTGGCAGGGCAGGAAAAGTGCCGTCGGCGGGTCCGCGGGCTGGACAGCAAGACAGGTCGAGTCCCTCGAGGTTGTAGCTTTTCTCGCCCTCTCGTGTCCCTCCGCTCGGTTTAGGGTTTCAAGCCGCCCGCGTTGGGGTGAGACCCGTGCTGAAAGGGCTCTGATTCGGCGGGATTGGGCCCCAAGGAGCAAAGTTAGCTGTCAGCCGATGCAACCCCCAAGAGGCAGCAGGTGTGCGCGCTGCAGCTTTTGCTTGGCTTCCCCCTTTTTTGGTCCTTTCTCGAAGGATGCCGAGTTTCTGGCGCGCGAGGTGTGGAGTACGGAGTACTGCGCAGCCGAGAGTGTGGGCGTGGGCGTGAGCGTGTAAGCGTCAGAGAGAGAGAGAGAGAGAGAGCAACAGAGCCAGAGAAGCGAGCGAGATTCTTCTCTTCCCAAAAGCCAAGTCCTAGAGAGGATATAGTCGCGTGTATGATCTCCTGTAGATCGCCTAATAATTTCGGTCGACAGGTCTTGTTGCGCGGTACTGCTGACGAATGTGTCCCAGCTGAAAGTCGTATTTCGCAAATCGATCAATCAAAGCCGTAATGTATCCTGTATGGGTGTGGCAGGTGTGGGGGGGGGATAAAATGCTAGGGGCGACCTTTGCTCTGATCTTGGGCCCGAACTTCGGACAAGATGGATATGTACTTGAGTCGATACCCGCCCGCAGTAGCAGCAAGCAGCGTTGAGGATGAGAGCGACAGTCTGGACCGTGCGTTCGCGAAGGGGAGAAAGGAAAAGAGAGCCAGAAGGAGCTGTCGCAGTAGCCCGCGGGCTGGGAGGGGGGCCTTTTTAGGAGACGATGCGCTGCTTCAGAATGTGCCCGAGTTCCAAGGTTGGCTTCGAGATACTCCACGGCTGCTACGAAGCGAACAACACCAGCTGCTGGGCCGTGGACTCATGATACGGCCACGACTGGCCGCGACAGGGTAGGCCTGTTGGTCTATGAAAGGGGGGAGGGGGGCTTGCACTGTCGGTGATACAGTGAGGGTGAGAGATCTGTGGCTATTCCCTGTCGGTCGGGAAACCTCGTCTCTGCCTGTCTGGCTGTCGACGTCCCTCTCAATCCTCCTGGAGCCCGCCTACACGCCTCCCAAGTCACCGCAGGCTCCCCGTCCTGGCCCTGCGACTGGCTACCACGCAACTACGCCGCCGCACCAAGATCTGGGAGGGGGGACGGGGGGTCGGGGGGGCCCACTCTGCCACTCTGCCACTCTGCCCGTCTGCACCGAGTTGTTCCCAAGACATCTCAGGACCATTCATGGGTACGGGGCCTGGCGGGGCTCACGCTACCTTAAGCTCCGTCGTTGTTTCATTAATGCTGGCTTACCCACACTCGTCCGCACTAGACCCCTGCTCGTCCCGTTTCCTTTTCCATTGCGACTTGCTGCCAAGTCACTGCGGGCCGCAACTCAGCAGCACGACTTGTCCCTCCGTCCCTGTGTCTCTCCTTCACGCGACCGACCGACCGACTAGTAGTAGTACTCCGTAGATACTGCCAGCCTGCCAGCCTGGGGCATACCTGCTGCCGCTGCCGCTGCCATATACATGTTGCACTCCTCGGAATATCCACCGGCGTCCCGGTGCTTTGGCCTTCGGACGGATGGACGATTCAGTTGCAAGCTTTCCCTTCCGGTGCTTGGCTATTACCTCTTGTTGTTACCATTAAGTTGGCAGCGTCCAAGTTCCTTCGATCTTGGTATCGAATTTTTGCACACGGACCGAGATAACCTCCAAAGACGGCCTAGGGTGTGTGGCTGGCTTGCCCCGAGCCAGGAGCCAGGAGGTTTCTTCAGGGTGTGGCCAGGAGGGCTGCGCAGCCTTGCTCGGTTTTACTTGGCTCAACTATCAACCAGGTAACCCGGCATTGTTGTCCGGTGTCTTATTGTCGGTGGCCTAGCAGCGTCAGATGCCTACGCGGCGGCAACACCACAACCAGCAAAACCACGAGGCTGTGCTGTTTGGATAGGACCCCTTTCATGCTGCTCCCCTTAATTAATAACTTCTCCCTTCCTGCTGAGGCCGCCCAGCAGCAGCCACGGTTCTCTGCACCTCCTTTGAGATGCGCGACTCTGCGCGACTCTGCAGCACTGCAGCACTGCAGCACTGCAAATCAATGCCAGACTCGACGTGTCGATCTGAGTGGCCAACGAGGCGGCGAGGCCGTGCCGCATGTCTCTGCGAGCACTGACCATGCCTGTGTTGTTTGCGCTGCCGTCGCCGAGATGGTCCTATGTGCGCAGACTACCAGGACTACGTCCCGCCCGCAGCCCTGTTGTCGGGGCTTATCCAGGGGTTGCATCGATGCGGCTGTCAGCTTCTTCCTTCGTCCAGTCTGCCAGCCGAGCCTGTGAGCCCGGTTCCATCTTATCGTAATCCTTGTCTCTCCATGGCACAATATGTCAGAAATCGTTGCCCTGACGGCCAATGACTTTTTTGCTTGTGGCAGCTGCCGTATGACGAGCAATGCACGGCATTGCTGTCTTTGAAGAATACGAGTTTTTATAATTGGCCCCCCCTGGGAGAGCACCGCTGCAATCGATAGAGTAGATGCTTTGTGCAACATCAATTGCGGCCCTGGAGGAACACAATGGATAACAGCACCGGCGCTTGCATCTCTCCAAGTACAATCAGACGGTATAGAAGAAAGCACCGATAGGTTCGTTCATTCAGTCACTCCTCGCTCCCCGGTACTTATTTCTCACAACCTTGGAACATAGGCCGGCAACCCGGTAGCTTGTCAGCACGAGGTACTATAGGGACTGGGAAACTCCGGATGGTGCACGATGAGGCCCGTCCTCGCGTTCGCGTATCGAACAACTGGACCCGAGAGAACCCTCCTGTCGGTACATGCCCGAAAGGGTCGAATTGGAATCTGGAGATGGACATTGCCTATGTCAGGGAGCTGGGCAAGCTGGGGCAGTTCGATAGTGATTGGCGCCACATCGACCCGCCATATATTTGTTTGCTGCAAGTGCCTCAGATGGGGTCACATTAATACAGACTATTGATGGGAGGCGGGCCAGTCAATAATCTCCTTTCTCGTGAACGCGCAGGTCCTGGGCCGACGTGCCGTGGTGCGTCCAGGCGTTGTGGGTGACCTCTCCCATATGTCACTGTCAGTTCGGAGGTTTTCGCGCACAGAGCTGGGCCCCCTGGGCGATCTTCGCCCCCATGGAAGTGCCCTGGTGGGCCCCAACCTTGCCCGTCGCTGCACGAACCAGTGCGTCTCTTAGGCACCGTTGCCTCAGGTGGCTCTCCACCAATTAAACTGACAGCGCTCTGAAACGACAGGCACCCAATCAAGTGGCCCCGAGCAGAGAAACTCTGCCCATCCCGTCTGCCCGACCACCCTCGCCTGCCTCTTCGGTCACTGACAAGGCGGTGGACGGTGAGTAACAATAAGCGGCGACGGTGGCCACGGACCCCTCTCTGAAGATTCCCCATCTCCCCCAGGTTTGCGAATGCACCTCGCTGATAAGAAGGCCGACAGCCTCTGACACTGTTTCACTTTGAGGGGAAAGGAGCGGTCATGCTCGAGTTATTGACCGCAGATATAGTGCCCCCGGACATGGACGGACAAGCACTTGCGCGTGCAAAAATGACTGAGCCGCGGTGTGGGCCCTGAGATGGTGTGGCCCCCGACCGGCTCCTTCGCGGCTTCAGCTCTGGGTTGGTATCGGCCGAGCTGCCGAGGTGACAGAGATGCGGTCTGGGAGACAGAAGAGAAGAAGAATGAAAAAAAAAATAAAAATAAAAAAATAAGAGCTTTGTCATCGAGGGTCTCGGCAGTCCATCTGTTGGTCACACACGGATACAGCATCTCCAGTGACAAGCAGGCAAGAGGCTGGCGTGGTGCCGCCCTCATGCGGCTTGCCGCGCGCCAGGGAAAGCATTGTGTCTTTGTCTATATGTGCACTGCTGAAGATCTTGCAGCGCCACTGCTGGTGATGAGCCGAGCCGGTAGTGGTCGTTGGGGCTCGTCAAAGAGTTGGGCAGTGCATGCCTGGCGGCGGTCCATCACATGTGCCCCCGTTGGCCTGGTACCACCCTCGAGGCTGCTGCCAACGGCCGCGCGAGGTCGCGGACGGGACGACCACCCCTCCTGCCCTCGTGTCCGCACTGCCGACCCATAGGACGTCATATCGAGTTTCACCTCATCCCACGATGAGGTGCGGCCAAGGTGGCAGGGTGGTCAAGCAGCGATCGCAATTGCGATCCTGGTGATCAATAGACCGATGATGCTATAGTTGTTTCCGCTCATGTCTCCGCCGTCCCGTTGTACTGTGGTATATGATTATCGCAGGTGGCCCGCATTAAGGTTCACCCAACCTTGCCGCAATTCGCATCCGCAAGGCTGCACTGTGACATTCCTGCAGGATGTTGGGGATGCAGTGAGTGTGGAATACAAGTCCCCCCAGCGAACTCCTCCCTGACCCAGACCGTTCCATGTGACCGATGGGAACAGGCAGCGGGAAGCGTGGATCAAAGGAACGCCTTGAGCTGCTTGGCCAACGACTCATGAACCAGACTGCCAGACCGTGGCGGACAATGCCGATGTGAGAAAAGTTGTTCTCGAACAAGTGGATGTGATGATCGCCGCACCGCCCCGAGCGGTGAGTTTTAAATGCGGCGTAAAGTACCCGGCCAAGCCCAGGTTGTCTCTCTTGTAGAATCGGGACTTGAGGCGAATTCAGAGACTCGCAGGTTTTCCGAATCCGGTCGGAACTGCATGTCTCAAGTAACGAGGCTGGTCCAACATCTCTCTTTCAAGACGCGACCACATTTCATGTGTGCGAGCTGTGCCCGACAAGGACGAGCACACTGCATGCATGCCATCACGAACCAAGACACACCAAGCGTGTGCCAGCGTGTGCCAGCGTGATCTGCTGCGGTACGTGAGTTGCCGTTGAGAGCTAGCAAACCTTAGGGCGAGACCAAGTTTTGGCGGGGATGGGGCATAAACGCAGTCAGGGCCCTGGGAATCTGGGGCAAGCAATTGAGGCAACTGCGTTGTACGGAGTAGGGCCTAGATGCTGGCAGATGGGAGGCTAGAGTCTCCAGGGCTGGGACGTAGGTGGGGGCATGGCTGTTCCCGCGTTGCGATAAGGTTGAGCCTCTTATCGCAAAATCTTGCTGAGTCTCACTGCCGTAGCCTTGTGATCCAAACGCACCCAGCATATTAGTCCACTGGTTCACAGGACAAGTACGGCAACACTGACATACGCCCGTGACCGCATCTACGGCAACTCTGATTCACCATAGCAAAGATGTCAAACGAGATCGGAGACGACACCGTCATGGACGACGTGCAGCAGTCGCAAAACGGCGAGGCCGCCGAAGAGCTTGAAGCGGAGGAGACCAAGTTATTCCTGGTATGAGCAACAGCCCTGCACTCGCACGTGGGAAGGGCGGGAATCCTGACATGACGTACGTGCAGCTCCCCGGCTCCACGCCTACAGCAGCCTCGTTCGAGTTCCGGGACGAGGGCCACACACTCGGCAACGCCCTGAGGTACATCATCATGAAGAAGTGAGTTTGCTGCACTCCTCCATGCTCATCCAGCTGGGTCTGACAATCCCACAGCCCTGACGTCGAGTTCTGTGCCTACGCCATCCCTCACCCTTCCGAGGCCAGGATGAACATGAGAATCCAGACCTACGGTACGTGAGCAACTCAATGCTACATTAATCAAGCTCCCCGCTGACCATGGCTGGCAGAGGGCACAACTGCCATTGATGCGCTGAAGAAGGGGCTCAGGGATCTCCAAGACATGTGCGATGTTGTCGCAGAGAAATTCTGGGACGCGAGGGAGTCTGTTCCTCAGGTCCCTGCTCCCTCCAAGAAGCAGCTGCAACCCAATGGCGAGCCACGGCTGTTTGATTAGTTTGGATCTCTTCGTGTGGCGCATCTGCACCCTACTCTGAGGGAGATTCATGAACATAGGCATAGGTCGGCGTTAATGGCGTGCGGGTAGAAATGGCACATTCGAAGGGATGGTCTCGGATGGCGACTCAGGAACTTCTATTTGGTATCTACAGGGCATCTTTTTATGATATCCCGTCCTCAGTTGCGACCCTGGCAATAAGTCAGTACATGTCATGCTCTGGAAGGTAGCTTTGGCGTGTATCTTACCTCCAGGAAGCCCGACATGAAGTTCGACGGTAATCTGTGTTCTCCCCTGAAGTTCTCCTCCTTGAAATATGACATGATGTGGCTTGACTGCTTCCAGAAGTTCATGGTTTCCTGTTTTTGACGGTCAGTCCGGGCATTCCCATTCCGCGCACGCTCGCTCTGCCACCGTTGGTCAGGCTTTACCTGGTACTCCGCATCGCTCTTGAAGAGCAGGACATCGACGACTGGCAGCTTGTTGACGAATCGGTTTCGCTCAAACTCCTCCCTGATACGCGTCCGGATGACCGACACAGGGAAGGGAACGTTGAACATGGTCTGGATTTCGGGCGCCTGCGATATCAATTGTCAGCCCGGCGGCCTCCGTGGACAAATCCCAGGCACGGCAGCCTTACGGCCACCAGATGGAGGCATCGCATCAACGTACAGCTCGAATCCATTGCCGGTATGACCCTAGCACCCGCTTCTGCGCATCGGCCCAGTTGATAGCTACTCGGTGGTCAGTCACAGCGATCGGAAGTTCGGCCTTGGCGGTACTGACACTGGCGCGTCTTGCGTGCGAATTGCGTTGGCGAGATATGGGCCATGGTGGCTGGAGGATTGCTTCTGGGGGGGGGGCTGTCGTTGTCTTCGACCTGCGTTCTCTTCGACCTTCGTTCGGTTCTAAAGTGCTCTGACGTTCGGCTCCAGCGCGAGGCAAGGGGAAGCTGTTGCAGATTGACCACTCACAGGCGGCGATTAGATAAGCAGCCCGCCAACGCGCTACTGCCTGCCCGCGGCGACATCCCGCCTTTTCAGCCTTCAGCCTAGTAGTTATTCCAGTAGCACATTGCCCCCCCCCCCAACATTCATGCAACGCGTCTTGCCCAGTGATTGCTCGAAGCATACCAACACTCCATCACTGCAGCTCTGAAGTTGGACCGCCCGGCTGGCCGAAAACAATACTCGTTCATCGAACCACAAGCGAAGCGCATCGACATGCCCGCCATTAGGCACGCCTCGAAGCGCAAACCGCCGCCAGATGGCTTCAGTGACATCGAGGACGACCTGCTCATTTTCAGCAACAAGATGAAGGATGCGCAGAACACCCCGACCGACAACATCCCCAAGCACCAAGCGCAATGGCCCATATTCGAAATCTCCCACCAGCGAAGCCGATACATCTACGAACTCTACTATGAGAAAGAGGCGATCAGCAAGAAGCTTTACGACTGGCTCCTGAAGAACGGGTATGCGGATGCTATGCTGATCGCAAAGTGGAAGAAACAAGGTTACGAGAAGGTTCGTCTCAGTCTACAACGCAACGCTCTTTGGGGCGCATCAAGCTAATCTCAATATAGCTGTGCTGCTTGCGATGTGTGCAGACGAAGGAGACCAACTTTGCCTCGACCTGTATTTGTCGGGTGCCGCGAGCACAGCTCAAGGAGGATCAAGACATACAGTGTGTCAGTTGCGGATGCAGAGGATGCGCTTCGAGCGACTGATCACGACGCCGAACACGAGACTGGGCAAATTGCACGTAGCACGACGAAAAGGCAGGAAGGAGTTGGGGTCTTGATTTGAGAAGGTACGGCATCACCACCTGATGACCAGATTTCCCTGGCATACCAATAGAGATTCATTTTTTGAAGCAGATCATTTCTACTAAAGACGCTTGACGCTCCCCTGGGTATCTCTACGCCCACAACGCCGAGTGATACATGGCCAATTCCAGGCGGCCAGATGTCGCCGAGCCCACTACGCTACCCTTACCGCGGAGGCAAACCGGATTTTTTGGAGGCGAGTCGAACATTTCTGGGGACAAACTTCAAGGACGACATGGCTCCTGTCAACTGCTCCATATCCGTATCCTGGGCCGCCGTCTTGCGATCGTGGACTGCCTGGTGTTTTGGCAGAATATCTGAGCTAGCCTCAAGCGCAGCAACATTGCTGCTCGTGGCGCCTCTGTTGTTATCCTTGCCAATGTCGCTGTTTGGCTGATCCTGGGAGACCGGATCGTCCATCGCAACATCTACTGGCTCAACGGCTCTGTCATTAGCGGTTGCATTCACCTGGATGCCATTGCCTTCTGCGACACCTGGCGTGGCGTCTTTGCCAGATTCCTTCTTGCCGCCCTTGCGCCCTTGCTGGTGAGCATTGTCGCGGTGATGCGTGCGTGGCTTGCTCTCTTTACGGTTGACGAGCATGGACTGGCGGCGGTCAACACCAGCCTTGGTTACTGCGAAGAAGTAGTTGGTAGGGTACTTGTGCGTCTCGATCAGGTGTGCACGCCTCTCAGCCGGCGTCTTCCGCTTTTCGGCGCATGTCTCAACGAAGCAGGAGTACTGGGTAGCCATTAGTACCCCCATGTAGTACTGTATAGAAAAAGCAACTGCTTACGATGTTCTCCCCCTTCTCTTTCCGCAGCTCAGTCAGGGCATCGTGGAATTCTCCGATATGTAGATTGAGCATATGTGAAGAAGGAAAGTTCTTTCTGCAATCGATGCAGCGATTTTCATGCGCCTTGTGGTAGTGCGACTCGTACTCTTCGTATGATGGGAAGCGTAGGCCCGGTCCGTGGCCAGGGAGTGAGCAGGCGAAATCGAGGATGGGAGTAGACTGCGAGTTGTCGGCAACGTCGAGGCCTAGGAACTTGGAAACGGGGACGATTTCAACATCTTGCTCGGTGGTCGAGGACGGAAGGTAATCCTCTTCAGGCTCGCGTGAGCGCTTCATTCTGCTTGGTGGAGAGGACAGGGAGGATTACTTTTGTGTTAGTCCCGGTGCTCGTCTATGGCCTCCAAAGTGAGGTTCCACTGAGATGCGCTGGCCGAAGGTGTGTTTGCATTGTCTTGACGCCACGCCGGATTGTTTGGACTGCAGAGCTTCATTCACAGTGACGTGACTGTACTCTGTGGAAAAGACCCACTATACTAGTAGAACAAACAGTGCTCTGTACCCTGGCCAGGTACACCCTGCAGGGTCTTCCTCATGTGTCTTGACTCACCACAGCACTAGCGTGCGCTGGCTCGGGAGACATCTAACTGTGAAGGACCAGCCATTACTGTGTATGTCTGCTCTATCATACTGTATATGATGTTCAAGGACGTACCAAACAGAATTCTGTTGGCAAAAACTGTAGAACTGATCAAAGCCCAGAATGTTGCTGGGTGCATCACAGAGTGGTGGTACGTTCGTAGAGACAGAGGCATCCAGGTAGCATCAACCTTGTAGCGGGTACCTGGCATTCAGTGGTACCCAGGTACCCTTGGGGAGCTCCTCGAGTTGCCCGCAGCAGTGCACGGTCCAGCCAGTAGAGCAGCAGCCGATCTGCGACTACTCTGAACGCGGCTTACACCCAAGAGTCAATTGACTTCTTTGATGCCTCGAGGGGTTTTTGCGATCGTCAACATCGTTCCCACCGACACAGCACTGCAGAGTTCCACGTTGCGCCCCCAGGAATAACCTGTCCAGAGACCACTACGGTGACCGATGTTGCCCACGCCAGGGACCGCGACCTCCACAAAGCAACCCGACCAGGTTTCGCGCCCAAACCATCCCACCACCGGCCGCCACCCGTCTGTGATGGATCGCCAATCCTGTGCTGCGCCGTCCCCGTCCTTGTGTGAGACCGGTCTCTAACTATGGGCTTGATTTGATACTGGAACCAACTTTCGTTACATTGCACATACGCGTCGAATCTTAACCGCACAACCTTCCTGCTTACCGCAGCACCCGCTGCTTGCTGCCCAGCATGCCCGACAAGATGGACTCGCTGCCGACGGCGGAAATGTACTGGCAGTACGTCATATTGTCTCTTATATCTCTTGAAGGCTTTCCAGGGCACTACGTATCGTGCTTGCTCTGTCATGCCGAGTCCGTCCCAATCATTGCTCTGCCACAACCGCAACGCTCTGGGCTTCTTCGAATATTATGCTAACAGAATGAAAACCTCCAGGGACGCCAAGAAGATCCGACACAAGATCGTCCGTGACATCAGGCAGCTCAAGGAGGGGTCTAATGGCAAGACCGAAGAAGAACAGTTGAGATCGCTAGAGGGGAGCATGGCCGAGTATGTCAGATCACTACTGGCACGTCAACACGAGATGTCACACGCGAAAAGCAACAAAACATGTCGGCCCTGCAGACACTTAGTGCAGGCGACCATGGAGCCCATCGAGCCAAGATCCATACCTATGAGATTTCATGCCTGTCCATGGGATCACCCACTGCGGGCGGGTGCTATCTGGTCAGATTTGACCGTGGGAAGGCTGTGTTCGCGTGTGGCATCTATTGTTGACGATGTTGTGTTGACTTGCGAAGATATCCCTGACACAATCTTAGATTTCGGCTGCGATTCGTCTGCACGCTCAGCGGGGACCCCCAGTATATCTACCAGTCGGATGCAGAGAAAGTGATGTGGGAGCTTCATACATACGTCAACCAGGCCTACCGAGATCTGTTCAACGAGCGCCTCCGAGGCCAGCCACACGTCGTGACCAAGCGCAAGGTGGAGAAACTTTACAACAACTATTTGAAGACTGCCCACGACTTTTATAAGGGCTACTTCCAGCGCCTCCAATCGCTGCATGGCCTGCCGCAGCTTCCCAGGATCAACAGCGTTCTGGAACTGGAACCCCCGACTGTCGACGATCGTCAGGGCCATCTCGTGACCGCCGAAGCCGCCCAGAGATCGTTCCACTCAACCCTGCTTCGTCTCGGTGATATATCTCGCTGGAGACACAAAGCTCGGCCAAAGCCAGGTGGCACGAAGATGGCTCTGCTCTACTATGCTCTCGCGCACGATCTGAAGCCAACTTCCGGAGATGCTCATCACCAAATGGGAATGATGTACACAGAAGAGCACAACCATTTACTCGTTGTCTACCATCTCTATCGCTCGCTAGCAATTGAGTTTCCCCATGCCAACTCCACACGCAACCTAGAGGTCGAGTTCAAGCACATTTTGAATTCCTCCACGCCTACCAGACGAACAGGCACTCCGGACCCCAATGAATCCTTCTCCAACTGGTTCGTGAGGCTTCATGCTCACTTTGCCAAGGGTGAAACGTTTTCCCAACAGTCCGAGTTGGAACAGACCGTGCTCCATCGCCTCGAGGAAATGTTGAAGAAGCCAGACACTCTGCCTCTTGTGTTGAAGATGGTTCTTATCAACATTGCAGCCTACTACGTCACACTATCCAGGGCTCTGAGTCAGAGTAAGTACCGCCTTCTAGTGACATTTTCTTCCCCTCTCAAGCTTTGGCTTTTCACCGTTCGTTTCCTCACCAGCACTTTCTGTATCCCCTGTCAATGCTAACTGGTCTCCAGAGCCAGAGGATTGGAAGGACAGTGCTTCCAAATCATGCGAATTCGTGTTAGGGATGAACGTCCGGTGGATTGTGGTAATATCTCGCCTCTTCCAAGCGGAACTCCAAGAATTCTCAAAGGCTGCAGCTCCTGCGAAAGACACGGCCGAGAACGGCGCAAAGGCGAAACATGCTGCAAAGTTCAGCCCATTCACTGAGAACCTACTACCGCTGATGCGTGTCTACATGGCCTGGCTTTATATCTATCGAGCAGACATCGTGAAGTTTCAAGGACACCTGGGGGGTCACGTCTTCGACATGTATAGGATCCTTGCCCAAGTCCTGACTACCATCTTGAAGGAGTTCAACGGCCAACAGATGGAAGCATCGCCGTACCTCCTTCCCGAGGACGTCGTGGCGTTAGGTATGAAGCCATTCGATGGACCTAACATGGCTTCGGCCTGCCGACTCCACCTCGCGTTCGGCAGAGATGATTTCAAGCCGCATTGGGAAGACACCGGACTTCCCAGGAAGGAACCTGATGCGGAGATGAGAGCTCGTGTCTATGATCTCATGAACTGCGGATTCTCCCTCGCTCTCGATGATGGATTCCCACTGGCTGTGAACCCTCCTGCAGAGGGCTCCGATGGAACTGTCACCATATCCTACGTTGAGGGAGGGAAAGGCTCGCAGATTGCTCAGCAAGAGCCTGTCAGGTCCCAACCCATTCCCGCTGATGCCCAGGTTGACCAGCTTGAAGGACAGCTTCGCAACCTCCGTCCAGTAAGCAGGTCTGATCTTACTGGGCTTAATGGGATGCAGGCGGTGGGCAACCTCGGCCGCGCGCACACCAGAGCGCCATCTGGCTCAGCTGCGGTTGAAGGAAGCCCCGAACCCCGGACGATCGACGTCGAGCCTTTGGAAACCGAATCGGATCTGAACATTGATGCGAAGATGCATGACATGGTGGATGACCTGCTTGAAGATGATAATTCGGACCTGATGGGCACCCAACCGGGGCGTGGCCCCACCCAGCCCAAGACATCGTCATACGGCATGCACTCTTCAACAGCCGAGCAAGTTTTCGGTGGTCTTCAAACACCTGGTCATAACTCCAGTGCTATCTTTGGAAGGCCGACTCCTTGGGGTTCTTTTGTGACTCCACCACAGACAGGTCCAGGGCGTGGGGAACCTGTCGGCCCTCAATACAACGGGGGAGCAAACTTCAGCACCGGCTCCCCGAATCAGGCGCAACGAGCTTCAAGCACGTCTTCGTTGCAACCGACAGTCCCGGATTTTACACCTGGTCCGGGGATGCAACGAGGCTCGGACCCTTTTGCTCTATTTCCTCCAAGCAACACTCAACCACCCGGTAACCAATTTGGCCAAGCTAACTTCGGCACTTCCGGCCGCCCATCATCTGGCCTGGGTGGACCACTTCAAGGAAGCCGGGGTGGTTTCGGTCATACCAGACAACGATTAGGCGGGTCTACAGGGAGCAGTGGAACCTCATCATTTTTCTCCCCCAAGGAGAATGCTGGTGCTTATGAGATTGCTTCTGGGGGCCACGTCCCTGGACAGATCAACAATGCTCGGTCGAAAGCCGTGTCGTCCCCCTTGGGATTCAACATGGGTAGCAACCCATTCTCCATGGACTTCTCGCAGGCAGCATCTGGTCTTCCTCCTGTCAACAGCCCATTCGGCCTGCCAACAGGACAGATCAACGGCGGGTTTGCCCAGAGCGACATGTACTCGTACAACCAGCAATTTGGGGGCTCTTTCCCTGCCTACGCGCAGCCCAATGGCCCGACCACGGTCTGCAACGGAAATGTCTACAACGCCACTACCGCGTACGGCCGGGGTGTCGTGGCGGCCAAAGACGACCCTTCTCGCTTCAGAAACGCGGTTAAGAAGACGCACATGGCAGTCGCTGCCGCCGAGGCTGACGCGTTTGACCGGGCAGTCTTGGAGAGCGCTCTGGCGGACGACCGTCCGAAGCCAAAGGGATGAACAAGGACGTCTAATTCTGTCGTACAACTCTTGGACAAGGTGCAGACTTCTGGGAACATGCCATCCCTGCCAGCGTCGATTTACAAAGGCCGCTTGAACCCGGATTAGGGTTCTTGTCACGCACCAGGCGTGCCATCACCATGAACACACCCGGTAGAGCAACCAAAGCAGTTGAGACCGTCACGAGGGCCTCGCAGCGTCACGGCGAACGGATGTGTGTTGGATATACTGGACTCTATTACAAGAGTATCGCCCGGAGCCTGTCGCTTCCGAACCGATTGTTTTCCTATCTGAAAAGATGATGGAGCGTTCTACTTCTAGATCATTGTTCCTAATGATCTGGCAGATGGGGAATCATAAGTTGAATTCTGAGACAAAGCGAATCCTTTTTCTTGTTTTTCGCTTCCCGCCCACGGATGCAAATCACCGTTGTTGAAACCAGGCTTTTCTACCCGTCAAAAAAATGCCCGCCTGAGACGCCAAGATGAGAACCGGAATTGGGTGTGTGGAAGAACGGAAAGATTAATTTCTCGAGTTCCAAGCCACTTTCGTTCAGGCCTAGGCCGAGTAAGTCTGCTTGGGGAAGGGGTACCTGTGGACGAGGAACGCGGTCAGAATGTGGGAGCTTGGAGAGCGTGTAATTCGAGGGGGCCGAGGGAGGGAGATCAAGTAGCGCGTTTGCGGGAGGCGGGCTCCAGGGCGCTCTTTTGAAAGGAGCAATAGTTGAAGCAACCGATACAAACAGTATGAATAAGAAAATTCGTTTTGGCAAGTGCAGACTTACGATGGACCCAGCTCCTGGATGCTGAGCTTGGCCAGCCACTGGCCGAGCTTGATGGACTCCTCGAGGGACTTGCCCTCGACGATGCCCGCGGTGAGACCACCGGCGAAGGCGTCGCCTGCACCGTTGGTGTCGACGATCTGGGCCTTGTCGATGGAGAGGACGGGGTACTCCTTGACGGCGTCCTCGCCCTGGGTGGCGACGATGGTAGGCTCAGTGCCGTGGGTGATGATGGCGACGCGCTTGCGCTGGGTGTTCTCCTTGGGCAGGTTGGCCATCAGCTTGGCGATCTCCTTGAGGTCCTTGGTGTCGTGGCCGTGGACCTCGGCCCAGGTGGCCGCCTCGGTCTCGTTGCCGATCACGTAGTCCCAGTAGGGGGCGCTGGCGTCGACGGGGTCCTTGAAGAACTGGGGAATGAAGGGGGCCGACAGGGAGACGACGAAGATCTTGTTCTTGGTCGCGGCCTCCTTGGCGAGCTCCATGATGGCGGGGGGGCAGACTGTGGGGGGGAAAGAGAACATGGCTGTCAGTATCAAACGCAGTCCGCACGGGCGGGTGGGTTGCCTGCCAACGCAGCTTCAGACTCACCGGTGAAGTGGTAACCACCGACATAGTAGACCTCGGCACCCTCGACCAGGCTCCAGATCTCGGGCTTCTTCAGGTGGTCCAGGTCGTAGTGGTTGGCGGCGCCCAGGTCGGTGCAGAGACTCCTGTTGTGGCCGGTAATGACGACACCGCAGCGGCCGGTGGGCTGGGTGGGCTCGACGCGGTACTCGACGCGGAGGCCGGCCTGCTTGACGGCGTCCTTGAGGATGGCGGCGTACTTATCGTCGCCGACGCCGCCCAAGTAGACGACGCTGTTCTCGGGCAGGATGTACTGGGCGCCGCGGGCGGTGTTCTGGGCGGCACCGCCGGCGATGAGCTTGGCCTCGAAGTTGTTCAGGAGGTCCTCGTAGATGCCCTTGTGCTTGTCCTCGGCCAGGATGGCGTCGTTGGCCTTGAGGCCGTACTTTGCCAGGAGCTCATCGTTGCCATAGGCCTGGATGTCTGTTGTTGGCTGCGTCAGCGGGGGTTTTTCTCAGCCCGAAGCCCATGCCCGAGCTACGAGGGGGAAGGGAGGGGGGGGGAGGAGCTTGAAGCTCTCGAGGAACAGCTCAGGTCGTTCTTACCGAGGAGAGGGTTCTCCAGACACAAGAGACGGAACTGCTTTGAGGCCATTTTGTTCAATTGACTTGCTGCGGTGGTGGTGGTCAAGTGGAATAGTCTCAGTCTTGGTGCCGAAGGAGAGACTCTTGGGGCAGCGAAGGTGGGGTTGAAGAAGTGCTGCGAGGAGGGACAGCGGGGTGAAAAGATCCCCCTGTAAGCCCGAGCTACGGCCCCCGGCAGGGAGGCGACTCGGGGTAGCCCGTGGGCAAATGGCGAGCCAGACATGGTTGGTTCCTCCGAGTCAGTCGGGATATTCAGAGCCAACAAGCAGATACACACTTGTCAGGAAAAGGTCAAATGAGCTCTTATAATCGCTGGCCCTGAGGGTTTACTGAGGCTTCACTACGAGGCGGGCATGGGCAGAGTCGGGTTGGGTGATCAACGTGTACTAGCTTGGCATATGATTCCACTCTGCGCTCATGCTCTCGTGCTATCGGCGAAGCCCAGACAGGGTTGCGTGATGCACTCTGGCCTCCTCCAAATTCCCATCCCCAACATCGTGGTTCTGTACTCTCTCTCTGGTCTCCATTAAGGTCTCCAGGTGACAGGTATCGAGCCCGCCAGGACGCCAGGACGCCAGAAGGCCTGGATTTTGGTATTGGAATCATTTTTCTTTTGTATTCCGTGGATGCCGTGGTACTACCCATAAGCGGTGGTTTCATCATGAACCGCCCTTAGTACCAGAACACGCAAGACCGAAGATATCAAAGCAATCCGTAAACCCCAACCCATGAAATCAGCGACCGCCTTAGTCCTTCGTCTTCTGGGTACCACGCAGCAGACCAGTCCGTCTGGCAGCGATGAGACCCGCCTTTTGACCAGAGACAGCGTAACGGTTGATGGTGGAGGCTTTACCGATATGTTGGTGGTTACCCTGTGATGGCATGTCAGATATGAGTCGCGGCAACGGAGTCGAAATCTACTTACACCACCGTGAGGGTGGTCCACGGGGTTCATGGCCACACCACGAGTCTTGGGCCAGGAGTTGCGCTTGACAGCGAACTTGTGCTTGGCACGAGAAGCCTCTGTTGGAGTTGTCAGCATTCCGTCATTCTGCCGTCTCGGCCAATTTTCTTCACTGCGGAAGCCAGCGGCGTCGCCCAGGCCCGTGCCTCAGGCTGGTCGCACGCTCCAGGTCCAAGCAGTAGAAAAGCCCAGGGTTGACGTACTCAGGAGAGGCTTGTCCGTTCGGCCACCACCAGCAACGATACCGATCATGCCACGGGAGGTGCTGTGGACAATCTTCTTGGCTCCGGAGGGCAGCTTGATACGGGTCTTGCCCTCATCGGGGTTGTGGCCGATGATGGTGATGTAGTTGCCGGAGGTACGGCCCAGGGAGCCACGGTCGCCAATCTTCTCCTCGACGTTGGAGACGACGGTACCCTCAGGCATGGAGCCCAGGGGCAGGACGTTGCCGACGGTCAGGGCGGCGTTCTTGCCCGCGTAGATGAACTGGCCGGTGTACATGCCCTCGTTGGCGATGAAGGTCTCGGTGTGCAGCTTGAACTTGTAGGGGTCGCGGAAGACGACCTTGGCCAGGGGAGCGCCACGGCCGGCGTCGTGGACGATCTGCTTCACGACACCTCGGATGTATCCATGTCGCTCGGAGTAGTCGAGGACCCTGAACTTGGCGGGGGCCTTGTTCAGACGGGTGATCGCCTTGAAGATGGTCGACGAACCCTTACGCTGGTTCCTGATAACTCTTCCCATCTTGGCTGCTGGCTCGGAGGCGTCACCTGCTTCAGGACGTAGACGTAAGTTTCTCTGGTCGGACCTGTGTGGTTTGCAGCGGAGGGCAGGACGAAAGGCGGCGCAGTTCTGTCGAGCAGGATTGACCGTTCGAGAACCGCTTCCCTCTCAATCGAGCGACAGTTTCCAAGGTGGATGGTGGAGTGGTGGACTTACGGGCAGTTTGATGGGGATGTTGTGATGGTTTGTCAATGAGGCCGAATTCCTGCGCTGAATTTTAGAAGGCAGGAGGGCAGGAACGACTTCTCAATTTTGTGGCCGCACTAAGCCGCTTAAGGGATGGCGCCAAATCTCGATGGTGGGCCCGTGCACTCCGCAGCATGTCAGCCTTTCCCCGAAGGAACCTCACACCTCGGCCTAAGATCAATACAAACTCATCATCACCACCAGCTTCATTCCCAGGCGTGTTCTCTCATCCTCCCAAACAATGCCATTCATCGCGTGCTGACTGTTTTAGCAGACTCCGCATCGTGTATGTCATAGTTGACGATATTGACGTCTCGGCCCCTTTGGCAACGTGCATCGCCGTTCCGGCCGATTTCCCAGCCGAATGGCCGGAAATCGTGGGAGAAAGCTCTCGTACCTGGTTGTTTTCGATTGGCGTGGTGTGGATTTCACCTGGCTCAATAGGCCGGCATCCAGAGGTCAAGCGCGCAGCTGATAGTGTGAAACTCTCACTGCAGCCGGCCACCTGGCCATAAACACCCTGCAACACCGCCAGATAAGCTGCGAAACCACCTGAGCATCCTCCACGTCCTGTGCGCGATAGATCTGCAAGTGCAGGCTTTTGCGGGCGCATTTCCAGACGTGTGCCGCTCAGAATGCACATTAAAGGCGCGTCATGTCTATCCCGGGCCCTGATGCCAGCATCCCCAAGTCATTATCAGTCGATAATAGGCGGGGTCAGCAGTTGCATGACTTTCACGATGCCTTTGTTCGTGATTCTACCAGTGGAATGCTGATGCTGTTTGGTTGCGCGATTTTTTTGTTGGACATGTTGGATCTCGGTCGAAGCGCCAGGAACGGCCACCGCATGAATCAGCGCTATGTTGACGGCCCTTGACGGCTCTAGACAAGCATGGGCCACAAACAACACGGGTGAAGGCAAGGGAATACGTTTTTTCTGGGATAATCGCCCTGTTGCAACCTCCCTGATTTCTGAGATGCCCCGGAGAATCCACCCCTTGGAATACTATACATGGCGCGACAGTTTGGGATAGCCTCAGTGGCCTATCCTCCTGGACTGTCCTTTGCTGGGTAAGTAAGTTGATGGTGGCAAGGGACCAAGCGGCCCTTGCTCATGAGTTCTGCCTCATCCATGTTGACGAATGGGATGCATGGGCCTAAGGTGACTGCCTGTCAAAGTTGGCTGGGCGCTTGTTGGCAATTTGCGGCACAGGGAACACAAAGAGTGTGGAAAAGTGCATGCTTATCTGTGGCGGCGGCGAGGAGGTTGTGGCCAAGACTTCTGAATGGCTGCAAGTTCTCAGTGCGGGCAACAACAATTCTGCGGGGCCAACGGCGATGCTCGGGCTGGGCAGGGGACATCTCCACACTCGTGCTGTACGCCCACGAATTCTTAACGGAACGAGAACAGAACGGCATCACGGACAACTACTGCGGAGGAGCGTTGAAAAGATCAGCTGCTACAACACTCGTGCTCCCATTGTGAGATGGTCGAAGAAAGTGTCACGCAGCATGTGATGGCTCCAGGTCAAAAGGCTCGAGAGGAGGCGACTCGGCACAGGATCGACCAAGGCAGTGTCATCATGCCAGCTGCATGGACAGACAGACTTAGCTGGTGACCTGGTGCCCCCCCCCCCCCGGTCCGTGTTGGAAGGAAAACCGGAGACAAGGACGGTGGGCTAGGCAGCAGAAAGCAGTTGAATGGCAGATAGGCGGCGTGGTGTTGATGGATGGACGTGCCTAGGTAGTGAAAGCATTGGTATATCTATGTTAATCCGATTCGGCGAATCATATTGCCTTGTGGTCGTCGTGCGGCTCCTTGATCTTTAGCGGGACCGCCTGCCTCCATTCCGTCACCGAACCTTACTCATTGGAACTTTCCCTCCACCACTCCTTCACCCAGCACTACCAAACTGCAACCGGCAACCGCAACGAAGCTGGCTGCAGACAAGGCAAGAATGGCCGACGACTCTTCCGATCTATCCTCCATCTCTTCCTTGTCCCCTGCGCCATCGGGCGACGAATCTGAAATTGAATTGAAGCCCCAGAATGGCATTCTGAAGTTCTTCCACCGCGTCTCCAAGGACGAAGTCGTCGAGGCAAGGAAGAAGGAGATGTCGCCTCCACCGCGCAAGAGGGAGCCCTCCCCTCCCCATGAATATGTTTTTGCCGACCATCCGGACATTGCAGTAAGTTGCAAGTCTGATTTGTCGCGTCACCCGTGCGAAAAGACGCGAAAGTGCGCGGTCGCGTCGCCGCAACCCTGGCTCACCAATTTCGCAGTTCATTGTCATGTTCCGCAAACGATTCGACAGCGTCATGCCCAGGTCTCTGGCACATTTCGGCCCCCTCGAGCTGGAGCAGGATATCAAGCAGGATCCTCCTGCCGAACGAGTCGAGCAATTCCTATGCGTTGTTCTCGGCCTCCTTCTGAATCGCAAACAAGACATCAAGTACGCGGTCCTCTCACCTGCCCCACCAAGCGCGCGCCCGGCTCACATTTGTATCTAGGCTCGGCCACTACCAGAAGGCATTGAACGAGGATGCGATCAACGGCAAGGACTTCAAACCCCAATGGCCCCGTGAATGGCAAGATCGGAGTCCTCTTGCAGGCGGCGCAACCTTCCAGTCCATCTCGCCCGAACAACGAGTAAGTGGCGCCCACCACTCCTACCTGACAACGATACTGATGGTCGGGCAATTACAGCTCCTTCTACTCAAAACCCTAGCTCTCTGGGCCTTGGGATACTCAGACGCTGTCAAGACCCTGATCAACTCCAGCTACAACCAGAAGCGCACCGCCGATGACCTCAACCAACCCCTGTCCGTACAACCGTGGGGCCATGACAGCGAGAAGCGCCGATACTATCTTGTGGAAGGCGACGACAACTGCTCATTCCGGATATACAGGGAGGGAAATCCAGCCGCTTTATACAACAGGCAATGGATAAGCGTTGCTGGTAGCATCGACGAAGCCAAGGCCCTCGCGGAGAAGCTGGGCAAGGATAATGGGCAGAACGCACGCAAGCTTAGCAGGAGCATCTTGAACAATATTGCAAACTTCGAGGAGAAGGAGGAGGTATGCGCAACCCCTTGCCCGTGGCTCGCTGCCGGCGTCCAGCCTTTCCCTTCACGGGCCATCTCCCATCGCATCTGCACCCTTGAAGGCGACGAGCTAACGTGTGTACATAGAAACGCAAGCGACGCGAGTATAGACGCACGCAGAAGGAACGCTTCCGCCGACCCGAGCCGGGTTTCTCCCTCTACGAGGGCCGAACCAGAGGAAAGCGAGTCAAGTACACGTACTCGGACGAAGAAGACTTCTACACGGACTCGACCAGCAACCGCCGATCAACGCGCAACACTCGAAACCCCACTCCTGTCGACGCTGGTCCTGTAATCACAGCTAGCGGTCGCCAGTCGCGGCCCCCTCCCCGCCTTACGGCTGACAACATGAGCAGCGGCGATGCCAGCGCTGCGCCTAGCGTCCAGGGCGATGATGCAGCCGGAGGCAACCTAGATACAGAGATGAGCGAGGCGCCAGAGATTGGACCAACGGGAAGACCCAGAAGGACTGCTGCGGCACAACATACCACAAACGGCTGGGCTGGCTCCCGGAAGCGGAATAGAGCATACGTGTCTGATGACGAGGACGACGAGGACGAGCCGGACTTTGGTGATGAAGGCGACGACCACGTCCCGCAAGATGAGACGGAAGATGAGGAAGAGTTTGAGAACGACGCCATGGATGAAGATGATGACGAGGTCGCCCCCGAAAGCCCCGACTCGACCGATAGCCGCATGGTGAAGCTGCACATCAAGGTCAACTTTGACAAAGACGGCAAGGCAAAGCGTCTGCCAAAGAAGCGCGACGGGTCCACAGAGTCGGCATCGACGCCGTCCAATATCGCGTCATCGCCCGAAGCAGCCGAGTCCGCCTCTGACGAGAGTCCCAGTGACATTCCCACACATGAGCCTGAGCATACGGGCGACGTCATCCAGGCTGCACCACTTAAGCGCCCAGAGCCGGGCGTGACCTCGGCCCCCGCGTCTGAGGCAGCCAGCGCCCCTCCGACCCAGGCTTCTGAGCCCGTCTCGACTCCCGCGCCCATGAGTTCAGCCCCGACGAGCGCTGACAAGTCATCCGAGAACTCAGAGAATGTTGCTCCGAAGCCAGAGGCGCCCACTACTGACGGATTCGCGGCTGCCAGCGGCAGCCTCAAGCTACAAGCAGGCGCTGCGCCGGCCTCGCTAGCCTTCAGGGGCAGCCCTGAGAAGCCGCGTGCTGTTATGGCGTCGGCGAACCAGGATTAGGTGCCTGGTCACCAGTCCTCCAGTAGGCCAAAGGTGTTGTTGTTCTCATAGTTTGGGAGTTTAGGCGATTGGTGGCAAAAGAGAGAGACATGATTTGTTCCACGCGCCGTGCGAGGCGTCATCTCACATTAGATGGATATTGTTACAGCGGCAGTCTGCGTGTCAAGGCGGGCAGCGATCCATAGAAGGAACGGGAAAAGGAAGTCCGCGTGTTTTGGTGGCCCCGAAAAAGGGCGGTTGTAGTCATGGTAGCTTCCAGTACAGGGCATGCCAATGAGCATCACAAGTAACAAAATATCAGGCGAGACTTGTGCTCCATGATTGTGGACTACGTCGCGACCCTGTGCCGTGACAATATTCCCTCCCCCCCCTCCTTCTACCGTCGGTTCTCCCAACTACCGAGCCATCTCGAGCTCTCAGCCACCTTGGCGACCTCGGCCAAGGCCGTCTCTACCTTGCCCTCCGGGTCGTGGTACCTGCTCCCGTCGAACTCGACCAGGAAGAGGTACTGGAAGGGCTGGATCAGGCTGGGCAGGCTGTTGATGCTGGTGAGGTTCAGCCCGCCCTTCCTGAACACATCCAGCACGGCGGCCAGCGCGCCGGGGCTCCGGTGCGGCACCGTGAACGAGACGAGGCTCTTGTGCGCGCCCGCGCGCGCCGGTGGTTCCTGTGCCCCTGCCCCTGCCTCTCTCCCACCAGCACCAGCACCGTCGTTGGCATCGCCCCTCCCCCGCCGCAGGACAAAGAACCGCGTGGTGTTGTCGTCGCGGTCCTCGATGCACCGCGCCAGCACGTCGAGCCCGAACGCGGCGGCGGCGCTCTCGTTGGAGATGGCGGCCGTCTCGCCCGAGGCGTCCAGCCCGGCCATCTCGGCGGCCTTGCTGGTCGAGCTGACGTCGATGGCCTCGGCGAGGGGCAGGTGCGCCGACAGGAAGGCCTGCGTCTGCCCGAAGGCCTGCGGGTGGCTGTAGACGCGCCTCACGTGCGAGAGGTCGTGCTGCGGCTGGCCCCTCCCCCTCTGCTGCTGAGGAGGAGAAGAAGAAGAGGCACCCTCCTGCGCCTGCGCTGGCGCTGCTGGGCCCCTCGCCCGCCCCAGCAGGAAGTGGTGCACGTCGATGTACACCTCGCCGCACACGCTCAGGTCCCCGTAGGCGGCCCCGCGGTCGGCCAGGTGGCCCAGGGTGAAGGTGACGACGCCGTGGGTCGAGTTCTCAAAGGGCACGACGCCGTAGTCTGCGGCCCCTGCTGCCACTGCGTCGAAGACGTCCTTGATGGTCGCCACGGGGTTGAGGGTGTGGTCATCTTCTGAGAAGGCTGACTTGGTTGCCTTTTTTTGGGGGGCGCGGGCGACAAAAGGCCGGTTGTGTTAGCCAGTTTGAATTTTATTTGCCTTGTGTGTGTATATATACATATAGTATGTGTATTCATATGTGTTGGTTGAGGAGCACCGCTTCCCCGTGAGGATGTGAGCGGGTAGGCAGGGGGGATGGACTGGACGGCAACATGTAATGAGCACTCTCACCTGGTGTGTAAAGGAGGACGGAGGGCCGAGGAAGGCGACCAGAGGCTTCGTCGAAGGCGTCTCGCCCTCGCTCTGCTGCTTGATTTGAATCATGTCTGTTTTGCCTACCGAGTCTTGTTGTTTATGTGTGAGTCGGGTTCGATCGACCGTGACAAGGTGGAAAATTTCTTGAAGTGCTGGGATCGTCGGTGAGAGCCAATTAACATGGTCACAAAATGGAATAAACTTTTAATCACTCCATCTGAGATCCAGGAAAATGGACAGGCAGGCCTGTTATTCTTGAAATGTGTGAAAAACTTTTGTTGTACACCAGGCTGTCTATTCTGCCTCTGAAGTTGAGCTAGGCTCCACGGCAGCGGTGCGCAAATGCGGGATGCGGCTAAACGGGCCCCAACCGGCGTCCCCCAAAGTACCGAGTCTGTTGGAGCTGCAGCTTGCAGTAAACGCCCCGTGGTTCGCCAATTCATGCGAATGGTTCCTATCGAACCACTGGATGCATCAAATCGGAGAGAGCCCCTCAGTCATGCGTCCGCATGACTTGCGGCGGACGCTGTTGTAGGATGTGGCACAAATGCTTGAAAGAGCGTATCAAGTTGGATTTTCCGTAGCACTACCAATTGAAAAGAGCGACTCAAAGCAAGGAGCAAGAGGGACTACAACATTGTGTCCTCCGATTGGACAGCTTCTCGTCCTGCTTTGGACATTCCCCGACGATAGAGCAAATAATCAGGTCTGCGCCCATACCAGTATCAGTCTGTCTCCCTTGCCTCCATCCTTCCCCATCTGCCCTGTCTCTGGTAGCCCTGCGATTAGTACGTAATCTGGACTCTTCAACTTCTCGGCGCACAGGACACCATAGGTAAACGGTTCTAACACTTTATGTCTCAGCAACTGGCGACATCACAGGTTGGTTTTGCGGACAGGGGAGAGTCAAACATACCACCGTGTTTCTCTTACTCAAGAAGCCCTTTAAGTCGACATGACAGAGCGGAGCGGTGACGGCCGCACAGCCTGGTGAGGCGACTGGCCGGGGGTGCCATCGAAGCCCTTCATCAAGCGCCGCTGCGCATGTGAGACTTTGCCGGACGCTGTCTTGGGCGTCGGCTTCTGAGGATCGGCAGCCGTCGTTGGCTCGGGCGGGATTGCTTGAGTTGAGGAGCCCTCGTTATTCACGAGGGATTCAAACTGTCAATCGTCGTAGTAGTCATCGTCGTCGTCGTCGATATCTTGCAACTGCTCAAAGTTGACCTTGTAACGCAGGAGGCCTCCGATTCCACCGAAGCCCTTGACAAACTGGTTGCCCTCGGTCGATCGGTCAGACACAAACTCCAGCGTCGTGCCAAAGTCCTTGTAGTGCTCCGCAATCCACTCGAGGAAGGACTCCTGGTTCACCACTTCCATCTCCGTGCCCGCAGAGGCAGCGGTCTTGTCCAGGAACATGGAGCGGTCGCCCGAGGTCTCCTGCTGCTTGGTGGTGTGGACAACGTACTCGGCCCCTTCGCTGTTCTTGAGGGTCCAGCGGCTGATCTCGAGGTTCTCGAAGACGATCAGGATCTCGACAGCTCCGAGCTCCAGTGCCTTGAGGGTGTCCTCGATACCGTAGCAGACCCGGCCGGTGTCCTGGCTGATCTCCTCGAAGTACTTCCCGATGAGTTTCTTCTCCTGGATGAACTTGACGTTGCCAAGCGTCTCGGAGGCCAGCTCGATGGCCTGGTTGAAGCCGTTCTCACCACCGTAGGACACGTCGACGACCTTGATGACCTTGGAAGCGAGACGGTTGTCGAACATGTCAGAGGCGTTCAAGTCGTTCTTGAAATCGGCGGAACCGGCGAGAATAATCCCGGCGACGTTGACCTTGTCGTTGGTAATGAAGTTCTGGACTGCCAACTCGGCGACCTTGCGGACATAGTTGTGACGCTTCTCCTCTCTGAGACGGGCGAAACGGAGGGCGGACTGACCACCACGACCGTGCTTCTTGGGCAAGTCGACCGAGAACTTGTGGACGATCTCTCGGGTGTTACCGCTGAGGGTTCCGAAGAGCGCACCGTTACCGTCCATGATGATAAAGCCAAACTTCTGGTCGGACTCGAGGAGCTCTGCGAGGGCCTCTGTGTGGAACTTGTTGTCACAGAGGTACAGCGAGGTGTTGATGGGCTTGAAGGGCTCGAAATCGATGTTGACCTTGCGTTCCTTTCCCTCGGATGTCAAGATCTCACCACAGTAGACAACGAGGCCATTGGGAGGGACCTTGTTGTACAGCTTGAGACGCTGCTGGGTGGAGGTGATGGCGGACAGGACAGACTGCCTGTTGACACGCGACTTAATGTTGGACGCGGTGCCCTGTTTCGGTGGTGTCAGCGTGCCAGGTCCGGGCCAAGGCGCGTGCCATGGCGGGTGATACGTACGTATTCTTCAGCCAACATCTTTGCAGCACGAGAGACTTGATCCTTGGGGGCTGGTGGGGGGTCAGTCAGCCGTGCTGATACACGAAGGGCGTGTCGACGAAGGGCGGGACCAGGAGCGGCACGTACGGATGATGAGGGAGATCATGGATGTGCCGTTACCCCGAGCGGCCTCGAGCCTCTTAATGAGCTTCTTGACCTTCCATATCTCGATCTGAAGACCTCAGTCAGCCTGGATGCGCAGCATATAGACACACACGCCCGAGTCGAGCATGCAGCAGCGAGCCGAGCGCAGGGTGCGATGCCTAGTGGTGGGAGGGGGTGTGGACCCACGTTTTTCTCGGCTTCCTGTATGGAAATAGCATTAGCAAAGGCATCACAACACCACAGGGACCCATGTGCAGAGAGCAGTAGTGGCCTTGAGGCAGCCCCCGCTGGCGCTGGCGGAAGGCGACGCGAGGCACTGGGTGGGAGCGGGAATTAAGTGTGGGTGCAGCAGGACAGTAGGAGCGACGTACGTTAGCCTGTGCGTCACTCATGTTGAGAATGGGGTGGACGCCGGAGCGATTCTCTCGATCTGTGTGGAAGACGGCAGCCGAGTAATGTCCCAGGGATGCAGGTGTTGAGGCAGGTCCCTTATGAAGACAAAGGAAAAACAAGAACTCGCGCCAGATGTGTGTGGTGTCGCTCCGTGGCGGGGTTTCGTAAGATTTTATGGAGGGGGGGAGTGATCAAACCTGGCTGATGGGAAAATGGCCCTTTTCTCTTTTCTTTGGTGTCAAGTTGGAACCTCCCGAGTCAAGGACCCACCGGGGCTGCACATGCTATTGGTCACATGCTGTTACTCAGGACCCAAGCTGCACCCAGACAGCCTAGTCTGGCCTACCTCCCTCCTGCCTAGCTAGGGCACCTAAGGCAGAAGCGGTGCAGTGGCTGCTATGCCGAGTCCCTTACCATTACCAGTTGAGGCTACAGAACAGTCAAGTCTCTCACACCTCACCCTTTGATCCTCTGCAAAGCGACTACTGCTACAAGCTGTTGACACCAATTGTCAGGGGCAAATCATTCACTGACTCATAAACATCGTTCCTTTAGCACAGTCATCACTTGGGCAGCCACTGGGCAGAGCCTACACAGACACTGGGTTGCCCATAGTCCACCTGACGTCACGTTGGCTGGCTGGCCTGCTCACCGTGAGTCGGCTCCAGACTGCCAGAAAGGCTGAAAGGGCCCCCCTCCCACCACAAAGTGGATACCCACCACACCCCCATAAAGCAGCCCCAGTCAGTCGCCTGCGAGGCCGACTCCTCTGGCTAAGCATGGCATCATCCGAAATCCCAATGCAGGTGGCAGAGACGATCCAGACGGCGCACATCAGGCGCGAGCCCTCGGCCCGGCACGACATCAACCCGTCCACGGCCGCCGACACGAGAGAGCCTGTCCACCTGGACAAGGACGCCGCCGCAGACGAAGACGACGATGACATCCCCGTCAGCGTCCTGAGGCCCGCCAGGCGCTTCTCCAACCTGCCGCCCATCCCCGACATGCGCTTCGAGCAGAGCTACCTGCACAGCATACAAGATGCCAAGTCGTGGGGGATGGTGGCTTGGATCACCACACGGGACCATGTATGTGTTTTGGGCGGCCCATGTGGCCCTCCATACGAGTGCCAGATGCTGACGACATGTGTTTCTTCCGCAGCTCGTGATGCCCATGTTGCAGGGTGTCGTCTACAACTTGGCTTGGTGTGGCTGGCAGTATTGGAACAAGAACGCCCAGATGAGCGGGAACTCGATAGGTGCACAGGTCCGGAGGTGGTGGTGGGGTGTCAACAACTGGCCTATTCCCTCAACCGCCCGGCCGGTGCCAAGGGAGAAGAAGGACTGGTTCCGCCGATGAGTAGTTCAACCAAACAAACCTGGGCAAAACTTATATCGAGGAGGCTTCCACATGCACATGGCCCCGTGTTGGCAGCTGCTGTCTCGCTTTCTTGGGCCGCTACTCTCCATGTGATGTCTTGTCAGGGAACGCCAGTACACCTTGTAGGGATACCACGCAGCTCCTGACATGGCCGCAGTAATTCGACACGGCTTGAGGCCTTGTGAGGTGGTCTGCCGATATACTACAAGATAGGAAGAACGGAGTACCTGAGAAATGCTGACAACAATGCAGTCTCATAAGCTCATGCAGCCCTCACATGAGTACAACGGTCCAAGGATATCAAATCATGCTTCTCATTAGATGTCATCATGCTTCAAATGCGGCCGTTCACATGACCGTTACATGCTCGTACCCTCTCAAACAGATACAGCTGTGCCTCCCAAGGTCTCAACACCGGCCCCTTGTCACCCGCCCGCGGGCTCTCGTCCTCGCCATAGTTACCAAACTGGAACGCCCACCGGCCACCCTGATACGGGGGGAACGCAGCCCGCTGCTGCTCGCCCGAGAAGTTGAGCGCCACCAGCGCCATCTCCTCGTCGCGGCCGTCCCTCTTCTTGACAAACACAAACGTCTTGTCGTCGTCGGCGCCGACGACCTCGAACGTGCCGTGGACGAGCAGGTCGGCGTGGCGCTTGCGGAAGCGGATCATGTCTCGCCAGAAGCCCAGCACGGACGACCCGGGCCTCGCCAGCTGGTCGGCGACGTTGATCTCGGCGTACGAGTCGTTGGCGCGCATCCACGGGCCGCCGGGCGAGCTCGTGAACCCCCCGTGCGGCGAGGCGTCCCACTGCATCGGGGTGCGGGCGTTGTCGCGGCCCAGCACCGACATGTTGGCGAGCACGGCGTCGAGCGCGGCCGGGTCGCCGCCCGTCGCCTGCCTCACCTCCTCGTAGTAGCCCAGCGCCTCGATGTCCTTGTACTCGTCGACGGGCCACGACCGCGGGATGTTGACCATGCCGATCTCCTGGCCCTGGTAGACGAACAGCGTCCCCGTCATCGAGCACATCATGAGCGCCAGCAGCTTGGCCGACCGCTCCCTGTGCTCGGGCGCGTCGGACGCGAAGCGCGACACGGACCGGCCCTGGTCGTGGTTCTCGCAGAAGGCCGTCGTCCACCCGTCCGTGCCCTCGATGAACTGCTGCCACTTGGCCACCGTGGCCTTGAGCTGCGGCAGCGTCCACCGCTGGAGCTGGTACTTGTACGGCGACCCCTGGCCGAGGTCGACCATGTCGAACTGGAACACCATGCTGAGCTGCCTGTCGCCCAGCCCCACGTAGTCGAGCACGCGCGCCGGGTCCGGCGTGTGCGGCAGCTCCCCGACCGTCATGGCGTCGTACCTGTCGAGCACCTCGCGGTTCATCTCGCGCAGGAACTCGTGCATCCGCGGCCCGTTGGCGTACAGGCACCACGCCGGCTGGTCGAACGTGTCCCTGTTGACCACGGGCGCGTCGCGCAGCCCGGCCACGGGGCCCTTGGACCACATGTTGACCGTGTCGATGCGGAACCCGTCCACGCCCTTGTCCAGCCAGAACCGCATCGCGCTGTCGTGGATCGCCCGCCGGCACTCGTCGCTCTCCCAGTTCAGGTCCGGCTGCTCCTTGGCGAACAGGTGCAGGAAGTACTCCTGCGTGTGATCGTCCCACTCCCACGCTGTCCCGCTGAAGTAGCTGCGCCAGTTGGTCGGCGGCATCCGCGTCCCGTCCTCGGCGTACCGGGGCGGCCGCCAGATGTACCAGTCGCGCTTGGGGTTGTCCTTTGATGATCTGGACTCCTTGAACCACGCGTGCTGGTCCGACGTGTGGTTTACTACCAGGTCCAGGATGAGCCGCATTCCTCTCTTGTGGCACTCGTCGATGAGGACCTCCATGTCCTGGACGGTCCCGTACGGTGCGTGAACTGCTTCATAGTTCGATATGTCGTAACCCTTCGTTACATGGTTAGCAGTGCTTCGAAAAACATGATTCCTTTCCTTCGCGCGTGCCGCACATGGGTGGGTGCCTTACCATATCAATCTGTGGACTATACAAATGTCAGTGCCAAAACAACATGAAACTGATCCGTCTCAGCGGTGCTCACCTCTCAAACATCGGAGACACCCAGACGATGTCGATTCCTAGGTCCTTCAGATAATCCACCTTGCTGATGATACCGGGGATATCACCCAGACCATCTCCGTTGCTATCCTTAAAGCTGGCTGGATATATTTGGCTGTTGCCCGACACAAATTTGCCATTGATCAGCATCCTGGCCTGTACTCAATATCGGACGGGGAGTCTGGAGTGCGACAAGATGATCGTGTAGGGTGCTCGAGACAAACTCACTATGCCACGCCTTCTTTCCACCAGAGCTTCTCCCCCGTCATTTTTGCGTTCATGTTATCGTGCGTGGCTGAAAACAATAGCTGATTATGGAACTCAAATCTTTTGCGAGACCATTCCGATCTCTTCCAGCTCCCGCAATTTGAAGTCAAGCTCGCAGTGTGGTCGGGGCTTTTCAAGTCCTGATAAGCACCGCCAAACTCGGTGACGCTGCAAAGCCAGTGAGGTGGTGTTGGAAGAGACAGAGCCAAGACAGTTCAGTAACACCTCCCGAGTGAGTAATCAAGTAGGTCGTGTCGTCTATTTACGCATTGCTTTTTCCTCTTGGTTTTGTCCTGACATCGTGACCTACTTAAATACTTTCCAGATATCACGGGCGCTCGCACAGAGCGGGCCGGCTAATTAATGACGTTCCATGTGAAGAAGAGGAGGACGATCGCAACGAGTATGTGATTGAGTCGCCAAAACGCTCGCTGCAACTCTCCTCCGTCCGCCAACCTGGGGTAGAACGTGCCAAAACTTATTACCTCGGAACACCCTATAGCTTCTTAGCTAGCCCGCCCGGCAGGGACAGCAGGTTGCGGTTTCTGCACAGGTTCTCGTCGGTCCGACGAGACTTGCCAAGAGGGTGATGGCAAGCACCGGCCGGGGTAATTCGCGTCCGGGTGCAGCGTTCCCACAGCATGGTGGGTTGGCGTGGGTGTGGACTGACGGTTTCTCCTCATGATGACTTATCACAGCCGCGAGAGGTTAGTGGCTGGCCGTTCACTGGCCCCCAACTTCCTAAAAGGCTTGGCTGCAGGACGCTGATTTTACTGTATTTCTTTTTTGTATCTGCACCTACGCCACTCGACTCGAGCGCGAGGCGCCTGCTACCTAAATATGTGTGGGGGTTGATTTGTGTCCTGGCCACATTCGAGGTACCAACTCTCTTCATCGCCTTGATTATGGCTGTTCAGCCCTTCTATGTGTTGAATCAAGGTCATCCATCGTACGGGCTGGTTCCCTCCCCCTCCCCCATTGCCTGTTTGCTTCGCTTATTGCGAGCAGTGGGCTTGTCCCGAGGAGGTCCTGCCCGCATCTGGCGGGCTCTTGCCCTGCTCCCAAACTTCCATGCCAAGAATTGACTTGCATCACGCTCAACGCATGAGGCCGGGACCAAGCCCAAGTTTCTCAGTTACTTGATGTCGAGCGGGCACCACGCCTAGAATGCCGTGGATGGTGCCCGATATATGGCCTCAGCTGGCACAAAACTGCTACCGCCCTGCCATTGGGGTTGCCCCAGCGCTAGGCTGACGCTGCTGCTGCTGGCTGGCCTGATTAGCTGCCTGGGCCTGAGCCTGGGCCTGGGCCTGGGCGGCCTGCTGCTGCTGCTGGTGTTGCCTTAGCATCTGCGCATACTGGTGGGGGCTCGCAGCGGCTTGCATCCCATTCACCATGCCTTGCTGTTGTTGCTGCTGCTGCTGCTGCTGCTGCTGTTGCTGTTGCTGCTGAGGGCTTCCAGCCGCGGCATCCATGGCATTCTGGGCGACGCTGTTTCTTGCCACTTGATTCTGCATCAAGCGCTGCTGCATGATGTGAAGCGCCTGCCCATGGGCCTGTTGTTGGCTCATATTTGGAAATTTGGCCCTGATCTGATTCTCGATTTCCATAATCTGCGCTTGGATTTGCGGCGGGAGTTGCTGTTGCTGCCGGTTGAAATTGGGCGCCGGTGGAGACCCAGCTGGCACATTCGGCATTCCCATTCCGACGGCCCCAGGTGACGTGGCCATTCCCATGCCATTAGGGGTGTATGGAGCCATGGAGTTGATCATGTAGTTGTTTTGATTGATGCCGTTCATCGGATTACGGATCATAGGAGAACCTTGTTGCGCTACCGAGCCATTGGCCATGGGGTGGGCTTGCGGGCCTTGCTGAGGCTGCTGAGCCGGCTGCGCCTGAGCTGCGGGAGGAGAGTGCTGCGGTGCCATCTGTTGTTGCTGCGGCTGAGCTTGTTGCTGTTGCTGTTGCTGTTGCTGTTGCTGTTGCGGCGGCTGTTGCTGTTGCTGCGGCTGCTGCTGTTGCTGCGGCTGAGCGGTGTGACCGTGAACCTGCGGCATCTGGCCCTGGTTGTTGGCCTGGTTGGCCAACTGCTGTCGCCGCTGCTGGTCTGCTATCCTTCTCGACTCCAGAGCTGCCCTATGGATCTGTTGTTGTGCCTGGTAGGCAGCTAACTGTTGCTGCGTGGCCGAGTTTATGCTGACTGGCATTTGAGGCACTAAACCACCAGCTACTGCCATCTGTGCGGCAATAGCAGTTGGCTGGGCCATTGGCATGCCCGGCCTTTGTTGTGCAACCCCGAGCGTCCGGGCCAACAATGGATTTGCTACGACAGCGGCATGTGTTGCGGCATTTCGAGCGACTTGCGCGGCTCCCGGAGCACCTGCCACCCCGGCCATTTGATGCTGATTCCTGCCTTGCATGGCAGCCTGTGTAGAGATCTGGTCAGCCCACTCTCGCTCTCAAGCAGCAGGCTAGGTCTACTCACCCTTCTCTGGGCCTCTGCCTGTTGCGCAGCAAGTGTCCTCGCAATCTTCTCAGTCATCTGCCTGTCGCGTTCGTACCTGGCTCGGGCATAATCTTCTGGCGTCTTGATATTCAGCTTCTGCTGCGTGGCCTCCGTCGACGTTCTCCTGCTCTGATTATTTGTGCTCTGTTGCTGCTTGGCCTTAGCTGCCTCGCGTTTCTTTTCCTGCTTCTTCATCGCATCGATCAAGGCGAAATGCCGCCTATTAGCCCGTCTCTCGACTCGCAGGGGCGTGGTCTGTCGTCGTCGCGGCACAACTGGACCGTTCGGAGCAGCTTGCTGCGAGGCCATCTGGTTGGCCATCGCGATGGCTCTCTGCGCTTGGTCAATGCGCCTCTGGTAAGTCTGGAAGTACTGAGTCCTGGCAACATCGTTGGGGAAGCCCTCCAGCTGAACCCAACGCTCAAAGCATTCCCAATGGGTCCGTCTCTCTTCACCCGAAATGAAAAGGGACTTTGACGAAACATTCTTTGAGATCAAGGACCAGTTGTACGAGTACTCGCGTACTTGCTTTCTGAGCTCCTCATCCTCGGCTGGTGTCCACTGCGACGCGATTCTGGACTCGTAGAAGCTCTGCAAGGGCATCAGCGACTCCGTGGGCGGCCTGAACTGATGGCCTGCGTGGAGCCTGTCTCGCACAAGCTTCATTTCCGGGCGGAATAGAGCCACGTCCGTATTCTCCGGGGGTAGGTCCGGATTCTGAGCTTTGCCGTCTCCAAATACCACCTCATCATCCTCGTCCTGGTCCTCTACTGCGTACTGATAACGGCTCCGCCTCATTTTGATGCCCTCTGATTTGAGCCTCATCTCGCCCTCGACATATTTGCTGAGTGGAAGGGCTGGCCTGCGCCACTGAGCGTCCGGGTCGTACGCAGGACCGGCGATATCAAATTGCGGCAATTTGAGAGGCGCGCCATACATAGGTAATTCCTCCAAGAGTTGTTCGGATGTCGACGACTGCTGAAGACCGAACACAACCTCGTCGTCCTGCAAAGCAAAAATCGCGGAAGGTGCGACTGTCTGAGCGTCCCAATCCCGAGGCTCTTCATCAATGTCCATTTGAGAGTCAGCATCTCCCGAGGGAACAAGGTCGGGCATCGGCGTTGGCAAGGATTCTTCTTCCGGCAGAATTGTTCCGTTCTTGCTTGATGAATGCTCACCGTCAACTGGTGGAATTCTCGCGTTTACCTGTAGAATCTTCCTGTCCTCTTCACTAGATGCCACCCACTCGGCACACGCCTCCGCCAGATTGCGTGCGACAGCCCTCTTCCACTTCCGCTCCTCTCGAAAATCAGTCCTCATCCATTTCATCTCCTGCAACATCAGGTCCCAGTGTGAGGGGGGGCGTGTTGGCTCTGGGCACCGCTTCGGCTGTCTCAGAGACCATTTATCATGCTGCTGGAGGTGGTAAATCCTGCGCAGAACTTTGCAAGCTTGGTTCTCATGGAGCGCGATGCCGCAATCGGGTGTGGAGATTGTCTTGTGCGAAGTGACGAGTAGTTGTTCGGGACTCCTCATCCATTGTGATTGTCTCGTAAACCCATCAAAGAACAGTGGAACGAAATAGTCATCGGTTGGGATACGGTCGGGCCGGGACTGGGATCGACTTGCAACTATCGTCTCGCCGGGTTTCTTCTTCGGTTTCTCGAAGACCACAGTTGGAGTCCTCCTGTGCTTGTGCCCACGCTTCTCGGCCAGAGATCTCGCCCGAAGGACAGAGCTAGCCGGGGCCTGTTCATGCTCATGCTCACGCTCATGCTCATGCTCAGCCGCCTCTTCGATTTGCGAGTCCGGCACATTGTCGGCCAGTGAGGCTTGAGGTACCTGGGACTTCAGGTCGAATCCAGTTCCATTTGTCAAAGGAGTTGATAATGATGCAGAAAATGATGCACCAGGGTCCTGACTGACGGCATCTGCCGGCGCAGCGACGTTGTGAGTCGTGGCGCTACCAGCAAGTTCAAGTGGAGAGGGTCGTCGGGCCTTCTGATGAGCCTCCTCTTGGGCGGGCGAGCCGGTGGCATGACTACTTGACGAAGGACGAGTTGTGGGTGCGTCTTTAGAAGCGGGGCCTGCGCCTGCAGCATTGGAGTCGAGATGCTGGCCAGATGATGGTGCGGAGCCTGCAGGTGCGGCGGATTGAGTGACATCCCCCGTTTCAACAATCGGCGTACTCTCATGGAGACCACTACCCGACGTCGTTGTTTCTGCCGCTTCAGCTTCCTGAGGTGTAGACGCCGGCTGAGCAGCACCCATTTCAGCCCCTCCCCCAGCTTGATTGTGCTCCGGAGCCTGTCCAGATCCTGGGAGGTCGTGACGGTCGTCGTCTACCTTCCTACGTACAGAATCATCGTCATCGCCAGGATACGGTGGCCCCTCGTTGTCAGGACTGGTGTCCGGAGATGCATCTTGCACGGCAGGGGTCGTGGCAGTCTGCGTGGTAGACCCTGGCGAAGACAAGGAGTCTAATGGCCGTGAAGCATCAAGAGGTGGTGGTTTCCTGAGGGAACTCAATCGTGACTGGTCTTCGGGGCGACCAGGTGTCTCGTCCACGTCCATACCATCAGGGCCCGGTTCGTGACTGACACCCTCCGTGTTTTGCCATCGGTGCGCGGCTGTCGACTCCGTCCGCTCCTTCTCCGGCTCAACGAATGCGACCTCTCTGCCAGCTGCACTCGCACGATTCAGCGTGGACGTCCCAGCCAAGTCGGTAGTCGTGGCGGCGATGCTGGGATGGTTTGATGCTCCGTTCGGTAAATCAGGCCCCGTGTTTTGCACAGCAGGAGGAGCAGCCGCGTCAGTGATCTCATAATCGACCCGTGGCGGCTCGGCGATGGGCAGCTTCGTCCCTCCTGGAGTAGCTGCGGTAGGTTTCGTGGTCGCGACGCGCGACTCATCGGGTTCCGGTCGTGCATGCGCATCATGGGATTCCACACTCGGCTGCGCCAGCCCGATGCCATTCTCTTTGACATGGTGCGGGGGCTCCAAAGATGCATCCTGACCCGCCAGCCTTGGGCTCGTACCTCGAGACTGGGGCAGGTAGAAAGGTGGAATCTGTCGCGGGGGCAGGTTGCGCTCGTTAAGATATGGTCCTCTGGTACAATTGATTAGTATAAATGCAAGCCTGCCGGCCGAAAACGCGTGTTGTGCAGACTCATTTGGATAAAGAAAACATACTTTAAGACGGCATTATCATTGAGAAACCGCCACTCCTCTGATGTGGGGATTTCTGCATCATTGGCAGCAGGGTCGAGGAGCGGTAGGTCGTCCCGCTGTGTCGCGACGCAGTAGACCTCGCGAAGCTTCCTCTTTCTCGACGTCCTAATTGAGCTGCACGCGGTCAGAACGACGAAAATGATACCAAAATGATCGCACGGGTTTTCTCTACAAGATGAATGTGGACTTACCCGCATTTTGCTCTCTTTGACTGGATCAGCGCGGAGAAGTCGGTACGCTCGACCTCAGTCATAGCATCGGCGGCGGCGACATCCGTTTTTGAGACAAAACGGAGGTCAAACAACCTTAATGGGATGCAGTGAGATGTCACGAGGATTCAAAATGGATGGAAACAGCAAGGTGGTGCTGTTCCGATTGATCGCGATGTGGTGATGTTGTCGTGTCCTTGATGGGCCTGAGTTTTCAGCGTGCTGCGATGGGTGCAGCGACCTTTGGGGGGGGGTTCAGGTTCAGCGAGTGTCTGGCCCAGTGGGTTTGGTGGTTGAGGCAGTTTAGTGAGGGGGGGGCGTGGGGGGTGGGCAGTTTGGTTGTGCAGTGCAGTCAATCGGATTTAGTGTAAGTGAAAATGGGTGATTGATGAAAGGCGGAGAGAAAGGAATGCGAAAGGCTAAAGAGAGGCACTTGCCGTTTTCCGCTAAGAGCAGCAAACCTGGGGGTGGTTGACTTGACCTGCCTTGAAAGAGGGCAATTTGCCTGCCAGGCGGCCTGGTAGGTGGCTGCAGGGTGCGCATCTCCAAGCTCAGGACGAGAACCAGGTTGGGTTGGGGTGATTGGGGTGGTTTGGCTGGGCACTGGCTGCTGGGACTGCTATTACCGCCGCTGTCACTTGTCTTTTTCTATACCGGGGAACCTGGGGGACGGATGGGTTGGGGGCGATCTGTTGGAACGGGGAGGCATCCTGGAGGATGGGCTCCTCACCAAGAGGGCACTACCCGGCGGTACTGCACGAAATGAGATGCCAGCTTCCCAGATGAAGACAAGGCCGGGGCCTTATCAGAGCGTCTGATTTGTGGTGGTTTCCAGAGTTGTGCTAATCTAGTGGTGGTGCAATTTCTCTTGTGCTTTGCTTAGCGCAGGCCTGCGGGCTTCTCGTCGTCAGTGGCCGTCCAAAATGCAAGAATGAGGAATACTATGTAAATGCACCAGCAATTGCCTGTTGGTTGGTGCAGTGGGTGAGTGGGACGGGAGATGCAGCCCTTATGGTGTCGCTTGTGACGAGAATGGATCATTCCTATGACCAGCAGCCAGCGGCACTACACTTTGTCACAAAGCCAACATCTCAATCAAGAAGTCCACCCCACGGGGAAAGACGGGAATGTGCCGTCAACGTGCCCATCTGAAGCTTGTGGACTGTCCATCCATCCAGTCGGCTCCAATAGACTACTTGTTGCTCGACCAGCGACAGCTAGACCCGGGTGAAAACCGACGGACCCCAACAGAATGGTCGTGGAAGGTTAGCCGCGCAAGCAGTCGTCGTCTAGTTTCTTTCAGGACTGAATGGTCCGGATATCATGCCCCCCACGCTCCACGGGCTTCGTCTTCGTCTTGGCCGCCATTTTCCGCTCGAAACCAGAACATGGCTGCTGGATGCATGCATCGCAAACGCCTGAGGGTCCATGATGACGACTGTCCCGCTCAATGACGGAGCTTGAGGTTTGCCATTCTGTATCGTAATCCGGGTAACAGTTGATATGTTGAAGGCGACTTGCCTCGACTCATGGCAGACGCAAGTGACGATTCGAGGCATGTACCTCGCTGCGATATCCGATCATCCAGTCTGTCTGCAACCCGGCAACGCCCAGAAGAAGAAGACGGGGTTCCTTTGGCAAGCCGCGAAATTCGACGGAAGACCACTTCGGATGGCAGGATCGCGAATATGTGACGTGCAACCCCGATTATCTCCCTGATCAACGTGTGGGAAATCGGGCAGTGTGGCCCGCTACACAAAGAAGTCAAAACCGTACAACCAAATCAATGCGAGGTTGCGGCGTTGCCACTTCTTTCGTGAATGCACGGGCCAGCCGTGCTCACAGTCAACCCAGCCCATCCTGACCGCGCTAATAAGTTCGCCGCAGAAAAACGTCCAACCCTTTTCCCAACATCGCCTCATTTCGAGTTCGACCGCTGACATCCCCGTGCAACAACCGCGCACTTGCTGGAATTTTGACCACAGCTAGCCCTTACATCTACCCAGATGGCCGATCATAACGGATCCCGTATCGCCATCCGATTTGGTGCCTCAAGTTCAAACGCTCCCAAGAACGCTCCTAAGAACGCTCCCAAGAATGCATCGCGCCCCACACCAACGACTGCCCTAGGCAAGCGGTCACGAGGTGGTTTCGACAATGATTCCGATGGCGACGAATCCGAAGAAGAGAGACATGAATCCATCACTCACTTCGGCGCCAACGGGGCTGAGAATGACGATGACGACCAAGAACGAAATCGCCGGGACCGCTCCTCGCCTGGTGGACGACGCCGCAGGAGTCGAAGCAGAAACTCTGTAGAGCGAGCAAGCCGTCCGGATCCACCTCGGTCCAACCAGGATCACGTTGAAGAGGAGGAGCCGTTGCAGTACGGGCTCGTCCTTTCGAAAAAGCCCAACAGGGACGCCGCAAAGGACGACGCCGACAAGGACGACGCCGACATGCCTGCCGTGCCCAAGGATGCCGACGAGGAGGCCATTGCAGCACTGATGGACGCAGGGGGTAAGCGCGCTTCACATCGCACAGAAGATGAAGCCTATCGAGACGCCGCAGCCGATGCACCCGAGGTGGACGACGAGGCTACGTACGATGCATTCCCCGTCGAGGGCTTCGGTGAGGCGCTACTAAAGGGGCAGGGCTGGGACGGCAAAATGCGAGGTCCGAAAGCAAAGGAGGTCAAGAAGCGCCCCAACGGCATCGGCCTGGGGGCCAAGAAGATGACGGTAGAAGAGGACCTCGGCGGCTGGGACAGCAAGGGGAAGCCCTCCGGGAAACGACCCCGGCTTGATGAATATCGAAGCGAGAAGGACAAGGAGCGCAGCAGGCGGGAAGACAGGCACCGCGACAGCTACAAGAACGAACGAGACCGTGACCGAGACCGGGACCGGGACAGGGACAGGGACCGTCCCAGGGACAGACACCGCGACCGCGACCGGGACCGGGATCGCGATCACTACCGACACCGCGACAGAGACAACCGACGATGAGGCTGCGGTAAATTTTTGGCATGCATCAATGGGGGCGCATCGGCTAGACGGACTGTTTTTGAGACAAATCATGACCACAAATCACCAATACGTATGTAGTCCAATTTTGTGCTGTCGCAGTGTGACAGGGACTAAACACACAATCTTAGTCCTTCTGAGACAGCCTCCTCCAGCAAACACCATCTGCCCTCGACTCGGAGATACTGACGCCCATTGAGCTCCGGGTCAAAAAGCTTCAAGCCGGCCGGCTGGTGCCGAACTTTGATCCCGCCCATTTAGGTTGGCCGCGGTCAGATCAAGCATCACGTTTGCACCCAAGCCAGAGCGCTCTCTCTCATTCAAGGCAAGTCTGGAAGTCCGTTCCATTTCATTTCATGACACTACGGTCTTATGTTACGTCTTGCCGTAGGCCTCTCCTACGTGACCTTGAAAACTCACTTCAAGCTACTGGGTTTCTTGTTGGTGGCTTGAGTAGTCGTCCAGGCTAAAATGCCCCCAAAAGACAAAGAGTCGCATGCTTGAAGCCTGTTGGATGCTGGGAGCGATGTCACATCGTGTCATGATCTTCACTTTCTGTGACGCGGAACTTTTAGTACCACTGAGATACATGCCTGCTTGCCTTCTAGGAAGGGATGCTGGGCGAGCATCACCAGACAACGTCTTTGCGAGCTCGAAGCTGCAGATCCAAGCGCCGAACAACGGTCGTTGCTCATCCGTGGACATCGACGGTATTCTCCCTGACCATGCTACCCTGCACTCCCTTTTCCGTGATTTCACCTATACTCGCTTCGCTCATCTCTGGCGCTAGAAAACCGACAGATTCGAGTCGGAGATACACCGTGATGGAGTGAATCTGCATATTCCCCTCCATGGGGCACGTTGTCTACTGTCCACGGCCCTTACGCTGGTGGCAGCTATTGCCTATCCATCGCGGAACGGAAGCTTCCAACACTATTGAATCAATAATTCGATTTGGCCGCGACGACGACAGTCACAGCCCGAACTTTCTTTTGCTATTTGCTTTTGCCGGGGCTCTTCCGCAGGATGTGGTGGTCGTGGTCGGCGATAGTGCCGGGCAAAGCTAGGGTTTCGTTCTGCATGGTGATGGAGCTTGAAGTTGCCCTTATTTTAGAGTGTTCTTCCAGAACACCCACTAGCATCGATCAATTCAGTAATGTTGGTCTGTTGGCTCAGCGCACGGCCTAGACGTGCGTCTAGGCGAGGTCCACCTTGCTTCGCGTCTCGAGAAGCAGACCGACTGGGAATTCTCGTCCATCTGCATGTTGAATGCCGCAATAAGGAGTATGTTCATCGGGGAAGCAGCCGCCTGCTTGTCGCTACATCCTCACTGCTTTTGTTTCAATGAGTATACGGGGCACATACGCAACAACCAAAGGCGCTCCAGATTCATGCTGTGATGCGTGCAGGATGGTAATATTGTGTGTCTCTTGGGGGGGGGGGGGCGGGTCCCAGACCACGCAACCTTGGACTTCACCCATTGTCATTGAAACAAATGGTCGTGGTTAGCGTATATCTCTTCTATGATCATGAATTTACTGAGGGCAACACAGTGATCGTGCTCTACCGATGCGACAATGGCTTGAACGCAGCCAGAAGCAGTCAATGTTAGAAGACGAATATTCAAAGGAGCTCATCTGCCAATCTTTCAACGCCACAGTTCAATCAGGTAATATTTTGGCAGTGACAAATCTGATTCAGCGTGCTCGGCTATCCCTCAGCACACGTCAAATTTCTACCCCTCCGCTTCCATTCGAAGACAAGAACCTGCGTAGAGTCTAGATTCGCGGAATCCCCCCGGGTCCTGGCTTGCAAGACACGTGAGAGAAGGGGAGACGTCAAGAGTTTGGCGCACTTGTGGCTGTGGCGGCGCCTTTCCGCTGACGACATCCGCAAAGACGGACTTGATGTCGAAGAAGATGGCTGACGGGCCCGCCTCGTATGGCGGTGCTGCTCTCGGTGCTGGCGACGAGGGACCAGAAACGCCACCATTCGCAAATTTGACCATATCACGAGGTATAGTGAGCCAGACTTCCGACACTGCGGGCTGAGATATCCGGACTGTCTACCACCAGGGACTCTGGCTCGGCCCCTGGACGTCCGCTGGCGCTCGACACCACCTGATCAGGTGCCCTTGCTAATCCGACGACTTCACGTTACGGAAGGCGAAGATAACTGCAGTCGGCGGTAGAAGCCGAGACACTTGCCATGCCGTACCCGGAGGCCCAGCCTCAGAGTCCCTTATCTCAAGGTTTACGGCTACCATCGAACATCTCCGGCCTTCGAGACAGGAGTTTTCTAGAGCTCAGCCGGCTCATACAAGCAAGAGTGTCTCTCCCTGCCGCGGATCAGCCACCTGTGTCGCGTCGAGACGCAGGGATCCAGCCATGCCGTGGCCCATGTGTGTGCTCTCGAAGGCGTCGAGAACTTGCCAGAAGGGGACGCTGTGCGCCCCGGGCTTGCTTGAGCCGAACGTCTTGTGACTGAGAAGCAATGGAAGCCCCGGCAAGCCACATTGGCGCACAGCCTCTGTTCGCTCACACGCGGAGGATCACAGCCTCGTGCCCCCGTAGAAGGGGTGGCCACTTGTGAACGGCCGGGGAAACCGGGCCAAGTCCCCCCCCAGGGGAGACAATCTGGATACAAGAGGCGGGAATCCGAGACAAGGGCCGCATGCGCACTGCCGTCATTTGACGCCCCCGGGATAGGCTGCGATGTTTTGCGGTGAAGAGGTCTGTCTGTAGTGCATTGGGTCTCGGTCTCGGTAGGAGGTGGTCGAACCCTGGCAAGTGATAGGTGCTGTGCCGTGGAGAAATGGCAAATTTCTCGTGATCACGGGTATAGTTCGGACAGCAGCTTGTGCTGTCGTACGACGTACGAGATGGGAGAAAAAGGAAAAAATTCACGAGATTATAGACGCAATGCGCAGCAGCAGCAAGCAGCAAGCAGGACGTTACTGCCTGGCACAACATAGATAGCATGGGCATGACATGGCATAGCAGCGCACTTGCATCGCATGTACCCCGTACGCCCGTCTGTCTGTACGCCCGTCTGTACTCGGTACGTGCGCACATTTGCGAAATGCGCGTCCCAAGACCCGCCGTCATCGTCGTTCAACGTCGCCCCGTCGTTGGTGTCGATCAAATCATTGAGCCGCTTCTGTCTCATCAAAGTCCAGCCCAGGCCTACTGTATTCGGGTGAGCCGCGGGCGCGAATGCAGAGGGTATGACTTGCAGCGGCAAACGCCTGCTGCGCATCAAAAAGGCGGGTGGGTGGTGGAGACGGCACCCATGAATCGGTGTGGACACCGTCAGACCGTTCACCAACGGGGCCTTGGGCGGCGGGCTCCATTGGTCACCCAGGGATGCTCCTGTCACGCTTGCCGGTGCATCCCCGGGGCCACCAAGAGGGCGGGCGGCCAGGGACCGGTGTTCCGCGTGGTGTTCCCCGGGCCTCGACAAAGCAAAATCACGGTGGTGAGTGGACGGGCCTGGCGGGGAGGCGCACACACTCTGACACTTCGTATCTACACTATGTATAGGAGCTGGGTATCGTCATGCCCTCACCCTCCCCACACCCCGCGCCGCGGCAGGGTAGGGGGTGGAGACGAAGAAGGAAAAAAACAATCAAAAGTCCAGACCTTTTTTGCTCGAGCCGCTGAGCCGCGGTGATTGTGTGCGGTCTGTCTTGCAGGGCAGCTTACACCTCACACCCTCCACGGGTGAGATATGGACCCCCTTTCAGGCGAGCTGCAGCCTGCAGCCACTAGTTAGTTGACTGTCATGGCCGTGTGGGAGCAAGGAGAGGGAGGGAGGGGGACCCCCATATCCGTAGGGTACGCCGTACGCGATGGATAAAAGCAGTACGCCGTAAACGCATATGTCCTGGCCGTCACAGGCCACCCACGCAGCAGGGCAGCAGGGCAGCAGGGCAGCATGTTTGTACAGAGTACTGGTCTGCAGCATGCCGCTGCCGCATGTCCCCGGCCCACCATCACCACCGCCCTCCTCCTTTTTCTCACGTCGCACAAGGGCCCGAGGTATCTGGTTGTATATGCCACCTCGAGCGACTTCGGCGCGCCTTGTCATGTCCCGTCCCACCACTGTACAACCCAGAAAAGCAGAGCTCCACCGGGAGGGTTGGGCCTGCTGCAGCAACCCTTTTTTGACGCCATCCCCCGGTAGTGCCACGTACCAGGTTGACGGGAGGAGACATCTGCCATACAGAGGGCCTGGGCCCTACGTCAACAAGCATAGCCGGGGCAGGACAGGCGAGACACGTGTAGCCGATGCGGCGCAGGACGGCATTATCCAGAGGGACGTGTAGGGCAAGGAGTTTTGCTGGAGGGTAGGTCAAGACACGGCCGGCATGGGCAGCATCTCGCGAGAGACTGCAGGTGGTGTGGTCGTGATGCTTGATGGTGGGTGTCACTCAGAGCACCGTACCATACCGTGCCTGACTCTCTGACTTTCCCCCCTCGCTACCCTACATCCCTCCCATTCCCTTGCCCGCGGCTTGTTGTGTGTGCGTGTGTGCGTGTGTGCGTGTGTGTGTGTGCGACTGGGCAAGAACAGGCGGGATGGGATCGATCGTGGAGGTGCGGTTCAGTGGATCGTGGCGCCGCGCTCATGCGGTGCGACCAAACCCGGGCGCCGGGCCCGTTAGATGCTTGATGTGACAGCACACAGTCTCGACACCCTCTTCTGTGGCCTCCGTATGTATGTCAGATCAGACTATGCACTGTAGGGGGGCCCAATCGTAAATTCTGAGCTGTCCCTGTGTTTGCTCTGGTGGGTCTGTGGCTTGCGTGGTCCGATTGCGTGTGGAAGGTGATGCAGAACATACATGGCATTTCCATGTATGTGATAACTGTCGTCATTTTCAAGAGCGGGAGTGTGGATAAGGAGGCTAGAGGCGAGATCTCAGGCGACAGGTCATGGTGATAGAGGAACCTAGCTGGCCAGCACCGCACTGAGGCCTTGGCTGCTGCTTTTGGGAGCCCCGTCTTCGCTTCTGTTGGATCTTCTGGGTGCTAGTCGAAGAGAGGGTCTCCTCTACAGTTCTGGCTGGATATGGCCACCAGCAGGTGTTATAGAATCGAATCCCTGATATTGCCAAATTCGTGTGTTGAGGTCAAGGGTCGAGTTGCAGGACGAGTGCCTGGCATGGTTCTAGACTGGCCCAGAGCATCACGATCCTATGTGCCGAACCCAACTCTAAACAGACAGGCCCCTATGCCCCTGTCTGTAAGCAGACAATGACGAGTTCCTGCTTTAGTCGGGTCTGGTACCAAAAGAAGGCGCCTTGGTAGCATCGGTAGTGGTGTCTGCGGTGTCTGCTCCTTGTCATCCGGGAGCCAGCAGGAGGCAGCAGGAGGCAGCTGGAGGCAGCTGGAGGCAGTCCACCTTTCCCCGGGCTTGGTCCTTTCTGTAGTCAACCAGCCTGGCTGCCGGCTGCCTGGCAGCATCACCGGTCCTCCTTGACGATAACAAAGCCTCCTTGCTGCCCAATTTTCCATGGTATACCAATAGCTTGCCGGATACAGTATGACTTGACACCGAACTTGGTCAGCACCAGTGGAAACACATGCACCCACACACACAACCACACGAGCACACCCACCCATTGACTTCGTCCACCCGAGTGCAAACATGGCAAGCAGCCAGTCATCCACCACCACTCCTGGGACACCCAAACCTTACATGGCCAATGGTTTTGGGAGCCTCCTGTGTCTTCACATGCCTGCCTCGATGCTGATGGCTCTCCCTCCTGCTGCTGCTGCTGCTGCACTGAAGCCGAGCCGCGATCACCCGCACTTGACTGGCCGTCACAGCACCAGAAGCCATACACCCAGTGGCCGGCTCATTAGGCACAGGCACATCAGGAGACATGCCACAGGTGAGCTGCCCAAGACCACTCACTGCTGGCTGGGAGGGGCCCTTGATCCACACCCGGGCAGCCTTAAACCTTCAGCTCCCCTTCCACACGGTCTGGCTGTCTCCCCTGTTATTGCATGGGCAAGTTCTCTAGTCTCGGCACCTTCCCTCTTACCAACTTCGGGCTCCTGCTGCTGCGAGCCATAGTCTCTCAGAGGCAGACACGTCTCCGCCCTGCAGCACATGGGCTTGTCAACCACGTTTCTGAACCCAGAGTCCTGTCTGCAGGGCTGACTGCCAGCCACAGAAGAGGGATAGAGGGCGGACAACATGCTCTCGACACCTTTGGGAGGGCCGGCAGCATCCCATCCGAGGACCACGAGCCCCCATCATTGGCAAGAAAAAGCAAAGCAAAGCCAAAAGCAGCCACAAAAGCAGGTGAGGCTACATGGCCAGCCAGCAAGCAGGCATGGATGACTGCTTCCTATCTGGCCACCGCATCAACATGCCAACCCAGCCTGCCAGCACGCGGGCGCCGCTTCGAGCCGGGCCTAGCAATGCACGCACGTATCGCTGGATTTGACGGTCCGCTCCAGGTCAGCTTTGTCCTTGGCCAGGGGTCGACCTCGCCCGTGATGAGTATGATGATGATGATGATGATGATGCTGACCCGGGAACCGGTGCAGGTGGAACGCCCGTTTCGGCATCGACCAGGCCCGTATTTGGAACGGCTGTATCCGCTGCAGCAGTCGTGGCCCGACCGGAAGGCTCGATACACTGCAGTCACCGCCACGTCGAATGAGACACCGAGGAGACGCCATGGCGACTGGGAAAAGGCATCACAGGGGTGGTTGCGGGAGAGGCTGATACTCCCGAGGCCGACAAGCGTGGACTACGAGCAAAAGGACCGCATCGTAGGCTCAGGGCGTGGGGGGTTTGGTGGCCAGACCGGCGGCTGTCCCAGCGTGACAGCGTGACATGAGAATGCCTGATCGGGAGCCCCAGGTTTTCCCCGGACGACCAGCAGCAGCTTCCCGGTGGCGTACTGTGGTACCAGTCTTCTGCCTCAGCCTTTTGTGCAACGACGACAGGCGAATAGCCCGTCTCGCATGTGGCTGTTGTTGCCGGTCACAAACTCTATGTACGGGGCCAGGCTTGCCAGGATCTCGACATGCCGTGACACCAATGGGCTGGGTCCCAAGTCGAGAGCCTTTGTCGGCCGGCAGGCAAAAGGCCGACCTGTGGGAGAGTGGGAGAGAGGTGATGATAAGATCATGGGTCATGTCGTATACATGGCGGCAGCATACCGAGGTGGCAATCGAGACTCGGTGAAGAGAGCTGCAGCTACCCAAGGCTGCCGCTGGCAGCTCTCAGTCCAGCCCGGCAGCCCGGCGGGGTGGCAGGCGGTCGCTCGCTTTCGTTGGCGGCTCGACGAGCCTGGGCTGCCTGCTGCGCGCTGCTGCGCGCGTCCTCGTCGACTGCGATGGTCGACATGAGCCCGCCCTTGCAACGGCCAATCCAGCAGAATGCCGTCGACAAGCGTGTCATTCGACGGCGTCTCCCAGGTGCTGCCGCAGCATGACACAAGAGCCGAGCTAACAAGCTGCAGTGCAAGGCAGGGCAAGGCAAGGCAGGAAGGACGAAGGGCGGATACAAGAGGCTCTACTGAGCACTTAGTCTCGTGCTTACATGGCGGCTTACATACCTTCCCTTGGGGTATCAAGCGGCCATCGGTAGGCACGGGTGGGGTCTTTCTTGGCCATCCGGAGACGATGGGCTCGAAATGGGCTCGAATGGGCTCAGGCCGTCTGCAACGGCGGCCAGCACATCGGTAGTTCTAGGGATAATGCACCGCGGCGTTGGCTCACGGAAAGTCCCCACCGCCTTCACACCGGTCTTTTAGCTCCGTCCACTTGTCGTGCCTCGATCGCGGCGGCTGTCCAGCTCCTTGGAGCGGGTAACGAGACCGGACGGGCCGCGCAGAAGGTTTCTGCGAAGTCGTATTTTGTTTGGTTGTGCTCGGTTGATGTTCGGTGCGACCGACAGGATCTGCGAGCAGACGACAACAAGACAAGCAGGGCCAAAATCCCACCACGTAGGCGGAGCAGCAAGAGGGCGTTGACTAGGACGCTCACACGCTCACACGCTCACACGCTCACTCTCTCACGCAATCATTCGCATGTACATACACACACGTACACACACATACACACACATACACACACACAAAACAAGCGCTGCCCGCTTGTCGCCGGCATAGGCGAGGCATGGCTATCGTTGTCGCGGGTTGCTCAGCCACCCGCTGCTGCGGTTGTCTCTGCTGCCATCGCCGTCGCCATTGTTACGTTCGGCTGGGGATGGTCTCAGCTGGATCGCAGATGACTGGGTGATGATCAATGCCAGTCCGTCACAAGGACCCCGGTGACGTGAGGGGCCCAGCCGATGTCAGGCCGATGTCAGGATGCGTGTGATGGCTGGATGGATGTGTGTCTCGGATGCTGTGAGAAACGGTTCAAGAGGACAGGTGGAAGGGTGGCCCCCCTTATTGAGCTTGATCCAACACTACTGCTGTATGGTCTACATTTCAGCACCGGCGGCACCTGGCAAGAAAGTGGAGAGCCACATACCTGGGTAGCGGGCCAGTCGTGTGGAATCCCGAGCCTCCATCCCAGCCGGCACGGCTACTACTTAGGATCGAACCCGATCAGCACACGACCACATCTGACAAGGTCCCTCTCTGTCAGTTCTGTGTGTGTGTGTCTCGCTCGACTGCCACAAGGAGAAACGCGGGGGACCCCATAACAGCAGCAACACAAGGGCATGGGCATGGGCATGGGCATGAGCATAGACAATGTGACAGATCTATGGCCTTGTCGTCGCGCACAAACGAGCTGTCACGAGGGGCGACCGTCTCAGTCAGTCAGCAGCAACCTCGCGGCGTGGAGCTATCCGTACACAGTAGCTTGCCATGCGCTATGCGTGGTTCTCGACTGCCCTGCCAAGACCCGAGGGCCGGTTTGGTGGTCTGGTACGGGTACGGGTACAGTGCTGCATCTGTGCTACTGTGGCCTGTCTATCTGCCTAATAAGGTGCCGGCTCCAGGGCTGCCGGGCCATGGCCGCCGTGGGGACTGGGTTTGGGCAACCTAAATCAACGACTAGTTGGGCTACGACGATCTCCCCGGGCTGCCCGGGCCTGCTGGGGCCTGCCCGACTGGCATTAGTCCAAAGTCTAACAGCAATTGCTGGGTATGGCAGCGAGTGTGTGTCGTCCTTTTCGGCCGCGGTGGTGGCTTGCATATTCGGCGAGGCGAGGCGAGGGGCGCTATGCCGCATTCGAGAAGCCTCTGGGGCCGGCCTGCCTGCCTGCACACCTGTCTCCCTCGCAGCGGCTGTTGGACGACTGGGGCCGGGGCTACTGTAGGATTGTGGGACTGCCCTGCCCTGCCCTGCCCTGCCCATCATCGCCCACGCCTGCAAGAGACCTCGGGAGGGAGGGAGAGTGTGTGTGTGTGAGAGAGGCGGGACCCCAGGCCCCAGGGCCCCAGCCCAGCGGCTGGCTTGATGAGTGGACATGCTACGCTGCTACACTACTACACTGCCAGTAGCACGCTGCTGCGTCTGTCTGCGTCTGCGGGAGGGAGCCCCCCCCCTCCACCCTCCAGGGCCTCCACCATGCCAGCCTGCCAGCCTGCCAGCCTGCCAGCCTGCCCACACCCCTCCCCGTCTCTCGTCCAGTCTCGAGGCCCTCCTGCAGTGTGGCAGGTCTGGCAGCCCTAGTCCCCGACCCCTGCGTGGCCAAACCTACCTACTAGGCCTCCCAGACCTCCCCACCATCAGCTGCGCCCTCCTTTCGGCGGCTCCACTCGGCTGCATGCCGGGCCCAAGGGCAGATACCTCCACCGACAACGACTGGCGACGGATCAAGGCGAGGCGCTGGCCTAGGCTTTTGGGCCTTTGGGCCTTTGGGTCTTTGGGCTCACGAACACATCAACGAACGAGCAAGCGAGCCACAGGCAGCACAAACGAGCGGGTGACGGAGATGACAGGCGACACATGACAGGCTTGGAACCCACCCAGGAAGGGGTCAGCCAGGTGCCAACGTCAGTCGCCGTGCCGGTTCGGGGGGAACTGCTGCCCTAGCTGTCCGCTGGGCCGCGTCTAGAGGTCTTAGTACTACAACGGCACAACGGCTACCCAAGGACTAGCCGTCGCCGGTGGTTTTATCAAGCCATCCTGAGGCTTGCCCGTGCAGCTGTAGCCCTTAGCCCTCCCACACGGCCAGACCTGTGATTGCCCAGGACGGCAGCACGGCCAGAAACGCGCAAGTGGATCGGGGTCCCTCCCGCCGGTCTGGCCCTGCTCTGGCCCTGCTCTGGCTGTCGGCGGGTGCATGAACTGGTGAGCATTGGTGAACAGTCCAAGACAGGAGGAGCGTTCGTTGTTGGTCCTTCAGACCACAGTGTGTGTGCGCCTTGCCATATCCCAGCTGTACCTTCATTCTTCTCGGAAGGTGGCCTGCCTTGGCTGCCATAAAGATACGTCCATCCATCAACCCGTCGATCCAGCCAGCAGGAAGGAAACAAGCAAGGCAGGAGAGAGAGAGAGAGTCACGTAGCCCGCATCCGCGAGAGTCAAGCAGGAAGAAGCCAGGCCTGCTCCGTCCTATCCTGTGTCTGCAGGTAGCTTCCTGCACGTTCGCCCATCACATCCCAGGCGGTGAAGGTCAAGGGCTGCGAGCCGTTTGGCTGCTTCAAACATTTCATCCGACACCCACAGCTTGCGCATGCATACCGTGAGACGCGCTCAACTTCAGACCGGACTGCACAGATCTATCAATACCCATTGTCCGTCCGCTGCCCCCAACCTCCCTGCAACGCCCTACGCACATACCTGAGGATACCAAGACTACCCAGCAAACTTCCCGGCGAGAATCATGACAGTTGTGTCTCGACCCGCCATCCGAATCGTCCTGTAACTCTTCCTCTACCCCAAGCCCGGCCCGCCTGGTGCCATACAAAGAAAGTTTCCCACGCCCTCTCTCACTGCCCTCTCACGGTACCTTTCTACCGCACCACAGTTTTACGTCGACACTGAGTTCAACTCCCGCACCGGACTGCAGCACCCCAAACCTGCAGAAAACACTACGCCTGCAAGTCCTGAAGCCAATCGACAACCCTTGCTTGTCCACCGAGCATCTGGTCCAGCAGTCCCGCACCACCAGCCCGAGGCAGAGGAGGGTGCTGTGTACGGGGTACGTCCCCGTTGTATCCGGTACCTTGAGGCCCTGCATCGCCTGATTGACGGCAGTGTACAGATCACATCCGCGAGCCGTTCCCAGATGTTGCCCACCGACCCACCCTCGACTTCCATGCGCTGTACCTTCTGGGACAATTGACCTTCGAGCAACCCTGCAGCCCGTCAAACCTTTGCCTCATTCGGCTCGACATCCACTCGAGTCCAGACCGTCCACCTTACCCAAGCGGCAAGCCTCTCCCCTGGTAACCTCCATTTCATCATTCGTTTCGCCATCTTTTTTCTGTTGTTGTTTTCCTTCCCTCGCAGGTCTGTCTCTGGCTTTCATTTTCCCTCCGCCTGCCATTGCCCGCGGATAAAGCTCCTGCCTGTCCCCGGTGAGCTCCCAAGCCGGTCTCAGCCAGTTCCTCCACCCCGTCCCTCGTCACCCGAGTCAACCAAGCAGCCGGGTATTTGCCACCGGGTTGCTAGTCTTGTCACCTGCCGGTCTGCGCGCCCCACCGTTCGGCCATACTCTGCAACTGGCGTTTGGACGGATCCTGGCCGCCCATTGACACGAGATCAGGGTCCCAAAGACCTCCTCATCGCCACATGTCTCGGTCTCCCATGTGGTGACGTGTTTCCCCGAATCTGTAAGTTGGGCTGGCTGCCCTTAAACCTTCCGCCCCTCCCGGCGCAGACATGCACCTCGGTCCTAACCCACTCCTTTCGCAGTCAAAATGGCTCGGGAGGTCGCAATGGGCCACTCGGGCTACACGGTGGCAGAACGTAGCCTCGTGAGGGCCGAAGTTGCCTACCCATTCCTTCTCCTACTGTCTTACGGAATAGCTTTCGCCCTGCATAGTGTCATCGCGTCGCGGAGGCAGGAGGACGTCGAGAAGCCCTCGGTGACTGGGCCAGGGGGCAAACCACTACCACTTACGAGAATAAAGGTTGAAAAGTCCGGGTCACGGGCTGCACCCTCGCAGGAATTCTCCAGAATATCGCACCTGGGTTTCAAGGCAGCAACCGCGGCTGTGACCCTCACATTCCTTGCACATGCGATCCACGTCGTTCTGCAGTGTGTTGCGGCTCAGTGGGAGGACGTACAGCAGTATTGCAACGACGAGCTACTCGTGAGCTCCTCCCCCGAGAGCCCCGGCGTCTTCTCGTGCTAATCTTGCTTCGCAGGTGTACATCAAAGGCGGTGCCTTCTTTTGGGGTTACATTGGGTTTTCACTGGTCAGCGCGAAGAAGGACACTCCTAACCCCATCCACCTCTCGGTATGGTGCATCGGCCTGTCTTTCGACCTCGTCATACTCGCCGCCCTCCAGGCCGTGTACCGCAACAGACTCGATGACCTACGATACGCCGAGGCCCCCGCCAAGCTCGCTCTACGTGCGGCCCAATTGCCGGCCGATTCGGGATTCCTCGCAATCCTCGTCGTTCGCATTTCTCTCTTGTTGGGGCAGGTCATATTATACAGTTCTCTCCGTGGCCACCTCCCAAGCCTCTGGAATTACTGGGCCCCCAAGGCTAAAGACGACACTTATACGGCCCCACACCTGAACGGTCACGCCACAATCCTCGAGAACGGTCATGCCCACACGAATGGTTATGCTAACGGCCACACCATCCCTATTGGTGAGACGACTCCGCTCTTAAATGGCCACGGAACAGCTCTGGAAGCTGAAAATGCCCCCACCACCAACGGGCTTCCTAACGGGAATGGAACGACGTACCGATCGACTAGGCGACGGACAAGCGAGGCTAGACGTCCTAATGGCATCGCTAAAAGCTCCCGCCAAAAGCAGACCGAGTTTGCCTTCTACCGACCCGACAAGTTGCCACATCGGTCCTGGTGGGAGTATGTGCGAGGCTACCACGTGTTTTTCCCGTATCTATGGCCCGCAAAGAAGGTGAAGCTCCAGCTTCTAGTACTGCTCTGCTTCATACTTGTCATCCTGCAGAGAGCCATCAACGTCATGGTCCCTCTCCAGCTAGGCGTCCTTATCGAAGCTTTAACGGGTGCAGCAAAAGAGGGAACCATCGACATGCCATGGAAAGAGCTCTTCATATTCCTGGGGCTCAAGTTCATGCAGGGGCCTTCAGCCGTGCTGGGTTCGCTGAGATCGATGCTGTGGATCCCAGTCACACAACACTCGTACATTTCGCTGCAGACCGCAGCGTTCGAGCATGTTCACGCTCTGTCCCTGGACTTTCACCTCGGGAAACGTACTGGCGAGCTCTTGTCAGCACTTAACAAGGGTGGCTCCGTCAACCAATTCCTCGAGCAGACGACATTCCAGGTCGCGCCAATGCTGATGGATCTGTTCATCGCCATCGCCTTCTTCTGGATCCAGTTCGGCCCCTTGTACGCACTATGGGCGACGATCATCACCTTCTCCTACCTAGTCCTGACCATAAGGATGGCATCGACTAGGGCTGATCAGAGACGGGACATGGTCAATGCCGATAGGGAGGAAGAGGCTGTGAAGAACGACTCAATTACCGCATACGAGACCGTCAAGTACTTCAATGCCGAAGCCTTCGAGTTCCAGCGTTACAGAGGTGCTATCACAACCTTCCAGAACGCCGAGGCCAGGGTCACTTTCGGTATGAACCTGATGAACATGTGCCAAACGGTGGTATTTATCAGCGGCATGCTCATTGTCATGGCGATTGCCGCCTACGAGGTTGTACTAGGGCGTCGCAAGATCTCGGAGTTCGTCCTGATCATGACGTACCTGAACCAGCTTCAGGGCCCGCTCAACTTCTTCGGGTCCTTCTATCGCACGGTTCAGCAGGCAATGATCTCTGGAGAGCGGCTCTTGGAGTTGTTTAAGATCCAGCCTAACATGGTCGACAAGCCTGGCGCCCCGCCGTTGAAGGACTGCCAGGGCCACATCCGATGGAACCATGTCGACTTTGACTATGCTAACAGCCCAGCCTTGACTGACCTGTCATTCGAGTGTAAGCCCGGCACTACGACAGCGTTCGTCGGCGAATCTGGTGGTGGAAAGTCGACCATCTTCCGTCTGATGTTCCGCTACTACAACTGCAAGTCGGGCAGCATCGAGATCGACGGTCACAACGTCAAGGACGTGACAATAGACTCTGTCCGCCGATCCATAGGAGTGGTTCCGCAGGACACGATTCTGTTCAACGACACCGTCATGTACAACCTGAAGTATGCGAACCAGGATTGCACTGATGAGGAGGTCTACGAGGCGTGTCGCGCTGCCAGCATCCACGACAGAATCATGTCGTTCTCGGACGGGTATCAAACCAAGGTCGGAGACCGAGGGATGCGACTAAGCGGTGGTGAGAAGCAACGCGTCGCCATAGCCCGCACCATCCTCAAGAAGCCGCGGATTATCATGCTCGATGAAGCTACATCGGCTCTGGACTCGGAAACCGAACAGCAGATCCAGCACAAATTGTTCAAGAACAAGGAGCTTGGGGAGGGCAAGACCTTGCTCATAATCGCGTAAGTGCCTCATTTTCTCACCCCGGTGGAAGGTGGTATGACACCGTGCTAACTCAAGCAGACATCGCCTCTCGACTATCACCCATGCCGAGCAGATCCTCGTTCTTCATAGGGGCAGAATCGTGGAACGTGGCACACATGCGGAGCTGCTCGAGAGGGACGGTCGCTACTCTGCCATGTGGAACAAGCAAGCCAAAGCAGAGATAGCCGCCAAAGCCGCCCATCTCGCCAAGGAGCAGGCCAAGAAGGCGATGAGAGAGGCCCGCCTGGCAGGCAAAGACAGTAGCGATGAACATTCAGACGACGGTGGCGATAGCATGGTTTCCTCGATGCACATCCCAACCGCGCCCACGACTCCGGCTGTCGAGCTGGCAGGGCTGCACATGACCGCCCACCACACCTGACAGAAACCATTGACGCGCAGTACCTTCGACACCTAGGCCCTGTACAAACGACGACACTACATAATAGACCGCTCGCTGCCCACAGCTCCTACCCGGCACGCGGTTGAACATTCCCTTTTGACTGTCATCTTCAATGCATCGGCGGAGTTGGCGGCATACACATCATCATCAAAAGAGTCCCAGCATAGAGGCTCGCGGAGTTTAGGAGACTACAGGAAGGGAAAGGAACGGCTTTGCTAATGTTTTGATTGTGTTCTTTCATTGTTGCTCTTGCGGACTTCCGGAATTACGAGGCGAACGGACCTCAAAACAGCATGCGATACGGAGTTTTTCTTTTTGCTTTATCTTTTGACGAACAACGCGAATCAGGCCACAGGCCGTACCTAGGTAGGAAGAAGGAAGGAAGGAAGGACATTGGGCGTCCCACTCATAATACCACTCAACCGGGACTGGAAAGGAGGATCATAACGTCCACTACTCTTGTCTTTTTTTGTTCTTCTCTTAACTCCCCACCTTTTATACAAGAGAAGAAGGCATTGTTGCCGTTTGCTCTTTCCCACCAGTCTGCGGGTCTCATAGATTTTATCTTGCTAGGGGCCCCCCAGAAAACGAGATTTGACCGCAGCAAGCAGCCCTTACGAGATCATGAATGGCTTTTAACGATCGATATCAATGCCACTGCGGTGCAGGAATCATTCCCTTTTTCCCTCGGGTTTTTTTCTCTCTTCCTTTTTTTTTTTTTGGCACGACAGCAACGCAGACACACAAACGCACATTAAAAATGTATCTTTTCGGTTCTTTTGGCACGCCACCCACCCCTTGGTTCTTGTCACTGTCCACCACGAATACCCTGTTTCATGTGTGTACTGAACCACAGAACTTGAGCACAGCACAGCACGGAGCGTAGCGCAGCACAGCACACAGCATATAGCATTCAGCTTAGCGGACTACCTACCTACCACCCTACTACTACTACCTGCCAGTGTGCCTCTCTGCTATGGAGGCGAATTGCGCGCGGGCATACATGCGGGCATACATAGCATGGACAGATTACACCTGTTACTTTTCAACTTGCATTGTTTTGATGATGTCTGTGTACGTGATGTGATGTGAAGTGACGACCGAGGGAGGTTCCCTGGCTCTCGACAGCTGGCCTCTCACGTAATTAGCTATCGGCGGTGGATGTGGCTGGGGCGTATGTACGCATGACTTGGTAGAGAAACCGAGGAAGCTTTGGGGGGAATCAATTGCCTTCCCGGTTGGGAGGGGGTAGGTAGTATCCATAATGTGACTGATGGGGAAAGGGAGGTTGAGTTTGCATTTAGACGTTGTGTTCTTCCCACCACGAGGGCGCGCGACAGAGGGCTGAGAGAGCAAAGGCGCGCGCGCTGTCGTGGATGGGATGGGAACAGGAACGGAACGCCCTACATCCACTGCGCGCTGTGCGACCCATTGATACGGCGGGAGGAAGGAAAGGAAGATTGGGGGTATAGGGGGGGGGGAAGTAGTGGGAGTTAACAAGAAGTGTCGCAGGAATCAATCCTCCGCGGGGAAGAAGGTTTAAGTTGTGATTAAACTCGGATATGCTGCTAAACCGGCACAGACGCGGACGCTCATACATACACACACATAACACCCACCACACACCGGGAGCACGGCTTTTCGCGCGGGCGCGCGCTCGTTCGCTCGCTCACTTCTCTCTGTTCCTCTCTCTTCCTTCCCCTTCCTCCCGCCACGAATGCACCGCAGAAGTCAAATGTAGAAGGACAAAAAAGGCCCCAGGGCTGATGGCTGGGGAGGCGCGAGACGATTCTCGTCGAAAACCCCCGCTTCACCTATCCCTCCCGTTCCTTTCTTTTTCCTGTCACTCGTCATTGATAAGTACAGACAGTACCGGACCATGCCTGGGCACCATGGCATCAATTCTTGAGAAACCGCAGCCGGCTGCCAAAACGTCCCCTGAGCAGTATTAAGCCGGCCAGTGTCATTAAGCAACCGTGTCTGTCCCTGCTTCCATCATACATGGAGTCTGATATCAGCGGAAGACACCTTGCTCTCTCTCTCTTGTCGATGTATCGAAACCACCTTGGGCCCCTTTCTGGACCCCACGAAGCCCCCCATGCAATGATGCTGTAGCGACAGTAGAGGAATAAAGCCACACAATTTAAAACGAATGAATGCCCCATTGCCAACCCTTCCCTGAACCTCCAATCAGTCGGGTGGGGGGGGGCAAGCCAACGCCGTTACACCACCGCAATGCTTTTTGTTTGTTTGGTCTTTCATAATATATCCTTCGTCGTCATATTTGTCGGAGATTTCTCTTGTTCCTCATCGTCGCAGTTGCTCATGACCAACCGACCCACCGCCCGATCGTCACCTGTCTTCTTTTGAAAAATCCGCGTGGTGTCGCCCCAATACCCCCCTGGGAACCGACACCACGATACCGACCAAACGCCAGTTGTGAGTGGAAAAAGTACAAATACGTATTCCGTTTGGCTGCGAGCCTGAAGAAGGGCATATAGCGAATGGATGGTATTAAAAAGCTGGCGTGGGATATACAATTCAGCGGGGCTGAAGCGAAAGGGAGACGGCGAGTGTGAAGGCTGAAATCGGCCTGATCACCTCTTCTTGGGGGTGCCGTTAGCCTCGACGGCAACCTCGGCTATGCCATTGAGAGCGTGGCCGTTGCCGTTGGCGAGAAGAGGAGCCTTCTCGTTCTCGTCCAGGGTGTTGGGCTCGTCCTCCTCGTCTTCGCTGCGGTCGTCGGCGACGATATCAAGGAAGACAACGCGGTAGGCGATGCGAATGATGAAGAACAGCCAGAAGAGATTGAGGGCCTGGAGGGCTGCCAGCAGGCTGAAGCTGATGTACTGGCTGATCCAGCACTTGTACTGCTCCTCAGCCCAGTCGAGCTCGAATGGGCCGATGGTCTGGAACTCGGTGAAGATGGACCAGAGGATGCGTAGGTTAAGGTAGTGACGCAGGTAGATCCACATGCACATGAAGAGCCCGAAGTAGGGCGCCACAAGGGGGTGGTCGATGTAGTTGAGGGACTTTGAGGTCTAGAGCGGATTACGGGTCAGTACGATTTCTCAACGGAGACGGCAGGGTGTCTGTCGGGCACGAGCAGACTGTGTTGGGATGGGCATCAACTTACGGCGAGGAAAAAGTCGCTGATATCATGGGTGATGTAGACGGCCAGTCCCATGTAGGTGAAGTGGAAGCGGTAGCTGAGGCCAATGAGGGCCAGGCTGACGATGTGGTGGCCGACAAGCTCCTTGTAGTCCTTGCGCGGCTTCTCCATGCCCAGGACGAGGACGATGGCCTGCTGGGCCCAGTATGCGGCCTGGAACAGGTAGTAGAACTTAAAGATGGCCTCGTGGGTCTTGTGAGGGAAGTTGGCGTACATGCCGGCGGTGTTGAAGTACCAGACCGGGGTGCGGCTCATGACATACATGCCCCAGGGGCCGGTGAAGGCGAAGTAGACGGCGGTGTACATCTGCTCCATGAAGCGGGCCTGCTTGCCCTTGTTGTTGATGCCGCCATAGCGGGCCAGGGGCCGGAGCATCTCCTGCATGATGAACTCGCGGGTGAAGGACAGGACGATGATGTAGAAGGAGACAAAGGCGATGTCCCAGAGGCCCTTCCCATACTGGGCAGGGGTGCCCTCGTCGGCGTCGGCGGCAAGGGGCAACTTGTAGCTGAGGAAGATGAAGCGGTGGATCGGGTTTGACTCTGAGGGGTTGATGGCGTACAGGCTCAGGAAGATGGCGATCAGGACGGCGGGCAGGACACAGGTGTGCTTGATGGCATAGTTGGTGGCCCTCTGCGCCAAGCTGCGTGCCTTGCGCCGCTTGGACTGGCGTTTCGAGGAGCCGGCGATGCCGTCTCTGGAGTCGGATTTCTGGAGGGCGCAAGAGGTCAAGAGTCAGCAGCCTGCGACATGCCGTGGAGGCTGGAGGGTTGGTATTTTGCTTCTTACCCTGGCCTGCTGGCCACTGACGGCGTGCATGTGAGCAAAGGAGGTGCCCAAGGAGGGAGCGCCAGTGTCGCCGCGCAGCTCGCCGAGCTGGCTAGACTTCCTCCGGCGTACAGCGCTTCCATTGGTGTCTCGTGAAGACGAGTGCTGGTCGTTGGCGGTGTTGAGGAGAGGGAATGGTTCGGAGCCCGTCATGTTGGGCAGGTGGGAGGGCCGCGCCAAAGTTGTGTGTGTGTGTGTGTGTGTGGTTTTGTGTGTTTCTGCGATGTGGTGGTGATTGGCACGAGGGCAAGTGGTGACTGACGGTTGGGAGTGTCGAGTGGGAGACCAGTGGTAGGTACACCGCAGGAGAAAAACGAATTGGTTGGGGTCGCGAGTCGGGTCGAGGGCCGAGGTCGAGTATCGAAGGATCGTGGGTCTTTGGTCGTGGGTCGTGGGTCGTGTCAACTGGAGTCGGTCGGATAGGCGATGGTGGCTCTCTGGTCGCTGTCTGGCCAAGGGGTCGAACAGGGACTGCGGGATGGGTGGATTAAAATTTGCGGGTGGTAATTTGAGAGGTGACCAGGGCCCTGCTTCCTTCCTCTATTTTATGCTTGCTGACAAGGCCTCGTGGAATCGAGCAATCGAGGAATCGGGATCGGTCTTTTCGATTTTGATTTCGATTTGGATCCCAAGGCAATGCGCCCCTTTCTTCAAAAGAGTCTGTCTCTTTTTTTTCTTGCACTTCTCTACTTCATACTATATGCCAGTACCGGCAGTCTCGGGCTTGGAAGGCGTGTTATAGAAAGCCTCCTTCACATGCTTTGTCTGGGTGCATGCTTTGCTGACAGAGACCAACCAGAGTGACCAGTCATCCATGAAATGCCTATCGATCGATCGCATCGCCACGGCCACGGGGCAGCCGACTCAGTTGTAACTTGTCGGCATCCTGCAACCTCATCCTGTATCATTATCATATATCCATCAGCACCTCAGGAATCGGTGTGTGTCCACAAAACCTATTCCATGGGTTCCGCGGCTCGCGTGAGTGGGGCCACTTGCTGTTGTTGTTGACTTGTCCGCCTCTTTTTTTTCTTCGTTTTTTTTTTCTGGATCTCTTTGTTGACTTGCTACGGGCCCAGCGCATTGGCGGGATGCATAAGTGAGGCTGCTCACAACGCATCGTCAGTCCTGGGCTCAACCACGTCTCCGCCTCGCCTCGCGCTGTCAGCTGTATCAGTAGCAGCAGTATCCATATTACACAAGATCAAGCCCATGAAAGGAGGCCGTCTTCTATGACCAAAGGTAAACAATGCGGTGACGTCGACGGGCACCCACTCGGGCGTCCCGGCGCCCGCCAACGCATCTCGTGCTCCGAGCCCGTCAATGGATTGCCCCTGATGATCCGGCCCTGCTGGCCGCGCCTTCGTCTAGTTGTCCCTGTCACTCTTGGGGCATCTGACTAAAGTACTTGGCCGCAACCCAACTCCTCGAACCTGTCTCGGGTAGTCGGCGATGATCTCTGTGCAACCACATCCATCATCCGTCTTCTCGTGACCGGGTCCGGTCACCTCTGTGCCTCACCCAGGCGCGGTAGCCTCGACTGTGGCAGGTAGCGAATCGGCAGCAGTCACGAGTTACGAGCACACCTCAAACCAAACGGCGCATCTATCTGTTTGGTGTTATTTTACCATGTCCAAGCAGGGGCGGCGCTAATAATGCCTGGCTGGCAGCGCATTGCCATGCGAGCTGCCCATGAATCCCGCTAGCCAGAGCTTATAATGCTGGCTTTGCCCAACGATCAGCATCAACCACGCTGCTGTTTCGACGTGATCCCGGCCTAGCCTGCTGCTGAGCGCAGGTAGATCCCAAGATGGGGCGGAACGGCACATGGGAGCTATTTGAAAAGACTTCTTGAGACAGGACCGACCATCGCCCACCTGAAACAGCGCCATTCATCACCGCTAACCGCTCTCTTTGCGCACATTTGCACTCGGAGGGCGTGATCGACGACTGACTGGGACCAGCACTGCTCCAAAGCTGTCGTCCTCGTCACGGGATGTCCCTACCTTCTCGATATTGTCCGAACATGACAACATCTCTATCGTCAGTCCCAGCACCTGGACAGCTCCAGCAGGCCTTGCAAGCCGACATATCGGCTTACACCGCCGACGTTGTTCGACATGCCAGATCACCGGTGACAACCAGGTTGTGAACCCGGCGGCCGTAGTGACTTCGCTGCGCCCACAGCATATGACCAACAACGAAGGTTACCCACCGAAGCACAAGGGAGGCAGTCCCACATGACACGATGGGTGTACAGGATTTGACCGAGAGATGCCCGCGACCAGCCGTGGAACACCACAATCCAACCCTGAGTGGCCTTCCGAAGCAACTGGGTAAGTGGTCTTGTCTATCCACTCGGCCAATGGACAGACAGCGAGGCCAACCCAGGAAGCAATCAGAGGTTCCGTGGCCCGGGAGAGGCCACGGCCGGCCATCGAGGATCACCTGCACCGGGGCTGTTGCGCTCATGTGCGCACAGGAAAGGCAAGTCGCGGTCGGTTGACAAGCCCCTACACGCCCACAAGCCTGCAGAGTAAAGGGTTGTGGTGGCGGTTGGCGGTGGGTTGAGCCTGGGGGATGGAGGCACCCATCTCGCTCCCAGGAAGATGATTCTCCTGTGGATCGCTCATGGGATGATTGATGCCCATGTGGTCAGAAGGCTCCAGTTCTCGCCCGAGTCTCATCTGCTGTTATTCCTGCCATGCCGGCACTCAACTCCGTCACGATCACCTCAATATGCTGGCATCGAGACTGCCACGCAGCTAAGGCATACATCTACGCGTTCCCATGTCATCGATCCCATGTCATCGACAGGGACCGTGGTGGCTTTATGGCGCGAACTTTACTTGCATCTTGCTGGGATGTAATGAGGTGCCTGGTAGCCTCCAGGCAAGAGAAGACGTCTCCAGGTATGAGTTTGATGTTGATCCCATGACACTTTTACCCGCGGGCTGTTCCGTAACATGCGCGTGCGGTCCTACTCGCCAGACCAACCCAGTATGCTGGTTCAGGCACCATGAATATCCCTGTGAACTATATACATTCAAGTAGCTACGTCAGGTCAAGCACCCGTCAAGCTCTCGAGTCCCGTGAGACGATGTTCTGGTGCTGCTTTGCGCCTCCCAAAAAAAGACCCGAGGGGTGGCTTTCCGCACGCACGACCTCGTGCAACACACGCCCTCCATCATCTACACGACACACCGAATCAGTAGACTACGAACCCAAGACCAAACGCATGAGAAGCCATAGACTGTTCCCAATAATAGACCTTTCGAAACGCAGTTGACAGACACAAAACGAGAAAGAAAGAAAGAAAAAAAGAACCCAAGCCTACTTCTTACAATAGCCCCATCCACATCCCAAGCAAAGTCATGAACACATGACCGGGGCAGCTCCAACCTTATTTTATCCCAAACCGGCCGAAGGGCCAAGGTCGTCGGGACTCGCTCCCGCCCAGGCATTTCTATCAATAGTAGGACAAACAGAAAAACGAGACTGGATGACAAGAACACCCTCCTCAGTCAGGTTCCAGACGGACCCGCCAGGCGGGCGCATCCCGGCTGGGCAGCCGTCTCGTGCCTGCGGCCGTCAATGCGCGCGGACTCGATTACAGACAGTACTTGCTAGTCACGACGGGGGGCTACGCTGTGGAGCGACCCATGAACTGCGAGCCAGCTCGTCTCTCACTGTGTTGCGTATGCGGGATGGGGTGGGTAGGGGCGAAGGGGGGACGATACATACACACTGCACTGCAGATAGATGTCAAGATGATGCGCGGTGACTGATTTGGGTCTCTGCCACTTGGATGTTGGGTTGGCCCAGAGAGACGACCCGGGTACCGTATCAGTACACTATATTGCCGCAATGAATCGGGACATTTCCGCCGGATATAGGTTAAAAATAGTGAGCAGTGAGTGTCCCAACCACGGCAGACCATCGTGAGGAGACGACCAACATGGACACGTGGAGTTCTGAAGAAAATTACGAGACTTACGCCACGCGTGACCGTGTGCTAGAGGCCAAACCTACCTAGGTAAGACAAACATTGCTCCTAGGTTAAAAGCCTGCTAGTACCATAGCGTCGGGGCGCACGAGAGCCAGATTGTGGTAGCACGAAAGGTATCGCGAAGTGGATTGCGGGCGTCGATCAGCTAGTACCATTATACCGCACTTTACGTCCAAGTGACGAGGGACATCACGAGCGAGGACAAGAAGACCAAATTCTTTTTAGCGACGAGATCGCGCGAACGTATCACTTCGTAATCATTCATCTATATACACAGCTAGATCAATCGCTGGGCGGATTGATCCTCAGGACCCTGTAGTATGAACAGACCTTTTCCCCCGCCCCGGACTGAAGTATTTACCTGTTTCCCAAATCCATCTGCGCCTCGGTTTGCACCTCCGTGACTTGTTGGAGGAGACAAAAAACAACATCGGCTCGACCGCCCCGGCATCCGAGGGCGTCGTCTGCCCGATAATGCCATCCCAGACCCATTTTGTTTTGGTGGTATCCCAAAATGAAAAATCCAAAAAAAAGCCCGGTATCCCATTGATCGCTTTGCGAAAATGCAAGTTTCCCCAACACCATGCGCTAAAGAATAGGTTGAAACCCCCAAAAAGAAACCCGCGCCTCATCACGTGAGCTTGATTATGGCTGGCGAGGACCGGCGGCTGGCCTCTTGCCCGCAGCCACCGGAGACAGTGGCTCATTCGGTAGTGGCCCGCTTGCCTCTTCAGCCGTCAAGGGCGACACAACCGCAGCAGACGCGCCACTGTTGCTCCTCCAGAGCCGCGGTGATACCGGCCCTGAGGTCGGTGGCGACGTCCTCTGCGTGACATTGCTGCTCGACGTCTGTATTTGCAGCGCAGGCTGTGCCGGACGTGGTCGACTCTGCTGTGACTGCTCCTCCCTCAGCTGCTGAAGGCCAGTACCCCGCCGAGGCGGTGCCGGAATGACCGTGACCGGCAAGCTCTCCGTGTCCATGGTGGGTCGGATACGGTCACGCAGCCTGTCGGCCTGAGAAGCGGCAAAATCCTCGAAGCGCGACCTGAAATCCCAGCGGCTGCTGTTGCTACCTTCTTGCGGACTTGGTTGGCTGACCTTGTTGGATCCCTCGTTTGACATGTTCGACTTGGACGGATTTCGGAACAGCTGGCTCGCCTGGCTGAAAGCTCGCATGCGGTAGTTATTCGAGGTGCTGGGGGTTTGGCTGGTAGGAGGCTTCGAAGCCTGGTTAGCACGACCAGCAGCTTGGCTGGCTGACTGGCTGGGTGTCACCGAGGCGTCAGGCGTCGCAGTGAAATTCCTGTCAACATCCGCTCCACGATCCTCTGCGTCCTCTATCCGCATGCTAGGCTCCTGAATCTCGGGTACGACTGCTGGTAGAGGTGTTGAATAATGTTCGGGAAATGGTTCGGTGTTTGTCCCAGATGTCTCAGACATGGGGTGGTAGCGGACAGCATACACAGTGCTGTCTGCGCTTGCTGTGTCAGTCCGGGAAACTGGAGTGACAGCAGGTGGTGGTCGAGACGGCCACAGAGGTGGCTGCAGGAAGCGGATGTTCGGAGTGCGTGTGCTGTTTCCATTTTGCGGGGTTTCCTCTCCGGGTTTCGCCCTGGACTTCTGTCGATATCGATTCGCAAGGGACGTTACTATCGGCCACGGGTTACTGCTCGTGGCGGCGGTTGTGGGGTTCTCGCGTGGCTGCGCCTGTCCACTCTCGCCGCCGTCGGGCGCGTCATCATCGTCACCCTCGCGTTTCGTGTTCCTCCTCTTGCGCGGCCATCCGAATTCCGAGGACGACGTTCCGACCATCTCGTCTCCGTCGAAGACCTCACGTCCCAGAATTCCGTCCTTCTTCTCTTCTCTTTCCAGGGCCTCTATCCGCTCAACCCATTCCCACACAATTACGCTGGCTGCCGCAGCGCCAACCCAGCGGACATAGTCTCCCCAGCCAGTGAAGTCGGGTTTCCTGATATCAAGAATAAAGAAGACAACGGGTACGAGGACAGCCAAGACCGAGAGCAGGGCTACCAAGCACATGTTGCGCATCTGCGGGTGATAATACGCATAATGCTTCTTCATGAAGGAGTAGTAAATGACCCAAGCAGCGTACAGAACACCAAGCGACAGCTGGAAGAGATAGCTGAGGGCGGGGATGGCATCAGTAAAAGACCGTGGCCGGAGGGACCCCTGGTTGGTGTACAGGAAGCTGTTGAGCGAGTCGAAGATGACGCCCAAGGCGATGAGCGCGAAGGCGGTCCACTTGATAATGATCTTTTCTCGCCGACGAGGAAAGAGCCTGATGAGTGTCTGGGCCTGGGCGAGCCACAGGAATGCCTCGGATATTATCCGGATAACCTTGAGCTCTGTGCCCCCCAAAACCTCCTGCTGCAGGACTTCGGCGTTCTGGATCCCTTGCGAATATTGTTGCTCGGCCACGCGAAACGTGTCGACGGTGGCGATGGTTAGGGAGATGGCGACAAACAAGGCTGCCACCTTCTGGAGCCAGGGACGACCCCCAATATTGGTGCCACCTGTGCCACCATCTGTGAAGCTCCTCCTCCCGAGAACGACCACACCGCCGTCGACGAATGACCTGGGCGTGATGAACAGCATGATGACCAACGTATATGCGATGACGGTCGTCGCGGCGAGAGCATAACATTGTGGAAAGGTGGAAGCGTAAAAGGGATCTCGGAAATCTGAGTATGCGATATTAGTGATGTCGGAAGCCCCGGTAGTCTCCTCCATGGTCACGCCGGGGTTGGCGATGATGATGGGCGATGTCGTCTGTTGACATTGTGGTCGGAACGCGGCGTCGGCGGTGAGTGTTATAGGATCCATGCCGGGAATGTTGATGACACCTCCTTCGGGCAGATTGAAGGAAGTGCATCCTGAGTTCAAGGAGCCCGCCTTGTCCGGCGAGCTCGGTACGATGAGTTGCCGCACCTCCATGATGGCTAGCTACGAAACCGAGTCGAGTCGCGGCCAGCCGCTGGCACTGTCGATGTGGGTAGGAACTCGTCCTCAATTGAATCCTACCGGCCACACGCCATTCGATCAACACAGGACGAATGCCACGCGTGAACAGAAGCCTCGGTCCTTGGTTTCCAGTCCTGTCTCTCTGAGGCGCCCGAGTGCTACGGGCTTTCGTGGGTTGAAGTCGTCGTCAGGGTCGTCGGGATCGTCGCAATCGGGACTCGGCGGTTTCCCTTTGGCAGCGCAGCGAGCGCGTTCTTTGTGTTGTAATAGTGTGCAACTTTTGTGAGTCGTATCACGGAACACAGACGCCTTCTCTTGATGATCCACACAATTGGGTTAAGTGGTTGGCAGAATAAGGTCGAAGTGATCGATATGTCGAAAGTGGTCAAACGTGGGGGAGGAACGGCGAAGTCTGGGCGCCGAGAGAGCTTGGGCATGAGCGAGAGATGTAAGACGCAGGAAGGCGAAGAGTTTCCGGGGGGCCTCAGATAGCCACCACAGTGGCAGCGGCGCCTGGACTGGGCTAATTGTGTTGCTGGGGGGGGCGTGGGCGACAGAAGCCGAGTCGGGAGGACCAGGGCGGGACGATGTTTGGGCGCTCGCTAGCCGGACTTCAGCAGGCGGCACGATTGGAGGAAGACCAGGGCCAGTTGAGCAACGGATCCCGGGGGGGTGACACTTTGGTGGTGGTCGGGCGGGAGAATACTTGACTCGAGGGCAGATTATCTGAGAGAGTCTTGCGTTTCCTGCCCGGATCTGTCTCGAAAGTGTTTGAACTTTGACGCATTGGGGACAGCAGACGGGGGTTGGACCGATGGGACGAGGAGGGAGTGAGGGATATGCAGTCGAGAGGATTCGAAATGGACCAGGATTGGAGGACTGGGACTGCAGGATTGCGACCAAATCCAGACAAGGACCAGGACCGGGGCAGGAGCAGTCCTGGGAATGAGGGACCGTGATGACTGGGGTAGGAGCGCCTGCTGCATACGGTAGGAACCTACTATGTACTAGGCCACCACATACAGGAAGGAGACAGACGGTGGGAGGTACGGAGTACTATGATGGCAGAATCAAGATTTGGGCGATCCTGACCCCCAAAAGTGACAGGATAAGAGACAGAATGACAGGCTGGACAGGTTGACAGGCCACTGTGATGTTATTGTGCCGCACACTCACTCGCAACTGACGAAACGCAGGGGGACTGTGCGAATGTCGTCTCCCCAGCCATTCAGCCACTCAGCCATGCACCACCCCCTCCATCCCGCAATGCAAGAGCGCCCGTCTTGCTCTCTTCCGGAAGGTCAGCCGAAACCGACCCCTCCCCCTCAACCGTCATGTCGCGCGTGCTTACGGATACCGTGGACTGTGGACTGTGGTACATATGCTTATTCTGTGGCTAGACATCGTGTGCCAGGCTAGAGCAGCGCCGCCGGCGAATCAGGACGGGGCCTGGGCCCCATCGTTGTCCTGCACACTGCATCTTGTCGGCTAAGGACGGGGGTCTTTTGACGCCAGCCAGCTGACCCGGCTCGGGGGGAAGCAATCAACGTCTAGGCCAAAATGACGGGGACACCCAATGCCGTGGGCCGGGTTCACCAAGTGCACCCACCTTGTCGACGCTGGGTTTAGTGCAAGGCTAGCACTGGGCCCCCTTCCGAGGTGGCGAGGGCACGAGCGCAGCTCAGGCCAAAAAGACGGCGTCCGTTGTGGACTACCACGCCTCCGGGACTGCTTTGTATGGGACGGACTGGACGGGCAACGGGCAAGGCGGGGGCGAACAGGTTTGGGTTGGGGGAGGGGGAGAACTGGCAGAACTGGCAGACTGGGTGCCCGATAAGCGAGCAGAAATCGAGGGGACACCACAAGTACACTTCTCCAACACAACAGCGCCAGCCAGCCAACTTGTGCTGCACCGCGGCGGCGCACAGTTAGCCCTTGGCCAGTTCACACGGATCCTATTATGGTACATTCCTCCTCGGAACGACGGATATTGCAACGCACTCGACAAATGACGAGACAGGAAGGTCCCCGTCATCCCTGGCACCTGGCCTTCCCGTACCAGTCTGCCTTAACGACGGGTCGTGTAGCCGGACACGGAGTTATTCAAATCTCAATCTCAGGCACAGCCGTTGTCTGGGAGCTGATGCTGCTGCTGCTGACTCGAGCGAGCCGCGGCCCCTTCTACAATGCAAATCGTGCCTCAGGGGCCGCCGGTGATACGGACTAACAACAGATTAATTTCATCTCGGAGACAGGCACCAAGGCCACAGCGAGCACAACACGGACGCTACGACACGGGTTGTGGGTGCGTGGGCAGCTAGCCAGCTAGCCCAGTCTCGAAAATCCCCTAATAAAATGCAGCAATCTAGAACTTATCTCTAACATACAAACCTCCATACTGGGAAAGCTACGCTTAACTTATAGCTACTACTTACTTAAGGTATAGCTAGAAAGAAAAGGTTAGCTTTTAACGCACAAAGGTCTATAACTAAAATGTACCCCTTATAAAAACAAAAGGACGCCTATTTTACTAGCTAACCCTAAATTCAAATTTCTCCCCTAACAACTCTTCTCTCTCTAAGTAAGTACCCTTCCCAACCTTAAATAATAATTCTTACTAACTTCCACTAAGTTACACTCTATTTCTAAAGGAATTTAGGTAAGGTAATATAAGCAATCAAAAAAGTAACTTAAGTCCCCTTAATTATTTTTTTAATTAAGTATACTATATTTAATTAAATAAAAAGCTCTAGGAATAAAAAAACTTTAAAAAAAAGCTTTTACTAATTCTCTCTATTAATATATTATTTCTATATAGATTACTAATTAAAAAGATATTAGAATTAAAAAATATTAAAAAAGGGTACTTTTTATTACTATATAAACTAATTCCTTTAATCTAGATTTTCTATATTTTAGTTTTAAATATCCTTCCAAACATTTAATATAGCTTTTTAATAAGTAAACTTCTTAACTAATATATTTTCTCTAAAGGTTTCCCTAATATTTATTAGTATTTTAACTATACTAGCTTCCACCATACTAAATAGGTGGGGAAAGCTATACTGAAAAAATGCTTGGAAAAGGGGCATTTGAACATTTGAGATAATCTAGAACCCCGTCGGTCGTTTGGGCAATGGCTCTACTGTACTCCGTACTCCCAATTCCTGCTGGAGCGGCGGCACCGGACAATCTAATGTGAAACCAAGCAACGCTCTGGCAATGCGCCACACTAGCCTTCTGCGTTGTCTCTCGTGTTCTTCTCCCCTCTGGACTGGCGATGTCTGCTGACCTGGCTTGCCTGGCAACATCCGTGTACATACCGGGAATCAGACGAGCTGATGAGCTGGGACAGTGCAGTTCGGTGAGAGAGAGGTGGGTGGTGCCAATCTGAATCTGGCAGTACTGTCAGAACTGGTTGACGGCTCAGGAACCAGTGAGCGTGCTGACTGCTAGCTGCGCCTCACACACCTCCGTCGCCTCCGTCGGGCCAACCTGCAAGTCAGCCAGTCGGCGACTTATTGGTTGGTCAGGCTTCACTCTGCCCACCGTACAGTGCGCGCATGCGGGTGCTGGGGAAAACCTGGAAATGGTGCCTTTTTGTGGTGTGTGAGGGTGTGTGGTTCAACAGCGTCAACCATGCACGAGCACTTTGCACCACAAACTCTATTCTCCCTTCTCACAACCGCATCGACACGCCCCTCTCTCTCTGAGATCTGGCATGTCTGGTGGCCCCCTTTTTAACTTTTGCGTTGGTTGCGTGCGTTACCATGATACAATGCATGGTACCTTCGATTGTTCGATTCTTGGATTCTTGCATTCTTCGATTCTTCTCTACAGATCGATGGGCAGGTGCCAGCAAGTGCTGCCGCCATCGCACCTTGTTCGGCCGAGAGACCGAGAGACCGACAGACCGACCGCTGAAGAAAAGCACTCGTGCACACCAGCAGACAGGAGCACGCCTTCCCTGGCCTTCCGGTAGGACCCTGCAGCAAGCCAGCACGCCCAAGCGGGCGCATCACCCGCAATGATGGGCCGCTGGTGGGCTTGGAACACACTGGCTGACCGGTCCCCATCCTCTGGTCCCTCGTGGGTAGCCCTGCGTCTGGGCGCTTGGCAAAGCTTAGGGGCCTGCGGTCCGTCTGCTGCCCTGGGAAACGTTCTTGGCAGCCTGTCTTGTGTCTTCGTCAAGCTTCACTCGGCGAGAAAAGCGTTGGTTTTCTTAAAAGATGCTTCACCGGGATCTCCAGAAGTGGGCCGCGTAATCGCTGGCTGATTCTGTCTTTGACGCTTCTGTGAGCTCAACGATAGTCCTACGGCGAGGGTGTCATGGCTTCGATCAAGCCTCAGACAAGACGGCACGTCGGTAATAGACTTTTGTCGGGCCTCAAGTGAGACATCGAAGTGCCACCTGGGTCTGGGGAGCCAACTGCTTTGCTGCGTGGCCCTCACAAATGCGGTTTGATTGCGGTTTGATTGAGACCCTGATGCCGTTGGCCCTTTCGAGTGAGCCGTGCCGGTTGCAACATTGTTCATTGAACTTGAAGGTGCGGAATATACGCGTAACATGGGAACTCACTGCCTGCCGTCCCAAGTGGTCACGACATGTCCAGTGGGGATGGACCAGCTGGCTCAAGAGAGATCGAGTGTCCCGCCACCACTGCAGCCTTGGGTGTGCCGTCATGGACAGATACTGGTTCTGCGCTTTTGTGCGCGGCATGCAGCTACGTCTGGGCATACTTGGAGATCTACTGGGCACGGCGCACGTATGCCCAGCCTGCAGGATCTACAAGAAAACGGTTCCCCGAAGACTCGCAGCTCAAGCCCAGCATATTACTTCACAGCGAACCCAGGCTGCCTGCAGGGAGTCGCGGCTCCTCGCGCACCCGTCCGTGGCACAGTAAATGTGCAGAGTTTCTCGAAGCCTCCACGACACCGAACCTCCGAGTTCCTCTACGCCGCGTTCCGCTGCTGCTGCAGCATTGCACATCCAGCAGCATTCGTGCAGGTGGTCACGGGCGGCTGTGGTCACGCTTGTCTCTGCCGTGCAGGAGCCGGGGATAGATCTGCCTCCGCAATATCCACCCACACCTGCCTTGCGACTCCAGCGCCGCACAATTCGAACGCAATCATAACATATCATCTGTCTGGCTTACACTGCCTGTGATTGGTAGCATGTTAAGGCAGTGCAACAGGACTATAGTCTATGCCTCTTGGATTTTCGTTGGGGCACCAGATTTGACCAGCAGGGCAGCAGCCGAGACTCACTGCCGGGCGCGCTAGATGGATATGCCTCTAAAATTGAAGCTTTGAAGAAGCATACGCGTGACTCGTCGTGGGTGCTGTAGAAACAGCACGGTATGGAATGGAAACAATGTGCACCCCTCGAAATTACAACACGTCTCGCTCTTGGTCATTTTCTACCGACACGTCTATCAGTGACCATGCTTCACGACGCCATCGTGGTAGGACCCCGATACAGCAAAGCAACCAGTCGGATCACCAGCCATACAGAGTCGTATCTGCTGCAGAAGGCATCACCTGTCAAACGAATACATAGTAGCTGTATCCATGAATGCGTTGTCTCCGCTATGTTCCAGGGGGCTAGTGGTCCACATCATATACGACCTCTATATATCCACAGTCATCGAGATACCACATCACGGATACCCAACTCCGGCCATCCCCAGGAACCCGCGAATCATGCAATACACACAACGCATGGTTTCCACAATACGATTTGATGCAGAATGTCTATTTGTCGGCGCCGACGAACACCCGGCTGCTCTGACTCGGGGCTCCGCCCCCGGGACAAGAGGGACAAGGCCCCATGCGAAATACGTATTACTCTTCCTGCCCAAATGGCCACGCACGTCTACAAGGGGGAGAGTGAAGAAAAACTTTCCCACGGTGCCGTCCATCTTTACGCAAGCAATTGAGCCCCAATGCTTACGACCGGCGCTGCCGCTCACGGGATCTCGTGTCGCAAAGTCGAGTCTTCGCCGCCGCTCCCATTTCGCCTCGGGCACAGCCATCCCAAGACCACAAAGCCGCCCTCGGCAGGACTCAGCTTGCGACGTCAGCCACG